TCTCTGCTAATATATCTTTAAATTTAATAATACTATTTAACTAGTAATTACTTAAAGCTTAGCTCTTATAATTAGTATTATATTTAGGGATATTAAAGGTTAGCATTTATATCCTTTTTTTTATATTACCTATAAGGTCTAGTAATTATTTAAATAAGAGTTATTAATATATAATAAATTATATATTAAATAATTAATATAAGGTAAATTCCTAAGGGATAAACCTAGTAAATAATTTTAAGTTTATATTAATAAAGTAGTTAAGAAATCTAATAGGTAATATAAGTAATAGTAAATAATATTATTAAATAGTAGAAGTGTAAAGTATATTATAATCTTAATTTTATATTAATAACTAGCTATTTAAGTTATTTAAATAAGTGTAAAAAAGTAAACTTATATACCTAGTTGGTTTTAGGCTTATAAGGCTTATGAGATAAGTTATATAAGTTATGGCTTATTAAGCTTATTTATTAAGTTAAATAAGTTAAACCTAATTAGTTAATTAGTCCTTAGTTAATCTAGTGGATCCTGGCGGGTTGGCCTATGGTTGCGACTATAAGAGTTGGGTTGTGACACCTTTATAAGGATTAACTAGATAAAGGGCTACTGCCACACTTAGAATGGGATTATGAAATAGTTTTAAAGGAAGGAGCATCCCTAAAGTTCCATAAGATTTATAATCTTAGTAAAACTAAACTTAAAATACTTAAAGAATAAATTAAAGTATAACTTAAGAAGGGATATATTAGAGTCTTAAAATCACCTGTTAAATACCTTATTATCTTTATTCTAAAGAAAAATAGTAAACTTTAGTTAGTTATTAATTATAAAGAGTTAAATAAAATAACTATTAAAAATAAAACCCTACTACCCTTAATCTTATAAATTAAAAATAAATTACATGGAAAAAAATAGTTTACTACTCTTAACCTTATAGGAGCTTATAAGCTTACTAAAATAAAGGAAGGATATAAATAAATAATAGTGTTTACTATAAGATATAAATTATATAAATACACTGTTATACCATAAGGTCTTATAAACACACTAGTATTCTTCTAGAAATAAATAAATCATATACTTAAACCCTACTTAAATAACTTTACTATTATATATATTAATAATATTCTTATCTTCTTAGACACTCTTAAAGAATATAAGAAATATATTTATTTAGTATTATAAAAACTTAAAGAAAATAAACTCCTTATTAATCCTAAAAAATATATATTTTATTTATAGAAAGTTAACTTTCTTAGATATATTATTACCCTTAAAGAAATTTATATAAACCCTAATAAAATTAAAGCAATTAAAAAATAGCTAACACTAATAACTCTTAAGGAATTATAAGTGTTTTTAGGACTTGCTAATTACTATAGAAAGTTTATTAAAGATTTCTTGCTTAAGGCTATTCTATTAACTAATATAATAAAAAAGGATTAACCTTTTAAGTAGAAAGAAGAATAATAAAAAGCTTTTAAAGATCTTAAAGCAGCTTTAATCTTAAAACTAGTTCTTGCTATATTTAACCTAAAGAAACCTATTACTATTAAAACTAATATATTAAACTTTATAATTAGAGGAGTATTAAGTTAACCTAGTAATAATAGTAAACTTAGACTTATTGCTTTTTTTTTATATAAACTTAGTGGACTAGTGCTATAATATCCTACTTATAATAAAGAGATATATATAATACTATAAGTATTTAAGGAATGGAGATATTACTATTACAGAAGTAAATATAAGATTATAGTATACACTAATTATAAGAATATTTTATATTTTACTATTATATAAGAACTCTCTAGTAGATAAGTTAAATACTTTAAATTCTTATTATAATTTAGCTATAAACTTATTTACTATAAAGGAATTAAAAATAAAAGAGCTAATGCTTTAAGTAAAAGAACTAATTATAAATAAGAAATACTTAATATTATAGTATAAGCACTTTAGTATAATAAAAAAAGAAATATTAAATAAGTTTATATATATCTTATATTTAAAGTATTAAAGAATAATCTAATGCTTAAAGAAATTAAGGAATATATAAAAACTTACCTAAATGAAAAATATCTAGAAGATATTACTATAGAATTAGGATACCTTAAATAAAATAATAAAATATAAGTACTTAAAGAACTATAAAAGAAAGTAATTAAATATATTTATAAACACTTGTTATATAAATATAAAGGTATTACTAAAATAGTTAATTAAGTCCTAAATTACTATAAAATTAAAGAACTTAAGCTTATTATATAATATATTATATTATATTATAATATATGCTAATAAATAAAAGATAAAAGATATAAACTTTATAGAAAACTATAACTGCTACTAGTACTAGAATAGCTATAGGAATTAGTTACTTTTAATTATATTACTAATTTACCCTTATTTATTAAACCTCTTATAAAGGTTAAATATAATAGTATATTTATATTAGTTTACTGCTTATTAAAGTAAGTATACTTTATATTATATAATAAATTATATATAGTAGAAGAACTTGCTTATACTTATATAAGAATAATTACTATAAAATATAAACTACTAAAAGAAATAATATTAAATAAAGGATAAATATTTACTTTTAAATTTTAGCAAAAACTAATAGCTAAATTAGAAATAAACTATAAACTAAGTACTATATACTATCCTTAAATAAATAAATAAATAGAATATATTAATTAAATTATTAAAGCCTACTTATACTATTATATTAACTTTATATAAGATAATTAAGTAAAAAAACTACTAGTAGCTTAATTATACTATAATAGTATACCCTTAGAATCTATAGGGATTATACTTTTTTATACTAACTATAGATTTACACTAGAAGCATTTAGACTACTATAAGATAGACCTAATTCTAAAAAAGCTTAATTTATAGCAGAAATAATAATTAATTTACACTAAGAAATATATAAATAACTTAAACTTATTTAAGATAAAATGAAAAAATATATAGACTAGAATAAAATTATAGGACTAATTCTTTAGAAGGGAGATATAGTTTATATACTATAATATTTATAAGGCTATAAATTACTAAATATTAAGATAAATAGGCTAAGTAATAAACTTAACATTAGAAAAATAAGACCTTATAAAATTCTTAAATAAATTAGAGAAGTAGATTATAAGTTAGCCTTACTAGATATAATAAAACTTTAAATTCTAGTATTTTATATGTTATAACTTAAAAAAGTATAAGTTAATAAGAATATTGGAAGACTTATTTTAAATGAAATTATTATTAAGGATTAAGAAGAGGAATATAAAATTAAAAATATACTTGCTATATGCTAGAACTCTAATATAAATAACACTAAGTATCTTATTAAATGGATAAAATACTTTAACCTGGAAAACTTATAGGAACTAGTAGAATACTTTAACTCTTAGGAGCTAATAAAGAAGTTTCTCTATTTTATGGGATTAATAAACTAAAATTAGATAATATAGTATTTTAATTAATCTTATTAATACTATTATTAGGCTGTATATTAGCCATAACCCCTAACTTAGCATGCTTAATATTATCTAATTTATTAAGTAACTAAGCACTTTTGCAAAGTATTTATTTACCCTGTATATTTATTTACTAATGCTATTTATAAAGACATAATAATTATATAAAACTCTTATTTATTAACTAAGATAATAATATTAATTATTATTAAAACTCTATTAGCTTTTGTTATTGCTAAAGTAATTCTTGCTTAGCTTAATGCTCTTTAATATTTAACCTCTCCTTCTTAAATGCTAGATGTTAAGCTAAGAAGAGTTAAAAAAAAAAAAAATTTGCTTATTTTAAAACTATAAACTTACTAGCTGCTAAAGAAATACTATTTCTATTATATATTTAACCTTTATAAGTACACTTTAAATACTTCTAATACCCTAGCGCTATTTTATATAATAAACTATGGGTATTATAAAAAGAATAAGGTATAATAAGAAGTTTAATAGTGTTAATTACTATTATAGCTATCTTATAGTAGTTAATTAAACTTTTCTAAACTATAGGATAATACTTTAAAATACTATAAGGTATTATAATAAGAAGAAAAGAAGTTGCTTACTGCACTAAGGAAAAAGAACTATAGACCTTATGTACTATTATAGCCTTAAGGATAAGACTAATAGAAGAGGGGCATTATATTATAAACTAATTATATAAGGATCCTTTTAATATATACCTTTGGTAATACACTAGAAGGCTATAACTAATTAAGGTATGGGACTCCCTCTCTTAGTAGGATATGTACTTACTTATAAGATAAGAATATAGCTCTAGGAGTGCATTCTCATTAGGTACTATAAGACTTACACTAGTAATAACCATAGAATAACTTACTATATAAGAACTATTTATTATACTTATTAAATAGAACTTAAATAGTTAGTTATTAACATAGCACTTTTAGATAATAATTAAATTAGTTATTTTATAACCTTGTTAACTATGTAATTACATTACTTATTAGATCTCTCACATCTTTCTACTAACATAAACCAACGCCTTGGCTTATAGATTGGGAACCTACCCTATACCTAAGCACGATAGTATAGGTCAGGATGTCATAATTAGCCTTATTGGTTAATATTTAAGCTTAAGCCGCTTGTGATAACTTACGGCTTGGCACTCGCCGGGCAAATGGCTGCTGACCCAAGCAGGTGTTATTCGTAACAATCTTCCCTAGGTGGTGAGTAAATCATAAGCGAGCACCGATTATTGGAGCTTTATGTATTGCTTGGGGCTTCATTCTTTTTCTTCAGCTATGTGCTCTCTATCAAATGTAGAACGGTAGTAACCGCTCTCGCCGGAAATCTAAGAAGCCGTGCTAGGTGTTTAATATCAGCAGACGTTTGTCCATCAGTTGAATTGATTTGCGCACTTTTCATCGTCATTTGTCTATCTATGATGAATCTATATATCCTGAATCTCAAATAGTGGTACAACTAGCCCAAATATCCTAGAATGAGAACTTCTCATTTGTAAGCTCCTCCGTCCACTTCCAGAGCCGCGTAGCTTCGACTTCGCTGAATGCCCAGGGTCTAACGGTATGCAAGTAAGGGTTAGAAACCTGGCAATCCAAGAGATACGCTCCGGTATGGTCTTAAAACACGAGTTAGCACGGGTCTGAGACCTGATATCAAATATTCGAATGCTCACCTGCAAGATCCTGATCAAACGAGGCATACACAGCTGTTGCAATACCGGCCTCTTTGCTCTTATACTTTGGCCAGCCATTGACGGCTTCGTCGTTACCGAGCTCCAAATCGATTCGAACTAGACCGTGGATTAGTAAAACGAAGCATGCTTTAGTACTCGTGTAATTAAAGAACACCTACTGATGTCTCCAAACTCGCCGGCCCAGTCAATGTTTGCTCCCAATGGAGTCATGATTACACCGGGGTTGACGCTAAATACTTGCGCCCTCTTTCCCAGCACTTTTCCTAGATGGAGAGCGTAAAGCTGAACCGCCGTCTTTGACTGGCCATAAGCGTGCCACCTGTTGTAGTTCTCGCCACCCTATACGATGATTGGATGGAGATTGTTAGTCGCTGAAATTGTTTCGACGACACCGAGCTGCTGAGTCTTACCTTGAAGTTGGGGTCATGCCAACGAATGGGGCCCCAGCGGTGACCATCACTGCTAAGAAGTACAATTCGTGGGCTCTCCGACTTGAGAATCTTGGGCAAGATGCTGTTGGTGAACACCCAAGGAGCGATATAGTTGACGCCCAGCTGCTTCTCGAATCCGTCAACTGTGGTTCCATATGGAGTACCCATGATGGCTGCGTGGTGGCAGAAGACATCAATGTGTGGCACATCATCCCAAGAGTTGACAATAGCGGCCGCTTTTTTCACTTCTGCAACAGATTCAAGATCGAGATTGAGAGATTTGGTGGCAACCTTGGGGTTGGCCTTTGCAATGGCGCTGATGATGAACTGCAGCTTTTCAGCATTGCGGCCTGCGAGAATCAGAAGCTTGGGCTCAGATTTGGCAATTGCGAGACAGTATTCCTCTCCGAGACTGCCTTGAGATGTACCAGTCACTAGGATAATTTTGCCTTTAATGTTATCTGCGTATGTAGCGGCCAAGTCGTGCCCGGAGATGGAGTCGCCGTTTGCAGGAGGAGCCATGTTGTCTGAAGCAAAGCAGTAAGATTGTGAGACTAGTTGACGATAGGAGAGTTCTGAATTGAATTGAAGGATTAAGGGAATTAAAAAAATAAAAGGAAGTTAGAATCGAGAATATTTATAGAGATTTATTTCAGATGCCTTGTCCTAAATTCTCATTTCAATCAGCAAATGGTGTATACTAACACATCTCTTTTGGGCCATGCTCCAAGCCTAGAGCGCCACCACATCAGCGCCGCGGAGTTTCTGTGTGAGGTCCACATAGAGAGCGTGTCAGCCAACTTTATGGACACGAATCTGGTCCTTTGAATCGCCTAGAACCAACGCCAATTGGCTTAATAATGTTTGTCTTTCATGCTTCTGGGACGAGGCCATAATTGTTTTCTTTCTATTTGATTCTTGGCGTCAGGCGCAGATTCCAAGTCGATATCTCCATTATCTCCACTAGGTGGATTATTGTGGTGATATACGCAGCGCAGTCTTCTCGTAAATACGAAATGATGAGAACATTTTTAGTTTCTGCTGATTATCAATTCATAACCAATTGATTGACTTGCTATCTACGATGATCTTTCTGTATAAACTCTACACTGGAATTATTACACGCATAGAACTATAGAGCAGTATCCGTATATTTGTGCCAATTGTTAAGTGAGGTTAAATATGCATATAGGTATAGGTAATTTTTGTATATCCAGCTTATAATACAGCAGCTATAACATATATAATTCCTCCTCTTGGGAAGTGGTTTTATGGTTCGACCCTCCCCAGTGAATTGTTTTTGTCAGCCGCTCGGAGAATGTGTGTCGGATACGATGTGTAAGTGACTCGCCCCATGAGCTTTTTAGCTCACCGGAGAACAGTGTGAAATAAGTTCTCGAACAAATAATACTGGACGTCTGCCAATCGCTTTTGTTTCTTAACAACGAGTGTAAAAGAAAGCCAACGATCACTCATTAATTCGCAAACATAGAAACTAACGTCATCTCTTTTCCTTTCTTTTCTTTTCTTTTCTGCGGTCGGCGATATTGATTTATATGACGTCTCAGCTCGCTCTCCTCCATCGCGGCTGCGGCGTAGCCACAGTTTCAGAATGCGCGATTCCGGTACCCGCCAATGACGAAGTCGTCGTCAAAGTTGCTGCTGTGTGTCTGAACCCAATTGATTGGAAGATACTCTACGGTGCTAAGTCGTCGGCACCGACTATTCTTGGCTGTGACCTCGCTGGCACGGTAGCCTCTATTGGCGATGAGGTGACGGCAATTGAGGTCGGCGATCGTGTTATTGGCTTTATAGCAGGGGGTGAGTGTATAGCTTTGTCTTGTATTTTTGTCTTTTAAATACAAAACTTGCATGAGTTCATGGCACTGCTGAGAAGTTGTGCTGACAAAACGAGTTGTGTAAAGGCAACCCTTTGAGACCGAACGATGGCGCTTTTGCCCAGTATGTTGCTGTACCGGCCCACGTCGTCATACATATTCCTCAGGATATGTCATTTGAAAGCGGCGCAACTCTGCCAACCCCAGTTTTCGTCAGCGGATTCTCTCTCTACAGGAAGCTATCAGTTCCATACCCATCCCTTCCAAGTGAAGCGGTCAGCACGTCTACGACAGACAGTGAGAGTGGACGCCAATCCATCTTAATTTACGGAGGCGGTACTTCAAACGGCGCAATGCAAATACAATTAGCCAAATTGTAAGTATTGCTTCAATTGACTCACTCAACATGTTCACAAAATGAGATCCTTACGTTCGTACAAGGTCGGGCTTGATAGTATACACCGTGTGCTCTCGAGCTAGCTATGAATTAGTGAAGCAGTGTGGCGCTGATTGTATCTTCTACCATGTGAGTGAGGCTCTTTTGGCTACGCAGTATCCTAAGTTAGGTATGTGAAGACTGAACATTATTAGGATGAGCCATCTACTTTACAAGATTTACGAATTGCGACACATGGCAAGATACGGATTGCAGTCGACTGTATAGCAACGGAGCAATCAGCTGCCATTTGTGCTTCTAATATGGAAACCTATGGAGGGGAGTATATCAGCTTTACGGGAGCTAGAATTCGTGATCCGCGCATTACGACTGTCAACATCTTTGGATTCACAATGCTGAACAGAGAATTCTTTTTTGAAGCTAGAGGGCTTCGAGCAAATGTGAATGTTGCAGACGTAACTTTCACAACTAATTTCGCGCGCCGTGCGGAGCGGCTCATTGCGCTGAATGCAATTAAACCCAGCGCTGCGGAAGTTCGTCCTGGAGGGCTGGATGGAATCATTTCTGGATTAGAAGACATGAAAGCTGGAAGAGTACGGGGGAAGAGACTTGTATACATTATTGATCCAATTGATCAATGATGATTCATTTAATATGAGGCTTGCCTAGAAGTTCTTTAGCAATCAATATAGAGAGAAGAGGAGAATGATCAGTGTTATTATCGATCGATCACTTCTACAGCTCGTACAAGGCGCCTAAGAGTAGACGCAAATGCGCGAGATATATCCCAAATGCGCATATTTTGCAACACACGAACCGTTTCTTGAACCACCTGCACTCGACTCTCTGGGCTGCCCAGCATTGGTACGCCATACATGCCAAGCTGAATGTGCCGTCCGCCCTCATGAACCCACTTCAAAACGTTAGCAGTCCAGTTAGCCGCATCATTAACCGGAGGCCTGTCTAGCAGAAGGATAACTCTGTTTGATTCGGGATCAGAATTCTTGTTCTTATCGCTGCAAATGCTATCTCTGAGCGGAGAAGCCAGAAGTGTAGCAGCGCACCACAAGACTGCGCCAGCGTAAAAGGCGTAGAAAGACTCGTATGGAGTGTTGAATGGAAAGTCACGGCAAATTCCCATGATCTGTGAGCTGTGGTAGATGACCTTGCGGACTCGGGCTGGATCTTCTTCTCCCCATTTGACCATGCGTTCGCGAGCCGGCTTGTTGAAACCCGCACTGCGAAGTAAAGCAGGTAACCAGTCCATCAGATCGCTTGCGCCATACAAGTATGACATGTGGATGATCAAAGCTCTTTGGGTGACATGACGAAGAGTGCGGTCGTCTGTAGCCATGGAATACTTCAAAACATGCGGCGAAATTAAGAAATCTCCCATCTTGTCTGTAAGTGTTGCTTTATGATCAGGAATTGGCATGTAATCGGGCACCACGTCCATGAGAGGAGACACCTGTAACTCTTTAAGTGACCACACAAAACGAGCTAGAGTCACCATGATGATATGGATATGTTGTGTATCGGTCAGCTGGATCTTGTCGATGAGACTCGCATCGAAGCAGCTGCGAGCTGCGAGCCGAAAGCCAACCGGATCAGCCTCGGTCTTCCATGGATGCAAGGCCATCCACGCATGGGCAGACGGAGCTTCCCAGCTGTCTGCATCGCTGGGGAGTGCCAGTGTCAGATCAGGTGTGCTGAAGGCAGGGCGCTGGTTGTGAAGAACACTGGCCAGAGCATCGAATTCCTACCAATAGGTTAGAGATAAGTCACAGTACAGTTTCTCCAGTGGACTCAAAGAGAGTTAAGCATACGTGTATGGCCCATCCCAGCCTCTTGCGTCTTTCGAAAGCGATCCAGGAACTCCATTGAGACTCAACACTCTCGCTCTTAGTCGAGGGAGTCCGTCGTGGTGTATCATGAAACAGCCCAACTTGTTTTCCTGTCTGGATTAGAGACCACCTTAAAGTCTCGCTATAATTAAACAAGACTCTATCACCACTGCAGTATCCGTAGATTCCTTGGAGCAACTGTGCCGCCATGAAAGGTTCAGAAGATGCAATACGTGGGTCGCGCTCGCCCTAGTTGAACATCAGTGCCGTGGTTGTTTTAGTTAGTTGTAACGACTAACCATCGAAAGTAGGAGTCGGCGGTTCAGCTTTGCGATAACATTGGCAAAAGACGCTGCCCCGCTAAGATTTGTGAATCGTGCGCCTATGCTTGCGATAGCAAGAATGAGCGTGACTGGCGCGACTGTAGGGTCAAAAGTAGGTTTGTGAATAAAGCTCAGGACCTGTAAGATTGCGTTAGACTAGAGAACGCGCCAATACATGATTATTTAGGATTTAACTCACTGGTTGAAAGTTGACAAAGAATAGATCAATGCAGTGGTCCAGCTTTTCCTTGCTCGGGAAAGCCGCGAATGAAATAGGTGCCCAGATCGGTTCTTCGAGGCAAGTTTTGGCTGCCTGTTGGATACGATCTCGATCGTCATCAGTGAGATCTCGCAATTGGGTATATGATCCAGTCATGGGTTGGTCAACCCGTTGTTCACCTAATCCGGGGACATCCAAAGATTGCTCAGCAAGTTCAGGAGGATCAAGCAGCCATCCTTCTTGCTGCGTCGCACTCTCCTTGTATTTGGAGGCTGGTTCTTGGGCTACATTGAAAGGATTTTGATACGTTGACCAGAGCAAATGCGAGGCATGATCCACCGGGATGTGATCGGCAGAGAAGCCGAGAGTGTTGAAGTCGACTCTATCTCCAGTATCTCGAAGCATCCAGTCGATATTTGCAGCTTCCCAATGTGGAATTGAATTGTTATGGGGAAAGATTTCATCAACCTTTTCGGTGGAAAGCGGTGCAAAGGTTGGTGCTGGAAATGGCGTGGAAGATGTTGAACTTTGTATGTCTGTCTCTGATGAGAACAATTGTGAATCCCGACCATTGGCTTCAACCGGCTCCAGGACACTCGGAATCTCATTTTGATGATCGAATATATATGATGCGGTAGCATCTGGAGTTGATTTGTGCACCAATTTCGTGTGCGAGTCGTATTGCCGTTTCTGCCCACAGCCAGTACTACTCAATGGATACGTGCACAAGACTTCTCTCTGAGAGCACGCGAGACACTGCGGATGATCTCCAGAACACTTAATCTTCGATCTGCAATGATATATCTTAACATTTCGCTCTTCTCTGAAAGGACACCATTGCAAGCTGGTACCTTTGACAGCGATTGCATGACTTTCTGCGCACCTTGGGGCCTCGCTCGTGCATCTTTATGTGCCGAGTAAGACTATCCCTATTGCGTGGTCTTGTCAGCTTCTTTTCTGTGGCCTTGAAAGTATGGGGAGAGGTTCTTAATACTTGCGGCGAAACTCCCTATCACAAATCCGGCATAAATTCATTGCGCGTGAGAAGGAGGTCAGCTAGTTGCGGAAAATAGCCAGTAAAAATAATAGAATGACGAGATAATCCCAATATCACAGTAATGCCGCCGAGCATGAATTGAGAAGTTGTCAAAATAAACATGAGAGAGCATCAAGGAAACTCGAGAGCTCATGTTTAGAAGCGGCGATCAAGAGACGGAGCTAAGCGTTGATGCTGCAGCAAAGTCCGAGGCTTAGCTCCAGAGCCGACTCAGAGCATGACGCCCGTAATCAATCGATAAGCACAGCGACTCACCATCTTGGACAACAGTGAATAGAGCAATTCTGCTATTGCGATGAAGCAGGGAAAGTATTAGAAGCTTGTCTAAATTGGCTGATTGTGACTCCCTATAATTTGAGACATCCAGTGCACATTCCATCAAGTCGGAAGTCGGGCGGCTTAGAGGATGCGTTGCTCCATACAGGTGTGCATGAATATCCATCATCAGATCCAACTGAAAAACTTCGAGTACGCTTTGACCGTTGAAAAATATGTACCCTTTTACCGAAGAATCGAAAGCGTAGTAGGCAAGCTCAAATTTGGCGACACTTTTCACCGGCTTCGCGTTGGGGCCATTAGTAAAGGGCTCGACTTTGCATCACTAATCAACAATTCTTGGTCGGAGTTTGAGTCAAAATCTGGCTTCGCGCAATTTAATTACATAAACCGTAGACGACTTTTGTTGACTGAGTCTGAGGCTGCTAGATTGACACAAGAGCAGTGAAACATCATCATCAACTTGGAAATATCTTCTCGCTCTTACAGGAAACAATGGCCGCGCAGGCGCCAAACCCTCCGGCACTATTCTTAACAACAGAGTCGAACAATTAGTAGGGCTTCTTTGCATCCGTTGAGGATCTCTCAAAAAAGGCGTGAGGAAGACAGAGATATGGTGAAGTGGCATCATCGAGATATATAACGACTAATCTCTAGCCCGAGAGGATACTCTTCCGCATCTCAAGCGATATAGTTTTCAGTAAAGATTCCTAATAATGGGTCACTGCATATGTACAAGTTCTTATCTAACACGCAATCCGTGTGTGATCGATCATAGACGGCCACTCCAATGCTAAGCAGTAATTTTCTCAGGGTCAGTGTGGCGGGTCGCTAGCAAGAACACCACCAGTCCGCAGCCCCCTCGGGACACTCAGGTTATGATAGAGCGTGCTGGACATAGAAGACGGCACTTAGAATCGAGTACTGAGTTGCAGGAATGGCTGGGCTCAATTTTAAGCTAGACTGAAAGCACGGTCACCTACATGAGGTCTCTTCGACGGCTAATGCAAGTGACACTCCATACATTCCTTTACGTGTAACATAATGAGAAGAAGTGTGAGCTGTTGTGCTATTTGGGAGCAAGATAATAAGTAGTTATATGTAACTATTTATATTCCAAGCATGGGAATAGCTGTGTGTGTGAATGATGGAGCTTCACGATGCTACGGGCGTGTGTTCTTTTTCCTTAATCTAGATTTTAGCCATGAGCGTATTTTTGCCAAACGAGAACAATACAAAGTGTACCTCATACAAGCTCGCTTGTACTTCCAATCAAATATATGTTGGCCGTGCGCCACACTTCCCTTCCTCTCTTTTTACTAAGGAGCTACTTCAATCATTCGTATTAGCTACACTCAAAACAATTCATTGCTTTTATAAGCCACTGACTGCTCAGCCTCCTAACTGAGCTACTAATCTATTGATTACCATTGCTGTCAAGTCGAGACTTGTATGCTATAAATATAATTAACAGCAGCTGGTGGCAGTTGTTGACAAAAATAGTATGCAACAGGCCAAGCTGGCAAGGCCATAGAATTCACTAGTTGTAGCTCTACAACAAATTGGGCCTATATTGGTTTCATATCTGCATCATTGTGGCACATATTGGTTGCTTATATGACACCGAAGAACTTTTTTATTGGATGATAGAGTCTCGCGCGATAGGACATGGAGTGTTGTACAAGAAATGCAGTCGGCGGTCAGCGCAATAGGATTTCCGTACGATAAAGAACTTTCCATAAATAGAATTGAATATATCTATATTATTTCTGGTTTAAATTCTGGGGCGTTGCATTGTCTGCTCTCTCCACACTTCTCGTTCCCAATGCCGCTCGTCGTCCCAAACGTGACAGAGCCCGCCTGTCAGATGCAATTCGATTTCAGCTCAACACAACTCAGAATATGATTCCACTAAAGACATTGGGGAAGAGATTAGTAAAGAGATATAACCCCCTTCGTCAAGCTGAGTTATCGGTGGAGCAAGATGAAGATGTAACGCGGCAGGGAAGCCCTACAATCTTCACAGCGACAGTCAACAATATCAGCGAGGAGACCCAGCTCCTAACAGAGAGCGACGTTCACAATGAGTACTTGTTATCCATCTGAGTTAGACTATTCATACCCTTCTCTTTTACTAACCTTGAACAATTCTTAGCCGCTACGCAAAAACAAGTTTCTTGGCAAAGTACATCCCTGACTTAGAGCAAGCGAGACACGAACATGCAAAATCATGGAGACGCAGAACGACAAAGAGAGCAATAATGCTCGGAACACAAGTGCTAGTAGCCATCATGGTTTTTGCTGCCAATTTTGCGATCCTCATAGTCTCAATTCGGGCTTTCCCACCTAATGCACTCCACGTTGGCACATATAAGACCGGCAACTGCACAGATATCAACAGGATCAATAGTATTATACATGTGACTCTGAATATCGCCTCGTCAGCTTTTCTCGGAGCCGGAAACTACTGCATGCAGATTCTTGTTGCACCTTCGCGAGGGGAAATTGATCGAGCGCACAAGAAAAAGCGCTCGCTCTACATTGGGGTTCTTAGTATAATAAATCTATACTATGTGAAGAGGAAGAGACTATGCGCATGGATCATTCTTGGGATGTTCTCAGCATTGTTACACTTATTGTAAGTCATCATTCACTTTGTTCACTTAATGTAGGAGAAACCGGCTAAATAACCATGACGTTGTTCTAGTTGGAATTCAGCCTTTTTCGCCTCGATACCAATAGCTGCGATCCCTCGTGCGATAGTCACAAATGATTTCCTGGTTAACGGAGAAGACTGGACGGTTTCTGATCCTCTAGGACATGCCTCTTGGTTCCAGGCTTCTGCTCCTGCTGAAGTCGGACCCCTAAATAGATCGCTAATATACTCCATGCAGATGGCTGCGGTCAACTACACCCGCCTAGGTTCACGGGAATGCATAACACGGAATATCGATCCAATGACTGTAACAAGTAGTGTCATCGTGGTCGCCAAGAACATGTCATCCCAAGCGAATAACGGCTCATCATTTATTGACGGGTGGATCTCGCAGTGTGAGTTTTGGACATATTCAACGGGCTGGATATGCGCTTGGTACACAACGAAAATTTTCTGCGATGCGGCATTCACTTCTTCGTTTGCAGACAACTGGGTACTTCAACCAAGGAATGATATACCTGTATTGGTCGATTACTGCCTCGTCAGCGACGAGGCTAACAACCAAGAGCGATGCGGGCTGCATTATATGACGCACATACTGACATTTATGTGTTGTTGTACATTCGTATCTTGTTTGATAATTATATGGGTTTGGAAGCAATATTTCAGCCATACAAAAACTATGCAAGGGAAATTACAAAACGAAACAATGATGACAATGGGAGACACGATCCATAGCTTCCTAGCATCACCAGAGCGGAGTCAGATTCACGATGAAGATGAAAGCGAGACAAAGTTTGGGTCAACCTATGTTCGAGCAAGGAAAGCAACCTGGCAGCCGAAGGCGCGTGTTGGTTGGTATAAAGCCATAACACCTCTCTCCTGGGCCATTTCCATCTTCTTGTGAGTAACATCAGCCAAGTTTCAGTGCCTCATACTGACCGTGTATCAGATTCATCGCTGGCTTATCGGGAACAGCAGTCGCAATTGGAATACTTATCCACACCCAGAAAAGTAGGGGCCAGGATGTCGGTCCTTCTGGCATTTGGAAGCAAGGCTTCAAAGTCAGTCCATCGGCCACATCAACAACATTTGGTCCCCTGAATGATAGCATTACAACCAGGTCGGCACAGCTCTGGGCGAACATCGTCGTTGCCAACAGTCTGCAGCTCATAGTCAGCTTTCTCTACCTATTCTACAACAACATCCTCACGAGGCAACTAGTTGCTGATGAATGGATTCGATATCTACGTCCGGATGGAAAGAAGACTTTGCGCGTATCGTCGCCAATTGGGATGCAGCGTTCGTCCTATTTTCTCTCTTTACCATGGAAATATGCCGCGCCCCTCATGGGTCTCTCTATCTTGCTACACTGGTTGATATCTCAAGGTGTTTTCCTCATTCAGACAAGTACCTTTGGTCCTGGTGCCAATGGAGAGAGATTGCCTGAATTCGATACCACTTCCCGGGGGTTTTCAGCCCTTGGTGCCATACTAGGGCTTTCCGTGGGCGCAGTCATGGTAGTGGCTCTCATACTGAATTCCATGATAAGATCTTATGAGAATATTCCACCAGGTTTCCAGCTAATGGGATTCAACAGCAGTGCCATAGAAGCCATGTGTGACCGACCGGAAGATGATTCAGAGGCCTATATGTTTCCAATAAGCATAGGATTGGTGGATGGAGAGCAAATTCAACTGTCGGGTGGCATCAAGAAAATGATTTTCTCAACAGCTACCGACTTAATTCAAGCGCCCGAAGAAGGAACAGAGTACATGGGACCAAGATTTTTAAAGAAGGCTGAAAGCCGGCGAGCGGTATAGTTGCCAGGTATTTTGCAAAGGGGTGTGATGTTTGCCTGCCCGGTAATTCCAGTGCCAAGACAAATACAACGTGCAAAGTGCAAGATTCGAGCAATAAAATGCCAGATTTTAGAAGCAGCCATTGAAGTGGAAAACACGAGCAAAAGGTCTATTTTACTTGTGGAAACAGATTGAATGCTCTTACATCAACGTTCACTTAAGATAATTGCTCAAGGTACTATAAGCGCATGGCAATCAAATTTCTATTCTTGGTTAAGCACATTCAACCACATGCATAGGCTCTTCTCCATTTTTGTCTTATACATTTACTTCTTGCGACGCAATGTCTTGCTAATTGCTTTGTAATATTTACAGGCCGACCTTGGCTGATAAATATACCGTAAAAAGGGTTATTTTCCTCATGTACAAACGCACGCTTGCTAGTTGCCTGTAGCAGCTATACAGTATTCTTTACAGCGGCGACCATACAGTAAACAGTCGACCCGTGAATGCATACATGGAAATTGTTCCTTATTCAGTCATTCACCCAGGTTCTAATTAAACGACGTTTGCAGTATTATCCATAATTACAGCACCATTACAAATGATTAGGTATATTTGTATCCTCGAGATTCTACTTGTTCATCCAAATGATGATTCTGACATATGAAATACAAGGTGTCCTATTCACGCTGTGTGATCACTTTTATTTATAAGCAAAGCCAGATATAGAGACACAGCGGTGAGATCCAAGATTCACGATTGCAAATCACGGGCAGGTGGGGAAGAGATACAGCAAGAAAATAGCGAGAAATGATTCTTCACTTACAGCGCTTTTCGTTTACGGTGACGTAAGAGATGATGGAACCACTAAATTTTAAAATACCTGTCTTGAGAAAACGCTCATATATAACATGAGGAAGCTTCCGTTAGATATTGGAATGCGAATTCCACTCTTTAGGACGAGCAACGCCTCAAGATAATATATGCCAGGGGCAGAGGCAGATATCACAGAAATTGCAACAAAAAGACACCAGCCTATCCTTTCCAAGAAGACTCAGTTAACAAGGCTAATCTGACAATGTATGCTATTCTGGCAACTATTACCCCCAAGGCTGGGTCGTTTCAGGAAGTGGGTATCCAGTTAACTTGCAAATGAGCTTGTTTTGCTATTGTGTAGTAATACTTACTTTCTTTAGGTCACCAATCTCGTCAAGGCTATCGGGAAATTCGCAGAAGAGCATGAGCCATAATGCGTCGAATTTCGGCTCTGTACCGAAGTGGATGCTGAAGGACTTGAAGCAATCTATACCATAGAGAAGTAAGCCGAATATCCCGTCAAATGCAACCATGAGTTGTAGCTTACGGAATTTCAGATTCAACACCATCAGTGGTCTACGCACACATCAGACAACGCCTGAATTAGCCAGTTTCTACAAAATTACTGCTGAAAAAAACCTTTTGGAGAAAGAAACGGTTGTCAAAATTGTAAAGGGCGTGTATGGATTCCACGTCTAAAGCAGTATTACAGTGTGGGCATCATATTACCGACAACATACCATATGATCTTGTTAGTAATTGCAATAAGGATCTCAGCATAATTCATGATTATTTTCCTCGTCAAATAGCATACTCCACTTCTTCTTGAACCATGGCGCTGCCTCCCAGCTATGAATGTCCCAAGGCTGCCTAGTTCCATTATTATCGTCACTTCTGCTATTCCAACAAATCAGCCCGTCGCGGAGGATGTCCATCTTGAGCTCTTCAGGATTAACCAGCTGAGGATTTGTCGCTGTCAAAGTTATAGCTCGGGCCCGTAAAAGCGGAAATGGCAGAAGGTCAAGGTTTGGTTTGTGGGGGAAAAGAATCTGGGGCAGCGTTGGTTGGAGATGGGCTGGTAGAGAAGGAATCGCGGCTGCCGCAAGGAGGGCCTTGGGATCGTCTTCTGCTGTGGTTTGGCGATAGAATGGCGAACAAGGCTTGCCATTTGCCAGATCGTGGAGCGTAATGCCCAGAAGAATAGCGACATGCATGTATGCGATGGATGGTGATAACTTGGACTGCCGGGAATAGGGCTTGTAAAACCCGGGTAGAAGAGAAGGCATGGCCAAGTACATCGAATTGTGTTGAGTCTGACCTTGGCCTTCCAATACGTTATCCAACTCAGTATGAGAGAAAGATTCAGGTTCAAAGCCTTTATATCCAAACTCGTTCGTCGAAAGACCTTGGCCGTGATAGTAGTCCAAAGTTTGAGAGCTGGGTTGAGACTTTGACTTCGGCGAATAGAAGGCAGAGACTTGTTTTGGTATTGACGGAAGAAAAGATATGCTCATCAAATTCTCCTTTGTCTCACGCTCAGATGTAACGCCTCTTGGCGCTGGATAGGCCAAATTCGCTTCTGGGCTAAACAAGTGAGAAGCTACTAGAAACATGTAATCTTCTGAGGGACTAATGAGGGAGCTCGTTGAGGGAATGGTCATCCCAGATGTTGCGCTTCCATGCTCATCGAGATTCGTGATAGGCAGCGAAGAGACTGTAGAGTCAAAAGCAGGATACTTGCCTACTTGGCAGTCATCAATGCCGAGATCCAAAGCAGCGGTAGTCTCTGATAGTGACAAGTACACGTCTTGATATACGTCTCTGCCTTGAGAAAACATATGTTGAATCGTCCCACCAGAGCTCCCATTGGTCTCAAGAGATACTGGCTGAGAAGCAGTGCTATCGGGGCATGGATTGATGCAAGTATTATCCTGCAACTGAGCTGACAAGGGAGGAACCCCAGCTCTTCCGCAAAGAGTCGAGGTACTTTCCTCTGTAACAGAAAGGTGGCGCGGCCTGAGTTCATGGTATCTTCTTGAGCAGCCTCTGGCGCTTAGTTGAAGAGCCTCAGAGGCCTGCCTCTGTCTCTGGCCTACCTCAGAGTTCAGCAGCTGGAGGTAGTAACAGCTCTCCGACTAGCCGAAGGGAGACTTACGATATGCCCTGGACGCTGCTCTGTTTTGTTCTCTACGCGCGTCCGTGATGACACGCTTTCGTCTCCTTTCGCCCTCTAGGCTGCTACGAGCTTGTTGAAAGTCATCCATCACAATGCTTCTTGACGTCAATGATGAAATTGGCGTATAGTCATGGGAGGGAATCTCCCCGATCGCTATCGCTAAGCTTCTGCAAATGCACTTTCACTTTGTTTGTCAATCCAGTAGGCTGTTTTGCCATGACGATTTAGTAGTCATCCGAGTGACTACTGGTGGATCCCGGCGAACATGAAGTCATTTCCGCAATCTCCGGCTCCGTGGCTGACGCCGTCTGGGCCAATCAAACAAGAGAGTGCGTGTTATCCAGGCACCGCACCATGCATCAGCCATCAGCCATCAGCCATCAGCCATGGCACCTACCTAGTTATATGCTATTAATGCACTTACATGGAAGGGACCCATATTATCCATGGGAATTTGAGAGAGAGGTTTCTTTCTAGCAGATGGCTTACGCCATAGAAGGCATGCGAAAAGAGATGGGGTTGTCCAACCTAAGCTCCACTGGTTCAATTACGTCGAATAAGACGTGCAATTGAAGCCAGCAGTATTTGAAGCTCGGGATCTTGTGAAAGTCTCAATGTAGTATATATAGCATACTGTTGCGCCTCATAAAATATTCATCTCGCCTTCAAACGAGAGTGAGAGTTCAATCATAGTCTTCAAATCCTCCAGAACATCGACCTATACTTTCAAGACTCGCTATCCTCTTTCCTGTCATTGCAGCATCTTCATCTATTGTAAAAATGTCTTTTTCAGTTGCTGGCAAACAATCAGGACCCATTGGGTTTGGAATGATGGGTGTGTGCTTGGCACAAGATCATACATACTGCGTCTACAATCAAGCTAATATTTTCGATAGGTCTTAACCGTCCACCAGTAATGCCATACGATGAAGCGTCTAAAGTTATGAAAACGGCTTTGGACAACGGTGCAAACTTCTGGAGCGCCGCTCAATACTATGGAACGCCAACAGCAAACTCTCTGCATCTGCTTAACCATTATTTCACGATATATCCCGAAGACAGCAAGAAAGTCATTCTCAGTATCAAAGGTGCCTTTAGCAGGGCAGGTCCAGATAATAGCCCGGAGAGCATTCGAAACAGCGTTGATAATTGCCTGGAAGTCCTGGACGGCAAAGCCTTCCTTGACATTTTCTCGCCGGGGCGCATTGATCCACAAGTCCCAATTGAAGAAACTGTGCGTGCTCTCGTGGAATATATAAAGGCAGGTAAGATAGGTGGTTACGGACTCAGCGAGTGCAGTGCTGCCACAATCCGACGCGCTCACTCCGTTCATCCGATATCTGCCGTCGAAATCGAGCTATCGCTGTTTGCCACGGATATTCTGAGCAATGGAGTTGCTCAGACATGCTCAGAGCTAAAGATCCCTATAATTGCATATTCTCCACTGTCTCGGGGGTTCCTGACGGGGCAGATCAAGAAGCTCGATGATATCCCCGAGAGTGATACACGCCGCCTCTACCCACGCTTCCAGCCAGAGGTCTTTGACTTGAACATCAAGCTAGTCGAACAAATTGAGCAACTGGCGAAAAAGACTGGTTACACGATGCCGCAGGTTGCAATTGCATGGGTCACGTCTCGGGCGACTGAATGGAACACTCCTGTGATACCCATTCCAGGATGCACCAGCGTTGCGCGTGCAGTGGAAAATTCCACGCAGGTTTCTCTTAAAGAAAAAGATTTGGAAGAACTCTCTCAGATGGTAGCCAACATGACTGTCATTGGCAACCGTTATCCAGAGATGTTTCAAAAGTATGTATACCAATGATGGCAGGGGATTATGGAAGTTGGAAAGTTCTCAAGGCAGAAAGAAGCAGCTATAGTCAACTATAGTAACCATTTAAACCAAGAGGCATCAAGGATATTACAATTTTGCCAAGACCAATGGTAGGGGTGCAATGTAGATGTTTATGATAGGCTGTAGAAGGCACTCTCAACTTCTTTGTAGCTAGTTACGATACAAGGCAATATAATAGAGAATCAGCAACATACGACCATACCTTCTCGTCAGATTCTTCATCCAGGTTCAAGTTTAGCCTTCTTGAAAGCCTTGGGACGTATTTGTTACAGCATTACACACTTCAAATAGGGCGGGGTTTTTGTGTGACATGCTTCTAGCCACTCCTACGTGCCTAAATCACTAGTATCAAGCCGTGAGGCATTGTGCATATAGCTCTGGCCGCCCTGATAGGCCTGCAGACGACGACCCCACCAGGCCACCATACATGTACACAGCCTCTCTACCATTAGGCAGAAGTCGTCATGGCGGTGAATGTTACTGGAATATTGCTAGCAAATCAGCAATCACTGCCGTCCACCTTACTTATCGCGCACCACCAAAGCCTTACCGCCAGTCTTTTCCCTGCATTATATCAGCCACTTCGCATAAAACATGCCTCTATCCGTCTCTGATCTCAAATATTAACGTCAATAAGACGGCTTGCTCCCGCCTAACCAGACCTTTTGAAGTTTCAGCTTCTTCGGACTATTGAATGAAGTAAGATAGCCCGGGTACTGTTTACAGGAGCAGGAGTATGCGCGCGTAAATGAATCTTGCTCACCCCTCTCTCGCAGGTCAAAAAGTGACTCGTTTGCCCTCTTTGTTATAATTCCGACACACTGCGTATGTCATCAGCACTCTTGTAAATAGAGATGACTGATTTTGCCATCGGGATTGTTTCGCAAGGGGCTCAGGTCTGCTCCATCATCGCGAACTACATCGGCTCTCTCAAGGATCGCGATGAGGACCTTGCTTCAATTAGTCGACAAGCACAAGACCTGGAATCTATCTTTCAAACTCTCAGTGAATCTCTGGCGCAAGGATCTAAGGATCCCTTGACTGCTCCAGCTGCCGCTCATGTTTCAAGCTCCATTCAAAGATGCGAAGCTGAGCTAAACAGCTTAAAGCAATTCGTATCACGTTTCTCGGGTAGCGTCTCATCTAAAGCTCGCCCACAAGACAAGATCATACAGCAAGCTAAAAAACTGAAATACCCATTTCAAAAGTCGGATATATCTCGAGTTCAAAAGTCGCTCGGGGCGATCAAGGAAACTCTTGATTTGGCTCTCCAAAATCTCGAGCTGTGAGACATCTACAATCCTGAATATCTTATTGTTGCTGACTTAGTACACTTTTATTAGACGTCACATGCAATTGGCAATAAGCAAGTTGATCAACCTTGAAGAAGCGTCCCGGCAGGCATTGAACAGCCTACACGCAAAACAAGACACCTTGCTAGAGCTATTTACTCAAGACATCACCACTGAGATGGCCGCAATTGGCGAGCCCGATCCTAGGACGTCCATTTACAAGCTCGCATCCAAGCCGAGTCTTCTAGCGACGCTTTGTGCCGGCTTGGAGCATCATAAGAAGAATACAATATCCACCTTTGACACCCTCCAAAGAGCCCCTGCAGTTAAGGGGAGCTCGTGCCCTTGCCGCCGGCACCTAAGTCATCAGACTAAGCGAGCTTCTTGGTTGTCATGGAATTTTTGGGACGATGAAACCATTTATTTCGACCATTACGAAGGTTGTAAATATTTCAGAAGCAATGGCGATGAGCGGAGCCGTGTCCGCGGCTTAAGATTGACGGGCTTGGTAAAAACTGCCATCATAGTCACATTCTACACGAGAACTGGTGCAGGCGGACATAGCCTCGCCTCAAATCTTGAGTATTACGCAACCGTTGACCGGGAGACCTCCCCTGCCTTTCGCGCTCTGTCCGTTCTGAGGAAATGTAAAACTATGCTACCAAGTCGGGATATCCTGCTACCAGATCAACAGGCTCAGTGGGAAAGACTCACTCTGGCAGCAATCCGGAAGCTTGAAAGTCTCTTCAGATTAGGTAAAGCGGGGGCGAAGGATGTTGACTCATTCAATCGATCTCTACTCCATGCGGCAGCTGAGCTAGTGAGTAAAGATTCTTGTCAGACAAGCCGATTGATACAGAGGCAGTTAGCTGACTACAAGCCTAAAATAGGTAAATCCAGACCACCATCATAATGTTCACATCACGACCGTAGAGGAAGCTTTTACTTTACCCATTGCGCGGCTTGCCAAATTTCTTATCAAGAAGCAAGTATCAGCCTCGCTGAGAGACTTGTATGGAAAGTAGGTCATTTGGCGTTTCATTCAGTACACAACAGAATAAAATCCTAGTACTCTCTCAGCTAATATACTCTTAAAAGGCAAGCATTCGTCACCGCAGTCGGCCACGAGCCATCATCAATATCTCTCGCCGAAGCATTTTACCCAGATAATGCAGATATCCATGCCTCAGAGCAGTTCTCTGCTAAAATTAACCTAAATCATGGCAAACTCGCTCAATCTTTCGAGTTCTTTGCTGCAATTCCAAGAGCAGCCGAAGGTATGGTGACCGAAGGTTGCAGCGCATTATCACCCTCCCTTTCTCGTGACTTACCGCTCTTGAAGTATTCTACGGTCCATTATCAGTGGCAGTCTTGTTAGGTGATCAATACGAAACATGTCGCCTTTTACAGAAACATCCAAAATGCCTAGAAGAAAGAGATTGTCGTTTTGGTCTGACTCCCTTTCACCTGGCCTTGGGCAATCCCGAGTGCTTGCGAATCTTAGTCGAAAGGAGCAACCCGCGCCTTTTAGTTCAGTCCGTCAACAGCCGATATACTGTCCTTGGCTCTGCTATACTCCTCAGTCAAGCCCTTTGCGATCGACGAGAGGACCAAGACGAGTCTTCATGTCGATGCACCCTCCCTCTGAGGATTTTGCTGGAGGGTGGGTGCCCCATAATACCCTATCTAGACTTCAGGGTTGACTATCATGATACCTTGATTTCATATGCCTCGCTACACTGCAAAATCCACCTAGCCAAGTCGCTTTTGCAACGTCGGCAAGAGCTAAAGTCGATTGCGTTAGACCATCTTTCGCCTTTAGAAGTCCACAAGTTCAATCTGCACAGGCCGGCTGCCCTTGACATATATGCTATGCAAGTTGATGAAATTCTGCGCCATAGAGGAATCATTGAATTTGGACCTCTAAGCACATATTTGGAAGAAGATCCCATACATTGCCAATCTCGCGTTCAAGACTGCAAGTCTATTTACCACGAACTGTCTAACGCTGAAGATGCTAACATCTACTTTAATCTTGGGTTCCACGATCTGTCAGCTCGCTTAGACAAACCTAGAAGGTGGCAGCCAATTATTCATTTGCCGTCCATCTTCATAGGTACCTCATTTGTGAAATGGTTGTTGGATCATGATGCTCCCCTTTGCGAATGGGTGAAAAGTTTGCGACTTCCTTGGACTGGCTTTGTTGCAGATGCTTTTATCCTCTCATTTAGAGGTGAAAAAGTCCCAGGTAAGTATCCTGCCCATGAAGACCATAAAAGACTGGTACATGAGCTTGAAGAGCGGATGTTATTGGACAACTCGCTCGATAGCTGCGAGTGTCGGTGCTCGCCTGGAGGCTGCACGCCTTTTGTGGCGAGGATGAAGTATATGGATTTAAACAGTACCGAGCTCTATATTGCCACTACCATCACTGCGTATTTCAAGGAGTACGGTAACGCTTTGCGACGAGATCACTATTATGCTGCGATACGGTTCATCACCTTTCAGGCACTGGGCATTGCGCATACATGCGATTGTGGAAGGGAAGATAGTCGGAGTTCAGAATTTGATGCAGAGGAGATTGCAGAAATCCAAGATGAATATGCAGAATTGTTAGAGATTTTGGAGTCGTTGACAGAGGAGTTTGAGGCACGTGTTAACGAGATCTTTGAGGCAGCTACGGATGAAGTTGGCAGTATGACTGCTTTCTGGAGTGACTATTGGTTTTGCAGGATGAGCCAAGTCCGCTCTGAGCTGTCTGAAGCGAATGGGACGAGTAAGTCAGCGGCGGAGGATTTGGGTGTTATCTGGGATCCTGAATCTGAGGAAGAATTATGGATAGAACTAGAAAAGCTTTTGAAAGGCTGGGATGGCCGGATTGGCTGGAAAGGTTGGGATTATTACTTTCAAAAGATCGATGAGATCGAGTAGATTGACTGATGAGATGGAATAGCACACTCTCATTTCGGAGTTCCGATATTGACAATCTATCAGTATTTAATAGATACACAGGAGCAGGTTTTCATACCCTTACATTCAGCCGTAGTAAAGAATACATCAGAAGGGATAAAAAGTACAAACTCTGCCAGACTAAACCGATCTTACCTTTGTCAAACATATTAATCGCAAAGCTTGTGTCTTACTACTACTCTTACCATTTACTACATAATTTTCATATATCTTTTGTTTGCTTCTTAGTGCATATTTACAGTCGAACTTTCGACTAATTACAAGTATTGCCAGTAGATAATGCGGGATCTCATCATCTATCCAGAGTCAAGGCAATGAGAGTCAACTCAGTAGCACTGCTAGCATCTCCTCAATATTAAGCTAGTTTACAGATCGTTTAAGCACATACGACCATAGGTAGTGGAGAACTCGGGATTCCGTCCAGTTCTCTTCTTGAGTCTGATGTCTTCTATTGGTCGCAACCCAAAACTCCAAATATAGAGTCATACAATTCCATTTTTTCGTGGTTAAATAACCTAGCGCTCTCTTTTACTCCTTTACCCACCATAACTCGCGCTCTCTGTACCTAACCAAACCACTAGCAGCCCATTACCGCCTCCATAAAAGCCGTGTCTTGACGCCATTCTACCAACCATTATTAGACAAAGTAGTAGATGGAATGGCATTGGCCATTTCCCAGGGAGAACATTGTGTGCTTGTCGTCCTTGAAACCTGCGTATGCCCGGAATTGGTTACCACCATCGCTGCATCCCATCACGTTAGCCTGCGAGCTTGACCACGCTGGAGAGCTTTACAAGACTTACCCAACATGCTGGAAGTTTGGCTGCGACTGGGCGTCGCCGTTAACAAACCAAGAGAAACGAGCGCCAGAAGAGAATGTGCAGGCCTGAGCTTGCCCCTCCCATTGGAACCAGAAGTTCTGTCCCATAGTGCATATGTTGTCTCCGGAGGGCTGGAAGTTGCAGTTGCCATCGTTTTGGCAGAACTAACAAAACGATATTGTCAATCAGAAAGCCTGGACAATACCTAGGCTATGGTGGTTATAAACTTACAACAACGTGGGAACTCTTGGGTAAAATCGTGCCCTCGCCTGAAAAACCATCGCAGTTCACAAGGTGTACGCCCGAGCCATCGCCACGCTTCCCAAGGACATCGTTGATGTTTGATGCTGCCACGTCCGCAGCAGGGGCAGCAATCGCGAGCTGGAGGAGAGGTGCAAGAAGAGCGAAGAACAGCATTTTCTCGTAATTTGTTTGAACAAGGGACTCTATATTATTGGAAGACTTGAGTTGATAGGTTGAGTTGATAGACCAAAGTCTAAAAGGCAGGGGACTCGACCCTCTTTATAGAAATGATCGTCGCAACGATGGGTTCATTGATGATACGAAAAATTGAAAGCTTATGGGTTGTCACATTTGACTATTATAACTTGATTAGTTTTGAAACCCCAGTTTACGAGGCGAATTTGCCCGAAGTTGTGACACTGGCAACTAGAGCAGCTAAACACACAAGCTGACCTTTTGGTAGTGCTTACGGCTCACTGTAGGAGACAGGGCTGTATAGGTGTGGGAGCGTAGGGCGAAGCAGTGTTAATTGTGGTATTTTAGAGGCACTCGAATTATATAAAAGTTGGAGAAGGAATTTGCTATGCTTGATGTTGGTATTACTTGGAATAATTTACTTCATGTAGTAGAATACCATTTTTATTTTAAGGGATGATATAAGAAAGCATGTCTCTACAGGTGGTTTCGGTACTCTGCTGACTCTAGACCAGTAGATGTACGAGATGCCTTAATTTACATCTGATATATCCTCAATTATCCCACCAATACGAACCATTCGTCTCAGCTTGGGTCAGCTGCTTTACACCAGTGTCAGTGTCGGTCAATGAAAAGTCCAGAGAACATACAAGAGTTCCGTTAAGCTTACTTGGTCCACGAATATACCTAGACAATCTGGGAAGGTGGTATTTTATTGACCCCTGTAAACAATAAGCCTAATTCTTCTTGGCCAACCTCATTGACTAAGGAGGTAGGGCTGTATGGTCTGGACAACATATTGCTTACAGTACTTGTCCGCACTTGGTAAAGCCTCTAAATTACAGTTACTAAACAAACACGACTACCCGCTAATGCCACAGTTTATACCACTGCGCATGATTGATATCTTTTTAAAGGTAAGAAAACATTTGTTTTGTATTTTCTTTGTCAGCAGCGCAGTATTTCGTCTAACTTGATTCATACCAGATTTTTGTTTATATCCCATTTACCAAGCAGTACGATACCGGAAACTGTATTTAAAGAATAAATAGGGCTTTTCGGGACTTATTCTTACACCTGTTTTAGCATATGGACCCAGGTAGGTATGCTATAGCTGGAGCGTTGGATCATACAGAACATCGAGCTCTTCTTGAAATACGCCAGGTTTAGGAGGTAATGACTGCTATAACGGTGGTAGATACTATCTCACAATTCTTTCGATTTATTAACTCCTTCGAATTGGATTCCATTGATGATGACTTGTCTATTTAGCTAGTACTGCTCACATTAAACGCCGTTGTAATATTCCATTCTAGATAGGAGAAACAATTGCTTCTAGCGGAGCTAATGCGTATCTACCTCTCTTTATCTATCCCGAAACCTTCTATTAAATCACGTTAATCGATGAAATCCTTGATTAACTCTTCCGTAGTGGGTAGATGTAAATATCAGGTATGCCACCCATATCCGAGTATAACCGCAAACTGACCCTTTCGCCCAAGAAAACAACAACAAAAAACGAAAATAAAACCGGTGCTTTTCTCATCCGAATTTGATAGTCGTGGCAGACGTTGATAGTGGGTAGCTCACTTCATTCTTCCTTGGAAGCGAGAACTTGGAAGCGATTGGGCGTCGTGATCCTCAGTTGGCGTGGAGGGGCGGATCTCGGGGCACATTGGTGAGGCGGGCTGGGCATCTCGCTCAAAGGCTGGGCACACTCGTCGACATCCCATTCGATACGGCTGGTTCTGTATTTTCTGCGAAGAAAGAGTGTCAGTGAGAACAAAGAAGCAATAAGAGGGAAGAAAAGGGGGTAGATGAGTCTTACAGTCGGCTTGTCATGCAGGTTCGAGCGTACATGGCACTCGCAACGGAGTTTGTGCCAATGTGGCAATCCCAGCCTCGAAACTCGATTTTGACAACCTGGAGATTGTGAATGTGCTCGAGGTCCTCGCGGAGAGAGGCTTCTGTGTGGCTGGGGCCGCATCTGCGGAGGACAATGTTGCGAGTTGCGCCTTGGGCGATTCGGTGGATGTGGTGGCCGGGGAGGCTCTGGAAGCGCTGTAACCAACGAATACCGATCTAAAATGTTTAGCCAACGGAGTCACTATGGGAGAGAGGATGGTTTGGGAAAGGGCTTACTCTCTTGTTCTTGAGGAATAAGCCATTGTTGCGGACGTGTGCAAAGTATGCCTCGGCGGAGGCGACCTCTACAAAGGTAATGGTCGCTGTGGCCGCGCCATTGGTGATGTAGAACTCGTACACCGATCCACCTCTAATAAGGCCGGCAATATCGCCGTAAGTTGTCTTTTCAGGTAGATTGACAAGCCTGACCGATCGCAATTGCTCAGGTGCAGGAGAGAGACCGGGCTTGGGCATGCCCATGGCCCTTTCAGGAGACCCGCTAGATATTTCGTGGTCATCGTCGACGCTGTAAATCCTAGGAAGGTTAAGCTCGGCATAGTTTAGTCCACCATTTGCTGGTTGATTGCCTTGTCGTGGTGGTGGAAAGGGGTAGATGCCAAGTTGGGCGCCCGGGTCGATGTACGGGCTGGAGGTGAAGGAGCGGCAGTTGAAAGTACGAGGGGTGCTCGTGTAGGAGAGGGAATCGGCTTCGTTTGCGTTGGAATTGTCTGCGTAGAAGTCTTGGTCTGGAATGATGCTCGGATAAGTGACAGTTTGCGAGCTCAGGCAAGCATTGAGGGCCTGTTGAAACAAGTTAGATCTTCCAACTTGGAAGCTAGAGAAGGGAAATCTGACCTCGATGATTCTGACATCCGTTATCGGAGTACTGAGAAGGCAGCGGCAGAGGTCGGCTATTGGCGCGATGTCAGTACGATGGGAGGGTTCTGGAGGACAAGCTGCGTACAGTGATTCTGGGCGGTTCGGACGAGATTTTCGTAGTCTGCTCGAGGAATGGTCACGGTAGCCTCTGGAGGCTCGGCGAACTGGTGAGTTGAATACCTAGTTAGCAAAGTCCTGATCTGCCGTGTATGCTGTGTATGCTGTGTAACAGTCTGGGAACAGCCAATGGATTGTAGAGTTGGATTGAACGTACGAAATTGCCACTACAGATTCTGATTAGCTAATAGCATCGGCACACAAAGGGAAAGAAAAGAAAGAAAAGGGCTGTGAGGTGACAGCTGCTTGCAGAGCATCTTTGTGTGACTTGGAGATTTCGCAAAGAGCGAGATTGTACGTCAAAGGCAGCCATTATCCAGCATCAGGGAGAGAAACGGCAGGGATAGAAGGGGAGGCGACGTACCGAAAGTCTTGCATGGTGAAGATGTTTGGTGGACGAAAGATGCATGGGAGAAGAATTTTTCAGGAAGCAGGCAGAGGATATATGTAGAGGAATTAGTCTGGGCTTTGGCAGTGCGTTGAAATCACCTGCACGGGTCGCTGCCAGTTGGCGGTGCCGGCGTTTGCAGGCAAAGGGGCAGCGCGGCTCAGCAGGCAGTTTGCTACAGTGCACAGATCAAGGAATGGATGCATAGTTATGACGATGACAGGAATTAATTTGAGGAGATATTTAATTAATGGTCGTTGCCGTTGGAGAAATTGTAGCTCTTTGTTTGTGTAGGTGCATGCATGCACATGTCGATCTACAGGCAAATGCCCAATGACTTTGAAGCATCTTCAACAATTGCCATGTACGTGGATGAATTTTTTGGATATAAAAACATGCCAATACTTGTAAAAGGCAAAAAATATTCAACGCTCTAATTATTGCTGCTACTGATGCTACTGATGCTATTGCTTCCAAGTGTTTATAGCAGATAAATGTCTTCATGCGTCAACCAGGCCACGGGTGGGGCATTAGATCAGTAGTAATCTCTGTAATAAAGTAAGTATTGTATGCTGTCCAAGCCGATAGAGACGGCCAATGCAAGTACATGCGTCATTCATCTACCCGACATGGCGTCTCTTCTCTTCTCCTTCCACCATATTTGTAGCTCCTGTGCTCTAGACGAGTTCAATACATGATGTACAATAAAAGTGCTCTATATTTCTTTTAAACGGAACTTGGCAATTCAGGTAATTGGGTACCTCTTGCCAGCACCCAACATGGCCGCCAGCCAAAGCACAAGATTTCCATGTAGAGAAAAGCGATCCGCAGCCAAACGCCCCATGCCGACAGACGGCTCCATCTCCAAGTTTCCAAGACAAACCACATCAATTGCCAAACAGCCACAGCAAGAATGTTATAAAAAGTGCATGTACATGTAAGCATCCCGCTCTTTGTGCTCTGTATCTGCCGCGCGTGAATCCGTCTCCACCCACCCATCATCGGCTGCCGTTGCTGAAATTGCTCGGCGGCTAATCTCACATCGGCATCTCCTCAGCCTTGTCAAGCAAACGCACAACCTTCATCCTTCACCATCCGGACACGGCCGGTTCGGCTCCAGCAACTTTCGATGCCACTCGCGTTCGCTCAGCGACCGTGAATCAGTCCAAAGAGGGGTCCCGGAAAACGATGCAGCTGTTTGAATCCGAACCGTGTCGCGTTCGCTCTGTTCCTACGGCCCTTCATGTGACGTGATTCACAGCTACGGTGATTTGCCCTGATCCGCAGAGCCATTCATCTCAAGTCCATGTTGTGTGTCTCGCTCACTTCGAAGCAGAGCTACATCCGCCTTTACCGCTTTCCCTTCCTTCACCGAATACCCATCGATCACGAGCTTGTTTACTGAGATGACTTGGGCGTTGCTACAAAAGATCAAAAAGAACAAAAACATACAACAGCCGGTGTTCGCTGATGGTCACCCACTCAACTACTAATCTGCCTCTCATTGGCTTGACTCTGGGAGAGCAGACGGGATCCCGTATTTTCCAATGGATATGGTCGTATGTGCCATGAAGCTGTCCAACATCAGCTTACGAAGGATAGGGACATACGGACAAGTTAAAAAAGCAAAAGAAAAAACATACAACAGCCGGTGTTCGCCAATGGTCACCCACTTGACTACTAATCTGCCGGTTAGTGGCTTGTCTATGGGGGAGCAGACGGGACCCCGAATTCTCCACTACCTATGGTCGTATGTACTTGTAACTCCGACACAATTGCTTATATCGTCAGTATAGATTGATGCTTTTGCGTAAAGTCTCATATCAAAGCCACCTAGAAGGTCAGGCAAGTTTTCATTTGCTCCTAGCGCCTTTTCTCCTCGCCGCCAGCAGCCACTTTTCTCCAAACATCAAAAAGAGCTTCTTTCCACACCACGAAAGTGGCCGGGTTCTACTGTATAGCCAATAACACCAGATGAATTACTTCCAATCTCTAGTCGGCGTTGGCAATTCCTCCATCAGTAGATTTTGGAACCTTGACCTTTCACCACTTACTCCCTTGCTGGGCGGGTACTTCGTAGTCGTGGCGAGTATCTGTAGATCTAACTGAGGGTGGCTGCTTTTGGCCTGCCTTCCGAGAAGCCATCTCTTCCGTTTCTCCAGGCGTCCAATTGTGTTTCAAGTAGACGGCATTTGTGGTCATCTGGAGCAGAGTTCCTAAAAGAACTTATTGTTCCCATGCCAAGCGTCTGACGCAGTACGGAAGATTACGCTCGTCCCAACAGGGCTTATAACGGCCACGCGTATGTGGGCTTTCCTGGTATAAGTAAAAGCTTCAGGATTCGCCAAGTTGTACTGCATCGCCATCTTTGAGAGAGGCATTAATTGTATTTGGAGAGTCAAAGTGGCTGTCCTCGGGCGTTCATCCCCCTGCACAATGTGTCGTCTCATGTAAGTAAATTATCGTTAATCGTCTTCTTCAAAACTCACTGGCCACATCTCATCGCTCTGGCTCTCGTTTTTAAGCCGTCTTTGCATTCGCTTCTCGTCGTCCTTCGCCTGTATCTCTTCCTTTTGACAGAGCTCCAGCTCTTCCCAGTCCCGTGCAGGTATTACCGTAGGATCATATTCCGAGATAACCTCCCATACGTTTCCATCTTTAGCGTCCCACCTATGCACAGAACGTACAAAGTTGTCCAAAGTTTCCAGGTCGGGTAAGCACACCCATCCATATCGCATTCCGTTGCTTATTCCAACAGCAGTTGGTCTATATTCTGAGAAGAGGCTAAACAGATTTCGTCCGTCGAAATTTATAAATCCCGACGTACGATATACTCTTGTGGTAAATGGGAAGAATTCTTTCGGTCTGGGTCGCGAGCCTTTCCAATAACTCTTTTGTTCCGGGGTTGCAGGGGCATTTGAGCGCCGTCTGGCAAACTGTTGTTTCTTATGAGATGATGGGCTAATATCAAGCTTCTTTCCGTCATTGGGAAGCGCCAAAAACTGAACGAGCAGCACCACTGTCCGCACAGTATCCGTAGCAGCGTTATGCGGAAAAATGGTAGTCTGGGAATCCTGCGAGTGCCTGTAGCCTTCAAAACCACATGCAGTCAGAGTGTCACGCAAGCTAGGTCTTGCGACACCATCAACCACACCGCTTGCCACTTCCTGAAGATCAACCCAGTATGTGAAATAGTTCAATAGGTTTGGATAGAGGGCTGATAGCACCTGTAACTCGAAAACGACAGCAAATCCCGTTAGAATAAGAGGCGTGTCGCCCGGTATCCGGTTCCGGAATGACTCTATGATGCCTTTAATTGTCTCCTCTACCTTGTCGCCCGAGACATGCTGTTGTGACCCGTATCGATGTTGTTCACGACCCTTTTCTCGCCTTTCTCTGTCGACAAAGCGTATCCAGTGTGTTTCCAATCCTATCAAGTTACTAGCTTCATCTAATGTTTCTGGAAGTTCGCGGTTCCCGTGGGTTGGTGGAAGAAAAGAAAGGCCAATCTCAGCCGGCTCTGAGTTATCTCTGCCCCATGGCTTGGCATCAATGATGACAAAGGCAGCACCATTCGCGCAGTCCTTGAGGGCTTTTATATCCGAGATACGAGATTCGTAGAGCTTCCGCCAGTGTTTTGTTTTGAAAGGTGGTCGTGGTCTGTAATGCATGTTTAGATACAAAGCTGGGCTTCAGAGGGTTACAGTTGAACATGCAAGAAAAATAAAGGTGGAAGAAAAAGGTTCGCAATGCAAGAGGGCCTAGATCTATTTCAACGCTGAGGGAGGGGCGCTAAACGCTACGGTGCATTTCCTCTCTATTAGCCCGGGGCAATTGCATTTTTAGCGGATTTTACGCCAAGATAGCCGCGATATCAGGAACCATCTCGCCCACGTCACCCAATTCCGAACCTGGCAAACGCGTCAGGTATGAGTCAGGATGCAAGCCAAAATCAATATGAAAGAAAAAAAAGAGGCAAACCCACGGACCCGAAGGCACACGATTATCAGACGTGCGTGTTAACCACTTCACTACTCAACCTGTTGTTGGGATAACTTTGGTATTTTTTACCTTATAAAAGACGCTGCGCAGGCTTGAGTTGTACAGGAGAAAGAGGGAAGGTTTCAGTGAGGCTTTGGCGGGAGACAGCGCTGGTTTTATACTTCAGAAGGGTCGGTGGTGGGTCTTTTAGTGACCTGACCCCACTGAGGGAGATCTGGCCCGCTAAGCGCCATCGACCCACGCCTACCACCAACGTTTATTGGACCTCGGAAATAATCATCGAGAAATTGGGCAAATTTGGGGACCCCGAATTCTCCACTACCTATGGTCGTATGTGGTAGACTGAGGCATAAACACGCATTATATGTTCAGTCACGGAGAGTTCTCTTCAAGCCACAATGCTTGGAAAACGAACCAAAGCTTGCGAAATGCTAGGTCATGAATGCCCAGCTGCCGTTTGGCTTGTATCTTGACCGTACTGTTTACTAGCATCTACGTGATTAGCTTCCAAGTGAGGTTCCTGAGAAAAAGTTTACTATTACTACTAGTATTCTCTCGTTTATACCTTGTATAGCACTTTAATGAACTGCATTTGTATTACTTCATATTTATGGGAGGTCCTGTATCTTCCAATGCAAATAGTTGTATACAGTAAGCTACTCTCGAATTCCAGCCTGATATTACTGGACAAGTGCATACCAATTTGACTAAGATGGCTTTGTAACTCAAGGCGATCATGTCTACCTCTCTAACACAGAATGAAATACAAAGTGCAGTACTCTATAACTACCTACTACTACTATATGCAATAATATTACTACTGCAACTGCTACTGCTGCTACTTTTGGGGATAAATAACTATGTTATCATAGATTTTATGTATAATCTAGCTGCTTTACTTATCTAACTAAAGTGCTCTAATATAGCTAGAGTGCTGGATAATAGAACTAGGATACTGGATACCCTTTTCTTATTTATGTTTTTTTTTTCCCTCCGCAGCCCTTTGTCCCCTGGCTGGAATAACTACTATAGAAAGCCCCTGACCAAAGAACCGCGCAAGGGAAACCTTGCTTCTCTCATAAACAAATAAGACAGAACCTCGCTTTAAACATATACAGATGCTCCAAATTTAAATTATAGCTACCATTATAGCAGGAATAAACTATATCCTTACTGCTATAGATACATAAGACTAAAAAGACATCAAGAGTAATAGTAAATAAAAAAATGATGATAATTATAATAATAAGCCAATTCGAATTCGCTTTGACTCGCTGCCACTACCACAGTTTCAGTTTAAATGAACGTCCCTCCTTACATTTCCCTCTGATCTGAACCCTACTCCCCTGTTCAACCCTTCAAGACATAGCAAATTTATCCACCTTTTCGGCCCAATCTTATCCCATTTTAACGCGCAGCATTCTTCGTCACAGACTGCAAATAACCTAGCAAAAAGCTTTGGTCGGCTTGCGATATCGGCGTCGCATTACTATTGCGAGATGGTGGCGCATTTCGTTGCCCATCAGCAACAGATCCGGATATCGATCCCATCCGGGGCATGGAGTGCCCAGTCGCAGCTGGTCCAGCTTGTTGCGCATCTGCTGCAGCTTTGGCTGGCGTCCCAAAGAGAGAAAGAAGCGCCCGCTTCTGTTCCGGAGACACATTTGGCTTGTAATTGTAGTTGGATGCCGTATATTGCGTGGTTTGGGCTTGAGAGCTCATGGGGATCGGTAGGGCAGAAGGCGAAGGCTGAACCACCTGCCCGGGGCGAGGCTGTCCCGGATTGTTGTAAAGCCCTGCGAATGGAGGTAGATTGGACTTGGCTTGTTGGGCCGGCCCAGCTGACTGGGCCTGTTCAAGAGACTCTCCTCTCTGAAGGATACGAGGTGGCTGCGCTGGATCTGTCTTGATGGTAGACGTTGCAGTAAAAGCTTGCTGCGTCGTGATGGCATGTACAGGATGAGCAGGATAGTTAGGTGGTGCTCCGTTACCCAGGCCTCCATTCAAGTTCTGCAAAAGGTTCAATGCGGCAGATGATTGTTGCGGAGGTGGAGCAAAGTTAGGAGGTTGTCGATGGGTGTTGGAAATCGACTGAGGCATAGCATTGGCATTGGCTTGGGCGTTTTGGGGCTGCCTTGCTTCCGCTATCTTGAGAGAGGAGAGTGCGTTTGGTAGCTGTGAGTCTGCTTGGGGAGCACGCTGTGAAGAACTGGAAGATTGCAAAAGAGACAGTAGAGCACTGCCTTTGTCCTTTGAAGCGTTTGTTGCGGGTTGTTGCATGGCCTGAGCTTGCTGGTTTTGTGCTCGCATCGCTTGTGCCTGGGCTAATAATGCTTCGATAGATGGCGGGGCGGCGGATGTTTGCACCTGAACTTGCTGAGTTTGAACGTGTTGAGTTTGAACCTGTTGAGTTTGTGCTTGCTGATTCTGTGCTCGCATAGCTTGTGCTTGGGCTAACAATGCTTCGATAGATGGCGGAGCGGATGGCTGAGCGGATGGCTGAGCGGCTGGCTGAGCGGTCGGCTCAACAGACGGTTGAGCGGACGGCTGCAAGTTCAGCAAGCGATGTAATTCCCGAGTGGCCCCATCAAGAGATTCAATGGTAGGCTCAGCAGCGGAAACGTTGTTGGGTACCCATGCCTCATCTTCGGTAGGATCCTCTTCAATAGGCACATGTTGGTGGTGGTGGATGGTATACGCCTGCGGTGCACCAACAGACGCTCTCTTCGCAGCGTTCTTCTTCTGAATAACGATCCACTTCTTCAAGGGAACTAAGAAAGGGGCAACCATGTAGAACTTGTTGGCATTTGTCCCGGGGCTAGAATCGTAGTGGTTATTGTTTTGAGGCCCCTTCTTCCTGAGAGTAGGCAGATCGGACAGCTTGTACCATTCAATCTTGCTGATTTCCTTTCTGGTTCGAGGCTGGAATACCGTATCCATGGGAACATCTCGAAAGACGTAGAGGCGAAGATGCTGCTCTCTCATAGGGATTTCAATGTATATGGGCTTCACCTCGTTTGGTACCAGCCCAGCCTCTCGGAGGTCCAAGCCGGTCTCCTCGTAGACCTCCCTGACGGCACAGTCCAAGTCATCTTCGTCCTTGTTGATCTTGCCTCGGGGGAAACTCCAGCTCGCCCCCTTCTTCCAGCCTTTGACGAGGACTACCGAGTCCAGGTCATGGTTGAGCATAATAGCCCCGCGGACTGGCACGCGAGTCTTGTACTGCAAAAACTCTTCGAATGCCTTGGTATGGTTCTCAACCGAGAACGAGGCTAGCAGCGGGCAGTGTTGGAAGATTCGTAGACAAAAGGTGCGCAGCGTCATAGACGGCAGGGTCGGATCGAGCGGCCGGATGAAATCTTCGTAGAACCATTGTGCCTCTTCAACTTGGAAACATAGTCGGGCAACCGAAGACAGGTCTTCCTGGGGAAGGTTGATGATGAACCGGACGCAGAGATCGTCCAGCCCTATTAGGATTAGAATTGATCAGCATCTCACAGCAGCCAAGAGCGAGTTGACAGGTGGGGTGGTAATACAGTCTTCCAGCTGCATCTGTTTCTGAGCCATGTTTTGTCTCTCTTCTCGTTTTGGTGGGATTGTGTTCAGCTCAGCCCCATGCTCTGATTAATAATAACGGTACGACGGCTTGATCTTCACGACTTGGCCAGACTGAGTGCGGTTCGGACATGTGACAGGATAATGGGCATGGTCAATCGCTCGGGGCTTCAGCAGCTGAGGAATGGATCGCGACGCGCGCTTCAGCCACAGCAAGCTATTTGCGAGATGGCCCGCTATCGTCAGGCGGTTCGAAAGCCGAGATTAGGCGGAGGGAATGGCTGCGCTGGGAGGGCTGGCGATTGCGTGGCTATTCCTGCGATGGGGTTGCCGAACGAAGATGCAGAAGCTATCAGATGTCAGTGGCCAAGGTGAAAAGGCCGTTGCGACCGTAAATCAAGCCAGCGTTTGTCGGATGATGAGCGGCAAGGCTTCGCACTGTCTCCGCTGAGGGGGCTTTGCGTTTCGATGTATAAGCGCCACAGCCGCCACACAGTGTGCACGCGCAACTCAACCAAATTATAGCTTCAGCCACGCTGCCCAACAGCACAGCCACAAGCTACCTGTGGCTCGCATCGGCGTGGCGGTGCTGGAACTCGCCTATCTTGGCTTTGTGGCTCCGGATCTGCGCCGTGGCGAAAAAGGCGTCAGAGGCAGCCGGCCAGCACAACGGCCGCTAAAATCTCCCCTGTAACAAGGGCCTGTTAGCGGCTGCTAGGGCCACTACCGTGGCGTCTCATTGGTCGCGCGGCGCTGATTCAGCGTCTTTTCAGCACCTTGGCCTTCTGAACAGCAGCTGAATTACATCATGAACTGGAGCCGTTTCCAAAAACAGGTTCTCGGGCTATGCCATGTGAGCGCCGCCATCATTCACTGCACACTTCACAGTGACGGCGTTGAAAGACGAGCCCATAAAACCAGAGCATCAGACGTGTTTTTTTCTTTTTCATTTTTCTTCTCCCGCTTTTTTCTTCTTGTTACAAGCACAGCAGAGCCGCCCAAGTTTAATTACTAGTGCTACCGACTGCCTTGTCTCATCGCGTTTGGTTGGCTGCCAGAGCCTGTGTTCTAAAAACAGCGTTTGGCGCTCAAGGGCGGCTTCTGAAACAAACGACAGCAGGCGCCTCTCCAGTCGAACTGAACAGAGGCATCCGATTGTCGACAGGCCTTTGTTTGAACGCTGCTACTTTTCTAGAAAAAGAGCATAAATATCGAATTCATCGCCTTTCCTAGAACCTGACGACTTTTACTATCTCATCTCATCACAACTCAGACACAACCGCAAAAATGGCGAGCGTATTGGCGAATGTCATCGGCAAGAGGATTCTGCGAGAGAATGTCAAGAATAAATTTGGCAAAGAGGTAAGATGAGAACCGTTGCATATCATGCACATTGCAACAATCGAAATACTAACAAGTGCCTTTATAGGATCCATACTTTGAGCAAGTCCCGGCAACTAGACTTGACGGGCGACCTACAGGCAAATTCAAGAAGCGCAAGAAGGCCCTGCCACCAGGCATCTCGGAGCACGATGGCCAGGTCTTGACCAAGGTCAAGCGACGCGCATATCGTCTTGACATGTCCCTTTTCAATTTCATGGGAATCCGCTTTGGCTGGAGCAGCGTAATCGGTCTTATCCCTGCGTAAGTCTTGTCAGTCCTTGAGTGTCACATAAGACACATACTAACATATCTCATCACAGGGCCGGAGATGCACTCGATGCCTTCATGGCACTCATGGTGTACAGGACATGCTGTCAGGTGGAAGGGGGCCTCCCGACCAGCGTCAGACTCCAGATGCTGATCAACATTGTCCTCGATTTCGCGGTTGGGCTGGTTCCATTCCTCGGTGATCTGGTCGACGCAGTATTCCGTGCAAACACCCGCAATGCAGCACTGCTCGAGGAGCATCTGCGTCAAAAGGGCAAAACTGAATTGCGAAAGAGCGGACTACCCGTCCCAGCCGTTGACCCCAGCAGCGCCCAAGAATACGACAGGATCCAGCGAGAGGATCCCCCCGAGTATCGATCGAACCCCCCGTCCCGCCGAGAGTCTCCAGCGCGGTACGATGACCGGCATCACCACGAGCCGAGAGCTCCAGCCGCCGCGGCAGTTCGCGATGGCCGCGGTTATCTGGGCCGCAACACGGCTCCCCCTCACGATGTTGAGATGGGCGAAGTTGACTTGGGTCAACACCACCAGGGCTCTTCAAGTCACGGCGGCAAGAAGAAGAGCAAGTGGCACGGGCTGCTTTAGTAGATTCGAGAGGTTTTTTTTTTTCTTTTCTTTTTAGTAGCGCAGGATGCACATATCGCAGGATCGTTGTCTGAGCGCCCGTTACGAATTTCCTTTGTGTTGACACATTTCCTTTGTTTCTGAGAACGGGATATCGCATGTCTGGGACGTGTCTGGTTTTACGGTTACGACGCTTGGGGACTACAAGTTGGAACTCTTGCATTTTGAAGAGTGTGATTTATGAAGGAGAGAGAGAAAAAAAGAAAGAAAGGAGGATACAAAAGGTTTTCCGCGTGGAGGTATTTCTTAATGATAATTATGCGAGAGCTTTGTACACGACGCAGCGCCTAACCTAGAATAAACCGGTGTTTGCGAATACACGACGAAGTCGTTATATGGTTAGCAAGTTCATTATTAAGTAGGTAGATGCATATAGCAAAAATACATGTATAACTCAAGTCTACATGGCAACATGTCATTTCTTAGCAACCCGTTTTAAACGCGGTGAAGACAAAGCTCGTGATCGGCGTCCGACAACACATTGTCTTCCGTCTTATGGCTTCATGTGCCGCTGATTAACGGCTTGAGCACGCAACTAAGACGAGCTGCCAGGGTCTAGTGCCTAATATGGACTCTCCGCTGCATGCAAACCTCCTTGCAGCAGCAGCCCTAGCTGCAGATTTCCACATTCGTGCAGTCGGCTCCTCGGTAGTGGAAACAGCAGAGCGAGTTGACGAGTTGAGTCAGAAGTAACTCGTAGTTGGAGATTGTACAACCATTTTGTAATTCTCAGTCATCCCTCGTAGAGCTGTTACCAGCTACTCTCTACTAGCACCGACTAAGCAAGCTGGAGCGTCAAGCTCAGACTTTTCACGCGTTCCAGAGCTCAGACCTGCCGCCCCACGCAGCGAGGCGCCAGTCTCCAGGTTGTGGCCTCGGAGCTGCTCGCTCAAGTCGCAATTCGCTCGGAGTTGTGGGAAAAGGGACAGGTCTGGCTAGGAATGGATCCTCGAATACGGCGACTCAGGGCTGTTGTGCAAGCATAGCCTGGTTACAAGTGCTCTGTCTTCCAGAGAGGTTGCGTCAAGTATCTACATCGGACAGGTACAAGAGGGTTTCACGACTGCAGCATCTGGCTCAAACGCCGTGGCCCCACTGACACGAGATCCAGGTGTTTGTTGTTGCTGATTCAAGATTGATAAACAGGGAGCTGCGCATCGTCATTTGCCCAGCTATCGCCATGAGGCAGAGCTAGCCGGCCCTGGTAGCGGGATACCTCGTCGCGACTCGCCGCATTCACGCGTCCGCCAGCGCCAATTCACTGTGGCCGGTGGCCGGTGCGCCGGCGCCGTGCAACCCCACCGTGGCAGCCCAGCGCCCTGGACGAGTATCTCCTAGGTACTGCTTCAGCTGCCATCCCTGCCCGCCCAGCCTCCCAGCGCTGCTTAATGGGGCTTTGCCTGACCCGCCGCAAAACACGTCTCCAACGCGTCGCGCCGCACGTGACGGCGCTGTGCAATCGTTACAAAAAGCTCTGGCGCCACCACGATGCAGCACCGTCTTCACCTCAACCACCGCGTCTGCAGCATCTGAAGACAATTCATTCTCTTGATAATACACTTTACGCGCTCTGTCTTGCTGCTGTGTCTCTCCCCCACCAGAACCATCTCAATGGCCTCCGAACTCACCCCCTCCAAGCAGGTCAGTAACACCACCCTTACAAAGCTTCTACCTAGTTGTCGACTATGATCTTTTGTCTGGAAGAGCTTTCTCAATTCTCAAGACTCTAAAACTAACATTGCACGTTTTTATACAGGCTGCTTCTGCCATTGACTCTTTCAAGATTGAGTCTCCCGTCAAAAAGATCAACTTCAACGCCTCCGACAAGGAGAACCAGCCTCTCGACGACGCCGCTCTCGAGAGCCTCGCCAGGCAGATGGACGACAACCACAAGCCTACTGAGACCGTCAAGGTTGACAAGTCAGAGACCAAGCCTACCGCGGCTCTCACAATCAAGCCTGATGAGATTGACGAGCCCATCCTTCAAGAGAACCCCCAGCGATTCGTCTTGTTCCCCATCAAGTACCATGAGGTGTGTAAAAAAAAAGAGATCCCCTCAATTCTACCCCGGACGCGTTCCGACGCGTAAAGTGGCACCCCACTATGGGACAGGCATGCTCTGGGAATACCAATTGACTAACAATGGCTCAATTAGATCTGGCAAATGTACAAAAAGGCCGAGGCTTCCTTCTGGACCGCCGAAGAGATTGATCTGTCCAAGGATCTGCACGACTGGAACAACCGCCTGAACGATGACGAGAAGTACTTCATCTCTCACATCCTGGCCTTCTTTGCTGCCTCCGACGGCATTGTCAACGAGAACCTGGTCGAGCGTTTCAGCGGCGAGGTTCAGATCCCCGAGGCTCGATGCTTCTACGGTTTCCAGATCATGATGGAGAACATCCACTCCGAGACCTACTCCCTGCTCATCGACACCTACGTCAAGGAGCACAGCCAGCGCAACTACCTCTTCAACGCCATTGAGACCATTCCTTGCATCCGTAAGAAGGCTGACTGGGCCATCAAGTGGATCCAGGACAAGGACTCTTCCTTTGCTCAGCGCCTTGTTGCTTTTGCTGCCGTTGAGGGTATCTTCTTCAGCGGAGCCTTTGCCTCCATCTTCTGGCTCAAGAAGAGAGGTCTCATGCCTGGCCTGACCTTCTCCAACGAGCTCATCTCTCGTGACGAGGGTCTGCACACCGACTTTGCTTGCCTGCTCCACTCTCACCTGAAGAACCGCGCCAGCAAGGAGATTATCCGTGAAATCATCACTGATGCCGTCAGAATCGAGCAAGAATTCTTGACCGAGGCTCTCCCCTGTGCTCTGCTGGGCATGAACGCCACCCTGATGAAGCAGTACATTGAGTTTGTTGCCGATCGTCTGCTCGTCGCTCTTGGCAACGAGAAGATTTACAAGTCCTCCAACCCCTTTGACTTCATGGAGAACATCTCCCTGGGCGGCAAGACCAACTTCTTCGAGAAGCGTGTCGGCGAGTACCAAAAGGCCGGTGTCATGAACAGCACCAAGAAGCCCGTCGAGGCCTCCAGCGCCGAAGAGTCCAAGGCCGACAACGGCGGCGACTTTAGCTTTGACGACGACTTCTAAATGCTTCGTCAACTTGCATTTCATCCCATCTCTTTGTCTTTTATGATTCTTGTTCTTACAGTTTGGCACCATGTACATTTTTTGCGGAAAAGATGCGGTCTACGGGTTGGATCGGTAAGAAGGCGTTGATTGTAACAGTGGATTGGGAACACATCTTTTGGTTCCTTGTATTGGTTAAGAGGTTATACACAACACACACTGCGGGCGTTTGGGACACTTATTTGGATGCAAATTCTCTTCTTGAACGGGGGATGATAATTGCGGAACGAGGCATTGGATTATGATACACTAGCAGTAGTCCAGCAAAATAGAACTGGATGAATGACGATTACCTTGAACTCTCTTTTGTGCGTCGTGATGTGTGATGTGTGATGTGTGTATGCATATACATTTCTAGATATTCGTCTGGTACGCCTTTCCTATGTCGCTAAGCCGTGTCCCGTACGCAAATTGTCCCCCATGGCTCTTTTCCTCATCTGTCCCATGTCCGTTTCTATTAACTATCTGTCCCATGTCCATGTCTAGATTCACGTCCATCAGAAAGCAGGCCACTTGTCCCCCTCTCGATCCATCCCCAGCTTATTTCTTGCCCTTCTTCTTCTTCTTTCCACCGCCTCCTCCTGCGCCTCCTCCAGTCGCAACCTGCTGCGGCGTCTGTTCTCCCTGCGGCGTCTCCACCGCATCAGCATCCTGCATCGTCTCTTCCGGCACGTCCTGGATGCCAGCCATGGCCTTGCCCAGACGACCCAGCGCGGCGGACATGAGGCGCGTAACCTCTGCGGCCTTTGTGGTGCGGTACTTGAGCGTCACGCCGCTGACGGGGTCGTATGTCTTGAGGACGAGGCTGCCGCGCGGGGCTCTGGGGCCTGAGGGGGCTGTTGATGATTCGTCGCCGGAGCTGGTGGTGGTTTGTTTGCGGGGCTTGACGGGTTTGATGGAGTATCTGGTGGTGACGCGAGTCTGGAAGATGAGAGAGATTGACCTGTGTTAGCTCTTTATATTTCTTTCTGGAGGTAGGAGAGATTGGGGGACTGACTGAGGAGGGTCGAGCCTCAAGGAGAGCGACGGAGTGGTCGAGCCATTCCTGGCTCGTTTTGAAGTAGGGCATTGGAAGAGTGAGGTGCTATGATTTGCGCGACTCCATGTATATATGCGACTGATTGGGCGTGTTGTATATGTACCGAGGTTGAAGAGAGAGGCTGCGGTTGGCGATGGAGATTTGGAGAGGTTTGAAGACGAGGCTGAGGTTGAGGTTGAGGTTGTCGATTGAATGCTGGCTTGGCCAATTTTAGGTGGGGCTGCGGGGTTGAGGTACGAGGTACATGTGCCTGGTGTGGGAGCTTGAGTTGGGCTATTGCGAGTATAGGGTGGGAATAGAATTGATAGGTGCTATTTATGGACAATGCAATGCAGAAAATATTCGAGTATTGTGTATTTACTCTTTTCATATTACAATTTTTGATATATTGAGAATTAGTATCTAGCATTCTAGGAGCGTGGTAATGTCATCAAGTTAGGCACTGCTGCTATTATCGCTATTGCTGCTTATTCGAGGCTGAAAAATGGGGAGACGCGAGTCTATCTGTGTTATCAACAATATAAACTCTTGGGCCTTACTGTGTATCTTTTCTTAAACCAATTTGCATCTACATACACGAATTTCACCTCATCATTCCGCGGCTATATATTTAAGAGTCGCCGCTATACAAGATCTAAATATGCGGCAATCACTCCGCCCATGTTCAACCATGCTTCCTCACCAAGTTCACAATCCATCACTTGCAACCTCTCGTATTTCAAATATCCTCGCTGTTCATTGCCATTGACAGGATCAAGGCACATGAGCATTTTGATAGTCCACTTCCCTGGTCTTTCCGCATCAGGGTTCCCTAATAAGGGCATGAAGTCCATAATACAAAGAGCTTCCTGTTGCGCACGCCATTGTTCATGCAACCAAATGTATCCAAGAGGTGGAGATGTACCACTGGATGGAAGCGGGTAGAAAGCATAGCAATTATTGTGGTTATTTGATCCTTTGGGTTCGCTTGCGATACTGAGCTTTGCGATACTTGCATCTAGACTTAGACTTGGCGGGCAGCGGATTTGGCCTGTTGACGCAGGGAATCCAAATCCATTGAAATCATTAATATGATTAGCTGGATTTCGAAGCTTGGCAATCTCCCTGAACCCAGGACCATTTTGTTTCATAATATCAAATTGTTTGGATACATTGAGGGAAGCAAACATCTGATTTGTGTGGGCTTTCTTCAGGGCCATCGCTGGATGGAATCTCACAGCCTGGTCCCAGCCTAGCCATGACCAGTTAGGAAAGGCAGGATTGCGCAATTCAGGATTATGTTGCTCGACCCGCCAGCAGATTGCCAGACATGTGCAGCATGTTTATGTTACCCCATTATGAACTCTAAGTTTCCTGATGCCTAGAAAATACGCCAGGAGGAAGCGGTGGTGAGGATAATAAAAAGACCAAATGCTTGGAATGTGGAATTATCAGGTACTAATTGATATCGCGCATCTTAGGGCCGCCAAGTCTGTAGTAAGGGACGAAGTTGGTTATATGTACCTTGATCTTGGACTGATTCTCGCCAGGCTGAATTATGCTAAGTTGGAAAATCGTGGCAGTGTAAGTGCGCCTTCTGAGGCTGAATCTGGAACGAGGCTGATGTTGAATTGTTGATTTATAGGTAGTGATGCTAGTTCATCTTGCCTGAGCAAACTGGGACATCCTCGCTCGGTGGCCTTGTTGGGGGACTCCTGCCCTGACATCCCCAGAGAAGGAAGGAGATAGGAGGTACACTGATATATATAGTTATAGTAGAGCCCGCATCTTAGCTATAATTAAGCTTTTTTGACCTCTGATACGTGCACCTACGCTACTAATCTGTAGAGCTCCATGTTAGAGGTCTGATCTTTGATGTTGCATATACCAAGATCCCTGATAGGCCTACTGAAGCTGTCACGCATGATTTTGTCCCATAACACAAATCTATATCTCCTTGTTCAGTTTTAGAAGGACAAGGGAGATTGGACAGCAGATACACACAAGGCTCGATGTTCATATATCCGCCTGCCACGTCCTAATCGGGGGTATCAGCCCGCTATATGCATGCATGTATGCAGCTTGCACAGCCGCTGTGCCATCCCATGGAGAAACCATTGGGCACCCATAAATAGGCCGATGCACCCAACCATCACCCCTCATCTTGATCTTTTACAGTTCAGTAGTCCCGGATTCGCGCGCATAGATCGAGCAAATAAGCGATACGACTGAACAAGCGATGCGTGACATCGATGGCACATCTTCAATGGAGCAGGACCCCCAAGACGATTGGTGGAACAACGTGCCCAGTGCAAGTACCAGTATAAACACTACACCAAACTCTCCCTCGGCTCAACATTTGGGGTTTGGCGGCCAAGAATACGTTTCATTTCATGATTTTAGTACCCGCCTCTCGATATATGATTCCAGTCTTGGCCTTGATGGCTGTGATTGTGCACCTTGCTATTCTTTCGATGATGTGGATACTTCGTTTTCTGATGCACTTGCAATTGCGCCACAGAGCAGATTTAGCGAGTCAATGCAACCTACACGTACTGGTACAGCGCAGACGGAAATAATTGAGCAGGACATTGATGAGACCGCTACGGAATATTCAGATGAAGCCAGTATCATAAGTTCAAAGAAGCGAGGGTTCATCTGGGAGCTGGCAAATGAAATGTCCAAAACTATTAGCTCACTGAATGCGGACGAAAAGACTCAGGCAAGAGTCTCCAATATTCTACCTGAGCTGCTCGGGGAATTTGCGCTGAAAATTGGTAATTCCGCTGAAACGCAAATGCATCGAAATACTATGGCTTTGGTTTATAGGTATAGACGGTAAGTAACTACATGCTCAAACTCTCAAGTTAGTAAAATCTGAGGTTACGACGACAACATTTATCGATATATTTATCATCATAATGCTGCGCTATTCGTGCTGATGGCACTCCTTATCTAGTGAGATCACGACGGTGTTTGCAGACATAAGTTTCAACGAAAATGTCGGCGATTCCAACCAAAAGAACCGCAGGGCAGATGGAATGAGCTGGCAAGATCGTACAAGTCTCTGGCTCGAAAAGGATTCATCCCAGGAGTCGCCGGAAGAGCTTCCACAATCAGCGGCAGGAGATGGTGAATCTCCAGAGGAGAAGTTACCAGGTGGGGATGAAGAAGTGCCGGGAACCTGGCCGATTGACTACCTGAAGTTTCTCACAAGCAGCGGCGCGTACCAAGAGCTTATCGCTCAGTTGCGGAGAGAATTTCATTTAGTTCCAGCTGAACTGGACATTATGAGAGAGATACGAGAAAAGATTATGTCTTCGCTCCCATCACCTCGTAAAATCAGCAGGAAATTATCACTACGAAGCTGTCAGGCCGTATTTCAACTCGATTGGGATATTATCGAATTTTTCAATACTCAGGGATATCCGAAAGAGCCGCACGATGTGTTTGAGAGTGTTATTACTATTACTGGGTCTTTTAAGGATGCTCAAGCCGCAACTTGTGCTCAGTACATAGAACAAACGTGGCCCATTACAGGGAAAATAGTCATTCAACTCATCAAAGACATCCTCATGGATGTGGGCTATGTATGTCGGCGTAAGTGTCTAATTTCCATCATCCTTGGTTGTATTTGGCTAAATGCAATCCATTTAAAGTTTCAAATGGAACAACCATTACGGCAAGGATTCAAAGATCTCAATTTGTCTTTGAAGTCTACGGAGTATCAGTTTCCGTAGCAGAGATAGGGGAGCTGATATGTTGGCTTGGAGCTGCTCTGAGAACCTCTCCCCGGCACAACGGATTAATATATTGTGCGCCAAACGTGCGTAATATTAAGCCGGCTACTTCGCTAGTATTCCCTTGTGCTCGCTATGAGATCGATTTTGCGATGGAAAGTGTCCCGCAATCCCTCCCAGCAGCAAACGGTCAGTGCTGGCACGACATTTTCAGAAATCCGGTTGTTGTGAGAGGTTACCCCATTGCTCAAAGGATCGAGTGGAATACCGGCCTTGAAATTTCACTTAATATCATGGCAGGACTGGCTCAGACTCAGAGACTTGATCAGTTCAAAGAAAAAACATACATCAAAGGCTTTTCAACCCTGCTGTTTCCAACCAAGAAGAGTGGGGACATTATCTGCTGGCATCTTTTATACAATAAGCACGGAGATCGTATATCTTACCTTGATGATGACAAGGATCAACAAGGATGCATTGGACAGATGGATCTGGAAAACTATCGACATGTTTTGGGGTGGTGCTCGGAAGCAAAGTTATATGCTGGTGAGCTCGGCTTTTCAATATTTACTGCTGTTGATGAGCGTTTCTCACAAAAACTACAGGTTCTGCAGAAGCACATCACCCTGTAACTCACTCGAGGCTTCCCAAGCCCCATGCAGGTTGTTCTCTCGCTGGAGTGAGTGTTTCAGAAGGAAAGATGATTCTGAATGGCACAGCATTTGAAATCGGGGCCAAAGACACACCAATCTACATCTCTCGCAAAGGTAACATCCGAAGGCTAAAATGGATATCCACCAAGTTCGTTCTCTTATGGGATGAACGCGATAAACGGGGCTGGCTAATTAATGGTGCGACTGCTCTTCTGCACATTGTACGAGCTTTTCTGTCCCACGCAAAACAAGATCACTTTAAAGATGCATTTCGATTCAAAGATGAGGATCTTCAAGAGGCAGAAGCCCCCTTTACCGCTGACTCCGCCATTGCTGTGCTTTCCAACTCTCATAATAGGCATCTCAAGCTTTATGAGGAAGAGGATGGCGACGCCGAGTATCTTTTTAAAACCCAGATTGATCATGTTTACAATCTCTTAGAAAAGCTTATTGATCATCAGGCCGATACTTCAGGTAATCATGGCTCCAAGTTGAGTAATAACCCGCGAAGCTACCTTGAAGGGTGGGATTTTGAAGACGTGGCGAAAGAATGTCCAACTATATATCCACGAGTGGCCACTATAGCGGATGCTGGCAAAGGCTGGATGGATTTTATAAGAGCTATCCATGCTGTTACACTAGTCGGTCGAGGTTTTGGTGATATCATCAAGCCCTCGAGTCCAGACCACTGCGATTCTTGGGCTACGCTACCAACGAAGCGATATTATATCGCTAGCTGTGTTTCTGATTTGGACCGTCTTCAGAAAGAGGCCGGTAGTCACCACGATGGTCATGCCCTACTCTGCGATAACTTGATATATCATGCTCCGGCCAATGTTGATATATCCTGCCAATGCAAAGTTACTCCAGGGCGGAGGTGTTGTGAGCCTGTTCAAATGCTGATTCCGTCGGCAATGTCAACAGATGTACCTCTTGGAAAATACTTCACCGAGCCTAAAGGGGCGGTCATTCTAGGATACAATTCCCATTTCCCGTTGATCTGGGGAGACACCGGTCTTCCCCAACAAGGGGAACTCATAGAAACGGAGCCTTCGTCAAAGCCAGTCGAGGAGGATGTGGATTCTGGATTCGGGTCAATTCTAACGGAGTCAGAACTGGGAAGCCACTCTGCCTCTCAGTCAGTGTCCGAAACAGAAGATTCAACCGTGTCTATTGAGATTCGTCCCGAAGCGGTACAGAAAGCGGCGCCATCTATCTTGTCGCCGATTGGCAATAATAAATATACCCGGAGCCATTATACAGTAGGGATCATTTGTCCCTTGGCAAAAGAGCTGAAGGCAGTCCGAGCCCTCTTTGAGAATGAACATGGCAGTCTGAATTCGAGATCAGAAGATAGTTATCCATACATTCTCGGAGACATGGCAGGACACTGGGTCGTCGCAGCGTGTCTTCCAGAGTATGGAACCAACCCAGCCGCGACGGTAGCATCAAATATGAAATTCAGCTTCCCTTCTATTCGGTTCTGTTTCTTAGTTGGTATCGCTGGTGGTGCGCCTTCACAGGAGAAAGATGTTCGACTTGGTGATGTGGTTGTCAGCTACCCTATTGGTACCAGCCCCGGTGTGATTCAATATGATCTTGGGAAAGAACAGGATGGTAATCATTTCCAACGGATGGGTTCGTTGCAGCGGCCGCCGCTCGTGCTAATGGCAGCTATCAACACCCTGCAATCAGATCTAGAGCCGCCTGATGGCCAGCTGGATGAAAGTCTTCAAGCGATTACGCGTCGCCTGCCAGACTACAAGTACCCGGGCCAAGACCTCGATATGCCATATCAGACAGCCTGCGCCTTATGCGCCTCGCATCAGGCGTCTCTCGTATCTTGTTCTCACGTACAGCAGCGCGTTCCTCGCACAACAATCTTGCCCACCATCCACTATGGAGCTATAGCTTCAGGGAACCGTGTGATCAAAGACGCAACACTCCGCGACCAGCTGGCACAAGAACACGGCATACTCTGTTTCGAGATGGAGGCTGCCGGAATGATGAATACGTTGGACTGCCTGGTCATTCGCGGCATCTCCGACTATTGCGACGGCCAGAAGAATGACACTTGGCAAAACTATGCGGCTGCGACAGCTGCAGCATATGCGAAGCTTTTACTGAGACTTGTTCCCCGAGGGAAACGTTCTCGTTCTGGCAGCACGGAGCGAAATGAGGGCATGCCACTTACCAAGAAGAGGAGGCTCGACTGATGAAACAGACAGGCGAGATGAGAATAGGTATGCATGTTGGTACTTGGTACATATATATTATAAGAAGGTTTACAAGAATACTATATATCTTGTACGAGACTTTTCTTCACACTCTGCCATCGCCAGGATCGTTGCTCATCTTGCAATGCCTCGTAAGCCCGTCAAGCCTATTGTATTATCTCATTGTTTCCCTTTGTAACCCTGTTTGATCAATAAATACATCTTACATATCCCATAGTGCTTTATCTTACATAGCAAATAATGTTAGGGCCAAGGTGAAAAATATCTGGTTCAGGTACGATCTTTAACGGCCGAATAATATTGTCATGTGGCATGGATATCAGTTCAGCTGCTCGTAAATGAGCTGCGTCGTATCATATCCAGGACTCCAAGAGCTGTAAACTTTCCTTGTGGTTTTTCTATAACTATTTAGGTAAAAAGGATGCTATCCCTCAATACAATATACTACATACAATCGTGAATAGTGGAATATTTTGAGTTCTGTCTATATTCATTCAGCGTCTTCCGTCTTTTGCAGTCTCATTCTAAATTTAGTACATCGCGCATGCACTAAACCCCATCTGTATGCTTTATGTTGGTTGCATGTTAGGCGCGCGTTTGGATGAGGCTGCGGTAAACGTGAATGCGCGATGGATCCAGGAACATTTCTCGTAGCTTGAACCTCTTTAGTCCTCCTAATTCGTCTTCAGAATGCTCTGGGAATAGTTGCTCATTTCGAAGGGAAATTAAACCATGAGTCCTGATCGCACCATTTCGTCCAACGGCTTTGGGCCTGGTGTTCAGATTCACCAGGGTGATACGGTTATTCACAACCACCTTTCAGACGCGCTGCCCAAAGCTCGTCGCGTAATTCCCTTCAGCCGCAACGAGGATATTGTCCATCGCCCGAAGATCGTCGCCCAACTCAACAAACTTTTGTCACCTGCTGAAGACGGTGAATGCTGCAACGCCGCTCTATGGGGCCCTGGCGGAGCAGGGTGAGTTGCTTGATAATACGACAATTCCGCCGAGCGTTTTCTAACAACACACCATTTCTAGTAAAACCCAGATCGCCCTCGACTACGCTTATCGCCGAAGCCGTGACGATGCTGCTTGCGCTATCTTCTGGGTGCATGCCGATAATGCGGCTGCTTTCGAGCGAGATTATCAAACGATTGCAAGGAAGCTTGGCATGGACAATAAACTCGGTGGCGAAGAACTACTCTTCAAAGTGTGCGATTGCATTGAGTCACAGCCGCGGTGGTTGCTGATCCTTGACAACGCTGATGATTTGGCATTATTTGGTGTCAGCGACACGTTGAATCCAGCAAAGAGCTTGGCCAAATACTTGCCCCAAGGCCATGGAGGAAGTCTTCTGTGGACCAGCCGCGATAAACAAATCGTGGCTATAGCCGGCGCCCGACGAGGTATTGAGGTTAACCATATGAGCGTTGGGGAAGCGAAACAGTTGCTTGCAGTAACCAGAGACAAAGACATTCGCAACGAAGAGACTCATGATGCTCAGTTACTACTGGAAGAGCTTCAGTGGCTGCCCTTGGCAATCTCACAAGCTGGCTTCTACTTGCGGAGGACTTCAACACCAATCAAAGAATATCTATCAAAGTTGTTAAAGGATAAAAGCCGATGGAATACGCTTAAACATACAGAGCATGATAGATACAGAAGGCCAGGAATACCAAACAGTGTTCTGGAAACATGGGATATCTCCATTAAGCACGTTGAACAAGAGAGTCAGCTAGCGCACAAGATTTTACACACCATCGCATATCTCGACAATCAGAATATTCCACTTTCACTGATTCAAGCTATATGTATGACAAAGTATGACTTCTTAACGCGGGGGGAGCCCTGTGAGGAAAACAAAGTCACATTGGACATGGCAATACTTCGACTGAAGGAGTTTTCGCTAATCAGTCAACGCAAAAAGGAAGATGGGGAGCTAAGCTTTGATATGCACAAGCTTACACATGAAGCTATTCGATATAGGCTCAATCAACAGGATGTATGCTCTAGGGCGTACTTCTTGTGCATTGCTGCATCTACCATTCATGCCCTCTTCGCTAAAAATGAGCAAGAAACATGGCCCCCACGCGAGAAGTATGCAACACACGCGATACGTCTTCTTGACTGGGTAGAGGTCTCTGAAGCTGAGGTACTCGTTAACGGGGTGAAACCATATCACCTTCTAGCTCTCGGTTTACTAAGAGTAGTGAACTATTTTTGTGATCAAGGGCTGTGGAGCAAAGCCGCGTTATTGATGGAGAGACTATTAAGCATAGAGAACAAAAAAATTGGTGAAGAATATCCCGGTAACATAGAATTTACGAGCAAGCTTTGCCTCATGTACATGCACCAAGGGCTTTACAACGAGGCAGAAAAGCTTGGATTACGAGCCCTGGCATTATCAAAAAAGGTTCATGGAGTGAAGGACATGGCTACGATAACGATTATGCGCTACCTTGCGGAGGTATATTCTATGCGAGGTCAGTTTAAAGATGCTGAGAAACTCCACGAGAAAGTCTTTTTACTACTATGCGAAGTTCGTGGAGACAAACACGTTGATACAATTCAGGCAATGGAGAATCTTGCGTCTCTGTACGAAAAGCATAATCTAATTGATAACGCTTTGAGCATTAAGTCAAACGCTTTAATGTTGCGTTGTGAAGTTCTGGGAGAAAAGAATGGTTTTCCAATTGATGCTGCGCAAGACGCTATAAGATGGCTTATGTACCAAAGAGAGTGGAAGAAAGCTGAAGAATTTCAAATATGGATACTCTCAATGGTGCAAGGGGCTAGTTGGGCGACACATGCAGATACAGCTAACGGTATGATACATCTTTCAACAATATACCATTATCAACGGAAATACGCCCAATCTAGGGAGCTTCGATCAAAGATATTCTTGCGAAAACAGGAATACTGCGGAAAGAAACATCCTGATACGATAGTCGCCATGATGAACCTTGCGTCTGCATATTGTCAAGAAGGGAGATTAATTATAGCTGAGCGGCTTCAAAGGAAAAGCTTGTCATTGTTTCACGAGGTCCTCGGAGAGAGACATGAGATGACAATTTCAGCCATGGGGCAAGCTGCCTTTATATGTCGTCAACGTGGTCTCTTCAAAAAGGCCGATGAACTCGAGAAAAGAGCGATATCCTTGCGGCACAAGTTTTATAATGGGATGTTTCCACCCGGGCTCTCGAATATAGATGAGATTGCTGCCAAACGCAGCGAAAAAGCCCCTACAGGCCACAGAATCGCTGCAGTTATCAGGCGTAAGAGAGTAGCGTCTACCAGGCGAACAAGAACGGTGTCAGTCGTAAAATGGCTGCATTTACCAGGCATAAGACAGCAGCGTCTATCAGGCGTTGGAAAGGAGTGTCTACCAGTCGTAAAATAGCTTTAGTTTTTCGGCGCAGGGTGGCAAGAAAACGCAATTATATGCAGCTCATTTGATGAGATGCAGCATTTAGATGATGCATGTCTTCTGATTAGAGGGTAAGATTATATCCTTTGGCGGTATCTAACAATTGACACTTTTTATTTTCATATATTCCTTGCAGAAAGATGCAATATATGTGTCCTTGATGTGATATTATAAAAGCAGCGATTGATCTCTATATACCCCTCGCAAACATTGCAGGATCATCTTTGCTACATCGATTATTCTTCATTCATGATATTTCTACTTCCCATATAGGAAAACCTTAGCTATCAGAGACTTACAACAACCTCAAGGTTCCATCATCTACTTCTTCTCATCTAAGATGATCCTCTTGTGAGCAGGCCGGCTTAAACATAATTAATATTTAACTTGTTGCCAAAGAGGGTTGTCGATGTGAGGGTGGTATTGTTTTGAACCATGTCAATGATAAGCCAAGGACCCTCAGCCGGTGTGATAGTTGCTCCGTTCACAACGGCGGATGCGTCGGTGAAGGTAACATTTCCAAAGTCAGCAAATGGAACCAAGACTTGTTCCTCGAGTGAAAGAAAATAGTCTTCGACAATCCACTCAGCACTTGAGCCGGGCAAGCTGGAGCCCTCTCCGGAAAAGGTATGAGAGACAGTTGTACCATCGACTGTCAATGCCGTGATTCCACTATTATTGCCAGTCTTGGTGGCAGTGACAGTAACAACTGATCCAGCACTGATAGTAACCCCGTCGAAAAAGGTTATAGGACCGGGGAGATACTCATACCAAGGATTATAACTGGCTTGATTCTCAGAGATACACCAGAGGACGCCAGTCTGGATGAGATCATCATTGAACCACCCATCAATCCCCACCCATGCAACACCACAATAGGCCGTATTAGGGTCACCACCTGGTGGGAGTTTAGGTACTGGGACCGTAAAGGTGCCGGAAACCTCGGTAACGCCTGATTGTAAGATGGCGACGCCTGACCAATTATCAGACGTCCCATCGGCAAACCCGCCGGTATTGTTGAGCTGGCTCTGGATGACTGAGAGCGACGTGAACATCTCTTGGCACGGAAAGCATCAATAGCCGCCTGCTTATGATCGGAAAGAGGGGAGGCCAAGGCGGCAGTAGCCACTAAAAGCAGGTTTGCGGCCGAATTAATGAGCTTCATATTGAACTGTAATGAATAGATTTGGTGATCTGAGATGGATAAAAGTTATTAAGTATGCGGAGAAGGTTGTATAAATTGAGATGATAGTAGACTGTTGAGTATTATCTAAACGATTTCTGTTTGTGATCGGATCTAGATCAAACAGACTACAAGAGGGACTTTATATACTTGCAACCTCCCTCTTCAATATACATTACACCGACTCATGTTTCCACGTTTCAAGGTTGCTTGCTTCGTATATTTGGAGGCAATTCCACTTCAACGAGCTACGAAGGTAACTCCATGGGTAAAGTTGAGAAGGGCTATTACGAAGACGGGCAGGTAACCCCTTGAAAGGCATGTAGGGTGCCATACTGGGTAGCATGTCTATAATAGGATCCGAGACTCGTAACTTTGCTGCTTCCTTGAATCATCATTTTGTGTATACTCTTTCTTCCTTGTCTACGTTATCAACCCTTGCGCTGACTGCAGCAAGAACGTCTTGCTTGCACCGTGTGGCTGACTAAGGAACAAACAATACTGACAGAAGTTCTCTATTCTTAGTTCCTCTGACTATACCTATTGCAGGAATCTACGTGTGCTACATTAATGTTTAGAATGTTTTATTTTCGTTTTTTCCCTTTTTTTGAGATAAGTTGTATGTATGTTTTTTTTTTTTATTGACATCCATTCAGTAAGCCAGTTATATGTAACCTTGAACTATGCAAAGGGTCGGTAGAAGCAGCTGGTGCAGATGATGCATTCGCTGCATTTTATATGAACAAAGGAAAGAAGCAATGGCAATTCAGCTCTCAGGAGACTGGGCTATTGGGATTGATTCCCTTCACTGATTTCTGCAAACATTTGTAGCCTTCTGGCCCTAATAAACGGAAAAGGGGTGTATATACAGCTAAGAAGTCTTTGTCGGGAACTTCCGAGAAGAAGGAGGCTAGACCATTCGGCATTTTCGGAAGTCCTTGCGTTCTAGGCTCGCGAGCTGCGTTTATAGCGGGGTCTTATATCGTGTCTAAGTACGAAGCCTCCATGTCCCGATCTCTTGGCTAGGAGTCTTAATAGGATAGATGCGACTTGGGGAGCTCTGAATTTCCTTTAGCGGCTGTGTCTGCTTGCTTCCATGTTATAATGAATATTCCAGTGTCCAAGGTTCTAGATAACTTTAGTAGTGACCTCCGGGAGGAGCTTTTCTGCATTAATGCTAAGGCCTGTGCAGGCCTCGAGATAAGTAGCTAGCAAGCTGCTATGCCAAATACCTTACTAATTATAAGTAGATTAAGAAATCAATTCTTGATTTATTACCAGCCGGGCCATGAGTTGTTGTCAATGAGTCTCGCGTGATTGGACTCTTGATGCTCGCGGCCGAGTTGGAGAGCGAAAGATGCTCCACGTACGATGTGGTATCTGCCCCTTTTATCCGACTTGATGCTATTCCTTCTTGCGTGCCCTCCGGTGAAGGTATGTATAGGCGAGAGGAATCTATTGTTTGGCTCCCGTCGTGTTCGCCCTCCGCCCTCATCGCCATTTGGCGCACGGACTCGGATAGCATGAAACTTATAACGGGCTCGCTATAGCTAAGAAGGTCTCTCTACGCTGGACATTAGCTTTAGCAACAGAGGAGCTGGTGGGGGTTGCCGTCAAAATCTGGTTCTCAAGCAGGTCATTAGAGGAACCCGCCAGTCCTGATCAGAATTTGCTACTAGAGCCAAGAAGAGCTCGCCACATATGTACGCTATTCTCGCAATTCCCAACTTTACCTGTGGCCCCTCTCTTGCATGTAGCGACGATGAGGGGTTATATGCCCCGCAATGTGGACGTGCGTGTATGAATGCCTTGCCGGCCACCTGCAGCAAGAAGTCAAACGATATATTCGTCTGTCATCTGAAACAAGCAAGACTCTTGATCCCCAAGACACCTTCCAGCCGGCTTGCTGCTTTTGCGAATACTCTCAAAATCTTGTCGTCTCGCAGCCTCCCAGGTTGTTTGTAGTGTAATACCGATGGCAGCTCAAACCTCAGCAGACAGTCCCGCCGGGCTCCCAGTTGACAACCCAAGCAAGTCATACTGGCTTTCAGAGCCGTCTGAGATGCTCCTCGGCCACCGTACCACGAAAGACTTGCCGCAAGTTGCCGATATCCTCATAATTGGGAGCGGCATTACGGGCGCCTTGGCAGCCCACTTCGTCAAGCAAAAGGCGCCCAACCTGAACGTCACCATGCTTGAGGCAAGAGAGGCATGTTGGGGTGCTACCGGAAGAGTGAGTCTTTTGTTCTATTCAAATGTCTAGGTTATACGTCAATGGAAAGGCGATCTAGTGGCGTAGGGAGATTGGATGATGCGATGGGGATAATGCTCCCCCTTGTCCAAGGCAACTTGCTCTTAGACGGCTACGACAAGTCCTTGGGGTGCTGCGCTGATTCTCCTGCCCCGATACAGAAGAATAACTACATGTACCCTGCCTTCTGATAGTTGTCCGCTAATCGCTATGCAGAATGGTGGTCATTGTCAGCCGGGATACTACGCCTTACCGCCGCACATCGCCGCCTTTGAGCATCAAACATATTCCTATCTCAAGGCATTCGTCGAATCGCAATCGATCCCTTGCGATTGGCGTACTACAACTGGCGTGCACGGCTATTATTCTGCGAAGCTCTTTGCTACCACCAAAAAGACTATTGGAAAGATCCAGCAAGAGAATCCGGATATTGGTGTAAATATTGCAGTTGTAACGAAGGAGGACGGTGAATCTCCTTTATGCGTACGGCAGGGCGAGAGCGGAGAGCTTACATTGAAGGCCTTGCGAGTCGGTGCTGCCGAAGGCGCCATTGTACAACGGAATGCTGCGAGCCTCTGGCCGTACAAGCTTGTTGCGTTTGTGCTTGAACGCCTACTGGTAGCCGGTGGCTTCAACTTACAGACGAACAGCCCGGTTACCGGCCTCGAAAGAGTTGCCATGCCATCGGGACTGTCGAGTTCTCACACTGATGGCAAGGCAGAGTCAAGAGGCTGGACAGCTCACACGCCGCGTGGCGACATCTCAGCACGGCATGTCCTCCTCGCCACAAACGCGTATACTTCTCATCTGCTTCCCCAGCTGGCAGACATCATCGTGCCGGTCAGGGGCCAGGTATCCAGCCTCAAGCCGCCCGCCAAGGGCCCGCTGGACATTGGACACACGTTCTATTTCGTGTCCGACCTCGACGACCGCCGGGACGACTACCTCGTGCAGAGACCTCCGCCGGGTGCGGAACTGGTTTACGGCGGTGGACGCATCCGCGCAGAGGGCCACGGACTCGGCGTGTGGGATGACAGCACTGTTGACGAACAAGTGGCGAAATATCTTAAAGGCGAGCTGAGCGGCTTGATGGATCTCTCGATATGTGAGCAAAGAACTGGACAAAGCGAGCAGAAGCAAGATGTCGAGCCGACATTTGAATGGTCAGGCATCATGGGCTTCTCGCGCGATGGCTGGCCCTGGGTCGGCCCTGTGCCGGACAGCGCCGGCGGTGGCGAAGGACTCTGGCTGTGTGCCGGATATTCTGGCAGCGGCATGCCCAACGCGGCCCTCTGCGCCAAGGCGGTTGTCGATATGATGATTCCTGGCCATGAAGATGGGGAGATGGGTTTGCCCCGTGAGTATCTGTTTACCGAAGAGAGGCTGGAGAGGGCGAGGGTATGCGAAACTATCGCAGAGGCAGATAAGAGAGGCGCATTTATATAACACATTCTAGAGTTTACTTTTATTTTAACCTCTTATATGGCCTTTATCTCAAATAAATAACATTTATTATTAACAAGGTAGTTGTATAAGCAGCTTACCTTTTTTTTTAAGCTTATAGCCTAGCGCCTAGCTATGCGGTTCTTTTAAGACGAGAGAGACCTTGACGGTATAAAAGTCTAAGTATATACAACAAGCGAATGTAATTTACTGGCATTTTCAATCACATACGACCATAGGTGGTAGAAAATTCAGGGTCCCAAGAAGTTATTCTATAGATACCGGTTCGTCACAGTCCTTCAATCTTATTCTTCCATGGTCATGCATTGACATATTGTTGGGTTGCAACAAAAATTTAAGGAATTACAGCCGCATTATATTCATCAATAAGGTAGCGCGCAACCTCAAGATGGCTAGCCGTGTCGCCCCGAGAGGCAAGGCATAATGGGGTGAAATCATCCACTGTTTCTGTATGAGCATCATCCGGGTCTAGCTTTAATAACAGCTTGACTGCTTCGAAATGTCCATTTTGCGCTGCGAAGTGAATCGGTCGACTTCGAGAGATTCTAGTTGCTGAGGATTTCGCACCTTCATCTAAAAGCTTCTGGATAACCTGCACATGTCCCTCCTGGGAAGCGATATGTAAGGCAGTCATACCGTCTTTCTCTTCGGCGTCGACGCTTGCGCCGTGCTCCAGGAGAAGACTGATGATATCAACATGGCGTTCCAGTGTCGCAAGCATAAGAGGAGAGAAGCCGTCCTCTTCTCGAGCGTCTACATCCGCATTGTTCTCAATAAGAAGACGGACCACTTTGATATGACCGTTCTGGGCAGCTTGATGAATTGGGGAGCGTTTTGACGGATATTTCGGAAAGTTAACGTCGGCGCCTTTTTGAATCAAAAGTTCGGCAACTTCAAAATGCCCTTCCTCAGCCGCGAGCCAGAGGGGAGAAGGCGTCTCATTATCGTAGCCGTCTTTATGTGAATCAACTTTAGCACCAGCCTCTAACAGCTTCTTAACCACCCCGAGGTGGCCATTTTGTGCGGCCTGGTGGATGGGGCGGCGGTTTCCATCTGGAGAAATGATTTCTTTATCAGCTCCCCTGTCTATAAGGATCTGAACGATTTCATCGTAGCCTTCCTGGGCCGCGCTCCATAGCGGTGTTATATTTTCGTTGTCTGGCTGATCGTGCTTTGCATGCACAATCAACAACAGCTTCACTATATCAACATGGCCGTTTTCTGCAGCCTGATGAATAGGTGTGCGCAGAGTATCCGTAGTGGCGGCGTTGACATCGATGCCAGGGCAGCTAACTAAGTGTCTGACAACTTCGAGATGGCCTTCTTGGGCGGCAGCCCAAATTGCCGTCACACCGTCACTACGGGCGACTGCCGCGCATGTAGGATCCTTCTCCAGTAAAAGTTTCGCCATATCGAGGAATCCAGAAAAAGCCGCTTGATGGATGGGTTGGTGGAATTTAGTGCCAGATGTTCGTGGCATTGACGGGGCCACTGTTCCTTCACCCTCCCGAATCCCAAGATTCATTGGTTTGGAGGTTATACTGAAAACATCATTTGGCGTGTAACCTGTGAGTATATCGCTATTGTCCATGAACACAGTAGATGCGTCTGCAAAGGACGTCTGTACCATATCGATCAGCAAGTGAACATGGTTATTGTCACAGATCAGCTTACTGGTGGAGGATAGGGACTCGGTAGCTGGATGGGCGTTGCTCTATCAATCTGGCCTAGAGAATCTCTCAGATATTTTAGGGGTAGCATATTTGGATGGGCACCTACTCGTTCTTGGATCACCTCGATCAGCTCCGTTCTGTACTCTTCTCTTCTTGTACTTGGAAAACCCCCACTCCTTGAACTTGATTTTGTACTGCTGCTCACTGTGTACTTTGTTCAATTAGCTTGACTGGCGACCGTCTCCTGAAAGGCCTCCTGACCTAGCATTGAGCCCTTTCACCGCCATAGATTTCATGACTTCTTTCAAGGTGCATTTCTCTGTAATGTACAGTTGCTCAATGTCGCTTTTGTACCAAAGCATCTGCGACAGTGGGGTGCGCACCCTTTCGCTTGTGCTTAGGGACATGACAAATCAGATGGGGATTGGTTGACTTTCAAGAGGAGAACGTGAATACTAGAAAATTGCTCAACACAATAGAATCAACTGAAAAGGCAATCTGCACAGGAATGTCAGGTAAAGGCGTTTGTTTATGTTTATACCAATAGATATGGGGCTGCCACTGCAGAGTTCAAACTATTCAAATTCGGCGCCTTGCATCGCCATGCTAGCAAAGCCCTGCAAGTAAGACCAATCGCTACTTCGTGAGCTGAAAGTTTTTGCAGGGGCTGGAAACTTTTGGCAGAAGCATTGAACGTCTTACATTCACACATGGCCTTGGCCCCCACACCATTTAAAACTTTTCAAAAGTTTCCAACTTCACCCAGCGGGCCACGTATCACCTGCAGCTGGGGCAGATTCTTACTGGGCTGGCCATACCGAACATCCTAAGCACGTCTCGGCTTGGCATGGTCAGACGCGCGCTGAAATTTCCTGAAACTTTCCAAAAGTTAGTGGAGCGTGTCCCGTTCAGGCACCAAAGTTTAGATTTTCCCCTGTTTGAACTTTCTGAGAAATCAGAAGCTCGCCTCACTTCTGGGCTGTTGGTCGTCCCTTTTTTTAATCCCAACCACTAATAGCATTTACGGGAGCACCCGTACCCCTAGTTTTACCTCACAAAAGTAGTGACGTTCTTCTTGCACGAATGGAGCCAGAATTAGAACCAAATCCTCTTATAGCGGAGATCCACGTCCAGACTCCTGGTGAGACGAGCTCACAGCCTTCAGATAGCCAAGAAACCTCGACATCGGAAGAAGTTAGCCCGAACAAGTCTGTGTCTGGTGTAGTTACTGATAGTAATACCTCCAAACGGCTTAATAAGAGGCCTCGAAAACTTCGGTGCGACAAATAATATGACACTCTGGAACGTCGCGTCATCAAACTTAGTACCTGAATACAACTCCTTCTCTACAGCTTCACACAACCCAATAAACTCAATACAGGGAGAATCAATATGACATTTGCAGATGTTCACATCGACTTTAGTACGATTGAGGCTCTTGACAACATCACGCTGCCAATGCACCGCCCGGCAGCCTTTTAATATGACATCTTGTCTGAGTTAGCCTGCCCCCACAGCGGTCTTCCTATACAGCCCGCCAGGTGCCGGTAAGACCATCCTCGTCAGAGCCCTTACGAGGCAATCTGGAACCAAAATTTTGGCTATATCTAGAGCGGAAATTAATGACAAGTACGTCGGCGTTGGCAAGAAGAAGATCAAGAAGATGTTCGCCTTGGCGCGCTATGAGTAGACGATCCTATGGGCCCCAGTATCTGCTTTCATGACTCTTAGCTGAGGTACGCGTTCTAGTGACATAAGCCACATAGGAAAAATTGGTGTGAAGTATCTGCCACGTACAAGCATCTGAATCCAACAAGTTGACTGCTGCGTCTAACGAAAGTTCATAAATGTTCTAGACAGCAAAAGTAAGCGCAAATTGCTCAATGAAAATTCTCATAAAAGTTTACAGAGACCAAAAGCCAAAAGGGGGTGTTGGAGTTGAAGCTGTCTAACAACTTTGTCTTTGGGGCAGAAGTCACGTACAAATTTGCAGTAAGTGCGGCCAAATGAAAGTTGCCAACAAGGGGGGCCTCAGGCTCTGCCTTTTACATACTTCTAGTACCCAGTTGTCGCAAAGTTTCCCGCCTTGTGCTTGTGTCATGCGGTATATCTTTTGATAAAGGTTTTGAAAAAGTTCTACTTAATAAGAAAATTGCGACCGTAACTCAATTAGAAAAGTCTTTAAAGGCAAAGATAAATAAAGAATGGCTCCTCGTTTTCGAATATATAAACCCTTTGATTCCCACCCCAAACCTATATCGACCGAAGTCATTCTTTATATTATTGTTATACCTTGGCGACCCTGACGCATTGCTGGCCGTCTACATTAGAATCAAGCGACAAAGTGACATATTATAACTTTCCAGTCTGCTCCCATTAAAAGAAGAAGCAATGGATCCTCGCGAAGCTCAAAACATCAAGCCCTCGTCCCCACAAGATCAATCTGGTGGACAGCTAGTTCAAGTGAGTCTACCAGGCTACCTTGGGAAGTATGCGTGCTAACTTCGACTGAAGGCTAAGAATTCCACCACGCCGCTTACCAAGACCCTGCTTCAGCAGCTAGACACTGGAAATCAGAAGGGCTTGATGATGGACCGTTGGCTGGAAGAGACCCCAAACGAAGAGCCATTCAATGGCCTTATAGTGACTAGAAGCCTCTAATAGAACTACAACACCAATCTAACGTCACACGGCTACAATGGCACAATACGTACCGCATAACAAGGACCGACCTTACGACCGATAAGATGTAGGTCGACCAGCTTGTCGAGTTGGCTTAGTATAAGTCCACACCGGTCGATAGTTAGCCTCAGTCGCCTTTGAAGACACGGCGTACTATATAACTCTAAAGGACTCCATCCATTAGATCCATTAAACAGTCGGTCGTTAATAAAGCGCATAACACAGTTCACTTCGGTTCTTTCCGAATTTCTCCAATGCACTTTCTCTTGGCAGCGAGTATATTCTGAACTGCGTGCTGATCTTACACCCTCCAAGTAATCAGCGATTAAACTTGAACAAACTGGTGTATGTGAACGCAAAGCTCTATTATTTGTGATGCGCATTGCGGAAAATGCTGATTCCACAAGACAATTGCTAGAGCTTGCCGTAAATCCAGTGGTGTAAAGTTTGCACGGTGGCCCACTGCTTGTATACGCCCTGAAGATGCCTGATAGTAATATCGCTGTAATCCTCCCAGCAGACGAAAATTAATCATCACACAGATCGACCAGTTCGATCGTGATGCACTCTATTGGGCTATGTATCTCTGGCTGAAATAAATACCCAGCATTATCCCCTTAGCCCTGTGAGTAGTTGACTTGAAGAACGAGTTGGGATTCAGTAAAGCGCCCGCATGCCGCTAATGCTAAGAAGCAACTTTAATTTTAGAAAACTTGTCGAAGAGCCCCTGCTACTATATCGGACGTTGATAGGAATGAACGGAAGGTGTTTTTGGACAATAGAGATGTATGATGCTGTATTCATAATGAATTTTATTATTCGGGAGATAGGGTCAAGTCTCGAACAGCCAAACATCTCACGACCAACTCAATGGCCACCCGATGGAGAGATATTAAGTTATATGGTCAAACTCGCATTATGATCGATCGCTATAACATGGAGAACGGTGGTAAATTAGGCCATCTTTAACTGTGGCTCAATTTGTGCGCAAAAAGCCTTGTGGAGAGTGAGGCGAATATAAGTAGCTATCCTGCTTTAAAGTGAGAAGACACAATTGCGTGTCCCGGACACATTCCAGCTACCTGATGCCTTTTGAAAAATTTCTTTGGGGCAGTTTAATGGCTCACTAATGATACCACCCTTTATTAGTGATGACCAGCTCCTTAATTCCTGACCCAAAATACTATCAGCATCATCCTCATCGTCGTCATTGGTAGCCTTGGTTTGGGATCCCGCGCGTTAGTAAACCTATTCTGGGAGGAGGAGAACACAGTAATCTAAGATTGATGTTTACAGATTATTAAATCAAAGGAGAGGCTTATATGGGGCTTAGACATTAATAGTACGACTATAGTTGTCGAGAATTGTTTCTCCGAAGGGCTCTACTTCTAGTTGTAACTCGAACAGGGTTTTTTTATATACTAATATAGAATAGCAATTTTACGCTGCGAATTCGAAGGCATCATAATTTAAAAGATGGTGGCCCATTTGGGGGTAGCCCATTGACAGGAGTAGTAACTGAAATAGTTAAAACGAAAGACTGGTAAGCTGTCTTCTCCAGAGAGATCTGAGTCAACCTCCCTCCGGCAGGTAGCTAGCTACAGAATAGCAGAAATAAAAGCAGCAGCATCATCCCCCTTACTCGTCCCCGACCGTTTCATTCATCCCCCTGTGACCTGCCGACAGTTGATGCGATACCAGCCCCTTTCCCCCATATCGAATAAACCACAGCCACCAACCACGGTCTTGCGACGAATCTAACTCTCTTCCCTCTACTCCCCGAGCCTAAACTTGGCGCTGTCAGGAAGAGCATGTTTGGCTACCGCCGTGGCGTTCACCACGTGCAGTCCCCAGTGCTGAAGACGGTCTGGTACGTGGCGTGGAAGTCGCTCTCTTCGATGACCGTGGTCTCCCTTTCGAGCATGCACTTCTTCTCGCCCGTGAGCCTGATGAAGTGACCGCGCTTGTGGCCCCAGTCGATACAGAATTCCTTGACGCCCTCGACCTGGGTGGCGCTGTGGCAGCCCTCGTCGAAGCTGGAGACGTAGTACCCCTTGTTTATATCGTCATTCCACCAGGTCCCACGGGAGCAGCAGGTAGCGCCGACGACTTGCTCCCAGTTGACGACCCAGCGGCTAGCAGCGGCGGGGACGGCGAGAAGGACAGAGATGGCGAGCAGAGAGATATGCATGTTGTAGGTTGTGGGGTGGTGGACTTTGAGTGTATGATAATGGAGATGGTGGCACGTAGTGGAGCAATTCGTGATGGCTGAGCGCAAATGCGATTCTTCAGGGCTAATTGAGCATATAAATAAGCTTGATTTTCTAGTCCAGGTTGGCGGCGTATCAAGGATATAAATACTTTATGTGTAAGCTTCTACTTAAGCTTATCCGGACAGCCCGGTGTACGCACTCGTCATCTGACTGCGCGACCCCTGCTACGTGACAAATAGTAATTTCTTGATAAAGAGGCAATCGTGAAAGGGACGCATTTAGGAGCTTGGCTACAGCAAGGAGGATGACTTTGTCGGAATGTTATGTTGTGTGCTTGGGGCATATGAGGACTTGGCGCGGGCATTTGCCGACATTGTCAGACTATTGTTGGCTAGATGTCCTCATAAGAGATGCCTCGTCAGATTTTAGGCCCAATGGGTCATGAGTTTGCTCGTCCATAGTCGACGATTAGCGGTCCAAGCCATCCTGTTCCGTCCTTACAGTATCCGCTTCTAGCATGCTGCCAAGATATGGATTATACGCAGTATCTAGGCGGTACTTGCCGTCATCATCTTTCAGGAAAGTGTCCAAATGGTATGACATGGTTCAAGATGGTCTCGTGAGTCCAACAATTTGAATACGCGCTGGTATAGCGAAACAAGATGTCATTGCGGCTGCGGTTGCCAGGAGTATTTGTTACCTAGCAAATCTCTTACTGTGCGATTTTGCAAGACACAACCCACCAGATAATCTTGTTCCTCCCGTAAGATGGTGGGATTCTTACACTCCGCGGTGAATGACAGGACGCCTGCGTATTGCGTATCACGTATTGCGTATCGCTTATTGCGTATTGCGTATGGCGTATAGCGTATTGTGGTCATCTTGCTCGTAGTTAACAAATTCGAGCCCTCGTCTTGGCATTTATCTGCTCACGAGACGAGGTCTGGGATAAACTGATGTCTTTTAGGGAAAACAATCTGTGTATATAGGTCTCGGCGCGCCCATATCCCTAAATTTTCCCACTTAACCCAATCTCATTTTGTTGTCTTTTGTTGTTTAGCTGTCGAGCCTTGTTGTGTGATGTTGCGAGCAGCGGGCATACGTTCTTAATATAGCGGCATAGTCCAAACATCTACAACACTAAGCCTTGGTGTTACAGAGAGGTTAAACACGAGATAGACGGAATAAACCTTTGATGCTCTCATTCCTTCAACCAGATACTATTTTTATAAAGTACAGCTATGTGTTGTACTGGACAAACTAGAAACTAGAATGTAAAGGAGAAATTTGTTACCTACTAATTGATCTTGGCTTTTCCATCTCAGCTAAAAATAAATAAAAAAATCTGCTTTCATAAAAGCATCGGAAAACACTTATATACCTAAAATAGAAACATCATAGAGGAGTAGCTGCATCATCCTCAATCACCTTTAACTCGTCCAAGTCATCCAAACTCTCAATACCTAGGCCATCAGTCTCGTCATCTACATTCATCTGTAATCCATTATTATTAGAGTGCTCCGTCTCTTTTTCTATCAAGCCTTCTTAATTTCCATTATGGTTCAGGGTATGGGTTTAAGCTATTGCCCCCAAGATGGAAGAATAGAATATCCATGGCATCAATCTACTAATGGTCATAGCACTGTTATAGCTAACATAATTCTAACTGTCCTTTACCTAAGACAAGTAATATTCCGCTAGTTACATCAAGTGGAAACTCGAAATGGTTTGCCAGCAAGGCTACCACACATTTCTTTTTATTTTCTCTACAGAGAACTCCATGATCAATCAATAACTCAGGCAACCTGTTTCGTCTTTTATCAAATATGGTATACGCTTTATATCACTGTTGATTTGTTGGTGGCATGCCCCCATAGCCTCCCGACATACCAGGATGATAAGCTGGACCTCCTTGCATTCCTCCCCAATTTGTATTTGGCCAAGCGGAGCCACTCTCATATGGTCCTGGATTCGGTATCTGTGAAGGGTTGCTCATGCCAGTAGGTTGCTAAGGAGGGAAGCCTTGATACTGGCCGTAGCCTTGCATAAATGGCTGAGGGCCAGGCATCATCTGAGGCGGATAGTAGCCGGCTGTTGTATGTTTTTTGCTTCTTACAGCTTTAGGGCTTTGTCCTTATAACCTGACTCAATACTTCAATAAGCACATACGACCATAGGTAATGGAAAATTCGGGGTCCCGTCTGCTCCCCCATAGACAAGCCATTAACCGGCAGATTAGTAGTCAAGTGGGTGACCATTGGCGAACACCGGCTGTTGTATGTTTTGTTGCTTTTTTTTCTTTTTCTCTTTTTGCTCTTTTGCCCTGTTCTGGGACCATTGCCTCGAATGGCCAACGTCAGTTGGTGAAAAGGTGGTTGTGCAAATGGTTTGTCATCAACTCTTCAAGCTCTAGGATCTTGTACGTGGGTATGCGGTGCTCTTACTCGATCGAAACCCTGACCTTTTCAAAGGCCGAATCTAAACAATTGTTCAGTATGCGAATGCAAGGAATTGAGTTTGCAAGTGTCATTGTTGTCGATCTCATGCTCGATTGAGGAGCACACACGAGGTTGTGTTGCTGCAAGAGTTGAGCCGGACCATCGGCGGACTCGATAAAATCTCTGTCCAACTTCCATCAACAGCACTAGCGGCTATTGGAAGAGGAAACGCGCTTCAGCGGATTGCGGGGAAGCTTTGCTAGCTGGATGCTCTTCTTCACGCTTGACGTCGCGGCTATCTATGCGTTGGCGTTCAGTGGCTCACGCTATCAAAGCCTTTCGAAACCTGCGTAGAGAGCGATGGATTGCTCTGATTTACACAACAAGGGTGATATAAGAGACTGCGATGGTCCATTGAGCAGTTCAAGTAACAAACACCAATCGCAAGACTCACACCAACAAGGATGACTGACTCGACAACTCCAACGCGCCGCCCCTTCCACGGCTCGTGCCACTGCGGCTCCGTCAAGTACATCGTCTTCCTGACGCTCCCCCACAAACCGCCGTCCACTGCCACAACTTCGACCCCTGCCGTTGACTCGTCTCGCTCTGAGCAGGAGTTCTACCGCTGCAACTGCACGGCCTGCCATAAGGCCGGCCACTTCCACATGCGCACGGCCTGGGCCCCGGAGGACTTTCTGCTGCTCTCGCCGCTGGATCCCATGGCCGAGCTCGGAGACTACACCTGCTATTCCGGAACCATCCACTGGCTCTTCTGCAAGCGGTGCGGCGGGCGGTGCTTCCTCTTTGCCGGCAAGGGGGAGACGGCCGAGGTGGACCTGGACGAGATGGGCGTCAGGGACAGCGATGGCGGCAAGATGGGGAGGAGGACCGTCTGGCGGCCCAAGGCTGAGGGCTGGAGCGAGCAGGGCGGGGATGAGGAGAGCGGGTTGAGGTGTTATCTGAGTGTCAATGGCTACACCGTCGATGCGGCACAGGAAGGCTTTGAATTGGGCGACTTCACGGCCAACAAATGGGTCGCGTATGTGGACTGCCTGGAGCTGCATGGCCCGGAGCGGGAGCCGCGATATGATAAGCCGTATGAAGGCGGCGCGTTTTAAGCATTATTGAGTTCTGCTTGAAGAGTGTGTAGCTGGCTGGTGAGAAGCATCATGAAGTTGGCTTCAGCTGTATGCAATGTAGATATGACAACTCGGCGAGTCGACTCTAGCTCATGATGAGGAGCAATAGACATATGAAGTTGCATTTCTCACCATTCACGGGCAACGGTTTGACCATGTCGTGGCTTCAACGCGCTGGGCGTGAAAGAGTCAAAAGAGCGAGCGATGCATCCTGGATGGCAAAAGGGTGTACCTAGGCATGTAGAATCTCTGGATGGTGGAACTTGACTGAAATGGCAGCGTCGGTATCATCGGAAATCTCGATGCTGAAAGCGATTAGAGGGAAGAGATGGGCGTGGTCCCATATTTGCGCGGCTATTATCAATTGCTGGAGAGAAGTAACGTGCCTGTCATCAAATGCCTGTAATTACTGTTCAGGCGGTGACCAACGCTGCAGTAGGCGCGCTTAGTGAATGCTTAGCGGTGCAGTACCTGCTATGGATGCTGTAAGGCAGATCCACACCCTAGCCGTTTACATACATGCATGCAACCTGCACATCACTCACATCATACATCTCCTGCAACCCAACCGATTCATCTGTCCAATACAAAAGGGCGGTTGATTGCTCTGCTTGATTCATTTTCCCTGTATAGACTTTCCACCTCTCATCACAGCCCCGACATGTCTCAATGGCGAGTCACGGCCGAGCATCCTCTCCGAGAAATGGAGGGCCTGGACCATGAACGATGTGCCGCTCTGCACAACCTCATCGTTGAGCGAGGATGGACTGCAAGCGGCCGCAGCCTCAACCATCTCGATCGCCGGTCGTGGTGGGAGTGCCACGGAGGAGACGCGCAGCTCTCACCACAAGCTGCGAAACTGAGCCCTTCGGTGATTGCCTTTCTCAGGGCGGCGTGGCATGGCTACGGAATGACGGCTCGACCTCAGTACGCATTCTTCAGATATCTCGCTGGACTCTGCTCGCCGGATAATCTGTGGCAGAACACAAACTACGGCGACGACGAAGACGACTCAAACAAGGAGCGCTACGTGACGCTCTACATGGCCAATTGGGCCCTGGGCGCCAGTCATCCGCTGGGCCTTGTGTTCGATCAGCAGACATTCACGGCAATACAGCACATATCCATTCACGACACGAGCGTCACAATGAATGGTCGACAGGTCTGGCTGCCCCTTGAACTCATCCTCGAAGGCTTCCTTGACATGATGGACCAAGGCAAAGCACTTGCGGTGGACTCGTCCTATGATGGAGAGCAGGAGAGGATCGAGCCTTGGATTATGCCGTCTTATACGGCCTGTGACTTGGACGAAGCTCTCGACGCCTTTACCCGACTGATACGTGCGATTGAAGCCCGTCTACCTGGAGCTCCCAATAATGAACCGCAAAGTCTCAGAGATACAGTCGTATCGAGCGCGCTCTCCGCAAATAGCTTCGCAGGCCAGTTCTCGGCGCGGGCTCCGGAAATTCGATTCAGCTACATTGCACCTGGCCTTCGCATAGCCCGCCAGCAGCCATTCGCTTCAGCCAATGTTGAACCAGGACAATTGAGGCCATTATTACTGTTCGAGAGCAGCCAAGCGGCTCATCAGGATACCGAACGAACGCCTTGGGGAGCACAAGTCGCCATATCGCCCTTCTCGCCGTCCTTTCGCCACATTACAACCTACCCTGTCGGCCTTTATCTGACAGAGACGGATCCACATGGCGCACATCCGTTTGAAGATGGCTGCAAGCTCATCCTGCCTTATGCTATCGGAGGTAACGGCTGGGCTCGGACTAGCGATGGTGCGCTATTTGGAGAGAATACGCACGCCCAGGGGCCATCTGCTACTCCAGCGCCACGCAGCACTGAACTATACCAATTGGGCTTCAATCACTTTATCGAAATGCACGACGTGCAATTGAAACATGTGTTGTCTCGCTGGGCAGACATGGTGGAGCAGGGAAAGTGGGCAGTCGACGCTGATGGCGTTGCTGGCGGGATTGAGAAATGGAGGGAAGCTGATACTGAAGACCATTGGCAACACTACCAATTACCAATGTCTTGGTGAATTTTTTCATTCTTTTACTTTCTAGGAAACCTGCTACTCGTTCATTTCAATACCCCATTCAGCTCACTCCGCCATGACTATTTCTACGAAGACGAACAGGAGTCAGAAAAGGCGGTTTGGCAGTTTGCCTTGGCACAATAGTCCGAAGTCTTTCCACAATAACCACCTGTGCTACAGCAGCCTCCAAACTCGGAGCCGGCACAGGTATAATTGCCTGTCTGAACGGAACTGCAGAGTCCTTGGGGACTGACAGCATTGCCTGTCGTGCTGCAAGCGCCAGAATAGCAGTTGCCAACACCGCAATATGCTGAAGTCGAGCCGCAGTAACCGCTCACGGAGCAGCATGATCCGAACTGAGTGCCGGTGCACGTCTTGTTTCCGGCAAAGAGGGGGCCGCAGCTCCCATCCGTCGATGGGCCGCCAATGTCAGGATCACATTTGCCAGAGTAGCAGTTTCCCGGTCCACAGTAATCTGGAGACAGAATTCATTGTCAGCGCAAGATCATGATATAAGCCTCGGCTATAGTTGAGAGCGACAACGCACCTGAAGTACTTCCACAATATCCAGCGGTCGAGCAGCATCTGGACCAAATCATCAGCTATATCTACAACACATCATGTCGCATTATGATACTCACGGGCCAAAGCTTGGATTATCACACGTCGTGCCTCCATTCGCAGGGCCACATGTGCCATCCGTCGTCACACCGGTCGAGATGCCGCTGCATGCTCCCGACACACAATTCCCAGCACTGCAGTAATCTGCCGATGAGCCACAGTATCCACTGGTCGAGCAGCATTTTCCAAAGTTTGTGCCTGTGCAAGTCGCATGATTCCAGGCCGGCCCGCAAGTCCCGTCTGTCGACAGCGGTGCGGGCGTGACGGGGGCCACACAAACGGCATAGTTGAGCCAGAGATTGGTGCATCCGTTGTTGATTTCCGGGTTCAGCGTCTGGAACGTTGTGAAGTTTATACCAAAGCGCAGCTCAATCTCCTCGCAGGTATCTCCCGCCACGACGTTGTAAAACAGGCCGCAGCTGGCAACCGTGCCAACTTGGGTGGGAATGCTGGGAGATGCCGTGGTGTAATAAGAGCCAGCAGCAGTAGGGGCATAAATCACTCCGCTCGGCACGAATTGGCCATCGGGAGGGCTGGAGCAGATCCGCTGTCCAGGTGCAAGGCGCTGGCAGTCTCCCAAGATGTTGGGGTTCCAGCTGAGGAACATGAGCGTTGTGACGTTGTTCGTTGAGTTGGAATACTGCAGGGCAAGCTGATCGCAAGACTGTCCATCCCAGATGACCTCCCCGTTGCACGCCAGGGGCAGACAGACTGGCGAACTAAATTCACACAAGGCATCATTCGTAGCAGCCATCAGATCGCCAGTCGTCACATTGTATTGCTCGGCTAGCTCCTGACAGTAGATGTTTGAGGCAGTGGGAGGCTTGATAAGCTGTCCTGCACAGGTTGTCGTTGCCGCACTATTGCTTGTGGTGGGGGTGCCTGATGTTGAGGTCGATGTGACCAGTGCATTGGATACGAAGAGGGTGGCGGAAGAGGTGGTGACGGGAAGACTGGTCGAACAGTTCTGTTGGATCAGGTTGTATTGGTCGAGAAGATAGGCTGATGAGTCTCCGGATTGGATGAATGGATCGAGAAGCCGCTGTCGCCACATTTTGATGAAGCACTCGTCGCATAGCTGTCTGCATGTTAGTTGCAAGTATATAGCATCGAAGCGGTAGGAGAGCTGGCCATATGATAGTAGACTTACCAGATCATTGGGATACAAATTTGTCACAGCCATCATGTCTGCAGTCACCTGCGTTGTGTCAAACGTCGCATTGTTGCATTCTGGGGGATTGTCTGAAGGGTCGTCATTCCAACAATACATTGGGTCGTATCTGCAAGACAAAAAAAAAGAGTCAGTGTTTTTGAAGCCTAAGAGGTCGTTTTCTCGAACACTTGCCTCATGACATCGCTTCCTTGCCAATCCTGCGACTCGAAGAAGCACCAGTTCGATTTGCTATTAGTGAGTATTGCCAAGTCAGAACAGAGCACAGTTTATACAAGTGGTAAAGAATACTTGAAATGATAACGCACCTGTCCTGCAAACAAGCAACGTCGTAGCTAGTCTTAAAGACAACAGGCAATGTCTTCGCCTGCATCACACTGCCCAAGAAGTTGAGAGTCTCTGAAGCACAGCTTGATTGGACCGAGGAGAGCCAAGAGTTTAATGAATTCGAGCAGCTGGGCGTGCAGAGTGCCGTTATATTGTCCATGAACCAATCTTGAAATATTTGAAGCGTTTCTTGTCAGCTCGTAGATACCTCAAGCAAATGATTAGAAAGAAGCTTACAATCTCTGTCAACCCCCTCGGCTGCTCTGGACATGTTGTTCTCATCGCAGTCAATCGTCGCGTTGCTAGAGTAGCATGAAATCGTCAGCATAATCTCGAAAATTCTACTGGAAAACGCTCAACTACGCAACGGCTTCACAATTCTTACAGAGCCTGGGTACATTGTGATGTAATGTCGTGTATTTCCATAAGCTGATCCGGCGTATATGTGTCAAAGATCTGGAACTGGGCACTGGCGAATGATGCCAGTGCGCCAAGTGCAACAAGAGGCTTGCATAGAAGCATCGTGCCGTTGATTGACGATGGAGCTAACAATTAAAAAAAGAACAACAATTCAAAAAAGAACAGAGAGATGGAAGAATATTAATCCATCTGCCCATAAAGACTATAGAAAGAGGACAGGAGAGAATGGAGAGGACGGTTGGCACTTCTCAAGAAGCCGGGCTGAGCTTAAAGAGCTGTGTATGAGCTTTCTTTTAGGAACTCGGCAAAAATGATAGTCGGTAACTCTCTAGACCATAGATAAAGCATCCACTCCCTCAAGGCGCAACATGAAGTCCGAGAAGCCACGTCCTCTAGCGAGGAGCCGACAGCGTGTGAGTGGTCTTTTTCCAACAACCCCCGCTGCTTATTAGCGTGACTCATTAATTGATAAAGATTTGCGAACTTTTGCTGATAATACAAGTAAATAGTTTATGGACAAATGCCGAGAAGGATTCGGCTTATACGCCCAACGCCCGCACGTACGTACGCTTGAAGTTGTGTGGACTGTCACTTTCTTCCCGTTTTTACGCTTACCTGTAACTATACTATGTAGTCTATTACTAGTTTAGATTTGGCGTATCGGCGCTAAGATCGCCAAGATATGCGGATGGCAAGCCACTGCGTTTGATGCAACTACCTACCTATTGCTATCTAGTATGGTAATACTTTGCCCGCAATGGCCTGCGAAGAATACATGTGAGAGGGAATTCTCAAGCAATCAGCACACGCCCCTCAACGCTGTAGGCTATAGTAAAGCTAGTCTCTACTATTAGACTGGTAATATATTTTTCAGGTTTTCAATTTATGTGTCTATTTTCATTTTGCGGTTGCGTTTTTTGCACTATTTCATTGTCTGATAGCAGTAGTTCTCATGCCATGTAAACTAAGTGGGTGCATCTCAAATCCTCCATGTAAGCCAAGCGGACGCATCTCAAATCCTTCATAAATCCTTCAGGATTTGCCAACCGACTTTATCGTCATGGAAGCGTATTCACAAGCGTATTCGCACTGAGTTGCTGCAGTTGATGTCTGTTGCGGGCAACTCTTCATGCAACTGAGTACGCGGCGTCATCTGTACAGTTGGCGAATTAAAACAAAGAGCCGAAAAGTTCGGATTTAGGCTGCTGATGATGGAGCTGGCTTTCCACAATTACTCAACGAAGCTGCCCGGCAGATATATGCTTTCTCAGTCTCTTTGTTCTCATTTTTTTTTTTTTTTGGTACGATGGCTGACTGAGTTGTTGTCAAAACAATCATGTTTTGGAACAACTGCCTGCTCGTCGCGCTCGTCGCAATAGCTGGCGTGACGGCGGAGAAGAACCAAACCCTCTACAAGCCATTGTACGAGAAATACTCAAAGTCCACGCCCAAGTTTCAAAACGTCTCTCAATCCAATGTCAACCCCCTCTTCCTCGCTCGCAAAGGCTATCCGGCGAGCCACAATAGCCAAAGCGACAATGTTCACCACCCTCATGCCCTGATCAAACGCCAATCGGGTGGAAATGGCCTTCCAACGGGTCTCTGCGCACCAGGAACGCCTTGCGTGAATGGGGCATGTTGTGGAAAATCGGGACAATGCGGGTATAGTCCCAATGAATGCGGTGCTGGAAACTGTCTGTCAAACTGCGACGCCAAAGTCTGTTTTTGCTTTGCTTACTCTTTTCATTGCTCGTTTCAATATTTTTGCTTACCTCCATCTCTCTACCTACCTAGGCTGAGTGTGGCCAGTACGCTCTTCCAAGCAGCGCAACTTGTCCGATAAACGTTTGCTGTTCTAAATATGGCTTCTGCGGAACTATTGATGTGAGTTGCCGTCTACATTCTCTAGTAAAGTCCACCTATTAACGGAGCAAAAACAGGAATTCTGTGGCGATGGCTGTCAAGAGGGCTTTGGAGGCTGTGGCTCCGTACAAGAGCCCTCGTGTGGAGGTAACTCTATCCAACGGAAAATTGGTTATTATGAGAGCTGGTACGCAAATCCTGCTTTACGTTACTGATTTTCTTTTGCTGACATTCATATAAGGTCTGCTACTCTCAAGTGTAACAGCCGTCAACCAGGAGATTTGGATCTCACTGGATTCACACATATGAATTTCGGTGAGTTCCTTCAACAAAGAACAACGCAACTCGGCGTGGAAGCCAAGGCTGATTGATTGCCTCAGCGTTTGCATATTTCAACCCAACTACTTTCGAGATGATGCCTATGAACGCCGGCGATCCTGCCCTATACAGCAAGTTTACGAGTCTCAAGACAGACTACCCAGGCATAAAGACATGGATTTCTGTCGGCGGATGGTCGTTTAACGACGCAACCAACAGCCCAAACACCCAGACTGCGTTTAGCGACATGGCCAGCACTGCTGCAAACAGGGCAAAATGGATCAAGTCTCTTACCAACTTTATGCAGACGTATGGGTTTGATGGTGAGTATAGCTCAATTTTGATCATACGATACAAGCAACACAAGAGACTAACGTGTTGCCTAGGCGTGGATATTGACTGGGAGTATCCCGGCGCTCCAGATCGAGGAGGCGTCCCCGTCGACACACAAAACTTTGTAGCGCTGCTCAAAGACATGCGAGCTTCTTGGGGCAGCAAGTACGGCATCAGCGCAACTATACCCAGTAGCTACTGGTATATGCGCTGGTTTGATCTCAAAGGTTTGTCTTCTCGGCACGTACTTCCTCTTCTAGGGTTGACTGCTAACGCCACCACCTCCTATAGGAATGGAAGATTATCTTGACTGGTTCAACTTCATGAGCTACGACATCCACGGCGTATGGGACTCAACCAGCAAGTTCTCCGGCCCCTATATCCTGCCTCACACAAACCTCACCGAGATCAAGATCGGCCTCGATCTGATGTGGCGCAACGGGATCGATCCAGCCTACGTCACGCTGGGGCTCGGCTGGTATGGCCGCAGCTTCACTCTGGCTGATCCCTCGTGCAGCACGCCCAATGGAGTCTGCCAGTTCAGCTCCGGCGGCAACCCCGGGCCGTGCTCCAACTCGGCCGGCACGCTCTCCAACGCGGAGATCTTCCAGGTTCTGTCTCAGACCGGGGCAAAGCCTTCGTTTGACGCAACGGCCGCGGTCAAATGGATCACCTGGGACACCAACCAGTGGATCAGCTATGACGACGGGCAGACCATGAAGCTCAAGATTGACGCTGCAAACAAGCTTTGCCTCGGCGGCATCATGATCTGGTCGGTTGACCAAGACGACACCAAGGGAACCAGCACGTCGGATCTGCTCGGCCTGGGCACCGCCAACGGCGTATCCTCCGAAAAGGCCCTGGAGCTCAAGAAGAACCAGAGAGATGCCGTTAGCCAGGCAACCAACATGAACTCGTGCTACTGGACTTTCTGCGGCGACTCCTGCGCCTCGGGCTACTTTGCAGAGACGTCGGCCAACGGGCAGGTCAACGGCGTCAGCTCCAACACGGTCTGCAAGAACGGCCAGGTCGAGACTCTATGTTGTGCTTCTGGCACTAACATGGGCAAATGCGAGTGGGAAGGCTGGAACGGCGTCGGCCTGGCCTGTAGTGGCGGAGGCTGCCTGGGCTCTGACTCAACGGCCATTGCCTTCAACACCAACAATTACGCCAAGCAGGCCGCTGTTGCGTTGTTGTTTGACCAGACCTGTCACGGAGGGTTCCAGTCGTACTGCTGCTCAGGCTTCAAGGCGTCTCCCAAGGGGGGTGTATCCAGCCTTGATCTCATCGGACTCAACGGAAAAGAAACACATCCGGGCCTCAATGTGGGCAAGCTTACAGGCTTGACGGTGGCATGTACAGCAGCAGCCACGGCAGCAGGAACAGCTGCAGGTAAGATCCGGCGTTTGCATTTCCATCAAACAACTGTACCTTGTGGCTAACAACATGACTCTCTTCTCTCTCAAGGTGCTGCCGCGGCCATCTTCACATTCGGCATCGCCTTTGAGCCCGTCTTCGCAGCCACTTTTGCCGCCGTCTTCGCGGCCTGCGAAGTCAAGGCAAAGCAGGCTTCTGCGCTGCAAGCAGTTGGAGTTGTGGCGGGTCAACGCACAGGAGGTCGCGGGCAGACGAATCCTAAGCCACGTCCACAACCCAACCTGCCTGTTATCCCACCAAAGATCCCGCCGAAGATCCCTGGGGTATTCGGTCAGTGGACCAAGACGTCATACGACCCGAAGAAGACCAATGACTGTCAAGTGACTTACACTTGCAAGTATGGCCGAGGTTTTGATGAGGTAAGCATGGTAGTTTAATTGTGAGAGTGTAGAGGGGGGACTGCTTGATGATGATGCTAATCCGTTGTGAAAGATTTGTGATAACCAGTCCTGGGGTATTGACAAGGCCAATGGTGGTCGAACTATATATCATTACGACGGTGAGTGTTCAATACTTGCTATGCATAGCAACGTGTTGATAAGCACACGATACTGACCAGTAACTCTCTCTTATATAGCACGCGGTGCTGATAGTGAATATGCCAAAAACCAATGGGCTTCGACCTATCGCAAGTCATGGTATCGTACTATGGCCCAAGCCGGAAACCCTGCACGGTGCCAAGTGTAAGTGTTGTCAGGGTTGGACTTTATTCATCAACGCTTTGGAAGCTGACTGTTATCAAAAGTGACGAGTTCCCCATGGGCAGTCTTTGGGAGGGCAGAGCTCCCTTTGGCAACCAAGTCTGCCGTCTGGTCAACGGAGTGGCAAACCGTAATCAGGGCACTGACTTCCAGCAGTGGCTCTCTGCAATCTGGAAACCCTGTTCATCATTGCGCTCGTCTTACGGAAAGCCTGATCCTCCGATTACGTGGCAGTTCAGCCATACTCCCGGCGACCCTCGACTCGTCGCCAACAGCGCGTTCCCGCACTTTATCCAAAAGTACGGCTTCGACTCTCAGACTGTAAACTCCCTCTGCTGGGCAACGTACTCGTACCCAGATCTCAACGGCCAGCAGCGTATCAGGACGGCATCGGACCAAGGCTTCCGCGTCTTGCCAAATGACCCCCTGTATCGCTCCTACGGATGGGCAAGCCAGCAGTACTCTACCAATCCCAATAACGCGCAAACTCTTCCAATGGATGTTGCGAGCGCTCTGTGGCAGAAACGCACCAACGCCAAGGCAGCGCTTGAGAACCTGATCCCAGTCCAATTTGCAGACTCGGAAGAGATTCCCTTTGCTATTCCTTGCGGCGACTGTAGCCTCATTATTGATGATGAAAACGAGATTGTTTATGATCAGAGGGAGCCGGTAGATATCCCTCTTACAAAGGCCGCCGGTGAGACTCCCATGCCAACAGCTGCCGTGTATAACAAACCAAAGACTGGAAACACGGTCGACAAGGTTCCAACTGAGACAGGTTCGGTTTCTCAACCAAACTTTTGATGTGAAGGAGACGTGTATTTATGGATGTACACAAAACAAACTTGGTTAATTACGGCTGCAGAGCTTTTGTAGATACAGAATATTGGCATTTTTGCGAAACGATAAATTCATGCCCACAAGCCTATTTCTTGTCTCACTCAGGTGGCGATGCATAAAGAAACCAAGATGCCAAATAACGATTCTTTGTTCTATATTGGCCAATCCTATAGAGGATCTACTGTGTTTTACAATTTGACAAACATCGTTCTATGGTCGCTAAATTACTTTCAGATCATCTAGAGTTTATGTAGATACAACATTTAGAGTATCTCTCTCAAGTTAAGCCCAGACTGCATTGGTCTTGGCCTTTTCCAAAGCTTTATGAACCTTCAAAGCAGCGTCAAGAGTAGCGTATCCATCTTCTTCACCCTTGGCAAACGCCTCGTATACTCTCGCCACGTTCTGTCCCGAATAAGACATCTGACTCAAATGTTCCGGCTCACTTGGGTTGAAGTCAATCTCCTTTGCTTCGCTCCCAAATTCTTTCAGTTTCAGTTTCAGGCCTGTAGGGCCCCAGTGGAATATGCCAGGGTCGCTGGTCAATTCAAGTTCTCCCTTGGTCCCGCTGATGATCCACCGGAAGCCGGTGTTGTCGACTGGCTCAGTAGAAGTGCGCATTGTCACCGAGGCGAGAGCACCGCTTTCCAAGACTCCCTGGAGAAGAATTGTATCCGGAGCCGTGATATGGAAATTTTCTTGGGTGACGTTGCCTTTGTCATCAACGAGCTTCGTTTTGCTGTTTTGGGTTTTGAGGGTCGACTGGATGTCCTTGAAGTCCCCGAGGATGTTCAAATGAGTATCCAAAACTAGGCCTTATCAGCAGTTTATTCTTCTGACCTGGTACGCAAATATTATTAAAGGAAGAACTCACTGTGTCCGACAACCAAATGCAAGCGGCTGATACCAGAGTCAATGTTCAGAAAGATTGACTGCGACTCTGGCCACATGGGTGCAGCTACAAGAGCGTTGTGGCCGTTGAGTGTAGAGAACACTACATCACCAATGGCACCGGACCTGATCAAGTCCTTCATACGTTGAAAAGCAGGATGGGCACGGCCCTGTGAGCCACTGGCGGCCTTGACTCCGGCACTCTTGGCCAGAGTGGCCAACTCCTCAACCTCTGCGACTGTCGGCGCGATGGGAAACTCCACTAGAACATCTTTCTTGTGCTGGAGCAGAGGCTTTACCAGATCGTAATGTTTGCCGATGGCGACAACGATGGAGACCATGTCAATGGTAGGGTCGCTAGCAACTTCATCGAGAGAGCTGTAGGCTTTGACATCGGGGCCAAGCTTGTGCGACTCAATAGACTTCTGGGCGGAGGCAAGGGAAGAATTGCAAATGCCGACAATCTGGTAGTGAGGAGATGATTTGAGAGAGTTGAGATGTTGGATGCCCCATTCGCCCGTCTTGTAGCCCGCGCTGCTGGTTGCGGCGAGGCCGACGATGCAGATTCGGATAGGCGCCATTGCAATTGACGATATTTAGGGCGGAGGTAATTGTGACTGTGTCTTTTTGTTTGTTGATTAATGCTCTTTCGAAATCGTCTTGAGTTTATATACACATCTTTATATACATTTATAAAATCCAGCATTCGGAGGCCAAAGCAACCAACATTGTATACGTACTGACCAGGGATGGCAGCAAGATCCACAAAGTCCGCGGCTGGTCTCCACTTGAACTCCGAGGAATTCGGCCCCTATTTTCCGCCTACATCTCAAATACCGAGTCTATGGGTCGGTAATCCTGAAAAGAGCCAAAGCTAGCTCATTGGCAACGCAAGTTTATTACTAATCCACTGCCATCTACTGAAACTTCAAGGCCAACTCCGAGGACTTTCATTAATTGTTTCTTGAGCTGATCAACTTGTGATTACTGCGCCTCACCATATCCGCGGAAAATTAAGTTCAGCATGCCGTTCCCTCGCCAAAAGTCTTGCACTCACTGCAAGCAGTCAAAGTTACGATGCAACCGCGCAACTCCGACTTGTTCACGCTGTGCAGAGCGCAACCTCCTATGTGATATACGCGACATCCACGTCTCTCCGTATTCGGCCTTGCGCCGAGCGAAAGTCTCCGGATTAGGAGCTGTGGATCAACACAGTAGCTTTGGGGTCCCATCGGCCATCTTTGATGAAGTTTCAGCAACTGGTGCGGCCCTCGATGGTGACAATGAGACTTCCACCTGGATGGCCGTTGACAGTTTCGAAACCGGTCCTCTGGAGCCAAAAAGTTTCGAATCTGGAATTGATGATTTTGGCCTCGAAGATTTTGAAGCCCAATTTGGCCTGCAAATGATGCCCGACTCAGGACACTCAGGAAAGAATGCCATCGATACGTGGACATCTGCCCATGTAGCTACCCCCGGTAACTCTGTTCCAATCTCATGTTGGGATACTCCATCTCTCCTAGGCGAATCTAATCCGGACAAGACCATCGATTCGTGCGACGATATACCGTCCACCCTGGCTGTACGGACTCCCTCCAACACAGAGTCACTACGTAACCGTCCAATCCTAAAAGGCTGCATGTTGACCAACATCATTCTGGGACAAATCACCGGCTATCCAAAGATGCTCGTCCTAGGAGATCGTCTTCCTCCGTTTATCCATGCGCCTTGCTACACAGATGAGAGGCTTGCTCCAGAGTGTGGCGAGATGGGCAAACACCAATGTCTGCCCAAGAGTCTTGCCATTTGTGCCAGCCTGGTGGACATGTTCTATTCGCGGACAGATGCCAACGCGGATTTCGTCTGGCAGACGATATACTCTGAGGGAAAGAGATTGCAAGAAGAGGTATCACTTTCTCTCCTCACGCTCATTGATGCAATTGTTGTTTGTGTGCTTACAACGTCGGCCATTCTCTAGCATAAAACCTCGGACTCATACGGTCAACTTACTGCCCTACAGGCGGTCATTATATATATCCTCCTGCAGGCTCAAGACTCTGAGACAGCAGAAAGAAATGGCGCCAATGCTCTGCTCCTGATTATGATGGTATGTTGACCTAGTTGGTCTCTTTCGGGCAGCTAATATACCGTCCAATGGTATCTACGCGCCGTATTGACATAAGTTAGGAACTCTTCTTTTGCCTCACTGAAAGCATTGACTGGGATACATGTGACTTCACAGAAAGATCGGACAGACAACAATGGGTTTTAAGGGAGTCACTGAGACGGTAATCTCAAATAAACTCGAGCCCCAGGTCCAAAAATGACAATTTCCAACTAACTACTTGTTCAGGATAGTCGCCCTGCTCGGCCTCGTTGAGCTCCTATTTGAAGGCCTGATCCCACCTCACGCGGCTCAAGCCAATCCCCCCTACAAAAACTTCCGGTCGACTCCATTGCCAAGCCAGCGTGACTTGTGGGAAGCCCGTACCAACAGATCCTGGAAGCGAGAACTCAAGCTCTACCTATCGAGCCGGACGTCGCAAGAGGTGCTAACTGTTGGAGACTTGCTCGAGTTGGATAACGCGGGCTGTTTCAAGAATACGTGGAAGAATGAACACGCTTATACTAAGCTACCGGATGCGGTCAGTTGGTGCGGAAACTCGGATTCGTTGGGAATGTTGATTTGGATGGTACTTCCGTTCCAAAAATGGAGAAAGAGGGATGCACTCTGGTGATATGAGGAATATACATGGAATCTATGGTTGGGTTTGCATTGGTGGTTGTGTGTTTCCACGTAGCGAGGTAGCAGAGGAGACATCTAGTAAGGTTCGTAGCAACACCTTATATGTAGTTCTAGAACGGTAGGCCAATCTCATAATATAGATCGACAAGGCAGTTAGTCTACCTACACACAAATAAAATTTATCCAATTACTATATACATGTACCTATTTTCGAAAGTAGCAAAAGTAGCAGAAGTACACGTAGACACCAGTCTCGGCAGCCCACGCTATAGCTGGATTGCTAGATAGAAGAGGATCTATTAACTAGGACAGACAAAACGTACAATTACAATCCTAAAATCCTTCTCCGGCTAGCTATTGGCCCTTTGGAAGGAAGTATCGGCTATATAGACCTAGAGGCAAGTGTGGAATGATATGTATAAATATCCCGGTGTGTATACTGCCTAGGCTTCATACTCTGTCTCCTATCGTAAACCAAAAGTTGTCCCATAAAGATAATTGCGTACTGCATCTTCCTTGAGAGAATAGAATGGTAAATGCACGATGGTCCATCTTGGCACTTTATTTTGATCTTTGCGCAATCCACTCATCCACTGATATTACCTCGTCCACAATAGTTGGCCAAACAAGGTCGGTCGCGGCAAGCTTCAAAGCTTGAGAGAATCCGGCCGTGGCATCGTTGCTATAGACAAATTCTGTCAATTGAAGCCTAGTGTCTCAAGGGTAAAGTGTGCATACATCAATGTAACATTATAACCTCTAATAATTAGAATGAACAAATTAGCAACCATCTTCGCGATTTGGGTTCTCAAGTGCGGCAATTTAAGCTCACAACTCAATGGCATGTCGGGCTGTAGACTCGATGCATGTGTTGGTTACGAGCCCTGCCAGAATAATGTGTGTAATATCTCGTTGGCGCAACTGGTAATCCAGATCGGTATTCGAAAAAGAGCTGCGATTCATTTCTAATTAGCCATGCCGCCATCTAAAATTGAAAGAAAGAAACTGGTACTGCTTACCTGCTATTCCAGTGACGTGAAGCGACAACATCGCCATTGCTCGCTACTGGCTCAAATCCCTCGTGAATTTCCGCTCCCCAGCTGCCCTCGGCGAAGACTTGGTACTCTTGGATGGTGTGGTGGCTTGCTTTCATATGGTTCCATCCCTCATAGCTCCCCTTGCTGTAAGGTTGATGCAGGCCGTAATAGACGGGAACTTCAAGGAGTCTTGCTGCATCAACCAGCTTTTTCAAATTCGGCACTGTGTTTGTTGCCTCGATGCTCTCGCGCCGCTGGGGATACAGTTTGCCCTTGGGATGCATGAAGTCATTGAGCGGGTCAATGACTAGAAGAGCCGTGTTGGGAGACATGTTGAATCCAGATCCGGTATTGAAATCGTAAGATGCCGTTGACAGGTGTTGTAAGTGCGTGCACTGGCTTTAGTAAGGCAACACATATTCTTTGTAACTTGAACGGAATAGACTGGAGTTCTTATACCCCAGAGGCGAGACCAAGTCAGTATCTACAACTCTACATGTAGACCCGACGAGCGTGTAAGCTGCAACAACTGGGGCACAACTCTGTCTGCATCTAGACTTTTAGTTCTGCATTAGTGCGAATGTAGCTGAATTCTGCAGCCACTGACAAACCGCCATTTGCCATAACTTTTCCCAATTGACTGGGGCAAGCCAGGTATCGGCTGCCTTGAAAGGGAAAAGCGCTCCGGCTCACCCTCAACTTTCAAGCCTTGACGACATGCTGACAAAGAAAGAAATGGCCGTGTATCAACGAACTACGTTTCATAAAGAAGCCGATGCTGACCAAGGATCAGTCTGCATGTGCCCTCCATCGCCGAGAAACACTGTGAATCAAATCTGGACAACATGACCGGGGGTTCCAGACCCGTGGAATTCTCTTTTGTCAGCTATCAGGGTCCAGAAGTGCCTCAGGATGCCGCGGATCAAACCGTGATACGGCATCATGCAAGCCGGAATGTGGCAACGACGAGGCGCCAAAGGAATAATTATGGGGGACAGAATCAACGACAATATCGCGTGGTCTACATGAATGAAGGTAAGAGCCTAGAAGACGCCTGCATACGCACAATTTCAACGGAGAGACTCTGCACTTTGGGCTTAGGTCGAAGCTGAACTGATGTTGTGAATCTCACAGATTGCCAGCATCTAGTTCTTTATTCCCCGCTTCAAACGCCCGGTGAGCCCGAGATGAACAAGTACTTTTCGATGATGAGCTTGGTATCGCCAATTGTTGGTCTGCACCTCGGAATTGCGACATTATCACAGTTTGCAACAGACGAGAGTCTCGCTGGCGACGTGTTTCGGGCACCACTACCATTTTCAAAAATGGATAGCCGGCAGCTACTCTCATTTATCCCCTCTCGATATACCACCATATGCTCGGTGACCCATGCAGTAGACTGTCTCGCCACAAGACTCGAACAGATCATGATCCACGCCACTTTAAGCGGTAGGCAAGAGGTGATTGTACTGCAACACTACACCAGCGCGCTTCGAGCCACTCAGGAGGCCATAGACAACGAAGCCAAGCGTACGGCCCCAGAAACATTGTGTGCAACAGAACTTTTGGGCATCTTCGAGGTGCGTCCATCGCCGTTATTATTCGCCACCACTGATTGCTAGTCATGCAATAAGTACTTGTATCTAATTCGTACGGTATAGCTATTAAAAGCTCAGCCAGATCGTCTAGCTTGGATGCGGCATGTGGCTGGGACTACCCAACTAATACGGCTTCGGGGTCCCCATCGGTTCCATTCCGAGTTTGAGCTGGCACTCTTCATGGCACACGTTGGGCCCATGGTAAGTGCTCCAACCCTGATTACTCTGATGTCAGTGCGCTAACTTTGATTGACCAAGGTCGTAGAGGCGTACTTGGATATTAAAGAATGTTTCCTAGTAGAGGAGCCCTGGCAGAAGGTCATGCATGCTGCAATTCACAGCGACTCATCAATCCCCCCGGATCAACGTGATCTTGTCTATGAACTGTGGTCACACATCGTTCAAGGGCCAAACAACTTTGTCTATATAGCAAATCTCATTCTGTCCTCGACACCACCAACTGAACAGGCAATATACAACGCTGTCAGGTGCCTCCAGAGAGATGAAGACCATTTGAGAAGGTGGCTCGAAATGGCACGAGATTTGGAGCTTGTGGGGAGCGCAGCAGAGCGGCAAGGAGTTTTCTTTACGCCCAGTCTTTGGAGTGGCAGCGCCTGCAATGGCCCTCTCGAGCGTATACTCTGCCCTGTGCTGCAGGGAACATTTCTCATGTGCTATATCATCAAGGCCCGTCTCTTGGCATCCATCTCACCTAATCAATTCCACTTTGCCGAATTGGAATGCCAGGCCTTGGCTGATGAGATATTAACTCTAGAGGCGGACCCGGCTGTCTACAAGGATGGCGGCATCTTCGCGGGCCTATTCCTGTCACAGACTCTGTGGGTAGCCCGAGCCATCCGCGACACCAAAGATCTATGGGCGAGCTCTGTTGCCAGATACGCCGTAGAAGCTGCTGCTGGAACAGACGGAATGATTGAAAGCTGGAAATTCCGGAAATGGTGTGATGAAATGCGAAAGGGGTGAACTCATGATGTAATTTTAGAGAAGGAAGAAGCTAGTAGGCCATAGACTTAGACGTCGTTGGGCGACGTACAGGTAGCATTTATAATGTGCTCAAAGGAATCATATAAGATCCCGTCTCTGAAAGAAGCTCCTCTTGATTGAGTAGAAAAGGAATTGTTAAGAGAGAGGTAAGCTCATCCAGAGCTGGATTTGAAGCAGACCGCATACTCGATGAATGTAGGCAAGATCAGACACTGGCTGTCTCCATGGAAACTCACAAACAGTATATTATATAAATTGTCACACTTGATATCTTGAGAAAAGTTTCTATTCCAGCCATCATCTGAAACGTAACTTTTTCCGATGGTAGAGTCTTCATGATAACATGTCCGCTTTTATATCCCTTACCCAGAGAGACAGGTCAACCTACTTGGGTCAGTAATATAACCCAGCCGATGTAGCCAAAACAAACGCCGTCCCACCAAAACCGGCAGCTAAGCCAACTAATTACCCAGTCCCTGACAGACCCTCTGCAACCTGGAAGAAGGCTCCTTCGCGCCGTAATTCAATGGTAAATGAAAGACTTCTCCCCTGACTATCGCAAAACCACCACTGGAGAGGCTCTCCAGCGGTAGATGTTGCAAAAGGCATTGAATCGGAAGCGAATCCGGTGCCCGGTGGTCTTAAATTCGCGCAACCGATCCCTTCCGGCTTTGCTTTACTACTAAAAGACGAAGAAGCCAGGCAGACACTTCTTCGCTCAAACCAACCATGGAGTATTGAGATCCAGACTCAGTGGCATCTATAAGTTTATTATCATATTTCACATATGCATTGGCATTGGGCTTATACCACTGAGACTTCTTGGAAGCCAATGAATGGGTTATGGAAGGGCAGTGCAGGAGTCAAGAGGAGTATTTCTTTTGTAAAGACAGACTCGCTGACATCGCATCGTTGGTCGATTAAGTTTATTAATATCAAGTATCTGGTATTAAATGGTGACCCAAAGAATTTTCTACATGTCCAAGAGCAATGAATACGTTTTGCTTCACTTGGCATCGATGCTTTGGTCGCAGGAAATATTATCATACGATTCTACTTTCAGAGCCAAGCATGGCATAATTGAAAGATAATAAACTTCGAATGAGGTACTTAGCAGGACCCGGAATTTTCCACTCCCTATAGCAGTATGTGCTAGCAATTATACATATTTTTATTTATGTATAAAATTAGTGCCACTGTGAAAAGAATAGGATCATTTTTAGACTAGAGTCAAAGGACAACAAAGCGTTAAAGGGAGGCAGTTCATGTAGACACGGTTTTGTTTCGTGCCATAATAAGCGGTTCACGGATCTTGTGGATGTCAAGAAGTGCTGCTTAAAATTATGCCTAAGATGCTATGTAATAGAGTTGAACTATGCTTGCAAATAGGAAGCCCATAGCATATAGCATATAGCAAATAACTATATTTTTATTTATAATATAAAGGCTATTTTCTTTGCGTATTATTCTATCTTAAAGTAAACTAATATCTTTGTGCTTATTATAACGCTTTTAATATTATATGTATATGGTTCTATACTGTGAAAAAGTGTTATAATATCTATCTTTTCTTATAAATTATCCAAAATTCCCATGCAAACCTACATGTACCCTTTCATATGTCTTTTATGTTATAGCTTTTCCGAAAGTTCTTTATCTGATACAAAATGCGCTCCTCCTTCGCATCGATATCCGCTTCCTTCTTTGGTCCAGGAATACCCATTTTCGCAACGACCCATTTCTCGAAGAGTCTTTTGGATCTTTTTCTCCTTTTCTATTTCCAGCTGGCCTTTTTCAAATAGGCCTTGGTATTTTTCAATATTTTCCTTGTCTTCCTTCTCTTGAAAAAGCGCTAATTGCCGCCCCAATGTTTCCACTCCTTGTACTCGCATCCTATGTTTGAGTGATTGATCTCTTGTCTTGTTGCAAAGATTTTGCCAGTTCGCTTCTGTGACTCCTTCTTCGCGCGCAATAAAACGTTTACTTGATAGTGATTCTTGTTCTTGGTCTCCATCTATTTTAGGGTTGCCAGCTTTCTGCGTTACAGAAGATCTTGACTGAGCGTGAGTCTTGTACCTCGACAAGACATGATGCTGTGCGCTCGTGTCAAGGCTAATGTTATTGTTCATGGCCCCATGCATATAGTTGTAGGCTGGCTTGGATTGTAGTGGCTCTGTAGCCTGTTGTTGAACCTCAAGGGCTGGAGCATTTGAGCGGCGATCAGCTCCCGATGCTCGCGAACGGTTCCTTCTCAGAGTAACCATCAGTTTCAAAGTCTCAGCAACATCACTACATGTAACTGAGAACTCGTGCTGCGAATCACTCGGCTCAATCGTACTAATAAATCGCCTGATGACTTGTTTGGCTAGATTCTTAATGTCGCGGGCGTTGCTCCAACTTTGTTGGGCGGTTAGGGTGCCGAATAGGTTTCTGACTTTGGCGTAATCCTCTGAGCTTGTATCTCTGAGAGCATCAGTCTTGATGCCAGGCACTGAGCTTTCCAGATCCTGTAAAAGCATTTTTATGCAGTTATCAGGTGGAATTTCCGTAAAAGTTATTTCCTCAGGGAAGAGGCCAGAGAGCGTCGGGTATTGCGCCAGGAGCTTGTTCATATCGGCCGTTGAACCAGTGAGAATGATCACCATTCTACCATGATTAGAAGGATCTGCAAGAAATTGTAGTAGCTCTTTGACCGCTTCTGCTTCAAACGAACCGCTCACAAGCCGACCACTCTCGCTAATGATCAACACGCGACCCAGACTCTCTTGAAGCCTTTTTCGTGTCTTTGGTGCAGTGTGGCCTACATACTGGCCAATGAGATCAGTTGCTGAGCACTCGACTACTTCTTTACTTGAAACGAAACCCATGTCGTAGAATATTTTGCTCATATGACGAGCTGTTGTTTTTTTTCCAGTGCCTGGCATACATGTAAATGTTAGCAACAATCTGTCTCTCGGTCTGTCTTTGCACATATCTACATCTTAACGACATATATAGACTTTTTTATGTGGGGATAGAAAGATATGATGCTGAAGACATATTGTAAATAGGGTGTGCGGGCTGTAGTGTGTTGCACACTTACCTGGCGGGCCTTTAAATATAAAGTTCGTTGAAACAAGGGATCTCGGGTCTAGCTTAAGCTTCTTTGCCATATAGTAACTCCGTTGGTAGCTAACAAGCTGATCAAGAATGCAGCTATCAACTAGGCCCTCAAGCGTTTTGTCACGGGCAGGTTCCATAGCTCCCCTTTGGAAAAATTCCGGATCAACGTCAACGGCCTCCAAGACGGTTACGGTTAGCTTCTCTTCAAGAGATAGTTGAGATAGACGAGTCTCGTAATTCATCTTAGCCGTAGTAAGCACGCTATTAACCTCGCCAGCATTAGTGAAATCAGGTCGCATGAGGGCCTGCATAAGCAAATCTCGAGCGGCGTCGATTGCATCGGTAGTGCAAACGAGACCATCGTCCGACATTTTCAGTCGTAAAATATGTATTAGCTGGTCGATAGTAAAGTTTGTGAAGTGAAAGGGATTGTTAACAGGGAAGCGTCGCGAGAGCCCAGGGTTGGCATTTTGAAATAGATCGCGAATCTTGTCTTTATAACCAATGAGGATGATACACCGGTCTTCGCCAGGGACACCTTGGGTCATGGATACAATTGTATCGATAATGCCTGTTTTGAACTGATCTTGATTCTTTTGCGAGTCGCCAGCATCGAGCATATATGCCTCGTCAATGACTAAGACCTTGCCGACTGTAGATTCAAGGATCATTTTTGTCTTGGCCTCTGACATTCCGACGCAATTTCCAACAAAATCAGCTGGAGTTTTCAAGATTACTAAGAATGAGTTAGCTAATTAATTCGACGTTGACTATTAATGTATAACCTACTATCACCGCGACTAAGATAACCTAGGTCGCTTAGTATTTGTCCGTAAAGCTTGGCGACAGTTGTTTTTCCTGTGCCGGGCGCCCCGACGAAGACTTGGTTCAGTGAGAATTTGAGGGGAGGCTCTTCGCGCAACTCCCTTTGATAGTTAAGCTCTAACATGCCGATTAAGCGTTCTGTAGATTGCTTAACTTCGTCAAGCCCGATAAGTCCCTGTAGTTCGATCCAGGCAGGACACTCTCTCGCCGTCACTGAAGGGTTGGGCCCAATTAGGTCCTCTTGAGTAAAGAAAAAACAGTCTGGGATTTGATCCCGCGACTTGATCTTCTCCCGTGTTAGTCTTTGGGCTTGCCGCTGTCTGATTCGAGCAAGCAGATTTTCGACAGTGCGAGCGTTACCAAACCCGCGACTTCCTCGGCACTGAGCCAAGCGACGAATGGCAATTCGCACATATAGACCATCTAAACTGCCTTCAACACGCATGCGGCCCTTGTACTGCTTGCGAAGTTTGTCCGTAAAAATATTCCAGAGTTCGCCATCATCAAAGTCAGCAAAGTTGATGGTGTAAGGAATCCGGCTTTCTAGGCCTGGATTATGCTCAAAAAAGGGGATCATTTCATCTTTATACCCCACAAATACAGCTGCAACACCGCCAATATTATTTTCCAAAGCAGTGAGAATAATATCAAGCGCTTGCTTGCCGCCCCGATCTGTATGATCGGCCATGAGCTGATAAGCTTCATCAATAAAGATGACGCCTCCTCCTTCATCTCCTTTTATATTTCCGATAATTCTTTGTATGCCCCTTGCACCTTCTAATGCCAGTTGGGCACCTGAAGTCTCTTCGATATATTCGGAATCTAGAATTTCCTCATCGTATAGAAACTTGGCATATAATCTAGCGACCGTCGTCTTACCTTTTAAAAGGAGAATATATTAACATGGCTATTGAGCAAATGGGAAATTATCATTTAGTGCTTACCTGTTCCAGGGTTTCCCTGGAAGACGACATTAAATCTCTCCAAGCTCAGGATGTTCATTGTTCCATCTGGGTCTTGCTCTTTACAAATCTCCACCTTAGATTTGACGTCAAGGAAGAACTGTTTGACCTCTTCCAGCCCCTGATACTGCATTAACTCATCCAAAGCATTGGATTCCTCGCCATATTGTTTCCTTCGATCCCACTCCACTGCAGCTGCGGAATTTTTGCGCTTGAACAGCGTATCCGCTGATTTAACTTGGTTGACAATTCTCGGCTGAGAGTTGTGACTGAGTCCCCTGGTATTTGAACCGTCGCTATTCTCGCCAGAGGAGAGTTCACCAATCGTTGTGGACCGTATCAATTCAAAAAACCCATTGGAATTATCGGTAGATTGTTCTATGGCATCCCACTCCTGTGCGGCTGTGGAGTATGTACGTTTAAGCTGATTGAGCGGTGTAGTTGGTTCAACAACAGTTGGCTGCTGAGAGATGCAACTTGATCCGCCAGAAGTAGAGCTGTGATTATGTATGCCTTCGCTAGAGAGACGGGCTATAATCTCCATTTCGAATTCTTGCCATACCTCCACAGGGGGATAGCTCGGATATTGAATGGAGGAAATAGACCTTTCAATGAGGCTACCACTAAGTGGAAGCGCCTCTGACTCTGCGGATCTAGTAGAGTCTGGAAGATTTGGACAGTTCTGAACAGTGCCCGACAGAGACATGTAATCGAATGATGATAAACCCGCTCACAACTCTGCCAAAATGAAAGGAGAAAGAATCCTCAAGTCCAGACTGACAGGGAGCCCCTAAGGTTTTATGCGAAAATCAGTTTCAGGCTGATATTTCGAGCTAGAATGATAGTTATAGGAAAAAGAAATGGTGTTGAATAAGAATAGGATAAATGAGGAGCCCAGTCGCCTTTGTTTTCGTGATCGAAAATAAGTGCTTCTGATGTGGTAGATGACTTTGATAACTCCAGTTGGCTTTTCTGAACGCCTATTGATGCCTAAATGTATGGACATGCATATTCAGGAATCGACATCGCTTAGAGTGCAGCCAATCGAAATCTCGGAAAGCTTCGTCTCGGTGGCCCTCAAGCCAAATGGAGCGTGAGACGATACTGCCCACTTAACGATTTAGTATCATCTATCTCTTTGTTTGTCAAATGATAAATTGAATAAGAATATATTACAGAGGCAGAGCTCACTTGCATTTTGAACAACTAACAACAAGCACATTGTCACCCAATGATACAGCGGAGATGGAATACATGCACATAAGGGATGAATGCCACAGCCTTGGTTAGGCACCAGCGACGTTGTATCAGGTTAAAAGACGTGGCAGCTCTTTATTGGAAGTTGTATCATATGCATGTCAACGGTGGCTTTTAACATTGCCCAGCGCAACCGTCAAATCTTAAGCGTTTATTGGAGGACAAGAGTGAGATGCATTAGTCTCTCTCTCTCCTCGTACAGTAAGAATGACAAACGTGGCGTTTTTAGGACGACGACAGCCGCATGTGGACAGGGAACAGGGGACCAACTAAGCCTCGACGCAGATGCGGTGTGGATGTCAGCAATCTTTTTCCAGTGCATACTGCGCAGCAAGGCTTTCTATATGTAGGCAGCAGCCCTAGAGGTTTGTTTTGTCGCCGCCAACCGCTCGGAATGGAGACACTTGGTTCCCTTGAAAAAGAGGTGAGCGGTATTCTTCATTCATTCATTCGTAACTCGTAATAACGCTCAGTATATGATACGTTTCGCAGATCAGAATTTTAACCTGAAATGATATCAGCCCGACTGCTCTTATTCTACCAACCGATTTAAGTAAGTATTCGATATAGGCAGACTATTAGGGCACTCTAACCTGTGTATAGATCAAATACCCAATGGAGTGCGACAAGTTGCTGCTGCCACCCCATCAGCCTATCTTTCAGGCTGCGTTGCCGGATGACTTGAGCAACTGCTTACAAAATCCAAAGTCAAAGATTCAAGAATACCAGAGCCATATTGACAGCATCATTGATAAAAGCCTGAACATCCCCTATGAGACGACTTCGGATCTATACGTGGCTAATGTGCTGGATGACATGGGAGAGTATCTGGCCGAAAGATATGAATCTACCACAGATACATCGTATCTCCAAAAGTCTATTCAAATAGCACGAAATGCTATGGAAGCCACTCCATTACATGATGGACATTGGCATAGACGACTGTATACCCTTGGATATCGGGCCATTGATAAATTTCTACATACACACACATTGGCGGATCTTGAGCAAGCCATTTGCGCTTTACAAACAATAATTGATGCCGATACATCAGATGATCTAAACTATACTTTAACGATACAGTCTATCGGATGGTTAATGAATGTCAAATTCCATGAGACAAGAGATGTGGCAGATCTTGACAGGGCCATTAGCATGATGCAGGATGTTATTGATAGAACTCCACCAAATCATCCAAACCGGTCAGATTTTCTATCGATTCTTCAAACATCTTTATATTACAGATACAATTACACAGGAGAAACAGCAGATATTGAAGAGGGAATCTGTCTAGGTCAAGATCTTACAAGTGCTGCGCCGCTAAATCACCCAGAGCGAGCGAGTCATTTAATTTCCCTGGCAACTTGCTTTTACAGTCGGTATTCTGGTACTAAAGATATCGAAGATCTCAACAAAGCTATCACTTTGTCTCAAGAGGCTTATATAACTGTCCCTCTGACTCATCAAGTCACGGTTGGTTTACAACATGGGCTGATTCTCTTCACAAAATATGAACATTCTGGAGAAATGGCCTTTCTTGAGGACTCTATTCATGTGTTTTTCAGGGCGGCCGAAGCTTGCCCAATAGATGATCGAAAGTGGCCCATAGTATTGGGGACCCTTGGAGATCTGTTAAAAGCTCGGTACTCTTGCACGAACGCATTAGCAGATGTCGACGCCGCTGTTATTATGTGTCAAACTGCTATTGCCACCCTCCCAAATCATGATTCAGAGCGAGATCACATACTAGTCAAGCTTGGGATGAGCCTAAGCGACAGATACAGACATACTCGTGCGGCAACCGATCTTGAAGAAGCTATTTGCGCATTTCAAGAAGCTCCAAACGCTACCTCTTTGGACTCTAAAACTTGGTTTCCGATGTTGAGCAAATTTGTGTTTTGCTTAAATGAAAGATTCTCTTGCACGAAGGAACTTTCAGACATCGAAAAATCTATTGATCTGTTACGAGAGAGTATTGGATCGATACAGATGAATGACTCACAGCGAGCACGTATATTGGGCTTTCTCGGATGTTGTCTCAACATTAAATACACGCACACTAGCGCATTAATAGATCTTGATGAATCTATTTGCGTAAGTCGAGATTCTCTTGAAACCTTTCCACCGGACGATGAATTACGAATTGAACAATTACATATTCTTGGAACGTATCTGGCTGAGAGATATTCCCGCACCGGAGCGACGCCAGGTAATAATGAAGCCATACTTCTGCTTCTTTCAGATCTTGGAATACCTACAACGAAAAATTATCGTGCGACAGCCATTGAAGATCTGAATGAAGCCATTTTTATATTTCGAGAATACCTCGAGGCTATGCCACCAAATTACCATGGCCGATTCAAATCGTTACAACAACTTTCAAACATCCTAAGCCAGAGATTTGAACACTCAGGAGAAATAGCGGATCTTCAGGAAGCTATTCTTATTTCACGAGAGGTGCTTAACTCTATGCCTATTTCTCTAGACGTTTTGATAAAGGCTAAAGTGTTGCACGGCGTTGTGGGACAATGTTTCAAAAGGTATCTATCTACTGGAACAAAAGCAGATCTTGATGAACTTATTCGTATAACTCAAGATGCTGCTGATACAGCCCCGGAAACCCATCCTTTTCAATGTCAAATGTGGTGTCAACTTGGAGCGTATCTCAATGACAGATATACTCGTGCTAAGATCATTACAAATTATAAAAGCGCGCATCGCATGTTTCCGAATGATCCCGAGGCAGTTACTATCAAACTTTCCAAGGGTTACCCATATTCAGTATTGACAGTACCGAATGACATGAAGCTACCGACTGAACTGGAAGTTGGTCTGAAGAATGGGTTCTTGCACATCGAAGAAACCGCAACTTTGACAGATGTCGAAGATGGTCGAAAGTATCTGGTTTCTGCTCTTTACCATGAATCAGGAAATCCCATCGTCCGATTTTTTGCTGGTCATATGGCGATGATGTCATCCGATTTCATAAACTATCCGCAAGCATACGACGTGGTAAAATATACAATTGACTTAATTCCCTTGCTAGCACGTCGAGATTTCCCAAATGCGCTGAAGCAGTTTATTCTCTCTTGCGTTGCTGGAACCTCATCAGATGCAGCTGCGATTACTCTGCAAAAACTCCCCGACGATGATCGCTGTCTTGCCGCGATTGAGTGCCTCGAGACAGGTCGTGGGCTGATTAGCAGAGGCCTCCTTGAGCAGCGTGACTTATCTACTCTTAAGAATCGCTATCCCGATTTGGCTGATTCCTTTCTCATTTTGGAAGACCAACTTTATCAGCCATATGACCCAAATACGCTCAATGGCACGAACATGAATATCAAAACCGAAAAGAATAGGATAGAAAAGGATTTTGTCACTCTTCTCGAGACAATCCGCTCAAAAAATGACTTTGAACGTTTCTTACTCCCCGCATCGAAGGCTGATATGGTGCAGGCAGCATGCGAAGACAAGATTGTCATTGTAAATCTGAGTGTATTTCGCTGTGATGCCTTGATCATCGAGAAGTCGGGTCTCAGGGTCTTGGAGCTGCCATACATTTCTCAAGGGGCGCTCTCTGAGTTGTTATTGATTGAAAGATTCAACGATATTGAATCTCCCGGAACACTTGCCTGGCTCTGGGATGATATTGTATGTCCTGTGCTTGATGCTCTCGGCTTCACTGAGACCCCATCGAAAGAGTCGAAATGGCCTCACGTGTGGTGGATACCGATGGGCTTACTGACCGAAAAGTTGCCACTACATGCGGCTGGACATCATTTGAGACGCAGCGGCGAGACAACGCTTGACAGGGTTGTCTCATCATACGCCACATCTGTCAATTCTATCATTCATGGTCGTCAACGGCAGGCGCCAACACTGTCTGAACCGATCAATCTGGTCACTGTAGCCATGGAAGAGACAGACGGACAAACAAATCTCATCCATGCACAGCGCGAGATTGATGCTATATCAAATATACTGGAGCCGGAATCAATAAACAATTACCGGCCTGCGCCATATAGAAATGACGTCTTATTGGCCATAGAGACTTGCCAGATATTTCATTTTGCTGGTCATGGTGAAAGTCACCCCACGAATCCATTGCAGAGTACACTGCTCCTTAGGGACTGGCAGGATAATCCGCTTACAGTTGCAAGCTTGTTAGAGACTAATGTTAATTCAAGTCAACCTTTTCTCGCATATCTCTCAGCCTGTGGAAGTGGTCAGACAACGTATAGGGAGTCCCTAGATGAGAGCATACATCTAGCAAATGCTTTCCAACTCGCTGGATTTCGTCATGTCATTGGAACTCTCTGGAGTGTTGATGATGAGTTATGCGTGGAAATTGCTCAAATGACATATAAATCTCTAAGGAGGGGATTACGAGATGAATTAGTGAGTTGGGGGCTTCACGATGCTGTCAGAACCCTTCGAGACCGGTGGGTTGATAGAGCAGATGGGGGGGCTGGAAACGCGAGTCAGACACGAAATCTATCAAGAGAAGGACGTCATGCTCAACTGGACGACGACATAGAGCCGGGACAACCACTTTGGATTCCATATGTTCACTTTGGAGTTTGATATGAGGCATTAACTAGTTATATCACGGGCCATGATTTCTGTACGGGACTCAACAAAACACGGAAGATTATATAGAGTAGTTCTATTGAAATCCAAGTTTTAAGTCATCACTTCTTGAAAATAAAGATATAAATTTGATAATGTTTGGTGTCGCGTTTTGCCACCGCACCACGTAGTAAAGGTGCAGCACAAGAACGCGGCGGCGCCACTCATGTCGTATATAGCCTGCACTCTGACTTTAACATGGTAGCTCATGCCAGTACAAACGCCAAATCACATTCATTCACAAGAGCCCGTGATTATCTTCTGATCGTCTGACCACCAGTCAACATCTGGTCCAAAAACAGCGGAGCTCTCACGTGTAGAAGACGGCTTTTGGAGAAAGCTGGTCAGACTAGCATCCCAGATATTTGGCTGTTCCAGACTCTTCCAGGAGACAGGCCTACGCCTTGTAACCAGCGTACGGATAATATCTCGACGAAAGGTGCGACAGAGAGATTTTTTGACCCATTCAGGTCCGTCGGGGAGCGCCATAGAGAAGTTGAAAGACTTCACGCTGCCCGGGCTTATGGTCTGGGGATAGTCTCTGGAGGGATAGAGCTGTTCAATGCTGAAATTTGGGCTGAGCACTATGACCGTGATGTATAGCTCGTCATCGCTCTTGTTCTCGAACATGAACTTGAACTTTTGGTTAAGCGGATATAGATTGGCCACGGGGCCGTTATTCGCCGGCTTGATATCCACACTGAACGGCGGTGGCTCCAAGCTGGATGATTGAAGGAGGAGAATCTGTCGGAATCGGGCGAGGTGCGCGAGGGCGAGGGCGGCTTCTGCGGCAAGGTCTTTTAAGCTGCCGTGTCTGAGATTTAGTGGCCGTACAGGATCCTTGGTTCCAGTCAGCCACGCAGGTCCCTGGATCACGGCGTCATCCTCGCCTAGCTTGTCCAGCTTTAACACGTCCGTCTCGTTCTTGATAGAGTCAAGGAGCTTGATAGGACTGACTATTCTTTCTTCGAGCCGATTTTGTAGCTTGTTCCGAAAGTCTGAACCAAACGCGGGATCCACATACACTCGGAGACCTTCTTCACCCAGACTCCACCGAGAGGAAATGACAACAGGTCGGCCTTCCTTCAGCTTTAGCGAGAACTCGTCAGATACTATTGCATTGCACTGGAATTCTTCAACTTTGTTCACAGATAGAGCAACACCATAGATTTCTGGCAATACCCTGAACTCAGACCCTACATTAATCCCGTGTGCCCTACCAGCTGGGATGACGACTTTGTTGTCCTGTAATTGCATGACCAGCGGAGTAACAGAAAAAGGTTCATAGCTTCCAAAGAAGAGCAACCTGTCACGGCCATAGACAGCTGGGGTCTGGCCTTCAAGTCGCATATTGAGCTGGTCTGATATCATGCGATATGTCACGTTTAAACATCCTTTGCCATTATTGTTGCTCTTTCTTAGGTATTGTAGCAGCTCCCATGTAAAAGCGCCGTATAATTTGCCATTTATGGCCTTCTCCGCTGCTTTCTCCTTAATGCCGCAGGCTGCTATGAGCGTAAAAGAGTTGGGGTTGATTGACCAGGATGATTCCATCCCAGCATCACGGAGAACAAGCTCCATAATGTTGTGCGAGTCTGCTGTTGTTTGGTCTTCAATGGGGAGGTTTGAGGGAACAGAAAAATTGTTTGGCGTGCGATAGGATATGTATTCACCAGTCGTTCTCCAGGAGCCCCCAGAGTAGCAACTATCGAGGGTGACAACGATCTGGATCCCTTTTTTGTTAAGCTTTCTCAACCACTGGTTGAGCTTCCACCCGCGAACTGCTGGCTGCCCGCAACAAAAATCAGCTGTAATTAGAGAAGGTTCTTCCATTCTGCTGCTTTTGGGAGAATCCTTTTGCCGAGGAAGAAGTGCCCCGTGCCCGGAATAGTGGAAGAAGAAGAAATCGCCAGCCGCTGCATTTACATAGACGGCATCAAACTCAGCTTCTATATTGGCAAACGTCGGTAAGCGATTCTGTGGCTCAACTGAACTTCCAGAGCCCTTTTCTTCATCCTTGATGACGGCAACAGGCGAAGAGAGGATAGAAATCTTTTCGAATTTGTACTCATCACGAAGAAAATCGTTGATGGCTTCCACATCGTTTTTGCAACCGCGGAGATTGTGAAGCGACAATTTCCGATATGTAGACGAGTCTCTTGATCCATCATTGAGATACACGTCTATGCCAATCAAAAGCGCATATCGCTTCGGCATGTCTGTGCACATGATGCTTTATGTTAGTCTTGTAAATGGTACCCTGATGACAGTTATACTTATGATGATACCCAATTGCTTCATGCTTTTCATTCAAGCCATATATATAGACATGCATGAGATCTAGAACGTTGGGCGTAATACTCCGACCTTGGGTATCTACGCATGAGTACATGCATATCGGTTACATTGGGTCAAGACAGGTATCTACATAGAGGTACCTAATGCACATAGGGAGGTGTCTAAATCGTATAAGAAGCGACCTTGTTGCTCAATACCCAAGGCAAACAGCTAGGCGTATTGGGGACGGGTTGGAAGCCATCATGGACACGCGTCGACGCGTCGTTCGCTACTTACCAGCTATTTGTCTCCACATCGCTGTAACCTGGCGGACTTGCTAGATCTCATTGCGTCATTCGATATCCCAAGGCTTCTACCCAATTTAGACTCCCTCATGAGAGTGAGGGGAAACACATAGAATCACGTCACTACATGCATTTCCGCTGATTTATCTTCTTTCCATATCATACAACCATCGGCTTGGATCGCTTTCTATGTTTTCTAACATCAAACACTCCGCGCTGTGAAACATCATGGCCGAGGAAAATCGGATCGATAAAGTATATGCACGGCTTATGCGCATCCATCCATATGGATGGGGTCTATATAAAAAGGTGACGACTCATGATATACACCCAGGCAGTTGTGGTTATTTTGATTTGGAAGGTGATTGGAAATCTATCATCGATCTGTCGAGCGAGCAGGATCTCATTAGCCAGGGATGGAAGATCCCTGATGACGAGATTTTCGATAATAACGGCCCAGGATCGGCGACATGGGGTCCTAAAACCTCTAGCTCCGTTCAAAGTTGTTCCATTGGAGGTACGGTCAAAGCGGAGTCAGTTCTCTCTACATACCTCCCACGTCTACTTACCTTATTATCAATGGCGCATCCTACATGCATGCTAACTGTTCATCAGTAACACCGTTGCTTCACTCAAAACCTCCATTACTGTGTCCTATAAGAGTAATAGCAGCCAAGGTGCCGTTCTCTTTACTGAAAGCCCTATTTTAAGGCATCAGATAGGTAGTGAGGCAAGTGCCCTGCAATGGATGTCTGAAAACTCATCCGAGATGATGCGCAGACATAAACAAATAATCAAGGACCGCGGTGTGTGGATTGTGACAAAAATATACTCAACACGCCGGTGCGCTATTGCCATCATGACTGGCAGATCATCTTCCGTCGAGATTAATCTTGACAATTCCCAAGGCTTATTGACCCTGGCACCCAGTAGTGCCTGGACTAACAGCTCTGGAAGCTCATGTACAGAGCTACATGAGGATGAAAATAGAGTAGTCGTTTTTATTAGCGGCATCTACTTCTCAAAAAAACCGCTACGATCGAAACTGAGCCGTTCTCAAGGCCAGGAGAAGCAAAAGGATAAAATCTTCCGCGGGAGCAGCGACGAGTCTACGGATGAGGATGATACGAATAACGAACTAAATGTTGAATGGTACCCGAATTTTGATGAAGATGATGAGGGAGAAGAATCAGATGATGAATTCACATGAGCGAAATGATACCTAGGTAGCGTTGGTAATGACCCCGCATGTATCATGTAGAAGCTTAGGTACCTACCTAGGTAGGTAGGTAGACTGCACAGAAAGAGAGTGGCGATTCAACTACTAGGTACCAAACAGTCAGAGTTCAAATGTTGTAGCCAGATGCACCATCTAATTGCTCCATAATTATTTTAGCATCTGTTGCTGTCGCTACCGTCTTCTAGTGTTTATTAAAGCAGCTACCATTCTCCCAGGTTGTGGTATGAGTACTTACATAGGCAAGCGACTGTATGCGAGTACTAGGTAGGTAATCTAGGGACAGGTTTAGGCAGTTTGGTGGACGGCCGCTCCTTGAATAATTTAACAAATTGTAATTATACCAGAACGCAAGGTTGCAGTTGTATAACATAAGTGATAGCATATATTGCATGCCTTGAATAAAATTAGGCCGAAATTAGATGTATAAGATTACTTGTATTATACAAGAAATACGATAACCAATTGTTTCTTATATTGAAAGTATAAGTCCTATATTATTATTAAATTCATCAATAATATGCAGAGTACAAGTATGCTTGAGACTGATAAGCTGCCACATTAGTGATATGAACTCCTCTGTAATCTTAGTGAAAGCGGGGAACAGTTCAATGTTCCCGGAGCTAACCCAGGCATTGCTCCTACCACTGACATCTTGGCTATACTTTATGACCTCACCAAATGATAGATGTATATGAGAAGCCTGGTGGGAAAAGACTGGAATTTGGCGTTCGATTATAGGTAAGCAGTCAACCTTGGAAGACCCCTTTATATGTTTGGCTCTGCTATCATGCCTCCGGATTCTCCGAAATTCTGCACAAGCAACGTAACCTAAATCTACTGGTATCCTCTATGTTATTCCTAAAATAGACTGATACTGCGCCCTCATCGAACATCTCCTGAGCAAACGTCGTTACCGCTGGCAAGGACTTCTAAGCAGACTTGCGGTACCTGCAAAAGAGGACTATCAAGCTCTATAAAACGCTTTTCCAATACCTAGGTAGGTACTAGATAAAGCGTGTTTGCTCCTACTTTCGACAGGATGTCCCAAAGTAGGAACGAATTAAACTACACTTACTTTTACCCCAACCAGCTCAATGCCCAAAAGTCTGACTATATAATTCAGGTGATTGACCTGAGAAGAAGTTGTGCAAAGATATCCGTTTCAACTCCCCCCTCTCAAAGTGCCGCGAATTCAGCCTTTGAGTCTCAGCAACAACCTGTAGCGGCACCACGATCCAGGCCAGATATCTATAGCACTATGCGTGGTAATATAGACACAAAGTCTGGCCCCAGCACTCTTGCACAGCTTTCAGGCTTGGCCACCTTCAAGACCTTCAATGAAATAAAGTCTCTCATGCTACCAAAACCAGACAGTCTTACACTACCCGAAGATAGAGAGTAACGACTACCATCAAAGGAAGACGATGCCACCCGCGAAGAAGGGGTCTCAGATGTAGATTGGAAGAATTTTTGCGAAACAAAAAAGAGATTAGAATTTAGAAAAAAAATGCGGATGTTCATGGTGGAGACACTTGAACAGCAATTACGATCTTTTGAGGAAAAGGAAGACGCGGAAAACGTTCAATTATATCGAGATCGGCTTACAAAAGTACAGGGGGGTATTAATGATGAGGAAAAGATCCAAAATGCTCTTCAAGTTATGGGCCGGTGCGAAGCTGGGTACTGTTGGACTAAACAGGAGGGAGGTTATCGGTGTGAAGGAGGATCACATTTTGTATCAGACAGAGAGCTTTCAGAGAGATTGTGATGTTTCTTGGGCACCGTAAAGCGCAATTAAAAGGAAAGGAAAGATATAAGAAAGAGAACGATGAATAGTTAGAGAAAAAGGTTTCAAAGATTCCTCAACACTATAGCATCAATACTGATAGAGCGTACACGCTGTAGGACTAATTACACTATAGATCCACGCATCGTAGTGCTCTCCGACAAGAAAACCCTCACGAAGCAGAGAGGACTGCAATAAAAAAGATGCATTACCACAAGCTACATGACAGCTATACAAGTTTAACATCAGATATATGAGGAACAAGCAGTTCTTCAAATTCATGTGCTTCAAACGTTCTTTTTGGTCGCACGGTTGTCATCATGCCAATGCGGCGAAACTCATCTTTGCCTGGAACAGGGGCGACACAGAGGAGAGCAAAAGACAAGGGACGCGATGAGCCTTGCGCCTTAAACGGGTAACTCGCGAGCAGAATCATGTGTGTCACTGTCTTCCACTCCTCTTTTTGACTTGGATCATCAAGGGATGGATACCCTTTCAGAAAAGGTAGCTTGGCATCCAGAGCCGTATAGAGAACATCATCCCCTTGGCTGCCATCGTCGAAAGCGGCTGCTTCTCCTGTGCAAGCAATCAAGGGAGCCCGGATCGTCAGTATTCCCTTTCCGCTACCAAATACGTTTACTTCGTCGAACAGCTGGCCTCGCTCGAGACGGAGTACTTCGACCCACGGCTTTGGGTCCACGCCATACCACACCCAGCTCGTAAAGGTTACAGCTCTCCCGCTTGATGGCCATGCCCAGGATGGAAACAGGTCTCTCTTTACATTCTCAGAAACCGGCTCCCCAGTAGCGTACCAGACTAAAAGGTCCCTCAGAAATGGCTCCCAGCACCCAAAAGCATAGTCCTTTCTTGCATAAACGTCTGGCCATCGTCTGCTAAAAGCCGCAGACAAACCCTCGAGCGCAGCGACACGGTCTGTGAACTGCGTAAGCAGACGCGCAGAGTACATTGTAACAATCTCGGTCCACAGATACGAGAAGGTCTTGTAAATGTCCTTGTTTGAATCGGAAAAGAGCCTCTTTGTAGAGACATGGCCGATGCAGTATCGATGATTGAACACGCGGTCGCCATCCTCATTCTTCACCTCTAGGCGACTCTTTCTACATTCACACTGGACAGCGCTGGCGCATACCCACGACAGCTCGCCTTTGCCGATATAGAGAGCTCGCTTGGCCAGGAACCGTTCTTGGAACGTCCAGGCGCGGTCCTCTATGGTGTTGAGCAGATCCACGCCGTCCTGGTCGAATGTCTCGCGCGCCCAGTGGCCTGGCAGGCGTCGACAATGCTCGTGCTCCATTCGCTCTACCACTACCGTTACTTTGCCGGCTGTCTTGTTCTCGGAATCAGCTCCTATGTGTCGGGTATACTCTAGTTCGAACACCTTTGGCTGAGAAGGCTGCAACTCGGGTGGCCCAAGTGGACAGCCTTCTAGGACATCGGCCGTGCCTGCAGCAGAGATAACGAGGAGCGCTCCCGAGTATATGTCTGCCATCCGCGGTATCTGAGCCATCTTATCGGCTGGGTCGTCCTGGATGATGCACAAGGCATCGACCCACAGATACTGCTGCCCGAGCTGCTTGCAGACGGAAACGATGTCTTGGATAGTTTGAGGAAGGGATTTCGAGGGAATTCCCTGTCTATGCTGGGCCAAGTTGCTCTCGTATGTGCACAGGTTGCCGCCTCTCCGTCCCCAGCAGTAACTGAGAGCGACATATGTTGCCTCGTGGGGAGGGTCTTCGATGCTGACGAGCCGTATCACATCGTCCTGTGAGATATCAAGAACGCGCCTGGGCCATTCGTATTCCTGACACTCTGCATTGCATGTCTCGTGTGAAGCCACGCAATCTGCAAGCCATCCCTTGGCTACGGAAATGCGTTCTGCATCGGAATCCTTGATTGGGCGGTAGTTTTTATGCGTAGGCGTGTAGGCAATGGGGATTCCCAGCCTAGAGTCCGACCTGGCGTGCTTTTCGGAATCTAAGGATATTCAGCATTCAGTGCTGGCAAGGCTTGGGATTCTGCGACGTTACCGGCAACGATGTATATTTTATACCCTTTTGCTGTTTCAAGGCTGTCCTCTGGTGTAATGACGCCAATCTCCAACGTGTTGTCATGCCAGATACTACCAACCAATTCCGTCCATGGGTTTGCGGTGTCTGTTACGCATGAGAGAATTTCCCTCACTGCCCAGCACCTTGCACACTTGGACGCCACGATGCTTGACAGCTTAATCCGCTTGTCGTATACCTGGCCGAATATCTCCTTGCAGTGAGGACACTGCTCCCAAGGCTTTGCACTGTCTTCGGCATTCATTTTCATCTCGTTTTAGAAGCGTTCCACTCATGAACACTTTACCAAATGGCGGGGAGAAGTATGGAAATAGTTGGGCAAAACTACAGCAAGTGATACATTATGCACACATAGCCAATAAAAACCTGCGCCAAATAAAGATGAAGTTTTCATTTCTTTTTAAATTTTACAGAAAAAAAAATCCTCCAAACTTAATATTATTTTTATATAATGAAATCTGAGTCTCTTTCTTTAAAAGGAAACTATTCTGCTGATGTTAGGCGTGGGATGTCCATTTATTGCAACTCCCAGGGCATGTACTCAGCTGAATCAGTGAAATAGCCAAGTAGTTAACAACGTCAAATTGTACGAGAGTCCCTTTTGGTATTGGCCGCACCGTTTGCGAAGCGTCTTAAGGCGCTAGCCTCCTCCCCATCAATAAGTGAGGGCTCAATAGTAGCCTTTTTGCCCGCTAGTCTCGCACAACCGCCCAGATTTAGGCTCGCCCAGACAAGACACCTCAAGGAGTCTTGTGTGCCGGACACTCGCTGTGGCTGGTGAGTCACTGATCCATCCACTCGCGTGCCTCTGCAAAGCTCTCGGGCGACCCAAGATTCTGGAGCAGCGCTTGCGAATGGACGACGTAGGCCGCTGGATCGTTCGGGGAGGCTTGAGTAAATAGGAACTCGCTACAGCCAGCATCTAGGCCTCAACTTACTCGGCGTGGCGTACATGGTCCATGATAGGTTGCCGCCGCTCCACTCAATACCTTTCCAGCTCCAGATGTATAGCACGTTGTCGACCCAGTTGTAGCGGATGCTCAGCCCCAGCTCTTCGTGAAGCGATTAAAACTAAGCCGGGCGTTGCTCATCAAATAGGAGCTTCTTCTCATCCTCCCAGTTGCCCTCATGCTGTTGATACTTGCGGTCGCGAGAAGCAATGGCCTTACAAAAGGCGCAACCGAAGACGGCGGCAAGCTCGAGCTCACGCCGAGTCCGGCAATACTCGAATCCGTCAGCCTCGTACCACATGTGATACCGGATGCTGTCGGGGTCAGACTGGCTTCATGCCGATAGTGGGTGAAGAGCCGGGAGCACGGGTTGCAAAGCTCGAGGCGCGGGAAGTCTTGGGCGGTCTTCATCTTAGACGCTACCAGTCGTGAGTCTACCATTAGTTAGTCTTTAGAGTATTGATGCATGCGTTTTTAATTTACCTGGCTCACTGATGTCGAACAGGTACCGGAAAGAGGCAGCTTTAATGATCCAATGGCTTTGTTGAGAAAGATGTCTAAATATTGGGAAACGGAGGTTGCCCTTACAAGCCGTTCAAGATGGCCTCGAGTAGATGTAGATCAAGACCGGACGGTGCGGCACGCCCCGCGCCGTGTTTAGCGCCAAAGCGGGTAGAGCCACAGCAAAGTTAAAAAAGTTAGTAACAAGGACACTGGCGATGTTTTGTAAAAGTGAGATGAAACTAATAGCTACTCTAAGCCACTGTAGATAAAACAAGAGTGACTTTTCCACCTACCTAACGTGTAAATAAAATACATCTTCCCTTAGTAGCTACCAAGATGCTATTAACTTTACAACCTAACATCTCATTCGGGCTGGATGATTAAGGCCTATAACTAGCACCTTGTATATCCTCCAACATTTACACCAGTGGCAGCAAAGGAAAGAAGGGAAAGAAGGGAAAGAAGACAAAAGACGAAAATAAAACTTAGTCTTTTTACTACCTATGTAGTTAAGAAGTAATGCTATTACTTCCTATCAAGTATCTAAAAACTGTAGTCGAAAAGAATGTTTACCCGCAAATGGTACACTCTTATAGCTCACTTTTAATTGTAAACTTTTTGACATTTGTAAAATTGCTTCGGAAGTATCGTCTGTATATACAGCCGTTTCCAAAAAGTCCGCTCTAGTTAACAATTGGATTAAGGAAGCGTTTGGTGCCACTTCTACCATAGCAAATTGCGGACTATCGAGTGTAGATAAAGGGATCTCGGACCGCCTTTTCTGATCATTTGCAATGTCTCGAAAATAGGATCGCGTAGCAAACCGTAGCTTATTCTCCACATCTTTGACAGTTTTTGAGAGCTCAAAAATATGTATTGAAATGTCAGTGCCAGTTAATTCTTCTAATCGATAAAAGAATTCAATGGCGCTTAATGAGTCTAAACCAAGCTCCGACAGTGTGGATGTAAAGTTGATTTCAGACCTCTCTAAATAAAGTGTAGCGGCCAAGGATTCGATAATAATCTCTCTGAGTTTGGCGTTATTCAAGGGAAGAAGAAGGCATTTGTTCAAGTATAATGAATCAGATATTGGAGTAGAGTTCCTAGAGTGACTTTTGCCTTTCATAACAACCAAGTGGCCCGATTTTGGAGGGTGTGTCGCAATATGGACTATAACATAACTCGTACCATGTTGGTTGTGGAGCGTCAGGTTTAGTAAGGAATCTGTAGACCTCTCTGGAGGAAACATGCCTGCGATAAAGTAACCGGGAGGCAGAGGTCCCAAATCCAGACTGCAGTTCAATCTAGGTCGAATCAAGTCTCCATGGCAGTAAACGGATGGGATATATATGGTCATCCTCTTGCTTGCGACAATCTCGTTTTCTTCTACCCAGTGGGGGATTCGATTACATAGTCGATAATATTCGTCTGGCTTGGGCTTCACCCCATCGGCGCGTAACAAGCATCGAGCGAGCGGCACAGTAAGCAGACGTGTCGTGACAGCCTTGGAGCCTGTTGATGCCATGGTGCAATTCAAGATGCAGTACAGTATGTCTCCATTGTTCAAGTCTCCAAACACGGGCAGGTCAAGTCGGAGTCCCCTCTGTGACATCGAAAAGCCATCTCCAGGGGCTACCGCACCTCTTGATTCTATCTCTCCACAGTTGCAGAAATCCCGGGGTGATCGTGCCAGGGCCGTGGATACATTCCACAAGCTGCTGTCCTCGAGATTGAACCCCCATGCTAAGATGGACTGATCATCAAATCTTTTCATTATCTCTTCCTGGAGGCGTTGGAACGCCTTGGGCCCTTCACCGTACAACAACGGCATATTGACGTCAAAGATTCCCAGGAGACAATATGCTATGTCCTCTTCCTTGGTTGTAATACGGCGCGAGGCCCACGACATCCTCTGTGCTATGCTAGTAAAATCCATAGCCCGGTGTACATCAATAGCAGAGTCAATCAGCACCTCCTGGGAGATACCAGTTGCCTCAGAGATTTGTTCTCGGAGAGAAATCTTGTCTCCAAACTCCAGCCAAGTGGAATCAAAGAACCGGACTGACGGTGGAGCAAGAAGCTCCTGAAGGGTCCAGCCCCTGGTGAACCAGCGTGACCGCACATATCCTTGCAATGCTGATTGTTTCTCTTGGGGCTCTGCGTTGAGACCAGGGTGGCTAAAATCGGATATATATACATAGCATTCGACCGACCTCTCGTACCATCTAAACATGGAGTTGATTGCCTCTTGGAGTTCGACATTGTCTGACTTGTTGATACAGCATGTATCGATCCACACGAACTCGAGTGCGTCCTCAATCGCTTGTTGGCAGCATTTGACTACTTTGGCCCAGCCATTTTTTGACTCTCGATAAGAATGCCCATGCGTAATATCTTCAAAGGTAATTTCATCGGCTTCCCATGTATGAGATAGCGTTGCGTAAGGGGGGATTGTTTCACCAACAAACTCGTGGAGTGTTTGAGTTTTTGCACACAAAAGCCGCATATTGTAGACTTTTTTGTATTGTTCTTTTTGAGTTATCGTTTCCGGAACGAGTGTGTAAGACAAAGGAAGAGAAGCTTCGCCTTGAGAGACAAGTTGAACAACGATAATAGTACAACAGAAGATTACTAGTAATAATATAGTAATGGATGTATAAGTACATGTAGTAAAATAATTAGGCACCAACGTAGGCTACAAAATAAGGCTGACTGCAAGGCACCAATATATTAAGGCGCTGACATACTAAGGCAGCAATATACATGTACGCTATAATACATGTTGAGTACTGGATCGTGACCGCCCGGTACGGCACGCCCCGCGCCATGTTTAGCGCCAAAGGGGCCTCCAGCAAAATTTAAAAAGTTGTAGTAGCAAGAAACTGGCGATGCCTTTATACAAAAGATGCAAGAAATAGATAGCTGTTCCTAAGTTACTTTATGTTTTACTTATTTCTTAGAAAGAGTGTTATTTTGTATAATAGTTATTGTCTTGGCTGTTATTGTAATTCTTCCATTATATGAGAGCAGTTCTTATGTTAAGACCATTGAAATAGTAATTCGTAGTTCAACAGCTGCTGCGGCTGAGGTTGCTGCTGCTGCTGTTGAAGCCCTACTTGAGGCGGATACCTGGCATCAAAGCCCGGTATCCCCATTGAGATGGTCTATCCGAATCGGTCTTGCATTGAATGCTCCAGAGAAAGAGAATATTTTTAGAGTATTCGAGCACACGGAAGAAGACTGTTTAAACAAGAAGTTTTGATATTCTTTCACAGTTCCACCGGGTCACTAACATTTAAAGAGCACTCGACAAGGGTCGAAAGGTACCGAGCTCGCCTCAGCCAATCGGGCTGGGTAGCCATAGTATGGTTGTTTCTCGGTTATAATTATTACATGGCCCTTGTGATCATACTGATACATTAGGTCGCGATAGAATATGCTTAGGTACCGATACCTACTTACTCTTGTATTCCCTCGTGCGGTTTGACAATTCCCCTCAGTTTTTGCATCTTTCGTCGCAGAAAAAGGTCCAACGCTATGGAGCGTTTCAGCCGCAAAAGGCTCAAGGAAAAATATGAAAAGTACAACTCGAAGCTGCCCTTTTTTAGCAGAAAGAAGGATAAAGCTAGCGGCACCATAGATGATCAGCAAGCCCAGGACAATGGAAGCACGCCAGAATCCAGTACCTCGCTCAGTAAGATTGAAGATTTTGGATTGCTTTTATTAGATTCAAACACTAACACATTGCATTAGATTCGGCTTTTCCAAATCCTGTCAATTCTTCTAATGCTCCGGCGCAGACCCCAACATCTAGCACGACCGCGTTAAGTCCTGACGATGAGTACCAAGATATGCCAATAGCCGAATTGTGGAACTCAGCATACGAGAAGCTACGAAAAGAAAATAAACAACTAATCGACGAATATGAGACTAAGCTCCAAGAAAGCGCGAGCGCCGCATCGGATCCCATACCAAATACTAAAGGAGATAGAGAAAAATGGATGAGCCTGGTGTTACGACAAAAGATGGAGCAGATCCAGAAAGATGCCTGGAAGTTCATGTTTCTGGGCTCTGAGGTTCGGCCAGCCGAGACGGTAGAATGTGTTCTGAGAGTAATCAAGATGGTTAACGACTCGATCACAGCCACTGTTGTCCCCAGCCCTTATGCTTCGCTTGCTTGGGCTGGTATAAACGTATTGTTGTCAGTGCGTAAAATTCCGTGCATAAGCATCTTTGTAAGAGTTACTAAACGACTTTCTTTAGATATGTTTAAAGCATGGCAATCAAGCGGCTTCTCTCGCAAAACAGTTAGAATACGTCTCGTCACTTATTATTCAAGGCCGCATGAGAGAAAATCTCTATCAACGGCGCTACGAGGGTAAAAAAAAAGCCGTCGAATCATTTCCAGGGGCACACTCAGAATATAAGGCTACGCTAGAGCATTTATACCAGGAGATACTGAGATTCCAGATACAGTGCTATTGCTATTATACTCAAGGCAAAGCTTCTCGCCTTTTTAGCGACTTTTCGGGGAAGAATGACTGGGACGGTCTGGCTGAAGACATACGCCGGCAAGAAGCTCAAATGGCTGCCATCGATAAGACTTGGCGCGATCAACGATATGATGACGAATGTGCTGAATCTGAAAGACGGTATCAAGGGACTATACTTAACTTGAAAACTATTGGCGCTGATATCTCAGATCTGCGAAAGGCAGTGGAGGACGCCAATAAGGACCGAAATCAGAAAGAATTACTTGACTGGTTATGCGACATAGACCCATCGGACATGTACAACGCCGCTCGCAAGAAACACAAGGCTGGGACGAGTGAATGGCTAATTAAAAAGAATGCACAATTTACATCTTGGGTACAAAGTCCCTCTTCTTTTCTATGGCTTCATGGGAAGGGTAAGTTTATATTGCGCAATACCGAGATTGGCCCTTCTGACAATTAATAGCTGGATCTGGCAAGTCAGTCTTAAGCTCTTCCGTCATATATCATCTCCAGAGGGAGTTTAAGGACGACGCCTCCATCGCAGTTGTCTATTTCTACTTCACTTTTAGTGATATTATAAGACAAGACAATGACGGGATGCTTGCGTCTCTTATTAAGCAAGTATGTTGTCACCGACCGAATATACCCGATTTAGTCAATGATCTGGGTGAATATAAGAAAAAGGGCATGCGGCCGTCGACAGAGGAGCTCCGGAATAGCTTCGTAACAACCCTTCGTGGATTCACTAACGTATACATCGTCATCGATGCTCTAGATGAATGTCCAGATATCAATACACAGCGAGAAGAACTTATGGAAACTTTGCATTACGTCCTCGATTCGAACCTCAACAATCTTCATCTGTTTTGTACTAGTCGCCAGGAGTCTGACATCAAAGTCTCGCTTTGTAGCCAATTTTCTAAGCCATGCAGGGGAGCACTTAATATAACCTCGCACCTACAGGAGATCCAGGACGATATTGGCAAATATATTGACTCAACTCTTACAAACCCCAACTATAGCTCTTGGCCAATCGATACTAAGGCTGAGGTTAAAAAAGTTTTGATTGAAAAGTCAGATGGGATGTAAGTCTTCTATTGAGCCAGTATAGTGACGCCGCCGCTAATAACAGGGAAGGTTTCAGTATATTCGCTGTCAGTTTGAAGCACTACAAAAGCTTAGAAATCCTAGAGATATCCGCCAAGTGTTGGATGATCTCCCCAAAGGACTGGATGAAACATACAACAGAATGCTTCAAGGCATAGATGATCAATATCGGAAATCAGTGGCGAATTCTCTCAAATGGCTCGCGTTCTCGATGAAACCATTGACGGTAGATGATCTAGCTGAGATTTTCATCATGCATCCATATGATGATGTTGTTATCGACAGTACGGAGTGCCTATTTAATACACGGGACGTGTTGATATATTTCTCTGGCCTCATCGTCGAGAATGGCGGTACCGTTCGTTTGGCTCACTTTTCGATCAAAGAATTTTTGGTGTCGAGTGATTTGGCATCTAGTCGAATTCGGCAGCATCTTGCTTCTACCTTTTCTTTCAGCGATATCGACGCCCATCTCTTCATTGCATACTCGTGTCTCTCATATCTCAATTACACGAGCCCTTTAGCCATTGAGGGCGATGAAAAATCTCAGTCTCTGAAGGTTTACGCGGCTTCGAAGTGTCTAATTCATCTCGAAATGGTGCCTTCCGAGTACTGGTATGCGGATGTTATCGCCAAACTGGTCCAGGCTCTTGCTATTCGAAGCCAAACCTTGTTAAATATCATCTCTGAACATTTCTCGGAGCACTTTTCTGTTTTGTCTACAGTCGACAATTTTAGATCTGCACGATTACTAGACCTGCAACTGCGGCCATACTGTTTAACCGCTTATCACGGTTTCGTTCGCTTAACCGGATGGTTATCATCACAGGCGTTTAGTGCAAGCAAGTACTTGACACAGGGAGATCTAAATGCAGCACTCTGGTATGCAGTTTATGGAGGCAGTAAGGAAGTGGCTGTGCTTTTATTGGACAGAGGTGCCGACCCGAACACATCAAAAACAACCACAAGCGATATCGGATACGAATTCAAGAAATATGGGGACGTGCTGCAAATTGCAGCATCGATAGGCAATGTAGCAATGGTGAACCTCCTCTTGGATAGAGATGCCGATATCAACGCTCAACGATGGGGCTCAGCTTTGCAGGCTGCGGCAAAATACGGGCATCTCGATATCTTGAAGCTTCTTGTGGAACGCGGGGCAAACATAGACGGCCCCTCGAATGAAAAAGGATGTGTCCTTTCCGCAGCAATAGAGCATGACGAGTGTTTTCAATTTTTGCTCGACAGTGGAGCAGACATCAATAGGCGTGGCACCGCCGAGGGGGATAGAACAGCACTTTGTGAAGCAGCCCGATACAGATGCTGGAGGCAGTTCGACCTGCTCCTCGAAAGAGGGGCCGATGTCAATATAGGCGGCGAAGGCGGCTACCCCCTTGAAAAGCTTATATATTTAGAATCTATGCCATACGATACCGGCACAAGTCTTTGGCATGTCTATCAGCCTAGAAGCCCCAGCGATGCGCTTCCGCGGATCCAACGGCTACTCGGCCTTAGTGCAGATCCAAACGCTCAAGCGGCGGCTCACCACACTGCACTTCACGCGGCAGTCGCTGGCTGGAGTGACAAGGATTCTTCTTTTTGTCTCCGAGTTGCACAACTCCTAATCGACAATGGCGCTGATGTAAATATACGCGCCTGCACATGCTTTGCGAATGGATGGGCGACAGAGCCTCAATCACTGCTATACCACTGTGCACACCGTGGCTGCACGCCCATGGCAAAGCTGCTGCTCCACAATGGTGCCGACGTGAACGTGAACTTGCAGGCAAGGCAGTTTGCCAACGCGCTCCAGGTGGCTTCAAGTGAGGGACAAGTCGAGATGATGCAGCTACTTCTTGAATACGGGGCCGAAGTCAACGCCCGAGGCGGCTACTACGGGACGGCACTAAACGCAGCTTGCAACATAGTCGATAACACCATTCATGCCGTTCAGCTGCTGCTCGATCATGGCGCTGACGTGAACGCTGGAGGTGGCGAATTTGGGTTCGCACTACAAACTGTTTGTGCTCGATCCTTCCCTGAGATGGACACTACTACTCGTACTCTAGCCCAGATCCTGCTTGACCATGGAGCAGATGTCAACGCCCGAGGCAGCAAATATGGAACAGCGCTACAAGCTGCCTGTGCTTACAATCCTGAGATAGTGCATCTGCTGCTTGAACATGGCGCCGACATAAATGCCGAAGGCGGCGAATATGGAACTGCACTGCAAGCTGCGTTGAGTTCTTTCGATCGGGATTTAGATCAGCTGCTGCTTGATCGTGGCGCCGACATAAATGCTGTAGGCGGCAAGTTTGGAACTACTCTGCAAGCTGCATGTGCTCGCAATTCTGGGATAGTGCAGTTGCTGCTTGATCGCGGCGCCGACATAAATGCCGAAGGCGGCGAATATGGAACTGCTCTGCAAGCTGCGTCTCATAATGACAATTGGGATTTGGTGGAGTTGCTGCTCGATCGCGGTGCTAATGTGAATGCCAATGGCGGCAAATTCGGAACTGCTCTACAAGCTGTATCTTGGGATTTCGATCTGGACTTAGTTCAACTGCTACTTGATCGCGGTGCGGATGTAAATATTAATGGCGGGCGAAACGGATCTTGTCTGCAGATTGCGTGCGCAAATATGGGTTCTCTGGCCTCCGAGGATAGCATGGAGATGATACGCACATTACTTCAGCGCGGTGCTGATCCTCTGATGCATGGAGGTGATTACCCTAGTCCATTACACTCAGCTGTTGTGTCCATTGACCTACACACCTATACTTACGACACTCTGTTACAATTGCTATTGGAGCATGGCGCCGAACTGAATCTAGTGGACGACAAGCGAGGCACTGCCCTTCATTACGTGCTTTCTCTTGCGCAAGATTCCAGTCTACCGCATCGTTGGAAGGACGGTTTTGAGACATGGTGGATAGGCAGAATCTGCTTTCTGCTGGAGCACGGCGCCGATGCTAATCTCAAAGTGGGAGAGCTTGGATCTCCTCTTCATGTTGCATGTGCGATTCAATATGACTGCGAAACCCTACCGACTTACTTGAAGGAGAGAGATCAGAAATTGAAGGACAGAATCGACAAGCAGGGCATCATTATGAATCTAATGACTAAAGGGGCGGAAACTCTCCTCAATAAATGCCATGATATCGATGTTAACGCGCATGGTGGCATCTTCGGTACAGCTCTGCAGGCAGCAGCATACTCAGGCCAGGCTAAAACAGTACAACTCCTATTACGTCGAAGAGATCACATCATCTGTAACGAGCCATGTGGCAAGTATAGGAGTGCGCTTAACGCAGCCGTTATCAGAGCCCATTGGGATATTGTTGATATTCTTCTTGAAGCGGGGGCAAAGCCAGATTGCCATGTGCTACAGGAGCCTGATGAGGAATTTCTTGCCCGGATCCGAGAAGAGCATGGCTGGGCTGCAGAAGAGAGATATAAAAAGTTTTGGGAGGTGGAAAAGGGGAATTTACGATTGTCTTAGGATATACAAAGTGTTACTAAGGAAGTATTGTTGTTTTGCTCAGGGGGAATTATTTAATTGAACTAGGGAAAAGTGTAGTTTACTTACAACATTTGAGGGCATAAAAGCTATTGTTCATACTATTCATAAAAGTGAAGCCGTTTATTGCCTGGAGAGGATATAAACAAAAATTATTATTCTTAATGTAAGAGGGCTATTGTGCTTATTTCTACACACGCATATAGCCCGACTCAGTAGCTCTTCATATCACATACGACCATAGGTAGTGGAAAAGTCGGGGCAATCAGTGGTTAACTGGATCGGAACTTGGTCGTTGAGGATTTGGGAAGAAAGATATGCAATTGTAAGGTACATTTAGATATATTTTATAGAAAATATATATTATAGTAATACCAGTCGTGTGACATTTAGCTGGCATTAATAGTGAAGCCTAAGTAAGTTTAATCTAGGGATCGCTTGGGCAACTAGAAAAATAGCCGACTATCGCACAACGCGAAGCCGACAATCCCATAACCTAGAGTACAGATAAAATATCCAAGTGATACTCTATATTTACATACCCTACTTGGTTGGTTGGCTATCGGGTTTCAATGCAGTCACGGGCCTCCGACCTACCATTGCGTTGTCAAAGCACCTCTGCAAATGATCCTCACCGTCATTCTCTCCACAACCAACACAACCATTATTTCTGAATTTCTCTTAATATTTTAGTTTTTTTTCGCACTTTTTCCAGAATATTGCCATCGGTTGAGGTTGTCTGGCAAGATGGGGAGACAAACAGATGACTGGGATGGTTATGCAAGCATAAGCCCAGGTTCGGATAAACATACGCGAATCCAGCTTCTCTTCTCTTCAGCAAAGTTTGACTATCTCAAGGAGCGTGCAGTAGAGTCGCGGAAAAAACACCAACCGCCCCCGCCCCCAAATGTTCAGTGCAACATCGACTTGACTCGATTTACATCTGGTTTCAACAACGTGGTTCTGGAGCTTGCGTTCTCAGATAATGTGAGCTGGATTGCTCGTATCCCCTATCAAGATTTCAATGCCGGCGACAAAATCTCAATGCTCAGTGAGATTGCTACAATGAAGATGATCAGTGAAAACACTAGCATCCCAATACCTCGTGTCTATGAATTCAAGGCATCCGCAAAACAGCCTTTTGGCTACCCGTACATCATGATGGATTACCTAAATGGTCGTATCCTTCCCAGCGGGCTGGCAACCACTATACCCCTCCAACATCGTGCCAAAGCGGCCCAACAGCTTGCAAATGTTTTTTCGGAGCTCCAGAAGCTGAAATTTAATCGCATCGGGCGCCTTTGGTGCGGAGAAAACGTGGATCAGCCCGTTGAAATCGTGGCCATGGCCTGGCATTCCTCGCCTGGCCCTCTGGAAACTTCATTGGAATTCTTCTACAACCAGACGCAGAGCGAGAACCGGGAAATTCTCTCCATGCATCCGGACGACCCAGACTGGCTGACAGCTTGTTGGGTATTGAAAACAGCTCTAACGCACATCATCATTGAGGATAGAGTCCGAGGTCCCTTTCCCCTCTGCCATCTTGATTTGCATTTTGGCAATATGCTTTTTGACGATAAGTACAATCTGGTTGGGATTATTGACTGGAGCCATGCGCAAGCAGCTCCTCTCGAGCAGCTGTCAGTCTGCCCGGAATTAGTCATCTTCCCGGTGTTATCAGATGAGGAAAACAAGCCTATTGTCGAGTTCAAGGAACTTGTTGTTGAGTCGCTAAGGGAAATGGAAAAGGATCCCAAAAAGAGGCCCCCTTTGAATCATCCTGAGGTGAACTCACCATTGATCTCGAAACCAACACCCTTTTCCGCCTACATGGCTTCCAAGAGTGCAGAGATTACCCATCGTCAGTACATGGCTTCACCAGGGGGGAGTCTTTGGGTTGGCCAGATGGTTGCAAAGCTCATCTATGGACAGAGCGTCACTTGGGAACAGCTGAGAGAAGTATACGGTGCAATGCCCCTGTTTTAGACGATTTTCGACGTCTGCGTCTATATTAAATGGGTTAGTCTAGCTGCTTCTACACACAGTATTATCAACTACTCCGGATGTACAGTGGTATACACTGCCTATATAAAACAAATAGCCTCGGTATCCAAGCACATACAACCATAGGTAATGGAGAATTTGGGGTGAAGCTCTTCTCTTAGGTGAGGCACCACTGTCCGAAAGTTCTGACAGTAGCCCAGAACGACAGTCAGGAACTTTTCCGTAGTGTCCTGGATAAGTAGACAGCCCGAAGGCTTGTCGAAACCAAGACCTGACTACAATTGCTTGTATGTAGCCTTCCAGATACACTTTGTAGATTCTTCATTCGTCACTTCTCTTTGAACGGATCCTTTAAGTGCTTGCTGTGTGCTCATCGAGTGTTCTCGTGTATAATGACATCTGTCTAAACTATCAAGGAAGCAACAAAGCTCTGCTCTCTCTTAATCTGCTGCAAAGAGATGGGCCGGAGCACTGTCTCTGATAGATTCAGGCTGACAATCGCATCAACAAGTGACGTGATGTGCTCGTTAACCGCCTCATATACCACATCAATGCCACCAGGATGTCCACCACGGCTGCGTACAACCCCCTCCCACGCCTCAATCACTCGAGGCTGTATACTCATACACCATGTTGCTCGCCAAGTAACAACAGATTGCCGCAAATGGCCAGGGATAAACTCATACTTGAACAAAGCTGCCAGCCCCTCTTGTCCATACCATATCTCCATCATCTCGAGTTTGGGCATGTAAGAAGCTGCAGATGCTGCTGCTTGAAGGAGATCCATAATTTTTGTAGAAAATGTTGTGGGTGCTAGAAGCTGTGCAGTAAGGGTAAGATGGGTTAGGTTTGGCCATGTTGAAGATTCAGAAAAAAACTCTGCAGCATCTACCATGAATGACACTGAGAGGGCTTCTACGCCGAGATTTACTCGGGCAAGCTTCTGACTGAGACGAATAGTGGGAGCATGGGCCGGCATGGTTTCTTCTAGATTATAGAGCGGGTATTGTTGGTTGGAGTTTTCAAAGATTGTCAACTTGCCCAGCCCTTCGGTAGCTGAAAGAAGTTCAAGAAACGCTGTGAAAATGTTAGTAGCTAGCAAACTTGATTGATGAATTACTTACAATCATACCAACTCCCGTGCATCTCAGTAAACCACTGCACCCATATCTCATAGTGGAACTCACGTAAGCCAGGAAGGTGGGAAAGAATCTGGGAGACTGTAAACGCCTCCCATCGGCGATGAGTCTGCAGCCTCATTTCAAGGCGTGTCACGGCCGGCACCTTTGGTGTCCGCGCCCAACACTCTCGTTCATTCTTGACGGGGAGCCAGACATATCCAAAGAGACGCTCAAGACTTCTTCGTGGTGGGATAGACCCCGATGCAGTCGTTTCCCATCGGTGCTTGTCGGGCTCCTCGCTTCCGGCGATGGACATGGGCTCGACCTGGTATCCCGTAGCGTCGGGCATAAAGGTTAGGTACTTGAATGCGTGCTCATTATCGCTCTTCGAGTACAGGCTAATGTCGAGCGTCAGGCTCCCATTTGGCTCCCACGTGTTCAAAGCTGTGAATAGCGACTGGAACGATTTCAAGATGAGCTTGTTCTCGCTGTTGCTTGTCCGCGATGCTTTAGATTCAAAAGAATCGCACTCGCGGCAATTGTATAGCTCAAGCTCTATACAAAACCATATATAACGCACATGATGCCGGTTGCGTTGCGTCATGGCGTTGAGTTGAGCGATGCGTTGGGGCGTGACTCGTATATATGCAAAGATGTGTGGCTCGATAGCAGCCTGCCACTCCCGTGACACGACAACAGCATTGGATAATCTGCAGTTCTTGTCATCTGTCAGGGCCTCGAGAATCAAGCACTTGATTTCGGGAGGGAACTGAGACCAAATCATCGTGACGTAGGCAGAGTGTGAATGGCCTGGGATGTTTTGGGATGGGTTGTTGAGTAAGTTGAGTTTGTCCAATGATTGTCGCAGTAAAGAGGCAATCGGCTTCTTATAGTTGAATTTGTGCGCATTGTGCTTTTGTCGGAGAGAACTGTGGAAATTTTGGTGCGATCAAGCTTACAAGCTGATACTTACGATTTTTGCCTCCCTCTAAACCCTTATCATATAGCGCCTTTGGCTTATTCTAGGTTGCTGCCTCGAAAGTATAATTTCAATGGGATTACGCAGGCCCAATGTCAGGGTTGAATACAGCATGTGTGGGTATCGAGAGACCTCTCTATGAGTCAAATATGTCAGCCTCAAAGGTTACAGCCGCGGAGATTGCAACCGTAAAGTAACACATCCTCAGACAAAATTTTATTAATTAATCCCAGAGTACTTTTACTTACCTTTCAGTACCTACCTAGGTATGTGTTAATTTTTGAAGTATTTATAAAAGTAAATAGGTAGTTTCCCCTTTTATTACATCTTGAAACTCTTTTTTTAGATCCACATGGGTCTTGTTTTGGAGCCGACGAACCCTGCGCTAAGTACATATAATCTGTGATCCCTCACAGGGCTATTTGTGATTAGTACCTACATTTTCAGTAGATATACATGTATAGAGGATTAATCTGACATCGTTTAAGACATTGGTCATGAATCTCCGAGCTCAAGCTATCTCTTGAGGGCCATTATCCCAGTTATGAAGCGTCATTCAGCTTGAATCTCCCCGACACCAAGAAACTCATCAACCCGCGTACCAAACCTATTGGGCGCCATTCTTTTGGACATTGCACTTCGCCAAAACTCCAAATCATCGCCCTTTGCGCGTAATGATCCTGGAAAGAAGACGGGAACGAGTGACGCACCTACCATGGGGTACTTTTCTTCCACCTGCCTAAGCACGGTTGCGACTCGCTTGTCTGAGATGGTCTCCAAATGTTTGAGGTGAATGCCGAGGGCACTAGGCTTGCGTGATACTCCAGCAGCATAGAGATTCTGTGTACTGCCGAGTGCACCTATACAAAGGAGGACTGTTGAGGCACTTGGGATTAGCTGGCCCAGGGCCAATATACGCGCTGGTGAGGGAAGGAATCTTACACCATGTGTTTTCCTTGAGTCCAGAAACGTTGATGAGCAGGACAACCCATAGAAACGCTAGGAGGACAGACATGATCTTGGTAGCAAGTGAAGAAGCTGCCGTGCGAGTCCCGCGCGCCAGAATTTCCAGATCTAGCCCCATGCCCTCCCCCCTCTGGCCAAGGATGACGATGGCGTGCCGACTGCCATTGCCCTGAGTGATGGTGACCGTAGCACCGCCGTTCCTTGGGCATGACCACTTCTCGGCCCGCCACTGTGGCAATGAGGCGCTGACCAGAGCGAGTGTATTGCCTGCTGCAGCAATGAGAAAAGGGCCCCAGTCCTTGTACAGAATCCAAGGGATGATGGAGACGACCAGCTCGACGACAATGACGACCACCCCAGACCACCACACCAAGTCCACTGTCGGAACGCCATGCGGGCACGGCGGTTCCTTGTCGACCTCGTAGATGGTGGCGCGCAACGCCTCCCACTCTGGGCGTCTGCTGCCGGGTTTCTCTACAACAGAGGTCAACGGCTCTTCAGAGGCGCCTTTGGCCGCCGTTGGTACTGTGGTAGGAACTGCCGTAGGAGGGACATGGTTCTGTTCATGCTTCATGTCCTCGTCGACGCGGTCGTCTTCGTCGCGCAGCAAGCGCCCAAGCACCCAGTTGCTTGTTGTCCTGATATGTCCGCTGGCAGCGTCGATGACGTTTGTATTTGCCATGTCGGTGTCGGGCATGAGGCGGCCATCTTTGTAGACTTGGTATCAGTGCATGTGCCACTACAGACAGCAGGGGCGAAGAACGGAAATGAAATGATGCGAGGCGAAATGCCGACGGCAAAGAAGCAAATCGCGAATCATGGCAAAGATGGCATATTGATAATTAAACTTCAGTTACCTCCAAAGGTGCTAATCAGAGCACAAGCCGCGTATGCTACCCATCCAAATGAAAACGCTACGGGAGTCACAGAACGCCCCGCGAGCTGGGCGACAGCCCTTTGAACAATGTCCGGGCCGAGGAGTAACAGCACTGAGAGAATGTCGCCAGGGGTGGTCCATTGCGCTGAGAGAAATCCTGCGACCCCGCTTGGCTGACTGCCAGAGTTGCTGGTTGAAGCATCAATATGTATCCCCGAAAGTGACGATGGGGGCTCTGGGAGATAAGGAGCCATCTTGAGCGTCTGTAAATAGACGTTGGTAATAAAAACAAAACATGGGGAATTATTGAGGACAGGACAAAACTGAAAAAGAAAAAGAAGACAACCGCCAGCTGCGGCTGAAGGAAGTAGATACAGGGATTGGGGCGAATCGTAGAGTCTTGTCCAATGAAGCACCCTTGAAGCTGGTGTGAGCCGCTGCATATGTTTAGTCACCCTCTACATCTAGAATAGCTTTCATCACAAGGCATGACTGCAGCTGTGCCTAATGCCAGCTCATCACCGAATGCACACCGAATGCAATATTGATTGGTTGAAGCGTAATTTCTCTCTCTGGACCCTGACAAATACTGCTCGTCGGGTGCGGGGTTGCTTTAACTATTGATTTGGACGAAAACAAGAGTCAAGCAGTAGGTTGTCGAGATTTAGCTTTCAATGCGTCGAAATTTTCCATTCGTGGGGCTTGAATTGGACTATTGACTGTCGCAATGCTCCAAATTAGATAAAGCCAGGAGCTGTACGCCCGTATCCCCTCATCCATCGACGTCTTATGCCATCGTCTACATGTAGTCCGACGTGCCATTTCTCTTAACCCTTGACTTTATACAAGAGCTATATTCATCACGCCCTTCATGCCTATTGCAGACGAAGCCCTTGAAATCACGGACACTCTGTCCAAGTTACATCTTCATGGCTTGCCACTCGCAAAAGCCAGCCTAATCACAGTCGAGGAGGCCTTTGCCTACCACAAGATTCTGTACGATTATCGGGCTAACCCGCATGATGATGATGATGATGATGATGATGATGAAAATGATGGCGAAGATGGCGGCGATGGCGAAAGCGACGACGAAGACGAAGAAGACGAAGATGAAGTTAGTTTCGATGAGTTTGATAGTGACATTGATTCTTTTGAAGAGAGTTATGATGAAGATGATGACGACGACGAACTTGAGTTGGATAGTGACGAAGAAGAAGAAGATACGGAAGATGAAGACGGAGCTGATGGAAATGATGAAGATGAGAATGCCGAGATTGGCATCCAACTCATCAGGGTTGGATTCGACAACCCTCTTCTTGTTAGCTCCATAGATGAGGACCAAGATATTTCCTTCTGTGCAAACTCGGCAGTTCACAGCCATCTGTGGGCGGCAGATCCCGATCTCAAGCTCAAGGGCTACGACATGGGTTTCCTATCCCAACTAGCTCACCTGTGTATCGAAGCAAAACTCCAGTCATGCCACCACCAGGGATGCCTCGACAAAAGAAGGGACATGGAGGTTGTCGCCCCAAATTGCAACTGGGCGACTTTCAGGGACTGGGTACTGACTTCCATGTCTTGCCAAGCCAGCATGAGCGCTGAACAAAAGTTGACTCAAGCGCATACCCATATTGCCAGGGCCGTTGCAGGCTGCTGCATGATACTGAAGGATTGTTCCCGCAACCGGCCGTCCAAACGCTTTCGCCCCTTCCTTGACGGCCATTGGTCGGACGAGCATCGAATTGACCTTGCAGAGGTGTCAAACCTCATCTACTGGATGGCCAAGATCCAGTCCGAAATCGGCATTGGACCCAAGAAATTCGGGCGCTGGAATCACCGTATTCTCCCCGCCGAGGTGACCATGCCTTCAATCGAGAGCGCAGCTCTAAAGGTTGAGGACATGGGCATCTGCAAAAACCGCCTGTGGAACCTGGTCAATGTCAGCGACCGCAAGCAGAGCGACCTCCCAGACATCATTCGGGCTCTTGAGCCCCATCAGCAAGTCCTCAGGCACAAGGATCATGACTTTTGTACGCCAAGCAAGTGCCAATGGGCACAGATGGACAGCACATCGGTTGGGCAGCTGCACAAGTGCGGAAAGTCTCGTGCGCAGGGCACTGAAAATGATGTCAAGAAGAAGACGGCGAAGAGGTCAACTTCTCAAACAGAAGCTGAAACAGGGCTCAATACAAAAGACGATACAGGTCCTGTCTGTGACCAGAAAGTATTCCCCATAGAGTTGCTTGAGACAGCAGTAGAGCTTGGGAAAAGCACTGCCTGGTTGTGTCGATCTCCTCAGCTCAGCGGGCCCAAGGATCCTTACATCGCCATCTCGCATGTCTGGTCTGATGGTACCGGAGTTGGCGTAAAGGATGGCGGCACCGTCAACTCGTGTTTGTTCAACTTCTTTGCCGACATCGCCAAAGAACTCGACTGCAGAGCCATATGGTGGGACGCCATTTCCATCCCGTCCGAGCGAAAGGCTCGCAGCAAAGCCATCAGCAAGATGCATAACAGCTATTCCAACGCACAGTTCACAGTCGTCCACGACAGCTTTCTCCTTAATGTCCCGTGGAAGGATGATGGCAGTCCATGTCTGGCCCTTGTTCTATCGACGTGGTTCACGCGCGGCTGGACCGCCTTGGAGTTGATCATGTCTAAAAAGGTCAAGGTCTTATTCGGAAATCCTGAGGCCGGTAAACGTCCGGTTGTAAAGGACCTCGACTCAGAAGTGCTGGCCCAGAATCCAGCGGTTTCGTCGCGAGCACATTGGTTAGCAACATCGCTGATCCATCGGCTGCGGAGACCCATTGAAGATATCGGCGATCTTCTCGCTGTTCTATCTCCACGCAGCACCTCATGGGCTAGAGACCGCACTATTATTGCCGCCTTGCTTGCTGGCGTTCCCAACTGTGACTTTACCGCTGGAGAAAGCATCATCACGTCGAAGATCCTTGAATACGTGGGCAAAATTCCCTATACTTGTCTTCTCCATGGAAAGCCAACCATGCGAGACAGCGGGCAGTACTCTTGGTGCGCAGCTACTCTTGATGATATGCCGGTTGAGACATCGTCGGATGTCCAGGGCGGAGTCACGTCAAAATCACAAGCGCTACTAGATATTGATGAAGACGGTGCTATTGAGGGAAAGTGGTATTGCCGGGCAATCTCGGCAAAGGACGTGAAACAATTGAAGATATCACCATACGGAGATGATCTCGCAGCTGTTGTCAAGGTTCAAATTGCTCTCCGATATCCTCACAACTGTCTACTATTGCGGCCCTCACTCGACTCAGACGACGATCGCGCCCTATTAGTGGTACCTATGAGCATAGTCACTTCCGGCCCGGTCTTGAAGTGTCGCTACGTCGGCGCCGTTAATATGACTATCAGTGTCGCAAAGGACATGGAGACAGCTAAAAATATGGACAAGAATACTGCCAGCGAAGACAGGGCCGCTGACAGCGTAAGCAAAGCTGCTGAAAAAGAAGTCGAGGACGACAATTCAGACTGGTCTCCCTGGACTATTAGATTGGGTGGAAAAGAAAATAGCAAAACCAAGATGGGAGCCGAGTCTGCTCTCGACAAGATGGAGGAATATACATACCTACTTGAGGGAGGAGAGGATGACAAATCGATCACAGGAGACGACAACGACAATGAAGGTGATGCTTTAGAGGCGTCTTTGGCCAAGGCCAAGTTGCAAAACGAGGTACAGATGCTGCGATGGCTCACAGATGAGAAAGTCCAAGACTATATGCCGCTACAAATGGTACAGTGGGATGACGAAACGACTGTGATTGAGATTAATGAAAAAAGTCTCATAAGTGCTGTCAAGTCAATGAACGAGAATGCAGTGCGATATCTCGTCAAAAAGAATGTTGTCCTTACACCCAGGGATTTGCGAATCTCCAAGGCAAGCCCTCGTGCAGCCAAGATGTTGGGTGACATTTATAGCGACAACGACGACACTCTTGACCAGGCAATAGAGGTTTACAATTACGTTATTCTCAAGTATCGACGGTGGAAGTCTTGCAGCGTCGATGACCTTATGCGATGGTACTTTACCGAGTATGCCCTCGGAAGTGCCTATGTCAGGACCGGGGAGTACGCAGAAGCTGAGAAGCGATTCAGCTGTGTGTTGCGTGCTTGCGAGCGGAAAAGCAAATTGAGAGAAGCAAAAATAGGAGCAAAAGCAGTCGAGGCTGCGTCAACTGAAAACCGCAACGACAGCGCCGTCACGGGCGAGATGCCACAACCCGGAATGCTCCAGAGGACTGGGACGTCCAAGATAAAGAGGACCTTGACTAGGAGCTTGACTGCAATCGACCCGAAAACGGCCACTACAGCTGACAAGGCCAAAGCTGACAAGGACAAGGCTGAAGAAAACCGACTCAAGAGCGACCAGAGATGGTACAAGCTCCAGCTGAATGCTATAACCGAGTTGACGCTGCTGGACATTGCACAATTCAACTTTGACGGTGCCACCGATACGTACAAGCGAGCCCTCCGGAAATTTGGCGACGTCCCCAAAGATATGGAAATCGAAGCCTTTGGAGGACTGTGGGGTAGGAGGCGTTTTCAATCATTCCAGGATAAAGATAAAAGCGATGAGAAGGCTGCCGGTATTTATCAGCGTGCCCTCAGGCGATTTGACACCATGTTCAGAAAAGACCACATGCTTATTCTGATCACGGCCCTCCATCTAGGCATCAACTACATGAATCGATCCAGATTCTCCGATGCCGAGAGTCTTCTTATGCGCGCGCTGGACGGCTTTGTGGCTCGCCTCTACGGCCCACTCCCCGATAAGCAAACGGCTTTGGAGCTCGATGACAAGAACGAGCATCGCATCATTACCTTGACACGATACTACGTCGGTGTTTTGTTCACCAGCCAGCAGAGGCTCGATGAGGCCGATGTCCAACTACGGCGTGTAATTGAGCTTGCTTCGTCTCAAGGCGAAAGCTTTCAGAGCGAGATGGTACGACTATCCGCCATCTGTGCCCTGGGACAGAATACCATCAACCGACATGGCCGCAAGCTGAATTCCAGAAATGCTGACAAGGAGGCCGATAAGAAGGCCGAAGAGCTTTTCACAGCGGTTTTGGAAGCGTGTAATAACGGCCTGGATACCTATATCAGCACATATGCTGATGACCTCACAAAGACCCTCCTGGACAATCTATTAGAAAAGTTTTTAGAAAAATGCCTGGATGAGCACTTTGATAGCCTTCTTCGTCAAAATGATGCAGATGATGAAGTCGAAAAGCGCAGCTTGTGGGAGAAAGAGACCTATTTGCAGGAAGAAGGACTCTTCTCAAAGGGCACCTTCAATGGCGGCTCCGATGGCGGCCTCGTCAACCTGAGCATACAGGAAAAGGAAAGCTACTTGCAACGAGTTCCCGATGGGCCTCTGCCGGAGGGCGGTGTCTGCAATCTTTCCCTCCAGGACAAGAAGGCATTTTTGCGAGCTTCTGGGTATCTCCCGCAAGGGGAAGACGACAGCTTGAGCAGCCTCGAGGCGGCGAAAAGAATTGAGCTACAAATAGAATTTTCTGGGGCACACATCCTCAATATCGCACATCAGGCAAAGCTAGGGCTTATCGGCGTCTTTTTCAAACGAGGGGAAGAAAGGTACGACGAGGAAAACTTGAGTTATATAATAACACAGGTCTCAGACGAATCGGAGATGGAGAGTAAGAATCCATTCCTGTGCGATGCCAGAATACTCGTGAGTACAATATACGAAGATGATGATGAGAAAATTGCCGAGGCAGAGGTGCAGGTAAAGGCGACACTTCGAGCCTTGGAATATCTGGAGGGGAAACAAAGTCTGACCTATTTGCAAATGGAGAGAAGGCTTGGTGTTATTTGCTTGAAACTCGGTAAAACGAAGGAGGCTCAAGAAAGCTTTGAGGAGGCACTCGATAATCTGGAGCAAAGCATGGGTGCTTACCACTCCCAGACACTGAAAGTGAGTTGGCGACTTGGACGCATTTATCTCGATCAAGGCCATCTCGACGATGCTGAACTGGCATGCGATCGAGCATATCAGGGATTCAACAAGACATCTGGGTCAGAATCCAAGTGGACGGCGGAAGCTGCTCAGACCCTTGGCGAGGTCTACTTCAGGAAGGGATCAATCAGCAAGGCCAAAGACATGTATCGAAAGGCCTTTGATGCATTCAAGGCCTTGGTCAAGAAGCCGACGGCCACGCACAAGACTGATGCACCAGAAGAAAAGAAGCAGCAGAAAGTCCCACCGTGGAGCCAGGATCGGCCAACATTACTAGCCGCAATGGATCTCGCCAAAGTCTGTGCCATGATCCCAGAGCCATCCAGTAGGTCTGAGGCACTGAATCTGTACAAGCACGTGGTGAATGGGCTCAGCTCGGCTACCAAGAGAGAGTTGCGCCTGAATCTGATTGAGGCCCGATTGAAGCTCGCGGGTGTCTATCGGGAGCTTCGCAAGTTGGAGGATGCTGCTCAACTGATTCGCCACGCCTTTAGTAGCTCCAAAGCGTTGCGTGAATTGAAAACCTCCAAGCCTTTGGAATCGAAAGAAGCCGAAGTGAGTTATGCCGAGTGTCAGTTCCGCCTCGGTCAACTAAAGCTAGAGGGGTACGAGAGCGATATACTAGAAGAGGGCCTGCAAGAGGAAGACTTTGATAACCATGGCGGTCGGACTGGTAGAAGTCTGATAGAGGACTCCCGGCACCGTCTCGAAGAGCTACTTGGCGAAACTCATCCTCTAGTGCTGGAAGCATCTACCATCCTTGGTCAGCTGCGCTTAGGGGGGGAAGACGAAAGCGACGTCGAGGAAGGTATTGAGATTCTCGAGAATGTGCTTAAGCACTATACATCTACAAACGACACCACTCCCGGCATCCCGAAACTGGCACCAGGAGACCCAAGGATCATACGTGTCATAAACTCTCTCATAAATTGCTTCGATCGTCGCGAAGACGCAGAAAGAGTGAAGGACATGGAATCTCGCAAGTGGGAACAGCTGAAGAGTGCTTACGGAATCGATCACGCAGCCATGATTATGGACATTACGCAAAGTAAACACTTGGACCACGAGCAGTATTATGAAGATATCGGGGCGCATGATGACATTCCGGATTTTGAGGATTCGAGCGAGGAGTCGGATGAGGAAGATTCCGAAGAAGAGTATGAGGGTGCCTGGAACGATGATGATTTAAGCTCGTTTAACTCGGATTTGGATTCCGACTCGGATGAAGAGTCTGGCTCGGATGAAGATGGGGAGCACAGTGACGGATCGGATAATGAAGATGAGAGACAGGCGCAAGTTGAGCATGCACAAGTCGATCATAGTATGAATGATACGGGTACTGATGTTGAATCTGGCACTGGCCCTGATTCGGATGAAGATGGGGAAGACGATGGCGCCCAAGAACAAGTCAAACATGCGCCAGTCGATGATGATGAGATGGATGAGGTTGGCAGTAATCCAGGATCTGAACTTGGCCTCAATCGAGATGAAGATGGGGAAGACGAAGACGAAGACGCCCAAGGACAAGCGAAACATGCGCCAGCTGATGATGATGATATGGATGAAACTGGCAGCAATCTAGATGAAGATGAGGAGCAACATGAAAGATCGCATGCTCTTGAATCTGACCCTGGCCTTGGCTCAGATGAAGACGGGGAAGACGACGACGCCCAAGGACAAGCCAAACATACGCCAGCCGATGATGATGATGATGTGGATGAAACTGGCAGCAATCCAGAATCTGAACTTGGCCTTCATCTGGACGAAGACGAGGAGCAAAATGAAAGATCCGATGACGATCATGATGACCAAAAACAAGTCGAACACGAATCCACTGAACGCCATGTGGAAGCTCCGTGGAGAAAACATCGAGGGTTGAAAAGGACAGATTTTGACTCGGAGGAAGATGAATAGGTTATAATAAGTCACCGATTAATAAACCTAAATATAAATACATAATGATAATAATCGAGATTTATTTTTCATGCAATTGTATAAGTTTAAAAGATTTGTAAAGGCTAGTGTAAAAAGATTATATGATCTTATGTATGGAATGTTGCGTTGTTGATGTCCGAAGTAAAAGGCTTGGTTTACATCTACTGCTGTGATGGGTCTATTGACGACTAGTGGCACGACAAGGATAAGCAAGAAAGTTTTGAATGAAGACCCAACTGTATCTCAAATGAAATGAAATCGACCTTGTGCTGATTTTGGATGACTGTCTGGAAGAGTGGTTGATCATACAGCGATTGTGAGATGGGCGACTAGACTTTTGTCACATGGCACCACCAGTAAGCCATTCGAATCATATCCATTAATGATTGAAGCGTCTATATCCATACATGAAAAGATGCAAGAGACACAAAAAACACTGTAAAACAGCCGACCCCATCGCTTGAGCCACTCTTCACAACGCCAGGTATCTACAAAAGCCCGTTTTCCTCTCCTTCTATTCCAAACAAGAGAGTTGAATTACCGTCATCATTTGTAGAAATTAGATTCATGCGTTTGGAATATTCGCCGTTCTCTCAGGCTTCTATGCATGAGGATCCGGTAACCAAAGCACCAGGTCTTGATCTGCCGTTGCGAAAAAGTTGAACCGCGGGTTAAATGCCAGCACGGCAGCTTCTCTCTTGTCCGGCAGCGTCCATGTTGGGTCGAGGACCTTGCTCTCCGACGGCTGCTTCAGCGTATCCCATACCAGCACATCTTGCTTCGAGCCACCACTCAGCACATATCGTCCATCTGGCGCAAAGCAGCACTCTCCACTGCTCTCAAACGCGTTGGGATCAGTGGAAGCCGGGCCAGCGCCATTTGAAGGAAGACTATCGCCCGCAGCCAGTCGGTGTGTCCCTCCAGCGGGTCGTCGGAGATATGCCTTCAGATTGCCCTGGAAGGCGTCGAGGAGGAAGTGTCCGCGACCCTTTGTTCCTACAAGGATAGACTTACCATCGTTTGAGAATTCGAGCTTGGTCCACCCCTTGACGAGATGCTGCGAGTCGACGCCGCGACACTGCTCGACGAGATCAATGGTGGTGAATGGCGCCTTGTCGTAATTCCGGATATCGTACAGCAGGACAGAGCCACTGCTAGGACATGCAACGGCAAAGACGGTGCCCGAGGGGTCGTACGCAGCGAGGTATGGTGATCGAAGGAAAAGCTGGCCCTGCCAATTCTTCGTCTGTGTATCCCAAAGGCGGACAGTGTTGTCCTGTGAGCATGATATGAAGTTGTCGGTGCCCGGATGGACGGCAAGCGCCGTTACTGCCGCATCGTGGCCCTCAAAGTAGCGAATAAAGGAGTTGTCGTGAGTCGCAAGGTATCGGATAGCATCTGCGCAAATGTGACGTTTCAGCCGCGGTCAATACAAGAGGGGCACGATGGCGCAGTCACTCACGGTTCTGTTTCGTACTCGCATAGATGATACTAGAGCGAGTATGCGTAAACTTGGCCAGCTTGACGCCGTACTTCTTGCTCAGCAAGCTCTTGTCGTGTCGGCCCTCTCGAACGTTGTAGATCTGAATCGTCTCGTCGCTCGCCGATGTCATGAGCAGTTCTCCGTCGTCGTCGTAGTCAATTGACAAGACTCGAGGTTGAGGCTTCCCGTCCTTTATGTCATCTCGACGTAGCAGCTATAGATTCCACCATGTCAGCTTCTGAAGCTCCGTCCGGTATCGGCAGTTTTCCGCGGCACAAGGCAAACGCACCTTTGTCGGGCGAAAGCTGGAGGCGACGTCGCTGAGGTTGGACACGGGCGCGCTAGCAGCCAGATTCCGCGAGATATTGAGCGCCGCAGAGCCATTTGAGCCGGCGGGGTGATCGAGATCCATGGGCGTGGAAGCCATGCTGGCGACCAAGTCTTTGAGCGGCGGATGCGATGCGATCGATGCGTCTCTCGACAGACCGAGGCCACAGCGGCCTTGATAGCGATGCTGGTGCTTTTTGAAGCTTTGTATCGAATAATTACCGTGCTGTTAAATGTTTTATAATGAGTATCCAAGCTAATTGAGTGGTTGGTGGTGGACGAAGCGGCGCTGTGATTGTTGGCGGTGGTGAGAATTGAATGGATTGTAGTTTTGGTAGAGCAACGACGTCACGCTTGGGTTTTCGCGTAGCGCCTGTCGACGCCAAAGCACGTGCCGCAAAACAGGGCCCTGGATTTGGGTTGATGCAGCGCGTATAAGAAGATAAACTCGGACGTAAAAATAGCAAAATAAAGAAGAAATTATTAATTGTACTTGTGATTTGGAGCATAGTGTAGCTGCTTCACTCTTGGTGGGTGCGAATGTACTTTTTGCTTCAATGCCAAACTGTAAAAGCCTTCAATCCCATACAAGTCAACATGCATGTATCAACGACTTCACTGCATCAACTTTTAACAAGATAGCAACGGGTATATGCGCTAAATAATAGATAGAAGCTTAATCAAGATAAAAAGAGGGCTCTCAGTCTTTTGGTTTATCCCCAGGCTCCGCCTCCGCCACTGATAATAAATCATGCGCGCTGCTCTGTGTAAATGCCCTCGACACCATGATTCCTCCAGACTTGAGCTCACCCAACTCGACCGACATCGTCGTTGGCTGCGCAACAACCTCGGTCACAGTCTCTCCTCCGGTTCCTCCAGATAGCCCATCGCTGTTGTTGATCTTCGCCCAGTCGTGGTGTTGCAAGCTCCCCTTGTACCCGCCGCCTCGCCGTTCAGAGCTGGATGCTGTTGCGCCGCTCCTGGAATGCGCCACCGATTTGACGGTGCTTTGGATCTTGTCCTTGATGATGACCAGATGGCGGTATATTTGGGGGAGATTTGCGCAGAGAATGGCGCCGCAGGGTTCCCAGGCTGAGAGGATCCCCAGAGAAGCCTCGTCCCCTTGATGGGATAAATGTGTTAGTTATCATCGCCCGTTAACTTGATCAAGTTGACAATGACACAACTTACATGTAAAATCCGCAGAGGCAACTCCAAACACAAACGACAGTCTGGCCGCGCTAATCGCACACGTCGCCGCCCCAATGCCAAACATGAAGCACAGAATTATCCTCCGCTCCTTGGCCGCATGAAGGCCCAGAATCACCGGGATCGGCATCGAGAAAATCCACAGATCCGTCGCCATGTTGGTGACATTCGTAAAATACGTAAAGGCCTCCTTGTTGATGCATTTCCCTCGAGTTGCGTCCCACCACGCCTGGATGGGCCGACATCCAAAGCCCAGCACAACCTCCATGACGATGATCCAGGCGCAGACAAAACAGGCGGTGCTGATGACGAGATTTCGAAATGTGCGGGTGATGAAGATGCGGTAGTACAGGGCTAATACGGAGAGTTTGGTGAAGCCAATGGCGATGTCGTAGAAGTGGCTGAAGACGTAGTCGCCCTGTGATTGTGAGTGGCTTTCACTTATGAGACGAAGAATGAGGCTGTATTCACTTTGAGAAACATTTTTACATCATGTTCGGGAACAGCTTGTATATGGCGTCCGAGTCCATACGGCGGTCCTGTGAAGCAAATCAGCACTGCCTTTTTCTACTATTAGAGTCAAACCATTGCTCACATACCGTATACCAATCCCAACGCACATTCGACCATAGAACATAAAGTCGCCCATAGCATCAGATAGTCCTCATAACCAAGTCGCCCTTGAGATGAAGACACTGCCCATAGTCTCCATCCTGTGCTTAATGCTTCGAGTGCAATTGGAATCGAATAAAAAGCTGTAACTAATCCCGTCTTGGACTGGGCCAAGTATTCCGGGCTGAAAGAGGTTGAATTCGTCGCCATCTCGGGTATAAACTGATGATGAATCTCAATTGAATTCTTTTTTCTCGATGTGTTGTATTGGGTTTTGCCCAAAAAGAGTGAGGGCGAGGGGGAGGAGACGGGAAACAGTACAGTCAGACGCTGCGCTGAGTGGCTTCGTTTATCGTGTCGTTCTGAACCGTCCAAGCAAGCCGTCTCGGATGCCGTGATGGATGCTCTATGCAAACACAATCACAACCGGCAGTCAAAGCATCAACAGCTCCAGATACCAGCGACTGCCCTCTGGCCGGAGCCGTCCCATGCGTCTCTGACACTTAGGCCATGCACGTCAAAGACTCCAAGCAGCACGTGGATATAGATAGTGCTATATGTACAATAATCAGAGTGACGGCAGCCTGGTATGTGGAACCGAGAAATAGTCGCGGCAGGGGAAAAGAAGAAGAATATAAGAGATTGAACAAAAGAAAAGATTTGCCCAGGGTTGCAGCGAACCACTCAAAGCAAAAAACACTCGACCCCATCAATTAATCAAGCTGTGATTGCTGGGCATGGATCTCGCTTACTGCCACACAGTCGATATCACACCCATTACTGCCTAACAATACGACTCTGATACTGTAGTGCGACTTTCTCCATGCATGCAGTAGCCACACACACCACCCGTTTTCTGTCGAATAGGCTCGTCCAGTTACAGAACAGGCTCTGCTAACAGCTGTACAACGCCAATCGCTTCTAGAGCTGCCCACGAAGGATCATCCTCGCTCCTCTAGGGCGGTCCGAACCGTCCACTGAGCGGTGCGGGTTTCCAGATTGGTCGTCCAACGGCTGTCAAACACATACCAGCACTGGAACACATGGAGAAAAGCCCTGGCAAGGTTTTGCAGGTTGTGCAGAGTGTGGAGAAGGAAGATCGCCACCTTAACAGGACCGACTTATACAAGAACGGCGAGAAGAACAGCTGACGGTGAAGTCGGAGAGAGATTTAGGAATCCACTTTCGCAGAATGACATCTTGTTACTATCTCTCAACCCATGTGCCGTAAGAAGAGCAAAGCTGAGAACTAAGCCTTGTGCGATAGAAGCCTTGCAGCGAGAAAGCAAGCAAAGGATTCAATCACTGTGAGCCATGGCTTGTCTCCAGGCTGCGCATCATACCAGAAACAGATAGTATGCCTGTCATCAAGCAGTGTCAAGGGTAGAAATTGTAGAGTTGGATTTTTGATCCCAAGACAGTTGGGCTTGTCTGTGCTTGCATGTACTCTGCGGAGTCATGTCCATACATATCCATCGCCTCACTTACACGCACCAGTAATGTTTTGTTTTTTCCAGAACTGAAAAGGTTTTTGATCAATAACTTTATTCATTTATTTAATGCTACATCAAACGTTTTAGAATCTCAAGAGACTTTCCACACCTCGCTTCCCTTGTCTCATCCCGCTTCGTCGTCTCCCTCCACATCCCGAAGATGCATACCAACGCCGGCACCAAGTCAAATGTTCACGCAAGCATCTCCATCCGCATGGCCTGTCAAACGGAAACGATGCCTGAAAACGAGCAACTCTGAGCTCAACCCCACGCAGCATGGGGGAAGGTGGCTAAGGACCTTCTTGGCAGGTAATCTGGAAGAAAAAGAATAGCATATGCCTTGTTGGGACACAAGTGAGCATCGTCCAAAATGCGAGGTATAAAAGCTTGCGTATCACCGTAGTAGTACCTACTGCAGCTACAAAGTGCCGCTGAAGGGAACCAGGGATGGGGCCCTGGCCTGGGCACTCATGCATGTAAGACAAGACGGCACGAGGGAGGGCTGGTTAGCGAACAAGGATACGAGGCAGAAGCAGCAAATGTGTCTTCCCTCTTTCACCTGAGTGGCCGCAGCATCCCGATGGTGTGCACATCATTAATCGCCCATCACGAGAATTGAAAAAAACGTAACGAGGAAGAGATTATGTTTCGCCTCGCTGGGCTTACACGGGGCATAGCCCATTGACTTTTGGCGTTTTGCCTCGTTGCCACGTTGGATCGTCAGATTGGCCATGACCTGAATCATATGCGGTTACTCTATTTACTGCATGTGCGTTTGAATGCTACCACACACCGAAGTTGCCGCAGTTTCTGTTTCTGTTTGGGGTCAAGGGACTTGGATTGGTGGAACAGGCGTTTACAAGACTAGCACCATCAGTTCGAGAAATTCCCGTTATCGTACTCTTCAGCAAGCCTCTATTCTTACAAGTACGCTATTCAGCTGCCGTAAAATGCAGTCCTTGCAGCTAGCAGGGATCTTTAGAGCGCCATAAGCGCAAGGGAACGGGCCGTTCGCTCGCTCTTATTCTCTATCGGCCGCAACTCATCCGTGGGCGATGCCTCGTGTTTAAATGCTGCTGTGTACTTCTAGAAACAGCAAGTCATTTGCCATACAAAGACAAGACGGGGTCCCCATCACGCGCCACTCCTACGAGCAGTTCAGCTGCCGTACAATATGAACCAATAGTCCTCCTATGCCCTCCCGTCCACAGAATAGTGTCCTATATCCCAACATCGCAGTCATGCCTCTTTACCAGACCCAAGTCACCTGAATCATGAAGCCGGCGGAAAATCACCAGCCCCCTTGTCTTCTCCAAAGCTGACACTGCCGTAAACTCCGCTGCCTCAAACGACAAGCTGCTCCATCCATCCAGTATCTGCCTATCTGTCCCTGCAGACGGTAAAGAGGTCACCGGCTATTCTTTTCTGAAATGGAAGAAAACATCGATTGCGCCTCGTCATTTCCCGGCTCACTTACATCGTCATCTGCCTCGAGGCAGTGAAATGCCTTCACCATGGATCACATGCTAATGTTATTACGGCCTATATTCACTTCTAATAGTTGCCGACAACTCGCATTCAGCTCTCTCGGTCGCAGCTGAGGCGGCCGGCATGCATACAAGCACATACACACGCACATAATCTGCACCACATGCGCTGCCAGGGCCCCTTTGCTTGACCTTCCCCGGACCGCTTCGGCGAGGCCGCATCTCTGTCCACCTGAATTGTGCATCTCAGCAGCGAACCTCAAACGCCATCCATGTCGCCCATTCAAATATTCCAGCTGTCTTTGCCCAATTTGTCTGCTGTTTCCACATGATGTTGAAAATCTCTTGAGCTGTGCAGGATTGAATCACGGATCGTTTAGTGCTCCCGGTCCCGGATGCGGCTGTCCCTCGTTTCTCGAAACGCTCGAGGATCACTTGTATCCACCATGATGGACTTTTTGTTCTTGAACCAACAAGCAGCCATTCTCTAGACTTTTCTGACGTCTTTTAATTCTCCTCTTTCTCCGTAATGATAATGGTTTTCTAATTTCATTATTCCTTACGACATTTGAACTGTGCCTGGAATAGAATAGGATACAGCTCGGCAAGCAGGGTTTCAAGACTCGGGCGTAGAATCTCGCTACAATGAGGCGCGTTGCCAGCTCCATCCTTTTCGCCCTGGCCATCGTCACGGACCACGTCTTCGCAGCCATTCCTTTAGAATCTGCACCAACCGTCGATCTAGGATACGCAGTTTACGAGGGCGTCTACAACGACACCTATGATTTAAACACCTGGAAAAGGTAAACATGGGTGAGACAGACTTTGGCAGCTTCATGCACTTACACAGTCCCGACTTAGTATCCGATACGCCGCTCCCCCAACCGGCAATCTACGATGGCAAGCTCCTCAGCCACCACTCAATGCCACCACGCGAAATCGCCTCGTTCCCGCAGTAGATCAGCCTCCGTGGTGTCCCCAGTCCGGCGCCTATGGCGTGCCCTCAGTATACGGCTTCAACTCCAACCAGGGCAATGAAGATTGCCTCTATCTCAACGTCTATGCGCCGCCGCAAGCCAAGGACTTGCCCGTTTTTGTTTGGATCCGTAAGTTTTGCACTTTTGAGAGAGGTCTCCGCTAACACTTAACCACTATGATAAGACGGCGGTGGCTACTCAGTCTTTTCTGCTACTTACAACCCCAGTTCCATGATCAATGACAACGACAATGGCTTCATCACCGTCGAGATTCAGTACCGGCTGGGCGCCTTTGGCCAACTCGCCTCTGCCGACGTCCAGCAACACGGCAAGCTCAACGTGGGCTTATTAGACCAGCGTTTCGCACTCGAGTGGGTGCAGAAATACATCTCCAAGTTTGGTGGTGATCCAACCCGCGTTACACTGGGCGGCGAATCGTCTGGCGCAGGATCCGTCATGTATCAGTCCTTGGCATATGGTGGCAGAGACTCTGGACTGTTCAGCAACGTGCGTAGTCTTATACCTCTGTCTGATTCACGTTTTTAACTGTCTTTAGATCATCTTAGCCAGCACATATGTCCCGCCAATCTATCAATTCAACGATTCTATCCCCACCAGCTACTACAACGACTTTGCTGCAGCCGCTGGGTGCGGGGAGACTTCGAGACAGAATCACTTGAGCGTATTTGACTGCCTTGTTGCCGCCGACACGAATGTCTTGCAAAACGCCAGTGGCCTTGTGTCAACTTCCAATGGCTATTTTGGAAGCTTCTCATGGCTGCCAGTCATTGACCACGATATGATCCAAGACCTTCCGTCGGTTCAGCTTCAGCATGGTCAAATCAGCGGCCAGCGGATTTTAGTCGGAGTATGTCCTCTTTAATATTCTATCCTTGAAGGCCCATAGCTCTCCATACTAACAACAATCTTCGACAGACCAATGCCAACGAAGGTGTCCCCCTTACAAACCCCTACATCACCACCAAATCCGACTTTGACGCCTTCATATCTTCCACTCTCCCTACCCTCACCACCTCTGACATTCTTACTCTGAATCAACTCTACGATACAGCTACCGCACAGCCTGGTAACAACGGAACTCGCTTCGACACAGCGGGCGACAGTGGTCCTACGGCAAACACCGTCTCTGGCATGGCCACAGGCATCCAGCAGACAGCCTTCAACGTTGCCGCCGAGTCCATCTTCCAATGTCCCTCGCAATGGATAGCCGAGGCCTTTAGCTCACAACGGCAGGCGTGGAAGTACCAATATTCGCTCGACCCAGCATATCACGGCGCAGATCTCGGTGCGTACTTTGTCAGCGCCAATGGCCCGCCGAATCCCGGCTTTCAGCGCAGCTTCCACATGCTATGGGGCAACTTTATCATCAATGACACTCCAGTCATATCCGTAAAGGAGGCAACCGCCGGAATGGCAAATTCCACAGTTCCCATCGACGCCAATCACCCGGATCAAATATCCTGGCCGCAGTACAGCGTGCAAGGCGCCACGTTTATGAACCTCAATACCACAGGTGGAGAGATATCTCTGGTCACAGTGACGGATGAGTTGAGCTACTACGTCCGCCAGGGAGCTGGCATTGTCAACACTTTTCGTCTTGCCAATGCTACGACTTGGGAAGGAGGGCGCGGCGATAGATGCAGGTTCTGGCAGTCTATTGCACCTAGAGTGCCCAACTGACGCTATTTTTTTTAGACTAGAAGATGATCAGTCATACTAGAATCCATGTCTTTTTCTTTATACAAGGAAAACATAGAGTAAAGGGCCACCAACGTTTTTGTCTGTATATACTATCAAGTTCTTTGGCTAGATATGAGCCTGCTTACAAATAAATGATGACAACATGAACCATATACAATTCCTATTCATCTATGAGCTACCAGATATTTGAGGGAAAAGGTATACAGCACCCCGATTCTGTTGCATGCATCCAGCACTCCAGCAATAGCGTAGGCTAGGTAGCAATGCTACTGATGCTGCTACTTTTTTATTATTAGTAGTCATATAGTTTTTAACATGGACTAATTAACTTTTTAAACTATAGCAGAGGTACTTAATAATGAAATTGGGGTGCTGGATAACTTTTCAATTGTGATGTTAGAACGCCATGTCTTTTGAAGTATTGGCTGAGTAAATACATACCATACATAATCATAAACATTGTTTTATGCTCTAGGGAACCTTTCCTGCCTTAACTTTCTCCAAAATCCATCAAAGTAAAACAGAATAAAGATGAGCGTAGTCAGTATGACCGCAACAACAAAAAACCAGAATATGCTGATCTGATCCCCAGGGAGTTCCTTGACATTCATGCCAAATATGCCTGTAGCAACTGATACAGGCACAAATGCAGATGCCAAAAACGTCAATTTCCCAGCCTTGTCTGCTTGCAAAATAGCCGAATGCGACTCCGTGATGGAGATGCTAGATTGCAGGACAGAGATGGCTTCTTTTGTTCTATCATACAGCGACACCGCATGGTCGAGAAGATGCTTGAAATCGCGCTGAATCTTATCATACGCGATTTCAGCCTTGTCTTTCCCAGATTTGGAATTTGACTTTGCCCAGGCCGGATGAAGAGTATTCTCGATGTTCATCAAAACGCGCTTAATGTCCGAAATTCGCGAATATAAAATCTGCTGTGTGTATTTAAGGTGGGATAAGATCACGTGGTCGTGCTCAGGTCCTTTGGCAGAGTATATTCGAAGTTTAGCGTCAATCATATTGAGAAATTGCTGTTGTGAGTTTGCAGAGAATTGGAAAACCTCTCCAAGAGCATAGAATGGATCGTGGGCCTTTGTTTCTCTATGTAATGAGCGGCCATAGTTTTGGTAAAGCTGAGAAACGGGATCCTGCTGGATTGAAAAATCGTTCTCAGTTGCACTAGAAGACCGAAGCAAATGGCTCTTGAGGGCAATCATCGGTTTATGATCTATCACGGGATGATATTTTGATTCGTAAGATTCGGTATCCCACGGCTCATGTTTGCCACGGCGCACGCCGCTTCCAGCATCAGCCCAAACCAAGACTGTTTATACCTACTGTCAGCTACAATACTGATAAAGTAGACAGCTGCATGCAATACTCACGTCTAAAAGGCTTCCTTTCATCTTCTGACTTGCCGTCTTCCACTTGCTGCATAAATATCGAGATTCTTTGGTCAATTGCAAAGTGCGTCTCGTCAAAAATGTAGTAGTCTCGGATCATCGATTCGCCAACACTGATGTCGGAGCGTAAGCTCGAAAGCCGATCGTGATGTTTCTCCAAAGCATCTCTGCCCCTTTTCCTTTCCTGTTCAATCCAAGCCGACGGAGGTATACCATAAAGAGAGCTCTCTCGGCTGCCAATGGTCGTTATAGGCAGCTCCATCAGGTGCCGGGAAGCAGAAGGCAAGGAAGGAGTGGAGAAATTATTGGACTTATCTTGAGTAGACCGAAAGTCGAGGTGGCGGCCAAAAAGCTCGGGATCTACGAAGAAACGGCTGCCAACATTGTTGATCCATGCGGCAGACAGAAAGCCGCGAAGGAAAACTATACAGCTCGTCTCCGGCTGGAACTCGTAAAGCTGCGTCGGGTTTTGGAAAGAGTTACAGTCGGTGGCTGTTCTGGCGCGCTGGCCATCTTGATCCTCGACGCCGAGCGTCAAAGAATATATCAGAGCAACATTGGCGCTGGCCTTGACGTCTATCCGCACAGCTGCCGGCGAATCACTATTCTCTATAAGAAATTTGCCGAGGGAGAGGTAATTTGAGCCTATTGGCAGAGCTGAGAAAGCTTTGACTGCTTCGGCGTATTCGTTTGGGCTCACTGTGTCAAACATTAGCCTCAAGAATCTCCAGCTCGCCAAGAATCTGACATTTTTTTATATGAGTAGTACATATACTCTTTATGCTCTTTGTCACAGTAGACTGACGACCTATACTTTGCTGTCTAAACGGTGAAGAACCAGGAACATTATCCATTTTTTTTATACAATTTCAGTGCCTAGAAATGCGAGGGGAAGCGCAAAGCCATGTACAATTGGGTGGAGATGGGGAGTACATATAGGCGTGTAAATCTACCTCTAAATAGGAGGGACGCAAGATGAAGAGTAGTGAGGCTGTGGCCTGCGGAAAACACGTTTGTATCTAGGCAGCCAACACGATCCTACCATCACCGAAACGAATGTCCATTTCTATTTTTGTACTATTTCTATTTTGGATCAAATATGCTGTAACCTTGAAACCAGTGCTACCTAGATATGTACCTAAACTGTGAACGTTATACTGATGTAGCGCCCTTGAGCGCGTAATGAAGGTGTATAAATACATGTACATGTACTTTGCTCCCATCCACACTTAATCACTAATCCCCGCTTGCAACCAACTTGGGATTTAGCGATACATATGACACACCCTTTTTACATAATAGTTTAAAATGTGAAAGATGCCAAGCTGTAAGGTTAAACCCTGCACAGTATATTGCAAAAGTCTCGATTTGTAATCATCTACAATAGCAGTCCATCGCGTAAGGCGAGACCGTTATGCCCTCCTAGGCCATGTGAAGATGTGCTTAGTGAGACGGGTATGATAGGACTCGAAACTACAATACATATTAAGCTTGATGAAAAAGGAGTTTTTTTTTTTTTTATGTTGACAAAGAACGTTAAAATCTTAGTTATCTAGACCAAAATGCTACCAGTCGATCAAAATCTGCCTCATCCAACTCTTCCAATGGGCGACTATCTGTTGGCTCTATTTGGCTCTTTATATCGTAAGCTTTTCTCATTTCCTCATCAGCCTCTTCCAGCCGTCCCAATTCTTGGTATAGTCTCCCTTTCAAGTATGTTGTTCTAGCTGCCTCATTTGACAGATATGGACGCAGGTTGAAAGCTTTCAAAGCCATGTTAAGGTGTTCTCTGTAACCCGTTAGCTCTCAAGATACCTTGCATAACGTACTTATCATTCGACGTACTCAGCCTCTAAAAAGTGACGCGATCTAATGTAGTGTTCAGCCATCTTGTGGCAGATGTCGCCAAATCTATGATGATTGTGTCCAAGGACTTTTCTGTACTGCTCGTAGCATCGTTGATGAAACCCTAAACTTTCTTGATATCGGCCTTGTGATTCCAGCACGTTGCCTAATCCGTAAAGGATCTTTCCTGTTCTGAAGCTTGCGTCAGTCGAGGAATTCATAATATGATGCATCACTTACTTGAATGACTTCGTATCATCAACGCCCCACGCAGCTGCATGGATATCTAGAATCTCAATCAATGCTTTCTCAGCACTGTCATAGTCTTTTAACAGCCAGAACATGAAACCTAGATTGGGCTCGGGCCATCCAAGCATAGTATCTGTATAGTCCTCCAAGCCTTGAAAGATTGTAATGGACTCGCGGAACGCCTCGCACGCCTCTTCAAGCATATCGCTATTGCCGTATGCCACGCCGATTTCGTTGTAAGCATAGCCAAGTTCGTAGTCCCTAATCGGGAGTCCCGACTCTGATCTTCTCTCAAGCAGCATATCAAGCCATTTCTGTTTGTGCTTTTTACTATCGCCATGGTTGTTCGTTTCAACAAGAGCAATTCCTATAAAAGAATGACCTTCGCGAATGACTTCGTGAGCCTCGCTAGTATGATTGTCCTTCATTTGCTCTCCAATCATCAGTGCAACATTACAAAACTGCTCAGTCTTGTCTGGTAGGCCTCGTTCAAACATATACCTGGATTAGTCAGACAAGGCATCAAATATAAATTCCAAAGCTTGACGAATGAGAGCGCACGTACCAACCAACGTCATTGAACAGACGGGCTGCTTCCAAATTTTTCGATGCGAAGCTTCCCCCTCGTATCATGGGCTCCAAACCATCCTTCAAACGCAGGACGCTCGGGAAGAAAATTTCACACTTGCTGAATCTTGCGACTGAGTGATGCTCTTTCATTGACTGGAATGGCCAAATGGCAATGGCCAGAGTGATAGCGGCTTGATAGGCTGCCTCCAGCCCTTCGCGATTCATGTCATGCAACACTGTATCTTGAATCAGACGGTGTATAGCAATTTCTCCGCTCTCTTCGTGTAAGCTAATCAATGACGAAGACAACAGCTCTCCTCTTGCTCGCAGATACTCCAGTCGAGTCTTTGGGTAGTCCGGAAGATAATTTTCAGCAGAATGACTGGTTAGCAACTCTTCTGGAATCGCATCCGGGTCAAGAAGACAGATCACTTGAAGCAGTGCTCGAGTAGGACCCGCCAGCCGATCAAGCGCCCAGATTGTAGCTAAAGATTGGCTTTCTTGTCCCTGATATAGATCGATTGCTGTCTGAAAGGTGGTAGCTATACCTTTATCATCAAGGAGTTTAAGAAAATCCGTGTATGAGCATCTCAGCTGTCGAAATATCCCAGCTATCTGATTAATAGCTAATGGCAAGCCGCCAAGTTTGTCGGCAAGGGCTTTGATGGCCTGTTCCTGGGCCGGTATAGCCGGGGAGTGTGTTAACTGTTGCAAAAGTAGTTGAGTGTCTCCCATAGAAAGGCTAGGTAATTGTATTCCATATTGAATATGCATGTTCAACTTTGCTTGCGGATCTCGACTTGTAACGAGCACCGAGCCTCGCCCGAGGCCAGGCCAAAACTCCGACAGCACGTCCAAGTTGTCAACGTTTTCAAAGATAATCAGCCATTGCGCCAAGTTTTCCCGTGTCTCTGGTTCTGAACGCCTCTTCAGTGGTTTCGAGAGCCAGTTCATAACAATGCTATGACTAGCAGCCAAATCAGATGACGTATCTTCAAGCCCCAGCTTTGTCGAAATTTGTGCAAAATTACCTCCGAGGATGTTGGCGTTATCTGCATTAAGCCAAAAGATGGCATCAAAGGCAAGACGACGAGAAAATGCGTATTCAATAGCCAACGATGTTTTCCCTATGCCACCAAGACCGCAGAGAGCAAATGAGCGGAGGCTATCTTGCTGATCATCGTCTAGCGCCTCTTTTTGCTCTGCTAACAAATATCTGTCAAGAGTTGCCATCATATCCTCACGACCTAGAAAATGCTTGACACGATGTTGTGAGCTAAGCATGAAACATGGAAGAATGGGCTCTTTTTCGCTTTCTTCAAGCGGAGTCACAGAGGGTACAAGCTCAAATGAGCCATCGGTTGATCCGAAGGTTGAACGTCCTTCTTGATAAGACGTAGGGGAAAGCGTTGCTTCAGCCAAGAACTCGGAAATTTTAAGTGATTCGGCATCACTCCGAAGAGTAGCGCGTCGCAACACTGACGGAACTGTGTCTTTTCAACTGTCAGGGCAGCTCATATCAAGGTGGATTGAGTGGAGCTTACATGGTACGCTCATTTGTGCAATCTTCTCCGGTGCGGTTCTCATAATGTTCGAAAGGAAATTCCGTATTATATCATATACGCCACCTCTGGCATTGATATCACACACTCTAGCATGATTCGAATGTCCGTCGACGAGCTGTTCCCCAGCAATACCTAGCTGCGCTAATCGCTTCGGAACGACCTTTTCGAGGTTTTGTTAGTTGCAGCACCATTAATAGGTCACATCTTAAAACGTACGACTTGACTTTGTGTCTTACTGAGAAACCTCGCAAATAACCTGGTCTGATACGCTGCCGTCTCACTTTCGTAAACAGAAATTGTGGAAATAGTGAGATTTAGTTTCTCAAACTCTCGACATAGCTCAATTAAAGCCAGCGCGTCGCTCACCGTTTGATAATTCCTCCTGGCTTCTTTCTTCCGATATTTGAGCAGGAATTCGATAGTTTGTTTCACTTCAATCGCAGTAACATGCCTTTGGAAATGCGGCACGCCCAAGAATATCAGTCCGAAAAATGCCGGTATCAAGTAACCGCATTCGTGGAAAAAAAGTCTACAAAGACATAAAGCCTGACCCAATTTAGACATCGCCGCACCAGGGGGTTAGGCATTTCGCCATAGAAACTCACTTTTTTGAGAATAAGCCCACCAGTACCATGGCAAATGAAAACAACGGGTCTTTTGAACTACATGAACTCAGCATGTGCCATTGGTAGCATATCATGCTCAGCTAACCTTGGCATTGGGTTGATGGCTCCTCAATGCTTGAAGCAAGTTTTTGCCGCCGTTTAGTACATGATCAGAAAGGGAGTTTCCATAAACATGATGAGTATACTCGAGTATTGTAGCACTAGGTCCAAGATCTTCGGAAAGTTCTTCTAACCATGAGGACATGGAGGGGCTAGCCCACTGGGACGGTGAGCTGAACCCCCAAGCCGGAATCACCACTATGCTATGATGTAGTATGCATATCAGTCATTAGTCAAAATTTCCAAATACAATTCACTTACTCGATTCCACCAGAGACATTGCCCGCTACGGAATGTCCGAACAAAGGTCTGAGCATTTTGTGGTATATGGGCCAAACGCCCAAGTGAAAAGCACTGCCACAAAGGAGCGAGTTAGTTGGAAACGGATAACAAAATCAAACAATACGACGTTGCCTAGGCTGACCGAGTGTTCAGAGCAAGGCAGAATGGGCGGTGACAAACTCCCCGAAAATTTCCTGCCGGTAGGTGACGTGTATAATAGAAGAGGGGAAGCTCATCAGTACGTGGACTACGTTCATCTATTTGTCACAGGTATTGGTTGCACAGCAGGCTAAGCCACCAATATTGACCGAAACATTGCATAAGTGCGAGCTCCTCGGGTACTCAACTTTCAGGGTGGACGGCTCTGGACGGCTCTGGGCGGCTTTCATCGCCATTAATTATCGGTATGCCTTTGCGTGGCACAGTTATCTTGCTTGAATATTTCAGAAACCCAATTAGATCACTGCCCGCCTGCATCCACGCTACAAAGGTGTCGTAACATTGCGTTACTATCTGCTGAATACACTGATATAAGACAATATATTGGGTACCACAGCATTATTAGTGCCCAATATCATTCATGGCTTCAGTGGGCAGCGAGTAGGTCAATGTGGGACATGTGTTGCTGTCGGAATAGGATTCTCGTCTGTATTTGATACAAGGTTGATGTATGAATATACCCATAATAAGCGTTTAAGGCATCACTCTGTTAAGCAGAGATACAAAAGGGACTTGGAGCGCGAAAGACATAGGTGCACTTGACTTCAAAAAAACATCATCTGCCTGCAGCACTAATAAATTCTCTCCCACGAGTAAGCCACTCTTTATGATCCTACCATGAGATACTGAATACGCAAATTTCTAACGCTATCCAGTTTCACAAAATACCAAAATATGGCAAGCAACAAAATTGGCCACCTTGCTGGGGATTTCCAGACCTATGACAACATCGCAGAACAGCCTTATGCCGGCGGTCATACCAGTGATGACCATTTCAGAGACGAACAAGTGGAAAAGTTTCAGCCATGGAAGGCTGGCTGGATAGCTCGGAATAAGGGTGGCGTGGAAAAGCCAGAGACTAAAGGTGTTAGCCATGGCACGGAAGTGGGAGGCATCATGGTGATCGGCGGCTTTACCAGCGGCGTGGCCGTCAAGATGACGCCTACTAAGTCCTAGTTAACCACACAAGGCAGTTGAGGTTGAGGGCTGTGTCGAAGTTGCGTGTCGCCTATTCAGCCCAATAAATGAATGAAATGTGATATCTTCTGCTAATATGGAAAGTAAAGCTTTCTGTCCGTGAGTAATATGAACATGCATTAACCACTGAGATCACACGCGCTGAAATATCTCGATTTTAAGAACGTTCCCCATACACTGAGCCTATCTGAGCTGGAAGTTCACCCAGCGGTGCCCACATTACAAATACCCTCGACTCAATGCTCTCTCTTGGACACTCCGACGTTGGTCGGGATGGGTTGCAAAAGGCCCCATGAGGGCACGCTGAAATGTACAAGATTAGCTCACTTTCTCAATATTTATTAAATAGAACCTACGCCCGCATTTTTGAGCATCCGAGTCTGTGCATTTAAATAGCATTGTCTCAGATTCCTCAAGCCCAGCAAAGTAATACCACTTCTGGTCGGGGTGCGCGTGAATCAGTACATTCTCGTAGGCCCATTCCGGATACACAGCGTCCGCGACCTGGGAGTCATGAGCCGCATCAAAGGTTTGAGCATCACAAACAGCTAGTGGCCAATCGAACAGGGGCCCTTTGAGAGGCCTCCAAGTACTTGAGAAGGACATCAGATGTTGTAAAATCCTCAAGGCTAGAGTTCGAGTTGCTCACTTAATGATTTGCCAGCGATGCTGCAGAATTTCTTGTGCATGCTCTCCATAAAGAGTCTGGAGCATTCTTTTACCTTGCTGCTGAGAAAAGTCTGGCCACTGGGTCAATACTCTAATGGAGTCTGAAGAGTTGCGGCGACGCACCCAGATGAACTAGCCTGGCTGGCTGTTGATCGGCATACTCCGAGCCGGTCGAGATTGGAAAAGTTGGATGCCGTCGTCGAACCTAAAACGCTTGTTAGTATGTGCCATTGATCGCAGATGTTGCTAATCCCATCATACCGCATAATCAATCACTTTAACGTGAGGTGCCTGAAATAGCGTCCGAAGATGCTCCTCCAATTCTGGTACATAGATGTTTGAGATCTTCTCACTATCATTGTAATCCCCGTAGGCCATCTCAGTGGGGTATGAAGTCAACGTGAAGCCCATTTCATCAATGGTAGGGTCTAGTGGCCTCGCGTCATGGATAGTTATGTCTACCATTTCTACCGTCAAATTATGGCGCGGGGTGCCATCGTGTGGAGTGTATCGACAGCTATAAGGCCTAATAGAGTCATAAAGCTCATCTCTCTTAAGGAATCCAAGCTGGCTTCTGACGTTGTTCGACATGTTAATGCTCAAGAAAAAAATAAAGAAGAAGAAACAAGAAAAGGCACCAAGTCAGTAGGGACTAGGAGAGATTAAATATATGCAACAAAACATTTTACATGCACTTTACATGCACCTCCTATAAGCTTTGCCTATCATAAAGCTCGGCATATATAAGCTTACCCAGCCAAAATATCTACAGTAATATCTCGATTTAGGTGAACATCATAGCATATGCGATTTAGCTTGAAAAACATCGCCTACGATAGGAGGATACTCCTCAAGGTCTGCGTAGAATACAAATGTCCTACAGTCAAGACTCTCTCAGATTTCCTTCTCTTGCATGTGGATTGTAGAAACCAGAATGGGGGCACCCTAATTTCAGACATTAGCATTTTATTCAACTTGAGCTCTTATATGGGTCAAACATACCCGGGACTGCAGTCTCGTCGCTATCTGCACTCTTAAACATCAACGCTTCCCAGGTACTCTGGTCTGGGACATAATACCATTGAAAATTTGGAGATGGGAAAATCTGCAGATTCTCCGTCACAAAATCATCAAACACTATGTCTCCGGGGATAGTATCATTTGCAAAATCGACCGACCTAGCATCACATAGTCCTAGCGGCCAGTCATCAAGGGGGCCTTTTATCGGTTTCCAGACGCTGCAAAAATAGAATTAGAGAAACATTTCTTTGGTGTGAATACGACACTCACTTTACTGCTTGCCAGCGGCCTTTGAGAACTTCTTCGGCTCGATCTCCAAAGAGAACTCGTATGATGCGTTCGCCTTCTTTGGCGGTAAAGTCTAGGATACTGTCAGTCTTTTCCTCCTCAATATTGCAAAAACAAGGTATCGCTACGCCAATCTTACCAATGTGAGCCAACGCTGTAGGCTGATCGTACTGATACTCTTTCCCTGTTGAAACCGGAAAGCTTTCGTGACGCTTTCTGACCTGCGATCATCAATAAGATGAAAACAAAGCAACTTCGTCACTTCTTTATACATGTACTCACCGCATAATCCAAAACATGCACATACTTTGCTCCTAATTCAAGCTTCAAAGCCTTCTTGACTTCCGGGATATATACGCTCTGCACTCTCTCGTTGTCCCAAAATTCGTCATAGGTTAAATGAGAATGGATATCAATCATCTGAAAGCCGCATTCTTCTATGCGAAATGGCCCTGCACCTGGCTCTCGCATACTCCTTGCCGATATTGGACGTTTCACCTTGACATAATTGCTCTGGGGAATATCTTCCTCAGGCAAATATCTCATGCTATACGGCTTTTCGATGTTATACAATGGCACCTGATCAAGGTAATACATTGATGACTCAATTGTCGGCCAATGGTTCGCACCGTGTTCGCTCTCGGTATCTTGTTTTCCTTCCATTATTGAGGTAATGTTGGTATTCAATACAATGTACTGTTTCGAGCGAATTCTTTGTATGGTGTGTCAGTGGTATTGATAATAGCATGATCAAAACAAAGTACTAGCGGCTATTTTTATAAGAAAAAATTGCCGACGTATCGAGAGTCATCTCAACACGTATCCAATCCTTTTCACGAGCAATATATTACAGGTCGCTTTTAGTCAATTGCGTGATACTCTTGTATATATGCTGTGTTTTGCCAGCACATGCCGCATATTTACTCGTATATGCAAAACGAAAACTCCATGACACCGAAAAGCGACTTCATTGGTAGCCTGTTAATGTATCTGACATACAGTACCCCTCTATCCGCTTGAACTTCCGGATATGGTCCCAATTTCCGTTCTTTGTTCGAGCTGTGTAACCACATCCCCCTCACATAATATTACATCCGTTACGTCACGATAGCACAACTACTAGTATACGTATATGAAATCCTAAGCCGATACCAAAAATAGGTTGCATACGTGGGCAATGGCGCGTGATGTGATAATTGTGAAGATGCCTGTTCATCATACTCTTGAACAAATCCCTGTTCATGAACAAGGTTTATGACGAGGAAGAGTTTATTGTTCAGTTAAACATTAATCCAAGGATGGATGCATATGCGATTTTTGTCATGATTACATTGTATCATTTTGATTAAAATGCGCCTCAGTTTGGTCTGGAGCGCAGTTTTAATTCCTGGCTCGGAGAGAGAGAGAAAGAAAGAAAAAAGCTGTATGGGTTGCCCTCTATAGTAGTTTCTACGAAGAGCCAATCAAGAGAAGCAGGTCTGCAAGGTTAGATTCTTGCAATTCATGGGCTTTCTCGTGATATTTGTGATTGGAGCCGACATCGTTGGTTAATGTTTGACAACTGGGCTTAATCAGCGCGCTTCTTCTCATGATATGCAATGATACACAAGACACCGCACCAAATTTAACTCGTGTTAATCGTATTAATGCTCAAAGGCAAGCATGATTTGTTTTTACACTTGCAATTAAATATAAAGACCACGCCTTGATTGATATAATTTAATGAATCAAAGATTTAATTCTTCTTCTCCTTGTAGTGTACGTACGTAGATACCTAGGTATTACTGAGCTCCAAGCATTCTATTTTTAGAATATTGTTCTGGTACCTACCTTTACCCTTATTCTTTGCATTGGGCAGGCGCATGTACCACCTTGGCATAAGGCAACTACTGAAAACGTTGCCAGAGCACGGCCACCTCTGATTCAGTTTCAATTCTTTCAGCAATAGGCGCTCATAATACATTCGGCCTTTGCCCCCCCCCCCCGTCCCCAGCAGCTCAGCTCTCGAACTCAAGATTCAAAGCATCATCCATCCCAGATGCTGAGGTGCCTCCCCTGGTCGCGGCAGTTGCGTCTCGCATCCTTGTCTAGCAGCACCGCTTCTGCCGGAAAGATGGCCAAGCCGCCCATACCAGACGCCGTACGGATCGAGTCAAACATGGGCCCTGAAGGCTATATATTTACGGTATCTGAGAACCGGTATATAGCACCATCATCGAAACGGGTAGGATGACTCCACAAGCTACCATATTTAGCATCTCAGGTCGAGCTAATAGGTCATTCTCTGCAAGGACTCGGCGCTGCCGAAAACGAATGCCGTCGAGTTAAAGTTGGCAACTGTGTTTAGCATCCCGCCAGACGGCCCCGCCAGCATCACAGACGAGTGGATACGCAAGTGTCTGGATGGATACAAGCACGACGATGTTTTCGGCGAAGAATTCCTCCAATGCGTCGTGTTCAATACATCGCGCAAGCTCAGCGTATCGAATGAGGCGATCCATCTTCTTAGAGAACATGGCATGAAGGAATATGTTGTCACCTCATCAACGGACTACTTCCCCGGCCCGCATGTGATTGTGGACCAGGAGCTTAGGGAGGTGTGGAAGCTGGTGGATGATTCAAACGGGACCTGCATGGTAACCTTGAAACCGCAAAAAGAGTAACGACATAACAAATGCCATCCTCCCTGTCCGATAATCGCAAGCTGACGTCCTTTTCTTTTCTTAGTCCCTTGAGTGCACCAGAGCCATTTCTAATCGGCAGTCGAAATAGCCAAACTCTCAGCTTTGCCATACCATCGCGTATCAAGAGTCTTACCCACCCTTCTCCGCTTGCAGGCCTGCGCGTTCTTATCAAAGATAATATTGACTTGAACGGGATCAAGACGTCAGTTGGCAATGATGCATTCTACAATACTTTTCCTCCCAGAACAAAAAGCGCCCATTGTGTTCAAAAGCTAGTGGACAAAGGCGTCGTTATAATTGGCAAAACGAAATTGACGTCCTTTGGAAATTGGGAGGAGCCCATGGAATATACCGATTATCAAGCTCCATGGAATCCTAGGGCAGATGGATATCAGTCACCCGGAGGAAGCAGCTCTGGCAGTGCTTCGGCCATTGCGTCCTACGACTGCCTCGATATCACTCTTGGCACTGACAGTACGTTGTCTCAAGGAAATATTCAGTGGTTGAAAGGGCAATAAGCTGACAGATTTACTGAATAGCTTGGGGCAGTGTCACCCGGCCCGCTCACTGGTGTGGGTGTTTTGGCCTTCGTCCCAGCATTGGAGCCATTTCTTCAGATGGTATTGAGCCATATGTTCAGTAAGTACCTATAGATGGCTCTTGATTTGTGTACATCAGGCTGAAAGCCCTAGGTCGTGGGATGTTCCCGGAATTCTTGCAAGAGATCTCGAAAAATGCAAAAACTTTGCGGCTGAATGGTTGACATTCGATCAGTTCGAGAAGATTCCAAAAGTATGTTCTCCGCACATGTGTCTGTCAAAACTAGGCTAATGGCGTACGCAGCAATTTTCCTCCATCATCTGGCCGACTGACTTTTGGAAAATCATTGATCCCGATCAAGCTAGCAAAGCAAAATCATTTGCACAGTCGATGGCTACGAAGCTAAATGTGAAGCTTGTAGACATGTCGTTTGAAGGATGCTGGAATGTGTCACCGCCAACGAAAGATGCATCTTCGCTACAAGAATTCATTCATCCGGTATGAAATTATTGCTCCCACTTCTTGATGCGATCTAACAGCCAGACAGGCTACCGAGGCCTTGGCGTATGATGTATACCATAACAGCGAGAATTTTCGCCGTCGCCATAGGGATCTGTTTGGGCGAGCGCCGTATACAACGCTTCAGAATGAGCGCATATGGTAACATTTTCTCTTCTTCTTTTCCTGTTTCTCAATTCGATCTGATAACAATCTAGGTCCGCTGGAAAAAACATCACTCGAGAGAAGAGAGACGAGGGGTTCGAGAGAATCAACATATACAGCAGGTGGTTCCAATACACAGTGCGGACCAATGACAACACAGATGCTATCGTAATGCTGCCGATTGAGTCTGCAGGACCAAGATACCGGGATGAATTCCCCGAGTAAGAGTCCCGCCCAACTTTTTAAGGAGAGGAAGAATATGCAGTCTAACTTGGCTCCAGATTCCAAAGACCGCCTCAAGAAGGCGTTAATGCTCTAGCTATCGGCCCTGTAACAAAGTCACCAGTGCTTGCCATCCCAAGTAAGATGCCATGTTACGAAAGAGAAGAACAGATATTGATAGTGGGTAGTTGCCGAGATTCCATATCATTCGAGAGTCAGTGGCCGAGAGGAGAAGTTACCATTCGCGGTAGCCCTTATGGGAACGCCAGGTATGTTATCGAGTTATGCCTTTACAGCCGATTTGGCAACTCACATACCTCTTGTAGGCTCCGACTTGCTGTTGATTGATACTGCAATCGAGATCTTATCGGATTTGGGTCTTCCTACGGTTGTTCAAACTGGAAGACACATGTATAACAAGCCCGAGCAGTAATACCGTGCATGATTAGACAAAAGGTCGTGTCTTTGATGGATGGGTATCTGTGAGGTATACCTAGGTGGCGAAACATTGTGAATCTATGGGTTAAAAAATACAGTAGTGGGATTCCTTACCTCTACTACCACATCTCGCTATGTGCGTCTCCAATTCGCTCAAAATGGAGCTGCATATAAGCCCTAGATCATATTCACTGACCAGCTGAATCTCAATTATATGTGCTCAACTTATGGCGATTCATGTTGGCGAGCACCAATACGGCACAAAATGCGCTAGTGAGCTGACATTCAGGCACAATCCACATAAAAGTCGCCGATGGCAGCTCTCTCAACAGAAATTCGTAACTCAACCCAAATCGCCTGCATCGCAAGCAGCTTCACGTTCCTAGTCTCTTAGCCAGTCTTTTAGCAAATCCAAGCCGTTCTCATCTCTTGCTCCATCTCCCATGTGTTTGAAATTACCGACTAGCCGTAGATTGCTTCCCTCGCTAGCCGTCCGGCTTTCGTCGGCGCAACAGTCTGTAGAGTCAATTACACAAAAACACCAACAAGAATACAAACGTGGTACTATGACAAAATCAACAAAACTCTATCAAGAATTAAACTCAAAAACACAAAAACCCCCACGATTTCCTCTTCCCCATCAATCAATCCCAAAGCCAGGGCTGAATAAGAAAAGCTACAGCGGTGGGAAGGGCCGATGCGCGGCTGGCCGATTCGGCGTTCCGCCATCATGGGGGGTCCCGGTCAAGGCTCCGTTTCGCGCGGACCTCGTACTTGTGCATACCTACATCCGTTTCGGGGCATGATTGGATAATCTCTCAAGAACAATCGAACAACGCCATGGAGACTCCGCAGATTACAGCAGATTCCGATCTCTAGTCAGTACCTCGTAATCGCACGGCGCCGGTTAGACCGATGAGCGTGGCTTGCAATTTTGTGGTGGCTGCAAAGTTATAGTAGCACAGTAATAGGCAAACGGCAAACTTTTGCTGTAAGCAGAGATGGCGACAAGTCATTATCAATCATATCGACAGCCACTGCAAGCACGGAGAAAAACAAAAAAAAGAGTCAACCTCCTATCTCACTCACCCAATCCACAGCCTAATACATACTCGTAAAGTAGATGCCCTGTCGTCCATCTCATCGCAGGCACATACAGATGACGTTCCCGCAATCCTGCATACAGGAATCCTCCCTCCGTTCACCAAAGCCGTCAGCTTACTTTTTTTATCCCGTCAATTGGTCCCTGACGTTAGATTCGCTCCCAATTAGCCAACAGCTTGGCGCCAAATCTTGACCCAGACTTCCGAATCTCCGTTGTTCGGCCTTGGTGGAGGACCCTGTTTTTTTTTGGGTTCCCTTTTTGGCGCGCATAAGCTCGCTCAACCCGTGGAGAAGAGAGCCGAATATAAGATCCAAAGCTTAGAACGACCTTTTTAGCAGATTTGTTTCGTGTCCACCTGCTGCTAGTCGTTGGGGCTTCCCCATTAACTATCCAAAAAAAAAAGTTGTTGCCATTGCTAGCCGACCGACTGTGGCGCCGTCATCGGGTCTTTTTGCTGTCGTTTCGCTTTGGCCGGGATTGAAATCGCAAACCGTCCCGTCATCAGCCTGCTCTTTCATCCCGCCATCAACTCTTCCCGCGAAAAAAAACAGAAAACGAAAGCCTTTCGCCAGTTCGTCTCGATATAATCCCAACAGCTGCGCGGGAGGCGAAAGCGAGACAAGGTCATGTCGACCACCGTAGGGTAAGTTTGGCGCGCACATTCGAAATGCCCTTTCTCTCCAGCGCCGGTTTTCGGGTTGCGCCGGAATTCTGGGGTTGGGGTCCTTGCAATCCATTCGTTGCTTTGAGCTAACACGACTCTGCCAAACAGCGGTTTCGCCGCAGGCGCTCTGGCAGCTTGCGGAGCCGTCACAGTCACGCACCCGGCCGAGGTGCTGAAGATCCGACAGCAGCTGCAGGGCGAGCTGCAGACCAAGGGCGCGCAGCCGCAGTACTATCGCGGGCCCATCCACGGCATCAGCGTCATTGTCAAGAACGAGGGCATCAAGGGCATCTACCGCGGCCTGGGCGCCGCCTACGTCTACCAGGTGCTGCTCAACGGCTGCCGCCTCGGCTTCTACGAGCCCATCCGAAAGTCGCTGGCCACGCTGTTCCTCAAGGACGAGAGCGCGCAGAACCTGGGCATCAACGTCTTCGCCGGCGCCTCGTCCGGCATCCTCGGTGCGGCGGCGGGCAGTCCCTTCTTCCTCGTCAAGACGCGGCTGCAGAGCTTCTCGCCCGTGCGGCCCGTGGGCACCCAGCACAACTACCGCAATGCCTGGGACGGCCTGAGACAAATCTATCGCGGCGAGGGCTTCTTTGGCCTGTACCGCGGCATCAGCGCGGCCATGGTTCGAACTGGCTTCGGCTCCTCGGTCCAGCTGCCCACGTACTTTTTGGCCAAGAGACAGCTGGTCAAGCACGCCGGCATGGAGGAGGGCCCGGCCCTGCATCTCTCCAGCAGCGCCGTCAGTGGCTTCGTCGTCTGCTGCGTCATGCACCCGCCTGGTCAGTATTAGTATTTCCCCTGTGATTCGCAAGTTTTGCCAGCTAACACGGCCAACCTAGATACCATCATGTCTCGTCTGTACAACCAGCACGGCAACCTCTACAGCGGCATCTTCGACTGCCTCGGAAAAACGATCCGAACCGAAGGAGTCCTTGCCATCTACAAGGGCTTCATCCCTCACCTGGCCCGAATCCTCCCCCACACCATCTTGACTCTCTCCTTGGCCGAGCAGACGGCCAAACTGGTCAGAAAGGTTGAGCACCGCGTTCTGCCCATGCTAGGGTATGAGGAAGGCCGCCTATAAAGCTCAAAGGCTTGCGTTACAAAAATTCCCGGGGTTGAACCCCCCACTTTGTTCGACCCTGTCATTTAAAACAGGGCTTGATTTCATCGCGTACATTTATCAGTACATGTTGTTGCGTCTTTGGGAGTGACGTCTCTGGTTAATAGATTACGGGTATATTTCAGGATATGTGCCAAATTTGGAAGAGAGGCAGGGGAAAAGCTCATGGCGGCATGATTTTTTGCACTGGAGTTGGTAGTCTCATGAATAGATCTGAGCGCAATGGCGCCGCTGTATAATGAATATTCACTTGATGTTTTCTCTGTTCCTTTTTTTTTTTTTTTTCTTTCATCGGGTTTCCCCCCCTCTATCCTCCCATAGAACGCTTGCATCCATAACAGAGCTTCCCCTTATTGAGTGTCAGGGAGCCATCTGCAGGGTCGTCTCCCAACTCGCCGGCCCAGGTCGAATCACCCTCGTCATCCAGGGTGATGCCGCATAAACGGCAATACTGCGACGTTTCAAGCCGGTCCAGTTTGCCTGCAGTGCGAACGACATTGGTCACTATGCCGGCGTAAGGGCCCTCCACGCCGTCGAAATATCGGGCCATGACTTCTTCTATACTTTGATCCTTGTGAGAAACGACGCTTGACGATGTCTTGTCCACGGGGGGAATGAGATCTTGGACAGAGGGCATGGTGCTGAGGTAGGTGACGATTTCGTTCTTGAGAATCTCTCGCAAGGGGTAATATATGGGGAACTGAATCTTGGAACCTTCTTGGCTTGATTCCCCGGCGCCCGCCGGATCTGCGGCCCGGTGGTAGGTGCAGACTGCAAACAGGCCGTCGCTAATCTGCCAAGGAACCGCAAAGCCTCTGCCGTTGGCAACCTCGGACAGGGTCAGGCTGGCCAAGGCAGTGGTGCTGTGGCCGAAGAGCAAGGCCGAATAGGACCTTTCCATGGCCACGTGGAGGAGGAGATGGCGAATAAACAGCCTCAGACTATCAGCGCGTGAAGTCACCGACGGGAGTGACGAGAAAAACTGCTGTAGCCGCTCAACGTCGCTTCCATCTGCGGGAATCGGTATTGTCGTCCAGTCGATTGTCCTGACACTGAGCACTCTGCTCAAGTGAACACACTCCAGTGAGACATTGGGGAACTTTTCGCGGTATCTCGCAAGAAGCTTCTGGGCAGGGGTATCGAGTGCATCGGCGGGGTGAGAGAGGTCAGTGTCAATATGGACCACGAGGGGCTCAAAGGGCGACGATCCCTTCCGTGAGGCCTGATATCGTGCAGTCTTGTCAAGGATCTGGGTGAGAGCAGTTGAAGAGGGTCCAAAGGAGAGGCCGGCAACATATCTCCTGGGCTCAGGCTTCGGCGACGCCCTGGTCTCTCGCTGGAGCACGGTGAATCTCTTGATGGCCTTGGAGTCTACGTATTCTCTGAAGCAGTTCCTAGCGGTGTTGAAGTCAGCATCAGAACACTGACATGGCCGAATTACACGTCTGTGATGAGACATGTATATCCAGCAGCGGTTTGACTCACTCGCAAGTCGCCACGTTTCGCAGCTCAAACTTTGCATCTGGCGCCTTGCAGCGCGAGCATGATGCAGCCATGGCAGTCCCTGACTGGTAAACAGATATAAATAGAGTACAGAGTGGTGGTATAATGTAGATGGCCGGTTGCCCTCTTGAGTCTTGTTATGACTGGCTGCTCGTTCGTCACTGATTTGTCTCTAGATATGGAGGAGACTGCAGGCTGCGTCTTGCCAAAGAAGTCAACAGCTGGTTCCGTAGTCGTCGTCTTGTGATTTGGCATCTAGTAAATACGAGATTATGGCGTGTATTGTATTCACCAAGATTTTACAGCTGCGGGCAACAGGAGCTGGTGGCGAGAATTTTTTTGCTGCTGGGCTAGCAGATTGCAAGTCGCTACTCAAGTAAGCAAAAATGGGATAGGTGATGGCTCCTGGGTGTTAGGCGCCCGCTCCTTTCTCACTGCGTGCAAGTCTCAATTTTCCCTATTTCTGTCTATTTGCTTTCTCTCTTTACAATAAAAAACTCAATTGCAACAAGAACATATTATTTGAGCTGCTTCTCTTCTTCCTCTCTAGCGCTCAATATTGCTAAAAAAAAATGGCTTTGCCGGGTAACTCTGCTGCTCATTTCACCCCCTGTCGGTAATTGCCCGCCCAAGCATCTACCGAGACGATTCATGCGCCCATAGCGCATTCTAGCGCTCGCTTCAGGAACCTGGCCAGACTGCATTGACGCGGCCAGACAATCCAAGTTGCATATCGCGCCTAACGGGGATCGGCGCTGGGCGTCTCAGAACTGTTGGCCCTATCAGTAGCGCTGTTGTCGAACGATATTCAGGCCAGGAGCAGGCATAACAGAGAGCCCGAAGGACGCAGAGCAGAGCGCACGGCGAGTATTTGCAGCGAGCCCCAAGCCCGTCAGAGCAGCCACCGGGGCGCAGCTGCAATTGCGAGTGCGAGAGCGAGACTGATTACCAAGTCGCTGCAGAGCTAAGCCTTGTGACGTCAAGACGCCGCGACATCTTGGCCACCTTGTGGCGTTGCTGATCGGCCTCGACATCCGCGGCAGCTATTCGTGAAGACACGCATCGTCTAACCGCCGGCATAACTGGAAACCCGCATAGAAACCCGCATAGACACCCGCATACTTACAGCACTCACTTACAGCACTCACTTACATACATACAAGCACTGCTGCCCTGTTTCTGTTTCATCGTCCCCCTAAACGCTGGCCGATCTCTGCTGGCGCCGCAGCCAATCACCGCGCGCCGCATCCCTGCGCTTTCTGCGTCCGGGCCAGCCAATGCAGCAAGGCGACTCGACTCATTCACCATCCGGCCTTTGAAGCTGAAACCGCAAACAGCTCCTGCAGCGCATTGTTCGCTCGCCCTTCTTTCTGGGGCCAGAGCATGAAATATCTCCCGCCCACGCGCCCGTACCTGGAGCAAGGGAGAATCATCATTGCTGCCTGTTCTTGTTCCTATTCTTGTGCTTGTTCCTGTCAGCCTTGCCTCTAGGCGTCCTCGCAGGCCAGCGCTACCGCAGCCAAGTAGGTACGAATACGGCCTCGAGACGCCAGCACATCACCCGACTTGAAACTCGACATCGTGGCCGGTCTGGCTGAAGCCACCTTTTTCCACTTGTCGCCTGTGGCTTTTGGTGCTTCGCCTCGTCATCAGCGGCCTCTGCCTCTGCCCTGCGCTTCCCAGCGCTGGATCCGTCTTTATATACATCTTGTGTTTACCCCTACGACAGCGCGCTCGCCTCGATCGACATTCCCACAGCCCCTCCGCTCCACCAACCGAACTCGCATCGAGACGCATCTTCCAGCCTCGACAACTCCCACAACAATCTCTGCGCCTGCGCCATTCGCTGCCAGCGCAACCACATCCTTGCCGAGCATGGCTGCCCCTCAGCAGGGAGCAGCACGACCACAGGACGTCGCCTTCGCCGCTCGCAGCTCCTGCGAAAACAATGCGCCCCGACGCAGTCGCTTACCCCTGGATACGTCGGTCGCTCCCGTGCACCAGAACGGCTGCTTCGAGATCGATCGTGTCATCAAGAGCGGGTGTGTTCAGAAGCGCACCCAAAAGACAAAGGTACGCTGCGCGTCGCAGAATCATTTCCGCCTTGTTTTCTTCCCTGTGCTAACGCGCCGTGTCCCCCAGAACTGGAAGAGCATTTACCTTGTTCTACGACCGAATGGCGTCTCTTTATACAAGGACGCCAAGGAAGCCAAGCTCCGACACCAGATTTACCTGTCCGAACTTTCTGCCGTCGCCATCCTCAAGGACCCAAAGCACAAGCGCAAGAATCTGTTTGGCCTTTTTTCCGCATCGAGAAACTTTCATTTTGCGGCCCCCACGCCACAGGATGCGCAAGAATGGGTTGACCTGATCCGCAAGGCCGCCAGGCTTGACGAAGAAGAGGACGAAATGTACTTTGGCAGCCCCGTGGCGCCTGGCATGTCACCAACCGCGCCGGCTCTCGAGAGCTGGGGCAATCACATTGACAATGCGCTCTCAAGCTCCCCCGAAAACCTGACACCCTTTGACCCTTCTGCGCCCAAATTCATGGGGGGAAACCGTCGCATATCCTTCACGCTGGAGTCGTCTGGCCTATCCGGCAACGAAATGCTCTCGTACTCTGACTTTTCTGACAGCGAGGTTCCACGAAGCCACGGCGTGTCCTTTGAGAACCTCGCTGTCAAACCGATCCCCGAAACCCCGACAGCGACAGACACGAAGCCTCGACAGGCCGCCTTGCCAGGCCAGCGACCAGAAACGTCAGCCCGCTCGGCGAGTCAGATCAGCGCCGTGACGGCCGAGCAGGAATCCGAGCGAGTCATCTGGCAGGGCTCGCTCTGGATGCAGCGGACCAAACGCGGCGTGCGCCAGTGGAAAAGCATGTGGGGAGTGCTGCGCGCGCGACAGCTCGTGCTGTACAAGGACGAATCCGAATATGCGGCGCGGGCCATTGTCGAAGTGGCCGACGTTGTCAGCGTCGTCGAAATCGACCCCGTCAACAAGAGCAAGACGCACTGCCTCCAAATCATCACCGAGGAGAAGACGTACCGCTTCTGCGCTCCCGACGAAGAGTCGCTGGTGCTCTTTCTCGGCGCATTCAAGAGTCTGCTGACCAAGAGGCGGACGATGGAGGCGCGCGCGCTGGCAACCGTCGTGGTCAATCCTCCATCATCATAACGCTGGGTTCAAGCTCTTCCGCGAGAGCTCTTTTACCTGCATACTCTACTTTCGCTCATCATTTCACTTTCTACTTTCCTTTGTCGTACGATAAATACCCTCTTCCTTTCGTAATCTTACATGACGAATTTATGACTCGACTATTACTCTTTATTATACCAAATTAGTCACACTTACATGTCCTTTTTTTTTTTTTTCCCTTTACTCTCTTTTCATTCCCCCTGGCGCACACATACACACATCACAGCTTAGAATGAGCTTGTGACTAATACGGGGCGCATTTGGTGGAGTTTGAGGTGCTCGTTTCTTTGTCTTTCAGGGCGGCTCATCACCATTCTGAATGTGAAGAAGAAAATAATGGCCTTGATATCTGGGGGAGGGTAATGACAGCGTGTTGTGGTTTGGTGGTTGGCCTGACTTGTTCTTTTCCCGCTACATCTGCCTACGGGGAAAGTTGGGTTTCAATTCCACAAAGATTAAAAAGAGAGCACATCTCTGTCTTTCTTTTCTTCATACTAGTTTTAGGCATTTTCCATTCTTTATGCTCATATATTTGGAGCAAATTAATTCTCTTGCCTGCTTTTTTTCTTTTTGTATGATGACAGGATGAATGAAGAATGCTGTGATGAAATGATACAAATTGGTTTTTTTTTTTTTTTTTTGCTGGAGTTCTTCGATGCCCGTGCGAACACCGCTACATGTACTACCTACCTGCCTTATCAAATACCTAGTAATCACTTGGGTACTTCTCAAGTAGACAACGCAGAGACACATATAATAATAAATATGTACAGTCATGAATCGAAAAGGGTGAAAAACGTAACGAGCTAATAGTATAGTTTAGTACTTTGAAAAAAAAAAAGCAAGCAACGGGTATAGATAGGTATATATACAGTCTTTTTTGAAAATGATAATTCCATATTCCACCCCCCCCTTTCCCAATTTCCCGTCCAAAAGACACCGGTGACCGTTTTTCGTTTTTGTGTTCCCGATCAATGTCGACGCAAAAAAAAAAAAGAATAAAGATGAAAGAGCCCGAGATATAAAAAACTTGAAAAATTTGATCCTCCAACCATCCTCCCAATTAAAGAGAATTGCAAATCCAGATGTATAAGAAAAAAAGTAAAAATCCAAAGCCCAGCGCTTCTCTTACAACCTCTCCTAGTCTCTCTCTCTCTCTTTTTTTCCCCAACATGTCTCAAGATGCAGTCTCGTCTGGCTTGTCAAGCCCAAAAAAGGCAGAGTCAAAGTCGCCGCCCGCATCCATAAGCTCAAAGTTGCTATCGCGGTTGTTCATCAGGTCGTCAAAGGTGTCGTCTCCCGAGCCGCCCAGGCTAAAGTCAAAGTCCATGCCGTCAGCGGCTCCGGACTCGTTGCCAAAGAACTCTGTGTTGAGGTTGGTGTCGAATTTCTGTTCTTCCGCTTTTGCGGCGGCGTTGGCGTTGGGGATCGACATGCTATGGGCGGCGGCTGAGATTGACGGCTGGTTGTTGTTGTTGTTGCCATTGTTGCCATTGTTGCCAGCTGATGGCTGGTCAGGTAAGAGATTGTTGAGATTCAAGAGTTCGTCGCCGCCATCAGCCGGAGCAAAGGTAGTCAGGTCAAAGAAGGGTTCCTTGGATGATGCAGTCGTCTGGCCAGAAGCTTCGTTGCTCGGCGGTGCGAGGGTGAATTCCATGTTGGTAAAGTTCATGCCGGAAGGCTCTGTCTTTGCAGGAGGTTGGATTGTGCCGGTGGTTTCAGGCAGCATGTCCAGAGTCGGCTTGTGATCTCCAGCGGGCAGTCGAGAGGCAAAGGCCGGGCTGGCTTTTCCGCTCATTCCATTCATGCCGCCGGGTGGCGGTGGTTGCTGTTGCTGTTGCTGGCCATTGGGCTCCTTGGCAGAAATGTCCATGTGGTCGGCCTCTGAGAGGTTGATGCTCATGTTTGGGAATGGCGCCATGGGCTTCACGTCTATGCTGTCGGCCATGGGCTCGTCCTTGGGTTCGGGCGATGCGGATGGGATATCAATGGTTATGGGCTGCTGGGGGGTGGTTTGTGTCTGAGCCAAGAGCTTCTTCTTCCTCTCTTGTAGCTCATTTAGATCTCTGAGTAAGACTGACTTGGCCTCAATCTAGCCGAGAGGGCAAACAAAGAGAGTAAGTGGTGAGTAACCAGAACAACAACAGAGAGGCGAGGACTTGGAGAAGGGAGATGGTGGGTGTGTCAGTAAACACGACACCGAGGGATTGCTTACAATTTCCACTTCAAGCTCGTCCAGCGCGTTGTGAAAGAGCCTGATAGTTTCCGGCAGCTTGGACTGCGACGTGCCAGGGACGTGTGTCAGATTCCCCCGAGAGTCTTTGCGCGATGCCCGCAGAGCCTTTCCAGTTTGCACGAGCTTTGGCGGCAGGACAGTTGATTAGCCGGCGATGAAAAGGACGAAGAGGAGAAGCCAGAAGAGGAGAAGCCAGAAGCGGCCAGACTTACAACATCGTTGATGAGAGACTGCAGGGCGTCCAGCGGCTCCTGCTTGGGAGCGGCCGAGGTCGAGTTGGACGTCGCCATGCCGCGCAACAGTCTGCGTCAACGCCAGAGAGCAGCAGCGAGAGGCCTGGATCAGCAGCGAGCGCCGGGCACATGCATATGCATCCGCCAGCAGGGCGCCAGAGGGCTGCGGCTCGTTGTCTGGTGAGCGAGGCCTGAGGGCCAGGAGAGGTCGCGGGTGAGGCTCAAGGGCGCTGGCGCTTGGGCTGAGATTTGCTGGGGCCGGCAGACGGAGCAGCCAATCGGACGGGCTGGGGCGCCGGATCAGGCAGTGAAGCAGCCAAGGTGAAGCAGCGAAGCAGCGAAGATGGAGATGCCGGCAGCAAGAGCGTTTCCAGACGAGTTTGGGTGCACGCGCGGATATGCAGGCCGTACTTATAAGAGTGAGATGTTTGCCCTGGAATCGAGTCGATGGGCTGACGACCGCATCGCTGCTAGTAGCAACAAGGGGCGAGAGTTTGCTGTGGCTTGCGCCAAAAGCTTCTGGGTTGAGGCCTGCCGCACGACAAGCGCTGGAGAGCCCTGTAGATTCGGGGGTGGAAGTGTGGCTGAGGTGCGAGGGCCAAGTACTTAGTACGCGTTTCTTGCTGGATAAAACATGCGGTGCCAAGTATAATCTACCGGCTGCATATGCCGTTTTCCGCGGGGACCTGGGCGATAGGCCTACCACTTCCGTATTCCGCTGAGTATTGTGTGGCTCAGGCAGCTCTTCTGGACGCGGATTGGCTCAGCTTCCCCCGCATATTGCTGACTGAAAAACGGCTAATAGATCTCGAGGAAATCCTCCGTAGTAGCGGCCAGCGGCTGGCTAATTCAAAGAGGATTAGCAGTTGATGGAGCTGTGTCTATGACTTGGTACCCTCACGGTGACCTCTATTTCGAGCAGCTCAAAGTAAACTCAGTTCCGCAGCGACGCACATATACGGGGACATTAATCTTACATTAGCTGTGGCATGTAATCCTGGTCTTTGAAAAGCCAATGGCGAGCTGTATTCGCGTAGGACCAATACGTAAAGTAATAAGAAGCCCGGAGCCTTGTTACATGCTTGCATATGCATGTCTCACACCTCTAGCTTAACACAACTGGAAACAAAAACGCTCAAAACTCTCGCCCTACGGAATAAACAATAGCCTCCATGAGTCCGGCTGTGGAGTTGCCTGAAACTGGCCGCGGAAACGGGTGTGGCGCCGCAATAAGAGCCTCAAGACGGCATCGCCTCGTATTCGCTGCGTTGGGCGTATAACTGACAGCCTAATGATGTTATTTGATGGGGGCTGGCTACTTGGCAGTATCAGGATCCGAGAGATGTGCAAATCTGTTGTTTATGTGGTCAATGCCGTCTGGAGCGATATGCTTCTCCAACTGCGAATAGATTGATGTCCAAGTGGATAGTATGAGCTGAGCTACAGCAGCCTCAGCTTCTAGGCGTCTAGCTACGAGCCATATCAGTGCAGAGCTTCATGAGCCATTATGCAAACCACCTGCGCGATCAAGCCAGGAAAGGGTAGCAAATAAGTACCAATTATACAAAAAATTGTCAAATCCTCCTTTTATCGCCGACTCCTCATCCCGCTGCCAGCCTCGTATCATGGCCGTGCATCAGACAAAAAAGCTGCGGCCTCGCCACACATGCAGGGTAGCTTCGCTCGTCTCGCCTACCGGGCGAAATTGTTAGCACCAAGCCCGGCCTCCACTTTGTCCAGCACAAACCTTCACCTCATCACCTTTTTGCCCAGCTAGCCCAGGCTGGATTTTTTCTCGTCTCTTTTTCCAACCGACAAGTCGCTGTGTGTGCAAAAGTAGCGGAGCGGCTGGTTTCGATTTGCGGGACTCGTTTCCTTGTATCGTTTTCTTCTGTTCTGTTGTTTCCTTCTTCTTCTTTCCTTTTCTCATCTCAACTCGGCATCCGGTTCTTCTCTTCCCCTGTCTTGTTCCTCTTGTGTCCCGCCTCAGCCTCCTCAAAAGCGCTGCAAGCTCTCCCAGGGTCCTCATCTCCCAACTACAGCTTTCTGTCAACTCGCCTCGACTCGCCTCGACCCGCCTCGGTTTATTTCCAGCATCTTTCAACGTCCCGTTGCAAGCTCATCTGCCTGTTTGGTCTTCTTCGTTTCCCGCCGTCCGTGTTTTAGCGAGCTTGTCGTCGGAATCTCTTTCGTTGCATCCCCCCCTAAGACCCCTCCTCTCTACCGACTTCTCCTCACCCTCTTCTTCGCCACCGACGGCCGCAACACCCTCTGCGCACCGCCGTCTCCCACCTCCGCCTGCGCGCTCGACCCGATCACCGACCCAGAACCGCTCAATCGCGACAATGGCCGACGCTGGCGCTGTCTCGACCGCTGCGCAGCCCGTGGGCGCCGCTGCCGCCCAAAACGGCCAAGGCAACCCAACCCACCTCCCCCCGCCTCCTCTCCATATTCCGCAGAACAACAACCCGATCCCGACGGCCATGACATCTCCCCGCTCTGGCGTCGATGGCGGCGGCATCCTCTCGCCGACCACGGGCTTCCGACGAGCTGCGCCCGAGCCTAACAAGCGGGCCCTCTACGTTGGCGGCCTGGACCAGCGAGTGACTGAGGATGTGCTGCGCCAGATCTTCGAGACCACGGGACATGTCCAGAATGTCAAGATCATCCCCGACAAGAACGTATGCTACCATCTTCCTGGCTCCTGACAAGGGACTGCGTTTGTGCGAGATTTTGCTAACAAGGAATGTTCTGAGATGTAGGCCAAAGGCTACAACTATGGCTTCGTGGAGTACGATGATCCTGGTGCGGCCGACAGGGCCATGGCAACTCTCAATGGACGAAGGGTCCACCAGTCTGTATGTTTTCTGACTGACTCTACTTTATTGACCCTCAAGCTATTAGACGCTGACACGCATCCTTGTCAAAACAGGAAATTCGAGTCAACTGGGCCTATCAGTCCAACACCACGACCAAGGAGGACACCTCCAACCACTTCCACATCTTCGTTGGCGACCTTTCAAATGAGGTCAATGATGACATCCTCCACCAGGCCTTTTCTGCCTTTGGCTCCGTCTCGGAAGCTCGCGTCATGTGGGACATGAAGACGGGCAGGTCTCGAGGCTATGGCTTCGTCGCTTTCCGTGACCGGCCCGATGCCGAAAAGGCCCTGAGCTCCATGGATGGAGAATGGCTCGGATCAAGGGCGATTCGCTGCAACTGGGCCAACCAAAAGGGCCAGCCTTCAATGGCTCAGCAGCAGGCGATGCAGGCTATGGGCATGACGCCGACTACTCCCTTTGGCCACCACCAGTTCCCTGCCCACGGCATCGCTAGTTACGAAATGATCCTGGCGCAGACGCCCAACTGGCAGACTACCTGCTACGTGGGAAATCTCACTCCGTACACGACTCACACCGACGTTGTCCCTCTGTTCCAGAACTTTGGATTTGTGGTCGAGTCGCGATTCCAGGCCGATCGCGGCTTTGCATTCATCAAGATGGACACGCATGAGAATGCGGCAATGGCCATCTGCCAGATGAACGGATACAATGTCAACGGCCGACCCTTGAAGTGCAGCGTAAGTAGAAACCTGTTATGAGTGACGACTAATAGTATTATATGGGTTGCTGACAATGCCATCCAGTGGGGCAAGGACAAGACGCCCAACTCTCAATCGTTTGACCCTCAGCAGCAGCCGTACAGCCCTCAGACTTCTCAGGCTCCTGGCTTTCCTGGTACTCCTACCTACTACCCGCAGTACGGAGGTGAGTTTGAGCTGATTCAGCATCGGTGGTGGTGATTGATGCCTGTGGGCTTGAAGAACCGGGACACTAACATGACAACCCAATTATAGCTCAATACAATGGACAGCAGGGCAACTTTGGCGGCCCGCAAGCCGCCTCTCCTGCAGGATACAGCGGCTCCCCCATGGGTTATGGCGGCCCTCAGAGTGCCGGAGGATATGGTCGCGGGCACCAGGGTCCCAACGGCCAGTGGAACCAGAACCAGGGACAAAACTTCAACAATGGTTTCGGCGGCTATCAGTCGTAGTGACCGGGTATGGACTGTAAAAGCGGAGGATTGAGAAAAGAACAATATCATGGTTTGGGAAGGACTCGGTTTTCTTTTTTGCCATTTAACGTAACATCTTCCTCTCCTTGTCTCCCCAGTTCTTTGTTGATTTCCTCAAAACTTCTCCTCGCCTCTCCACCACCTCCTTTTTTATCTACTGCCATTTTCATCATATGGGCTCTTTTTCATTCTGTATCAGCCATCTTCTTCTTTTCTTTTTCCAGTGTGATTTGCAAAGGGCTGTCTTCTCCAGGGGGATTTTTTTTCTCATGCTCCCCTTTGCCGTGTAATTTTCTTTTTATTTCATGCACGAGAGAAACGAAAAGTTGGAATGATTTTTGATCTTGATTTTTACTTTTTATTCTTTTTCTTGACTAGCGCCACTCTTGGAGATACCATTTTGGGGCAGGTAACTTTTCTCTCGCTTTCTCTACATCTCTCTCTCTATCCCCCCTCTCTCCTTTTACTGGTTGTTGTTTTAAAATGCCTGTTCCCCTCATATGATGATGATTACGAATTTCTCTTGTCTTGCGCTATATGAAAGAAGTACGCGTGGCATCACCATATTATTGTGTCGAAAGGGTTGGTTTATATGAGAAGAGGACATGACAAAGAAAAGGACGTTGTTTATACTGGTAGTATTAGTGTCAACTTGAGGAGTAAATCACCGTTTTACCGGTACAAAAAGAGTTGACAAGTTATACAGCACCCCCTGGTATCCATCACTCCAGCTATAGCGTGGGCTACTGCTACTGCTGCTACTGCTGCTGCTGCTACTACTATTTGGCAGTTGTGTGTATTTTTGATATGTGGACTGGCTGCCTTGTTGAGCTGCAGCTGGGGTGTTGGATAATGAAACCGGGGGCGCTGTATAACTTGTCCCTATTCTTAGTCGGCTGCAGATGATGATGCAATTGGTGAGTGTCTGAAAAGCTCTGATGAGATTCGTTGACTTTAATTGCTGGGTTTCTTGAAATGGCATGTCGGGGCGTGTACACGAACACAGCTGTTGATCGTACGAGGCAGACGACAGGGCACTCTTTTTTTTCATGCACAAACTGTAGCATTTGCTTCAGGGTTGACGAGGCGGGGCCCTGAACAGGTGCTAGGTCTTTTTTGCATGTGATGGGGACTCTAGGCACTCAAGTGTAATTGAAACCCATGAGAGAAGTTGAGCTTCTATAGGCCCATGTAATTCCGATGATGTCGCGAAAAGATGGCGAATAAGTGGTGCTGCTTGGATCAAAGCGTCTATTGGCTTTTGGTATCCATGGTGGCGATTCTGGCTGCATACAGTTGTTGTATGCATGCGTAATGGGTGATGGAAAAGCTCATTTCATTCCGGCAAAGTAGGTGCGTAGATGGACGCCCATTCGGAAGCATAAAGGTGGTTTGTCATTATGGGGAATAAAAACACGGGTGCTTCTATTCCTTGTTTTGGGCTCTGTAGGGCCAGCGAGTTTGATACAGGGAGGCATTATGCTGATGGGTTTTATTCCCTTTTCCCCTTGCTAATGTGATAATTTGAAATCTATCGGTGATTTCTTTGTGACTGCTGCTGGGCGGCAACAATTGGCGATGCTGACTCGCTGAAGACGGCGACAAAGAGTGCATGTGGAGATTTTTGCGGACGGAATAGGCCGCACGCGCATGTACAGCAGCATTTCCAGCTGCAAGCCTTTCTGTTGGTTTTGGATAATACGTTACAGATGGGTGCTGTATTCATGGTGATTTTTAACAGGTAAATGTACAGCTCCATGGCACAAGCACTGCGTCAATTGGCGTCAGCAGTGGTAGCACAATGCGTCGATGGTGCTGTTTCAACTGCAGCGGCCAAGCAGAGCATCTTTTGACTGTAGGGATGCTGGATATGGCGGCCAGATTACGTGCACGGCTCGCCATTTTTAGTGGGCCGTGGAGGGAAGCACAGGATGCGTGTTTGTGGTTTTTGTTGATGTTGCAGTGTCTGGGACAACGGATGTCTCTGACGGGCATGTGGTGCAATGGTTCTGCTGGCGGAATAGGGTCTGGTGCATATCGCAGGCAGGGCTAGTGGTGTTGCAGTAGTTGGATATGCACCTACATGTTGCCACTTGCGATGGATTGATATCAATGGATGGCCCCAACCGCATCACTGACGGAGCATGGCTTTGGGTCCCGAGATCTGCTGCTCTCGAGTTTCACCCCCTCGTCTCACGCCTTTGTGGCCGCAGCGCGGGCTAGGACTGACGCAGCTTAGCGACCAGCCAGTCCGACGCTAGACGGCACCTGGAGACTGGAGTCGAGAGGCCTGGAGCGCTGCCCGCTGTAATCTTCAGCGCTGTGCCAGCCAGACGTGTCCGTCCAGACGTCAAAGTCGGCTTCGGCCTTTTATTGAGCCAGCCACAAGAGCCGCCTACACCTTATTATGTGATAACCTTTCGTTGACAGAAAGCATTTCTGGCGCCATCCCAGCCCTCTTTTTTTCTCTCTCCTTTTCCTGCTTCCTGCTTCCTTGTCCATCCCTCGTCCTGGGCGTTGCTATGCAGGTGCCATGACGAAGCACATGCTGGCGCGCTAATCCTAGGACTGAGGTGCTTGCTGTGCTCTAGCAAATCGAGCACGACAGCCGCAGCATACCAGACCAGACCAGACCAGACCATCTCCACAGCGTCCATCCGCCTCCGCATCAAGCAAGAATCGCAGCAGGTTTCTGGGCCCGCCGGCCAAGACCGTCCAACTGCGCGCTTTGCCTTTGGGCCTCCACAGCGCGCCCAATTGTGTGCAGCGCAGCGCAGGCGAGCGGCTGTCGGAACCAACGAAAGACGAGAGAGAGAGCGAGCCTTTCTCTCAAGAGACAAGGTAGACCGGAAAAGAAAGAAAAGTCAACAAGAGGACACGCCAAGGGAAGAAAGAAACAACCTGATTAAAAAAAAAAAAACAAGAGCCCTCCAATAGCGCTGCTGCCGCTGGGCTTTCTGCAGCCCGTTGCCCGGGGCCCTTCTCTGTCTCTCTGGTCTCTCCATCCCTCCCACCGCACAGGACAGGCTCGCAGCCCGCGCTGACGCCCCTCCTTGGCCGTGGCCCTTTCTGCCCAGCCCAGCCCAGCCCAGTCCACCCGCCATGGACAATCCGCAGTGGTTCCCCGACTCGCAACGAGAACGACGCACCGCCAACGGCCAGCCATCGCGAGACTATCCGTCGCCGCTGTCCATCTCGGCTGCCGGCCACGCCTCTGCCTCCGCCGTGCCCGTTGCTGCCGCGTCGTCGTCGTCGAGCCGAGCGGCGTCGGCCTACAGCTTCGACCAGTACCAGCAGAGCCAGCAACACCAACACCAACACCAGGCCCAGGGCCAGCACCACCACCTGCCGCATCTCCAGCAGCCTCAGCTCGCCTCGCAGCTCGCGCCGCAGCTGCCGCACCCGCTGCAGCCCGGCGCCCACACCAGCTCCGGCAGCCTCCACGCCGTCGCCTCGCCGCTCGCGCGCGACACCAGCGGCGACATCGCCATGCACGACGCCCACGATGCCCACGCCGGCATCAAGTACCCCATGAGGCCGCACCACCAATCGCACCTGTCGGGCACCGCCCGCTCGTCGGGGCTCTACTCGCCGCAGGACCAGCAGCAGCAGCCACTGCAACAACAACAGCAGCATCAGCAGCATCAACAGCAGCCCCCGCCGCTCCAGCATCACCACAGCCACAGCGGCAGCCAGAGCCAGATCCAGAGCCAGCCCTCGGCCGCCGCCCAGCGCTACTCGCCCATGGACACGCTGTCGCCAACCTCGCCCTACGCCTCGTCCAAGCCGCACTTCACCAGCTCGCCGTCGCAGCACACGCCGCCCAACGCCGGCGACTACTCGCAGAGCTCCTACTACGCTGCCCGTGGCCAGGGCCCGCCCCAGCTGCCGCCCATTGCCTCCTACACCACCCTCGACGGCTACCCCTCGTCTGCCGTCGCCGCGCTCGACGGCGCCTTCAACGACGCAAAGGCCCCTCGCCGCCAGAACCCGCCCGCCATGAGGACGGTGCCCGAGTTCAAGAAGATCAAGTCGCCCAGCGAGCTGCAGCCCAAGAACACGCACCAGCCGCGCTTCAGGCGGGCAAACCCAGAGGGAGGCTTCATCAGCGTGAGTCCCCCCCCCCCTCATTTACTCTAGGATTTGGTCGTCTGATATATATCGCTACGTGGTATATCGTTAGCCTCTCCAAGCTTTGACAGCCCATCTGCCTGCCACATATCGCATCTGCAACCCGAGCTTCAAGTACGAGTCGTCGCGCAACCCTCGCCGAGTCCTGACAAAGCCCAGCAAGGGCACCAAGAACGATGGCTACGACAACGAGGACAGCGATTATATCCTCTACGTGAATGACATTCTGGGCTCCGAGGAAGCTGGCCACAAGTGCGTCATTCCAACTACTGAATCTTTTCCTCTCTCAGCAACGTTTCTCCCTCTGACTCATATCCAATTTCTGCAGGAATCGATACCTTATCCTCGATGTGCTGGGCCAGGGCACCTTTGGCCAGGTCGTCAAATGCCAGAACCTCAAGACGCAAGAGGTTGTTGCCGTCAAGGTCATCAAGAACCGCACGGCTTACTTTAACCAGAGTATGATGGAAGTTTCTGTGCTTGATCTGGTACATATCTTTCTCTAGCCCCTCCCCCCTTGGCTTTTTGCCAGCTTGCCCTGTGTACTGACCTTTGCACCTCACCAAGCTCAATACAAAACTCGACAAAAACGACGACCACCATCTTCTCCGTCTCAAAGATACCTTTATCCATCGCCAGCATCTGTGTCTCGTCTTCGAACTGCTCAGCGTCAACCTGTACGAGCTCATCAAGCAGAACCAGTTCCGCGGCCTCAGCACCACTCTGGTCCGTGTCTTTGCCCAGCAGCTCCTCAATGGCCTGGCGCTGCTCAACAAAGCTCGACTGATCCATTGCGATCTGAAACCGGAAAATATTCTGCTAAAGAATCTCGAGAGTCCCATTATCAAAATCATTGATTTCGGATCCGCCTGCGACGAGCGTCAGACCGTCTACACCTATATCCAATCCAGATTCTATCGGTCACCCGAAGTGTTGCTGGGCTTACCTTACTCGTCTGCAATTGACATGTGGTCACTGGGCTGTATCGTGGTCGAGCTGTTCTTGGGACTGCCCCTCTTCCCCGGATCGTCCGAGTACAACCAAATTGCTCGAATCGTGGAGATGCTTGGCAATCCCCCTAACTGGATGATTGACATGGGCAAGCAGGGCCTCGAATTCTTTGAGAGGAGACAGGATGAGTTTGGAAGGCGGACATACCACATGAAGAGCATGGAGCAGTACTCGCGGGAGCACAACACCAAGGAGCAGCCTAGTAAGAAGTATTTCCAGGCAAACACGCTCCCGGAGATTATCAAGTCGTATCCCATGCCTCGGAAGAATATGAAGCAGAGCGAGATTGATCGAGGTAAGAATTTCCTGGCACCAAGATTTTGCTTCAAGATGGCTAACCTGACCCGTCATCACCCCCGTACAGAGATGAACAATCGCATTGCCTTCATCGACTTCGTCAGGGGCCTTCTGAACATTAACCCTCTAGAGCGGTGGTCACCACAGCAAGCAAAGCTACATCCCTTCATTACGCAGCAAAAGTACACTGGGCCTTTTGTCCCGCCGATGAACCTCAAGTCGAGCTCTCTTAATAGGTCGCCAGCTCCCGGAACTCAGCAGCAGCAGCAGGCCGAGGCCCTTAGCAAACAGCGAGCCGCACAGGCACAGGCCCAAGCCGCACAAGCCCAGGCACAGGCACAAGCCCAGGCACAGGCTCAGGCTCAAGCAGTACAGTCGCAGGTCAACTCGGCGCAGGGCGGATATGGGTCCCCAATGGGTGGTGGTCAGTATCCGCAGTCTGCCCATGTGCCGGCTCCGCTATATTCCAACAGTGGCCTCTACAACCCCGGAGCTGCTCATGGAAATGTGCCCCCTCAATACGGACAGCCACAGACTGCTCAGTACGGCCAGATGGGCATGCAACAGGCCCCTCAACAGCTGCCGTCATCGCAATACCCGAATTCGGCGAATCCCAACATGTATCAGCAGGGCGGCATGAGGACAAACAGACAACGGGCTTCAACCATGGAGCAACAGCAAAGCGGCATCCCTCCGGCTCTGCAGCGGGTTGCGAGCCACCTTGACCCGAGCCAGCCCATCCGGCTCCAGCCTAGTCCGGCATACTATCCTCCAACTGGCGAGGGATTAGAATCTGCGGCAGCGCGCGCCGGCCGACGAGGAAGCCGGATTCAACAGGGCGGTCAACGAAGCAACAGGGACTTTATTCGTAATCTGGAAGAGCGGACTCTGGAAGAAGGTTTCATGGGCAACCAGAACCCGTGGCATTGAAGCCTTTGACCATTTCACTTTTTGTCTTTTTTTTCCGGTCCGAAACGAAACAAGTCTGCTGTCTTCTGGCTGTGGTAGTTTGTGTCAAATTTCATGTCATGGGTATTGTTAGGATTTATGATTGGGGCATCAGACAAGCAGCATCCGCCGCCGTTGGCCATGTTGCACATGGGAGATTTAACCCCTTGAACGCAGCATTTCCCCGCCTACCGCATCGATGGCCTGAAAGAAACGTCGTAACGATATTGAGAAATATGGTCATGTATGAACCATTGGCGGCTTTTTGTGTTTACTAGTTTGTGGTTGCGGCGGAACAATAAGGCCCGCTTTGTCGACAAAGGATGTTTTATTTTGAAATTGCCCACTACCGAGCCTCATAACCTTTTTGCCTGTGATGTTGTTTCAACCACACACGATTCCCTACGATGCTACTACATGAACTTGTGGATAGGATGGATTTCAACGGATCAGAGAAAAGGAAGTGCGCTTCCGCCTATTCTATGCATCAGGTAGCTGGAGATTGGTTCCTTTTCAGACGTATAAGATGGCAGCCCGTAACTGTTTCGCGTTTTTTGGGAGGGATTATGGATGGATGGCAGGGCAGTTGAGGTTTTCTATGCGCCCCCCTTTTCCCTGTGGGATCGATTTTCTATTTCCTCTACCTGTACGACTATACTTCCTATTCTGCAATTGATGTCTCATTCTGTCTTGTTTCTCGTTTTCTCATTATTCTTTATATGTATGTATCTGCAAAATCGAGACTGGCCTACTTTTTTGGTGTTTGTTTGTTTGTTTGACTGTTTCCAAGGCGGGTGGGATAAAAGGGGGGGAGGGGGAATAGGAAGCGTGGGAGAGAAAAAAGAAATGGGGATTTTTTTTTTTTTCAAAGGATAGAGAGAAGGAGAGAGAGAGAGAGGCGAAATTGCATTTGGGGGGAGATGTGATTTTATCATGAGATGAATTGAATTTGGGTTACCAGTATGATTAAGGTAGTTTTACTTTGCTTCTCTTTCTTGGGGTTGCTTATTTGCTGGCCTTGTATGAGAAGTGTCGATGTGTTGTGAAAAGGACGCTGGTTCTATCTGCTGTTCTGTTCTGAACCAAAATCTATTTTTTTTTCCATGGCATTCCCTAGTTCATAATCGATACGGCCTCTCCCTGGAAGAAAAAGATAAAAGTTACCATCACTACTAACACATACTACAAGAAGAAGAAAGAAGAGAAGAAAAAGCAATAAACGCTCGATTATTGGCCGTATCATATATGTCCGAATTAATCCCCACCCTTCCAAGGCAAAAAGAGACCCGCTGTGTAATCCTAAAACCCTATGGAAATACAAGAAAACGCAAAAATGCAAAGATAATGAAGGAAGAAAGGCCCTGAGCTTCGACTTTTTGACACACGACTATGATACAGCTCGTCTCTTTCTAAGCTCTTCCGACCGTGAACGAGTCTATCGTCCGCCATTGTTGGAGCCCCTTTGGAATCCTCGGCCCCGCTTGTTAACGCTGTTATTCTTATTGCCGTCGTTGTTGTATTGCAGCCTGTTGTTGTTGCTGCCGCCCCTTGATGAGGGGGGCACGTTTTCTCTGTCCATGAGGTCGTGCTCGTAGTCGCCCATGAGGTCGTCTTGGGATGACTTCTGGCGTCCTGAGAAGGGTGAGTTGCGGTTTGCTTTGTAGCCGCCTGGCTTGGGGTAGACTTTGATGATTCTGCCGTCGGCCTGAAAAAAAGGGGGTTAGCGATGATTGGATAAATGAGGGGGGGGGGGGGGGGGGGGGAAGTCCTTGTTCTTACAGTCTTGTTGTTGAACGTCTCAATAACTTTCTCGCCGCCCTCTCTCGATGCAAACGCCATCTCGACAATGATGAATGGCTGCGTCTTGACGATTTCGCAGCTGACCATCTCGCCCCCCACCGGCGTCATTGCACTCTCGATATCCGCCGCCGTCGTCCCAGGCGCAAAGTTCTGCGCCATGACGGCAAAGGGCCCCGCGAGCCCCCTGATCGTCATGCCGGCATCTCGCGTCTGGTTCTGGTTCTGGGGCTTGCCGCCGTTCTTCACAATGTTGACCTGGCGCTTGACGGAGTCGTCCGTCTCCATGCGGTCAAAGGCAGCCGTCAGCCGGGCGACCTTTTTCTTAGCAGCGGCCTTTTTGGCGGCAGCACCGCCGGGGAGGGTGACTCGGGAGCTGAGGGGCGCATTGGATGAGGAGTTGACGGAGCTGTGCAGGTCGTGAGTCCATTCGCCGTTGACGTCGCCGGCGGGCACGCTCGCTCTACGGCGTCGGGATGAAGGCGCGGTGACGGCTTTGTTCTGGGGCTGGGACTATTTGGTTGGTCAACATTAGCAAGGCTGCAAGCGATGGATTGGATGTGGATTGGATGTTCAATACCTTCTTGACGCCGACACGGCTGGCGAGCGATGCTCCGATCTGAGGCTTGGAGTTTGTCGGGGCGCTCTGGCGCCGGCCCCTGGAGAAGATCTTGTCGGCGAGAGCCTCGTTCTTCTTGCGCTCTCGGGCTATGCAGCTGATTAGTGTTTTTGCTTTGGCAGAGGCAAAAGACAATCGTGTCGTGATGGAGAGTCTCGATTCTGCGAGTGCGGGTGCGAGTGCGCGCGCGCGACGGCGGGCAAAAAGAGCGTACCGGTATTGATGATTTTTTCGAACTCGGTGGCAACAGGCGCCATTTTGGAACGGGCTTTCAGCGTCTTTTGCTTTAAAGAGTGCAGAAAGATGTTTCTCGTATTCGTCGTCGATGATTGATTGAAACTCAAAAGCTATGCAAAAAAAGAGAAACGGGACGAAAGCTTTTAATTAAAGAAATTGTGAAGCTAAAGGCGTAGATGGATTCTGGCTGCCTTTTTTTCTTAGTCGCGTCTCTCTCTGGTCGTTACGGCTGAAGCGCTGAAGGGAGAGTGAAATGGTCCCTTGGTGAGACTTTGGGAGGTTGCTGGGGCATGTGATTGGCTGGAGGCGCCGCTTCAAGGCAGAACCGGGCTGCAGCGCTATTTTTGGGGGGGCGGTTTAGCGGCTTTTGGGGGCCCCTGTCTAGCGGGCGGGCGATAAGATAGGGATAAGATAATAATTTTCTAGCTTTTTGAGGTGGATGGCGAAGTTGTATGTTGCAGAGAGACAGACAAAGGTGATGCTGAGGATAGCCATCTGGATTCGAGCATTTTCAGATGATTGCTACGCCGGTTTTGTAGCTTCAAAAGACCAGAGAATAAGGAATTATCACTTCTTCTTCTTGGATATCCAGCGCAATGTCTAGAAGCTTGGGACCCTGCGCCGCCTGTTTGCGCCGCGCCTTGGGAGTATCGACTCGCAGCAGGACTGCCATCCTATCAGCAGCTTCTGGACAGGCCAGCAGACGGTATACCTCTGCAATAGCATCCGAAATCGCTGAAAGGACCGATGCTCCACGGAACCTCATCTTGGAGCCGGTCGATTCCGAAGTCTCCAAGAAGAAGAACCAGGAGCGGTTGGAGCGCATCGTGAAGAAGGAGCTGACGCATATAAACACGGAAGACCCCTGGAAGATTGCGCAATACGTGGAAAATGCCCTCGCCGCTGACAGGTTCGAGGAAGCCTTGCTGTTGACAAAGACTGCTGGCAAGGATTGCCAGGTTGTCGTGGCCTGGAACCACCTCATCGGCTATCTGCTGGGCAAGCAGAAGCTGAGAGAAGCCATCAAGCTATACAATGACGTTGGTCCCTCTCGAGTCTACTTTTTTTTTTTTTTTTTTTACTCCTGGATTCTGACAACGAGCTAGATGAAAAAAAGAGGACAACTACCCAATGTTCAGACATTTACAGTCATTTTCCGAGGCTGCGCTCAGTCGCAGCATCCCAAGCTTGCGGTCGCCGAAGCTGTCAGGCTCTACAACATCCTTCTCAAAGACAAGCGCCTGCAACCAAACTCGATACACATGAACGCTGTTCTCAACGTTTGCGCGAGAGCCGGCGACCTCGACTCCATGTTCCTCATCGCGGATACCGCCAATGAGTCTACCCGTGCCCCTACGTCGTATACGTACACCACCATCTTAAATGCTTTGCGGTTTCAGGCAATCCGCGATGGAGAGGTCAAGGATATCACGCCGGAGCAGCAGGCTGCAAATCTGCAAAAGGCTGTGGATCGCGGAAAGAGTATTTGGACCGAGGTCATTGACCACTGGAGACAAGCCCGATTGGTCATTGATGAAGAGCTGGTGTGCTGCATGGGTCGTTTACTCCTCCTCGCTCCTAAGCGGGAAGATAAGAGGGAGGTACTCAACTTGCTGCAGCAGACCATGAGCATCCCCAACCTCGCTCAAGACACTACCATGGATGCATTCCAGGATTCCGAGATGGAGAAAATCTCAGTGACTGGCGCTGCAAAGAAGGTGCCCTCGACTAGAGCCGTATATGCTATCCCTAGCCGAAACACCCTGGCTCTGGTTCTAACGACTCTGGCCTCGTCAAAGCTCACTACGTGCGGCATCAAATACTGGAACCTGTTGGTCCGCCATTATGGTATAATACCGGACAACGACAACTGGCTGCGCATGTTTGGCATGCTCAAAGTTGCCAAAGCCAGCGCTCACGCCTCCTCAATCGTGAGCCTCGTTCCCGACGAGTTCATCGACGCCAAGCACTACGAGATCGCCATGGAGACGTGTGTCCGCGACAACATCAACCCCAATGCCATTGCCAATTCAACCCGAGTGCTCGAGTCCATGCTTGAGCGCCTCCCTATCCCGGGTTTGCACGCTCTTCGCATGTACCTGCGCGTTGCCCTCGTCAGCCATTTCCAGTTCCGCGAAAGAGTCCAAAAGGGCGATGAAGGAGGCGCCAAACGTGACTATGGGCTGCAGATAACAACCGCCCTCGCACATCTCTGGGAGCCTTACAAAAAGGTTCATTACCACTTTTTTAAAGAGATGTCGAAAAGTAGCGATTTCAGTTCAGGAGCAGTCTACAACAGCCAGCGCGAGGTCATTGCCCTGGCACGTCTCATGTTTAGCGCATTCAACAAGGTCATCTACGAGGAGATGCTCCCCGAGAAGGACGCCAAGGAACTCCGCGCGGTTGGTGCAAAGATTAACCGCGAGATTCAAAAGTTTTACTCGGGCCGTGAAGAAAGAGAGCCCAACGTGCGAAAGACTCGTAGCAGTAGCGGCCCCGATCAGGCACGAGATGCTGCTGAGCCATATGAGGAGGAAAATGTCAGCGAAGAGGACAGGCTGAATAGCGGGTTTAGGCCGGGAGGCGACTTTGTCTGGAATACGACAAGGCAACAAGCTCCAGTGGAAGAGGAGAGGCAGCCCCGGAGGCCTTGGGATGCCGGCAGGACAAGACAATCGCGAGAGGAGGAAGAGAGGCGGCCTAGAAGGTCGTGGGATGCCAGCAGGCCAAGACGATTCCAGGCGGATGAAGAGAGGCAGCCTAGAAGGTCGTGGGATTCCAGCAGGCCAAGACGATTCCAGGCGGATGAAGAGAGGCAGCCTAGGAGATATGGGGATGCTACCAGGAGGCAGAGGACGTATTAAACATGTACGATTTATGAGTGTATGATACAGGGCAACGACCATACCATTTACTGTATACCATTTATGAAAGGGAGGGACAAGGAGATTCTTGGGCTGTCTTTTTAAATAAATTATACAATTGATCTCTTCTTCAAGTATCGTCTCGCATTAATTGTAATCGTTTGCATGATTGAGAATCTCGTAGAGTTGGGCTGATCTAATGTCATCAGTTGTAGTAGCCGTCTCAATAAGTTCATATCGCCAGAATGCTGCATAAATTCGACGTGCCCCTCTTAGCGACCCCACGTACCGATTACAGCGGCCCTGACGCACTATTCAACCAATTAATTATAGCGCGTTAGCAACAACGCGACCCACGCGTAAAGACGCGTTTCCTGCAGGCTTGTATTAATTGGCAGCCAGGGCATGTGGGATGTACTTGACAAGCCAACCGAAACCTCACCAAAAGCACGAGTCCCCCCGCCTCTCTTCATCAGCTGCAGAGCGAGTGGCCTTGCCTGATGTCTGCATTTTGATTTCTCAATTCCAGCCATTTCGTTCATGATACCCGCAAGACACGACTCGCCAACTCCACCATGCCAAAGGTCGATCGCCGGGCAAAGCTCGCCGAGCTCAAGGCCCTCCGCCAGGCGGGCAAAAAGGCCTTTGAGAGCTACCAGGTAGAAGATGCGGACAATCTGTACGACGAGGTTGACGAGGCTGGATACAAGAAGATTGTGCGGGAGCGGCTGAACCAGGACGACTTTGTGGTCGACGACAATGGCGAGGGCTATGCCGACGATGGGCGAGAGGACTGGGACAGAGTGCGGCAGTACGAATCGGACAGCGAGGGCGAGGGCCTGCCTGCGCGTGGGAGGCCGAGCAAAGCATGTGAGTAGCGACGATATCGAGTATTACGTATCTTGGTTTGCTTCAGTGGTGCTGATTTCGAGTCGCAGCAAAAAAGAGCCTCCAGGACGAGCAGGCCAAGCGGGACGCCAACGACCGCAGCATCAGCGAGTACTTTACCAAAGGCGCTGGCAAAGCCCAGCCCAAGCCCAAGGTACAAGACATCGATCCAGCATAGCAGTAACAACCCGCGCGGATAGCTTACCAAGAACCACAGGTTGTCAAAACCAAGGCCGACGACGACTTTCTAGCAGATCTGCTGGGAGAGGTCGATGCCAACGTCCCAGCTCCCGCACCTAGAGCCTCCAAAATCGAACGATCTGGTGGCGAGCGACGCAGACCTCGAGAGCTATCCCCTGCGCCAGAGCCCAGTTCCAAGAAGCAAAAGAGGGTCAACATACGGCTGCCGTCGCCGTCACCGCCACCCGCGAGCTTCGACGACGACGACGACGGTCTTCCTGCGCCCTTGATTGATGACGAGCCCATGGGCGCCGCCGATATGCCCATGAGCGACCCGGCGCCGTCTTCGCCTGCTGCCAAAGTCGCCCAGCGCAAGGCTCTTATAAAGCAGGAGCCTCAAAGCGACGACGATGACGACATGATGGAGATTGCTCATGCCGGTGCTGTCAAGGTTGCCAGTGTCAACATGGCAGGCTCGCGGCCTGTGAAGAAGATCATCAAGGAAGAGCCGCCACAATCGTCTCCGGTCAAGGCCCCAGACACTTCTGTTGACCCAACATCATGGAACGAGCTCACAGAAAAGCTCAACGTCGTCAGCTCATCAGAGACAGAATCCAGAGGCATCGGCAAGATCGACCACAACGACGCTATTGAAGCCGATGGATCCCTGAATTTCTTCTGGACTGACTACACCGAAATCAACGGCAGCCTGTGTCTCTTTGGCAAAGTGCTGAACAAGAAGACACGCTCATATGTCAGCTGCTTCGTCAAGGTGGACAATATTCTGCGGAAGCTCTACTTCTTGCCCCGCCAACAGCGCGTTCGAGATGGTGAGGAAACTGGCGAAGATGTCGACATGGGCGATGTCTATAACGAGGTTGACGAAATCATGACCAAGATGAACGTCGGCATGTTCAAGATCAAAAAGTGCGAGCGCAAGTATGCGTTTGAGCTGGCAGATATTCCCAAGGAAGCAGACTACATGAAGCTACTGTATCCCTACACAAGTATGTCTTGAAAACTAATGGCCCCCTCTTGACCACTCAGCAGTCTATTAACCTGCCGTTCACAGAACCTACACTCAACATGGACGTAAAAGGAGAGACCTTTTCTCATGTTTTTGGAACCAACACTGCACTATTTGAACAGTTTGTTCTCTGGAAAAACATCATGGGTCCTTGCTGGCTGAAGATTCAAGATGCCGATTTTGGCGCCATCAAGAATGCCTCTCACTGCAAGCTTGAGGTTTTGGCTGAACATCCTAACATGGTCACTGCCATTCCCGATTCTGATAATATGGAGATGCCCCCCCTGACGCTTATGAGCATTGCTCTTCGGACAGCATTCAATGCCAAGGAGAACAAGCAAGAGGTCTTGGCTATCAGTGCCCGGATCTACGACAAGGTGCTTTTGAGCGATACAACTCCCGCCGAGAAACTTCCGTGCAGAACGTTTACCGTCATCCGACCTCATGGACAAGCTTTCCCCATGGGTTTTGATACACTAGTAAAGAAGCGAAATAGAGGTCTCGTTGTTTTGAAGAAGCAAGAATCGGATGTGCTGAGCTTCTTCCTGGCCCAAGTCGATGTCGCAGATCCTGATGTCATTCTTGGCCACCAGCTGGAAGGTGTCGATTACAGCGTGCTGCTAAATCGTCTATTCGAGAAGAAAACTCACCAGTGGTCAAGACTTGGAAGACTGCGTCGATCCCAGTGGCCGTCTGCTATCGGCAAGGTTGGTGGCAACGTGTTTGCCGAGCGCCAGGTCATGGCCGGTAGGTTGCTCTGCGATCTCGCCAACGATGCAGGAAAATCCGCCATGTTCAAGTGTCAGACGTGGAGCTTGACAGAAATGTGCAGCTTGTATCTCACGGGTGATAATCGTCGCCGTGATGTCGACAACGAGGTTGCCCTCAACACTTGGGCCAAGGAGAGCCAGGGCCTCATGGACTATGTGACCCATATGGAAGCTGATACACACTACATTGCTGCATTGGCTGTCAGTGTGCAGCTGCTTCCTCTCACCAAGGTCTTGACAAACTTGGCTGGTAACTCTTGGGCTCGTACCTTGACGGGAACACGCGCCGAGCGAAACGAATACATTCTGCTTCACGAATTCTACCGCAACAAGTACATTTGTCCTGATAAACAGACATTCAAAGGACGACAAAAGGCCGAAGAGGAAAACGACGAAGAGGCTGGTGAGGGCAAGAAGAAGGACAAGTACAAGGGTGGTCTCGTCTTTGAGCCGGAAAAGGGTCTTTACGACAAGTTTGTGCTTGTCATGGACTTCAACTCTCTGTACCCTTCCATTATTCAGGAGTACAACATTTGCTTCACCACAGTGGATAGAACAACATCGGTAAGCTGATTTCCCAGTTATTTGACACAGACCAATCGTTGTTTCTAACGCGTGCTTCTAGGCCGATGATGATGGAGATGCGGTTCCTGAGGTCCCTGTGAACCAGGACCAAGGCATTCTCCCTCGACTAATTGCCACGCTCGTCAGCCGTCGTCGTCAAGTGAAAAGTCTGATGAAGGATAAGAAGGCCACACCCGAGCAGCTTGCGACTTGGGACATCAAACAACTAGCCTTGAAGCTGACGGCCAACTCCATGTACGGCTGTTTGGGATACACAAAATCTCGTTTCTATGCTCGCCCTCTGGCTATTTTGACAACGCACAAGGGTCGAGAAATTCTTCGCAGCACCAAGGATCTTGCCGAGAGCAAGTCTCTGCAAGTCATTTACGGTGACACTGACTCCGTCATGATCAATGCCAACGTGGATAATGTTGCCGATGCTTTCAAGGTTGGCAACGAGTTCAAAAAGGCCGTCAACGAACAGTACAGGCTGCTGGAGATTGACATCGACAATGTTTTCCGTCGCATCTTGCTGCAAGCCAAGAAGAAGTACGCTGCCATCAACCTGATTGAAAAGGACGGCAAGTTTATTGAGAAGATGGAGGTCAAGGGTCTGGATATGAAGCGTCGTGAATACTGCGCTCTTTCCAAGGAGGTATCCAAGCATTTGCTTGATGAGATCTTGTCTGGTGATGATATCGAGGTTGCCGTGGCTCGCATTCACGAATACCTACGAGAAACTGCTACCAAGATGAGGGAGTTTACTGTCCCGGTGCCGAAATATACCATTTACACGCAGCTCGGAAAGGGCCCCAAGGAATACCCCAACGCTGACTCTATGCCTCAAGTACAAGTTGCCCTCCGCGATCTGGCCAGGGGTAAAACTGTGCGCAAGGGCGATGTTATTTCCTACATCGTCACAGGCACCAGCCAAAGCTCTGAACCTGCGCCAAAGCGAGCCTATGCTCCGCCGGACCTCAAGGCTGATCCAAATCTGCAACCCGATGTGGACTGGTACATAGCCAAACAGATTTTCCCGCCTGTTGAGCGTCTCTGTGCCAACATTGCGGGCACCTCCACGTCTCAGCTTGCTGAACAGCTTGGCCTGGACGTCCGCCGATATAGTTCCACCCAAACGCAGCAGAACAGCTCTAGTGACGATCTCGAGATTCACCCTCTCGAATCTCAGATTCCTGACGAAGTCCGTTTTGTCGACTGCAAGCGACTCTCTCTACGCTGCCGAAAGTGCAAGGCATCAACAGTGTTTGAAGGCCTCATGGGTTCTGCTGATCGCGTCACCGCATCGGGAGTCACCTGCCCAGGCTGCGGCGCAGTCATCCCCACGCTCTCCGTCGTAGCACAGGTCGAGCACGCGGTGCGCCTCCAGACATCTCAATATTACGAAGGCTGGCTCGTCTGCAACGATCCCCAATGCGGCAACCGAACTCGCCAAATGAGCGTCTACGGTACCTGCTGCTTAGGCCCCAAGGGTCTGGCGCGAGACTGTAACGGCACAATGCACTACGAGTACACCGAAAAGGCCATCTACAACCAGCTGGTGTACTTTGCCAGTCTGTGGGATGTAGACAAGGCCAAGACCAGGGCGGCTGATACCACGAATGAGATTTCGACACAGGAGCGGGAGAAGATTCGGGCCTTGGCTGAGCACAACCGCGTGCGCTTCACGACGGTCAAGACGGCGGTGGATAAATACCTGGATAAGTGCGGCAGACAGTGGGTTGCCATGGACACGCTGTTTGCAAAACTTGGATTTAGCAAGATGTTTGCTGCTTCTGCTGCTGCCTCATGAGACGGGGAAAATATATTCATGACGGAAATGTTTTATTACACTTGTAATCCTTTTTTTTTTTGTATGTATGTGGAATGGGAATGGCGTTGTTGGGAGTTTTATGCAACTTTTTTTTTCTAGAACGTTGTATTGGATAAGATGGAACGAAAATTACATTTCATGATCAAGAGAAAAGAGAGAGAAATGTTTATACAAGACTATAGTTTACGCACTTTCACTTCAAGAGCTTGTTTATCCTAGGTAGACGTAGATAAATTAAAAAAAATAACCTTGATGGCATTTTAGACTACATGTGCATACAATAGAACGCAATCATTTCATTCATACTCATAAAAGAACATTCAATTATTTCCATCTAACAAACCTCTTGAAAAACAAGTCCCAATTTTTCACTTCCTCAGTTTCCAAACTCTTATCTCGTCATATTTCCCATACAATCAATCTCTCACTAGAATAGATGACGTGAGAATCAAAAGGTATTCATCATATCCGTGGAGAGAGAACAAAGAAAGAAAAACTCCAGCGTCCCCCAAAAGAGGAGAAGAGAGAGAAAAGAAGCCAGTAATCCAGTAAAGTCAAATCAATCAGCCGACCAATGTACGCGTCGTAAGTGCACAGCACATTGTGGGAAGAAAACAGATTTACAAACAGAGTCGGAAAAAGAGAAAAAGATTTAAAGGAAAGAGAAATAAAAACAAGGCAACAGAAAGGAGTAAATATCAGATATCAAGACATGACCTTTTCCCACCCTCCCTCCCTTGTAACAAAAATCAATCCATCCCCATATCTGTTTCCTGGTTTGCCTATTCCTTCTCCCCTTCCATCTTCCATTTTCCTCTTCCCATTCCGTCGTAAATACAGCATCCACAGCGGCCAAAAACAAAGTGGTAGTCATTCAATTGTCCCGCCACATTGGATAGTCTTGACCTTCATGCTAAAAGAAAAAGAAAAATCATCAACTTCCTAACATCAAGCATTCCCTAATTTTCTCCTCTCTCATACATCTCGACGTTGGGCGTGGTCAACCATCTCGTATTGCCGAATTTCCCTCCCCAAAAACCAACAGGGTGGGTATTTGCATCCGTAATATTTCTCCCGGGCGTGATCCTTTACGCCAGGCGATGATGACATCAACTTGTGTCCCTTTTGTTTTTCATCTCCGAGCCACTCAGTATTAAAGATTGGAGCACACCAAAAGGGGACATTAGAAGAAGCTATAAACACAATTCATGAATAAAAAAAAATCATGATGAATTCCCTAGTCCGAAGACAGTAGAAAAGGGGAAAGAGAAAAGGAAAAGAAGACAAGTTCCTCTCCCCTTCTCTTGGGGGAGGCAACATCTGTCCACCCGTTATGGTCAAATGATCTATGGGGCAAAAGGTATCGCGAGTAAAATGCGTGCTCAAACTTTTAGTGAAACGTTGCATAAAAGCCTTGTAAATGCAAGAAAAAAAAAAAACAGCCCCGCCTTTAGTCTAATTCCCTCCCCAAAATGCAGAGACACCGAGAATAAAGAAAACTTTTTTTATTCATTATCCTTCTTGTCAGTGGCAGGGACGGCCTTAGACATAAGAGGCGAGGGTCCAGCAGAAGGAGGGGAGGCTGGGTGGTCTCCATCCATGGTAGCAAGCAAGCTAGGTAGATGTCAGTGTCTAATTTGGAAAAAAAAAAAGGGGGGGGGGGGGGGGCCGGGTGTTGAGAGGTGGAAAAGGGAGCTGCTTACCTGAACGCATTGGAGCTTGTTGGGCCAGGAGTTCCAGCGCGTGAAGAGCTGTTGGAATCATCACCAGAGCGGCCAAGAGCGCCACCAGGTCCGAAACGTCTTCCACTGTTGCTACGAGAGGAGAGCATGGATGCGGGGCCCAAAGTGACATTTCCGCTTGATGCTCTGTTCATCGATGATCCCTTCAGACGTCTCAGGTCATCCACGCCAACCTGGTTGCTAGTCTGCTGCTGGAAGCCTCCAGAAAAGCCGCGAGCATCGCCACGGCCAACGGGAGGTCGGCCACCGCCAGGACCTCGCTGGTTGCTTCGTGCGGCTTCCTGAGCCTTGGCAGCTTGCGCAGCTTCGGCCTGTTTCGATTTCAATTAGTACTCGATATATAAATGGAGGATAAAAAAGGGGGTAGAGAAAAATATTCCAACTTACCTCGGCGCGAACCTCGTCCAAGGTTTTGGGGCCCTTGTTGCCCTCCTTCGAGACCCAGCGGGCTCTACGGAGGTCAATAATGTCCATGAGCATGAACTTGATACGGCTTGGCAGTTCAGGCAGGTCAACCATGCCCTGGATGCGCTGGAAGTAGGCGTCTACCAAAGGACGGCCCTTGGTTTCGTCAAGGTTGGCACCAATAGTGCGGAGCAGCTTGCAGAGAGACTCGACTTCAGCCTCGTCCGGCACACCCTGGTAGTCGACCAGCTTGCGAACACACTCGTGCATGATACGCTCTGTGAGCATGCCCAGCTTGAACAGCTCTCCGATGAACTGAACGAGACCAAGACCTCGTCGCTTAGCGGCGGCGGCGGCGTAGTACTCGTCAGACAGCAGAACAGCCTCCGTAGGCTTAGCATCCGCAGATTTATTTTCGGCACCCTCGGCACCCTCAGCACCCTCAGGGGCTTCCGGCAGGTTGGTTGTCCAGCCACGCTCAAACTCCTCCTGGCATCGGTTCAGAAGGTACTTGCGGAAGAGGTTACCGCCGCTAACAACTTGACCGTTCTTGTCCTTGATGTTCTCATCACGAATTTCAGGGCTCATAGTCTCAAGCATGCGCTTGCAGAACTTGGCGTACATGGATGCCCAGTGGGCTTCATCAGTAGCCTTCTCAAAGGTGAGCTGGATGACCTGGCGCAGTGTTCGTCCATCAGACTCATCCTTTGACTGCGAGGCAATAAGCAAGATCTGATCCGCAATGCGCTCAAAGTTCTCAGGCGTCATCTTGTTGAGAGCGGCCTTGACCTTTCGCTGAACCATCTCTGGCTCCATGTGCGAGGTCTGGCCAGAAGCTGCGGCACCGGGCTTGGCTCCGATACTAGTGGGCTTCCATCCGGAGGCAGAAACAACGATGGGCTTGAGGTCCTGGCCAGCAGTGAGAGGCATGGTCTTAGCAGCCTGTGCTTCCTTGGCAGTGTTGTCGTTGCGTCGGCTACCACGAGTGGACCGGCTGGACTGGCGGGGAGAGTTGGGCATGTTACGCATGTTCTGAGAAGAAGTGCGAGACATGGCGGATGATCCGGGGAATCCAGAGCCAGGACGCTGGAAGGATGCCATCGGGTTGACCTGCGGCCTTGGCAGGGCGCCGCTGGCAATGGCCATGCGATCGGCTGATGTGGTTCCAGGAGGCAGAGTGCGTCCCACAGGAACACCAAAAGAACCGCCAGGGAAGCCACCTCCGCCGCGAGATCCTTGTCTGGCTGAGCTGGGGGTCTGGCCGCGCGATGCAGATCGGCCGCCATCACCATCGCCAATCAGCTGCTTAATCTGCTGGTGGAACTGCAGTGATGGCTGTTCCGTAAAGACTTTTTGGAACTGGAGCATGAAAGCGGCGTCATACTTGAAAGTCTTGCCCTTCTTGGCGACGGCAGCGTTGAGAGCTGGGTTGGGAGACTTGATTCCTTCGGGATAGATATCTTGGTTCATGACGGCAAGGAAGCGAGCAGACTTCAAAGACTGAAGAGCGGCACTGGGCTGAGGAGGTTCCACCACACCGGTCTTGATGGGTGCCAGGTTCAGAGCAGCTGGCTTGGCAACTCGCTTCTCCTTGGGGCCGGCAGCCTCAGCAGCAGATTTGTCTCCAATGCTCAGGTCGCCCAGCTTATCGGCAACTGAGTCAGCAGACTCGTCCTTCTTTTCGCCACGAGCCACAGCAAGAGCTTCAGTGAATGAGAGAGTCTTTCCAGAAGCTTCAGCGGCTTCTCGTCGCTTCTCCTTCTCTTCTTCGAGTCTCTCCATCTCTCGTTCCTGTTCTCGAAGCTTTCGGTCCTGTTCTTCAGCACTGGTCTTGGCGTTCTTCTCTTCTGCCGCCTTGGCCGCGAGCTTTTCGGCATCTCTCTTCTTCTTGTGCTCCGCTTCCTCTGCTTCACGCTTAGCCTCGGCTGCTTCCATCTCAGCAATAATCCGGTCAAGCTCCTCGTCTTCTGTTTCAGCCTTGGCTGGCTCCTCGGGCTTCTGAGCCTCTTCAGCGGCCTTGGGGGCTTCGGCAGGCGCGCTGGAAGCTGGTGCTTCGACCTTGGGCTCCTCAACCTTGGGCTGGGGCTCAGGTTTAGCCTCCTCGGGTTTCTTGGCGGCTGGCTCTTCAACCTTGGGTGCCTCGACCTTGGGTGCTTCGACCTTGGGCGTCTCGACCTTAGGTGCCTCGACCTTAGGTGCCTCGACCTTGGGTGCCTCAACCTTGGGCTCCTCAACCTTGGGCTCTTCAGCCTTGGGCTCTTCGGCCTTGGGCTCTTCGGCCTTGGGCTCTTCGGCCTTGGTTTCTTCAGCCTTTACCTCGGCTTTGGTTTCGACGGGCTCAACCTTGGTCTCAGACTTGACTTCAGGAGTGGCCTCATCAGGCTTAGGAGCCTCTTTGTCCTTCTTCTCTTCTTCCTCTTTGGCAGCGAGTAGCTGATTCTGGGTAGCCTCCAAAATCTTTTTCCTGAGCTCATCCTGGATCTCCTTGGCTGACCTGTGTGCTGACTGACTCTCTGTACGAGAGTGGGTGGGCGTGTCAGGCTTTTGCGGGGGAGTTGGGGTTGAGGCGACGGGAGGAGTCTTGGTCTGCTGGGTGCTGGGTGAAGGAGAGGCTGGCTGCTTGAAAGCTGAAGTATCAACAACCTCACCGGCCAGGTTTTTAATTTGAATTGCGGCGCTCTTCCTTTGGCGGGGAGCAAAGGGGCTTCCACCCTTTGGTTGGGCGTTGATGGCTTGTGAGTTGGATGACACGATGGTGGGCTGGCTCGGCTGGGTGACGCTGGGAGCTCGCTCAGCCTGTGAGGGCGATCGAGACATGCTGTGGGTCTGTTGGTGGTAGGGAGGTACGAAGGTCTGGTTATAAGGTTGAGCGTTGGGCTGGGGGGGTCCCATGTAAGGCATGGCATTGTAGGCGTATGGCATGGGCTGGCCATATTGGTTCATCTGCTGCGGGGGGAATCCGTATGTCTGATTCTTCCAAGTTAGCAAGCGCTCAAATCCTCCGTTTTCAGGAGATAGGTCAAGTGAATGTGGGTGATTCGGGGAGAGATTGTTGAAAATGGGGTTGGGAGAAGAAGGTGAGTCCTGTTGAATTCCACTAGAAACCGGACGCATATTGTTCTTGTCGTGGGTTCGCCGCATTGTATCTGCACGTTGGCCATAGTTGCCGAAGCGGCGTTGATGCTGCTGCTGTTGCTGCTGCAGAACGTCGCTGGTATATGGCTCACGCGCGGGGTCCAAGGGGCGTCCCGTCTGAAAAGACCTGTCGTGCTCACGACGGCCCTTTGTCTTTTTGCAGTTGGGCTTGGAATAATGCATTTTTAACACTGCAGGAAGGGGGTACTGTACTTGTTGTTGATGCTGCGGCGCCATTGGTGGCGGGTAATGGAATTGAGGAGATGCTCCTCCCATGCCTGGCATGGCATTAGCCATGCTGGGGGTGCCGGGCTGTGAATGCGGCAGAGCAGGGCTTCGGGCCATGGGCTGCGGCGAGTTCGGGTAAGGTCGATTCGGCTGGAAAGCAGGCATGCCGCGGTTCTGGTTAGGGCCAGGTCGATATTGGTTGTTGGGAGGGTATCCCATCTGGTGGTTGTTGTTGAACTGGGCAGCATGAGGGTTGAATGAGGCACGGTTTCGGTTGTTCTGAGGGTTGAAGTTGCCACGGCTGTTGTCGCTCTGCACAGAATGGCTAGACTCGCGGCGGAAGTGTGAGTTGGGTTGAGATGCCAGGTTCTGGTTTGAAGGCACGGAGCCTTGTCTCATATGGCGCTGGAAGGCACATGTCAGTAATGGATAACCAGGGGCCTGAGAAGAAGGCCGATATGGGAAGAATAAGAAGGCACTTACATCGCCGTCACTTCCAAGGCTACCAAAGGTCATCTGGTTGGTCGGCTGCTGCAGGCTCGACGGAGGTCGGCCACCGCTAGCAGAGGGCTGGGGAATCGGCGCAGGAGAGTGAGCAGGAGAGGGCACTCGGTGGTGGCTGTTGCCCTCAGGAACGGGGATAGGAGCCGAGTGGCCAACGTGAGGAGTGCTGTGGCCCATGGCAGGCGAGTCGTATCCAAACTGGATGGCAGACTTGGCGGCGCCAATGGAGCCGCCGTTGGGGACGAAGCCGCTGGGGCCGTTGGCAGCCATGGTGACGGAGCCTTTTCGAAGATGATCGGGGGCAGAGCCGTTGAGAGTGCTGCCGCGAGCGACGGTGGGGGCCGCGGCCTGTTTGCCGTTTACTGGAGAAGGAGTTGAGGCAGCTTTGGCATTCTGTGCCGTCGAGGCAGCCGAGCCAACTACCAGGGGGGCGTTTGAGCCGGGCGCAACTACAGGCGCCTGAGCGGGCTTCTTTGGCGCACCTGCTGCGGAGGCATATGAAGTTGCCGTAGGAGCGTTGGTGTTGGTCGCCGGGATGGGGTTCTGCTGATTCGCAGGCGACGTCATATGGGTAGCGGGTGGTGTGGTTCGCGATGCGCGAAAACGTAAGGCTTGGTGGTGTTTTCGTTGGCGGGGCGAAAAAAAGAAGGTTCAGAAGGAAAAAAAAAAAAAAAAAAAAGGCCGTGCCGGCTTTTTTTTCCTGGATTTTTCCGGGTGGGTGGTGTTCAGAATCGACTCAGCAATCCTTCACTTGCTCTCTGGGATTGTTCTCGGCGAAACGACCGGGAACGCTCAAGAAGAGAGGATGTTGGTTCGGCTCGTTCGACAACGACTGGCTCGATCGATGGTCGAAGACGAAGCGGCGAGAGATGAGGCCGACCGGTGGGGGAAGCGATCGCAGACGTGGCTACGATCCCGCGGGGCGTCTGAGAAGGAGCAGGGAATTGAGTCTTCTGCTACCGAGGCCACAGAAGAGGATCCCAATGCTGGTGAGGAGAGAAAAAAGGCCAGGCGAGAAGAATAAAATCCACCGCACTGCTCTCGTGGTTGGTGATGAAGGTTGGAGAGGAGGTCCAGCAAGAAAATTTTGGGCAGCAGGAATACAGGATGTGGGCGGGAAGGGGCAGTGGCCAAGGCGCCGCTAAAAGGAGGGGTGGCGCTAAAAGGCTTCACGCCGCTAAGATTTCGTGTACAGTACGGTGCGGCGGCTGTTGAGCGGCCTCTTTGGACTGAGGCTTCAGTTAGTTGGCAATTGGCACCGTCTGGAAGCAAGTGATACGGTACCTACCTAGGTAGGTGCTTGCGAGGAGTCTTGTACTGTAGATGTGAGATTGGTTCGCCTTTCTTCTTGTTTCTTCTTGGTTTGTTGGCGAGGAATATTGGGTGCTTCAGGCTGTAGATACGTGAGAGTTTTATGCTTTTTGCGGCGCACCGATTATGCGCCAGCGCTGTGAAAGTGAGCGAGCGCTGAGAAACAATAGCAGTCCCCACCCATCCAAGTATCTATCCATTTATCAAACGCGGTTCAACAGACAGGGCTTTTGTTCTTTCATTCCCGTTACTATTTTTGACGATCCACTGCGGCTTCTTCTTTCTGAGCAAACAGATCCAACACACCCGTTTGTCCGCCGGCTTCGTATCACCGGGGGAAATGAGAGCGTCGGTGGATATGCCCGATGGATCTTTGACGCAGGTCAGAAACTCTGAGCCAGTAGTAGTACCAGGTATCATCTCACTGCCGCTCCCTGCTGCTGCTGCTCGTGTTCACTGCCAGGTCCCGCCAGGTCCATGATGCAGTCATTACTTTACTTGTCCCTCTTTCACTGCTCCCGACAACAAGATATCATCTCAAACGCCCTTTAGCTACAATCTTGTTCCATCTTGCTAGGTCCCTCGTAGTGGAGGTATACATGTCGTTGGCGTTATCACCACGTGACTTTGACCTCAGCCCAGCATCAACCCTAGGCCACCAGTGGCTTCAGCTCCGATAAGGCTCTTGCGGAGCAATGTACTTGGGAGATGCCTTGACAATCATTGTTGCAAAAGCATCAAAGCCATGGATACAACACCAGAAGAAAACCCAAGGGCTTGAACAACTCATGGAGATTCATTGCAGAGCCGTCTTTGTCTCTAATCGCAAAAACAAAAGCGCTCGTTTCTTTGCGTGGCGTTGATGAAAGACCACCGCCACAAGGCACAAACAAGGCTTGGCATGTGATGCTCTCCAAAGCATCCCAGCCCTGGTTGGGAGTCATAACAGCCACCTGTGAGTCAAGTCGAGTCCGAACTGGCTCTGAATATGCGCCAGAACTCCATATTTCAGAAAGTCCTTGAACGCAGCCGTGCGGATTTTCTGCAGGGCCGCCGAATTCCAAGTTTCCTATCTCCATATGCGCCGCCCTCGGTTCTGGTGGGAAGACATCTAAACTCCGAACTAGCTGAGCCACATTGAGGGAAGCACCGAGCAGGGAGAACCCGGATGAATAATCACGTAACAGCTCACAATGCACGACCTGGGGCGACCCATGACATTGGCTCTTGTAATGCTGCCTGAATCTCCCTGCGTCTACACGGAGCTGGCAGCCTCGCCGAACAGAAGCGTGCTACTCGACCCTGCGCTGGAGCGTCAAAGAGCGGTGATCCAAAAGATGGATGCACATCTTTCTAAATATAAAGATGGACAAGAAGAAAGAAAATAAAGACCAGAACGGAACAGGACAGGACAGAACAGAAACCACAGCATCAAGTCCGAAATTACTCCTTGTGACGGGCTCCGTTCAAAGCAAAGTCAAAGCAAAGTCAAAGCTGACGTTTGCAGCTGTGTGGCTGAAAGAGAGGCGAATGGTACCTGGTACCTGGAAACCTTTTGGTGAACCCCGCCATCAGCCACAGCGACCATCTTCGCTTTTTGTATTTTGACGAGGCGATTTCTTTGTTGAGGAAATAAAGAAGAGCAAGGAGAAGATGGCCGACTGATCATTCTTTAGCTACACTTGTACAGGATGCTTTGCAAACAAGACGGCTTCTCTCGCCTCTGATGGCACTGAAAAGAAAGGCAGAAGCTGCCCAACGCGCCCCAGTTCTGTTATCTGCAGCTGTATAAAGCAATTAGCCTATGCATTGAACCATGATGCACATATACAATTCAAAGCAGCAGCAGCGATAGCAGTAGAAGCCCGCTCGATAACTGCTCATGTTCTCAAACGAAATTACAAGGGCCCGCCCCGGATACGGACTATCGTTCTACAAGAACGTAGTCGCCCGCTAAGAAAAAAAAAAGCCCACCCTCATTTCACCACATGCGAGGGAGCAAACAAAAAAAAAAAGAGTTATGTAAGGAACACACCGGGGCGTAAGCATATCAGCTAAAAAAAAAAATTAGAGAGCGACGATTGTTTCCCCAAACCCGGGCTAGAATTTTTAGTGGCGTTTTTTTTTTCGCCTTGCCCAATCGGCTCAGTGCGAAAACTCCCAGTTTGCGGCACTGTCTAGCAACGCAAGTATTATCGATGCCCTTCGCTACAAGTAGGAATAAAGAAGGCGATGAGAAGAACCCTATGCAAAGACCGTAATTGATGATTAATTCCAAAATCTCACTGACCATTTTGCCGCGTGTTCCTTAATACAGGTGTAGCTCCGAACCAAAGAGCAGTATCACCCAAACGCAGCATCACAAAACCCATCTTCGCCTTTGTACCCCCAAACAAAATGGCGAGAGGCAGCCATTCGCCATCACCTGATTGCGATCCGTAAACCTTGGCCTACAAATTGACTCTTGGTCGAGACAATTTTGTCTCGGAAAAAAGCCCAAGTCGGCAAGTGCCGCTGCTGATGACGATGCCATGCAGCCACTGTGACCGATGTTCCGGTATGAAGGAATGTGCCGTGTTACTGTAGTTGATTGATGAAACGGGGAAAGATGTGCCTTTTTTTCTATGTATTCTCTCAAGATCCGTGGTAGTTTATAGTGTGAGATTCACTCGATAAACTGTTCCTTGTTGAAGACATGAAGCATATGCGTCCATGCCATCTTCAGCCGCATTCATCATACGCAAGTACTCAAATAATAACACTAATACTTCTTTGATCCTGCCTATCCCTTTCATCCTTCACACGTAGCAAGCTGGGTTTTTCCGCGTATGAAAAAAAAATCAAATATCATCTATACAAGTCGAAAAGAAGAGAGTTCGCCATGTACCAGATACCATCTGCAAGTCGCAGATCACCCGCCTCCAATGACGCACCTTGTCTCGCCCCCCATGTAATCACATGTACATTCATCTCCAACAACCCAAGACATCACACACTTATTTCGTTCTGCCATTGTCTAAAAGTATATTTGATATACGGAAAATGGTAAAAGCCCCTTTCATCCAAAGACAAAAAAAAAAAAAAGAAGTACAAAATCATGGCTCGTCTCTTTGTCAAGTCCTCAACGTCACTACATGTCCCCTTTTTTCCTGTCATTACTTCTATCCTCTTCTGTTCAAGTTGGTATGATTCCACGTCCCTGGAAACTGCAATCCCTAGTTCGCTTCTCCCTCTCGGACTTCAAGAATGTCTGGTTCTAGAGCTCTGTCTTCTTCCTCATCGTAATAGCCACCCTGTCCCTCCTCGCCTGCCTCGTCAATTGTAGCTTCCATCAGCAGGCCTTGCTCTGCCTGCAACTGGTTGATTTTGGTTTGCGTCATTTCAAATACGTACTGCCCTATGTGCTCTACGCCCTCCATAGCGACTTCACCGTCCACTGGCCCGTCTTCTTCTGTGTTTTGACGTTCAGCTCCGTATAGCTCGCCTGTTACTAGCATTAGTTTATCTGGGCGTTGTAAAAGCACATCAAAAGCCGGTCGGAGCTCAGGGCAGGCTTCAAACACCTCTCGGCGTCCAAGAATGTAGAGTCCAAGTCTGGCGCGAGAAAAGGCTACAGTCATACGACGGACGTCGCGGAGATAGCCCACTCGCGATGTACGCGTCAAAGAAAGAATGATGTCTAGAAACTCTATTAGCTTTATTTCCCCCAAAGCTGTGATGCTAGAAAAAAAAAAACTCACAGTCGTTTTGTTCTCCTTGATATTTGTCGACTGTAGCAACAGCCTTGGGCAGACCGAAAATGGGGCTCGAAGCACATCGGTGGGAGAGCACGTCTCTCACCAGAGCCTTTTGACCAGCATACGTTGTGAGTATGCTAATCTTTTCAGCTGGGTATCCTAGGAGCCGCATGTATTGGTAAATAGCCACCGCGTATTCAGCCTCACCAAGATTCTGAATAAAGTGTGGCGTCGGTTCCGCTTCACCTCGGCCCTTGTAGTCAGGAACATTGATAAACTGGAAGTCGTATTTGAAGCCAGCATTGGCCCGCAAGAACTCTGGATTGGTCTGTACGTCGGGAAGGCTGTCGAGCTTGGGGTACCGCCACTCGTACAGCTTGGCAATGGATGGCCGAGCGCGACCTTGTTGATCCAAGGTCACCGTAGGCACACCTAGCCGGACCAGTCGTGAGAATAGCGACTGTTCCAGGTTGGCATAGTGTCGGAACGCCAAGCTCTGGATGACGGGCGAGTTTTGGAAGTGATCTCCGCAAAGTACGACTCGTTGCAGTGGCAGCTGCCCGTCGACAGGTTTTTGCATTGCAAGGGGAATAAATGTTTCAATCTCGGTGATTTGTGCCGCTTCCTCCATGATGACATTGTCATAGTGAAAGCCGAGTGCCGCAATCTCACCTCTCCTAATGGCCGCGTGGGTGGTCGTCATTGCAACAATGCGAGCCTCATTAGTGAGGAGATAGTTGGCCTTGTCCTTCTCACGTCGTAGGATCTCAAAGGGCCGGATGTCTGCCAGCTCAGAAAAGATCTTGGAAATGTGGCGGTAACATCCCTGAGCAATGTCCAGGACTTGTGCTCGGTCTGCTTCCTCGGGAAATAGGGGCTGAGGAGCATCCGCAAAGTAAGAGTGAAAGGGGAAATGCTGCACAATGTCAGCCGCACTAGAGGCGTCGGACTCTGCTACCACAAGAAACTTGGCCCAGGCCGGCTCTACATAGGCAACGTTGAAATACCCTGCAGTTTCAGCCGAGTTCTCGTGTGCTCCTGGAGCCCCCAAGCTTTCTGCCAGCTTCTTCACCTCAAATAGAAACCTGTCCCGGTTATCCAAAAAGGACTCGACGCGGCCATACTTGCTGAAGCTGCCTTCAGTGTCCAAATCTTCCTCGCCATGGCCGAGACGTAAAAGATGTCTTTCGTCAATGTCCAGTGCAATGATTTTAGAAAAGAGTTGGTTGAGAGCCTGGTTGCTGTGGGCGATGAGTAATGTCTTTTGGTTCGGAAAGTTGTGGTAGATGTTGTTTATGATTTGCGTAGCGACATCGGTCTTGCCTGTACCTGGGGGTCCGACAACGACGGTCAATCCAGGTTGAGATCCAGACATGATGGCCTCGATCTGAGCCGGAGTAAACCTCACAGCGTTTTGCTTTGGCGCATCAAAGGGATAAGGGCCATTGTTGGGAGGCTTGTAGGTGGAAACCTTGAGAGTTTCTACCTCTGACAGCAGTGCTGGTTCCAGATCGCGCCGTCGCTTCTTGGATGGCTTGCCACCCTGAGGTTCTTCCGGTTTGTCGACTGCCTCAAGGACATATGGCGGTCCAAAACTGCCAGTCACATCATCACCCGGCTCAACCGTCTTTCCAGGCAAGCTTTCAACCAGATGCTGCCAGCCCAAAAATGTGTCTCTGTAGTCGATTGTCTTGAGCCTATTGGACAGGTTCTTGTAGTGGGCGCCAGCCGGGTCGCCATAACCCAAAAAGACTTCGTGAAGCCATGAAGGCAGTGGCATTTCGGATAAGACGAGGGTGCGGATAGCCTCCAACACAGGCCTGAAATTGTTCTCCCTCTTGTTCCGCCTGAGCAGCAAGTTGACGCCTGCATAGACATCGGGCTTACCCGCCGCGGCTTGCTCAGCATCATGCGCGTAAGTTGCCGAATCAAGCTTGAGCTGGATGCGCCGTTTCGGATCCAGGCGCTCCCCCTTTTCTCTGGTGTGACGGCCTCTGTCGTCCGTAATCTGAACGACTTCAGCAGTTCGCACCGCCAGGACGCCGGCCTTGTTAGCTTCTGACTGGGTTGAACTGCCATTGGTTACTCCTTGGGTGGATGTAGGGGGCTGGACTGCTAGCAAAAAGACAATGTCGCCTGGACGAAGTGTGTCCCACTCTCTGCGCACACCATCCCCTAAGCGTTTCACATCAAAGGATACTTCAGCCCGAACTATAGACGGTTTGTCGTCTCCGACAAGAGCAGGGACGACTTCCAGAATTGTCGGTTTAGCAATTGGCATCGCCATTTTTGAGAAACCCGCAAAGTGTGTTTCGCCAGGCCGTCTACTTTCCGGTCGAAGACGGCGCAGCGCGGCCTCAATATCCTTGCGGATCCCATAGAAGGACTCGCAGCGGTAGAGCACTAGTGCCCTCCAAAGAAAATCACCAACCGAAAGATACTGCAGATTCAGCTTTGGGAGGGCTAGAGGATGTGAGCCGTCGTAGGAATCTGCCCGTTGAAAGCCCTCATCAAACAGGGTGTCTTCGCTCGGAACCAAGCTTATTCTCTGAGCAACTTCCTGAAAGGTCTTCTTTCGCTCAAAGGTAGTCAAGAGAAACTCGATGAGAAATTTGCGATCAATGGCCACATTGAAACTATCAGGATATGTGGACCTGAGATCCAAAAGATTCACCAGGTCCAGCAACTCGTCATCGGAAAGAGGCTCAAGATGTGACACCAACTCTTCTCGCTTATCAACTGCGCCGTAATTTGATAAGGCCAGGATGGTGAGTTTATCTTTGAAGTGTTTCAACGCAATCCGCTGAAGCTTGCCCAGCAAGGTACAATGCCTGTCAAAGGCCTCTGATCGGTTCAACTGAATGCCAGTCTGGTCATCAATGGCAAAGTATGTGTAATGAGAGAGAAGAGCGTGAAGATCACGCAGCAGAGCGCTGGGCCCGTCGTTATAAAGCGGAGACAATCTCATCAAGGGAATGAGATGCAAGTCTTGGACCAGGGAGTTGACATATCGCCGAGTAGGCAACTGGCTCTGCAGATCAGAGACAAACTCGGTAAATCGTTCACAGTAAAGAAGCGTCTGGTCTGACTGGCCACTCTTGTCGTACAGTTGGTTGGTAAAATCAAGAATGAGCGTGTACAACCACGAGCGCTCGAACCGCAGCCGCGCCTTGGTGGCCTCATCTGCCGCATCATATCGCTTTTGGGCAGCTCTCCAAGCTTTTCTAAGATGCGGGGAGGAGTCGAGATGGGCCTCTTGGCGCTTCTCCGTGGATAGGTTATGCCAGATGCCAATTGATACCAAAGGAGCACATTCCTTTCTCACAATGGTGCAATCGAGGCTCTGGAAGGCATAGATGAGGAAGCAGAGGAGGTGCGTTCGCAAGGTCGTGGACAATGTGCGGTCGAGGGTCATGGATAGAATACGGCGGAACAGGGACGAAAAGTCGTCGGGTCTCTCCTCGAAGATTTCTGTTATTTGGCTCTCACGTTAGACATAGCTTCAACTTGGCTGACCAGTCAGACTCACTCCATGTTTCGAGGTGCTCACGCCTCTTGACGTTGCAGATCAAAGCTAATATGAGGACATGATGGTTGGACGACTCGTCGGAATATCCAGGCCATAGGTAGCTATTTCAACGCGTTAGAACAGCTCTAAAACAGCTCAACATGACCTGAATTCAAAGGGGGCCGTACTTCTCCAACGTCTGCAAGCTCTCCAGCAGCAGCAGCAGCTTATACGAGAAGCCGTCCTGCTCCAAAACATCCCAGATGCCCTGTTTGATCACGTCATTCTTGACCTTGACCTTGGCAGTCTTCTTGCCAGGCTTCAGCCAGTGCTTCCGCGCAATCTGCACAAACTGGTGCTCCTGCTCCTCCACCTCTGCTGGCGTTGGACGGCCATCTGCGGTATCCTTTGGCGGCGGACGTGTCGCTGCTGCTCTGCCGGCGCCGGTGCCTCTGGATCGCTTCGCGTTAGGCATTGTGAGGCTGTAGTCGCGTCATGGGCTGCTCGGAAGATCCTGCCTGGCGTCCAAAGGCTGATGGACTGATTGTAGGTTGCAGGAGAAGCTCTTTTGCAGGCCAAGGTGGGCATACATGCGCAGCCGAAGTTGCGTCCACGCCTGGCAACGTTCCCTGTGCACAAAATTTCAGCCTTGCGCGTTGGAGACCCACTGCGCGGCAGTGGCAGGCGAGCTACGTCTTACCAGGTATCTTTTGGCAGCTAGTACCGCCTTGACCATGCAACGCTTGCGGCTGACTCGTGTACCTGCAGCAGCATGGAACCATGCGGGCATCTCTCTCTAGTCTCAGCCTTCTCGCCTCACCATCGAATAATTCGCGACTCAACTCAAACTTTCTTTTACAGACGACGAACCGCTGGCAACGTGGCTCTCGCAACACCGCCTCTGCCAAATCTATCCACACCCAAATTCACGACCCTTAACCTCGACTAATCCCGGCTTCGCTTCCTTTCTACGATCGCGCTCGCACCGTGGCGATCCAGCATCCGTGTCGGCGATTCGACACGGGTTGACTTGGGCCTCGCTTTAGTGTTTGAAACTCGATTTTTTTTCACCATGCCGGCCCTCGATCTCGAGAACCCAGGCGTCTCTGCTGTGAGCGCGTTCGGGGAGCTTTTGAACGAGCTGCTCGACGAAGCCTCTGCGGCGAAGGAGACGACAACCATCGAGCCTGCTCTCTCGAAATCCGACTTTGCCAACATCTATGATCGAGTCTCCTCCTCGCTTGCCCGCTCCAGCACTACGGGCACTGAAAGCAATGCGCCCCAAGACTCGCTCCGATCTCGACAGTTCGCCGTCGTCGAAACAGCGGCTCGCGATTCCTTCAGCAAGCTAATCGTAAGCCGACAAACAACCTCTATTCGAGCCCTTCCAGACACTAATCCATGAAGGCGACAACGTCAATTGATAGCCCCAAGTTTGTGCGGATGTGGAATTTGCTGGACATTCTCTCGATACTCTCCGACGATGGCCAATGCGATCCAGCTCTCCTCTTCTGGCTCGTGGAGGAGCTTCTCGACAGCCAGACGATTGCGGGATGCCGCATAATATTCGACTTTCTTGAATCAAGGCGAGAGCGCATCACGGCCAAGCACTTTAAACAGAAGAACCTTGTTATTCTTCGAAGTTGCAACGAGCTGTTGCGAAGGCTCTCTCGTGCTGAGGACACAGCTTTCTGCGGACGAGTCTTCATCTTCATGTTTCAGAGCTTCCCGCTAGGAGACAGGAGTTCCGTCAATCTACGAGGAGAGTACCATGTCGAGAATGTGACCTCTTTCGAAACCCCGGAAGACGATGACGGCAAAATGGAAGTTGATGCCCAGGCAGAAACGCCAAAGGAGTCGGGCGCTCCTAAAGCGGGTGCAAAGACCGGAGCTCATGATTCAAACAAAGCGCAAGCGCCAGATTCTGACACACTCTATCCTCTATTTTGGTCCTTGCAAGAAAGCTTCAGCCAACCCTTGAAGCTGTTCGACGTGGCCAATTTTACAAAGTTTAAGAGCAGCCTAGAATTGACCATCAAGGCTTTCCAGGCGATCCACGACGACAGCTTGTATACATCAAAGTCCATGGAGAACCTCAAGCGAACTCTCAAGAGAAAGAGGGATGACGATGGAACCGAGACGCTTCCAGAGGCGTTTAATCCCAAATACCTCACAAGTAAGGACTTGTTCCAGCTTGAGGCAAGTATCGCCATAGCCACCCTGCGTCCCTGTACCCACATTGGCAAGCCTCTAACAGTAAAATCTACTACAGATTAGCGATCTCTCTTTCCGGCGACATGTGCTTGTTCAGGCCCTCATCATCACAGACTTTCTCCTATCCCTATCAAAGGAAGAGAGGGAGAAGCGAACAAATATCAACATTTCCAACAAGTCAGTCATTTATCATGGCCAGCTAAATGAAGAAAATGTAAGAGAATTCCATCTTGACACTCACTATTCACATACTTACTGCTTCCCCTCTCTAGACCAAGTGGGCTGCGGATATAAAAAAGGTGATTTCAGACTATCTCAAGCAGGGCGCTGATGGGCCATACTTTTTTCGCATGGTAGAAACAGTGCTCGCTAGGGACAAGAACTGGGTCTTTTGGAAGATGGCCAGTTGCCCGCCCATCCAACGCGACCCAGTATCGGCCCAGGGCTTCGTCGAGGCAAAGGAAGCCGCCCAGCGCATGGCAACTAGCAAGCGGCTGCGGCCAAATCCTCTCAACGCTGTGCCTCTCGACTTTCTTGCAAACGAGGACGAAACCTCGGCGTTGGATAAGCTGAAGGATTCGGAGCGGTGCCAGCTGCCCGAGCTGGATGCGTTCAAGAGCAAAATCGCAGACGACGACTTTGAGATTGAGATGCCGACCAATAGCGAGACAAAGGCTGCGGCCGTTGCGGGCAAAGCGAGCAAGAGCTGGAGAGCGCTGCGAATAGCATCGAGATTCAAGCTGGCGGCCTTTGATAAGCTCGATGACCCGAAGAAGATTAATCTCATTTTCGAGGACGATGTCGAAGGGGCTGAAGACGAAGAGGACGCCGAGCCAACCGCGAATGAGGACGACATGCCCAAGAATCGTGACCCCATCATCTTGTCTGCGTCATCCGGCATCGACATCTCATCGTTGAAGGCGAAACTCATGGATCTGCACAAGGGGGTATTCGCCCCTGTGGTGCGCCATGCCGTGCGCGAACCCGAGGACGGAGAGGTCAATGGCAAAACCTTTTATTTTGTCAAGGCCCATGAGTTTAATCAGCTGCGAGATGGCGACCGGTTGGTCGAGTATACCACTCGTGACGGAGTGGACTATGGCACAAGCAGCAAGGCCGTCGAAGCCATTGTTGAAGTGGGCAAAGTGCCCATCATTGAGCTTGATGCCGAGGTAAGTAAAATCAATGAAAAGAGAGAAATATACTTGCTTTTCTTTACCACGCTATTTCTATCAGTCCAGTCACTTACACACATGTTTTTACTACCAGGCCGCCCAATTCGCCAAGGACATGGACTTCTCAGCCCGCTACATCTTCATCAAATCCTCCACAGACGAAACCTTTGACGAGTCCAAGACGAATGAGCTATTCGACACTGTGATTGTGGACAATGACAACATTGAAGAAACGGCTACCAACGTTGGGCAATTCATCTACGCGGACAAGGCAGCGGAAAAGGCCGAAGAAGGAGAAGAGACTCCAGCGAATGCCGATGCGAACATGGAGGATGCACCACCGGCTGCTGACGGCGACGTGCAGTAGTAAAGCGTAAAACCGACGGCCGGGTTTGCATACAGACATTTTAGCTTTTCTTGTGATTTATAATGACGGCATGGGCTTCAGATGGGATATAATCTTTTTTGTTTTCAATGAGTATTTTTTCAAGTAGTGCTGGCAAATCGGGTTCGAAGAGATACCCTAGGGAATCAGAAGCAGGATACCAAATACATTGGTCATATAGCGTGTGTGGCACATGTACACATCACACATATCTTTGCGTAAGAGAGTAAAAAGTGAGTGGACAGTATGATTTCATAAAAGCAATCTACCTGGTGATACTACCTACAAAGATCCGTTTTCTGTCCTACAAGTTCAATACATGTAAAAATGTATACCTATATCAAACAAAAGGAGCCAATTTCATTGTCAACTCCCCTCGACAGTTACCCAGCTATTGTTCACTTCCCATATCATCCAAATTCCAATCTAGCAAATGACAGGAGAAAAATAGCACGCTAAAAAGCAACGGGCATGTCAAAAAGGGGGGGAGTAAGAGGCGATTTTACTCGTCCTCTTCCTCGGATTCCTCCGATTCGGCCTCCTTGAGCCAGTTGATAAAGGGCTCAGCAGCCTTGCGGACCTTGCGAGAAGTAGCAACGTCAATGTACTTCTTGCTAGCCTTGGAGCCCCAGGGAATGAGGACCTCCTCAGTGGCAAGGTCATGTTCGTAGTACAGTTGCAGGATCTTGGCGACTTGCTGCAGCATTTCGGGGTGCTCCTTGCTGAGGGTGCCGACGAGGCGCTCAGTGCCACCAAGCAGGGCCTTTTCATGCTTCTCAGACGTGACAAACTGTGAAGAATGGCGAGTTAGTAAAGAGAAGGAAATATTTGGACGGGGAGTAAATGGGGGACGGGAAAGCTTACCTGTTTAAGCATGCTTGCGCGCTTGGGAATCTGGGCAAGAATGTTCTTGTCAAAGACGGTCTGCACCAGAACGAGAACAGATCGGTGCTTGTTCTCAATGCCAAGCTCCTTGGCCTTGAGATAAATGTTGATGGAGTCGACCTTGTCAACGCCGCCCTTCTCTTCAGCCTCCTGGACAATCCAGTTGCCAAGGTCGTCGTAGACGGTGTTGCCACCACCCTCGCCGTCCTCGTCTTCGTCGTCGCCGCCAATGTTGAGCTTCTGCTTGAGCTCGCCGGGCAGCTGTGCTTGGCGGGCCTTGACGGCTTCCGCGCTCATGTCGACAGCCCACTCATCATCCTTGATCTCGTGTTCAGCGCTGGCAGCAGTAATTGCCTCGGCCTGGACCTTTTGGAACTCGTCATCGCTACCGACATCGGCCTCGTTGTCGCCAGTCTCGTTGGATCCGTGCTCAGAGCCATCTTCGCCGCTGCCGTTGCCATTCTCCTTGGCATGGCCATTCTGCTTGGCCTTTTTGGCAGCTCGGCGCTCGGCCTTGTCTTTCTTGCCCTTCTTGGGCTGGTTCTTGAGGATGAATCCACTAAGCTTCAAGCGCAGGTCAACGTCGGTGCGCTGACCGCAAGCCTTGCAATCGAGAATGATGTGATCATCTTTGATGGTGACATCGGTCTCAGGGTTCTTGCATTTCTTGCAGAGGACAAATTTGTTGATGAAGCCATCAAGATGGTCCTGCAGCTTGGCAGCATCGTGGGCGCCGTTGATGATCCAACGGTCGTCCTTGGGGTCAATGTTGGTCTGAGCACCAAGCTCGAAACCAAAGTACTTGATGACATAGGAACCAGGGCGAGCAAGAGACTGGGCGACGCTGGACAAGTTGACGACAACGGTCTTGATACCGTTACCCTTGCCTTCAATCTTGGTCTGGATGCGCTCCATCTTGTAGCGGTAGAAGGCATCGCTGACATCGCGACGAACGTTGACGAGAGACATGATGACGGTTGTAAAAGGTTTTTATTTCTGAAGACTTGGATTTTGTGTTTTGAAGTGGCGAGACGAGGTCTTGAGGGCTTGTGGGCTAAATGATTACGTCTGTGACGAAGATGTCGGCATGAAGCGACTCGAAGCGTAGTTTTTGGTTCTTGACGCTGGATATAGCGGGCGAGTCGAGGACGAAGGGCACTGAAAAAGCTCAACAGTTATGCGTACTGAACATAGGGAGGACCGGACAGATTCTGGACTGCAGTGGGACAGGCATGAACTCTGAAATGGAGGCGAATATCAACCGTCGGATCTGATATCGGGACTGCTAGGTTTCCGCGGTATGCGAAATAACTGCAGCGTGAAGAAACGTCTGGATACGGTGGCGGAATCGTGCTGATACATAAACAGCTAGGGACCGGCAATGGACTGCTAAGTGGGCAGAATGCTGGTGAGAAGCAGACAATCTAGAGGAGACTGATGCAGAAAAGATGACAGATGGGCTGTGCGGATAAGTGCGGCTGATTGAGTGTTCACGTTGGAGGCGAAAGATTCGCTGTAGAGGTTGAAAAAAAAAAAAAAAAAAAAGTGCGCTGCGACCGACGAGACAGTCAGCAGGCCTGGCAGATGGCGGTGATCGAGAAGCTCGGAGATTCTGGCAGATGCAGTATCTGACGGAGTCGATACGGAGTCGTCGAGTTGGATGAGGGGAAAAGGAAGAAGAGAAGGAGGGAAGAAGGTGAAAGAATATAAAGAGGCTACCAGGATTTTGAATCAGGCCGAGATGCAGGTGGGGGCAACAGTTGTCAGCAAGCGCGGAATTTGCAAAAAAAAATTCTGTGCTCAGCTGTTTTTCTTTACAGCCCAGCGCTACAGAAGGGTTCACATGGTTCACATGGTTCATTTCCACTAACGCGGCAGCTGGGACAGGCACACTCGCGGCGTCTTCAGCGCCCTCGGCTTCTCTAGCGCCGAGTTACAGAACCTTGGGAGCCTTGGACAGGCAACAGTGCATCTGCAGTAAGCTGCCGACACGGGCCCGGCACATCTCCGGATACACCGAGACAATGCAGCGCAAAAAGTGTGCTCGAATGCGCTGCTGGGACTGGCCATTGATGGCCTCTGCAGAACGGATTGCGTGTCGCATTGGCAGCGCGTTCTAGGCTGCATTGAGCCATTTGCTACAAGGTGCTTGGCACGGAATCGGCGGCTCTTTGTATGCCCTAGGCCCTGGTGCGGAGAGCCGGGACTCGAAGCAAACGCACATGGAAAATAGTCCATAATCCCCATGGCATACATAGTAAACATCACGCCACCGTATTTGCCCATTTCTAGCAGGATAGTCGATTTGTATTAGTCAGAAGATCAAGGAGGAGAGGGACCGACGATACTGCTCTCTCGGTGTTTGTCGAAACTGCAAAGGAATCGAAATATCCATATTGCCGGACTTCGGGCTTAAGGGCTTTTGGAGATCTGTGATGCGTCCAACTGCTGCAGCCTTGCACGAAAATCTTGTTTTTGAGTTTGACTGTGCATGTGCATGATTTTTCCAGCCAATTGGTGCCTGGGACTGCTCGTGATATGTCTTGGTGGTTGCCGTTGGGCACAACCCTGGCATTGAACCTTGCTGCCATGCATGTACACATATAGGCACACTTGCATGTACATGTAGTCAATCACAACTGCAGCTATATGTATTCATTGGTTCAATGCTCAATTATGCTTTTTCCGCAGAGGCATTTAACAAATCCAATAGTTCAAAAAAACTAATGCCATATATATATATATATATATATAGCTGTAGGGTAGCTCGAACCAGTAGATACATGTGGTATAATGTACACATAGATTTTTCGTACTTTACACGTTAAACACCTGCCTGATGGCTATGCACGTCGAGCGGGTGAAAATGAACAAGACATCTCTGGGCCTGGGGCCTCGATGAGATGAGCTGATCCGACATGGCCATGTCTTCCACCTTCATCGACTTGTGCGGCGTCGTGCTGTAGCCGGAATAAATATCTCGCAGCAATGTCTTCATTTCAAGAATGGCGAGACTAAATGTCATTAAACTTTGGTCAGCCCTGTCAAAGTCGCCAATGCCAAAACAGAGGATCAAAAAGCCGAATAACTTACTGCTTTCCAACACAGCCTCGGCCTCCGTTGGAAAAGGCAAATTGCATCCTCCTGCGGTCTGCATCGCCCTCTTGCTCCAGCCAGCGATCAGGATTGAACCGATCTCCATCCGGAAACACGTCGCTGTTGATGCGATGGACCGAATACGCCTGGCAGCTCACAATCGTCTGCTCGGGCAGCCAAAAGTTGTCTATCGAGCGGCCCCCCGGCGGAACGTACCGCGGCAGGGACATTGGGATCGGCGGAAAGCACCGCAGGCCCTCGTTGATCACGGCATCGAGATATGGGAGGCGATCAAGAGGAGCTCCTGGATTTCTGTGCAGCTCGTCTGCGAGCTTGCGCTGGAAGCCGAGGGATCGTGGCTGGGAGAGCTCCCAGAGGAGGAAGCAGAGCCCGTCGCCGGTGGTGTCGATGCCGGCGGCCATGTGGTCGAGGCACTCTGCCGCCTTGTCGATGTAGTCGAGGTCACTGGACTTTTCTTCAAAGCGACTCATGAGAGTGAAGGATGCCGGGCCGCTGATCTGGCTGGTTTCCAGCACGTAGTCGTCTGCCAGGGGGGTTTCTCGGGGCTTTACAAAGACGTAGAGGAGTTTTGAGAATAGACGGTACAACGTAGGGACGTAGTGCGAGATGAGACGGTCTGTAGAACTGAGTCAATACAAGTTCTGCTTCTTAAAAGTGTGAGGTGTTGGCTTGCTCTGCAGGCTGTCGTCTGCTGCTACCTGATGCATCATCTCCTCGTCTTGTTTGTTTGTAATGCAGTCTGTGCCATGAGGATGAAATAGGTGGTGAGTGATGCAGTCACAGGCGTATGCATGCAGGGCTATATACATGTATGCCAACTGATTAGCAAATTTTATTTTGGTACTTTACTCATGATGGTTTTGGAAAAGACAAACGCATCTATAGATGTTAATTAGCTTGTGAGGTTTTGTGATGGCTTTACAATCTATTTTATCCGACGACTTACAAAGATGTCTGCCACGCCACCCGGTGACGAAACACAGCGTTGCAGAAACTTGGACGAGCGCTCTTGGACTCCGGCGACGGATGCACTTTTCACGACGTTGCTGTTTGCATAGCGGTCGGCAAGGATTCTTTTCCGCTTGGCGTGCTATTCAACATCATGTCAGTTGAACATGTATGTATACGATCCGGGCAATTTCAATGCCCAAGTGGAACATACACCTGCTTTATCCAGTGTGGTAAACATGGTTCTATAGCTCAACACCCATTAGAAAGCTACTCCACGGACGGAACTAAACCACGGGTTCTCACCTTCTCCCGTAAATCTTGAAAAGGTCGTAAAATTCAGTCTTGTCATATCCGCTACCTCCAGAGCAGTAAATCTCCTTGAGCGCCTCCCAGGACGTGAAAGAGACCTCGTTGGGGGCAATGCGGACAACAGGGCCATACCGCAGGTGAAGCTGGTGGACATAGGCAGTTCTTTGGGCATGAATCTCTTTCCACTTGAGCAACAGAGTCGTGAATTTGGAGATTGCCGGGCCTGGGATTTTGCTGAGAGGCGATCTGAGGCATCGGACGAGCTGGATGGCGGCGAGAAGAGCTGCCGCCGCTAATAAGACGATGGGGGAGAGAAGCAGCATGATGGAGGCGGTTGCTGTTTTCCGTCTCAGTTATCGCAAACACATGTACCAAAGCATTACAGAAGCACGAGGAAAGATGCTGCTCCTAATGCATGAGTGATTGAGAAATCAAAGCATCAGATGTTACTAAATACAGCATCGTTTGTTATCAGCGAGCGTCTGATAGCGGTACTGGCCAGCCTCCGTAAACGGCTCCGGCTATCAAACGACCCCGCCAGAGCACCGATTCCCCACGAAACCCCGCAAACCCGAGCCAGCGCCTTGGTTGATGGATCTTTGCCGTTAATGGACAATATCATGAGAGCCGTGCCTGTGCAGTAAACCATGTCTTGGGTCAGTCAAAGGAAATGACCAAGCATGTCATGTTCCCTTTTCTTTTTCTTTTTTTCTTTTCTTTTTCTTTGGCTGCAGTGCAAGTCAATTATGTGGTAGCTGAGGTGCTTGAGTTGGGGTTGAGGAACTTGGCATTTCCTATCTCGGATCTAGTAGATTTGGTAGGTATAAACATGAAACTTCAATCCAGATATAAATGATGCACACGTAGCCATTGTGAAATAAAAAACAAGCAAGTATTTGGATAACAATTTTTTCTTCGACGTGGCAATTGTCTGTGGTTGAATTTAGAGAAGAAAGGGAATTGCTAGAATGACAAGGAAACAAGGAGCCAGGATCAGCCAAGAGAAAGAGGCAGAGAATCTGGGAAACAGCCGAGACGGGTTGAAGCACTATTAGCAATAGCCGTACAAACGTCATTCCCCCCTCCTTTCTTCATCTCTTCATCTCCCATCGCCCAATTGTCCTGTCTGACAGACACCGCGCCACGTCACAAGTCATGCGCAAAGGCTTCATGCCGGAGAAGCGAAGCAAGTTGAATTGAAAAGAGTCAATTTTTAGAAACCAAAGTCTGGTGAGCTCAATTGATGGCAATGGAGAAGGAAAGAAGCAAGGAAATGACATCATTGCCTCCATTGTTTCGTCTGTTCTTCTGCAGGTCCCCCCCTTTTTTTAATTGCTAGGTAGGCAAAAAGATGGATGGATGGATGGATGCTTCATGTGAGCTGCAGCACAGCCAGCCGGGTGATGGACATGTATGCGCTACTACCCAATCGCCCAATGGCGGTAAGCAGACAATCAATCTAGATAAGACGGTGGTTATCTCGCGTATCATGCAAGGCCACGGGTGATTTCTTGGATATCAGGCCAAGGTGCATACATCGCAAGTAATGGCTTTGTCTGATTGCCGTATTGCTGTTGCTATTTACAGCATACATGCACTGGCGTGCAGGGTGCAGCAAGCCCAAGTGATGGATGATACGAACCAGACCTTTTCATCTTGGACCATGTTTGTACCTTGGCTTCCGTTTTACATGTGCTAGTCCTTGTCTTTCTGTGTCGTAAACAGCCTGAAAAGTCGGCATTGCGGAGAAAAGAGACACGGAAGATCGGCCTTTGAGAGAACGAAATCGTAGCCCTAATGGGCGCGTGTACCTAGATGGAAAGTGCCAGGCTTGGCTGGGATGTGGATTACTTCAAGGTTGTCAATCGGGCCGTATGGCTTGATCCGGTCCCTGCATAGGTACTCCTAGGCGAGTCGATGACAAGCTGTCTGGTAGCAGTAGTGTTTATTGATTACTACTGCTGGTAGGCAATACGTGGAGGCCAGCATTGTAGGCACTTGGATGTACTGTATGGGTGCAAGTAAGCGGAGATTAACATCAGACAAGACAAGCTGAGCAACTGCTAGTTGACAATTTGGTCCATACCCGCGTGCATGTGCAGCTGAAAGAAGGGGAAGAAACACAATAAAAAACAGGATATCGTGTACATCTACAGCAGCAGGACGTGTCCAATCACCAGAACCACAAGGCATGCCGCATTCTAATAATAACTCGCAGATCCACCGCAGAGGCCCTTGGCGCATCCATCTCAATCCCAACAGTCGAGCTTGTCCCGCTCGGGCAAGCCTCGCCCGAAGCCCAGGTGCTTGCGGCTCTCGTGTGGATTCGCAGCAGCTCGTTCTCTGGCAACTTCGGATGCCTGGCTGGGGGGGCGTTACGTTGACAGCGCTGTACAGTACGAGGGCTTTTCTGGGCTTTTTTGCCATTGGACGGCCGGTAGAAAGTTATGGACAAGACCAGCCTAGACACGCCGCTTTCAGCCCTGTGAAGAGCCTCTTGGCCACGGGTTTCTGGATAACAGCGAGGATTACAGCCGGTTAAAGCTCTTCAAGACAAGAGACGGGCTTTTGCTCTCTCTCGCGTTTCTCTCCTCTCTTCCCTCTCTACAGCACTAATCGCTTTCTGGTTACTCGATTGTCCAGCTCTTTTCCCAGCGTCCAATCACGCAGCGCACGCCGTGCAGAATCCCGCGGGGAGGGCTGCATATCTGGCGTCTCGTCTCGCTGCAACTCGCCGGACATTGGCCACGAGAAAAACAAGAGAAACCAAAAAAGACGTCGTATTGTCAACGTTGATCAGCAGGAAAAGGAGGAGAAGCCACGGTTTCTCGTGTGGACTTTGCTGTTTTGGTCGTCTCACCGTTTTCTGCTCAACACAGCCTTGCGCTTCCCGAGACGCACCGCAACACTACTGCATTGCATCTACCCGTGGACTTGTCCATTTTTTTTTTCCCAACACAGCCTCACTCCCCGCAGCGGCTCGCACTGCGTTTGTCTAAGCCTCGGGGATTCAGACCCGCGGGAAAGGCACTGATAGCAGCAGCGCAAAGTAAGTGGAAAAAAACCGGGAAACTAGGTGCATCCATCAGCGGGAAAAAGAAAAAAAAAAGGACTCAGTTCATACCAGAGCCTTGTTTAGCTTGCCGGGTGCTAGCAGGTACATTGAGTTCCCATTGCTACTGGTCCTGATAGCGGGAGTTGGAGTTGTTGGAGTTGAGAGCGCCAGTCCCCAGCCCACACCACCCCTTTCAAACTACCAGGTAGGTCGACGTGCCGGGCCAGCTCATCGCCAAAAATAAACCTCCCCCAGCCAAAACCTTCTCGTGGTTCGAGGATGCCCAGCTTCGGTCGCCTGGGCAAGCACAGCAACCGGTCGCAGCACGCGATTGCGGCCGAGGCGCCACAGCAGGTCGGCGCCGGGTCGGGCCTCAGCAGCACGGCGAGTACAAGAGCAGCGCCTGGCCCAGCGGCGGTTGGTGCAAGTCCAAGTCCAGCTGGCAGCGGCCCGGGCCCAGGTGCGACAGCGACGACGACGGACGCTGAGGCAGATTTGCGCGCGCAGTCACAGGCACAGTCAGCCTTGCCCACGGGCTCTTCCTCGGCGCTGAGCTCCAGCGAGTCGTTTGTCCCTCAGCAGCACAATCAACAGCAGCAGCAGCAGCTTCAATTCCAACAGCAGCAGCAGCAGCAGCAGCAGCAGCAGCCCAGGCTTTCGTCTGGAGGACCGCCGCCGTCTCACGCCCAGCTGTTTCAGAGCCAGAACCCCGCCGTGGCAGTGCCCGCTTATGACGAGCGCCAGCTCCAGCAGCTCCAGCAGCACCAGTTACAGCACCAGCAGCAGCACTTCCAGCTCCAGCAGGGGGGTCCCCTACCACCGCAGCAGCAACAGCTACAACAACAGCTACAACAACAGCCACAACAGTCGCTGCCACCACCGCCGCCTCAACAAAACAAGCTGCAGAAGCTGCCTCCTCAACAGCCGCAGCAGTTATTGCAACAACAACAGCAACAACCGCAGGGTCATCAACCTCCGCAGCAGTTCCAGCAGCCCGGCGACTTTGACTCCGCTTCGTCCTCCACCTCGACCGCCGGGGCCCGTCAGAGCCAGCGCTACAGCCTCCACAACCTGCTAAACATCTCGCAGACGTCGCTGCACGACCAGCCCGGCCATCACCAGAACCAGCCTCAGCAGCAGCAGCAACCTCCGGCTGCCGGCCAGTCCGCTGCCACGTCCAAGAAGCGCTCGGCCCAAAAGATCATCAAGGGCCTCTTCTCCGGCCGCGGCCACGACAGCCACCGCGATCAGCAGAACCCCTCATCGTCAGCGTCTTACGATAACACCGTGGGACTCGCCCGCAGGCCGTCCAAGAGGGTCAGCACGCTTGGCCAGCAGCATCAGCCGCCGCCAAACCTCAAGACCGGCCTCTCCGCCGTGTCAGACCGCGATTGGCACTCGCACACGCACACGCCTAGCTCGTCCGTGCACCAGACGTCGCCGCTGCAAGGAGTGGGCGAGGCTGAAGAGTACTACGCTGCCGACCACCAGTATCACGACCTGCAGCATCAGCAACAGCAACAACCGGATCTGCGAGTCGACCCGCGACACTCGGTGCCCCCCATCAACACCGCGCGCGGCATTGGCGCCCTAGACGACATCTCATCGCCCTACGACGACGCCGTCTACCACGCGCCCCCTCCTTCTGCGCTTCACCACCCCTCACCAAGCCTTTCCCAGCATCAGAACTCGCCATCTCAGCTGCAGCCTCAGCCTCAGCCTCACGTGCTCGCATCACAGGAATCCCTGCAGCCGCAGCATCATCAACAACAGCTTCAGCAGCAGCAGCAGCAGCAGCAGCTCCGATACGATCCCCAACAGCAGCACCAACAACAAGCCGCTTACGATCAGCAGCTGCCGCCCCCACCTGCATCGTCCCAGCAGTATTACAGCAACGCCAACTCACCGCAAGATCAGTATCAGCAAACCACCGATCCGCGCATCGTCACCACGCATCTAGTCACGGGATCGCAGCAGCAGCAGAACCCGGAAACCGTATCCCAGCTGTCGCGTGAGTCTCCAGCCCCCGACTCTGACCAGCGATCCTTGAACCAGCAGCCGTCTCCTGCGATCCACTACTCAGTGCCGCAGGCTCACGACCAGTCTTCCAACGTTGCCCTGCCGCCCTCGCAGCCCGCGAACCAACAGCAACTCTCGCAGCCCGCCATGGCTCCGCCTGGAGGAGGAGGCGTACCGACGAATCGCCGGCCGGCCGATGCTGAAAAGGCCCTGCCCGGAGCGCCGCCGGGATATCGTCACACGCACACAAATTCCAACAACCTAAACGCCCCCGGCGCATCTCTTCAGCCTGGCCAACAGCCGGCTAGCTCAACCAGCGGCGCAGCCGTTGCCTCTGGTGCCGCAGCCGGCGCCGGCGCTGCTGCCGCCGGTGCTCCTCCGCGATACGAAGCAGCGACTGGAGACCAAGGCCGGAATAGCCCTCAGCCTTCTACCCACGAGCGTGACAGTACCGAATCTGATAAAGCCTTTAAGGAATTGCGTAAGCCTCCCGTCCCTGTCGCCTCACACGCTGTATGTGTTATGACCATGTTGGCTAATCACATATAACCTTGGAATACAAACAGTCACAAAGTACAAAAACGTCAAACGCCTCTATTTCGATGGCAAGTCTCAGATCGAACAGCTCAACGGCCAAGTTGAGCACCTGCAGAATGCCGTCGCCAACCAGCGCATGTCGCAGTCGCGCACCGCGTTGGACGACAACGAGTATGTCAACCGATTCAACCGACTGAACGGCGCCATCAACAATCTGGCATTCAATATCCGCAAGGACTGGCGACGCCTGCCCCTGTGGCTGGAGAACTATGTCAGCCCCGACGCTCTCAAGACAGGCAAGCAGGAGATGACGGCAGTCGGCAGAGCCGTCATTACCAAGTGGATCGTGGATGAAGTCTTCAACAAGTGCTTCCACCCAGACCTAGACGCGGCCCTTAGCTCCCAGCTCAAGGAGATTGAGCTCAACATCCGGGGCAATGCGTACACCATGCACAGCCAGGAAGAGTTTGATGCCTTGACCACAAAGGTAGTCAACTGGCGAATGGCGACACTGGATGGCCTGCAGCAAAAGCTGAGCTCCTCAGCGGCGGCCGACAACCGAGCATCATTGATTACCAAGACGCAGACGAATCTGACCGCCCACCTGTACCAGTTCCTGATCGAGCCGCCACCGGCCGGGGTTGACGGCAGTACCTCCATGATTATGGAGCTCGCTGTCGGCATTGCGGCCAACATGCCCCGAGAGAGCCGCGACGTCACCATCCAGTATCCGCTGCCGGGCGACGTGCTGCAGGCCGGTGTGATGGACGTTGAAAAGACGCCGTTGCCTCCTCTGGACGGCCAGAAGGAGGGCGAGTCCAGTAAGCCAGACAGCGATGCGGACAAGGACAAGAGTAGCAGTAGTGGAGACTCTAGCAAGGCTGGTAGGTTGCATTTTCTATTCCCCCGTTCAGGGACCACAACACCAATTTGGGTATATTTCAACTGACGCGATAATCTACAAATAGGCTTCGCCAAAGATGCCAGTCGGGTGCGGTTTGCCGGATTTGTGGCTCTCGAAGTAAGAGGACGGCAAGTCTTGGTGAAGGCACCAGTATGGGCCATGTAGTGGAGGATATTTGCGATTGAACCCCTTTTTTTTTCTTTTTTTTTTCTTTTTCTTTTTTCCATACCGAGGCAGGCATCGAATGGATATCCCATCATATTTTGATCCCCTTCCCCTTTTCTTTTTTTCTCTTCTATAATTTCATATGCTGCTCTCTTACTGGCATTGTCGATGGTTATGAGAGGCACACATATTTTCTTCTTCTCTTTATTTTTACTCTATGTATCTCACGGAAGTTATGTGAAACGGTGACTTGGGGGCATTTTCCCCTTCATCGGATGAGAGACGACGATGGGAGGATAGGGAGGCTTGTCTTTTTTGTAGACTTTACTTGGGAGCCGTCTAAGGATGAAGCAGAAGGGGAAAAAAGCATAAAGAGTTAGACGGACGGCCCCGAGAGGCTATTAGAGTAGATGATGAGAGACATGATTGCTACGTGCGATTGCTCCTTGGTTATTGATGACTGCCTGTGGCGATGGTTGCACAGCTTGATGATGCCAAACTTGTCAGCCTTGTGCGGAAAGGCCTTTTTTCTATCGAGTTTCTAATCGTGCATATCTGATTTCCCCTTTTCGATTGAATTTTTTCAAAAAACGTCAAAGAAAAGAGTCATCGCACCACCCTGCCTCAGTGGCAATGCACGTTTCCAGCGCCTGATTGCTCTTTGGGGGGCTTCAAAGGATTGAGTCACACGGGGTACATGTGCGTTGCGCGTAAATTAGCAGAGAAGTGCATGTACCTTTCCTTAGCAGCAACCCCCCCTGGTCACTGAGTCATAAAATAGAGGGCATGATTTGGCATCCTTTGTTTTTGGGGAAGAGGCGCATTTGGAACAGCTAAACCGGATATGGGAGATGGGTTTGCTCCGTTTTGGAGAGATTAGCTGTGACTCTTCTTGAAATTACCGTCTTTTTTAATAATTAGATTTGTTCTAGTGTGACGAGATGGAAGGGCTGTTTTGAGATCAAAATGAGATTGAGGCTGGGGGCTAGCAGGCGGATCTGGAGAGGCTGATTCCTAGCAGCGGCTTTAGCGGGTGCTCCGCTGAGAGTCATCGCTGGAAGCAAATCTGATCTACTAAGCAGGTACTTATAAAGAGTGCTGATAAACCCACCGTCTCTCCACCGCTTCCCTCATTCCGGCAGAAAAAAAAAATTAGTTACCCTGCTAAAGCATTCTTTTGCATCAGCTGCGTTTTCGCTTCTCTTCCTTCACCAAAGCGACAAGCCTCTTTACTGTTCAACCAAACCCTTTTTTTTTCCCTTTTTCCACCATTACGGCTATACAGGAAACGACTGTTGGAAATACTAGCATCATGGCTGTTCGCGCGCAGTTTGAAAACTCCAACGAGTATGTTTTGTCTGAAATTTCTGGTGCTGCATTGCGGCTTTGGTGGGGGAGGGGTAGAGCAGAGAGACGAGGAGAGGGATTGATGATGCTCTCTGCGATGCTGCTTTCCACCAGACAGAATTATGAGAGGGTTGAATATTGAATATCTCGACTGACTTTGCATTTCTTGTCCAGCGTTGGCGTCTTTGCGACGTTGACCAACTCATACGCCCTGGTGGCCCTCGGCGCCAGCGAGAACTTTTACAGGTAAAGCAGCAATTCTGCGTGAAGCACCAAAACCACAAAAATCTAACATCACGACAGCGTCTTCGAGGCCGAGCTGCAGGACATCATCCCCATCGTGCGCACCACCATTGCCGGCACGCGCATCATCGGCCGCCTCACGGCCGGCAACCGCAAGGGCCTGCTGGTGCCCACGACCACGTCGGACCAGGAGCTGCAGCACCTGCGCAACTCGCTGCCCGACTCGGTGCGCATCCAGCGCATCGAGGAGCGCCTGTCGGCCCTCGGCAACGTGATTGCGACCAACGACCACATCGCGCTGGTGCACCCGGACCTGGAGCGCGAGACGGAGGAGATCATCGCCGACGTGCTGGGCGTCGAGGTCTTCCGCCAGACCGTGGCCGACAACGTGCTGGTCGGCAGCTACATGAGCCTGTCCAACCAGGGCGGCCTCGTGCACCCCAAGACCAGCATCCAGGACCAGGACGAGCTGTCCAGCCTGCTGCAGGTGCCGCTCGTCGCCGGCTCCGTCAACCGCGGCAGCAACGTCGTGGGCGCCGGCATGGTCGTCAACGACTGGATGGCCGTCACGGGCCTCGACACCACCTCCACAGAGCTCAGCGTCATCGAGAGCGTCTTCCGACTCGGCGAGGGCCAGGGCCCCAGCAACATCAACACCACAATGAAGGACACCATGGTGGAGAGCTTCTACTGAGCGACAAAGAGGCTTTCTGTTCTGTTCTTGTTTTGTTTCAATACATACATATACTACCATGATGTGATTTTTTCTTCTTCTTCCTTTTTGTTTCTGTTGATGGTTGTTTTTCAGCTGCTTTTTGGGACTGGGCCTTTTTTATGACTTGACTTGCTTGGATGATACACACAACAGGCATGGTGTTGATGGAAAGGGGGTGGAAAACAACCCAGCTTATTGAGCTCTTTCTTCGTCGCTTTTTGTTTTTTTCAAGAAAGACTATTCTTTATATGAGGTGGTTTTTATGGTCTTGTGTGTAAAAGACGGAGAGGAACAGGGTGGCAGGCTGTTTCTGCTCTTGGGCATGCATGGGAGGCGTTTGTGCAATCTTTTCGTTGACCTCTTTTTTTTTTTTTTCTTTTTTTCTTTTAACACCTGTGGATTTATTACTTCATAGAGAGAATGTGCTTCTCTTATAAATAATGAAAAAAAGACTATCCTGGTGTAATATTCTCAAAGAGTTTTGCATGTGAAGGTAGCTGAATAGCCCCAATCATATAGAATCAATGCCATTTTTTTTCTAGTATCCAGTTTCCATCATCTTTGAATGCCCCTCATGCTTGCAATCTCACCGCCTTCCCCTTTCAGCGACCGCATCGGCAGCAATTGAATAATTTCGCTGCCCCTCCATCATAGCTTTTGATATCAATCATTTTATTATTCAATTTCTTGATAGCTACATTACAATTCCAGCCAAGTCTTTCAATTTGTTATTCACAGCCATTCACAATGACATCCAATAAACCAGCCTATCTGCCTCCCTCCAAACTCGGCACAAAAGAATAGTAAGCAAAAAAAAAAAAAACATCAATAATCATATATACATGTGACTGACAAACAATCAGCTGGGACTCCCTCTACACAACCGAACTCACAAACCACGCCGCCAACCCCTCCGACACAGGCACAAACTGGTTCGACGACTCCGACGCAGAGGCCCGCGTCGTCGCCTTTCTCGAATCCCTCGCCGACGACGATCAAGATGTCTTGCCAGAGCGTCTGTCGCAGCAGGAGGCGTCCTTTTTGGATCTCGGCTGCGGGAATGGCTCGCTGCTGTTTGCGCTGAGGGACGAGGGCTGGGGGGGATCCATGCTGGGCGTGGATTATAGTGCGCAGAGTGTTGCGCTGGCCAAGAATATTGCCCAGAGCAGGAGAGAGGAAGAGGAAGAGGAAGAGGCATCGACACCAGTCAATTTCCTCGAATGGGATCTCCTCAACGGCCCTCTATCCCTCACCGCATCTCCCTCAGACAACGCCAATACTTGCTCGCCTCTATCATACACGCCCTCCCCATCACGCCGCTTCGACATCATCCTCGACAAAGGCACCTTTGACGCCATCAGCCTCTCCACAACAACCTCATCAGAGCAGCAGCAGCACCCTTGCGAAATCTACCGCCGGCGGCTGCTCCAGCTGCTCAGCCACGGCGGCATCTTCCTCATCACGAGCTGCAACTGGACCGAGCCGGAGCTGCGGGCGTGGTTCGCCGACGATGCCGACGGTGAGCTGAGCGTTGTGGGCAGGGTGGACTATCCGACGTTTACGTTTGGGGGGGTCAAGGGGCAGACGATTAGTACGCTGTGCTTTAGGAGGAAATGAAGGGGGGGTGGCGATTCTTGTTGTAGGAGGATTTGGGACTGGATTTTGATTTTTTGATACCATGGGGGATGAGAAATAGAGAGAGCGTCTATGAGAGAAATGTTCATGTCTGAAGTGAAAATACAAAGATAGAATTTCATGTATATATGGCCCGCCACCAGTCCAAATCTACTCCTTAGATGAAATGTAAAAGCCAAACAGCGTGTTCTCAGCATCAAAACGTATAAACAAACAGCAATCATACTACAAGCAGCCCGGGGAGTCCCATGGAAATGTAAAACAGCGCGTGTTGCTTCCTACCCTACATTATACATCTGAGGCTGGTTCCTCCAAATCTACACGATGCTTCCACCTCTATCCCACATCCATCTATCCATCCATCCACTCACCGACTTATTACCCACCAATCCCTCATTTTTATTCTCCCCCATTCTTCGCCTTGGCCGTACCCCATGTGATATTCACTCGTCTCTATTCGATTTTCACTTTTTTTTTCTCCTCTCCTGGTTTCCTTGCTTTTTCTTCCTTCCTTCCTTCTTCTTCTCCTGGTTAATGGTCAAGATGACGATTTCTACTCTCTCGCGCCAAAAGCTGTCCAAGGTGCAAGACAAGAAAAGGGCAGTTATCAATAACAACAAGACAATGGAACGTGCAGCAGCACAGAGTAACGGACAAAATCATTGCTTCATTACGGCTTCTCTCTCATCTATGGTGAAGTATTCATAGGCTCTCCGCCTCCTGAGGCTCCGGTGCCCGTCGCCTCAGCTACCGCCTGCGTCGCATAGTACCGGACATCTACATCGTCATCCTTCTGCAGCTTGGTCAGGTTCGGCAAGATGCGCTGCTGAATCAGCTCTTGGCCCCGGGGTGAAGGAGTGGCCTGCTCGGCCGGCGTCTCCTGCTTCTCAATGGTGTACAGAGTGCCCTCCTCGGGCAGACGCTGCAGGGCGTTGATAAGCACCGTGTACGTCTTGGCCACGTTGAACCGGATGTTGGGGATGTCGTCGTCAGTCATCTTGTCCAGCATGGGCAGGATTGCCTTGGAAATGACATCTATGCTGACAACAGAGGCCAGAGTCTGCATGAAAACCCAACGTCAGCCACTTTAGGAGAAAAACATTATACAAGTCAAGTCAAACTTACCGAGATGGCAAAGCAGGTAGTCATTCGGTACAGGTAGTTCGGGTGGTTGCCCATGGTCATAACCTTGGGGATGATGGCCTCGCTTGCCCACTCCACGCCAAATACTTCAGTCAATTTCTTCAGGTTGTGCGTAGCAGCCTCGCGGATGGAAAAGACTGTGTCGCCAAGCCATCCCATGCACAGGTTGCTGAGCTTTTCGTCAAAGAACTTGACGCCGAGCTGGCTGGCCAGCAGGGGAATGTACTCAATGATGGCGAGACGCACTCGCCACTGCTTGTCCTCTGCCAGGTTGACGATGGCTGGCAGCAGTGAGACGGACAGGGGCTCAATGCCAATGACTTTTTGTGATTGTTAGCTTATATAAATTCCAAATTTCACGATCCATGTTCAAATTTCGTACCTTGATTGACTAGCTCAAGCTTTGAGATGATGTGAAGTCTAACCTCGGGGAACTCATCCTTGAGCATCTGGAGGAACATGGGCAGAAGATGGTCGATTGTCCTATCGCGCTTGAGTTAGCCCATCCTGTCACCACTCATTGCATTCATCATCACATACTCCTGCTTGCCCAGTATGGGGGCCAGGCCACTGATTTGAGTTCCCAATGCAGCGCGCACGTGCTGCGACGTGTCCGAGACAAGGTCCTCGACGCTTCCCATGATGTCGTTCAGAAGAGTCTGCTGGTCTATGAGGCCGCAGAATCCGGGAATCTGGCCAGCAATGGCTGTCCGCACCTCCGCCTCGTTGTCCTTAAGAAGCTTGACGAATGCAGGCACCAAGTCTCTGGACACGACTTCCTCGTCGACTGCCTTGGCGATCTATGAATGGGTGAAACAAAAATGTTAGTAAGGGGGGCAGACATTAGTATGATTGTGATGGATGCGAGCACCGCTGACCTTTTCAAATCTATCGGCAATCATGTACCTGACTCTCCAGCTCTTGTCCTCTATCAAATTTCGCAGCGAAGTCAACAAGACTCCGTGACCGGCCTGCTGCTCCTTGGGAACGCCCTCGGCGATGGCAATGAGAATCTCCACAGTGAGTAATCGAACACTGTCCTGGTCGTCCTGAACGAGGTGCTGGAAGAGGGGAATCATTTCGTCAATGACAATGGCAGCCGGCATCTCCTTGACAAACTTGGCGAGGTTGGACGCGGCTTGACGTCGGACCATGGGGGTCTCATCGTGGACAAGCAGGCCAAACTGCTGACGGAGCTGCTCCTGGACGGGAGGAGACACTTTCTTGTATGGAGCTGTGAAGAGGCCACATCCGGAAACCTTGGATGTGAACCAATCTGCCTTGGCGAGTCTGATTGTGAGGGGAATGAAGAACTCTTCGACTTGTTGAGGCGAAAGCTCCTCGCAGATCTTGTTAAGAGACTCGACGGCCTAGATTGTTTTAGATAAGCGCCATCAGCGAAAGATGCTCCAGCTCGCGTCATATATCATATATGCATATCATGCGTCTGGTTAAGCTTACCTTGTCTCGAACGACGGGCTCCTCTATGGCGGCGAGGTTCTCGAGAGGGGAGAGCAGGACGTGGCCCCACGAAGGGCCTCCAACGTATTCGATGAAGTTGCCAAGCTCTTCGCTCAGAGCAACCAAGACTTCGTCCTCATCCTCGACAGACTCTGTGATGGAAATGTCAGGTCAGGCCTATATCGGCGGATAGCTCGCGAGAGCCAAAAGGAAGGGGAATACGAAGAGTGGCAGAAATGGCTATGACAGAGTCGGATTGCTACTGACCATCGAGAAAGGGAATCAGCTCGTCTCTTGTCCGCTCGGCGCCGAGGGCAAGAGCAATTGTAGAGAGCCGGTGGATCGCGTTGAGTCGGAGCAAGACATCGTCGTGCTAGCAGAAGAGCCCCGAAATCAGCATCACGCCGCCAAAAAAGCATGGACAGAGGGCAGCAAAGGAAAGTAGAGGTCGGGCCAAAAGATACCTTGAGCTCATCGATGAGCACGGCGATGGGGTAGAGCTCGTCGCTGGCGTTTATCGCTTCGGCCATGGCGTGTCACGAGGGAGAAGCAGAGACGAGCGGCGGGGGAAAAGGAGAAGGGCGCGTTGAAGCGGGCAAAACGAGTCGTCGGAGCACCGCAGATGCTGGACAGGGTCGGATATCGATCAGAGAAGAGGGCGAGAAGAGGCGATCGGGCGAGGCAGACGAGGCGAGGCCGATGGCGCGGTGGGCGTTGGCTGAAAGGCTGCGGCTGAGGCTCAGGCCGAGGTGGATTCAAGGTCGAGATTGGAGGTGATGCAATGGATCTTTGCGCGGAATTGAGCAGCGACAGGGCGCCTTTGCCGCTACCGAGGGGCGGGAGCTGCGGGCACGAGAAGCAGCGGCTCGAGGCGAGGCTGCGGCGATTCCAGACGGCGGAGCGAGGCCTCGCAGATGCAGCGGTGCAGAAGCGAAGCTTGGAATTGGAGAGGAGGGGTGAAGATGCGAAGAGAGAAACCAGCTGTGTTGGAGCCCAGCTAAAAGGTGTGGTGTCTGGTTGCCAGCCGGAGGCGAGCATGTAGGGGGTACCTGGCGGCGCTGAAGCAAGGCCTGGAGCAGAGCACAGCTGCTGCCGCTGGGGGCAGAGGCGCTAGGCAGAGGTACATGCTTTGGCAGGGCGACAGCGCACTGGGGCCGGTCTGCGGCGTTAGCAGCGGTGGCGGTGTCGCTGCCTGCGCTCTAACAGCAGCTGCCCCGCCAATAAAGTACCGCGAGCCCCCACTTGTCCCCTGTAGGCATTTCGTCGCTGTGCAATTTGCCCCTTTGCGGTGCGCGCATGCATGTACAGGTACTTGACAGGCGTACGTACCAAGGTCCAATAAGATCAATACAGGTCGATATCTCTCAGCGCATGTTCGTTTCCAGTTTGAGGTGCATGCAAGCCCAGACGACGGACGTTTATACACCAAGCAAACAGCAAGATGAGAGATGCTTGTCACAGTAGAAGGCACAAAGCTGGAGTGAATACATATCGACAGACAAATTCCGTGTGTCTTGCCTAGCAACGAGATGCTATAGAACTTGCATTGCTGTGGCTGCTGTACAATGACAGCAAGCTTACAACAAGCTGCTGTTGCGGCTCAATCTTCAATCCTGCCCCTCGTCCGCATCTCTTGCCTTTCCGCCACTTTCCTTGGCAATTCTTGCACATGTAATTATATGGTGCACATCTACATCATCTGTATGGACTGTATCAAGGCTTGATGCTTGCAGAATCGGGCGCCTGAAGCCTGACAATCTGCTAGGGGCAAATACAGGCAGAGCCGCGCTGAATGATATCAGCAGAGGAGCAAGGAGCATCGATGTTCCGGGCAACCGCATCTCACCCCGCCGATATCAGGACCCGGCTGCCAAATCTCGCCCGTTAGTGAAGTACCTGGCCGCCCCTAGCATTCTTCGCAGTGCAGCCAAGTCCCTCTGCATCATCCCACTATCAACGCTGCTATCACCCCGCCATTCCCAAAAATTCCTGTGACTCAAACAGAGAGAGCGACAACCCACGATCTCGGTCTTTGCCTGGCACATCAATCAGCATCGAATCCCGTCGCCACCATGCCGACCATTTCCGTCGACAAGTACAAGCTCTTCGAGGCCCTTGGCCGAAAGTACGTTGCTCTGTCCACGGCTCTGCCCGCAATTCTTTTGCATTTGGCTTCATGTGATATATCAACATACGCATATTCAACACCATCGCCAATCTCCATACGCTTTCCCAACTAACAGTCCCACCACCTCTCTAGATTCACCAAGCAAGAGTTTGAGGACCTCTGCTTCGAATTCGGCATCGAGCTCGACGAGGACACCGAGGAGGAGGAGCGTCCCATCGTCGATGGCGTCCAGGAACCCCCCCAGCTCAAGATCGAGATCCCCGCCAACCGATATGACATGCTCTGCTTCGAGGGCATTGCCCTCAACCTCAACATCTTCATGGGCCGCACCACGCCCCCCAACTTCAGAGTCGTGGAGCCAAAGGACGGCATCCTCCAGACCATCACCGTCTCGCCCGAATGCTCAAAGGTCCGGCCCTACGTGTCTGGCGCCATCCTCCGCAACATCAAGTTCACCAAGGACCGGTACGAGTCCTTCATTGCGCTGCAGGACAAGCTTCACCAGAATCTGGCCCGTCAGCGAACACTGGTGTCCATCGGAACCCACGACCTGGACACCATCAAGGGTCCATTCACATACGAGGCCTTGCCTCCGCGGGACTTCAAGTTCGTCCCCCTGAACCAGACCCAGGAGCTCACCGGCGAGACCCTCATGACCTTTTACGAAAACGACCGACATCTCGGACGCTACCTACACATCATCAAGGATGCCCCCGTATACCCCCTTATTCTCGACGCCAACCGCGTCATCTGCTCGCTGCCCCCCATCATCAACGGCGACCACTCCAAGATCACCCTCAACACCACAAACGTCTTCATCGAGATCACCGCCACCGACATCACCAAGCTGGACATTGTCACCGACATGATGGTCACCATGTTCTCCGAGTACTGCGCTGAGCCCTTCACCGTCGAGCCCGTCAAGATCATCTCGGACCACAACAACCAGACTCGAGTCACCCCCCATCTCCGCCCTCGCGTCACCCACGCCGAGGTCGACTACCTCAACAGCTGCACCGGCCTCAACGAGTCCCGCGAGAGCCTTTGCAAGCTGCTCTCCAAGATGGCCTACGTCGCCCGGCCGTCAGACAAGGACCCCAACCTGCTGGAGGTCGCCATCCCCCCCACCCGTGCCGATGTCCTGCACCAGGCCGACATTATGGAGGACGTGGCCGTCTGCTACGGCTTCAACAGGCTGCCTCGCAGCTCCCCCAACCGTGGCGCCACCGTCGCCGCCCCTCTGCCCATCAACAAGCTCAGCGACATTGTGCGCATCGAGGCCGCCATGGCCGGATGGAGCGAGGTCATGCCCCTGACCCTCTGCAGCCACGACGAGAACTTTGCCTGGCTCAACCGCAAGGACGACGGCAATACCGTCGTGCGGCTCGCCAACCCCAAGACGCTCGAGTACCAGGTCGTCCGCACCTCCCTGCTGCCCGGCCTGATCAAGACCATCCGCGAGAACAAGGGCCACAGCCTGCCCATCAAGATCTTTGAGGCCGCCGACGTCGTCTTCAAGGACGAGAAGTTGGAGCGGAGAGCCCGCAACGAGCGCCACTTTGCCGCCGCCTGGTGCGGAAAGTCGAGCGGCTTCGAGGTCGTCCACGGCCTGCTGGACCGCCTGCTGCTCATGCTCCGCACCAATTTCATCGCCGACGGCAAGGACGCTGCCGTTAAACCTGATGGCTACTGGATCGAGGAGCTCAACGAGGACACCTTTTTCCACGGCCACGCCGCGGCAGTCTATCTCCGTCTTGGAGGCAAGGAACAGCGCATCGGCGAGTTTGGTATTCTGCATCCCTCTGTGCTAGAAAAGTTTGATCTAAGGTACTACCCTCTCTCTCTTTCCTTACGCTATAAACGAGAAATTCACGAGAAATTCAATGCTAACGTGTATATTTTTTTTTTTTTCAGATTCCCCGTCAGTACTTTGGAGATTAACCTAGAAGTCTTCTTATAATCCATGTACATACACCCAAAAGATAGCCCCAGACTTTTGATAAAAATTAAGAAAAAAGCAACGGATAAAGTAGATTTTGACAAGTTAAAAAAAAAAAAAGGAAGAAAGCACTAGACATTTCAAGCACTGTTTATTAGTTGGGCGTGTATCTCTATAGATGACACTCCATTTACTCCAGCTGCAAGAGACATGAAAATACAAGTCGAGACGAAAAACAGTCCAAAACTAGCATTGTTTCGATATCCGTCTACCAAATAACCAGAAAGAAAAAACATACTTGTGTTGATTCAAATCATACGCTTTGCAAACTCGGAGCATTCATAAGAGAAAGAGAAAAAGAGAAAACGCTTCCCATAGAATCGCCGAGACTGCTCTCTACAATCTACTCCAGCCTACTGTCCATACCGCATATAACTTGTTTTTTAGACTCATATACAGTAACACAGCTGCTGCACGCCATTTGTGAGAGAAATTGTATATCCTGATCTGATTACGTCGCTTTTGGTAGTAAAAGTCATCTTGTCATCTCTGCTTATTGACATTAATCATGCCCCATCATGTGCCCCCTTTTGCCAAATATGAAAGGGCAACAGTTCCCATAGCCAAAATCAGCCCAGTTGGACATAGATCAGTCGCCCAAGGGAGGAGGGAGACATGTGTGCCAAGTTTCTATCGCGCATGAAAAACTCCTGTCAACCAGTTGTAACCATAATAAACGCTGATTTCACGCTGCAGTCTCTTCAGCTCCTCATCTCCCCAGTGCAGCTTTGTTCTCTTCATTAAGGGGGGGGAAAAGATAAAAAGAAGGATGAAGAAAAGCAAAACTATACTGTTGCTCTTTTAATACCAAGCGAATCAAGCAGAATAACAACCTTTGCATCTAAGCTCGGGATGATAACCATCTCATCTAGGCTTGGCCGTCCCAGATCCTCAATCGTTAGTTCTGAGATTGTGCGCGGCCGAGTATAAAGGTGATGTTCGGTGTTTGGGGTCACCTCAATCTCATAAGGCGCTGGGCCTTGGTCGGAAAACACGACGTCCTAAGTCATCTCTCGCATCTCCTGTTCGCGAGAAATGGATGCCGCGGCTGAGTGCTCGGGAACGGGCTCGGCGGCACGTCCAAAGTTGGACATGACAGCTTTGCTAATGTTCAAACCGGCGATGCCATCGCGCAGAGCGGCAAATGCGCCCATCCCGTCCGCAGACACGCTGTGTTGCAGAGCGGCTTGCCTGTCTTCAGGAGTCAGGATGCCATGCGCAGTCTCTGTTGGTGAAATGACCGACTGGCTGGCTGAAAGACTCGGGGGCTGTGGGCTCGGAGGCGACGACGCCGATCGCGATGCTGGGCGCGATGCCGGGCGCTCTGGAACTTGCTCGGCTTGGACAACGCTGGGGTAGCTCAGAGTCGAGGTGGCAGCCTCTCTGTCGCTCTCAGCAATGGCGGCGGCGTTGAGTGCACCGTTCATCTCGTCCTCTGTCCGGCCGAAAAGCTGATGCCACCAGCGAATCTCTTTGAGCCTTGGCAAGATGATACGCTCCTTGCCCTTGACATGGTCATCCACGGTAGGGTCGTAGTCAGGGTTCGTAAATTCGGCCCTCCGACACAGGAAGTAGTCCCACACGGATGCCGTCTTCTGCGCCACCTCTGCAACTTTTCGCTGCTTCTCCGAGTTGTACAAAAACGTTCCGTATTGACAAGAGTGCAGATGATAGAGCAGACGGCGGAGGAAACGTTCATTGAACTCGAAGCGCGTCGGGTTCTGCCGCAGCAGCTGGTACATGCAGTCGAGGAACTGGTGGAAGACTGGACTGATCATCTTCTGCACAGTGGCTTCTTCGTCGACTACTTGGCCGCTGGCAGTTTCGCCCATGGTGGCCAAATCGGCGTCATCCTTGTTGGAGCTGAAAAGACGCTTCGCACCGCTGATGACGTTTTGAAAGGCATCGCTGCGGCCGTCATTCTCCCCAGGCTGGACCTTTAATCCCGCGAATGCATCTTTCTGGATGGTGAACCAGTCCTCGGAGTTGAGGTGGCCGGAACGCAGCCTAAACATGTATCCAAACGACAGCCAGTCCTTTTCAATGAGGACAATGAACCCATCAATGGTGCGGTAGTAAGGATCCAGCATGATTTGAGACAGGGCGCTGAGCTGACTGGTACGATCCCAGCCATCCGAGCAATGGATCAAGACGTGCGAGTGCTTGATGCCTACTTGACGGGCGATGATGGCGGTCCCATCAAGAATATCGTGAATGTGTTTTAGCCAGCTGCTATTCTGCAGCAGATCGCGATTGGGGGGTAGAGGAGATATGTCGGCATCCTTGAGCGCATCGACCACCTTGAGCAATGAGCTCCGCATGATGTGAATATTGTCAATGTTGAGGAAGATCTTTTCTGCGAATCTGTACTTGTCCATCGGTTCCGAGCCCATGCCCTGGGCCTGGTTCAAGATGGCATTGATTGTGGGGCGAGCATCGACAATCAGATTGTTCTGCTGAGCGCCATAGATGAGCCGCTTGCCTGTCTTGTCGTCGTAAATAGCTGCAGACTTGGAAATGATCTCGTCCTCGTATCGCTCCTTGTCCGACAACTGAGTCTCCAACATGACGGTGCTGTTCAACATGTCCGTCTGGCTCGACATCGGGGACGGGTCCTCGGAACTTCCACTTCCGTTATTCGTAAGAGCTGAAAAGGACGCGGCCACGAGCTTCTCATCTTGGACATTGGTCCTCCGGGTGATGCCTGCCAGCGGCTGGGAGCTCCTGGTAATGGAGCAGTTGTTTACCGGGTGGAGATATGTGAGAGCCGGGATTCGATTCCTCGAGCGGTACTCCTTGGCATACTTGAGAACATTATCAGAAATCTTGGATGGCACAACGAGAACCGCCGGATAGGTATCGCATAAGCTATAGTCGTGGTTAATGTTTGTGATCCTCCAGCCCTTGTCCGGCAGCTTTTCGCTGATGCCTTGTCGGCGAAACTCTGCCCTGGGATCGTAGATGTTCCAGCCATCGACCTCTCTCTCCATCTTAGGGGGCTTGTGGCTAAAAGCAAAAAGATTCCGAACCGTCCCAAGTTTACAGGTGCGGCACTTGATGTGGTCATAGGCTTCTCTCGCGATCTCGGTAGTGGTGAAGTTGAAGGTGATGTAGGTGAAGTCCCGGCATTGGAGGCGTATGGACGGGGCCTGGCGAGATGACGGCGGCGTCGGCCGGAACGTGCAGTGCGAGAGCATGGGATACGTGATCCATCGCTCCCGCTTCCTCTGCGGTTGCGCGGGCTCTTGTTCATCTTGTGCCGGCGACGGGATGACTGCGCTGAAGATCATGTGGAAGTCGGTCAGCGTCAACGTGCCGGTGGCTGTTTGGCCGCCGTTGATGCCCTGGACATGCTCGATAATCTGCAAAGGCCATTACGTCAGGATAGGTGATTCGCGCCTCGTCTGAGGAAAGCGCCGAGCAGCAAAGCCATGGCATGATAAGTACATACCTTCTTTGCCTCCATCGTGACTAATCCAGGCACCGATAGGAGCTGTGATGGAAGTTGACGCGGAGGTTGCCGGGCTCGTCACGAAAGCGTCGTATATCAACTTGTATAATTATAAAGCATATAAAGAAAGAAGGCGTATCGTGTCGTAAAGAGAAACAAAGAAGAGCTGCGTGGCACAGTGACTCAACAGAAACAGCGAACGGCGGTGCAGAAGCTCAGCTTTGTTGGGCCGGCAGTGACTGCGTGACTAGGCGAAAACAAGACGATCGATCGAAGGATGGCGAGAAAGCGATGCTTTGGCCGAGGAGCGTCGAGTCTCTGGTTTCTTAATGCCGCCAGAACGCAGAGAGTCACCAGCAGGCCGCGCCGTCGCAGAGCATTGCAGCCGCCACAGCAATTGCCAGGAAGTCGTCGACCGTGGCCAGAGCCGGAGATGCGAGGCCAAAAGAGACTGGCGATGATAAGCAGAGCGTCGTCAGAAGGTCTCGAAGCGGCATCACAGGTCCAGGCTCAGCAGGGCCGATGCTGGCGGGGCAGTTGCTGGGGGTGGGGCTCTGGCTTGGGGTCTGAGCGAGCGTCAGGCGCGGCCATGGCGCTGAAGCAAGGGCCTACAGGGCACTACAGCACAGCGGATCAGATGCTAAGAGAGCAGCAGTGGAGTGCTGAATCGGCAGAGGGCAAAAGGAACATGGCAGACGGCGGGACAGCGTCGGCAAGTCGCCCAAACTGATTTTCCGGATTGCTGGCTACAGCGGGAACGAGTCCGCGCTAGCATTCCGCGAGCTAGTGCCAGGTACGTACCCCTCGCTCCCAAATTCGAGAAAAATAAAAATAAAAAGTCCCGGTTTAGGGCTCAACCCACACAAACGGCAAAAAATTGATTGAAGCGCCAAACCGCTCTCAGGGCCACTCACTTTCCAGCGAAGCTCCCCCCAGCCCTCCAAGTGCCTCGTCTCTGGAAAACCCGCGAACTTTCTCCCCCTCTGCAACAAGACAGAATTTCCAGTCAACAGCAAGACTCGAAAATAATTCAAAATGTCCCACCCTGGTGCTCAGATGTGAGTGCAAAAGAACGTTCCTTTGATTGCAGCCCCTCGTCATTATCGATACACACGCAGTTACGGCCCTGGCTCTTTTTTTTTACATGTCGTTGGTGGTGATGATGGCATCAATTTGCTTGGTGGAGGAGGGATTATGGAGATGAAAAAGGATGGGAGAGGAAGAGGAGGGAGGCATACAAACATTGGCTATGAAAAAGAGAAAAAGAAGGAGATATATGAACAAAGAGCCAGGGTCGAATTGCCGTCTGCTCGATCCAAGACTGTCACCACCATGACCACCAACATCACCACTTTTTAACACGTACTAACATTCTTCTCTCCCAGCTCCAAGCGGAGAAAGTTCGTCGCCGACGGTGTCTTCTACGCCGAGCTCAACGAGTTCTTCCAGCGCGAGCTCGCTGAGGAGGGCTACTCCGGCGTCGAGGTCCGCGTCACTCCCACCGTCACCGACATCATCGTCCGCGCCACCCACACCCAGGAGGTCCTCGGCGAGCAGGGCCGCCGCATCCGCGAGCTCACGTCGCTGATCCAGAAGCGCTTCAAGTTCCCCGAGAACTCCGTCTCCCTCTACGCCGCAAAGGTCCAGAACCGTGGCCTGTCCGCCGTCGCCCAGTGCGAGTCGCTGCGCTACAAGCTGCTCAACGGCTTGGCCGTCCGCCGTGCCTGCTATGGTGTCCTGCGCTTCATCATGGAGTCCGGCGCCAAGGGCTGCGAGGTTGTCGTCTCCGGCAAGCTCCGCGCCGCCCGTGCCAAGTCCATGAAGTTCACCGACGGCTTCATGATCCACTCTGGCCAGCCCGCCAAGGACTTCATCGACAGCGCCACCCGCCACGTCCTGCTCCGACAGGGTGTCCTGGGAATCAAGGTCAAGATCATGCGCGGCTCCGACCCCGAGGGCAAGGCCGGCCCCCAGAAGTCTCTCCCCGACGCCGTCACCATCATCGAGCCCAAGGAGGAGGCTGCTGTTCTCCAGCCCGTCAGCCAGGACTACGGCGCTAAGGCCGCCCAGGCCCAGGCCAGCCAGGATGCGCGAGTTGCCGAGCAGGAGGGTGCCGCTGAGGAGGAGGCCCAGCCCGCCGCTGAGGAGCAGCAGTAGGATGCTGACGGTGCAGCTGACGGCTGGTGAAAAAAGGGTTGAAGGAAGGGAGTCTTTTTTCTTTTTTGTATGTGCATGATGAGGGAAACCCAGAGAGAAAGAAGAGACCAACAAAGAATAGGAACGTTTTGTTGTTGTGTAAGCGTGGATGATATCAAGCCACAAGGCAAAGGGATGGCGGTCAAACTTTAGGCGTCAATGAACATTTGCATCTGCTAAAGGGCATGGAAAGGTTTCGTCTTGTTTTTTTTAAAAAAAAACATGGTAGACAACATTAAGCCATACATTGAAAAAGTGAGACTGACTCGAAAATCTTTGAGTAAAACAACGGACCATTGCCAAATCAAGTCACTCGCCTCGTACTATAAGCCAATACTATAGGTATGTATGCGTAGTATATATCTATATATTCATACATATATAGGTAGGTAGCCGAAATGAGGTTGAAAGAGAAAAAGAAAAGAAAGGGTATTGCAAGGCATCAGTCAGAGAAGCCTCCTAGTACAAGTTAAAAATAATAGTAATACACTCTCCACAAACCTCACCAACACAAGAACACACACACTGAGACAACTCCTGTTTCTCTCCGCCTCTCAGTCTCCTTGTTTCTTTGTTGTTCCCAAGGCCACAACAGCCCACTGTCTTCATTTCTGTCTTTTTCTACCTCGGCATCAACAAAAAAATGCTAACCAAAAAAAGAAAAAAAAATTCCCAAGATATCGTACAACAGGAGCATGTTTTCAAATCCAGTTTCCTTTCCGATCAGTCATGTTTACCGTAAAATAAAAGAAAAATAAGCAAGTAAAGTTATCCCCCACCCGCACAGACACAATAAACAAACGCCGCTTCCTCCGAGAGGAATAAAATAGCAAAAAGAGACGAAAAAAGGTTGTAACCGGAAACCCCCCTCCCTCCTTTTCACTTTATAGCTGTTAGCTGCAGCTGCTGCAGCTTTGCTCCCGATGTAGACGATATAAAAAGGAAACTTGACAACCAAGAGGAAGGCGTGTTGAGAATCATAAGAAAACGAGGAACAAATATTTCGAAGCCGCCTGGGCTGATGAATTCTCCACATCTTCCCCTCTATCGGATTTTAAAGCGGCCGCAGTGACTGAAACCTGCGAGCGCAGCTAGGATCCCTCTCCCTGCTCAATGAAGACGCAGCTTCTCCCCCGTTTTTTGTCCCCCTTCCAGAAATGGCGTTGAAAGGCAAATGTACAGATATGGTTGGCCAATCTAGGCAGACTGTTTGATTTATCTCACAAGAGATGTGTGACAATGGCTGCGGGTATATCCATCATACTTCGATATCTCTCTCATGTATTCCATAGTTGTGATAGAAAAGAAAAGAATAGAAAAGAAATGTTGAGTGACAGATTTTCCCTCCACTACCTGTCGGCATCCTTTCGTGACTCGAGCTCAATGTCACTGCTGGTATACTGCTTCTTGCCATCTGCCGAGCCGTTTGCCCTGCCATTGGAGCCGTTCGCACCGTTGAGATGGCGGTCGTCGTCTTCGCTGTCGGCGAGGTCGGTGAGGCCGAAACCCGCGGCCTCTTCCTCATCGTAGGCCCGGATCAGACCCTGTCGATCGCCGTGAAAGCTGCTCAGGCTGTGCCTCGAGTTGTTTTCGCTCCTTCGGGATTGCATGCTGCGGCGAGTTTGAAAGCCAGAGATCATATCCGTGCCAGCAGCATCAAAGTCGCCTCGGCCCGCAACCAGTCTCTGTCCGTGAGGATCTCCGCGAGAAAGGTTCAGCAAGTACACTCCAGTGAAGGTGACGAGGAAACCGCAGAGCAAGGAGAGCGTATTGACAGGGTCGGTCGTGTTGAAGCCGCTGAAGAGGATGAAGGAGGCGCAGAGAGTCGCGGTGGTGAATGTGACGTAGTACAGCGGGTTGACACTGGAATGATGACATGGTTAGTGGGAGTCATGGGAATGTAGAAAGGAAAAGCAGCCGGCAAGTTTCGACTTACATGTTGGTCGGGAACGAAGCGAGAGCCTTGTTAAAGTAGTTCATCTGCGTCAGGATGCAGACTGTCGTGAGAATCATAAAGACGTAGGTCGAAGGGTGCGAGAATTGGTTGTGGCCAGCAAATGTGAGCTTCAGAGCAATGCCAAACGCCTTGACGGACATGACAGAGATGGAGCCGACGGTGGAGCAGATGGACAGGTAGATCAGGGCGTTTCGCTTGCCGTACACGGGGGCAATTCGGTAGATCATGAAGACGGCAAAAGCCACGACAGCAAAGGCATACAACAGGAAACCTAGTCATGGTCATCGTTAGTCTTCCGAATCAGACTCAAATTCAGATGAACAGAAGAGTGGGGGAATGGAATGGGAACATTGAAAGACACGAAAGAAAAGGAGGCAGGCTTCGGATCAAGGCTCGTCGTTGGTCGTACCTGGCTGGATGGCATATTGTAGAATCTCATCGACCGTCTCGATTTCTTCGTCAGGAGGGGCGTGCAAAACGATGATGACGGCACCGATCAGGCAAATGGCACTGCCCAGTTTGCCCAGCGTGCCAAGCTCCTCATCCAGGAAATATGATCCCAGCACGGCGCCGATCAGGACACTGAGAGCTCCCAGAGGAGTCACCAAGATAGCCGGGGCAAAAGCGTAGGCGGCGAAGTTGCATATCTCTCCGATGCCAACTGCAGAGGGGTTAGAAGGGGACTATTCATATTCGGTGTCGGCGCCAGTTGCTCACGAGTTGCAATTCCTGCCCACCACATGGGGCTTTTCATATACACAAATCCATCGCCTTCGAAGCCGTGTCGCTCTTCAGCTTGTAATAATCCCTGTGCAGGTTGTCAGCCGAGATGCCCTCGTCTTTCGGTTAGGCCGGCTGAGCATCGTTTGCCGCCGTGAGCCGTCATGGGTCGCCGCAGGGGAATCTGACCTTTTTGGTGATGACGAAACTGGTGCCTGCAGAGATGGAAGCGTAAGCAAAAGAATGGCACGCTGCAAGAATCACAGAGAGGACGAGGACGTACCAATGGCCAAGGCCGATGACATGGCCAACGCCAGGCCGATGTATCTAGACGCGATGGAGTCAGCGAATGGCATCCCGCGATGGGCAGGCCTCTCTCGTCCCAAAAAGAGGCCTCTTGCGGGCGACAACGTACTTGTCCTCAATCATGCTGAGCGAGTGGTCTCTCGGGTGATGAAGCGCGCGAGAGGGCCACGGAGTGTGTGGTGTCGACGGAGTACTTCTTCAGCGGCTCCCTGGACAAGGGGAGAGTCGCAAACGAGACAAAATGAGCGTGCGCAGGGACCGGATGGTAGCGAATGGCGGTTATCGAGAAGCAAGAAAGAAAGTAACAGAGACGGTTTGTGGTCGATCGGCTAAAGGCTTTGTGGCGACTCCACGGCGGGGGAAGGCTTGCGAGTAGCTTCGTTGGAGCAGGTCAGGCCTATCAAAAGCGCGAGGCTCGTCCTCGAGGCTGTCGTCGTCGCTGGGTTTCTTTGCTTTTGCTTTTGTGTCGTTGCAAGGGAGGGCAAAGGAGGAGCGTCGAGGGACTCGAAGGTGGTTTCGTGTCCCGCTGTCTGGCCTCTGTATGTCGTACCAGATGCCAGTTGTTTGGTCGTAATCCCCAATTCCGTCTCTGGAAGGTAGCTTCGAAGTCTAGGAAAAAAAAATCAAGATGCAAATGCACCGCAGACGCAACGCCGAAGTTTGTCCTAAAGGAGAGGGAGGGGGAGAAGGAAAAAGGACCGGGCGATGATTGGCGCACAAAGGAGAGAGAGAGAAAGAAGGCAAGGGAAGGAAAAAAGGAACGATCGCGGATGTATTTTCAGGTGGCTTGTGGGTTTATTGGAGGAGGTCTGGCATCGAATGGGATTTGATGATTGGACTTTTTGCTTTTGGCCTTGGCTTGGACCGTGTGTGGCGCTTGATCGGGGGGGGTGGGCGAGCCTTGGGGAATGGGATGCGTGTCTCACCAGCGTCGTCTCGGGCTTTTTAGCGATTGCTGCTGCGTGGCTACAGGGCGCGGCATCGGTATCAGCGGGCCTGCACAGAGGCGCAATGCCCTGGAGCGCTAGCCAGGCTGGAGCACAGGCTGTGACGGGTACCTGAGGGGCTTTCTTACAGGGCGGGGAGGTAGAGACCTAAAAAAAGACGGATGGGCGAGGTTGCGGATACACGGGGCAGGCATGTCGCGGCGAGGGATCCAAGGTAGAGGCTACGTGCATGGATGGCGAGGGTACAACGGCAAGGCCTCGAGTTGTGACTTTACCACTACAGCGTCTACTGTGCTGTATCCAGTGCAAGGCAGCATCTGAAGCGCCCAAACGCGCTGTGATATTGCTGCATGTATGCATCCATATCTTTGCATCTCCCGCCCATTAATCTCACTCCACTCATCACCATCAAGCAAGGCGTGGAGGGGCCTCTTGCTGTAGAGCCAAGCAATTTCATCACCTGCTGCCGGTAGATGCGCTGCTGTGGATCGCGGCGTCCTAAAACAAACGAGCCCCTGTCGCGTCTGGCTTGTTTCATCGTCATCAGGCAATCTACCGCGGTCCCCCATCAATTAGATGTGCCCAGCAGATGGACAGCGATCTGCCCACTCTTTGGCGACGACATGGGTTGCTGCTGCTATTTGTTGATTCATTACGGCAAGGCTGGAGATGTCAAATTTGTGCTATTCTTCTTAGCCTGGTTGGCTGCCTCATCAGCAAAATGATGGTGCTTCGTATTCGGGCAGTCGTGCTGCAGCTGCAGTTGATTCTGGGGTTATGGGATTCAATACGAATTAAATGCAGACTGGCACTTGGAAATTGAGTGATGCCGCACAGCCTCTCCGTTAGATCTGTTGAGCTCGAATAGGAAAGGCAGCGTCACCGACGGTAGCTGAAGTAGGAACTCGTACAAGCCTTGTGTGCCCTATCAACGCGATTGAGACAAGACACGAAAAAACACGGTTGTCGAGTCTCGTAAATTCCGATGGCCGGAGCGCAAAAGGGCTCAAGAGCCACTTATCGACCGGAACGCATGGGAGGAGGGTTCAACTTGTCCAAAACCCGCCGACGTCATTGGCCGGCTTTGAAGCACAAGGTAGCTGTAGGACTCGAGCCTCTAAATGAACCACAAGTCAATGCAAATTGCCGTTTTCCTCAGCAGGTAAAATCAACAGCTTTGTAGTCGTCCTTCTCTTTGCAAAGCTACTGCCAGTAAGAGAGCTAGTCGGACACGACTCCAGCATCACGAGACTCGGCCAGATGCCATCGTCTTAGACATTGAAAACATGCTGCGCCTCAATTGCCCCCCCAGACAGAGTCTCACGCCCGCTAAAACGCACGCAGGTCATGCAGACACGGAGCAACAATGTACCCATCAGCCGTGTAGGCCTATGTGATGTACATGTAGGCAGTCAGCCTCCAAGGCAGGTCATCCATCAGCTCGCATTTCTCACTTTGTTTGCATCTCGTCTGATCATCTGTAGACCATCGATATCCATTACTCGCAGCTAGCGATAGTACAGCGGCACCCTTTGCCTCTCGCCCTGAATCGCTCGCTGTGGGGCCGCTTCCAAGGGATTTCACACAGTGCCAAGAAAGTGATCGACCTGCGCAATGCTTCACCACTAGGGGCCTTTCCTCCTGATCGATTGGGGATAAGATGTGCGGCGAGCAAAAACCAAGAAAATTCAAGCCCCTGGATAAGTGGAGTAGAGGACGCGCAAACACACGCCCCTTGTATTACGTACGCTGGATGTATCCAAGATGTGATTCGCAGCTGAGTCTTCTGTAGAGATAGCAGCAAGATACCGACCGTCACATGTAAGCCCGCTAAGGCCGCGGGTAAGGGCGATATGTGCGTCAGTAACAGACACGGGACACGGACAAAGTATTACGTCTCCTCAGACAGATTATTTGATACGCTCTGGGGGTCTATTCTCAACCTTGAAGAGAACTACAAGGAGCAAGGAAACGAGCAACACTCACTAACAGGTATTTTTTTAGCCAATACCCAAAAAAAGACTTTCTCAACGAAAAAGCCAAAAAGTCAAAAAGTAAATCTTCCGGCGCCGGGAGTCGAACCCGGATCGCCGCGGTCCTTTCTACTGAAAGCGCGGTATGCTAGCCACTACACCACGTCGGATGTTGCGTTGGACTCGGAATCCCGTGACCAACTGAGTTGGAAGCAGGGGCTGTAATTACTACTAATAAACCTATTGCTTTGGGTCAACCACATAACAACATGCATCAGCGACATCAGCCTCGACATCCATAGGTCATATCATTGCCATACAACTCCGGCTAGTCCACAGGATCCAATTCTAGCACTAATTCAACTCAATGTGTGCGATTCTAGCATTACTCAACTCAATGTATGCATTAAGACATGCAAACAGACCTCTCCGTCCGTAGAACTAAGCAATAATCTATATGCAGACATACTTGACCTTCTACTAGATACTACCAGAGCCGAGTTTCCAAAACGCCAAAATATCCCTTGCGTGGCATCCTTTTTTCCCTCCAGTGTCACGCCATAAAAGCCCTCCAAATATCTATCCTTTCTCCAGTGATTCAAGTGGAAAGCATATAGCCTACGCCAAATACTAATCTGGCTCTTAAATCGAGAGTATGTGATATCAAAGCCGCCAACCTTCATATGAAACAAAGGCAAAATAAAAATGTTAAAGGGGGTGGGAGAAAAGAATAAATAGGCAACGAAAAGTTGCAAAAAAAAAGAAAGGAAGCTGGTAAACAAGCTGATTGCTCAGCGCCGCAAAAGCGAAGTCGCCTGCGGCTACATAGTCGTACAGTTTCGAATTGTTAGTATAGCCATTCAGGCCCCTACCTGGAATCCTGTCTTATTTTCAGTCAGAAGCGTGAAATGTGCAGTGGCGTGTCCTATGGTGCGTGTAGATAGTCATCAGGGATTCCGAAATTCGTAAAAAGGTCACGCTACTGACTGTGGTTAGTACTCCGCTACAAGAAATGGGCCATCTCGCCCCATCAGGCTGGTCCAGACGTGGCTGTGACAATATGCATTTGGGGGGGAATTGGCTTCGTCCTCGTTGTTAGTCTTGGCGGGAATGGAAAAGAATCATGGTCGACGGCGCTTTGCATCTGCAGAATAAAGAGGTTAGCTTTTTCACCGCGTAATAAGCATATCAAGCATCGCTTTAGCTTACCTTGTTCGTCTTCCACGCCTTGTTCGTCCTCGGAGCGACGCCGTTTTGATAGGCCAGAGTCTGCAGCGGCCATCTCGTCTTTGGCATCGTCGTGGGCGTCTACATCATCTCTCCAGTCGATTTCAGGCATCTCATCCTCAAAGGCTAGATCCTCGTTGGTAATCTCTTCCAGCCCTTGATCTGCGCCAATATCCAACAGGGTAGAGATGGCTTCTGCGTTGTCGGCTAGTGTGTTGGTCGTGCCGGTTTCCGCCTCATTGGTGTCTATATATTCGTCTACTGGATGCATAGCAAGCTGATGTGAGTCTTGGTTGCCCTCTTCCACATGTGCCATGGTCTCATATTGAATTTCAACTCCGTCATCCACCATAGTCTCCTGCATCTCGAGGTGGATAAACGGATTGGCATCAGCGTCTTCATCTTCGTCATCTGAATGTAGCTGGTTAGCATTTGGCAAAACAAGCGCCGTGTGAGTGGTGGTGACTGTACCGTATGAATACGTTGCATCTGGCGCATCATCGGCCTCTGCAGTTGCATCCGCATGCCCGGAATGATTTACGGGCTCTACAACCACAGCTTGAAGCTGCTCGTAGCTCTCTTCTGCATCATCACTATACTCCCCTTCTTGGTTCGCGTTCTCCTCAGCATCTCTAATGAAGTCTTCAGCCTCTGCCATGAAGTCTTCGCCGACATCTTCATCTTCTTCTTCCTCTTCTTCCTCTTCGTCCTCATACTGATCTGCAGATTCCACAGGTTGCTCCTCGGCGGCTGAAGTCTCCTCTTCATCCTCATCCTCTTCTTCTTCATCTTCTTCTGAAGCCTCGGACTGTTCGGTATCAGCATCCGCACCTTCATTTTCTTCGTTCTCGTCGTCGTCTTCGGCGCTCTCATGAATTTCCGTAGCCTCGTTTGTTTCGCTATCCTCGCCATCATCATGACCGTGCTCATGCTCGGCTTCAGCAAGACCGTGGTGATGTCCAATAGGATTCTCAAAAAGATGAATCACTTCATCAAGCCCTCTTCCAGCCGCTGCGCTCTCAGACAGAAACTCAAATCTTTTACTAGCGCTCGATCTCGTAAAGAGGTACGTGTATAGAGTTCGTGAGCTATCAGGATCTTGATTCTTTACTAGCAAGTCAAAGACCTCCAACACTTGTCGCAGCGTAATGGTTGTGAGTGCATCATGCGCTGTCGCCTATAGAAAAGTTAGTTTGATTGCTGCTTCATCTATGTGGCCGGATACTTTACTCACCTCTGCAAATTCAAGCCCAAGTTCATCAACTTGAAAAACAAGTTCATCTTGTGCGGCAATCTCATTCTCCAGCTCTGATCGTAGTCCAACAAGCACTGATTCCATCGAGTGGTCCAAGACCGATAGATCAGAGAAGAAACCCTCCGTTTTCTCTTGGGAAAAGAATGGGAATTCGTCTCCTTTGTATTGCACAGTGATTGCTGGGAAATCAGCCGCTTCTGAATCCTGCTCTTCTGCTTGCGATAGCGAATCGTCTTGATGGTATGCCGGAGATGTCTTCTCTTCCGAAACTTCTACCGCGGCGTCTGCATCATAATCTGAGTCTGTAGCGTGAGCATGCTGCTCATACACTTGATCGGGGTCAATCTCAGCGTGGTCATATTCAGCGACAGTGTCTCCAACATCAGCTGCGGGCTCGTGTTCGCCATGCTTTTCTGCGTCATCTTCACCGTCATTCTCCCAGGTTATCTCATCTTCGTCATCTTTGGATGCTGGCTCTGGCACCTCGGAGCTACCAACGGGTGCTTCTGCTGAAAGAAGGCTAGCAGGCTCTGCTGTGGTGGTACTGGCGATATTTCCTGCAGCAGCCATGTCGTCATTTGAGTGACCCTCCTGCACGCCACTGTTTGCATCGCCCGGCTTCTTGAGAAAATCTTGTGTAACTGTAGCATCTTCGTCCTCGTAATCAATCTCATCTACGGCGTGCTCTGCCTCAGCAACAACTATGTCGCCAGTAATTGCGTTTCCATCAGTCTCATGGAAGTCTTTTGCTTGCTCTGTTTCCGGAGCAGTATCTTTATCTTGGTGCGACTCTTTAACAGCATCCTCAGCATGTTCATAGTCCATGTCGCCCTGCGGGTGGCTCACTTCCGAATGCTGAAAATTCTCTCCGGCTTGTCCAACTTCGGTGTATGTCGAATTGGCGCCTTCCATATCTTGGACTGGATGCACACGTTCTGGCGCACCTGAAGTGTGCTCATCTTGGTGAGATGAAGACTGTTCGTGGCTGTGGTCTTCCGTTGTGTCGATATCGTAGTCGATCAGATCCTCGTCCGCATGCTCGTCAAACTTCATTGGCGGCGCCAAGTCGACATCCATATCGAGTTCTGCCATGGTTTGCCACGGCCTCAAAAGTATATCAATAGTCGACTAGACAGATTGTGAGGGTTCTGTCACGAGTGCTTCGGTCGAGGTGGTTCTGCAAGCAGATATATGCTTCTCTGTTATGCAATGACACCAAATATGGATCTCGGAAGCTCTGGGATAGAAGCAGGAGGCGTTGCGCAGGGGCGAGAAGTGGATTGGCCGTGTTACGCCACTCACGATATAGTGTTTGCCGGCTGTTTGTTGCGAGCGTGAGAGCAACACATTGATATTCAGGGGAAAGGGACAGGGAGAATAGAATCAGGCGACACGAGAAACGCGTCGTACGGAACCTGGACAGGAGAGGATGGCCCGTATTCGCGGCGGCGTGGAGGGCTGGAATAATGATGAAGCTTCACGGCTGAGGCTAGAATGAATGCGACGACATTCTTTCAGCGAAAACAGCGAGCTTTGAGACCAGCTGGCCCACACGTGAGAAGAGCTGCCTAAATCAGGCTTAGTGTGCTGTGATTAGCCAAGAGCAGAAACGGGGCGAGTAGCCGTGCGGGAGGTCTGCAGTACCTGGCTTTTGATGGCAGATGTCGAGGATCCATAGGTTCTGAGTACTTGGCAGAGAGCGTTCAAGTACTGAGTACTCTATGATTTACCATGCTCAATGAGAATTACACGTCAGCCGATTCAATAAGCTTGTAGCGTCTACTTCAGCCCCTCGGCCCTCTCAGCAGCAGAGCCCCTCCACCGAAGCCAACCACGTGACGCCGCTTTTCTGGGCCAGAGCAGTAGCCTCGTCACTGAAGCAGCTCCTGAGTTAGACGTGGCTCAATTGAACCTCTGGCCGACGCTGACCATCCCACCAAAGCCTCACTTCCACGGCATTTCAGCGCCTTCTACTGCCAAAATGGTGCGCACACAGCTCCAGAACGATGCGTGCAGTGTCATTGACCGCTAACCGTCCACCAGGTTGTCCTTGCGGCCTCAGTTTGCACCCGAGGCGGGAAAGCTGTCCTCTCCAGGCAGTTTCGAGAGATGCCCAGATCCCGCATCGAGGCTCTCCTTGCATCGTTCCCCAAGCTCGCCGACAGCGGCACGCAGCACACCATCGTCGAGCAGGACAATGTGCGATTCGTCTACCAGCCTCTCGACGAGCTCTACATGGTGCTCATCACCAACCGCCAGTCCAACATCCTCCAAGACATCGATTCGCTACACCTGTTTGCCCAGGTGGTGACGAGCACCTGCAGGACTCTGGACGAGAGAGAAATTGTCCGAAATGCCTACGAGCTTCTCAGCGCATTCGACGAGCTGGTTACTCTTGGCTACCGAGAGAACTTGACCATCAGCCAGATCAGGACCTTCCTGGAGATGGAGAGTCACGAAGAGCGCATCCAAGAGATCATTGCACGGGTATGGGCCCTACTCTGTTTTCGCCATAGCAGGCCGAAATACTTACATGGGTCGATATAGAATAAAGAGCTCGAGGCCACGGAAGAGCGGAAACGCAAGGCGAAGCAATTGGAGATGCAGCGCAAGGAGTCGGCGAGAAGTGGTCGCCCCGCCGCGCCACGAACACCCGCCTATCCTACATATACTCCTCCCTCCCAACCAAGTGCCAGCGCCTTTGACTCATACGAAGCCGAGAAGAACAAGACATTTAACAAGTGCGCACCGCTGGCCTGCTCCGTTTGCTCTGCGAAAATGCTAATTGGTTCGACAGGCCGTCTATGCTCAAGGCGAAGGGTATGCAGCTCGGCAAGAAGTCAAAGAACACCGACATTTTCGAAAAGGTCCGAGGCGATCTTGGCGCCGGAGCCGACGATGCTCCTCTCATCACCCCTACACCTGCGGCGGCCGCTGAGCCAGAGGCACGCATGTCATCCACGCTGGACCGGGACGCTATTCACGTCACAATTTCCGAGACGATAAGTGCCAAGCTCTCAAGAGAGGGCGCAGTCAACTCGATTTCAGTCAACGGTGACCTTACGCTGCGAGTTTCGGACCCAAGCCTAACCAAACTCAAGCTCGGCCTGCATGCTGTCCCATCGCATGGCGCCCAGTTCCGCCCTCACCCGAACGTGGACCGCAACCTCTTCAACAACTCCAAGGTTCTGCAAATGAGCAACGCCGCTCGAGGATTCCCCATCAACCAAGGCGTTGGACTGCTGCGATGGAGAGCTTCGCCAAAGGCAGACGACGCAAGCGCATGCCCCATTACCTTCACTGTCTGGATCAACAAGGATTCCGACAAGTACAACATCACAGTCGAATACGAATTGACAGGTGGCGATGCCCTGCGTGACGTCAGCGTCATCATTCCTTACCAGGGAAGCGAACCTATTGTCTCCAGCTTCGATGCTGCCTACGAAGTATCTGGAGACTCCTTGGAGTGGAATATCGGCTCGGTCGATGACGAGAACCCTAATGGATCATTTGAGTTTGAAGCCGAAAGCAACGATGAAAATGACTTTTTCCCCATGACTGTCCGTTTCAACAAGACAACACCGTTTGTGGACGTTGACGTAAGTTGCATATCATGCCCGACGCTGTGCTAGGCCAAACGAATCCTTGACGCTAACAAATATCTCAGGTCACATCCGTGTCTTTGCTTGACGAAAACGAGGAGGTGACATTCTCCAAAGACGTCAAGTCCGCGGCAGACAACTATTTGATTGAGTAGATGACTAGAGAGATATAATACTAGAAGCGTGGATTGCTTTTTTTTTCTTTTTCAAATTTCTTCATGGGGATTTATAAAATGGGAGGCCTTGGCGCCTGGTGGCTCTGCTCCGCCAATGTGTAGAAGAGATAATGCTTCAAATGATGATGTGATGCGAAAAATCTATGCCAAAGGAATCTATGTGTCATTGAAGATGGATACCAGTGCGTTGGCCAAGATGAAGATACAACAAGTCCTTGGTTACACCAAAAGCGACCATGCAAGGATCTTGCTTATTTTATCTCTAATTTTTTCGAAACTAAGGGATGTCCAGTATATATTCATTGCCAAGTTTTATGCGGTTTTCCGCCGAACCAGCAGGTAGGCTCAAATGCCCACTGAGAATATTTTGGCATTTGGCAGGATATAACAGCACTTCACTCATAATACCTAGCTGGGATTCAAAAATTCAGGTAAATTAATAGAGTTAAAGACAGGCTAGATATGTTTTTCACGCTTGAAACACACACAGACAATCAGTTTGCCCACTCAGCAATCATCTGGTCGAAATCCACATCATACAACCAATCCATGTCAAACGGTTCAAAGTTGCCAGCTTTGACTGCATCGGGCAGCCGCCTCTTGTTCACCTTGTCGTTGAGGTCCAATACTCTATCCACACGCGCCTGTCTTCCCAACTGCCAGTTCTTCAACGCTTTACCGATCCGCACAGCGTCTTCCTTGTCGTCTTCTGACTGCTTCTTCTGCTGCACTTTGGCAACTATGCCGGCAAATGTATACACGTCTTCAAAGGCCTGGTTCACGCCTTGGCCGGCGGTTGGAGGGATCGCATGAGCCGCATCGCCGAGTATCACGACTCGGCCTCTGGCCCAGTTATCCAGCTTGGGGACAACGTAGAACGGCCACAAGTTGATACCCTTGAGTGGGATGTTGGACACGGCATTGGCCACGATGGGAGGGAAGTCGGCGCTGCCCTCGCGCAGAAAATCGACGCACCAGGTCTTGTTGTTCAGCAGCTCATCCCATCCCGCGCGGTCATACTCCTCCTGAAGACGCTTTGGCTTTCCAATAAAGACTTCTGAGCCGTCGGCGAGCTGCGGAGCAATGACAAAGGCACCGTGCTTGGGGCTCATGATTGTCACGGGCAGCGGGTAGTCGGGCTCTGCTCGGAGTTGCGCGCGAGGCACGGCGGCGGAAACGCCAATCATGTTTGTGAATTTGGGGGTGAGATCTGGGTATAGGTGTTTGCGGACGCGGGAGTGAATGCCATCGGCTCCGACGAGGAGCTTTGCGCTGGCGGTGGATCCGTCGGCAAAGGCCCAAGTGACGGAAGTGGAAGATTCAGAGACGACATGGTCAAACTTCTTCTGGAACTCGACGGGGATGCCGGCCTCGCGGACCATGGACACGAGGACGTTGATGAGCTCGTAGCGGTAGATGCGGAGAGCTTTGAAGCCGTGTCGTTCCTGGGAGCCAAAGTCGAAGTCATCAACAGGCGTGTCGTCATCGGAATGGAAGTAGAGCTTCTCGAAGTGATGGCCCAGGGGGGCGATGTTCTTGTATACGCCTAGGGCATCGAGGACCTTGAGGGCGTTGGGCGAGAGCATGAGGGCGCCTCCGATGTCGAGAGATGCCTCGCGGGACTCGTAGATGGTGCAGGGGATGTTTTGGCGGTGGAGGGCGAGGGCGAGGGTGAGGCCGGAGAGGCCTGCGCCGATGATGGCGATGCCAGATGTTGAGGACATTGTTTGAAGCTTTGGAGGTGAAAACAGTAGATGAATGTTTGTGTGATGAGTATCTTTTGGAGTGTATAATGATGAAGACTGCTGTGCTTTGTAGCTGTTGTTTTTGGGAGTATATGGTTTGATGAATTGAGATTGTTTAAAGGACCTAGCTAGTATATATAGAGAGAGAGAGAGAGAGAGACCGACCATATACCTAGGCAGGTATTGAACGTCAAATTGCAAAGGATCATGGTCTCGCCAAGTCTAACAATCCTTCGGACTTCCGACGTCCAATCCAATGTCCAGACAGTAAATCAGCCTTGTGGCGAGTCAGCCGCTTCTCCAAGCTAGCTAAAGCCAACGTCAAAGTTGGCCCGATGGCTATGGAGTTAGCCGCTGCTGCAAGTCAGCCGCCTAAGGTAGATACAATTTAGATTAACTTTGAGGGAGATGATTAATACTATGATTTATAAGATGGTTGTTCTTTTTTCCTAATTGTTCCTTTTTCTCTTACGAGTTGATATCTAAAGTGAGGGTTTTTAATTTTTTTTAATTTTATACAAGTAAATGTTCTTCGCTTTGCTTTCAGCAGCTTGGTGAGCCCGTCTCGGCCGGGACATCTGCCCCACTCGGCCGAGTGAGGTGGATCGGAGCTGAATCAGGCCGCCTCGAACCGAGGAAACCAGTGAGGTTGAAGGGGCTGAGACTGAAGGATTCATGCAAGAAAAAAAGAAGAATGAGTTTTTCAGGTTCAGGGGGAATATCGTTCGTATCTCCGACGGATTTGAGAGAGCGTTGGGCGTCAATGAAGCGATTGGGGGATAACAGGCCGAATGCTGCCTTTGGCTGCGTTGGTACGCCGTACAGTAGCATTTTGTAAACTTGGGATATTCTTCTGGATTCCTGGAAACTCTGTTCCTTTCATGCTTTATTGAAGCCTATCTCTATGGTAAAAATGAGTAAAAGATGATTATCAGGCTCCCGCCACGGGCGCTATTAATTGCTTGTAGAAGAATGCGCCATCCTTCAACGATCCATCAGTCGGCGAGATGCCATAGTTGGGAACCGTTCCCATCTAGGAAAATATACACAAATTTAGTTAATTGGAAAGACTAGATGCGTCATTAGGACCATGGAGAGGAATTACCAAAGTATAGCCTCGGCGAGGATACAAGTATTTTTCGGCTGTTGAGCCAATGTCTGTAGACAGCAGCTGTAAAGGCACATGTAAGATTCAACAGCCAACAAAGATAAGATCCGACCTTTTAACTTACCAACAGTGTTCTTTTCTCGTCTTTTGCAATTTCTTCCAGTTCATCAATCAGTTTGCTTGCCAACCCTCTACGGCGGTACTTTGGCGACACCATCAGCATCTCCAAATCACCCCGGAAGGGGCCCGTATCTGCTTCCGTCATGCCCAACTCCACAATACCGGCAATGTCAGTTTCTTGCTTGCCGTCCGAAGATGCCAATGCAATCAATGTGATTCTATGACCGGTAGAAATTTGGGAAAGGCGAGCTTTCCAGAAAGTTTCCATTTTCTGACGCTTTTCGAGAGTGAATGGCGGGTGGAAGCGTAGCAGGGCACCGTCAGACTCGATGCAGTCAATGTGCATTTGGAGAATGGCGGGGAGGAATTTGCCATGCTCTGAGGGGGAAAATCGAACAATGTTGATTGGTTCCATGATGGAAACGGTGATTAATTCACGTCTACCAATAAAGCAGAAAGTATGTACAAGTAAAATGAAGGGAAGAAGTCAAGACAGAAGCGACGTTTAAAGGATGCGGAGTTGTCAACTGGGCGATGAGACTATCCACAAATCGCGAGGAATACGGGACGGGACGCTTTGCCGGATCAGTAGTCCGTGAACGCGCGTAACAAAAGTTCACGAAAGCATCAAACAGAAAATAATACGTCATTGTGAGTTTAGGTATCAAGATGGGATTATACTGCCCTCAATGATTAAGCTAGACCGGGTACTGTTAGAGGCGTTGACGAATCACCATGGGCTTCTTGAAACTATTCTTGTGGTGAAGAAAGAGCTGCTATAGTGTATCGGCATTTGCTAGGATTGGCTGCATTAAGTTCAAATACAAAAAATCAATTATTATCTTGACTGTGCCAGATTCACTTGTCATGAAGAATGACAAGGTAATAATAGCAGCTGTATACTCTTTAACCACTTCCAAGCAATCAACTTGTGAATGTTACGAGTCTGTAAGCGCGGGGGATTAAATGAGTATGTAAGCGAAGATTACTACGCATATATTATCCACTTAAATATGGATGAGAGAGTGGGGTTTTGCGCTAGCTATTCTCTCTCTAGCGTTTTAGAGCTCAGCAAAAGAAAAAAGAAAAAAATTATCTCCAGGGGAGGATTTGAACCGCCGACTTTTCGGTGAGATGTAACCATTACAGCCGAATGTCATAACCAACTAGACCACCCGGAGTGTCTCTTTGTTGTAAGACATATTAACGCATCAACTTATAAGGGAAAGAATTGTGTTTTCGTGCATACAAAATACGCAGCAAGATTTGGAGAGACTCGGGAGGCTTCAAGCGCTTCTTATAGAACCTCTAGCTCAACACTTTAATTCTGGCCCACCCCTTAGTTGCCGACTAGCCATCGTGGCTTCATTTAGTACGAGCTAGAGCTGGCGCTTGTCCAGACTAATTACTCAAGCGAGAGGACCAACAACAATTAGACCCGTCCTAGTTCTCCGACGGCGAATATCGAGGCCGTTGGACTGGTTTGATTGGCATTCACTGGCTGCTAAGTGTATAGACTAATGTTGCGGACGTCTAAACTATCTTGGGCAGTATTTTATAGCAGTGAGGTCGAGTTTCTACAATACATCGTATGAGCCCGGCTGTTATTGTCAGCGAGTGGTTCGACAGTTGAATGATCGGATTTCATCGCGCAAGTCAGCAAACTTGCAACAGGAAAATCATCGCGTGGCTCGCTACCAAAGACACGCGATCGGCTTTGTCGGGACGCACCTGATTGGCTTACCGGAAGATGCTTGATCCATTCTGCCATCCTTCAGGTCTCACCAGTGCGAGCAGTGTCTTAGTCAGCGATGCACAAGAGCAGCTGCCACTGTACAGATAGCTACCCTGGATTGAATAGAAATAAAGAAGGAAACCGCCGAAATTGTCTTTACAAGCAATGCAAATAATCTAGTCGTGCTTTCATATATATATTGCCATATACTAAAACGCCACTTCAATTGCATGTCTTATACGCAGGCTGGAACCAATTTGCAAAGTCGTGAGACCTTTTCTCTGGGCTTAGAACTTAATTTCCTCTGTTTTATTGGAAAGTGTCACTACTACATGCATACTGTAAGACAATTGTGGAACATATTTAGCACATCTGTACACATAGTCTTAGTCCTTTGCCATCTGAATGGTTGATACCGGCATACTCATAATACTCTTTGCTCAAGGCCTCCAAGATATACACGTTGCGTGCAAGAGTTTACCGTCAGGAAATTCTACTCAATCTTGAGCAAAGCTCTTATGCTACAGGTGGATACCCTTCTCTCTGATCTCGGCCCCGTAATTAAATAGAGAGCAAATTGCCGAGGCTTCTCCATAAGGGAAAGCGGCAAGACAACATTGAAGAGCTGAACAGCCCCTGGTCGCTTTGACGCCGTGGAGAAGCTGGAGACATGGGTTCCGTATCAACGCGTCGAAATAGAGACGAGATCTTCTCATCTTCCGCCATCCGGGGGCATATCCGCCAAGTTTCGGGCAAGCTCAGCTCTGCTCTAGTATCTGTTGTGTCACAACAAAAAGGCGGCCCGTGGATCGCCCAGCAAATCAAGTGGCTGCGCGGATATATCTTGTTGGAGTGTGGCGCCGGCAGCGGTGAGCAATTGGAGAAATGAAGACACTGGCTCAGCTGCGCGATTGGATCGTCCCTTGGCGGTATCGCCGTGTATACGGATCATACCACGATGATTGCTAGCCATCTATGGCTTTCTAGCGTGTTGCCAATGCGTCTTGCCCAGCAGTACTTGATAGGCTTCTCATTACATGTATTCGTCTGTGCATCGACAGAGTGTAACAGAGTTTGCTGTGTCTCTGCCGTGGACACACGTGATACCGTCCATCATTTCAGCCACGTAGGGTCGACTGAGACATCCTAACTTGGATGGGAGAAGACGACAAAGCCGAGGAGACCTGCGGGCTCTGGATCGCCGTCTGGATGTTTGTATAAGGAACGAGGTGGCCCCGTGGCTCTCGGTGCTTGCTGAAGCATCACTGGCAATGCAGCTCTTGTAGAGTCGAATGCTGTAGCTGTCTGATATGTGGCATCTTGTTCGGATACTAGCTGCGTCGCGCCTTTGGTTCAGCGATGGCAATCCCCTTGAAGCCACTCGAGGTGGCCAGGGATCCTCATCTCGTCTGATTGTTGATCACCATGGGTTTCTCGACATCACAGAGGTGCATTCAACAAACACAATGGCTCTGGATGCAAATGGGGCAACTATTTGGGTGAAGAAGCGAGAGATGGATGGCGGCTTTACTTGTCCATCATTGCAAAACAGCTCATACCCACTGAATCTGTCTCTTCAAATTGACGACGATGGCGGCAGTTTCACACTTGGCCTTGTCAAAGTGCCGGATATAATCACAGGTTTGTTGATTCCTCGGATTCTGAGCATAGCTAGATGCCTGCATATGCATGCTTGCAACGTAGCTTACTGTGAACAGCTTGTTATAGTGTTTCGAAGCAAGTGTCCGGTCTCTTGAAGCCTTTGCCCGACATCTCTACCGAGGATGTGGCGTTTATTAGCAAGATGATTAGCAACAAATTTGTGCCATATCAAAATATTTCGGATGGCTATCCAAAGTCTTTCGAAGAGATTAGAGCTTTGGGGAGACAATACTTCCCTTTCACCTCCTATAGCTTTGAGCTCGCCATGTGTATTTACGACTGGACGACGGCATCCTTTGCGCGCATGACCTTGTTCAAAATCTTCCAGTACACAGACATCTATTCGGGAATCGCCTCTCTTCCTCATCCGTTGGATCGTGAGAGCCTTTCTATGAAAATTTGGCAGAGCAATTTCTCCGCATACACGCCAAAGGATCCCGATTTCATGCGGACCTTCTTGATGGAGCCCGCACATTCGCTCGACCATCTCAAGGCTCAGTTTGACAAGGTTGTGGATGACGTTTACAGGTTCAGCGAGATTGAAAACCGCCTGCTTGTTGCAGCTGCGCGATCCTTGCCTCGGACATCGCTCGCGTCCAAGGCGCAGCTGTTTAGCGGGCAGGTTGATCTTCAACCGCTCAGCACAAAGCATTTTGGCGTCGAGTTCTACGAATGCCCCCTGAACTCGGGTCCCGTCGGCACTCAGCTTGCGCACCCACTGACAGATGCACTTGCTAGCTATTTGTCTGTGGGAAAGGCCATTACGACGAAGATGACTTGGAGTTTTACAGATAACCTCGATGACGCGATCAAGTATTCCAACGGGATAATTCTTTCCCTGAACCCACCGTCTGATGCGTGGCTGTGGGATGATTTGTCGTTTATCACGCCCCTGTCGGATGATCCAGGCAAGATTGAGTATATCGCTTCCCCGGGTTCTCGATTTGAGATTCAGTCTCTTCATGAGGCCGACGTCTCGGGTGAAAGTGTTACTGTTATTGGGCTGAAACCTGTGTCGAGACGAGATGGGCGGTTGACGGTTCAAGGAGGATATGAAGGAATCCTTTTACACTGATTCATTGGAGAATTTATCATGATGCTGGCTGATGGAAGCTTTATTTTATTTTATTTTTTACTTTTTTGGGAGATTTTCTCAAATGCTGAGCAGATTTCATCAAGAGCGGGGAGAGACAGCTCTGTATAAAACTGGGCATGCAACCGAAAATGTAGTTTGGCGACGATATCTACGGAAAGGAAAAGTGTCTTTCAACACTACATGACATATATAATAATACTTGCTTGCTCAAATGTATATAGAAGGTTGATCCCTTGGTAGATGCTTAATTGTCAAATGGTTACCTATACGTATTCTCAACTCGTCTCCTCAACTGTGCCATTACACGAATAAAGCCTCAGTGTTCAAATTGATCTGCAGTATTTTATGTGGGATGAGCTTCTGCCTATATTCCTTCCATATGCAGATGACGCCGAAAACCCGCCATACACATCCCACCATCAAGCCGTGATCAGACTGACATTGGTTGGCACAACATATTGTGGATCTACACCCCTGGCTTTCGGCCTGTCACAACCCCATCAGGAAAACGCGGCGGCATTTGCTAGCCATTGGTTGGCTGTGATGCTTGTTGAACGTAGCATCATCACCAGCATCCTGCTTGCTGCCTCCACCAGTTCGCAAAGTACATGCAGTGGGTATAAACGCCGATTCGGACTTCCAAAGCTAATGGGTACAGATGGATTCCCCCCGCATCACTTACTTTCCCCAGGTATTGCGCGAATCCACCGTATCTGCTATTTGTATACGGACACTTCCATGTGTGGAATATTGGAGGACCTTTACGTTGATCCCTTGTGCTTGCTCCACAAGGTAAAGCCATAGGAAGTAGTCTAGTCTCGTTATCTCGCATCTTTAGGCAAATTGAGAGAGCTCATCCCAGGTTCTACCTTTCGAGTTCTTTGTCTGCGCTTTTTTCTTTCTTCCTTCTCAATGTGGTATTGTTCTTATGCTCATTAGAGCTGACCCCCCTCGTTCAAGATGTTTCCAAGGCTTAACCATGTATTAGTTGTAGCCCTGAAGTCCTCAGCTCCAGTAACAACAGCTGTATCGCTATTGGCTGGCGTTGTTTCCCACCATCTAGTTTTCCGACCGTTTGAGATTGATGGCTATGCTTGGCAGCTATTCTTTACATATCTCATCACAATTTTCGTCTTGATCATTGGCAATGTATACTTTGCTGGCTATAGCGTTGTTCTGGCATTGGCTCGCAGTTTACTCATCGCAGCTGCGTACAATGCAGGAGTTGTAACCAGTATTCTCGTCTATAGAGCCTTTTTTCATCCTCTAAAACGGTTTCCAGGACCATTTTTGGCTAAAGTTTCTCGATTCTATGCCATGAATCATGCGGCAAAGCAGGTACAAGCTTACAAAGACATCCAAAATCTCCATGCAGAATATGGGGATATTGTTCGAGTTGGTGCGTCTTCTTGTCAAGCTCACTACAAGGCATCATGAGCACTACAATGTCCAAGTATTGAACTTTCTTTAATTTTCATTGCAGGCCCCCGCGAACTATCCATCAACCGGCCGTCTGCTATCAAGGTCATCTACGAACACCCCACACGAACAACAAGATCGCCTTGGTACGCACAGGTATCGAATGACGTAACCAAGATATCTCTAAACTCGACTCGGATTCTGAAGGTGCACAAACTTCGTAAGAAGGCTTGGGAGAGGGGATTTGGCTTTCGAGGTATGAAGCGTGACGTTCTTCTGTCTTCTGGCCGCGTCTTATGCAACACGATGCTGATAGTTGTGTGCATAAAGCCCTGGCTGTCTATGCACCACGGGTAAAAGCCAAGGTAGATCTTTTGCTATCGAAAATTGCGGAACACGGTGGTCGCCCAATTGACATGACTGAATATGCCATGTTTTTCGGATTTGATGTCATGGGAGATATTGGTGTGTACCGCTGCCTAGTAGCCTAAAAGGCATATTTTGGTATATCCCGATATTAACCCTCCAAAGGATTTTCCAAAGACTTCTATATGCTCGAATCCGGGAGCGAGCACCCGGCCATCAAAGGCGTTCATGATAGCATGCTGGCTATTGGCGTTCTGGGAACAGCGCCATGGTTATTGTCTATGATCTCGAAAGTGCCAGGAGCGGCAGCGGGCTTTTCTCGATTCACCGCATGGTGCCACCAGCAACTTCAGGAGAAGCGTAAGGTGAGGTTAATCGATCAATTGCCATGCTTTGTTCATTGTACGTCGCATCGAATGCTAACTATTTCACAGGTTGTGGCGCATGAAGCGGCAATGTTTAAAGACCGAGATCCGCAAGATGTCATTTCTTGGCTGATCAAAGCGTTCAATGAAGGCGATTCGTCAGCCCCTCCTGGCGAGATGGCTATGCAAGAGGATGCTCGTCTCTTGATTATTACTGGAAGGTGTGCATACATAACCTCTGCTATCGATTAAACATACCTATTAACAAGGCATTTTCTCTAGCGATACAACAAGTGCCGTTATAACTAATGCGTAAGGAGTTTTCCACTGGATCTCCTTCTTTATACATCTGTTTGGCTTGGCATGTTTCACTAATATGATGGATGCAGGCTTTATTTTCTCGCGAAAAACCCCGATAGCTATCGACGACTTCAAGCAGCAGTCGAAGAGCAATCTCCGCCAGGCATCAATGACTGGAAGTATGAGAAAATTATCCCTTATGTAGACTATGTCATTCAGGAGACACTGCGACTCAAGCCTTCAGTTCCAGGAGGCCTACCTCGAGTAGCGCCTCCACAGGGTCTGATGATTGACGACGACTTTATTCCGGGCGGCACAGTTATTTCGGTCCCGACTTACACAATACAGCGAGACCCGCGTTTCTGGACAGACGCGCACGACTTTAGACCGGAAAGATGGGAAGATCTGTCTACTGAAAAGGCTCCGTGGATTCCATTTACTCGAGGCCAATGGGCTTGTCCGGGCAGAAATTTCGCCATGATGGAGCTTCGGATGGTCATTAGCCGGATCGCACTGGAGTATAATATTGCGATTGCTGAAGAGGATCTCGGAGAGAGGTTTGACAAGGAGGTCAAGGATACCTTTACTTTGACTCTTCCACCACTACGGCTGGCTTTTAGCCCTAAATAAGTCACATGAAGTCATCTTTCTTGGATGAGTGATGGAGTTGAGCTTTAGCATATGAGAGAAGAAACTCCCCTAAACCGTCTTCGTGTTGTTAGTCAGATACCGAAATCATTACTGGATACTATTGGGTTACTATTTTCCATAGTGCATGATTGCAAAATTTCTGCTAACGTGTCATTCAAATGCATCACTCATCCATTGCACATTTTCATCTCCTTAAATGTTCTACAGGTTCACCTATGCCTTTATTACAGCCAGCCTAGTATTGATCTTGTTGATCGTTCTACACTGTATGTAAACAACATGGGTAGTCATCTTTAAACATACTACGAGCAACGTTCACCGTCGGCATCGGCCTCGGGCTCGCGTTGATAGGTTTACTCACGTTTAATCAAGGTGCTCTCTCTGACTTCCTACCAACATCATGGCCATTACTGATAGTTACAGTCTATTATTTCGTTATTCTGATAATTAGTCATCTAACCGAGCCTAAATAACTATTGTTAAGAAGAAAAGCGGTCACTCTAGAGAGATCAAACAATATCAGGCTAAGGACTGTTCAGAAACTCTACACAAGTACTGGAAACGACATTGTGGTCAGCTTGTATTGTCAAAAATGGTGAGGTTCAGATAGGCCTTTCTTACCTAAGCAAAGAATGATCCATATATGCTCTTTATACTTCGTCATGAACCTAAGCACAACTTGCTGCTATAGTCCTTGACTTTCTTATAGCCAAGTAAACAATCTTCGTCGGATTTTACGTCCGCAATGATAAGTCTTAACACTTAAAAGAAGATAAATACCTCTTCAGTGCTCAGGTACTTGTAGCTACCTTTTAACAATAAGTCTGCATTATAGACTTGAGAAAATGATACGCTGTACAACAGCCGCCTTTGAGGCCTTGGAGGATGGGAAGAGCTCTTGTTTAACTTTAGCTTGAACATCTACAGCGGTTCTACTGACCAAGTCATCTTATAAACTTTCCATCGAATGACTTGGGTATTACATCAGGAATTCTGTGCTTCAGTGATTCAAGGATGAAAGGACAATTCCACGATTAGTATCCCAAGAACGGCATAGTCTACACAGCCAGTCTTACTAGGTAGCTTCGCAGCCGCAGAGGGGCAAAAAGAGAGACAACAAGACAACGAATAATACCAAAGCCAAAAAGAAAAACATACAACAGCCGGTGTTCGCCAATGGTCACCCACTTGACTACTAATCTGCCGGTTAGTGGCTTGTCTATGGGGGAGCAGACGGGACCCCGAATTCTCCACTACCTATGGTCGTATGTGCTAGGTAGATGAAATATTCTACCTTATAATAGGTAGGAAAGCGTTGAATAAACTTGAAAGATTAGTGCACTGCTCTAATTGGAGTTGAGTTGTAGAACATCTGGAATATTTAATACACTTATCTTATAATAAATGAAAAGTATGCAAAGCTATTGTAAGAACTGGCTATAAAAGAAAAGAGCTTGAAAAAATATTGGGTGGAAAAGGCTTGAGCTGGAATTGTATAAGAGTTCTTTAAACGCTGTTTCTAGCAGTAACAACAGTAACCTTTCTTTATATAATTAGGAGAGTTTGAAACCAACTTGATGACTGTTCTTATATACTGCACTAGGAGGCGTTCAATCTCCGGGATGATGTCGTGGAACCGAGCAATCATGGAACTAAAATGCGGAAGCTAAACCTGGCGTTTATTTGTAGCAGCTCTCAAAGTTTCGGGGCAGTGGCAACTGATAGAAGCTGGTCACATAATGACAGAAGTTGAACGTGATTATACTACAAAGGAAGATGCTGCTAAAAAAATAAATGAATTCATACAACGATGAGAATAACCAACCAGCTGTTGGTAGGATTGATGTTGGTTGTTGTATTTCGGCGACTTCCTAATCGGTGCTTCATCACGTGGTCCTCTTGATCTCTATTGTCACGATTAATTTCCCAAAGCTCCCTCCGCCCAACAGCGCTCCCATCTACGCTCGTTACCATCTACGCTCTTTATTTTTCACGTTCGCTACTATGAAGATGACTCCTTTCTGGGCGTCAATCGCCCTACTGCGCGTTCTCCCAGTCCTCGCTCAAACAACCACAACCCCAACCCCAACTGCCACCTCTGCAGCACCGAGCTGCACAGCTTCCCTCGTCACCAGTCTCTGCAGCTATCCAACACCAGGCCCCGATTTCGCCGTTGCCAGCGCCGGCAAAGCCTCCTGCTGGAACTATTGCAATGCCCACCCTCCCTGCAGCTTTGTCATCTTCGCCGCCGGCAACCCTTACACGGGCACAGGCACCTGCTGGGTGTACCCCGGTGAAAGCTTCGATGCGAGCGCCGGCAGCTCTGACTGCGCCAACCCCTATCTGTCTGTCTACGACCAGCCCGTGTGCCGCGGTGGCACGCCTACCTCGGGCGATTGTGCAGCGACTGCATCGCCCTCTGCTGTCGCCTCGGTTTGCGGGTATCCGACACCGCCTGATGATTGTTTCAGCACTTGTAGTGCTAGTGAAGGCGCATCGGACTGCCTAAGCCAATGTGCAAAGGCCGATTCCTGCAGTTACGTCGTGTTTAATCCGCATAACCCAGACAACTCACCCTACGCTTCGGGCTCTTGTTGGATGTATTCGAATGGTACCTACGACGCTGGAGCTGCGACTACTTGCAGTGGTCCGCCTGAGCAGTTTGTGTATAAGAACGCGTGTCCTAAGCCATCGCCTTCCTCATCATCTGCTCCAGCACGATCTAGCACTGGAGCTGCTGGAACTGAAAGTACTGCAACTGGAACTGTTGGTTCTGGGACTGCAGTCGTCGCTAATGCAGCGTTGGCTTCTACTACTAGTAAAACTTCGGCCTCTACTGCCCTCCGGTTCACTAACCCGCTCGCCATATATGTGGCTGGATTGCTATGGCAGGCTATTGCATAATATGTTTGTTGCTAGGTGTAGACAACTGTTCAATCACATAGTTAATCCAGTCCCTTAGACACATTGTCAAATAGCAGTTTATTATCACATAATGAGAGCACTTTGGCTTGCTTAGAATCTAGTCTGAAGCTGCAGAAGAGCTTTTCCCGCTGTTTCCAGAATTCTCATAAGAGACTTAACTACAATAAATATGCTCATGTGAAATATGTATATGTAAATGAGAATGTGCTTTATTTTGTTTCAGAGGTTATTAATATTTTGCAATCATCTGCCTAAGAAGACACATGATAATGGCAGTTGCTGCATTTCAGTAAAAATAAAATGAGCCGCTATACTATAGCACCAAGGACACTGTAACAAAGCTACTAGCCTGCCGAAATATAACTCAATTGACTTTGATGTTCGTAAAGTCATGTCTTGGCTTACAAAGGCAGATCGCGTTAAGCATACCAAGATGCATCATTGTCCCATCCACCACAGCTCAAACGCGACAACATTACCTGCCTCCGGAGAAATAGTGAAACAACCTTCAAATCCCTTAAGTACAGGTGTATTTGCGGTACCAGGGACGTACGAAAACACCCGACTATTTGGATACGGCCTAATAGGCCGGGAGAAAAACACGTGTCAGCAGGAGTGATCACCAGAATAGCAGAGCGATAAAAGCGTACATAACACCATTGAAGGTGGCTTCCGTAACAGAGCCATTCATGAGAATGCCTCGCACATGTACCTCAGTCATTCCAAAGTTGCATATTATCTTGTAGCGGCCGGGTTGGCAGGGTCCACCAGAACTCGTGCAGCTCTGGAAATCGGCAACTCCATAGGCATCCACCTGGAGACGCTTTCTGTCCATGAGAATCGGTGAATTTCCGGAAAAACCAACGTTGGATAACACTATGGCTCCGGAATTATTTGCTTGTGACACATCCACTTGACCTTGAGAAGATGATGCGAATAGTGGCATTTGCTGAATCGGTTGCGCTTGCGATAGGCGTTGGTATTGCTGGGAAAGAATTGCCATGGTCTGATCGCGCCCAGTGCTAGACTCTCCGAAGATAGAATCATGGTTAGGATGAATCACATCGCTGGGATTGTCTCGTTGGCTCCTCAGGAGATCAATCTCTATCCTCTGGGCGTGGATTAACTGATCTTTTAAACCAGATATTCCTATCTCTGTGAAAAAGAAAACCATCAGCGAACTTGAACTCAGCGCAGCGACACTAGAGCATATTTTCCTCATGCTTCGAGCCCTTTAACATGGACCTTGTTTCTCTCTCTCTTGAAGCGAGTAACTTACCGTCGCCCCGTTGGAATGCGCCACCTCCTCGCCGGAAGTGTTCTTGGAACTGGCTGTTTAACATCGGAGCAATGCTCTGTAGATGAGTCTGTAACATGGTATTCTTGCGTTCGCTCGTCCGCTTCGCCCTCCGTTTGCGCCACGATCTGTACTCCACAGCGACAGCACACCACGCGGAAATGATGCTGGGCACGAGAGCCACGATTTCGAGTCCAGACATGCTCGATGAGTCTTCCAACCAAAGGCACTTTGCACGAAGATCTACTCAGATGCAGTAATAGTATGAGATAATGCGACAAACCTTTATGGTTATTGCACGTTAGCTTGCCTGAGATTATAACTTTACTAATATACCAGTGCGGCATCTAAAAAAGCTACCAAAGTACATCTGTCTCCCACACCTCGGCGATTGTTTTCGCAAAGTCGCTAGCTGTTATGCGACATTGTTTCAGCAGCCGCTGGCCAAGGCACACAGCAAAGAGATGTAGTTATGAAGTTTCACCCTAAATGTTGTAGTGGTTGCCTGATCCTTCGTGGCGGTGCTAATCATCTTTAACCTAGTCAACAGTCGCTACAAAAGAATTCAGCCGCTGATGGATTTGAGACGCCTTGAATAAATAGTTATAGAATAGTCTGGTTTGCACTTGACGTGGCCAACCGCATACGAAAAAGATGAGTTTGCCTTGCCACACAGTCTCAGAATCGCTCGCAGTTGAGTCGATGCTATGTTGAACTCAACATGATGATATAAAAACAAAATAAAAACGGTTTACAAAAAGTCTAGCCCGTAATTCTCGATGCTTAAACGAGATCTGCATTGAGTTCTCACCAATGATGGTTTGGCATGCCAGGACAGAATTAAAGGTCGCCTTGGTACCACTCGCGACTAATTGTTACAATGACCTCGCGAGTTCAGCAGGATTCAAAAGTGCAAAGGGTATGACACGGAGATGAGATCTCACCTATATTGTAAAATACTTGGAGACTGGAATACAGCGAGCTCTATGGTAATACACTAATTCACCACCGTGCTACCTCATTCAATGGCCTTCTCGCTTTCTACTACTGATATCATCGCCCCGAGTTTCCCATCTCCATTAATGAAATGGATAACGTAATTGTATTGTTGAAACATTTGGCCTGGCAAAAAGCCTTTGTAGGGCTTGGCCACCCGTCCAGTGACGAAATAAGCAGAGCCAATCCGCTGGTGTTCTTCGTCAACAACCAGCCCGTCAACTTCCACTTTCAACTCTGTGAGAGCGTCTTGTAAGGCAAGATTCTGTTGAATTATTTCCTCTGCCTTGACCTTCTGTACGCCATTAAACAAGACTTCTGTAGCACTATATTCCAGGACAGATTCCTTGGCATTGTCTTTGGTTACGCATTCGATAAATTTTATAAATTTCTCCTTCAGCCCGGTTAATTGCTCAGGATGTTCATAGCCGTATCCTGTATCGAATGGCGTCCGAGGAAGGCTTTCGACTTGATCCTTTATCGACTCTTTATCCGTAGCCGTCAGAATTCGCACAACTTTACTATCCTTGTACTCATAAAATGTGAGTTCTGAGAATTCGAAGGGGCGTCCAGAGGGCTTGATCCCCATGAACTCTTGCTTGAGGGTGCCGCGCAGGATTAGGCGACCAAACACGAAGCTGTTGCGTTTATCGGCAAATACCTGGTCCAGCGTGACATGTAGATCAGGAAGGGCCTTGAATCCTTCCTTTGCTTGACTGACATACTGCTCGGCGGTCTGAGGCCGATGATTCCGCGTAAGCTCTGGGTGAAGCCTGGCCGTGATTGTGGCCCAGTCTTGCTTAGCGAGAGCCGCTACGTGGGCGCGGAATAGAGAGACAATGTCATCTGCGGCGCTGTTCATGGTAGCTTGTATATTTTATGGCCGTCATATAGATGGGTTGCTCAAGGCGAAAAAAAAAAAAAAAAAACTCGACATATTGTCAAAATAGGGTTATATAGTGCTGTTAGCAGTACGGAGTATATTTACTCGCAGATCCTTGAACCCCTCATTTCAGCGGGCGCTGCTTCAATCTAAGCGTCCAAAGTGCCCGTATTATGTTATCGAGTTTGGAATCGTAAGCGCCTCCTCGGCGTAACCTTCGGCATTATGACCATAGACCTCTACAGTAAGACAGTCTGCAGGTCTCTGTAAAAGTTGCTTAGAGCTAGAGAAGGATTCTTCAGATTCCATTGCGCACCAAAGAGCCCGTGGTCCACAAAGGATTTACCTGCCTCAGGCTGATGAACAACGGGGATGCCAAACTTCCTTGATTCATCAGAATATACAATTTAAGAGCGTAAAAGTCTGGAAAGTTCGAATCGCGCCAGCCGCGAGAAAAATCTCCTCGCTATGGATCTTGTGCTGTTTTCGAGCTGAACACCGGTGGCTTGCGGCTGTTGATAATAGGGGGCGGTAAGAGAACCTTGGCAACCAAGGTTTCGTTGACGATGGTGATACCATTTAAGGGAAGACATTATCAGCAATCTCACGGTGACCCTGGCTTCGATACTGAAAGAGGCTACGAATACCCCAGGGTTGCTAGCACTGCTGTCATTGTTAGGCATCAGCTTGACCCTAACTCCGTACTTCCTGCCACGATGCAACAGTTTCGTTGCGTAGAGGGAATGCTCGGTGGGTCAAACAATGCCCTGGATATGCATAAGACCGTCTGAGCCATACTGCTTGGGGCTGTTGACAGGGGCATCTTCCGTCAGCTTCACGTAGGGGAAGAGACTAGCATAGCTCTAGCGACCGTCGCCGACAGTCTCGACTCAAAGGTCAAGCTGGTCACCACAAATCCATCTGCCTGTTAATTCGTGTTAGTACATAAGACTTAGCAGCTATAGCGTCCTGTGTGGCTAGTTAATGTTATGTAACTAGAGTACGCGAATCTTATATGGCGAGTTTTACCTGAGTTGGTGATAGTGCCACCAAGAGTTCCCCGCACGACAGATCAACCCGGGGACTATCCAAAGCTCGCCTGGGATATCGTCTGGTACCTCTAGCCGCACTCGCCGCCAAAGAGGTCAGTATAGAGTTGGGGAAAGCGATGGCTGGGTTGCGTTTAGCGTTGCCTCCAGCTTCAATAACAAGGATGTAGATCGAAGAGTGCAAGTGGTAGAGGCAGGTTAGACACGATGACCGAGGCTGAGAGGCCACCGCCGCTCAGCATGTACTAATTTCGAAGCATGGCAGACGTTTCTTCTGCAGATTTGCAAAGGTATACTGCTCAGATTCGCTCATTCTTTGAAGAGCGGTTAAGCTAGCAAGGTTCCAGGAACGCGGATACCTTACCGCATCATCAGCCTAACAGAGTCTGGCTTTTCCGGGGTGGCTTCAGCCCATCCTATCTAGATCTGGCTGAAGAAGAAGGGATCCCCACATCTCGACAGGGGTAGATGGCGACTTCATGCGACGCTTTAGTCCTTGCAAAGCTTGAAGCGGTCTGCACTGGTCTACATCCTTATACCTGTACCTATTGCTCTTTAGCTCTTGTATGAGTAAGCCTCAGGGGGCTGTGCGTCCGTCTTATTTGGCAAGGTTGCTGTGATATGCTATCTACAAATAAATGGATTCAGTAATAACTTGATGCATCCTTCGACCTTGGGAGTTTTTCTCAGTGCTCACCTTGATGTGTTGTCAAGATCTAAAGCCCGACCACTTCCATTTTACACGCCTCAGTTCTTAACAAAATATAAGTTCTACGAGAGAAGATCACAGTGAAAAGGTTCTACAACTAATTCTTATTCGATTGGCTGTGACTACGCGCTCGCCGCTTTTCTGAAGCGATCTAGGCCGCAGCCACGACCAGGGCCAATTTAATACTCGTACAGGCCTCCCCCGTAAACTCATTTATTAGCCTCAAAAGTCTACGCCAGTCATTTTATTCGTATCGGCTGAGCCGCTCTAGTTCGTCGGGAGGATTCATGGAGATCGGTAGTTACTCTTCGTATAACATTATAATAGCCATAACACGCACTTTATCTTTTCCCCCTTCTTAATAAAAAGTGTATATGTAGTAGGATTAGGTCCACCCTTACTATCTTAACCAACCCCTTTCCTTTGTCCTATCCGCTTACTTAGGTGTAGATACAAGCTCTGCGCAAGACCTCAATAGGTACTACAATCATGTCAGGCAACCGGGCCCCATGGTTTAGCAGCGTGGGCGAGGAGGACGGTGTAGCGGGGCCGACCACATTACCAATGATTGAAGTTGAATTCCCACCCATCACAAGTTCCGGCTTGGACGTTGTTATTCTCAGTGTGGTGCTGCCTCTGCTTGCAACGGCATGGACAGGATTGAGAATATGGACCCGACGCTTGAGAGGGATTTCATTACTTTTCTTAGAGGATATTCTCTGCTATATTAGCCTGGTGAGTTTACAAACTAATGGATACTTGGGCCTTTAGATTGACAATTAACCGGGGCCTTTCAAATAGCTGGCATTTTGGGGCGTGAGCATCAGCTATATCTGCAGTAAGTAGGCTTTACGCGCACTCGTGGTAAAAGTATCAAAATTGATGCTGATAGATGCTTCTCAGTGGTCGTTCTCGGGGGTGCTGGATATCATATGCACCAGCTTCAACTCATACCTACCGGACGATACTTGAAAGCTAGTTTCGCATCTCAGTTACTATATGCTATCAGCTTGGGTTTTGCTAAGAATAGTATCGTGGCTATGCTTAAGCGCATCTTCTTTGCCCAATCTTATGCATGGATCGCGAACCTTATCATGGGGCTCAATGTTGTCTGGATGCTTCAAACCATCCTAACTTCTTTCCTCGTATGTCAACCCGTTAATGTGAACTGGGATCCAACTGTACAAGGCCACTGTGGCAACGGGAGGGTAGCCTATGCGTTATTCAGTATCTTCGATATTATCACAGATGTGGCTATTGTTATCCTACCCCTTCGATTGCTTGCGCGTCTGCAGATGGAGAAGATATACAAGATTGCCCTAATAGGCGTCTTTGCCTTTGGTCTTGTGTAAGTTCTCTTTTAGGAACAAGCAACCCAGACTGATCTAATGCTCAACTCCTAACACGCTGATTAGGACTGTCGTATGCACAGCTATTCGCCTTCGCTCTTACTTCGTTCTTGACATAAAAGATCTCACCTTCTCTGGGATCACAGTTATGGTTACTGGTGTTATCCAACTCTGCGTCGCTATTATAGTTGCAACTGCACCTCTCCTCCGTCCTGTATTAGACCGTACTATCGGCCGTTGGTTGCCCCTCTCTATTGCAAGAAGCTCACCACATTCGCCTTCTGATGGCCCTGCCCCTATGGGTGGCTCTCAGGCCAACAAACCTGCAAATGCCAGCCTACAAAACGGCATTCATACCCGCTCGAGACTTTCACCTGGAGGGAATAAGATGTTTCAGAGAATCACAGAGAGTGAGGAACATTTGAATTGGGAGTTGGGCGTAATGAATTCTGATAAGGGGAAAACGTCAACGCATGTGGGTTCAGACGGCGAGATCAACGGTGAAATAGAGATAGCACCAATGGGACATATTATGATAACACGATCTACAGAAATTACAGAGCATCAGCGAGGTCCATGAATATTATTCTATTTTAAGCTCTTTAGCCAGTTTTTTCCTTGGCAAGTTTTTTAAAGCCTATATAAACCCTTTGAAAGAAAGCAAGATTAGCCCTAGAAATGCTATTAACCACAGCACAATGACCTAAGAAGGGTAGTACTACTCTGATATCCGGATCAGCAGTAATGTGTGTTCTAATGACATGTATACCTTTGTACAAACATAATTGACGCTTAAACATATAGCCTGAAGGGGGGGCGGGAAATAACATATACTTAAGCGCATTTTGATAGGATAGTATGATTACGCATATTATTCAACATCATTTTTCTTATATTTTAGGCAAGTTGAGGTTCCGGTGTTTAGGTTCCGGATTTATCGCGGCCAAACTGCAAATCAAAAGCTCTTAGATTTTGAGACATGCGAGCCTCTCCTGCTACGATGGCCTCTTCTTGTGTCTGAATAGAGCTAAGGCTAGTTGGACAGCGTTGACTGCTGTCAGCCAGGAAGCGGGTGATGTTCTCCGAGTAATGTAGAAGGGATCTCAGAGAATTGCCATTACCAGTATCCGAGGTCGGACTGTCAGCGCTGTATCGGTCAAATAATGGCATAACTTTCTTGCCATTTACTGCCGCGGCCTTAACATCTTCTGGAATAGTCATGAGATTCGCCATGCTACTGATCGTATTTGGGTGCTTCTTTCTGACGTGTTTCGTTCTAGATTTAAGTATGTCTTCGTCGTCCATCCAACTACTAATCGTACTTCTGCTTTGTGGCCTTGAAGATCCAATGGTATCCTTCTCACCTCCAGCGCCGTCTGGTATCTCCTCTTGGTAGCTTGGAAGAGACTTGAGGGCTAGGGATCTTAGGTGCTCGGCGATGTGGTCCTCCAGATGACCATCAACCTTGGCCGCATCTTTGGCGCACATTGGGCACGATGAAAACAGCCTCACCGCCTTGCGGGTGTTCCTCTTCGCTAAGATGCGGAGCTGGGTGTCGCTGAGTTTGGTATTGTGGGCTTCCCGTATGTGTCTGATGTACTCTTCGCGGGTAGAAAATGGACTCAGCTCGCGGTGAGAGGAGCAGCGCCAGTGCTTGCTGTGCTGATGCAAATGGCTGAGCCATTCATCACGGTGGTTATAGAGCAGGTCTGCATCCTCGCAATTCTCAAAGAGGCACACATAAGGGTCCAGGTCATTTTTGACGTGATTTCTAGAAGGCTGTTCAGTATTATCCCTAAACGGTAAGAGCGTTATAGGTATGATGATTCCTGGTGGAAGGTTAGGCTACTCACTGCCAATTTTGCTCATCGAACATCTCTTGGGCTGGGAACGCATACAGGCAATAAGGACAAGTAATCACTCCTATTGCTTGGAGGTCTGATTTCAGCAACTTATTGCGTTCTGACTCAGCGTAATATTTTGCCGTCCCAAGCCTTAGAGCAATATTGTAATCAAATTTACGTTTGTTCTCGAGCTCTTTGTACCTCAGTTTTGCAGCGAGACCAGGAGCAGGTGGGAATATGAGTGCCTCATGATTACCTAAGGCGGCCGTCTTGCGTGCTGAAATAACGAAAGGGCTTGAAGAGGCTTTCTTGAAGTTGTCGGGGGGGAAAGTTATGGCACTTCGAATCTGTGGGAATGTAATTGTGTTCGCTGCTATGATGGCAGTTAGACAATTATCCCGTTTCGGATCGCGATGCGCAGAGGGTACACTTGGCCGAGCAGCTGATAATGTGATGGAAGCCTTGGGAATTGCTGTCTGCGGCTGGATAGAAGTATTCACTTTGTGATATCTCCTGTATAGGATTAGTTTTAGTCGAAGGAGCATTGCGCGAGCAAGTCTCTGTTGGATTATTTTGTTAATATTGGGAAACCGAGAGCCAATGTGGTTTTCGAAATAACCGAGTAGGAGAGTCTCCACACTATTGCCATCGTCGTCTGTGATCTGAAAATCTCTTACTTTGAGAGCCTGGGCTTCATTGCTGGCTCCGCGGATTGTTTTCGAAGTCTTGTTGAGGCGGCTGATCTCAGTCGCGATGTCTACAAAACACTGTTCGAGCCGTTCGTTTGCAGAATTCCGAGCATCCGATGCCGCGAATTTGCCCAGCAAATTAAGGACATCCGAGCCTGTGTGTTCTTAACTTGACTTGTTCACTTTTGGCGGTAGAGGCTGAAGAAAATCAAAATAATCAAGTGGCATAAAAGAGTGAGACCTACAAGCACGGATGCGGTAGTCTAGAGATTCCAGCAGACCGGTGATAACATTCTGCACTTCCGGCGCGTATCGCAAGCGATGATCTATGGACGCTCGCCTAGGAGCAAAGACCTCGATGCTCGCAGCCCATGTAGATAACCTCGCAGCTTGGTCTTCTACTATTGAGAATTCCCTAGGATATATAGAAGATACCCGGAGGAGACAATCTTGGAAAGATGCCAAGCACTGGGTGACACGGATGGCAATAGTCGGCCCCGCGTCTAGAGTCTCGTCCGCATCTGTCATGGCGATAAGGCCACTAAATCTAGGTGGTGCAATTGTATTAAAAAATGAGGTTTCATGTTATCGATTCGACTAGGTACTCATGGGCATTCATGACAGAACGCGATGCCTTAGAGACGAGGAAGGTCTGATGGTATCTCGTTGAGGCGCCAATGAACCCCTCTTTGAGTCTTTTATTATTGGTCGTTTCGAGGAAGCAACACTAACAGATAGGCTAGAAACTAGCGAAGAAAATACGCTAGAATAAACTATGAAGTTTCTTTTAAAGCTAGAAAAACCACCCAAGCTTCGGAATGTCTATGTAAGTTCTAGAGAAGTTTGGAACCGGAATTCTTTTCAATGTCGAGTTGATCTGTCCTAGGTACACGTTAGCTTGCAATGTCACTTTGTTAAGACCCCTGAAAGCCACCCGGTCCGAGCCGCATCTAGTGCCTCCCCGCCCCCGCGCACGTTTATAAGAGAACCTTAACTTCCTCATCAACAATGACCAACGCCTAGGCTAGTTCGCGGGGTGGACATCAAAATTTACGGTCGTGGGGTGATCGAAGGCGAGCGAGATGGCCACTTCCTCTGATCCCGAGGACGAGAGCTGCAATTCCGACTTGCTCCTGAAATCGTCCCAGTCAGTCATGGAGATGGCGCATATCGCTCGAATCAACGATGCCAACGAAGAAAACAGGGTCTTCTACAGTCACCTAGCGTCCCATTGTATCAGATTAAGAGACTACTCGGTGCGCATACGGCAGACCTCGACTCGAATAAACGGTGAACTTGTTAAGCAAGCTTTGGTCCACCTCAATTCCATCGTCTCGGAGAGCTGTCTCCAGCATTTGCCGTCAAACCCCGCCACGTTGGAATTTCGTCTAGGGATGCTCAACGTTTACTGGAGTGAGGCACGAAAGCAGTCTAGCGAGACGAGATTCGAGTTTGTTAGCCAATGGTTGACACCTGGGGAGCAACGAGGCGAAGTGGATAAAGCGCTGGAAAGCTGTGCAGACGAACTCGACAAACAACATCCAGATCAGGCTTCCAAGAAATCGGCAGACAAGTTCCCATCCCTAGACGTGATTGAACCATCATATGCCATCTGCAAGGCGGCCCAGTCGATCTTTGATGCATTGTTAGACTGCAAGGGATGCTCTTGTCCCAGCCAGCATGAGTTTGGGGTGAAACTCGAACTGGGCACGTACCGGAGGCCCAATAAGAAAGTCAACCAGAAGCCACCCATCAAATCTGTTCGAAATCGCATCCGAGACTTTCGTGGCGATGACCATGCAGCTGGGGATCTTGATTTTGACATGTTTCTCTCCATGGAGCGGGATTGGCACGAGATTCGCGTCCAGACCTTCAAAGATCCGGGGGTTTGCTCTACTTTTCCAGGTGAGTTGGCCTCACCTCGTGTAAGCAGCACTGAGGATAGAGACGGAAGGGTGGAGAGGCTATGCAGACCAATTATAAAGACGAGAACGAAGGCCTTGCAACGCCTTGTGCTGAAGCTCACCAGTGGCCAACTTTTTGAGATGAGATTTGAGAAGAGCAATTTTCTGATAGACAAGACCGCCAATCCAATATCTCTCTTGCAATGTTTTGAAGATCGACACGACTTCTTCACAGAAAAAACGAAGCGAATCCTTTCTCTAATCATCGGCTCTACAATTCTGCACCTGACCGGCACTTCCTGGCTCCAGCCAGGGTGGGGGTCGGCAAATATCAAGTTCTTCCAGACAACTTCGTACAAGACTCCGTTGCGGCCTTTCATGCAAACTCGGCTACCCAAAGCCAGTCCCGCCGGCGCAACTAATTTTCGAGTCGTCATGAATAGTGGGGACGTCGATGATGAGACATCGGACGATCTGGATTTAGGGCATCGCTGCCTGGTAATGGTTGCTCTAGCCGTGGCCCTCATAGAGGTGTATTTCGCTAAACCATTCAAACAATTGGCAGAATTGCACAATGTTCCACTAGTCGAGGTTCCCAGCGGCCGCATAACCCTCATCGACGTGGACCTGGTGTTCAATGGTGATGAGGAACTTGGCAAGGAGGGATGGCGATCCCACATTCCCGAAGACTCTCCTCTTCTCAAGGCCATTGACAACTGCTTGGATGGTGAATTGTGGGAGGACGAACAAGGCGGGCCCCTTGACAGTGAGACGCTCAGGTCGCGGATATATCAGCATGTAGTTCGACTACTGGAGCTTCACCTAATCCAAGGCTTCAGCCAGATACCGCTAGACGGCGTTGACGAATATGCCAGAGATCTAGATTTTGGGAGGTGGGGTCAGGTCATAACCAGCCAGGAGCTACCTCCTGCCGACCGCACACACTTCCATGTTGCCATCATTTGCGCTTTGCCTCGAGAAGTCGATGCCGTCACCCTGCTTTTCGACCAATTCTGGGACGAGGAGCGTGATCTTTACGGCCGAGCTGATGGCGACGTGAATACCTATATCACAGGTCGCATTGGAGATCACAACGTTGTTCTTGCCCTCTTCCCTGGCATGGGAACAAATAATGCGGCTGCTGCAACTGCTAGCTTGCGATCGAGCTATACCAGCCTTAGGCTCGCTATCCTTGTCGGTCTCTGTGGGGGAGTACCTCGCATCGCCAACCTTGATGCATTTCTAGGTGATGTAGTAGTGAGCAAGACTATCATCCAGTATGACTATGGCAGGCGATATCCTGGACGATTTACAGTGAAGAATACCGTCGAAGACAGCCTCGGGCGCCCCAACAGGGACATTCGGGGCCTGCTTGCTGTTTTTGAAACGGAATTGATGAGAAAGCGGCTACAAAAGGAGGCTTCAGAGCACTTGAAACATTTGCAAAAGACAGCTGGAATACAGCGACGGCGAGCACATTATAGTTATCCTGGGACTGCCGAAGATAGGCTATATTCCCCGGCATATGCTCACAAGCATCGGACATCGTGTGACTTGTGTACTACTTCAGACGCCTTCTGTGAGTCAGCTTCTGAGGCGTCGTGTACCGTGGCGGGATGCAGTTCAACCAACCTGGTTGTAAGAGAACATACAGTCGAAGAGGCCAATTTCAGCCCAGAGATTTTCATCGGCCGAGTGGGGTCAGGGAACACCGTTATGAAGAGCGGGGAAGACCGTGATAGAATCGCCAGCACACACAACATTATTGCCTTCGAAACGGAAGGCGCTGGAGCCTGGGATGAAATTCCGTGTATCGTTGTAAAGGGCATCTGTGATTATGCAGATAGCCATAACAATGAAGCCTGGCAAGACTTTGCGGCAGCCACTTCTGCAGCAGTCGCGAAGGCTATTCTTGGGCGGTATATCGTCCGCGATGGGGATCGGGTTTTTAGCCCGGGTTGAAGGTATGGCCTTATCTCATTCTCTTGTTCTTTCGTACTAAGATGGTACAAATAGCTCAGAAACGGCAAACGAGCGAACGTAATTTTTTCTCAACTCGTTCTGAGACAATGTTTAGGTCAACCAGAGCGGGAAAAATCTTCCACGTCAGGGTCTATAGCCCAGATTTCTGCGTACGACACTATCACTGCACTCTGATCTCTGTGTGACAACGTGCGGCTCAGCATTACAAATCGCAGTTTTTCTCCATTGTCATCTTTTGTCTCCGCTCTTCAGCCTTAGCAGAGGAAAAGAGAAATGAGAAGAGAGGAACTGAAAAGGGGGGAGGGGGGTTTGGAGAGCTGAGCTGACGGCTAGGCTGGCCTTTCTCTGAATGAACACGTGGTATTCTATCCATGGGAATTTGGAACCCCTGTCCTGGGCTTGCATAGGTCCCGCAAATGAAGTTGCACAGACTGACTCGCGCAATAGAGCTTTGGCCAAAGTGGCGACGACCTCGCGGTCACGTTGAACCCAGCATATCTACTGTCAGTGCTGAAACTGTACGATATGATGTCTAATGCCACAACGGAACAGGCACGTGTTCCGAATGAAGTATCAGAACGCCACCCAATCATCTAGTACTAACTTGAGGAGCATCATAAAGACTCGATCGTTCGTTATACAAAAGCCACAATGAGCGACTGTCGTCCTCGATCACTCAAGGATAACGACTAGATATATACGATTCGACCACTGCACTCATTAGATAGTTAGATAGCCAGTCACTAACTAGCAACAAGAGGAGTAATCTTTCTCGGTTAGAAGTACTCAGCTATTACATAACGATTGACTGCCCAGGTATTTGTTACATCAGCTTCAAAATGCGTGACTTATACCCATCCCAAAAGTCCACACCATACGGCCCACGTTCAACTTCATAGATCTCTATGGGGTTGCTCATCACATTCTCGAAGATTCCGACTCTTACCCATGCGCTCTGGTCTTCCGTATTGCTTCTCCTCCATCACGACACTTTGGCATTCAGAGCATAGTTGGCTTATGACTTTGGGATCCATGTTGTATGCTTAATAATGACTAATTGTTATTTTTGGGTTTAGAAAAAGAATCTGCGACGTAGCCAGATTGTGATTAGACAAGAAAGTGCATCCGGCTAGTCAAATGCATACAGAGGATACCAGAACGAAAGGACATCATTTTCATCTCTGCAACATGATGAGAGCTAGTACCCCTCTTTGGGTAGGGAGCTGGGTCGCAACAGCAGCCTCTTCATGAAATGGCCGGTAACAATTATAACCAATGAGATATAAGCCTTGACAGTCTTATGGGCTGTAACCTTTTTATTTCAATTGTGATGAAATCATTTTAAAGCAAAGTGCATCAGCCATTGCCAAAATTAAAGAGATAATGTTGATCATCAAATTGACTGAGTCTTTCTTGTTCGGTCATAGTTTGGTCGCGTGCTGTGACCAATCCTGTGTCCGTTTCCATTGGCAACTCCGTAGGAAATTGAACATGGGCGGCCAATCAACATGCAAACAAAAGCGTATTCTATAGAATTCAATGATATGTATCTAAAGTGAATGCTTTGCCTTTGCAGCGTTCTCAATCACAAGGCCCATGAGTCGATTAAAAGCCATCTGGTCCTTGCCCCTTCCAAACTGCTCGTCATTTGCCTCGTCATGTAGGCAGAGCCAGCCATACTTGTCGTCTATGTACCCGTATACCAGCCACCGCAAGCTTGGGTCGGCCTTGAGCTTCCGGCGAATCTCCTGGAAGTTTTCAGGCTCGTCCTCAAACCGGTAGTCGGGCTCGAGTTCGTCTTCATTCCGGAGATAGCCAAATCCAGCATTCAAGTCGGTAAGCGCGGGCTCCGCCTCATAGACTGCATCAAAAAACTCGGCCCACGTTATGCCATCGTCCGCCGAGTCAAAGTCTGCCGGGTTAGTGCTAAACCCACTGACACAATCCTTGACATCGAGGGACTTGAGAACTTGAGCGTGTTCCTCTATGAATGAAACCAACTCCGGGCCGACGAAACAACGTCTTATCTTGAGCGATTCCAGCAGTGGAAGATCTCCCGGGTTGAGCGCAAGCGGAGTGTGGTTATGCCCTTCGAGGCCGATGGGATCAGAGGCAATGATTGTGAGGTGTTTCAGTCCCGTCATGTGGTGGAAAAAAGAGGAATCCAGCTCAGAAATGAACTCTAGATATCCCCCCATTGTATTAGTCCTCCACCCCGCGCCGTTATCAAGGCCGAGGAAGTCGAAGCTTGCAGACTCAAGCCGGGAGAGAAATTGACGGAACTCTTGTGTGCGGAAAGCAGACGTCCATTTGGTAACAAAGTTGTCGATGATAAGCTCTCTCACATGCATATTGGCTGCCAGCGCCCGCCAAGTCTCATTCATAAGAGCCCGCCACTGCCATGCCTCTTCCCTCTCTCGAATGTATTCTTCGGTTTCCGCGTCTCGGAATACATATATTGAGCCCCCCTCCAAGGTATCCCATGCTTCATCACTGCCATAATCATAATCAAAGTTGATACTGACAGTCTTTAAATTCGGAGTGAGATGGCCTTGCAAGACTTTGACTGCGGCTGGCGGGAGGGCGGGCGGCATCAACTCAGCATTGAGGCCGCAACGAGATTTGAACTCGATGCTAGTTGTGTACTGGCCGTGAGCCTCGACGGCGCTCAGAACGGACCGCGCAACTCTCTCATCGTTGGTGAGGCGAATTGCCCGGAAGATGTCTGGCGCTAATTGAGCTCGCCAATATTTGCAAGTAACACTGAGGCTGATTATGTCCCCGGCTTCGAGGAGTTGGAAGACCTGGGAAGCCAATTCCGGTGGAAGAGCTGAAAGAGACGCCATCTCGGATTTGCCTGGACGCGTACATGAACGCGAGCTAGAGCAACGTCATTTCCATCGAACTAAATATCTCGTCGCTCAACGCGTAGTCATGTGATCGTGACGGTGGTTGTGATGGATTCGCTGCGCTGTTGCCTGGCGTGCCTGTTTGAGTCCATCGTCTTGAAGCCGGCATGTTTAGGCAGAGATTCACGTGTTGCTTAGCTCGGGCTGGTCGCAGGCAGCACCAGACTAAGCGATTCCACTAAGCGAAGCATGGCAAGATGAGAAGATTTTGGATCTTGAATGGAGAGTTTTCCACTGTCTATAGTCGTATGTGCCTGTCTAATTATGTGTATCTAGCCAGTTTGTAATAAAATTACCAAGTGATCATAGCCATGAGCGAGGCGCAGTAACACTGCTGTGTATTGGTATTTGATGAGACTAGTGCAACTAAATAGTGACTGCTATGGCACTTGTACATATAAAACGTCTGGGGTGCGCAGAATCTCCTTTGCAAAGAAACTTGGCTCGATGTCTCATCAGGAGAGCCGTATATCTTCTTTTCTCAATTGCAATTTGATATGAGGAATTTCATCAATATCGTTACATTTTAAAGTTCAAACAAGGCGTTTCTAGGCCCCATCGATGCATTGCTCACGAGGACTCGACTCCTCGCGTCTCCAAGCCGCCGATTCACCAGAGCCTTCTTCAGCCACAACGCCGTACTTGTCATGCCAGAGCTTCTTCATCGCTTCATAGAGCAGTAGATAATGAGCTTGGCGATGCACCATATTTTGGCGCTGCTGGTACAGGATCTCAACCGTGTTATAAACTGGATCGTCACCCTCCTGTGGCAGATTGTAGCTCGCAAGAGCTCCAAAGTTTAGCTCTCTGATAAGGTGATCAAGAGCAATAAACACGCTTGTCCGGCCACTACCGTCGTCGCAGTGAATAATGCGCGGATTAGACGGCGAATTATGTTGCCACGACGACTTCATTACTTCCACGAGGCCGCCCAGGTGATCCAAACTATAAGGAGAATAGGTGTCCCATCTCGTGTAGAGATAATGCCAGACTACCCGCGGTTCCTCTTCTCCATGTACATGCAGTAATAGCTTAGACTTTTCAGTCCCGCCGTTGTCAATCTCTGAAGAGATAACGCTAAGTTTTGCTTTCCAATCGTCGCCCCACAGATTTGATTTGTTAAGATTCCAAGGTTCTTCATTCTCAGGAAAATATAGAGTGCTCATCGTCACCTCAACCATGGTTGAAATTTGGACAATGACTGCCGGTGATGATGTTTGCTCGGCAACCATGCGCCAGACATGGTCAATGGATGCTCGAGTAGGTTCCTTCATCGCGATATAGCGCAGTGGAGGTTGGCTTGGGTGAGACGGAGATGTCAAAATGATGGGGGAGGCGTTGACGTAGTCGGAAGTATTTTCAGGAACCTGTAGCTTAACACGATTTTGGGCGAAAGGCCGGATGTCATCATAGCGATCCATGTTTGTGTGGCCATCTGGCTGCGTGTAGACGGCCCATCGCGCTTCTCCCAAGTCTTGTATATCTTTCGCCCGTTGGGCTCGGTTGGCCCGGCCCAGCTCCTGGAACCTATCTTTAATATCTGTGCAGTCCCGCGCACAATTAGCAAAGATATATATATATATATATTTTTCGTAATCGCAAGGAACATGTAAAATGTTCGAAGGAGATGTTACGCACCTTGCTCTGAGAGCGAGAGAAACGCTGGCAAGACGGGCGGCTGGTTGTCGTCGAAAATAGGGAGGCAGCTCTTGCAAACTCTGAGTGAGCCCGAATAGGTATTTATTTCAGCTTCATTTCCATCGCCACTCCCAGTTTCTCCTCTCTCCAACAAATCCGCCAAGTAACTCAAGTCGTCTCTAGCGCGGAGATTCTTCTCAAGGATGGATTTCACCGCCTCCCACTCCCGCCGCGACATCTTGTATGCCTGCGGAAGAAGAAACTGCACCGTAGGCACGCTGGTGAGTAGCGGCCCCAAAATCTCCTTGGCCATGTTGGCGCCGTCTTCTTTCTGATCTTGCTTCCTCTGGCCGTCAGGGGTTGACATGACTGCAGTGCACTTGGAATCAAAGAATAAGCCGCAGGCTCGACAGCGGTGCCTGGCCTGGAACGGTGCAAATGAGGTCTTGCAAAGAAAACACTCTTTCACAGCATCGCCCTCCATCGATCTATTTTTGTTTGGTGTTTGTTCGCGCATCTTGTCTTGGACGTCTATATGGTCTGACGCTTCCCGGAGTTCGGCTATGATACTTGAGCTGCGGATATTGCTAGATTCCAACTGTTGGAGAGTAGATTCTTGAACGAAATGATGATCAGTGTTACTTGAACTGGCATCAGCTGTTCTAAGGTCGTCAGATGCGTCTCTCGGGACTGAGTGTATCTGAGCAGGAGGCGGCTGGATACCATCTTGAGCCACCACAGCTGTCGACGGCGTCATTGGCGTGGCATGTGGTGAAAGTCCAAATTCCATCTCGGCGCCTCTGTCGAGCAATAGGTTGGCTGCCACTTCATATCCCCTTTCCATGGCCCATGAAAGAGGTGTCTGGCTGAGAGTTTGTAAAAACCAAATCTCCGCATCCTCATCGATAAGCAGTTGGACTATGGCCTCATCTATGGTATAAATGGTCTCCAGAGACCATGAAAGCGACCCCCGTCGTGCAATGAGCTTGTGATATAGCTCGATGACTGGACTAATAGATTCTATTTCTTGTTCGATGATTCGCGCTGAGACTTGTTTTCGCTCAAGTTCCAGCACTTTTTCCACGAGGAGGATGGCCAAAGTAAAGATCCCACTGGCCTTCTCAACAATAATTGGCAGAATGTTAGTTGCCCTCAATGTATCTTCAGAAATTTGATCCAGCATGTACAATGTCATATCACCCTGGTTCTCGTTCTCGGGATATATTTGCAACGAACGGTTTGGATCCAAGTGCATTTGACCATGACAGGTCAGGCAAATGTGGGCCTTTTTCGAACTGTCAGATGACGGGGGAATTAAAGCCTCGAGCTCTTCAGTAAGATTGGCGATAATATCTTGGCTGCATACTTCTAACGAGTCGATAAACAACCAGATCCGGTCACACTGGCAGATTCTTGAAACAGCTATTACGAAGAATAGTCGCAGAACATCCGGGTCCCAGCGCCATGATTCGCCCGTTTCTCTGCTTTGTTTGCGTCGCTGTTCAAAGGTTCTAATAAGTTCAGGTAATGCATCGGGGGCCTGTCCGAGAATTTGAAAGAGAAGAGACTGGTAAAGACTGCGCCGGGCATTTTGGAGCTCATCGCTATAATTTCCGAAAAAAAAAGAGATATAATTTCTGAACGAAAAAGAGAGGACAATATCGCTAGCCCCAGAACTGGTGTTTTTTCGAAGGTTTGCAAGAAGACGGTTTAGTAACGTGGATTTTCCTGAACCCGGTCTACCTCTTATCCAGAGCAGCATATGGCGGCCAGCAACCCAGTCCAAATATTCCTTGTGCTGAAATACCCACTCACACCTGTTCTCTGCAATGGGATAGAAACGTCTGGATTCCTTGCTTATTTCTGGAACGGCTAGCGAGCTCATACAATCTTGGAAAGCCTGTGAATCCTCAATCGGGTTAAATGTACTGAGAGCCTCGGCTACTTTAGATATCGATGGTGGAATATCGTGAGATCGTGATGAAAGCGATACAAGGAACGATCGAAGATGCTCGTCTCCGAGAAAATACTCATCTGGCACAGGGGAGCTATCATATGCAGCAGAAGTCGGAAACATCTCCTTCCAGAGATCCGGGTCTGTATCACCTAGGAGTATCGGTGTTATAAGATCCATCTGGGTTTCCATGCCTTCCGCTGTTACTGCAATCGATACATCTGGCAAAGTTTCTGTGATGCTTCTTCCTCGACTTTTGCAGTCACAGTCCTTTTGGCCACAAATCTCGGGAAACTCCCCTAGACCTTCAAAGTCTTCAACGTTGGCACTTTGGCCTGTGACAGCAAAACTTTTGAGGTCGTCGTCTTCGTCCAAAATATCCTCTCGGTACGGCGGAAGGAAGAGGGCGATGTCCTGCATATGCTGTTTAATGTGCTTTCGCAACGCCTTTTGAGCCTCTAGAGTATCCGAGTCTGAGAAGAGCTTTTCAATAACATCAGGATAGCCCCCGCAGAAAGGGCAGCTCTCAAACAAGTATGGGCCTTTGCGTCGACTTGCTTTCTTCATAATAGATTCCATTTCAGTGGATATTTCTCCGTGTTGTGCAAGATGATGTTCAAACTCTGTCTCGTCAAACTCCTCGTGCTTCCCATCTGGCATATCGATGTGATAACGTTCTTGAAGATGGCTTTGCAAGTGCTCTAGCAGGCCATCAAAAGAATTGGGCACATCAAATGGCGCTTTACAGTCCTCCAAGGTGCAGAAATACGGCTCGAAATCTTGAATGACGTGTTGGCTGTTGCATGACTCAACTAATCAGCGATGAGAATTCTTGGTATTCAGCTGAAACTCACCTCCAGCGCTCTTTCCCTGCCTCGTTAGCACGAAACTCGAGTCTACAATAAGGACACTGAAAGCCATCGCCATAGAGCTTAGGAGGCGGCGGGAATCCGGGATGCCGCAGCGCTACAGAGGCGACGCTCTCTGCACGTTCTTGACGATTTGGCTGGGGCTGCATGTCGAGTTTGGTATTCACTGTAGCTGAGTAAATGGTGTGCTGGTCATGTGGAAGACGCTGACTGAATACATCTGCTTCTGCGTCTGCTTCCTGTATTTTGACAATATGCATTGGCCTATCATGGTCTTTAGATCCAGACAGAACCTTGGCCGGCGAGGATTGCGACTGATGGACAGTCACTTCAACCGCTCTCTTCTTTTGATGCTCTGCCAGGTATTCGAAGCGAATTCTCCGCCTGGCGAATGATTCCCCTATTCGCTGTCGAAATGTTTCAGATGCGGACGGGAAGTAACCTTTAGCTGCTCGGATTGCGAGTTCCTTGTACCCTTCATACGCCCATTTCGGGCTTTCTTTCTGTCGATAAACTTCTATCCGCTCCCTTCGGTGTTTGGCTCCTGCGCGGTCAATCTGTAGTGCGTGGCCATGTAGTCGATCGATTGTGTCTGCGATATGTGTTCGCAACGCCGCATGACGTTCCTCAGACGCTGAAAGGAGATCGTCGATGGCGCCATCTGCCTTAGCCTCCGATTTCTCAGAGGAGGAGAGAGACATAAAGGAGAGCGATGATGAATCTGATTGGACATCTTCATCTGAGCCATCATGGTTGTTAACCGCATGTTCAGGCTCTTTGTCGGGTTGTTGCAGTTCTAGTCATGGTTGCTGCCGTCAGCATCCATCAACGACCCCTCCATTTATAGCATGGGAATAGAGAGGTGACAACCTGCAAAATCATGTAACAGCGACTGAAGGAGTTGCTTTAGAAGCTCAAAAATTCCTGGTACATCCTTCAATCTTACATCAATGGCTCTTAGACCCTCGCCGTAGACTCCAGCTTTGGTGCACCATAGGTTAAACTCGGCGGATTGACGAGAAGCCCAGAACCCTTCTCTAGCTTTAGCAGCATCTTCTTGAGATTCCTCATCCTTCAAAAGTTCTTGTAGATGTATCTGGCAAGCCAGCGCGACATGTCCGAGACTTAAAGTATCTTCAGACATGGCCTCGAATTGTCCTTTAATGTCCAATGCTCAGGAAAAATGTCGCCTTATTCATGAAGAATGGTCGAGAGCTTGACAGGTTTGAGCAGTGTCTGACAGCAGAGCCTCAAGTACATGCATGGCGACAGGGTTGTGGGCGGAGAAGATGATCCTAATGGCGGGGCAACAGTATTACCTGTACATGCATGAGCTCCAAATATTCAATGGAACTCCAATTCCGATTCTCTCACCAGGTCACCCTCATCTGCCTTTTTTTTTCATTTCAGCTTCATCGCATTTCTCTGCTACGACGGCATGTCGATATAATGTGGCAATTGGAGCTTCTATCTTGGGTGATTCCCGCCTTTGGGGCACTCGCCAAAGAGTTCATTGATACCGGGCCAGACGCAGATCTATTCCGCAGTGCACAAGACTGCTATTCCGACTTGGTAAACATAGGATTGGCAATATCTACATCCCACGGAGAATGGGTTTCTGGCCTCGAAGACGAACAGATTAGCAGGCTATTAAAAGCTCTCGAGAGCCGCATCCCCAATAGACGGATGCCTCTTATCTTCACCATGCCGAGCAAAGTATGTTTCAAATCTGCCAAATTAAAGGTTTGTGATTACGGTGGCTCACCACCATTGATTAGGTGAGCGATATGCAGCATGATAAGTCGGGCAAATTCCCTCGCCTAAATAAGCTTGCCGAATGCATCCAGTCGGAAGATTTAGGAGGTTATGATGAATGCTTCGAATTACAGGGCCAGTCAAGCGAGCTTCGCAATCAATACTTGAGCATCATCGGCCACAGCGCTCCTCTGTTTCATAAAGAAGAGAAGAGATGTAAAGCAGAACGCGACAAATTTCTCAAAAGGATTAGAAGAGCTACAGAGCATCTCTTGGACGTGTATTTCCGGGGCCCCTGCGGAATGGCGGAGGAGTTTGATCTCTCCAGGCATCCTAGCTATGGTATGAAGGAGATAGCTGACAGAACGTACGGCCTCTTAGAGCGGCATTGGAAGTGCCATTGCGTTCAACGCGCAAAGCCATATGGACTGAGAGAGGCGAGGCTCAATCTATTTGCACATCGTCGATCATCATCAAATATGGCACAACAAGGAATTACAGCGCATGATCATACCTTGGCCAAATTTGAGGTTCTCTTACCTATTTGCAAGGATAAAGTTGAGTGGAAAGTGACGAACGTTGAGGTCGTCAAACCTCGGTGAGATGACAGCTTACAACATTGAAACTAACAGTCCATTCTCTAACTTGAGCGCAGACCTGAAACGTCAGTATCGAGAGCTCGACAGTCTGTCAACAACGACATCTGCCATCGGTTGTCGAAGAGCCAACACTTTCAAGTCGACTTTTTGGCTCAGAATGACAAACTATGGCACCTCAAGCCCAAGCCTTCAGAGGGCGTCAACCACCACACTCAGATGGAGTCTCTTCAACAGCTCCTAGGGGATGGCGTTTCAGTTTCAGATTTTTCCAGATATACGCCAAAAGACAAGCTTGTTCTCTGCTATATTCTAGCCAACTCTCTGCTATTTCTATATCCGGGCTCTTGGTTCCAAACAGCATGGAGCAGTGACAAGATCTACTTCGTCCGCCATTTCAGTAACTCGACGTCGCCGGCATTGACGTTTCCATATCTGTCTGTCGCATTTCAGCAAGCCCAGAATACTTCGCCAGACCACATGCAGTATCATTCCCATCCTGCAGTCTTAGCTCTTGGCATCATTTTTCTGGAGATCGCCACAAACGCCAAATTTACAAGAAGATCGCAGGAGCCAACTTCGTGGGAACAATTCAACAGCGACGGCATGCAGGCCCTGCAACAACTTCAAGAGCTGGAACGTCAAATCAATCGCGATCGTTCCAAGAGGATATCTCGAGCCTTGACCAAGGCCATACGTTCATGCCTAATACTTGAACCGCCATCAAACTTCCCATGCAAGGTACTGTCCGAGGAGGGTCCAATCAGACAGTACATATTTTCATGCATTATTCAGCCTTTAGCTTCAGATCTCAGCGATGGATATCAGGTTTCTCTAGACAAGCTACACGATGATTTGATGTTGGAAAAGAAGAGAGAGATTCTCGATCAGCCAGGCGCTAATGATAGAGGACTATTCTCAACAGCAGCAGACGTGACTTCAGCCAAAGCTAAAACAACTGGTATAGTCTCCATTCCTCATCTTAAATGTCGTCTAACTCTTTATAACTCTTTGCTTGCACCAGAACCAGCGATCAATCTCATAGAGACACGTGAGCTATGTCTTCTTGGGGGAAATGTAGGCAGGGACGTGCGTCCCGAAGGCGACAAGTGAGTGATGGTACCACCATGGGCTCTCCCCATAACTAATAGAATTACACGTCATTCAGGAAACTAGCAGCCGATGCGTGGTTCGAGTGGCACACAGATGCCCTCAATCGAATAGAAAAGCTACGCGACGCTGGGTCGCAAAGAGTCAGAATTGCTATTCTAGACAGCGGCATCGAGCTCTCCCAGGACCAAAAGGACATGTACGATGCGAATCCCAGATTCGAATATCGCAGCTGGGTAGGAGAAGATGCAGAATGGAAAGACGACGTCGGACATGGCACGCATCTCGCTGTTCTCCTGCGCAAGATTTCGCCAAATGCTGTGATCCACGTTGCGCGAGTGTTCAAGAAGAAGCCTCACATTGAGAAGTCGGCACAGAATATTGCCGAGGTGAGAACCTCCATTCGGCCCGGAAATTAACTGCTATATAGTTTCGCATCTGATATTACAATCTAGGCTATCCGGTACGCTGTAGACGAATGGAAAGTGGACATTATTGTCATGTCCTTCGGATTCGGCAGTAAGAACGAGGTGGTGTACGATGCCATCAAATATGCCGCTTTCAACGACGTCCTCATGTTTGCCGCAGCTTCCAACGACGGCAAAAACCGCCCTGACGGAGTCGCTTGGCCAGCCATTGAGTCGCACGTCATTTGCATTCATTCGGGCGACGGTTACGGCAATCAATCCTCATTCACTCCCAGCCCGAAGGAGAATATGAGAATCATGGTTCTCGGGGAATGCGTCAGGTCGGCGTGGCCGCCAAACTTGAACCTCGTCGGTGATAATAAAGATATGAGTGGTACGTCATGTGCAGCACCGATTGCTGCTGGGGTTGCTGCAGTCATTCTGGACTATGCAAGAGGATTTTTGTCATGGCAGGAGTGGAAGAGTCTCCATCGAATTGATTCCATGAGGCGTATGTTTGAAAGACTAAAAGATCCGGATAGCCACTCTGGTTACTGGTGGATCCAACATTGGGGTCTGTTTGACTCTAAGCGAGACGAATCTTGGATACAGGGAGAGATTAAAGGCTTCCTTGTTTAAGCCAGCAGTACGGAAGTTGTTGATTGAGGAGCAAAACAGAATCTTGAACAGTTTACTTCTTTTATTGCTTCTACTATAGCTACAGCTTCTACTACAGCTACTGCTCTTACTATTTTTTTTTAATATACATGTTAGACTTTTTGGTTTACCCTTCCTTCATTGAAGCGAGATGTAGTAGTGATGCTATGAAGAGCGATACATGTACATGTACTTATCTCTGGTGATATTTTAGCCCAAACCCCTCCCAGGAAACTACATCACATGACTACCGCCGGAAGGGATATATACGTGTACCTTGATAACTGCCGAAGAATGTCTTATCGAACTACTAACTATTAAGGAATTGCTACGATGGGCAAATTGTATTACTTCCAGGCACCCAATTTCGACATAAATCCTGACAGCGATGTGGCTCCAAGACTTGGAAGCATCTTTTCCAACCTTGAGATGCTAAAAGCCCCGCTTAATCAACAAGAATTAATCACTATTCCCAAAAACCTCATGAACCAGAGCGTTACCGCCGACTTTAACGAAAATGACATCCGGGGCTTCCAGACCCAAGCTGATCTCAATGCCAACGGGATCCAGGGAATTGGCTTTGGAGGATCTACGGACCTCATCTACGCCTTCGCTCGAGATAAGAAAAATGTGTACCACTGCGAGTTGCTTGAGACTCTTGAGTTCGAGCCCAATCAAGATTTCGTAACTGAGAGTATTCGAGCATCATGGAGAGTTCAAAGCTTTCTAGAAAATAGCCTCGTGGGTAGAAAGAGGGTATATATGATCACGGGATTGAAGATCGCCTCCGGGTTCTCTAAATCTACGAACGAGAACCATCACAGCGCTAAGCTTAGAGTTGCAGCAAAAGCAACAGTTCTAGGGGGTCTAGGGCTCAACATAAACGCCTCTAGTGCCCGAACAGTATCTCAAGGGCGGACTTTGAACAGGATTGTGTTTGCGTATAGAGCTATCCGTATAAAGCTGAAGCGGGATGGTGAAGCCAGGTATAGATATAGGAGCGGCGGGAAATATGGCATTGAAGATGACGATGACGATGACGGTGATGGCGATGATGAAGACGGTTGGGACTTACAGCCTCTAGAAGAGGAAGATAGACTAAAGGATTTCCCAGATTCTGTTGAAATTGACATAGAAGGAGCATTGGCCGACGAATAGGGATAGAAGAGGTAGTAGGATACTAGAAGTAATGGAAGTAATAGAACTGATGTAACTGATGAATATAGTAGGATAGATTGATATAGTTGAACTAGAAAAAATGTATCAAATGCTACTCACGGCAACATAATGGAAATCATAGTTCAAAATATATACGGAAATAATAATTATTTCGGCCTCTCCTACAACTACCTCTCAATCCCACCAATTAAAGCCTGTATCATTCTCCAATCCATTCTTCAACGGCGCCGCCAGTGTGCGAATGTATTCTACATGACTATTACTCATATCCACCACCAACCCAGCAGCTGCGTTTATAACATCCTCGTCATGGGCTTTTCCTAGGCCTTTGTTGAGAACATTACTTCTATTCATCATGTTGATTGCGAGGTCCAGTCGCAGGTGATCCACCAAAGTCACCTCGTTGGCGCTCCGTCGTGCAGGCTCAGAACCCAGCAAGATGGCCATCTCAGCCATTGGCTCAACCGTTCCCAATTCATTTTGAAGCGTGTTGAATCTCTCAAAGTACGGTGTCCCGCTAGACACGAATTCGTCGAGGAGCTCTATAACGCCATTCACACATCTGGACATGACCGTCTTGGCCTCATCCGGATTCGTAAGCTTCTGCTTGGGCAAGTTCAGCATCTTCATCTTGAGCGGCAGCGTATCAGGAAGAACTTTTGGCTTTCGGTTCGGATCGGCCTGCCACGCGGGAGTTCGAAGACTATTTATCCTGTCCACAAGGCGTCTCCATACGGGACTTTCAGGGCCCATCCAGGATAGTTTGTCTAAGAACGACAAATATTGAGAAGATAGCCCTTCTGTAATAAAAGCGTCTCCAACCTCATAAATAAACTGTTCCAAAGACTCGTAAAACGCTCTTGACTGCTCACGGTCTCGCGTATCCGGATTCTTAGGACCGAGAAACACGGAGACATTTCCAAGAGTATTGGTCATGTAGGTGTAGCTGTCGCTGCTCCACAGATTGTACCAATGCTTGCCAGCATTAGATCTGGACAGATCCCTGTCATCTTTTACAGCCTTGTTAATACGAGCCAGCCAGTCGGGAGGATTCATCTTCATCAATGTGTACCGCTTCATCAGGTCGATGTACTTTAACGAAGTCTCCGACTGCATTAAAACGAGCAGAGTATTCAGTGCCGTCGGGAAAACCGGGATTGGAGGAAGCTGGGCGTTGTCTGGTACGCTGAATCCATTCTTCTTTAAGAAAAGATTCGTCCATCGTCTGTTGTTTTCTGCGGAAGAGTCCAATACAAAATTTTTGAGCTTCGTTAAAGTCCGTCCTTGGTCAGACTGTAGGTCTATTTCACGACCTGCCAACAGGATAACATCCACGATTGGAGGATTCCAAAAATTCCCAGAGCCGTCTCCCCATATTTCAGGCAGCTCATCACCAGGTTTCAATGCATCCCAATCCACGGCTGGCTGTGCTTCATGAACTGAGGATGCCATTGGCGCAGCATGCTTAAACAGGGCGTCAAATATCCTCTGCTTCACCACAGGGCTAGTCGTCGTACTTAACGCCTCTGTGAGCGCTCTTATAGAGGCTATACGAATATCCACATGAGTAGCTCTTTCAAGAATTCGAATGTTCAAATCCACTGCGAAGCTCGAATCGACGACGGGGCATTCTCTCAGAAGCTGCGCCAACATTTTGACAGTGGTGATTTTGACCAGTGGTCCCTTGCTTTCCGACGAGTCGGGCTCCTCTGCGCGCCTTTCTGCTTGTGCTTGGAGCCTATCCAGAATAGCATCTGTAAAGCTCTCAAAGAACTTCTTTGCATCAGATGGAAGGAAACTCATAAGAGTCTGAGGGCTAAGAAGCAGCCTGTGCCATGCACTTGCACTGGGATATTCCAAAACAAACTGCTGAATCAAGGGAAATGCCAACGAGGGATTGATCCCCTCTAACATGACGTCAATTATACACGAAAATATCTTATATGGCTTTTCTGACTCGGGCTTCTTCCTTATGCTCTCAAGAACTGAAGCTGCTAGACGGGCGAGCAAGCGTGTTGGCACGTAGGAACTCAGGTTAGTCACCATAGTATGAATCTGAGTATCTTTGGCTGCTTCTCTCTCAAGAAACTCTTCGTCCAGATATACGGCCGGAATGCGCGCCGTGTTAGCACCAGGGAACGGCGTCTTCAGCAAAGAAACATCTGACCCATATTTCATGTTCAAAGCTAGAATTCCTGCTGTCACATAGGCATCCGCTCCTCTGCCGGTAAGCTTCCTTCCGGTAGTATAAGCCGACTGCCAGAAGGAACAAGGACGCGGCTTTCCTGGGATAACTGCCTTGACAGCGTCAAAGGCAGAAGATTTCGAAGGTCTTTTTGGGTAAAAGATCGTTGTTTCTGGTGATTGACTGAGCAAAACATCCAAATAGGTTGGTGCGATAGATTTGCTTTTCTCAGGCTGCGATAGCCGGTTATAATCTGGATCTGGATTCCACTCAGTTGGATGCATATCTTCGTCGTCTTCAGGAAGAGATGGCTCAGGACGTTGATTAGCCGACTCATCAATCCCAACCTCGTCTCTTTCAACATTAATTCGACCGTCACTGAATACAGGCCACCAAAACCGTTCAGCTTCTTCCAGAGACATACGACCCTTGGAAAGGTTGACAGTTGCATACTTCCAGGCCTTTGTAATGCGTTCTTGACGCTGCATACGCAAAGGGAAATCTTTCAACGTCGGACTCTTGCTATATCGCACTCGTGGAGAACGTATATATAGCCGCAGAGCCTCGCGCCCACTATCTATAAACTCCCCAATGGCTGCTTGGGTTTCCTCATCTACCTGCACAGACGCCATGGCTTTATGGGCATCCATATACACGATACTCTCGATTCGCGATCGTGTATAAGGGAGATATGCCATGGTCATACCAAAGTGGTCGGATAGATGTTGGATAGCAAGTCCTTTTGGCCAAATCTCGCCCGCTGTTACTATAGCAGGAGTCTCAAGCATTCGGCGCTCCGCCCAAATCGAGTCGTGAAATACCGCCAAAGCATTGAGAAATCTGATAGTTGGTTCCCGCATAGTTTCAGGCTCACTAACTAATCTCCAAGATACTGTGGCATAGGCATCGATTGCCTTGAACCTTTCGCCCGCAGGGCCAAGGAGAGTCGATATCATTTCCTTCAGCATGGTAAGCGTCGGCTCCCAAACAGCGACAAAGAGCGCATCGTCGGACATCTCGCAGCGATCTTGGAAGTCATTGATCCAATTCAAGCGGCGAGATATGGCTTTTCTAATCAAGCCAAGAGTGGCCTGCCAATTACTGGCGTCAAAACTCGGTTCATTTGCAGCCATGATGGCAGTCTCAAAAAGGGTCTGCAAGATTTCATTCGCAGAGCGTATGTTCTTGGTAAGCTGTTCCAGAGTCATTGTCAATGGTGTGTCTTTGTTAAAATGTAGCACAGCCAAAAGGCTGATTCCTTCATGTCTTGAGATGCAAGACTGGCTGTACATTTCTTTGAGGGCCAATGGATCTTTGTTGAACCGCCGTGCCCAGCGAAGCGTTTCTGCAAGGAGATCAAGATCCCCTATTGCTATACAAAGTGAAAGGGCGGCTGCGCACCACAGCGATCGAGCTTCCGGACTGCGGCCTTGGGTGGCCTTTTTCATCCTCTCTGGCAACTCTTGAAGGCGGATCTCAGACCTCATGGCTTCCAGATCTGCTGCCATGGAAGGGAGAGCTGCCGGGTTCCGATTCAACAAGAGGGCCTGTACGATGTGGTGATCGGCTGAATCCCAGTCATCTGCGTCTCGCCGTTCAAAGTAAAACGTATGGCCATACGCAAATGCGATATAATTTCCTGCTCGTCGGACCTTGATGAACAACGAAAGGGCTTCCTTTGCGGATAATTCGAAAAAGAGGCGTGCCGGCCAGCGGAGTGTTGATTTCTGAAACTCTGTGTGATCCAAGCTATCGGGCTCTCCAATATCAAATTGGTATCCGCCCGTGTTTTTCAGGAACAGGCGTAACAACCGATACCTCAGTGACCGCGCAGGTTTCCTTACGAGTTCGACGAGATTGTATCTATTCACCACAATCTGAGGGAGAATAGAAAACAGGGTAGCGAGCATATCCGTATATTCAGCTTTTGCCCGTGAGCGATTCCACACCTTGAATAAGCGAGCAACAAGTCTTCTGTAATGCTCGGCGGAGTTGTCAAAGTCTCCACGAAATGCTTGACGCTCTTTCAGACAGCTGACAACGCGGCTCCAGAACTGCAACGTCACGTCACTTGATATCATTCTGTTGGATAATAATCGCTTCCCCAGTGGATCGAAGATTGTTTTCAAGAGATCACTGGGAGACGCCCCAAGCAGCGTTTCACTCTCTGCGAACTTGTGCAGAATGTGCAAGCCGTAGTCTATACGGCCAGCAGCAAGAGGCTTTATCTCATGTAGAAAGTCCGAGGCAGTGATTTCGCCGCGCCGTAGCTTTTCGTTGTAATAATGTTCAAAGAACTCTTGATCAGTAGTCACAAAGTGGCTGTATCTCTCCGGGAGCTGGCGCTTCATCTCCTGCCACTCTACTCTAAACGCGCCGCTGCAAGCTGGGATAAGCTTGACATAATCATCGCGCAATGGACGGCTGTCAAATGGACCGCCATCGGTGCCAACGGCAGATGCAGATGCTTCTCCGTCATCTCCCCATAACAGCGTCAGGAGCTCTTCCATGGCCCTCTGGCGCTCCTTTCGCGCGCCTCTTGCACGGCCAGCATCTCCAAGCAAGCTGAAGAGAAGACGAACATGATTCAAGTTGAGCTTTGCCGCCAGCTGAGCAACTCCAGAAGCACCACCGACCGCCTCCCAGGCCTTGGCAAACGTTTTTTCGCGGCGCAGATGGCGATAGAAATGCCGGATGGCTGAGCGCTGAGCATTAAGGCAGAGTTCCTGGTGCATAACCGCGACAATTGCGGTGGGATCGTTGGCGGCCATGGGCCATAATGAAAGGGCAATGGAGGGGAGAAGATCCGATGCCACGAGCGTTATCAGCTCAGATGTGAGGGAAGATACAGCGCCTGGATTGCTGGTTAAGACATGCCGTAGATGGATGGCTTGATCTCCAGGCGCAGAGCGTTGAAGACGCTTCAAATCAAAGACTGCCTTGTTCTCCATGGTGAGCTGGAATAATGGTGCTTTTGCCAGTACAAGATGATGCCACATCAGTATTAAGAGCAGCGATGGCAATATATCTCTTTTACGTCAACTCATCTGAGTCACAAAATTCATTCTCTTTGAAGAAACCAACAGGATTCAACCTCCAAGTCAACCTTGTATTAAAGAATGAGGCTGTGTACTCCGTCGCTAGCAGTTGGTTATTACTCCAAGCTCGAGTCAGACTCGCCTATACGACGGAACTAGCCAATATTGAGCAACGACCCCGCAGCAGGGGATCTGGAAGCAGCATTTCGCGATGGTAGGGCACATGGATTTTTGGTTAGAGTACTCGACTTTTGGTTTAAAATACAAAAAGACACTTGAACTTGGTATGAGAATGAGTCATTTCAAATTTCGACCAAGGGTCCGCATGGCGACATATCCGTTGGTCGAAAGCACCATAGACACAGACATCAGCCCATTACGTGCACATGTAGATTTCCCGAAAGAGGCAATCCAATGCATGGAAATTGCAACAGGCTACTCGTTCCTCAATCTTGCCGTGTCTAATAAAGCCAAGGATAGCGATGTATATATATAATATTTTTAGCCTCTTGTAAGAAAAGTAAATACTCATAAGTGCACTCTCCACGTGTGATAAGCTTTGCCAGCATGTTCAACCCACAAGAGACTTTTGGCATGGCGCTCTACGCATCCCTGTAATTACCGTGTAACAGCACTAACCAGTAAAACAACATTTCGAGGTGTGACAAAGAGATTGCCGGGAAATAAGACGCAGTAATGTAGATTTTTATCCAGCATTGATTGGTCAATGTTTAATTGGCTGTTGAAACCTACGATCTAGCTATACAACCATTCGCTTCGGCGATGTCATGAATATTTCCCGCACAACAGCGTCCAACATACAGCATCAACTGAGCCGACTCTTTCTAAAGTCAATCACTGGTAGCAAGTCTGGTTATCTGCAAACCAGCTGAGTATATATGAAGACTGTCATACCTGTCATACGATATAGGAAAGCATAACAACACCAAACATGGGCATCCAGCTAACCCTCTGTCTTCTTTGTGCACATACAACCTATAATCTAATTCTGAAAACAAGCATCTCTCACAGCTTCGACTCAGCTTTTCCCTTCCACTTCGCCAGCAACTTCTGCACCGCCGCCCTCGGACTCCTCCCATCCACAAAGCCAATAAACGGGCTGCCAACCTTGTACCCCAGCATGCCCACCAGCCTCTCCGGAATCTCGTCCAGCTTCTCCCAGTCAACCGCCAGGATCATGTTCTCCATCGGCCGGATCCAAGGCTGGCAGTACTGCGCCGTCAGCGCCAGCCGGGGCTTGTCGCTGGTATTCGCGCCGCCGCCGTGCCACAGCGTGCTGAGGAAGTAGATGATGCTGCCCGCCGGCATGATGACGGGGATGGTGTCCTCCATGGTGGGGATGCGCTTTGAGTCCCAGTTGTGAGAGTCAGGGACGATGACGGTTGCGCCGTTGGTGGCGGTGTAGTCGTCCAGAGCAATCATGACGCCCTAATATCCAATCTCTAGTATTAGGCTCTTTATTCTACAACATCATGGATAAAGAGAAATTATACAAGCTGATAAAAAGGGAAATGTACTCACCGAACCAAGAGGCTTATGCGGCCTGTCCAGCGACGCAAACCCATGGTCATAATGCAACGTCTGCGCCGTCTCCCCAGGCAAGATATTAATGCTCTGAAACGAATTCAGCAAATATCCCGCATCCAGGAAATGGTCATTCAGCGCCAACACGTCCTCATGCAGCGCAAAGGCGTCGAATACCCGCGACTTGTCCACCAGCGAGTACATGCGCTGCGTCTTGTGCCCTTCGAAGTTGTTGCGTCCTGCCTGGCCAGCAGGTCCAGCCGTCTTGGGGTCATTTGTCAGCCTCAAGGCCTCAGCTTTTGCCGCGGCCACGGTGGAGGCATCAAAGGCGTCTCGGATGATGACGAAGCCGTGCTTGTTGACCTCGTCGATGAGGTTCTGCGTGCGGGCGTCTGGAGGCTTCGATGCGCTGAGGAGCCGCCTGTCTGCCCCGACCTCGTTGGGGATGGAGCCTCCATGCAATCCCGGGCGACTCATTTTGATGTATATAAATTTGAAATAGACAAAAAGATATGGAGGGAAATTAGTAATAAGAAGTCGTGGTACGTGATTCCAGTGAGAGATTATTGCATATGTTCTGTGCGACGTGAAAGGCGGGATAAAGGAAGGATGGTTTCCCAAGACAAGCTGTACAGTATATATATATATACAGCTACCTACCTATACATCAAACTTTTAAGGCATTGATGGCTAGGATGGGGTATGCATGGGGTATGCACGCGCGGGTGAGATAAAGTGACAACCCTGCCGAATACGTAGGTAGCTAGTAGTCCTGAAGTATCACAATTGGACTCAAGTCACTCAAAGAGACTTACTTCAGAGTAAACCTGTATTTATCGACTTTGCAAGTAAATATGAGCTATTCATAAAAGAAATTCTATACACAGCATGCCATGAAAAAGGCACTTCACAAGACACGTACAGAAACTACAAAGCCGCTCTTTCAAGCTCCTCAATTATCTCCCTAGCATCAGCCGCACATCAAGAAGCGGAGAAAGAGGATCCATCCCCAGTAAGCCGAGGAAGAACTTGCCGGCTCGCTATGCCAAATCCAGGAAGCAATGGCATACTGTAGGTTTACTAGTGGCCACCGCCGCATTCCACCCGAATCTGGGGGGACAAAGTTGAGAGTTCGTTACTGTTTTTTCATATTACTGAACAAGAAGCACATTCAAAATACAGAGGACAAGACGCTGATTGGATCGGAGTTGATTGACGCAAAGTTTATCATTGCCGTCTTACAGGAAATTTAGCAAGAGTAGTACTAGCTTGTAGTTTCTCACAATGCTGACGCGCAACATGTGATGGACGAGAAGCCCAAACGAGTAGGATACTTGAGACTAGCGCTTCTTAATAGGCTATCCGCTGTCTGTCCTGCAAGTAGATTCCCGTGATCTAATAATAGCCAGGATGGTTGAGAAGAAATTCATGAAGCTCTAGCACACGATTGACTACTTATTAGTATTCCTTACAATAGATGCTATGCGCTAACTCCAGTATGAATGCGAAATAACGTATTGCATCATATATCACGTTGTCGAGGCATTAATCGTAAAAGATTGGCCAGCAGATGTTGTCAAGACTTGGTCGCAATTGGCTCAACATCTACTAAAAACTGCAGTCAGCTCTCTTATACAGCTTCTAGCAAAACTCAAAGGCCAACTTTCCAAAGATAAAATAAGAGTGTCAAGAAAGGTCTATCTATATTACCTAATTCGAGATTTAAACAGACTTCACGGCTCACTCAATCTAACAGGCACAGATGATATTCCAAATATGAACATATTCAATTCGCTCGCTTTTTATAAACAAAATGGGCTTTATACACAAAATTTCAACCCAATTAGCGTTTCAAGTTATATACAAGAAGATTCGACATGCCGTTCCAACATTTTCCTCCGCGTCGTCGCCTCAACCTCTTTGGCCGCTTACTGAGAGCAGACGCCGTTGGAGCAGAAGTAAGGGTCAGAGCAGTCGTTGTCGTTGCCGCAAGTAGCGCCCAGGCAGTGGCCCTCCCAAGAGCAAGTGGTAGGAGGAGGAGGAGGAGCGGTGCTGCCAGCGGTGCCACACTTGCCGCTGTTGCAGGTGAGGGAGTCAGAGCAGTCATCGTCAGTGCTGCAAGTAGCACCAGCGCAGTGGCCGGCCCAAGAGCAAGTAGGGGAGCTTCCGGCAGGAGTGGTGGAAGAGGGAGGAGGAGGAGGAGTCGTGCCGGAGCCGATGGCAGCCTTGATGGTCTTCTGGAAGTTGCCGTTCTTGACAGCGAGCTGGGCCTCCCAGAGCATGATACCGCCAACGTTGGGCAGGTTAAGAGCAGAGACACCGTTGTAAGCAGAGATGAGAGAGGTGGGGGAGATGTAGCCCTGGTCACCGTCGGCACCGCTGGCCAGCGCACCAATGAACAGAGTAGCGTTGCCAATGTTCTTGCTCCAGTTCTTGACAGCAGTGTTGAAGCCGGACTGGCCAACGTTGCAGTTGCCGTTGTTGTAGAACTGGACCCAGACGTAGTCGAGGAGCTGGCAGACGTTGAGAGGCTCAGAAGCATCGGGGAAGGGGCACTGGGGAGCAGCAGTAAGGTAGTACCTCTTGCTGGTGTCCTTGGCAAAGTTGGATCGGAAGCGTTGAGTCATGGCCAGGTAGCCAGTAGGGTTGCCAGTCTCGTTGTCTGTATTGCAGAATGATATATTAGTAAAGATACACTTTATCACTTTGGGAATGGCTTCAAATAGCTTGACTCACCGAGATCAACACCGTCGAGCTTGACGGTTCCGAAAGGACGGAGGGTAGGAGTGGCGGTACCACCCAAGAACAGGTTCCAAACCATATCGGCAACCGCCTGGCCCTGAGAATCGCCCGAAAGGGTGACCTGAGAGAAGCCAACAGCACCACCCATGCTGAGGATGACCAGCTTGCCGGCGGCCTGGCAGGCCTTGATGGCGGGAACCAAAGAAGTACCATCCTGGAGGTTGGTGGCGCCGGCAGACTTCTGAGCGGCGGATGGGCCACCGAGAGTGCTCAGAGAGAGCGAGGGGTAGCCACCACCAGCAGAGAACTTGTCGAGGAACGCCAGGTTGACAATGTCGTACGACGAGTCCGCACATACATTAGCCAAAGTTGTTGAGTCGTCCTCGGCGCCCCAATAGACGACAAGCTTGCCTCCAGCGGCACGCTTCTCCAAGGGTGCTGCGAGAGCAGTAGTGGCCAAAAGGCCGGCAGCAGCCAATGCTTTGCTGAAAAACATTTTCGATATATGTACAGTTCAAAGGAATGAAAAACCAGGCGGCAAGATATATACAAGAGGCCTGTAGAAGATGACCAGATCTTCACTTGTGCTGCTGCTGCTGCTGTTGCTGAGTTGTCCAAAGGCAAACTTGCTGAATCAACAAGCAGCCGGCACTAGCACATCTATTTATCATTTTTTTCTTCTCGATTTCCAAATCTCAATTACAATAGATGCCAGGGACTTTCTCGTAGCAGTGGTGAAACGAAACAGCTTGCCGTGTAAGCGCGGCCAAAATAGAACGGCCCAATGCGGCAGTCGAGATAGTTGCTAGTCCAGTCTAGTCGAGAATCCGGAAGGTAGCTCCAGGTACGGCTGGGCCAGGGACGGTCTGGCCAGATGAATCAAGTTTGACAATTGCCCCAGACGGCGATAGTCCAGGGTCCTCGGTTCCTAGCGTTCCGAGCTAGACAAGCACTATGCCATCGGAAAAGAAGCATATGAGTAAGATGGCGGGTTCTTCACCACCATTATCCGATAGAGTCCAATAGAGCCATGCACACACGAGGCCTTTCTCGAAGCGAGAGGCCCTCGTGCCGGAATAACGTTACATGATATCGCGATTAACGACTTTGTTCTATAAGCACTTGCCTAAAAAGCCAACCTGGCAGGCGAAGAGAAATAGAGAGGCCGCATCACTTACACGATAAAAGAGGGGTCGTCGTATAGTCGTATGGCTCGTCCAGTTGCAGCCGGAAAACTGCAAGCCAGCAACCGACAGTCCGTTTCTCTCGGCCCCATTGAGCTGCTACAATACGATCTAGAACATGTAGGCGTTCGTCGCTGTCACATGGAGACGTTCCATTCCGTATATGCCATGCCGGAGTTTTAACACCAAACAGCAGCAACCCTGCCAGGGCAGTCCCAACCGGCGACGAATGAGAGCCCTCTGCACTTTGTGAATGTCGTCGTGAGACGCTTATCTGACCCAGGGACCCTCACTCCGGCAATAGCGCTGGTGGGCTCGGCGCCAGCGGCGACAGATTTGGCAGGTAACTAAGCAGACGGCTAAGAAGAAGCCCTCGTTGGGGGTCATCAGCACCGAGGTCCAGCCGGTTCGCGGTCTTGAGCTTACAAGTAGAAGACAAATCTATGCTTAACAACTTGCCTAATGAGTTCAAGAGTTAAACTCAATGTCATTTTCCCGCTGCTTTAATTGCGAAGCTCAATTTAACCGCGTTGCATCCGATCCAACTAGCCGTGCGCCATGGAACGATTGCGTCGCATCCTGCCCAGCCGTCTATTTGTGGGATTGAGTTTTTCCGTCTCGAAACACGATCGGGTTCCTCCAGATGAGATGCCCCATGCAAGGCTGTTTTAAATGCGTCATGCGGGAATGCCACTTGAAAAGGCTGAAATTTGACCGTCCAAGCACCTGGTTCTGCTAGCCTAGACTTGCACAGTCAGCCGTTGGCTGATTGATGTGAAACGAAGAACATGCCAAAACAGGCTAGAGATGAAGAAACGAGCAGCCAATAATGGAGAGTCACTGGACAACATAAGATGTTGTGGGGTCGCTTAAATAGGCAGGGGATCGTAAGAGAGGCACGGTCCATCAGTTGAATTGATCGTTTGCTACTCCGCAGTGGTACGTCTTGCTACAACGGCGTGATTCTTAAGCCTGTCTTGAATTTTTGAATTCTTCCCGGAGGCATCGTAACTCAGTCACGCACCACCTTCTCTATGCGGTCGTCAAGGTCCCGTTGATTAAGCATTGCCTTTGGCAGGGAGCTTCGACACGAGGAAATTCTCAACGTCATTAAACTCACCTATACAGGCAGAGTGCTGCATACCCCTGGAATTATGTCAGTTGGTATGTAAAAAACAGAAAGAAAGACAAAAGAAAAAGCGAGGTGTGAAAGGGGAAAGAATGAAATGTCTGTTGAAGGCAGCGAGCAAGCAGCATGAGACTGAACCTGAGAGGTGAATAGAAGGAAATGGGATGATGGGATGATGCTCACTTATATGTTTTTCGCTTCACGCCATAGCCGAATTCCTTGAGTCTCTCCTCAGTAGCCGTGCCCCACTCATACAGGACCACCGGGTCTTCATCGCCGTGTCCCATGAAGATGGGCGTGTCCTGGTTGAAGTTGGTCCCGGGGATAAACTCTTTCAACTTGTGGCTGAGAGGCAGCCAGCAGGACATGCCAACGATGCCGGCCAGTTTGAAGGGAGCTGTAATGCCAGAGAAGAGACTCATGGCGCCGCCCTGGGAAAAGCCGCCCAGCACAACGCGATCAGCGGAGATGCCCTCTGAAACCTCCTTCTGGATGAGAGAATAGAGGTAGGCGCGAGACTCAAGGATACCGGCCTCATCCGTATCGCGAGACCTCTCGTCAAGGGTCATTTTCGACGCAGCGCCAAGAGATTTCTATTACACGGGTCATGTTAGGTTGCATAGACACGCATAGGAACCAGGAGCAGGTACTCTGGAATACGAGTAGACTTGTGGCAAGGTAAGGAGAGTCATACGACATCGAACCAAGCGGGCATGGGATAGCCTCCATTCTATACACGACAAATCGTTAGCCAACCGATAGGATGTTATATCTCTTTCAGTCCCCGGCGTCTCAGAGAGAAGAGGCATGCCATGCCAGACTCACCACTGTAATGGGCATGGTACGCGCATTCGGCAGAATGAATTTGACCTCGTCGAGCCTGTGCCTGCTCTGCCACAGCTTCACGGCCTCGGACCAGCCATGGCCGCTGTCTCCCAGGCCGTGCATGAAGATGACTGTTGCCGTGTGGCGGCTCAGGGCCGGATACACCAGCGGAGCAGCCCGAGAAGCCATCGCGGTGTCGGGATTGGCGAGATTGGTGGCGTCGCTCTGGATGCTGGGGACGGAGCTGCTGCTGAGATGTCCAGAGACAAGATGTGAAACCGATAAAGAGGGCAAAAGGACCAGAGCAGTTGCTATCAATGCCGCCGCAAGACTGAAACCAAACACGGCGCCGCGGCTGAAGCTGAAGCTGGGCATGAGGTAAAATTGCAAGGATGGCGAGCGCGGATTGGCGGAGAAGACAGGATGGGGAGCGATTCTTTAGCATGACGTATCGTAGGGCTGTGATTGGCCGCCGCATCGGATAGCGGTCACTTGTGCTGCTGCCCCTCTATAACGCCCCTGTAATGGATCAGTATTTTGCCCCTCACTAGATTGAAAACCGCAGCCTCGCATCTGGATACGGAAGAGGGCAAAGAACCGAAAATGATGGAGATGGAGATGCAAGTGTGCAATTGATTAGTAAATTATTTAGATGGAGTATTGATCAAAGCAAATCGCATTTATGCATTGCGGATATATAGCAACAGGAGAGTATCCAGTAATGAAATCGACATCTAGGAGCTACATACAGTTAGGGGCCAAAAATTTACAAACGGAAAAAAATCAAGATACGCCAAGTTTAGGAGGGGATAATCTATTACAGCTTTAATCCATAACAGCTACTATAAAACTAAAGATAATGAGTAAATACTACTAAAATATAAAATATTCATTAATTATTATTAAACTTTAACTTTAATGACCTGCATACATATTTTATAGATTTAATTCTTAATTTTTGAAAACTGTGACTTTTGGTGGTACTCAGTATAGCGTTCGTTGACTTTTGGCCCATAACTGTAACAAGACGGCTGAAAGTCGCTTCTCTTGTATTTAAAAGCTCAACTGGCATTCTACCTTGTTTATGCTTGCGAATTTGGAAGAGAACCATGGGAGACTGAAGCGCAAGTATGAGCCTGGAGAACATAAGGAATAACCAATCATCAAATGTCCTCTCAGCCCAAGTTAATACACAACCGAACTAGATTGTGCACCATATACATGGCCTGGAAGACGGATTTGGCTCGCTTGGAAAAGTCAAATGTCGGGCCGAGTTCTGCAAAGCCCATCGTGACAGCTGAGTGCACGGGGCGGCGCAATCGCTCCCAGACACTGTCTGTGACATCAACTAAAATTGTTAAGAGCCAGATTGTCCAAAGCCGTCTATCATAAGGTCAGCAATATCCAGTATTGAGACCTCCATACTGACTTGAAGCGCCGTTGACTTCATTGGCCTGGAAAGCAGAGTCGGTAATTCCATGTAGCAGGTGATTTCATGGAGGGAGGGAGTTCTGTAGAGATATCGTTCAAATTTGCGGCAAACCCAACACAAAATAGCTTATACGGTCAGATGATTGCTCGTAGAGAGAGTATCGGTCCCAGAGCGACCTCAAGAGTAGAAGAAGACTCATGCTACTTATCATCGTATAAGTAATATCCTTGCAAGAAATGATTTGCAAATTTTACCTTGGTAAACTCCAGATCAAGGTTGTCATCCGTACCGGCAATGAATCGAGAATTTTTAGAAGTGTCAAGCGCCACTTGTTTGATGTTTCTCTCACAGCTAATGGAATTTGTATTAGCTGAAGACCGGTGCTGGTATAAACGACGACTTCAGCATCCTCGCCCTGAACCATGATATCAGCATGGAAAGTTGACAAAAGGAAACTTTGGAAACACGTTGAAATGAACCTACTACAATGAGAAAATTGTTACTATTTCTCTATATGGTTAAATTATAGATGGGACATATTCTTCGCCATATAACGCATTGTACCATCGCGCTGGATAGATTCTGAGCCTTGCACGTTTGGCCACCTGATGTCAACATCAAAAATACCACTTGATAAACCAAATCCTCCCAGGATTTGCTCTTATTGACTGTATCTTAGCATTTTAATATATGTCTTGGCAATTAACCATAATTTGTCAATCTGCACTGCAGCTAAATACCTAATGGGAGGCGCATTTGGGTCACCTGTCTGGTATTTACGTCAATCTTGCTCTCTTATCTGAACACACCCAGCTTTGATAGCATAATCAACTAGCTTACCATAGACGCAACTATAATGTGTGCGCATGCTCCTGGATAGCATTCATACGCCTTGTCACGGAGTTTCTGATCAGTCAAGACAGTTGTAGCTTTTATACTCTAGTGTTGATATAGCAGGCACGGGATCTGACTCAAACCGCATGCCCTTGGAAGATTCCCCATTTGAATACTATTCCTTAGCACAACTTCTCTTCTGATTCAAAATGCAACGAAAATGAGTCTCTTGCCGGTAACTACTAGGGCGCTCAAAAATCACCAGCACAGTATTTATTTCGGCCTGAAGAATTTAAACTTACCTATCAATGATTGCGCTGTATTAGTAAGGAAAATTTATTCAACATCCCGGCTATAGCTTAATAAAACAGTTGATATATATATAATATTATATACAGTACACTTAGTAGTAACAGTAGCAATAGTGGCAGTTACAGTTGATACTATCGCCCTAGTGCTGGATGATAGAACTGCCCGGGGTGCTAAGGTATCGCCTGCGAATGAAGATGATGGTGCTTTAAGCGAGTGTGTCCACATTAGTTCATCGCCATGGAAGAAGCAGGCGGGCAATTAACAGCCGCTCAGCGTCAGAGGTGGAGATAACTGCTTTTTGGCTGGCCTCACTATGTGACCTGTAAGAAATTTAGGCCGCGAGTCTGATTTGTCCAGGCGATCTTATTACCATGTACTGATGTAGCCTTCATGGAATAAGGTCTGTAGTCCGCAGGAAGCCAAAGAATTTGCTTGCCGTTAAGACATATCCACCCTTTGTCGAAGTGCAGATATGTTTCGGAGGAATTCTCAGAGGCTGGCGTAGACAATAGCCGAAACGGTCGATAGTCCGTCAAAATGTATGCGCCATCGAACAAGAAGGCCAAGTCAAAAGAGTGGTGGCTGTCTTCCACGAGCCGCTGCCGGTATGTCCACGTGGTGGTATCCCATAGCTCGATGCCTTTGTATGATGCCGAGGCCAGCGTCTTGCCGTCTGGAGAGAAAGCTAGACGCAAGTAACTGCCATTTTCTTCCCCATCGATACTTAAACTCTGCTGGTGGCTCCCTGTGGCCATGTCCCAAAGCTCAATGCCTTTCCGCCACGCCGAAGCCAGCGTTTTGCCGTCCGGCGAAAATGCCACGAAGTCGATTTTGTGGCTACATAATGTCCACAGGGTGTTCCCTGAGGTTGAGTCCCAGAGCCATAACTGGATAGTCTTCTCTTGTGATGACGTCGCTAGTGTCTTGCCGTCTGGTGAGAAAACTATAATAGGTGTCTCATATGAAGCAAGCACAGCTCCCTTTTGCGTCAGCCGGCAGGTCCAAGTAGACGTATCCGTATCCCAGAGCTGCAAATTGTCAGGTTGCGTCACGGCTAGAGTCTTGCCATCAGGCGAAAATATCATCCTAGGTTTATAATCCGCAACCATTTGAGGGATTAATTGCTGACAGCTCCACGTAGCTGTATCCCAGACCTGTAAATTATCGTTTGAAGTGAACGCTAATGTCTCACCGTCGGGCGAAAAGGCCATGGACGTGACAACCTGTCTGTCCCAGTCACTATGCTCCTTAATCGTACTTCGGCGGTTCCTCGAATCTACATCCCACAGCCTGATAGTTTCATCATTTGAGGCAGAGGCTAGTGTCATACTGTCAGGCGAAAAGACGATACTGTTGATTCCGCGGATATGTCCCGCTATTGTGTCCCAGATGCTCCCCGTAGCTATATCCCAGAGCTGGATAGTACCATCAAGCCCCTGGAGGGCTAGCATCTTACCATCAGGTGAAAAAGCTAAGGAAGGGAAGTAGAAAAGATTTACGCCCAATGTTTGCCGCTGGCTCCATGAGCTTGTATCCCAGAGCTGGATGGTACTGTTGTCCAATGATGCGGCCAGCACACTACCATCAGGTGAAAAGGCTACATGTAGACATGACACCTGACCACCATGTGCCTCGAGCGTCCGCCGGTGCTTCCCATTAGCCATGTCCCAAAGTCGAATTGGTTCATAGTCTGATGCCGAGGCTAAGATCTGGCCGTCGGGCGAGAAGGTTACAGACCTGACCCTATTGTTGTGTTCCTCGATTATTTGTAGGCAACTTCCTAAAGCTACATCCCAGAGTCGAATTGTCTTGTCGTCTGATGATGAGGCCAGTATCTTGCCATCAGGTGAGAAGGCTACAGACCCAACTGATGCACTGTGTCCCTTTAGTGTCCATTTAGAGCTTCCCATGGGCACTTGCCAGAGTCGAATAGTCGTATCCTGTGACGCGGAGGCAAGTATTCTGCCGTCAGGCGAGAAGACTACGGGGAAAACAACGCCTCTATGCCCCTCAAGCGTCCGAATATGGCTTCCAGTAGACACCTCCCAGAGTCTAACAACGTTATCCCACAATCCGGAGGCAAGTATCTTGCCGTTGGGCGAGAAAGCCACTGAATTGACTCTACTGCCGGCCTCGAGAGTCTGGCGGTGCGCATCCCAGTGAGGTTTAACCCCTTCCAGCTTCTTGATGAACGGCAACCTATGCTTCCATTGCACGGCTCTGACCTCGCTTGCTGTGGGAGTGAATGCCAGTGCAGAGGCATATGCCTGTAGCGGAGCTCGCTCTATAATTGATGCGTGACTTCGGATCAACTTTTCAGCATCTTCGAGAAACCGAACTAGCTGGGATTCCATATTCGATTTCTAGAAGTGATGAGTAACTGCAGGTAATGAAGAGAGTTCTGAGCTTACCCGGGCAATATGCAGAAGCTTTCTTACTGACTCTACGCCCTCTGCAAGGTTTCCTAGGAGAGATAAGCCTTCTAGCCAGTTCAAGAATTTCTCCCTCAGAAATGCCGATAAAGCTCCATCATCTGCGAAAACTCCCGTATGTTCGAGGCTTTTTAAATCTACGACGTAGAGATGATCGGCCCAGAAGACGCAGGAGTATCGTATTGAAGCCAAGGGATCCGGATCCGGAGGTCTGATATTCTCCGGCTTCAAGCCGTAATCGAGGTTGTACATATTTTGTCTGAGATCTGAAGACATTGCTTGAATCGAACACATTGCCAGGTCTTCATGCCCTTGAGACATCCCCGTTGGACGGAGCCTAGATTCGTAATTTTCCTGGAGATAATCTTTGGCTGACTGGTGGATAAGGTACGCTGTTTCGTCTTGAACTACTAGGAATGAACCGCATTTCCGAATAATAGTTGCTGGGACATTGTCTGGCAACTGAGCGAGCACTCTGAGTTCAGAAAGAGCCAAAGGACGAAATGCGAGAGTAGCAGCCACCAGAACATTTTTACAAAATTTGCAGTCTTGTCTCAATCCCTTCTCAATCTTGTTCATAATATAGTCGTATAACTGCGATAAGCCGGAAGGGGTTTCCCCGACAATGTCGAGAGCGTACATTCCGTCAACGACGATTTGGAATCCATCTTCTTTGTCAAGTTCTTTGAACACCAAAGCCACCCAAAGAAACGTATTTTCTGCTCGTCGGATTATTTCTTTCTTCAGTTGTCCCAATATCTCGTCAGTATATCCCGGTCTAGCCTTCAGCACAGAAAGTTTGTGGTCAATAAACGCATTAACTGGATTTTGCAGTTTCTGGGAATCAAGTTCAACCAACGAGCCTTCCATCTCTGGAGAATTGAGATCAACAGTTGGACGACTTGAGACGAGCCACTTCACTTTGTTAGAGATCTTTAGGGAAGTGAACATAAGCTTCTTGAGATCATCTAAGCCCTGCTCACACTCGTCAAGAGCATCAACCACAAGATACACCGGAGAGAGCTTGGGATCTTTTAAAATATTCTCAAACACATCATTAAGAGAAATGAATGCCCCATCGCCCTCGAAAAGTGAAGCACCTGCATTATCGTGCTTTGCTTTCAGATGAGACATGAGGTGTGGTTGCTGTACGAGAAGCAACCAGAGGAGGCATCTCAAGGTGGCTGTAGCGGTATTTAAAGACTTGACTGTGCCTTGACAGAAGAAGTGAGAAACCTTGGGTGCCAATGTAGCGGAGTGGCTCAAAAGCTCGCGGATGATGCCCATTAGAAGCATTGTTTTACCAGTACCAGCGTCGCCCTTGATCCACAACAATCGACACGAGGGTGATGTAGAGCCGACGCTGCTCCAATCCGTGAATGCCTGGTATTCCTCCGTTTGGAAGATCCACTCGTTTGCCTCACTAAGCAAGGCATCCTTGTTCTTCTCAATCTTCTTCATATCATCCTGTGGATCCACCACGAAGAGATCTCTAAGGCACTGCTTGTTCTTCTCATCCACGTTGCTCTTCTGAAAAATGAGAAAGTCTTGAAGAGTTTGATGAAAACTCCCGAGCTCGTCGTTCATTTTTGTGGCATGTCGAAAAAGCCGCCCTAGCATATCCTTTCCCTGAACATTTATGTACTGTTCGAGGTCATTACGAAGGCTGTCTTCTGCTGCTCTGATCGTCTTTATATCGTCGTCCCAGTGATTCCAATTCGCAAGGTCTTGAAGAAACTCATAGCCTCGGTGCCGGTAGTAAGAGCAAACGCTCTTCATTTGATACAGAAGAATTACCTTGTAAAGAAAAAGGATCTTTTCTTCTAGATGAAGCCATATTGATTGAAGCCCATCGACATGATCTTTTTCTAAGAAGTGTTCGGTCAGGGCGCAATACCACCTCATTCTAGAAACAACATGCGCTATTCCGTCAAGATTAGATCTCGTAGCGTTGGCCGGATTCATAAGGATCTGACGAGAATCAGTCGCCAAACTCAAGGATTATTAGGATATTACTCACTTGTAAGCCTATAGAGACACCAGCCCATGGGAGCGCGGCCTGCGGGATGTTTCGGACAGCGGCATCGACAAGTCCTTTTGCAGAAACAATAAATTGCGCAGTACCACTCACTCCATTCGTACCAGTTGATGTCTTGGAGACCTTTGCTTGACCACTCTCTACCAGCTCCCTCATGAGGTCCTGTCGTTTAGTCCGATCGTTAATATTTGCTGAAACTTCGATGTCAGAAAGCTTGGTCATGAGGACTGTCGTCAGGGTCTTTATGTAGGACCTGACGAGCTTTGCAGTATCTTCGCTCTGCGCGAGACTGTCGTAGGCAGCGTTCCACAATTCCTGAGATTTTGAAAGGCTTGCGTGTTGCTGTTCTGCTGGCTCAGCCTCGGCCTCGACCGCTGCCGTGCTGCTCGTAGGTGGTCCCGAGCTGTGAACATGACTTATGCGCTGTCTAGAAGAAGACGGCGAGGACGATGTATTGCGCTTAAAAAGCTTCTTAAGCCTACTCAAGCGTCTCGGGTTCTCTTTTCCGCTCATGGGTCGAAAGTAGGTACAAAACAGAAGTAGCGGAAGTGGCAGAAGTGTATGGTATTGCAACACGACAATTGCGCGGCGTATTCGTAGTAATACAAACGTCGTATATTCAGGCCTTAAGTACCGGATTTACAATACTCGAGTTAGTAAAAATAAACGTAAGAGCTCAAGACAAAGCAAGAGAAGATGTGAAAAGATGCGAGCGAGTGACAGTGGGTTAAGCAAATGCAGGTACATGCAGGCAACAGCAAGAAGTTTCGCTGCGACGGCCTGAAATCCCACTGTAGTACAAGTAAGGCCGCTATGCAGGTGGCCCCGCATTCTGAACTTATATCTCGGAGTGAAAAACAAATTCTCTCATTGGCCTCAGGATCAGAACCGAGTTGTGAAGCATACAGCCAGGAACACTTTAGAAGAATATTGTACTCTAACTAGGTACCGACAAGTAGTTTTAGACTTGGAAAGAACACTGAATTGCTGGTATCAGCACGTACAAGCACTCCACGCTGCGTTGTCGCGAGCCAGCGATGCGGGGAAAACACACAAGGCTCGCTTACCTTCTGCTGCTGTTATCACTGCTTCTAGATAGGTCTGATAAATATATGTTACACAATGCTATATAGCTTAATGTGCCATAGACTGTGACTTTCTAACCGATTATTTGTGCCGGTATAAGCAAGAGGACTCGTAGCGGGTTAGCGCCTGTATTACTCCGTAGTGGCCTCTTGAAGATTGAGATATGCACGAGGCTCAGCAATAAAACATTTCGCCTTCAAACTCAACCATGCTTACATCACATTGGCAAACGACAAACGATTCTGCTATCCAGCAACTAATCTATAAAAGATGGTTATATTTTAAGCTGAAATCATGTCATTATGTACAAACTGCGAGAACTGAATCAATGAAGCACGGACAGTAGTGGCATCCCCGTGGGAGAGATGGAATAGATATTGGCAGTTAGTAAGATATGTAGTCTGTTCCTCATACGCGACGACCCGAGACATGTACGCCGAGGCAAGCACATGCACTCAGCAGTAGTTACGTTAGCTAATCATCATAAAGCATGATATTGTCTGATAAACTGGCAAACAGATTTGTATATCTCTAGTGGTGGAAATAAAGTTTGTCTCTATCTGAAAACACCTACTTGGTTGAAGCTGCCACACTTGCTGATTTGGGCCTTCCTCCAAATGGAAAATCTGCTGAGAAGGAACGACACCTCGTTAGTTAAGACAGATCTTTTCCGCTGATAGCTATCAACCAGACCCATTTTCGCTCCGTTGATGTCATTCAATATTTTCTCCGATTATATTGCGCCATCGGATGCCTCGCCAATCACGCACAACGGCGCTCGTAACCCGGTGGAGTTTCTTGTCATATTCATCTTTTCAAGCTTTGTTCGCCCCAAAACACATTTCTCTCGCCATGCACTCACTCAATGTTTTCGGCCCCAGTGCTAATGCAAACAGCTTCCCCAACCCCGATTATTGAGAAAGTAGGCCAGCCACTACGCTGTGTCCATTTCGCAAGGCAAGATCCATGGCTGTCCGACCGTCATTATCCGCAATTTTTCGATCCGCTCCATGCTCAAGAAGAAGTTTAACTATTTTGAAACGGCCAGAGATTGAAGCATTATGTAGTGGTGTATGGCCGGCATGGGTTTTAGCTTCTATATCGGCGCCAGACTCAAGAAGAAGCCTTGTAATTCTGAATCTCCCACCATCTATGGCTAAATTCAAAGGCGTATAACCTTCATAGTCCTTAGCATCAAGTTCGATGTCTTGTTGGTTGAGAAGTAGTTGAACTACTGGTTCCTGACCATGCGCTGAGGCAACATGTAGCGGCGTACATTCTTGTTCGTTTTTGTCATTGATTTTGGTGCTTTTGTACCCAAGTAGAAGTTGAACTACTTGTAGATTACCATTTTCCGCGGCAGTATGCAATGGCGTCCAACCGGCATCGGATTTAGAGTGAACATTAACGTTTTCGTGGCTGAGAAGGAGTTTAACGACGCTCATGTGCCTCTTAAAGATTGCTGAATGTAATGGCGTTCGGCCGTCAAAACCCGCAGAGTTGATATTGGTATTGGTTTTGCTAAGCAGCAGTTGAACTATCTCAAAGTGCCCCCTTTCCGAAGCTAAGTATAAAGCCGTTTGGTTATAAATAGTTTTAGAAGTAACGTCGATATTATTCTGGCCCAGGAGCAATCGGACTATCGGCAAATTTCCAAAATATGCAGCTATAGTCAGTGGTGTATCGCGGTTATTATCTTGAGCATTAATGTCGATGTCATCTCGCGAGAGGAATAGCTGGAATATCTCAGGTGTCCCTACCTCAGCAGCAAGGAATAGTATGGTTCTTCCCTTGGCATCTTTAGCGTTGATGTCTCGGATACCCTTGGCAAGAATCAGCTTGACCACCATTTCATTGTTAGTGAAAACTGCCGTTCCTAGCGGATTCCGTCCTTTGTCATCTTTAGCCATAAAATCAATTCCATCTGCAGCAAGAAGTAGTTTGACTACTTCGTTGAATCCAAGTTCAGTTGCACGCAGTAGCGGTGTTTTGCCCGAATTGTCTTTTATGTTGATATCGATGTCTTCGTGGGCGAGTAACAGCCCAACTGTAGATTTTAAATTCATTGAAGCCGCATTCCATAGAGCTGTCTGGCCATTATCATCCCTTAAATTAACGTCGACGCTCTCTGAAGCAATTATCTGCTTGACAACTCCATTATGCTCCCTTCTAGCCGCCACCGACAAGGCAGTTTGACCGCCCATATTGTACTCTTCATCAACTTGAGCACTAGCGTTGACTCTTGCTTCCGGGGCCTGTTCAAGCCGATCTTGTCCATTAATATCAATATCATGGCTTTCGAGTAATTTTTCTACAACAGACTCATGTCCATTTTCAGCCGCGTAAAAAAGTGGCGTTCGGTTCTTGCGGTCTCTGCTGTTTACATCAATGCCATTGACAGCAAGCAGGATACTAGCTGCCTTTCCTTCATCATTTTCGGCAACCCATGCTAAGAGCGGTTTACCTGACCTATCTCTGGAATTGACTTGGGCCCCGTGTCCAATGAGTAGGTGGAGTAATTCCCAATTTGCTTTATGTATGGCACGCCGTACCGGTGTCCAGCCAGTAGGGCTCTCAGAGTCGACATTGACTTGGGTAGAGCCGAGCAATAATCTTATAATTGTCATATTATTCTTGAGTATCGCATCCATTATTGGTGTGTAGCTGTTACTGCCCTTTTTGTTGACGTTGATATCTCGTTTGCAAAGCAAAAGCTTTACTATGTCTGCATCTTCATTCCATACTGCAGCTGAGAGAGGCGTATTACCCTCACAGTCTTCGGTATTAATGCCAACATCTCCTCTAGCCAATAGTAGCTCAATAATGTCCTTGCAGTTATCTCTCTCTATGGGAGATACAGTTTTGTCCGGATATTCTCCATGTTTGTTCGTATACGTGTCAAAATACCGAATGTCCCTCTCGCTTGAAGGCCTTCGGCTGCCGTATGACACTAGCGGGCCCGGCATTATGGTATCGTATATGTGATTTTTCACGTTTAATGGATAATCTCCGTCATCCATATCGACAGTTGGTAGGGAAGAAGACACCGTCGATGGGGGCGGCGACCAGCTTCGATGGCCTTTGGTGTTTTCATGATGCCCATCTGGTGACCGATCCCGCCAACCACGAGAGTCTAATACGCGTGGTTGATGATTCCGTACGGCCAGTAAGAGCGGCGATACGCCCAAATAATTTCTAGCGTTAATGTCAACATTTTCTTTATTCAGAAGTAACTTGAATATAGATATGTTGTTGCCATCAACAGCGCGCCAAAGTGGCGTCCCGCCACGCGTGTCTTTGGCATTGACATCAATATCAGTCCTGGCAAGAAGCAATTTCACCGTCTCTTCATGCCCAATCCCTACGGCCCATGATAGCAGCGTATCACCGTATACATCCTTTTCGTTGAGATCAACTCCTTCCTGAGCCGTAAGCAGCTCAAAAATTCGCACTTTTCTCTCACTTGCGGCCTTCTTTAAAAGGCCGTAGTTGATACTCTCTCGATGCTTTGTCGTGCCTTCAAGTAGTAACTCAACTACTGTTTCGTTCCCAGTCTCAACAGCCAACCATAGGGGAGTGTGACCATTCCCATCTTCATTGACAACATCAAGGTTGATATGACTCAGCAATAGTTTGACTACTGCTGTATGCCCCTTCGCAACTGCCAATGATAGCGCAGAATTGTTTAGATCATCTTTCGCATTGATATCGATACCATCAGATTTCACTAGGAGATCGATCGAAGTATCATAACCATTTTTTGCTGCCCATAACAAAACTGATTGGCCGTAATTATCTCTGATATTGACATCAATCCCATCTTTAGCTAGAAGTAATTTGGCGATATCTTCATACCGTTTCTTTGCTTCCCATGGTAATAATGTTGAATCCCCCTCCTTTGTACTGCTTGTGTTATCATGGGCTGGGGGCAATATGTGGCCGCTGTTATAGCCTCGACTCTTCCCACTCTCTGTTTCCTCGCTGTCGACTAAGGAGGCATCCCCTTGAGAGTACCGCAAAGCCAGCGCTAATGAAGTATGTCCGTTTTTATCCGTAGAATTAACATCGATATTGGCCTTGTTAAGTAACAGTTCCACCATTTTCTTGTGTCCCTGCTTAGTTGCATATAGCAGTGGCGTCTGGCCGTCTTTGTCCCTTGAATTGACTTCAATATTGTTGGTAGCAAGGAGCAGCCGAGCCACTTCCTTATATACTTTCTTAACTGCCCACCAGAGAGGCGTCAGATTTTCTCTATCCTTAGTATTAATATCGATGCCAGGCACGTTGAGTAAGAATTTCACCGTGGCTTCATTTCCATTGCGAGCTGCCCACAGTAACGGCGTCTGGCCAGATGTATTCTTAGCATTGATATCAACGCCATTCTGAGTATGAATGAGTTGGAAGAGGATTTTGTTTCCATTCGAAGCTGCCCACCATAGTGGCGTTTGGCCATGTCGATCGACAGCATTTACATCAATGCCTTCTTTATCGAGAAGCATCTTGACTATTCCCTCGTGCTCTTTCTTGACTGCGTAAAGAAGAGGAGTTTGATGATAGGCGTCTTCAACGTTGATTTCAATGCCTTCTATAGTAAGAAGCTCTTTGGCGATAGCATCGTGCCCGCGAATGGCTGAGTGCAATAGTGCTGATTGATCATTGCGATCCTGAACATTAACATTGACATCGATGGCAGTAAGTAACAACCTTACTGCGTCCGTATGGCCGTTCTCAGCAGCCGAGAGTAATGGCGTCTTTCCAGTCTTATCCATTACATTGATACCAGCACCGACTTTGTTGTACAGGAGCCCAACTACCGCAACATGTCCGCGTCTGGCAGCCCAAAGCAACGGTGTACGGCCATATTCGTCTGCGATACCGACTTCTATGTCTTTTTTGGCGAGTAGCATACTGACCACTGCCTCGTAGCCTTTTTGTGCAGCTGCTCCCAACGGCGTCTGACCACTTTTATTCTTAGTGTTGATGTCAATCCCATCTTGCGTAAGGAGTAAATTCACAGCCGCCCCATCACCATTTCGTGCTGCCCACCACAAAGGCGATTGATCATAGCGGTTTTTCGTGTTAATGTCAACACCATCTTTCGCGAGAAGCAGTTCCATGATAGGAATATCTCCATTTCGGACCGCCCACCATAACGGTGTCTGACCGAAATTGTCTCTCGCATTAAGATTCGCGTGATTCTCGATGAGTAACTTGGTTGCCGCTTTTTGTCCGTTCTTGGCCGCAAGTAACAGTGATGTCTGACTGTAGCGGTCTCTAGCATTGGAGTCGCCTCTGCCGGTGACAAGTAAGAGCTCAACAACTGTACTATGCCCTTCTTTGGCAGCCCACATCAATGGCGTCTGGCCATCGTTATCTGTAGAGTCGGAATTGATTGCAAATGTATCAAGTAGCTGTTTGGCTACTGTTTCGTATCCATTGCCAGCGGCATATGAAATTGGCGTTCGACCAAAATCATCGCTCATATCTGGGTCTGATCCTTGTTCACCAAGGAGATTCTCCAATACTTTTTCAATTCCAAAATACGCCGCCAGGTGTAGTCCGGTGATGGTTTTAGGGACATGTTGACTGTAATCTGAATTTCTCCATGTCGGCTTGACGGCCATTAAAGCTTGGCTTGAGGCTTGTACCTTTTTTGTACATACAAGGAAAGCTGTGACTTCCTGTGGTAGCGGCGAGACATTCCGAGCATGATGGCCCCAAAAATGAGCAGCATAACTATAAAATGGATTTTCTGATAGTCGCTTTTCAAAGACAGTATCATTGGCGCAAAGCCCACTGTCAAAGTTACGAAAAGATAGATAAGTAGCGCAAGTCCTCGTAATTTCTACCTCTGCAGTAGGAAACCACTTCATCCGCGTCTGCTCAAAGTAGTCTTGTGCTGTGTAATGGACTAATCGAATGACTTCAGTTTCTTTGTCAACGGTAACTAAGCTTTCGCAAGCTAAAACAACGTCATCAACATTGATAAAGTTCCGGTTATCGAGTTCGACATGCCCATACTCCACTGCAAGAGCATGCACGAGCTCGGTTGGTGAAAGTTGTCTTTTGGCAAAGATAATCCAAGATAGAACCCGTCTTGCCAGCTCCTTCTTTGCCAGGGGCTGGATTTCGATTCGCTCCATTGCGTCTTTATAAGCATGCTCATATTTTTCTGATCCAGTCGATAGCTTCGAAAGGGTATCACGAACAGCCTTTTCCGTATATTTATGGGCCAGCGAGTCAAGATAGAGTTTAGCAAGAAGGAACCTAGGAGCAAGTTAGTATATGGAGTAATGAGACATCAGTAGAAGCGCCATACATTCCCTGCACCGAGTCAATGATTGTCCCTTGAACCTCACTTTTCAGTTCTGCATCCTCACAGACGAAGTTTGGTAGTCGTTTCATATGATCATCCAGATATCTACGCACATCTTCTCCTCTAGCGGAAATCTTGAGAAAAGTGCTGCCTTCAAACTGTTTGGCAATCTCCGTATTGTGCCTCGTAGTGGCAAATATGTTCACCGCGGACTTCATACGCAGGCTGAGAATCTCTGCTAGAAATTTCGACCGGCAGCCATTGATATCTGCACATTCATCAAGTGCATCTATGACAATAAGAGTTCTAGAGTAAGTACTGATCACGGATTGCAGAGCCGATGAGACTGCCTCCAATGATGGTCGAGTTCCCTTGTCTTTATGCTGCTCATAAAGGGCGGTGATGCAGTTAGGCAGCGATAATCGTATCTGCGCTAACTGTCTTAATAGGCTCAAAAGCAAATTGTCTGCTTTCTCATAATTCTGGTGGTAGCTCAAATAAATGTACGCAATTCCAGTGTTCAGAGTTTCGCGATCATGGTGAAATTTGGTAGTAAGTTGATCGATCACGATTGACGTCAGGATAGTTTTTCCCGCTCCTGGAATCCCCTCGCAAAGAAGGACTTCCGCTGCTGTATCCAACCAGTTCTGGTACTCTTTTGAGTTTAGAAACCATTCTCCCGTTCCAGGTTGCCGACTGCAAAAATGGTCATGCTGTTGGGAAGCATAGTCGGTCGGAGTAAGCCATTTAAGAACATCATTGCGGTATTCACCGTTTTGCCTAAGAACAATGCCCGCGAGCCCTTCTGATATATCTATGGCTCATAGTTAGCCTTGCATATCAAATAATGTGAGGCTTTTGAAAACTTACCAGAGAGCACGTCCATCTTTTTCAGGGCCTCAACTCTGTTAGGATGAATTAGGCAGAGAAGATCTTTTGTATACGCAGCTGCTGTCATTGCTGCATAGCCTTGCCATTCCTTGTTTTTATGTGTATCCGCATAATCGCATATACCACGAATAACCAAGCAGGGAAAATGGTTCATCAAACCAGCCGCTTCCATTTCAAAGCACAGCACATTCTTCTTCATACCCAACGTATCCCTAACCACAGCATCTTTCATTAACTGATTAGCCGAAGCAATCAAGCCATAGTGGATTACAGGGTCATCCTCGCTGCTATTCCGTTCCGGACGGATAATTAAAGCTGATGGACTATTGCCACAACTGATGTTGCAACTTGTCTCAGCATTAGGGTGAATGATATGGCTTTGATACAGCTGATCTGCACCTGGTGAGTCCGGTCGTTTATACTTTTTCCTTAGTCTTGGGTTTTTGTCAAGGATAACATTAATATTCTCTCGGATAAAATGCCCTTTTATCTCATATTGACTTTCAAGCCCGCTTACTGCTGACCTTAGTATTGGGGGCGGCTGGTTTAGATGCCCAGTCGGATAAAAGCTTTGTTCCTGTACTGTTTTGCCAAAGTCATATTGAAAAACACCACCCTCTCCATTGCGGGGGTCACTGACAACCACGTCACCTAAGCGGATATCGTGATTTTTGCTTGGAGCTCCCCCTCCAATACCAACCATTAGGCCAATTCGAATATTTGGGAAGCTATGTAGCATGTCTCTCGCCACACTTGCTGCTGAAGACAGGCCGTATTCACCATGGGGCAAACTGGCGAGGACAATATTATGTTTCCCAATCCTGCCTAGTATATAGTTGTTATCATCGTGTGGGGACACAGATTGCGGCGACTCGTGCTCTTCATCAAAGAAAGCTCGTGCGGCAACGTGCTCGGTCGTTATGGCACAAATCCAGCCGACCGTATAATCGTCATTGTCAAATTGCACTTTAGGGTCGCGACGAGACATTTTATCGATGCGTAATAGAAAGTATCCTTGCTTCAGTATCAGCTTCGTCTAACGGTAGAGAAGCAAAGAGGGGTATGGAGCTCAGATGCGGCTGAAAGATAATTGTACGTACCCGAATAGGTAGGTACCTAGGCAGCAGTTTGTATGCATGTAGAATAGCCAAGCCAATGAGAGCATATCAGCAAGCAGGTGCGTGATCCGCACCGGGTGAACGCTCAGAGTTGCATGTTTTCCATTTTTCGTTGCCGCTTGACCTGAGAAGCACGTGTGTTTAATCACTTACATACCCACTACCTCTGTATATACAGTTTGAACTTGCAGCTGATTGCATATAAAGTAGTACTGTGGGTGTATGCAGAGGAGAATTCAAGATCCTATCAAATCCTCCTTAGACAAGCACTTGGTCTGCAGGGTAGATGGTGGGGAGCTGCTCGCGAACGCACGCTTCTATATATATCTTTCTGTGCTATATTCTTGTTGCGTTTTCTCATTTTGCAGCCTGGCTGTTCATTAAGCGCGAAGCTTCATTTGCAGTATCGTAACAAGAGGCTGGGTTGCATTTGCTGCCGCAATCGTCTTTGTATGCTGCTCCTCAGTATTATACACGCCTATATATGCTCCAATCATCTGGTATACTTGCCGCGAGACGTTCAAAAAATTCTGGGATTGCCCCCTAGGTAATTACTATTCTATGTTGCTTTCTTCCCCTTGCAGTTTTCATAGGTAAATAGAAAGACCTATACATTTTGAGCAGATGAGGCAATCATCGATACGGAGCGTCTGTCTATATGTTCGGATGCTGTAAATGATGGTAATCTGAATGCAAGGACTGATAACAACGATCTAGTCTTACATAAGTTGAAATCAAGCCGAACGCCAAATTAGGAGCACACTCAAAGTACACCGTGAACCATCACACAATTGATACTCTCTCCACTACTTAGGCTGGACTAGGACCGGGCCGATCCCAGTTGACAGGCTGACGTGTAGAGAGAGACTTGCCTGAGTAAGAATGTTTCAGATTTAGCTTTGGCGATTGACCGCCGATTGACTCTTACAAGATGAATTACTGTACCTTGGTCAATGCGCAAAGACGCAGGGTGTTTCACGAAATGTGGCGCTCCCACAGGCCGGTTATTGGATTACTTGTCTCAGTTATCAAGACGGGACGATCAGGGGTGTGTTCCAATTGGTTAAAATGCAGTCCCTAGTTTGATGACGATGGCCTTGGCATCCAATCTCAAAATCAAGCTTTACGCAGGACTAGGCCATGATCTATTGGAGTTGGTGGATCGCTTGCGTACGACGTGGCTGGCACGGCGCAGTACCCATCATGTAGCTATACCTGCAGAGCTGATAGATTGCGCCATACAGCAAAGATTGAGGCCGGCGATTTGGGTCTGTCAGATTCATACACTATGTACCCCTGGATGAGTGCGTGGATCGTATTAAATAAACATAAATAGGGCGGGCATTAATAGCGTAGCAGCCTTGAATCTGACCTTTGGACCGGTTTACTCGCCAGCTTTCTCCTACACTTATCTCGGCGGGAAACTTCAACATGTTTAACGAGCCTTTTATGCAAATCCATCTTGGGCGTGGACCCAGGGGATTTGAAGAAGTGTCGACCGTACAGGCTCAAGGAAACTTCTACCTATGGGAGAGTGAAACCATGAAAGCGGCGCTCATGCGTCTTTGCCCACCTCGTCTATGGCCACATGCGTCGTATAATAATTCATGCCCTCGACCTATTCTTGTTAACCTTCGCCATGAAACGATGCTGCGCGAGTTAAATACTGCGCTAACCCTTTCATTGACGGATATCGTGGATCGATGGTGGAGCGACAAGGCCGCAAAGTTTCCCCAGAGGATGCCTCTTGAGCCAATAGAGGAGGGTCTCTTAAAGGTGAGTAAACGATCTCTCGTCATAGCTGTTTCGTTTTTGTTTCTAGTAGCTAACAAAGGAAATCCAGTACGTGCAACGTGCCCTGTCGCCTTACAAAGAACGCAAAGGATCGTGGAGGCCCGATTTCCTGGTTGAGGATATACACTGCGCAGATGGTGCCGTCCACGAAAACTTCCGAATCACCGAGATCAATGCCCGGTTTTCTTTCAATGCGTATATGCACGCAGTGTTTGGGCACACGGCTCTGGAAGATACGGGCATGGCAAGATATGGGCTCGTCCCTGCTACGACTCCGAAGAAGGTTCAAATCCACCATGCTCCATTTTCTAGCTCTTGACTACATTTAACAATTTTTTGTAGGTCATCGACGGACTATTCACTCTGTTTCGGCGAGATCGTCCTCTCCATCTCTTGAAAGGTAAAGAGCCTGGCGTTGACTTCTACATGTTCGTCGAAGCTGTGAAGCGCCGCACAGGCTCGGCGCCACGAGTAATTGGCCCTTCAGACCTACGATTGGTGATCAACGAGAAAAGAAAAACGGGTTATATGCTCTGTGCAATCTCAAAGGCACCTACCTGTCACGCTACTTCCACTGCAGCGTCTCCTGTCTTCGTCACCGAAGACGGAGAGTTTGTAGAAGAGATTTTTCAGGTTGGACTTGAGCTACACCAGCGTGAGCTGGTTGGTTTGCCTCTTAATATGCTCCAAGAGCTCTGTGCAATCTGCTTCAATGATCTGCGGACTATATTTCTAGTCCATGACAAGCGCATGCTAGGAATCATCAAGCAGGAGCTTCAGGATCAAGTTGCGCGCGGAGTGCTCAGCCAGCAACAAGCTGTGATTCTCGATCGCGGGATTGCAGATACCTATTTGCCGGGCTCGCCTGAGATTCAAGAAATACTTGATCACTCAGAAAAGCACCCTGAAGTCCGCCAACATTTCCTCCTGAAGGCAATTAGAGGTGGAAAAGGAGATGGCATCGTATTTGGCGATGAGATGACCAATGAAGAGTGGATTGCGGCCTTGCAGCGCCGGGTCTCCCCGGGACTCGACCTAGAAACATCCTCTGTCGTACAGCGTCGAATTATTTCTAGGCGGTATAACATGGTGTTGAAGGCGTCGGGAGAAAAAGTGAACTACCCATTGATCGGAACATATTTTACTGTCAATGGCGCATATCTCGGCTTAGGAGGCTGGCGGAGCAGCAACGAACGCATCTGTACTGTCGGAAATGGCGGAGCCTGGATTTGCTCTGTGATACGTAGGGAAGACCAATTTGGAGAGACTGTCTTGAGCCAGGGGGAGGGGTTGGAGAGAAACTGAGTACGGTGTCAAGTACTACAAAGTAGTGGTACAAGGTGATTGTTTGTGATAATGTTATTAGTAGCGAGATATAAATTAAGACAAGCTGTTTACATATCACAGCACTAGTATTACTATCCACACACGGCTGAACGCTTCCCGAGAAGACAGGGATATCTATTCAGGTCCTAGCAGAGAAGTAAATAGTGCGTACTAGGCGCCTTCGTCTTCTCTTCAATTCGACTGCTTGAGAAATTGTGACACTAAATGCCTGTGCATTAAATGTCAACAATAAATACACCAGGTTACAGCCGTGAGAGAGCAATCAAGTACAGAATTCGTTAATCATCAAATTTGCGAGAACATCTCTTCGATCTTCCTTATAAGTCTTTGCCTTTTACTTCACGATCTTTTACATCTGCCCACGATGTATCGCCGCGTTACACTCCATATTGCTGCAGCATCGAATCGAATGCGCAGAGTTATTCGTCGCCCAGCATCTCCATGGCTCTCCATGGCTGAAACCCGTGAGAGTCGTCAGATGTCCACAAACCACTCACATATAGTGCCTAATGTGGAAGTGCCGAATATTAGTCAAGCTCAAGAGCTTGTCCATGTTCGAAGTGTATCGGAACTGCTTCGCCAACATGGCATTCTCAAGATAAGCCTGGGACTCGATGATAACAAGAGCCAGTATCTTGAACAGCTTCTCCTGAGCCTACATCGACGTCACGGACATCAACTGCCTATTGCTCACAGCGCAACCAAAGGCTGGTTTTGGGATGTACTTCCCGCCACCACCAGCTTTCAGACTGCCAACTGTCAGGCCCGTTCCGAGACAATGGACGAGTTTCCCTGGCACACGGATTGCAGTTACGAGAACCCCCCGCCGCGCTATTTCGCCCTGCATGTGCTTCAGCCTGATCGCTACGGAGGTGGTACGCTTTCCGTGATGAATGTGCAGCGGCTAAGCGAGCTGCTCTCGGAAGCCACCAAGGCATCTTTGGCAAGACCCGAGTATCTGATTCGCACACCGCCCGAGTTTGAAAAGTCTCCTAGGCAGCAGCACATCGTGGGAAGCATCATGGTGACTGATGCAGAGAATCAGACTAGCATGATGCGCTTCCGAGAAGACATCTTAACGCCGTTGAGTGATCGGGCTTCCGCCGCGCTAAATGAACTGAAACATGCATTGCAGAGCGCAGAGGCAAAATCCTATTCGACCTTGCACTTGACCCCGAAGGCCCTGCCGGCGCGTTCGATCATCTTGATTGACAACCGCCGGTGGCTACACGCAAGAAACCACATCACAGATCCGGGGCGACACCTCCGAAGAGTTAGATGGGATGCAGTCCCGTTCTCTAGTAGTATGTGAACGGGAGAAGCAGGCGACGGACAAGAGAGCACCATCGGCATCCGGAAATTGGAAACTGAGACATGGAAGGAAAATAATGCGTGTTGGTAAATAACTGGACAGTGTGGCTTGAGTGCTATAGTAAATAAATGGACTATTAGTTTATTGTGAAACACACAAGACTGGTGTGCATATTAAATTACAAATTCTATTTCGGATGTAACCCTCCCGGTCGTTGAAGGGAGTTGACAGCACCTAGCAATTATTGCTGTCGTTACTCTGCAGGCCAAGCACAAGTACGAGTATAAAAACACGACTACTGATTGACATGTTTGCTTTTGCGGTCTTCTCACTTGCTATTGGCCTGCCGACCAAGGCACGTATCTAAGGTGGCTGGGCTGGACAGAGCTGAGGTTGAGCTACTGCAGGGATATTGCCGGCTTTCGAGCTCAGCTTCATGTGGCTGAGGGCTCTATCAGACTTACAGACAGGCAGAAATGGCGGTCAGGCCGGAGCAATATTTTGGCATGCCTGTTTTGCAATCTGATTGACTGATATCATAGCGCTACTGCCGTCTCGGCCGCAACATCATCTGCTTCTCGGTTGCTGCCGTGTGATGATACCACCCAGCCACAGGTACTATAATAAGATATTACGTGGCGCTTGTTCGCTATTTTGTTTGCTTCCACTATCTACCTAGTCTTTTTCTCCTTTCTTTTCCGTAGATAACTGAGGCGATCTATCTTACACCCCACTATACGTAGGCTTCTTTGGGCATGTCTCAGGCTGAAACTAGGCCATCCGCGGTTGGCTTTTTGGCCCCCATCTTTGGCTGGAGTCACTGCTGTTCTACTGCCGCTAATCAGGCGCTGCCAGCAAGCTCTGTATTTATCACTGTATGTGTCTAAGATCAAGAACACAGTAATGACCGCACTGTACATCCACATCGCCTGAGTAAGAACCAGTGTCCGACTGTCAGTCGCGTAGTAGGTCAAGCTTTAGTCATGTATCGTAGGTATCGTAGTTTACTTTTAACATATAAATTGTAGATAGGAGACACAAGTATTACAATCTCTTTTTCAGCTCTTTTGGCGTATTCGCTTTGAACAAGTATTCAACTCTAGACATGGAGAACGCGCCTTATTCACTGGGAGAGGTTTTGGTCGTCGCTGAGACCCACCCCTTCTACAAGGAAGAGATACAGTATCCACCAGAGGAAAATATAATTCGAGAGCTGAGAGAGAAGGCGTTAACGAATGAAGCCGCAGAGAAAAGGCTGAGGGTATGGCCTATCATCTGGAAGAAGAACCTGTAAGTTGACGAGAAGTACGAATCGCAGCCTTTACTTGAATCTAACTGTGCATTAGTTATAACACTATCCAACGACTTGTCAACGATACGAATTCCAGTAATACATATCGGCAGAGCGTGTATGCGAGTATTACAGGCGGTGGATTTGGTTCGAAGCCCTTATTCTTCGGAACGGATGTGTATGAGAATCGCAGACATAGAGCATCTTTCGGTCACTTTCTCAAAACACTTGGGGTAATTAAGCCTGGGGACTGGGCATTGACTACCCATTGTGCTGGGGAGCTGTATAGGTGAGTCACTTCAAGATGCCACAAGGCAATGAGTCCAGCGGACAGATACTAATGATAAACCAGGTCCCTGGATCTTACCCTCGAGATCTTGGAGAACGCTGGCGCCTCGGTTTTGAGCGCTGGGAACTACATGTCTCCCCACGATGTTGTCAAGCTCCTTATAAAATACCATATCAATATTCTTGCTAGTGACAGCGCTCAGGTTGTTCAGATGGTGCACTATATCTCAACTCTCCCTGAAGAAGAGCGCGCATTGATCAGGCTTGACAAAATTATCTATACTTCTGAAGTGCTTACACCAGCCCAAAGAGCACATATAAAGGAGATTCTGAGCTCTGTGAAGATCTTTTCCCTTCTTGGGAGCGCTGAAGCAGGTGCCTGGGCGGCCAGTAGCCCTGATATCAATGGAAAGGAGAGTACTACCAGCGAAGAAGATCTCATCTTCGATACTCGATCTATGCTTGTTGAAGTCTTTCCACCTTCTGTTACCGAAGGAGATCCGTGTGCTTGTGCGCTGCCCGAAGGAGAATCGGGAATGATTGTACAAACTTCACTTTCGCGCTTGCGCAATCCGCTTGTGCGATATGTCACGGGCGATATCGGATCTGTCCATCCTCTGCCTGAGCATTCCCGCGACAAGATTCCCGTCCCAGACTGGCCGTTTCTCCGCGTTCTTCGTCTTCAAGGCCGTGACAAGCGAATCAGCTTCGACTGGGATGGAGAGTACATCCAATTCGAAGACATGGCAGCCTTGTTGAATAACGAAGAATGTGGTATTCTGCAATGGCAGATCATCCTGGACAAGCTCGAGCCTTCTTTGGAATCTTGCTTGGAAATCCGGCTGATGTGCTCTCCGAGAACATCTCGCGTACTTTCTGAAAAGGCTCTTATAAATCGTATCAGGGGTTTCCTTCACGTCATATCGACTAACAATTATCGTTTTAAGACTACCTTTGTGGATGAGTTGGATGGATTTGTTAGAAGTACTACGGGTAGGAAAGTCGTTAAATTTGTTAATCGATACAACTAAGCTAGAATAGCCTGTATGATGGAGTATAGCGAGTTAAAATCTGTATCTCTGCTCTCCTTATTAAGGCATATGATATTCAATGGCTTTTACTACTTTAGATATTTATGCTGGCGTATATACAGTTTTGAAGAAAATTACAATAGTGAAGCACAGGAAAGCTGAAAACTGTGAAAAGCCATGTGGATCAACAAATGATAGCATCCTTGACAAGTTATTTAATAATATCTTATATGGAGATGTGTTATTTTATGCCATGGGATATAGTTAATAGTCAACATGGGCCAATAACAATATTCTGGCGAGACATCCATTCAAGTGATTGTTCCCGAAACTAAGAGGTTTGCCTCACGAGAAGCATTTCTCGAATCCCCATAGGCTTGATATCTGGAAAGCTCTTGTTGAGAGACTTTTCAGTAGGGATGTCAAACTGCCCTCTAACTACCCAGCTTCCAAGAAGTGCCAAAAGCTGCCGAGCAATAGGCGCTGGAAACGGAAAGTTTGCCAGTTCTTCTTTGTGAGAGGGGAGCTCAGTAACTTCTCCTCTTGCCAGTTTCTCAATGGGATCGTATGATACCTCGAATTGGGTACCTAAAAAAATGATGTTAATGGAACCGGTTAATTAATTGACATCTGCTAGGAGATATGCCGTCATACCTGTCACCTCTTCCGCTACTTTGATGAATGCGTTCCAGGTCGTTTTCTCTCCGTATACATAGGTTATCTCTTCCCATTTTGGAGCACCCAAGTATGCAGAAACAAATTTAGCAACGTCGTATGAGTAGGTGAGAGCTATTGGTTCATTTCCTGTCCCAGGGATGGCTGCTTTATTGCTGTTCATGTCGACAGCAAAAGACATAGGTGGCAGATGGGTTTCGATCGCAGGAATACCGTAGTAATCCATGAAAAAGCCAACGGAGAATCGTGTCCATTCGAGCGTGGTGCTGCGTAAGGCGGCTTCGGAAGCCTTTTGGTATTTCGATGTAGGGGATCTGAGTTTGTCATTAGCTAGTATTAGATCGTATGGCGCAGATGGCTTACGTCTCACTAGGAAGCGATCCCCAGCTGCTAGAAATAAATCGGGCTACAGCTGGTGCTCGCCCTGCGGCTTTTATGAGGTTGACCTCGGCAGTAGATGATGTCTCGTCAGTTACTTGAATGGTAGAAATGACTACCTTTACTTCGTGCTGAGACAAGACTTTGGCGGTTGCATCGACATCAGTATAGTCAACGGCGTAACTGGGAACGTTATCCAAAACTGTTTGAACCTATTTTATTCGCTTTAGATGATTCTATCAATGCTCAGGTGCCAAGATCAAGTCCTTACCTTGCGTCCTAGAACAATGACTTTGTAATTTGAAGTCTTTACGAGAGTCTCAACAATTGTGCGACCCACGTTACCCGCGCCAGCTACAGCAACGACGGACATTTTGATATGTGTAATATTGAGTAAACTTAAAGGTTGCTCAACTATAGAGTTGTTTAGAATCGGAGGAGAAGATGTACAATAGTATAGAGTTACGAATGGGTGTAAATTCGGGGTGCAGCATTTATATACACGAAAATGGACAATATCTTTTCTTAATCCACGTGATTACTACATCTTCTATTCGTCAGCTTATAAATATATAATATAATCCAGGTTTCAAAGCAATCTAGGCATTATAAGTTGTTATCTCGTTGATCTAATTTAGCTTGATATGCTGCTGGTAAGCTGCGCGCGCGATTTCCTATTTTGGATGGGCGAGGACATTCAACATCTGAAAAGGTAGGTAAGTAAGTCTTTACATAATACTCCAGTAATCTTCAAAACATGCATTACTATCAAAAGGCATATATGTACTTTTGCGCAACTCAAATATGGCGATTCATGCTCAAACGTATTAGATTTCGTATGCTGACGTTAGGCTTTGCACACAATAAAAGGCTACTGAGTCCTTTAAATCTCAATTCCCTGTATACGCAGCGTCTAATTTTCTATCAGATGAGTAATACATCAGATCCCATTGCTTGAAAACAGTCATACAATCCCCATGAGCCCTCATCCAACCCCTCTCGGAGCCGCCAGACTTGTTCTATCAATCGGAGAGCACGTTTTGCTGGCCCCAGAGCTTGTAACGATTCCAAAGTAGAAAAGAAACGCCTAAACGTGCGCTCTTGTTCTCGTTTTGCCAAGAATCCTGCAATACAGAAAGGGAACATGACGCTGCGTATTGAAAGTTCTGATGAGAAAATGTCCAAAATACCCAATATTGAACTTACATTCTCGTGAATGTAAAGGCTATGAGGCTGCCAACCATCTAAGACTACCGATATATATACTATCGCAGCGTGTAGCCATATTTTTGTTATGAGAACAACCTTCTGTGGTTGAAGTTTTCTGTTTTGGTCGTCAGATCTCATGGAGACTAGCTGCGTGGTATGGCATTCCGGCCGGATATTTGCATCAATCTCATTCATCCTTACTTGAAGTTTTCTCTTGAGAACACGGCCCTTTCTCATTAGCTCTTGGGAAAAATACTTTTCTTTGGACTGAAAAGAGCGTTTGTCAGCTTCCAGCTCGAAAATCTCACTAAGAGCAGTAAGAACCCAACCATGGCATCCGATATAGGTCTCCAATCCTGGTAGTGGCTGAGAACTACCGTCCGAAGCTATAGTTACTTCAGGACTGGCTATTAGGGCCTGATGATGACATCGTAGCTGCAAGGGCCGTCCTAGTTGGATACTAGCAATGATGTCTGCGTATAAAAGGAACGAAGCGTAAAATTGAAAGGCGGCTTGGTCGCTGTTCCAAACGCGGAAACCCAAGTCTATACCAACGAATATTGATGGCTTATCCATCGATTGTATGACATTCTCCAGAGAACATATACCATTACTTGTCCCATGCGATTGGAGTATCTCATTCAACAATGTCAACGCGGCTGACAAATGAATCTTCCAATCTGCTCCCTGAGGCATCGCGGTTGCAAAGATCAAGTACTGAACAACACCTGCGAGAACATGGAGTTTGGAGAGTATATCCGAACAAGGGCCTTGTAAGTGATATTGATTCATATGCTTAATGGCCTTTATGGACATCTCCATGTGTGTGTCGAGGGTATCCCACACATGCTGCTCACATGGAGTACGAAGAGTATGGGTGGCATCTTTAGCTAGCATAAGGGTAAAGTAATATGCACTAGTGCTAAGAGCACTGTGATATACTGCCTTATTCGTTTTCAATAGCGCAGATATCCAGCTTCGCCCGCCAGACAGTGAGGTGGGCTTGTATTGAGGGAATAACAGCGGGAAGACTGTATCAAGATACAAAGTGATGAGAAAGTTTTCTGTTTCCTCCGCAGCAGATCCATCCGCAGCGTGAGCAGATGAGATTCCGCTTGTCTGAGATGGGCTTGAGGAGCTGGTAGGTGATATTTCTGGCGCCGCAGTTGGCGACGGTTCAGCTTGCTGGTGAAGCGAGAAAACTCGAATCGCAGCTTCACCGCCTCCCCGCCGAGCTGCAACTCCTTGCTTTACTTGAGCCTTGATCGCTTGTGTTTTTGCCAGCTGCTTTTCGGCCCCGTCCATCCACTTTGGACGTTCTTTACTGTAGCAGCAGCTAATGCCCAGATTGGAGCAAGTCTTACATATCGGCTGAGTACGATCGCATCGTTTTCTTCGCAGTCGGCAGGTCCAGCAAGCCAAAGATGCCATTGTTGATTGAATCAGGTTTTGAATGGTATTATCTTGTATCTTTTGACAAATAATTGACTCAATAAGTCTTTGGAACGAAGGGGGAAAAAAGTATTATGATTAGAAAATGACCGACTTCAGCTCTTAACCCATAGAAAATGGAGAGCGCGCGCGCCTTCCACATGAAGTTTAGCGTTTATTTAACACCAGCATCAGACAACTCTACTTCTGCTCTTAACAGGGCAGCACAGGTAAAAGATCTCTAATTCGCACCTCTAAGACTTAGTTAATTCTTTCCCTTTTCCTTCTCTCTTCACTATGTCTTCAGTTCCCTTCCATTTGTTTTTTGTTGGATGTGGATGGCCAACCAATTGAAGGAGAACAAGCCGACGTTGTGCTAAGAGAGACGCTCATTCTATCTACGCACTGAAAACAGCTCTATCCGCAACAGTAGATCTTGAAGTGACAACGCTTACCATTAATAATGCTCAGCCTATAGGGGACCTACATCGTGGTGGAAGTTCTCAACACTGATGGCATTTTGGAACAGCTTTTATACAGCCACCCCTATCCATACCCTGTATGTATAACTAAGACATGGAGAATACACGAGCGGGAAATTTGAACACCCAACGAATAGATTGCAAAGAACATGATATGTGACAAGGCGCAAGCTTTCGGCTCTCTAATAACTGAATCTATTTTAGGATAATGTGCTATGGCCAAAGATGGAGCTGGATTCTCGTCATCTAGTTTTAGATCATTGACGTACCTATATTCTCTGGTGGATTTGAAACATTCCTGTTGCCTCTTTGGGAAACTTATGGCGATGTCTTTTGCTTGCTTCTCCGCAACTGTTACGAATATTAGCACGATCTATTGCCATCCTGCGTCGCGCCAACTCATCACCTCCGTCTGATCGTTACCAATTTTAGATTCATCTATCTCGAGCATGCTGTAAGACGCAAAACCATTGGGCGTGAACTAGGCTCCTTTTCAGAACTCGAATGGCTTTTCCTTTCCGTAGAGAGTGGAGTATATTATGGACAGCTCAGATTCGGGCTGATTTTTGTGTTTAGCAACCTGACCCCTGTATTTTAGCGCGACAGTGCTCGGCAGTGGTTTACTTGAAGGGTTTTGCAGCTCATCATTTCGCGTTAGCTAGCGGAATGGGGTTAATGGGCTGATGTTTATAATCAAAAGAGTTGTTTCACCTTGAAAAGGATGTCGAATTCGCAATAAGTTTACGAATTCGATTCATCATCTGAATCCCAAGGCAGATTCTAGAGGCTAGGTTTCTGCCAAATTGGTTAGAAGATGCCGAAACCCTCAAAACCGTTGACAGATATGCCGTCAGTAGATGAAGAGGAGAAGATTTAAAGAGAGCGCGTTAGCCCTGGGCTGGAGATTCCTTTCTTCAAGCTCTTCTACTTCTAATTGCATACACTCATAAGCATCGTTCATACAAAGCGTGCATCCATATACACCTACATTCTATTTCATAACTCAGTTTTCATCTGTTCTATTTTTTCCAAAATGGCCTTCTCAGGCGTTACTTATAAACATGATGCGACAAGATTCTCTTCGGAGGAGTATCGAGCAACCACTATTTTTGAGCTCGAGGACCCCTCGTCTAGGAGAAGCTCCTCCGACTTTGATCCACCAAAATATGAGGAGCTATTAAAGCAAGCACAAAGAGATCAATTACCCGGCGTTTCGACTAGCTTGTTCAGTCTATCGAAGCCAATTGCAATACCCGCTACAAGTGCAGACTTAGGATCTGCATTCCTGAGAGCTTACCCACCTGTGTTGGAGGATGTAAACATTTCTCGAATCGAGTTTCTAGAGTTTCTAGACCACCTCAACCGCGCCATCGTCGCAAGCCCAGGGCTGCGAGCTCTCAGCATTGCCTCAGATGCTGCTGGATTTGTGCCCGAGCCTACTGCTCAGATTGTTTCGACCGCAGCTGGCATTAGCGCAACCGTAGGCACCTTTGCTATGTCCAAGACCCGATCTGAAATGGTCATTCGACAAGCGAATAAAGACATCTTCTTTCCCAGAGGCTTGGAGGTGAAAATTGCAAAGTTGAAATACGTTGCCAAGCTTGCCAACATGCCTATATTGAACGAGAAAGGAGATATAGACAAGCAGTCGCCAATTTTGGAACCACTCCAGGTTCTTGCCGAGTCAAATGAGCTCAGAACCATCAGCGCTCAGCAGCGCCGTCTAAGAGCCCTTGAAACGTGGATTTCTCCTCTGACGATTGAGGAGCTTCCTCCAGTCGCGAATCCATCCAATGTGTTCAAGAAAGTGGATGCCTTTGTCAGTGAGATGGAGCGAAAATCCGCAGAGAAGTCTATGCTTAAGAAGAGAGTCAAGGTGAATGACAAACACGAGAAAGCAAGCCAAAATGCGCTGTCAAAATATGAAAACTCGATGAGACGTTTCGAAAACAGGGCGTACGGCTTTGGCGCAGGTGACCGTCACGCAAGCAGAGATCTAGAGCGGCTTGAAGATCGTCGCTTGAAAGCCACAGTAAAGTACGAAAAAGATGTTGAGAAGGCGCAGAAGAGGTACAAGAAACGGGACAGAGAGGAGAAGAGCATCAGGCGAATCAACTTTCTTGTGATTATCCCCAAATCCAAAGAAGCCTAGTTGTGCTTAGAGAGGCCTTTTTCAATTTTACGCTCCTATATATGATAACAGTCCATATTTCTCTTTGTGTAATGCCTACATTTAATAAATAATAATGATGATTCTGCTATTTCGCGATTGAAACTAATATGCTGTGCCATCCGATAAAACCTCACCAATATTAAATCCCTTTTCACGAACAAGCTGATTCATGATCTTCCCTATCCATGCACAAACATTCGGACGCCGTGTTAAACTCTCACGTGCCACATACAGAGGAAATAGAAGCATAAACATTCCAAGACTGTCATGCTTGCAGTGTGACATGAAGTCGACGATTCGACAAATCTCCAAGGCATAATCTTCTCTGTTGCCTTGGCCTGGAAGAAGTAGTGTGTTCTGAAAAGGGCCAAAATATGCTTGTAATCCTAATGGACGACGAGAAGATGCCATCTCCGGGGCCAGAGAGTCCAACAATGTGTCTAGAAGTAGATGAAGTGTATTGAAGAACACAATCTCAATAGCACGGTCCAATTTACTGAAATGAAGCACAGTTGGGAAAGGGTCAGCTGAAGAGTTCGGAGAATAGTCTGTGGATGGCATCTCTTTGCATGCATCAGCGTGGTCTTGCTCCCACTGCCACCGCAGTTGGGATGCTTTCTGCATTGTGTTTTCCACTTTCTCGTAAAGTGCCTCTTTCATGCCTTCCAAATCTTCTTCTAGAGTAGATCGAGACATGATTACATCTGCGTCTTCCATTAATCCAGGGACGTCACAAAATAGATCTTGTAATGAAGATCCGAGTGATTTCGGTTTAATGAGCCAGGGTATGGTCTTCCAATCATCTGTCTCGAGAAAGCAGTGTTTCCGCTGCAAAAGGAAGTTTACAATCTGTATATATACTGAGTCAGCAACATCGATACGGCAAGGAAGGCTTGGGCTACCCACAATTAATCCTCGATAGGTCTCCAGCATTAAATTCGCATCAAGCTCCTGAAAAGCGTAGGGCCCAAGCATTTGTATCTATAGATCCCACATTAGCTTACTGTAGGGAAGAGCATTAGGATCCATATTATATTACAAGAGCAGTGATGCCATGGCAATGCTCCAGCCACCCAACTGAGCTAACGCCGGATACAATCTCATACAAGCAGAGAAGAAAAGAGCTCCATAGGTTAGAGTACATGACAGCAGCTGATGTATGACAGCTTAGGACTTGTAAATCTTGGCGGAGATGCTGCAGGGAGCGGCTGTATAGGAGCGTTGCATTTACCATCAGATCGTGGCGTTTCTGGGCTCTCGCATAAAACGCTTCGGCAAGACATAATCCGGCCATGTAGACGGTAGTACGCTCTTTGGGGGTGGAAAAGACGGCAGACAAAGGCGAGCCATGAACCCCAGGTGGAAGTCTCCATGCAAAGTCGACAGGGAACTTGCTAATTAGGTGGGATATAGCTAAATCTTCTCTCGAGATGTCAAGTGTAAGCGTCATAGGAAGCTTTACACAGGAAGTGGAGAATTTAGTGATTGTTTTTGTTGGTTGCTTTGAAATACTCTGTCCTCCCTTTTCAGGGTTTAATTGAGCTGGCGATAGTACTTGGTTGATAAAAACCTGGGGCTTATCATATCCTTCACATTGTCGGGAACTATTCAAGCATCTAAGACAATGAGGAAGATTCTCATCTTCGAGGCCAACCACGGCAGCAGTCAGGATCATAATGTCAAGTTTATTTCGCAGATGCTCACTCACCGCACTTCACCTTTCGCTGTCGACACGTTATACACCCTTTGGACCGACGACCGCGCGGCTTGACTGCCAATCGCGACTGGAACTCGGCTTCGGGTGCAACGCAAAAAGAAGACATCATGACAAGTACTCGATTCTGGGACTATGCATAGTAAGGTGACAAACGTAAACCAGAGTTTGAATTACGAGGCAGTTATGAAGCTCTTCGTTTCTCTAAACCCGGATGCTGATGCGGAAGACAATCAGAACTAAAACATGTACCCACTTCGTGCGTCGAAATAGGTTAGCTAATGCGAGGACCAACTAGACCAACCTGAGTTCAGCCCCTGCTGTTGTAGCTCTCAGCCCAAACTGAATACCCAGGTACTCTTACGACTACTTCGTTTGACAATAGGAGTACAGCTCCAGGGTGTAAGAGTCCCTCGTCTCCATTCAACAAGTATATTATCGGATAGTAGTGCTGACATCAATGGACTGCATAGACAGGGGGCTCAGCTCTCCCAAGCTGCCGCCTCAGGGAACCAACTCAACATTTTATAGCATCTCGTCGATCGCTAGGCTTATACTGCCTCCCGTGGAACCAATCTGACCATGTTTTTACGGAGGTACATCCGCCGCAGTCCCGCGTGCCTCCTTCTAATCTGCACGTTCAGCGGAATATTTGGTACTTTAGAGATGTAGTACAGACGTATATGATTATCACTCTTTGACAGCAAATATTTTGTACGAAGCTATGAAGAATTTTTAGACCATGGAGATACCGCGGTTGGGAGCGCTTTGCTTACCAGTCCATTCATTGAAGTCAATGCCTCCAACATCTACCAAGCCACTTTCTGTTGAACTGTAGCCTGTTTGTGCACAACAACCCTTGTATTGCTCTCCAGAATCGGACTGATGAGTGGAAAGACTTTTGCAGCTGCTATCGATCGCTTCGTTGTGATAGACATTCAAGTCGTTTCCCGAATCCTGTATAATAATCCCTGGGTAATTTCCAAGTCAGCAAAAAGTCTTTGTGCGGCCAAAGGCCTCTTTTCACCAACCATTGAATCCAGCCTCTTTCAGGTATTGCTGATACATCCTGACCTCGCTTGCGCCGGAAATACAGCCGACGTACAAAGCCATGCTCATCTTGATATTATCTGGCAGTGGGCTTTTGGCAAGGATGTCCGAAATGGCAACCCGCCCACCCGGCTTCAAGAGACGAAACATCTCATTAAAGGCGACCTGTTTTTCTTCTTCTGGGACAAGATTGATGACGCAATTGGAAATGATACAATCTGCGATGCCATCCTCGAGGGCAATATGCGTAATTCGTGACTGCACAAACTCCACATTATTCTTGCCCCACGAAACCTTTAGCCCCTCTGCTTTCTTAAGCATATCCTATGTAAAGGAAGACATGTGTTAGATAATTCGCTTATTGCATTTTTTTGAACCAACCTCGTTCATATCTACGCCAATTACTCTGCCGTTGGACCCTACTTTGCGGGCGGCGAGGAAGGCATCAAGCCCAGCACCGCTTCCAAGATCGATTACAGTCTCTCCCTGTATTCATGAGCGATGTTACTTGGATAGATTGCTGCTTCATCATTTACTCACCTCACGCAAGGTCGCGATCGCGAGAGGATTGCCGCAAGAGAGACCTAAATTGGCATCCAGGGGAATGTTTGACAATTCTTCTTTTGTATAACCAAACGACTTTGCCACCGAATCGGCATATTGAGCTTCGACACCCGCAGCAGCAGCTGAGTACCGCTTGCCGACCTCAGCGTAAATGTCTTGGGCGTCCATGGCTAGTAGGCCGGAATACTAATTATCGCACTTTGGTGAAATTTTCGAAGGACAGCCGCTATTGAGAGTCAAAACTATACAAACTCTACTCATTTATATACGTGCTTCATAAGGCCTTGAGATTTTACCAACCTACACCGGGCGGGGGCTTGATGTAGTCACTCATTTCTTGCCTGATCTGGATTCTGGGCGCTTGAGGCTTGAACGTCATGGTACCGTATGGGATACCTGAACTACGCTCGATTTGGTAAGAAATTGGTATGTCATCGCACCTCTACCCTTTTTAGCCTTGTCTCTCTCTACAGCTCTTGGGGAAAGAAGTAGGCCATTTTTTATAAAATTTACATTGAATCACGTTCTGTTCTCGCTAATGCAAGCATCAAAAGGGAGCTGCATTAATTGGCTGAACTACTCAGTGGTTTTAGAAAAGTTTTGAGAATGCCTGTTTCTCCGCCTGAAGCTATGCTATCCAAGTGGTCATCCAAATCTCCAAAGCAAAAAGCCGTTCAAATTCGAAATAACCAGCGAAGGCATCGGGCCAAAGTCAAGGCTCGTATCTCGACTCTAGAAATTGAATTGGCGGAGTCCCAGAAGCGGCTGGATGCTGCCGAGCATCGCATTGCGGTACTTACGGCTGAAGTGAACCGTTTACGGGAGCCTACTGCTACGAGAGTCTCATCGATGGAGTATTCTTTTAACTCTCTCACGCCTCATACTGTTTTGCAGCCACCTTATCGCTGCATTTCGAACAGCCAGACAGAATTAGGCAACTCCTTATACTATAAACCGAATGTCATGATCGATCTACCGTTTACTCTTCCAGGGATAAACCTTGAGAACAGTATAGGGTCGGATGACCCAACGCTTGCTATAGCTTTTGTAGCGCAACATGATTGTCAAACTCTCCCACTGCCGCAGCCTGGCGAATCTACAACAACTTGCGTTGCTGCATATGGTATCATTGCGCAGCAAAACTTCAAGAGTGTCGATATGGAATTTATTCATCAGTGGCTCCAGTCAGGGTATAGAAGAGCAACGAGACCTGAAGATGAATGCACAGTTGTAAATAGCAATCTCTATAGTCTCCTCAGCTTTCTCAGCCCGGTCTAGCAGAGCTAGAGTTATGGTTTATTGAATAGCTTTGGTATTAAGCCACTTACAAGACGCCATGTTCATTTCTCAAGTGTAATTGCCACTGGATGAAAATTTTATGTCACCGATGCTCACTCGTATATCATATCTGTGACTGGAAGCGCTTGAAGATGGCGGGCTGCGGTTTACGTAGATTACACATATAAACCATTATCCCAGTGCGAAAGCGAAAACATGACACAGTGTGCTGGTATTTTAGCGTACCCAGGTATAGAGCAAAAGACATGGAAATTACTGTTATAGACGGTCTGCATATTATTCAATTATTATATAAATGGTTTTACTTCAATTTTTACTACACTTATTGAAACTTCCTCATAACATACAGTTGTAGGTATCACGTGGGTAGTATTCCTGGGATAAACGACGCCGCCGTGCGTCGACAACAAGCGTGCTTTCCATGTGCAAACAGACCTCTAAAAACAAAGAGGAAAAAAAAGACAAAACATACAACAGCTGGTGTTCGCTGATGGTCACCCACTCAACTACTAATCTGCCTCTCATTGGCTTGACTCTGGGAGAGCGGACGGGATCCCGTATATTCCAATGGATATGGTCGTATGTGATAGTGTTAGCCACCAGAAGCACCTATATCATAATAACCACAACCACCTTATAAAAATAAGGAATAAAAATAAAAACATACAACAGCCGGTGTTCGCCAATGGTCACCCACTTGACTACTAATCTGCCGGTTAGTGGCTTGTCTCTGGGGGAGCGGACGGGACCCCGAATTCTACACTACCTATGGTCGTATGTGCCTATGATACTCTCGCAGCAGTATATATTACTTAGCTTCAACGTAAAATCTTTATGCTATTAATTTAGAACCAGTTCTCATGAAAGTGTCGTCCGGAATACAAAGTCATCACTTGCGTATACTAGGAAATTTCAGCTGATATAGAGATGTAGGGGTAGCTATATTTATTTGATTGGGCATTGTCGTTGCGCTGGTCCGGCAAAACGCTGCATCAAGTACCAAGAGAAGAAAGCAGTAAATTGGCGCCGGTAACTGTATGACTGTCGCCTCCCAAGTGGGACTATAAATAGAAGCTACTACCCGGACCATAGAGGCCTCATCTACAACCCCAGCCGCAGCTCAGAACACTATAGGAAAACTACATGTAATCACTGCATGTCAACGATTTACTAATCCTTTTGCCTTAATCAGTAACTATTCTCTATTCTTGTACCCGAACTGCTAGCGTTACGAACTCTACCATTGCCTATCTACATCCCCTATACTCCGCCAGTAACAGGCTTTCATACCGCATATACCTGCCTTAAAACTTCCTTGAATTCCTATTCTTTATGCAGATTCAAGACCTAAGTCATAAGGTTAGAATTCTTACGGAAAGCGTTAAGAATTACCAAACCTACCAAGTGCCTGAGCAATTGCGATGCCAACACCTTGGGCAGAGTTTGGGTTCTGGCCAGTGATGACTCGCCCATCAACGACGACTTGTTCCTTCCAGAGTGCATCTGATTTGACATAGCTGCCGCCTACTCGCTTGATTTCATCCTCCAGCAGAGCTGGCATGGCATCGGACAGCTTAATGGCGTCTTCTTCTGCGTTGCTGAAGCCAGTGGCCCTGCGCCCATTGAGGAGCGGTTTCCCGTCCACAATGGCATTCACGAGAGCGATAGGGCCATGGCAGACAGCTGCCACAATTTTACCAGCATTGTAGAATTCCTCAATCAGCTTGATGGAATCCTTGTCGTCAACGAGATCGAACATGGGCCCGTGGCCACCAGGATAGAAAATGGCATCAAACTCGGATGCCTTTCCATGGAAATCTTTGAGGGCTGATGTTTGCTCCCAAAGATTCTTCTTGGTTTCATAAAACTTAACCGACGCAGGGTCCTTGAAGTTTTTCACTGACACTTCGTCTATCGGAGCAAGGCCACCAGCAGGGGAAGCAACGACGATTTCAGCTCTGGGCTTTGCCTCATCTGCACCAATCAAGTGGTAATAAGGCCGGGCAAACTCAGGCTGAGAATTGACGTGTGAGCGACAGTTTCTAAACCTCAGGAGACAGTAGCTGGGGAACTAACCAAATACCATCCAGTGGGTGCACCATTGTTCATCTTAGCTCGGCTAGTGAGAACGAAGAGGATTCTGGGGGCCATTTTAAGAGGAAGTGAATCGGATTTGAAAGTTTCGAATAAAGTCTTAATGGGTGAAGTAATAATGGAGGATATTGCTTCAATATATGTATGGCTTCCGCTTGCCTTTTATACTTGCCATGCTTACCATGTTTGCCAAATAGCAATAGAGTAAGTCTTCGCGCAAGATTAACATGATGTCACAAAGTCAACCGTTTTGCAACCATTGCAATTCTTTCTGGACAGTTTGCTCAATAAGCAAAGCCCAAATGGAATCATTGAAGATTTGATTCCATAGCCTTAATATCTCTATAGCTATAATAAATCATCGCTACCATTTAATTGTTGTCTGCTTTCTAAGCCCATGGTGGGGCAGAGTTCAAATCACGGAAGTTGCCGCATCGGGTGACGGAACTATCCCGACTTCTCAAGGTAAGGTTGGGTAAGTTATATTTCTGTCTAGACAGAATGTCATTTAAAAATGAATGTATTAGCGATCTTGAAAAATATCGAATGCTGTTCTTTTATCTTTTAAGACAGATTCATTGGCTGCATGCGAAACAGCAGTGCTGGCTTCTATGTCCGAAGGCAGAAGTCAATATAGTTATTCTATCCGAACATTCCTCTTGATTTACAGTTTGGATTTGATCCACGGCGGAGCAACTTATTATTAATTGTTTCACGCACTTTTTACATGTTGAAAACGTGATATCTTTCCTTTTTAATCCATAATACCTTCATTTAGCAGAAGCTTAATATTCTTTCTCTGCTCTGCAGCAACCGACAAAGCCGTTCCCCTTAAACAATAAGGGAAGAAAGGAGTTTTTGAAGCCAAATCATAATAGCAGCCAGTGTTCGCCCTCTTTTTTTCTTCTTATCTTGAGTATATAATAAAGTACAGAATATTGAAGCAGGAAAGTAATAAACAAAAGCATATTACAACGCTAGAAAATGAACACCCATACTCAGATCCGAAATAGACGATCTTTCAAATCTTACAGCATTTATAGCGTTATGCAACATATATATCCCCTTTGTATGCGTTAATCACAAATATGATTCATTTTGCGAGTCGCATCTTTAGCCTTTGCCCATTTCATAGCTAGCCTCTGGAAGAAAGAGAAAAGAGATTCTTCGTGAACATATCCGCGATACGTAGATTGCCACCAAGAAGCGAAAGTGCCTAGTGAAAGGCAAAAGAGGTTACAACTATAGCCATTTAAGTATCCAAAGAATGAAACTCACTGGCAACTGGTCCCAGTTCACTGAAGCCTAGAAGTTCCAGGACCCCAGGTATCAACCTCACTAGCACGCCGAACGCAACAACGGAGAGCAACACAGTGGCGGCAATCTCGGCAGGGTGCTCTTTGGCGTTTTCAAATACATCTAGGAATGTAATCTCTGCAGCCTTGCAAGCTTGGTCATGTGCTTCAGCCATAGCTGGGCCCATTTGCTCACGTTCATCTCTCAGTACGTCCTCCAACTTCTTCAGAATGTTTTGGGCTAGCCACTCGGACCATCCATGACCGGACACTGCGTCATCAAGTTGCGCCGAGAGGAGAGCTCCTGGTTTTTCTACACAAAGAAGAATGTCGATGACGGTTTCAGCGGTTTCCTCGATGGTGGAATTGATGGGAAGATGAAGGGTTGGTTTCTCTGTGATGATGTTGGAAGTGCGATGAGGTGAATCGGAGGGCGCGTGGTCACCATTGTAAAGGCAACAGAGGAAATCCATTTTCTCGTACTTTCGCGTCGAGAATTGCATAGAGAGATAGAAAGTTTTGAGAGAAAATGCAAGTGAAGATGAGATATAAATGTGGGTGAATTTCAGCCAAGTATATCCATATAGAGGAATAGGTAGCCTAAAGCCCCTGGCGGCTGCGGCTGATGCGGCTGTGCACCGCACGAACCTATGAGGCATCATTTTGGCTTGTGTTAATTTTTTCAAAAAAAAAAAAAAAGCCTAAACTAGCGCTGTTGCTGGCTGATACAAGGAAATTCTGTAGGCCGCCTTAGAGGCCGCCGTTCAGCTTGCGAGAGGTTTGGAGAGTGACCAGCTCAAGAGGCCAGAGCAGAGACCTAGTAATATCGGTACTTTAGCAGCATCCGCATTGAAGTAAGCCTAAGGCTACTTTGAAATGGCACATTTTTGTGAGGTCTGTCAAGTTGTTGGTCGCAGTACAAACGCAATTCACTGACGAGATATACGAGGTATCCGTCGACTAACTTAAAACTGCCTCGTGTCATACACGTATATTGTCTTATACTCTGGACGTTGAGCCGAGTGTTTCCAAAAACGCCAATGAAAGACGTGTAGCAAATAGAATGCCGGATTCCTATAAATAAAGTAGAAGCAATTGAACAATAATGCCTTCGTCTACTCTCCTTTCTTGACGTTGGAAAGAATCGCATCCGCCATCCTCTGACGAACGCGATGTGGCATCTCATGCCCGCAGTCTTCGAGAATGACGAGCCTTGCCCCATCGATATCATCTCTCAGAGCCTCTGCGTGCTCAAGCGGAAAAATCTGGTCTTTTGCGGCGTGAATGACAACGGTTGGACATCGAATGTGTTTGAGCAACTCGCGTGGCCACCTCACACCCGACGCGTCAGAGTGATTGTACTTGGTCCACATAGTGCCACTCTCTTTCTCGCGGTAATATGTAATCTCAGACTCCCGCCTCGATTCAGCCTTTTCCTCATCGGTGGGCGGCTGAGTTGCAAGAGCAAGGTCGAGACGCATATATGATTCAATCCAGCCTTCATCGTCGTTCCGGTCCTCTGGAATCTCATATGCCTCGGCCAAAAGCCATTGGCCCTCTAATTTTACCCGAGGCAGATCATCACTAGGAAGCTGCTGTCGCCCAACTGGGCTCGTGAGGACAAGGGCTAGACTTCGGACAATATCAGGCAGGCGACTAGCTGTCTGCCATGCCAGAGTTCCACCCAAGCTGGTGCCGACGAGGTGGACACTTGAGAGTTCGAGGTGTTTGATGAGGCCTACGATATCATCGACCATGTCATCCAGCGTGTAGACCGGTGCCTCATCAGATGGCTTTGCAAAAGACGTTGACCGGCCTGTATCTCGATGATCGAACCGGATAATGCAGTGTGGATGGCCAGGGGAACTGAGCAGCGAAATAAGCCCGTCGGTTTTTTGTGTCATGGCACAACTATGTCCCGAGATGAGAAGGATGGCTGTATCCAAGGAGTTCCCGAAGACCTGGTAGCAGATCCGGCATCCTGAGGAGAGCGTTGTAAAACGCTCCTCGGACATCTTTTAAAATGAGTCTTGAAAGAATATTTACTATGATTGGTGGGAGCCTCTGAAACAGGGCCGTGATGATGCTTGAGGAGGCGCTGCGTTATGTTTACACGTACCAACTCGCTAGCCATTTTCACCAAAAGCCGCGCCTGATGCCTAATTGGGAGCACAGGAATAGCAGAAGCAATGCGGGGTTCGAGAATTCGCGTTGTAACCCTCAAACGTGTAGCGGTTGATTCTGTTAGCCGTGTTGACCCGACGCTGGTGTTTAACTCTTTAAACAGATGGATCCTAACAAAGTTTTGTCTTCTCCATATTACTGAGAATTTCGATATTTTTCCATGGAGTATAATCCTTAAACTGCATTGAAAGAAACGATGGCTACCCTTACACCGCTGAGCCATCTTCAGATTTGCATCTATATGCCATGTAAGTTTGTCGAGACATTTGTAGATTAAATCCGGATAGTAAAATAAATCATTAAAAAGAATAAATCAATAAAGTTCTGCTAGCCGGCCTGGTTAACGATAGTTATTCTTGTAGTCTTGCTACTGCCCGTTAACCAAGATGAGTTCGTCGACCCACATAGTTCAACAGACAGGCTATGTACAAGAGAGATAGTGCTCATCATTGTGCTCACCACCCTAAGGTCCCGAATATGGCTCGACAGTCACAAACTGTGACCTAATGGACAATCAGGCTGCTTACATCGTTTGCTGATTCGATGAACTAAAAAGACTGAGTTTAGATGAAGGATGGATGCAGTGGTGGTAGTATTTTATTTATATCCGTTGGAGGCCCGACATACCATTTTCTGAAATAAGTTACTATTATCTCATCTAGGCTCGTTCTCTCTTTGTACGTTCATCTCATTTTCTTCTCTGTCACTTGCTATTTGAAGCCAATATGTCTTCAATGGCCACCACTAATGCCGGTAGCAAAGCTGTGGTCGGCCCTTTGGTCTTCTATCTACACAATTAGGAAGTCTGTCCTAATGGCTGTAGGCATTGATGCTCCGTGACGAGTTGGGCGCCAGCAAGACTATCTTGCCCGAAGATGCTCATCCAGATTGACTCAACTACGGTACAGATTTCTACTTCATCGCACAATTCTCACAGATTGTTCCTGCGTGCCGTATCTTCCAGCAAATGCTGCGGATATCTCAGAAGCCTTTAATCGGTATGCGAGGGATGTTTTGCAATTGAATGGCAATTTGCTAATAAGGCCTTTGAATAGATATTTCCCTCTTATGGAGTTGGACAGACATCCAACACGATGAGCGGATCTCTCAAGTTGCCGATCAGTTCGTGGAAAATGTTGAGGAAGCCGCTCGGGCACAGGCCACATTTCATAGATGCCAGCATCTCAACTATGCGGTTGGTCATCAAGATGTATACGGCGGGTATGGAGAGAAGAATCGGAGACGCCTGCTAGAGATCAGCTCAAAGTATGATCCAGATAGGCTGATGCCAAAAATGCGTCCAGGTATCATCCAGTTATCAGGTTCTCAGAAGGTGTAAGAAATATTCATGGAAAGGCCCTAGCTCCAGGTCATACGCGATCCTGTAAGGCAAACATGAATACTCACGTCGGGGAAAAAAGAAATTCGCTGCTTCATTACGTTGTCAAATTCTCAGCTCCACCCCATGTGATAGTTTTGGTGGATATTTCTCACGCAGCTTTGACCATAAGCAGGGTGCATATTAATGCAAAATTGTTATAGAAGAACAATAGGAAGTGAAATAAAAGACAAAAAATACATACAACAGCCGGTGTTCGCCAATGGTCACCCACTTGACTACTAATCTGCCGGTTAGTGGCTTGTCTCTGGGGGAGCAGACGAGACCCCGAATTCTACACTACCTATGGTCGTATGTGGCGATTTATAGAGACAGTTTGGTTTATATTCACTTCTCCATGAGGTTCAACTTCTTAAATGGACTCAAGATTTCCCTTTCCCTCCACGAAGAAAGTAAATTTATGATCGCAGTGAACTGGTTGTTTGAATCGTCATTTCGTAATACTCCATGCATGTGCTATTGTATTTCTAGCCAAACATGTACCGGATTTACATGTACTTTCCAACGATGTACTCAATTTTGTTCTGCAAACACGTTTACCTTTGGTAAACTAATTCGCCGCGTGGTCTCGCTCGGCAGACAACGAAACCATTTCTGACTTGTCTAGCTTTGGTGGTCCTTCGCCCTCAGGAAATGGGGCGTATTTGTCAATGAGATAATACATATCCTGATAGGCTCTACTATTTTGTTAGCTCAATGTTTGTAGAATTACACAAATAGTTTGATGAATGCTTACAATTGACGCACGGCCTTGCCCGTGCCAAGATGGTTGACTGAATAGATTACGTTGAAGTAAATGCTATACAGACGATTTCGGTCTTCCCATTCATCTTTCGGCTGGCTTGGGCCATGATGCCTTAGATATGTTCGTGTGTATACCCTGTTGCTGATTTTGTTATAATAGCAGCGCCAGTCTCCGATTTCCATTTCGCTGTGCGCATAAAATGCGGCCGCGTCGAATATATAGATATTGTTATTCTCAAAAGAAGTACCACTATTACCCTCCCATAGATCTGCATGAATAAGACAAGGCTTGATCTTTCTGCCGTCTTTTACCAAGGCGTCTAAGAGTCGGGGGATCACGTGAGCAACGAATTGCTTTTCTACCCGATCCAGCTCTTCCCAATATCCGTTGTACTCAAAGTCCATGTCAATTACATGTTGAAGGAGCCGAGTGAAGAATACGGTCCAATTCGACTCCCACTGTAGAGACTGTGGGATACGGCCCTGGCAAGTGGTAATATGGAAGCCAAATTGGCCTGTTGGAGACTGGCTTTCTCGATGAAGGCGAGCAAGTTTGTTGCACAGCTGGTTTGGATCCGGCATCATATCGTTCATGTCGATATATTGGGATAAGAAGAAGTAAGCTTCTGGCTTTTCAAGCGCGTACTTCCCCCAACTATGCGGTTTGGGGGCCAAATCCGGCGCCCATTTGTATATCTCAGTCATCGCATTAAACTCGCCTTCCATAAGCGTCCGGCCATGATCCTCTGGGGCTGACTTGAGGAAGTATCTTTCCTCAGAACCGTCGGGTAGCTTAAGATGGAGCCGAGCTGTGACTGTCCATGCGGAAGTGCCAAAACTGTCTGCAGATAGGACCGCTGTTCCTTCTGGAAACTTGGCGAGAACATTTTTGTCGACTCGAAAATCTCCATTGTATGGCTGAGAAATCGCACGGGAGCTCTCAATTAGAGACGGAAGACCGCGATCCATATTCATAACAAGTAATAAGCAAGACAGTACGAATTACGTATTGAGAAAGTGGAGTGAGCTCTGAGTTTCCAGAGATTGGGATGAGAGCGTAGCACTGGGTTTTATCCCTCAGTCTCGTCTAAAGCAGCTTGTCGAGCAAGGATTCATGCCTATAGTGGCTGTATAATGGTTGCATGGCTCTTACGGAGGTTGCGTGTGGCAAGACCAATAATGAGCAGCTTTGAAATTACAGGCTCATCCTCGTCACCTTGTGGCGCCTCAAACCCTTGCTGGGGTGGGAGGAGCTGAAGAAGCTGGCCTATAGCTGGACCAGTTGATCCTCTGTGTTTGATGCCCCGCCCGGTTTGTATACCCAAATGGGCTTTGGAGACTCCCAGTCTCGTCTGCCTGGTCGCTTGGAAGCAGCCAGTAGGTAAGATGACGAACCAGAGTCGATCTTGAGTTGACCAGGATGCATTTAGCTCGGAGCTGGCGGCTCAAGGTGCGGGAAAGGGGACGGGCCGGCGCGCGGTCTGTGAACTCGTTCCATTTTGTTACTTGGCAGTATTTGCCGCTCCTCTCCATTGCTCGACCTACAAACATAACGTGGGTGCTCAGCGAATGTTTGGGCTGGGGCACTTCTTATATGTCAGCGATACGCTGTAACAGTAATCCACAACGCGACTTGCGGGGTGAATAATCTCCACCTGTGTGCCCTGCGTGCCCTCAAGCCCCTCTCAACACGGCCGAGATGGTGAGTTTAATTCAAAATTGCCTGTATTTCTAATGATGGCTGCTTACGGCCTCTGCTAGTTCAAGCGCTTCCGCCAGAACAAGACGCAGCCAAAAGGTGAAACTAAGAGAAAGACATCCGACGCTTCCACTTCCTCTACGATACCAAACTTCAGCATCGACGGCAAATCCATCGCCTATTCAGTTGCTTCCACTGAGCTACAGAGCTCTTCGAACCCTCATCCTCGCAGCCAGTCGCCAGCCCCAGCACCGGCGGGCCTGGGTCTTCGAATTCTCCATCAGCCCGAGTTTGCTGCCTTGGATATCATATTTGTGCATGGTCTCGGTGGCCATAGCCAAAAGACTTGGACGAAGAATCATGATCCGTCTTTGTTCTGGCCCGAGATATGGCTCCCTTTCGAGCCGGATGTCGGAAAGGCGCGCATTTTGACTTTTGGATATGATGCAAACTGGCGCGGCGGAGCTGGCATTTCCAACATTACAGATTTCGCCAAAGAGCTCTTGTATGAGATGCGCTTCTCCAAAAATGCTTCGGGAGAAGATATAGCCATCGGAACGAATCCCATAATATTTGTCGTCCACAGCATGGGTGGGTTGGTAGTCAAGAAAGCCTACCTTCTTGGCCTATACGACGATAATTACAAGGAAATCACAAAGTCCATATCTGCCATTATCTTCTTGTCGACACCCCACCGCGGCACAAATCTTGCCGAGACTCTGAATCGGGTATTGGCGGCGTCTTTCCATTCTTCCAAACATTTCATCTCCGATCTCAACAAGAATTCTACCGCAATAGAAGAGCTGAACGAGCAATTTCGTCATCTGGCACCCAGACTGTCTATTTGGTCCTTCTACGAAACCCTTGCAACTACGATTGGCCCCAAGAAAGTTATGATACTAGAGAAGGATTCTTCCGTGCTTGGGTATCCAGCTGAGATTTCGAGGCCACTACAAGCTGACCATCATGATGTTTGCAAATACTCAAGTCCAGTTGACTCCAATTATCTTAGTGTCAGGAACGCTCTTAAATCCCTAGTCGCCCTATTCCGAACTAGAGCAACTCGAGAAGAAGACGAACACGAGCCCGAAAATACCACGAGCATACCTGAGTTGTTCCGCAACTGTCATACCTCTGAAGAAGATTACAATAGACTCCGTCGGGACTGGATTCCGGAAACTTGCGAATGGTTTTTCCAAGAGTCAGATGTTGAGGCTTGGATGAAATCTTCTACTGAATCACGCATACTTTGGTACAGTGCCCCCCCGGCCAGTGGCAAGTCTATCCTTGCTGCATTTATCATCAGTCGCCTCAAGGATTTGGGTTTTCAATGTCAATATTTTCTATTCAATTATTCTGAACAGCATAAACGGTCTGTTGCTGGGAGCTTAAAAGCTATAGCTTTACAGCTTGCCAAAGACATTCCAGAATTTCGAAAAGCGTTAAACGGCTCATCATCGACAAGTTTGGGACTAGAATCCGCAGATGCGCTGCTGATATGGCGAAACATTTTCGAGAAGCTGCTGTTTGAGACTGGGCGCACAGATCCTGTGTACTGGGTTTTTGACGCTTTGGACGAATCTGACTCGCCAAAATCCTTCATCGAATGCCTTAAAGGCTTGGCGAAAGCCAAGATCCCAATAAGAATTTTGATTCTGAGCAGAAACTCAAATGCTATTTCCGTGGGATTTGATCGCCTCACTCGTGCCGATATCAACATCCACAGATTGGAAAATTCGGGCCAACTTCACAATAAACGAGACATTCAACTCTTAGCAGAGGAAGAAATCAGTCATCTGGGTGGAAGCGACCTATTTAGACAGCAATTGGTCAAAAACATCATGTCACGTGCCGAGGGAAATTTCCTGTGGACAAAACTGGTACTGGAAGAGATTCTGGGATGCCACACTGAAGAAAGCATTCAAGAGGTTCTGCGGGAAATCCCAGATGACATGATCAGTCTGTACCAACGAATGGAACGCCTTCTTGTTGATTCGACACGAAAGTCGAATAAACCGTTGATCAGAACTCTGCTTGAGTGGACGATATGTGCCCAGCGATCTCTCAGTATACAGGAACTCTCACAGGCGCTGCAACCGGACTTTTCTGGCCTCTTTGATCTCAAGAGGACAATTCAAGAGTCGTGCGGGCAGTTTCTACATGTTAGCAATAAAGACAAAGTAACTATACTACACCATACCGCACGAGAATATTTTACAGGCGCTTTAGATAGCGAATTCCACGTTGATGTCCGCCAAACTCATGGGAAGCTATTTGTCCGAGCCTTGGTTCAACTTGAGCAGGCTGATCTTCGATGGCGGTTGCTGCAAAGTCAGCATGCACTTCAAGCTAGCGAACCGTTTGTCTTTTATGCGGCACTCAACTGGTCATACCACTTATCTCAGAGCCACTCCATTTCCTCAGAAAATCTCGACCATCTTGTGAGATTTTTCTCAAGTCCCGCAGTTCTTGTCTGGGTTCATGCTCTAGCACTTCTGAGACGGCTGGAAGTCTTGGTACGGACATCAAAGGCCTTGGCGTCATTTGTTCACCGGACACGAAAAGAAGATATTTCTAGAAACCCTATGCTTCATCGGTTGTCGGATCTTGCACTGATTGACGACTGGATTGTTGATCTTGTCAAACTGGTTGGAAAATTCGGTCCCACGTTGGTCACAGAGCCTGACGTGATATATGATATCGTCCCAGCATTCTGTCCACCTAAATCAGTGCTACATCGGCAATACTATGACTCCAATTCGGCCAAGATGCGGTTATTGGGTGGCAGGGATGTGCCCTGGAACGATAATCTCGGAAGACTTGTGCTCCCAGGTGATGCTCAAGCTTGGAAAATTGCTTGCGCCGGTAACCATCTGGCAGTGCTTGCCTCCACGGGCGTGGTCTACGTATGGGACTCTTCCAACTTTACTGAGATGAGTAAAATGTCTCATGGTGAGCCTGTGACAGCCATGGCTTTGAACGATAATGGCCAAAAGCTTGCTACGTATGGTCTCAGGACTTCCAAAGTGTGGTCAGTTATTGGAGGAAAACTGCTCACATCAGCACAAAACCCCCCAAATACGAAGGCCATGGTAATAAGCTTTGTTGAAAATGACCAAAGGCTACTGGTCGGAGGCGACGATAACATTATAAGACACATACAGTGCAACAATACAGATGAGGGGTGGCAGATATTAAACCCGGCTCTGCTCAAAGAAACAGGCAGAACTGACGGCGCTATCGTTAGTTCTCCAATGTGCATCTCTTTCAATGGGGACAACACTCTGGTTGGTGTCTCGTATAGAGGAGCACCGCTCTCAGTTTGGAGACTTGCAGATGGAAGGTGCCTCAATCGCTGCAAGAGGCTCAAGGACTTCCGCAATGATCAACATCGAGCTTCATCAGCTTGGGATGCCGTCGATAGATTTACGTGGAATCCCATCACCAACCATGTCTTAGGCATTTATAAAAACGGATACATCTTCAAATGGCACCCGCTTACGGATGAGAACGTTGAAGCTCGAGTTACTGCGGATGAGATTGCGGCGAGTCCCAACGGCAGAGTATTTGCGACCAGCAGCAGCAGCGGCTCAGTTCGCATCTGGAACTTTGCGTTTTTTACTGTAATCTATCATCTTTCGTCTGAGGACCTGGTTACTAGCTTGACATTCAGTCCCGATAGCGGTCGTTTCTACGACCTCCGTGGGGGCTCAATCAACGCTTGGGAGTCAAACACTCTAACACGCTTCTTGGAGAGTGAAGAAAGCATAAGTGATACGAACAGCGAAGACCAATCCTTCGCAGCACTCTCAAGGCATTCCGAGTCGCGGATAAATCACTTTGAACCCGTCACGGCACTGGGCCCAGCACCGAACGGCTCTTCTTACTGCGTGGGCTATGAAGATGGGACCATTGTACAGTTTCAAAGGGGGGCGACTGAAGGGTTTGACTTTGCGCAGTTTCACAACTTTCTTAATGTCTCACACATTAAATGGAGCTCAGATGGAAAATACGTTGCCGTTGCCGATCTGGCTGGTGATATCCAGCTGAAGGCGCTGCATCGGGAAGCTAAGGAAGAGTTGAAGATATCGTCGCTACCTTCTCCACGCATTGACCTTGAAGGCAACAACATTGAGGAGCTCATCTTCAGTCTGGATAGTGCACTACTTTTTATCTCCACAAGGAAAAAGAGTTTTGTTTGTAATGTCAAAGATGGCACAGTGCTGTGCTCGACGGCCATTGACACAATATTTCGCCGTTATTTACCTCATCCCACGCAGGCCAACTTAATTCTCGCATTTGGAGCTGCAGATGTCTTCACTTATACATGGGATAAGCTTGAAAGCAGAAAGCTTTCAAGTTATAGTCAAATCCGAGGTTCAGAGGCTGGAACACTAGGATCCAATGACGTTGCAGAGAAAACAAATTCAGCTCAATTGACGGACGACATCGAATCAACAGTTTCGAGCGTCATATTAACGCAAGATGATAAACATATTCTCTTAACTGTCAAATCGACTACCTATGATGGGAAGACTAATCCTAATCAGCAGGTGTTCATCTTCCCAGCTGATGCCTTTGAGGTGGACGGTTCTAACAATGGACTAACTTCATCTGTGGCTTATTTTCCTATCCACGCCAGCATTTCTTCTCACATCAAAGTACCATTGGGTGTTTTACCAGGATTAAGGTTTATTTTTCTGGATGATGACCTCTGGCTTTGCGGCTACCATCTTGGATCGACGTCCCAGAATGAGATAGTAGAGTCTTATGATCGATTCTATTTATTCCACGGGATTGGATAGGGAGTACCAGCCTTGATAATTGTTGCCTGACAGAGGATGGGACGCTGTGTTGGCCCAAAGACGATCATGTTGTACTGATTGTCAGCAACCTTGATGAACCAAGGGTAAATTATCTATATCGATAGCAGCACCTCTTCAAGCGTAGATGGGAGCTTCTACACACAGACGATGCTGGATAACATGAAGTTGGCAATTATTTAGAGCTCCAAATTCGGCTAGTATATGCGAATTCTAAGATACCCTCGTAATATTATGATCTTCTAAAAGCAGTGCGTAGCTTAGCGAATGTTAAATAGCCAACACAAAGAGTTCTTTTGTAAAAATTTGCAATCGCTTCTGGCATTTCATTCGCTGTTCAATGCATGTTGGACGTATATAATGACTAAAATATACATGTCAATCCCTGTAATTATTTGGCTACCCCGCAAGCTGTAGGGTGCATGTATTGTGCTCAGACCAGGTACTCGCGTTCAATCTCGACTCTTTTTATGAGGAGAGCTCTCGCAAATTCTTGCCATGGGGATACGCTGTTCTTCTACTCCCCTAGAGAATATGGCTACAGAAATCTCTTCTGGTGAAAAGTCTTCGACTTCAACTCACGATGATAAAATAGTACCCATTAGCAACGAGGAGTCGTTACCGACAAGTATACAACCGGCGTACACCGTTTTCTCCAAAGCCCAGCTGAGGCAGCTGCAACTACTTCTTGGTATCGCAACAATCACGTCTCCTCTGACGGCCACGATATATTTCCCTCTATTACCGCTTTTACGCGACCAGTTTCATACCTCTGCGCAAGCCATCAATTTGACTTTGACGCTCTACATCATCTTTCAGGCAATCTCGCCTGTTTTCTTTGGGCCGTTGTCGGATTTGTATGGCCGAAGGCCCTTCTTTCTATTTACACTTGGGCTCTACGTTGTGGGAAATATTGGACTTGCAGCCAATAAAGATAATTACACTGTTCTTCTAGTATTACGAGCAATACAGAGCTTGGGCGCAAGTGCTGCCTACGCCATCAGCTTTGGCGTCGTTGCGGATGTCTGCGAGTCGAAAGAGAGAGGACGCATGCTGGGGCCTATCAGTATGGCTCTCAACCTTGGGGCATGCGTTGGACCCGTAGTTGGCGGCGTCGTGGCCTATACGAGCGGCAGCTACGTGTGGGTGTTTTGGTCTCTCGTCATCATAGGTTTGGTACTCTTCTGTGGCGTGGGACTTTTGCTCCCAGAAACAGCCAGAAGTTTAGTTGGCAATGGAAGCGATTCTTCACGGTACCGTTGGTGGCAGCTCAGCTGGCTGGGCCTTGTTAGACATCGATTAAAAACATCACCGGCGAATAGTCAGTTGGAAGCAACCGCTACAGCCATCGAAGCACCAAAGACGGTCATCCGGGCTTATGGGCTTGGCAATCTTTTTGCTTGTCTTCGCATCATCTTTTATCGGGACACGTTTCTGGCTCTCTGGATTCATGGGTCTTTCTACACCGTGGACTATTCGTTTGTTGCTGCCGTTCCCGATATATTTCAAGATATTTATGGCTTCAATGACTTGGAACTTGGATTTGCATATCTTCCAAGGGGAGTTGGAATCATTATTGGGAGCTATTGCACAGGGAAGATGATGGATGCGAACTACCGTGCAATTACGCGAGCCACGGGTCGAACTGATGACCGTGTGACGGGTGACGATCTGCTGAATTTTCCCATTGAGCTCGCCAGAACGCGCTTTAGCTTTCATCTCTTGGCCATCTCGACAGCGACAATAATTGGATATGGTTGGGCCGTCGACCGTGGTGCTCCAGTTGCTGTGCCGCTGATTCTCCAATTCATTCAGGGCTTCTGGGGAACCGCGTTTTACACCATGTATGCAGCTCTTCTTGTCGACGGATTCCCAGAGAGCCCCAGCACTGCGGCTGCATCTACAAGCCTCATTCGATGCGCCATGGCCGCGGCTGGAGTGGCAGTACTTCAGCCGTTGCTCACAGCAGCTGGTCGAGGATGGTATTTCACTACTTTGGGGCTGTGGAGCGGTGGATTTGGAGTCTTGGCTGTGATGTTGCTGCGGTGGAGGGGGATGAAGTGGCGTCGGTCGAGAAGTGGAATTAGTTCTGACAATCAGTGAGTAAAAGATGGGATACAGGTTGGACACTCGTGTACAGAAAGCAATGTTCATCGCTTTGCAACTTACCAATTGCATGGCCAATCTCATCATCAGGGATCAAGTATGCTGTCGCGAGCTCAAATGGAGCTGGAGCGATTCATTGGTGCAGTTCAAAACAGTAGATGTCCAATTCATATGGTAAATCGATCTATCGTTGGCCAAATCCAACGTCGCGGGGGTGGAATGCGGCGCCGTGCAATGGACCTACCCAAGTGTCTTAGATATAGAGCATAGAGCGCGATGCCACAGTACTGCATGGAGTCAGTCCAAGCTCATCACCCTAAGCAGTCTAAATCAACCTTTCAAGTCGCCGTGGGAGGAGTCTTGAACAAAACGCCGTAGCTTGAGATTCATCGCTAGTCATATCAATTACAGCAACGACTTGGATTTTCTCTTGTAGTTTCCAAGAATCACAAGAGGTGTCAAATGCTAAGTGTTATGTAAGACTTGATTAGATCTTCGCTCCTTGTAGCGAATTAGCTGTCCTAAAGACTGAAGGATGGAATTTTGGTGGTTCCTGATTTATAAGCTAGACATATGCAATTGACATCAACTGACCATACATTTGGATAATGCGTGTACCTCAAGGTCAACTAAATAAACTAAGAATCCTATTTTCCCAGAGACTATCGCTTGCCCTTCTTGCATTCAAAGGATTGCAACCCGGCACTGAGCGGTGGAGACTTGGAAGCACTAGTAGGGTCTTGGGCGTGAGTTAGCCGCTCTTATGGTTGAGAGTTGTTAATAAGGTGAGTCATCGGCCAAATGATTCCACATACGACTTGACGCTGTAGACATACCTTGAATAAACATCAATTGCTCAATTCAAGCAATTTAATCCTTGTACTATCACAGAAAGCACAGATTATGCCCAAAATCATATGATTCGAATCTATAATAGAGACTAGAGGTAACGCCGAGTTTAATTAAATCTGCCAAGTGACTTGGTCCAATTTGGAATCCTCTTGGGCGTGTCCCGCAATATTCTGTTCCTCGTCACATTATTCCCTCCATCTCTCTTCCATAAATTGCAACCCATTTGGCTGCTGTATGGCTTCAGTCACCACAACTCAGCTCACCAATAACTCTACAAGGCTTGATAATTGACAGAACCATTGCCCCCAAAATGACCTCTCCAGCCCTTCCGTCGAACTGCGATCTCGTCAATATCGGCACTCACTCTCTAGCCCTCTACACTCACGGTCCAGAAACGGGCAGTACCAAAGATCCCGTCGTAATCTTTGTCTCGGGCGTAGCAAGCGATGCCCTTAATTGGCAAGCTGTGGTGAGGCTGCTTCCGCCCTCGCTGCGAATTTATACCTACGACCGATCAGGCTATCGCAACTCGCAGTCGTCACCGCTCGAACCCTCAGCCGAAAACGTTGCTCTAGAGCTATCTCTTCTGATTGAAAAGGCTCCCATTACGAAGCCACTGATTATTGTGGGCCACTCTTGGGCAGGCGTTCTTATTCACGAGTTCATCGCCCTGAAAGGAACTAGCCAAATCGCTGGTCTAGTGCTTGTTGACGCCAATCACGAAACTGCGCCTCTCGTTATCAATGTAGATGATCCAATTCTATGGAACGCTATAGCTGCAGATGTTGAGGTTTATTCTGCTTGGGGGGTCGAGGCGAAACATAAGTTGACACAAGAAGAGTGGGATGCATTTAGAGCTGCAGAATCTACTGTAAAGTACAAATTGATTGCACAGAAGGAGGATGTGGAACAATATCTGCCAAGTTTTGAGACACTTCGAAAGAAGAAACTGGGTGAAAGACAGCCACTACTTAAGGATAAACCAGTTTTTGTGATTGGGGGCACACGAAGCAGAGACTGGAACGGATTATACAAGGCGGGCGTTGCGAAAGGGAATGGAACCGAGGAAGAGAGGAGCTACGTTAGAGAGATGATTAGGACAGTCGATGAGAAAAGCAAGGGTCTCATGGAAAAGTTTCTAGAACTCTCTACCAGGAGCGAGCTTGTCTTTGCTACTGAGAGTGGTCACTTTGTCCAGATGACGCAGCCGGATATTGTTGTAGATGGAGTGAAATGGGTCCTAGATAACTTGTCAGCGTCTTCTTAGCTGCGAAGAATTTACACTTTCAACTCTAATAATCATTTGAGAATATCACAAGGTCTATGGGGAGCGGCCTATACATTTTCCTATACAAATAGGAGTTAGGTGTATGAAGCTTGTATACTGGAACCTTTGCCAGTGGCGTATTATGAAGCAATGCTACGACTATGAAGTATTGTGTTCGATTGGGCGATGGGTAAGCAAGAATATCGATTATATGCAGGTAGATAGGTCGTCATGCTATTGATACTTGTCTGGGATCATAGTGGAGTTATATCCTGCTGCATGCAGAGGCAGGCTGAGATTCTCGTTTTCGCACAAGCCCACATCTAAGCAGTCCTCGGACAATACATTGCGCGAGCAAAATAATTGATGAGATGCTTGCCCTACCAAGCAACTTGATCAGCTATGTTACAACTTGTCCGACAATCTTTGCTAGTGAAAACCTCTTCCTTCAACAACTTTCGCCAGTCAACGACAAAGTCTCCAAATGATAACTAGATCACCACAGCCAACATTTTACATAAGAAAATGGGTTCATTTTTTTTTCCTTAAAAAAGATGTCAATCTATGGCAGCTGCATGTGACAATTGACTCTTGCCTGCGTCGCTGGCAGATCAGCTCGGATCTTTGCGCCAAGTTTCTAGAGACTTTTACAAAATGCACTCCACCAAACGTGCGTCTATATAGCGAAGGGGGATACTCCAACACTTTTCGTCGCTCAGTTCTTTCTCTTCGTAACAATTCTATTCACTTTTCTGCATTGGAAGTTTCCACACATGACTTCTTGCGCTACTCCCATCATCTACGATGCCCTTGTTGGCGGTGGCGCAACCAGGCTATCGGCTGCGCTGACTCTGGCCCGCGTTTGTCGTTCTTCCATCGTCTTCGACTATGGAGAGTATCGCAATCACGGCGCAAAAGAGATGTACACATTTCTGTCTCGAGATGAGATCTCTCCAGAGTCGTTCCGTTCCATTGCACGACAGCAGATTGAAGAGAAATATTTGAGCCAAGTCTCGTTCAAGGCTGCAAAGATTGTTACAATCACCAACACTGAGATTCTTCCCGGCTACGAAGGCTTCCATCTAGGCCGCAAGGTCCCGAGAACGAAATCACAATCAAGTTTGAGAGTAGCTCTCCTGCAAAGTTAGGTATGCTTCTTCATCTCCCTCGAACCAAGAGCAGAGGCCAGTCCTTAATTGATCAACTGGGGCTCGAAATGAAGGGTAAGCTACTTTGCATGAATTCATGTCGATTTTCAGTATTCTCTGTTCTAACTGCGCGTATAGGAGTGCGTGTTGGTGCCGCAATTGCATATCAGCTTGCTAAAGAAGAAGAGAACCGAGCACTGGAAGAGCAAAAGTCAAGCTTGTAGCCTTCCCGTTCCATTTTTCAGTGCTCAAAAAGTCATCAAGGCAGTATTATAGCTAGTTCACGCTATGATATCGCGGATAATTTGCTGTCAGCTCTAGGATAGCTCGCGTTATGAAATGTCCATTCTGCCATTGTACAATCCAACGTCCTGTCATTCCATCAATAAAACAACGTCTTTAACATCCATCTTAACAATATAGATACCAGATTTGCATGGCTATCATGGTGGAAGCCCGATGGCCCTGTAATTGACAAGCTCAGAGAATCGCTGGGGCTGAAAATGTGGAGATGAAATGCTTAGCTTCAGGTACCCGAAGTAAGCCACGATTCCAGTTCGTCTTACGAAGTATTATAAAGTACCTAACCAATACGGACGAGTTGCAATACCTCTGGGTTGATAAATTGTCTGTGTCAGATGTAGCTAAAGTCAACAAATTTCTACCTTTTTGTCTCCTCCTTGTCACAACCATATAGAGAAATATTCCACGTGCATCTGGATCCCCTTTTACGCGGTGAGTCCAGCTGAGATGCGCCATCACAGCGCTAAGACTGATCCAGATAGGCAGCTGAAGCGGCTGAGCACAAACGAAACTAGCAGCTGAGGCAAAATAGAACGTGAGCAGGCACCGAGAGTGTTGCTCCTGCCTCTCTCAGATCACAGCTTACTTCAAAGACGCTGTTTGCGGATTAAAGACGTACTTCTGCATCTGTATCTCTGTCGCGGTGCAGACTCGAAGCCAGAATGTCGGACAATAGCACCTCGGCCACTGATATTGTCACCTACATTGGGGTCCCCTTAGCGGTTTTAGGGAGTATGGGCTGTGCCTTCAACGGTGGTAAGAAGTTGTGGTACATGTAGCTAACAGCTAAACAGTTCTACCTATTTTATACAACACATTTGCAACTCTAGCCTCCCTTTCGCGCATCAAGCGAATGCTTCGGCGCAGCCGTCTGACTGCACTGACACGTAGCGATGTTGTGAATCGCGTCATCGAGATTGAGCTGCCCCGTTATGCTGTGATGCCCTTGGATCGGTTCCAGAATAGAGTTGAGTACTGGTCGCTTTCTCGCCATCCCAGCTCTATTCCCGGCGGCAGTTGGACCACTTTCAACTGGCGGACCAACGCCATCGGGGTCAAGACTCAGCGCGTTGAGTATGCCGATCAAGTGCGTCAACCTCAGGTCGAGATCGCTTTTGACGAGCTGGTGTCGTACTTGCTGGATCTCGGCGCTGTTCCAGATCCACAAGGTTTCAAACTACTGAGGTCAACAGGGCTGTGGACACCGGTGGGTTGCTCCCTGATGATGTCTCCCGATGGGAGACAAAAGGCCCTTACGATAGCCCCATTGGATGATTCAGATGGATATTTGTCTCTCGCCGTGGCCTGGTCCAGCTCATGGATCACGCGCGATCACGCCCATCTACCACCATATTGGGTTCGCTTGCCATCGCCAGCGGGAAAGTCGACAGAGCCAGGGTTAGGGTCTACCGTTGGTGGCTCCCAGAAGAAGGGGCACGAGAAACGAGCACAAGCATCAAGCTCCAGCGAATACCAAGTCCAAACCCAGAATGAGGGTGCCAGTGAAACTGATTCGGTCGAACTTCAAATTCGCTCAGACGTTGAACACGACATTACCTGCGAAATATCTCTATCCGGGCTTGTCACAGCGCTTATTCAAAGCGACCTTAACAGCAATAGTCCCCCGGAGGATTTGTACATCAACCATCTTCGCATACAATCTCGGAAGTCAGACGGCGTTTGGTTTGCTAGTGCTGCTACAGCTTTTGGAGATTCCAGCCAGACCATTCTGTGGAACTATAAAATTCCAGATGAAATTGGCAGATTCTCTAGAAAGGAATCTATTCCGTGTGGTGTATTGGTGCTGCTGGGCATTGTAGACGAATCGGAGACACCTGAATGGGCCACAAAATACAATGACTATGGCGCTTCGCTGGATACATTTGCACAGAGAGGTCGAGAGCAGCGGGCGGCCATGGACGCTGAAGCTCGTATGGCGCCCGCGCAACGACAACAAGCTGTCAATGAGAGAATGCGCAAAGAGACAGAGCAGCGTTTGCAAGATAGTGAGTCTTCCGCTCCCAAATCCAAGTAGAAATGCGTTATACTGATCATACCTGCTGTAATAGTGCGTGAGAAAATGAGGACAGATCAACAGCGGCGCGATAAACGGACAATGGAAGCTCTCCAAAGTCCAAAATGGGACACCAAGCTCGTCGCTGATTATTGTTTGAAGTGGCTCAAGGCTCGAAACATCTGGGACGAATCGCTTTCGGTCAAAGAAGTTGTCGGCTTCATGCTCCATCGCATGATTCGCGATGGAGAATTCACCTCTGTCCTCTGCAAAATGCTGGACACTTGGAAGGCCTGGGCTGATATGGGAGGGATGAGGACTGCCGACTATCAAGCCATTCAAGATGATTTATCGACGTTTGCCGAGGCAACTTTGCTTATTGCGTTGATAAAGGATACGTCTGATGCTTTGGAGGGGACATTGGCCATGGATCTGCAGGAGTGTTTGCGTATGTGGCATAAGGTGCGGCTTGGATAGAACACAGCGAGGAGTTAGTGAATTCATGAAGGCATAACAATATACACAAAAGGGCATTTTAGTGTGCTTCTTGCCGCGTTTTGATGACAGAGAAATAGGCCATAATAGAGCACTCCGTCAAGCAGAAAACTGACTATCTAATGCAGCGGTAGGGGACAACTATCCTTGATTGTGCCTTGATAAGATATTCGCTTCGTATACTACTCTTTACTGGAATACCACGTTTTAAGCTCCTAGATTAATATTTGCTGATTTACGTCCAGTATTTTTTCTACGTATGGCTTCTACTTATTTGAGTGCTGACGTCCCGTTTTTGCCGAATGCCGGCGCTAGGATGTCGACGAGAGCCTCTCGCGTAATTCCAAGGACGCGAAGATGAACCAGGCAATTTTCCGCTGTAAGAGCAAATTAAGTGGCAAGAATCCCTCAAGGACGATATTATTGAAAGGCATATTCAAATTGATGATAGAGATCCCATCTCTCACCTGATCCCTGTCAAATCATATTTCACATTACGCCTGTTAGTTCATCTCTCGGTGTCAAGCTGGCAGCGACGATGTTTCTGTAATGGTTAGCCCCTGCGCATCGGCTAATTCGGAATGTGCCAGCCCAGGAACTGCCCTGGCATCTACTCCATCATGAGCCAGCATCTGAGACAGCAATGTTGTGGGGGGATTTTAGCAGTGCCAGGGCAAAAACAGCTAGTTTTTATCACCGCATAGGTACTTGTATGCATCTTCGCTGGGTCACGCCTTCTGCGTACTATGCAGCTGGTCAGTCCATCTCCTTTTTTACTTGCCATGGCACATAAGCGCCCAAATCGGGAAACACCAACATGGCCTTTCCACATCAAATGTTATCCCATATCGAATACCATCCAGATATATTTTAAAAGTACTGACGTTCAAGTGAGCTTGTACTAGATGTCTCAAGTCATTAGTGATCTGCGTCAGGGCATGTCGAATATGAATGTTAAACACAAGTTGTGAAAAGCCGCCCAGAACGGGAGATATAATTCGCGAAAATAAAATAAATATATTGAGAAAAATGGGTAACACTCCATCTGGCCGATATTGTACGAGCATTCCGCCACGAAAGAGAATAAATATTATTGCGATTAAAGGGCACACGCTTCGCTACGCCGGGTAGTTGTAAATCTATAGAGATCAGTAGAAAAGAAAGTACTTTTGGGAGCCCTTGAGCTTTTGAATCGTATGCTAGCGCTCTTCGTAATGGACTTCATAATGGGTCGTTTTCTGAATATGGCGTGGCGTGTTCTGTAAAATGCTTTCTTCACTTCCATTCTCCACCTGTCGGTCTTGGAGTCGAATGCTTGGGCCTCGTGGTTCGAGATTACTATCGAATTTGGACGTGCCTTTGGAAGATCCGGGCACCCATGGGATGAATTTCAGCAGCGGTTTCAGAGCAGCAAGAGAAGCACAGAATATGGCCAAGCCAACCTCGGCGGCCGAGCTATCAAGTATTGGTCAGTCGGTGGGGGGTCACATTCGTGTTGAAAACTTGGACGTACTATATGGTCGCTGTGAGGAGCAAGTTGACAGCCTGTGCCGACGCCGTTGATGGGACCCGAGAAACCTCAATAGCATAATTAAGTCGTAGGATCGTCGCAATGCAGCTCCTGAGAAGGTTGAAGTCCCATTTGTTAGCTTTTAAACCATTGCGTTCGGGTAGATGACACGTACACTGCACCAAAACCAAGTAGAATAGAGACAACTAGTTTTGTTCGCAAGCTGATTTGGACACTCCAGAGCAGATAAATGGGCAGGAGCTATCGCATCAATGTGTTAGTCATCAGAGTAGTTCATACTTGTATGTGGACTCGAAGTTTCTAGCCATAGGGAACCAGGACAGAATGAGGATACTTACTCCATATAGCCAGCTGAATAAAATATCAGCAGCACTGACTGCGTACGCCGTGTTCGCTATCGTTGAGCCAGGAAGACACGTTCCAGTGCCTACTCCCCAAGCTACTGAGAGCGGGCGACATTGGAACGCGAAGATGAAGATGGCCACGACAGACACGACAGACATAACCGCCATTGAGCCGATTAGCACTCTTCGCACCAAAGGGGCCATTGTAGCGATTCGATATAAGACCAAAGCCACGCTGATCTTGGCTACCAGCTGAGCGATTAGGTACAGCAACTGTGCAATAACGAAATACTGCCAAGAATGTTAACTTCGCGATACCCTCTCGAGCCACAGAGAGAACTGACCTCGGCCGCAAGCATAGGTTTGTACCCAGGCTGTATATCTGTGGCTCCGTAGCCATAATCCAAGGCACGAAACTCAAAAGCACAAAAGAGAATAAAAACGGCCTGCAGATCGAAGAGTCAGAACACGGAGGCGGGATAGTCATGAAGTCCGCAGCACGTACGTAGGCTAATCCAGTCGCATAATCGTCATAGCCGAAGCTTTGACTGGAGATTCGAAGCCATAGTCTCAATCCAACGGTAATGGTGTTCAAGACAACAAACGCCACCATTACGGCCCAAAAATTATGTCTCACGCCGCTCATTGTGATGTTGTTTTCTTGCGCCAGACTATCAGAAGACAAGACGATTTGAAGGAAAGATGAATATACAGGTCATCCCATTCTGCCTGCTGCTCCCAGGGCCTGGGGAGTATTTGGTAAACCGCAACTGATTACTTAATGTCAAAGATCTGCAATGAACCAATTTACGAGACGGCAATGCTCAAAAGCCGTTGTTTCAACGATTTTTCCTCAGGGGTATCAGCATACTAAATCGTACAATCGCTGCTAATTCTGCAGGTGTCGGGAATTCTTCGTGTCATCCGGGAAGTGGTCGGTTGAGTGGGTTGACAAGCCATTCCGGTACAGTATATCGATCTGACAGGGGTGGTACACAGCTGCCAAGCCATTTTCCGCAGTGGATCGATGTCACATTTAGCCCAAGTCAGGGATCTACCCCCGGGCGGAAAAAAATGACTCTCGCGCCCTCTTGCCTGCCAACGGGCGAGCTACGGAGCAGTCCGGGGTGGATCAAACGACTTTGGAGAAGTTCATACTGGAAAAGGCAAGGGTTTGCGATGCCTATGGGATTCTGCAGCAACAAGCGTTTCCCTGCAGTCTCCCGCGGAAGTGAATTAGGTTCCGCGCACTCATTGTAGTATCCCCGACTTCGGCAAGTATATCCTGAAAAGGCAGTGATACCGCCGCAGCCGTATTGTTGGCTTGGGACACGCTGCCGAAGAATAGGTAGGTACAGCATCCTCCACACGTAATACGTATGTTTACAAGTACATACCTATACGCGTTCAACTTTAGGTAGAATCTTTGCAGTTTAGGCTGCATGTTGTTCAGATCTAGAAAAGGGGCTTCGGCATTCCATAACCGTTGAGCATGGTTCTGGAAGAAGCCAAGTCGTTTGTAGCAATTCGAGTCTCGTCATTGTCACGGTTTACCACATACATGCTAGAGGCGGGTTATACGCGTGATAAAGCTTATACTGCTAGTCATCTCTTTACCAGCAAATCAACGAGGCGCGTCAACTACACGATACGCAGAATATTCAACGTTATTGTAGAATATGCCCTCCATAATTTCAAAAGGTAAAGGGCAAATGTGAGAAGTGTTTCTTGGTGGTTCGGGTTTTGAGATTGGCTAGTCGAAGTTATAGTACCTAGTGCATGTACCTAGTCCTACTGGCAGACGGCTTTCCTGCTTACGAAATTCATCTCGAGACACATTAAATACTCAATCCCCTGCCAAGATAGGGGTATACCAGCGTATTGATCCTACGCTACGTACTTGTTGACGTGGCAATAATAAGGGGGATCCTTAGAGAGCATATGCCCATTTTGCCTCTTCTTATTTGAACGTTTGAAGAGCATGATGAGTGCTATCAGTAATAGGAAAGATTACGTTTGTAGGAAATGCATATACACCAAATACCCTCGGTAGGCCATGATATTTATAGTTCATGTGAGATGAAAAGTCACAAAATGCTACCTTCCTTAAGATATTCCAGTATCGATGAGTGTGAATACAGTGCCATAATGATATACTTCTAAACAGAGAGAGAGAGCGATGCTCACAGTACTAGTAGATCACGACGTACTTTATTTTGGAATATCGGGATACGCCATTATAGGAACCTCGGTAAGATACCCCTGAGCCTCTTATACTACCTAGTACTGAATCCTCGACACATGCACGTTCTCCGCAGGCATGAATCTTCTTGCATAGCCCCTAGTAGTTCGGTGGGGATATCTCGGGCTCTACTTGCGTATCATTTACTTGTAGAGGTCTACACGGGGTTATCTCCATGCGGAGAAGCTGTGCCTTGCATTCTATCCCACTGCCACGAGTACGAGTTCCTAGCATTATCCAGCTTAGAGGTGATCTCGCACCTCAGAACAGCATGCACAGCAATGTTTCAGCTATAGAATATAGCCGTAAAGAGCGAATATAGGGAACGCCAAGAGCTTTTGACTCCCGTAAATGTAGCTACCGGACGTTTTACTCCTGTCGTCAACCCGGTTTGGACATGCAAAAGACGAACCATTTCTACATGTCAGTCAGGCCAACTGACGGATAACAGTGGGCCGCCTAATTTCCATAGCGGTCTTGGGCAGCATTACGGAGTACGAGATGGTACATTCTTGATAGTGGACCTGATGGCGGAGTTAACGGCACCATACGGGTAGTAGACAGCCGCTATAGTACATTATAACCATGTCCTTGTACGAAACTGTATTCGGATTAATTGTAGTGGAGGAAGACATTACGACCGACTTGGCAGCTGTACTTGTCTATTCGATTACTTTAGGGCCTTCTTATGCGTCAGCACGCTAGTTTACTAACACGAGGCATGATACATGAAACTTGCAGTGAAGTCATTACGGCTTTATCCTACACCAGACTGTACTAGCACTTGGCTTCATATTGAAACCGCCTATCTCTTTGGTACCTGAATATCGCTCTAAGAACTCTGTCCGGATGTCGTTGGGCGCACCCTGCTGAAATCGGCAAGCGGGAATGACAGGTCTGTTTATTCGTAACAGGACCCCTGTAGTCTTTCAAGGATTTGCCATGCTAGTGCTGCTGTTGGTTCTAAATAGGAAAAAAAAGGTCCCCAGATTGTTAGGCTGTTGGAGAAGCAGCGGTGAAACTGATTCAGGAACCCGATCCTTAGCATTCTCCATGACTCCCATCTTTACTCTCTTGAGAATACCGAAAAGAGTGCTGAAGATGGGTTATACCACATCCTATGTCCTTGTAGCTCATCCGCCCTTCCATTTCCCCTGAATGTACTCCTGAATATGTGTTGAAGGGGTGTGGTTTCAACCTATTGAGATTTACAAATATTAAAGGCAGCCAATTCCGTAAAATCTCTCGGCTTGATTCCATATACTCTATCAACATCCAACTTACTAAGCAGAAACGAAATCGCCGAAATGTCACTCACTGAACAAAGCCTCCCGCTCTCTCCCGACGAGGTCAGCTCACAATGGCTCTCCGACGCTCTGGGACAAAAAGTGAAATCATTCACATTCACCGAGAAGATCCTCCTCGCAACTGCTAGTAAGCTGTTTGCCACAGTTACATACGAAGATGAAGCTGCAGCGCGTGCAGCTGGGAAACCCACCCATATTTGCTTGAAGGGAGGCTTTAACCAGGCGGTGGTAGCTCAATATCCGGATATTATGATTAGAATCTATACACGAGAGGTTGGGTTCTTCAGCCACGTTATTCCTAAGCTTAACCATGTGGACACAGTCAAGTGCTGGTGGTCAGGAGCCAATAAAGAACAAGGAATTGTCATTTTGGACGACCTGAATAAGCAAGAGGCAAGATTTGGGGAGCCGACGGAGACTTGGACGGTGGATCAGGTCAAGGCGGCTGTCGAGCAGCTCGCTGGGCTCCATGCTGGAACATGGGGGGAGAAGAGTGCAAAGCTGCCTACTTGGCTAACCGACCCGGAGCACTATGATGCTACCATCTTGAGCCTGTGTGGTCTTTGGCAGGGCATGGTTGTTGCCGAGAGCCGGCCGCATTTCCCAGCAGATTGGAACGAAGAACGAATCACGGCAGCGATGAAGAAGCACCTCAAATCTCGCGATCCACGATTTACGTGTCTCCTTCACGGTGACCCGCACGCAGGCAACACCTACTTTATCGATGGCGCACCGCGATTCCTCGATTGGCAACTCATCCACGTAGGCTCTGCATTCCACGATCTTGCTTATTTCATCGTCGGGGCCTTGTCAGTGGAGGACCGCAAAGCGAATGAGATGTCTATTCTACAGCATTACCTCGATACGTTGGCCAAGTTTGGAGGACCGACATTTACACTGGACGAGATCTTGATTGAGTACCGCAAATCACTCATGTCAGGCATCGGATGGATGCTCACCCCCTACAAGCTGCAAACTATGGAGCGTGTGCACGCCATGAGCGAAAGATATGGTTCGGCGATCCTCGATCACAAGACCATAGAGCTTGTTGAGTCTCTATGAGGAGAAGTTCAGCGAATAGAAGGTCTTTGTGTGATTGAATGAGGCAATCAGCTACATGATTGTTTAATGTCATTGTTATGAATCGCTGGTAGAGGGATGGATGTAGAATTTAGGGCCGATTCAATTTGCCCAAAGCTATTTGCGAAACAGCGCCGCGAGCCCGCCGAACTATACAGATATAATAGATTATATGAATGATACATACGTTAATTGATTCAAAAAACTGTCTATTTACATAGCTATCAGTTGCCAAGCCCGGATCAGTGTAGAAAACAGCTCAATGCGGACATTCTTTTACGGAGTTTGCTTTCAACGTGGATTTTTACAGGGTAGGGCATCATTCCCGCCTGGTTTCGCTAGCCGTGGATAAATAGCTCCTTTGGATTATACGCGTTCTTGGACCAAACAATCGAACTGAATTTATCTCGGCCTGTAGTTTGTATTATCTATAAGAATATCTCTTATATAGAGTGTTTATTGTGAGATGATTGCTATCTAGCTTAATATGGCATGGGGCTGTACGGCATTTGAAGCTGTAAGCTACCTCTTAGCATCATATACCGCTAGCGAAACTTTGGTAGATTGATGAGCCGTCAATGACAATTAAAACTACCTAGATGGCAACGATAATTATAGAAATCTAGCTCCAGCTTGTCAAACTCATAACTGCCGATGCAAGTTATTTTCAGTTTGCCTTGCTCTTTCATGCATGGAATAGAGTATCACGCGGCTTTAGTAGGCTAGGTATGTTTTGAGCCCATAGGATACAACGGAAACAGCGTGCGGTGTGCCGATCAATGCCATCGGAGCTCATAAGCACGGACAAATTGATGAATCCATGATCGACGCGTTTCATCATGGACTGAGAACGAATAGTACCTATCACATTATTTAGACTTTCTGATCTTTAATCGTAGTAAGCAAATGGTAGTGTACTTCCTTTCGGTAAATCGCCCTTCCATCACTAATTAACATTTGAAGCTTAAATTTAGCTTCTTATGCGCATAGATGACATGGAGGAATAGAAGGCTTTGCTTACTGACGCTTTAGCCGATAAGACAGTTTAATGAGCGGTTTTCGTCGGAGTCTGGCTCTTCGTAGTATAGCTGATGAAACAATGTAACCTCAACACCTCAGACATGCGGGGCACTGAATAGTTAGTACTCGTCAAAACACAGACTAGCAATTTACGGTCCCCTTCGTGTCTGTGTCTTACTGGCTCTGTGATGTCGTTCAGGAATGCTATGAGTCAAGCTGAAAAATGGCCATCAACTATTGGACAGACTCATATATCACGGAGTGAATTCTTCCCGGAGCTTATGGTAGCTAGTAACCGAAGAATTAGCTCGAGTTGGTATCCTTTGCGACAGTCCGTACTATATAAGACCATGTTGTGAATAGTTTTCGGACCGTCGGCCTCAGCAATTCACAACAGTCTCAATTAAAAGAGTTTCTACCATACAAGTTCGACCATCAACCCACTTTCCACATCATCAAAATGCGTTTCATTCTTCTTGCTGCTCTTATTGCTCCCCTAGCCTCTGCGGCAGTTGCTGGTGTCGATATCGAAGCTCGAGCTGAGGTAGAGGCAATCGCCAAAGTCGAAGAGCGATCACTCCTCCCATTGGACAAACGATCATGCGTGGCCAATGGATGCAAGTGTAGCACCAAGCATCCTCTCAAACAAGGCCAGTACTGCGGCAATTGTGTCTGGTCGAATGGAGATGGATACATCATCACGGCGAAGCGTGTTAATAATCACGTTTACGAATGCTCGCCCTCTGGATCCTGCTGCGACTATGGTGCGGGTAGTGATTGCGGTTCTGGCACTGCTCGCTGTGGATAAACATTTGCAGGGTTGGTAAACAGCTGTTGAATGTGTAAAGAAAGGAAGGAGCGAATGATTGAGATTTAAGAGATGGAGTGGCTCTAAAGATAGGAATTTCTCTACACATCCACCAAGACCGAGTGTGAAAATGTCATTTAGCTCCTGATTCTATTATCCAGCACTCTAGCTACTACTACTACTGCTACTACTGCTACTACTGCTACTACTGCTACTACTGCTACTACTGCTACTACTGCTACTACTGCTACTACTGCTACTACTGCTACTACTGCTACTATTGCTACTACTGCTACTACTGCTACTACTGCTACTATTGCTACTACTGCTACTACTGCTACTATTACTACTACTGCTACTACTGCTGCTTCTAAGTACCTATATATGACAACGACTAGGTAACAATTTTCAATACATGTACTTGTTATATAGACTGATTGCCTTGTTAAACTATAGCTGGGCGGTTGGATAATAGAACTGAAGTGCTAGATAAGATTTCCCTTAGTATATTGCCATTGTCATTGATCTCGAGTTGAGCGTCAAGTGCGGCCTTGACGCTTAGGCGACATTAGTCTCAGGATATTGGCATCGTGTCTGACACTACCACTCGTCTACACCTCGATCTGCCTGAAAATCTCGAGACATTTTTGCAATTCTATTCATAAATTATGATTGACTAATCACTTGCTATTGTGGTCACCATAACCCTATATACTTCCCTAGTCAAGTAGTTCTATAATATGGTTGAAGGCCTTTTTCTTTTTACTGTTTGCAGCTTATGCTCCGTCTCACCCCATAGTTGGTTATTAAGAAATGAGAACCACCTATGCCATATAGTGGCCTATTATATGGATATACCTTGGAACTTTAATATTCTTTAAGACCGATCTCATGATTATATCAGCTTATGCTGTTTTCAACCATCGCACTGGCTTTCACAATCACTGGTCCTTTCATGGGTACATTTTCAGATACAATATTTCACGACTATATTGCATATTTGATTTCAGTATTTTGAAACAATAAAATTCTGATATCTATGAATACCTCGCTTGAACCGCCAACTATGCCTCATCTGTTCCGCCAATTGCTAGCCTCCAATGTATAAGAAGCTTTGTCCGCCAAGTAGAGCCTTATGCCTAGCATGAAGGAAGATCCGGGGTGGTGACGTTGGTCAAAATTGCGACGAATTCACAGTTTGGTGGGTAGTAGACAACCCAGTCCACGTATTGGAAATAATACCAAGGAGTGCCGTCTTCATTGAGATCAAAATCAGCTTCGCAAATCTGCATTCCGTTGAGCGTGTTGACAGGCTCGTTGTGCCAGAGGTTATAGACGTTTGTTCCACCTGAAGGGCCCAGGAGCCAGTTGGCATCAGATGCGTTGGAAAATGTCGAAGTGTTGGCAAAGGCGAGCTGGCCTACAAAAGTAGGTGGGATATAGTTGTCCACATTGGTGTAGTTTTGCAAGAAGCCTCTGGCACCTGTGTCGAACAGAGTGCCGTCAGAGCTCTTGCTTTCGCTGACCAAAACGCCATTGTCGAGGTTGGCAGTAAAGACCGGAGAGCTATTGTCTATAGCGAGGTAGCTGAACTTGCCATCTTGGCTGGGTCGAAGTTGAAGAGGTTTGTAGTTGTTTGAAGGAATAGAGTCGTCATAAAGATAGAATTGAACACCAGCATGAGTGGTTAAGAGATTTTGAGCACATTCCTGTGCGACAACTTGAGACACGCCAGTGGCCAAAACCAAGGCAGCTGTAAGGATTTTGTAAGCCATACTTGTTTGTGAGCGTTAAAAGCTGCTAGTTGCCAATGATTGCCTTTGTTTGTAATAAATAGTCGAAGCTGGCTTCCTGCATTACTTATACTTCATCTCGGCAATATCGTCTAATCGACTTCGATAGACTTGAAGATTGACAACTGGTTAATGCCGTCGGTTACAGAGTTTGTTGAGTTGCGCTGGCTAAATCCTGAATTGGTATAATCACACTAACAGGGGCTATGCATACGGAGAATATCGAAAATCCCGATCGATGCTACTATGCACACCACCTAATAACGAGGTAGAAATAAATCAAGCTGATAAAATGTTATCACGGAACCTTAGCAGAGACGAAAAACGCATATGATCTCAGTGCGAAAGAATGTATATTTCATCATCATATCTTTACTCGTCGTCTTAGACAAATTTAATTCCAATCAAAACTATTGACATATATCAGCCTTCTTGAAGCGTGTATTGTGGCTACAAACTCAACTTCCCTATGTTTCTTCCCCACCTCGATTTCATCCCGGCTTTGGAAGCTCGCTTGTGAAACCGTTGGGCAACTTCTATTTTCAGTAAGCGAGAATGTGCATCGTGTTTACTAAGACTATACGCGCACCATCCAGCACTTATTGCACCACTGTGATAGTTGACCTAAAATAGGAAGGTGATACATATTTGGCGATGTTGTGGCTAATTTTGGATCTCCGGAGCGTTCTTGGATCGATCTGATAAGGCATGAGAGGGAATAAGGCTGATCCACTTTCGGATATACTACCAGATTCTTTCATCATTGCCGCATATAGATTGATATCTTAATCTTCGGGGTAAAACGAAGAGGAGTATTGCTTGGCATCTGATATGTATCGCACCAAATGCCGTTCTGCAGCAAGGGTGAAAATGAGACAATATTTCCGTCAAGAGAGGCAACAGTTTGCGAGCCTTGTTGCATAGAAGCAGAATTGCCTAAATGCTTTGAAGCATTATTAAACCTGCAAAGAAGCTTATGCATTATGCCAAGTCGACTAGCGGGCTCAGAACGTTTGAGTTGCCTCATATTTCTCATATTCAAGTTAAAGTTTCTTTTGACTTGATAGGTGGACTAATACAAACAAGTTCAATGACCAAAAGCCACCGATTACTCGACCAGAGTCATGCTTGTTTATGCGTCATTTTGTATGTATATTTGCATGGCTTATGTTTTCAAGGTCGTATGACATTATTGATACATGTAAGTGTGATTACTGAGTCCTTTGAGTCTGGAGACATGCTTGCGAGAGCCGAAACATGACAAGTGCAAAACATCAACTCCGCGCTGGCTCTATACTACTAGGCCGATGAAGTCATTTGACTCTTCTCTTGTTTAAAGATTACTACTAGCAAATGTCTCAGAAACTCAATTATGGCGCACAACATTACCAAACTAACCAAGCCTATAAGCCCCAGAATTGCAAGGAGTCTAAAGACATACGACGCCCTCTGAAAGACAGGGCTGTTCTGAAGCTGCTCGGTTGCAAGACCGACCTGCATTGCGGTTAAAATCAGGACCATGTATGCGATAATTGCAGCAATCTAAGCGAGGTTATCGCGGAAGAAGCTGGAATAATTATTCCATCCACCAAAGTATGCTTGAGCAAAAAGCAACTTCCTAGTCCGATGAATAGCGTTGATAAGCGATAACCAAAACTCTGCACGAAGGAAGCGAGGATGGATCTTATCCGAATGATGTTGGGTGATGGGTTCCCTCACTAGACGTTGCCACTGCGTCCATGTTATTGTTGAGTCGTCAGGCTATCTCGGTAACAATCGCTTCTCAACGGCAATATAGAAGTTGCTTTCCGTGGGGACTAAGCAGGCATATGTGTAGAAGAAGCCTCAAGCAACTTTCCGCAGGCGGTCTTTACACGGAGTTAGAGAAGACTGTCAAGACTCAGTTCTCGGATAAATTTTAATACTAGCAACTCTTGCAACCGCAACTTTATGACTATTGCATGAACAGCGGCAGTATTTAACGCAGCTCAGATCAGCCCGCCAGAATTCTGGCGTGAGAAGGAATCTGGGGATGGGTTTGACAAAAATGCGCCCATCCCCATTCCATAGGAGATGCAAATCAATGTGGTCTACAAGTACAATGTTTGGTCCAAGAGCAACTTGTAAATGTAAATGTAGCTGCGTGGGCGGACGCCGTGCACCTGCAAGCCACAGATGTCCGCTCATTTCATCCAGTCGTCTGAGCGACAGCTCCGATCTCAGGAATCTGTGTACATTTTTGGAAGGATCAGCGACTCCGCGACGCCTCTGGTTGCCGAAAATTTCGTAGAAATGAAATGACGCAGGTAAACGGTCTATGCAATCATCCTGCTGTTTAAGCACCTCGGTGGTAAACTATGTGGTACAGGTCAGTGGCTGACTACCTCTTGCTCAATCATTAGTGTTCTACCGGCACTTGAGAATTTCTTTGCTGGGTCGCGAGGAGCATGAGCAGCGAGGTAGAAAAGTGTCTACTTTTGCAAGGCCCAAGCTGTCGTGATGATTTTGTATTTAGGCAGATAGATGCGGTTTTTGGAGCTTCAACACACGGGCTACGTAGAGGAGTGTTGAGGCGGGAATAAACTAGCGATGCAAAACCGTTACGGATGTATTTTCTCTATTGAGGGCACACAAGCACCAGTGTCAATCGACAAGCGTGCGGCACTTCAAAATGATGAAAAGAGATCATGTGGTGAATTTAAAAACGAAATTGAAGAAAATAAAATAAAGTAGTAGTTGGGATAGGATCATAATAATTTAATTTACCAATCATGAAAGCAAATATCCATGGATGGCTCACTCTGTATGTATCCCAGTTCCGCCGTTAATTGAAGCGCGCTGCATCTTGGATCAGCTCAACTCCCGAAAGCCGCACTGCAATAGCCTCTGCTGCAGTCTATTGACCGTTAATACAGCCCTGCCTACATGTACTCTGAGCCATGAGATTTGACATTAACGAAGCAAGCTGCGAGCGCCAGGCATCGGCACTGATTGCTCCTGTCACGCGAACTGTTTCTCGTCAGATGCCTCGACGCTGCATCCCGCACGCAAGCCATTTGATTCCAACGACAAGACTGAGAGTGTTGGAATGTCCACCATGACTAGACCTCGACTCCATCTCGGCAAAGAAGCTCAAGACATGACAGGCACCAAACTCTCCGATAACTTCGTGATTGACGAGGCTGTATCAGGCTAGAGTGCCTCTCAAACTGCATCCAAGATCCGTCAATTTGGTCGAGCAGCAGAGCATTAAGTGGGTCTCTATGCGACTCCACCATCTCACTCATCGCTATGGAGGGGCATTTCTTCTCCCCTCAGCTCAGCTACCGTCGCTCATAAGCAACAGAGCATCAGCTCCTTTCATCGTCGATTCCACACGAAGAGGTCTCAAATAACAGCAAAGCCGTAAGAATGCTCATTCAAGAATCCCACGTCGACGTGGAGACGTCAGTCAATGGGCAGAATGGCTCAATGAGTACGTTTGCCGCAATTCTCCTCAATACGAGAACCCCAAGCCTAACAACCACAACAGGAATCTTTCTTTTCCACCCGACTATTCCTGGATATCCTCAAGCGTCTGTCCATTCCCTTTCCTCGAACATGTCATACAACAAAACAGGTCTGACCGTACTGCAGCAAATTCCCTGGCGTCTGCCTCTTCAGTGAAATCTACCAAGGTCTGGCGCTCCCCTCTCGCTTTCCCTCAATCGTGTCAGGAACTGACAGAGGTTTCATCCAGTCACTGGCCCTGTCGCGCGTTTCGCCCGCCAGATCGCTGGCCATGGGTACATTGTCGCCGCGCCATCTTCATACCATGACTTTGTTGGGCCCGAGCCCCTCAAGTACGATGTCGAGGATACGGATAGGGGCAACCGCTTCAAGATCGAAAAGGTCCTTCAGCTCTCACCTACAGTCTCAAACGATGCATCGCTGACACAAGCCGGGAACAGACGCTCGAGTCCTACGACGAGGACTCTCGCAGGACCGTCGACTACCTCCTCACCCTGCCCACCTGCTCTGGCCGCATCGGCTCCACGGGCATGTGTCTAGGCGGCCATCTCGCCGTCCGCGCCTCCGTAAGCTAGCATCCAGCTTCCCCATGTACTCTCATCGCATCCTGACAATGGCCAACCCAGCTCGACCCCCGCATCACCGCCTGCGTCTCCTACTTCGCAACAGACATCCACACCTCCTCGCTTGGCTCCCCAGCCTCCACCGCCGACCCGACCATCTCCCTCTTCTCCTCCCTCACTCACGCCGAGTGCGCCATGATCTTCGGCGTCAAGGACACCCACGTCCCCGCTGAGGGCCGTGACCTCATCCGCAAAGCCATGCGTGACGCCGACGTCGTTGCCAGCTTCCACGAGTTCGCCTGGGCGCAGCACGCCTTCATCCGGGACGAGCTTAGCAAGGGCAGATATGACCCCGCCGTGACAAAGGTCTGCTTCGAGATTCTGCTGGAGCTGTTCACTAGAGTGCTCAAGACGGATCTGGGGGCGCCGATGGGGAAGGTGCCAGAGCCAGAGCATGATTGTTGATCCAGGTTAATGTATCAGGAATAGGCGCGAGAAAATTGGTTGAAACAGCTTAACAGATTGTCATGAATACTCATGTATACCTTTATCTTTTGGCCACCTTATCCCGGTGATCCAAACCGCGCAGTCTAGCGCTTCCGTCTACAGTATTCTCATTTCACAGGAACCCCTGTTTATGTCATAACGTCTATCTGATGGAAATATAATGCATTCCTTTCCACATTCTAAAGTCTTACAAGAACAAGTAAAGCAATATGCATCAGTGTCTAGTTAAGGACGCGTACCGCGAGGCCTCCACCGTCCATCAGCGCTTGCCGGCGGTCGGGTCAAGCCATCCCTGGCTCTGGCCCAGCTGAGTTCCCTGACACCAATGCTGAAGTCGGGCTAGAAGTCGCGAGCGTTGTCGGGGTGCCTGACGAACTTGTCCATCTCGGCTGCAGCAGTTCCACATCTTCAAAGGAGGTGTCGTAAGAGATATCAACATTGATGCACTCGAGCATAGCCTTGCTGCGGGAGATGTTGTCGATCAGAGGTTGTTCAGGATCATGTTTGGAATCGATGAGATGTGAGAAAGGTACACGACTGATGGGACGCGACTGAGCTTATCTGAGTAATCTGCATCTTGTTCAATACGGTGGAAGGTGGTGTAGAGAAGGAAGATGCGGTCAACCACAAACTGCTACTCGTTGATGTCGGCGCCATTGCCAACAACATAAGGATGCTTGATGAAAAGGAAAATGCAAGATTCGAGGAACTCATGGGTGGTGGCAGCGAAGATGAACGAAATAGAGAGAAGAGCAGTTCCAGCAGATGCGACGAGGGTAACGCGGCTCTTGTTGAACAACGCCACTTTTAATATGATCAGTCCAGGGTTACAACATCCGTCTACGCCGCACATCGCCATCATGCCGCCCGGCACTACATCGACATTTCATAGGAACAGCCTTGGATTGAGGGAAATCGCCGACGTGAAGCTCGACTCTGTCGTCTGCGATTTCTGCAGAGGCGTCATCGGGAGTAGCGCTGCTTGTTTCCCCTTCTTTGATTGCTTCGGGGATGCCCTTGGCAGCGTTGCAGATTGTTGCCGTAGAGGCCGATCCTTAATGTAAGCAAATATCAATGTATATTGAAGTATTGTGATGCTGAGCACCGTTTTCAGTTGAGACGGAATTTTGGTCCATTCGAATGCTGTGTTTAATGGTTAATAGCCGTTATCTTTCGATTCGGCATGTTTTTTTGCCAATCGCTCGAACCCTTGTTGGCGCATAACCAGAAGAATTTTTTTTTTGTCTTTAATTTCACCTTCTTCTTCTTCTTCTCACTGAAAGCCTCGATGCACTCACTCCGTGCTCATACAGTGTCCACCCGGCGTAAAACTGCCATGGATTAGGTAAAACACGGCTTGAAGACTCTGGCTTGAAGCCCCACCCGGCTTAGCCGTTCTTATCTGACAGCCTCAACCACGAGACTCTCGCAGACGCATACGATACTCATTTAATCCATCGGATTTCTCGTGTTCTGGAGGAGAATTCATCGACTCTACTTGGAGAAAAGACTCAAAGTGTCAGAATGACTGCAGCAGCCACCACTAGTCGAGCCCCGCGAACGAGAAAATCCTGCCTGAGCTGTCGAAGTACGTATTTTCACCATCCTCTAGCGCGCCTGTGTTACGTGATCTTTTTTTTCCTTGTGATTATTTGCGTAACCCCTAACGCCGCAAGAGGCTCTCACAGCGCGGATCTGGCAAAGCTGACTCTTTGCAGTCCTCAAGATAGCATGCGATAAAGCCCTGCCCGAGTGCTCAGCCTGCAAAACACGCGGAAAGGCATGCTCGGGATACAGTGAGAACCTGTCATGGCCTCGGAAGGGGGACAAGCGTCGTGCGGCGACAGCAAACGTGCAGACCCGGAGCGCCTATCGGGCTAATCCAGTGGTGTTTCTCAACACATCAACGTGGGACGTAAGCCTGTATCGTGAACACATTGACACGGGAGCTCATAGTTTGTCCACCAGTGATTGAAAGTAGTAGCCCATCTAACCTTGGCTTATAGTGCAACACGTAGGTGTCTTGACACCAGCAGCATCCCTGTGGTCGCCCAAACTAGGCTTCTGTAAGTCAAGCCTTGCGTGATTGACATGATACAATTACCCGGCTGGCGCTTTATGCTGAGATATCACAGATGGGCCGCGAATACCATCGGCTATACGCCTCGTCACATCAGGCAATTTCCAAGATGACGTTTGTGGCCTCTTGTACCGCATGTCGCTCGACGACAACAGTGTGCCGGCCTTGTCTGTTCGCCACTCCATGAATGCAATCTCGCTATTGTCATTGCACAAGTCAGACGAGGCACTCAAATACAAGATTTTGGCTATTTCAAATCTCAAAGGTGCCCTCACACAGGGTCTGGACAATAAGACTCGACCTCAGGCTATCGCTACCAGCCTGCTTCTGACGCTATATGAGGTAAGACTTTGGATAATTAACTGCTATATACATGTGCTATACATAACTCTAACTGTTGTTACAACTAGGTCCTCAGTCAAAGTGGCAAGACTCAGGACTGGTCGGTATACTTTAACGGCTGCATGAATATTGTCAACTCGGGCTTCAACATTCATCGAAAGTACGCGGGAGACTGTGCCATCTTGCTAAACTGGGTTCGCTACCATAAAGTACTGTATAAGTTTAGCATTCAACATTGGCAGCAACGGACTCCACAGATGGAATTAATGGCCAAATCAGATATTCTTGTCTCCGACTCAGCATATGACATTGATGTTATAACTGTAAGTATCTTCATATGCTCTCTCATTGAAATGTATGTAGGTATTACCATTCTTACTAACATCTTATTCTAGATGCACAATATGCTTGGCTGCTCTCCTGAAGTTCTTGATTTCTTGAGCGAAGCAATGGATCTCGTCAAGAATCGCGACGACCCCAATTACCTATCAATCAACCGCCTACACGCCATTCATGATCTTGAGCTACGTCTCAAGGATATTGATAACTTGCGCGACTGCTTTGACGTGGGACAGGATGATATCACCATAAGCAAAGTTTCCGAAAGCATGAATGACAAACTGTTCCAATATGCCTTGGTCATATATGTCGACAGAGTTGTCAAGGGTGCTTTCATGTCTTCAACAACCGCCCGAAATGCCGCCACCAAAGCATTTGTACTGCTGGAGAGGATCAGACTTTACGACCGTCCGTTCCCATTGTTTGTTCTATCCATTCAAGCCGAGACAGACGAGCAGCGGTTGTTAATTCTATCAACAATAAACCGGACAATGGAGGCAAGGCCAATGAATAACTTGGGGCCGACTGAGGAGATGATTAAGAAATTTTGGGCACAGCAGGACTTGGAAGGTCCTGAACAGGCTGATGCGCTCTTCATATTAAATGCTGTGATGAGCGCCAGCAGCATGCCACCAACCTTCACTTCCCCTTTTGTAGTTAATGCCATTACGGGTGCAAACGGCGTACCGTTTTTGTCTATTTGATAAATCAAAGAGTCAATTTAGGATCATTGAATTATTTGCAATAGCGCTGAATATGAAGTATGGATTTAAGCCTAACAAATGTGCGATAAAAGAAAAATGTATTATTAGAAGAGTGTCCAGTATACCCGACTGGTATACCCGTAATAGCGACAGACTGTAGTTCTTGTCCTGTATAAGTCCACGTAGGTTTCTCATCTACTCAATGAATGAACGATATCAGCCACTTTTGCAAAAGCAAATTCATCCATAGTCTCCTCCCAAAGCTTCTGCGCAAGCCTTTCTCCTTCCAGTCCATATACAAAAGGTGCCATTGGCTGTACCTTTCCGTCTTCGAGATACTGTCCATGAGATTCTGTGCCTTGCTTCACGGCCGCATCAGTAAACGCACGAGCGCCCACAGAGCCATCTCGTCCAAGTAAGAGCTTGAATACGAAAACAAACGCCCTTTCAAAAACGTTGGCATAATCACGAACCAGGCTTGACTTGCATAGGCCTGGGTTCGGGGCGTTTATTATGGCGACTGAAGGTGGTACGCGCTTGACCAATTCCGTAAGAAACAGCTGGCCCAATAACTTTGAGGTGGAATATTGATCTCTGCTATCAAATAACTGAGGGTTGTCTAACCCGGCAAACAGCGGATCGGAATTCTTTCCTTTGAACTCGGCCCATGCGGCTGTATCAGAAGATACTAAGACGAGGCGGCCGGGCTGTTCAGGAGCGTTTTTCTCTTTTATCACTGGAAGTAGCAATAAAGTGAAGAGAGCTTGACCAAGGTAATTTACTTGGAAAGTCTCTTCATGGCCAGTAGAAGAGTTTTTCTCAAAAGTCTTCTTCATCAGACCTGCATTGTTGATGGTGATGTCCAGCCGCTCCAGAGACTTGGCGCGTTCTGCAAAGGCCGTGATGGAATCATAGCTCGACAAATCGAGCTTCCACACTTGAATGATTGGTAGCTTGTTTGGGTCTCGGCCCGCTAGAAGCAACTTTTTTGCTTCTTCGCCTTTAGCTTCGCTGCGCACGGCTATAATGAGCTTGCTAAGACCAAGATCGAGGAGCTGGCCAGCACACTCAAACCCAAGGCCGGTATTGGATCCGGTAATGATGGCAGCCTTGCCCCTTAGATCGACATCTTTCTTGGTCCATGTTGGGGGCACACGGAATAGCTGGCGTTGGATGAATGCAAGCTGGGTGGCTCGCTGCTCCGGTGAAATATCGAATTGCGGCGCCATTGAATATGAGAGCTGGGTATTGGAGATTGTGTAAATTGAGTGGCAGTGAATGGATGTCTGTCATGACAAGATATCTCAATTACATGAAATCACTCTTCCTATATATATGTACATTAAATCCCTTCGGTGGTAGAGCTCTTTTATCGCGAGCTTCATTCTCGCGTTTCCCAATGCTTGTCTCCGAAACTGGTGGCCTAATCAAGACAGGCTGCTTGGTTACGAATGCTTGGCACAGCATTCACAACTGTTTACATAGAGAAGGCGATGTAAGTCATGGACTTAATAGCTAGGCCGCGAAGCCGCTTATTGGTCTCTGGTTACTCCTGCAGCTGCATGGGCTACCGGGCAGCGGATTTAACAGCATTCCTGCAGCCGCCTCGCGCGCTTCGGACTTTGCAAGAGTATTAGTCGCGCACGGGATTAATGTAGCCTATGGGATCACGTCAATAATGGGTTGCGCAACAGCAGGAAAAAGCTATGCACGCCATGGGTTTAAAACCAGGCAAGTGATTTTTCCAGCACATGCCGTGTAAGGCTGCGGGCGATCCCGAGGGGCTTGATATCTAATGTGAAACCACAACAAACCTGAGGGTGCTAGCGGTGATATCGCGAAATACAGCAAGCCGTAGTCTCATGGTGCCGTTTGATAGCTACTCGACATGAAAATAGACTGAAACCCGAATCAAACTACACGATCCGCTCTACTATCTTACAGAATGCTTGGCCCCTATGTGATATAAGGTATGTACACAGGGGATCGATTCGTGGGATCAATTCGTACACGTCACTAAGAGCCTAAGTGCGACGCTAAGCAAAGGACGACCGGGCATCACCATACAAAGCGCGGTATGAAACAAGATATGCTATTCTATTGTCATTGCCTCGCTATCGCTAAAGCTATAAGGATACCGAATGCGCAATCTTGTAGATGGTGGAGCGGGAATGCGGATTTGCAAGTCATCTCGGCTCGGCGGATTTCCGATGTCCGCTTAGAACGCATTGGTGAATCTCGATTACAGCTTATTAAGCTTTGAATATGCCTCTCAGGATCTAGGCGTCTGAAGCATTCTAATAGCTTCTGGGCTTCAAGTCATTTTATCTTACCCCGTGTCAACAAGTTACTAGATTGCCTATGCACTTATAGGCAGGGGCTGCGAATTTGACAAAGACTGGAGAAGACAAGAAAATCTGGAAAATTAAAGTCGGAAGCTTGCATTCTGAGCGGAGGATGAATACCGAGCCCTCTACGTAGAGGCGAACAATGTTCAGCCAATGAGAACTACCATTCCATCTCCTCTGTTTTATGTAGAAATACGCATGATGACAACGTTCCGAGATTTGACAGCTATCTTGGCCTTGGACCAAACAACGTCAAATTTGCTAGCAGTACGCGATCGCGAAAGTAACGAGGGGGGAAATTGCATGGTCGCTGCGGAAAAAATGAAACAGCTCACAGCAGATGCTTGGAGCTGGCGTAAACCGTTTGAACACGATTGATGTTGATTTGGAGAAAGCTATGTGGGTGCTTGTGCCTAAGCTGTCTAGATTGGGTTTTAATTTGTTTTCGCACGGCACCATCACAGAAGAGACATCGCACAAGCAGCTTTGGTGCGTTGATAAGAAATCTAGGGTCGCCTGTGTAAGAACGTCCTAGCTTGGATGATGAAGGCGTAGAAGAAATATTTTGACGCCCCCATTCCACTTATCGCTGCAGAGGTGTCCCAAATACCCGGTAGGTATTCCGAGACCACAACGCGCAATAGTAGATTGGTTATAGGACCAAGTCCCACAACCAATATCGTCGCAACACTCAATACTCAGTAGCCATCAAAAAGCCCCCAAATATAACGTACACTAACCTAGGAGTGGCAAGTGCACGCTCACGCAGAGACGGTCTAAGTAAACGAATAAGCCCTAAAGATTATCTAGCAACGGGAAGCTGAGGACGGATCGGCTTGACTGACGCTCCATAACGGTCTCACCATGCGTCTATTGGGCGATATCATATCCTTTTTCGGATACGCTTCTCCACGGCTATAATCTCACTTGATACTCCACGACTATAAACATGTGGTATATATACCCCGCGGTTTGAAAGCTTCATGTCTTAATCGTCGCGATTTAAATAGCCAATACTTTCTATACGGAAAGAATTCCTGGCAAGAGAATACGAGTCCGACTCCTGCAACCATGGAGAGCCTTTCTTCCCTCATCACGCCGGCGGTGCTCAAAACAATGGCACACGCACGTGTTCCTTACCCGAAAGACAAGCCAATTGACTTCAACACAGCGGGAGAGGAGATATTCAACGACGAATACTTGGTGAACAACACCCGCGATATTGTATGGCCTGCTCTCGTCGCCCTGAGTAAACTTGGGCTTTCCAACGTGCCCAACCTGTTCTCGCTCCTCCCCGCGCCCGCCGATGCAGAGTTTCCGCAGCAATGCTTTGGTCTCGTGGTTCTCCTCGACCAAGGATCCCGTTTGTTCTGCAAAGGAATCGACGCTCGATGGGTTGGCTATTTTGATAAACTATCAGAAAGGCTGAGCGATGCATGGCGAGCCTTGCCGGCACACCAGCAACCAGATTCATGGGCTCGCTGGCGTGATGAAGTGGGCGTAGGCATCGATCACTGGGCTGTAGCTCGACTATTCTTCACAGCGCCTCTGGCCCACGGCGAAGTGCTTGCCTACCAAGAGATTGCTGTGAACTCGAATGAGCATCTCCGAGAAATCCTCGAGACCCATACGGGCGAAAAAGATGCCAACCGTGCTAAACGAGAGGAGCTCTTGAGCGACCCTCTTGGGTTCTTCAAGAATCTGGCTGCTGGGCCTCCGAAAGGCGGTGACATCACAATGCAAAGGTGGTCCTTTTGGCTCATGATGATGATGGATTCACACTATCCGATAATTAAAAAGTTTGGACGGAAGCCTTATAAGAACGCAATCGAAGGGAGGGAGAGCACGGCAGAGGAAGTCAAGTGGTTAGACGACGTCAATCATGCTGGAGAAGCTTCCCCTGAGGTTGCGAAACTTGTTAGAGAGGATATTAAAGCGGGCAGATGGACGCCTTTGGGGGATCACCCTCGGGATGCTTAGCCAAAGAGATGAATTCGGTTTCATACCCCGTATGGTAATACGCTATTCGCGAGAATGCTCTAATGGTCATCTTCATAGAAAGTGGTAGCGAAGCTTATGAATAAAAGCCTTTCGTAAATTTTGGGCCTTACTCTCAGTGTCCGCAACCATAGACTCATCATTTGTGAGTAGATGGAATCTATTCTCAATCCCTTTTTGTTTGCTTGAGAAGCGAGAACACTGCCACTGAGGTCTCCATACTCTGTCGGATAAAGTACTGGTACCGGGTCTACCACTGGAGGTGGCGACGCCCCGTAAATGCCGGGAGCAAGGAGCAGTGACCGATTGAGTAAAAAACGTCAGCGCACGGCTACTTCATGCGTCAACAATAAGCGTCTTTCTGTGGCTTCCATCAATTTCGGAAAAGGCGACGACGCGATTCTAAGGAAAGTGGCAACTCATGGGCAATTATATACGATACCTAAGTATATATAAAGCCATGTCTAATCTTCAGGTTGCGTGCACCGCCAACTAGACGGCGAAGAATTCAAGCTATTTCGACTATTTACGACAAAGAAAAATAGCAAAGTTCAACAACAATTAGCGAATATGAAACTTTTTCAGAGACCCGTTTTGTTGCTTTCAGCTTTGTCGTTCTTCACCGTTACGGCTTCATCGTCAGCACTCGCCTTACACTTCAATCACGTCGGCATCTCAGTTGCGAACTTGACGCTACAACGCGACTGGTATAATCGGACTCTTGGTTTCAGTTCTCTGATTGAAGTCGTCGGCCCAATGGAGATGCCAGCAGCATCCACCATTTCAAGCACGCCAGGTTCCGTGTCCAAGCCAAGCACAATCCAGGCTGTTCAGCTTCAAAACCCGACGACCGATGCCATCGTTGAGCTCATATGGCTCTCGTCATCAACCCCGGCGTCTCGGCTAAGCACATCACCGGCAGCAGCGGCAGCCGTTCAAGGTCTATTTCACTTTGCTTACCGAGTTCCGGACCTCAAAATAGCAATCAAAAAGCTTAAAGAAGATGGTGTCCACGTTGTGCAGCCAATCACGCAAGGCGCGCCATATGTCAACCATGACCGATCTTCATTTGCCTACATCTCCGATCCAGAAGGCAATCTAATTGAGTTGGTACAAGTGGAATATCAGACATGCAAGTGCTTGGTTGAACTCTCCCATAGCCATATAAGGTACAATGTACGGAAGAAACCTAGGATTGTCTTCCTAGTTAGGCGTGACTAACGTACAACATTAGGTCATAGAGGGAGTCAACTAGGGGAATATTTGGTTTCCGAACTTCACCTCGGACCAGGTCTGCGGAAAATAGTACAAAACGGGACGACCAGAAATAGTAGATCAGTCTAAGGTCCGGTCAAAATACTAAGATCTTGGCCAAAGCTACCGAAATTTTCACTTTGGAGGAAAACAAATGCAAGTAATACACATGTTGTTACAACATGTTATTTCCCACAAGCCTGCCAGTCTAGATCTACTTCATAAAACCACTCTTAAAGATATACAGAACCTTGGTGATGAGTCCTTTTTATTCCGAATCTACACCATAGAGACACTATATATCCAAATTGCCCAGTGTTCTTAATCTTGCATGCACCGATCCGTCTTATTGATTCAGTATGGGTAAAAGGCCCTTCTCTTGAGCCTCCTTCACAGCTTGATGATAGATCTCCAGCCTGGCTTCATATTCCTTGACCAAATCCTCATGCGACTCGTCTCGTTTACCTGGTGACGAGTCACCACCTCCAAATGCCCTAACCGCCGCGTAATAAACATCCGCAAGATCCTCGCAAGCAGACTGCGCGCTCACTGACTGACATTGGTAGTAGAGGCTATTGAGTTTCATATTTAGTTTCTTATCTTGAACAACTTCATAGAAGGGGATACGACTTACTCCGATTTGAAGTTGTTGTCAATATTGAGCTTGCCTGAATCTGTAAAGCGGCTTTGGAGGCGGTAATTCTGGTACCCAAAGTCGTGGCGGTTGCAAGCCGGTACATACGGGAATCCAAAAGGGTTATCGGGCGAATCGGTGCAGCCGTCTGATGTCCAGTCAAGAGTTGAAGGGTTCTGGGCATTACGGTGGGTGATGAAGTCAGGAAGCGTTGTGTTGAAGAGAAGCTGATCTGTAATGGCTACAAGATCGCTTTGACGCCTTGATGGAGACTCTTTAGATGCGGGCAGAGCGAGGGCTGCCGGAGCAAGCGTAAAGAAAAGCGTCGCAAGCTTCATTCTGAGTGGCAGTATATTGAGAGTGATAATCGAAAGGAACTGGATGGCATCGTTCAACCTTCGACCAAAAAGGACTTTGAGTTCATTTATATGCCATTTATCCTCACATCGCTTCGTCGTTTAGACCATTTACAATGATAATACTACCCAAAGTCTCGGCTTCAGAAGCCAGAACAATCACCACATCCAATGGATACATCCTCCAAAAGGCATCCTAAAACTGCCTGACCTGCCAAAAAGAGGATTACGGCGCTTTTATGCAAGGGTCTTTACATGGGCCTTCCGTATGTCGAATGGCGGCTGATCGCCATGCTCGTCTGGTTGGACAATAGCAAAGCGGGCACGGTCACAGAAAGGGTAAAGCGTCCGTTTACCTTGACATCCAGAGCAAGTAGCGAGGCGATCCTGAGATTTGAGATTCTTAGATGCGCGAATAATCTCTACGAGCTTATGAAGTCTCAATCAATCACAGGAGCCACGAGGTTCCGGTAGAGCCGTTAGCCGCTCAGGCCAAAAGAGTAAAAGAGGGCAAAGTTGCCTTGATTTACTTGCACATGCTTGCTATAATTCATCACGTGGTACTTTGAGGCTAAAGTCTTGATGCTTTACTGAAGATCCTCCTGCCAAGCTATGGTGACGCGGAGAACCTTGCTCGAGTGCATCTTGCTGTACTCAAGGTACTGAGCCAAGCATGCTCTCCCAAAACATGTGACCATATGGAGCGATGCTTTTCTCAACTCAAATAAGCCTACCTTTGATCCTAAAAGGCATTGTTGGCTACACCCAACAGTCTCGAATACAATTAATAATATTAAACAGTGACACCGATTTCCGAGTCTATTAAATATCCATAATATTCCAAGTAGTGCATATCACAATATCAGTATGATCAAAGTCTTTTGGAAGTGATAAATCAGTGTAGATTCGATGGACGTGGCCAAGCTCAAAAATCTTAACCCGTAATGTCAAGGCGCGTATCATTTGTGACATCCGCATCGTGTAGCCTCAATATATGCGGGAGGCCGTCCATTAGGCACCAGTCAGGCTGTGAGGGGTACACACTACAAACAATCATCCAATCGATATGCTGAAAGTCAGCCAATAACGGCGTGGAGGACAATCCTCTACTTTTTTTCAAGGCTGTTGGCGCCTCACAAGGAAGTAGGGCAAAGTAGAGAGAGTGACGCATTATCTGCAGCTCGCGAATGTAGATTATTAATTAGGAATGGGATCTCTTGATCTTCTTGATGATTTCCTCCGTCTTCAGTTCCATCTATCACAGCTAATTCTAGAAAATCATCCAGCAGCACAAGATGGAGGGCTCCATCATCACTTGTGCAAATCCAACTTGCCCCCTTGAAGCTGCCGACAGTCAAAGCCATCTAAGCTGCAAAGGTTGCTTGCTAGTCAAAGTGAGTTCCCAGCCACCCGCATTGTTTAAATGCTCACAGTCTGAGGGTAGTATTGCGGACGAGACTGTCAAGTCCAACATTGGGGGGAGCACAAGAAGTATTGCAAGTCACCTTTGATGAAAGCAGGATGGAAGCCAGAATGGGCTACTACAGGCCGAACGCCAGAATTTGTTGGCGATAGTGGTCCGTCACAGGTCGTTTTTGGAGGGAATAAATACTTATGGGGCAACGTTCCGGCCATCGACGTTTTACAGCTCGCCAAAAATGAAGGTAGCACTTATGATCAAGATGTGCACTTATTGTTTGCCGGTAAGTTGAATAATGATCCCTACAATCTAGCTTTTGGATGCTTTAGACCATTTATAACTCCTCTTTCTGCAGCATCCGGAGATTTGCGAAACGTGGTCAAGACAGTAGCCTCCATCCCAGAGGCCTTCCAAAAGTCTGTCTCGATTGTCTTAAACGATAGAGATCCCGAAATCGTCATTCGGAATGCCGTCCTACTTCTTGTCTCTCTGACTGCCGAAGAGACCAAAGAGGCAGTGGATTGCATGATCCATATATTGTATTCGGCATTTATTCAGGAAAACCATCTGAGCATTCTACAAGGTAGAATCCGTGTCTTAGTTGCCGACGTTGTTCAGAAGATTGTAGACAAACCTGTCAAGTCTTTGCAAGCAAAAGCTTGGAGCTTTGGATCGCGCAATCTCCGTTTAGTTCTCACCAAGGAAATATGGTGCCAACTTCTCGAGCGCTTGAACGTTCCTATAAGCCTGACCTCTCAGAAAGCACATGATGTTCGCACGGCAATTACGCTGGCACCTTCACGCAAGGACTACAGAGAGCGGCGGTACATGTGTCTTTTGCCAGCGCACCGCTTGAGTCAAGAACGTTATCGCACGGATGGCCTTCTTTTACCGTTTGGTGCTTCTCGCGCACAATTCGTTATTCCTAATCCGTTTGTACTCCCAGAAGCTCCTTTCATACCATTCGAAAAGTTGCAATAGCTTCTTACGCTAACGTCTTCTAGGACCTTATTTGAGAGCAATCAGAGTTGGCCACTCAAGGATTCTTCAGATCCACTTGAAGGATGGAACATCTTCGACATTCTCAACAAAACCCCCAGGGCTGCGCCTTCTGATGTCTATGGAAAGCTCTACTTTTACCTCCAACATGCCTTCAAAGCATTCATAGAGAAGTCAATCAGTCTAAGTGCCAGCTTCCAGCTGTTCAATGTCGATGCCGAAGATCTCTCAAAGCATCTTGAAAGAGGAACATTTTCCAGGATAGAGGTAAGTTTATTCTGAACGAGTTTACTTGGATATCAGCTCATCCCTTTGAGGTGTCAAACATATGTGATGCTGGATACTTGGGCTGTGCCAGAACACTGTTCTTCATGGGACCTCTTTTGCAAAAGCAGAGCACGAACCCTCATGCCACATTAATTATGCTTTTTATGAATGCTATCGAGGAGAATCTCACTCCTGCAGATCAAGCAGCAGCTTTTCGACGCTCTATGCCACAGGTTGTCAAATATTTGCCTCGTCCAGTCTCCAGAACAAACCCATACGATCCCTGCTATCTTAAATATATGCTAGCTGCAGACCTATTTCGCGATAATGATGGATTATTTAACAAGTACGTATCTGCGTCTTTTCTTGAGTTAGTATGGGTGGAGCCACTGGAAAGTTGATGTTAATCTTTCGATCAGATATATGACTACATGGGGATTCGAAGAATGCGGCGAACTTGCTAACATGGCGATGAAAAAGAATACGGTTGTTGAAAAATGGCCTATGAGACTCAAGAAAAAAGCAGGACAGCCTGGTGCCCAGGAGGAATTCGACTTGCTGTTTGGGTCAGGACATGGGAACGAGCGATATGTGGAATGGCAGACGGTCGAGTAGTCGTCGCTGTTAGAGGCGACTACGATTATGTGACATGGTTGGTACGCGATGTGATGACGGGAAACGTAGGATTATGAATGGAGCTAGATTGCCAAGGATAAACGTGAACAATGGAAGATGGGATATGGCAGAATCGCATAATGTTATGTGCTTGAAGCAGATACATGTGTCTCACCGCAACTATAAGCTATGAGGCAGCGACTCTTGCAATTCTCCGACTGGCTCTAGTATGGGTAACTGTATCTGATGTTCCATCTAGCTGCCGAGCTGCTCATCAGCCCATCACTAGCGCCGAGGGTCATGAAGTGATAAATTGCCCAAAGAGCTATACTTGAACAGTTTTGTGGATCTCTTAATCTCGGTGATCGGTATATGCTTGACACCGGCTGCTGCCTTGGACATCTCGTCCCGGAATCTTAGCTACACCGGCACATGCCAAATTAAGCTTTCTAATGCACAACTTAAAACGCAACACCGCATGACTCGAGTCCCTTTTGAGGTCTAGCCGAGTAGATTCACTAACCATTTGTGCCAAAGTGGCAAGTGTTTTTAGCTTCCGCCCAGTGGTGATTGTTGTCGATTGGCAGCTGTGTAGGGCGAAATGGTATTTATCTCTCTCGTTGAATGACTGTATAAGTACATGTAGTTCTCTCTATGGCTATACAGTAAAGATTTGTATTTAAGAGTAGCCCATACAACCTTTGCAAACTCATCTACAGGGAAAGAAGACGCAAATACTGCAAATACATGTGCTACTAGGACTCAGCCAAAGTCAATGGATTGAACAGCCACCAATGGTCTGCAATTCTCCAATTCTCCGATAGCCCTCGTATAATCTAGGCCTAAGCTATGCTAGAGGGTTACAATGTGCTTGTTGCTCATTCTCCAAAGTAATTGCAAGCCCTTCAGCTGAGGGCCAGCCATAAACTCTAATCTCAGCTTGACAGCCTATCAGCCACAGCTCATATCCGCCATGCCGAAGCAATATCCAATCAATGGGGCCCAAAAATAGTAGCTGAAGCCACTTTGACTTCCAGCCTTGTAGTGCATCACACCTAGTGGTTTAAGATGCTGACTGCTCGTTTATATCTGCTTACCTTGATCAAGAGAGCTTATGACCCCTTCAATCGTCATCTTGTAAACAAGTTACAAGCAGTGTCGTAACTAATAGCTCTATCAATTCGTATAAAGCGTTTTAGAGAGGAAATCATCGCCATGAATGGGAAATATGCCGCAATATTTACATCTAAAGGGAAAAGGTGGCCATGAATCTATAGAAGTCTGGATCAGGCCGTAATTATGGCATGTGGCGGCGCCTCTGCGGCGGTGTGAACCAGTTCATCGGTACATGACAGATGGGGCCCAAAATGAAAGCTTCTGTCATGTCATAACGACAAGTGATATATCTTGTGGTATTAAAGCCGCAGTTCCCGCCAAAATAAATCTTCAAACTGCGGCGGACACGAATCACGATATATACCCCAAGATGAGCGACTACCAGATTTTATCGCATTCCAGAATAGCCAGAGCATCCTATTTAATTCCGCGGAATGATACGAGCAACACGCATACTTCCAGTGGGAGCCAGGATTATGTCCCAATCATTGTCATGTCCGTCATTGTTGTCGTAATTGTAGTAGCGCTTGCTTTACTCGCGTAAGTATACGAATCTGAGCCACTCCGAATAGTCTGGCCTTGATACAGGATGACCTACAACGACTCATGCTCCAATAGTCAATATACCAAGGTTCTCGATCGCAAAAGAACAAATGACGGGGGAGATGATCCGGAAAATGCCAAAAATGCCAGCAAAATTGAGCGATTGGATCAAATGGTACCAAGAAAGACATATAAAAGCTGGAGAGAAGATGTCGAAAAAGCAGACAATCCGTTAACACGAGGGGCCACTTTTGTTTCTTGGTATGTCTTAATATTTGCACTCCAGGACGAAATATTTTAACATGCTAACGACTGTCCAGTGTGATATGCTTGGAAACATTACAAGACGATGATACGATTCGCCCGCTGCCATGTTCGCACGTCTTTCACTCTCTTTGCTTGGCAAAATGGTACCTAAAGAGGCATGATACATGTCCGATTTGTAAAGCGTGCTTCATGACTTTATCAGAAAAGCATCCGAGGGTTTTACAGAGACCAGAAAGAACACATACCAGATAAATTACCATCAGGCGAGCTAGCAAATTTTTATTCGTGCTATACTTGGAACTGCTTAAGCAAATCGTTGACGTACCAGATAATCTATGTCTTACAGGTCTGATCTGTGAAGAATGCATATGATCGCACATATTCCAATGACATTGCCGTATGTTGGCGCCGTATTTATGTCGCAGCCATGCTTGACCCATATTGGGTTCAGCTCTTCTCGGACAGTCGAAAACGAAAACGAAAACGAGCCCCTAGTCTACTCATAACATCTGAGAGAGAGGAATTGGAGCGATTTATCAACATCGAATAGCTGCCTCAAAGAATACGAATTATGACTGCCAACTATCAGAAATAACCTGACTGTTGTGTGAAGCGCTCGAGGTCACAGCGAGACGGTGCCAGATTTAATGCACGTGTATCAGCTATGTATTGGTTTGCCAAGACAGATGTTATGAAGGTCTCTACTCAAGTTCCTCTATTACATTAAACATCGGTTTCCATCATATTCTTCGTTATATACTTTAAAGTAAGCCTCTTATTCAGCTTCATACACATACAGCGTACTGTTCCTCTGATCTGGAAGCCAGTAAAACCTCAATTTTCCATCTTCCACGCTCACATCCACAGGATTCTGCGTCATTCTTACTCCAAGAGCGCTGTGAAGCATTATCGGTACTTCGGCCAATGGGCTCATCGTTTTTGCATCAACCAGCGCAATGCCACCAAGGTGGTATTTTCCGTCCAAGGCGGCCACACCGGAGCAAAGCATCACACTGGCGCCGTCGTAAAATTTGCTTTGGCCCAGCCATTTGCAGTCTTGGTAGTCTACAAAATAGCTAGGGTTCCGGACCATGAATTGTGGTTTCTGAATAGAGCAGTCGTCTGGTACTATCTGGCTCAGAGCCCAAGTGAGCGCTGCTTGGCTTCCCCAATTAAGCGCTGTGAGGCTGTTGCTGACGGTATCGTGAATAATACCACCCAGATGATCATTGTGGCGCAGAATAGTTTTGGGTCTCAAGCTGAATGGGTCGGCTTTGTAAACGTATGCCGTGCTGTTTGGTCGATACTGCGAGATCGTGCCCCAGATTGAGCGCCCATCATAGTCGATTCCACCATTGTGATATTCTGTCGCGTCTTCATTTGTAATAGTGGCATCAGCAATGCGCTCTCCGTTGCCATTATACACCATCAGATGAGCGAATCCTTTCCCTGGTGTCCGATCTGTTCCGTTGATGGGATGCGGGTACTTCTTTGTCAACTCGGTATACTCTCCGCTGCTCACTACGAAGCGATCCGGACCAAGACGGACTAGGCCTTCGGGCTCAAAAGTATCTCCCTCGAAGCTGATATTTGCAATGCTTTTCCAGGTTGTTGTCCTGCTAAGATTTTGAAACAGCTCAATGATCGCCTCTCCATCCGATGCTGCATGTGAAGGCGGGAGTACTGGCGGCGCCAAGGGCACGTCTTGATAGAGCGTGATGTTTAGAACATCAGCTGTGAGAGATTCACACGCTCTGAGTCCATAGATGAACTGTCTATCAGCAGAATATCCGAGAGGAAATCTGGGAAGCGAATTGGGCCAGATGATGGCGAGAACGAAGACTGATGTAGCTGCAAGGGCGATTACTAAAAGCTTCGCTTTTGAGACGATATGGCCAGCCGGATGCTTCGGATTCTCGTTAAAATGGCCCTTGGGCGCAAAATGATCATGAGGGAGAGTCATTTTTTAAAAAGCCATGCGAATTTATAGCTTGAAGCAAAAAATCACATTCCTCGCACAATGAAGCATGCCGGTTCTAGTAAGTCTTGATAAGGTAAGAATCAAAGCTCTCGCAGCCACATGAGGTGGTGGGTCTTGCCACCAGCACGCTTTCCAGACAGTATTCCGCCTAATTACACGGTATAGCCTATTAGTCAGAGAGAGAGAGCAAGGTTTTGGATTGCAGTGATTCAAAATGGGAGTATCGTAGAGCAATAGTCGTTGCCATGTGACTGCTAAATTTGGAATGATGTGGATCTTAATCCTTCTTAAAGGAAAGGCACTATCCTGAGCTTTAAAGAGCCACAGCACTGATACAAAGGCTGAGTTGGTGGGCCAAGGCTTACAAGGTTGAGACAGTCATTGACAAACAAGAGCACTTAGTTCAGCTACTATATAATTACAGGATGATGGCTACCTGCAAATAGGCTTTTCATTTACACGTAATAAGCCCTCTCTACACGTAGCCTTTCATGTTTATTCGGCTGCCTTACGCAGCGTCAACGCGTTTCATCATCGCGGCCATGAACCAACCAAAATAGCTGCTCGAAAACTGGTTGCCTAACCAGAGGCAGCATTCTTTTAGCGTGTGTACGCGCCCTGCCGAATACTCATGTACTTAAGGTGCCACCTCGAATTAAATTTCAAGTAATCGACCCAGTAGTATATCCAATACCCAATTTCCTCGATAGCCAAGGCGTCATGGCCGAAGATACGTTCAACCTTTCTGACCTACCCATTGAGATCCGCGCTCTTATTTGGGAGGCCACTCTTCCACCACCGCGGATCTTCCACATCAAGGGCACAGTAGAACTCGGCCAGGAGAAGGCCCTTACTTTCCACAAGCTACATCCTCCACCACTCGCGCTCCGCATATGCTCCGAATCACGGAGCGTGGCGCTTCACAAGGGAGGCTTCTTTCTCGCTCACGCTGGCGGCGCAGGGCCGTGGTTTAGTCCAAAGCGTGACATTCTGTACTTCGACCGCAATCAGCGCCACATGCTACGATCCAGAGGCGGAAAGAGTCAGATTAGAGGATGGGATAGCGTCTTGCACGTCGGGATCGAATGGCGTGCCTGGTTTCGAGATGTGCCCCGACAGACTGCACCCGGTGATGATGATATCCGTTCCCACTGGCGGAGTGTCGTGCGAAGTCTTTACCTGCATATGCCCGCACTAGAAAACATCCATTATGTCCTTCCTCGCGTGCGCCACAAAGGAGGCGTTACATGGGGACGGGAGCCGTACGGCGTGAACAAGTATCCGGCCGAGTTGGTGCATTTGCCAGAGACGACGGAGATACCGTGGGCAGGCGCGGGATTGGGCATCCGACAAGCGGTGCAGAATGGGGCAGCGGCAGGAAATGCTGCTCCAGACGTCTTGGTGATCCCAGGCGTGGCCGAAGGAAGCAGGTCAATATTGAGCATGACTACGTGGGGAGAAATCAAGGCCGATATGGAGAGGGCGCTGGAGGAGGAATTGAAAGGAGATGGAGACGATCAAGTTGTCGAGCTGGATTGGACGCTAGAGGGTGAAGAACAAGGCAATGGAGAGAACAAAAAGTGCCCATTTCCAGGAAATCAGCCACCCGAGGTCGTGGGGTGGTGGCTATTAAGGAAAGATTATCCCCAAGAGGATCACCCTAGTATAAGAGAATTCATGACCTAGCATAAATACTCTATGTAAATAAGTAATGAATATATGTTGCTGTCCTATGCCATACGCGTGATCCATCACTCTCGCGATGGCTGCCCAATACGGCTCTCTGCATTTGCTAGTTTAATGTCAATACACTAGGAAATTCGAAGCCAGAATCACGTAGTGCTTGTGGTGCCACGAACGAATTTGCTTATCCTGCTGCTGAGCTACGGACTAGTTATTTGTATTACATCCAGCCGCATGTATCTGCAGGTAGACTTGTGTACCACTTCGTGTTCAGCGACGCACATTCGAGGTATTGGACCAGAATGCACGGTAGGAACATTGAACGGATGAAGCCGCTAAGATGGAGCCTTCTGTGGGCGAAAATCAATGCCCTGAACGGAATAGGCAAGTATACCATGACTAAACATGACATCAAATAGTTGTAGGATTTGCTTGCCAAGGAGTTGGCTGCATATTTGCTGTGTTGGCACGTTTATAGCCCGCCATGTTTGCTCGTTCGAATCCTTTACACACAAACAAGGCTGAAAGCGGACGGCGCACCAGTAAAACTATGAGCCGCCGCAGCTGTGGCCAACTACACCGGTATCAATCCGTCGCTAATTTCCAAGGTTATAATGGATTTATTCAGCGAATTCAGCTCAGGGGCCGATCGATGGGCTATGATGTTGGTGGGTCACTTTACAGTGGTAATTGGGCTGCGTGATGCAGATTGAAGACATGGCCGTCTTACTATAAGCTCAAGATATGAACGGCAAAACTAGGACATATCATATTAAATACTACTACGCATCTACATTCTCCTCTTATTGCTCATGTCCATCTACATAACCTCCCAGATTACCAATAATCCAGATGCAAATGCTTCTCTTACTTCTCCTTGCACGGCTGTTAGCAGCATGGTCCCTTCCAACCTATGATCCCCCACAACGAGTGCGAGAGTTTAATCTCGTGGTTACTTGGGCCAAGCATGCACCAGATGGCTTCTCACGTAACATGTTCTTGGTCAATGGGCAGTCACCGGGTCCTACAATCGAGGTTGATCAAAATGATGGGGTGATTGTTCGTGTCAAGAACAAGTCTCCTTACAACACCACCGTTCACTTTCATGGTGAGTTGACGATTGTATCATATGAGTAAACGATTGTTAATATTGACTTGAATATCAAAAGGCATTGAAATGCTGGGCACTCCATGGTCTGATGGCGTTCCAGGGCTTTCCCAGCGCTCTATTCCACCCGGCGGCCACTTTGTCCACGAGTTTACGGCATCACAGTACGGAAGCTTCTGGTACCACTCGCACTTTCACGGTCAGATAGAGGACGGCTTATACGGACCACTTATCATCCATCCTTCACCCGAAAATTCGAAGCCCTTCCACTTGATATCTTCCGACCCTGCGGCTATTGCCGCCATGGTAAAAGCAGAGCGCAACGTCAAGCCTATTGCCATTGCCGACTTGAATCATTTTACCTCGGACGAAAAATGGAATATCGCCTTAGCTAGTGGCGTCGAAGACTCGTGCTATGATTCAATACTGTTCAATGGTAAAGGCAGGGTGCGATGTCTTCCAGCCGCCGAAGTTGCAGCCAACTTAAGCGACGATCAAAAGGCTTATTTAGCCCTGGGCAACGCAACATCCATGACAGATAAGTCGTAAGTTTCGCATCTGGCTTCTATCGCATACCTACATACTAACAAAGGCCAAGTTGTTTACCTGCCAAAGCTCTTGCTGCGTTGGGTGACCCTACCAAGGCAAACCTTTCTGCTATTCCGGCTGGGGCTTTTACCGGCTGCAAGGAGACCAATGGCACCGTCGAAGTTCTGAGGACTCAGCACTCCAAAACAAATACCCAAAACTGGCTCGCATTGACCATCATAGGCTCATTAAACTTCATCACAGCCATGGTATCCATTGACGAGCACGACATGTTTGTGTATGCCATGGATGGGAGTTATATAAAGCCCCAAAAAGTACAGGCTCTTATCCTCACCAATGGGGATCGATATAACATTCTTATTAAAGTTAAAAAAGCTGGAAAGTTCAATATTCGAGCGAATGCAGTGAGCGCTCCCCAGGTATTAACAGGAAACGCAGTCTTGGAGGTAGAGGGCCGCGAGAAATGCAGCGAAAAGCAATCTCAGCCATATATCAGCATCACAGGCGTACCTTTGTCAAAGAATGTGACCGTATTCAACCAAGACATGGCAGCACCATTTCCACCAGAACCAATTGCTCGGAAGGCAGATGCGCTGTATAAGCTCAACATGAGACTTGACGGAGCGTCTTATCTTTGGGCGTTGAACTCGACTCGTCTAATGCCCGCCGCTCTCGATGCTGACAAAACACCCGTTCTGTTTACAAGGCCTGAAGCCATACACGACAATACTACCATTTCAACACGAAACGGCACTTGGATTGATCTCGTCTTTTTCGCTAGTACCTTTCCAATGCCTCCACACCCTATTCACAAACACAATAATAAAATGTTTCAAATTGGGGGCGGTGATGGCGAGTTCACTTGGTCTTCAGTTGAAGAGGCCATAAAAGAGAGACCAGAATTGTTCAATCTTGTCAATCCACCAAGGCGAGATAGCTTTACGTCAAGACCGGCCACCAAATCAAAATCGTGGATTGCAGTACGTTATCAAGTTGTAAATCCGGGCGCCTGGTTACTGCATTGCCATATTAGCAATCATGTACTAGGAGGCATGTCGGTTATTATCCAGGATGGTGTAGATAAATGGCCCACAGTGCCTGAGGGATATTTGGATTGGAGATTTTGAGTAAAAGAGTTCATTGAACACAGCGTTGATTAGTCATAATGTTCTAGATCTGATTGCGAAAGAAAATTGAGCAAACCATTGGTGTTCGGTTATTCACCGTGGAAACTTCACGATTCAGATAGAAACGACACAAAGATGGAGCATTACTGATTGCAAACATACAGATAGAGGAAATGGTCTAATTTAGTGCCCAATTCCCAAACTCCCAAACGTTACTCACAAAAAAACATCGTTTCTCAACCAAATGTTAACATCAGCTAGTATAACGCTCAATCTGAGCTTCGGTCCATTCCCAAAAGCTGGCCGCAATACCAGTACCTCCTTGAGACTCTGGTCTGGTACCGTCAATCATTTCCTTGGAGACGTTCCAGAATTTGCCCCATGGCGCAACTATAAATCTCAATTAGCTACCTGAGCGATTTCTCATGTTTAAAAAGCAGTGCCTCTCACCAAAACTGCCTGACCTCTCAATGGTTACTTGAGGAGAGAAAGCAGCAAAGAGATTTGTATAAGCGCCATAAATAGGAGGATACAGAAGTGTCTTTCTCAATATGCATGTCATTAGAGCACCTTGAGTGCGCCAAAAATCCGAATCAAGATTTCCGGGGTTCACCGGAATGGAGATTATTCCATTATCCTTGTAAAGGGCAGCAAACTCAGCCGCGTGCCAGTAATTTCCAAGCTTGCTGACACAGTACTGCTCAAAAGCTCCCATATTTTCCACCTGGGATAAGTTTTCAACGTAGTTTTTGGTTGAAACAGCCTCAGCTGCTGAAGATGAAACCCAGATGACACGAATAGAATTGGCTGGCGCAGTTTTGGCCGCTGAAATAAGGGCAGGTGTCAGGGTCTTTGTAAAGGTAAAAGTTCCAAGGCAGTTGACGCCCAGCTGGAGCTCGAAGCCCTGTCTTGATTTACTGCCCTTTTCTGGATATCCGACACCAGCGTTGTTGAAAAGCAGATGGAGATCCTGCTCTCGACGTAGAAATTCCTCGGCGGCAGCCTTGGCACTGGAGATGTCGGAGAGGTCAAGCTTCAAGAATATGAGCTCACCTCTTGAGCTTGGGATGGCAGATTTGATGCTGTTTATAGCTTTATTGGTCTTTTCTTCATTCCGTGCCATCATATAGACCTTGGCATTCTTAGAATAGACGATTTGGGCGATTTCTTTGCCGAGGCCAGTATTGGAGCCAGTGACTATAATAGTCTAAAGATTAACGTTAGTATTACAGCTTTCGAAATGCTGTGTTTGGACTCTGTAGACCTTTCCTTGCAAATCGGGTACATCCTTTTCCGTAAAAGTGGGAGCGCCAGGGAAAGATTGTTTTAAAAAGCTGACAGTGCCAGGCATTCTGACAGAAGAGATGAGTTTTATGCTGAGTGTGCTGCTAAAGGCGCCAGAGAAGAGAATTGAATCAACGTGTGTTTACGTTTATTGCTGCGAAGTGAATTAATGGGGACGATTATAAGAACGTTTCGAAAAGACTTGGAGAGGCCTTGGCTCATTATATAGATTTTTGGCGCTTCTTGAAAATTATCCATATCATTCATTGATATCATCACTCAGCCCTTTCATGGGCTCTAGTCATACCTGAGCGCCGTGCTAGAGATGGTATAGCGGCCAGTTGGGGGCGCGGCCAAGGCGGGGTCCGAGCCAGGAACCGCTGGAGGAAGAGAGCCGGAGATAGCATATAACTTTTCTTGACATGGGAGAAGTAACAATTATGTGCGCTGAGTCAACTTTGATAGTGAGAAATACGACGCATGTAGAAGAAAAAGCTGAAATTATACGTTCCAAATATGCCCATAAGGGTTGATTCCTACTTGGATAGCCACAATATTAGGAATTCTCATAGGTGCCAAAGCGGACTCAACAACAAATAATCCATATCGTCTCTCAATCATTCTAATTAGCTACAACTGTATATTCTAGTTCTTTTACTTTTTTGATAATGCAGATGAATTCAGAACTACCAGTTCCTCACCGCAGATACCTTCGACTGTTGCTTCTGCGCTCCTTCCCTTCCCACCTCGCTGGTAGCGGGCTCCACCTCGGGCCGCTCCTCGCCGCGAGCTTCCACATGGTTTAATTGGGCGCTCTGCTGATTGGTGCAAAGACCTGCTTCAGTGCTACGACGAGCGTATGCTTTCTACGGAGTTTTTCCTTGTTATGATGAAAGGGCGATAAGAAACGGACATTGCCACGGATTTAAAGAAATTCCAAAATCTTAATTCCTTCCGTACTGCTTTACATTGTCTTTGACTTGGTATCCTGCATCTCCAAGACGCCATAGCCATCCCAGAGTCTGATAGGTTAGTCTCATCCTACAAGCCGCCCACATCTCTCTACCAAGGAGAGCAAATAGCGAAGGAAATCCAAATACTTTCTCCTCTTGCAACGTCTTTCTTTTTTCATAGACACATCAGAGCAGTATCAATCTTGGCCTTCATTCAACGATATCTGATCAGTCTTAATACAGATACTATTGAGAATAACGGACAGCAATTAAGGTGATGGCGATCTACCGATGTACGCTCACAACGAAGGACATGTATGCTTCAAGCATCTCAGCACGACATATATTGACACTCGAATAACAGTTCTCGGCTTGTCTAAATGATGTGTGAAATATCCTCTTCTCAAGAATGCGGACACTGCTGACTACTATCTACATGCACTTAGATCCATACCCCGCCAAGTGATCGGAGACGGTGGCGAGATCCGGCTACGCGTGCTAGTTGTTTTCTTTGCGAACGAACAAAGCATTTCGAGCGGGCTTGCGTCTGAACCGAGCCTTCGGGATCCTCAAGACAATTCACGAATATATACATGCAGTCTTGGCTCTGCCTGAACAATATTGTTATGATGTCTTAAGTCAACTGCTGCCACCAAGGAGAGCTGAGTGTTTCGCGTCCTGGGCTAGCAGAGATGGGGGATATTAGTAACCCGTTTGGGCCATAAGCTGTACTTCCACTAATGTCAGCGAAGCCAAACACACTTCTCATAACACACGACCAATGGTTTCCACTTGACAGTAGGCCGCGTGCCAAAAGTTGGCAACTGATATACATATATACGCCCACTCTATGTGGGATTTGGCGCATTTGAAGTGAAAGTTGACAATTCCATCTTGGAAGGTCCAGCAATGAGTGCGGCGGCGCACAAGATCCCCAGCGGGCCTACCATCAAATCCACGGCTGCTGACGAGGAAGATGTTAATCGCGCAGTTGTAGATGGAGCGCCATTGAAGGCCACGGCGGCATCAACGCAGAGGATAAGCTCGTCTCTTAGAAGGCGCGCTTGCGACGCATGTCGAGCTCGCAAAGTCAGATGCGATACGCAGGATCCACCCTGCAATAGATGCGCCAAGATGGGGGTAGCATGCCACTATTCAGGTCGAGCGAAACAGACAAACTCCAGAATTGGCATGTCAAGATTTCTTGAGACGTTGAATAACAGACTCAGTGAGTATCTGTTGGATCATTGCAGTAGTGGGAACACATGACATAAGGACCACTGATGGCTAATATTTTTCTCAGAACAAGCAGAGGCACAGCTAGCTTCTACACATTTGATGCAGCAAAATCAGCCGCAATATTCGGTGGCATGGGGAGAAGCTAACAGCACTGGACTACCAATAACACCCTCGCCACTTCATGAAATCTCACTCCGAGAAGAAGCCCAGTCGCATTGGAATTCTATCCCCGCTCCTACATATTCTACATATGTCTTTCAGGAATCAGACGCTACTACACCGGCATTACCAGCTACTGAGGCTCCGGCATTCTTACCGACCGACGATTTTACATCTTCCAACTTTGCGGATATCATGATGGCCCAGAACATACTAGATAACCAGCCTTTTGGGTTTGAGCCTGCGATTTTTAATATTCCTTCGCCGGCTAATGAGTCTGGGCCTGGCTTGGAGACAACTTTGCAGAAACTGTGAGTATGGGCAATGTTATCTAATAATGGTCCGAAGCTGAAACAGGCAGCTACGAACGATACTTTGAGGTTTTCCATCCCGTAATTCCTATCATCGACCGAAGTCGCTTTGAGCATGAAGTATCGCAGCCATATCCCACCAGTGAATTACAGGCTTTGTCTTATGCCATGGGAGCCTTGGCAGCATTTTCTATACCAGAGCTGCAAGACCATGCAATCTTTTATCATGAACAAGCCCGCAATCTTATTGATCTTTGCGAGAGACAAGAGAGCGGCGTTTCATTAGAGAATATTAATATCCTAGAAGCTTATGTGATATTAACACTCTATGAACTGAATCAGCCAAATTTTGCTCGCGCCTATCTGACACTAGGCCGTGCAATTAAGCTGGTTCAAATTTTGGGTTTAGACAATGTGAAAAGCAAACCCGGATATGCTCGATGGGGCCTAAGCAAACAGCCCAATCATTCCATCAGTCCGGCAGAGCAAGAAGAGAGGCGACGAGTTTTCTGGAGTCTCTTTATTTTTGACTCGTTTGCCAGTATCAGGTCAAACATTAGCCCAACTTTTACTGGAGTCGTGAGTATCAGATGTGCCTTCTAACTGTGCTTGCTCAGGCTGACGATATCACCCAGATCAATGTTTCACTTCCCAGCTCCAGCGAGTATCCAGACTTCTTAGATGAAAAGATGCCGAGGCTGGATCAAGTGTTTGACCTGACAGAGGTTTCATTGTCGTCATTCGCTGCCAATACGTTGATGATTTCTCTTTACCAGCGCTACTTTAGACACGTTGAGTCCTCTTATAATGAGAAGTCGCAGGGATTTTGGGAGACACACTATGCTATTGACAAAGCCATCGAGCATTGCCGGACAACTCTGTTAGTGCCGCACATGAATGGCAGCTGTGGCTATGATCCACTTGCCATAGGGTTGCGAATGAACCTGAACGCTATAAGACTCAATCTTCACGAGACAGCGCTTTTTAGAGTCCAGAAAGATCAGCTGCCGGAGAATCTTGCCATGGACGCAAACTTTAAATGCGCATTTGCTGTTACCGATATTGTTAAAACCGTTCAAGTGGGCATGCAGCTGACGGGCAGTAGAGCGGCTACTTTTCGACAGTTGAGTCGATTCTTTGTCTGGCCTATTACCACTGCCATCCAAGTATGCTTCCGAATGCTTTACAGTGGAACAGGCGACTTCGCGTCCTATATCAGCTTTCTGCGGATTTTGTCCCACGCAATGAAGGAAATCATCAACCCGGATCAAATCCCCCCCGGGCTGTTCGAGACCGCAGAAGCCGAGATTGCTGATGCGACACGAAGGATACGGAAGAAATGAGTATGAGTCGTTGATGACAGGCTATAGATGACTTATACCTGTAAAGATCTCCACTTGTTATTATTAATACTATTGATATTCATCGTTTTCTCGTCGTTGCGCTCTGAAACGACGATATTTGTTCAATTATGAGTCTATTATAAACAAGCCAAGAATGACTTTAATAGAAATCTATCCTCATGCAATTTGTTCCAGCAACATACTGTTTCCGGAAATGGCCCAGCGCCGTTGAAAATAAGAAATTGCTCTTCACTCTTTCACTTTAACCTCTTGCCATAAAGTCTCAGGCAAATTATGTCTATCAACATCAAATATGTGCGGCAATACCGTTGGCAGTGCTTCGGATTTTAACTCTGGAAACTCCGTTTCAATCACCGCCAACAGCTCATCGTACCATATTCTGTAGCCCTTGCCGGTGAGATGAACTCCGTCGTCTAAAACATCCTTCAGTACCGTCTGGCTTGTACCAAATACGCCTGGCACTGGCTCCCCTTCTTTCCATCCCACGTGCGAGTATATTGCATGCCACATGTCGATAAACGGTACACCACAGCGTTTTGCAACGGCTTTTGCAGCCTCCGAATATGATAGATTTCTCATTGTTCGGTTGTACACGGGAGGTTCCAGCATGTTCTCATCTACAGCTCCGGGGCCTACCACGATGATTCTCTCGACGCCGGCCTTTCCGGCCTGTTCCACAATCCACTGGAGATTTTCGCTGTATTCTTCCACGGTCACGGTTTGTATATCGCGCTCTGCTGCGTCGTTTGTGCCAATCTCTACCACCAGTAGCTTGATTGTCTCTCCGGCTGCTGTTTCCGCACGCAATGTCGGCAGCAGCACATGCTTCAAATGCATTGAGCTGTAGCCGCCGTATCCCCGAGCAACGACAGCAAGCTTGCGAAAATAGTAGTGTTGTAGCGCAGGTGTGAGAGCGAACGAAAGTGTGTGGACGTTGCTGCTGAGTTCTGTAAGGGAGTCTCCGAGCATCAGGATCTTGTCGTGCGTAACTCGGCGAATTGCCAGAGCCGATGGCTCATTATCTTTGCTGACCGCCGTCATTTTGTTTTCAGCTATACGACTCTTTTCCACAGTAGAGCAATAGGTAATCAGGAATAGACGTCGTCGATAAAACCAGCGATGAGCCTCAAAATCTAGTGAACAATTAAATTAATTTTCCTGCTTATATCCGGAGGGATTCTTGGCGAAACTCGGGAAGATACTCGGAAATATACATGCCGCTAAACAACCTCTTAACAGGCTGATGAGACCCAATTCGAGATTTTGTCATCAGCCGCATAGTCAAACCAGCTTGAATAATATTTCAAAAACGTCAAAATGCTTTGTTGCCACAGCATGGCGCTGGTTATTATGCTACTATTCTTTACAAACTTTTTCGTCCATGCAGGTACTTTGAGTCTTGGTCAGCAAGAGGCTGGGCGGACCAAAACAGAAATATTCCGAAGGGAGTAATTTCCTTTCGCAGGTTGACTTTTCTTGAAAGATTGCGTAATTAGCTGCGCATCAACCTACGAAGCCTGTATTACATTTGAACATTACATTACATACACTGAGATATGTAGTCTAGACACAGGGTAAGAGAATGTTGCTTGAAATCTTGCGATTTTCGCCATCATCTGACTGACAGCCTTACCCGAGCCTATAGTATTCTCCGAGCATATGTAGCGCAAGCGAAAGGAACGCAGTAAGCACTATGAAGAGCTTTCGCGATTGGCTAGGCTCGATGCGCAGATTTGATATGCGCGTCCCGGGGCAATGCGCATGTCACCAGATTGGTCAATCTTGGCTTTAAGTGCTGTTCATGCGGAAACTGCCCTATTACTTATATACAAAGAGGGGCGGAGTCGATGATCAAAGTGTTGCTCAGAGATCGAGGGCATAATCCAAGACATATACGTACCTGATGCTACTCCCCATGTTCCACTGCGGCTGCTCCCAAATCCTGCAAGCCACTCAGCATCTTATTTCGAGCAGTTCATGACATCTTCGATATAAAGCGTCATAGCGGTCATTTGTTCAAACATCAAACAAAAACGCGGCCCAACACACATAAACACTCACAAGCTCACGCGATGCTTTGATGGACCTCGGCTTTCACTAACCCCCTGCAGAGCTGAGACATACATACGCACATACGTAAGTGCCTCAGACGGCACACGCAATACCGCGAAATACCACCTCGTACAGCAGCGATGCCTGCAAAGCATGTTTTTGAACGGCTTCCGCGGGTTCGTCACGCCCGCCCGTCCGAGCCTCCCCCGCATCAGCTTTGGCCAGTTACGAATTAGCCAGCCGAAGATCTTCCCCGGCATGTGAAGATCGCACTAGCAACGCAACGTTGTTGGCATCATCCAAGCCCAAAGGCGAGACAGAAGGGGAAAGAGACGAGACTCAGCGGCGGGCCTAAATAGCCCGAATTCCGTTCCATTGGGACACGATCATGCAGTTATCCGACAGCTGTGGCAGGTTGCGGTGAGGCACAGACGACATGATGCTAGTACCTGTGCTCTGTCTTTGCAATTTGGTTTTTTACTAACCCTTGCAGAAGAAACTAGAGCGGCTTGGTATGGCACCATGTAACCGGCCGCCCTTTGACACTGTCTAAAACTAGCGGGTGGAGAGTCACAAACGACACGATTTGCTACAGAAACGGGACCGGATCAAGGACGAGAGCCCGTCCAGGCCATTGGGTTGATCCGTCTCTCCTGTTTGTTTTCATGGTTGGCGTCTGTGTCAAACTATTTTGTCAAGCTATCGATCCCCGTATATAGCCGCTCGATGACCACTACTCTTTTGATAGGACACAAACTAAAGAGCTAGATTAGCCGAGGGTGCGAGATTTATCTTTTATTTCTCGCAAAAGTCATTATTTTGACTCATTCCCTCTTTTCTTTTCTTTGCACTTTCATCGTACAGTGTCAGTGTCATAGCCAACATGCACCTGACTGTTGCGGCCGGCATTGTAGCGGCGGCATTAGCTGTTGTCTACATCTTCAACCAAATCCGCGAGATACTCTATTATAGAGCTCGAGCCAGGGAGCTTGGATGCGAGTCACCGCCATGGATGTCAACGTTTGACCCGACTGGTATATCAGAATTGTTAAAGGGCGTCAAGGCGAGCCGTCGAAAGCAGTTTCCCACCTATATGCAAGAAAAGTTCGAGCGAGAAGCAACTAAATACGGCCGCACGGTGGGCACGTTTCGCTTTCAATCGCCCTTCTTCCGGGAAACGATGGTGACGATAGAACCAAGGAATATCCAAGCGATTCTAGCGCTCAAATTTAAGGATTTCGGCCTGGGTATAAATCGAACAGATAACTTTGAGCCGCTACTGGGACATGGAATTGTGAGCGCTGCTGCAGAAATCCCCAACAGTGTTCACTAATTGTGTGCTAACTGATCCCCTTTGCAAGTTTGCCTCAAATGGCAAGTACTGGGAGCACTCTAGAGCCTTGCTACGCCCACAGTTCAATCGCGGTCAAGTGAGCGACCTCAGTCTGGAAGAAGACCATGTCAGGGCTTTTATGACGGTACTCGATCGCCATGTTGGGCCGGATGGCTGGACAAGCCTGGTGGACCTCCAGCCTCTGTTTTTCAGACTCACGCTCGACTCTGCAACTGAGTTCCTTTTTGGGGAGAGTGTAAACAGCCAGCTCGAGGACCACCAACCCAGTTCTGACGACGACGTCGGTTTCGCATATGCCTTTGATAAAGCACAGTATACTCTTGCCATTGGAGCGCGACTAGGGCCACACTACAAATTTTCCCATACTTCTGAGTTTAAACGAATGGTCAAGAGTGTACACGAATTCGTCGACTACTTTGTCCAGAAAGCTCTTGCTGAAGGCGCCAGCGAGAAAAAGTTCACGGATGAGGGCAGATACGTCTTCCTCAAAGCACTGGCCAAGGATACTCAAGACCCCGAGGAGCTGCGATCCGAGCTTCTCAACATTTTGCTTGCCGGCCGAGATACTACCGCTTCAACACTAGGGTTCTTCTTTTATACCATGGCCGATCCTCGATACTCACATATTTACCAACGTCTGAGAACCATCCTCTTGGACGAGTTTGGAACATACTCCAACCCCAAAGAACTCACATTCGAAAAGATGAAGAGCTGCCAGTATCTCCAATGGTGTTTGAATGAAATCCTACGTCTGTATCCTGCAGTCCCCATGAATGTTCGAACCGCCCAAGTAGACACAACGCTGCCTGTCGGAGGCGGCAAAGACGGACAGTCACCAATCTTTGTGACCAAAGGCCAAGACGTTGCATACTCTGTAAGCAAAATTTCCCATTTATCATGGTCAAGTCTGTCTGTCTAATAACATCAACTAGGTTTACCTCATGCATCGTCGAAAGGACTTGTGGGGTCCTGATGCTGAAATTTTTAAACCCGAGAGGTGGGAGGCGCGACGGCCAGGCTGGGAATTTCTCCCGTTCAACGGAGGGCCAAGAATCTGCATCGGTCAGCAGTTTGCACTGACAGAGTTGGGCTACGTCGTGGTCCGATTGATGCAGCGCATTGACAGCATCGATGGGTCACAAGCTGGCCCAGTTAGTCACGGCTTAACTTTGATCAATTCGCCCGGCGAGGGAGTTAATCTCAAACTGCACTTTTCCGAGTAGGCATTTCGGCCATGGCATGAAAAGCTTGTTTTTTGTTTTGTTTTTTTCCTTTTTCTCAAGTGTACCATTACTTTATACGTTTGCTGCAGCGCCGATGCCCAACTTCAGCACCGGATGAGACTGATGAGCTATATATAAACGACAGAAGAACGGACATTGGCTGTGATACTTCGCGAATATGACATAGCTTCATCTTACGAGATTTAATGAATAACGACTACTTATAGCGATGCGTCGATTTTAGACGATATGTATTGGTGTATCATCTCGCATCATTTTCCCTGCTCAGTTCAGCTAGGCAGTCAGGCAGAAAATTCACAGCAATTTTGACTCACCTCGACGCGATATGAGACATTCCCAAGTAGGTAATTCACAGCATTCACAGCAATTCTAGCCCTCTTCGATGCTCTCCCTGTTGGGATCTCAAGCTCTCTTAATGTCTCTATGTTGCTTGTCATCCAGCAAAATGCTTCATCAAGGTAATCTTACTGAGCAATTTGTAATCGAGATAATCCGTAAATAATTTACCTTAAAATCCGAAATATGCAGCGCACTGCTTCAATTGGTTACCAATATTAAACTAATCGCGGCAAACTCAAATATCTACTCATAACATATAGTTACCCTACACACTTCCATTATTATTTTTCTTGCCAAACAAAAGCAAGAGGATAAAAAGAAGAAACTGTTAGCTTCAAGAATTATTCTTCAAACAAGAAGCAAGTCTCAATATTATTTAATCTCTACCTAATAGGGCGATTGAAGAAGTATTCAAGATTACTTTCATCACATTGTGCACAATTTACTGCCAATTCAGAGAGCAGTTCACAATCTACCAACTACGGTTTACTAGCCCTGCAATCTCGCGAGCGATAATCGGCTATGCTAAAATTTGAGTTAAAACAATGAAAGGCGTTTTTAGCCCTATTAATAAATGAAGTTGTCCACATTCTCACTCTAGAAGCAGCCAGATCGAGTATTCGTGAGAGTTCTTGGTTAAAATCGCTAGACCCCAAGGGACTCAAAGATGGCGGAGAGCTGGGGTTCGGTGGATTTGCAAAGGGATATAAACGGGGCTGTTTCGTCACCCGTACATTGTGAAGATCAGCAATACACTGGAGCTGGCCGAAATAAATTGATCTGCAATTAGAGGCATCTTACTTGTAGGAGATGGCGAAGCTTTAAACTTTATTATTCTAGATATACAGGAGATGTTTATATGTATTCAGACAGCCAAGTTCTATGAATCATCAATAAGGCTACAAATCCCCAGATTACCCGTCAGCAATCCCGAGGTAGCGGTAGTCCCAGCGGTAGAGTATGTCACACCTCTTCCCTGTTCGCTAAAGACTTGGCATTAATTTCTCCGGCTTGGCTGACTATTCTTATTCTTATTCTTATCAAATATGCAGCAGTATAAATATATTAACTGCCACCCGCACCTCCTTCATCGTTGAGGTCATATTGATCGAATAGAGTTATCCACGCTGGTGCTTGTCCATAAAGCACCGAAGCCAATAAACAGTGACAGAGTGAGCACACTCTCCTTGGTTGTAAACAAACGGCGATCTGCCGCAGCTGTCTCGGTATATTATTGGCCGGGGTCATGATCCGTTTATCAAATGTGAGGCGCAGTCGGGCAAGCCTTGATCCAATGACTAGAACATTCTTCTTCCTGAGACTCTTCTTTCGAGAAATCTCCACCTTTCTCAGTCCTAGGTGGTATCTAACTAACACACTAAAGCAAGTAGTAGAGCGCGTCGGCCTTTTTGACGGCAGAAATCTTTTCTTTGCGCTTCCTGCGCTCCCTACCTCTGCTTCTCTTGTTTCCTCTTGTGCTCATTTTCATATTCGCGCTCGTGCTTGTCTGCCTATGGCGATGGCGACAAAGGTACCGGAGCCTCCTCCTGTCATTTCAGCACTAAACAGGGGCTGCGGCTGATCCTTGTCGTTATCGGAAAGTCCCTGTGATGGCATTTCAAGGAAGTTGAGGCCGTCTCCGATGCACCTTCTCGTACCGCGGCAGTCAACATTGATTTGACAGCTCTATCATGCCCATTCATGCTCTAGGGGATATGCCTAGTCCTCTTATCTCCAGCTCCTCCAATCGAATAATATTAATCACAGGCTGAGATGGCTGAAAAGCCCAAAGAAAGTGAAGGCTGTGTTTTCGTTGGCCATCGCCAGCGGGGCGACCCACCAAGATCGTCCGGGCTGATCGTCCCTTCTTGGCGATGTTTATAGCCGATCGTCAAAAGGCCTCACCAGGCAGTTTCATCTTCTCAGCATGTGCCCTGAACATCGTATGAGGATCTCCAGTATGACAAACAGCTCAACCTTCTGAATGGAGCATGACTTTCCGGATCCTCAGAGTACTGCTATTTCCAGAAGGCCCATTCTGGCGCGTGACCTAGACTCTTTTCTACGAGTCTCTGCGTCAATCCAAAACTATGCTTAACTCTTCGGACCCGAAGGATTCGTTGATATGGCCCGAGGTTGCAGCTTATCACAATAGATCTCTTTGAGTAAAACACGCTTGCGTGCTATCGGTCGGATCTTTAAGGCACCATTCGTGCTACCATTGGTTGCCTCCACTGTCTCCACGATCTCCGTGCCTGACCACACTTGTTGTTAGCAGCGTGAAGGAGAACTTCCGAACTGACTCGCAAAAGTTCTCCAATGGCATTGCAACCAGCTGCCCAATCGGGCTGCTCTACGAGGCACTGCTGCATCGTGAGGTCTGGGGAGAGCGGTGTCAGACGTCTATCATCTTAACCTTATGTCGTGTCAAGCATTCTGACCTTCTGTTCTCGTACTGGTTTCCCGATCAAAAGGACTTTTTCGATATCTCGTGTCGGCATTATCGTGGTGTTTCTTGGCTGGAGTGACTGACGTCGATCTTTAGGGGAGGTTAAAAAAAAAGGATAAATAAGGCTTGACAATCTCGCCTAAGGAGAAATTACAACTCATCTGCCATCATCAGCATCTCGAGAGCTGCCATAGATCCACTTTCATTTTATCCTATATAACCACTTTCTTCCCCCAAAAGATACTTTTCTTCTTCATCCATTCTTCAAGCAAACTTCAAGATGCAGCCCACCACCAGCTTTGGCACTTTCCTCGTCACTTTCCTGTCTGCCTCTATGGCAGCAGGAAGTGCCATTCCTTACATGGCTCCCCAGCCTGGCTCTTTCGAGATCAAGAGAGCCGCCAACAACGGCTTCACTGGAAGAAATGGCGCTCTCGCTCTGGCTCGTGCTTACGCCAAGTACGGAGTCCCAGTCACCGACACTCTCCTTGAGGCTGTCGAGACTCTCAAATCTGCTCACCTCATCAAGCGAAGCAGCGGAAATGTCACTGCTACTCCAGATGGAGATGATCTTGAGTATCTCGTGCCTGTTCAGATTGGTACTCCTCCCCAGACTCTCAACTTAGACTTCGACACCGGCAGCTCCGACCTCTGGGTCTTCTCCAGCGAAACCGATACTAGCTCTTCTCAGGGCCACAGCGTCTACAGCCCGTCTAAGAGCACTTCTGCCCAGAAGCTGGATGGTGCTACCTGGTCCATTACCTACGGAGATCAGTCATCTTCCTCTGGCGATGTCTACACGGATGTTGTCACCCTTGGCAGCCTGACCGTCAAGTCTCAGGCCGTTGAGTCAGCTCAGCAAGTCTCCGCCCAGTTCGCCCAGGGCAACAACGACGGCCTCCTTGGTCTCGCTTTCAGCTCCATCAACACTGTCAAGCCCACCCAGCAAAAGACCTGGTTCGACAACATCTCCGGAAGCCTCGACTCTCCCCTCTTCGTTGCCGATCTCCGCCACGAGACTCCCGGCAGCTACATCTTCGGAACCATTCCATCAGACGCTTCCAACGTTCTCTACGCTCCCGTCGACAACAGCCAGGGCTTCTGGCAGTTCAGCACCAGCAGCGATATTGGCGGATCCTTCTCTGCCATTGCTGACACCGGCACCACTCTTCTCCTCGCCAGCGACGACCTCGTCAGCGCCTACTACAAGAACGTCCAGGGTGCTCGTGAGGACCAGCAGCAAGGCGGATATGTCTTTGACTGCAGCACCACTCTCCCCGACTTCACCTTCACCGTTGGAGACGGCAAGATCACCGTCCCCGGTAGCCTGATCAACTACGGCCAGGCCAGCGGTAGCGAGTGCTTCGGTGGTATCCAGTCGTCTGGTGGCCTTCCATTCGCCATCTTTGGTGATATTGCCCTCAAGGCTGCCTATGTCGTCTTTGACAGCGGCAACACCCAGGTTGGCTGGGCTCAGAAGAAATAAGTGATGTTGTTTTTCTTTTCGAATTTAGTATGGAAAATGGTTTGGATATCTATCGGAATGTGGCTGGCTGAACAATAACACGGGTCGCCATGAGAATGAACAATGACCATAGAGCGGATACAGATTTTGATGTACATTATATTTTCACTAGTGTAGATTCTTTCATGAACTTGTCAATACAAGCATTTCCTTTTGCATGCATACGTTTTGTGGTCTGGTAACAGTGCATAAATGAATGATGAGCTGTATAATCCTGCTTCTCTTAGGAGTCGTATAATCCTGCTCTCTTAGGGGCTTGTGTATGATGTTTTATCAGGGAGAAACTATCCAACACTTGTATCCAGTAGTCCAGCTGTAGCTCGATAAGGCGGTTAATGCACATACAAAGTTAATTAATTACCAGATACACTTAAAGAAGAAGAAGTAGTAGTAGTAGTAGTAGTAGTAGTAGTTGTAGTAGTAATAGTAGTAGTTGTAGTAGTAATAGTAGTAGTAGAAGTAGTAGTAGTAGTAGGAGGAGGAGGAGGAGTAGTAGTAGCAGTAGCCTCTGGGTGCTATTGATAGTTTAAGTGCTGGATAATAGAACTGGGATGGTGGAAAACCTTTTTCTTTATTTATTAAAACTCTAATTATTTCATGTATAAGACCATTACTCTCCGTATACGCTAGGATATAATGAATACATATCGCTCGCTTAATATGAATTGAACCCATTCTGATTCTGCTGCCAATGCTGCTGCTGCTGGCCGCCGCCATTCCATTCATCCATTCTCGGCTCTCCCCTAGGCTTCACCTGTGGATTGCCTCCCATATCGTAACCCTGTAGCTCATTATTCCCTACTGGAGGAGAAGGGTAGGGACCTTGCGTAGTGTAATTTGGACTGTTTGAAGTACCGGGCCCTTTTCCAGGCATATGCCCCGGATGCTGTGAGAATTGTTGCTGCGAGGGCTGTCCATGAGATGGTTGCATAGGTGGTTGATATCCAGAGGTAGAAGCAGGAGGGGGACGTGCTTCCATGTTATTCGACCATCCTCCAGCCCCTTGTCTTTGCACCGAGCTTGGATTCATGTTTACGGGTGCTTGTACAGGTCTCTGCCACGGGTAACTCCCGGCCCTAGGCAGAAAGCCAGGGCCCTGAGGCTGGACATTGGCCATGTAGGCATTAGGAGCTCCTCGTGCGTGAGGATGCCACTCGTCATCTCTTTCATACCGATCGTGGGCAAGGTAGCTGTCCGTATCTCCTAAACATGCCAATCGGTACTCGTCATACCGTCTGGTAGTTTCTTCTACCTTCTTGAAGTGCTTGGATGTGAGCTGTTTTTGTAGGCCCTCTGGTCTCACTTGTACATCGCCCTCATAATGCGCCAACGATGCGGCGATTAGGAAAGCATTACGAATCTGTCGCCCATTCCATCGCCCAATACCATCTGTGTGGTTTCTCCAGTGGTCGCTGGCAAAACTAATGATATCGGTCTCGTCGATGAAAAGTTTGGTGTGTCCGGGAGCCTTGGCGGCTTGGTCTTCAATTTCTTTAAGTCGCTGAATGTTGAGTTTGAAGATGGCGACCACCTGTTCCTCGGTGAGGAAGTTGTAGTGAAGATTCAAGTGTACTCGAGATTTGACTGCTTCATCAAGAACGCCAGGTCTGTTCGTGGTAAGGAACAGAATGCCGTTGTAATATTCGAGCATACGCAGAAACACTAGAAACGGGTAAGGTACAAGGTTAGCACTTACGAATTATACATGGCCAAATTGACATCTTGGGAAATAGATACTTACCAGACACTAGAGCATTTCTTTCCAAATCCTTCCTATCTCTCTGTGTGATAAAGACGTCCGCTTCGTCTAGGAGAAGGACGCAGTCCCACAAATGAGCCAGACGAAATATCTCGCTCAAAGACCTTTCCACACTCTCAGGCGTGAAGCCAAGATCTCCGCAAGTGATTGGAAATAAAGGCTTCTCAAATTTTTGAGCTATGGCCTCAGCAGTAGCTGTTTTACCAACACCGGGTACACCAAAGAGTAGCAAAACGATCCCCTTTCCTTTTCCGCGAATGAGATCCTGGGTTGCAATCTCAACAGTGCCTTCGTTGACTCTCTTTTTGAAATGAGAGTAGACTAGCGATTGCATCAGAATCTTGTGTTCCCCAGGAATCTGGAGGCTATCAAAGGCTCTGTCCTTATCTTTGAGCTCGGGGAACGAAACGTCTCGAACGTCAACCTGCACGAATTTGCGCTCCCAGAGGGCATATGCAAAGAGTCGTCTTGGCAGAAGTGCCAGGTTGTCACCTTCAAGTTCTCCAATCTCAAGCTCGTTCTCGTTATCCTTCTTTTTCCTCAATAGCAAATCTGTTTCAATAAACTCATTCATCTGGATTATGTCGACGCCGTCTTCAGTAATCAGTTTGTCCTCCCATGCATCCTTGAGGTTGGTGCGCTTCTCGTCATGCCACTCTTGCAGCGGGCTCTCATTGTCAACTGATATGACAACTCTGTAAGTCAGCGCTTCCACCGCCAGAATGTCGGGCTTCCACGACGGATCTGTATTGAAGGCTTCTTCGAAGTCGACGAGAATCTCACTCTCGATATGTTCAGGGCTTGTCATGACTCTTCCGTTTTTGTCTTCAACAGACTGGCCGAGAGGTGTTTTAATGAGCGTCCAGCCGCGGTAGAAGCTGTATCTTTTGGCTGGATCGATGTGCTCGATAAACTTGCTGCCGTATTGTCGGCCTCTCTCCATTATCTCATCTCGTTGTTTGACGTATCGCATAGGGTAACAGGGCAGCTGTGTAATCTCACGCTCCCCCTCGAATGAGGGAATCTCGATAGTTCTGCCCACAGCAGAATAATTTTGGCCATCATAATCAATGTGGTAGCAAGATATTGACCAGGTTGAGTCCATCTTGAGGCAAGATTCACAGCTGCAGCCATCAATAACCGACTGCTTGAAGGGAGCTCGATATATCCTCCATACCATCTGATCAGTATGAGATCCTCTAGTATTGTGGTTGGCCGATGGCCCTGAGTCCATTCCACCATCGCCAAATCCAGCTTGGAGACGTTGAAACACGCTGTCCCAACCCATGGGGACTCGAGCTCGGACACCGCTATTAAGATTGGGTACATAGACTAAATCTCCAGGTTTGAAGAGATACCATAGGAGGTCCCATCTGATCTTCGTAGGCGCAGTGTTGATATCTTGATCTTGGAAGCGCTGATATTCCGGCATGATCATTTCATCGACGAACTTGATGTAGAGTCTCATTTCGGCCAAGGTATCGGAATGAGTAAAAAGAGACTCTATTCCGAGAGATTCAGAGTCCGACTTTTCTTTACCCTTATCTGTACTCGACTCCTGGGCTTGCGGTGAGTCGGCAGACTTCGAATCAGCACTTGAAGCCGATTCTTCTAGCTCAGCTAGAGCTTCTTTCATTTTATCGTGGAAATGTATCAGGTAACGGAAAGGTCGACGAAAGACATGAGGTCGCCCATTCCATTTCTTTCCTGCCGGACTTTGACGCCCCAGATACATCATGACAGCCCTAGAGTTGATTCGCACCCGCTGAAGCCAGACTTCGTCTCCATCGTCGATGACCGTCTTGTGTTGAGGGTTTCGTCGACCAAACCCTCTTCGAAAGCCGCCTCCCCAGCCACCCATGTACTGAAAGTCTTGGAGACCTTCATAGAGAAATGCCGACTCCTCTATTTCTGCCTTCAACGAATCGCCAGCCACCAGTGTCTCGATAGCGTAGTTGTGGTCTTCGGTTTGGTGATTCTTGAACTCATCCCAAGTGAAACACTCTCGCGTCTTTGGGATAACGCGCGAAAATGCCTGCATGGGCTTTGGCTTTGGCTTCTCTTTTTTGCTTGTTGATGCGTCGACAGTAGTGGCAGGAGCCGGAGCGGGTTTCTCTGTTTGCGCTGGGGTGGATTCATTCTTCTTGTCTTTGGGCTCATCCTTCTTGGACTCATCCTTCTTGGACTCATCCTTCTTGGGCTCATCCTTCTTTTCCTCCTGTTTGGCTTCCGTATTTTTCGATGAATCAGTGTTTTCGTCATTCGAAGCGCTTTTCACCGTCTCTTCGCTTTGTCCTGCGACGGAATCGTCTCTAGCCTCATCTGCAAGAGACGGAGCCGAGACTGTAGTCTCTTTAGCAGTACTCATCTCGCCATTTTGGCTGGATATCCCAGCATCTGCTGCCATTGTATCTCTTCTTTGAGGCTATTGAAGAAAAATAGGTAGTTGCAAAATGCGGCTGAATTGCATATATCCCCGACAGAAGAGGGGACGTTTTGTCTTAATACGTGGAGTTAGAAAACAAATACAGCTGAAGAACCCCTGCCACGACGACGCTGATTAATTCATCATAAGCAGTTGCGCTTACTTGGGCATAGGCTCATGCATGGGCGAGTCACAACTTCGATGGGGGCGAAGAGAGACTTGATCCAGTGAAATAAATCGATAATGCCGTGTAGGAGCCTAATCCTTCGCAAAACCGAGCCCAAATACTGGTTAAAAGCCCCCTCAACGGGCGACTAATGCAGCTATCAATAATAATCAACCCACATTTCTTCTCGTCATTTGTGATCTCTGTCCTTTTGGGAATAGGCGAGGCATCCTAAGCGGGGTACAGGTTGTGAGCATGGTTGTCAACCCTGCAAGGTTTCAGCTTCGCTCCAATGCGCTGTTAAGACCTTGATTATAGTCAGGTTGAAGTTCAATATCACACCACATACATATATAGACGCTGAAACATATTGTCCTCTCTCGTGAAAAGATAACAAGCACGCAACTCACCATGACTTTTCGGAGACCATTAGAGGTGGGGCAGGGGATGAGGTCGATTATGACCGATGGCCGTGAAATCCAAGTAATGAAAGACTGGAGCCAAACGGAGGGTGCGGCTGTTCACCAGGGATTGGCCTCACCAAAAGAGTACAGTAGTCAGCGTGCAGAATGGAGAGTCCCCATCAACCGGTAATTTGTTATAATTTTCTTCTTCTCGCCTCCCCTCCAGTTCCGCATAACTCCCATTTTTCTAACTCGATTGCAGCAAACTAGAGGACCTATCGGCCGCCATTAGTTCTCTTCAAACTGGCGGTTCAACAGCCATACCCCAAGACGTCAGCTGGAGAGATGTTTTCGACTGCATTGGAGAAGCGAAACAGACATATGAGAAAAAGGCTGAAGATAATCGATTCAGAGGATGGGTCAGGAAGGGCGAGATAGCAATAGGCATCTTAGAACGCCTTTCTGAAGCTATTCCCGATGAGAATGGCCTCAGCGTCCTCAAAACAGGATTGGTGTTCATTTTTCAGGTAAATTTACTTGTATGTGAAGGTTGATGAATAATTTTATTAACATATCTGTAGTCTTACAGAAAAAGACTTTCCAATGTGGGCAATATTCTGCAAGAATTCGAAGACGCTCCTGGCGTCTTGGCTAGCGTCTATCAGATATGCGACGTCTATAACAAAGAAATAAGACTGAAGAATCTGGTTTGGGATTTCTATGGGATAATGGTGGACAGCCTTTCAGAACTTATGATAATCTTGAATCGCACATATAAAGAGGGAAATGGTAAGAGGCTACTCATTCCAAGCATCAAAATGCAGTGGCACAGCAAGACTTTGGCTCTGACAACAGATGACAGTTTTTAAAAAGGTTGTTAAGCAGATTCCTGAAGTAGAGGCTGCAAAGATAGGTGAAATCTCCAAAAGAATCAGCAAGGCAAAGCAAACAGTCTTCGAAGCTACGGCCCATTTAGACCGACAGGTATGGCAAGAGACTAAGACTTCGGCTCAGCAAGGACGAATAGCAGCGGAGGCTACTCGCAAGACGGCTCATGATATCAGAGCCAGGGTAATAGACCTACAACAAGAAACCAGCGAAGGACATGATAAGCTATCTTCTCAGGTGGACCAGTTCCGCTCTCAGATGGTCGATGCGGCTGATCAAATGGGCGACCAATTGGCGCAGACTAAAAGACAGATAACTAAAGACGGGGAAGAGAGGAAGCAGTTTGAGGCAGGATTACAAAGACTCGTCGATGCGTTGCCTGCGTCGATTCATGAGCAGCTGCAGAGCGCATTGTACCAGTTTGTAGCTGATGCCATCGTTCAGCGACGTAAGCTGTCATATTCTTTTCGTTGACAAAACAAGATTGACTGACTGGACTCTGCACAGAACTTTTCGCGCTCCCCTCAAACATTATCTCTCCCAACTCGCCACCCCTGCCTCTCGTTCAATATGCGCAAGTACTAAGTGAGAGCGACATCATCAACTTACTGCAAACGCCTGATCCAATAGGCGACGCAGATCGTATCCTCCGCAAAGAAAGCTTGATGAGTGACGAGGCACTGGGATATGCCACATTACTGAGGCAAAAGCGTCAGTTCAAGGAATGGCTATCATCAGACTGGCCCAGCCTGGTGCTTGTTGATGGCTGCAGCCGCGGGGAAAGTGTAGGAAGAACATCCCCCATGTCTTTTTTTACCGCTTCTTTTGCTTCAACTCTTATTCGGGCTGAGACTGGTATTGTGTTACAATTTTTCTGCGGCCATCATATTGATCCCCAGAAGGAGAATTCAGGGCCGAAGGGCCTCTTGCGCAGCATCATCAGTCAGCTGATTCTATATCCGAAGTCTTATAATCTGTCGCTCAATTTTGTTGATCAAGGTTTGTACGACGCCGTAGCGGCAAGCAACACTGAGGCACTCTGTTATTTTTTTGAGAAACTATTTTGGCAGATACAGCCAGACACGATAATCTACGTACTTATAGACAGCGTTTCGGATTTTGAGTCTGATCTTCACGATTACGGGGAAAGGATGGACCGAGTTCTTATTTTGTTCCAAACGCTAATTGGACAAGTTCTCCAAGGATTTGCCGCTGGGCCAAAGCTGAAGCTGTTCATGACAAGTCCTAATAGGAGTCATAGGCTCATCTATCGGGTTGACCAGGCTAAGGAAAGTATTCGGCTGAATGCAGCGGCCTTGGGCGACATTTCTAGAAGTGGTGAGAGATCACTGCGAGAAATAAGACGGGCCAGGTCACCTCTCAGCTATATAATGTGATCTGCACTTGGGAAGTGAGCGCTCAAAGTATCTGGTGGCTAACTTAAACACGATACACTAGCACTGTTTCTTATTTCTTCCATTTTACACAGGACGAATAGATAGCATAGGGTGATAATAAAGAAGATGTTATTCATCAGGAATGAAGAATATATGCCCAGCATATTTTGCACTCTACGTCATACCATTCTGCTCCGCGACGCCTGAAAAAGTAACTGGGTGTGGCCGTTCTAAGCCATTCTGTACAGGTTATAAAGCACAGCTGTTCTGCACAGTAAAATTGAACACATATAATGGATGAGTCTGCATAATGGGCATTTTGACTGTCTTGGAACCAGTTATCATTATCATTCCTTACGAGTTCATCCGGTTGTGCTCATGACTGTAACAGGCATGGTGACTTGGACCATGTGCCATGAGCAAGGCCCGAATGACAAGACAGTGCGAAACTCATCTTCGCCGCATGCGCATTTTCCTACCAGCACTGGGAGGTCAGCAGCTTGAGCGCATGAGGTACCTTGAATCCCTGCCCCTTGAGATTACATGATTGTTTCCATGTTTCAGCTGCCATGCGTGCGCAGCAAATGTTCAGTGTATGTATGAAGAATAATGTTCGGTAAACGAAGGGTTCTAGCTTCGGTTGTATACTTCACTTCATACATACAGTAGTATTTCGCTCTAGAGACGGCTGGTTGTGTTGCATTGCATTCCGACCTGCCTTATTAATTAGCCGCCAAATCCATCGACCAATCTTGCTTCCCAAATGCCCTCAACCTCAGTGCCGTTAAAGTTCGCTGGAAGCTTCAACCTAGTTAGCTGCGGCCCCTTTCCCGCTGAGCTGCTCTTATTGACTTAGTCTCGATCCTCGTGCACTAATTCCTAGCCTATCAACCACATTCGTGCTCTTTATTCATGCTCAACCTCCTCTTAGGTTTCATTTCCCCCTCAATACCATCCTCATCTGACCGTAGCGCTAAGAAAAGTCTGAAAAGAAACTCTATAGCTTTCTCACCTGCTTTTAGCATGTGGTCACATAAAACGGCCCTGTGGGCCGAGGCGATGAGGAAGATTGAGCGATTATCATACATATATTCGCTCTACAGGGCCTTGAGTGTTGTAAATCTTGGTAAAGTTTTTCTCATATGCTCTCATCCAAGAGCGCTGTATTATTGCTGTCTGCCCCATTTGTTGGTCATTTTCAGCGTCTCTTAATAATCGAGCATTATACGATATTAGTTTCACCGAAGAATTTAAACACCGTTTTTTAAGGATCTAGCCCCGACAGTTTAATATCGGCGAGGAGATAGGAAAGGGAGAAAAAAAGAGTATAAGGGTGTTTCCAATGAGGTTCAAGACTCTCTTGGCTGCGGCCAGCTGGGGCTGGATATTCGCGACCAGAAGCGCAGCTATTAGCGCTTGCAATCCCCAGAACCTCACTTACAGCAACGAAGTGCCTCCAAATGGAACATACATGCCATGGAACCTCATGGAAAGCATCATCAGTGTGCCTGGCTCACGGCAATACATAACCATCGTAAATCTTACGCCTCATAGATTTGTGTTGCAGAATACCCATTCTTATCAGATGACAACGTTTGATTGGGGTGATGTTCCCCAAGGCCATTCCCGCCAGGTATGTACACCATAATAGAACTGATATCATTGCTGTAGCTCATCCAAATGAGGCTAATTTGGGTATTTTAGAACATTGTTGTCTATACGAACAAGGCCGGAGCATCGGCTGTGGATGATAATGGCGAGGCGTACTACGCTATCGATGGGACTGACAAAACATTCTTCATCAGAGCAACGACTCATATCCCCGACACATATCCAGCCAGAACTGTAATTGATCTTACTGGGATGGGTCAGGGTCAGCGCGAGTACTTGGATCCAGCGGAACAATCTCCAGTGACGTTGGTGATTACGGGCAGCGATAGCTATGGCTTCATTACATCAATCAAATATGGCCCTGGAAACTGGATGAAGAATATGTACGACGTGATTCAAGACAGACAACTCCAGCACATTGTCATGCCAGGCACCCATGACGCGGGAATGTCTACAATCAGCAACCAGATTATTGGTGGAGGCATCAGCGAAAATACACAGACTCAAGGCATCAACATCTACGATCAGCTCTATGCAGGCTCGAGATATTTCGATCTGCGCGTTGGATCAGTGCATTCCGTCACGAATACTTCCAACTACAGCTTTTGGACCATGCACGTCAACGACGAGACGGCTGAGATCGCCCTTGGCAACACAGGAGAATCGCTTGATAGTATTGTTAGCGAGATCAACCAATTTACGGCTGAAAGCCCGGGAGAAGTCATCATCTTTCACGTCCGATATCTGATTGGCATACGCGAAGTGCCATCGCTTGGGCCCATTTACTGGACCAACTCAATTGTCAACGATTTCTTCAGCAAGCTGAGAGGTGTAAACAATCGCTGCGGCAACCTGGACACTAGCAGCACCTTCAACCAAAAGCCAGCGTCTTATTTCATGGATCAAAATGGAGGAAACGGCTGTGTGTTGTTCCTCCTTGCTGGTGATTTACAGTCCGGTGTCCCCCAGGACTCGGTATCCGACGGCATTTACCAAGCCAACGTCCTCTCTATCAATGATGATTGGTCTAACTTGGGCGACACTCAGCCTATGGCGGAAGATCAGGCATCCGACTGGAAGGCAGTGGTTCGAGGAGGTAGCTCTGACACGTTCCATATAGATCAATGGCTTGTGAGCGCAGACATCTTCACTACGACCCTATATACTATTGAGGGCATTGGAATTATGCCCACCAACCCAGCGCTCTACTGGATGGGCGTTAACAACATGAGTCCTCAGAGTTGGCCAACAGTTATACTTACCGATTACATTGGCGTCGTCGTAAAGGGCCAACACAGCTGGGATCAGCTTAGCGCCGATATGTATACTCTTGCCGTCGGCCTGAATCTGTACATGGTCAGCGAAAACTGCAATGTGAGCTCTGTTTCGCCTCTTTCAGGCGCAAACTCGGAACTCAAAATGGCTAGTTTGGCGGAGTCTTGGAAAGGCATCGTCTACGCAAATGGAACAGTGGTTAATGAGCCGCCACGGCACTTGCATCCTGGCCGTGTTGGGATGTTAAAGAAGGGAACTGTGTTTATGAATGGTACCGTGTTGGAGGCAGATGTTAGAAATCCCGATTTTGACTCCATAGTGGCTTGAAAGACAGTGCCGGGGTCGTCTAGTATAATTTCTACATTGTTTTTAGCTTTCAATAAATATGTTTCAAAGTATACAGGCTCAAAGACTTCACATAAAGAGGCATTGTAGACATAATAAGTTTGCATTACTACAGTGGCTGCAATTGTCATAACGTAGAGGCTATCCATCAATATCCATAATCCATTCCCACCATATGCCTCATGAAGAGAAGAGAAAATTTGCTCCAAACAAAAGAAGCGCACCCTCTTTTTTTAACAGTTTGCTTTTTTTCTTCCAACAGCTTGTTTCAATTTATGTAACAAAATAGTCGTATTTAACAAATCCCTCCATATGTTAATGAGAGTCAGGACAGTACTCTCATCAAAAGCCACCGCCTACACTCTCATCATATCAGTATGAGTTTTGCTTGCAGGTCTTCTTGCCGCTGTCCCATGTAGATCCATACGGACAAGAGCATTGATTACCATTCCAATATTGGTTTCCTGGGCAGCTGCATGTCTTGCTTCCAGAATTGAACACCTGGCCCTTTTTATTGCACACACAGCATTTCTTTTGCTGATCATAGTGCGCATCCTTGCCACAATCAGGCTGAGGCTTGACGCAAGCAGATCCGTTCCAAGTTGTTCCAGAAGGACAACTGCAGGTCTTGCTTTGGGAGTTGAAAACCTGGCCCTTGTTGTTGCAAACGCAACACTTTTGCGAAGAGTCATAGTGGGCGTCCTTGCCGCAATCTTGAACACAGGCGTAGCCGTTCCAAACTGTTCCAGCCGGGCAGCTGCATGTTAAGGACTTGGAGTCAAAGACTTCGCCCTTCTTGTTGCACACGCAATTCTTCTTTTGGGTGTCATAGGTAGCGTCCTTGCCGCAATTTGGAGTGCATTGTTTTCCATTCCAAGTTTGGCCGTAGGGACAAACGCAAGCCTTTCCGTTCCAATACTGGCCGTCGGGACAGCTGCAAGTCTTGGTCTGAGAGTTGAAAATCTCGCCGTTTTTATTGCAAATGCACTTCTTTTGGTTCCAATCAAAGTGAGCGTCTTTTCCACAATCCTCTACACACTGTTTTCCATTCCACACCTTGCCATACGGACAGGCGCACTTCTTTCCATTGAAATACTGGCCACCGGGGCAGCTGCAAGTTTTGCTCTGAGAGTTGTAAATCTCCCCGTTGTTGTTGCAGACACATTTCTTTTGCCATTTATCGTAGTGTGCTTGCTTGCCACAATCAACAATGCATCCGTAGCCGTTCCAGACTTGTCCAGGCGGGCAGCTGCAAGTCTTGCTTTGGGAATTATATATCTCGCCGTTGTTGTTGCAAATGCATTTCTTCTTCTGCTGGTCGTAGTGGGCTTGCTTGCCACAATCAACAACGCAAGCCTTTCCGTTCCAATACTGGCCGTCGGGACAGCTGCAGGTCTTGGTCTGAGAGTTGTAAATCTCCCCGTTGTTGTTGCAGACACATTTCTTTTGCCATTTATCGTAGTGTGCTTGCTTGCCACAATCAACAATGCATCCGTAGCCGTTCCAGACTTGTCCAGGCGGGCAGCTGCAAGTCTTGCTCTTGGAATCATAGACCTCTCCATTGTTGTTGCAGACGCATTTCTTTTGCGATTTATCGTAGTGAGCTTCCTTGCCGCAGTCGACAACACATCCGTAGCCGTTCCAAACTTGACCTGGCGGGCAGCTACAAGTCTTGCTTTGAGAATTGAATACCTGACCCTTTTTGTTGCAGACACAGCACTTTTGATCGGCATCATAGTGAGCGTCTTTGCCGCAGTCCTGAACGCACGACTTGCCATTCCAGACCTTTCCGGGGGGGCAGCTGCAAGTTTTGCTCTTGGAGTCATAGATTTGCCCATTGTTGTTGCAAATGCATTTTTTTTGCCACTTGTCGTAGTGAGCTTGCTTGCCACAGTCTACAACGCATCCGTAGCCGTTCCAGACCTGCCCAGGAGGACAGCTGCACGTCTTGGACTTGGAATCATAGTTCTTGCCGTTGTCTTTGCAGACGCAGCAGTTCTTTCCTTTGTCCCAGCTGGCGTAAGAGCCGCAGTCGTTGTAACCGCCACGAGCAACGAGATTGTCTTCAGCTTCTCTAGCCTCGAGGTCATTGGCGGGATTTGGATTAGGGAAAGCGTTGACAGAGCTCAAGGAGAGCAACGCCGTAAGGAGAACCCGCTTCAGTAACATGGTGGGTGGTTCTCAACAATCTGAGACAGAGGAATTCAAAAAGATTGACAAGGAGCGGCCTCGAGCTGTAGGCAGGAGACTAGTTGGTGGTTAGAAAAGAAGTCTATCATCTAGGCAAATCAAGAGTTTATATAGTTTTCTTTTCTCTGCGAAATACGGCATAGGCCCTCATCAGAAAGCTATCCAACAGTCTAACGTCTGCCAGAACAGCCAGAAAGAGCAAGCTCGGGCTGGCAGACTTCTCTAAGATTCAGCCGCACCCATATTCGACCAAGTGGCCACGATCAGCCAGCCAAGAGCTGGCCAAGACGGTGAGCGTAGGATCACTCGGCCACTCATCGTTTGTATAACCAACCTTGCATTTCAGCAACTCCAATAGATCCAAACAAGCACTGTATGTCTCATCCACTCGGGTCGTCGCTGAGCCATCGGGTTTAGGTTTTTACTAGAGTTAACACATAGTAATTACATAGCGTTGAGGAATACGAGGCATCCCTTTGTTTCCATTGGGCAACTGAAAACGCCCATATGCAAGGGAATACGAGATCCGTAACCTTGTTAGCAAGGCTATTGAAAAAAACGAACGAAAAACAGGGAGCTGTCACCCACCTTAGATTTGCTGCTTATTCGGTCTATGACCCTTACTGTCGATCATGGCTTTTCATCAGCCACCGAATTAGAGCATCCTTCATATCGTGTCTGATGCTACGATGCTTCGTCAAAGATGAAATAGTGATGTCCTATATTCGCCGGAGTTCTAGTTTAGTTTGCCGAGTAGGGGGTCTACAACTAGCCATGGCGGGAGGGCTGTTAAAATCGGCTCTCTTTAACCAGACTAGAGCCGCAGAAAACAGGAGCCTTGGAAGAATTGAATTTCAGCGGATCAGCCGCTTGTTCCAATGGCTTCTCGACGGAGGCAGAGACTAGATGCAAGAAGCGTTAGTGTGTCATTAGCAAATGGCTGCCGCAAGGAGCAGCAGAGAGGCCCCTCTAATCCTATGGCCGGCAAAATTCTCATTGGAAGCAAGCTGAGGCGGGAAAAGGGCAAGATGGTCAAAAACTTACGAGGTGTTCTCCCTTGCATTACACAGGAGCTCGGGATCGAACCAGTGCTGTAGCATGGAGTTTGCCGCTAACTGCTCTCTCCTCGTTGTTTTCCCATTGAATCCCTCAAAACGTATTTCAGGTAGTTCACATTACGGCATGGTAACTTGCAATTGGCAGCAGTATATTCGTCAAAACACAGCCAAGCTAGAAAAGGTTGCAGCCAGCACATGGCAAGACAATAGACAAGCAAAGGCCAAGAGTTAACAACCCATGCTTTCCCCGCGGGCCTCTCTGCCGGGTCAGGGGACAGTGGAGAAATGTCTGGGCACGCCCGACTTCCGAAACTGCCGCACAAGTATGGGGCAATCGATCGGAAGATGGCTAGTGAGGGGAATTAGACTTCAGGATCATGGCTGCTTATGCAGGTGCACGATCCTAAAGCGGCCAGCGAGTGTCGGACACAGTGCCTCTCAAAGCGGCCAGCGAGTCTCGGACACAGTGCCTCTCAAAGCAGCCCGTACTTTATGCGGCACTGCATTGGCAACGCAACAGCAGGGGTTTGGATGGTGACAGGGGAATACCCCGATTTGTCTGATTGGAGAAGCAGCGGCCAACACAGCATGCATCACCTAGGCAATGCAGTCATACCGGTGCAGTGTATCTGTTGTGCCCGATGGTGCCCAGACAGCTTCACCCTGCACGGATTATCGCACGCACTGTGTCAGCTCCGGCTGGTTGTTGCAAGGGCAATCATACGAACTGCGTGTAGGCAGGGAGAGTACGAGACAACGAGATGAATCTGCAGCCAAGCCTGAACTATTCTTGGACACTGCGGGCCAATCCTCCTCCGCGTTCTCAAGCCATTGGGGGCTAATGCCCTCCTTCGGCCAAGCAGACATCGAATCACAGATCAAGGAACATCGCTTTCCGGCGACGACTTTGCTGCCGGGCCAAGAAACGGCACATCCACGGCGTTGCACATCAAAGTCACGCAGCCATGTGGTGAGACATGTAGTATATACGAGCTCATGGCGGGGGCTGGTTTTTTAACCGTGCATTTGATGCTTAACAACTTAAATTATATAATGAAAACCTTGATCCATCTTGGCTTCTCTTGGCTTAGCAGAGCAGCTACAGCTAGCTCAAAATCGACAAGGGAAGGATGGGCCATCTAAGTTCAGCCGCAACTGTACCACACCACAATGACATCGACCTACATGGATAGTCTGCCGGATGAGTTGCTCCAACACACTGTCTGCTGCGCTGAAGCTTCAAAGCGTAGCCCGAGTTCACACGGATGCTGCAGCCTCTTGCAATCTCGATTGACTTTGCCTCCACACCCGGTTTCTAAACTTAGATGGCCAATCTAGTCCTAATACCCTTGGAGGCTATAAACTAAAAGTGCTCCGAGTTCCTATTTTCCCACTTGGCATTTAGCTCTAGTTTTCGTTTCTTTTCTGACTTGCTCGTTCCAGGCCGCTACATGAACATGGCTGGCTATGGCCTAGGTCTCCTGTCGATCAGGCAATGGCCAATCTATTTGATAATGCCAAGGTCGAGTTGCATTTTAAACGTCGGAGGCCTTGAATAGCAACCACTTGTTTTCGTTTGTGGGTTTCACATGCGAAAATCCATGGCATATCCGAAGGCCTAGCACTATGTCAACCTGCTCAGTAAGTTTATTATTCTCATTTATCATCTACTCTAGGGCCTTGGCATCTAATCCCTTCAATGGAAGGATTTGGGTCAGCACCACCATCCCGCATTTTTCTGCCTAAACTTGAGTCAGCGCCTAGATTTTGAAAGTGCCTAAGCTACTGTATCCTCTTGTGAGCGCTTTGAGCTATTAATGATGACTTCATTATTACCGCGAGAGGCCGTAGCTTGCTCAAGACACCAAAAGAGCAGTTATGACAATGTCTTGTAAGTGTCAACGAGCCAGACGTTCGAAAAACGTTAGAAACAGTACCAAAACAAGAACCACAATGGCAAGTTAGTTCAATTGCTTTCTATACTAGCACTAAGCTGCCGTGTCTAAGACGCTCCCTTTCAACCAGGGCGGCATCCTTTCGACGAGCTGAGCCGGCTAATCCGGTTTCCGAAGCCACAGACGTCCAGTATTCGGAAATGTCTGATCCGTCGAAATGTCTGATTCCCCTTTTTGCCAAGAGTTGGACCAATACCGGGCTTTAGTGTGCACATGTGCTCTCGTAGCGTGATGTCATGCCATACATAATGGGTTTCTTGATCCACTTGAGAATCTTTCTCACAGACATTGGTCCGCGTGACTTTTTGCTCTTCTCATCATCCTATTGAAATGATGACGGGCGGTAGAGTTGGTCTACTACGGGCCGATTGCAGGATTAGATTGCCGTATTGCTGTCATTAATGCCTTTTAGCTTTGAATTGCCGTCGTCTTTGCTATCAAATTCGGGTCAGCGGTTGTCCTTATCAGCGTAAGAATCGTAAAGAGCAAGTTTCTGGCCATTATCATACTCTGCAGGTTGTCATTCAATACTGTCTGTCATACGAGTCTTCTCTTTCTGGCTTATGAAAAACTCGTACATAGATGTTTCAATTTTCGCTGTTTTGGCTCTCTGTGGCGTTTGTATACTGTGTATGTGAGGTTGCGCCCCATTCACGCTTTGGAAACCGAGCAGGATATAGGTCTCTGATCGTGGTAGACCGAGTCATCATCATTTCGGAAATTCGCTAATATCAGTGTGTTACTGTCTCACTTGATACCTTATAATTGCTCGTATATTAGTATAAGTAGCGTAAAAGAGTTGACTGTATTGTGGCTGGATGGAAAGGATGACGGCCTAAATCGTTGTGCTGCGGAGACACTATATGAATCACTTCTTGGCGCTGCACAAATTACTTTATTGCATTACATGAGCTGTAAGGGTGATCGATATGAGTACTTCCAGTTGTTTGCTACTATTCATATCATCTGAATATAACGGTGAACAAATTGCAGCGGATAATGCCATGTCATGACGGGCATTTAGAATGTGGAATCATGTGTAAGTCAGCGCAATCCGTGTTGCCATTAAATTATAATTCACCATCCCGAAATGATTCCCATTACGTAGAATTATTCAGACCACTTCTGTGAATTGGCATTTGGTCCATGATGACTTGTGGCTTCGGCCTTGGGGGAAACTGATACAAGCCTCTAGAAATATAGAAATATCTCATCGCACCTTTTCCAGAGACAACGTCCCTGTACATTTCATCACATTCTCCAGGCAGATGCTCTTCGTACTTTGCGGGAGATTTCTTCGCCTTGTTGAGAAAGTTTCGTTTGTTCTCCAGCAGCACGACAAAGCACAATGTCGTGCTTAGATATCAGGTATGAGATCTAGTTTCGGCTTCCTTTCCGACATCAAGTAGCCGCCTTGATCAAGTGCTGTGTTGTTCTGACTGCATTAAAATTTGAACCAAATAAAATTGGAACTGCTATTTTGGCAATTTTGTAACCATAATGGCGCCCACCGAGACAGTACTGATGTCTACCTTATCACGATCCTCATAAATAGCTATGTTATTAACACGTCGTACGTACCAGTAATGCCTTCATCGCTATCCATCCACTTATCAATCAAGATAGAAAACTTGAAGAAATATCCATCAAGTAAAAAGCCAATCTGGGTATACGTAGACGTATATGAGCTATCAGTGCCGCTTTTTTGGTCCAGAGAGGCTTGAGACTTGCTTTTCAAATCTTCTTTCGCGTCATCGAGGTCATTAAATATAATGCTGTAATTTCACAGCCTTTTACCTGCTGAATCGTTGGGCGATTCCACTAATTGTGTAAAACATATAGAAATGGTTCGCCGTGTCATACATATAAGAAGCTTCCAACTGGAACTTCTGGTGCGAAAAACATACCTTATCCTTACTAGGCCGTTGTTTTAAGCCTGTAGCATCTTCTAGGAACCTTTCGAAACATCTGGCACAAGAGCTCAACCAGAAGAATAAAGTTTTTTTCGGAAGATGTAAGGGTAAGAATATACCTAGATGTAACTACATAGTCAGCTCTGTGTTGGCTATATCCTGAAATCGGCGTGTGTTAATGTGACCAGTCTCATGAAGTGGGCAAACTAGATGAAATCATAAAGCCATCCCTCACTAGCGATATTACGATGTTTCTTCGTCCTACAATACGTTAAGGCCGACGCCACTTACCAATGCCTGCTTCTCCGTCAAAAGCTCGTTGGTGCTTCATGGAGACAATTCTGCCCTCTGGATGAATGTGGAGTTATAACAATAAATTGGCTGTCGCTGTTTAGCAAACTTGTTCCCAGCGCCGTTGACCATTGCGCAAAGAAAAAAAAAGAAAAGAAAAGAAAAGAAATCAGCGATAAACATCAAAGGTGTACTCCATTGTCGGCTATCTGTGCCTGTGGTGAATATTTGTACTTCACCTACGGGATTTTGTACGGCTATACTCGAGCTCGCTTGAACGCCAGGCAGCTATTTGTTGTATTAGTTTCCGATGCTATTCCCCCAACTGCAACAACCTAGGCCTGTAGCTTTAGGATATAGCCTTATGAGACATGCCCCAAAAACTTGGAGCCCTATGTTGACATTTCGAGGCGGTCTATATAAGCACCTGAATCGATATGTCTCAAGTATATTTACCATGGCATGTTTTGCTTTTGACTCAGGACCGTTGACTCAATTTTGGCGCGCATGGCGCGCTATCAAAGCGGTCGGGCGGCGTGGCGCACGCTGACAAATGGAAGGATTTCGCCGACATAGCCAAATGATGGGATTCGCACTGAATCCTGTCGTCGTCACAGCATATCTGAGAGCGGGCTGTTAAAGATCGCTATAATAATCGCTCATAATATTGTGCAACCTTGTCCATTGTCGTCTAAGCCATCCTTATCTTTAGCATTCATTTGCAGATCTCGCTTTGAAGACAGCAATGAGCCCCATCTTGAGCGTTTCTACAAAGATTGAGATCGCTGCCTCGCCAGCGATTGTCCGATCCGTGGTACGTGCGTCAACTTGGACAGTTTCTTAAATCTACGTCTCCATATAAAGCGACAGCCAAGCAGCAGCATAGGAAGCTTCTCATACTGAAAAGCGCGTCATTTAGTTCCTAGACTTTGCTCGCTATCCGCAATGGCAGCCCGGTTGGAATATTCAGCCTGTTGATGCTAACAAGCAACCTCTCGACCTGAAGTCGGGGGACGGCCTGAAAGTCAACATGAATGGAAGCGCACACAATCCAGTTGTAGTAGTAAGCTTTTGGTTGGTGCAATGCATATGCCCATACTAAATTGAGATAGGAAAACTCGCCTGCATCCTTTCAGTGGGAAGGGTCGCTATTCGGACTGGCCAAGGGTGTCCACCAGTTTCATTTCACTCCAAGCGAAACAACTCTAGGAAACACCACTTTCACCCAAGGAGAGGATTTCCGAGGACTTTTGATCACGCTCTCCTCACCGTGGTGGAATTCAAGAAAGTTTGACTTATCTCCGTGGGACAAATTCAATGCTGATTTGAAGAATGAGGCTGAGAAAGCCTCGAAACAAAGCTCAGAGGCAGAGCATTAGCCTTTGAATCGGACTGAGGTTTCAGCGTATTATGTACAACATCGTGAATGATTTCAGGATGCACGCTGATAATTGGACCATTGAGTACAATGGAGGCGCGAAGAGCAATTTTAGGTGCTATAGAATGCGCTTCAAATACAGAACACGCCTGTAAATAAGTGGCTTTATGTGATTCAAGTTTGCTATCCTTTGCTTTTTCATGCAAACCTATTGGGCGCCCATTATTAACCGCAGTTTATGTAAGCAATTCTCCTCACTTTGGGTGCTGGTTTAGGTACCCATTACGCTCTGATCTGCATCACAAAACAAAACAAAACTTCAGCAGAATTCCGTGATAATGAAGTCCCTCCTAGACTGCCCAGCGGAAATTGTGCATTCCATCTTGGAGTGCCTGCCTGCAGCTAGTCTCCGCGATCTTTGCCTTGTCAGCCGAGGTTTGCGCGAAGTCGCTGAGCCGCTGCTATACGCCCATTTGCTGTTGATATGGCTGGGAGGCGATCCACCTCCGTCCTTCATAATACTTCTACAGAACCTCCAGCGACGTCCTCAGCTTGCTAAATATGTTCAATCTCTTTCCTTGGCAGAAGGCTACACGAGGAATGGTTGGCGTATTTCCGTGGATAGCTCCGAGCTAGCGAGTCTCATCGCGATAATTCAAGACATCAATCCGCCATTTCGAGACTTGTGGATCCAAGAGCTGAGAAATGGCACACCAGATGCCATTGTTATGCTACTTCTATCGTTGGCCCCGAATATAACGGACCTGCGTCTGACAGGCAAATTCAGCGCCGATAATCGCCTCCTTGGTAGGATGCTGAGAGCTTCCCTCTGCCAAACTGTGGATTGCAACCTCCCACGATTCCAACATCTGCGGCAAGTGCTACTTGACACTCAATCGTCCATCATTCGCCACCCGGAGATGCAGAATACGGCCGATGCTCTCTCTCTGTTCTATCTTCCCGCTGTCCAATCGATAACGGCTAATATCGACAATCCTGCCATATTAGTGTGGCCAGCACATGTGCCTAGCCCCTCTAACATCACATCGTTAACTATACATGGATTACGGGAAGGTAATCTAGGGCGCATCCTTGCAACGACGAAGAATCTCAAAACACTGCAATGGGAGTAGAAATACGTACCAATTCTCAGAAATGAGACCAATAATGATATCATCAATCTCGATCAGATTGCTGAAGATCTATCTTTTGTCAAGGATACGTTGGAGAAATTGAAAATATCAGGAGATGTCTCTAGCGACCCCGAACTAGATGATATTCCCGAATTGGAAATTCAAGGATCTCTAAGACCCTTGAGCCGCTTTGAAAAACTGCATAAGTTGGTAATTTTGCAGCAATTCTTGATTGGATTCTCTCCAGATGACGATCTGGGCAGCCTAAAGAATCTGATGCCGAAGAATATCCACCACCTGACAATCACTGATGACATGGCATTGCTGGAGCAAAACATCTTAAGAAACCTCGATCTTTTCATGCTACTTCGGGACTGGTGGACAAATCTTGAGACTCATACACCTTATTTTCATAGTTTGAAGCTACAAATCATGAACTCGGATATGTGGAGCGCCGGGCGAGAACATGACCTTGACGCCCTGTGCGCTCAATTTGGTATCCGGCTTGCATATCGCTTCCAGAAGCCTTTACTAGACTTCGATTAAGATAGCGAATGGACTAGTGAAGGAAAAGATTTAGCCGATGTCCTGCGCCACCTTTATACATATAAGTAAAATCGGCGGCAGCACTTATCGGTTAGTGGCTTGGCTCGAACTCCTCCCTCTAGAAAAGCTCGTTACAAGTCTAGTATAACTGAGTTTGTCCTGTCATATTGACGCCACCCGCCGAAGTGATGAGATCGTAGGCCTCTTGTTCGATATCAACAGTGAAATAATTCTATTAGTCTAGGCGACGAGTTCACGGCAGCCCAAAACTTGCGGAGATTAACAGAGTCAATCACATTTATATGTGAAACAAAAATAAAATTAATGAATGACACACGTGGTGGGAAGTTCGAGGTCCCCGTAAGCTCTTTTCTTAAATTCAATGCTTTTCAATTTTTGACTTTCAACACTCCAAACTTCGGGCCACATGTTTGCGTTTCTTCTTTTGTAGTCCACCAACCCGACGCTAAGACGCTCGCCGCCCACACCTGCTCGTAGTGCTGCCGCCGATTTTACTTCCATAAAGATAGCGCAGGGCATTACATGATCTTTCCATAAGCTAGTTTAGTCATATCTGATAATATCTTCCTCGGGAGCAAGCTCTATGTCATCGGTAGTCTCGTATAGTGACTCTATGGCATTTAAGGCAGCAGAAGGCTGGGACCCAATTACAGGACTAGGTACACCAAACTACCCAAAGATGCTGGATGTATTTATAAAGCTACCATAACCATGTGATAGTATTGGTATAAATGAGACGGCGCAAAACAACGCAGATTCCCGCCTCCAATGGAAAGACCGGCTTGAGGGATACAAATACACCATGCGCTACTTGGAGCAAGATGACTTGAAGTAGTTTTCTGCCGGCTTGTGTACCCGAGCAGTGCAAATTTATAAATTTCAGTTCAATAATTGGAGAACTATTGAAAATAAATAATAATAGCTAAATGGCTAGTTGTATCAATACTAAACTAATGTGTCACAAATCTTGCTGGCCATGACGCTGAGTCATAACAAAGTTGCAGCGAACAACATCTCCTATTCTCTCTGGTAGAGAATGTCAGCAGTCTCTTTTTGCCAAGCTCCCTCATCCATGGCCGTAAAATGGTGGGCGGCTCCTCCACCTTTATCCGCTTCTCCGCACCAAGCCGAGCACTTCTCCACTCGCAAGGACATCGCGCTCACTCAACTGTCTCCTGGTCGTCTTTGTCGTCTTAGTCGCCCTTGTCCTGTGGTGGATGATTCTCTTAAAAAAAAAAGGTGATGATGGGCCCCGTGCGACGGGGGCGTCTCTTCGAAGACGACGAGTATGGCGATGACAAGGAGAGCAACGACGCCCGAGTGTTGGACTTTGCCAAGGACGCACTGGTCAAGGCCGCCATGATTGCTGCTGACTTGGCTGCGAGGAACAAAATGTGTGCTGCGGGCTGTCTAGCTGCGAATTTGTTGATTGCGAAGAGCGCCCTAGACGCGGCGGGAGTCCATCAGTTGCCCAAGCTGCAGAGACGGCTGCCAAAGTTGCTGGATGACTTGGAGTATGTTTGCTCGGTAGGTATTTTTCTCAGACAGTCTTTCTCTTCCCACCTGGAGGACTTTTGATCATTGGACCTTGGCAAAGTTGAATGATTGCTGCCGCTACTATCAGAGAACATCATATATAGCTGAGTATTGACATTTACTAGTGGCCCAATCAGCCTAGCGCTCACACGTCTCTCCTCGAAGAACTCAACACCTCGTCCCAGCGCAGAAGCCATGGACAAGCCGAAGAGCAAGCCCGCCAGGGCATCCTTGCATTCTGCCATGCGTCGCAAGACATACGCGACCAGTACCTCAAGAAGCTCCAGCGCTTCGCTGAACTCGTCATGGCCGTGGACGATGACAGCAAAAGCCGCCTCAAGAAAACGACCGATGAGGAAATGCCGGATGCCTACCCGACGCACGTCAATTCTGCTCTCTTCTCTGTGCTCAAGTCACACTCATTGTGTACGTGTACGTGGAATGGTGGGCCGGGCACAGATGGCAGAGGAAAGCACCATGCCAGACTGAGATTGAACGACAAGATTACCAAAATTGACGGGTGCGTCGCCTTTGATATGCTGTTCGCCGCTACGCCTCTGGTTTCCGATCACTGGCAAGAGCTGCAAATGCGTGTTGCCATGTAAGTTGCATCGTATGATCAAGCAGCCTTCCGTGGCTGAACCACCATCAGGCGCAAGAAAGCCGGAAAAGCAGTACATTATCGCGAAGAGCCTTTGGTGAGCTCACCTGGAGATGCACCCAAATCGGACTTCTCTGAGCGCTCAAGGCTCATCCTGCCAGAACAATTCTGCCGGCTCGTCAAAACACCCATCGGCTCACGTATCTGCTGCCGCGTTCAGGATGAGGAACTTCACCAGCTTTACGATGGGGTTCCATTGAAACAGCAAATCGGGCCAGGGTCAAGCATGTCGCTGCGGGAAATTCTGGCGCAGTGCAAACTGTCGAACCGAATGAAGCTGGTCTTGGCATACATTGTCGCGCGTTCTTTTTGGCAATATTATGACTCGTCGTGGATGGGCTCTGCTTGGTCGAGCGATTCGATTCACTTTTTACGGGAGTCGCCGCTGGATGGGGACGACGACGATGAAAGCGTTGTCAGCGATGGCGGCACGGAGCTATCGAAAACTGATGGCGCTCTGTTTGCCTCACGGCCATGCTTGGCCATTGATTTTAGCGATCAGGGGATGGAAGGGCCCATGGAGTATTGCAACTCTTACTCTGTTGTCTATAGATACCCCAGACTGTTGGCTCTCTGCATCATCCTCCTTGAAATTGCGCAAGGCAGCGGGCTTGTTATGGAAGACAAAGGGTCAATGGAAGGCAACCTGAACGAATCTTGGCATATGACCCGGCGATATACCAGGCGAAGTCGTCTACGCAAGGAATTTGACTTTCCAGACTACCGCAAAGCCATCCTCAGCTGCCTCAATTACAAACCCAACGACGACGAGACTGGTGAAAGTGCTACTTCAAACGTTGAGACAGATGTCTTTGCCCGCAAAGCCATGGTTTATAGTTCCGTCGTGCAGCCGCTCGAACGCCTACTCAAGAATCTCGGCTTCGCAGAGAATCTACACATCATCGATCCCATAGACATGTCACGCTCTCCCGATCGCAATGTCAAACTACCTGCTGCCATCCTAGCGGAAACCTTGACATCATTCAAAGACCAAGGCAACACAAACACACAAGCGTCTGTTCAGTGGCTCGACGATATCTCGTCCATCAACACCTCCATCCGCGAACTCAAGAAAAGCCGAAAGTCAAAAGAACGCGGTCGCCCCGTTCGTATTGCCGTGTTAGACACCGGCTATGACGGAGATGCCATGTTCTTCACATTGAAAGAACGTAAACGCCGCATCAAAGGCTGGAAAGACTACGCCGAGAAAAGCTCGACTCCCGTTGACAGCAGCGGCCATGGCACCCATACTTTGGCGCTCATCATGAAAGTGGCACCCGCCGCGGACATGTATGTTGCTCGCATCGCCAAAGACCGCGCTGGTCTTCAGAACTCGGCCGAGAACATCGCTCAGGCCATCGCTTGGGCTGCCACCGAGGCCGAGGCAGACATCATCTCCATGGCATTTGGCTTCCCTGAGGAGGTCCCGATTATTACCACAGCGCTGCTGACCGCTCAGCTCGCCCGGAACAACAAACTCCTCTTCTTGGCAGCCGCGTCAAATTCCGGTGCAAATCGGCGCGAGGCTTTTCCAGCGGCTCTCGACTCTGTGATATCGATTCGGGAGACCAATCACCACGGAGCATTCAGCGACTCCAACCCCCCTGTCGATCCTCGCGGTCCCATCGTATTCGGCACCGTTGGGAAAGACGTCCCCTCTGCGTGGCTGAGCAGTGTCGCTGGCGAGGTACCTAAATCAGGGTCGTCTGTTGCCACAGCGGTGGCAGCAGGGTTGATGGCGATGGTGTTGGAGTTTGTCAGCGTGGGGATGAGAGACGAAGAGATGAAGCTACCGGAGGAGATGAGCAGGGCTTGGACTAGGACAGGAATGGTGAATATACTGACACGAATGTCGCATGATTTAGGCAACCGCTCCTACTTCATTTCGCCCTTGAGCTTTTTCTCAGGCAAGGATTTGACCAAGAGCTGGGGTGCCATCTCTGATGCGGTCGTGGGGTGATGTTAGTGTGAGGGAACGATGACCACGAAGGAACTATGAGCATTCGATTACGATGTAATGTAGCAAAATATACCATCTATTTCATATTTTACTAATAGTTGATGCATTTGCGACGGCACTTCCGACACAGGAGGTAAGTGGTAAGGGTAAAGGGGCATTCGGCACTGGTACCCCGTCGGACACAGCTTCATCAGACAAACAGTTAAGCATATTAATGAGCAATGCGCCTTTTTACATTTTGTCCTGCGGAGGAATCCTTTGTATTTGTCCCATAGTTAGCCTGGTGGGCAAGAACAGAACGCCGAGGCCCTGTCAGAATGGCAGCTTCTTAGACAAACACCATAGTCTCATGACTGACGCTGGGTCAAATTAGCTGCTGAAAAGTACATGTAGGCTCAGTGGATTAGGCATCCCTTTGTGTTCGCTGGGGACAAAGAGGCTCCCAGACTTCGGCTTCTATAAGTGGTGCTTTGGCTGAGCCTATCAGATCACCAGACGCTTGTGCTCATTCGTGCAACTGTCCATTTAGCCGTGCTCCGCATTTGCCTGCAAAATCGATGGCACGGTAATCCACTTCAGTTTCCGAATCGAATCCACATATCATCAACCGACAACGCGGTGATTCGGGCTGAGCTAAGAGTTGGTAGCTGAGAGTGCCGTATTGATGTGGCCCCGAGGCGAGTGCCTGCGCGCCAAACCATGGATTCATTTGGCGCCAGCTTCTTCCCAGACTCAGCACCAGCTGGCCCCCTGGGCACCAATATCCGCGCTATCGCGTTGCACTGTCGAGCTCTGTTGCGGGAATGCTCGAAGCTACCCAGCTTGAAAGAGGACGAGTGGGCCGAGAACAGGCTTGCTGAATTCAACCTCTGGGCTGCCAACTCGGGAGTCTTTGGCGGCGACCGTGCGTCGTTGGATGCACGGCTGGCACTTCAGCCAGAGGTGATTGGTGTATTTATAAGTCTTCTCACGGTCCTGAATGAGCGCCTGACGCAATGCCAATATTTCGGTACATTTCACATGTTGGATAACTGCCTTAAAGCCGAAGCGTGCAACTGTTTTGCTGACTTGTAGACAGGGAATGGGGATTTCCCTGCTGTGAATGACGAGCGTAAGCCTCAAGATAGTTCCGAAGAGGAGGATGAGGCGGATAAACAAGATGCCGAGCTCGAAGTCGGTGAAAGCGGCGATAAGCCTGAGAGCCCAGAGCATGGACGTTTGGCATCTCCGGAAGACATCCCGAGGGCCTTCTCGCCATGGTCTGACGACTCAGACTCAAGCACCGATTCGGATCAAGATTCACGGGATGCGTGCTCGCCGGTAATAACGAGCTCATCCTTGGATGGCCCAAAGGTTGATGTCGCTCAAGTCATAGATCACCTTGCTCGCCTGACTTTGGCTATTCGAAAAGCTGGTAGCAGTTCGAGAACGCACAAAGCGGACAGGCGATTCAATGCCGACCATCAGCCAGCATTCCGCCGGCATCTCAATGTTGTGGTGCTTGCTAGAGGGATGGAAGCGGGTCGGTCAGACCACGCCATTAACCCGAACAATCTGACTGCCACCCAAGACCGTCTCATCATTGCGAATCTGCGGCGAAGGAACCGGTTTCTCTATGCTCAGCGTCACGCAAGGAAACTGGCTGCAGAAGCAGAGCCCCAGAACGCTCCGCAGGAATATCAGCTCCAAGATGATGTGCCGATTATGATGGAGGACCACGGCGAGCCGGAACCCGAAGAGGATATCATAGCAGAGCTAGAAGAGCAAGCATCCGACCCAGTTGAAACACCTGCTCAAGTGGTAGTAGAAACGGGACTTGAGCCAGTCGTCGAAACACAACCACCAATCTTGTCGGCCACCTCAGCCTCTGGCATGACTCAAGCCATAGATCCTGGGTTGGTTCACAATGTGACGCCCTCACAAGTTGCAAAGACGGAGATTACGACAACATCCGCTAAAATTGCTTACCCAAAGCCACCTGCTATGCCGCTGGGTATGCGTCATTTCAAATGCCCTTGCTGCTGCCAGACCTTGCCTGAGATGTATAGGCAACCATCCCTGTGGAAGTAAGTCCAACGCACGATTCTTCACCTTTGTGTAGGTGAATATTTTAACATGACAGTAGAAAACATCTCATGACTGATATCGCCCCATATACTTGCATCATCGATGACTGCCCTACACCAGATCGACTCTTTGTCACTCGAGCAGAGTGGGACCAACATACGAGAAACGATCACCAAAAATGCTGGCAGTGTTTGCCTTGCACCACTGTGGGCAAGGCGCCGTTGGTGTTTCCATCCGTCGAGGCCTTCATGGAGCATCTTGGCGTGGCTCACTCCGACACAATAAATGAGGAGCAGTATTCCACACTCATCCCCGAATCGGCGATACCGGTCCCTGCCGGGATCAGCTGTTGCCCACTGTGCAACTCCAACGGCCCGGCAGACTCACCTGCGTTGTTGAACCATATAGCAGAGCACTTGCATTCCTTTGCTTTACGCTCTCTGCCCTGGCCTGGACGCGAATCTCTGCACACCAATTTGGACGAGCAGGATGATGATGATGATGATCCCGACGATCTGGACGACGGGGACCATGATGCGTACAACTATTTTCTGCACAATGACTATTTCGATCAGGGCTCCGAGGTCGCGTCCCGCCAGTACAATCTTACCAGTGGCTCAAATCGGGACTCGGACGGATTGCCATCGCTGCACTCGAGCCAGGCTTCTGAACGACCTGCGACGCCATCGGACAAAGGGTCGGAAGTTGCGGATGACGCTAGTCAGACTGCTGATTACGATCCGATGGTTGAGCCTGGAGAGCCACGGCCAGTCATTGAAGCTTCGTACGATGAGTCCAGAGGCACGCCGATAGAGCTCGTGCCGTCGGCAGATTCTCTACCTGAAGTGGTACAAGGCCCGATACGAATGCCCGACTTGGTACGTGGACCGAGAGAAATATACGAACAAGGAGTTTTGATCAATTTGGCTTCGCTTTTAGCACCCATGGCATTTGGTAACTGGCGCCGAGAACTTGGCTATGCTCAAGATATTCTACCTGAAGTGGTAGAGGGCGAGTGGCCACAGAAATGTGCCCAAAGATTTCCCCGCGACACGGATGACCCCGAGGTAACTCGTCCGAGAGAGCTGATGTTGATTTGTATGCAAATAAAATACAAGCGGAAGGCCGAGAAAAAAGGGCCAGACAGTCAGCCTAGCAATCCGTCGCTCCCTTACAGGGCCTATTACTCTCCTCGAGGCTTTCTCGCGAGAGTTGCCGAGCTCGAGGATCAAGGCAACCTGAAAGATGCCATCTTGTGGCAAACAGATGCAGTGAACCATTTTAGAAATGAGCTGGGAGACGCCCATTATTATTTCATCGAGAACGTTGATAAACTGGCGGAAATGCGTTGGGATGCGTGGAATAAGGAAAATGCAGATGCTTTTCTTAGTAAAGAAGTTGAAATTTTCATCGACAATGTTGGTACTGGTGATGTCCAAGATCCTGTGTGGATAATTGATGGGGCATACAATCTAGCAACGGTGTGTGCGAAATACAGACTCTCATCCTTGGGCAAGAAGCTATTCAACAGGCTCATCGACGCTTTCGAACAAGAATCCAAACTGCTCGAGGATGGGATTCAACACACCAAAGCAGCTCGAGAAAAGTACTCAGACTTTTTGAAAGACCAGAACCTTTGGGAAGAAGTCGTGGTCATGGAGCGAAATTCGCTCGCGTGCCTCAATGCAGACCCTCATCTTGAGCTTGACATTACCGAGGCACTCAGTCGTCTCGCCCATGCTTTGCGTCAAACACATCAGACGCAAGAGGCGGAGATGATTGACACGAAAATCAAGGCCATAGGACTTTTCGAACAAAAGAGACAGCCTCAACAAATAGAGGCGTTGAGAATGTTGGAGCAGATAAGGCGGGCAGAAATTGAGGCGTGGGGGCCGTGGAACCGCGCCTCCCTATCAACATTAACCTGTCTGTTTCGATTCTACAGATACATGGATCTTTCTGGCGATGCTATCAGTGCTGCTCAGGAGTTGGTTATCTGTAGCCAAAAAAATATGGGGTGAGCGTGATTTGGCTTCAATCGGCACCGTCAAGGAATTAACAGACTACTATTCAATTTTATTCGAGTGGGAGAAGGCAGCGCAAGCCAGAGATCTCTATAACTGGCTCAAAGTCAAGGATCCTGATGTGGATCTGGTGAAAGAAACGACGCCTCATCTTGACTTGGGGCCCGAAGATTTAGACGAGCGAGCGCCACGTTTGTACGCACGGCCAAATATGGCGGCAGCAGGATTGCCCATTTCAGAGCTGGTAGACACAACTCTTGACCATGACAATTCTGCTCCTCCCGGCCCAGCAAAAGGGGTATTTGCTTCTGAACGCCGAGGAATGGCAGCCGGCTTCAGTAAAGCATTGCGGCTCTGGCGCAGAGACAAGCCATCAGAACAGTAATGAAATGAAGCATGATTATAAGATGTAAATCAAGGCGCTCTTGTCAATATTAGCCATAGAATCCCTCGTATCTCCTTTTGCGAGGTCAAAGTCAAAGACAGGCTAACCAAGGGTTGATAGATGTATATAATATACAACCTCGTCAGGCTGTTTTGTAACTAAACTACATGTAGTGTCTGGTGCTGTTTGTTTGACCAGCAACTCCCTGGTCGGTGCTTACTACAGCAGAAATCAGTGGGCACAAAAATCGACGTTGAATTAGATGCATATTTGCAAAACCAAACCAGAATCCATATCAAATTCGTTGTGGTTCCGGGCCCGATCTCTGCATTCTTTGTCTGACCACGAGTTAGTTGGTAGCCCCTGTAGTTCTTGTTTTGATTTGGATATACGAACCAAATGGGGGTCGCTCGCTGCCTTGGCGCCCACACCAAATCCTTGCGGCTCAATTGCTTCGTACGGCTGCGCCTAGATTGTGCATTTCACACAACACTCTGCAGGCTCATATGAATCACAATCACCAGAAGAAATGGCTTCTAAGCGTACATATTTCTTAGCGCCCAACCTAGACCATAAGCTGTCATCCAGCCCAATTCAGCTCGGCGTTCTACTAGCAGATGCCTTGAAGCCCACCAAACCGCTCTCCACGCGTCCCTCTCCGCCCGAATTCGACTCAATTGTGCAGACGTCGTACGCCATCTCCTAGACGTCAGGCAACACTGTCAATGCTGGTATACATGCCAAGTTCCTATCCTTTGCCGGCACTTCCATCAATTTTGCCAATAACGCCCATGTCGTCGAGTCCTTTGACATTGACACGCTTGAGACGAGGCGGTTGAAGAGGGAGCCCCAAGACGACGATGAGGACCTCCTAGCTCGCTTGCAGGAGCCGAAAGTGCAGGCCGCCATTCGAGGAGGTCTATACGGAGCACGTCCAATCTACATCATCAGTGGGCTGAAAATCGCGCGTGGTCTATCCGTTCAGCGCGAGGAATCCAAATCTACGCACAGATCTATGGGCGGCACAGTTCCCATCATCGAGGGCATCTCTGTCGGCGCTGGGATGGGCGGAGAGAAGCGATTTGGCACGAGCAGCACATTCAAAGTGGCACCAGAGGAAGACATCATACTTGCGTATCAGGTTCACAAGATCAAGCCAAAGAGCCGCAAAGTGACCAAGGCCTCGGTGAATGTGTACGAAACTAGCTCTGCTTTCTTACATGGCGACGATGAGAATAGTGGTTTCAAGGGCGTCGAGGTCGTGTCTGTGAGCGCGGATTCTCTTCTGAGTGAAGACGAAGACGATGATGATGGTGAGAAAGACGAGGCAGAAGGACAGTATCTGGAGCTTAAGGGTGGCAATGATGGGGAGTATTATGTTTACATGGGTCAATCTTGATGCGTTTTGTCCACAGATGCCATAGATTGAGTGTGAATGTGATCCCTATCTTGCTACATATATGGCTTGAGGGGAATTTGAACACTCTTTAGAGAGGTCTCAGAGACTTTAGCCTCATTCATATCTGCTTTCATTCGATAAACTTCCCGTCACCCATGTTCATCAGAGATTCGGCGTAGTGATACATATGTTTGCCTCGGATGTATCGAATCGACATACTTCCACCCTTCCGATATCGCGCAATAGCCTCTTCAAAATCATGCAGAGTCGACCGTGATGGTCGTTTATAGAGGTATCACTAAGCTGCAATAAACCTCTAGTAGTAGATTTGGAACAACTAGCAACCATAATAGCATATCATGCTTTGTGCTTGGCCAAAATTGGAAAAGGTTTCTCCGAATGGATTCGCCTGGTTACCAGTGTCTAAAATCTGATTCTGGCAATTGTAATCGGAGTATGCATGGCAGCGAGTCCATCTAGAAATGGTCCCAGATGCTTGAATAGCATTAAAAGGATAGACAAAACAGTTGCTCGCTCAAGTTGGAACATAGTTAGGATCCGGTCTTTTATTGAGCAAAACGCCCACGACGTCTCCATTTCCAGAAGCAGCAGACCAGAAAAGTGCGCTTGAGAGTTCATCTTCTTCCATCACAACCTCCTCCAATAACAATTGAACAAGCTTCATATCACCTGCTCTGGCAGCTTCCGTAATGGCAAGAGAACAATTATTCTTAAAAAAAAAAAGGCTGGCCCCTCTCTAATTCCAGCTGTCCTTTAACCAGGTCGTCCAATCCCAGCGAAACAAAAGTGGGCAATAGCGAGATATAGCTTCTATGTAGTCGGGTGAAGGGATTTGAGAAAACGTAGAAAGGCACTTTCCAAGACGTTAGAGCCTTTTTATCAAAAAAAAAAAAAAAGAAAAAGAAAAAGAAAAAGAAAAGCCATGAACAAGTTCATCAGGTTTCAATTTTCCACTGGCTTTGTAGTGCTCGGGCCAGAATCGGACGGCGTATTCAGCCATGCTGGTTCGTTGATGCATGGTAACTGTGGCATCGAGCCCCGTCGCCCAAACCCCTTCTTCAAGATTTTCCGGGCAAAACTCTGACAGTCTATTCGAGCCAAAAGTAATGCTAACAAGCTTTCGCAATCTGGGCGTGTACAAACGCTGTTGGCTCATCCGTGTTCTCGATTCCGATCTCAGGCAGTTCATAGAACGAAGAGTAGCTAAATCTGATGTTATGGTTTTGGACGATAATCATCCCCCCAAATTCTTTTTCAATGTCATTCATCAACTCTGATGAATTAATACCATCGAGGAACACATCTTCACCTGCACACTCATAAACAACAATCGCCTCAGCCAGCGATTCGGGCGTCCAAGGCTCGGCGGCGTGCTTGATCCAATTGAACACATTCTTCGCTCTCTGACGGCGTTCAGGCTTCAAGGAGGAGATGAAGACATTGATTGTGTTTTCTGCAGTCACAGGCGAGAGTTTAGCGATGACGTTTGTTATCTCGTCTCTGGGTGCACCACGGGCGTAATGGCCAAGCCATGTCAGATTAATGCGTCCCAAATGTGGGAAGTCGTAGCATTTATTGACTTGATTCTCGATTGGCAATTGAAAGCTTGATAATATTAGAGGTGCTATAATGCCTTAAAAATTAAACTAGATACGGAGCTGTGAAGTTGGGATCTGGGTTGGTGTTATGGAGTGCGGGGTAATAGTATAGGTAAGATAAGTGATAGAACGCCTTTGATTAAATATATGAAGTACTAAGGGGTCTCCAAAACGACCACAACCCCGTGCTATGTGGAGTAGCACGTGGTTGTGGTCGTTTTAGACCCCCCTAGTAAACAAATATGGCTTGAGAATTTCTCAAATAAATAAATATGACCTGTTTGATTTGAGAGTAGCGCTGGATTGTAGCCCATTTTGTAGATGGGGAGACAAGAGAACCCGCCCAAGCGTTATCGTTGCGCGAGTTCAAAGGGAGCCACAGCGGGGACTTGTAAGCCTGGACCTTCCTAGAAGTAGTTGAAGAATACGCCCTCAGCGAGAAAGTTGGCTACTTATCTTTCTAGTAGTCTATTACTGGATACCTTGTGTATTGGTATATCACTAGGCAGAGAGAAGTGGTCACTTCAACTTTTGCCAGAGTGGTCTGTTCAACAATTACAGTATGACTACGGTGGCGAATTGGGTCGTGATAGTAAAAGACCGAGATTGGACCCCTGTCTGACTTTATATACGCTTGCGGGTTATCTATTTGCGTACAGTATACCAGAATTAGTCAAGTCCATTATGAGGAATCACCCAAGTACAAACACCTCTCCTATCAAAAATCATGCAATTACGCTTGAATCATAAGTTCTCGCTAGCGTAATATTACATGGGGTACTCCGATGCTAGAGTAACATTTCATGTAAGGCAGCCGATAACCCCAGACCCTTTTTGGATGTCCTCCGCCCTGATTAGGCTGGAGGTCTCACTAGGGCCAACACTTTTAATATAGGTGCTTGACTCGAAACAACAGCACCTCGGGATAAGCGCTGATTTAGGCAATGTCATGTGCGGAACATTCCAAAGTTCTCTGTAAGATACAGAAAATAACTCATCCCAATCGTCACTAGCATTGGAACTTTTTTGGAACTTTTTATTTCGAGTAGGGGTCTAGAATCACGAGTCCCCAGACCGCCGTCTGTCGTGGACTAGTGGGTTAGTCGACCTTCACTAGCGATGACGCGATAACATCTGGAGCTGGTTTTCGGAAGTACAGGAATGTACCCTCCAATATCTCCAATATCTCCGCGGCGTGGCCTGATTTCTTCTTTTAGATCCGGCGAGCATAGACACTGGGGGAGGCGTTTGGCGGTGGTGAAAAGAAGGCGGCGTGGTATTCGGGGTAGGGAATTTTTTTTCTAAGCTTCTTTTTTTGGTTTTTTGGTGGCTGCAAACGGATGAAACCGCAGCATCTAAGCTAAGCGATTACATGTATAACTGGTAGGAAAGTTAGTAGTCGTTAGTAGTCTTTATTCTCCGTGTATTCAACTAAGGGGCTTGCCAAATGTCAGACGTCTGTCTTCAAGCTTAATGGCAACACGCGATGGCATCGGATAGACTCTGTCGGAATTTTATTCACATCCCAGGGCAGCACGGCATCGTAGATATATGCGAATTCATCTCTTCAGCACCGCTCAGTTATACCCAGTGGCATCTATACAGAGTCTTATGTATGCAGTCCTGCTGATGTTACATCTCGTCTTGGTAGGTGGTACTCAGATATACGAGATATACAGAGTCGGTACGATCCATACGACCCCATTCGTTCTCAAGACCGGCCCTAGCTTGGCACTAGTGGCTGCGCTAGAGGCCTGAGGATGGCCACCCCTGGCCTAAGACCTGAAGCTGGAGACATGCTGGTTTACTGCAGATAACAACCACCCATGTATTTGCATTAAGGTATACAAAAGAATGGAATCGCCCACGGTAGCAGCAAGAGTAAATCTGATTGTATTCGACTTTCTTTCCTTCTTTTTTTCTTCTAGAGGGTAGGAAACAAAAACAGCCATGGGTATGTGCCATGTATGATGCCAACCTCAACTATATAAGTGATGCCTAACACAAGGTCTATCTAGCGGAGGTTGCGAAGCACGAGACCGCTGTCATCGTTCCCAGCGAGAAGGAAGGTCTCGAAGACTCTCCCGCCGATTTCACCCACGGGCAGAGCGTCGCCATTCTCAATCAGGATTACGAGGGAAAACCCACTGACGAGGAATTTGCTACTCTGCGTCGTGTCCCTGGCAAGATTCCAACAGTCGCTTACCTCCTCTGTGCTGTTGAGTTCTGCGAGAGAGCCTCTTACTATGGTACGCTTGCCTACTAGTCGGATTTAACGGCGTCAATTGGTATGGATGGAGCATTAATACTGATGCTTTCCTTAGGATGCGCCCAGATTTGGACAAACTACATCAACCGACCTCTGCCCAAGGGTGGCAATGGTTATGGTTCCCCTGCACCTGGAAGTCAGGCTACTCAAGGCGCCTTGGGCCTGGGCGAGCAAATAGCCGTAAGACCTCGCTCCTCTCCCGTCAACTTTGAGCCTTTGTTGTGTGTCTCGCATGCTAATTTGTATCAAACACAGAATGCTACTTCACAGTCTTTCAGCTTGTTGGCTTACTGCCTTCCCCTTGTTGTCGGTTATCTTGCCGACACGAGATTCGGTCGCTTCCCAATGATCTTCTGGGGTGTCATCATTTGTGGTGTCGGCCATGTTCTTATTGTCGCAGGTGGTGCCAAGACACTGATCGACGATGGAACTGCCAAGATTCCCTTCTTTATTGGCGTGTACATCCTCGCTATTGGAGCCGGTACGTCGTAGCCCGAGTACTTGAACCCGTTCTGATTGCGGCACCTGGTTAACTCTTTTCCTCACAGCCATGTTTAAACCAAATGTCACACCCCTCCTGCTGGACCAGATGAAATCGCATGTACCAAAAGTCAAGACTCTCAAATCTGGCGAACGAGTAATCGAAGACCCTGAACATAGCGCTGAGAGAGTCATGTTGTGGTTCTATCTCCTCATCAACATTGGCGGTTTCATGTCCACAGCGACATCGTACTCGGCAAGATACGTAGGCTGGTGGTTGGCTTTCTTGCTCCCTCTCATCCTCTATCTTCCCCTGCCCCTTCTCCTTATCTGGCTCAAGCCCCGTCTCGTTTTGCACAAGCCTGGCGGCTCTGATCTACCAAATGTTATCCGAGTCATCGGTCACTGTTTGGCGAACGGCGGCATATTCAGAATTGGTCGTAAAGGATGGTGGGACAACGCCATACCGTCTGTTAGACTTGAGAAGGGATTGTCTCCCGAAACCCATTACAGTGATCAATTCGTCGGGGACGTACAGCGAACTATGCAGGCAACGGGAATGTTCTGCTTTTTCCCTGTTCAGTTCTGGAATGACAACGGGTACGGTTGACTACTTTCTACTTATCACTCTAACTGTGCTAACCTGGTGGATGTAGTATCGGAAGCGCAGCTAACTTTTTGGGCACTATGCTCACGGGCAACGGTGTCCCTAACGATGTCATTGGCAACTTCAACTCCCTTAGCATTATTGTACTAGGGCCAATCCTCAATGTAAGTTACTCCGTGTCAAGGCTGCGGTCTCGTTTGCCTTTTCCATTTATAAATGAGGAATCTGCTGACCAGAATCCTTACAGTACGGACTGTACCCCTTTTTGCGCAAGTCTAAAATTCATTATGGCCCTGTTGCCCGTATCACGACTGGCTTCTTCCTCAGTACACTTGCCGGCATTGGCTATGCTGTGCTAACTTACAAAGCCTACCAGACCTCGCCCTGCGGCTGGTATGGCTCTTCCGACCCGAGATGTGTGGATAATGGATTGGTCTCGCCCATCTCTCTGTGGTGGGAGGCTATCCCATACGCTCTCGGTGGATTTTCCGAGCTGTTCATTAACGTTCCGGGTACGTTCAAAACTTAATATGTCATGTCCTTAGGGGTACTAATGCATCTGTATACATATAGCCTACGGTATCGCTTATTCTCGTGCTCCAGCCAACATGAGAGGCTTGGTGTCAGCCATCAACCTCTTCAACACTGGCTTTGCATACATCATCAACCTGGCTACCACAGCTGCGATTGTGGATCCTTACCTTGTCTGGGATTTCGGTGGCCCTGCTATTGTAGGCGGAGTTGTTACAGTTGGCTTTGTATGTTTGAAGCCCCTTGTGTTAAATCAGACAAATACTGACTTTATTCTAGTGGTTTATCTTTCGCCATATTGACAAGGAAGAATTCGTCCTGTCAACGACAAAGACTAGCGAGGCTGAGGAAACTGAGACTGACGAGCATACTGCGTAATCTATTAGCTTGACAACTTGGCAATGCGGTAATAGGCGCCTCCAGGAGAAAATTTAATAGAAGTAAAACCAGCAATCATAAATATCCTTTTATAAAATTATAATAAGAAGTAGTTAAGCAGGTAGCTAATAGTATTTTATTCAAACTAAAGCTTAAAGATACGATTGCGATTACGAACCAGTTCATTGACAGTGTTGCCACTGACGTAACCGACACTCTACCAGGGCAAACTTGCCTGCTGCATTCGCGCTTGCCCAGCATTCTCGTGGCCAGGTGTGGACCACACATTATGTGAAACACCGTACAAGCAAACGGTAGTCTATTGGGCGTCTAGAATGGATACTCGCGAGATGTGCGGCAGAGATGTCACAATCTGACACGTCGTCTAGTGCTTCGGATCGCATTGTTACTGATATCGACCGTTGGCTACTCACAATTATTAAGCCCCTTTCCTGGAGCTGCCAAGAACCAAGCTCACGCACAGCATGGAGCAACTGCAATAATGTATAGGCAGCTTCCACAGTTTACTCCATAATACTGCAGTATGCCAGGTCATTTTTCCAGAGTTGGATTTCTCAACCACGAAAAAATCAGCATAGCCATGTTGCTTTGTGCTGGAGCCACTATCATAGATTCATGAGAGAGGCTCGCCTTTGGGTTAATGAGCTGAGGCTATAAACTCTGCATACGCGCAACCAGCCAATTGTCGATCTCACGAAAATTGTACCATGCCACGACCAACGTTAACAGCAGACTGAGCTCTACTAGACATTGCAGTCGGAATACCTTGACAAAAAAAAATTGAAAGTGAGCAGACGCTGTCTCGTGGAGCAAATCGCATTAGGGCTTCTGCTCTTCCGTACCCAAATATCAAGGTTCAGAGCTATGTTCTCTGAGGTAAGAAGAATGGAGACCTAGCGGTGTGAATAGCCCTTGCTCGCCGATGGGATGGGCTTCGACTCAGCTTTCAAACCCTTCCAATTGCTTCACATAGATCTGTGCTCTTCTTTGGGGCAATGTCAATTATAAGCAAGGAGACCATTGGCCAAGGCTGTGACTCCGAGATGCATGTATCGCTTTATCTACATCATTGGTCCATTTTATAAGGATTTTGATGTGATATCATAATGAGATTTAAGAATCCCACCACAGAATACGACGTGTAGACTGATCAATTTGTAATACCATTAGCCGCGTCGACGTCCAATTCAGCGTCTATTGCGAAAACTAGCAGCCAGCTCACAGGTAGCATTACCAATTGCAACAAGCTATATTCTGAACCGCTCTGTTCATGAGCTGATTACCGATTTGATTCTCTGCAATTAGAAATAAAATTGCAACAGGGCGTAAAATCGAATTTTCACAATGTTTAGTTGATTCGGCGATAGGAGCTGGTATACAATGGCGCGGCTGAGCTATAGAGACACTAACTTGAAGTGGCAATTTCTGTGCCGCATTTTTTCTGCATTTAGAAAATGCAAGCTAGCCCATTCCGTCAATTTGATTGAAGCTTCCTCTTCCACAAGAGGTTTCGCGGGGCGGTTGAAGCCGAGTCTTTGGATCTCAACGCCCATAAGCTCTTACATCTGGAAGTGATAATCGGTTGGGGTTCTAGAAGATCCTTCTCGCGAAATAAAGTATGCCGATACATACAAAGTAGCTTTCTAATATGACAAAGCACCAACATTTGGCTCCAGCGTCATCGGGCGACGTCAGATGGATGTATCTAACAATCGAATATTGCTTCTTTTCAAAGAAAAACGTCTATTCCCTTACTATATCCGCGTAAGAATATGCATCTCATTCTAAATTGAATTGATTAAGCGCCATCTAGATCCGTGTAAATAGTCTAATTTTGATCTGTTGTGGATTCAAGCAGTGTTCGTGGCAAATCCGGAGCAATCTATTCGGCGAGGTTATGTGCCGACAGATCAAAAGAAGCTAAAAGCTGTCATCAAACGCTATCTACTTGTAAGTTGAACATTTCAAATCCCTGTCATCGGCATGCACCTACCTGTTGGCCATGCCGTGAGTACACGGATTGTGACGTTTGTCATCCGGGGGTTCCGTTTTCGAAACTGCTCTTCGACTTACATGCAGCGTATGATGGTGATTTATAATGGGTAGACGGTAAATTCTGTTGATATAAAGTATGCCTTGAGTCGTTTTGGAGTAGAATATTCAGCAGCTCAACATCGACATCTTCCTTCAACACTTCAACTACCATCTTCACAACTTTATAAACCCTTACAACCTTTCTGGGGAAAAGGATATCAGATTTCACACAAAAAAAAAGACATAGAAATGTCTGACCTTTTCCGAGAGTCAGCGCTTGGCCAAGCCATTCGCCTTGTCTCTGGAAACAAATGGCTACAATATCCAGAAGAGAAACCTGGTTTCGTTCTACCACCTCAATATGCAGCACTCTTAGCAGGCAACGAGAAACAGCAAGAGGCAACCTCTAATCCTTCGACTTCACAACAACCTGGTGCTCCCCTATCTCCATCCGCTTCTTCCTCTGATACTGTTGCTGAGGGCGGGGAGGAGTTGAAAAGAGAGAGAACAGCAGCGAGTATAGCAAGCGGTCCATATCGAGACCAAAGAGCCGACATTGAACAGCAAGCTGAGCTTCAAAGAACAAAAAGCGAGCCTATTGCTCCGCAGAAAACGAACGATGGGCTTATACTAGTCGATTGGTACACAACCGATGATCCAGAGAATCCTCGCAACTGGTCGTCGCTGAAGAAGAGCTATATTGTCTTCGTCATATGCTTGTATACATGGGTCACCTATGTAGCCGGTTCGGTTTTTGCCTTCTCTGAACCAGGCATTGTGGAGCATTTTGGCGTCAGCATAGAAGCGTCTGAGCTTGGTCTTGCTTTATATGTCTTGGCTTACGGCGTTGGGCCGCTAATCTTCGGACCTCTGACCGAGATTCCAGTCATCGGGAGAAACCCAGTTTACTACCTCACCTTCATCGTCTTCTTTGCTCTGTCATTCCCAGCAGCCGCAATCAACAGCTTCGGTGGTCTCTTGGCCATTCGATTCTTTGCTGGCTTCTTTGGAAGTGTGGGCATTGCAATTGGAGGAGCTTCTATCGGTGACATCTTCACCCTCATCTACTTCCCCTACGGCCTTGGTTGGTGGGTGCTATCGTTCTGGGCAGGGCCTGCTATCGGGCCTACCTTTGCTGGCTTTGCAGCACAGTCAAAAGGCTGGAGATGGCCACTGTGGGAAATTGTCTGGATCTGTGCAGTCATGGCCATCTTCTTGCTGGCTCTTACTCCCGAAACGTCCACGCCCAACATTCTGCTGAGGCGCGCCAGGCGACTTCGAAAGCTCACTGGTGACTCGCGCCTCCAGTCTGAAAGTGAAATTGAGCAGCGCAACATGACCGGATCTTCTGTGCTAATTGCTGCGCTGATCCGACCGTTTGAAATCACAATCAAGGACCCGTCAGTTTTCTTTGTGAATCTGTACACAGCCTTGACCTACGCGATTTACTTTACCTTTTTCGAGGTCTTTCCTCTAGTCTTTCCACCTTTCTATGGCTTCAATCTTGGGGAGACGGGTGCTGCATTCTTGGCCTGTGAGGTGGGAGCGATCATTGGCCTTGTTATTTACTTTGCCTACCTTTACTTTTACATGATTCCGGACAACATTAAGAACGGATTCCGTGAACAGGAGCACCGCTTGCTGCCGGCGATTTTCGGTTCCGTTGTCATTCCTGTCGGGCTTTTCATCTTTGCTTGGACTGCTCGGCCCAGTATCCACTGGATCGTGCCGCTGATTGGTGTCGCCATCTTTACTGTCGGCCAATACTGTGTCATTCAGGGCCTCTTTATGTATGTGCCGGTCTCGTATCCTCAATACGCGGCCTCAATCTTCACAGGCAATGACTTGATCAGGTCGGCTATAGCTTCTGGGTGCATTCTTGCTGCCAGGCCAATGTTTATCAACTTGGGAGTGCACAAGGGTGTAACAGTCTTGGCTGGACTCAGTGTTATGGGAATCATTGGTACACTGTTAATGTACAAGTATGGCAAGAAGCTTCGTGCAAAATCCAAGTTTGCACAATAGACATCGGATCGAAGATATGGGAAAGAATATGTACCAGGCTTAGAAACATCTATGGTCGGTATGTTCGAACGGGTTTTCTAGCAAGAACCTCGACATAAAAGTATCAATTTGAGTAATGAAGTGGGGGGTTTTTCTTTATGTGGCTGATGCTCTTGGTAACAATCATATGGGAGAGAATTTTTCTTTTTTAATGGATATATATGGGTAATAGGTGGTTTCTTATGAACACTGAATTAAACTGTAAAAGATTATAAATAGATTTAGAATACAATCGATTAGTTTTATGCAAATCTCAATCGGAAGCTCATTCGAGAATCAGCTATGAACCAGTGCTCATGAAACAAACAGTTATTTGTGGCCTTTGAAGTAGCTGCGTATCCCGTCAAACATCGTCCACTCTTCTTTTCTTACTTGCGCGTTTCCCTCTTGGTGCAATTTCAGGTGCTTGCAATCGTCGCCAAGTAACCAACCATTTGGTTTTGCAGCCAGACCGAATTCTTCCATAAGCCCCTGTACTGTATCACTAATGGACACAGGAACCTGCGGCGGTGGTTCTTGCAGTAGAGTTCTAATCTTTTCTGAGATAGGAAATTTGGTTGTCTTATTTGCTCCATAGTCACGGAGCATTTTGAGCAGCGAGATGTCATCATCGCCAGATTGGGCGGCCCGATCAAGCGGAGTTTCTCCCCAACTATCTGCGGTGTTGATATCTGCGCCGCAGACAAGAAGCAGTTCCACTAGGAAGTGATTCTTCTTTGCTACGGCCCAGTGAACTGGGGTTCTGCGACAGGAGCCTCTCGCGTCAATGTTGGCACCATGAGAAAGAAGCAGCGCCGCAAACCGACAGCTCTTGGCGGCAGCAAGCGCTGTTTGGCCATCGACGTCCTTGCGCTCTGTGTCGGCACCAAATGAGAGCAGCAGCTGGGTAACTTCATAGCATTCGCAGTTAACAGCCTGGTTCAACCAATTGTGTTTTTCCCACTGGCCTTTGTGGATATACTTATCATTGTGGATGTACCAATCTTGAAACGCATCCAAAATGGATGCATTGCGCCGAAAGAGACCCTCCTGGTATAGTAGAATCTTTTCCACTGAAGGAATGTTACCAAGTTTGACTACTCGCAGCGCAGCTTCAAAGTCAATAACAAATTCTCGTGCCTTTGTGAGGAGGCGAACTATTTCGCTTCCAAAATTTCCATTTATAGCTATTTGCAGAGCATCTTTAGTAATCTGGATCTGAAATCCGCTGTCTTCAAGGACCCAATTCATCGTGCCGACTGCCGAATTGAACTGTTCGCGCTGTTTTGATGACGGCTTATCTACTGACTCTGCAAAGACTTCAGCAGCGCATAGGAAAAATTCTTCCAAAAAGATGTAGCCGTGGCTCTCAAGCTGCTGGCCCGATAACTTAAAGATGGCGAACAGCTGATGATCAAAGATTGCATGATGGAGTAGAAATTTGGCTTGGCTTCTGAAGAATGCCCTAGCATTCTCGGCGTTACTTGATTTTTCACTGACGCTATTCAATGCCGGGTTATCAGGCGTGTGATCGTCGCTCCCCGGGCCTTTGATAAAGAGTTCTAATACATCTTTGTAGCAACCACTTGCCAGCGCATTACTGTGAAGCTGTTGTGTCATGGTAATGTGACAGCCTCGGCGAAGCAGCTGCTGTATGATGTTAACAGCATGTGCCTTGTTAGCGGCTGCAGCTTCTGCGATTCGAGTACAATCATCCAATTTTGTACCATTTGATAGAAAATATTCCATCAGAGAAGAGCCGTGATGCTGATTCCATGCCGCTGCTAGTAATTTTTCATCCAAGGTGGGGAGTGTGATTTGGTTGCTGATATGATGTTCCAGCGCTGTTATGGCTGGTACTGTGCCCATCTCCACTGCCAGCAGGAAATTGGCAACGGCCACCTCAGAATCTTTGTTGCGGGAACTGAGAAGCAATCTCATCATCTCTCCAGCCGTGTCATATTCTGCCACAATATCTATAGTATCCTCATGAATTTTGACGCCAGGAGCCCGAAGAATACAATCCAAGCGTTCAATGTCGGCGTCTTTAGCAGCTTTCCATAGCAAGTGATCTTTGACTCTTTCCAGATTTTTAATGGCGTCTTTGATACTCGTACACACACCACTCAACAAGTCATCGTCACATGTAAAGCCGAACAGAAACCCCACAACATCGCAGACCAGACGAGACTCTGTCTTATTGTAATCTGGTGTTAAAACGGGTGAATCGGAATCGGAATCGGCGGCTATAGCTTTCAAGGCATAAATGAGATCCCGGGGTTCACTCGCTTCAGTCTCTCCAAATTTGATTAACAAGGTGTAGAGACATGGCTTTTCGCTCCACCACGAACTCTACCTCCAAGGACCAGGCATAATGTCGATGACGGATTGGCAGTGCACGCTTGGATCAATACCAAAGATGATGGGCGCAATGGCAAAAATATTTGCCGCTATTGCAAAATTCCCGCAACATACAATGGCAGACTTGGCGTTGGCCACTTCCTGCAAGATCCAGACCCTGCGAAACCAAGGACGACTGAGAAGGCTTTTGAGTCCTTGACGTGGCACATCGTCCAATGCTTGTGTCTTCTCATGGGCCACTGCCCAGATTTTCCTCCAGCGCTCGTCGTCCCGTATCCACGATCGGTACGCGTGCTTAGAGCACTCCTGTTGAACAAGCTGCATAAAAAGCATGAATGCATCGGTTGTAAATGTTGCATTGCCCAGAAAAAAAATGACGCGGCTGGCTTGTTTATAAATATGGCTCATCTGCGCAACCTGGTGGTTCCTCTCTTTCACATTACTCTGATTAATACAAACTGCATCGATCCAGAGTATTCGGTCGCTGTGCGGATAACGGAGGCTCTTGAGAGCCAGGTATAAATTTGCAGTGATGCTCATTTTCCGGTCATTGACAACGAGGCTGTGGTGGCCTCCTGTCGGCCCCCATGTGTAAGAAAGCGCTTCATATGGTATTATCTCATCGCGTTGGTGCAGGACTGCTTGAAAGAGGTCGCAACTGAGGTCGCCGCAGTCTCCTTGATGAAGCCGCACAAGTCGAAACGCGGGTCCATCCAGGTCAATCTTGTCGTATTCGTAGTTGTTGTCCATATTTTGTATGAGTGTGGGAATAGAGAAGACCATCCATGAATTGTCTTTGCTTCGACTCATGGGCAATCAAGACAGGGAACAGGGTTACAGCGCACAAACGGACAAGCCAATTCTGCCTTCATGTCTGCCTGGAGATAGTAAGCTATGCCTGAAAACAATTAGAGGAAACACCATATATAAACACAGCCACAAAAGTAAGAAATAGAGGAAAGCGAAGAATATGTTATTAAATAAGAATGTTTCATAGATTGTATGCTATCAATTTTAATTTTTCTTTACCCGCGCAAGCATTTGAGCTATTTTATAGTGACCATGCTGTCTCGCCACTGTCATTGCTGTATGCCCGTCATCATCTGTAATATATGGATCCGCACCATTTGCCAGTAGAATGCCCACAATTTGCTGAAGACCATCAATAGACGACCCAAAGAGTGGCGTTCTGCTATGCTCTGATATTGAATCAACATCCACATCTGCCCTTCTCGCTAGCCTGTAGACAGAATGCAAACATCCATTCATGCTGCAATATATAAAGGTGTTCTTCCGTAGACTTTCCTCATATCTGGGTTTATTCCTTCATATATAAGCTGCTCAAGACAGGGCGTGTCTCCAGTGCGTGCTGCGTTATAGAATTTTGAGATTTTGCGCCATTTGCTCCAATCGAGAGCAGTATTAGTCCGGTTGGATAAGAGGTCAAGAGCTCACTCGTTACCAACTGTTGCTGCGGCCTTAATAGCCTCTTCTGTAATAGTTATATCGTCTCCTCTCCAGTCACAGAACAATTCCATTATTCTTTCGCCGCAGGTATTATCATTGCTTGCTGCTGCTATAAGAGTTTTTTCGGTAATAGCGACTTTGTCGCTTCGTCGGTCCAGGAGTAGTTCCATCACTATATGTCCCTCGCTCTCTCTTACTGCAGCTATAATAACCTCCTCTGTAATGGTAACCTCGTATCCTCGTCGATCAAGGAGAAATTCCACTATGAATTGATTTCTTCCTGCTGCAGCTTTCATAAACTCTTCTGTGATAATGATCTCATCTCCTCATCGGTCAAAGAGGAATTCCATTGCCTGGCGACTAGTCTCTACCGTAGCCTTCATAGCCTTTTCTGTAATGGTGATCTCGTCTCCTCGCTGTTCAAGGAGTAGTGTCATTAAATCTGTATTTCTTGCTGCAACTGTAACAACCTCTTCTGTAATAGTAATCTCATTTCCTCTTTGATCAAGAAGTAGTTTTATTACTTTCTTGCTATAGTGTCGATTCCTTGCTGCCGCTGTGAGAACCTTTTGTGTAATAGCAATATCGTTTCCTCGTTGATTAAGGACAAATTCCATTATTTCCTTATCAGATTTTGCAGCAATAGTAGACAGACCATTCTCTGTAATAATAATAGAGTCTCTCCTTGCTGATTAAGGAGCGATATCATTGTTTGGTCGCTTCTCCATGAATTTTTTGCTACCGCTTCAATGACCTCTTCTGTGATGGTAATATTGTCTTTCTGCCTGCCAAGGAATATTTCGAACACTTTTTCATTAAAATATGCGGCAATGTCAGTAATGACCTCCTCTGTAATAGTTATGTGGCTTCCTCGCCGGTCAAGGAGCAGTGTCATCAATTCATCGCTCCGTTGAGAGTTTCTCGCTACAGTCGTAATAAAATTAAACATTATGTTTAGCCTACTAGCTATATAATAAGATTGCCTACTGCATTCTACCTGCTCTATTAATATAAACTACAACCAGTTTATTACCTTAAGAAGCTACCCTATACCATCTGGTATAGACCGGTTCGTCACCTGGATGCCAAGGAAGAGGAAGCAAAGATGAGAACAGCCTAAGCGGCAGCCTAAGAGATCATAAATGAAGTAGACCGAGATACCGCCAAGCTGACAAGATTGAGACTTATCTAGTATGAATCAATGTCTTTGGCTATTATCAAGGCTTTAATTAGTACCTATCTTGGGTATCATACATCATGTGCGCGGCTCCGCACATCGGCGACGCTGCTTCCTTTATCCGAGCACTGCATTCTTGAGTGCTGCCATACCAAGCTTCATCAACTGCAAGCAAGAATAATGCCGCCTCCATCCTCAGCCACGCGGCCCGTACCGCCAGGCATGGATGGACGCCTCTGGATGCAAATGAAGGATGCATTCAATGACGACCCAAAAGCGCGCCTGCACGCCTCCGTCCGCGACAACGACATGTCGGCGCTGCGAAACCTCGTCCCTCTGTGCGGCACTGTTGCCCTCGAGCTCAACTACTGCGACCCGGACTTTGGCTCTGCTCTTCAAGTCGCCGTGTTGTGCGATAACATGACAGCGGCAGGCATTCTTCTTGACGCCGGCGCTAACCCTTGGGCTTCCAATGGTTTCACTGAGCCGCAAACTTCGGCCATAGAAACGGCCATTCAGACAGGCAACCGCGACATGTTCACTCGTATGTGCGAAAAGACAGTCTTGGGAGACAGCAATATTCCGCAACAGCTCCACCGTACTCTTCTTAACCTAACAACTCTCCATGGTCAGACTGCCATGGTCGAGGACGTTCTGGGTTGGGCTGACGGCTGGTCCGAAGCTGTCTTGGAGAATGCCCTTGGGAACGCCGTGTCAGGATGGCACGTCGAAGTGGTTCGGCTTCTTTTGGCCCGTTTCAGATACTCGCCGCTATGCATCAACTTGTCTCTCTGCCGTGCGGCCGACTTCAGGTCGGACCTGCTCAGCCATCCTCGTGCTGAGTGCAACGGCTTGGACTACGTGAACCAGCAAGAGCTCATCAGTTGCCTGGTCGGTGCAGGGGCCGACCCAAACGACAACGCTGAAGGGCTGAATATCGTCATTGCAGCGGCAACGTGGGCTGACTTGGTGGGAGCTCTCAGGGCGCTTCTCGATAAGGGCGCTGATCCCAACGGACGCGGCCCTGCTGGAGAAACCGCCCTTCACCATCTGGGATCGCCGGTGCATATTAAAAAGGGTCCCAAGCGCTGCTTGCACGAAACTGGTATTCGCTTGTTATTACAACACGGTGCGTCCGTCACGATTCAGGATGAGCTTGGCAACACGCCGCTGCACTACGCTGCCTTTGGATCCAATATGCACATTTTCTCCCTGTATACCGCCGGCCTGCCAGTTGACAGTCCACATAACGACGCATTGAAATCAATCAAAAACAATAGCGGAGAGACGCTTCTTCACTGGGCCGCTGCGGGCAAGAAGATGGACATATTACGCTTTCTATTATCGTCAGGTGCAAACGTCAATGCCGCTAATGACAATGGCTGGACGCCATTAATGTGTGCTGTAGCCCCGTCAACCGCAACCGAGACTTCTATGCCACGTTACTATAAAGCACTGCAGGCGGCAAGAATTATCCTGGACCATGGAGCCGATCCCCTTGCGTGCACGGCCGAGGGCTGGACACTGCTGCACTGCTTGTCGCTTTACCTAGACAATGGCGACGGCGATAACAACGAGTTGGCAGATCTTGCCCAGGAATTCATTACGAGGGGTATACCTGTTGATGCTCGAGCTACCATGTTGGCTGTTTCCACAAACTCTAGTCGCAAATCACTCCGTGTGCCCAATCGGGAGGTCGGCATCTGGGGCTCCCGCGTCGTTGAGCATCTCCAACCCAACGGCAACAAGCCGCCTGCGACGGCCAAAGATAGAACGCCGCTACACTGGGCCATGTTTCACGGCGCTGCCGGCTTGGCGAGGGTTTTGTTGGCTAATGGAGCGGACGTGAATGCTGTTGATGAGAGGAATTGCCTGCCAGCTGATCTGATAAACACCTCACCACTGCTCCAGACGCACCCAGATATACGCGCGAGGTTGACACACATTTTGGTTGATGCTACAATTCTAGCGTAGAGTACTCACAAAAGGAACAGCAGGCCACATAGGAAACAAACAGCTGCCGTTGAGATCAAAACAGTTGTTAAATCATGACGTTGTGCAGCTTCTATACGTCTAAGTTACAGATTGCCTCTGTGCGAGTTCGTCGTTACGCGTTACCATTCAGGCCGGAGTGTCTGGATCTTCACGGTCTTGCGGGGGAGGAGGAGAGGTAAATTCGTATCCTTCGTCCGACAAGATGAAGTTGATTTCGTACGGGTTATTTCCTCCGACTACCGATGTACCCATTACTCCACGAGACAGTTCTCCTGGGTTATGAGGGTTGACTTCGGCGCGGCTTCCACCCTGTGGCGGCTCAATGATCATTCTCAGGCCGCGGTTGCCGACGTACCCCTGACGATAGATCATCTCACCCCATTGGTGAAGCAATCTTGCCCATTCGGGCTGATCGTCCGGGAGCGTTATTCTAGATCCAACGTACCAGAGGCTACCGAGCTCTTCCGGACAGGAGAACCCGTCACGCGAGTTGTATATGCCGTTGCTGTGAGATACACGCCACGCTTGGCCGTTCCTTCCATGCATCCAGTACTGGCCGTGCATGACACGGAAGTTGCTGACGCCGACATACGTGTTTCCGTTTTCACTTATCAGCCAGTTCCGGTTTGATGGATCGATGTGAAGGTGGAAGACTTTTGGGGAAACATTAGTACGTGACTAGAAGTATGAGCAGAGTGGAAAAATATGCAACTTACGAACCCAGCGATCTGATGGCCAGCGTGGTCGCGGCGTCTGATCTTGGTATTCTGAAATGTCTTCGCTGTTCTCATGGCCAGGCTGGCGGCCAAGCCAGTACGCCATCTCAAGCATAGGCCCTGGGACGTTTCCGTTTTGGGAGCTTTGATAATACTGCCAGCGAGCATAATGCAGCGAGATGGCTCCGCTAATAATGGCAGTTAGGATCGTGTCTAAGGCGGGAATGTAACCCGACCCGCCCCCCCACGCGTCAATCTTTCTGCTGTCAATATTAGAGATGGTGGACTCGGGAATGTTACGGGCCTTGGAGCCTGGAACTCGGCATAGTGCCTGGCTGGCGGCATCCGCACCTCTGATGCCTGGTCCGGCTCGAGTTGGGTTGTAGAGCACCCACTCCACGACACTGCGAGGCTCATAATCTTTATACTTCAACAAAAATGCGTGGAGGTTATTGTACTCCAGCTGTTTGTCATAGTTGCCGGCAAATTCCTTATCCCAGACCTTAACGAGGGGATCCATGCCAGCGCGGCTGACCGAGAACACCAGCGTTGCGTATTGAAGCAGCCGGACCCAGGTATCTAGAGTGCAATCCTTTGCTCTGGCGCGCAATACGTTGTATTCGGCTGCCTCGAACTCCAAGGAGCGCTTACGAACAAACTTGTCATGGAGTTGAGGGAAGAGAATGGTAGCGGGACAGGTCGGGTTCTCCATGTATTTACGGATCAGAGCCTGGAACTCGCGACCCTGTGACGAGCCAGGGTCTTCATCTCGAGGCTTCAACTTTTCGGGTTCCGTGCAGCAGAAGGCGAGATCGCCATAGCAGCCGTCGCCGCCTTCGCTACCAATAATGAGGCCGCTCTCTCGGGCCATCATCAGCTGGTTCGACGAGCATGCACCTTCGCAGAGGAGCTTCTCATTATCCGCGTTGAGAAATCCGGCCTTCTTTCGCCACTCGCATTTGCCAGCAACATCGTAGGGCGCCGGGGAGACGCAGCAGAGACTTCTCTTCTCGCCTTTGCTGCAGGCTTTCATACCACCAGAGCCCACGCTGCTGGAAGTGAGGAAATGCGGGTTATTGCCCGTACAAGCATCCTTGCCCTGGCCAGTGCATCCGGTCCAGACGCATTTGCTGTACAGGGACGTGACCAAGGTATCGCTGCAGCAAGCTGATTGGTACCCCGAACGGCAGCCCACACTCAGTGAGCCGACTTCAAGTTCAAAATCGTTGCAGCCGGGCTTACACTTGCCAGTATTTCTGTGGCCACGCCAGGTACACGTGGGAGACTTGGCGCTCGTCGGGCAGCAAAGACGACTAAAGCCGTAACCCTTGCCAAAGCAGGGCGTTGTGTCCAGCATAATCTCTTTGTGGCCGTCGCGCTGGACCTCCTTAAATCCAGACGGGCAGCCCTCGAAGCAGCTTGTCCAACGGCACGTCTTGGACTCAAGATCGGGACTGTCTTCCACCTTGGGGCGGATGGTAAAGTTGGGAAAGTCAGGCTTTTTGCGACCCAGAACAGAAGCCAGAGCCTCGGCGTTGGTGCCGAACTCGTCATCGTGGCTAATGGCCCACACCATGAAGCCCGTGATGCACTGGCCGCGCAGCTTGTTAGCCTTGAGGCGCCAAGTTGCAGCATCATCAAACGAGGTCCACTGGTTGCCCCATGAGACGGTCTTGACGGCAGCTTCCCGGTCAAGCACAGGCTTCAAATTGTTCTTGGAGATGATGTCCTGAATCTCGGGGTGGAGCAGCACACCGGCCGTGCCGGAACATTTGCCTGCCTCGCCGGGTGAGCTAACGCGGCAGCCGGGCTTGTTGCAGCCGGGATCTGTCAGGGTGAAGGTACGTGCATAGTAGGACATTCCCATGGTGACTTTGCTGGGGCTGATTTTGTTGCGCCATAGGAGATCCAAGCCAAGCTGAATATCGGTTAGGTTGGTGTGCGAGTTCGCCCATGGACCAGTCCACTTATTGTCGATATCCCAGGCGCCGTGCATGTCATACGTCATAAGGTTGAACCAGTTGACGTGTTCCTCAAGCTTAACAATGTCAAAGTGCTGGAGGTACCAGTAGCTAGCAGGCAGGGCCATGGATACGCCTCTGCGGTACTTATCCATGCGTGCTCGGAGCTTCTTCATGAAAGTGACAATGTTCTCATAGTCTTCATCACGGCCGTGGCGGTCGGTAGCGACAGGATACTCCCAGTCAATATCCACGCCATCAAAGTTAAACTTATCCATAAACTTGACGAGCGAGCTGAGGAACGTCTCAGTGTTGGCCTCGGAGGCAGCCACGTCGCTAAAGATTGTCTGGGTTGGTCCGGGGTCGTTGAATGCCCAGCCGCCAAAGGCAACCCAGATCTTGAGATCGGGCTGGAGGAGCTTCATGGTACCAATTCTCTCCATCATGTCCTCGGTCTCGTAGTTGCCGGGCGAGACCTCGAACGACTTGGGATTGATGGTGGCGAAGCTGAAGATGAGATGGGTGTAGGCGCCATAGGGAATCTCTTCTGGTCGCAGGGCATTACAGCGGCGGTTGGAAGTTGCCCACCCCTCATAGTATCCAATAACTCGGTCTACGGGAGTGTCACTGATGGAGCACGAGGGCCTCTTGACTTCATTGCCCTTGCAAAACTCCTCGGTATAGCCACAGAAGCCGTGCTTGCTGCAACAGACATTAAGGGGGCATTTATCTCCTTTGCTAAAATCGTTGCTCGCCCAACCAGGGTTGCAGTCAGACTTGCGATCACAGGTGCTCTGGCATCCCTTTCTAGACAAATGTGTTAGTCGGCAGGTTGAGAGCAACGATAGACGTATACACGCAACGTGTATACACATGAGCTGATTCGGATCTACTTGCCCGCAATAGTCGGGTCCATAACCACAATGGCCTGCGCTGCTACAACATCCTTCAGGACAGAGCTTGGTATCGCTACACTCGCCGTCTTGCTGCACGGAGAGCTGGACAAGAGCGCTCAGCAATAATGTAAAGGTCAGAAGAATCTTCATGTTGGGTATTTCACGAAGAAGAAAGTGAAGAATGAAATGGATAACGAGAGAAAATTCTGGCCATGCGGGAAGGAAAATATGCTTTTGGCCGTACTCACATGCAGGGAAACGTCGGCTTAAACAAATGGGGTGATGGCAGAGGAGGCCTTTTTACTCTATGTCCCCGATTCTGCAGCCTGCCCCCATGCACCAGGCTGGGCCTTGGCACGCAAAAGTTCCCTACCTCTTACACCTTATAATACCGTCCGTTGATACGGAGAAATATATGGCCAAAAGACGGGGCCGAATCATTACCATTCTGAAGAAGGTCGCGAGCCTCGGTCAAGTTTCGGCCGCCCACATAACAGCTGAGCCATGCCCGTCGAGAGATTCAGGATCAACCGCTTACACACTCGCATCTAAACGTTGACTTCACGAAACTCTACATGTTCATGATGAAGAATCTTTTGCTTGTATTGCCCCTCCTGGGCGGTTTCGCGCCCCTTGCTGCTACTGTTTCGCTCAAGAGCCGCGCTACCGGGTTCCAGCTCGTTACCAACAAGCAGCTAGAAGGCTCTAAACTCAACTCCAACTGCCAGCAGTTACTGCAGCAGACAATCCAGTGCGATGAATTCGTCGCCAACTTTCGCGAGAGGGGCTACCGCGGTTCTCTCGACAGCCCTGCGCTGACCGACAGCGTCTGCCAGGCCACCTGTGAGAGATCTCTGCTCAACACCAGGAGACGTCTTGCCGCCGTCTGCGCTTCAACACCTGATATGATCCCCGGATACCCCGTCGCGACGCTTATTGAAACGACGCTTGCCGGCTGGGACGAAACCTGCCTCAAAGACAAGGACACTGGAAAGTACTGCAATGGTCAGTCGACGCGCCACCACCATAACTCTGGCGTCTTTTCTGTCAGCTAACTGTACTACGCAGACATTATCGATGCCTTTGAGGATTACGACAGCCTCGAAGCCATGCCTGACGCGCAGTTGTGCTCCTACTGCTACGGAGCCAAGCTACGCATAATGCAGCAGTCGCCGTACTCTGCATACGACGAGCTCTTTGCTCAGGCACTGGAAACTGTCAATAAGCGTGAGGTCATTTCAATTGCAAATCTAGATGACGAATGCTGACTTGTCGTAGGGTGCAATGTCAAAGGGCCAACCGATACTCTTTCTCCGCCCATAAACGTCAACGTCACCAGACCCAGCGTGTGCACCAGCAAGCAGACGTACAGCACACGCAACGGCGACACCTGCGACAGTATTGCTCTGGCAAACTCTGTGTCGGCGGCGTCGCTCTTCTTCCTCAACCCTAACCTGCTCGATTGCAGCAGTGTGCCCGCGGGCCTGGAGCTCTGTCTGCCGGAGAAATGCAGCGAGCTATACAAGGTCCAGAGCAAGGATGAGGACTGCGTGGTGATTGGCGTGCGGTACGGCACGTCGTGGGCCAAGCTTGTCAAGTGGAACCTAGCTCTCAAGGATGACTGCCGGAACATTTACAGCACTGAACCCTTCTGGGGCCGAGTGATCTGCGTTAGCCAACCCGGCGGCGAGTATACCGACCCTGGCTCTCCCGGCACTACCCCTGGCAACGGGGACATTGGCGGCGAGGGAGGCTCCGGTGACGGCTACGCTAACCAAGTTGTCCCTCCGCCGGACGGGGCCAAAGTAGCCAAAGGCACGACCAACAACTGTGGCAAGTATATCCAGGCCGAGAAGGGAATCAGGTGCCCGAGCCTGCTCGCCAAGCGGGCCATGCCCATGGACCTGTTCTTGAAGATTAATCCCTCACTCGGCTCTGTCGCTGAGTGTGACAGCAAGATTGTTCCTGGCCTGTGGTACTGCCTAAACCCAGTTCACGGCTGGGACCAAGTCCGTGTCTAACACGCGACCAACCGTGATCCGCAGCGCCATTTAACGGTGCCTAGTTAAAATTGATTCATGGACTGGCATAAGTCCCTCGACATTCACTTCCGCAGGTCCAGTCCTTGTGCTCCTCTCGCGTAAATTACAACTTTTTTTGCGACTCTCCTGCTCGCCATGCCCCAGTCACGTTTAGAAATAAGATGCTTACTGGAATTGAGAACTATCTTTCCTCACGGGTGATGATCTGCAATGTTGACGTTACAAGTAGCCAATCAATGGTGGCTCTGAGGCGACCTACACTCCCATCAACCTCATGTTCATTCAGCAACCCAAGTTGCCGCCACAACCGTCTTGGGATTCAGTTCCGACTGTCCTGTGGCTTGCAGGATTTGTTAAGCTTACTTATTGTTCGTCTCCAGGCCTGTTATTTCACAAGCCAGCTGCAACCCTCCCCACCAGCCGACAGTCTGCCAAGCACGGCATGCTGCAGGTTCCCGTATAACAACGTTCGGCACCACCCTCATTTCGGCCATCATCCGGCTCGTCGTACCAAAACTCCGTGAACAAGAAAAAAAAATCTTTTCTTCTCATGGCTGGAAATCGTTGGTCATACCCCGGTCAACCGGATGAGGAGCAAGGTTTCGTGCAGGAATCTTTGTCTGCTGTTATTCTTTTCCGCTACCATGAATCCTATAAGCTTGGCGTCCATCGACGACCCGTCGGCCTCCATGAACGGGTGGGCGCGGAACGGAAGGCCAACAAGGCAAAGAGCAGCAGGGCAAGTCCGAAATGGCATATAAGTTGGGTTTATGTAAGTTCGTGTTCTGCTTGTGGTAGTATTCCGCAGATAAGCGCCAGCACAAGGCATACACCATGAAGCTTATATTGGCTCTCTTGAACGGGCTTTTCATTGTCCCGGCCATCTTGGCCGCTCCTCACGCCCGCACCAAGCGTGGTGAGAAGCCTGTCGGCAAGGTCGATCCCGAAACTGCCTCGGACTGCACGTACTGGGAAGAGAAGACTGATGCCTCTGTGACTTGTGATAGTCTCCAAGCGGCGTGGTCCATCTCAGCCAACGACTTTCGCAACTGGGTAGGTTTTCGAGCTTGTTAAGAGGTGATGATGTCGATTATGTACTAACACGGCTGCAGAACCCCCTCGTTAAAGATGACTGCAGCGGTATGAAGATTGGCAACTCGTACTGCGTCGAGGTCAACTTTGGTCTTCCCAGGAGCACAACCACCCAGCCAACTACCGTGCCTAGCACTACTTCCACCGGTAATGGCGTAACCACACCTACTCCGACCCAGCCCAACATGGTTGACAACTGTAACAAGTTCTACTTTGTCAAGGAGGACGAGAGCTGCGCCGACATTGCCTCCGCCAACGGCATCAACGTCGAAGACTTTGGAAAATGGAACCCCAAGGTCGGCGCCCAGTGCACCGGTCTGTGGGCGAAGACATACGCCTGCGTAGGCGTCCTTGGCTCGACTGGCAGCCCAACGGCCGTGCCATCGACCACGACGACTACCGACAACGGGGTCGTCACCCCCACGCCTACTCAGCCTGGCATGGTCGACAACTGCAATAAGTTCTACCTTGTCAAGGAAGGCGATGGCTGCGCCGACATTATCACCAACAACGGCATCAGCATGGAGGATTTCGCCAAATGGAACCCCAGAGTTGGCCCTCGATGCACGGGGCTCTGGGCCAAGACGTATACCTGCGTCGGTATTCTTGGCTCACAAACGGACAAGCCAACTGCTCCTCCCAACGCGTCCGTACTACTATACTACATGTACCTGATCAATCATATCATACTGAGCTGACAATTATTCTAGAGTCAAGACCCCCTCCCCCATTCAGCCCGACATGATCAACTCGTGCAACAGGTTCCATTTTGTGGAATCCGGCCAGAGCTGCCAGGACATTGCTTCTCGCTACGGCGTTACCGTTTCCGAGTTGACCAACTGGAACCCCAAGGCTGGCAGCGACTGTTCTCGCATCTTTGGCCAGACTTGGGCTTGCGTTGATCCCATTCGCAGCTTCAGCTTCGACGACGGTACCAAGAACCAGTGGATCGTGGCCGAGGGCGGCGCCGACACCTCGTCCAAGGCCCTGGCCATGACCTCCTTCGGCAACAAGGCCTACTACGACGTCAACTTCAACGACGTGGCCTTTGAGGCGCGGATGACTCTGCGCGCCGGCCGGTCTGGCAACGCCGGCATCATGTTCCGCGCCTCAGACATTGGCAAAGGCGGCGACCAGTACCATGGCTACTATGCCGGCGTCAACTTGGCCGGCGACCTGGTCCTCGGCCGCGCCAACAACGACTGGAGAGAGCTGGGCCGCGCCAAGGTCGGCGTCTCTGCCGACCGTCCCTTCACCATCAAGGCGCTGGCCACGGGCGACCAGATCGCCGTCTACGTCAACAACGTGGACCGTCCCGCGCTGACCGTTCGCGACGGCACCTTCCGCTCTGGCAAGGTTGGCGTGCGCACGTACGAGACCGAGGCGGTTTTTGACGACGTGTCCGTTTCGACGGTCGTGTTTGACGACTTTGAGCGCAACCTCATAAACTGGCAGATCTACGACGGCGGCTTCGATGCCCGCACCCGCGAGCTGGTGGCCAGCGACGTCACCAGCGGTAAGATTGCGTACCAGGCCACGTTTGAGGACTTTGTCCTCGAGGCCGACGTGGCCCTGACGCACAGCGGCGACAATAGAAACGCCGGCTTCTTGTTCCGCACCACCGATGTCGGCAACGGCCCCGACGCCTACAAGGGCTACTACGTCGGCATCGACGCCTCCAGCAGGGTCATCCTGGGCCGGGCCGGCGGCGGCTGGAAACAACTCGACCAGAACAACGTTGGCATCCGCGTCAACCAAAAGTATCGGCTGAGGGTGCGTGCCATCGGCAACTCCATCAACGTCTGGGTCGACGGCAACCCCTACATCCAGTACCGCGACTCGACGTACAAGAAGGGCATGGCTGGTGTTCGCGTCTACTCTACTGGCGCTGTCGTTGACAACTTTACCATTCAAAAGATTTGATTTCGGCGTTGTAGTATCAAAACGGTAACGTTATTGCTGGCGCAGTCGTCGAAGCTTCACCATTTAATACGTGTAATTTCCATTTTGTACTTTAGTACAGTGCTGTGTTGTTGGCGCAGTCGCTGACAACTTAAGCATTCAGGGGGTTTGATTTCTATAGTATTTAATTACTATTTAATTACTGTAACGAAGCGTTTGCAATTGTGATTCATTGCAACGCAGTTAGCTGCTAGTGCAAAATACATTTTAACTTAGTCCTTACTACTGAAGTTATAGAGGATTATTCACCTACCTTCCAAGTAGCTATGAAACCGGAAGACAGTGTTAAATCAGTCCTAGCTTTTGTTAATAAGACTATATATATTGTTAACAGTAGTTATACAGGGACTTTTATAATTGGCGAGTTGTTTCGTGGTCGAAATACTTGACAGCTGCATAGATAGCGCTTTCAGTGAGAGACTTCATGAAATTATAGCCTGTGTAGCTATGACTGACCGCTTTTTCAATCATGTCTTCCGTGATAATACTGCCTCTTGACTGAAATTCAGCTAACCATGGAATGTTGGCCATTGTCGCAATATCCCATGAATTCTCCGCTGTATCAAGATTGGCTATCCCAGCTACTTCTCCCCATGCCAATAGCTCTAGGGAACCTGGTTTAGTCAATCGGCCGATAATACTATCAAAGTCATCAAACTTCTCTCAAATCTTGATATGGCGGTGCCAGTTGCGCGCAGCATAATGAAGAAACGGATGGCGAAGAATTTGTTCTGCCAGCTGACCAGAGTCTCGGCAAGGCACAGCTTCAATGAAGTCTGTGAAGCACAAATATGTCATACATATTTTAGCTAAATAAATGCCAGGTTGTAGGCCTCTGCAAAAAGCAGCCTTGGTTAGGTGTTCACTTTTGAGAAGGAACTCTTTGGCAGACTGGTGAATTAGGTATACCTTGCTATTAATAATAGCCGAGTCATTTGTGGACGTAGACGTTGTGGCCGTGACGGCGGAGACTGGTGAGGTCGTGACTCCAGAGGCTGATGAGGTCTTTTGTGTTGCTATCGATGTCGTCTTTTGTGTAGATATTGATGTCGTCTTCTTTGTGGACATTGATGTCGTCCGTGTTGATGTCTGCGGAATCTTGCTGCTCAGCACGGCGACTTGGCAGTTTGTCCGCGTAGAAGCAGTTGACAAGGTCTCTTTCAACCAACACTGGCCATCGTGATACACAGCAGCAAGGCAGCTATTGGTCCGATCACACCAGGTGATGCAGTCGCCAGAACAGCCCAGCGGCTTCGTCGCCAAGTCACCTCCCGGACGGTCTGCATTGCAGGCAATGGTGAAGCTTCTACCACTTGGCTCCTTGATCTGCTGGCTATTGAGACTAATGCAGTTGGCAAAGTCAAGCGTTGCCACGGATTTGATATCGCCACGAGGGTGATCAGTGCCGCATTGAACCGTGAAGCCCTTTCCGCTGGCCCCCTTGATCCGATTCAGACCATCGGCCGGGCATGCAATCGGCGCCGGTACATACTGCAAGCGAACCAGGCCGCTCACTTTACTGTTAGCGAAGGCGGCATTCACAGTGGACTTGAGGCAGCATGACTTGCTTGTAGCAGCGTAGGAGGCGGCACGGCAAGCCGCCTGTGTCGAGCAGATATTGATGCAATTATGGAGGTTATTAGCGGTGAATGCCTAGTTCGAGTCACGTAGATGCTGCCATGCTATCTAGGCCAGCTGGCGTTCCTTCTGAGTCGCAGAACGAGAGATTGCTTGTATTGTTGGCCGAGTCAAGTCTTCTCACATAAGACTATCGGTAGTCTATTGATTCTGGTTCAGCTGAAGTAGATCTCCCAGGGCCCCCAAAGATTTGATCACTGATGCCAGCAAAGAACGCCTGTTGGCCCTATGAAGAAGCATATGCAGCACATTAATAGTCTCCAGTTAAGCAAAATGCGGCTGGGAAGGGGAGGCCCGAGCCATTGTTCCTGGACGGCGTTTGGCTTGAACCCCTTCAACTATGCCAACAAGCCAACAAGTTGGACTAGCGGGCATACTTCTTAATGGGAAAAGACCCTGCTCAGCCTTAGAGATGCTGTCATGCAAAAAAGGGTTCGACATACAGATGGAGCTTATGCTTGACTCTTACAACGATTGGCAAAAATATCAAAAACATACAACAGCCGGTGTTCGCCAATGGTCACCCACTTGACTACTAATCTGCCGGTTAATGGCTTGTCTATGGGGGAGCAGACGGGACCCCGAATTTTCCATTACCTATGGTCGTATGTGCTCGTTGTGGTGTTGAGGCAGGTTATAAGGATAATGCCACGAAGCTATAAGGAGCAAAAAACATACAACAGCCGGTGTTCGCTGATGGTCACCCACTCAACTACTAATCTGCCTCTCATTGGCTTGACTCTAGGAGAGCAGACGGGATCCCGTATTTTCCAATGGATATGGTCGTATGTGCTTGGTGTTGAGGTAAATTGCTCTATATCACAAGTATTTCAAAGAGGCCAAAAAGTAAAACATACAACAGCCGGTGTTCGCTGGTGGTCACCCACCCAACTACTAATCTGCCGGTTAGTGGCTTATCTATGGGGGAGCAGACGGGACCCCGAGTTCTCCACTACCTATGGTCGTATGTGCTCGAAATTCTATTGCAACAACTTATAACAGTACAATCAAGTCCTCAAAATGCATACCAAAAATTCCAGACGCGTGCCGAACCACGCCATCATCATGGCTGGCTCCTGCAATCATCCAAACAAACCACCTCGCATTTGCAGAAATGCGCTCCTCTTGGCGGAATTCTTGAAGCCCATGTACAAACTTTCCTCATGGGGATGATTTGAATCGCAGAAATAGAAATGGCACAGGCAAAGGAGCTGGAGCTTCTGGGCGAAACTGAGCTCCAGTCCAAAACGCCGCCTGGAGGACGCTTCCCCATCAGCTGTCCGACTCTCGATCTGGCGGCATCTTGGGATCAGGACGACAGGAACTTGCTTGTGTACCGGCCACCGGGTCAAGTCGTTTCCAAGATACACCAGGTTGCTTCGCCTGGAGAGAAAGTGCCCGAGGTGTGCGCAGTGACATGGAGACCTGATGGTAAATATGCCCTTGTATATGCAATATGCATTCTCTTGTATATTCCACTGTGTATGCCTATGCTAACCGTAAAATCACAGGCCAATTTCTATCTCTGGGGTGGAGTGATGGCGTTGTGCGGCTCATGGGCTTGGAGAACAACAAGGCTGCGCATCATATCCCGGTCTGCGACAAGGCTGCAGCCACAATCACGCACATTGGCTGGTCGACCGCCATCATCGCAAGCAAGGCAGATGGAGCCATCGCTAAAAGGCTTGGGGATGACTTCACACAAGGATGGACCGAGCCAGGAGCCAAGACGCCTCTCGATCTGCCTCAAGAGCTCACCTTTCTGGAAGTTGAGACGGCGCTGCCCAGAATCAGCCCCTTGCCGACGAGTAGTGCTGGCGCAGGGTGAGCTTTGGTTCTTTTTTCTTTACGTCTGTTGATCTAGCTTGGTTTGTGATATCCTAACTTTTGGACAGCGAGGATGCTACCGTCTTCACTCTTCGCAGCGGCATCGACTTTCTCTTCCGGACTCCCAAGCGAGACACTTACGATCAAGTCAAGGTGATGATTGTGGGAACCAGCAATGGCAAATTGCAGCTCAGCATCTACGACTCCTTCGTCATTGGAACCTTTCCACAGCCACTGCTAGACTCGCCAGCGTCAGCACCGTCAAGTGCAATGCACATGATACTCCATGCAGCTCACCCACGAACATCAACGCATTCTCTCATCTACGCAGAAAACCAAAATGAGCCACAAGAGGTTCATCTTGTTCCTATGGACTTACCATTCCTCTCTTTTTCTCCCATCAATCTATCCCTTCTATCCTCCAAACTCACTACCCTCCAAGCACTGCTACGATACCTGAAACAAACATCTCTTCATATGCAGCTCGAGTGGAAAAACGCAAGAGAGCTTCCGGCTCGCTTCCTACGCAGCGTACATGGCGACTTGGAAGAGATGAACGGCGGCCCAAACGAAATTGTCTCTGCCCTGTTTCATACGGCTTTGACTGGCCACGCTCACCCTCCTGTAAAGGAGTGGCTCGTCGATAGCCTAGCAGAGCGGGTAAGTAATCAGCTTCATTCATCACATTTCTTCAAAGCTAATCCGCATTTTCAGGGCCACAAACGCTGGGACAAGGCAGTCACATCTGGCCTAGAAGGTCTCCGCAGCCTCGTCCATCAATATTTCCTCCCAGCCCTCGAGCGCTGCTCCATCATCCTAAGCCGCCTACGTGGTCTGGCCCGCTTCTACAACGACCGCGAAGACATTGGCCTATCCATTCCCCATCTCAACCGTGTTCTCGACACCATCAGCTGCCTCACCCTAGTCGGACACAAGGTCCTCATCCACACAATGGACGAGCTCCAGCATTTCTCCGCCTTTTCAGCGTGGCTCCGCTTCCAAATCGACCAGCTGGGCGGACCTGGAACTGGAGCCGACGAACTCACTGACAAGGAAGCCATGATGGACCACACAAAAGTGCTGACCTACATTGAGCGCTACCTCACAAATAGCCCTCTCGACATTTTCCTCAGTGAGATTGCCAAAGAGGATTACGACTCCGACTTGAAATTTATAGACGACGGCCCAACACTGCTAGACGTCTTGGACAAGCAGCTCAAAAAGCACGAAGCCGGCCAGCCCAGCATGAAAGCCCTCCCACACGTCGACTTCCTCGTCAACTACGCCACGACATGGTCCAACAACATCTTCAGCAGCATCGCCGAGGCAAAGAGACGCAGCGTCCGCTTCGGCAAGCCAGTCAAGCTATCCATCGGAAAGCCCATCACCAAGATGGACATGAAAATGCTCGGCTCTAGCAAAAGAAGCGGTACTGTCTTTACTGCGTTGGCGTCGCAGCAGGATCCCAGCAAAGTACACTTGTTCCGGATGGACATGGCGATAACAAATGGAATCAGCGATAACAAGCCGGTGGTGGCCTGCGTCATCGATCTTGGCTCTCGATTGCTTGTGGACTTGAAGTTTCTCAACGATAAATATCTTGTGGTTTTCTGTACCGAAAACAGTATGTTTCATTTACATCCACCTAGGCAGCTGTTCACCTACTAACACTAAAAAAGACAATACTCCATTAATCATCCTCATCCCCACACAAGACGAATCGAGCATCTCGTACAGCCCTTACGATGCTGCAAATCCTAACCAGATGCCCTCTTTAACATCAGCCGACACCTTTACGACACATCACTTTCCAGCCAACCACCAGATACTTCGGCCCATTCGTATGGAGGTCCATGATAGAAGCGAGATTAGAGGGGAGATGCCTGCGCGAATCTGTCTTTTGAGCAGTAATCGCACGACATGGAAGACTTATAAAATACCCATCGAGGAATGATTTATCATTTGTTAGGTCTAGGAGCGAAATTATAACTCGAGAGAGACACAATTGCGATGAACAGAAGGCACTGTTTAAAAGGGGATAAAGAATCACCATTACTCAATTAGGAATCATGTACCGTAATGCTATAAACAGCTCTCTGCCTCCAACAATTAAGACGGGAGAATAAAAAAATGCCAAAAAAACGCCTGCCGTTGTAGTACACACACGCAACACTTGCCCCAACCCTCATCTAACCCGCAACATTAATCTTTGGTTTTGTTATGTCAAAAAACTCCGTCAAGCCTTCCACCACAGCCTCGACATTCATATTCACCAACGGCATCCGATCATAAGAGTCATCCGTCATAATGGCCACCAGCGCGAGATAGCGATCGACCTCCCGCAGCATAATGGGTTTGTGGCTGTCGTGCAAGACGAGGCAGCTCTCTGCCGTCGAGCAGCCCACCTGGTCCTCCAGCTTTGCATTCCACGGCTCGCCCTCGAGACGTTTGCGGCCATCGTCGCTGCGCTGCCACGTGCCGTAGATTTCAGTAATGTCGATGATGACGTCGATGTAGTCGCTGCAGATCTCGTAGCTGGCCATGTCAGCCGTCGCAGAATCGGTAGCAATGTAAATCTTGGAGAGCACGTCGAACAGGTAGGCTTTTTCGAAGCGGCATGTTCGGCAAAGATTTGTGAGCATTGACTCGAGTGTTCCGAGCCGCGGGATGAGCTTTTGGATGACCTTGCTAAAGGCCTCGAAGATGGAGTGGTTGTAGATGGAAGTAAGGTGGAAAGTAACGGGGGCGTTTTCGAAGCCATGGTCGGATAATTCATCTTGAATACGAATAGTAATGTCCCTCTGGATATCCAGCTTATAATCATCTGATAGGCCATCCACTTTGTGAATAAACACCTCGATGTTGATATTGGGATATGATCGCTGGAGAGCAAGAATGGTGACGTTGAGACGGGCGACAGCCTCGAGATAGTCGTCCTGAGCATCAATGACCCAGATTAAGGCGCCGAGTCCACCAAAGATGGCGTCCATGTCGAAGCTAGGGTTATCGTAGACATCGATCTGGCCTGGGAAATCCCAGATCTGAAAGTCCATAAAGGATCTTGTGTGATGACGGGATCAGTTGGGGAAACATTGTCACTCGTAGAAGAGACGGATGAGAAAGAAGACTCACGACATGGTGTCCTTTTGTATCCGCGCGGTTGATTCGAGAAACAGCGTCTCATTAGGCGCGAGCTTGTGGAAGACCACGCTGGAAATGGATGACTTTCCGCTCCTATCAGATGCGCACCAATCAGTAAATCACACCTTTTGTTTGATTGCGTCGTCGGCTTTGCGCAAATCGACGTACCGTCTCTGTCCCATCAACAGCAATCGCGGCTTTCCCTTTTCCAACGCGCCGGCTGCTGGGTCGGCAGGTCTCAGCGTACCCTTTTTTATCGGTTCCTGGAAGCTCTGCTCATAAAGAAGTTGAAGTTTTAGCCTGGCTGGACTCATGACACCGGAACGAACGGGGGAGCGACGAAGGGCATTGAGGTCGGCGAGCTGCCTGTCTGCGGGCGAGTCGTAGATGGGAGGGCTGAGAGACATTGTGGATGCTATTTCTGCGATGCTCTGCAGCTTCAGGATCTTGGGGGAAACGCTCTTTATCCCAACACTTGTGAAGCAAAGATTGTTTGTCTGCTCTTCTCATGGCATGGCATGAAACGTCCTTGCTCTGCAGTAATTTCCGGCGGACACGACAGTTATCAAAGCTCACTCGAGCCCTGCCCTCTCTCTCCCATATGCAGCCCGTCCTCACCGATGTTGCTTTTGCGCAGCCCGCGGCCTGCCCCCAGCACATGCACAACGGCACAAGCCACAAAGTCCAGGGCCAAGGCAAGGCCTCATTCACCTCGTCCGACCTCGCGGCGCAAATCAGGCATCAAAGGTGACACGAGCCATCTCGTCCTCTGCGTCGTCACACGTGCTGCTCTGGCTGCTCTGGCTGCTCTGCTCTACCTGCTGCTGCTGCCCAACTTTGACCAGCCGCAGCCCAAGCGAGCCGAACCTTGAACCATGTCGTGCCCACTTGAGCAAGCCGTCTGTTGTGCATAGTGCTAATGTCCTCCGTCAAAAGAGGGCAGACGGTCACGAGCCAAAAGGGGAGCGTCTTCTTTCGGGCCATCGGACGATTTTGCCGTGGTCCCTGCGAGTCCAGAACAAAGAAGCAAACCAAGGGGGCGAAAACAAAAAGAAAAGAGACACAATAACAGCCAGCAGAACAGCCAGCATGTGGGTGACACACACAGAAACAGACTGCCGCGAGCTCACCGGAGCAACGGGAGAGAGCCCTGCCCACTGTGCGTGTGACAAAGCGCTTATCGAGACACAAACATGCAAGGCTGGCAATCCTCTTCTCGGCAGCAGCTGGGATTTGTGAAGCGAGACATTGGTACAAACCACCGCGGGCGAATAGGTCTCATACGCAAAAAGAAAAGACAAAAAAAATCAAGAAATGCTCACCTCCATGGCTGCGATGAAGCCAGAAAACCACAAAGCGACGAAAAAGCGCCAACCAATCGACGCCTAGTCAGTGTGACGAGGCCACAGCCAAAATGCAGCAGCTCCGTCCAGCGAATCGGATCAAATGCAGACGACAATCTCGGTCGTTGCAGTGGCTCTTCGCGTCGTCGTCGCGTGTGTCGTCGTGCAGGTGTGGCGAGCGGGCTTTTTTCGCAGGGGGTGGTTACAGCTGCATTTGCTGGAGATCAAGCTGCGATTGACGGATCGACGAGTTGAGTTGAGGCCGGCGGGGATGGATTCCGGTGAGTAGGTAAGCAGAGCAGGCGTTTAGTGGCTGGCGGGGGGGTTCAGCTGGGGTTTGGGGGGGTTTGGGGGGGTTGCTGGGGCGCGCGGGTGCTCTCCACGGGCGGCAGGGCGCTAGAGGGTGCTAAAAGGGCCTGCTGGAGGTCGGGTCCTTTGCTTTTTCGCAGCTACGTTTGGGGGCGTCCAGGATATGCCGACTATTTGAGCATCCTTCAGCTCAGCTTCGCTTTGTTTCAGCTGGCCATGGCATTGTCAGTCACCGAGAATATACAGGCAGTATCCTTGTCGAAGCTCTCAATATCAGGCTGGAAAAGGCTACATCTCTTCCAGACATGCAGAGCACGCACATCAGTTCATAGTACAGTGTTGCCAAGTCTTGTCAGCAGTCAACAGCCGAGGTCACAAGATACAGACTAGGTTTGAATTATTATGCCATTGTATGACTGCCCTGAATAAGCTTCAGTCTCTAAATACATGGAAGCAGTTCCTCCTCAGAATTTGTCTCGGCTCTCTACCCACTCAACGTGTCTCGCTCTCTTGCCCAGCGTCATCCAAAACGTCAAAAGTCAGCAAGCATCAATGAAACACAAGCCGTGTATTGTATCTCATGCTCCATCTTCACGCAGATTTGATAACTTTATAACCCCATAATCGGCACCAGACTCCCCAAGTCTCTCAGTCGAGCTGGACTAAAACCATCATAGGTGGTCGATTTCGCAATGCATCCAAACGCCAATCCATGTATGCTGCTTTTGTTTCCATGCGTATACACCTTCTCCCAATCATATCATCCATAGAAACCATCCATAGAAATCTTTGACCATTGTAGAATCGCCAAAGTGCCTCCCAAATAACGCTCCCTTTTTCGCTTAATCAATAACATGCCCATGTCGCTACATAAACGACTTCTGCACTCTAGTCTTTGGCGACAAAAGACCCGCCTCTGCTTTCCTCTTTCCCAGAACCGGCTCTGGAGTTCGCCGTGAATGGCCGGGCGTAGATTCTCGGTCCCTCGTCGCCTCGGCACGGCACGAGGCGTGATAGGCCCGGTTGCCCACCAGCATTGTATCGAGCCATACCCATTCTTGGACAGTGTCGAGCCACTTGTTCTCAAACCGTTCCTGACAGATTGGGCAAACATTGTTAATGCCGCTGCTTGAATCTGGCACGAGGATGTACTTTGGACCTTCTGCGTCCTTGGAGGCTTGGGCCGACTCTTCTTTGGAAGACACATCGTGGATCGCGTCGACAGCTTCCCGGGCTTTGAGCCAGTCCTGGATTCCGCGTTAGATTAGACAATCAAAAGTTTGGGGCAGAGTCGACTTACCTGCTGATCAACGTACCAGCTCCGATGGGTGCCCCGTTTCTCGGCCTCGGTGCTCCGCTGGTGCACTTGGAAATGCCAATCCATATGAGCCGTCTTCTTTCTCCTCCCCTCTTCGTCAGCCCTGAATCGCCTGCCGCACTGCGTACATGGCGGTCCTAGATCGTCGTATAACGCAGCAATGGACTCGGGACGAAACCTACGTCATATCATGTCAGTAAATGTCTCATGATATCAGAGGGTGCAAAGCCCGTGGAATGCCAACTTACTGTTTCTTAAGAGCAAAGTCTATTCCGGTGGAGCTGGCCGGGCTATCTGCACTTGACCGGCCAGAGTCTGGCTTATGGGCTGCCAGTAGGCTCGCAATGCTCGCTGGTAAGCCTGAAGCGAATAAAGAAGGCGGCAGCACAGGGGCAACTGGCGGCTGGCTGGGAGCTGGGACATTCGTAGGAGTCGCAGGTGGGAGCATACCCGCAGCTCGAAGCTGATCTAACAGGGACGAGGCACCCGAGGCTGGAGCCGCGGCCATGGGTGGTGGTGCTGCCGCTGCCTTGGGTGGCTCGTTGTGATTCATCTGCGGTGACCGTATAGGGACGCCAGCAAACGGAGGCGTGGGCGTTGAGTTGTTGTGCTGAGAGCTGCCCGATTGCATGCTCAGCAAGGCCGCCATCGCCCCTCTCCCGAGCAGTGAATCAAGAGTCACTGGCGCAGCGGACTGGGCCGCTGGCACAGGTGACGGAGTTACAGAAGTAGAGGGAGGATGCACGGGGAGTGTCATAGACGGCGCCACGGGTGCTGGGATAGGGGTAGAATTTGCAGAGCTATGGCCAAGAGTGGCCCTTATTGTCACGGCAGCAAGTTCTGTTACTTTGTTTTTAATGAGCTCAAGCTGGTCTGGTGGCAGATTGGAGTGCTGTACAACGCTCTGGAGATCCAACAGAGCCTTTAACCTGCTCTGTGCTCCGCCATCATGCGGGTTCTGCGAGAACTCGGCCCTCATTGCAACAATCAGGTTTTGAATGTCACTGCTCAAGGTCTCTACGCTAATTCCAGACGGCAGAGGCAGTCCTGAGCCGTATGGTCCTTGGGCGGCTTGGGGGAAGGGAGCTGGAGTCGAGTTGTAAGGGGCCGAATTAGATGATGGGGGATAAGGAGCAGGCTGTGTACAGGCGCGGTCAGAATGAATACCCAACAAACGAGAAGCATGGTGTGAAGAAATGAAGAAGCTCACCTGTTGTCCCGGATAGCCAGCAACTGGCTCGCCGGGATGCCCTCCGTTGGCAAACGGGTGAGATTGTGGTGGAAAATTCCCAGCCGGGCCAGCGTATCCGCGCATTCCAGGCGGCGTCGGTGTATTCCGATTAGGGAACATTGCTGATCGAGGTCTGCCTAGCATAGCGCCCTGCTGTTGAGGCATGCTTGCTGCTCGGGCCTTCATAAGAGCATTCTCAATTGGCCGCACCAGCTCATGTGAAAAGACAGGGCGTGTGTCCATTGATCCGGGAACGGGGTCTTTCCACGTTTTGAGCATCTCCTCCATCTTCCTGCGCACGCCATGGTCGACTACCGAGTATGATTCCATGAATATCTTGAAAAGAGTTCGGCCAAAATAGAGCGTATATGGGGTGCCAACATTCTTGACAATGGAGTCCATTACATATAGGGCGGGCAGTTTTTTATTCGGTGGTGCCTGGTTACGAATAAGCATATGAACATCCAACAAGGGGATAGAAAAAGGGACACTGCTTCATGAAAAGGGTAACAAGAGGGAGATGCCATTGTGTCAATCAGTTCATCCCCCAAACGAGTATTTAAAGAAAAAGAGCTAGTATCCTACCTTTAAAATGTGCTGCTGCAGAACCTCTGCGATAGCCAGAGCATGCTCTGTGTTCTCTCTGGCAATTACTGTCAAGTTGCTGATCTCAAAACGCATATTAGAGGACAGATCCTCGAGGGCAAGGCGGTAATCCTCCGCAACCTCATCGCCATCAGATGACATTTTGAATTGTTCTGTCGATGGCTCAAATAGTATCTTTATAGGGGAGAAAAAAAATAAGAGGCGTCGACAGTCAGATATGGCCAGAACAACGAAAAAGCAGCAATGATATCTGCTCAAGGTCCCAAGGACACAAACAAACAAACAAAAGAAAACGTCTCCGCCGCTTTGAGTAGATAGAAAGCTAAGGTTCGTATGGGCAACGAACGAAAGGGAATCAGACACTATGACCGCACGTTTCAAGAAGAGGCGAAGTATATTCCAAGAGATGCTTTTCCTGGCCTTCACCGTCCTCAATAACTCTAAACTCAGCCACCAAGCTATCCGTCTTGAACCTTTGTAAAGCCCTTCAGCGTGCCTCTTGACGTCACCTAGATCACTCGCTGCGATATTCAAACACTATGCCCGCAGCACGCCTACGCTAGAATGACCGCCTGTGGCCTGTGCCGCGTATGTGGGATGTATTGTGGGAACAGCTACTTCAATTATCGCCTCGAATGCCGCGTCGTCGTCAGAATGGACAGGATTCGGTCTCGCTTCAAGACAAAGGGCGTTGGAGATGGAAAGGGGAGCAAGGACAAGTTGGCTCGCTAGAAAAGAAAAAAGATTCGAAAACCGTAGACTGTCTCCCTCCTACAGGAAGAAACTCTACACCGTCGAGATGAGCGCTTCAGGTCGCCAGAGATGCCATTGAGAAAGGGAAGATGAGAAGTGTTGAATCGGCAAACAAAGCAGCCGGTTAGAGTTCGATGCTAAGTTTCATCACGTGATATATCGGCTTATCAGTATCAAATGCCGCACGGGCCACCTGGGCGATGATTCGGCAAAGACGAATTGCAATAAATAACATGTGAATAGATGTCAAGAGACGCAATTCCTTTGGATTGGGATAGCATTTGTCCACATTGATTCATTATTCACGGGAGAGTAGTCAATTGCAAAATGATTGCCAACTGTGACAGCTTCTTTTGCTCACGTGCCTACGTGACTGGACTTGGACCATCTAGTATGCTTACATAAGAATATACGTATTCACGTGAAGATGAAGCTCCATCACGACTGGGGACATGTTGCTCTTCATTGTTGGTTTTCGCATTAAATCATTGCTAGAGCACCCTAAAAGAAATGTAAACACAAAGAAATCAAAAAGGCAATTCCCTGCCCACTTTGGGGTATTCCGTAATTATGAAACTGCAATGTTCCGGTCCTCAACGCCCCTGATCCATCCTATTCATCCATCTCGGCCATGCGAATATCATCCTTTTTTTTTACACTTTCTGTTCTTTTCTGTCACACGAGACAGATACTTTGGATCGAGAGTCTGTCCAGCGATATCAAAAGCGAGACATGTTGGCCTCGGAGTACCGGCTGCTGCGGCTGCTGCGGCTGTTCATTGGGTGCAGAGCCGTATCAGGACGCTTCAGGCCCGGAATAATGGGACTGTCGCTCTGAGCTTCGATATCGCGGACATGATGAGTGATGATGTAGGGCGGGTGACTTTGAGCCTGGCCGCTCATGTATTCTTCGTCCTTTTCGCTTTTCCAAAACATGAACTTGCTCCTCGTCTTCTCGTTTCGGATCGAGGCCGACCTGCTGCTGCCGCCGTACTCGGAGTATTGGCGCTGAGACCGCGCCAGCGAGCCGTTTGCGCGGATGTCGCGAGACGTGATGCCCTCTTTTCTGTCGCACCAGATGAATGAGCAGACAAAGTTGAGAAAGCCGAAGATAAAGGACAGGATGCCCGCGGCGAGCACCAGCGAAGAGAGCGCAGAGGACATGTCCAAGTCGTGGTTGAGCATGCCCAAGAGGTTGCAGCCGATGATGATCATGCCGATGCCCAGCCAGCTAAGCCCGTGGTGATCGGACAGGACAGGCCACATGCGGCGCAGGTAAATCTTGATGAATTCCATGAAAGCCAGCTCCGAGACGACGAGCAAAGAGCAAAAGACCGAGACGAAGAAGAGCGTGAAGCACTCAAAGATGAAGTACGGCTTGCTCTTCTGGACGTTGATGATGAGAATCCAGCTAGCAGCGCCGGCAGTCAAAAGAGTGATGACAGTAGCGACTCGAAGGGCCTGGAGAATAACCAGTCCGGCACCTCGAAGCGCCGGCGAATTCATGAAGCCAGCCATGGTTAACTTTTATCGAGAAAAAAATGCAGAATTGCAGAATGAATGATATAGATGATCGTAGGTCGAAATTGCTGGTAAGCCTCAGAAGCAAGCACCGCTCGCAAGTGAATGAGTGTGATGGAGAATATTTGATAGAGAGACCCAGAAAAAGTATTCGAATCCTGTGAATCGTGGCAGTAGAAAAAATCCAGTCGATGCAGAGAAAATGAGGGAACCAGCCCAGCGGCGATGAAAATGAAGACGAAGATGGATGAAAGTTACGTAGAAGAGAGAGTAGAAGAGAAGCGGTAGGTAGGATGAAAGAAAGTGAGAGCTGCTGTTCAACGACCGGAAAGCAGCTTCAATACCGTTCAATAAACAATTGTTAAAAAAGACAATAGGAAAAAAAATGACTGACGACAATAAGAAAAAATTACGCTGAGAGGGGAAAACGGCGTGCAATCTGAGGAGAGGCTCAACAACTTCTTTAATAAGAGCATAGACTACAATTCCACCACCGTTTGCCGCCCAAGCCAAAGGCAAAAAAAACCCTTGCAGCTGAAACAAACAGTGGCTAACAAAAGCAGCGCTCTTCCGATACACATGGGGAAAAAACATGCAGCGTGTGCAACCCGCATCTCTTACTCCCATTCACGGCATGCGCCAAATCTTTTCTTTTGGGCAGCCTCCAGGGCCAATCGTTTGCACAGGACCATTTCCAGCAGCCCAGATGCCAAAATAGAAACGGACCAGCTTAGCCGCGCCGAGAGCAGCTTGTTTCATGAACAAAACCCGGTCTCAATGGATGGTCGCGCTTGCGCCAGAAATCGCAGCAGCTGAAGCTCAAAAGAGCTCCTGATCCAGACCCTGTCGGGGGAAGCCGCCACGCCAAAAGTCTGGCGCAGAGTCGCATCGGCTCATGCTGAGATGATGCCGTCGTTTGATCCAGGCCAATAGAGGCGCGGCGGCAAGTGGCCTGGAAAACGGGCCATGAGTTGAGAGTCGTTGATTCGATCTCAAGGCCGGGATTGTGACGAGGATTGATTGGCTGTGAAGACGTGTAAGTGTTTCAGCGAAGCGTTGGAGTTGCGCCAGCGCGCTACCGCGGGGAAGTTCTGTGTACCGCTACTGTAGGCAAGAATGGTAGGCAGCGCAAGTACATGTACATCATTGCTTTTGTTGCGAGGTTACCATAAGAGAGCAGCCAAAAAGAAATAACTTGCCCTGCATGCAGTCGTTTGAGGAGCAGGATTAGCTAAAGTAAGCTTCTATTGCGCTTTTACTATTCTCTTACCTACGGCTGCAGAATATCCAGCCAGTAATGAGCTCATCGACTCGAGATTCATGCCAATCACAGCAGCCCTTTGTCAAACGCCGAGATTACTTGCTACCCGGATATAAAGAACCAGTAGGCCCCAAAGTGCTCCGGAAGCAATTCCGTTTTGTCAATGGATGGTTTACGAGCCCAGCACAGCATTCCAGCCAGAGATTGCGGATGATATTCCTGATATCCGCGCTCGGCAGTGGCTGATTAAGGCAACTGCACCTTGATAGCCGCCGAGCCTCATACCGGCTGCCCGGGTCATAAAAATCCGTTCCCAGGTGTCGTCGAATGCGGAAATCCCTGCATAATCCGCCCTGAACAAGGCCAAAGCATCGTCACTTACCGAGGGAAACAAGACAAGCCGTTCAAGGGAGGGCAATCGAATGTACCCTCTAGCTATTGCGAACATGAGAAGCTACAAAGTTCCAGTCTGCTAGTGCATCGCTGCTTATCCGCGAGCCCCAGCAAGCTGTGATTGGTCCTTGCCGCCACGGCTTTTAAAGGCCCACGTAGACCGTTGCCAGCCAAAGCTTCACCTTTTATCCAACTTCACCTGCGCAATTGTCTTCGAGGACCAGCTCCTAAGGCGCCATCATGACCCGTGGAAATCAACGTGAGTTGGCTCGAGCCAAAAATGCCAAGAAGGAGGCTACCAAGGTACGCTGAAATCACCTTTTGAGATACTTTTTTTCGTGAGAAGGGGCAGGAAAAGGCTAACGTCATGCCATAGAAAGGCGCCAACGCCAAATCTGGCTCCGAGCTGGCGAAGCAGGGCCTAAGCGACGCCGAAAAGATGCGACAGAAACAAATGGACGGTCAGTGTGCATTGCGAAAACATGCTCCTTTTCCAAGCATATTACTCTAGACGAAATAACACGGAAGCTAACGAATCTCTCATCACCAACAGCCGACAAGAAAAGAGCGGAAAAAGAAGCAGAAGCGCTAAAGGCGAAGGTAGAAGCGAAAATAAAAAAATAGAAACCAGACCTGGGAGAGGCGATTCAGCGGTGGATACCACAATGCGATAATTCCCAATGGCAACGGCAATAATGGTTACGGCGAAACTTGGCGCGACTTGCAAATTATACAATACGGCGCAATCTTTGGGGCATTTCACGTAAAAATAGAGAGGAAGGGAGGGGGGGGTGTGTTTTTGACTAGCCATGGATATACAGCGGAATTGATGTTTTCACTGCTCTCGCGATGCCAGTGATGATGAGCCTGGATGAAAGCGTTCCTTGCCATCTTGAGTCTGCGATTTATAGGCTATGATGACACTGCGGCTCGGTTTAGTCGTGGTTACTTGGCCGTTTAAAAGGCAAAGGTTTGCGTTGTGAAACAGGTGGTATCTTTCTGCCGCAGATGCCGGCACTGTAAACCCACAATGCAGCAATACATGTAGAAAAAATGGATATCTCAACGTCGTTGGATATCTGCTTATCTTAGTTCGATATCTATTCTAAAAGTTTCTGCTTACTAGGTATCCAGGCATCAATGCTCGACTGTGCTCATCTGCAATGTTGTAGACATAGGGGAAGCCACCTAGTTCCACGTTTGATATTAACACTCCAGCGCAGCCATCAAAGCTGCGCATCGACGCGGGGCCTTGTGACAATATTAGCTTACCACATGATATGCTACCATATTTGAATTTTGCAGTATACCATTCAAAATGTACAAATAACGCACTTGAGTTATCCGTGTATTGTTTTGTATTCCAATGCCTAAATTCTAGGGTAGCAAATTATTCATTGAGGCGCTCAGCCGGGAGCTAGACGTTACTTATTATAGACGAGCGTTGATTCGCTGAAGCCAACAATACCCACATTAATTTGATAACACCGTCATCCTTTCGCAGCCTCGCCAGCTTGCAGCTTCAATCCCGCAGCCTCGTCTTCGCCTGGCCACCTGGCTCCTTCTCCCCGGTCACTGACGCTCTGTCAAGCGGTGCCGTCCTCACAATGGCGATTTCCTGGGATTCGTAAGTAGTTCGACACGCCGCTGTATTATCGATCGTGCTAACAGCCAATCGCAGCATCCGGGCCTTTGTCCTCTTCTTCGGGCCCATGCTACTGCCCAAAGCCATCTCCTACTATCGAAGCGTCCGATCCGGTGCGCGACGACATGGCCTTTCCGTGCAGCCCGTCCCAACAACGATCCGCATAGCCATATTCATGCTCTCATTCTTCGCCTTCTTGCTCGTCCTCAAGACACTGCCCTTCTTTTCGCCCGAAAACGTCTTCACCAAGACGCAGAGCCGGCTGCAGATACCCGTCGACGTGCTCTTCAACCGCATCTCAGCCGTGCGGCCCAACAACGTCTACACCGAATGGGATCACGTTCTTAGGTCCAAATTCGTCAACCAGGAAAGCCGCCTCCTGTACTTCCAGTTCGGCCCGGAAGTACTGGCCGAATGCCTCTTCTGCAGCGCTGACGAGCCGAGGAGCTACTTCTACTATGCCCTCCCCGCGATCCTGTGGCCGCACATTGCAAACTTGACTGCGCTCGCTGTCGTGACGAGTCCTTCGGTGACGGGCAAATACGGCTCTCAGTGGCGGGGGCTGGCAACGATTGTCTCTGCGGTTCTTGCCGGCCTGGAGGTGTATTTCGTGCACTCTTACAACCATCAGGCGAACTCGCGGGCGCTGCGTCTGAGCGATGTAGACTTTTTCTACTGGACGATGCGCAACTATAGATTTGTCGCCCTGGCAGCTCTTGATGCTGTTGTTGCGTTTGCTTTATACCTGTCAGCTACTAACCGTGCATTCGTCCAGCCTCCATCTCCGGCAGAGCGAATTGAGCTTGTCAACAGGGCGCTCGTTGCTGCCAAGAGCAAGGTGAATGCGTCTGGCATTGTAAAGAACACAATCATGCGGGACGAAGATTTGCGATCCCGTTCGCAAGGCTACTGGCAGCACGAAGTTCGACTCATGGGAGAGGTTATGGAGGAGCGAGAAGTCATTGATGGCGTGAATGACGCCCTAAGCAACAGGATTGATATCCAAAACATCACCCGGGATGCAGAAACTTATACGCAGGGCGTTTTACGACAGCAAGAATAGATTGATTTGGCATGCTAGATAAATTTGGATACATGTATATATATTTCTGCAAGTCTCATTACAGCAAGGCGCTGTTGCTAGAGTATCGTGTTAAGGATGAAATTAAATTCTGCTCTAGAATATCTATCATTTCTAACAATACTAAGACCTTGAATCCGGCCGCCCTATCGTGACACCAGCACCCGTGGCCACGCTGCTTGCGCTGCCTTTTCTAGACGGACCGTCGCTGGTTCCCTCTTGTGCACTACGCTCTAGGAAGCCAGCCCAAAGCTCAGCCAGCGATTCCCTGTCTCTCGCGGATGAGGGCTCCGAGAATATATCTGCGCTAAGTGACGGCGAGCTGGGCGTGCGCTGAAAGGGGGAGAGAGGGAGACGCAAGGTGCTGGAACCGCCTGGTCGAGCAAGCCCGGCCTGTTCCCGCTGCTCGTCGGTCCAGTTGAGATAGCCTGCCATGACTTGCAAGACTTGAAACCGCTTGGCGTCGCCCCGGTCCAGCGTGAGGAAATGAAGTAGATGGTTGGTGACAACTTGTCTGTAAAGATATCTATGTTAGCAATGCTTCCCTAAATTCGATCAGAGTCCTTGTACTTGCCTGTCAACATTGTCTTCCGGCTTCGTCTTCTTCAGGTAGCGCAGAGCCTTTGTGAGGTGGTCATTGAGCACAATAGCCTCGTGTCGCAACTTTCCTATGAGAAGGTTCTTTTCCTTGACCTCCTTTTCGAATGGAGACGTGCGCTCGAGCTCTTTTACTAGCTCGTCCTTGGCCTCCTGTGCCTCTGTAGCCTTTGCGACAGCTTCGCGCACCAGTTTCTTCTGTTCCTGGAGCTGTGCTTCACTAGTCTCCACCAAATCGCGAAGCTCTTTCTTTCGAGCGTCTTGGATCTCTCGCAGAGCGTTCTGGAGGTTGTCAATTAGTGTCGCCTGGCTGTCGCGCTCCGAGTTGGCAGCCTCATATCCTTCTCTTAAACCAGCGATTTCCTCTTCCAGCTCGCTGACCTTGTCTCCCAGATTCTCCTTGATGGAACGCTCTTCCATGGCAATGACCTCCCATTCGCCCATGGCGTTGGAAGTCGTCTCCATCTCCTCTTTGAGGTGCTGGATCGCCTTGATGAGCTCTTCCCTCTCTTTCCCCCAGTTGTTTGCAGACAGGTTATTGCGACTGCGCAGAGTAGTCAGCTCCCGTGTGGCATCCTGAAGCTCCTCCTTGAGTTTGGCTATTTCTCCGCTGGACGAATCTGCCGAGTTTCGCAGTTCATCGTTTTGCGCGACAAGCTCTTCAATATGCTCCTTTGCCTCTTCCAGCTCGGCCTTGTCGCGCTTGAGCCTGTCGCTCAGGGTCTCTTTGATCTTCTCGACTCGTCCTAGCAGCGTCTGGTATTGCTCTTCCGCAGTTTCTCTCGCGGCATTGCTGTCCTCTAGTTCTGACTGCAGCTGCGAGATCTCGGTCTGGTGGTTTTCTTGGATGCTTTCCAGCTGCTTGCGCAATTGTTCGACCTCGACCCGGAGAGCCTCTCGCTCCTTGCCCATGGCTTCCAGCTTCGCTGATGTATCGGAATCGCCATCGTGGTTCTGCACGGCGGGCTCGCTATGCTCGTGATTTGGAGGTTCTACTGCGTGCCCGTTGCTCTCGGTCGTGTGCTCCTCTGAGTGATGGGCATTGCTCGGGATTTCCTGGCGGAGTGGGTTAATAGAAGCTCCATCGGACTTGAAACGCTCGACATGGACTAACAGCAGTCGTTGGAGTATCCGGCTCGTCGTCTACTTCGTCCTTGTCGACCCTGACATCGCCGTTGCTCGGCTGGGCTGCTTCTTTGTTCTTGTTCGCATTCTTCTTCTTCTTGTTGCTCTTCTTCTTTGCCGCTGCCTCGTTCGCCAGCTTTAGCACGCAAAACCCCGCCAGCTCGCCATCGTGGAAGGGAAGCACTTCACTAACCTGGACTGGACGTTAGGCTAGGCTCTGTGGCCGCGGTCGAGGACATGGTCGGTAGCCGTGAAATCAAAGAGATGTCATGCGATGCCTTGCGATGCCTCTGCATGAGTTGCGAGTCCCGGCGCAAGATCTCCGTACGAGGATCTTCCGTACAAAAAGGCCGCGATTGGCAAACTAGCTCGCAGGCTCGTCTACGGCGTCCACTCCGATTCGTCTAATCGATGCTGGCGGATACGACTCGTACAAGGTTGGAGTTGAGCTGCGACTGCGGAACCGCCTCCCTCAAGGTGCAATTGAGACAGTGATCCAAAAATGGAGACGCAGCGAAGAGTCCCAAGCAGTTCTGGAAGATTTCGGCACGCGGCGAGAGGCGTCTTCCAGAAGACAGGTGGTCGCCGAAATACGAAGGAATAGGTCTTAGTCCATCGCGGAATACGAGGCCCGTGGTGCCAATTGTCGTACGTATCCCAAAGCCGCTTCCGTCGGGCGCTTAGTCATCAGGATTTTTTTTGATAAGTCCTCCACATTCGCCGCGATTTTGGACCGATTTTTTTCTCTTCTTTTTCTCATCTTACAATCATCTTCGCCATATTTTTTTCGAAAAGGCCGTATATTCATGGCTTTTTCACGACCTTGCGCGAAGTAGATCATCTCGCCTTTTATAATCCCATTGCAGCTCTATTTCCCATGAGCGCAGCGGGTTCGCTTATGTGCGGACATGCTTCGTGATCACGTAGAATTTTTATTTTTATCCTCTCAGGATGAGTGCTGAAGATGAACAAGTCTACTTGCATTTTTAATGAGCCACTGCGCCGTGATTAACCTGCCACGTATGAAAACAATATAAACATAGCGAAAACACCAAATCCCGCGATTAAATTAAGCCTTGGCCTTCTTGGCCTTGGCCGACCTGGGCGTCTTAGGCTTGGCCGCGGCCTTCTTCGCCGGGGTAGCTTTTGTCTTTGCGGGAGTTGAAGGCTTCTCTTCAGCCTCTGCCTCTTCGGTCTCCTCCGCTGGCTTCTCCTCCTCGGACGTTGCTTCAGGAGCAGCCTCAATCGCCTTGGCCTCCTCGCCATTCTCAATTGCAGCGGGTGCGGGTGCCGGGACATCTTTCAGGGCCGGGGCCTCGTAAGAGTATCCCAGTGCCTGTAGCTTGGCAGCCTTCTTTGCACGGTTGTTTCGCTCTCTTGCGACCTTGGATTCCCAGGCGGACTCGGTCTGAGGCTTTGTCAACTGCAGACCGGCCATCTTGTTCCATGGCACCTTTTTGAATCTCCTGTTTGCTCCCTTGAACAAGTCTTCGTGGACCTGGTCCTTGGAGAGAATCTTGCACTTCAAAATGTGTCCAAAAAGAAGGTAGTTGTCCATGGTCTTTGCGACAATCTCGGCCGTGCTGGCCTCGGCAAACTCGACAAAGGCAAAGTGCTTGCTGGCACCGGTCTTCTTGTTGCGCGATAGGCGGAGTCGTGAGATGGGGCCGAATTGAGACAGGTACTGCTTCATTTCGAACTCGTAGAAACCGTGGGGTATCCGTCCAATGTAGACAACGCCGGGCTCCTCCTTTGAAGCCTTGATCGATTTCTGAACATCTTTCGAGACCTTGGGAATCTTGCCGACATCCTGTCCGGGCTGGAACTCTTCCTGAGCCACAGCGTTCTCCTCTTCGGGGTCAATGTTGACGGCCAGAACCTGGAGGTTGTCTTCGCCCTCTTGGCCTTCGGAGTCGGAGTCGTCATCCATCTCAATAACGTCTTCCTTTTCCTCCACCTTTTCCTCCACCTTCTTTTCCTTCTTTTCCTTCTTCTTCTCCTTCTTCTCCTTCTTCTCCTCCTTCTTCTGCTCCTTCTTCTCTTCCTTCAATTCTTCCTTCTTCTCTTCCTTCTTCTCTTCCTTGGCCTTGGGCTTTGGGGATTTGGTCGGCTTGGCCTCGGCTTCCGGCTTTTTGCTGGCCTTTTGCTTCTTCGCAGCTACCGGCGAAGATACTTCGGTGGCTGCTATTGAAGTTGTTAGAATCAGGTAATTCGCAGAAGCTCATTTCAAATCAGCAGTCGTACCCTTTCTCTTTCCCTTGGGAGTCGCCTTTTCCACAGGCTTTGCGGCCTCATTCTTGGGCGATGCAACTATTTCAAATCAGCAATTGCAAAGATAAATCCACCGATATTCTTACCCTTTCGGTTGCGGAGTTCTCGAGGCATTTTATTGGTATTGCTTAATGATACCTTGATACAATGTGGCCGAGGCGTCGCAAATGGCCCTGCAAAAAAAAAAAGTACTGGAAAATTTACGATTCTGCCGTTTTTACAGAGCGGTGAGGCTGCTGAAGGCACGCGATTGGTGGGTCTAAACTTCACTAGCAGCAACGATGCCCATTGAGCTCTATCGATAACGGCCAATGGCTTTCACTGTAGTGCTTCGTACCTCATAGTAGGGTATGTAGGATCTTAATTAGAACAAGATTGCGAATTGCCATTCATTTGTTCCATTGGGTATATTTTGCCGTTGATTTTTGCAATTGTTCTTTGATTCTCTATTGTCGAGAGTTTTTATCCACCCTTCAGGTCAGAAATTGAAGAGTAAAGTACTTGGACTAGTGTACTTGACGGCCTGCGTCTGGAAATTATTCCTTCCACCAACCTCTCCGCAACAACAGCTTTCATTTTCGTCAGGATGAACATTGATGAATCGGACCCTCAACACGAAGAGGTATGGGACGACTCCCTCCTCATTGACTCCTGGAATCAGGCTCTGCAGGAGTACAAGGTAAAGCAGATCTCTCAGCCATGCAGACTATCAGAGAGGGATCGCCGTCTTGACGAGTAATAGAAGTACCATAGCATACACGCGAAAGGCGGCAGCATTCGAGATTTAGAACAAGCCGAGGCTGCTTCATCCAAGTCTGTCTTGCCACTTGACATCTAGCTGAGCCATTGTCAATACCATTACTAACATCAGGTGTAGAGCAGATGAAGCTCTCAAAACAGAAGAATCGGCCAATGAGCTGTCAGTTCAGACACAAAAAGAGCACGAGGAACCGCCCAGCAAAGATGATGCAGTAGAAAATGTGCGTGTCAAGATATTGCCTAAATGGACTGCCATTTCCAGGGTTCCAGGGACTTGAGGCTTATTAACACTTCATCGCAGACCGAAGAGCACAGCAAGCAGCCTGGTCACAGTTCCAACTCCATACCCTCCGCCTTCCCGTCTCAGGCAATACTCGGGACAGGTGAGTAAACGTGTGCAAGGCGCTACCCTTGCAATTTCACCCGATGTCCCTTGGAGATGACGCACTGACGCTGGGGAAACTTCCGAGATACGATTGCCAGTGCGCGATGATAACCTGAAGAAGCTTCTCATGTCCTGGTACTACGCCGGCTACTACACCGGGCTGTTTGAGGGACAGCAGCAAGCACAGCAGCAGCAACAGCCCGGATCTCAGTGAGTGACGCTGGACCCATCAGCCTCGACTAAATTGATCGCGGGGAGAGGAAGGCTGCGCCACAGTTGAAAGGGTGGAAAATGGCGTGGAAGCCCTGCGACCGCTCACGTTTTATTCCCCTGCTAGCACAATGGCCGAGGCGACTCCAGGCCCCGCGTCTTCACCATAACGCCGGTGGAAGCAGCAGCGTGTCGGTGCAGTTCTAATTTATTGCGACGCAAGGTTGTCTTGCCAAGCACTGCCGATTTCAGACACGCTGCGAGCTGACAGTTATCTGCTGAAAATTTTGTTTCATATACTACTGTGAATAGCGGCTGCACTTGCAAGGCATCCGGATCACCGGCCACTAGAATTACACGATTGTGTTTGATGTTATACTGTCTGGAACTGCCTTTTGCTTTGACAGCGGATTACTGGATTTTTTCTATATACAAGTACGACAGGGCAGTCCTGTTCTTTCTTTGACTTTCACTATTCTTCTCTTCTTCTTCTTCCTTTCTCACCCTGTTTCCCATTTGTGACCGGGCTTCGTTTAATTACTCTTCCTGCTGTTTTTGCGGAACCCTGTGGCTACCCCTGCGACGCACTGCCGCTACTGGGCTCCCGGCTCCAGGTTCCAGACTCTGCACGTTTTTTTTTTCTCGCTGTCAGTTTGGTAGCGAGAAAGTCTTAAATTGAAGGAGATGATCGCTTGGTCGCGTTTCGATAGATCCGGTGAGGCAACCTTAGCTGGCAAGACTAGGGCTAGCAACTGCAACGGCGACAAGTGATTGATGAGAAATGCGCTACGACGGCCCATCTGGATGCCGTGTTTCATCCTCCACAATAGCTGTTTGAGGCCCCTTGGTGACTAGCCGGGCCGCCAGTGCTTGACGATTTCTCTGGCTGCAGCCCCTGATGGCTGCTAGTCCATTCCATTCTCAGCGGTAATTTGAAGCCTGGGGCCTCCGGTATTGATCTAGCCGCCCAAGCTTGTGTCTGCTTCTGCCCCGACGTTTACGTGTTCGCCAAGGGACGCTTCCTGGCCTGCAGCAAGGCTCTATTCGCATGAAATTACTACTGCACGCGATATTGCGAAGAGCGTTACTAAGCCAATGCCGTGTAATCAGCTATACTGGAATGAATGCCTGAGTTATGCTTGGGACTGTCTCCAGCAAATTTAGATTGCGGCGCCTTCCAGATGCTTGTCCACTAATTTGCTTCCCGAGCATGAGATGCAGGGATTGAACGTGGCGAACCGATGGCAGTTGCAGCTGATTCAAAGATAAGAAGAATGCTTCAACAAAGTTACCTTTATGCCTCTCAAGAAACATGCGGCCTTGCTGGATATGCATGGCCCTAGCCGCTGGACCGGGGTTGGTGGCTGGACCGCGCCAAAACATCGCCAAACGCTACTCGAGACAATCCTGTTACAGGTTTCTCCTCGAACCCCTGCAAACCACCAAATCCGCAAAGCAGGACGGAGCACTACTGATTCGGATGCATTAAGCCCCGGAATAACGCTTTCTAGTTTAGAAACGGGGGGCTCAAAGGCCTGGACTAATTAGGAACAACATGCCTGGCGTTGCTGCAAGGCATGGCCGTTGGGGAGATATAATGTCTAGCCTTCCCCGAGTCGAGGAAACATCTTCTCGTTTCTCCCTCATCGCTAATTGTTTCGGCAGTTGTCCTTTTCCCTCTTTTTTTCTGTTTCTTTATTCCATTCGCTTCACGAGCAGGCCCTCGCTATACCAGCCTTTCAAGACAAAACTACAACTTGGTTGATTCAAGTTTACAGCCCCCCTTTTTTTACGAGTATAAAGTCAGATTTTCAATAATTCTACCAATACCGTCAAGATGAAGTTTGGTTCATGGTTAGCTTTGGCCACGGCGCCTCTGGCTATTGCCACCAAGGTCCAGAATGCCTACCCGGACAACGTTGCCCGAGGCAAGGAGATCGATTTGGACGCAAAGGCCATTGCTATTGCTAATGGCATCACCGCCGACGCAAACACCGAGATTGTCATCATCTGGGTCAACCCCGGTAGCGGTGCGGCCACCACCACCATCAACGAGAAGGTGACCGTGACCCAGACCGTGACCGTTGGAGGACAGACATCGACTGCTGTCGCTCCCGGCGCGACACACACCGTCACGGTTGGAGGAGCTGCTGGCCTTGCCTACTCTCCTTCTCAGCTCGACAACATCCCCATTGGCGATACCGTCGTCTTCGAGTTCCAGTCCAAGAACCACACCGTTACCCAGTCTGCCTTCAACACTCCTTGCAAGAAGCTTGAGGGTGGTATGGACTCTGGTTTCCAGGCCAACCCCAACAACACCGTCTCTCCCCCTCCCCAGGTTGCTATGCAGGTTATGGTCTCTACTCCTCTGTGTAAGTCTCTTGCAAGATATATGACGGCCGCAATGGAATAACAAATTAACATCCTCCAGGGTTCTACTGCCGACAGGCTGGCCACTGCGGTCAGGGAATGGTTTTCTCCATCAACCCTACCGCTGCTAAGACCCAGGCCATGTTCCAACAGATGGCCATTGCTCAGAACGGCACCGGCTCTGCTACTCCCATCACCGGTGGAAGCGGCGCCCCTGCTCCTCCTCCTGCTGCTCCTCCCTCTGCGACATCCGCTGCTGCCGCTCCTCCTGCCGCCGCTCCTCCTCCCGCTGCCAGCTCCGGCACTGTCGCCACTGGCTCGGGCAATGTTGGTGCCGATGGAAGCTGCTCTTGCACATGCCAGTGCGCTCCCGGTAGCTTCCCCGTGAACGCTGCCCAGGGTGTTGGCGCTCACGGTGGCTGGGGTGGTAAGTCTGATCCAAATATATTCCTTCAATAGCAATGCAAATACTAATTGAACATCGCAGGTGCTCTCCCCAACACCATGGCCGCTATCGCCTAAGCAGGTTAATACGATTGTTAATGATGGGGGACGATGGCTTGGAGGTGTTGGATAAAAAAGGTTTATTTTAGATCTGACTCATTTCTTCTTACTTGTACTCATGGAGGCTGCCCCAAGGGCCTGACTCTTTTTTCTTCACTTGAAGGTTTTGATATCATATGACTGGATCGTATACATTTTATTTGCAACTTAATGAATATTTTTCGACTCCGCCTTGTTTCTGTGAAATTGGATAGTTGCCTGTGCTTTTGTAACTATGCTAAAACTAATCCTCTAGTAGTGCTAAACATTTCCTCCCAGTATACGTTATCATTATGTCCCAGGATTTGTTCAAAGAGGGATATCTGACGAGACATATTTGTCTACATAGGTTATATAATAATGGCCAACATTTTGGAGTGAAAGACATTGAATATCAGGCTCAACTGTTGTGCTAGGATAGACTCTTGAGGAACACCCGCCCACTCTAGGTCAAAAACACTCGGCGACTACTTGAGACCACCGCGGTTAATCTTTCCATCATGTATCTATATACATACCTCTGTAGGTCTTTTGAGCTATTCGGTGGATAGGCCGACTAAGATAGCTCTATATGGGGATTCTCTTGGACACACCGCATTTCTTTCACTTTATCCGAGTAACAAATGCATGTCATCATGGCAATTTCATTATACCCTCACTCTACGCCTATTCAAAATTCTCGATATGCATATAAACTCCGGACAATTTACTTCCTTTGTCAACAGCCAAATCATCGCTCACTTTTACCACTGCCGCTCTTACTGCAACCGATAATCCCAATGGCCCACAAACCGCAACGGCCGTCTCGCCCTGCGCCTGAAGTACTCGTCTCTCTAATAGATTCCTAAACGTAGGCCGCCCAACTTGTATCTCGGCGTACGGAAGATCTGCGTCTGAAGTTGCACTGCTCTGTGTCCTGGAGGATTGCACCGTGTTTCCTTCGGCCTCTTTCTCTTTATCAAGACTTGTTTGCTGATTGCTTTCGCTGTCTTGTTTCTCTTCTTGTACTTGACAGCATCCACAGCCCTCTCCACACTGGCATCCGCCGGCAGACACATCATTCGCGATATCATCATCGCATGTAATGTGAATATTGCACACGGTTTCAATACCTGCCTCATGAAGCATGTTGAACGCGGATTGCAACTCCTCAGAAACCCAAGATATCCAGCTACGGCGTTTAATCACCCAGGTGAAGTGAAGAGTTCGGAGTGGAAGGGATTGTTTCGCTTGCGCTCGTCTTGCGATATCTAAAAGAATAGATAGGGTGAAAGTCACTCCTGTCGATCCGGCAATAAGAATTAGTGTGTCAAAGCAGGCGAAATCGGCATGCGGGCTTGGATACGGTCCGTCGATAAAAGCCAAATACTCAGATTGATGGCTACCAGCTTCCGCAGCCTTGAGAAGGCGTCGAGTGAAGCCACCACGTGCGCGCAAGATGAAGACCATATCGCCGTCATGTGATGATGAGGTTGATAATATCGTCGCAGGATGTCCGAGGACAATGTTGAATCGCGGCATGAATAAACGTACATAGGAACCAGCGCCCCATGATTTAATCTGCCGGCTGGAGAGCCGGATCTCAGTAGCGTCGCCTTCAAGCACTGTCAAAGTCGCTTTGCTCGGTCGAATATTGACTATGACAGTCCGTACGAAACGAATCAGCTGTCCAACCAGGTAAAGTGCAATGCTTATGTATATGTAATTCGTGGAATAAGGCGATGAAGTCCCGTAAAGGTGGTAGACAATGGCAATCGTGAAGCCAAAATACGTGAGCAGATGCTGCACTACAAATATTTTGTAGGAGAAAAACCGCAGAGGTGCCAGAGATGTCAGGTTCATCCACAGTAAGATGGCATACGCTGCCATACCAGTAGGCGGGCAAGCGTCAGTCTGCCACTCCATCGCCATCAGCCCGTAGATATTCCAGGCGTGGCTTTGCAGGCCGAAGTGCAGCGTTGCCAGCAGCAGTAGGCCACGAGAGACCCATCGGTGGTAGATGTTGAGCCGCTCAACGGATGAGTTGACAAGGAAGCCGATGAGATTCGTCTTGCTCGACGTCAATATCAGAAGCGGTACCTGCGCCGCTCCGAGCCATCCAGCACGGATACCCAGAGCCTGGTAGTGCTGAGCGCCAGGGACGTTGTTGTTGATGAACACCAGCGCCAGAATGAAGCCGAAATATGCGACAATGATGTATATATGGCCAAGAGGAGGCACTTTGACCCATCTTGAGGCTGCGACGGGTGTGATCTGTAGATAGCTCGGCTCTCGAAGGAGGGCAGCTGCGGTAGCGAGGCTTTGAGTGAAGAAGTTTGTAGACGTCGCCGGCCGTGAGCGGTTTCTCGCGCTTGCTCTGAGTCTAAGTCCAACTCCCGTCAATATCAAGCACGTTCGTTGGAGCATTATACATGTTTGCAAATACCCACCTCATCCATAGCACAGACCTCTGTGCAATGTTACAGAGACTGGCAATGCCAATGACCACCACGACGCCATACCAGAAGTATCGGGCGTACTGGTTTCCAATGGCGCCCAGCGTTGAGTCGTCAAGAATCTCCTGCAGAAAGTCGAATGCCTGTGTTTCGTTGGAAAAATCGACCCCGGTTGCATTTAGAGGTGACGACGAAGACGGGCTGTCACCGCCCATATCCATGCCCATGTCCATGGTGATGGTGAGGCGGTGGGTTGTTGAATAGCGACCTGATGGATTGTATAATGTTTACTGAGCATGCATATGGAAACCTGACTTCTTAATCATTTTTTCCTCTTGGAGTTCCAATTGATGGACACAATTCGAGGTGGTGAAAGGTTGCGTATCTGATGATGTTGCCGCACCAAACATCGGATCCGACATATCCTTTAGCTTCTTCTAACCGCCCGCATCCGAGTCTCTTTCCATAGCAAAGTGATTCATAAACGGTTAGCGAATCGATGCTAATTACTGCCCTAGTGGCTGTCTACCTGCTCAAAACTTCTCGTTCGGCATCTGATTGCCGAAGGTGGGCAAGCAGGCAAGCCATAGCAAACGCCTTTTTTTCCTGACTAAGATCAGGTAGTTAGGTATCCGCTGAATGGGTAAAAAGCGTCTGATCTCTAAACAAACTGGGCTGCATGATTCGCTCTCTTTTGAAGACCTATAATTTAATTGCTTCTTGTGATAGTATTGCTTTGCACACCATGAGCTGCACGAAGCCGGAGGACGCGATACTTGCTGTGAAATTCGATGGTGCCTATTGGTTTACTCAGTGGATACTATTTTTGGACTTGCCGAGCTAAAGCTTTATCGCAATTAAGCTGGTGCTGGCGGCGCGCAAGTGTTTTTGTATAAAAACCCGTTACTATCAGAGTCTTGAGCCATCGTGTTATTCTGAAGTTGTCTCCAAAGGATATGGATAGAGAGTAATTGAGGAGTCTTGCGGCTAATACTCCTAGATCGAAAAATATAAGAGTTGTTCATTGTTGGTATCGTAGATGTAGAGAATTTTATGTCTAATCATGAGGATGGAAGATTCAGGGCCTCATCTATTGAGGTTAAAAGGACTGTCTCTAAGTTTAACACTTTAAATTTGATGTCATATAGTCGGAGATTATGATGTCTAGATAGATGTTACATGGCCAAGTACTTATTACCACCTCTTGCGATCATAGTTTAGGTGTAATGTCTCCGTTGTTAATTAAGAAAAGGGAATAAAAACCAGATGCTGTAAGTGAAAAATAACACAGATGAGACCAGGAATAGTAAAGTTGTAAATAGAGGTACTACACTAGGGACAGTAGATGTACTCTTATCTAAATCTATATTTTGTGCCAATACCTCTGAAATTCACCACAAAGCACAAAACATACCGCCTCTAGCAATCCTCAGCCTGGACTTGCTATACAAGCCTAGACTTCAACATCATTCTGCATTCTTTTCCACTTCTCTTCAACCGCCTCCTTATCTCCATCTCCGGGAAGCGCAACTTTGCTACTCCGGGTGAGCCCTCGGTATTTTTCTTCATCAACCTTACCCAGCGTGCTCTCCGACACCTTTCCATCCCCAAACCCGTAAAACTCTTGGAAACACATGAAAATTGGTCTCAAACGATCCGGATTAATTCGATTAGGATACCCTGGCATTCGAAGGTGTTCCAGGATGTGAGTTCGGAGAATCTTGAGCTCAATAGCCACAACCACTCCCTTGAGATCAGGAAAATCTTCCATCAACGTATGGCTTTTAGCTAGCTCGCATTCCATCTGGACAGGGCACTCCTGAATTCGTGCTGGGCGAACAAGGTCAGACGGTTGTGCGGTGAGCTCAGCCGTGGTCCATTTATCTCTAACGTAACGATAATTTCTCTCAAGCTTTGAAGCTGATACGACCTTCGAGCCAGTTGTAGTAGCCAATAGGTTGATGTGGCGAGCCATGCTGTCATCTGGGAGATTCACCACGCATTAGCCTGTTCTGAGGATATTCTGTGGCGTTTTACTCTCGGATGAGAACCCCAAAATACAGCGGTGGCCAAGCCAAAAGACCGACGAAATGGCACAAATATTGTCCGGTCCATCCTCATTTTCAGAGGTAATAAGAACAACTGGTGTCCCATAATAAAGGATTGAAGGAGAGATGATTGAGTGTGCCATTGTAATAGTGGGTGAGGTGATGGTTGGATTTAAAAGAAGAAACTAATTGCAAGTAGTGTTGGAGCTCGAATATGGGTATCGTTGTTTGGTGTTATCCAGAAGATAGAGAACGGTAACCAGGCGGAAAAGGAAGGCTTATATCTTGACTCAGTCGCGCTGGGAACGATCATGAATGAAATCGCAATAGTGGGCATTCAGGACTGGTCTTTGCATTGGAAGACTTGCACGTCTGGAAAAAATGCCATTTCCGCGGAAAAGAGGCCCAAATACATGGGTTAATAGCGAAGGCAACATTGCGGCTGAAGCTGATGATAATTCAGCTACTTGCTTTAATGGCCACATTAAAAGCAACGGTCTCCATCAGGAGCCTAGTCTTTGATTGCGCCACAAAGACTTGTTCCCGAAATGAGCATTTCTGATTGCTGGCGATATCAGACTTACATCCAGAGCAACATTTTCCGTAGCGGCGATTGTCCATCGCGACAATAAAATCCAAGTCTTATCATGTAGCAATTATGTAATCGTCGTGATCAGCCGCGTGACTCATTCTGCCCATTTTCTCTTGATCAATGCTTTAGCGGGAGACAAGTAATACACATTTCTCTAAATATAAGCGTGCCTGAACGACAGACTGAGACTTGCAATCGCCGACAAGCACTATGCACTCTCTGTCCTCGTTTTGTATCTCCGAGAAGCCACATGAGACTGATTACTTTGGCCATTCACATACGACCAAAGATAGTGGAGAATTCAGGGTCCCGTCAAATACTTCCCTCGAGTGAATGTCTTTCATTTTGGGCATCTCAAGATTTACATCTGGAGCAACATGATTGGTTAACTAACCCTGCTACCTAAGATGCTCGCTACCACTCATACCTCTACCATAATTAAGACGAAGCTAAGGCTGCCACCGTCTTTATACCCACATCATGCACGCATTATAGTAGGAGTTCTAACATCGCTCATATTCTGACTTTTAATTCCTGCCAAGCTGTTAGTTTGACACCTCCCTATGGGATGAGGCTGCACATATCTTAGTAATTCCTAATCAATCAGCCACCTACTGGCCTCTGGAGTGGGCGCCACTTTTTATTGTACGTAGGTTAGTGTACAAAAGAAGAGGCACAAGACATTGTACAAGCGACAGGGTTTTCAAATTTCTCTTATTCATGCCTATGATTGTAGCTGTTGTAATCATTATCAGGCTCTCTTCTTTAAACTTTCCTTTTGTACAGCCAGCTGGGAAGAGGAATTGAGAGATGCCGGTTCAAGGGCAAAGGGATTCTTTAGCTTTTAACGCTTTCTCTATTGCAGGCACCTTGATACCGCCCAAATTCAAGTTCTGGATCAGCCAAATGTCCTGATGTTCAACTATCTCTTGTCCTCTTCTCTCCAACATTTTGAGGCACCAGATGAGGCTCTGCAAGTACTGGATATTACTTTCCGTCAAACCGACGACCCCCTTTTGCTGAGCAAAAAGAACCGGACGACACGACTAATACCAGCCAATGGTACTGCGATAAGATGAAATGTCCTCGAAAGCTGGAAGCTGGCACCGAGAGAAACTACTTTTCTACAGAGATGTGAGACTGTTTATCTATCATGCTGTTGGGCAGCCATAGTTCGGCCGCGGTAATGCACTAAGATTCGCCTGGGTTAGCTGAAAGCGATCGGAAGAGAGAATGGTAAGCAATTCTCCTATCTATGCCTTTTTCTAAGAATAACTATATACCTTTACGTGGCACGGCATTTTTTGGCAGCAAGTTTAGTAATCGCCGTATCAATTAGCGTTGCCCCTGAAGATTATGTTAATGACGGTCTCTGCCCTTTTCTTTTACTCATCAATCTCTTTTAGCTGCCTGAAGCCGCTTGTAACTAAAGAGGTATCAATTCACTACCAGGAGTGACACTCTCAATTGGTATCATCTCTCACTTTCTCAACTGCTTCTCCACACGCACATGCCGATACTGGCTCTCTTCTCCCCTAATTGTATGCTTATTATCTAATGTATTATACTACTTGATTCCGGAAAAGCCGGTATAAGACATCCGGCTTATTTTAATAAGGCTTTGAAGCTTATCTTCCGAGGAAGGCAAGAAGTTTGGACGAGTCATAATGCTAGGCGTGGCCTAGTTGTATGCAAGATGAAAAGAATGTCATTCTTATGTTATATACAAACAGTAAGATGCATTTTCTACAAAGAGTAAATTTGGGTCGAATATAAAACTGAGACTTGAACAGTCAAATTGCAATTAGCCTAAACGTCAAGATTAATCATCTCTAGTGATTGGAGCCACTGGTAATGCGGCAATTGGCAGTGTCGCCCTCGACTGAATGAAACCTCGTATAGACAGGACCTATTGGAGTAGTTGTTCATGACTTCTTGCATACGGCAGCTATGATGTTACACTATATCCGGCTGAGAATGCATGTGTTGAAAGGTCAAAAGGAGGTAAGTGCCTAGTAGCTACGTAATCATGTGTTTCATCTCCCTGTCATTGACGCCCCTGCATGAGACTTGGCTCACAACGACGACGGCATTGCATATAGATACGAACTTTCATGAAGATGCCCTCCTTGGGCGTCCCTATCTGTATTGGTAGTAATACGAAGCCTTCAATGTGTAAGCAGTCTGTCAGCCATGCAGCCTTGTAAACATCTATCTTGGTCATCATTCCATCTGAGAGTCTAAGGCTACAGACAAAACGATGAAAAAGGCTGTTGTCAAGTATATCATGGAACAACTTCCCTGATCATTTTGTTCAATTTGTCTCGGGCCATAAGCCGACAGTCAAGCCTTCTTTGAGAACATTTCAATCTAGTATTTTCTGAACGCAGTAATGCTGTTGACCTCCACGGCCTTGATTCTGCTTTCAGCAGCCACCGTGAGCGCTGTGCCGTCGGCAATACACATCACTCACGAACGGCGTAATATCCAAAGCCATCGTCACTGGGAGAAGCGCAGTCGCCTCGAGCCGCACGATGTTATCCCCTTGCGGATCGGCCTGAGCCAACGCAATTTGGATCAAGGTCACGATCTTCTCATGGACGTATCAGACCCCAATTCGGAGAATTATGGCAAGCATTGGACGGCAGAGCGAATAACAGAAATTTTTTCACCATCACATGATTCGATTGAAGCGATTAGAGAATGGCTCATAGGCTCAGGTATCTCTGAAGACAGAATCAACCATTCACTAGGTTACGAGTGGGTTCATTTTGATGCCACAGCCCAAGAGGCAGAAGAACTGCTTCAGACCGAGTACCACGAGTTCCAGCATGGATCGGAGTCTCGTAGTACTATTGCTTGTGATGAGTACGCTTTTCAATTAAAACGATTTTTGGAACACGGAAATGGCTAACTGATGCGAAAAGATATAAGATACCTAGCCATCTTGCAAGACATATTGACTTTGTCTACCCTGGCGTCGCTCTTGCTGGGAGTATGAAGAAGAGATCCATGAAGCGGGATACACGTATAGAAGATCAACTCGTCACACGGGATGCCTTTGACAAGCGAGCAGATGCTGGTCCGTGTGATGACCTGGACTTCATCACACCAGCCTGCATACAATATATTTACAGTGTGCCCAAGGGGGGCAAGAAGGCTCCTGAAAATTCTCTAGGCATGTTCGAAACTGGATCTTGGTATAGCCCAACTGCACTCAAGTCATTCCTAGCCAATTACACGGATATCCCGCCAGAAACCACACTTTTAAACATTACTATTGACATCTCTGTAGCCCATTTCGACCAGTCTAACGATGGCGGCGAAGCAGACTTGGATGTTCAAATGGCATTGCCATTGGTTTATCCACAGAATATAACGGTATATCAAGTTGATGACGACTATTATACCTCATTTGGACGTGACACGCACAGGGGAATGTTCCAGAGCTGGCTGAATGCTATTGACGGCGTAGGTGCACTTTCAATCTGTTACCGCTGCTTACAAGTTCAGAGGCCCTTGAATTAAAAACCAAACTGATTGGTGATCATAGTCATATTGCAACTACACAGCATTTGGCGAGACTGGAAATGACCCCGAGGTCGACCCAACGTATCCCGACAATAACCAGGATCCCAGCAATCCAGATGGGGGAATTCCCACCGGTTGGTACAGAGGACTTCCCCAATGTGGAACAGCCAAAAGAGCGAATGTATATTCTCTATCATATGGGTGGGAGGAAGAACTGCTCCCATATAATTATATGCATAGACAATGCAACGAGTAAGCCTGCCTAGAAATGTCCTCTAATGGTTTGGAAGCCGCCTGCTTATGCATGGTATGTTGTCAGGTTTATGAAGTTATCGCTCATGGGAACTACGATTGTTTCATCTACAGCAGACCTTGGCTCGGCGTCAGCCAACTTCTGTGATACTGTAGACATTGACTTTTACCACGCCGTCTCGCAATATCCTGCAAAGTGAGCTACTTCCGAGTTGACAAAAGACTATATTTAGTTCGCTAACCGCTGAGTTTTGGCAGCTGCCCATATATCCTCACTGTTGGTGCTACCCAACTCCTCCCTGGCCTTGAGGAAGTTGGTCTAAATCTGGGTTGGTTTGCTTCTGCTGGCGGCTTTTCTTGGAACTACTCTCGCCCGGCTTATCAAGATAAGGCTGTCCAAAATTACCTGAATAACCATCAAGACCTCGATCGTGACCGTTTCAATGACCAAGGTCGCGGTTTCCCCGATGTCGCCGCGTTGGGATGGAATGTTCTCACTGTCTACGGCCCTGGATCAGAAAAAGAAGCTCAAGGCGGAACTAGTGCATCGGCGCCAATTGTTGCAGCCTTGATCAACCGCATCAACGACGAAAGGCTATCAGTGGGAAAATCGACAGTGGGCTTTGTGAATCCAGTGCTTTATGAGAATCCGCAGATGTTTAATGATGTGACAAAGGGGAATACATCGATATGTGACTCTGTGGCATTCGAGGCAGCAGAAGGCTGGGACCCAATTACGGGACTGGGCACACCAAACTATGCAAAGATGCTGGATGTATTTATGAAGCTACCATAAGATGGATACGAGATTAGATTGTGAGCTCTAGAGAAAGAGAGTAAGCGCCACTGCAACTTGCTGCTCTCCTTTACTGGCAAATGCAACTTGTCGTTACCTAGTAATGTTGAGCACTGACCCTGAGTTATAACCCGTATGAAGTTCATTTCTGCCCATAGGATGCATCACACCGGTTCATTCCTAATTCGGCTTCTAGGCTATTCCAATTTTTCGTCTTCTTCACAATATCAAGCAATATATACACGCACTTTCAATAGTATGGCATCTTTTCTACTGTTGGCAGTGATGGGAATATAAAGATACGATGAATGGCATGTACCCTCCTTTAAGCTCGCCATCTAACAATTGTCTCCACGTCTTTCCTTTTACTACAGTATTGAGCTTCAATAAATACGGAAGGCTGTTGCTGGAAAGCAATGGCTCTTACTCACAGATCCCAACGTCATTACCTTCAAACCGAGCACTGCCTTGCTCCCGAGGCAGATTTCCCACCCGATCTAAAGATCCTTGAAAAATCTTGTGCCATATGATTACCGACAGCTCGGGAGAAACTTCAAAGGTTGTTCCTTGCTGAGTGGGGATGGCTATACAATTTTTGCCTTAAGAACTTTGCTCTATTATCTCGGCCACAATACGTCTAGCTCAAATTAGGGAGTACGGCTGCATACGCGCTCTTTGCGAAAGCATAGCATTACGATGTGCACGCTCCCAAACACTAGAGTTGAAAACATATTGCCCATCTTCAGCATTCATCGATCCAGAGTCACCGTGGCCTCTTTCGTTTTCGGTCCAATGGCGGCCTCAATGGAGCGTCATGGCACTCTTAGATGCCGTCTATTTATCTTCACGGCAATGTTCCTCTACACCGCCAGACGGACATCGATTGTAAAAAGAAGGAAGAAAAACCAGGTTACTGGATCAGGATACCCGAAGTAGTGATAAAAAAGATGCTAATGCTGCGCTACCCACCCGCTTGAACACTTAATGTTGATCGATTATAGACAAGTTACTACTATTATACGAACACACAGGCGACGTAAAAGGGAAACAAAGGTAGAAAAAAGTCTCAGCCCGCCTTTATGTAATGTTATTTAATTATGTAGACCAAGGCCCATACTATCATATGTCTTAGGTAATACTCCTTGCAAGCCCTTAGATCGAAGTAAGCCCATCATAGATACCTAGTACTGCACAAGTGGTGTAGATTACCACTTGAGGGGCATACAAGGATACATACTAGCTACTAGCTACTAATTGCTGTCGCTATTGATTTGCTAAGTTTTCAGTTTTTCCTAATCCTCACTCGCTTGAACAGTGGCGTCGCATTTTCGGGCTGCACCATCTCCCAAAGACCTTGTCCCCCAGAAGCCTGCTTTGCCTTGTCCTGCAGACGAAACCACTCCTCTGCGCTCTTGACCCTATTGGGGTGAATATCATCCAGGAGATCATAGTCAACCTTCCACAGATTGTGTTTAAAGGCATTCCAGAATCCTGTAAAATTTTGCTTAACCGTCATGGTGCTTGGGTCGTTTGGCTCAGCATCCACACCAGCTGGCAGATGAGCAATCCGAGACATTGCTCCATTTTCCCAGTACTCATCCAACGATACATCGATATACTGTGCTTGATGACCGGTAACACGCGCAAATGCAGACGCCAGCTCATTGAAACCCGTTGGTGCAATTGCAGTAATGAGATCCATACCGTTGGCACGCTCTGGGTTGTCGAATTGCCAACGGACGTAGTGGCCGCAGTCTTCGAGACAGCCCATAGGCACCAGGCCGTCACCGAGTGGCACGCGCCAAGTTACAACGCCATCTTCGACTGAGGGGGCCATGGGGGTTCCAAAGTGAACGGTCATGTCCATATATGGGCCAATTGTAAAAAGGCTGGCACCCATTCTCTCTTTGTTGTCGACATTCTGGGACAAGATCCACTGTCCAATTCTACCTTTGCCGTTCATGTGACCGGCGTTGAACTTGGAGTCGTAGCCACCTTGCTTGAGTGCGTAGGGGATGCTGCCATACACGAAGAATTTGATGCCCTCTTCAATGGCAATTTCGTACGTACGAATAGCCCAAAACATTTCAGCCTTCTCTCCAGTATTAAAGCCGTCGATATTGACAAATGCTCCATCATAGCCCCTGAAACCGTTACGAAGAGTTTCCTCGCTTGTCAGCGCGCCTTGGAGTAGTTCCACATTGCCGAGAGCGAGAAGCTCTTTAGCACGGTCGGATGTCGCATCCCGAGTCAATACTCGAACTTGATACTTCTTATCGCTAACAAGAGCTTTGACAATAGGAAATCCTTGAACTCCTGTACCTCCAATAACAAATACCTTAGAGACGTGCTGTGAGGCCATGATGAATTTCGTGGAGGGTGTGTAGAAAAAGAGGGAGTTTGGCAGTTTCGAATGATGTATCATGGTCGTATTGCTTTACACAGAGACATACACGCAAATATATATGTATCTTCAATACCATCATAGAGCAACGTGTTGCTAGAATTGAAGCATTGAGGGCATCTGACGATTACTGATCAGTATTTCAACTCGTACAAAACATTGCCAGATTTGGTCGTTTCATTCCAAAGTTATGGGTTTACTCAGCAATGTTCAGTAAACAAAAAAGAAACACATGTACCTGTACTTGGGATATCTCTTTTCCAGTGAGACCCGGCGTGTACCTCAATCTGAAGAATACACGCGTCTCTACTACAGGTCTATGGAGTTCACTAATCATTTATCATATTGTAGACATTGAATGAAGATCGCTTTAAAGCCACCAATCTAGAGGCCGAGCTTTCAGCATTATTTGTCCATGGAAATCTAGAACGTCTTGAATGGCATTATTAATGATAAAACATTACACATCAGTTATAACTGCGGTGCAGAGGCAGCACGTTACTTTGCAATTAGTAATGCCGGAGCTCTTGTGCCTGCAAATCCATCCCAAGTCACAGCTATTAGTCGGAATAGGAGATGAAAGATTGTGCAGATTCTCAGAAGCAGTACTATTGAATGATTTTTATTGGAAAGCATTGCCTTTAAAGAACGCGCCCTTTTAGCTGGTTGAGTAGCTTTACCCTGTGTTCGCTGTCGAGTCTCTCCACTTGAGATCTATAGACACCAAGACTTTAAGACCTTCGACGAAAGCGGGATGACCTGAGAAATGCCTCAATTTTGAAACTGTTATTACTTGGATCAATAAATACAATATAATTTATGTGGGTGTTATGGTTAGCGGATATGCTTAGCTGATTTAAAAGGATCTCTTTGGCTGATCTTGCCTCTCGAAATTCTATCGCTTATCGTTCTAATTATGGCTATTTGTAGGTTTATCTTAGAAACAGTGAAACATGTATTTAAATTACCTCCCTATTGTATCAACAGAGAGAGAAGGGACAACAGATGTAGAGGCGGGCTATTAGACTCTAACGAGTCTCACAGGGAAAACGACATGGCGGTTCCACAAGTTATCCGCCATCTCATCCACGAGGAGACTTAAGTGACTAGCGGTGGTACATAACCCTTAAAGCAGTCATTGAGTTGTGTTATCTATTCGATTTTCAGAGTCTCAGAATGAAATATGCAAAATCAGGCGGTGATAATAGTGTCTCGTAGAACTAAAACTCAGCGCGCATATAGTGGCGCACCGTACAAGCTGAAAGCTGAAAACACTCCCATGCGCCTAGCTTGTTCCGTTTTCAACCAGACCCACGAGCGAGGATCAGGGAGCTGGACCTCTTTATTTCCACAGGTATTTATAATTTCTATTTGTATTTCTCAGAGTCAGCGGCACCTCGGTATTGCCGACACGCTAATTTTGTCTTTGCTCATTCAGCTATGATGCGTGGTAGCTGACGGCTGACTTACCGAAGTCTTAACAAATGTGCTCTTAAAAATTCGGCAAAGATATTTCAAGGTTCCGAAGCTATTTCATATTTACGAAATGATTCTCAGTAAAATGTTAAATCATGAGTGATGCGATATTATGAACTTGCAAAAGGTGCTGGAAGTTTATGGTGGATTTGAAACACTTAATAGGAGACCATTCTTGGTAGGTCATGAGATAAATGGGTTATCCTCATTGCATGCTTGAAATGACTAGCTATGACTGTCAATATTTTTACCGATCGTCGAGTCTTACACTGATGGTGGAGTTTCAGCTTGCACAATGCCGAGCGGGCGCTGTACCCATTGGCTGGTCTCTCAGTTTCAGCTTATAGTAAAGCCCTGGAAAGATTGTCATAATAGTTATAGGGAATCTTCTCGTCCATGAAAGGTATCGCTGAAAGCCGCAAATAGGATTTTTCCTGTATCCTACACAAATAAGAATGCTATTCTTTTGCGCCACGCTATTATTTAACATGGCCGAAGTGAAATGAGCATACTGCGGCGTCCACCATCATTCAGTTCGCCCACCTTCTCCCAGAATTGCACTGCACAGCTTCAATAACTCAATCATATTATGTCTGCCCAAAACCCTCTATTCTCCCAGGTCTTCAACTTTGGCGGCCCAAATCAGGATGGGGTAGACCTTCGAACCGGCTTATACTGGCGCAATTTGGAACTCTATCAAGTACCAAGCGAAGCACTGAACTGTCCTTCTCTACAACTTTCGCTCCGTTATAACTCTTTGGACTCCGACAACATTGGCTTTGGACAAGGCTGGAAGTTCAACCTTTCTTCGTATAGTCGAGCTTCGAACACTCTTATACTATCAACGGGAGAACATTTTCAAGTCGCAGAGGCAGGAAGTTCCGCGACAGTGGTTGATCAAAAGCTGAAGAACTTTCAATTCAAGAAGAAAGGCTCTGATTATTACCTTATTCATAAGAGTGGAAGGATTGAAGTATTATCTCACAACAATAATAACTTCAATGAGGCGGTGCCGATCGAGCTTCATGCCCCCAATGGACGCGCCCTTCAACTGTCTTGGATTCAAGTGGAAGGACAGACACGACTTCAAACCATTCAAGACAAGTCACGAATGCTACTTCAGATAGAGTACACAAAGTCTAAGACAGAAGTAATTCGAGCTCCTGGTACCATTGAGACGAGCACGTTGACTCTCATCCAAAATAGTGCCAAGCTGCTAGATCAACTTCAGTTGCCACTAGACGAAGGTTTCTGGGGTTTTACATACCAAACGCTCGGGGGAATTACTTGTCTTATCGGAGTAAAAAGCCCAGCTGGACTTATTGAAGAGATAAAATACGAAGAAAAGGGCCATAGAATGCCGAATAGAGGGTCATATCGATATATACCTTGTATAGCCCAGCATACTCTTCGGCCAGGAAATTTGCAGCCGCCCATAGTCACCAAGTATAGCTACTCAGATCAGAATTTCCTTGCTTACAAGGGTGTCCGAGATTGGAAGCAAGGAGAAGATAACTTGTATCGAGCTGGAAATACTTACCAGTACTCAGTGAGCGCACAAATTCTAGGTGGGCAACAGACGAAGTATGTCTATAACAACTTCCACCTTCTCATCTGCACCCGACAACATCATGGAAAACATTCTATTACTACAGACATTGGGTATCATACGTTGAATGATGCTTCGTTTCAACATCAACCTGCTACATGTCAGTTACCGAAGAAAATACAGACGGTTTACTTGAACGCCGACGGAAGTTCGCGTACGGAAACAAGCCAATATGCTTTTGACGAGTGGGGAAATGTTATACAAAAGATCGAGCTGTCTGGGATTCGGATCGATTGTATTTATTATCCAGCGAGTGGAGAGAAGAGTTTCTGCCCAGCCGATCCCAATGGGTTTCAGCAATATCTAAAAAGCGAAAAGATTACACCAGCACCAAGAGTCGCATCCATATCAGACTTCAAACAAGCTCCCATCCAAAATTATATATATAAATACTGTGAGCTTCCTACAGTAAATGAAGCCGTCATGGCCTATTATGTCGCCGTCCATGAAATGCAAAGGTTGGAAGAGGATTGTTCTTTGATCAGCGTGAGAAACATTTACATAAATGAAAAAGACAAAACAGATCACCATGGGCGGCTCCAACAGCAAATTATACAATTGAAAGGTAAATATGAAACGAAACATGCCTGGAAATACTCGAATCTATCTGCCAATCAACTCAAGAAAACCACGGAGATTACCACTTATGACCACCATACCGAGCAAAGTGCCACAGTACTGTCTACGAATACCGGTTTTGCTGTTTCTCACAGAGGTAAAAATGGAATTGAACGACATGTTCAATATGACAAGATAGGCAGAATAACCCTAGCCATGGTATCTCCGGGGAAAAGACCTTATGAGGCAGTTATGAAGAATGAATATACTATCACAGAAGGGGCATCTGGGTACAGTATAACGACAACAGACTTCCAAGGTCTTCAGATTCGCCACCACACAGATGGTTTAGGAAGAATATGCCGTATCGAAAGGCAAGACGATTCTGACGGAGTGCTTGGGCCATTCCGCGCTATTCAAGAGCGAAAGTATAATGGACTCGGGCAGTGCATCGCGATAAACAGCATTGACTGGCTAAAAGAGGGCGATAAAAGTATCGAGCAGCGCAACGAACGAAGATTGGAATATGACGATTGGGGTTGCCTCTGCAAAATGACTGATAACAGTGGTGCAGTCATTTTAGCCAAAACTGATCCCGTGTCTATGACTCATGTCGAGGGTATTCAAGGCGAAGGCAAAACTAAAACCAAACTCAATAAATTTGGCGCAGTCTCACGAAAGGTCTTATTAAAAAGCGACAGCAAAGCATACAAGAAAGTTGACTATACCTATGATGGGCTGGGACGCCCCGTTGAAAAGAGGGACAACTCTAACAATATCACGGAATATCAGCTTGACGGCTTTGACCGGCTAGTTCAGACTACTTATCCAAACGGTCGCAAAATTTTCATTCAATACGCAGCTCATAGCATGTCTGCCTTGCCTGTTTCAACTAAAGTTGATGATTACACTATGGGCACTCAAACATTTGATGGATGGTGTCGAATTACAACCCAGACTTTGGGTACTCGTACCACTCGTATGACTTATAAAGGAAATGAGCAAAACCCAGCTACCATTCAGACATCTCAAGGGAATAAATTGGATTTTAGCTATGATCATGCTCTCGATGGCGCTGTTACCAGCATGAAAAGTAAAGATGAGCTGGAAACATACCAATATGACCGAAGATCGTCAGCTTTATTGGCCCTCAGAAGCTCGTTCGCCGCCGAATTGCGAGAGTATTCACCATCCGGACTCTTGGTAAAAGAGAATACCCAAATGGACCTCAAGAAACAATTTTCAACACAGTCTACGTATTCAATGGCGGGCAAGTTGAGAACTTACACAGATGTGCATGGTCAAAAGCTGGAAATCCAGTACGACCAATTTGGTCGTCTAAAGCAAGTGGTGCAAGGAGACTCTAGGACCACATTCGCCTATGATGAGAGCAATCGCTTGTCTGAGAAATGTTGTTATGATGGGAAAGAACAAAGCCTAAGAACGAGTCTTAAATATGATGAGTTTGGCAGAGAAATTGAGCGGATCATCTATGCAGGAAAAGCACTGCTCTACCAGTCAGGACAGACTTTTAACGAAATGAGCCTTCTCACAAATCGCACTATGAAGGGCGACAAAGATAAATTGCTGAAGGAAGAGAGTTTCGAGTACGATCAGCAGTCCCGCTTAGTCGATTACAAGTATCAGGGAGCACAACCAATGATAGACGAAGCAGGGCAAAAGATTTCAAGACAGCAGTTCAGCTTTGACAAATATGACAATCTAGTAAAGATTGTGAATACTTTTGAAGACCAATCTCAAAATACCCGAAGCTATCTTTATAATCCCGAAGATCCAACGCAATTGACCAAGATAACTAATACGCATACAAAGTATGCGACCGAAGTTGCTTTAGTGTATGACAGAAACGGGTGTCTGATCCGAGATGAACAAGGCCGCAAGCTTAATTATGACGCTAAAGGTCGTTTGAGTATGGTATCTGATGCTAAGGATAAGGTACTGAGTCAATATTATTACGATGCGAGCGACAAATTAGTTTGTCAAAAAGCAGGCTTACTGAACACCTATCTCCACTACCGGGGTAACACACTTGTTGCTATCACGAGCGGAGATGAGAAAATAAGTTTCTTGTCTGATGGTAAAACGTGCTGGGGTCAAATTACAACGCAAAAGAACGGGAGCTCTCAGATACGTTTTTGGGCTACAGATAGCCATCAGTCAATCTTGGCATGGTATGATACGCAGAAACTGGACAGCATCAAGCAGCAGCAGTACATGCCTTATGGATATGGTACATCAGGCTCTCTTGGCTTCAACGGTCAGTGGAAGGATCCTATCACTGGTTGGTACCATCTTGGCAATGGGTGCCGCGTATACAATCCCGTTTTGATGCGCTTCCACAGTCCAGATCAATGGAGTCCGTTTCTCTCTGGAGAGATCAACCCTTATGCTTACTGTTTAAACGACCCTGTCAACTACGTCGACCCCACGGGACATGTCAGCATTTCTGGCACGAATGACTCGCGAGGAGACAGCAGCTTTTTGTCGCAGCCGCTAGGCCCCTTGCAAGCAACATTTAAAGAAGGCCCTCTTCTTAATGGTCCTGCGGGACAACCGCCGTGGACAGGCCAGGTTGCCTATCTTGATTCAATCAATGGCGTCCCAGGTCTCCAGAGTTTCATGACTCACGGCGATACTAGTGGTAGGCTGCCTGAATGGAGGAACACGGTTCAAAACGGCGCGATCGTGGAAGGGCTCTGGGGAGATACTGCAACGAACGTGGTGCAAGATACCATCTTGCCAACAATACAACATAACATAAACCACAAAGCTGGATTTCTTCCGCAACAACTAGGGAAGCCAATCTACCTGTTCTCATGTAACGGAGCCGATTCAATACCTTTTGGCGGGCAGCATTTAGTACCAACGGGGCAAAGAGTCGCTAATGCGCTCAATCGAGACGTAATTGCTTTCCACGGCGAGCTAAACGTTCTTCTCGAGTTCAGATCAGCAAATATAGGCACGATCCATAACATATTGGAGACTGATGGGAGAGTACAAAAGGTGTATGGGTATGATAGGATACGGGCATTTCAGCTTCAAAACGGATGAGAGGATGATGAGATAGACATCTCCAGCAGTCTTCAATAAAATATAAGCAAAGGTAAACCTATCTCTATAGAGTATATGCAGAAAATTCTAGTTTAAATCATCATCATTCCATACTATTTATTATATACTTCTCGTTCATACTATTGCCGCTACCCATACTTTTTATAAATTCTCGGGCAAAGAGTAAAGCGATGCCACAAACCAGTCCGTTGTCCAACGTTACATTCACTATTTCCACACCTGTTGGAGAAATTCCTCCACATCGGCAAGCAGAATTTCAGGCTTTTCCATAGCGGCAAAATGTCCACCGCTCTCGTGCTGACGATAGAACTCCAGAGTTCCGGTTGTTTTAGCCCAAGCCTGGGGGATTGGTGCAAGCTCCTTCGGGAAGAACGAGTATCCAAAAGGCTTTTTGATGTACCACTCAGGGTTCTCATGAGCACCAATAAGTCCGGGAGTAAATAGCTATTAATCTGGTAAGAAATTGCTTTACTTTTCTTCGGTGAAAGAATGCTTACCTGTCGGTATGGGTAGATCGATCTTGGAAATGTCTCAGTCAACCAATAAAGCGTAACAGAAGACAGAATTTCTTCCATTGGAGGATTCTCGTCTGTCCAAGCGAGGAATTTTTCACCAATCCTAAAATAGTCATCTCATTAGCCGTGCACAAATGTGATTGACTTCACTCGGTGGACGCTACCATGCAAGAAGCGCAATCGGGTTTGAAGCGAGCACGAGTCCAATTGTGCTGGGCTTGGTTGCATGCTGAAGAGCGTATGAAGAGCCGAGTGCCTTGAATGTGCTGGATCGCTCCAAGCCCTGTTTCTCTATTTCGCTGATATCACTATCCTTGATACCTTCTGGCTCAGGCATGATACAAAAGTTAACTGCGTTGGATATCAGTATCGCTACTCTTAATCAGCTTTTCTCTCAACTTACTATGAACAGCCTTTACTGTGTCAAAAGTTGCAGCTAGAACACGTGAAATCTTGCTGCCAATGTCGCCTCCTTGGACAGCGTATCCACTACCAAATCCTAGCTCAATCATCAATGAGTTCATAATACTTGCAATGTTCTGAAGCTGAAAGTCTCTTGTGAGTGGCGGCGGAGAAGAGAAGGCATAACCAGGCAAAGAGGGGACGATAACATGATACGGAAGCGTCTCAGGAGTGTATCTCGCAGTCAAGATACGCAAAATGGAGTAGAATTCTAGAAAATTGCCTGGCCACCCGTGCAGGCAGAGCAGCGGGATCGCATCGGGCTTTTGGGAGAATAGTGCGACAAAATGAATGTTGAAAACATCGTCGTTCTCTGTGACAGGCTGAGTGAAGTTGGGAAAGCTATTAATGTGTTTCTCGCAGGCACGCCTTTATAGATGCATTAGTTGCGAACTGACTCAATCTCTATTGTGTTACAGTTGCTTACCAGTCCCACTTCAGCCACTCTTCCTTGGCTTGAACCAACCAGTCTCTGCTGATGCCGAACCGGCCATCAGATAATTCGTTTTCGTACGTCTTTGGTCCGATTTTTGACAACTCTAAGAGCTTTCGGAAGTCGCTGAGTTGCTCTTCTGGAACTGCCACAGTAAAGGGAGTCGGGGTTGACTTCCTATTGGCAGGAAGGGTTGCAAAGCTAGAAGACATTTCGATAGGCAAATGCTTGTTGCTTTCCTTGATAGTTTTTCCTAAGCTCGCTCTTGGGTTGATGTTATGTTAATTTGGTAGGGGCTGAGAAGACTGTTGAGAAGGCTGTTGAATGAACTGGATGGGCCTTGATGAGTTGAATGTCGGTGCTTTATAGTTTACGAAGTGTGACTCTTTTTTCTTATTACCTTGCTATTCTTTAACTCCATAATAAGTCTAATCGCCCGTGTATACAGCGGGATGCAAAACTTGTCCGCCTATAATGTCATATCTCGTACAACTTAGCCGAATTTGGCGTTGCTGGCGATCCCGCTTTGTAGTAAAAGTGAAGCTGTTACTGTATCCTTAACAGATATGGTAGATAAGCGCTAAGCTATAGCGGAGATCGCACTCCATTGTGGGGGTTTTCTAGAGCATCACTTGTTCGAGAAGCTCTTCAAGCTGGTAAGCGTTGAGATAAGATGTCCCACAGAGGAATAAGTGGCCCGACGCCTTTTGCATTCCACGGTGAGAGACCCTCGGGCGTCGATTCTCAGGCTCTCAGCTTCCACGGGAGTGAACGGGCTAGCTATTTGGGGCAGGTTTGATTCCATTCCTTTCTGAGAAAATGCTCGCACGCTCGTATTTCGCAATATGCCGAATGCGGAAATATCGCCCGCTAAAACCCAAGTCACTTCAAGCCTTTTCATAACTTGACGTCATTCAAGAAGGTTAACCATTGAGGGTATGGTAGCACGACACGATAAGTTCAACAAGATATCGACGATTATAACATAATTTGATCGCTGTTACAAGAATAATGTGTCATATGGAATTGTTATACTCATAACTACTTGGGAGACAGTATGGAAAATGATACAAAAATAAAGTCAGATTGTTGTTCATAATAGCTCGCTAAGTTGGTGAAGAAAGATAGAAAGGAACAAAAGAAACAAAGAAATCCCTACGCCCAATAGACAGTGTGATAGTATACAAGCTCTGTAGCCGCTAACTCCAGAGCAACAAGTCCCTTTCAACCTGTTCATTAGTCGCTGAACCCGCGCTTCTTTGGGTTATTGGGTCTTGAGCTGAGTCGCATTGCCTCATTTTCCTTCTCAAGCATTGTGACTCTTTCGCGAAGGCTCTGAAGAGAGCGCATAACGTCGCCATGTCCGCTGCTTGGTGGTTTACCATGTTCCGATGCAGGTGATGGGCGGTCCGAATCGGATTTGTCACTCGTCTTCTCGGAACCAGCGCTTTTGGAAGTCCCTCGAACTGGCCTGAATTCCTCAAACTTGACTGTGGTCCTTTGCACAGGCTCATTCATAACTTTTGGACGAGTCTGGTTCAGTTTCTCATCTTCAAACAATGGAGGATGATTGTGCCAGCCTCTCTTGACGCATGCATCACAATACAATTCCGTTTTTCGCTCCGATAGCTCCGGAACGCATGTTTGGTGGTATGATCGGCAGCAGGCACCGCAATCTAATAACATGTTGCCTGGCTTGCGGCAAGTATAGCATAACGGGTTATGTGGTGAGCCGCTCTCTATAAACTGTTAGTTGTTTAGATTCCCATTAACACGTCGTCATAGCTATGATACCAAAAGATATCAAGCTGCTTTTAAAAGAGCGGATGGCTATTCCAAATCAGGACATTGTACTGGGGATATTAAAAAAATTGCATAGTCTCATCTACTCGCCGCAAAAAATGAAAGATTAATAAGGATACTCACTCTTCCATGCATGGTATATTATTCTCTGTTCATTCATTGTCAGTTGTTTTCCTGGCGATGCGTAACTGGCGATTCTGTAGCCAGCGATGACGGGATATTTGTCTGTCTCTGATGCTGACATGCGCCGTCTTTTGGCGAGAGAGTGAGAGGATTCCGCCATGGCGCTTTCTTGGCAGTGAATGGTAACGAAATATCCAAATTCCACCGTTAGAATGTGGTATTAGGACCTGAATAAGGCAGCGGCGTTTATTGCAATAAGAATGGGCAGGATCAATATGATGGAGAGGCAAATGAAAGGATGAGAGCATGTATGGCTGGCTGAGCAGCATTTGCCGAAAGGAGGAAAGACGGGATATTTAGCCCAAAGAAGCAACGTCATCCTCCCGATATTAGCCCGCCCAGCCTTCCGGGGGTGATTGATGAGACTAGATGAAAGTAAATTGCCCGTTTGCCTTTCCTGCCTCATGTGACATCAATGAAACTACTAAATGTCCTTTCAATCCATAACCCGGCTCAAGGGTCGATTTCTTGCCTCAACGGGTAACATCCTCCATTGCCAGTCACCAACACCACTCCCGAGTCCCCAACTGTTCTCATTGCCTAAGCCAGGCGGACATAGTATACGGAGCAGGACTGAGTGTACATACATACATGCGCACATTTGCTGCGAACGGCAATGTCCCCCGGATCAGCTTGTCAACGATGCAGGAAGCGGCACATCAAGGTACGTGCTTATCGTGTCTCTGATTTCCTTGGTAACCGCCGTTGTGGACAATACTCTAATTGATAGCACATCAGTGCGATGGAACACGACCTAGTTGCAAGCAGTGCGTGTCTGCAAAACATGAATGTCCCGGGTACAATGAAGATTGGAAGTTCATCAACAATGGGTCCAAACTGCCTCACAAGAGACAGAAGAGGCAATCTTCTCGATCCACAAAGATACAGCCCACAAATGAATTCTCTGATACGACTGAAAATACATCCATGATACAGGAAGGCTCTATCATAGAATCTCGCCATGGCAGCGGGATGTTGTCCATCCAACGGACAGAATCTTTAGACATCTCTTCCTTAAACTTCCCCAAAGCAGCAGAAACTACGTTGCAGAACTTGGATCCGTCCATGTCATTACCAGTGGACTTTCACTTCGATCTCGGCGACAGCAATAATGTTCACGAAGCAGGTGTGGGCAATCTACCTGCCAACTTCCAAACTTCTGGACCAGCTCCGGAGGCATCACCGGGATTGCTCTCTTCTACATCAAATAGCGAGTTTGAAATGGGGCTTGCTGCCCTAGCCTCGGAGTTTATGCTCGAGAGCGAACAAGAGATCGTTTTCCTTCTTCGGCATTATGTTGACAACTTGGCCCCGTGGTATGTCTCCACTATATCATACCTACTTACCTTTGACCCTTTTAATCAGTAACAGGCTAGGCATTTTCGACGAGAAATGTTTCTTTCAGACTCGCATCCCTCGCCTCGTTGGGACTAACCCTGCCTTGAAGTACGCAGTAGCAGCGCTTTCTGCTAAACATCTGAGTCATGTGGGTGGCTTTCGAGCCACGAATTGCGGCTTACGGAGCACGTTGGCCTTGACGGAAATGTATCCCAGCGCAGGTCATGTGGACTGGGCATTCAAAGCTGCCAACTACTATCACCAGGCAGCTACAAGCTCTCAGCAGCAGTCACAACTCTACGATACGATTGGCGATACGTCGCTTTTGGATGTGGCAACAGCAAGCAGTGCTATTTTGACAGTTTATGAATTGATTGATTCGAACTACGATGAGTTCCACACGTAAGTATCCATCTCCTCCGTGATAATCAAAGAACCCCATTTGCTTCACCAATCTCGTTGATGAAGATGTATCAAGGGAAAAGTTATCCAACACCTCAATTCTGTTATTCATCACTCCAGCCATAGCGAGGACTACTGATGCTACTGCAATTGAAGAGCTGGATAATGAAATTCTGGTGCTGGATGACTATTTCCTTGTCAAAATAAACAAAATGAACGAAGCTAATAGTAGGCTATAGGCGGATACATGACGTAAAGAATAAGCTAGCGAGATATCCGAACGATACTTCTACTACTACGACAAAATCCTACTTTCCGCCTTTCAAACAACCTGCGAATCCCGCTGCTCTAGCTAGCTATTGGCTCTGCATGCCCAACGACCTCCTTCACTCATACGATCAAAAACGCACACCAATACTCAACTTTAAAACTTCCTATAACAACGTTGAGAGTCATGACGATGCCTTTGGCGCCGAGTCTACGTCCATGTCTAGGACGCCCTGGGTACGACTATTCTCTTTAATAACCAACATTATCGACCAGTTTACTACGACACCCAGCAGTGGCGATCGAATCATGAAAAATCCTGAGCGCACTAGCTGGTTCTATCTTTGGGGCGCTTTAGATAATTGGCACTCTCGGCTGGATGCCAACTTTGAGCCATACTCTCATTACACGCTTTCCAGTCACTTGACACTTCCACAAGGCCCTCAAGAGCCGGTTTTCGACGAGATCCTCTTTCCAACACAGGTATCTGCAGCCACTCTGTCGTACTACCATTTCGCCCGCGTCCTTTTACTTCTTGCCAAGCCGATCGACCAATCAAACCCTCTCACGCTGCTGAAAGACTACCGAGAAAGACTGTCAGATATTAGAGATAACTGTGTAAAAATATGCGGGATTGCAGCTGGCCGGCCAGGCGGCGCTGCTCGAATTCACTCGATTCAGCCGCTCATCTTGGCGGGGCAATGCTTGGAAGATGCACGAGAGAGAAGGGCTGTAGTACAGCTGCTACAGGATATTGAGTCCGATACGGGATGGCCAATCGCGGCCCAGGTCGGAAGGCTTCAGGAAGAATGGTATGGTAGTATTCCACAGAGCTAAGCTCTGTGGCAGCGATGGCGAGAGTATAAGCAATAGCAACGGTAGCAGCAATAGCACAATAGCAGCCAAGTTGAGAAAAAGAGAAGGAAAGGGGGAACAAGCAGAATATACGCTCCTGGGGAGGCTATATTATACCACGAAGTCTCGGGATCAGGCGATGGATGTCGTTTATGTACCACGACATGCAGCAGGGTCACAAGAGGCAGTAGAGGTGGTTTGCGAGATTCAGGTTGAAAAACCTGCAGTACAGCCGCTCATCTTGACAGGGCAATGCTTGGAAGACCCACAAGAGCTGTTGCAAAGCTGCTCCAGTTGCTACAGGATGTTAGAATTCGATACCGGGTGGCTGACCGTGGCCTAGGTTTGATGACTTTAGGAAGAATGGTGAAATAGTATTTTACAGAGCTAATAGAGGGGAAAGGTTATCTAGCACCCCAGTTGTGGCTTAATGAATAACAAGGCAGTTAGTGACGATAATAAAGATAGAGCATGGTATGCTGGCCTTCACACTTTGAAGCTTCTGCGGTCTAATCATTGCAGCTGATCTCTACTTCTGTGATATTCGGGGCGCTTATGGGATTTGCGAAGAAATTGAAGAATTAAAGACATTCCGAATTACCAGCTTACCAATCACAAAATATTGCGCTTACAGCAGTGTGCAGAGTTATCCAGGATATGTGATCATGACTCTTACTTTGCCATGTGTATAAGAACGAGTGGCCGTCCACTCTCCGCAATTTCTTACCGTATCCTATTTAGTTTACTTACGGAATTATAGAGGCTTAGCTAAGTTGCTCTAAGATTGTTACGAAAAAGCGCGAGCAATGGCTGCCCCCAGCAGCAAAACTTCGTCCTATCCGCCGCAAATTCTTGCCGGCCTTATTAGCGCCAGCCCAGCAACTCAAGACTATGCCTGCCACAGTGCAAACTCCACCCTGTTATTCCACTCTCACTGACGCCTTCTCCGCTTTGTTTGCAAATAGTTGCCAAAGACTATCGCATGTTGCAAAGACGCGAACAGGTGTTGATGCCATCAAACAAGAAGCGCTTGGTGTTTTGTAGCTCATCAAATGTATATAAGCTGCGTTCATTCCCAAATTTAGCAAGAAACTTAACAAGAATCACTCTCAAGTCTGCGTGTTCACTTCTCTCAACTTCATTCTCATAATTCGATAATAGAAGCGTTATACAATGAAGTTGTATATTGCCTACGATACCTGTTCGCGAGCTGCTCAGCTCGTTGCCAACGAGCTTGGAATTGAACATGAGCTGGTTCACTTTGACGTCTTTGGCAAGAGTACATCAAACGGGGAAGACTTTGCTCATATCAACCCTCTACTTTACGTACCTGTTCTGCAACTTGACAACGAAGATCGCGACATATTATCTGAAACAATCATCGTCTGTTCATATTTTGCCGATCAGCGCCCAAAATCCGGCATGCTCCCGCCACCCGGTACTCTGCAGCGCGCAAAAGCCGACCAGTTCCTTGTTCAACTCGCAACTGAGATCGCGCAGAAGCACATACCGCTCATGCGCAAACTGATGACCAAGCAAGGCGTCCGGTTCAACTCGGACAAGCTCCTAAGAGCATACCAACTCTTGGAAGACCAACTCGCAGACGGTCGCTCTTATTTATTTGGCGAAAATCTCACCGTGGCTGATGCATATGTATGGGGCACTCTCTGGAACAGTCGCTCTGGCGTGGACATTAGCCATCTCAAAAAACTGGCTGCGTGGAAACTGCGTATTGACGCTCGTCCCGCTGCTATTCAGACGCTCAGGGAAGAAGCCGAGATTTTGGCGATTCATAAGGCTCAAATTGAGGCCCGCCGCGCTTAATTGGACACGAAGTATGCGACACGAGAGATGCAAAAGATTTCTCACAAGAAAGGAAGACTCAGCGATGCGCAAATCAGAGACGAGGGCGAAGACATGCGAATTAACACGCAAAAAGCGACGCGAGAACCTCAATAGAACTCTTGGTAAACTAGATAGAGATGAATAGACTTTATGAACTTGTGAAAGTAAGTAGACTTGTGTCTCTTATGTTTTTTACGACGTCTGATCTGGAGACACCGTCCATTCGTTACATGTGGATTACCACGGCATCAAACGAATTACTGGCCAAATGAACGGGCAATCAGCTTCACACCGGGCGGGGCTTTCATGATTAGTTTAAAGTTGTGTTTAAGCTGCCCTAGTCTGGACTCGGCAGGCTCCGAGACTAGTTGAATACGAGTATTTAATTGCCTTCAGCCTTGGATAGACGACACGTTTCCGTTGCTATGCTCCACGCCAATATGCTTGGCATGAACAGATTGCATGTTGTGATGGATTAGTTATTACTGCCTTACGGTGCGAACATAAAAGGTAACCAAGCTTCGCAATATGGGCTCTTAAATGTTTTTCCTCTCAAGTCTTCTCAACGAATAGAAAATGTCAAAGGCCACTTCTAGTTCTCACGAAGCAAGCGGGATGAACCGCGACAACTTGTGGTTCAGCTGGAAGGCTGTACTGGCTTGTGTCTTACTTGCAGCATTAGCAAGCTTCCAACTCAACAAAACACTTTCATTTCAACCTCTGTCTCTTCGATCCATCAATAATAAAGACCAACCTCTGCCTCTTCAATCTACCAACAATAAAGAGACATCAAGCGGCTTAAGAAGACTATTGGGCGCGCATGTGGTCACCAGACCAAACCCAGAAGTCATCGGTTCGAATCAAGATAAAACAGCACACTCATCTATTCAGCTTCTTCGGGCCGCGTCGCGGTCTTGGACAGTCTTTCCAGAGGATGCCGAAGATGTGCGCACAAACAAGCCAATAGGCCCTGAATCAAGAAAAGTTCTGCACGACTCCTTCGCCGATGTTGATCAAAATCCTCAAAGCGAAGTGATCCCCTACGGCGGTGGTCTGATTGAAGGGATCATCCGCGCCTTCCAGCAAGATCTTCACCTTGTAATTCGTCCTGATGATATATGGCTAGCTATTACGACTCAGCTCAGCTTCTATATCAATGCCCACGCTGAGGAGCTGAGACACCTTTTTGTCACACATGAAGGCCAGAAACAGCTGATAGTCGACCTAACGCCACAAACTATGGAAAACTTGGACATGGCATACGCTGCAGTTTTGTTTTCCCAATTGATACAAGGAAATGTGATCGATCCAGAGCTTGCAAGCTGGATGCTCCCGAATTTTACTACTAGCACTAGCAACGATGTCAGTGTAGCCGCAATGGTTATGATGGCAACTACAAAAGCATATTTCGAATATATTATTCTAGTGGGCTGTGGCTTTCCAAGCGTTACGCTCCTCGGCGAGAGAGAAGATTGGGTCAGTCTCCTCGAGAGATTGCCAAAGCTTGCTGAATTTGGCGATGAACCTAAGGAATGGAGCAAACTACTCATCAAAGTGGTCGAAAAAATGATTGAGACGTATGATCATCCAGACGATCAGACTATCAAAGATTTCTGGATGAAGGCAGTACACAAAACTGGTGCAGAAGCTTCTGGAAGGGGTTTGAAGTCCTTGTCGGGATGGATCACCGCTTTCTGCTTTTGGGATGGCGAAGGCAGCAAAATCCATCAGTACACAGACGAGATGCTACCGATATTTCTGTTTGATGATGAAAACCCCGAAGACAGGATGAGATTGGTCATTGATGATGTTGCTTTTCCAATCATTCGAGCTGACTCGGTGCCAAAAGCTGTGGTCGAGGTACCGGTCAAAGTTGTTGATACATCGACAATGACTGAATATGACACCACTGTCATAGCCGGCTCGATAGGCATGATAGCAACCACAAGTGAAAACCAGGCAGTATTTGACACTTTTCAGCCACAATCAGGTTGGTGGATGTTACTAGATAAAACGACACCAATTGTTTGACAGAAGCGACAACAATCTAGCTTTCTATCACATTCTTATTATCTACAAGGCCGCTAAATCTGGTGACTCACTGATCTCTTAGTATTTCTCCTGCATATTCACTTTCTCAAAAATTCCATTATATTGCTAAGCTACAGTTAACCCTGAGTTCTGTGACAAAATACGTTACCTACCCTTATGCTGGAAGTATAATCTCGCTGCCATCTTGTTCAAAAAGCTGCGCCTCGTCATGCCGCTCCGATTCTTACTCTACATCCACGTTGATTCTCTCATTTCCTCATCTCTTCTGCCTTCTTACGTGAAGTCCTCGCTTTCTCGACCAATCCGCCACTCTATGTGTTGCCTTTGGCCTGCATATGCATGCTAACGTGTCACCTATTAATGGAGCTGCCAAGACCCTTTTACCGAATATGAGACAGTTCCATCTTTGATGTAATGAACTGCATTATTTGATCCAATCGTATGCCAGGAGCTTGAGCTACTCATTCTCGATCTATGCTACACAAGCAAGTAAAGCTCTATGCATTATTGCTGCAAACTACGACAGTGGCGCTTTTAGCTCTCTCTGCTTAAGCGATATGGGTTGTTTAGCCAATAATATTTATACACGTACGTAAATGTCTCAGGTTGGTCTCCTAATACTACCATACAGCATAGGCTAGGAGGGTTTGCATTCTTTTATTGAAATCTCTTATACGGAGCAATAAACTAACAAATAAGGGAAAAGAGCCAAGATACGAGCACCCGTATTACGTTTATGATAGCAGGAACAATCTTGTAACGCATTATAAAACCCCAAACAGTACACAGGGTGCCACGTTGAAGTGCAGGAAGGCTATATATGTCCCTCTTCAAGTCCAACGCCAGGTAATGACTGCCTTGCATGAAAGTCTAATGCGATGTTATACGTACCCAGAAACCCAATTCAATTTTCACAGTGCGCTCATATTACCAGGAGCAGCTACATAATTATTGTTATAAATAAATAAAGCTAAGCCAGCACCGATCTCCAAGAAATGGTCCTGGTTTTGATCTGCTAAAGCCGGTTAAATCTGTGAAGTGAACCCCTACAGAAATACTTACACAAACTAATCGTAATAGTTTGGTTTTCGCATGCTTGTGTGGGTCTGTTATATGCGATATTACTAGCATGAGTAATACTGCATATACTTTCCCTGTAGTCGTACTCAAAAGACTTGTTGCCCCTAGGCCATCAATTTTATGTTCTGTGTTATCGTTTCCATTGTGACGGATCACCTGCAGGTAACTTCAAGAGACACACTCACATTCTCACAATGAGGGAGTAGTTGTTGGAATCACAAGTAATGTAATCAATATATCCAACCATATACTGGTATGTTCCATAGTTTGACCATAGCAGGGATGCGATGCAGCTGGAGAAGCCTTATTGTGCTCACCGGCTGCAGGTTGTCAACTAGGCTGACGCCCCTTGCAGCACCCTGATTTGCCACGAAATCTTTCCAGCGGCTGGTGTTGGCTAGTGAGACTCCTGCATCGACTATGATGCAGCCATTCAGTAGCTGCGTCACTGTATGATGGCTTTTGAAGCGACCATTAGATAATATCAGGCCGCTACTTGCGGCCCTAGTCTTAGCTTTCAGGTACGTATTCCTGTGAGCATAATATTGCCCTGCATACTAGTGGAGAAAGAACCAAGTATTATTCAGAAAATCGCTTGATATTACTACTAACTGACTGAATCGGTGATGCCCTCTGTGTCAGCCGAGTCAACTACGTTTGGCATATCCAGGCCTACGCCATTCAAACTAACCTGTCACTTTCATCTTTAAAAGCAAGCCATGCCGTCGATCCCTAGACATCACTTCCTTATTATCTCTATAGCAAATAAAATAACCCTTGAAGCATTTTTCAGATCAATAACGGCATTCAGTCTATCAAAATGTCTACATCCTACACCATCTCCATTGAGAATAATCGCGGTGCAAATACCAACTATGCTACCTTCATGGAACCTCCGGAATTTACTGGTGGGCTACAGCCTTTCATGAACGTTTGGTATACAGCGTTTGTCCCCCAGGGTGGAAGTTTTGAACTCCGTACTGGCATGGACTTTTATGCATGTAAGTAGCATATTGTTCGCATATTCCTACCATATCATTGATGTTTGATCTATGCTAACCAATCATTGCTTGGCCAGGGACTGGCACTGTGCCTACTGCACCTGTTCCAGGAGTAGTTGTAACCAGCGGTATGAGCTTGCTGGCTCGCCTTGGCAATGATTCAGTGCCCGGAAGTAAGTTTATTGCACGTGAAGGCAAAGAGGCAACTAGTGCTAATTAAATTTTCTTCTCAGGCACATTTCAGAAGAAAGTCATTCAGAACTTCCCCGTCATTGAAGAAACCAGTCCATCTGCCGTTTCAGGCGCATATGAGATTAAGACCGGCCAAGATTTCACCATGCCCAATAACACATATCTCGTTGGTCTTGCAAAGGTCAATAATCGAGGGCAGGTTACTCCAGTTGCATCGGTACGTTAACCTATCTAGTTTAAATTGGCGAGATAACTAATTTCGATTTTGATTGCTAGGTTGCTCCAAGGAATGACATGAGCATCCAGATCACTCCGAAGATGAAGTTCTTTATCACCGAGAGCCAGCAGATTTCAGGTGAAATTGTTGATTACCATGCTGTTACTAGAGAGGGTGCTACCATTGATTTTAGTAGCGGCGAAGGAAAGGGGAAGTTTTATGCACGCGTGGTTCAAGGTGCTGACGGTAGATACACCGTTACCTATTACAGCGACTTTGACAATTGATTGGGATACCGTCAGTAGCGCCTGTCATGTTCTGGAACTGGATACTTTTAGTTGATGAGTAGAAAATATGAATGATTGAAAGGATTTGAAGCGACGTATATGGTGCTACTGAGGTTTAAAGGCAGATGTCCTCTCAATAGAAGATTCATTTGGATAAAAAACTTAACATATGGTACAAGAATAAGCCAGTGGCTGTGACATTCAAGACGGTGACTGTAAGATGTGGGAGGGACCTATGATCACTATTGTTTAATGTCATTTCTATTTACTTATCTACACCTAACATGAGACGTTATCAATATTACCGATCGCGTTGCCAAGTTTGTCCTAGAACTATTGCGGCATCATTTTGATCTGAATGACATAAACCTCGTTTTATCTTAAAACTCTCAGTGCCCTGCGGCGTTTTGCTTCACATTCACGTTGATACTGTTTTCATCATCAAGTCTTCTTTCATGTATCAGTATCGGCTTCTTATTCAGTTGTCTAACAACTTCTTTTTCTTCCTCGAAGTATGGGGCACTGTACTTCAGTATCCCAGACTCTCTCGCGCGCGTTATACAAGTAACCTAGCTGCTTGGCGCAGGACGTTTCAGAGGCGATGGTTACGGTGCTACATGATGTGAAACTCATATAATAACACGCAGCAATACTACTTTAGGTGAGTAGAAACAATTTTTCTAAAGATACCTATCAGAAACCAAGGTTTCTGATAGATACATACTTGTTTAGTGCGCCACCAAGCAGACGAGACAAGACGTTGCGATAGATTCGCCACCAGGTTTGAACATAGTGAACTGAGAAGAACGTTCAACTGTAAAATGTAAAAGAGGCATTAGAGCGTGCACTAGGACTCAGGTGGTAAACCAAAAATATGTTTAAAAGCAGTAATTCTAAGATATTCATGTAAAGTGTTCCATTTTTTGTGTGAGAGCTATCAGCCTGAGATCACCAGTCGCTTTCATGTACCTTGCCAAGAAGGATTATCAGTTCTAGCAACTTATTGGCTGTTCACACGATATGTTATCTATAGTTATGAGTTAACTGTCTATAGGCTTATGTATATACTAATGCCCAATGTCGGTTAACAGGAAGCAGAAGAGCATTGCGACTGACCTCCGCCCTCTTCCGCCTCTTTCTTCAGTGCACTCAATGGCCCTTGACTTGGATATCGCATTGACTTAGAACTTAGCTGTCTCTTCGAAACTAAATACTGGGAAACGTAACTAGCGATGAGGGCCGCCGGTAACATGGCCGAAAGGGCAGCGTAATGCGGGCCAGTATAAGACATAACCAGCAGAGACACAACATGAGCTCTTACAAAGCGAGAGGTAAGCAAAAGCTTTGCTATTAATCCAATGGCAAAATTCATAGATGGAATATCTATTATAAATTCAGCACTGAAGTCTGTTGAATGCTATCATTGAGCATATGGCTTAAGTGGAGGAGCAAGACATGTTACATGGGTATGCTGCTGTAAGCTCCGTCGGCGACTTTGTCATCCCCATCTAGCATTCTTCTATTTAGGCAAAACACCCTTGTAATGGTAGCCGCTGTCAAAGCATCAGCATCTGTTCCAATTAATGAACCATTTAACGGTTTAATGTCGAATCTCAAGCATCTTGAAGAAAATGCGGGGTTGAAGGAGTTTACAAACCATATCAAGCCGAATAAAGCAAAAGCTGCGGACGGATTCTAAGCGCCTTATTCCACAGGCTAAATACCATGTGGAAACAGAGTGTGGGATACGGGATACGGAGTACGGGATACGGAAAAGACGGCAGTGAATTACGTCGGGCAGCATGAGGGAGTGGCTTTGCTTGAAGCTGAAGCAGTAGCGTGTATAGGATACCTGTTGCCTAGTTAAGTACTGGTATTAGGAAATTTACATGATCGCAAAGAGATTTCTCCACTTACGGTGACACCCCATGTACGATGAGGGCGGCTATTGATACAACTGCTTATTGGAGGGACCAAGAACAGACAAGGTTAAGGTCTATGCTTCTTTTCTCAGACCTCATCATTTAGTTATTTTCTTTCTGATGTAGGTTTGATTCTTGTTTATAACCATATTAGTGATCAACGGGTAGCATGGTAAAGGTTTGTAGATTTCACATTAGCGGCTGACAGTATGGATAGACCCAAGGTGAGTTGTCTGGACGTAAAAAAAGCTCTTCAAGCATAGTAAATGGATAAATACTCATTACAAATAGTTAAATGTGTCATATCAATGAAAGAATTAAGGAAATCCGCAATAAAGAAAGAACAATGTACAAAGAAGGAATCATCATAGAAAGACTACCAGCATGGAGAGATCGGACACAGTCACACATCTATTTTGTCTGCCCAATTATAATATTAAAAAGATTTAACCACGTACCCCATACAAGTGCCGCAAAATATCCCGTGTGATATATAAATATATATTGACGGGCCACTGGAATACTACCTCCTCCGCAAGTAATCGATCGAGGTAATTTGCAGGCTAAATTCTGTACTTAACCGGACGTACCCCAGATCCGCATGAGGCTGGTAAAACAGTACTAGCGCGTTGCAACACTTTCCAGAGCTCTTGACGACATTCCTGTTTGTGAGATGGCTCTTGTTGTCTTCTTATCCGATGGTGAGTAGCCGCGCCAATAAGCGCATTTACTGAAAATGATATATATAGGGATGGCCAAGCCGCTTAAATCTGAATCATTACATTCATCTCAACCATCTTATCATTTTTACCAAGAAGATACTAAATCATCATGGTGGCATTCTCATCTTTCTTGGCTGCCTTAGCCGGCATTGCTAGCTCCTTGGCTGCTCCCGTTGAGGAACGCAACACTGACTTGATTGAGCGTGGACCTCACAACTTTGTTCTTGGAGGACACAACGACGTTCGCCGCTCCTCCATCAACTACAACCAGGATTACACCACTGGTGGAGATGTTGTTTACACACATTCAAGCACTGGATTTGCCGTCAACTGGTCTAACCCCCAGGACTTCGTCGTATGTTCACCTCTGGCATGCCATTCACAAGCGGAGATGCTGACATAAAAGCTAGGTTGGCGTTGGCTGGCAACCCGGTGGTTCAAGGTGAGCATTGCCGTTATTCTTTTGTTTGTATTATCCCCTTACTAATACCCCCGGATCTAGCCCCATCAAATTCAGCGGCAACTTTGGTGTCGGAAGCGGAGTGGGCCTGCTTTCAGTCTATGGCTGGAGCACCAACCCCCTTGTTGAGTACTACATCATGGAAGATAACTTTGGCTATCCTAGCCAAGGCACGGTGAAAGGTAGCGTCACCAGTGACGGGTCAAGCTACACGATTTGGGAGAATACTCGTGTCAATGAGCCTTCTATCCAGGGCACAGCGACCTTTAATCAGTACATCTCCATCCGAAACTCCAAGAGGTCCAGTGGCACAGTCACGGTTGCCAATCACTTCAATGCATGGAAGTCGCTTGGCATGAATTTAGGCACATTGAATTACCAGGTTATAGCTGTGGAAGGTTGGGGAGGCCAAGGCGGTGTGCAACAAACCGTCTCGAATTAGGGTCAGCACCAGGTTTGGAACCTCAGCTGCTGTCTAGGGCTTTCAAAATTGGCGTCAGATCCTTGCGAGGAAAGCTAGGTAATAGAGGGCACATATCTGTTTGTCAGCAATATATGAGCGCCGGCCTCAATTCCGATGTCGCTTAGCTACCGTCAGTTTGTGCATTGCTTTAGCTTTCTCACGAGTTTGAAATAAACGCTCATTTATACATGTTTGCAAAGACTTGAGATGTTATATTGTTACATAATGGGCCTACCATGAATTCGTATTTGCATTCAGTAGGCCTCTAGCAAGCAACCAGTTTTCGTGTAATGCAAGTGGAGATTTATCCGACGTGGCTTGAAGCCAGCACAGCCATATGGAGTGGAAGAATCTTTGCGTGTTCAGGTGCTTTTCCACATAATTTCTTGTTCATGTGGCTTACATGATGCGAAAAGACACTAAATATAACGTAATAAGTCGATCACTGGCAGAAAGAAGTTGAAGCAATAGATATAGAATGTGCATATACAAGTCTCCTGATAGTGCCCAGTAAATTGAACCGACCTTGTCTGTAAAGTAAGAGTTTGTACGACCATATCTATACATGTACAGATATACATGTACTGGTTTCGATGTGAGTATCTACCTAGCTGAGAGGGTTGAGGCTTGATTCACATGCACATGTAAAAGTGTATCCTGTGCTACCAATAATGCAATTATAGATAGGTAGGCACCTAGTTCAATTTCTATAAACTTTAATTACAAGTACTTTCCCAATTGTACATTTGGCCTTTGAAGCCCATTCACAGACCCCCAGTCACGTGTGGCCTTGATGGCTGGAAACTTTCCCAATAAAATTCACGCGAATGTCGATGTTGCTACGTGGCTTCATCGCCATTTTTACCATGCCTTACGTTCAGTCGTCCATATATTCGATCTTTTCAACAAACCGTCGACCCAGATCGTTTTCTATCAAAAAGTTGTACTTGATTGTGTCTCTTATCTTCTAATCCAAACAACTACCAGGAAAAGTGGCCATGGCGTGCGGGAGAAGTCGAGGAAGATGTCGAGGCCAAAAGCGCAAACGAAGTCCGGTACAGCAGCCGTCAAAAGTCGGCTGGTCAGATCTGCCTACAGAATTGAGAGAGATGATATTGGGGGCTTTAGAGGACTTGTTACATGGTGGGAAAGCAGCCTCGTATGCCTTGGTCTTCAAGGAATGGAACCGAATTCTTGAGCCTTACATCTTCAAGCGCCTCAAGCTATCGCTAGATCGTATGGAAAAGTTTAGGGATATTGTTACCGACCGACGTCGACTATTCGTTCAGTTTATATGGTTCCGGTTCAAGAGGTGTCCCTGCTCTAGCATGAGCACGATAGACGTTGACTCCCGAAATGACCACATCAAATTCGCATACACAATTTATTGTTTATTTCAGTGGCTTTCGGAATGGGAATTAAGACAAGTAGGCCAGCCAGGCATTGTTTTAGAGCTGAGCGCCTTCTCGGGCTTTGATACTCCCGATTCCATGAAAGATACCGTACCAAAACAATTACAAAATGTTGACGTTACAGAGGATAGCGATACGCTAAATGCCATGTACGAAAAATTGCCCGTCCGCCAAGTACGTGGATTGCCCAGAGAAGAGGTAATCCATCGAAGGATGTTGAGAAGCTTCTACGTTCCTGGTAAGGCTCCAGGCGTACTAGAAGCGCCATTTCCTACGGTCAAATTGATCACAGACCTTACAGTACGTCGACAGATGCACAGCAGCTTCTTTGGACGACACATGGGACGTTTGGTCAAAGCACTACCCAGGCTTGAGTTCATTACATTCCAGCCATCAAGCGATGGTTTTCTGCAGGAGGGATGGCACGGGTGGTCAGAAGACGAGAATGCCCAACCTATACAAGACATTCTAAACGCGATGCCATCTTCGATTAGGCGCCTGCAAGTGCTTGAAGATGACGTGTCATTATATAATCGCAACAACATACTACCAAGAAGAGGGCCCGACCGCCATGATCTGGGTCGACTGGCGGCAGACATCAGCCAAGACAAGGAGCCAGAGGCGCTAGCAATGTCCTTCATCATCGACGCCCTGGACTTTTTCACAGATTTTGTGACACCCCAGATAACTCGGCCTCCAGATAAAAGCTCGGATGGGCCAAACTTACTTCGCTCATGTTGACTGCTTCCGTCATCCAGCCTAACTCGGGCCGCCTTCCAACCCTGTTGATGGCGGCCGCCAGAGCCGCGTGCCATATGCCCAGGCTGGAGATTATGGAGATATATAACGCACAGGCATGGTACGGTGGTATTTTCACCTACATACACGACAAAGAAGGCAGTATTATCCAGTGGGAAAGCACTTGGGAGTGGGAAATTCCATGCGACATCATTGTCATGTGGAGAAGAACTGCAAGAGTTCACGGTACGGAAGTTCTTGAATATAATTCAGATCAGATAAAATTACGCGATTTAGGATGGCCCGGAAGGATAATATCACTGCTTCGTACGCGTGAGACGGTAGTTCACCCCTTTACATATGGCAACATGATGAATGGATTAAACCACATGTAGGGAATCAGTAGCCTGAGTGAACAAGGAAAAGAGGACGAAAAAGAAAGAGCGCCAAAATGATAAAACGACGATTTCAGGCATCCTACCATAGAGAAGGAGGAAAGAAGGGGTATGAAATGTCCGTGTGGGCGTAATAGATGTAATAACGATAATAATTAGATGACGAGGTTGTTAAACCTAGTTTTCCGATGCCTTTATTTCTATTACTTTTCCTGCCAATAGATTCAATTATACATCAGTATTCTTACCTTTATTGATGTGCGTATTTCCATTTGCAGTTTTTATCCTTTGGCTGCCCCTTCGCAGCCACTTCTAAACTCAAGCAACACCATGAACAACTACGAAGAACTGCAGTCAAAATACCCTCCTAGCCCTATCTCTCCACAGACGATGCAAATCATATTTCTCACTCGCAAATTACCCTGTCTTGAGTTTTTCTAGGCAATGCGACATCGCTCATTTGTCCCTCATTGGCCCCGGACTTATCGTCTCTCGGGACACCGAAAGCCGAAAGATGTCCGGAGACAGATGAGGGGGATGTTGAATCTGCAAAGAGATCCGAAAATACGTTGAGGCCCGCCCTGGATCATTTACCTGGCGGATTTTTAGCGAAATCAGTTAGTATTCGCAAGTTTCATGAGATAAAACGAAAAAGAACAAGGAAAGAGAGATCAGTAGAGGCTTTGCTTGGGCAATCCGTATATCCGACATTCCCTTGGCCCGTAGTCTTTTAGTGACGTAGTACTACTAGTACACGGGCAAAGGGCGATACGAGACGAGACGCCCAGCCCAGTTTCATGGCTACAGACAGAAAAAAAGAAAACATGCAGCTTCTAAGCCTAAAATCATGAAAGCGTCCCTCCCAAGAATCGCATCAGTCTCGAAAACTCTAAAATAATAGCGTTCCCTCATGTCCGTTTATCTCGCTCTTTTCGCAGATGTCCGAAATCTTTCTAGTCATCAACCCTGTCGCGTGATCCCTTCCATGGCTGTTTTGCTATCTGTATTCATGTCAAAGCGTCTACCCAAAAGCCCATTTCCATCAACTTCATTATTGAGCCTCGTTCCGATTCCACCTCGTAGCTCTTTGTAAAATGCAATCCATCTAGGTGGATGATGATGCCAATGCGGCTGCCCATTCCCTTTGATGATAAGAGGATTGCGGCCCAAACACATGGCAAGCAGAGCACTGGCATAGCTCATAAAATGCCTGCGTGATATCAAAAGTACAAAAAGAATAAATCCAAACTCCAAGATACCCTTGACGAAAAAAAAGAAACAAAAAGAAAAGATGTAATATGATACTGCGATCTAGCATCTATCATCGCTTGACTGGCGCTAGTGAAAATGGTACAAGGCCTCAGCGGGTATACTTGCTGCATCCAGTTTATGGATGAGCACGCTGCCTCAACGCTCTGATGTTATGCGATAATGTCACAATATTGTTCAAGGCATCACTGGTGTCACCTGTGCGTTGCGACAGGCAAACGCGGTGCTACCATGTCCAGATCGGATTTTCCCGTCTTGTCAATGGAACGCCTCTCCTTGGGCGGCGCACTCTGGTACAAGTGATGCAGCTTGATGTAATCGTACACTGATCGAGGGAGGTCCTGTGCGACCTCGCCGTTGCGGATCTGGGCGCGGGCCTTGGTCGACGAGACGTCGTTCTGGAAGGACGGCACCACCATGATGTTGTCGTTGTATTTCTTCAGCGGCTGGATGGCCTCCCGGATATCGCAGAGGGCAGGCCTCTCGACAATAAAGGCGCCATAGTAGCCCAAGAGCACGTCAATGTCGGCGGGCGCCCACACCTTGGGGTCGCTCATGGTGAGGGCCAAGTCGGCGCCGATCAGCAGCATCACTCGAGCTCTTACAAACGTGCCATCAACGGTCTGGATGCCGCCGAGGACATCGTTTAGCTGCTCGTCGAGTCGCTTGAGGACGTCGGCGGTGCGGGTGTAGACGGGATGGCCGTCTTCATCCCGGCGCAAAGTCTCCCAGTCGTCGATCATGGCGTTGCTGTTGGTTTGCTCAATAGCAAGTCGGCACCTGGCAATCCGCGACAACTCGTTAGCAAGAGCGCTGTTTTGCAGTTTCTGAGTCTTGGACTTACATGTTGATGCGATGGTGCGCCGGGACCAGCGAACTCTTGCCGTACGTATCGCTGCACGGGCTCATGTAGCTGCCGACCAGTTCATAGCCGGTGTGGTCTACATAACTCCCGGCAACCGAAAACATGGACATGTGCAGCGAGGTTGGCGGCGAAAAGCTGCCGCACGAGACAAGGACCAGCGGCGTCTTGTTCGCCCGTGTCAGGCGGCGCTTCAGCCTGTCGTGGGGAAACGAATATCCATGATACGGCTCGGACATGGCCTCGGGAGGAGGCGTCGGCGTGCCGGTCGGGTGAACCGCTGTGCGCGGAACCGACGAGGCGAAACTGTCTGCTGGGAGGCCACCCATGGTTGCCGGATTCAAAGAGAGAGGGTTGCTGTCGTGGTTGCGGGAGTGGTTGGCGAGAGTGCCGGAGCGAGGAGACGAGGAGAACGAGAGACGACGCTTGTTATGTAGCAACTCCATGTACCTATTTATCATGTGCTGGAACGTTCTGCGGCTGGTTCCGTGCCAGGAAGGCTCCGTGATGCCCGGTTATCGGCTGGTCAGATTGCGGGCCGCAGCAGGTTTCTCTGCAGTCTCTGCAGTCTCTGCAGGCCTTATGTATGTCGACAGTAGGTCTTGTTGGATGCCGGCGCTGATGATCACGAGGGGTGTTTGCAATGTGTGGAGTGGGAACCCTTCCAGATGGGAGAGGGGCAGGAACTTTGGAAATCTAGATTTGCTCCTCCGTGCTCGGGCGTTGCCAGAACGGCTACTTCAAAACTTGGAGGCCAAGAGAGCCCGGTACTCGCCGGTGGCTGCAACTTTTGCAGACTCGGACTTGTACTGTTTGCAATGACGGGCTGCAACTAGCACGAGTCCCAAAGCGGCGTCTATTGGCTGGCTGCGAGTTTAGAGTCATCGCATGGAGCCAGCCACAAGAGACAAGAGAGAGACACAGCCCTAGGTCCGAGTGGGCCGCCTGTTCTGTTCCCTCTGGGGCGCATTTCTGCCTGTTTCTGGTGCGAGAGGATCGGTAATCAATCTTCAGCCAGCGTTGGATCCTGTTGGCCAACTTGGCTTTTCTGGTCTTAGCCGGTTGCATTGTGTCCCCTCATGGCTTCGCCGGATTGTGCCATCGCCCGTCCGTTATGCTGTTCCTATTTGTCGACGCCGCCAATACTCGGTATTACTGTATTCGAATTCCCGCGCTTTCCCCCGTGAGACACAATGCAATTCCAGAGCCGCTTTTATTTCGTAATCGTAATCCAAAGCATGTACGGAGTGCTGTTTGAAACATGCTCCTGGCCTGACAGCAGAGCACAGGTGCTTGTACACCCGAGCACGCAAGTTCGGGCCGGGGCACCAAATGCGTGAATCAATCTGCACCTGCATGGCAATATGCCGTCAGCATGCAAATCTCGCCCGAGCTGCGGTTATGTGCGTGCTCTATCTAGCCTTACCCGCCGGGTCCCACAGCCAGGCTGCCTCCCAGTGCTCCATACCGGTGTTTTGAGTGTGTGCGTCATGTTATGTAGGTACCTTTTACCTTTGTACGGGCATGTACAACATATCGAGACGTGAATGCTTCGTTACACTCTGTAGAACCTCAATTGCCGACAGAGCTTGCTTACTATTGCGCATCAGCGAGACCCTCGTGGCGTACTCCGCCTCCACACATTGTGAGACTGGCCAACTCAACTCACTCAATACTAAACCCTAATCCCAATCTGAGTGGAGGCGTAGTCTTGCTCCCCATCACCCAAACAGTAGCAGCATCAAAATGCCAATTTTTAAGGCATGCAAAGTCTGAGCTCAACTTGCATGAATAAAGTGTAACAGAAACTGCGTATATAGAGCTTCGCCTGCAGGAGTAGAATACCAGCGTTGCCATGACGCTGTTAACGTCAATGTATGTTACTTTCGCCGCTTCGAATATTCGCAGGCGCCCGACCGACCACGAGTGGTGGCTTACACGTAGAAAGCCATCGGATTGCTTCGACCGCAGATTGATTCATCTTTTGCTATCCGTTTTATTTTTGCTTCATTTCCCATGATAGTTAGCAGGCAATTATAGAACGCCGTTTGTTGTGCAATTGGATGCCAGGTGTATCCAGAGAGCTACTTACTATTCACCAGTATCGCAGATCAGCAATCAGCAGCTGCGCTACCTCCAATTTCAACACTGATCTCCACGCACAAAGGCGTTTATAGTCAGATAGCCATGGATATGATATAGTCGCGGACTTTTGGTTTTCGATTTTCTGATCAGACCATTGATGCAGTGGCCGCACTCTACTGAAGTGAAGCTGGTGTTTGACTTTATAACAGCAGATCCCGGTGGAATATCTCCAAGTTTGCATCCCAAACAACAAAAGAAAAGAAAACACCTCATTGCTCGCCTCGCCACTGTTCCAAAAGACTGGCCATATTTCTTGCACCCGACATTGTATAGCGCTGGCAATGACAAAGCATATCTTGACGACATTGGTGAATTGGTTCAAAAGGTCTCGTCAGGCAAGTAGGCCTTCACTTCGCGCCTACTACTACACATGCTCAGTATACTGAGTATCCACAACGCAGCATCTCATTAAGCGCAAATGAAGCCTTCGTCAAACATTACAGTATAATTGAACTTGCAAGATCCCAGACGATGTAACCAGGCCTAAAGAGAAGCGGGGGCGGCTTAATCTTGAAGATCAGCGTTCGCTCTCTAAGCGATGTGAGGCTTCTAGAACTCATACTATGTAGATTTCGCAATGAAAATTTAAACGAGATGCAACATGAAACCCAATGAGTCGCATTGTAACGACCTCTTCCATAAACGGGTAAACTGCCACCCGACAGAGCATCCCGACAGCATCCTGACAGCATCCTGACAGCATCCCAGCGTCGACCAAACCTGCGAACCATGTCTACGTATGAGACTCTGCGATATTTACGAAAGCCTAAATCGCTCAATCCTTTGGCCTGTTACAACTTACCGTCCGGCTCCGCGGCACGAAGTTATGCTGTGGCTGGGTGTTTTTGAGCCTATTCTCCGAAACATGCGTAACCTTATCCGTTTCACCTATGAAACGCGGTGACGGTTTATACAATGTACCGAGCATTACATGTCGAGCGGATCAAGATGTTTATAGTTCGTGCTAATGTTCTTCCAGAACACCGAATATCGCATTAGTTCTCAAACAGTCCCGCAGTTTCATTAAGGATAGTATTGGCTTTGTTTGACGACCTTGACGAGGGTAGGGTATCAACGAACTCGAAGATCGTCTTTCTTGGCTTACGGGGATTGTTCAGATGCCATGCCATTGTACCAGGGTTACCTCGATTCGCAGATACAATTCGAATAATTCCAATACAGGCACTTGCGCTTCAACTCCTCGACGTTTGGAACAGAGCCATAAGCGGCCACAAACATCAGGGTTGTAGCAGAATCGTGTGTGACATGGGGAAGAGAGTATTCCAAATATGTGTTGAGTTTTACAATATCTCACCCGACGACAAAGACTGAACAAGCAACAGTTTTTCCGACAGAGAGAAAATGAGACTCTGGGAATCGGTGGCTTGGGCATCCGTACAACATCCAAGAGGTACTTGAAGTTACATAGTGCTCTCGTTCACTGTAGCTCACCGTTTCAATCTTCGAATACATACTTTTGTAAGCATACTAATGCTCATAGGCCACTTGAGCATTTGTTTTATGGCACATGTCTATAAAATGACTTCTTGGTTCCGCTAAACCGGAAATGTATAACGGAAGAAGCAAGAAGACCCATTCTTCTCGTATAGTACCGCCAAAATATATCTAGATTAGACCAAAATCTCTCAATCGAGCTCTCAAATAGCTGGAAACATGAAATAAGATGATGTATTCATAACGGTAGTGCCGTTGCTTTCATAATCTCCAGCATTAATCAACATATTCAGACTCTTATGCTGTACGCCAACATCTTCTTGATATGACCTGGCCGCATTCAACTATAGTCAAGGAAGAGTCTAATAGCGGTGAAGTCTAGCTCCGCTCTTAATTTCCGTTCTAATGAGATCTTCTAAATGGCGAAATGACACTATAGGTATTCCAGATATTATAACAATCTTATCATAACATCAAGTGATTGGAAAACAGTTTCCGGCATAGCTTAAAAGCCATGAGTCATAATGATTCATGGCAGAACATGTAAAAATACTGATTCACACGAGAGACTGAAGCTGCCAGTATATTCTCCAAGTAACCAAACTAGGAGAGATCCTGAATTAACTAATTAGCAACCCTGGTTTAGCAAATTGAGTAACACCTCATACGAATACACAGTTCAATTAATTAAAAGGATAAAGTGCAGTAGGACGTTGACATTGGTACCTCTCATGATCAGCATTCATTTCTCCGGATGTAACATTGTTCAGCTTCAAATACTTACATGAATTGCCGAATATCAATGCCGCGGAGAATGCCCTACAACGGCTGCTTCATCTTCTTGCAAAAAGGGGGGATTGGCATCTGTGTCAGGGGGCAAACTCATGTTACTAGGTCCCTCATAACAGGCTGAATCCTCACAAGTGCAACTGTCCGTTATACTAATAGGGAATCTCTACAATAGTGATTATAGCCTAATCGTTTGCCCTGTTTGGCTTAAGAGGATAGCAGATCGTAGCGATTCATTTGCGTCGGAGTATCATCCATCACTCGCGACAGGTTCACACCAAGTTATCAGTTCCAAGACATTTGTGATAGTCAAAAGCAAAATCTATTTTTATCTGCCAATATACCATCTCAGAGAATTCAATTCTCTCGATGTCGTAAAAAGCACTGAAAGCCTCCTAAACTCCGGGTTTTTCTTAGCCCTGAGGCCCTAGCAATCCTATAAGACTATTGATTAAAATACTGATGTAAATAGACACGTGGTGTTGGTGTGAGAAAACAAATAAAAGTAAAGCGAGTCCAGCACGTTTTTATCCCGATCCTCATGATTTCGCAAATAGCCCTTTAGTGAAACCTATCACCGCCGTAGCTTACGCCCTGGCCGTCGCTGCTTGTGACGACGACTTGGTAGTGGTCATCCATGACGCCCCGGTCAGAAACGCTGTCCTGCTCGATCTTGCGAGTAACGTGGATGATGTGGCGGCTCGACTCGTTGTCATCGCTTCCTTCCCGGTCTTGGAAGTGGTAGTCCTTGTCATAGTTTTTTGACTCTCCAGCATTTGTGAGCTTCATGTGAGTGCGTCGTCCAGTAGAGCCAATCGTCTTGAGGTTGATGTCGCGGGATTGACCAGGTGTGCCGCCATCTGTGGCAGCAAGGCCGGGAGCGACAACACGCAGGAGAGTACGCAGCATAGGCATCGAACCAGCGATGATACCCAGGTCACACTCGAGCACGGTCAACAAGACAATCTTGCCAATCTGGACTAAACATTGGTCCGTTAGCATCCATCCTGTCAAAGGGTCGCAAAAGGAAAATGGCACTTACAATATCTGTTGTGAGGCGTAGTGTAGGCCCAAGTGTAAGTAATACGGATGGTGGTTGCTACAGATGCGAGAACACCCAGCGACAGAATACCAATGGTGACCAGCTTCAATCTCGGGGGGATCTGGACGTGGCGAAGCAAGAAGGCGGGCACAAGCGAGGTAGAGATATCGGTGAAGATGTTGGCGGCGGAAACAAAGTATGACACGTTCAAGATGACTGTCTGACCAGAGGTACAGTCTCCCGGCTCACCCCATGCGGCGGCGACCGGCTTGCACTGGAAGATTGCGACTGGCCACGAGATTTGCCATGTGATCCAGGCAAAGCCAAACAGAACCCATAGAATGCGCGTGTAGTTCTTGTTCAGGCCCTTGGCGAGTCGGAGCAGCGTCCAGATAATGCTAGACTTGATGAGAGCGCCGTCCAGCACATAGAGGAACTGCCAGATGATTGTCCACAGTCCCATGTGGAACTGCATGCCGACCGTGATGACATCGTCGGGCGATCCAATGCCACTATATGAGAGAACAATGACTGCAGCGTTGTGGCCAAGGTTGATAAGCTAGACATGGAAGATTAGTGGTTAGAAAAAGCGCACATCGAGGGGTCGTTGACGTTGAGAGTGATTGTTTAACTAACCCATCCAGCAAGCATCAACCAGTCCTCAATGGAGAACAAGCCAAGCGAAATGCGAGCATAAAAACGTAGGCCCACTACAAGTGTAGATAAAATAGTAAACACAATCGTCGTCACCATCAAAGCGAGCGCCAGGCCCTCGGGCTGGATGGGTTCGAACACGGTCGTCGTCAGATCCTTCGCCATGGCTGCTGTTGCGTAACACTTTTGAAAAACCCTGAAAGTGTCAACGCAACGACGCAAGATCGCCTTCTATTGCCAGATGAAATAAGAGGGCACGAAGCCGTCTCTATATGAAGAAGCTTGGCAAAGGGGTTCCTTACCCCGTGGAACCACCCAGACCGTCGCCTTGGAACTTGTGTTCTCCGAGCAGGGGAGGCAATTTTAAAAGCGAGACGAGTGATGATCCCATTAGAGAAAAAGCTGCAGACCAACAACCGACAAAACCTTGGTCATGTCGAACCCTGTCAGCCTATATCTTATGGGGTGAAAGAGGCGGGATGTTATGTCTGGGGGGCTGGCCCGCGGGCGTATATACAAGTACTGTACGGACTCTTTTCCCCGCTGAGCTTTTTTTTTTTCCCAAGCATCTTCTTTCAATTCAAAACAGTGCTAAATGCTACTAGATGACTACTAGATGACTACTTGTAGGTAACTAGAGAGCCGTGTCTTTTTCTGCATACGAAGAACAAAGGGCAGTAGGTATAATAAGCAGTAAGGCATCAGCATATGCTAGTATAAGGCCGCTCCATATGCCGCGAGTGCCCCTTTACTACAAGTATGGAATCGAGTATGCACCTCTCCATAATACCACTGCAGCTAGACAGTCCCAGATGTAACGCTGCGTTATGCTTCTAGCTGGCAATGCAAACTATTCGGAATCCAGAGTAGTTCTGCGGAGCTGTCTAGTTCATCTAATATAGGGGTAACGCCGTACAAATCCATGACCCGGAAGGATTCCGGTCAACGAAGCTTGCCAACTTTATACGCAGCTGCCTGTCTTTACGAGTAGTACCAGCAGTCCGCGTACCGATGCGGAGCGTGTTCGCCCACAGAGTACCCCGTCCCCAGGTGATACGAAAAGAAGTGGCAAGAGAACGTTCCATAGACGGACAGACGAGCAAACGGAAATATTACAAGTCACTGCCGCGTCGAGGCATCATGTGGATACCGCGGCCCGGAATGACCTACCACTAACCTCGTACTGTAATAGTGACACGGCACACGGATAGATGGAGATTCAACGGTGTAAGCGACTATCTGCGGAACTACTGCTATAACCCCCTTCTCCTCCATCTGAGTTGGGCTTACTAACGACGGAAACGACCTAGCCAGATGCAAGAAAAGCTCTCTTAGTAAGGATCTACGTTATTGTTGTCATGCAACATCCCAGCGCCCGTTTCATACAAGAAGCAAAAGAAATCCTCGGCTAGCAGCCTGGTAGGGCCGCGACTAGAAGCGGTAAGAGATCTGCGCCGCGCCGATGAAAGAATTGTGGAACTTGCTCTCCTCAACGGCTAAAGACGAAAATATCACGAGCATTCATTGGCTGGACATTGATTGTATCACGTGTGTTGAAGATGGGCTCGGACAACTTTTACTGCATTGTTTATTCGGGTATGGATATAGACTACTTGTAGGTACTTGTAGATATGCTACTGTACAGTAGGTATGTATGTATATAGATTCCTTGTAATGCTAGTACTAAATAGCACTACTCGTGATAACATTATAACACCACCGAACCGAATGGAGTTCGGTTAACGATTTCCAGCCTCCCCCCCTGCGTCTCAGACTCAGGCAGCAGCAGCCGGCTTGGGCGCGTCCAGGATCACATCAATGACCTTGTGGTCGTTGTAGGCGGCCACGGTGCGCTCACACAGCACGGCAATGCGCTCTCTGCTCTGCAGCGTCTCGGGGCAGATGATCCAGATCACGTTGGTCATGAAGGAGCGCTTGTACTCGGTCATGACCTCCGGGTCGTTGTGGCGGTCGAACTTGGGTCCACCGAGGCGGTGCAGCGTCTCGAGGTAGTGGTCCAGGATCTTCATCTCGTGGGCGCGGCGGTCCTCGACAGTCAGCATCGCCGTCATGTGGTAGACGACGTCGTGGAAGCACGAGCCGAAGTGGAAGGCCGACCAGTCCAGGAACCCGATGCGGCCGTCGGATGTCACGTACACGTTGCCCATGTGCGTGTCGCCGTGCAGCAACGTCCGGAACCGCGGGTTTCGCTCGGCGTAGTAGCGATCCAGGGCCTCGTTGCACCGCGTACCGTCCATGAGGTACTCGGGCAGCTGGGGCCGGCCTGGCTGTCGCACCACATCGTCCCACGGCGTGCACATGAACTTCATTGCCGGGTCGTAGTTGTTCCAGATCCCTGTCGCCTTGTAAGACACCAACTACCGGGAGAGACCGGGGAGGGGGGAGGGGGGAGGGGGGGCGGAGAGGATAGGGGCAGGGGCAGGGGGCGATGGGAATCTTCACTTACAAGGGTGGTCGTCTTGACTCTTGCCCCAGTACTTTGCGTGCAGGCCAGCCAGCTGCTGGACACCGTTCATGACCTGGTCGACCGAGTATGAGGCGACCTCGGGGGGGAATGCGACGCCGTCCTTGGTCAGGTCGTCCATGATGGCGATTCCCTGCTTCTCGCTCTGGCCGCTCCACCAGCCCTTGGGGAACAGCATGTTCTCCAGACCAGGGGCAATCTTTGAGAAGAAGTCGGACTCTCGCTGTGCCAGACTGACGGTCCACGGCTGGTCCTCAATCATCTTGGGGTCGAAGACGCCCTTGATGCAGACGTGGGACGGTCTCGGCTTGCTGCTGCTCTCATCCTCGTACGTGATGGTGTAGAACAGCTTGCTGCCGGTTCCCCAGATGTTGTGGGTGTTTTCAATGGACTTGATCTTCTGGCCGAGCTTGGCGCCAAGCCATTCGGCAGTAATGTCTGAGGGGACAGCCGGGAGCTGCTCGCTTGTGGCGTTGCCGGACATTTTCACGCGGGTGGTCTGCGCTGCGGCCGTTTTCTTTGGTTTGAAGAGGAAGTTGAATGCGAGAAGGGGATAGAGAGAGAGAGAGAGAGAGAGGCAGTGTTGGAGTGATACCGGATTCAGTCGTGCAAGTAGAGATGAGTTCGAAGCCCACCCCCATCTTATATTAACGATACTATGTCTCTTATTTACCCCTAATGCTCACCGATTCTCTCGCTCCATCCCGCTTTAAGATTTCCAGGAGGCTCAGGAGCGCAGGAATTGTGATGTGATAGGACACCTATCACAAAAGCCATGATTTTCGTCTATTTGGATGGGACTGCATGATTTAGTTCGACTACGTAGCCAGGAATGCAACCATCTATCCAGATACCTGGATAGAAAGTGGGCTCCAGGGCCTCCCGCATTGTGTCAAGTTAACAAGACAAAGGCAAGTCTAGAGATTAGCCGCGCCAAGCACAAAACGGCGGTGTGAAGATTTTTTAAAACAAGCAACTCCCAAGATTCTCGTCTACGGTGCAGGACTTGTACAATTGCTGTTACTCGTAGTGTCTCTGATGCTGGCCCAACTAGCTAGCATTCGTGGCTGCCTGCACAGGGTGCAGTATGAGCCCCGGAGCTTTCAATCCCACAGCCCCCTATAATCTCTTCAAGGCTTCTGCAAGTCATCCGAGTGCCAATTGGAAGCTTTGCCGGCCCCTGGGATACCTGTCAAGTCCCTTGGCGTGGTAGCCGATGCCCGGCTCTATCGGCTCTATACCCGACGGCGGACAAATACAACAAAGACTGGCCCGATCTTCAGGGTACAAGCTCTACGTGTACTTTGAGCTTCTCGCTGTGACCAGTTCAAAGTCTGCACAAAAGAGTGGGAACGCTGGGCACCGGTACCTTTTGTAACCGCCTCTAGTCGTAGCGTAGCCGCGATTTACCTCTTGTCCAAAGACCGGTCCAACCAACGGCCCCAGCGCTAATTGTGTAGTGTGTATGTACATGTATACAACGACGCCCCCACAAGTCCCCAAGTGTCAGAAACGTCAGTGAGGAACAAATTGCCACCTCTGGTATAATGCTACTTTGGATACCCTGGATCTCACTGGATCGAATGTGAGATATCAAGTCCCAGAACTTGGGTACGGAGCTCTTTTGTGGGCTTTTTGTTTTCTCAGTGAAATTGCTACTCGTACTACGACGTAGTAGTGACCAGTGATCCTTGTGAAGCGCACAGTCGGCCTTGCGGATGGCGGGTGGGATGTTCCATCTTGTCTTCTAGGGAGCTGCCGGTGCCAAGCTAGTAAGGGTATTTTGGTAGCTCACGCAATTACATACCGGTCCAAGTCCACAGAGAGGCGTATCATCTTATAAGGTTAATTACATAGATCCATCTATATGGGTTTTTATGTATCGTATTACTGGACTAGCTAGGGGACAAATGGAACGATCTTCACGCCTCACTACCGTAGCCGCGGCGCCGGCGCCGGACTCCCCCCCTTCCTCGTCTCTTTCCTCCCCTTACCCAATATTTTGTAGAAGCTCGACAATTATAAAAAGCCAACTTCAACCGGTTGTTTTTGTCTTTCATTCCTCATTCCATCATTCCGTTTTCAAACAGACTTTCAATAAGCTGCAAAGACACAAATCTCCAGACTCGGACGTCATTTTCAGGAGCCATCCAGCAAAGCACTTACACGCCTTTGTTCGAGCATCATCATCACAGTCTCAAGCCACAAAGATTAATCTTTGGCTATTCTAGACCATCAAATCCAACCTATTCAACCAAACACCAGCTTACCAACATCCACAGTCAACACAATGGCTATTCCCGAGGTATGCTTCACTCCAATGACTCGATTAGCCCCTTCCACTAACAATAATAGACATCCCTCTCCACCATCCGTGAAGTCCTTTCACATTTCGTCTCCGAGGTGACCGGAGGCTACAAGATCGATGAAAAGGCTCTTAGCTTAACACCCATTGACAAGCTGCGTGCTGCAGTTGTCTCAGAGCTGCAGCAGTCCAGCCTTAAAGACCACTTGGACTACCTAAATTCAAAAGACCAGTTCACCATGGCGTGCTATGTAGCAGCTGACTTTACGTCATCTCACCCCCTCGACTACCAGGTCATGGTTGCCCAGCTTACCATCTTCTTCTTCCACGCCGAGGACATTCTTGAAGAGAAGCCCGAAGTCCTTCGCCAACTGCAGCTCAACGTAGCCTCCGGCAAGCCATGCGGTGACCCAGTCCTCGACTGGTACGCCCGTGAGCTTGTGCCCCGTCTGTGGAAGCACTTTGACCCCCTTGTTGCCAACATGATTACCATTGCCTGCTATGACTTTATCAACGGCATTGGAATCGAGTCCCTGACCAAGGACGTTGAAATCCAACCCCAGGCAGTGGCTTTCCCTGATTGGCTGCGTTTCAAAACGGGGCTTTCCCCAATGTATGCGCTGTTGGCTCTAGCACGGCCCTCAGATCCGAAATTGCCTACTGGTGGACTGGACAAGTACGTCCAGGTCATCCCTGATGTTATCGTCTTCACCAACATTGTCAACGATGTCATTTCCTTCTACAAGGAGCTCCTGGCAGAGGAGAAGGGCAACTACATTGACATGCGCGCCCAGAGAGAAAACATCACTGTCCTGGAGGCATTGAGCACCCTTGCTGAAGAGGGCATCCGAGTTCGTGAGCGTGTCCTCAAGGTTCTTGATGATGAGCCCGAGTACCGAGCCAACTTTGATACTTACGCCAAGGGCATCACCCACTTCCACACCTCATCTCCGCGTTACCGCATGATGGGACTGTTTGAGAGGGAGTAGAAAAAGAGTTGGCATTAAAAATTGAGGCTTCAGGGCAAGATATAGAGAGTCATAGAGCGGTGGTGAAAAGCTGTTGTTTTTTTCAAAAATAGATCGAGTGTACTAGTATAGACTGAATTGAGATTTAAGCTCTTTGATAACCTCATCGTTTCCATCTACATCTACATAAACAGATTTATAGTGTTGTGGATCCTAGAGATCGTAGAATTCCCAAGCGCATTGGCCACGAATGACATTTTTCATGCGCTTTGGCCAAAAATTCCCAAGCGCATTGGCCAGAGAATGCTGGCAATGGCGGTTGAGATCTTGGGGAAACAAGAGGGGCGGGCCTGCAGAAGAGGGACGACCAACACGCATGAAAATACCATGCTAGGGGTGGGCGGCAAATTTTGAGTCGAATCCTCTCTTTGTTGGCTGGAGCCAAACCCACTTGTTTGATACAGCCAGTTTACATAGGCAAGTTTGATCACCCCGTTACGCTCGCTTTTCTTGTATTCAGAGCCGGAAGTTTTCCGTACAGTGTGCGACTTGAACACTCGCCGATTATGATGCCGCAACTCGTGAGCTATGCTTCTTGTGTCATCAAGCACATAATCTTGAACCTAGCGGTTTCACCAGCTGGTTATAAGGATGAATCATCATCATTGTGTGTGTATTCCTTCTATTTTAGATGTACATGAGCCTCATTCTAGGCGCCAACAAACGGCGAAATATGCCGCAAAAACGCTAAAATAACATCTAATACGGAGTGACCGTCGAGGGGGCGTATATGCAACATCCAATTGTATCCACATGCCTTTATTGAACAGTTTTGTCTCGCAAATTGGATACTATTGGGCGTTGAATGATGTGACATTGGAAGTGGTTCGACGTTTTCTATGAAGTTTGCGAGCGAAGGATTCTTGGTTCACAACCTAGTCTGCTTCTGGAAGACCGCATGAGAACTGACAGCGGCCCTTGCAGAGCCGCGGGTACGAGATTGCGGCTAATATTGAAAGTACTGTATATACAAGTAGACGGGGTAGGGAGAAGGCCCGATAAACAAGGTTGCAAGGGAGCATCCTGTGCATGTGCAAGGTCTACCGTGTTACAGTAATATGCCAAACAAAAATAGTTATGCTGGCTTCATTGCATAATTTCGCCACGTATCATTGCTCTGCCGGTTCCTGGCGAGCCATCATTTCGCTGATCCACTAGGGGGATCTCTTCGCTCGCTTCCTTTTGTTCCATTTTCCTTCTTTTGGAAATGATGTTGCACGTTTGCCAAGGCGAATGTTACGCTGCCAGGCAGGCCCCTACCGGAGCCATGTACACATGGCCTCGGTAACAAACGGATCCTTTTGAGAAAGATATCGTGATTTCTTTGTGGCTGTGTCTTGTATTGTGGGCCAAAATCTTAGCAAATGTTGGATCTGTTCCGTAGCGGTCCGGTTAGTATACGCGGGAGCAAGGAACGAAGCTAGTGTGTCAGAGTCAGGCCACAGAAGTAATTCCGATAATATCACAACGACAAGATCTACGTTTTTGGCCCCCATGCATATTCCTCTTCCAAATACTGAAGGTAGACATGGGCAGTAAAGAGATTGGTGGCTTACATAGTAGGCATGTATGATGGCCTGTAAATACTACCGTATTGCCGTATTACCTGGCAAAACTGACCAGTGGAACTGCTCATCTGTTGACCAAGCATTATGAAGATCCAGCAACAGCTTCATTGGATCAAAGGCACTCTCATGGGGAAACTCCACTGGTCAGTTTTACAAGGCCATTTAGCCAAACGGTAGTTGCCGTCTTTCTGTAGCGGGAGATCTTTTGCCTCCGTTAGGGGTGAGTGAGTAGATCTCCACTCCATGGCTAAACGTTTTGCCCCCCAACTCGTCGTCTTTCCTGTTAGCAAGCTGTAAGGGTGCAATAGGCCTCCTTACACTCGGTTGTCCTCACTGAATACCGACTTTTACTCAATTGCTCGTACCCGAGGAGTTTGAACACGAGTTTTGCACAATCTGATTCAGTGGGGGTCCATTCTGCCCCATTTGATATGTGTTAATATACTGGTCTGTCCCTAGGCGTTAAGTGTATATATTGAGCTTCGAATGACCCCTTTGATCCGATTGTCGTTGGATTAAAGGCGATACATGATTGCCAATCGCTCGATGATTGTTCTCAAGCTTCTAGTTCATAGGCTTATAACTCTCTCGAACATTAAAACATCTGCTTCATGGTCTACAATACGACCTTCTAGCACAACATACGCGGTAAAGAAGGCGGATCGTTTCGTCGTTCGTCTAATGTAGAAGAAGTCGCCACCGGACCGAAGTGTTCTACCGAATATACTTGTCGAGTGTCACAGTAAAAATTACGGGCAATGCTGCATTCAGAGAGCTCCCTGCAGACTTGAGTGATCTTCACCATTGTCTACACTCTGTCTTGGTACGATAAGTAGAATACAGCTGAGCACACAAAAGGGCGATTGATGCATCAGGTGTAAACATGACAGATCATCACGCAGGCTCTCATGATTCCACATGATTAATGCTTACTTGAGTTACAGGACGTATTGCTGTTGCTGAGGATCAAAGTTCTTTGATGTTCATTTGCCTTCATTAATTGGCAATCTCGCTATCTTTGGCACAGTTGGAACTTACCGCCAGTTGTATGAAGATTTCGGCGAATATCTTGATACGATTATCTCGAATTTCTGGCGGAGCTGTAGCCCGTAACTATAGTCAAAGGGTGATGTTAGAAGTCATTTTCAGTGGCCAACTCCTGACAGGGTCTGTTGTTATCAAGATGGCTCCAATGTTGGTCGCTTAGGTTCACGAGCCACTCAGGAAGCGGTGTGTCCTGAATTGCCTGCGATTATCAGTTGATGTCATAGATAAGACCTATTACGGTGGTTGTTACGCCGATCTTTCTTCAACCCCTCACATACTCTTCCTGATGCTGGCTCTATCATTCAACAAAATTTGAACTTTTTCTAGGCGCGCAAGTCCAGTTGTATCTGATACTAACTTGATGCCTGATCCCGTTTTTACACGCTGCCTATTTCCGACGATTAAAAATGTGAAATGACTTTGTCGGTCGTAACGGTTTTGTGAATCAGTTGAATAATCTCAGCCATATACTCTAGAGTGTTTTTTTTTTCTTCCAAAGTACTTACTCATGATGTATTGACTTTGCAATAGTTTGTTGAGCAGGCCTGCTTAACCAGCCGGCTGATCTATCCGTGTTCTTGTATAGCTATTCTGCAGAGATTACAGCTTCTTAATGAAGATACGATGAAGAAGTCTCTTCACGCTCTTTTACAAAGTTCACATGTTCTCCTGCTATTTCAGGGATGAGATCAAGTCTCGGTGTTACCAGATCTAGGTACTCCATCACCGTAGGCCGCTCGGTCAATGTATAGCCCCAAAGATTGCGGAGCTTGACATACTGCGGAAACAGCGATCCAATGTCTCTCAAGATCATGCAAACAAAGGGGATCCTGTTGTCAACTTACAAGTTATCCGAGGCATTGTGCAATGAAACGAAGTATAGATTTAGTAACAGTGTCTTTTTATCATTGTACTAAATACCTAGTTAATGATCAAGGCTTTTTCGTCACTGAGCGAGCGGTCCAAGACACACTCAAGATTGGTAATTGTCAGACACAATAGTTCCCCTTCCCCTCCTCTTCTCTCCCCTCATTATTTCCTATAAAATCGGTATCGAGTCTATAAGCTTTGCCGGGATTGTCAGAAGCCATGATACATGTGCCTCTAGCCAGCTGTAATCACTTGTCTTGATAGATCGCAGCTCGCGATGTTTTTCACTCCAAACTCATCCATACCTAGTGCATCAATAGACAAAAGATTTGTATTGATTGGTCAAAACAAAAGTATGGCTGTTCTGATTCATCTCATTAAACATCAATGTTACGAAGTGAAATGGTGCTGCAGGGTTGGTTGAATCGATGGATTCACGATGACATCTCTCCAAGTGATATCTCACTCTAAACGTAGTAGCCTTCCGTACAATTTACAACGTCAGATATAGAAATTAAGCGGTAGATGGACCTGAATAGAACTAAAGATCTCATATCTAGAGCTATGTTACAATGGCTTCACCTCTGGTTCGTTAGTTTCTGTATTTGCGAGTATCCGATGAACTTGTTTCTCCCAACGAAGAGTGGATAAACAGCGATTAACGTGTCAATTTTTAAAAACTACATATTGTCGCATTTTAAAGAGTTTTTATACTCTCAAAAGTGATTGTGGACCCCCATTTCGCCTGAGTGAATCCGACACTTGTCAAGCAATAATGCTTCCAACTAAAGTCTACGACTATGCAGCTGCGATGACGCTCTCCAAAGCAAACGTTATGCGCACGTTTCAATGGCGATAAACTATCTGTAAACTGGAACAAAAGATCATTTGGGGGGATTTAATGAATTAATCGACCGATGAGCGCTTGTGCATTGGTACATATAGACAAGCAGTGGATGCACCCAGGAACTCAATCAAGCAACAGTTGAGGCGCCACTGTATTTATTTTAGCTTGGCTTACCTGTTTGATTGCTCATCTACAGTCATCTAGCCTCACTTTCATCAACATTACTGTAAAACATGATGGGAATATTATCGCTGCACTGATCGCGCTAGACTAACAAAGAAACAGGTCATATCCAGTAGTATATCTCGTATCAGGTGGCTGGATGAAGGAGTTCTGTATATAGCAGCAGCTAACATGAAACATTGACTCTTGTGTAGATGCTAGATCTTCTGCAAGTAATGTTGTTTGAAGCTGTATTTTCTTCAAGTGTCTAGTTTCACTCTTACGGTAGATCGAATCGTAAAGCGCTGTAACGAGACTGGCTGCTTTACCAAGTGCGCTGCAAGGCGTTTATACTGATGGATGTCGCAACCCATGGGACTTTAGACTTGTAAATAACAATAGCTTTCTTAATTCTTGGCAGCGATCTATGGAGATTTGTTTTAGCAGTACCACCTCCACCCGCGCGAACTGCTGAAATGCTACCGTGTGATCGCCCATGTCTCAGATACAATATTTGCCATTGTTATAGAGCTATAACGCATGTAGTTCGACGCAATCTCTTAGCACGCCTCATGTGATGATTCTATTGGTAGGAATTATTATTTTAGACTATTTGCGTCATCTTTTTCATCATCAGGTACGATGGAAGAAGATACTGAGAGCGTACAAGCTGTAAGCTAAGGTCATGGCAACGTCGAATTATGACCAACGCTCAATCAATACCAACGCATATGCCAATCCGTCTACATCATTCTTCTTCCTTCTTTCAATTTTCCAGCCTTAATAATACGACACAAGATTCACAGCCCTCCTCATTAATGATCAAGTCAAATTAATTATAGGCTCCAGCATCCACTAAATCTGGATTCCAGCAGGTCCCGACCCGCCTGAGCTCCGCCGGCGCGGATTTAGATAGACCCAGAAGCCCGCTCCCGCTTAGCCTAGTCGGGCATGACCTGCAACATCTACAGGCGGCACTAAACCCGTTGCGGGCTGCAATTGCGTAGCTCCTCGGGTCCTCAGGGTCAAACTCCGGTTGCAATAGCATCTGAGAAACACCAAAGCAAAGCCCCTGAATCTGGCCGTGGGAGACGCGATATTTCCCAGCCCATAGACTTTGTTTGGCGGCGATACTAGGCACGGACGGGTTGCTCAGGCAGCAGCGGAAATTGCACTCGATCGAATCCAGCCGTTTCCTTTATTAAGTCCGTGGCTGCCTCGGTGCGAAAATGGTGACCGGGCGAGACGCCGCCACGCTGTTATAATGACCATGGCCAAGGAAAGCTACGGCGAGACCACCTTTGGCGACGACGACCGCGGCCTGCTGGGCGGCGGCGACGGCGAGACGGAGCGCGGCGACCTCTCCATCATCACGAGCGTGCTCAAGACGCCGCGGCCCGACTTTGAGATCGAATCCAAGACGCCGCGGACGCCCGGCCGGGTGCAGTTCGACCTGACGCCGCGCATCCTCAACTTCAGCGACGGGCCCCTCCACGGCCGGCCCTCGACGTCGTCCTTCTCGTCCGACGACCGCTTCGACTTTGACGATGGCGCCACCTCCATCAACGACTCCCACCGCGTGCCGCTGCTCACCGAGATCGAGGCGCCCAGCATCACCGTCGCTCGAGAATGGGACGACGCGGGCCAAGACGGCGATGAGGAGAGCGCCGCGACGGCAGAGCTGCGGCGCCCCAAGTCCGGGCTCCAGTCGGCCTTTATGAACATGGCCAACTCCATCATCGGCGCCGGCATCATCGGCCAGCCATATGCAATGCGGCAGGCGGGCCTGCTGGCGGGCACGGTGCTGCTCATTGCGCTGACGGCCGTGGTGGACTGGACCATCTGCCTGATTGTCATCAACAGCAAGCTGAGCGGCACGAGCAGCTTCCAGGGCACCGTCGAGCACTGCTTCGGCCGGCCCGGCCTGATTGCCATCAGCGTCGCGCAGTGGGTGTTTGCCTTTGGCGGCATGGTGGCCTTTGGCGTCATTGTGGGCGACACGATTCCGCATGTCTTGACGGCGATATGGACCGACTTGGGGAGCGTGCCGGTGCTGGGGCTGTTGACCAACAGAAGAGTTGCCATTGCCGTGTTTTGCATGGGAATCAGCTACCCATTGACTTTATACAGGGACATTGCAAAGGTAAGACATCAGTCCGCCCTTCATCTGGATTCGGTATGCCTGGAGAGGAGTCAACTCTTGCTAATGCAGCACTGCTCAACCAAATAGTTGGCCAAGGCGAGTACATTGGCTCTCATCGGCATGCTGGTCATTGTCGTTACGGTGCTGGTGCAAGGCGTGCTTGTTCCGTCTGCAGACCGCGGCTCCTTTAGCACGCCGCTGTTGACAATCAACAGCGGCATCTTTCAAGCCATTGGCGTGATATCATTTGGTATGGACACTTTCCACCATCACAGTTGAAAAAGCATGGCTAACGTTGACCCTGCGTACAGCATTTGTCTGCCACCACAACTCCCTCCTCATCTACGGCTCCCTCAAGACACCCACAATCGACAACTTCTCCCGCGTCACGCACTACTCCACCGTCGTCTCCATGCTCGCATGTCTGATCATGGCCCTCGGCGGCTTCCTCACCTTTGGCGACAAGACAATGGGCAACGTGCTCAACAACTTTTCCTCGGACAACTCCATGGTCAACGTCGCACGGCTGTGCTTTGGACTCAACATGCTGACGACTCTGCCTCTGGAAGCATTCGTCTGTCGCGAGGTCATGATTACCTACTTTTATCCCAACGAGCCGTTTGACCTGCGACGGCATCTCATCATCAGCACAGCTCTGGTCATGGGCGCCACGACTCTGAGCATGCTGACGTGCGATTTGGGCATCGTCTTTGAGCTCGTGGGCGCAACCAGCGCCGTGGCCATGGCGTACATCTTGCCGCCCATGTGCTACATCAAGCTGACAACGAGGAGTTGGCGCACATATGTGGCTGGCGCAATAGTGGTGTTTGGAGTTGCCGTCATGGTGATCAGCGTGATTCAAGCAATAGATAAATTGATTAATGGTGAGTCCTTTCTCGATATCATGAAAACTGCCCTATCCATCATACTGACAAGCATCGCCTCAATAGGCTCAGAGACTACAGCGCAATGCACGTAGAATAGCAAAAGCCCACGAAACTTGACATTTTAGAACTTAGTAACTGTATGACTACGAATACACACATATATAGAGAGCATGGAACCAAAGGAATATGCATAACCTCCCTAGATGTAGGGAGAAGGATTGAACAGGACTGTATGTACAATAAGGGAGTCTGATTGGATCCTGACTTTTTTTTGTAATCGCTTTTTAGGGCTGTACACGGCTTTGTGTAAGACCAGCGGTGCTTTCCATAGATGGGCCATATAAAGACGTATGGAGTATGCCGTCGCGAAGATGTGAATAGTAATTCTCCAATGTACCTATTTACACGTTATGTACAACTTGCGTGAATTATGCTGCATTTCAGCCATGTACATGTGTATAGCCAGCATCCCAGGCAATATTCTCACCAACTGCCGGGTAGCCACAAAGCAGGCAATCAACCGTCAAGCTCTCCAACGCTTTTGGAAACACCTCGTCAGCAAGCTTCGTTATCTCGCCTCACCTTGTCGCCGCATCGCCGCAGGTATCCGCGTGGCCACTCTCGTTTTCCCCAAAACAGGCTGTCACGGGTTCACAAAGCGAGCACATGATCGAATCCGCAGAGGTTCAGCCTTTTCTGCCTGCAGGTAGCAAGGATCAACAAACTTGTCCCCCGGACACCGATAACTGACCGACAGCTTTATGCACACATGGTAGATACTCTTATTGTCCAGATAGGTATCACAACGCCATGTTGTTGCCTGTCTGCCTATCGTATCAAATGCCACACAGCGTAAAAGCTACGCTCTACAGCAACGACCGCACCACCAGCCAATCGCCTCTCACGCATTACCCAAGCGCCACAGCACAGCAAAGCACCTAGTTTAATTGAATGAGCCCACACAGCCCCCCGCTAAAATCAAGCCCCCCGAAACAGAGCGGATACAGAGGCTTCTCCAAAAGAATTGATCCCTCAATCCTGCCTTTTCCTCTTGTCTTTCCTTATCCGTGCTCTCATATTGGCCATCTTATTGGACACAAAAGATGCCTTGACAAGTAGAGTCATGTAGGATACTGGTGTTCTAAAGCTGTTGGCTCTCGACTGCTACCACATAGTTCCCATCCACCAACACAACGCAACATGAAGCTAATAGCATCCATGAAATAGCCGTAATCCTCAATAGTAAATGGTGCCCTCCCCAGAAGCCAATAAAGCTCCAACGCCTCACCTGCCGAATGACCGACTGCCCACCCGCCGCGATGTGCCGCGTCCTAAAAAACCAACCTCCATAGCGACCCTTACAGGCTATTCTTTGACCTGGCATATAAAGTAGACGACCCCGCTCACCTTTAAAAAATCCCCAGACTCTCTTCCCACCACTCCTACATCAACAGCCTCCTGCCTACTCTATACTGGACCTATACAAACAGCCTGTGCTCTCCAGCTACACCTCCAAACAAAACACCCAAAATGCAGCCCGTCAACTTCAACCACTCCTCCTGCCCCAAGTGCTCCGCCGCCATGGACTCCAGCTCAAAGACCTGCTCCAAATGCGGTGCCGTAAGTCTCTCTTCTTCTCTTCCTACAAGACAACTCGACGAGCATATAAACGCTTCTACAACAACTGACTCTGACTGAAAATTATTACAGACTTGCCCCGTCTAAGCTACTACTAGAATCTCCCCCGCGTCGACGCCTTGTTTAGTTACGACAGTTATAAATGACGAGATGATACTGAGGCTGGATGGATGGGCGAGCGTGTAGACGAGTAGCAATATGCGGTAGGATGGGTAGAGTAAAGGAGGTTGATGGATGGGTAGAATAACGATATATCACGACGATAAAGTGCATCAAGGCAAGGCGTTGACAGGAGAGAGCATTTCATGCGTATTTTCCATAGGCAGCTAGGGTAGCTATCGCCATAGGAGAAATCGACATTGGCACTTACTGTGCTACAAGGAAACATCATATTCTACCCATGTCTTGCTGTTGAGCTGTCATATACCTAGCCCCGTACGTCTCGAGCTACAACCAGGACAGATTCACAGCCGTCGGGGGATCAAGATGGGTTATTCGCAATCTAGCATCTTCAGTGTAAAAGATAAACCAATATTACAACCATCCATACCAAATTAAAGAAAAAAGAAAAGAAGAGGAGATGAAAACAATTGAAGAGCAAAAACATAGCGCGGAGATCCTCGTGCCCGAGACTGCAGAAAGTGGTAAAAGAAAAAACGAAACAATGTATGATAACCTGTTGTAGAGACCGCTCACGAATCCCGGCAACTTCCAAAAAAGTGCGACAAATCCACGACTAACTACTTACATCTCCCAAATTTCTCTCGTCTGGTGACTCTCCTCCCTCCTCCCTCCTCCCATAAGCTAGACAAACTGCATGCCCTTCTATTCCATCTGTACGCTGCCGAATCAACCATCAACCGCTCGTAGCTAAAGAAAAAAGAAAGCCACACCTCCAACATTAGGTCCGTCGACCCCGCTTCGCACCACCGGGGAAGATACAGTAAAGCAAGACCGGCTTGCCCGCCGGCATTATGACAGAGGCATAAGGGGGGAAAACTTCTGGTTTACCTTCTCTCGCGAATCATCTCTCTTTCCCTAGAGAATCCTTACTCCATGACGGTGATGGGACTGCAGAACCATGCACGCAACCAATAATAACCCTTTCTCGCCGTGGCCGCTGGCGAAGCGAGACCCGGGAAGCGAGACAATCGAATTCCAAATCTCCCGAAAAAAAAAAGAAAAACCTATATCCGTAAACAGCCGATAAACCATTGAGGCTGACATCCATCCCCTTATCACCAAACTAGCCATGTATTTGTTTGTCTCAGCTGGCTCATGAAGAAGAGCAAGAAACGCATCGAATTACAAACAAAGGGGGGAATCGAGCCGAGAATGGAAACGGATTGCGTCTGAGATGGACGGGCGCAAAGATAAAACGTGTTTACAGGACAAGGCACTTCTTGTGGCTGCTCTTGCGGCTGGTGCGGGACATGAGGGCGGCACGAGTGGCGTGCTCAAAGACCTCACGAACACCGTTGCCGGTTCGAGCAGAGCACTCCAGGTACTTGTAGGCTCCGATCTTCTTAGCAACAGCCTCAGCCTAGATGGGGATACGCGGTCAGCATGTCTGCGTGGTGAGGCACAATTCATACGAAGAAAGAAAACTCACGTCCTGAGTGGAAACCGGCTTCTGGTTGGTTGCCCTCAAGGCCTCGATGGTGTTGGGGTCGTCTCGCAGATCGTTCTTGCAGCCGACCAGGATGATGGGGAGACCAGAGCAGAAGTGCACGACCTCAGAGATCCACTATCAAGGCACCAGCGCGTTAGCATTTCTCTAATTATCAGAAAAACAGTTGCAGAGCCGGATGACGTACCTTCTCAAGGACGTTGTCCAGAGAATCAGGAGAGTCGATGGCGAAGCAGATCAGGATGACGTGAGAGTCAGGGTACGAGAGAGGTCGGAGACGGTCGTAATCTTCCTGGCCAGCCGTATCCCACAGGGCCAGCTCAACGTGCTTGTTGTCAACCTGAACGTCGGCGACATAGTTCTCGAAAACGGTGGGGACGTAGACCTAGAAAGATATTATACGTCAGCGTCGCGTTGGTTATGGGGCAGCATGTAACGGTGTCGTATATTTCTTCCCCAGTTATTCTGCCCTCTTTTTTTGCAAGACAGGGAGAGTCGATGGCAGATGGAAGGGTTTGATGATGGTGATGAGAAATCTGATGGGATAAGGATATTTTGATGGGTGCTAGCTAGGCTGATAAGGAGCCCATAGCCAGATTGTGACACGTCAAGAAATTTTGCCGCGGTCGGGGCTGATGCCAACACCGCACCACCCCATCTCGCTCTTGCGGCAAAGCTGCCATCAAGAAACTGGCAGCAGGTGGCAGGAAAAAAGGGCTCGGGTCGGCGACTCATCTCCCATTGGCGATGATGATGTTGATATTGTTGTTGTGGAGGCTCTTGGGGGGCGGGAAAATAAAAGGCGGCGGCTAATGAAAGCGCGGCGGAGGGCAAAATAGGGGAATGCAGATGGGCTGCGTTTCATTCAATGCGTACCTCGGGGAAAGCGCCCTTGGAGAAGACACTGCACGACAGACATGTTAGCTGGGCTCGATGCTCTGAGCAGATGGCGATGCGTTGCACCCAGCGCCGAAGCTCGAGGGCGATGGCGGCTGCGCGAGGAAGCGTGCCGCCCACAGGATTTGATGGGCATCAGCACTCACATCAACAAACAGGTTTTACCGCAGGCACCGTCGCCGACGATGACGAGCTTTCGGCGGATTTCAGCCATGGCGTCGTTGGGGGATTCTGGGAGATGGATAAGAAGCGGCGGCTGGTAACAATGAAGGCAGCGAGCGTCTCGGGCGTTGGTGGATGGCGGTTGTGATGGAATGAAAGGAAGAGAGATGGACGTCAGAAGGGGATTGTGACGGAAGAGAGAGAGAAGCTGGTCTGGGTCAGGCCTGGGCCTTTTTTGGCTTTTGCAGGCACGAGGTACTGGGTACTTGGCGCTACCGGGTGACTTGTGGAGAGAGGGGGAGCGAGCGCTCACTGCGTTTTATTCTTGGGGGGGCTGGAGTCCTCTGCGGTCCTGGAGGACTTGTAGATGCAGGATATGTGTCGTGATGAGCAAAGCCGCAATGATGAAAATGAGAAGATTAATAAGAGAGATTGTTTAGGACTCGACTACGAAAGGATTTCCTGAAGCGGGTTTCTTTGCCAGGCAGAATTCATCTGCAGCAAACATGCACAGCTTCTAGCAGTGATGGATTTGATGGACTCCAGGTCCTGTTCAGCTCTTGTTCCTCTAATTAGCAGCGGTGGCCCTGGCGACGACGGCGCTCAGCACTGCCTGTGCCGGTACCATGTACTAGCTCTTGTACTGCGTACCTTGGCTAGCGCGTCCTGAGGCAGCCAACAATTTCTCTGGGGACTCGCCAATGGCTTGATTGCCTGTTCAGGTGGCCCCGGCTTTTGCGTGCTGTGCTGTGCTGTGCTGTGCTGTGCTCCAGCCACTGCAGAGCTCAGCGCTACCACGCGGTACCAAGCCTTCCGGTTGGTGCATGTACTCGGTACCCGTCGTAATCACACAGCACATGCGCCTGGCATTGATCGCAGCAGTCCTCTTAGCGGCTGCGGTGCTCTGTAATACAGGCCCATGCATCCATACTGAAGGATCAAATTCTACAGTGCAGCCAATAAATCCCACCGCGTCTCTGCCTTATCTGACCGCTACTACGGCAACGGCACGACGCGGCACGGCAAACGAGGCTGCAGAAGAGACAGACAGACCGACGGCCAGAGGCTCGAGGGATGCCCGGCCTGGACGCGTCGCCGGCGGGAGGTGGCTGAGACGCTGCTGGGAGATAAGGGCCGGTACATGTGACGACTCGGCTGGAGGCAGACCTCCCAGCGCTAGAGCCAGGTACACGCTACTCGGCGCTCCGTACGGCGCAGCACTTGCGAGCGCCAAAGAGCGTTACTTGATCCTTTATAAGATGGAGCTCCACCGCTAAACTGAGACAATGTAGCTGTACATGGACGGTGGCTGCTGTACGGGGGGGCGCGTGCCGGCAGAATGGAACCAGGTTGCCGCTGCGAGTAGAGAGTACGGGGCGCCGCAGCATCATCAGCGGCGGCAGGTTATAGAGTCAAGTACCCTGATCTGGCACTAGAGCTGCGTTTTGCATCAAGCTCACTGAAGATGATCTGTGAATCATTCGGTGAGCAGTATCATGTGCGAATAGGTGATGTTGACTGTAGATACAACGGGTTTATGCTGGGTGCTGAGTGCATGCAGCGCAGCGAGGGGCCTCTACAGGTGCTTTTGCTCCCTTGGTAGTAGATACTGGAGTATATTAGGTACTTTCAGACGTCCCATGATGCTTCATTTTGAATTAAGATGTAGCCTTGTCTTAGTAGTAGCTATTCTCACAGCAGCGGCATGGACGATTTGTTGGGAATGACAACAAGCCGCTACTCAGACCTGTCCTACAGTGCACCAACGCCAAATGCGCTGCTGCATCAACCTCGTATTGGCACCGCCGTCTCCAAATCTCACCTTTCCAAGGCTCCGTCCATCTTCCCCAGGCCCAGCCAGACCGCTTCCCGACGCCTAGGCAGGGTGACACGGCCTGCTGTGCCTCCTGACATGCGGCCCTGCAACCGCAACTCCTGGTGGCAAAGTCCTACCGTCTAGGACTTGGTCATGGCAAATGGCTGCATGCATGCCGGAAGAGCTGTCATAAATTAGTACCGGTACGTACAGCCGTGGCTGGGGGAGCTGCACGGCGGTGGTAGTGCAAGCAGTAGCGTCAGCGAGTGGAAGCGGATGCGCCAGAACCTCAAATTAAGGGATCACATGATCGACATGCTCACGACGCATTTCCTTGTTGGGCCTCTTTGGTCTTCAGTGCACTGAGAGTTATAGATACGTGAGTAGCCCTTGATCTGGATGCTTAAGAGCCATCGTTGCGTGCAAAAGCACAGCGTAAACGGCCCCTCGTTGATTTTGGCTGCGACAGCCAGAGCCGGAGCTGAGATGGGAGCTGAAATGCAGCCAGAAAGGCATCGGAGAACTGGTGCTCTCCGTGCTCCATCCAAGTGCAGCGTTGTGTCACCAATACATGAACAGAGTGCCATGTAGTCCATGTATCAGCTACCTATGCTCCTTGCCATGGCATCACTGCGTCAAACCGACTCTCCTTTTTCCTTGCTTTGCTTTTTTCTTCCCTTTTCTCCTTGACTCCCTCCCCTTTATCTTACCGCAATCTCTCCAAGGCTCCGTGACGCCGCTTGTAGCATCACAATGTATTCGCCGCCATTAGCGTGCTGCCAAGAGCAAGTACAGGTACCCCGTGCTAACGCGTCCTACTCCGAGGCGTATCTGCACTGTATTCCTGCAGAGCAGCAGGCATGTCAGACAGCCGGGCGGACCAAGCTCACTCTAAAAGCTTCCCATAGCATACAGTGCGCATAGTCGTTCTTACACCCCGCCATAGCCATAGCCAAGCCTGGCCCTATCAGCTTATCAGTGCCGCATTGCCATGTCCCGCGCTAAGCCCATCCTGGATCCAATCGAAGATTTTCCGAGTCCATCTGGGAAGTCACAGTCGTCCCGCAAAAGACCATCAGTCGATATCACCATCTATTCTAGGTGCTGCGGGCGGCGTCCATTGCGATCAATGGGCTGCGATTCAGAATCATAGATAAAGCACATCGATTCTCTTCCACAGCCATGCAGAAACTTGCGAAGCGAGCGGCCCAGGCGCAGCGCCAGGCGTCTCGCCGCGCGAGACTCCAGATGGAGCAGGAAAACGTCGACACCAAGCTTCGAAGCCGTCTTGCGCTCCGATCAGCAGTGGAGGAAGTCCGACAAAACCTCAAAGACGCAAGGAAAGCCCGGAAAGAGGATTGGGAGCTGGGGCCTTTGGCGCCCAAGCGAGACCTGGGATTCAACGACTACGGTGCCTTCAAGGAGAATGTGCGACAGGACTGGTCAAATTATGGCCTGCACCAACCGAACCCGAAAGTGATTGAGCAGCGCTGTGCTTGGGCTGGAGGCGTGAAGCAGCTAAACCTTGCGCCCGGTGACAGAGTGGTTATTCAGGATGGTCCGGACAAGGGCAAGATTGATCGCATCAAGTCGGTCCAGCCGCAATCCGGAACCGTTACCTTGGAGCACCGCCATCAGGTATGCCGATGCTTTTTAGAAAATTTTCTCAACTATGCTAATCATCTGACTGTGTATAGGCTGTTGTTCAAGGCATGTTTGGCAACCCCAGTCGACCACAGCCAATGCCCATCTCTATCGCATCCGTCCGCCTCGTCTACCCGATGACGAACCCCGACACAGGCGTCACCCGCGACACCGTCATAAACCAGCTCAAGGCAGTGCCGCCGAACATGCAGTCCCCCAACATGTCCCTGGACCGCTGGCAGTACGGCAAGAAGTGGGATCGCGTGGTGCCCGGTCTCAACGTTGTGATTCCTTGGCCCGAGGTTGAGGTCCCAGAATTCGAGACCATGGCTGCGGACACTGTTCGCGAGCAAGTTGAAGACAGATCATTCTACTACGGACTTTTGTCACCACCCATGCCGGAGCAGGTTGTGGACGAGCTGAGAAACAAATTCTCAAGATTCAGGACAAGGCACGAGGCGTGGTACATTGAGAAGAAGGAGATGGAAGAGGCTTTGAAGAAGGGCCGACAGGAGACTATCAAGGCCATGCAGACACCATTGGACGAGTTCCACGAGAAGAACCGGCAAGTTCGCGCAGAGCAAGGCGAGCCGGAGCTGTCAGAGGAGATGCTGACCAAGATTGGCGAGTTTATGGCCAAGAAGAAGTCGGCGGCTTTGGAGAATGCTGGCGTGACTGAAGTATCAGCAGCACCGGTACCTCCCAAGGATGATACCAATGCGCCATCACCGACAGCTCAGTAGATGGTCGGTCAACGGGGGATAGAAGGGGGAAATGAAAAGGAGGATAGCGGGAAGAAAAAAAATATTAGCCAGGCAAAGCAAGGGATTTGGCTCTGGCTTGTGTAATTATATAGACCTGTGTACGAGCTGTACATTATGACGGAGCAAATGAAGACAAGAATTGACCATCAACTTGCTAACGATTCCATCGACTCTCGCCCGCTAGGTCCCGGCGCATATCGCCGACACGGGCCATGACTTGTTTTTATTATTCTTACAGATAAGAGATCAGATCTGAAGCTCAATCCAGCTGTCAAATCCAGCTCTTGGCTCCACACTTGCACACCATCAATCGACCCCTCCCCCGCGCCTCTTATCAGTTGGCTTGATCATGATTTGACGTGACGTCTCAGATTGCGTTTCCTTAGTGAATATTCACTGCCATTATTTTCTCATCTATTTTTTCAAGCCTCTTTCCCTTTTTTTTTTACTTTCTTTTTTCTTTCAATTTTTTCTCGTTGTAAGATTAAAACATGGCGCACACACATTCTCACGACGGCAGCGCGCCGCACTCTCACAATGGCTTCTCAGCTCAAGAGCACGGCCACTCTCACGAAATCCTCGACGGACCCGGCAGCTATATCGGACGGGAAATGCCCATTGTAGAGGGCCGCACCTGGGCTGATCGTGCATTCACAATTGGAATCGGCGGGTGAGCACCATTCACGAGAAATGTCTTTTTGCTTTATAGATACTGACCTGCTCTCTACAGTCCCGTCGGCTCAGGCAAGACTGCTCTGATGCTGGCCCTCTGCCTCGCCCTCAGAGAGAAATACTCTCTCGCCGCCGTCACAAACGACATCTTCACCAAAGAAGACGCCGAGTTTCTCACCCGCCACGCCGCTCTCCCCCCACAGCGCATCCGTGCCATCGAAACCGGAGGCTGTCCTCACGCCGCCGTCCGCGAAGACATCTCCGCCAACCTCGCCGCCCTGGAAGACCTGCACGCCGAGTTCGATTCCGATCTGCTGCTTATTGAATCCGGCGGCGACAACCTAGCTGCAAACTACAGCCGCGAGCTGGCCGACTTCATCATCTACGTTATCGACGTCAGCGGCGGCGACAAGGTGCCCCGGAAAGGAGGCCCCGGAATCACGCAGAGTGACTTGCTGGTCGTGAACAAGACGGATTTGGCCGAGGCTGTGGGCGCTGATTTGGGAGTCATGGAGAGGGACGCGAGGAAGATGCGGGAAGGGGGACCGACGGTTTTCGCGCAGGTGAAGAAGGATGTGGGCGTGGATCACATTGTTAATCTTATTCTGAGTGCGTGGAAGGCGAGCGGTGCTGAGGAGGAGAGGAGGAGTCGTGGAGGGCCGAGGCCGACGGAGGGTCTTGAGGCGTTGAAGAAGGAGGCTTAGGAGTCGTAAGATGCTTGAAGATGTGTGTATATGGGCGAGAAAGACTCGGGCAGTCTATGATACATAGGAAGGAGCTTGTAATTATGACTCTACTAATTACCCGCGGGATGAATTCAAGAGGGTCTTAATTTCTACCAGTTGGATAGCTACGATGCACCGCCATGTATCTCCAAACGCTTGTTCCGCAAGCATATCATGTCTGGAATAGAATACACAGCTATCCCGAAAGCACGTCTGCACTGGCTCTGGTCATATCTTGTAAATATGACCAGGTTCCCAGGCAACACCACGAGGAGGTTGCAGAATCCGATGTCATTGCCCGCGGCCTCCCATCCAATGGAATACAGGCTAGGAGTGTACCCCTAAAGCGACAGCATTGCTGGCTATGTCTTGGAGGAGTTATTCTACCATGCAAATCTGAAGGATCTTGAGACTTTTGAGGTCCGGCTGAATATGGCAGGATTGTAGTTCTGCGTCTGAGACTCGCCTTTGAGGCCCGGCCACATGTGGCAGAGTTGTGGTTCTGAGTGTGATGTACACCACGGCTTGATGCTCGTCTGGACTGCGACCAGGACAACCGAATCGTGCTATTTTTGGACTCTGAGTTTGTCTTTTTCGATCATGTTGAGCGCCTTCTCCAGCTGCGGCATCATCCTCGGCATGGTCGCTGAGCTCAGAGTCGTCAGGCCGCGAGGTTCTGATGGAATTGTCTTGTTTGGTGGGTGAGATTGTCCAAGAGTCACCTTTGCGAGGACTCGAAGGACGCTTCTTGAGCAGAACGGTCTGCTGCCATGTGCCATCAAATTAGCCTTGTTCTTTGCCAAATGGGAATCCCCATACGCATCCCCCTTGCCTTTATTTCTGGCACAACGTAAATTTGTCTCTTCGTCTTCAGCCTGGCAAGTCTCTGTGGCACGAAACCATTTCAGGAATGTCGCCTGCCTAGTCACCCATTGACATGAGCACTTCCTACTTTCGAAGTCGGGTCTGGTGGATTTTCAGAGCTTCCTTCATGTCCAACTCTTTTTTCGGCCTGGGGTGAACCGTTTGTGTCTGTTGCTCAAGAGAGAGTCGTTAGTGATTAGAAAAATGGTTGTGGCCGAAATGACCAAAGGTGTGGGGGATTTAGTCTGAATGTAACGCGCAACGGAGGATGGGTGGGTGGTCGTCTGATATATGTAACCACTGACTTGTGGCCTTTTCGATTTGAGTTTTGCGTGCGTGGTCGAAAGTTTGACATTTGAGTTAGGCCGAGAGATTGAATTGCTCTGAAAGACTTTATTTGGCGTACGCAAGCACTTCCTCATCATGAAGGGCCGAATATTGAAGCTTGGCCTTGCGTTGGTGGAGTGGTGGTCACCTCACTTCTAGGTCACTGAAATGCTACATCTACATCTTCTACATCTTCTGCTACCCCTGCTACTCTTTATTATCAGTGTAGCTATTTAATTTAGCAGAAATACACCAGGCATTTTGACCCAATAGATTATGGGCAGATGATTAGGTATGTACCTAGATACGGCCAACGTACATGCGCATTCTAATGGTCGCTCCTTCCAACGTTGGACCTTCCTTCGGAAAAATAGGTAGCAAATGACCAAAATTCCCCTTCGAAGCCCGCTTTCGGTTCTCCTCTTTTCCCCTCTCTTTCTTTTCCAGCCTACGAATTCCACGCCCGCGGCCAATATCTACGACAGATCCCGTCCAACCATCACACGAGACACTGACATTGTGTTTCAGTTTTTTCTCTCCGTCGGTAGTAGATGTAGTAGATGTAATAGATGTAATAGATGTATCTATAATTATCATCTTTTGATAACGCAATAGTATATAAAGGATTAGGACTTTGTTAATGGCCATGGAATCCCCCATTTCTTCTTACTTCCCACTTACATAGCGGTGGAAAGTTTGTTGGTCGTATCAAATTGAGTTCGGGTACTTGTAAAGCCTCATACTAGCCAGTCACTGGGTGATGGCACTCCCAAATGACTTTCCACACAATGGCTTTAAGTATTATCGCATAGTACTGTGGCGTTTGTGGATACGAAAGTCTCTATATATAAGACAGTGGGCTCTTCCGATTTCTCACTCAACCAAACCGTTTTCTTCACCTGACAGAGCATCTCTATAATCGACCCAGGTTTATTTAGTCTATTGGTATCCATCACACAAAATGGCATCAGAATTCCATCTATTCACCTCTCTCCCAACAGAGATACGGCTAAAGGTCTGGGAGCATGCCTTGCGGCCGTATAGCCCTTCTCGCCCCGGCGCTCACTTCTTCTCGGTGACGAACTTCAAAGAGGATGGCGACCAGCTTGCAAGACTTAGAGCTCCGTGCGTCCTGGGCTCCCGCTGTAAACTCAACCACGGCCATACTTACTACCTTGCCGCACCAAAGTTTGGTATCAGTCATTCTTGGACCAACAACAATCCGTCTGCCTATCTTTGGGATTTTGGTATGTGGAGCGCATGCAGCGAATCTAGAGAAATTATCGAAGACCATTATAAGACGGAATACTGGGCGGCAAAACTTCTGGAAGACAGCAAATGCGATTATCCTCCCAAGCCTGATGCCGATGCTTGCGTCCCGTTCATATTCCCGCGGAGCAACGAAGATTGGCGCTTTGCCATACGTCCAAATCGAGATCTTATATGCTTCCAACCACTCAATCCGCTTACTATAGGATACCATAGAAAGGGTACCTATCTCACGGAAGATATTTCTATGGTAAATCCCACAACGGGTTTACGTGATGTTAAAAACATGGCGTTTGAGTTTGATTCGAGCTGGTGCGACGATCTTAAGGTGGTGTCTTGTCCTCAAGATTTCCGTGCTTACTTTGAGGAGAAAAGTCCTCGAGGTCTCTTCATTCGCCTTTTTCTGGAATTAGACGCTTGTGGCGAACGATATGATCCAATTTGGCTCATCGATTACGGCCTCAAACAAGACCCTCCGAAACGCGACCTTGGAGAAGATCGTCCTCGTATACCTTGGCCTTATCAAAGGACATTCTTTGCAAATGATCGAAAATTCGTCCAAGTTGGTCGATTTTACACAGACGAGTATAAGTCTACCGAAAGATGGTCTGCACTTGACTTCTTGGAAGAACTCAGTGATATGCTTGGAGGTGTTTCGCCCGGTCATGCGTTCCACCATTATGAGGGAAAGTTTAGCTGGGATGGCTCTTGCCCAATTTGCGAAGAAAATGCAAGGACGGGGATTTGGTACGACATTCGCAGTGACATTGAAGTTCTGGTATGCGAGAGAAATGAATGAGAAGTTCTGTAGCCTATATGAGATTCCACCATCCGCCCATAAGGCTCGTTTTCAGTTTTAGTAACATTATATATATAATATGTCCTTGCTTATCTCCAAGTCCGAGATTTTACATTTGCGCGAGATTGCAGATATATCGCTTTATATTTCAAGGTGGACAGGTGCTTCTGCAAAAGGACGCAATAGAAATCATACCTGCGGCTTAGTCGAACTAATGCTTGTTATTCGTCGCGGTCGAGCGGTTGAAAGCCGTAGAGGACGCTCTCACAAATCGCTCCACGCGCATAATAAGCGCAGGACCCTTCTCAGCATCTGCAGCATATTCTGTTTGCCAAGTCCTATATGATCTCCATTACATGCGGTCTAAATCAAGCTCGATCTGCATCACCGATCGAGACGAGAGGCAAGAAATCTCACTTCGATTGGAACAGCAGATTACGACTAGGCTGACGAAACCAAGATAAAAATGAATATGCAGCCCTACTCAAGTGCTATAGTGGTTCTTCATGTTACTAGCACAGCAATACGCTGTAATCTTTTACTGAATACGCAACATAATGCCGTCGCTTCTCGGCCGAATAATGTCTGAATAACTGGACAGTCAGCTTTACATTCCTGGTAACGTTAGTCGAGTCTGAAAGCCAGGGGTTTTCGCACTAATATGGTTCGACACGTCCGAAAATGGACGATGGATTTGGCACAAGGCAGTAATAATCGGACTTTAAATTGCTTAGCACAGGAGATTCCGGAGTCTCCTTCTATGCTAAAATCTCACTCACTCTATTTTTTAAATCAACTGCTTGTTATAACCTTCCTACGGCCCTTTAATAAGAGTTATAGGCAGGTCATTACCATTTATCCTTGTATTTTTACTGGAGCGTATAATCAAGCTGACCACTACGCCAAGGCTTCCTAAGAAGGGTGAGAAGAGGAAGAGAGGCTGTATTACAACAACTAGACAAAGAGGAAAATATGCCTGAGCAAGAACCAACGGATCGCTGCAAACGGAACCACAGACAAAGGGGTTTGCCAAGAGTGTGGGTCTTCCTGACCACTCAACACATCCAATAGCGTCGAGGGCATTATTTACGTGCCTGCACATCGTCTTTGTTTGCACTCAAAATCCCCATTTGCGTGCGCCTCTGCGTCTCCAAAAAATGCGTCCAACGCGCCTACAGACTTAACGGGAAGGTGATCAGGATCCAGGGACAGTGACCAACAGAAACCAGGGCACGTTTTGGCCAAGAATGTGGAACGCAACGACAAAGAGTTCAACGTTACTCCCGGCTCCAGTCCCGAATCATGTCGATAAAGGTTGGATATGCTTGTATATAAAATGCTCTCGCCTTGTTGGCGCCCCCTAAGCCTATTAAGCTTCTACGCTCGCGCAATCTTTAAATCTCGATACCGTAACTCGTTTCGAATTGGGCATAATGGTGCTATCCTACCGCGTCCTCTCTGCCATCACCAAGCTCGGCTTGGTGGCCGGCTCTGCCTATGCTGATAGTGAGTACATTTGGCCTAATGCCAAGACTGACTTGCTCGAGTCTATGCTCTATGAGCAGCAGGGATTTGGATCTGGCAACTCGCCAGCAACCTTTATCGTCCCCTGCGATAAGGTCCCTTTTGGCACTGGGCGTAATGGAGCTGCAGAATGGCTGCGAACGGCATATCATGACATGGCAACTGCGGATGTCGTGACGGGAGTAGGAGGTCTCGACGCGTCTATTGGGTTTGAGGTGAACCGCGATGAGAATCCCGGTATTGGCTTCAACGAAACGCTTGTGAATCTAGCCGCGTTCCTCACACCGCGTTCATCTATGGCGGATTTGATCGCCTTGGGGGCAGTGTTTGCTGCAAATGGATGCTCAAATGGAAGCGTTGAGATTCCCTATCGAGCGGGTAGAGTTGATGCTACAGGACCTGGTGCGTCAGGCGTGCCCAAGCCAGAGCAGCCTTTGGACGAGCACATCACCAATTTCCAGAGACAAGGATTTACGCCGCAAGAGATGATTGGGCTGGTGGCATGTGGCCATACCCTTGGAGGTGTTCATGGCGTAGACTTTCCTGAGATTGTCCCAGTCGTTAATGATCCAGTAAGTCGCTATCTGAATAGCCGATGTTAATTGTCACATACTTTGAGGGCTGGCTGTACAAGAACTTTGAATGAGCTAACCATTATGCACAGGCAAATGATCAGAACACGCAGACGTTCGACACAACTAACACGGGATTCACCGGGTTTGACAACACTGTGTAAGATGAGTTTACTTCCTGTCGACGGCCTCGAACTAACTAGAAGTCAGTGCTGTTCAGTTCGTGAACAACGTTACGCAGAATCCACTCGCGTTTGGTCACAATGAGACCACCAACTCCGATGCCAGAATCTTCAACTCTGACGGAGGGGAGGAAATTGGGAAAATGGCAGATTCCCCCTCTTACTTCTACCAAACCTGCACAACACTGCTCGAACGAATGATCAATACCGTCCCCAAGGGCGTAGCTCTTACGGATCCAATCCAGCCCATTGCCGTAAAGCCTTCCCAGCTATTTGCCACTATCAACTCGGATGGAACGATGACCATGTCTGGCTATATCAGAGTACGTTTTCTCCTTCCATTGATATGGAAAACACAAGACAAGCGCTAATGGAGATCAAACAGCTTGCTGGCCCCGTAACCGCCAACCCAAACCGCACAGTCAAGATCCACTTCCATCCTCGTTCTGGGGAGAGAGATACTGGCGCTTCTATCGTTAGCAAAAGCATAACTTCAGCTAGTTCTGCTCATGTCCTCTACGGAAACCCTCCTCTTACTTTCTGGTGGTACCAGTTCTCGACAGTGATTCCCGTCACACAAGGTGTTTCTGGATTTGACGTGGAGGTTGTCGATACCAGCAACGGAGCCACCAACAGCACCATGTACAAGAATGGTGGCCAAGGATTCCCGTTTGATGATACGATCGTTACGCAGCCAAAGCTGTCATGTTCTGAAACAATTTACAACGGACTGATGAACTTGACTGTTGCGGTAAGCCTCCCTACTCCTAATACAACAAGCTATCTGTCCACTAATGCTAATAATAATACCAATTTAGATCCGTGATGACTCAAACCTCGACTCGTTAAAGGCGATAGTACATGTACCAACTCCTCTCGACTCTTTCACGCCAACCGTTGGCTCGATACCTCTTGATTTTGTCAAAGTCGGCCCCATCGCAGGATCAGGCTACACCCTATACAATGCCACTATTACTAACGGAGCCACTCCTGACGATCCCAACAATTTTGCTCATACTTATATACGAACCTACGATCTAATTGCTTCAAATAGCACACACACTGTGGAGAGGGAGTTTAACATGATGGATGGGCTCAACGCCTGTCCGAATCCCAATATCTTTTAAGAGATTAGGGGCATTTATTCGTGTAAATACTAAGAACGATTTGTAAATATTACTGTGGATAGGAAGCAATCAAATAGAATTTATGTCACGCTGGCAGAGTAGGTATCATGATGGTGAAGTCTTGCGCAAAAGTGGAATCGCACAAACTGAGTCAACTAGCCAGGTAGGTAAGCGACATATCTACTATATCTACTATATCTACTATATCTACTATATCTACTATATCTACTATATCTACTATATCTACTATATCTACTATATCTACTATATCTACTATATCTAGTATTTTATATAATTAGATACTGTGCGTGTAATTATAGGTTTAGAGCTAGGAATATTTACTGGCCTTATTTTAAATAAATAAATTAAAAAGAACAAGAAAACCCATGCTGCCTTTTCTAGCTTCCTTTTTCTTTACCTTCTCTCCTTGGTTCTCATTGTAATGTTAGTAATGGATGGTGCAAGCATTGAACATGAAGTACAGTTATGGGCCAAAAGTCTGCGAACGCTATACTGAGTACCACCAAAAGTCATAGTTTTCAAAAATTAATAATTAAATCTATAAAATACATATGCAGATGATTAAACTTAAAATTTAATAAAAATTAATGGATACGTTATATTTTAATAGTACTTACTTATAATGTTCAATTTTATAGCAGCTGTTGTGGATTGAAGCTGTAATAGATTATCCCCTCCTAAACTTGGTGTATCTTTATTTTTTTCCCTTCGTAAATTTTTGGCCCCTAACTGTACCAACGGCAGTAGCTGATCGTCTCTGTCAATCGTTAGCAGCAGATATATACCTATGTCGTCACAACCATTACTTACCTGGACTTCTTTTTCATAGTACTACGTCAATAAATTAGAAAGTACACCAAGATAAGATTACACATAATGAAAGTGAAAACGCCAAAATGCAAATAGTTTCTATTGCCTTTAGTGCACACTCCCAATCAAGAGAGTATCTACCCCATTGGAACATGATACAAAATTCCTTGGTTAGCCAAAAGACTAGCTAGCTACATGGAGATAGGTACTACGGACGATAATTTCCTTAACGATGCCTTAATTCCTTTTAGCTAAATATTAAAAGACAAGGCTGTATCAATAAAACGAAATAAAAACAATGGCAGGAATAGCAAAAGTAGCATGTTAGTAGCCATCACTCCACCAACGCAAAACACTTCAAAACTCAATTCTTCCAGCAGGGAAAATACCTTAGGTATATACACGCAATGAATTCTCTCAAAACGTTATAAACTCTCAGCATACAAAACTCAAATCGAAAAGGTTAAAAGTCAACAATTATATATATCTGAGGACCATCCGCACATTCTCCTGTTGCGCGTTGCATCCGGACCAAAGCACCACACCTTTGACGCTTTCTGCTATAACTTTTTAAATTATAAACAACAATGCCTTCACCAGCGGACACGAGCGATTCACTAGAACCGGCATGCCGGGCAGCTCAAATCATCGAGTCGATCGAAAAGTTACGGGAGGAGATGAACATGAGTCCCGAGACGAGCAAGCTGGCCAGCAGACTGCGCAACCAGGCGAGCGCCGCCGTCGCCCGTGGGCAAGGCCACCTCGATAATGGAGACAATATCGAACTCGCTTAGAAAATTTTCCAGATGATGATCGAAAAGTCAAAGAAGCATGCGGCCGAGAAAGAAGAGCGACAGAACAAGATCGCCCAGACCGAACAGGAGATAAAAATAGCGAAAAAGGCTCTGAAAGTCAACCAGGATCAACTTGAAAGGCTAGAATCTCTATATACGAGTCGCTCGAGATAGTCGGAAAAGAAATCAGGGCTAGAGTACGGCGTGGGGAGTAATCACTGAGCACTGTCTTTTGTTACTGTTTGGCCAAGAGTACTGAATTATATATTAGAGACACATGTATCTGCGTCGCTGAAGTAGGCTCAAATGACTGGAATCTCAGTTGGAGCGGCCAAAGCTCGCTGAGGCTCATGTGCCGTCGTCACTAAATTGCAGAGGACGCTTGTTAGCGTAATATCTGATTCCTGAAATTTGAACATTGGTGACATAAGAGAACAACCTGAGTGGCGCAAATATGCCTCCAAAGTACATAATGAGGAGGGGTCAAATTACATACATACATGCACCTCTCATAAACACCCAAGCCCCGCACCTTGGGCAGTAACAACGTGTCGCTAATTGACCAAGCTTGCCAGCTTCAAGCCGTTGAACTGGATAAGTATTCATCGCAGAGACAGCAAGAGATAGACGCCTACAGACCCAAGATGTCGCAAACAACCGCCCTTGCGTCCGAGGGCAAGTTTGCGTATGGCAATGGCGTCTTCTTTGCGGAAGCATCTAACCGCAGTCAACACCGCCGTGCCAGCAAAGAGGAGCTGGTCGCACATTTTGCGTCTGGGAGCGACAAAGATCACACCGCGCATTGGTTCGAAGCGCAACTCATCCACCATGGGCTGCAGCCTTCCAAGGTGAAGTCTGTGGCGCGCATGCGGCTTTTTGATGCCGTTCGACAAGGGACTTTGTCCGTGCCTCTCCCCATCACAGACTTGGAGAAGAAGCTGAAGAAGGAGTGGACGAAGCGCGAGAGGGAGGAGAAGAAGAAAGCAACAAAGGGGCTTGAAGCTGTAGCTGCATCGCAGGCCGGGCCCTCGCGAAAGGCTACGACTGGGAAAAGGAAGGCGGATGTTATCGTCAACATAACAATTAACACCAATTCGCCGGGGAGTGTTGCTCCTACTACAGCCAAGAGAGCCAAAACATCTGAACCGTCGGAGAAGGGCCCTGCTCCAGCACGCCAATATGCAACAAAGCAAACCGCTCGCCGTGGCAGCAGTTCACGAGCAGCGAGCCGCCAAGAACCCGCATCACGCGCTGCACCAGCTCCTGCACCAGCTCCTGTCCCCCGAGTGAGGCAAACTGCGAGACGCAGTCGCCCATTCACTCCGCAGGGACGTATCCAGTCCTCGTATCAAGGCGGTGGATATAACGATTATGCTGACCCCTTCGACGAGCCCCCTCCACCATATGAAGATAGCTACGATGAAGACAGCCAGGAAGATAGACATCGCCCAGTCCAAAGAGCAAGTCTCGCAACCCTTGGTCTTCTGAATGGCCGCTACGATATCGATTCCCGTTCCGTCGACGAGGAGTGGCCCCAGTATGCATCAGGACTTAGTCTTGTGCTTACTCTAGCTGGCTCTAGCCTATGGGGAAGATTTGACCTAGGAATCATCGAAGGGGTGCTCTATTTTGAAGACCGGCCTCGTAAATCGTCGCTGGATGCAGTGCAATTTTCTTGGCGTGGTCGCGAGGCCGAAGGGCCCATTTCTTCCGATGACAGAAGGAACAAGGGCTGGATAAAATTCCTGGGTGGTGGTCGCATCGAAGGATGGATTGACCATTTGGATATCTACTTTGAAGGTGATCGAATGCCGGGGCAAGGAACTCGAAGCGAGGTTGAAGCGAGGAGCATGCAGTATGAGTGGAATGGATACACGGAAGACGAATATGAGCGAGAGAATGGAGGGCGCTGGGGATAATCTGATTTGTCACGCTATTCTACTACAGAGCCTGGTATCAATATTCTAATCCATGCGACTTTCGTTGCCACACGCCAACAACTTTTGTCAATTTGCTTCCATTTCCGAATTCCCAACTTCGTCCGTCGAAGTAGTCATTGCAGTCTGCTTGATCTTCTCCACGAGTAGCCTGGGAAGCTCCCTGATTTCGCTTGGTCGCCCTCCCAAAATCCTGGCACTCGATGTCAGGAATCGAAGTTCAAAAATATCCCATAGTTTCTGATCCGCCGTAGCCAACCGACCAGGCCGAGGATACCACGGATCATTGCCCCAGAAAGCGTTGCAGGCTTGTTCAATGCCGCTTTCGTCAAGCGTCAACTCCTTGCACATATCAAAGTCCATTATCCACATCGAATGCGGACCTAGTATGCCGATATTACGAGGGTGCGCATCCTGAGACGATTTCTGGTGGCATAGGCAGAAGATGTAAGGTGGACCTCGCGGCCGACCAAGCACAAACTCAACACCATTTCCATCTACCCCTGCCATCCAGTGCATGAAAGCAAGCGCATCTGCCATGGTAATTGCGTATTCACCGGGATTAAGACCTAGTTGTTCCATCTGATCCAAGTGCAGTGGGAAATCTCGAAGGCTGAACGCTCGCGGGCGCGTGCTCGGTTCTGTATCGGCCTCTGGATTGCGACATCGTCGGCGGCCCAGATATGGTCGAATAAGACAATGTTCGTTGCTCGAATTGTTCATGACGCTCTCTTCATCTATATCGGGGAGGAGCTTTTGTACGAGGAGTCTTCGAGTAGAAGCCGGAAGCGGTATGATCTTCTCGCTGACAATAGCATTGCATCTTGTATAACCCTCGGGTAATTTCGGTAAGATGCGATGCCACATTGAGATATCCTGCAAATCTAGAAAGTTTATAGTCCGAGGGATTTGGAAGAAAAAACAACATTGCGCAGATGTTCTGAGCACTTCTTGATGAATCTTGTATTCATGAGAAATGGACCGCCCCGCGCTACCATTTTCGAGTTTGATGGCTAGATGGTAGTGTCCGTGGCAATCGGAACAATGAGCCGCCCATACTGTCCCACAGCGGCCTTGGCCGATTCTTTCCAGCTGAGTGGAATCATGCTCAGCAAAGAGCTCGCGGTAGTTGACGAAAGGCATGGTGTGCAATATGCTGAGTGTAACTGTTGAAATGAACTTCGATTACGTGGGTAGTTCTGAATCGATACGGAGAGGCCGAAAATGATTGACGTGCAAACAATGTTCAATGTTGCTAGAGAAACTGGCTTTGGCTGCTACCTTGAGTTTAATGTTTGGACTAGATCAACAAACAATTTGTTGGCAAAGAGTTGTCGTGGCGACTGGCTACTGGGCGCACTACTCCTAGCTCAGTGGGAAAGATACACGTCTCTACCTTCTTTCTAGAAGAATTTTATGATTGCAGCCCACCCTTCATTCCTTGCATCGTTTTGCATCTTGTTGCTGTCGTATACAGGTAGAGCATTTGTTTCATTGTATGCTCGCATGTAGCCAGCGAATAAAAAGATGAGCGTGATTGTAAAGTGACCACATGTATGTGTACATATTCAGAGCTCATCTTGCAAATTGTGCTGCATGTTTCATCGTATTACTGCTGTATCATCGCAAAATTCTTGATATTAGATGCATATTGTCATAGCGCTCACAATACACTACCTGGTTTCAAGCACAATGGTGAATTGGAAGTGCAAAAGTTTACTGTGTCTACCGCTCCTACTATCTTGACTGCTTCTATTATATCTACTGTTTTTATATATATATATACTGCTTTTACTATATCTAATGCTTTTACCATATCCACTGCCAATTACTATATATATTCCGACATCAGCTGCTACAATAGCAATATTCCTCTCTATTAACCAAATCTTTATCCCGAACCCCTCTCATGATTCAACGTCACATGGCACTACTAGAAGGGATATACCTTAGTGACTGCAGAAGAATGTCTTATTGAACTATGAACTAGGTACCAAGGAATATTACTTTGTACACGGCAGCCATGTCCTTCTGCGATACGGAGCCCTCGACGACCAAATCCAACAACCCATTGCATGACTGGAGCTATAAGCGCCCAGTGGTCTACATAGCTTATGATGAGAGCTTGCTGTTGATAAAAGAGAGTGCTTGCTGGCCGTACTCTTGGCCGTAGCCTTGGTGAGTGGCAGGGTTGTTTCCGTTGCAGCAGTATGGGTCTGAGGCATCACAGTACGACTTGATCTTGGATGCGCTGGGGCAGCTAAAGCCAGCCGGGCGGGGATCGAACTAGAAAAGAATCATAGTGTCAAAAGGCAATCATCTATAGACATCGATCCACTTTGTAACTGGAGAATACTTACACCTTGAGTAGTGCAGGTTCCCACGTTATACGACAGTCCGTGAATGTTTCGTGGGTCGCCCATGAAGATTGCGGCCTTGATGGCAGAGACAGCTCCCGAAGACAAGGGAACAGCAGTGTTACCGTATCCCTCGGCAGGGTCGCCTCCACCGCAAAGTGCGTCGTCAAAGATTTGACCACCCTTTTATATGGCCTGTCAGTACTTGATGCAATCAACAGGATGAGAGAAGTACAGACCTGCGAGTATCCGACCAAGACTAGCTTGGTATTTGGGCAAGAGTTGTGGAAGTTGTTCACGGCTGTGACAACGGCGTTGATACCTTGAACAACAGAGTTGGCATAGCTGATGCCGCCGCAAGAAGCCTGACCGCCACAAGCCGGGTAGTTGATGGCTTCGGATGTGGTTCCAGGATGAGCCGAAATCACCAGGTTTACAACAGTAGCAGATGAGCCGTATCCTGGCCCTACTGTAGTCTCACGAGCACCAAAGACGTGAATTCCTGGGCATTGGCGCTTCTCAACTTTCTCAACATCTACTGGGCTACCAGTGGCAAGAAGCGCCTGGCCCAGCAAAAAGGTGAGGGTGTTTCTGATTGAAGGCATTTTTGTCTTTTTAAGAGCTGTTATAGAAGACAAGGGTATAAGGTCGATAAAGTGTAAGATGCTGTTATTGAAAAGACTAATGATCCTGGGGTAAATAGGAGATTATATAGTACATGTATCGCAGGTCCTAGTAGAGTCCCCAAAATTATCTGTATATAATCGTATTCAAATTATTCAAGATTTTCTCATCATTGCCAGCTCACTAAATGCCAAATGCCCAATTTGTTCTAGCTGTCGTTGTATTCCTTTTCTCCAGGCACTCATCTTCACTCCAGCATCTAGAATTAGGCTAAATCAACTCCCATCACAACTGCGTGTCCCGATTGGTACTGGGCTTTTGAAGTATTTTTACGTACTTGTTGTAATACGTGTACGAGTGATGATCATCGCTCAGTTTGCAATTATATTAAATATAGAAACATGCGTCAAGGATGGCTTGTGAATATTCCCTTTGGACCGAGGACCCGACAACCAGCTCTGCATTTGATCTGAAGCAGTCTTTGCCTTTTACCGTGGTCATGCACGCACATTCGTTAGGACTTGGCTACTAATTTTTCTGGTTCGTACGAAAACAGGTAACAATGCATATTAAGGAAGGCCGCCTAGTCCAGCATTTATCCAATTCATCTTTCTTGATAGTTCTTATAAATAATTGCATTGCCTCTAAGGATGATAATTGACGCCTGGAGTACCGGCTTGGAAAGCTTTAGTATTGTCGCATATCTAAGCACAGCGCTGAGGTAGGCAAACATCTGTTTACAATAATTTTGGAGCGACTTCGACTCCAATGCTTCAGCATCCAAAACCTTATTGTCTAATGGAGGCCACATCATGCAGGTGTTACTAAATAAGCCGAAGGCGGGTTGGCTGAAAGGTCTTCACCCCACACTGGAGGCGGACGCTTTTGCCCACAGAAGCAAAAAAGGGCCGCCACGATGCGACATCTCAGCATGCTTAGCACTGGATTCTCACTGCGCGATTGGTAGGCTAATCTACACCAACTTAGCCGGACGCACCCCAGATCTGCAGCGCAATTCTCGACCCTCCGATGGCCGACTTAAGGTTCGAATGAGCCGGCATTAGTGCGCTGCTGTAAGTGTCTCGAGTTGTCGTGGATGCTTCGGCACGAAGCGTGATGGTTAAAGTTAACCTGTTTTAGTCATGTCATTGAACCGGCATTTGAGAAGTTTAGGCAATATTCTCGCCGTACTATGGATGTTAGATGAACGGTCCCGTCCTACAAGCCTTTGACTAGCGAAGGTATGCACGCAGGCTTGGTAGCCCGTAAGTAGTGTCGGATACTGGGACAAGAAATATGCCTTTTTTTTTTCTTGCTGTATGGAAAGACCCAAAATAGGACTTGAGGCCATGGCGGCGAAAAGGCTGACTTTAGAAACTCAATCATCATTTCGTTTTTTGAAGAGTAGAAAATACAGCTTCGAGCTACCACAGGTAGGTCCCAATGCGTTTCCATGAAACTTAGCAATAATGTTTTCTCGTACCTTTTCTACACAGTTAATATGGAAAGCCTAGTTGAGAAGAAGTCCAGGCCCTTGTGCTACAGTGAATTTTGATCGCCATTTGATTGCAGAAAGAACCCAATGTGCGTGAGGAGGTGACTTTTCTGCAATGAACTGGCACCTCAGTCTTGCTGTCTTGCACATGGATGAATATGTATATATGTTTACAGTGGCAGGGCGTATAATGTTAACAAAGTCTTGAACTCTCAGCCTGGTACTGAAAAGGAGGTCATCATAGGCAAAAGTGCATGTATTGGAGAGACCATTATTCGTATTGTATTATGATTCAATGGCAAATTTAGCGCGTGAATGCGACTAAAATGAATGTAATTAACTGCTCCATAGCAAGGAACATCGGGTTGATCTTCATCTTGATGCTCTAACACTCCAAACTCAACAATCGACGCAACAATCGACGCAACAATCGACGCAATAATCGACGGGTCTTGCGCTAAAGTTTATAGTGCTTTTGATTTTCTGAGATTCTTCAACAGGACCCATGGCGCAACGGTAGCGCGTCAGATTCCAGCTAGGAATCTCCTGAAGGTTATCCGTTCGAATCGGGTTGGGTTCAATACCCTTCAAATTCTTTTTTTGTTTGCCAGTTTCAGAGATCTGGCTAAGTAAATATTTTTGCCTGGACTCCATACTCATGGCTATGTTTCATCTGAAGTTATTGTACGGATTTTTTATTCGCCGGAGAGCTCTGTTTATGTTCAGCATGCTCAAAGTGTTGTAATAACATACTTACATGGACTTGGTTCCGCTCGGCAATTATACATTGTTCGCCAAGCTTGGAGGTTTGCTTCCGCTCGTGGAAGAGACAAAAGCAACAATTGTAATAAGCAGATGCATACACACTTAACACACAAATACTAAAGCCCCCCAAGACTTATTTCTGGTAAGAGACAAAGGGGCAGTAGAGGCAATAGAACGTGCGCAGCATTAAAGTTGTGTGCTTATGGCTGTGAGAAGAATCCCTTATTTCTATTCGTTTCCCGCTTGCCTCTATATCGCTCGACACCTTCTACGGGTCAAAATTTGGCTTACAAGCATTTTGCATCGTAATGCACAGGTTATTCGAGGTTAGTTATCGGGGTAATTGAACGACGATTGCTAGATCAGTGCGATGTTTAGAATGCAGGCTGCAATTCAGTGATGTCACGCACGTAAATTAGGTACTATTGTAACCTGAATACTACTGCATGTGCATTGCGTAGTAAGACTGAATTCAGCATGATACTAAGGACATTAAGTCCGACAATGAAGCCGTAGCGCTTTAGCATACGTGTACCAAGCATCCCGGCAGAACACTCAAAGGCATATAGCCCTTGAAATGAACTAGAATATAGCTACATAAGAGATTATTAGCGTAGAGAAGTCGGATTTGTCAACACTGCAGAAGAACAGCAATCATATAGCCAAGTCACTCAGAGGGCACAAGATACACTTCGCAGCTGGATTTAGTTGCCTTGTTTAGCAGTAAAGATACAATTAGACTGTTGGTTGGTATAAATAATAAATGCAAACTTGATCACACTTCAATTGATAACACTATTGTAACTATAATGATGCCAGACTTTATCCCTGCTATGACGAATCCTAGAGTGCGGATAAGCCAACTTGCACTGAAATTCATAGTCCCATAGCCGTCATACCTCTTCTTCTATGATATTAATGACCTACAGAGCATCTACCCACGCAAGTGCAGTAGTAGTCTCTAGTCTCTGCCTATAATCAGGATCGATGTGGATGTTCCGCACGACTCCCTTTCCATCCACCAAAATAGTTGTCGGAATGGGCAGAGCCATTGAATCATTGCCATGCCTTTCTTTCAAATCAACTTTGAAGGCTTCAAATACACTATCAAGAGACTTGGGCTGATCCCACACGATTCCAAGCTGCCTAGCGAACTTGTTGCCAACGTCCGACAAAACCTCAAACTTGAGCTCGTTCTTCTCTGTAGTAGATAGAGAAGTGTTGGGCAGCTCGGGAGAGATGGCCACCATGGTCACGCCTTTGGCATGAAATTCGTCCAGGTGTAGTTGCAAAGAGCGCAGAGCCAAGTTGCAATAAGGGCACCAGTCTCCACGGTAGAAAGTGATTAGAACCGGGCCTTTGGCGAGAAGGCTGTCGCTAGTCACTTCGTTGCCGAGAGCATTAGGCAGCTTAAAAGCTGGGAGAGAAGCTCCGACTTGAATCGTCGAATTGATATCAAAAGTAGTCTTTAAACCGGCAATTGATTCATCGATAGATGAAACTAAGGGAGCGGGAACGTTTTTGCTAATGCCCTCAGCAGTGGCAGACAACTGGGAAGCCAAGGTAGTCGACATTCTTGGATGTTTTAGAGATGATATAAAGATCAAGACTGAAAAGATTCTTTGCAAAATTTGTTGTGATGGTGTTAATTTAAATCTTATCTTGGCTGTCATTTGCACCATTTATACATTTTTCAAGTATTATTAAACAGCTGTAGATATATTTACAATTTGTCAGACAGTGCTTGGTAAGCTATTGTTAATGCTCTTCTAAGTTGATGATTTTTAATTCTTGCTGCATAACAGTGAGAAATGTGTTAACATCCTCGTAGTCTGGAGTTTGCCTCTCGTCAATCATATGCGACGGAACACATTGGCTTCCGCCGGTATTCTAGATTCGAGACTAGGCTATTTTATGGGAGATAGCGCAGGACAAGTTTTTGTGATGAGATAGTCTTGTCCGTTAAAAGCTAGGCCCTGTGTTTACCACCCATTAAAAGCCGCAAAAACTTGCACCGACCCAAAGAGTTCTGTAACGCGGAAAGGGTTATGCTTACCCAGGTGGGGCAAACATATGTGTGTCCAGTAGGCATGTTTTAGTAGGTATATGAACATGGGTAGATTACCGTAAAATTGTCCAAATAAGGTGCTTGTAATAAATAAGATTAATAATACATTAATATTCAATAGTGTTACTGAGCTGCTAAGGCTTCAGGGAAAGAGAATAGTTATTCTGTAGCGATAACAGTAGCCTTATAATTCCACTTATGAGGGAGATAAATCTCAGAGGTATGTAAACAAAGATTACATTAGTAGCAAATTTACATTATCCATTTAAAACGCTTGCGTTTCTTGTTTTTGATGGATTATCCTTCATTCCCTAACAAGAATCCTATGCCAGAACTCTTATAAGATGTCTAACGTGTGCGCTGTTATATCAATCATCTCTTATGATTGTCTGACCCCCGTAGCTAGGGTAAAGTGAATCTAATCGGTTGTCTTTGGACACATAAGAATTTGAGAAAGAAGCTAAAAACTAGATTGATATATTTAAAGATCATTTTACTATTCATTTGAGTATCAATTAAAACGATTCAAATTCATCCCTTGAGGTGATTTTGTGCCTCTTCTAGCATATCTATGGTTTTTTGAGTATACCAGCGGCGACCAGGCGCTACTTTTGTCAATTGATTTTGAGCAATCTCCAGTGCGGTGAGACCATTGTTGTTCTTCGATTGCAAGTTCGCTTTATTAGAAATCAGCAACTCAACCGAATTTAGATCTCCACGAGCTGCTTTATGTAATGGCGTTTCCCCTTCCTGATCTTTTGCATCAATATCCGCGCCATTTTCAAGTAACAAGTTTACTAAAAAATAGCTCTTCGCGGAACAAGCCTGATGTAGCGGTGTTTTGCCGCGATTGTCTTTTATGTTAACATCGGCGCCGAATTCAAGAAGTAGCCTGGCTGCTGTTTCAATTCCCCGCGTGACTGCAATATACAGCGGCGCTTCACCATAATTGTTTTTTATGTTAACACTGGCACCGGCTTTAAGAAGTAGCCTGGTTATTATTTCAATTCTCCGCGTTACTGTAGTATGCAGCGGCGTTTCACCCCACATGTTTTTTGTGTTAACATTAGCACCGGCGTCGAGAAGTAGCCTGGTTGCTTCTTCATGTTGCTGCTTTGCTGCGATATGCAGCGGCGTTTTGCCGCAGTTGTCTTTTATGTTAGCACCGGCACCGGCGTCAAGAAGTAGCCTAGTTGCTCCTTTATGTTGCTGCTGTGCTGTGAAATGCAGCGATGCTTCCCCTCCTGATGTTTGTGCGTTGGCATCTGCGCCGTTTCGTATCAAAAGTTCAACAGCTGCTATCCACCAATCGTACCCGTCATGCAACTCATTGGGAGCGTTCATTGCACAAAGCAGTGGCGTCCAGCCACGATCATCTCGTTCGTTGATGCTCGCTGCGTCCTTGCGTAGCAACTCAGCCACAGCAGTGTAACGACTTTCCGTCCAAGCATACTTGCCGTCAACCCGTGTCGCCATATGTAGTGGCAATGCACCCTGCCGCTTTTTTTGGACATCCGCGCCTGCGTTAAGAAGGAATTTAACCATGTCTCCATCTCCCCTCTCGGCTGGTATGTGCAGCAGTGACTCGCTGTTTTTTTCCACCAAGTGAGTATCCGCGCCAGTCCTCCAAAGTAGTTCAATAATATCTTTGTCTTCTGTTTCAACCGCGAGATATAGTGCCGATTTGCCCTCTCTGCCCTTCACATTCGCATCCGCGCCAGCTTCAAGAAGCATTTTAATAAAAGTAGACTCATATTTTTCCTGAACCGCTATGAATAGCAGTGATCCATCATTCTTGTTTTTTACTTCAATCTTTGCGCCAGCATGAAGAAGCATTTTTATAATATCCTTAGATCCATTGCAAGCTGCTATAAATAACAGCGATTCGTCATCTGTGTTTTTTGTTTGAACATCCGCGCCAGCCTTAAGAAGCATTTTAATAATAGACTCATTTTTTTTCTGAACTGCTATAAATAGCGGCGACTCATTGTTCTTATTTTTTGCTTCAATATCCGCGCCAGCTTTAAGTAGTAGTTCAATAATAGCTGTATATCCCTCAGCAACTGCGCAATGTAGCGGTGATTCATTGTTCTTGTTTTTTGCTTCAATATCCGCGCCAGCCTTAAGAAGCATTTTAATAATAGACTCCTTTTTCTTCTGAAACGCTATAAATAGCGGCGATTCATTGTTCTTGTTTTTTGCTTCGATATCCGCGCCAGCTTCAAGAAGTACTTCAATAACAGCTGTATGTCCCTCGGCAACCGCGCAATGTAGCGGCGATCTTTGTTCCCCATCTTTTGCCAAAATATCGGCACCAGCCTCTATAAGTATCTTAATAGTAGACTCATGTCCCGAGAGGGCTGCTCTATGCTGCGGCAATCCGTCGCGTGCATTCTTTGCTTTAATATGGGCATGATGCTCAAGTAGAAGGTTGACGACATCATCATTTCCTTTTCCTGCTGCCACAACGAGTGCTGTATCTCCCTGTTCATTTGGCAGATTAACATCAACGTCGGCCCAATTGAGCCAAAAAGATGTAACTATGGCATCGCCATATCCTGCTAAATGAGAAAGGATATTCTTTTGTCGCGAAAATTGGAAATCTTTCGAACCCCACTTTCGTTTATTTGCATCCTGGAGGTATTGTTTATATAGTTGGTGGAGGATGGATGCTTTCGGGTGATCATCTGATAATGCTGTACGAGCATGAACTTCTAAGAATGCTTCGACCGCATCATAGCTATTTGCAACTAATGCTGCAAGCATTGGTAGCCCATAGCGACTATTTTCTGTTTCAAAACAAGATAACCTTGATGGATGGTATCGAATCAAATTTCCTGCATTGTGTATCGCCAGTACGTATAACTGGGTAACAGTTCGATCGAGTTGGCGTATTTGGTATCTTTCAAACGCATTGTTTAGTGTAATCCAGTTATCAAAATCGAAAGCTTGGAAGAAGATAGCTTGCTCGTCGTGACCCATCTCCGCTGCATTTGCGTGATATAAAACGTTTCGCACAGCATAACCAAGGAATGGGAATTTGTCTCGAAGCAGCTGGCGAAGATCCTTTGCACCGCTGGATGATGCGCTAGAAAGTAATTCAGGAATTTCCTCACTTTCATGTTTTCCATTGAGACATTGAAGACAGCATTGTTTCAATCGTTCATGACTTTGTCTTTTAAAGCCATCTCCAAAATCGGTGCAAATTTCCTTCAATCCTTTCTCTTTGAGTAAAAAGTCTTTAACAGACTCATGGATGAATTGAACAGTTGGATTTTTCGATTTGGTTATCTCTGCAAGTCCTTTTGAACAACTGAGAATGAACTTCTTTATGTCTTCAATGGATATTTCGTCAACATTCCAGCTATCAACGCTTTCAGGTCCAGGGCTGGAGAGGACAGCAAAATAGAGTTCTTCGGGCTTTAATGGCTGTCGTGAAAATAATAACCACTGAATGCACAAAAGAAGCTCATTTCTGCGATAACTGTCTCGAGTCAGAATATCACGAAAGAGCTGGTGTAGATCCTCAGGAATGTCGTCAAGTCGTTGCCGCAGCCTATGTATATGGCCGCCATCATATTCCTTGTTCAGAATCTCTACAACTAGGACGATCCACATAAAGATGCCTGCCGACTTTTTCTGTACGGTGGCGCGAATATCTTCAGCAAGTTTGCTTTTCCCAATGTTCAGTTCGCTGTGTATGTAGTTGCTTATGTCTTGATTGTGCCCTTCTTGCCCTTCGAGGATGAGATGTAGCGCGTTTTTCTTGGATATGTGAGGATAGTGCCTGCTTGAGAAGCAGACTAGAAATTTAATGTCGTCGGATGTAGTGAATTCACCAACATTCTGGAAAAAGGACACCATATCCCGAATTTCATCCTCGTTGCACTCATCCAGCGCATCAATGAAGCATACCACTGCATCGTCCCTGATATTGTGTATAGCTTCTTCAAATAGAGATTTCAATTGTTGGATGTTCCAATTGTAATCTTCTCTGACTCCTGTCAATGGGAATGAGGATAAAATACTCTGAAGTTCCGGAAGTCGTTCAAAGAGTTGTAATAGCAGTGACCGATACATGCCAGTTGTGCATTTCTCCAGATCTCCGCCTCGTGCGTTAAAATAGAACGCTATGATTTTTTTATCCTTCATCTTCTTCTGAGCATCTGTAAGGGCGAATTTCATCAATGTCGATTTACCAGTTCCTGCTTTTCCTTTGATCCAGAGAAAACCGTGATGTGACTCTAGTTTACTGGGATCCTGCCAGTCCAGATATGCTTGATGCTTGATCAACCATTTACATGTTTTTGCATGAGCATTCTTTATTGTCAAATGGCGGGCTCCAATTTGCTCAAAATACAGAGACTTTAGCATCATTTCTAGCTTATCAGCAGGAAATGGCTGATGTTCTCCTGCTCTCTGATCACTCTCCAACTGGCTCGGTATGACGTGGGAAGACTCTGCACGGATTGGACGAAGTCGATTGAGAAGATCTTTCGCGTATGCGGCCGCTGCCATTGCTGCATACCCTTGCCAATCCTTGTTTTTGTGCGAATCTGAGTAGTCGCATATGCCGCGGATAACCAAGCATGAAAAATCGTTCATAAGTCCAGCAGCTTCCATTTCGAAGCACAAGACTTCATTGTGTAGCGCCAGTTTATCTCGAGTGGTAGCGTCCTTCATGACTTGATTTGCGGAAGCAACTAGGCCATAATGTATTGTAATATTTTTGTCTGAAGGCCTCTTGGTCCGCGGCACAACGCTCGGTGCAGCATCGCCACATGCTCTTGAACAGCTCTCGTCGTCATGTAGAGGATGTATAACATGGCTTTTGTAAAGCCTATCCGAGCTCTGACTCGGACGTTGATATGTCTCTCGTAGTCGGGGCAGCCTTTGAAAGGCGCTCTCTATCTCTTCTTCAAGCAAATGGCCCTGACTCTCGTAATTTGTGCGGAGACCATTAACCGCCGCCAGCAGATTCTGTGGAGGCTGGTTCAAGACCCTCGTCATTTGGAACTCCTGATCTTGCATCGTTTTGCCAAAGTCATACTGTAACACACCACTTTTCCCGTTATGAGGAATGCTGACCACAATGTCGCCCAAGCGAATGTCGTGTTTTGAGGTTGGTGCGCCGCCACCGATGCCAACCATGAGCCGAATTCTGATGCTGGGAAAGCTGCGCATCATGTCTTTTGCAACCGCCGCCGCCGTATCAGTGCCATATGCTGGTAGGACTGTGATAGCGACATAGTGTCCACCAATTCGACCCAACGTATAGTCATTATTGTCGTCGTCGGGCAGATTGTATTCTCGTGCGTCAAATTTCTCGTCGAGGAACGCGGTCGCGGCGGTTAGCTCGGTACTGATGGCACAAATCCAACCGACAGTGTACTCGTTGGTTGATGCTGATCTCGTGCTATTATTCATGTGATAGCCTTCGATCTTGCATCTTTTCTGGTGGATTGGGGTCTCGTTGCTGTTGGAAGAGGCCCTCTTCGACATCTTGTTGTAACTAATTGTGCATGTAATCGGCAGCTTCACGCTTCATGCGTTGTTGTATAGCGTTAGAGCTTTCAAGTAGTGACGAATGCATATATGAGACACAAGGCGCGTATCAAAAAGACCAAGAGGAGAAGCTTAGGATACAAATGATGTTACTAGACAAAGAGAGTGGCGCGTATGGCAGAAGGCAATGAGGTGGCAGGGCAGATGTCAGCCTAACGGGCACATTTCCATGCTGCAGCTCAGCCATTATTTTATACCAATAGCATGACTTCTCTTGTTTAAGCATCAAGTACTCTCGAGGATCTTAAAATTACTTGTGACTTTAAAGATTATCGCTAGTAGGCTTAATCTTCGATAATATCGGAAGACTAGTGGATGAAGATTACCTTAATGAATAAATAGGCAGTATTCTCTTGATGTTGTCGATCTCAATCAGCAAATTACTGTAACTTGCAGAGCGGGCATGAAACTTATCATTGACAGCACTATGTATGTACACCCAATACCGAGAAAACCGGCATTATCTGTAACATGCACCACAGCCACGCTCGCTACAGCAGCGTTACAACCGCCTGATTGTATACCTCAGTCCCTTGACACTCATCAGACGCTGAACCTCGCTCGACTTCTCTTCCGGTACGGACTTGAACTTGAACTCGGGGCATAAATCCACTTCAGCCGTCCATGCAGTTCCATTTTTTTCGCCAATACGTTCCCACAACTCTTTCCAGCTCTGAGGATTATGCTGAAAATGCTTCCTCCCGCTTGTATCACCAGCCCGCGAGAATTTCCCCGCAGTCTCGCTGCCTGATTGCCTCCCAATGATTAGAGAACCAGGCTGTGCAGCCAGTAACTGAGCGACTCTCATTGCCGCTTTCTCCTGCTCTTCAAGACTAAAAAGATGGAAAAAATCCCCAACGTAGATGATGTTCATCTTTCCAGCCAGCTCTACAAGTGGAGAAGAATCGTCAAAGACGTCAGCCGCTATAAATGTAGTTTGCAGCCGATCTTTGTCTTTAAATAGTTCGTAGCCGATGGACAGAAAGTCGCCCCAAAGGTCGGAGCCGTATGTATTGACAGAAGGCGCGCCGTCGTGGACAAGTTGACGAATCTCTTGACCAAAGCAGCAGCCTAAATCCATGAATTTTTCGCCATTTTTTACTCGATCCAAGACTTCTAGATACACATCCGTAGTCTTCATGATTAGGTCCAAGAAGCGGTACCGTCTGATGCATGGATAAGGTCGCTAAAACAGGTTAGTATTTGTGATATGGGGCATGGGGCAATGAGGCTGTTTTACCACTTGTAGAGCCTTTGTTTGCTGTTAAACGTTAGCTAAATGAGTATTAATAGAGGATAATATATACTTTAAACTTACAATTAACTCAACATGATTCTTGACATCTTCGTTGGGAATTCCGCTGTACTCGTGCAGCAGTTTCCGCCCGGAGTCGAGATCGTACATCTCGAATGGATCTTCTTCATTTTGAGCTGTTTTGCTGGACATAATTGCGCTTCTACTGATTGCAAGTTTTACATTGTAAGTCCAAAATGGAAGTAGGCCTCGGAGGTTTAAATGCTGATATCAGAACCTGCGTTTTCGATATTTCGCTCTGAGTCAAAAGTTCAGCCCGTAGGCAACAATGTAGCCTTGCACCTATGTACCTAGTAGTTAGGCTAAAAAGGGAAAGAGGCGCGGGGAGGTTTGCAATGGCTGCAAAAGATCATCCATTGCCTATTAGTTTCGCTTTTGGATAAGAATATTCGTGCTTTTCATAAACAAACTATGAAACTTGGCAATGCTAGTCAATTTATTAAAAGATTATACTATTGCCCCCGAAGCTTACAGCTATTACGTAGAGCAAATCCCGATTTATTGCCACCAATATACAGGGCTATCTTGCACTTCTCAGCACTGCTCAACTAAGTAATTTTCTACGATCGGCAAATACATAATTAGTTGATTCTCTGGCGGCTATGAGACATATGGGGTTGACATTACGCTATATACAAGGTCCCTGCTAGGATTATTGCATAAGCTATATAACCCATATTGTAAGAGCGCGGTGTTGCTTTACGATGATAGTCTCTCGCAACCTAACCCCACTCGCAAATATTTATTTTCAGCCTCAACTTGTCATCTCCGATTGAGACTCTTTGTTTCCCTAGAATACCTGTATGCCTCGGCCGCGGTAGAGTTGCTCTACCAACAAAGGAAAAATGGATTCTCTCATCTTTCGTGCCTTGATGGGCCTCAGTTTCCCTCAAGACTCCCGGGAAGAGGTACAATCCGAATCCTCAGTTATCAAGATCCAGATTGACCCTGTGGGATCATCAGAGGATATGATTTGCGTCGAAAGCCTGGAACAGTCCCAACGCGGCATTGACCGTATCGTTGGGCGTTTCGTCCCAAAGAATAAGTTCAAATCACCACCCGAAATAGTGGAAAACTCCGCCACCGGATTCCGAGCAGCCACCCGTCAGTGGAGGGACGCCAATCCAAGACCTTGGTGCATACTAGAAGGATATCATATTTTCGACTCTGGTCTTTCCAAGTCAACCATTGTATCGAAAGCCTTTCGATATATGAAGAAGGAATTGGCCGAAATTTCTGGGCAGTCAGATTTGCTCTGGAGGCGGACTGTTAGAAGGCTGCAACTGGAGAGCGACCACGACGGAGTACTAAGAGGTATGCGATAGCCATCTTTCTCGTGCGCCCGACCTGTTTCTATAAGGTGGCTGATCGATTTCAGCATTAATTGTATGCGAGACGTATTCCGCGAAATCAGTTGCCACCAAGATCAGAAATAACTCGCTCCTTTTAGCACCCACAAAGCGATTCTTGACAGAATTTAGACAACTTGGTGAAATATACCGCCCGCGTAGGACGAGCCGCAATCTTGAGCAAATCTTTCAACTCCAACTCCACCATGCCAACCTGAACCTATTTTCAGACTTCTTACAGAGCTTCGCAACAGACTATGCCGCTCCTCGCATGTTTATGTTTGACTCTCGGGAAGTCGAACTGCGGCGCTGGAATCTCAAGGCCATCATGACGGACTCCCATCTCTATAGGCAATTCTCAAGCCTTGGCGCCGAACTGACGACTACCACCGAGTCGCTACTTGACATTGTCTTAGCCCTAGAGGACAGCGCAAGGCAGGATGTTACAGAGCTGACAGTTTTGGGTGCTGAGATCCGGGGCTGTAGCAAGGACATCATGACGCGTCTCAGCAGATTGTCAGACGATCTGGACCACAACCTTCAGCTACTTAGACTGTCCAAGGATATGAACCAGTCGGGCAACGTCCAAATGTTAACGCTGTTAGCCACAATTTTCCTGCCTCTGTCCCTATCAGCCGGCGTCCTCAGCATGCAGTCGCGCTTTAAAGACTTGGGCGACCTGCTGTACGATTTCTTCGGCGTTGTGGTTCTCCTTGGGGCGGGGGTTGCACTTTTGGTAACGGTTATGCTTTTATTTTCCTCGATGAAAGAACTGGAGAGCAGACTCTTCAAGTACCATTGGTACAAGGCCATACTACGTCCTGTAATCTTGCTAACGATATCTGGCATCACGTTCACACTGGGCGCCCTCGTGCTGGCATCTTTTCTGGTGGGCATGTTCAAGGACGTGGTACTTGGAGCAAAGATTCTGGGCTACGGAATCGCCGCGGCGATTGGCGCATTGGTGGTGATTCCATATGGAACTCTTTTGGTGTTCTGGTTTCCTAATTTATGGGAGTTCGGAGGGTCGAAGAAGAAGAAGCAAAGCGATGTCAAGAGTGAGCCGAAAGGAAAAGAAGCTGCTGCAGATGGCTCTCAGGAAGCAGGCGTTACAATACAAGCTGATCTCAATGGCGTAGATGACAGCTCTACGCCGCCAGCTGCGCGTGCTGGAGATGAGTCTCCAGAAAAGAGCATCCCCAATGTGACAGAGGTAGGGCCATAAATTTAATATGTTATATATGAATTGATCCTCGATGGCGATATTAAATAGCTTTTATCATCATGACATTCAAGCTAGAGTCACTGATAACAATACTTGTATTCTCAGTTAATTTTATAGCGTCAATGGGCGCAATCAAACCCCGCATCCTAGATAATCCTGCGATTAAATTCTGCCTAGAAATTGCGCAGGAACTTTTGTCTCGTAGATAGACGTGAAAGGCGTGAAATTGGATACTCTCTTTTCAGGCAGCCGAATTCCATCTAAGGCAACATAAAATAGATACGCGCGTACTGTTATCTGCGTGTGCTTAACTAGGCATACAAATAGCGAGACGCCTACATATATTGGTTCCCAATCCCCTCTGAGCTTCATAACAGAGACATCATTTTATTTACCATTGACGTTTCTTATCATCCTTGGAAAAAGGCTGGCAAAATGTCTGGCTCACCATTCAACGTCTTGACTACAAACGCCGTCGATCTGCAGCGCCTCCTAGCAGAAAATAAACTCACCAGCGTGGAAATTGTCCAGCACTACTTTGAACAGATTGATCGCCATGAGCCATTTCTCAACGCTCTCATTTCCGCTGCGCCCCGAGATAAGGTGTTGAGCGCCGCTGCAGCACTGGATGAAGAGCGTAAGAATGGCAAAACCCGTAGCGCTTTTCACGGCATTCCTATTGTCCTCAAGGTTGGCATAATCATAAATGAGCATCCTGTATGATGTTGGCAAAGGCTAATTTGGCTGCAGGATAGTTTCATAACTGCTGATGACCTTGGCATGAGCACTACTTTGGGATCATGGGCCTTTGTCGGAGCCAAAGGAGCGAAGAACTCTGCAATCGCGCAGCTGCTCATAGACGCTGGTCTGATTATCTTGGGAAAGGGCAACATGACTGTGAGATACTATTTAAGCAATTCTTTTACCTGGCTAACACGACACCATGGCAGGAATTCGCCGGCATGAAAATGACAACCATCATGTCGGGTTGGTCGAGCCACGGTGGCCAAACGCTGTCACCCTACGTCGGCGAGATTGAAGAAAACGAGAAATTAATAGGGCACTCTGTCAGTATATCTGCTAATGCGGTTCTCTAATCTGTCTAATAGATGATGCTCATACAAACTAGGCTCCAGGAGGATCTTCCACCGGTTCTGCCGTCGCTGTAGCCGCAGGCTTCAGCCCACTCGCAATGGGAACGGAAACAATTGGATCCATCGTCACTCCATCGACTCGCAACGGCCTATACGCTCTCAAACTGACACATGGCACTCTGGATACAACCGGTGTCTACGCCTTATCAGAGTTTTTCGATTGCGTGGGGCCAATGGCAAAAAGCGCCGCAGACGTACGCCTGATGGCTGAGATCTTGTTAAAGCGCACCTTTGATACTGCCAAGTTTGGGACTTGGGAAGGGTTGTCTGTTGGATTCCTCGATCCTCGCGCGTGGACAATAGGTGAGGAAATGTGTCCCCAGCACGAAGGAACGGCAGAGCAAATGGTAAGCCGAGGCCATCTCGAATCTACGGCGTGTAGTACTAACTACTGTCCCAGGTAGAAGAATACGAAGCAGTCGTTGAACTTCTCAAAAAGAGCGGATGTGCCTTGAAGTATCCTGCCGAGATTGCAGGCGTCGAAGGCTTGACCGTAGATGGAGAGCCCGCCATTATGCCAATCGCATGTAAGTACGGGGCCACCGCATAATGTACATAGTGGCGTCAACTGATTCGATGGCGTAGTTTGGGAATTTAAAAACGCATGCATGCCCCGATTTATCGACTCGTTTGACGAATGTCCCGTCAAGAGCGTCGAAGACATTGTTACATTTAATCGAGAGAATAGCGAGAAAGCTTTGCCCCCCCGTGAGTTCTGCTGGCCTCGGCTTTTTCTAGTCACTAATCATGACAACCATAGCATATACGGAGCAAAACGATCTTGAAAAATCTCTCACTTTCAACGATAAGCCGGAGAAGATTGAGTCCTTGAAGAGCAGATTCCGCCCTGTTGGACAGCAAATCATCAACGACGCTTTCGATACGCAAGGACTAAACATTATTGTGGCGCCTGGAGATAGTTCACTCTGTATACACGCCGCTGCAGCAGGTAAATAGAGCCCCTGTATGTCATCATTGATGTTATTAACCTCCATGATAGGCTATCCCATCGCCACCGCGCCAGTCGGACAGCTGCGATACAACGGACGGCCATTCGGCTTGAGTTTTCTAGCTAGGGCAAACGATGAGGTATCATTATTGCGTTTCATGGCGGCATACGAGGCAGTGGCTGCAGTTCGCCCTGTGCCGAATAATCTGGGTCCTCTGCCATAAAAAATAATCGTGGCCCAAAGAGGAGAGCATTATCATTTGGACTTGGCCATAATTCATCCACTCCCCTCCATATTAGCACATGCAAAATGAAACATGATATATATCGTTAATATACTTTAACTTTTAACCTCTTCATCCACTTGACCGTTCGCGTATTGAGCAATGTTCAATAGTACGCCACCGCGAAGTCTCAACTTGTACCATGTCGACTATGCTGTCACTCTTGAGACATTGAAGTCCATCATGTTGCTCATCTAGAATGTTCCCAGCAACCCTTGTGGGCGGCCCCATCAGCCACTTAGCCACATCGCCATACCCGGTCTCTAATTATATCATCGAATCACATGTTCAGCCCTGACTCCGACATTGTACAGAAAAAGTTAGAGCAGCACTAGATACGACAAGGCGTTTTTAGTCCATACTAACGCGAGTATCCGTCGAGTCGCCTAGGAAGAGAGGTTATCGTTATGCTTACTGCTAAATGACAGTCGTCTGTTCTTTAAGAATGCATAAACTTACTAATATGTGCCAGGACAGCTGTCAATCAGTAGTGTCAGAGATCGTTACATATGCCAGACACCTTTTATTTATATCTTCTATGCCCCTAACTGAAACTTTGCTACTCCGGAATGGCAAGGAGACAAAACGCTACATGTGCTAAGTCCCAGATACATTTAGCTCAGGTACGTCTAAGCCTTCTGTTCGGACCTCCACCCACGACATAGCAGCGCAACCTGGCAAAACTCGCCTGCAAACGATCCGAATTCAGACACAGAATGGGTATACATCTCTCTTGCATGAAACCTTGGGCAACAATGTGCGGAGCATGACACTGTTCCTACCTCTAAGCGTGGCCATTGAGTTTAAGATATCAGACCAATCAGAGATACAAATCGAAGAGATGCAAATGGACAGAAATGCAGCCAGGCCCGGGTCGACATCATGCAGAAATGTCTGCCCATTCCCCGTTCAATCTCAAAGCATTGCTCATCACCATAGCATCTTCACACATGGCATCCTAACTCACCATTCCATCTCATCATGCATCTCAACATGCATCACCCAATCCTTCTCAGCGCATTCATAAGCATTGCATCCTCTCTCCGCCTCAACGCCCCCACCGTCAACAAGAGAGGTTCCACCATCGCCCAACCAGGCAGCATCAAAGATGTAATCGTCACAAGCTTCAACACCCTCAACAGCACTCACCACTACCGCATACCCAAAGCAAAGCCCCATAGCTGGAACGACACCATCAGCACACACAATCTATCCCTCAAACTCTACAACAACTACAACGGCGGGCCCATCAACGCCTACATCCAAGGCCTCGACTCCAACGGCGCCATCGTCTTCATTACCTCAAACGGCACCCTCATCCACCCCCGCTCCAATAACTCCTCCTCCCCCATCGAGATCAAAGACAAGCTCGCCATCCCCCTCCCTCCAAAAGGCCAATCCCTCACCCTCAACATCACCACATCCCTCACCTCAGGTCGAGTCTACTTCTCCGAAGGCAATCTCAAGTTCTTCACCATCAACCTCGGCGCCGGCGACGGCCTCGTCCAGCCCTCGGTCAACAACCTCCACGACCCAAGCGCCTCCCTCAACTGGGGCTTCATCGAGCTCACGTTTCTCAGAAACGGCGCACTCTACGCAAACATCAGCTACGTCGACTTTGTCGGCCTCATCCTCAGCATGATGCTCTCCACAAAAGACGGCGGCACGCCCCAAATCACACGAGGCCTCAGGGCAAACGCCGTCTACGATCTCTGCGAGGGCTTGTTCAAACAGACCGCCAACGACGGCTATCTCTGGCTCGCAATGTGCGTCGTCGGCAAGACTGGCGATCCAGTGCGGGTGCTCTCGCCGAATTACTACCAGCGCGTCTACGCAGCTGATTTTGAAGACTACTGGCAAGACTACGTCGATACGGTATGGGAGTATTACTCGTCTCACACTCTCGCCATCGACACGCAGACACCGCTCGGCCAAGTCGAATGCCAAGTCACAAACGACACTCTATACTGCGCCGAGGACAATCGTGGCTATGCTAAGCCCACAGCTTCCGACATCTGGGGCTGCAACAGCGGCCCGTTCGGCCTCCAAGAGGGCGATAATCCCGTCCACGTCGCTGTAATTCCCCGTCTTTGCGCTGCATTTGTCCGGTCAACGCTGCTCATTCGGGGGGGAGACGTGCAGCCCAGGCTGAACTCGTCGTATCATTACTCAGTCAGCCCAACAAATCATTATAGTCGCATCGTGCATGAGCTGCAAGTAGATGGGAGAGGCTATGCATTTTCCTACGATGATGTCAATCCCAATGGACATGAGGATGTTTCGGGGCTGGTTTCTTCCGGGAATCCAGATACTTTGACGGTTTATGTGGGCGGGCCACCGAACTAAATGACAGATATCTTCATAGCTGGGGCTAGATGTGTTAAAGGCGGTGTTTAGCAGCCTAATAACATGATCATATACACGGAAATTATTCTAGAATGCATGGATCACAGTACGTGTATGCGGCATCACAGCTGCTGTTGGTCGTTCGTTAGACGGACGGCTTCAAATTGAAATTAAACTCATTTATTGTACTTTGCACTATTGTGCTTTCGTAAATGACAGGCTTCGCTTCATGCTCAAAGCTTCCAAACATGGCTATGTGATGTATAACAAACAATAACCCTTGCGCCAACACGTCTCTTGCAGTAGTACGCTCCGCTATGGGATGGAATGCTAAATCAGCAAACAGTGCACAAACAAACACTGGCAACCAACACGCATAAGTTAAAAAAGCCAAGTAACTGTAGGATATGCCAAGGTAATGAGACACAGCCTCACGGACCTGAAACACGATGCCAAGGTCGTATCTTCGTATCGACCGATGTAGTAGATTTACGCTCGAATATGTGTATAGAATCAAAAGCCTTCTCAAGCCGGACTAGCATGGGATTTTTACATCCTGCGTCCAACAAGGCTCAAACGAGTGATCTTTTAGCTATTTTAATAGCTGGAAGTGGCGCGTTCATTGCGGAATGCCCAAACATGGGCGTCAATCATTTATGCAGGCGTTGTAAAGACCGGTACGACCGCGCTATTTCTGGCGAGCCGTTTTCCATGGATGGTGCCCAGGGCGAGAGATCTCGGAGTTTCAAATTATAAAGTAAAATAGATAACGACTGAGCGTGGTAATATTTCATACCAGCAGTACAAGAAACGGCAATATACACAGAGCAATGGTTGGGCTGCCAGTCCGGAGGAATGAGGAAGCTGAAGAGCTAGCTTTTGTTTGGGTAGGCTGAGCTCCTGATGTCTCTTGGCTACTGAGGCCTATGGCGGTTGGGGATGGTGGCTCAAACGTCGAGGTGCCCGTGGCCGCTCCAGTAGCAGAAGCAGCACTTGCATCCGTGGCGGTGGCAATACTCTTGTTCCCGGTGCCGGTGGTGGAACGCTTGGCAAATCCTGAATCATGTTAGTATTAAAGTTCCACAGGTTATTTATAGACAGATAAAAGGGGTCACTAACCAATTCGCTTCTGATCCTTGTCAAAGACGGCATAGACATTCTTCAGGAACGTATCGCCAAAGAGCCAGGAGCCTTGGACAACCTCGTAGCCGTAGACATTGCTTGTGCACTTTCCAGTGCTGTCCTTGGGGGAGATCCAGTCCTTGGGAGAGATGGCAAAGTCGACGCCAGAAAAGGTAGCGACCAGGGGAGTTGTGGTGTCGCAGGGAACAGTCCAGGTGACGCCATCCGAGCTCTGGGCTCCGTCAATGACGGCATGCAGGGCCTTGACGTTCTTGGAAGGGCCAAAGATGTAGGAGGTGCCGGTGTCGATGTAGGCATTGATACCACCGACGTTCCCCTTCTTCCCGTTATAAGACATGTCGTCCAAAGGAATAGACCAATCGGTGCCGTCGGGAATGCTGGTGTAAGTGATGGCGCCGGTATATCTTGACGGGTTGGTGGAACCAAAGGTGACTTCGCCGTCGTTGTTACCATCGGAAGCTCGGCTCAGCGCAACGGAAAAGATGCTCTTGTCGAGCAAGCCGGCGCCTTCCAGCGCGGAGAGGAAGTTTTCGTTTGCGCCGCTGTTCATGGACATGCCGAGGATGCCGTCAAAGGCAAAGTGGACAAAGTCGGAAGACGTGTTGGAGGCCAGACCGAACTGATACGTCAAGCTCATACCCGCCACGCTGATGGTGTCGTTGACCAATGAACCGCTGACAGCTCCAGATCCATAGGCAATGTTGAAGGTTTGCGAGCTGGTTTTGAGGGAGCTCGAGTCGCTGGGCCCAAAGGAATCGTGCAAAGCGCAGGCCGGAGATGTGCAGCCCGTACCCATCACCCAGCTGGAACCGGCACCGGTATCGAGCAACATGTACATCTTGGTCTTCTGCGAGCCAAGTTCTGCCTGGACAAAGTACGAGTAGTCGGTGCCGTCTTGGTCGAGGCCGGCAGTGTCTGGCGCGTTGGGATCCGCGGCCTGCATGATGTTGAACTGGTTGTCTCGCTTGGCGATGTTGGAGTCCGTATTCGAGCTGGAAGCATCGTCGCCGCTGCCGTATTTGTGAGAGAGTAGAGCGGCTTGCCATGCAGCCTTTTGTTCTTGTGATACGGGAGCCTTGAAGAGCATGATGGTCAGCACAGACGACGGAATATGGGTACATGATGTGCAGTCTCAACCAAACTTACCCGTCTTGACGCTCTTCGCTTGATATCAAACGTCACACCGTCCTCTACACTCCTCCTCGCCTCACCGGCATGTTTCTCCTCAATCTCCTTCAGCCATGGTGGTGTATACGGATAGAAAGCCAGCGCACCCGAAGCAAAAAGGGCCAGCGGGGCCAGCAAGACGGTATTGGAGCGCATGTTGAACGAATCACAGCAGCTGCAATACTCGACGGGGAAGTAATTAGGTGATTAGATATTACGCATATAACATTGCCAGATTAAAACGGAGATGGAAAAGATGGGACGGAAACACGACAGTGGGAAGAACAAGAGCAAATCAGTTGCAGAGAGAAACAGGTGGTGCAGCAGAACGAATCGAATCGATCGCTAGTAGGCAGACAAGGAAAGTCGGAAAAGGAAGCTGGTAAAAAGAGAGTGATGCAGATGCCGAAACAAGCAAAAACAAAAAGATGCGCTAATATTAATGATGGACGATGGGTGGGAAATATTAAGGGCAGTAGAGTAAGAATATTAAAAAATGGAATAAATATGACAGGTGACCAAAGAAAACTGGCAAGTCTATGGTACGGGGAGGAGAGAGAGAGGAAAAAGGAAGAGATAAGGATAGAGAGAGGAGGCGAGAAAGAGGATGGCAAAAGGCAGAGACCGCAGCCAAATTGAGCGCGGAGTCGTGCATATATTATGGAGCTTCGCAGCTAAGATCAATGGCCTGCAGCACCGCAGTGCAGTATATCGGCGATTTTCAGTGGAGAAGCGCGAAAGGAGGGCTTGGTTGCAGAAGCGAGATGCGCGTCGAAATTAATGAAACCTCTTTTTTCCTTGCTCCGGGAGGGGCCCTGGCCCGGTTCAAGTACTAGACGGTCTAGCGGGCAGCTACAGCGGGCTTAGCGGGCATTAGCGGGCCGTGAGGCCTGGAGCACCGATGCTGCGCTGCTGGTCTGGTGGATGGGCGCGGGGAAAAAAAACGCACCATGGCGAGTCAGCTGCAGGCTGGAATTGCTGACACATGCAGCGTCGGTACCATCGTTTTGGGTCTTGCTGCAGTGGATGATATCAAGCTCGTTGATCTCGACATGAGTCGACACGAGGCTGGGCGGCCTGATGCGCAGGTCGCAGAGTTGAGCTGGTCATCTGCTGCGTGTTAAAGCCATGTTTCGAACCGGCTTTTCGCTAATCTGCATCGCCTGCATCCTTTTTTTCTTTTGTGTTTCTGGCGTTTTTTGAGCGATTAATTTTTATCTTCTCAAGTCCTATTTCTGCGGGCTGGATGATGGACATTACATGCGCAATCCATACCAGATCGAGCGTCGAGGCAGAGCTAGAATTGCAAGTAAACAGAGGGACCGAGTCAGGTAGTACTACTCCATATGTTCTTTAGCTGGCTTTAGACTTGTTGGGCTTTCAGATTGCTCGGTGTGCTGTATCAGCATCAATATTTACATTTACACGCAATTGTGCTCATATCTAGAGTAGTATAGGCCTTGATAGAGCTAAACGTTCCAGGGCTCGCCATGGTCCGCATACCAGCCCGGCTCGCTAAGCTGCAAGAGACGACATGCAAGTAAAAACAACACAGCCAGCCCGAGACACTTTGATGCAAGGATGACCACGCAGCTAGCTAATTGGCCCCTAAACCCCGGTCTTCAACTAGCAATGCGAGCAATCTGCGAACTGGAGCTGGCGTGGATAAGTACATGGAGATGGTATTACGATGTGAGTTGCATGGGTTAACAACTCGCAGCGTATTTCTCTTCATCGCAGCAGTGACGTGTTAGTCTTCGGGCTTTCAACTCGCTCCTTCATGGTGCGACACACAAGACAACTTTGGTCAGAAAAGTGTTTGTGACTGGTCATTCCGAGAGCCAGTAATTGGTTCAACTGCTGGATGCTTCCAGTCCGTACTCGTATCCTCATTTGGATACGGACATCAAATTGAAAACTCACCAGCAAAAGCATTGGAAAAGTAAACTCCTGGCCAAGACGCTTGACGCAAGGCGAAGCATATGATGGGGCCTTCTTTGGCTTCGACGCTTGAATGTCTTTTGTTTTGTTTCGTTTCAACAATGCAAAGCCAATTTCGACATTGGCCTTGCCTTTCTGAACCGCTGCAGCCGCGCCACATCGGCTTTTAGTTTCTGGCGCTCTCAAATGTTTAGGGCGCATCCGCAGGGCGAGCCATAGCCGAGCGGGCCGCTACACTTCAGCGCCTCTTCAGCGCAGCCTTGGCCCAAACGAGCCGAGAGATCAATGCGCCCCTCGATCGGGCTCTGCACCGGGCCATCGTCATTTCACTTCAATTGAGTCAATCGCTGCGAGTACACGTGCTGGCGCATGCATGTGTGAGAGTGTGTGTGAGCTGCATGCATGTTATCAAAAAGTGTCATGCAACGGCGCCTCAAGCTAGCCGCGATCCCTTGAGCTGAGACAGCTGCAGCAGAGAAAAGAAAGAAAGAATGGTTATTGGATCGTGCATCGATGTAATGGCTGTAGACATCATGCCATGCGTCCTTTCGACCGACGTTGCTAATCGTGGCCATACACGTCGAAACGCCTCTCTGCGTCTTCTCCAGCCACCAGCTGCTCGCGTTGCCTGGATACATATCCAAGAGGTACATGTGATGCTTGTACCTGCTCCTGATGCTGTCGATGCGAGCTGCCGTGACGGTGTTAGTTGTTTGTGATGACAGCAGCATGGACGCTCTGTAGGGGCAGTGATACTGCCGATCACCGAGCCAGGCACGATTTCATCTCATACGGCCCGATGGCCAGCCAGCGTGTGCGTCCGCGCGCGCTACGGCGTTAAGTCGAGGCGACATTGGATGCTGTTGGTCGAATTGCGATGCATCTCATCATGCATCTGAAGCGAGAATCGAATTACGATAGTTGACATGTACTCGAGAAGAAGATTTATTCTGGTAAAGTGGATGTTAACCGGAGCCTTTACAACATCAAAGCTCCCTCTCGCTTAGGCTGTATGTAATCTCGTTTACTGGCCGAGTTCGTCTCTATCTATCTCATCTCCGTGTTCCTATAGCTTAATGCTTTTTTTAGCACTTGTCGATAGAAACCCATGTGCATCATGTTCCCCCGCTTCCATTCTCGCTTCTTTTCTTATCCAGTCGTCAATTCGGGAGTTGGAGAAATGCGGCTCACCGGCAATCATCGTCATCTCGCCATCGCCACACTCACTTATTCATCATCCGACCATTTGTCCCTATGAATTGTCAATATTTTTCTGCTAATAATTACATAAATCAACGCATCTCAAAGAGTTTCGCATTTCGTAACCCCATGTATATGCCCGCCCTGTGACCGAATAGCATCCTCCCCTTTCTGGAATGCGGCCGGGGTCACTCTTCATTTTCCGGCATACCTGAATCCCACCCATGTCCTCGACTCCCAGATCCGGCCAAGAGAACGTTATGTAACGTTGAAGGAGATGAACAGAGATCGACGTGCCTTGCGCAACCCCGGCATTTAGCGCAGTGTATCTTATTAAACTCCATGCCCGTTGTTGCACGCGATATTGTGCCACTGCCCACAGCCACGCTTCTAGTACTACACTCGGTAGTAGTCGTCGTCGTGCACACATGTAAATATTTCTTCCCCTGAAATGATGTGTCGCTCAAGCAAAGACCGAGAGAGATATGACTGAAGAAAGCATGAGCCACAGGAAATGAAAGAAACAAAGAGATGCAATCTTCCATCGCTCACGCAGTATATGCCCGAATCCAACTCGCCGCCTGCTCCAAGACCCTCTCTCCATCAGAACCCCTTTCCGCGCCGCCCAGCAACGCCAGCCTCGTCGCCTCGACCCCTTCTCGCCAATCCCCGTCGCACCAGGCCCTCGCCGCCATGTTCCTCAGAAAATACCACACAGACTCATTCCGCCAGTGAAATGACGCCGCCAGCCTCGTCGTCTCGCTAACCACCGGTCCAGCATATTGCGGGTGCCGGTCCAGGAAGAACATGAGGAATGCCCACCCGGAGACGTCGTCGTGGTGACGGAGGGCCCAGCTCTTGGCGGCTTCCAGCATCCCCGCGAGGTCGTCGTCGTCGTCCTTGTCCTTGTCTCTGCCTCCCTCCCGCGAGGCGGCTGTTTCGGAGACGGCGTCTGTGAGGTAGCGAGCGTGCTGCCAGGCGTAGTAGTTGCGTGGGTGTCGCTCGGCGGCTACCGAGATGACTGTTGTCATGATGCTGGTGGCATCTATCTTTAGGCCATGCTCCCGTAATCGCTGCATCAGCCATTGGCGATGCCCCCACAAGGTAGGCGATTTGGTGTGTCGATGGAGACGGCTCGTAAGAAGGCTATCGACAAAGTATAGCTCATCCCGTATTCTTGTCTCAACGTCCGTGCCCGAGGTGATGCCGTCCTGGAGTATCCTCTTGCGCGTGTTGGCGGCAGTGAGATGCTCGGGGTCCATTAGCAGCATCACGGCTGTAGCTCTCAACATATCCTCCTTCTTAGATAGCAGCGCCCGGGCAAAAATGAATGCCTGCACCAGTCGCAGCTTGGGCACCGCTATAGCTGGCCCATCTTGCAGCAATATCGTGTCTGCATCCGCCATGTGGCTCCTCCCTAGCAATTCAATCTCCAGCAGCTCTGCATGCCGCTGCGACAGCGCATCCACGATTCTTGTGAAAATCGTCTCATGGTCGCCATGCCGGATTGCCTTCTTGACATCATCGTCCAGCGCCCTCGACATCTGAGCGCAACAAGGTCTGCCGTTGATTCTCGTGGGATTCTGCTCGCTTTCAAGGTTTAGTGCAGGGTAAGCGCATATGGTGGAGCGAATGGCGGCGGGCTGGGAGCTGGGCGGAAGACGACTGGACAGCCCACATGCAATCTGTCGGGGTTATGACATACGTCGTCGCTTTGCATGTGTCCAGCTGGCAAAGCTCCTGCGCGAGTCACCTGTCCGTCGTTAGCAACAGCATCACGATACACAAACGCTGAGAGGGAAGCGGGATTTTCTCTTCTCCTTCCACGAGCTACTAGCATTCCTCCGCCAAGATGGCGCACCTCATGATCATCGTCTTTCTCGTCGAGGCCGCGGTCAAGCTCATCAACGCAGTCGGCGCAGCAAAGATCAACGACCTGGTACGTCTCGTTGAACTGCCCCTCCGGCTTTTGAGTTTCTTGTGCTAACAGCATTCTCTACAGCTATGGACGCTCATCAACTACCTCCCCGTGCCGACCTCCAACGCCGCCGCCGAGCAGCGAAAACTACAGGCCGAGTATCTCGCCGCCCGCCGAGAGATGAACACCACAAGCAGCCAGGACGAGTTTGCAAAGTGGGCAAAGCTGAGGCGCAAGCACGACAAGCTGCTCGAGCAGCTCGAGGCATCCAGTACGTAGCTGTTCCGTCCTTGCACATCCCATCCCTCGGCAAGATCCGAGACAACACGCTCGTCTTTCCCGACCGCCCTGCTGCGGCATCTACGGGACAATTCCGATCACGACCACGATCAGAACTGATTTGATTTGATATGATTGACTAACCGCCCTGCGTCTGCGCGTATAGAAAAAGGACTCGACTCGGCCCGCTCCAGCTTCGACAAGGCCCTGACAGCCCTGCGCTTCCTCCTCACCCGCGCGCCGCAATACATCATCCCCTTCTGGTACGCCACGCAGCCCATGTTCTGGCTGCCGCACGGCTGGTTCCCCTACTACGCCGAGTGGATCATCTCCTTCCCGCGAGCGCCCTTGGGAAGCGTTAGCATCGCCTCCTGGCAGCTCGCCTGCGCGGGCATCCTCTCGTTGCTGATCGACGCCTTTACCACCGTGTTTGGGCTGGCACAGGGCACGAAGCAAAAGGAGGCTCCCGTTCCAGCTTCTGGTGCGGAGAAGAGCAAGGAGGATGCCGCCACGAGTCCTACGGACGAGAAGAAGACTTCATAGATGCCACAATAGCAAATACAAATAGCACATACATGCAGTGTCCATAAAACAAAAGGGATAGCCCTAAGCCCCAGCCCAGGTGCCCGAGAGAGAGGCTCGAAGCATTACAGCAAGCGAGTGGAAACTACGAAATTTATTTGGGAGCGAAAATATGTATCTCGTTGAAATTTTGACGCAAAGTTCTTCATTGCAAACGCTGAGACTTTGTAACACGACAGAGAATGACCTTTTGCAAGGGTTCATATAGGCTTCATATTGACTCTGGCGACCACTGAGGAGAAAGATCGCGAAAGCTTCGAATGTGCCATGGAGGAGAGGGGAAAGGTAAGAATTTCACGACATCGCAAAGGCACGGATATTCGGTCAAGGAGGAAATTAAAAAACGAGTATCTCATTAAGACGCTGCTGCTGCTGGCTGTGCTAGTTGTCGATTGGATCTTGCATCAGGCGCATCGAAAGCGACCTGGTCTGCCAAATTGGACAAAGGAAAAAAGAAGTTTGAAAGGATGGATAGAAAAGAAAACTTTGAAGCTCGCAAAGAAAAGCTGGATAAAAGACGAGAAAAAAATTGGCGGGGACGGGTGTAACTAAACCCGCTTCCGACCCCACCCATACCAAAAGCTACACACTTTGAATGAAGCTATATCAAGAGCTCCAATGTTAGTGTGCCTTTTTAATGAGATGCACGTATCCAAATATTTACTCTTTTGATGCTAATGAGGAATAACTTTCTTTTTTTGTATATTATTCTGGTTAAAGATCCAGTGTAATGAGTACCGCAATTCATTTAGCTGCACTCTCCAATGTTGATGATTGGACGATGTGTCTTAAACTCAATGAGCGAAACGCCTCTTATTCCTCCAGACTGAAAGCGAGCGAGCGCATGGCTGCCGAATCAAGTATTCGAGTCGTATACAATCCCCAATATCTGAAGATTGATGCTTAGTATCCATGTTCATGAAACTCATATTCCCTTGCTCTACAAGTCTTTGGGTTAAGCCGTGAGAGACTCATACATATCCCACTTGCCCTTGATTACCTCCCCATGTTCTCCCTATAGTTTCGACTCCTTCAATCCTCCAAAGGTAGGTCGACGGCCACTCTTCAAGTCACTCCTCTTGGGTCTCACCATCAAATGTATTGGCTCCGACAGAAAATCCTTAATCATCGCTTGAGAATCCTCAGTCGGATTCTCGATATTCATCTTCAAAAACCTTTTAGTGACGAGTTCAAAACCAGTCTTGACCCCCAAACCGTAGCTCATTTGCACGAATTCACCGTATCCTTCAATGTCATGCTCGTCACACAGGTCTGTTATCACCTTCATCAACATTGGTGCAGCACGAAGCTGACGATATTCTGGAAGTATCCACATCGCGTGGCCATCTATTATCTCAGGGGATTAGTTACTCTTCAGGAGAGAGTATTAATTGATGACGCGACTGGGTGACTCACAAACATGCTCTCGTGGCCGCATTATTTGGCTGTGCCAGTCATGAAGCTGTCCGTAAAACTGCTCAGACATCTTACGAATCTGCGAGCCCGGCTCGAATCCCTCATGGGGCTCATCTGGCATATGCCTTGGCTGTTGCTCCTCTTTCCAGTGTGTTATGCAGATGCCACCAACGATGGGCAAAAGCGGTTGCTCTTCATCAACAACTTTGTACCACATCTGTCCAGGACTGCTCTTCGCGGCGGCGAGATACTGGGCTTTCTTGACTTCAAACGATTCGGCCTCTTCAGGTCCTCCTTCGCCTATATGAGGAAATGTCGCCACCATTGCCGCCTGTCTCGGGATGCTCCATGATTTCCAAAAAGTTCTGAATAACGGATCCCAATCTCTTGCTAGATTAATAGGACTAAGTCGAAGGTTACTCAGAGAAGGCATTTTGACTTTCAAATATAAAGATTTGTAGAAAGTCTTGTATTCCAAAATCTGCGTTTATTGTCGAATATATATGTATACGTGTAAAAGGTACGGCTTTGCATGCCACTTTTCACAGAGATTATTGACGGTGAGGCCCATCTCCACATGCAGGATCTACTCTATATGCAATTGTTGGCATTGACCGCATTTCGGTTACCAGAATGGTGCTCATAGGACCATCATATGCCCAGCCAAGACCGAATCCTCGTCAAAAATTCTCATATCCACACGATTATTCACATGCCCTGTACGGAAATACGGAAAGCTCGCCAGTCAGCGGAGGTTTGACGTTGTGCCGCGTCTTAGGCCGCCCGGCACTTGGCAGCGGAACGCCGATTGCTACGTAAGACGGGCATCTAAAATCTTATCTCGGCAACATCTCATCTGGGATGAAGTGGCCATTGTTATGGCGACATGCAAGGCAGCAAGAACATAAGAAGAAGGAAAAAAGTGACACGATAATCGGTAGATCAATTCAGGTACGGAAGTGGGCTTTGGTGCCATCGGAGGGTTTCTTTCCTTCATTTTCTTCTTGTGGGCCTGAGACAATGATTATGTATTGCCTTTTTCGCTGGACAAAAGAGGTAAACACAGCGAAGTCTCATAATACCCATTCTTAAACTATAGAGATTCCATTACCACCTAGTTCTGGGATATGCGGAATTCCCCACTCTCAAATGCATTCTCTGCGAAGCTATAATTGACATTCAGCTGAAAACCATTTGCATTTACCACCAAGATCCTCCCATCTTCCTTTGCAATCGTATTCTAGTTAGTACTAACTAAAATTACCAGCCTCTGTTTCTTAGGCGTCTCGGGTATAAACCCCTATGTGAAAGTCGTATTATGCTTCTTTTGCGCATGAATCTGACTGTGTAACGGTAGTAAGCGCCTAACGGCGGACCCAGCTTTCTGACACGCAGATTTGACAGGTGGGCCAAATCGTACGAGCGGTACGAGCACCAAGGGTGTGTGTAAATAATTGACAAGAAAATATCTCTTATACGCATACTCTGCCGTTACGACCGGGATCCTTTACAATAGGTTAGATTCCTGATAAGTAGTTGGTTTCGTTATAGTAATTGTTATAATAATGATTTCTGGTCCAAGGGTTTGCCCTCTTTGGCTTAACGGTATAAAGGATTGTTGAAGCTGCGGTTGAAATATGTTTAAATGACTAGTTAACGTTACAAAATCCTTTCCGTTTACATCCGTCCTAATGTGCACACTCGATCATTTTCCTTCCCCTTGTCTTACGTATGCCTGCCTTCCTGCTTAATTCTCTCCCACCGGCAAACGGTGAATTAGGGTTAATTCCGAATTGATTAGGAAAGCATGCAATCTATTGTGAATAGTGCGAATGATGTACAGACTTGGCAGGTACAATATTCTTTACATAGAGCATAATATTCTCAATCAAATATATATCTGGGATAACTAAAATAGTATTGCTACTATCCTCTAACTAACCCCTTTAAACGCCATTCACAATTATAGGCAATATTGCATCAGCAAGAAATCTTTGTATCTTGTCTTTGCGATTCGCCCCAGATGTAGCAATTCTGGACAGAAGATTTTCTTTTTCAAAAAGACCTAAGGCTTATTGCCTTCCTTTGACGAAGCGCACACTATCGGAATTACACCCACCTCAAATTCGGAATATTAATGTAGATATGTCGCACCAAAATCCTACGCCGTCTTGTGTTCTACAGTCATCTAATGCTTACTAGAAAATGCGGTAATAAGATTCTGTCCAATTTATCATGGGGCTGGTCTATGCTGCTTCAAAAACAGTCAGGCCATTCTCTGGCAAGAACTTTTGTATTTCTTCCTGCCGCGATTGATAGATCTTTTGTATTCTCTTTACTCCAAATAGATACAAGGTGTAACTGCCAACCCCATCCTGGACAATGACCGTTTGATAAATCGTAGAATATGATGTAATTCATACCCCTAGGGTGCTCACAATTGTGCAGCTGCTTCCACAGCAGCCACCTCCTTGTCCAAAGGCAGGATATGCGGAAGCGGGCCAACAGGCGTGATTGCCAAAGGATTGATAGGAGTATGGCTTTTGGTATAATGGTTTTTGATATGATGGAAGTTCGTAGTCTCCTTGAACGCTGGGATGTTCCAGTATAGGTTTCGCAACCACTTGTGAATATGTGGGTAGCCAGATCGGATATCTCGAATGTTGCATTTAAAATGCTGAACATATACCGGCTGTATAGCAGTTAGTAATCTTGATCAAAATCTGCCAAGTTTGTAGTCTAGATCTATTCTGAAGGAGCGGCTGAAATAAGGAATAAAATGCTGGAAGTGGGTTTTAGTGAAGAAAAAAGAAACGTACATCGAAACGGATGGCTGTGACATATCTGCATCATGGTATTAGTGTCGCTCAGTAAGAAAAATAAAAAGTAAATACGGTTCTAAGAGCAGCTTACAGCCGAATATCGACCTCGGTAAGGCTCTGTCCAAACCAGTAAGGCCCACCAGCCGATGCGAGATGGCTTTCAACCTTATCAAGAGCTTCAAAAAGCTCTGTTACAACACGCTCATATGCTTCTTGAGTGCTGGCAATGCCGCATTTGTAAACGCCGTTGTTAATGCTGTCATAATGCCACTCATGAACCTCATCAATCTGGCTCTGCAGTGCCTCAGGGTATAATGATACGTCGCGATATTTTGGGTCAATTATGTCGTTAAACTAATACCTGATAATTAGAGTCATGTATGCTAGATGCTTATAGTATGAGCCAACTAACCTCTGTGCCAAACATGCGAAGGATTTCACTGCTTTCGTTGTTTACAATTGTCTTTTGGATCTTGTCATACAAGACGGGTACGCTGAACCGGGCTTGATAGTCAGCGTCGGTCTCGTAATAGATTTGTCGTAGATGAGTGAATCCTTCATGCAGAGGGTCAGGAACTGCATTTTCTCCTTCGACATCATCATCTCCGGCAGTTACAAACCGCCATCCTATAAATGTGTTAGCTGCGCATAAAGGTGGTACACTTTAGGGCCGTTCTATACCGCCGTCTTTTAGAAGCCAGTGCACACACGTGAATGGGATGATGTCTTCCAAGCCTTTGAGTTTCCGGGCTATCAGGATCCTATGTGCCTATTTTATATAAGCTTGATGTTGAATTAGGAGCGGTGATGCGACTGTATACCCAAGGGCAAGCATAGCTGATATAGAGATGATATCTATTTCGTTCTGCGGGGAATTTTGATCCGGGTTTGTTGGAGATACTGTTACGAAGGACAGCTCGAGGACGCTTGAAATTGCCCTTTTCATCGGAAAAAGATTTCCAATTTGTAATACTGCCGTTAGACTACTCAGAAGCAGAAGTATTAGCAAGACAGTTGGCAATTATGGCCTGTAGTACTACAGATTATGGTATGATAAACCAATCGCACTCAGTGAGCAGGACTCCTTACCATGTCGATGAAACCGATTCAATGTGAATAGATACGAATTTGAAAGAATAGTGATATACCAGAGAGAAACTGAGGTGCAAGTGCTTTCTTATTACAGCCTCGACTTGATGACTATCAAGCGCCCACGCTGACTCATGCCGCGCGGTAGATTGCTACGCGCCGAGACATCGTTTTCTACTGGCGACTTTAATAGAGCGCTAACTGGAAATTGCACACAATGTGGTTTAGAATCAGACTAGCAATCTCCTTATATATTAAGATATAGCAAAACAAGTATAAATATCCATTGTGATATCGTAATGCTAACCCCGCTCTTGACAAAGCATTTGCTTTTGATACATGTACTGTCAGATTCATGGTGGTGCCCGAAAGTACTTCCGCGGAGAAGATTTGCGCAGAGCAGTTTTCTGGAAAAATTGTCATTTGCTTGCCTGAAGGGATCCAATATCGTCATTCTAATGGCGGGAGGCGTATCATTACCTGTGAAACCTCCTTGGCCCTCCACCTCAAGCGTAGTACGGTATAAAAGAAAGTCTCTTATGGGCTCAAGCTTGAAGATCTTCCACTTGTGCCAACTTTCGAAGCAGCGGCAAGTAAGAGTTTCATATTATGGCTGATGATTGAGAGGAACCAACTGCAGTGATTCCTTGATTATGTATAGGTATGTTCTATATAGCCGACTGAGTGTGGCGGAGGGCCAAGCTGGTTTTATAGCCTCTAGCCACTTATACCTGACGAGTGCATGATTAATTCCATCACCGTTCTGTTTGGATCGAATATAACATTCATTAACCATCGATTACTCATACGCAATTTGTGGGCTACGGAATAATAAAGTCTAAAGTGCCCTCAGCATGCTACTAGAGACCCGTGTCTTGCATCGGGGAATGTGAAGCTCGGCATTGGCATTATTCATCCTTTTCCACATAATTATGCTGTTTTCGGTCGGCAATATAGCGTCATGCAGCCCATGGCTTGTTAGTAGTCATAATCTGACAAGTGTCGAAGAACGAATTACCAGTTGCAATAAGAATTGGTATCTGCAACTCTTCGAGCCGATTCTGTGACCTCTCATTCGCGTTGTTTGGATCCATCAACTTGAAGGATGCAAGACCTTGCTTACTCGCAGACTCTACACTTGCGTAATCGCAACGATTTTGACGACTTGTAGTTGTTCGCTCCCAACGCTCAAGTCCGCGGCCTGGCAATCGTAGAAGCGGTAAAGATACGTAGAAACAAATGCATGCCTGTGTTCTTCTTGCGTGATAGCAGTCTAAAGCTTCTGCAGTGGCTCGGCAGCACCTATTTAAATACTCCTAGGCGTGGTAGCTGCAAGAATTAGACGACGAGCAAGGGTGGGGGCGTTAAGAGCAACCATCTGCGCAGTGCATCCACCTCCAGAGAATTCCCTAACGTCTACCTGCTTCAGGCCTAGCTTTTTTATGACATTGATCAAGAATTGACCATTTTGAGCCGTTGGGGGAAATGTCCCTTGGATCTTCCAGAGCCTGCATGACCAATAAGTATAACTGGCCGCTTTGCCGCTAGCGAGTTAATAAGTGCTGGATCCTAATGATCCATTGTACCCCTTTGATGAGTTGAAACGTAAAAAAAAAGAGATAAACTATGCTCATATGTAGATACTCACCTGAAATGCATGATCAGAATCAGGAGAATTCCCTCCGTAAGTCCAAGCCGCCTATAAGCAAAGGTGATGCCGCTGACATCTACAAACTCATCTTTTGCAGTCGCGTAAGTTGACAGTTTACTTTGGCCATTGAACAATAAACAGCGTTTACTGCGAGATTGTGTGTACTAACTAGCAAAGCACGTGGAAATGAGGTGAGAAGCTTTCTAGGAGAACATTGCCACAAATAAGACGAGATATCCAGATGCGTGTATTAGTCGCTCAGCACGGTACCCAAACCCCACTGTTAGCTACAATGAGGATTTAGAAATTTCAGTCGATTCAATGTTTAGAAACCTATGCCATCCGAATGATCAGAATACTAATACTAAGGGTATAAATATATGTATTTTCTTGCTATTGAAAATTGATTACTCTCATATAAAGTAAAGGAAGATGTGCGACATGGTTAGCTGGTTGACGACTGAGGCTAAACTGCCAAATTCGGATTCTGGCTCCCTGGTCTTTATTAGGGCGAGCTGAGTTACTGCTCGTGCTCCATAACGCTAACTTGATATTGGTAATGGCGGAATTAAGATGCGAATCTCCCAAAAGTTTGCGTTTTATATTGTTTTCATGTACTATCAAGATCATACTCCATTTCCAATGCTTCTCCAGACTCAATATCCATAGCTTGCCGTGCAGCTTTACCCTTCAACTCAACTCCTGCTTCTCGTCTGGGCTTGGCAGAAAGCTGATCCATGGCGCCTCATTCATATAATCAACAAATACTTTAGTTTTTGTCTTGTCGCTGATCCATGGAGAGACTCGACGCAAGAGCCTCAGCCACCATGTTTCCATTGACTCGTAGCGAGTAAGATATCTGGACATGACGACAATCTTCTTTGCATGTGGCCGCTGCTTCTCTTCGTAGGTATCCAAAGCAGTTGTGATCTCGCTTTTTGTTGGCTTTCTTCCGCTCGCTTCGCATTGTCGCACCAAGGGCACCAGTTCGTTTACAAGATGAACAATGCCCTCGACAGCCAAATTGCCGCCGAGACCAGCGTTGATGGTCGATTTATGTACTGAATCGCCCATGAGAGCCACTCGACCACCTGTGTTCCACTTCGACCTCAAAACTCCATCTTCGAGGGCTAGCATATTCGCTTTGACTCTACTATCCCATAAATCTTTGAACGTGTAGCCTGGGCCCATTGTATAGTCTCCGTATTTGGCAATGGTAGCCTCAAGATCTTCTTCCGTGAACTTGGGTATCTCGGGCATTCTTGTTTCCTTATCGCCCTTGACGAGTAAAAACCAAAAGGCAAGGCCAGGGGTGCCTATCGCGACGATTCCAGAGAAACCAGGGTAATATACGTTTTGCACGCCCCCAGTTGGCATGAATTGCGTGCCATCAGATACTCTAGCATTTTTCGACGTTCCAAAAACACAATTGTAGGTGCTTGTGAAACCAGTTTGCAATTCTTTTGATGAGGCGGGATTGGTAATGGCGATCTTATCTGCCATAAGCTTCCGTATTGTGCTATGGATGCCATCGGCACCAAGGAGAAGGTCTCCTCTGAAGGTTTCACCTTTGTCTGTGACTACCTCAACGCCGTCTTCTGTCTCGGTGAATGTAGCCACGCAGGTTTGGGTGTGAACACGAGATTTGTCCCCAATCTGGTTGTAGATACAGTTGAGCATAAATCTTCGTTCTACCAAGATAGTCCATCGTTGAGAGGTCCTATCAGAATGTGTCAATAACTGCGGTATACATTCTCCACAAACACATGGGGAAGGCAACATCCATACTCACAGCTTCGAAATTTCATGCAGGATTGCAGAGTGCTCAAACAACTTGCCCTTACTATCATAGTGCTCCCGCATGCCGAGCGGCGCTGCAGTGCCTTTGATCTCGGGCCATACACCAAGTTGTTCCATCACTCTCTGAGTATGTGGGTACGTGGATATGGAAGCACCCAGATGGGGCGCAATCTCTCCCTTCTCTAACAGGACATAGTCGATGCCAGCTTTTTCCAGTGCCAACGCTGTCGTCAGGCCGACAAGACTGCCGCCGACGATGATTACCGTGAACCGCGGCAATCCGGAGTCCGCCATGAGTCCTAAAATGTCGCAAGTCCAGGTGCTCGAATCACCAAGTATGAAGCGGGGAGAGTGGGCTTTGAAAGAGGAAAGTGCCGTTGTCACCTATCACCTTATCACACACGTTTTTATGGTTAGTAATAGATGGCAAGATACGTGGAAATTCCATTTATCCGCCCTATTCCCCGTCCCAAGGCCCGCTTCATATCCTTGCTCTTGATATATAAGCTGGCAATCACTTCAGGACCATAGGTATACAAGACAGTAGCTGGCAATCTAAGTCTAATGTCAATAGAGTGTTTCGCTCATTCTTGCCGAATATTGACAAGCGAAGATTAATCATTTATATCGCGCTGAAAGACGTCGCATAGGAAGCGTCTGTATTCTCACTTGCGATACACTTGCTGGCGGCGTGGCTTTCAACTGGCGACCAGGGGCATTGTACCTAGAGCTGGTACAAATGGCTCGGAAACTGAATATGGGGGTTCCGTATGGCGCAATAACCAGTACTGGCGGCTTTAACTATCGGCGTTATTAACTCAGTACGAAGTTTTATAGTCGTTCAATAAGCTGTGCTCAAATCCTCATCTACTGAGTACTGCGCACAACTGGCTGTATACAGCCACATGTAGTGATATGATTGCATCGTGCGAGCGGGGATTACGTCTGTTGTGCTCCAGGAGGATATAATGCCCTACATGCATCGTGTCTTTTTATTGAATAGCTGAAAATTACTATATACATATTTTTTTTCTTCCAAAGTGACTGAAGCTGTTAATCATTTCTGAAGCTGCTAGCTTCAACCGTCAAGGGGCCGTTATACTGACATTTGAGATCTGGCCATAATGTTTGTTCAGCGATGTCGATTTCATTAAGTTCTTTATCTTCCAAATGATAGGCGTACATACGAAGGGCGTTGGGGCGTACGCGTACGTGATACAGTAATCGTTGCTATGACGATTACCTAACGTACCTAGGTATGAACAAAACAAATCTATTCATTGTTTATGCTATGCATAAATCTAGTAGCCAAAATCTCCTCAAGTCATAATTATTACATAAAGTAAGATGCGAATAGGCAAAATGCGGTAACGGCCGAAAGGCTGATCTATACAGCGCAAGGTTTTTCCTTGCCTGCAATTGTTCGGAATTACATTGGCTGCAAAATATCGTAGGCTATTCCCAAGACTATTCCCGAGATGTTTTTCTCAGTGAACCAACGGATATTCTAGGGATAGGCGATCAAATAAGCTCCTAATGCCGGATGATGCTTCCAGATCCTACACATTGCGACATCCACCGCGGCCTGTCAGCCTCGGCAAGTGTAGAAGTGGACTAGGGTTCCCTACCCTTGCAGATGCCAATCGCAAACACCGGGATCTGCTCCGTACGCAATATTGCTATATGCGTATATATCTCGGGATTCGCTTTTTATACCAAAGAGAGGCAGTAAAGGCATCCTTTTTACTTATTTCTGAGTACCAACACTCTCGTTATGTCAGACGACAATATGATAAGCATACGTAATCGATTGATCAATAATATTATAAATGAAATGTCTGCAAACCATGAGTCGTGAATGGCGAATAATCATACCGTTTTTGCATAAACTGAGCTGACAGACACCAACAGGGTTCTGTCTTGCAAGTAACGTAGGACAATACGAGGCGAATATTTTTGATCCTTCCCTAGTTTGAAGGAAGGTGGCCTAGATCCTTCAATAATCTGAAAATCGAAAACATATATATATATATAGCTTAGCCTGCGATGAAATGGCATACAAACTCTCTCATCTATAACAGAGACATCTCCTTTGCTTCTTCTCAGTCTTCTCCATCGTATACTGCGCCTTTACAATGGCTGCTCTCAATGTCTATCAAGATGATAGTGTTACGCCACAGAAAGAAGACCATGTGCAGCTGATTGAGAATCTCCTTCATCAGTTCTCGCTCGCACAGAATGCAGCTCTGTCGCCGCAAATCGTCGACATTGCAACTAAGGAAGAGATGGCACGGATGAGAAATGTCACAATACCACGTGCAGAGGGCGCGCCCCTGGATCAAGTCATTGGCGAAATGGTCAAGATTATGTCTCACCGAGTGTCAATGGAGCACCCTAAGTTCTTCGGCCTCATTCCATCTCCTACAGACCAAAACTCCTATTTCGGAAACCTCATAACATCCATGTTCAACGTCGGTACTGGCAGCTGGTATCAAGGTTCTGGCCCCAGCACTGTAGAGGATACCCTCATAAAGTGGATGGCCGAGCAAGCAGGCTTTCCACCCTCGGCTGGTGGCGTCTTTGTGTCTGGAGGCACAATGGCCAACTTGACTGGCGTCGTAACTGCGCGAGATGCCATGTTAAAGTACGAGGACAGGCCAAAAGCAGTCATCTACGCTTCAAAGGAGACTCATGTTTCCGTGACTAAAGGCCTAACGGTGGCCGGCTTCCTCCGAAGCCAGATCCATCGCGTGGAATCCGACTCTGATGATTTCCACATAGACCCTGCGAGTCTGCGCCGGCAAATTGCAATTGACAGGAAGAACGGGCTGGTGCCGTTCCTAATTGCTGGAAGTTGCGGATTCACCAACACCGGGGGCGTAGACGACTTGAATGCGCTGGCAGATATAGCCGAACAGGAGAATCTCTGGCTGCACGTCGATGGTGCCTACGGAGCATCTGTAATTCTCTCCAAAGACCATAAGCACATTGCCAGTGGTATCAATAGAGCAAACAGCCTGTCTTGGGATCCCCATAAATGGCTTTTCCAAATCTACGACTGCGGCCTGATACTTGTCCGAGATAAGCGCCACCTGGTCCACAGTTTCAACACAGATGCGTCGTATATTCGAGACACAGAAGAGGTGAATACCGACATGGTGAACTTTTGGAATCGCGGTATCGAAATGTCTCGCTCTGCCCGAGGCTTGAAGCTCTGGTTCACCCTCCAAATACTGGGTCTCGATAAGATGGGGGAGATGATTGATCATGGCATCTATCTTGCCGAGTTCGGAGAGCAGACTTTCCGAGAGCTTGAAAATTGGGACATCCTCTCCAAAGCCTCATTAGGAATGTTCAATTTTCGATATGTTCCTAAGCTGGAGAACCTCGACCCCAGCCTAGATCTTGAGAAGTGCTGTGATGATATCAATGCCACTATTTCTCGACTAGCGATGGAACGCAACGTCGCGGGGCTTACAACGACGAGACTCCGCAAAGAGGTGAATCTTCGAATGTGCACGATATCTCCCGAGCTGAGCAGAGAGCAGCTCTTTGAGGTTATTCAGAGCATGGATCTCATCGCAAAGGAAGTTACGGCGTCTTTTTTGAAAGAGCAAGCTTCTAAGCTCTGAGAGTACTAAAAACACGTTCATTTTCCTTTTTTAAATGCTCATAGATCTTTTAGAAGACTGTTTTAGAAGATGGCAAGATAGCCGCCCGATGTAGACAAAATTAGCAAAAGATAGATCTTCTCTCTTTCTCTTTTAGAATATAGTATAAGCTCTTTAGATGTACATGTATTTGAATGAAATTTAGCTTCTATTCTGCTATTTACTCTTTGCTAGTAGTGTGTAAGCCAATTGGTTAAAAGAAGTACCGTCCTCCGAAGACGCAGGTGACAGTTTGCAATCCAGGGGTAAAGTCTCCTTGTTGAAAGATACATACCTATCCAAACTCCTTGTAGCTTCACGTAAAACATTTTCGTAACCGCCCCTTGTGTAAGCTTACATTGATGTATTCTTGCCGCGGTCATTGCTCAAAAGGGAAAACTACTACTAGTACCTAGGTAGTATCTAAAATGGAAATACATAGAATAAGCTGCCATCCCTTGGAACTGGCTGCGATGGGGATAATATTCTGATGGCATCAAGTCATGTGATTCAAAATAGGATCTGATCACCCGGACTTTTGTTGCTGCCCTGTTCTTTTTACATTATGCAATATAGCATATGCGTATGCACTGAAGATGGCGGTACTTGATAGATATGCCAATAGACTCGAGATCTCACAGGCTGCGTTTACCAGACACATGGAGATTCGTGTCCTTTGACTGAGATATTTCATTTGAGCAATTTGCTGCACTTATATCCTTTTAAACCCATTTCCGGCTGTGAATATCACAAGTATAGCCGTCACTTTCAATCAGCTGGAGGGGGTCCTATGGATAACTATAGGCGGTAGATTTGCTTCGTTGATGCTGCTCATTTAATCTGCTTTCAGCGCAAAAAAAAAAGGCTATAATTCTTTCAATGAGTCGGTAGACAGCAGCTATTCTGCATCTTGCATCGCGCTGGGTAATAAGAGCATCATGACTGGTGCATCAATGCATCAGATCTGTCGTACCGACTACATCGCCTACAGCACCAAATACCAGCGCCGGCCCTCCACTACAAGGTACCCGCTACCTCCCGACAGCTGGTCCACTACAGTGACGAAACGATGCGCTCAGTCCAGCTCCGCTAGAGCTCCGGCTCAAGCTCGAAAATCCGAGCTCCATCGGCCAGTTCTTCGCGTTGACATCATCTGCACACGCAGAACAAAAACAACGAACCATTGGTAAGCGCCCTTTCGGTGATTTCGCAAGTCCAGCCTGGCGCTTCTTTATTCTGCCGCTCTTCAGCTCAGAATAGAGATTCCTGCCCTCTTCTCCAGCTTCCCAATCGCGCTTCTAGAGCTCCCCTCCAAGCTCCTTGCACAAGCCGAGCCCCTCATCTGCTCCCCAATTGCCGCGAACAGAACAGCAAAAGCTCACCTGCGAATAGCTTCACAAACCACAGCCGCAATGTCCTCCTCGCTCCTCCGCACGACGCCCCTCCTGCGCGCCGGTCTCCGCGCCCGCGCCGCAAAGCCTCTCGCCGCCATGGCCACCACGAGCTTCACCCGCGGCAAGGCGACTCTCCCCGACCTGCCTTGTAAGTCCTCGAAACAAACAATCGACTCTATACCGCTCCGAGAACAGAGCAGAGCTGTGCTGTGCTAATCACGGAAACCTGCCCAAATTGCAGACGACTACGGCGCGCTCGAGCCCTCCATCTCCGGCCAGATCATGGAGCTCCACCACTCCAAGCACCACCAGACATACGTCAACGGCTTCAACGCCGCCGTCGAGGCCCTCGGCGATGCTCAGGCCAAGGGCGACTCCAAGGCTGCCGCTGCCCAGGCGCCGCTGCTCAACTTCCACGGCGGTGGCCACGTCAACCACTCGCTCTTCTGGGAGAACCTCGCGCCCAACGGCAAGGGCGGCGGTGGTGAGCCCGAGGGCCAGCTTTTGGTACGATACGATGCAATACAATATACCCCTGTCCCATCATTCTTTTCAATTCTCAGTGAAACTCTCGGCTAACGTAATGCGCTCAAAGACTGCCATCAAGCAAGACTTTGGCTCCTTTGACAACTTCAAGAAGCAGACCAACACCGCCCTCGCCGGCATCCAGGGCTCTGGCTGGGCCTGGCTCGTCAAGGACAAGTCGTCCGGAAACCTCGGCCTTGTCACTCGCGCCAACCAGGACCCCGTCACCGGCAACCTGGAGCCTCTTCTGGGAATCGACGCCTGGGAGCACGCCTACTACCTGCAGTACCAGAACCGCAAGGCTGAGTACTTTAGCGCTATTTGGGATGTCATCAACTGGGGAACTGTTGCCAAGCGATTCGAGAAATAAATTGTGTGTATACAAGTATAGCTAAAACCAAGACGTGAAATAAAGCAGCATTCGTAGCATCTTCTGCTCCAGCCCTGATGATTGCTTGAAGCGTATTGGTATTTAATACTAGGATAAACATATCATTGGCGTGGTCCAAAGTCCACAGATACGAAACTTACTTCACGACGGATATACATGGCGAGTGAAGCTGATATTGAACAAAAGACTAACCGTGGTCAGGTCGCACATGGTAGCAAGACTAATTTCTATTGCATGGATACATTACATTTGACACCACAACATTTGATACAGGCTTGTCGCCGCTTCCCTGTCATCCTGCGCACGATACAATCACGCACTAATTTACATAAACTATGAAGCAAAAACAACACAAGATGCTCAAGAGAAGGAAGACGCAAAAAAAGGGCTGCAGTGTGCGACCTCCCAGATCCCAAGCTCTCAAGAGCTTTGGCATCTCGCGATACCCTGGTATGCCGCCAGCTCAGTTTGAAAAGTGTCCACGAAAATGTGAGTCGCGTAGTCGTACCAGTCTTGATTTTCAGGGCCCGTACGAGCTTCAAAAAACTTGACGTACTCCCACCACTCTGGATACCAGCCTCCCCTGTCCCAGCCCAGAATGCACACAATCTTGCTGTTTCGCACAACAATATTTTTTGGGCTGAGCTCACCATGAGTGAAGCGCACCGCGTGATCTGACCGGAATTGGGATGCGACAGCAGCAGCGACGCTCGCTGGAACAGATGCAACAAATGACCATGTCAAAAAAGCGACAAACTCTTCACAGGTGGGCTTTGGATGAACGGCCCAGTATGTTTGGTGGGCGTGCTGATCCAGCATTAGGGAAAAAGGACCTGCAAAAGCAGATCCCAGCATATTTCCTTTGGCTTGTGGAGTAGCTGTGCTGCGAGTTTGCGCCATGTTTAGGCGCATGCTGTTGAGAACATGGCGCAACTGGCGCGCATAGGAATACTTTGCTTGAGGAGTGAGGTTGTACCAAATATCCTCTAGGAACTCCCCTTCGATGGTCCCCTCCAGCCCTCCAATGACCTTGGCTGGAGCCGGAAGTCGCAATATGGGGAGGTCTAGCTGGCTTTGGATTGCCTCTCCTAGAAGAAGCCCTGCCTTTGTGACTGAGCGATATTGGGTCGAGAGGGCCTGGCTTCCATCGCCAAGCCTCGACCTCAGAGTCAACAAAAGGCAGTGAGGCTGAAGGAGAGATTCCAGGTAGACGATGTGGGGGTTCGGTGGCGGAGCTGAAATGCAGTTGAGTATCAGATCGGTATGCTGGCTATAGTGAGCATCTACTTACGAGACAGGAAGACGGGGGAATTCGGGGGCCACTGCCGCCGCAGATGCGGCTCTTGGGGCTCATCCAGATGATCACGAGGCCTCTTGGCTCCCGCAACCACTGGTGAAGCAGGCTTCGGGATGCGCATAAGCGGCGGCCGAGATGGAGAGCACTCTTTCTTGATGCCTGTGGATTTTTGAGCGCCAGGCCTGCCCAGTGCGATGTTGTTGCTGCCTGTCTTTCGCGGCCCGACAGAGACGTTGTTGGGTGACATGGACGGAGAGCGTGGTGCCAGCAGCCGTCTCGCCCGTTCGGGATTCAAACCCTCCATCGTGACGAGACAGTCGTTTTCCTGGCGTTTGACGACGGGAGAGAGGCGGCCGGCCTCGAGTGCTGCGTTGTCCATTTCCTGGTCAAAAAGGTCTGAAAGAGCCTTGAGAGTTAAAGGGGCTTTGAAAGTGCCAGAAACGACCTGGAAGTTCCCGCCCTGGACCGAATCCATGCAGTAGATGGTTGGCAGATGGAGATGCACTCAAAAGACAGAGACTCGAACCTGGCCGTGATAAATGGTGGCGGCCAATGTCAACAGAAATGAGATCAAGGACAGGAGAGAGGTACAAGAAGAACCAACAAGATATAAGAAGAAAACGATTGAAGCAACAGGGCCGAATGTAAGTGGTCCACAGAAGAGAGAGACGCGCAACACCACGGAGAGATGCTGGGCATGAAGAGCCTCAAGTAGTATCGTAGAAGAAAGAGAGAGAAGAGGGTAAAAGGGTAAGATGAAGAGGACAAATCTCAGGCATCTGTTTGGCTCAATTTGGCTGGGCAACGCGCTGGAGGAAGGAGCAGGTCCTTGGCAGCTGTCCGTCAGTTGCTTGCAAAGGACGGAATAAATGTCAACCCGGGACAAAGTGAAGTCACATGCGTACAGTTGCCAGCTCTCATCTTTATACATGTTGATGGAGGTGAAATTATTAGGACGATACAATCCATACTATGGGCTGAGTGAATCAAGTCGACGGGCCTTGGTGGCAGCGGAAAGGCGGTCGGTGGAAGCTTGCATATGTACCTACACGCGCATGAGAGCCTTGAGAATACGAGATACATGTACCTGTACAAATAGCAGTAAATTGAGTGTTTCGTGTTATACTGTTATTCTGTCGATGCGGCTATCAATCACGGCTGGCGGTCGGAGAGCCTAGTCATGTGCCGAGCTTGAGATGAAAGCGCCATTAACAGTTTATCGCAGACTACATGTAAGGAGCAACAATCAATGAAAGTGTTGAAATCGGGTGCTACATTCAATTACTACATGCACCATTCCAATCCATGAATCAATGTAATCGTATGCACGTCTTGAATAGACTGTTTGAGGCCGTGCATGGACAATATGTGTGGTGTTGACTTCTTTCTACTAATGCACCAAAGAACAGTTCGCAGCACCCATGCGAGCTCTCCTGCATCGCAGAGTCCACCACCAGTAAAATCTACCGCAATAGAACTAAACCTCTGCTGTGATTCGCCACAGATAATCGCTCGGCCATCCTCCAACAAGGGTGCATGAGCTAATCGCTGGTGTCAGCAGCCAGCGGGGAATCGGCCTAGAGAACGCGTCACCTCAGCACATGTCAAACTAGAAAATGCTTCTCCTGAGATGAGTCGTTTGTTACCCAAATGTCGTGAGCAACAGCGCTGGCCATCATGAAAAGCCTCACGTTGCTGGCCATCTCTGCTGTGGCGGCCAAGGCCTCGGCGGAGCCCATCCGCCCAAATCATGACAGCGCAAAGGCCAACGCCAACCACATCTTCAACGCCATCCATTCCGCTGGCCGCCAGTGGGGATCCTCGCTGAATCATAATGGCTTCGGCTTCATGCCTGTGACGCTTTCTGCTGGCACCCTGCTATATCATGGGGGCTACTCCAAGGATCCCCCCAAAGGCCTCGAGTGGCTGGCATTCGAGGTTGAACACGCAGAAAACTTTGTGCGAGTGGTTCGGCACCCGCCAATCCCGCCCAAGACTCCTGATTATGGGGAGCAGCCTCCGCCATCTCCTCCGCAGAAACCTCTTGGCCAGCTAGAAACGGATGACGGTCCTGCCCGTGACCCCGAAGGAAGAGTCAGGGGCTATCTGCAGACGTACCAGACGACACACGATGTCCAGTTGCTCTATGTAGATGGCTCAGGGGCGGCAAAAAGCCCCATAGGGACACTTGATTCGCAGGACTACGTCCTTTTCCCAAATAGCAGCTGGGAGTGGTACAATATCCAGGGCGAGATGAAGCGCGCAACGGCCATGTGCGATATGATCACCAAATGGGGATGGGCGGGCATCATGCGCATGGAGATTGGCTACGAGGTCATCTGGTGCGATTTCAAATCCGATTTTCTGCATCACGAGTCTTCAGTACGGGGTTTCATTCCAGAGGATAGATTGAAGGATGAAGACTTCATCAACACGTATCTGTGGACTCGCGCAGTCGCCGAGCGTTATGACGGGCTCGGTGGTGATCGAGTCAAGGTGGATTTTTCGTCCATGGTATCGGGATTCTTCTTTCCCATCAACATCTCCAATACTGATCCTGAGCGACCTGATCTTATACGGTTGAAAGCCGCGACATTAGAACATCGATTGGACATTGGCGCCTATCTACGGAAAGACTTTGCAGAACCAAGGCGGTTTAATGTCAACTGGCAAGGCGTTGTGGACATGATTGTCACTCGATTCTCCAAGCGGCTGGCCGCGATGGCCTCGACTAATGTATCAACAGATGTATTCATTGGAGAACTAGAACGCGCTGTGCTCTCATACTACGAAGCCCCTAGTCTGCCTGACGATGTGACATTAACAGCAGATGACGGCAAAAACAAGACAGCTGAGGCTATCGATCGTTGTTCTACACATTATCTCAAATTCACACAGCTATCCCGGCAGAACTGGACTCTGCAAGATGACTTGATCCACACTGCCCTTTCGGCTGTTATGCAGCACATTTGCAACGACCTTTTTCTCATGCGATCACTCCTCCTCCAAGCTGCGCCAGATACGTCATCTAATGCATATTTCATCAACAAAAACGTGAATAACGATGAGATGGATAAGGCAGTCAACCAAAGCCGGGCTATTGTGCGCAATCTCATGGATGAACTTGCTTGGACTACATGGAAAAAGCCGCAGCTATGCGCCGAAAATGAAGTTCTCATGACTCCGATGTGGCCCTTTGGCAATAGCGAAGATTACTATAACCCAGGCTGTGTGCCATTTAATGAAATCACGGAGGATCGAAGAAGCTATTGGAAGCCACATGAAAAGAGGCCTAGAGATTTTTAACGAGTAACGACTTTTATCAACTTGACATGTTCTGGCGCGGGGAAAGCTTGGATATAATGACGGTAGAACATTTGCTATATATATTCATCATCTAATGCTATACTTTCTTCTACGATTCGGCCTGCTAATTAGACCTTGATCCCGAGCAACTTCTCGCTGATTTCCCAAATCCTCTTCTCATCAGCCTCGTTATAAGTCTGATCAACATAGCCCTTCCACTCTCCCTTGTCCGAATCCTTCATGTGCACCGCAACCGAACAGTCCTCCAAGTACTTCCCCCTGGCATCAGGAGCCAGGACATCATCACTGACAGCCGCCCACACCTGTGTCGCAGCGCCCTGCTCGTTAGTCTTGGAAATAGTCTTTGGCCAATGCTCCAACAGAGCGTCAAGGTCCTCTTTAGCCCAACCACTGTTGTCGAGGAATGCAGACTCAAGAATGGCACCAGGGTGGACACTCCATGCCAACAGGTTCTGAGCACTGTAGCGACGGTTGATTTCAGTGGCTGTGTAGATGCCCGCAAGCTTCGCTTGGGAATAAGCAGCGATGGGAGTATATTCGTTCTTCTCAAAGTACAAGTCGTCCCAATTCATGCTGCCCAGGCGGTGTCCGTAGCTGACGACGAGCACCACACGGCTGGGGTTAGATGCTGAGGCGCTGGCGAGCAGAGCGTCTTTGAGGAGAGAGAAGAGGAGGAAAGCGCCGAGGTGGTTGATGGCAAACTGCTTCTCGATGCCGTCGACGGTGACTTGACGATCGGCAATGGTGCCGCCGGCATTGCTTAGAAAGACATTGAGCTTGCCGCCGGATTGCTTCAAGAATTCGGCAGCAAAGGCCTTGATGCTGGCGTTTGATGCCAAGTCAAGCTCAAGAAAGTGAACGTTGGGCAAGTCGGCAATGGTTGGGAGCGCCGCCTTGGCCTTGGGAATGCTTCGGCCTGCCAAGTAAAGTGTTGCGCCAGTAGCGGCGAGCGCTCTGGCGCTAGAAGCTCCAATACCGGTAGATACACCGGTGATGATGATGACTTGTCCCTTGAGATCTTGCTTGCCGGCGTCCTTGATGACCTGTTCGGCGGTAGGGCGGGCGTCACCAGGACCGGCGAGGTTGTTCCAGGCGTGAGCAGCAGCGTAGCGAGACATGATGAGAATATGTGTATAAGTGTATATATGTAATTTAGAGGATAGTATGAATCCGGCTTAGTGTTGACTCTGATGAGGGTCTTTAGAACTGGTTTGAATGAAGATCGGATACACATCTCAACACGTCGACTCCCCCCTTCTTATATCTTTCGTCTCCCACAATATCGTTGAATCTTTACTCGTAAACATCATCACCCATTTGTTTCTAAAGTCCGTCTTGTCTCTCTCTTTCGGCCTCATGATGCTTTAAATCCGCTATGGGCGCTCCGCCAGCGCCTGCATCGAGGCCTCGATTTCCTATTCCGTAACCCAGTTGAGACAGGGGCGGATCCACTTCAAGTGTCCGGCCAATGGAAGCGCTGAGAATGCGAGCTGGCCAATGACGTGTAAAGCTTGTCCGCAAATGTGGAGATGCTGGAACATTGGCGATGGCGCCTCGTAATGATTGTTAAGAAAAGAATCTCCATATCATGCGGAGAATGGTTCGTTGTGAAAAGAAGAGCAGTATGTGCCGTAGAAAAGTAGAGAATAAACTATCGAGGCATCCAACAGCAGATGACGTGGCAAAAGGGAGAAATTGAATGCGCCGGTCAAGTCAAAAGTCTGCCCATTTGTTAGCTGACATACGGCCTTCAACCGCCTCTTCTTTGACCGTCGTCGAGACTTATTCAACAAACTCCATCAACGCAAGCACTAATACTGCTCAAAACATATTATTTATTCAAGTAAATTTGCCTCCTTAGCCTTTATTACTCATATGATACCTCGTCTCGTAACCGGTGACATGTCTCGCTTTGCTCTTGTTCAATGATATCTCAACCATCTACCCTTTTAGTATCACCCTGCGCCTCCTGCTCTCACATACGACCACAGCCACCTGAAAAATCTGGATCCCGTCCGATCTCCGATTGATAACCAGATGAGCGCCGGAATAGTAGCCGGGTCGGTGACGACCAGCGAACTCCTGGTGTTGTATGTATTTTTATTTCTCGATACTTTTTTTTTACCTCTTTCCTGCTTCTTCAACCAGATCAAGGGGAGAAATAGTGTTGGTATCAGTTGTTTACCAGTCTCATAGAACCACATGTATTATCTGCCAATATATTCGCCATCATGGATATTAGTAACTCTACCCGCTACTATCTTTGAGACTGCGTTCCCTCTCTTCCCTCTTCTTATTTAGCAAGTACTGCAACGCCAAAGTATTCCCATTTCTTCTCGCAGCTTGAATTGCCGCTGTCGTAATCTGGATCTCGTCTCCTCTCTCCTGCAGCAACATATGCAGTACCGTCTTCTCCATATTATATGCCGCAGCCAGGACCACGTCTTCTGTGACTTCAATCTCGCTCCCCTTCTCATGAAGTAGGATTTTCAGCGCGGGAAAATATCCGTTTTTCGCTGCTGCAATGGCCACCTTTTGTGTAATCAGGATCTCGCTACCCCACCTCTCGAGCAGATAGTTTAATACCGAGCGTTCTTTGTTCTGCACTGCCGCAATAACCACTTCTTCTGTGATGAGAACCTTGTCTCTGTGTCTCTCGAGTAGATACTGTAGTACCGACTCGCTGCTCTTTATTGCTGCGGCAATGACGACTCTTTCTGTGATCTGAATGCTGCCTTTTTCTCTTCCGAGCAAGCACCAGGCTGTTGAATCGTCGTACTTCTTTATCGCCTTTATAACCATGTCTTCTGCTACCTCAACTTCTTTTTGACAAAGCAAGAGGAATGTCGCTTCAACGTTCCCTTGTTCTATAGCTTCCATAAGTAATCCCTCAATATTTTCCGTATCCAGACTTTTCCGGGCGAAATGTTGATTGACTTTTAGCATATCTCTGGCTCTCTCCTCAGCCTCCGTAACCGTCTGTCTAACTCTTCGGTTGTGTCTGAGTCTTCGTCTCACGAGAGATATGGCTAATTCCGGATAAATGGCCCTTATTGCTTCGATCACTTCCTCCGCTGTGAGTGGAAAACTACCCAGCGATATTAGCAGGTCGGCTGTCTTCTCCAGATTCGTGGCTCTGTAAGATTGGCCATGACCCTTCCACATTGCTCCAAAGCTGCTCAAATCTCGGATGACATTTTGGTATCCATCCTGCAAGTCCATCTTGGCCCAAATCATACACCAAAACTCAATTTCCGCTTCCCAGATATGCCCAGCTCTCCCATATGCCAGGGAGAGTTTGCTTATACAGGCTAGTGTACGTGCATCTGCTTCTCCAAACGCTTTTGTATAAGTTTCTTTCATTTCTTGAAGCGTATCGATGACAAGACTTTTGTTGCTTCCTGCATCGCTCATAATCATGACTGCATTCCATAATCGTGTTTGCTCGTCAGGCTGACATTCTGACTCTTCTGGTTGGTCACCGGGAACTCGGCTGCTCAACCATGTATCATATTTTCCATCCGACGTCTTTTCAGAGGAAGTATCCCAATCCCATATGAGAAGAAATTCGTGTTGGGACGTGTTTGTTGGCTCTTGTGATTGATCAAAGCTCTTACTTTGCGCTTCATAATTTGGAGGCATGAAGCCAGTCATGATTACCGAAAAGTAGTCTGTACATGATCTAATAATCATTGGTTTTGCAGCGCCAGATAGGTGGCAGCAAATATCACCAACTTGAATTGGTTTTGCTGTAGCTTGCACTGTCCACGAGAGACTGGTATTATCCTTTGTCTTAATGTTCAAGATTTGCCTGTCGTTGCGGTAAGTGCCCTCGGTTGATCGCACTGAAGTCACACTGCCAATTACATAGCCTTTGGCAGATATAACTGCTGCTTGCAAATGTGCCCAAGTCCTGATGAGCACATTTTCCCCAAGTATAAACCTGACAGCTTGCGCCATGAGCTCGTCCCAGGAAATTGTGTAGTTGGGTACCAGTCCACCGGTAGTCGGGTTGTCTGAACTCATACCCAGCAAAGCGAAAATCTTGTCGTGGCGCTCAGTAGCTTCGTGAGCGTGGTACATGTCTATGAGCTCGCCGAGAGGGCGGATATCTAATGATACATCGCCCGACATATTAAGGCTGTATTTCGGCCGGAATATGGAGCCTCTCATAAGATATGTTACTGAGCGTATATGGTCTGGGATATCTGCGTAAGAGAGAAGCGATGGTAGCCCTAGACAAAAAGCATATCCATCAATCCTTGTAGATCCACACATAATGATGATGTTCTGAGCGGCGGCAATTTCTTGAAGCACCTATTCCATGTATCAGTATGCATTCTATCAATTTCCAAAATAGGCTCACCTTACCCATATGCGCCGAAACCAGGGTCGCTTCAGCATGGTTAAAATAGCCTGCCCATCAACCTTGCTCTCGGAAGACCTGGGGACTTCTTCATCCGCAGCCGTTCGTATGCTCTTGAGAACTTGGTCGCTGTCATCTGTGCTTTCCCCAAGCCATACAATCACACGATTTGCCTTGCAATATATCTCTGCCATATGCCGGATTTGATTTCCGCGCTCTGCAGTGTTGCTTTGGTCAATACAGATGGCGTCTATCCATAACACTCGCTCAATCATTCGATCTCGAAGGCGTACTAGCACTTCATGAAGATTTGCAGTAATATCCATACTGTTTTCGTTGATGTAGATTGTGTAAGGCTTCTCCGAGCTTCCCCAGACATATGACAAGGCTTCATACATGTGCGGCCCATCCTCCAGCTCCTGCATGGGGTAGTCAAACAGCTGACACTGAAGCGGGGCATATCTATCACCATGAGGCAGCAGACGAAGCAACCGAATATTTCCAGAGCTGAGCAGCTCAGAATATTGATACGAATTGCCGACATCGCCTTGGTGGCCGTTCTGAGAGTCTAGACTGGAAGAACTGGGTTGTGGATGTCCGACATCCTGCGCCGCCGACATTTTTGCTGCCAAGTGCTTGGAGCTATTGCAACAGAAGTGGCGGAATAGTTTTCAAGTAGCAGGAGGACTCAGGTGGTCAATTAAACCTTTCAAGGACGCGATCAATTCATTGTTTGCTCTCTTGCTCGCGCTGGCATTCTCTCGCTCGAAGGATTCAACAGGCAGAAGGATCTCCAAGGCGGGCTTAGCGAGGTTGCAGCCAATAAGGGCTACACTAGGGGAATAAATACCCACACGCAATATGTAATCGGGAGGGGGGATTAAACACTCTCAACCGATGCCAGTCTCTTCGTGTAAATGCGCAAAATACGAATGCGTTGACGGGCTACGCGCAAAAACAGAACTCAAAGACTCGGTCCGTGGGCTAAATGTTCGGCATGTATTTCAAGACGCATAGTTCAACAACTTTCTCAATGTATAGAACCTCTACAAGCAGCAATCAGATGCATCTAAATTCAAGAGTCCTGGGGTTAAGGATTATCAGCCCTATAAGATACTGAAAGGTGCCAAAGACGATTACCTCGATACCATCGAAAAGATTTCAGATGTTGTAGCCAAAACATCAGCCAATATTAGGGCAAAAGCAAAAGGTGGCAAACTAGACGAGGCAACTGAGAAGCAATTTGCGCCTTTTGAAGAGTGTAACAGCCTGATCAAGGCTGCCAGAATAGACGATCATGAGCCGTACCTCATCGATGTAACGGAAAAGTACTTAAAACTTCTTGGCATCGAGATTAAAACAGAGATCCTCGATCCGCCCGTCAATCCGGTTGACAGTATAAAGAATTGGAAGACTGTCGACTGGGGGACGACAATAGATGAGGTTGTGAAAGCTGGGAAGGGTAGCAAAGAACAAATGAAGAAATTGATGGAGGATGCGAAGAAAGATTTCTATGAGAAGCCAGCTGATGGTTCTCATGAGGGATAAGAGACCCGTAACAAGGCTCGCGAGCACAGAAATGCCATAGAGGCTTTTACGAATGCGCACAACAAAGCTGCAGGATGTCACCCAAAAACACCGCCAAAAAAAGGTGAGGATGAGGGAGGAGGCGAGAGAGACATTCAGGACATACGTAGTTGAGGGCTTGAGAACATTTACCATTCAGTTGTTTGAAGCATGATTTGGCCATGCACAAATCTGCCTATTATTCAAATAAGTTACTGTAGTATACATGTATCTTATTCTACCTCCGACCAATCCTCAATAAAAGTTTTCATATTATCATTAGCCCACTGCAACTCTTCGTCGAAGTTATCCATATCCTGTACTAGCCACCCCTTCTCGGAATTCCATTGTTCTGCTAACTCAATCTGAGGGTGAGTCAACATGAGCCCCGTATGAAGGTCAACGAATCTAACATTTGAACAAATGCGATACGAGCAAGAGGTTGTACCCCAGTGAGTCATGCCAGACGATACGGCAAAGTGCACCTCCCGCAGAGCTGTAAACTGCTTAAACCGGTCCTTTGTAAACCTAGTAAATCCTTCGGCCCAGTCTTCAAATTCTCTCCCTGTTGGCACCATAAACCTAAGCCGCTGAATATCGGCTGCATGCGGGTCAAGGCCGTACAAATTCTCGTGTTGAAGGGAGATCATGTCCTCATTAAAGTTGAACCAAATATACCGAGCCTCGGACTCGCCAGGTAATGTAGTGAAGAATGCTTTCTGATATGGGGCGAGTTGACGAGACTCTCGGCAGACATGCATGAGTTCCGCCTGTGGAATCATGGAGGCAAAATAACGGTCCGCGCCTGCCCAACGGTGGCCCTCAAAACGGCCGGGCTTGGGCTGTGTGCGGATGTGGACGAGACGCGGGTGCGCTGCCAAGGCCCAGATTTGGCTACGAATCTCAAAGGGGAGGCGTGGGAAGGAATGAAAGGTGGTGGCCATTGTCATTGATGGTTGACTGGTGTTTCACATGTGCACCTTTGTCCCACAAGTAAGCTGGCTATCAAGTTGCATTTAGTATCAAAACCGACAGATTGTGGATAATGGCAACAATTACCGCGGGCTCCAGTCTGGTCAAAGGAAGCAATCAGTGCAGTGAGGCTGGCTGCGTTCTGCTTGATGTTCCTACTGGAGGAGAAGATTGTTTCAGGAGAAAGTCAAGACGGTGGTCACTATAAATGTAGCCGAGTGCATGTTTGTTTGTGCGGAGTACGGAAGCGGCGCGGGCCCGAGTCTAGATGAGTCACGCCCGCTTCTTTAACCTAACATTACATGCAACAAACCATCAAAGGATCCAATAGATCTTTCAAATCTGCACTGCAACTCAGGCATCCAGGTACCCCATACATTCAGTCCCAAGATGCCTGGTCCTACAGTAAAGGTCATGTTTTGGGCGGCTTCTGGTGGCACGTCAAGCCGGAAGGCGGCAGATCTTCCTAGCACGCCCACTGAAAGCTCCATCGGCTTCCAATGCTAGTTGTTTTTAGGTATAGTTCTGCGTACTTTTGTAAATTGCTCGGTATGGTGGTGCAGGTCAAGGAATTTGCAAGATGCTCAACCAACAGCAGTGACTCAAGTTTCCAAAAGAGTATATGAGTACATGCACAAAACTTGGCTCCATTGGGCAGGACGCTCTCGCAAAATTGTTTGGTCTGTGCCGTTGACCTTCATCAGCGGCGAGAAGTTTGGGCTACACAAGGTGTGCACATGCCAGGCCCCGACATGTGAAGCACTTTTCAGCCCCCAAACCAGGGTGCTAAGATGAGAAATAGAGTTGATGGAAAGTTTGTTATTTAGCGTATATCTCAAAAAAGAAATGGGTGTTGGTTGAAAACCTCGGCCGTCTCATCGCGTGACTCTCTTCATTCTTCTTTGTCAGCAGAGTCGAATATGGTCCGAACACAAATCTCTCCCTGTATATGTGATACAACAATATCGGTAGAGACTCCTGCGAATGCATCCGATCCCAGTTCGGTATTTCTTCTGAGGAGGACTTAAAGGGTCAGTCCGTGGGCTCAATGGCATATAACTCAAGACACAATTCAACAGACTCTTCTTTATGCTTATTGATCTCAGGTAGTACGTGTCATAAACTCCTCCATTCTCAGATGACCAGTCCTCAAGCTCACAGTATTTCCTGTTTAAGTTTCGACCTCGCCGCATATACAAAATCTTGATGGAGCCCACAGCATCTATTACTAAAAGGATTTCTGGGGCTCTACACAGCCAAGGAGACTCGCCCGTCGATCTGCGCATCTTCGCATGACTCAGTGAGTGGCCTGTGAATTTTCGCTCCACTACTGATTATCCAGTTGCCATCTCCCAGCACAACAAAGGGGACCACAACAATGAACAAGAAATCGACTGAGAGTTTCGGCCATACAAAATCATCGTCATGGGTGTTCCCTTAGCTGGCGAAGCATTTGCTCACAGCTCAATACTCACACATGCGACCTTTCGGGCGTGCCCTCTAGAAAAGAAGCGCGAATGAGAAAAGTGGAATGACTGGATGAGAGACATCATACCTCACGTTCAAATGCCTGACGGCAAGCTAGTATCTTGGGCGAACGGAAGCAAGACATGTGGCCGTTGAGTATGGCAGTACCACACCTGCAAGTCTTGCATTTCACGAAATCTTCCAGTAAGTATCTATTCACTCTTTTTCTAGAACTATGCTTACTCAATTTGACTTGACCAGATGCTCCTTGATGCCAGTGCAATATCCGACGAGACAGCACGCTCGAGAGATATCACATGTCTCCTCAAAGCCTTTACTACAAAGACGAGTATACTGATGTCTTCAGCATGGGCAGGACCTGGTTTAGCTATATTTCATAATATAGTAGGAGTTTTCCCACTGTAAGAGTAACGTGTCACGTGGAAACAGGCAACTCGGTGGTGCCGTAACGCGCGCACTACGTTCATTTTCCTCTGATGCCAGCTGGTGTCTTTACCCCCATTGTGTTTTCGCTCTCTTCTATTGTCTCCCTTTCTACCATTTTGTTTGTTTTCTTCTCTGTTCTATGCTTTCTCTGCTCTGCTCCTCTCTTTTTCTTTTTCGTTCCCTTCCCTTCTCCCCCCTCTTCTCCTCTCTTCCCCTTACAGCTGTCTTTGTACCACCATTCAACAACGCTTTTCGTCCTCCAATTTCTTTCGATCATACAACTTCAAAGTTTCATCAAGCATCTTTCGTTTTACTTGAGGACATCGCCAGTCACAGTGCGCCATAACCCTAGTCCTTGAAACATTGCCGAACAAATTGCTGACAGAAAACTGTGTATCAATCTAAATGTCTGCTAACTACGAAGAGGCAGGACACGAAACAGCACCCGATGCCAGCATCACAGCAACACTTGCTCTGATCAAGATCTCGGATAGCGACTCAGCTGCGAGCAATGAGAACTATGCATCCAAAATGAATGATACCGCTCAAGATGTCGACCCATCCTCGACCGCCGTGAAATCGGAACCTGAAGATACCCTTCCTCCTATGGAGGGTATTGCTTTTTGGGTTTACTCGAGAAGCTTTGGACAACACCAATTCAGATGAGGAGAGGACAGACACAAGTGCGCAGTCAAACGCGGAAGGGATGGATGAGCGAACCATCATAAGAGAGCTCCTTGCGTAAGGGAACAGAATGGACAGGCTTGAAGCTGTGATGCAGCGACAAATCACGAAGTTGGATGAATACATGGCGGAAATTCGCCAGATTTCTAGGCGTTCTCAGTGAAATATACGACGCGATATGTAGTATGAAATATAGAGAAGTCATCGAGCACTCCAATTATTTTACCCAGCACTCCAGCCATAGCTCAACAAGGCAGCTAGACCAAACATAGATCTTTTCATTACAGCTCCTCATCTTTGTTCGGGTGCTTCTATCCTTCATGTCGGTTTACCTTGTCTCGACAGAGACTTCAGGCCTTCAGTATTTTCAGCCTAACTCCAGTAGGTGCGCCCATTGGCTTCCTCGCGAACGGTTTCTATACACTTGAGGGAATTTATTGGGCGGGTGATCCCACTGCCATCCTTATTGATCTCCCTCTCGATACCACGTTGCCATTTCTCACCACAAAGGACGGCGAATGACGTGGGAAATCCCTCGCCCAGCAATAGCCAGATGGTAGTCTCATTGAAACACCTCCATCACAAAGCGTAGTTGTATCCATGGCTCATGTGGGTAGCCGAAGTAGAATGACCTAGGCACATTAATGCGCCTTTCTTGTCTTGTCTTCACCGAATGAGCATCCTAGTGCTGTTTATAGGATGCACTACACACTTTACTAGTAGCATCAGTAGCATTAGTAGTATTAGTAGCTGTAGTTGCAGTAGCTGTAGTCTCTGCGTTAAACAGTAAATGGGGATGAGAGGCATGTCGAATGATAGGTTTGGCGTAATAGGAGAAACTGATTCATCCCATTGGCCATCTGCCCACATTGTATTTCCCATAGTTGGGTCAATACTCCAAAGACAATGATTAAAAGGCATTTGTTGCACAGGTTGTCTAACGTTGTCCCAGTCTGCAGCAACATATCGAAACATGGTTTTATTGGTAAACCATGTATCGATTGTTACTGTGCATTTTCTCAAGTCCAAGTGTTTCATATTGAACTTTTCCCCTCGTCTCAGTGCGAAAATGCCAAACATCATGGCAATTCCATGATCTTGCATCTTGCAGAGGGATGCTTTAAACAAATGTGTTTGCCAAGGGACGATTGGCAGGTTCCAGCGACCAAGGAACATGCGGAAACAAATTACTTCTTGTGAAACATTTGGTTTTGTTTGGCATATATCGTTGAAGCGGTTGCAAAAGTGTGCGGCCATCCAGTATATTATGGTAACCTTATTGACACCCTTTTCCCCTAAGCCTTCCTTCTCGGCAAAGGAGTTGCAGCTTGCACGATATATTGATAGTAATAGAGGTGTCATCTTTAATAAATCACGCCAATTCCAGCCATTCGCGATTGCCCGTGGCCTTGATGAGGGGTGACAGGGGTAAAAGATATGGCCACCATTAGGCATAGGAATGGCGAAATGGAATTCGAGTTGAAGTTTGGAAATACCGGAATGCGTTGCGATGTCGAGAAGTATGTCATAGATATCTTGGTATGCCTTCTAGGCGCCAGGGCTATCTTTAACCGGTTCGTCACCAGTAGTAAACAGTTCTGCCTTCTTAGATTCGATGATCTTTTGGGCTTCCGGGGCTTGCGTTCCTGTTCTGAGGGTCTCTAATACGGCTTGTCTTGTTGTCATAGACCACTGCATCAGACATGGAATATTCTAGATATTTTCAATTTCCCAATTATGCATGATATGCAAGATCCTCGACTGACTCAATCTACTGTATGGACTAGGCATACCAGACATACGAGATATACGAGATATACGAGACTTGCGAGATCTAATAAATTGACTCGATACCTATACGAGATACGAGATTGACAAACTTTATTTCGGAGGCTAAAATATCTACAACCCTTTCTTGCATTATCATATTGCGATAACCGCATCACGGCAATGACTTGTGGATTTTTGAGTCTGAAAAGTCACACGAGTTTGAACAGCGACGCATACTTATCATGCCTGTGACTGATTCAGCAATAGGTCAGTCTAATTCATCTTAAAAATTACAATTGGGATACTTCCATGCAAGATACACTTGATTGGATAGAGTAGTAGCGGAATCGTACATGTAGCGTAAGAGTCACGGTGAAAATTAGTATGAAAGGTAGAGATTACACAATAGGCACAAAGGAATCGCCACAGTCGTATATGATCAATCACACGTGTAGTACAGAATTGATGAAATATATATATTGCACACCGCTTGAATAACCCATATCTATCATGACATATATATGTAACGCGAAAAATGCTATCAATTGTTACCCCATTGCACCGTAAACTTGCCAACCGTTTAATATCAAATCAGTTCCTTTTCCCCTATAAAATCCAAGTCCAACTATCCATTGAGAGGAGATTTGCACGTAAAAGTGTTTATCTGCGGCGACTTAAAAGCAGACATAAGGCCCTCGACTGCTGCATACGTGCCCAGTCCACTGAGTGCCAGTGAGCCAAGCGTGTAGACAAGCAGGGTGATGTGCAGCCACCAGAACCTGCCAAAGAATCCTCGCATGATCCGCTTCACCCCGGAATCTCTACGACGGACGGTACCAGTCGTCGGGTCGAAGCCGCCTTCTCCTTCCATTGCGCTTCGCTGTACAGAAAGTCCGAGGCCGATGAAAGCGGGGAACGTGTACGTAAACTGCACAAGACACACAGCAGCGGTGACGCTCGTCAAACCGAAGAAATCGGGAATGGAGCCGGCAATGATGAATGCAATGATCCAGTAGATTGGGACCAGAACAGCCCACAGGATCTTGCCTCCCTTGGTGGTCAAAGGCGGGGCTTTGAAAATCTCCATGAAGACGTTGTTGTAGATGACCTTGATGCCAATGTTGCCGTAAAGCGTCGCAGCAATAATGCCTCTATACCAGCAATGTTAGCGGCCAGGAGAGTGAAAAAAGGGTAATAAAGAAAGACTAACGTGATCACAGCAAGCATATTGCAAACGGTTTGCCAAGCGTAGGGCGATAATCCTTGATAAGCGAGCTGGTGTCGTTAGTTGATGATCTTGAATCCCTGGTGTCATAGCATCCACGCCTCTAACGCGCAACGCTAAGAATGAACTTACCTGATTGGAATACTGTCCTTGATAGTAGTAAACAAATGATCCGTAGGACATGTAGCACGCATAAATAAAAAACTGAGCACCCCACATAGCCTTGAGGAAGTCCCGTGGTCGCTGAAGCTCAGCCATGAACTCGATGAACAGCTGGGCGCCACCATAGGCATAAACACCGTTCATGAGACCGTTGATAGATCCAATAAAGCCGTTTGTTGATGGTGGAACACCACCATATCGATGAACAGGAGGATAAGTTCCATTAGCAAAAGGGGCAACTGAGTCGCCGCCCAGGGCAGCACCAGCAGAGCCGGCCTGTGCAGCTATGAAGTTTGGCTCGCTGTGAGCCATGACTCCCATGCTGATAAACATAATCAAGAGATTAATAACAACAGCAAAGTTTGCCAATACGCCCAGTTTGTTGAGCGTCCGAATTTGTCCTAGGAAGAAACCCACAACGGCCCAGATCAAGCAGCATACAACGTAGCAAAGCCTGAACTTGGAAACTTGTGAGATAGAAAGGCCATTGCTGATGACGAGAACGCCAACGCTAATCGTCAATTGAACAGCCTGGAGAAAGTTGATTATGTGGCGAAACCAACTTCCATAAAGGCGGAGTCCAATGTCACCGTAGTTCTTTACCGGAAACTCATACGAATCCAGATACAGGAAGGCTTTCCACAGAAGATATCCGGAACTAAAAGCACGTTAACAATTGCCAAATAACCAATCAGCACACGCATTTTACTTACAATCCAGCACATATACCGAAAACAGTAAACAGTCCAATGCCTTGGCCCCAGCCCATAGTGCCGATAGAGAAACCAACTCCGAAAGGACCCAAGATATCAGTTGTAATCAGGTAAAAGCATGCTGCGGCACTGGCAGAACGCAGAGCACGGCTGGCATTGGTCCACTCGAGGTCGGTAATTTCTAGGCGATGGCTCTCGTTATCACCTGATGAGGCGTTCTTGACCTCATTACCGGCGGGCTGTTCACCCTCAAGTCGTCGAGGTTCCGCTTTTGACGGGCGTATATAATCCTTCCAAGTAGAAGGCGGTGCTGTGGCTCTTAATTCATCTTCTTCGGCTCGTGCCTTCTCGGCATAGTACATATACTCCTCGATCGTAACGCTAGAATCGTACATAGGGCGGTGTTGGGGCTTGATGACGGCCGTGACAGTGCCATCCTCGGGTCCAGAGGAGTATTCCTCTTTCTCGGAGCCCATATTGATGACTTTGAAGTTGCAGATACAACCTGAAAAGTGCGAAAGATGATATAACAAGAGGGGATTAAGGACTGTGGTTGGGTAGGTCTTTTAGTCCCAAGAAACGTGGGACAGCTTGAAAACGGATTTCGCTCGTGTAAACTCGCAACAAACTAAACCATGGGGAAAAGGGTCAGAAACTCTCTGGGGAAAAGTCAGGGTTTCTGGGGATATATGTCTATTCGGCGGTATGGCATCTTCTCTACATCGGTGACTCTTATCAGTTGCCACGGACTGAGACTAACTAGAGGCGGGAAATGTTTGGAAGCATTCCACCTTCTGGGGCCTGTGGCGATGCCCACCTCCAGGAACTATGGCTTTTCTTGGAGCCCATCCCGTTGACAATTGTCGACAACATCAGTGGCAGGCATGATTACCAACCAGCTAATGACTGTTGCTAGTGGAGAGAAACGCCGAATATCATGACATTTGCCCGAGGAGTCGTTTGGCCCACTAAAAGTGATAGGTGAGTCTACTGAAACAAGTTAAAGAAAGGGCGTATTTAAGAGCATTCGAACAAAAGTCCTCAAGCTCCCAGACAAAAGTCCCCAGCTGCAGTCGATCTTACCGAGAATGCCGGCACCTGTACCAGCGTCCGGGGTCCCAGGTTGCACTCCGAGCCCGGCAAGTTGAAGCTGTGGCCAATCTCTGTATTTAGTTACCTAAAAAATATTTTCCTCGCGGAGCTTTAGCCCATTTTAACTGGACATGACTAGCACATCAAAGATGCTTTTTGTGGAGAGGCATTCGTAGGCCTATCATGGGATTCGTATCATGCGTGGCTTATGAATAATCCTGACTACTTGACGGATGCTTAACTTTGCTGTTTTGGAATCTGACGTCGAATATTTCCAGAAGTCTGGTTGCATTCGGGAACTTGTTTTTTAGGCCCTTGGCAATGTTTGACAGGCCAGGCAGTTAAGCGTTACCAAGACACTAGCATCGGTTCCATGCTCTGATCACCGGGTGCTGTGCAGCGTGGCGTTTTTCATTCTCCGAGAAAGCCGTCATCCGCGGACTTATAACTGACAGGCCACCAATGACGCCACTGAGGAACATTGATAGTGGAGAAAGCCAAGTCGGTGAGGCTCAACGGCAGTCTTTGGTCTCTTAGTCTCGGCAGACTCCGGACTCGCTGGTGACTGTGGCTTGAAAGCGATATCGCCAAGGACCTTAAGGCGGCCCGGCATGGCCGCAGGGTTTAGTCTGGCGAAGTTCTCCGCCGTGCCACGTTGCGGCTGAGTCTGAGTCTGAATGCGGCAATAATTCGGAGGAAGCGTGCTCGTATACTCGTCTCTGTTTACTCAAAGCTAGAAAAATTTTATCAGCCACAGGACGCTATAGAAGATCTAGATAAGCTTTTTTCTTGTAGTTAATGTCATATTAAAGTATTGAGATGGCTTGGACTTTAGCAGCAACACGGTCAAGAGTTGAAATGTTTTCTCATAGCATTTTGCTTCCCTTTTCTCCTTGGAAGAGCTTAGTGTATGCTGCGGTCAGCGTTGGAGAGTCATTTACGGACCAGTAGTGAGAAGGCGGTTAGTCAATTGGAAGTCATCCACTTGTGATAGAGCTCATTAGTAGTTGTAACACAGCAGGCGATGGATAATAAACGGATTTTATACGAGTAGCATCTGACAACTACTTGCTAGCTCCCACTCACTAGTCTATCCAGGCATCAAAACTAGGCCCAATACTTATAACAAAACTGGATGCTCCGCCTTCGGAAAATACTCTGCAGTCCGGTAGTGCCGACTCGATATGCAGCACGGGTTTGATCATCTCTTCCAGAACCAAAAACCGAGACCCGCCTCCCGATCCGGCCCACTCTCGGCATGGCATATCCGGCCTTGGATGGCGTTATTGCCTTCTAGACTGGCGCACCAGAAGGTCTTGACTCAGATTCTCTGGGTGATAGGCTAACGGGCACCTACGAGAGCCGTAAAACGGCGACAAATCGTAAAGACAAATCTTTAGCTATGTTACATATTTCAGAATAGTCGCTCATAGTTTACTTGAGAGAGGGTTTTCTGCAAATATAACGTATGGCCCTTCTATTATGATCGTATAAGCGCTTTGAAGAGAGTTACGGCAGGTTTATCCTCTTCCCAATGTCAAATGCGTTCGCAGGTGATCGCCTTAATACTTTTTACATCTGCCAAGAGGGAAATAACAATAGTTTAGATTGATGTCTCCTTGCCCAATTGTTTATCAAGTCTAAAAAAGGGCAGTTGCTCTTAGGACATGTATAGGCTACGAAACCGTGCATGGGCTGAAACGTCTGAACAACATGGTGAAATATAAAAACCAGATTGAACCCCCAGATCTCCATCCCATGCCAATGCTGGGATTCCATGTCACGATAGTACACCCCAGACCCCAGCTCCCCCGCCCACTATTGAGCTGCTGGCGGAAATTTTGGGGTATGGCCACTTTCAGTACCCTGACTGATTCAAACACATGATAATAGTAGCTTTAGTTATGGCGGCTGTACCGAACCTACGATATGAATTTGCAGTCTCCCATGTTGACCAGGCTTGCTCGCATTACAAATCGCTAAAAACTTCACAATATAAGGGATGACCAGAATGTTTATAATAAATACACTTATATAGAGAAAAATAGGATAATGTTCTATGTAGCACCCGAGCAATAGGAAACTTGCGACGATTGCAGCCTTACTTAGACAAATTTGTATTGAGCGCTAGAACAGTATACATCCACCTCCATTTACCATGAGGGAAAAAGCCAACGGGGTCCTCGAAGACGCGCTTGAAAATTACGTAAATGGAACTGTTTAAGATCTAGATTCCCATACATGTGAGGTTTCCCGACACTTCAACCCGGCAGCGGCGCACTCCGAACAGATCATAAAATCTGCACATAATTTGCATTCAAAATATTTGGCGCCAAGCCGGATACATCGTGTGCATATATCACACCAAGAAGTATTCAGGCCAAAAGTATAACTCTCCGACGGGGCTGAAGTGTCGGCGTGGCTTTGAACCTCGAGTTTCCTTTTAGCGGCGGCGAGCTCCAAAAGTTCAATCAGCTCGCGATTCTTGCTTCTGTATGCCCAGGAAAACACTGATCGTCCAAAGCAATCTTCATAGTCCAGAACCACCTGATCTATTGCCAATAGCTGTTTTACAACCTCCAGATGTTCATTTCGTACCGCAGCGAATAATGCAGAAGAGTTATAACGGTCTCGTTTGTTAACATCAGCATTTTGTGAAAGCAGTAACTCAACTATATCACCGTATCCGCGCATTGCGGCATTGAAGAGAGGTGTTCGTCCTTCAGCTTCTGTTTGATCTATGCTTCCTTGGTCAGATATGCGTAGCTGGTCTCTGATGACCTCAAATTGTCCATATAACGATGCCACATGTAGTATACTATCCTCAGCTTGATCCAAAGTTGTTAAACCTGCATCCAGTAAGACATGTAGAGTTTCAATATGCCCCCTTCCCACCGCATAAAACAGAGCTGTATATCCACGCGGAATGGTTGCATGTCTATCAGCTCCTGCTTCAAGAAGTACACGAACGACATCTGCGTGCCCTCTGAAAGCCGCAAAGTGAAGAACTGTCCATCCATCATTGTCAATTGCAAAGACATTAGCGCCATTCGAGAGGAGAAGCTTTATGGCATCTGCGCCGCCCTGTTCAGCGGCATAGAATAGCACAGAGCGACCGCTACCGTCAACTGCGGTGATATCAGCTCCTTTATCCAATAGAAATCGCATAGTATACAATTGAAGGGCCATCGACGCTCCCATCAGTGGAGTGATACCTCGTGGAGTTGGAAGAGAAATATCAACGCCATAACTAAGGAGGACCTCGAGAATTGGAATTTGTCCGAGACTGGCTGCAAAGACTGACGGAACTAACGCTGAGCGAAAGAAGGCTGCAGTGTAATCTGCCCCATATTCGAGCAAAATGCTCACGACTTCGGCGTGGCGTCCCGCAATGGCCACGCTTAACGGTGTTGTGGGTTCAGTAGTCTTAATCTCAGGGTTTGCTCCATTCTCGAGCAGCAGCCTGACAATTTCAGTTTGCCCATCTTCTGATGCAAGAAGAAGAGGCGAGTATTCATTTTCACTCATTAAAAGTTCTTGGTCAGCTCCTGCCGCGAGGAGAATACGGACACAGTCAACCGAACCGCTGACAACCGCGTAGTGCAAAGCGCAGACGCCTTTATCATCAACCATGTCCAGATTAGCTCCATTTTCTACTAGCATCCGGAGGATCTCAGAGTTCTTGTCCCAAGCTGCAAACATCATGGCTGTCTTCCCGCTGCTATCTCGTATATTCAGGTCGGCCCCTTTTTCAATAAGCAGATGAACGATCTCGCTATTATCGGTAGCAAGGGCTAATGCAGTACTTCCCAGGTCGCTAACAAGATCGGGGTCCGCTCCGCAGTCAAGGAGGAGCCTCATAGATTCCACAATGCCGAAATGAGCTGTAAAGTGAAGTGGCAGCCACTTATAATACTTTCCCGCCTGTTTTATTTGATCCGGGGCCGCGGCAATAAACAGGTGTGCCATGTTGATATCATTTCTCCTGAGTGCAAAGAATAGGGGAGGGTGCCCGTCAGAGTCTGTAGCAATGACATTGGCCCCGTATTGTAAAAGTAGCTTAGCTATCTCAGTCTGTTTTGCTTCTGCTGCGCTATGTAGAGGCGTGGCCTGGTGGAAGCCGGCGCCGTTGACTTCCGACCCGCTCTCTAGCAAAAGCCGAACCAGATTCAAGTGACCGTTGCGAGCTGCCAGATGTAGAGGAGATTGTCCGCTCCAAGTTTTCAAGCTGATATCTGCACCGGATGATATTAATGTTTGAGCAATCTGTTCGTTGCCGTTTCCGCAAGCTGCAGCAAGCGCTGTCTCCCCGGAAATAGATCTATCATCCAATCGATCCGGGTGTTTTCGGATTAATCTTAGCGTAAGATTCGTTAAGTTGAGTTTTGCTGCATAAAATATCGGACTGGGTTGCGTAAAGGGCGCAAGATCCTTTTGTTTTCTCTTTGTGTCTTCACTCTTGCTGTCTTCCGTCGAGGTCTCCGCTCTACTCTTTTCTTTTGAGTCGTAATACTCTCTCCAACGTTCCCATATAGTCAAATCATGACTATCAAATAATGCATCGATGAGTTTATTCATCAAGCCATCTTCTTCGTCACCTTCTCGGGCGTGGTGAGACCAGAATTCCGCCGCATAATCTCTAAAAGATCCCTGTACCTGACTTGAATTGTTTGAAGCAGATATTCCCCATGCCTCTTCATATTGGATATATCGAAGACAGATTTGTGCGATGATCGTGTTTTCTCTTTTTTCGTTGGAATGTCTCAAATGTTCGTTTTGGATAAGAATGCTTCTAGAATGCGGGTCTTGGTAGAGATAATATTGTTTTATAGAAAAATGGGTGAGTCGCACAGTACTTGATCCAGGATCTGACGAGTTTTCGTAAATGTTCAAAAGTGAGCCGCAAAGCCCAAGTATTTCGCTGTTAATATATTCGTCGTCAATTGTATCTGGAAGATCGCCCAGGGGATATTCATCACAATTAATGCTGATCAGCGCGGCTTCTGTGAGTTCAGCGACTGTCAAAGGCTTTGCTGCGAATGTGACCCAACGGAGCAACGTAAAAGCTCTATGCCTCTCCTCTTCCGGTAGCTGTGCCATTCTAGCCCAGTTTCTTTGATACAGGCCTTCTAAACCAGAAGGAGTTTTATCAATCGTGTCTTGTAGCTGCTTCAAATTTTTCCATGCTCGTAAAGAATTTTCCTGCAGCTTAAGCCAAAGGAACTGTCCGGCGCATTGCGTTGCCATTTTTTGAGATATCTCTTCCTTAATCATCTTGCTTTTCTTAAACAATTTTTTCTCAACAATACTTCTGGAATAGTTTTGAATATCGCTATTGATGTCATCTGGGCTGATTCTGTGCTCAAGTATCGCGCTCTCCATGTTCTGAATGCCAGCTCGAATCATGGGCTCATCTCTGCTGGTGATGATAATTCTTGTCGCTGAGTCGGCAATTGCATGATCCAGATGCTCTAAAAAGTGTGTTATAGAGTCAGTGGCCCGGATAGTATCATTCCCCAGCCAAGTGCACTCGTCAAGCCCATCAATTATGAAGATACACCCTGGAAGAATGTGGACTATTTCTTGTAACAACCGCATAGTGACAGTCCGAGTTGCTACGGATCCAAGATGAGTCTCTCGACTCATGCGCACGCAGTCAAAAATAATCTTATTCTGGAACATGATGCTGGAAATCCAACATCGAATCGCCTCGTATGGGTCATTTCGGCTCTCAAAATCAGACGAGAAGAAAAAGTAGGCGACGGGTGTTTTAGCTGTTGCCAATAGATGTTCGACTATTCCGGCGCAAAGTATGGTCTTCCCAAAGCCAGCAGGTCCGTTGATCCATAACAGTTTGAGCTTCAGTTCGTCTCCCTGGAGAGTGAACCAATCCTTAAATACTAGCCGTTCGAGGATCCAGCCACAGGTATCGTCAAGTCGAGCCTGAAGAGCCTCTTCAAAAATCTCATTGGGAGGGTACTGAGACAACCAGGCGTGCAGCTCGCGCAGTATTTCTGTTTCTGCCTTATCTTCTAGTTTTTTAAGGACAGTCTTCATTTCGGAAGCCCAAGGCGCATTGCTGGCCATTGTCTGCGAACCATCCTGGACTGCAAGCCCTATCATGAGCTGTGGCAAGGCGTCGATGGGAACCAGGTAGTATAGATGCTGAACCAGTCGCCCAAATAGCTCTACTTGTCCTTCCCGCCTACTTTTGCCTCTCAGTGCCCATGCAACCTTCGCCACTCTTGCTTTGGTACTCGATCGAGACAGCTCGACCAAACTTTTAGTGACAGAGGGACCATTTTCAATACTCGACTCATTCCGTAGGATATCATCACTTTGGCTATTTTTTTCTTGCTTGTTCAAGATTTCTTGCGCTGCATCAATAATATGGCGTACTGTTTGCAGCGTTTCCGGATCTGTGAGAGCCTCGTGCCGCTTTTCAGAGGGATCTATCGTCTCGCGACTCAGCCCAAGGGCTTTCCCCCACTTTTTGAATCGCAGTCTGTGGGATGCGAACTGAATAGCTAAAGCACGCTCATCAGCCCTAAAATGCCTGTAGTCGTCAATTTTCTCGATGACATCCAGGCAGGTTGAGAACAAGCTGGGGAGTTTGATAGCTCCAAACGCGAGGTTTATGGGGTTCATGACTCGTAAGGGGACAATTCAGAGAGGGGAACACTAGCTGAAACAAGAGGAGAAGGCTGTGTATGCGTTGGTCAGGTCGTGGGTTCACTTTATACCGCGTCTGCAGCTAAGAGAAGCCCCGCCAGTATGACCTGATGCAAGATCCTTCTCTGTGGCTGGCGCAGGGCACAGCCCGAATTTTACAGATTGACAAGCAAATAAATCAGCATCACACAATCCTCATTTGGAGTAATATATTCAATAGAATATTTGACTGTAACGAAATGTACAGTGTATGAAACAAGGCGCAGTATGGGAATCACCACCCATGGCTGAGCCCGACAGCAATGAAGCTTAAAAGTTAGTTGGTTAACCCAATTCTAACAACAGGAGAACCTTCGGCATAAAGCGCCACTCAAGAACTTTAGTCTAGTAGCTATGCAATTGGCAATTCGGCGGATCAGAATGAATGATGACAACGATTATTAGAATCTAGCACTACCTAAACGAAATTGGTTTCTGTGATACAAAATGACAACCCCAATGTTAATAGAAGCAATCATTCAGTGCTTACCGCTATCTATTTCATAATCTGCGCCTCTCAGGCACTAGAATAAGTAGCCATACCCTGCCAGCCCTTCCTGGATCCTATCGCACCCAAGTCCAGATGTTGGAGCATTTTCTGGGGCTTCGCGGCCAGATCAATCACAGCAAGGCTTGGACCATTAGTAAGGCTGTATAAATATGTTCTGTCAGATGCGCTGTCAAAAACACCAACATCAGTTGCTGGCAAAGTAATGGTGTCCATTACGGAACCCGTGCTGGGGCTCACAACAGTAATGTTGTAATTGCTTGCTGACAAGACATAAGCGCTGCTGAGTTCTTCCACGTATACGCCCCAGCAAGCGAGCCCTTCGTTGGACGGAAGCGCAACTGTGTGTTCGACCGTCGCCTGCAAGCTGGAAGACACAGACAGAATATATGCAACTCCCGCAGCATCTGTAAGTAGAGCTGTATCATCTGCGCCCAAAAAGTTGAGGCTAAAACTCAAGATGGCACCTGATGGTTGCGAAATTGTCGCTGTCCTGGAAACTTTGTTACCAACTACCGGCCACGCGTAGATTGAACCCAGAGTTGGACTGGCTCCTGAAGAAGAAGGAGGCGAGCCCTTGATGGTGACAAAGAGACCTGTTGAAGACGGGTTGAACCTGATATCCGAGACAGTGAGGATGGGGCCACTTGGTGGCGTCGTTTGCTTAACGGTTTGGGTGATGTCGCGAAGGCTGCTGTCCAAGGCTGCGAGACCGCGAGCTTCATCAACCGAGAAGCAAGCGACACCAGCCCTGGTTCCACCATTGAGAACACAAGCTATGGCGAGTTAGTTTTCCTCATTTGAACATGTCCAATGTTATGTCAACATACCAGTATTGATTTTCTCAGAGTAGGCTACCGAGACTGGGAAATCACCCAGCGTACTAGCAGGCTCGCCAACAAGTGTGAGATGCTGAGGGTTGCTGGGGTCGATTTTAAATAACGACAATGTGTTGCTACCAGCATTGACAACAAAAAGAAAGTTGCCGGATACAACAATTGCGTCGGCAGAGAACAGGCTGTCTGGCCCTGAAAACCCAGAGTTATCAGGGGGGGGAGGGTTCGGCACAACCCACTTTCCATAGGAACCATTTCCTTTGGTAGAAGCTCTCACGGGATTAGACAGAGTGCCATTGCTCAAGATGTTCAAAGAGACGACCGAAGCACCACTTGGGTCATTGTCAAGGAAATAGGCAGCGCGTTGTGCTGCTCCTACTTGCAAATCCAAACCCAAAATAGGGAGTGTTGAAGCCGAGGAGAGCGTCAGCCAAGAAGCAATAAGCGAGGGAACAAGCATCGTGTAAAGATTTTTCGTTTGAGTAAATAGGATATGTAAAGAATGACCCTGCTCTGTCTCTATTGACACTCATGTAAAAGCTTGGTGAGGTGCGACGCTATTTATACACATTCGTTGACCGATGACTACAATGCCATTGTAACAGGGGTTACTAATATCAGACATCTAGAATCCATCCTGATTCCATATCAAAGTGGAGCGATATACACATCACTCTATATCCCAGTCATTGCATAATTGTATGCATCTCCTCTTCTGCGAGACAAGAATATTATCTATATCAATATGGAGCACCCAGTAACTGAATTATCCTAATATCGTCGATCCTATTCAATTATACTCATGCTATAAGCCACTCTGAGACGAATCTCCTTAAAATGACTTAGGTAATCTTGTAAATAGTTAAAGATCTGAATATTTGGCCAAGTTGTGTAAATTAATTATAGAGTACCTTAAAATACCAAGATAAATAGCCATATAATATATCGATAGCCTAAAATGGAAGAAACTCCCATCGGCTCCAAGGAGCCATGCTCTTCACCGATGATTGGACATCCTACTGACTAACAGGAGAGTTGAACGTTTTACTATGTAATTTTATATTTCATAATGCATGTTGATAATCCTTTTGTGTATATTAAACGAGTGCATGTTGTGTATTTACATCAAGGCCTTCATTTGTGTTAGAGACATGTGGTGGGGATCAGCCCCAAAGCGGCCAGCTGCATATGCCGCACAGGCCCCATTCAGGACAAGAAATCTCGGTTGGATACAAAAGATGGCTGTTTACTGTGTTGCCCTATAACTCGTTATTTCCCGCAAACGTCCCTGGATTCACCGCCATAGCTGCAATACTACCCAAGACTACACATATAGTATATTTAGGGCGTTGAGAGTGCATGATCGTAGTGGAGACGACTTATGAGCTGCCCATCTTAGTATAGGTAGATCTTTTGTATCCTAGTGCTCAGCTTTAAAATGATCTTCTCCGACTTAAAACTCTGCAGGTTAGAGGTTTGAAATGGCTACTCTGCTACTCTGACTCAATCACATATTTGGTGTCTATTTTACCCTCCAATTATGATTCAGCAACCCATATTTAGTCTTTAAAAATTCAGCAATACTTTATTACTCCTATTATCAACAGCATAACGGAAGTCCCAGGCTGTAGCTTGCGGAAGACGAATCTATAGCCATGTGTATATACATGCAGCTTGGAATAATTGGGAACCAGCATTGAGCTAGTCTTTCTCTTTTTCATTTTGACGTTCAACTTGCTGACAAGAACATTGTGGAATTATTTACATTTTAAGAGCCGTTCCTCCGGCGCTGTGAGTTGGATAGAACAAATGTAGAGCGGAGATGTCATTCAGGCCTGCATGTTACCGGCGATTAAGTATCTGCAGGAAACACGCAATGCAAATGATCCCAGATAGGCTGCTAACAGAGATAATGCAGCCATGTTCGTCAATGTCAAAGACGTTGCGGGACTGCTGTAGCTACTGTGCTTGATAGGAAACGAAAAGCGAGCGCATTCCGGAGTGTGCATGTTTTGCCTAGGATAGTGGAGATGTTCTCCACGACAGACAGCGCTATCCCGCCCTAACTGCTGAAGAGGGATCTCAACAAGATACACGGAGAATCCTTGAAGATGGAGTCCGATATGCTAACACTGTTTACGCCTCGATTTTTGATGATTTAACTATTCGCAACCTCTTTTATCTTGCGGTCATTCGCGATTGTCATCGGGCTATGAAGGTTGCAAGAAAAGGACTGTCTGATCTCACCAATATGGCCATTCTGCACTCCTCGATAGTGTTTCCGTGGTGATGGATGTTTTGCATAGGAATTTCTTGAACTTTATCTCGCATTCAATCAATATCATAAGATGTCAAAAAGTTTGAGCGCGCTCACTTAAATAGCTTCAAGCCAGAAGGATGCCAAGATGGCGGCATGAGCTGCTCTAAATGTGGCCAGACTCATTTCAACATACGTTATACATTGACATTCCTTTGGCCCGAGCATTTATTGACTCTTATCCATACTTTCTAAATAATCTCGTAAATTCGTGGTCAGTAATCCCAGCTGTGTATTCGCAAGGGCATCCTGAGACACTGAGATGTCTCTCCGACCTTGAAAGAGAGCACCTCTGATGATACTTTCGATGCCTTGCTTTGGGTTACCGTCTGCAAGCAGTCTCCAGCCTTCTTGGCGAAGATTATCGGCATCAACGTAAGATACACTCCATTTCGACTGTGTAATGTCCTCCAGGGCCGCAAGGATCTCTGATTGAGAAACGATGAAGCTCCTGATGGATAGATATTGGTTGGCACTGTCCGCAGGCCTTTGCAAAACGGACACCACGCTCTGCGCCATGGCAGGAATTGTTGTGGAGTCGAAACGAGCTTCACCAGTGTCAAAGATGGTGGCTGTTCTTTCTGACACCGAGAAACCCAGGCCCCAGAGTTAATGCCCTGTGTATAGTTTACGTTAGCTGCGGCACGGGGACATCAGATACGATAATTGCTGCCCACCACATCAAACAACGCGCCTCCAGAGAGACACGTCCAACTAAAATCCGGGTGCAATCGACACTTTTCCCGCAGGTACCCAATCAATTCGGTCTTGGGTGCCATGAGCTTCTTGAAATCTTCAATTGGCTGAGCAATGCTGCCAGAGCCATACTCGCTAGGAATAAATCGCTTGACCCCGGCCTGAATTGCTGCATCGACCATGACTTTCTGAGCTGCAATTGGCGGTCTAGCAGCTACGGCGCTCACCACGGCCACCTGGCCCGTGAAGATCTTGACAAGTGACCCGTAGGTGTAATCGCTAGTCACGAAAATCGCACCGTTAGTTTCCTCTGAATTGAAGCTTGAGTTTCGAGTCACGACCGTGACGTTGAAGCCTGCGTCTATCAAGGCTTTAACAATTGGCCGACCAACTTGGCCAGTTCCCTACACACCAAGAGTGCTCAGTAAATAAATTGTGACGATGGAAGTGTGCGTCTTACGCCGAGAACTGCGATATTGCGAGAGTTTGCCATTTTCACGCAGCTATTCAGAAAAGTCCGTCAAGCTTATTATCACTGCCGATCAATTGAAGATGACTCTATTCGATGTGCTTAGAACGCCCATCATTTATACAGACGACAATTGCAAAACACGTTTAACGAGGCCACCAGTTGTTACTATTAGTTACGTATGCTAGAAAGCCTGCTCAATGACGCAAGCTTGCACTCTTTGGAATCTTGAATGTCCAAGCATAATCTGTTGCAACTTTACGCGAAACAATCAGCCCTAGTTTGAGTAGGTTGTCAGTCACAGCCACCTCGCAGCGAACTCCGCATTCAGCTCCGCATCGTCAGATTAGCTAGTTTAAAGCCTTCAGTGAGAACATGTAATAAACACATGAGCGCGTTCTTGCCCGAGTTTCGTAAAGCTGTTTTTCTCTTGCAACTATTATTGCTCAATCCTCAGACTCTTTCACGACACTCAATATGGCGGCCAGCATTTCTCGACCGTCGACAATGCGCGCTTGGACGTTCAACAGCGGCGGTGCGCCAGAGCAAGTCTTGTCATTCAACCCGTCCTTGTCTGCTCCCACAGACCCAAAGGGCTCGGACGTCTTGATCAAAATATCCCACGCGTCACTCTCTTCTCCTGGCTGGAATCTGATGAGGGACATTCCGTCTCTCCTGAGGAAAAACGCAATACCGGAGCTCGACTTTTCTGGCCGCGTCGTCTCGGCAGGTCCTGCTGTTCCAGCTGAATTCGCTCCAGGAGCGGCTGTGTTTGGTACCGTTTCCAAGTTGGGCAGTATCATTCATAATCAGGGAACACTGGCGGAGTATATTGTGTTGAACGTCGATTGTATCGCCGTCATGCCGACCAATGTAACATTTGCAGAGGCCGCTTGTCTAAGCTGCCTCGGACAAGTTGCACTGGAAATGGTCCATCGGGCTAAAATTTAAAAAGGACGATCGAGTTCTTGTCAATGGAGGTAGTGGCGCTGTGGGAGCAGCCGCTGTCCAGCTCTGTAAGGACTTGGGCGGTTTCGTCGTGACAACGTGCTCTACCAAACACGCCGATAGGATGAAACAGTCTTTAGGAGCAGATGAGGCAAGTGCATCTGATTTCATGTTTGCTACTGACACATAGAAATGACTAATCTCTTCCTCGCTCACGATGCAGATTATTGACTACTCTCAAGTCAACTCCGTGCCCACCGCTCTTGAGAAATCCTACGGCGCGAGCCAATTTGATGCCATCTTAGATGCGGTAGGCTCTCAAGAATTGTTTCGACAATGTCCAAAGTACCTTAAGCCTGAAGGCGTGTTCATCAACGTCGGCGACGGCGACGCCCATACAGGTCGGCTTGGTTTACTTCTGCGTACACTTCAAAATTTGTTTCAACCGGCTTTCTTGGGTGGCGTGCCGAGGCGATATATCACGTTCAGCGCGCCGCTGAATGGGCAAAATGCGGCACATCTTGGAAACTTGGCTTCGAAGGGCAAGATGCAAGTGTTGATTGACTCAACGTTCTCGTTAGAAGACGCCATTAGCGTAAGATTGATACCGCGACAGGGGCAGCTTGTATGTGTCTATACTAACACGGTCTCCAGGGATACAAACGCTACAAAAGCGGCCAATCCCAAGGCAGAGTTGTCATTAACATCACGAATATGGATGAACAAGATCAATAAAGCCGAGTTCCATTAGCACTTCTAGTTTAGGATTCTCGTCGTATCGCTCCGCTCTAAGACGTGATTGAGAAGTTACCGTCCGAGGAATTGCTCAAAGGGCCTCTGTAGGCGGTGTATCCTGGGTTCAAGGCCATGCTGAGATATTTAGACGAATAATTTGATGAACATAATGATGAACATGTAATAATGTCTGATTGGGTTTTGCTAGTTATTATAGTGCTAGCTTGGCAAGCAGCGACTTAATCAACTTTTCTTTGGACTAAATAGGTGAATTTTGTGATGGAATGCCCTTTCCCTATTAGAAAGATATAATCTTTACCGAAGTTCAAATATGAAGCAGTGAGTCTGTTAATTTTGACCTAAAATGAGTCCGGGGACCGAGACGAGGAACTCACTCATTGACTGTGTGACAGAGCCATAAACTCGTCAAACAATTCTGCGGAGCGGAGATGGACTCTCCGCATGCCAGGAACTTGATAAATCAAGACGCCTAGCCACGTCGCTGCAACTAAGAAGCGATCAACGAATCTCATGACCGAGAATTAACGTGAGGCTCTTCCGATTGGCTAGATCGGAGAGCGCCGAGACTTTTTTATTGCCTTGTTCGGAAGCTGTACTATTTTAGGTAGCCGAGCTAAAAGCTCACCGAATGAGCCGCAGCATCATCGCTAGCCAACTCGGTCCATCTGTTAAGCTAGGAATATAAACCAAAAGACCTCCATAAACCTCCACATACGACCATAGGTAGTGGAGAATTCGGGGTCCCGTCTGCTCCCCCATAGACAAGCCACTAACCGGCAGATTAGTAGTCAAGTGGGTGACCATTGGCGAACACCGGCTGTTGTATGTTTTTTAGGTTTATTTTTGACTTTTGCTTTGGTGAAGAAGGCTAATACAGGTGACAAACTACTAAACTTCGCCAATTGGAAGGATATAGATGTATGAAATGGGCCGGAACCTGATTTGGTATCTGCATAAACCTAGACCTAGATTTTATATAACATCTCTCTTATATAACATAGTTTCGCTATATACAATGAGAGACTACACCTACTTCGATTAGAAATAGGTATGGGTTCATCTGATCAGCTTCCCATCTATAGATCCGGATCTAAAGACCAACTAGAACCGTTTCAAGAGCAGTGTAGTTTGGAGATCTGCGGTACTTCGAGTTAGCTGAGTCAAACTACACAGAGATGTTACCAGAATCATACCCTAGTCCTGTTACTGGATCCCATCCCGCAGCAGCAGGGAAACCCCACAGGGTTGTTTCGTCAGGAGAGCTACAGCCCTCGTTACTGCCCACAGTGATGTCGTTAAAGGCCTCCGGATGCGCATACTGAGAGTAGTCAAAAGTTAGCAATATGAAAAAGCCTCTATGACTAACACAAATAATCCAAAGTACAACAGCACTTACCAGAGCTGGATTGACAAATCCAAGCGTGCTCTTTCCTGCAGCAATGCGCTTCTCGTTGATGAGAGTCAGTATAGAACCCCAGAGGGGAGCCGAAAGCGAGGTCCCGCCAATTGTGTAATAGTCTCCTCCATAGACTATGATCTGATTCTCTCCTACAGCAGCCACGTCTGGATAGCCTCGACCACCACTGTTATACACTTGATTGACGTCTGTGATGTTATCGAAGCTGCCGTTAACAATGATCTGGTTATACGAGCTAAACGGCAACGAAGCCTGCACTTGATCATAGTACGCCTGGATGGCATCCTTCTGATAATCGGCGACCTCGTGGATATTGCTGAAACCACCACCACTGGGGAATTGAGTAGTAGCAACCTCTTCGAGTATCTCCCACTCAACTGGAGGCGCACTAGGGTCTGGCCGCCTCAGCTCCGTACCGCCAACAGTGAGGATATAAGGGCACGTCTGAGGGAAGGCTGGTGTGAATATAGTCCCTACAGTGGGCTCCGCAGTCGAACCGATACAACCCAGGTGAGATGCGACACCGTCATCGCCCGATGATATAACAACGGTAACTCCCTGCAAGCCAAGCTTCATATACTCGTTGCATTGGCGGTACTGGTAGTTGTTGGGAAGAAGATCTTCAATGGCGCTATAAGAAATAGATATCACATTAGTAGGCTTGTACACGCCGCATTGGAGCTGTCCTTGATATCCTATAGGCGCAGGATAATTGGTGTTTGGATAGAATGGATCGGCGCATGATGGGTCGGTGCAGTCACCAGTCTCGTTAAATGCGCTGTAGGTGCAGTAACTGCCATCAATAGCGTCGAGGAAGGCTTGGATTGGTCAGCTAAACATGTGAACGAGAGGCTATGGATTTATCTTACTGTTGAAGAAACCTTCAGATCCGACAATCTCCCAATATTCATCATCTGTCTGGAACAAGACGGTTGTCTGGGGCCATATAAGCGGGATGGAAGCCTGGAAGTCCAAACTAGATTCCGCTCCAATGCTGGTCCAGTCAGGACCGAGAGTAGCCACGATGTCTTCGTAAGACCCAATGGCACCATCAACAAGTCGATTTTCGGGATACGTCCCAGCTGGGATATCAAGGTATCTGCTGCAGTATGAGATTCGAGTTTTATGTAGTATGTATGGGATATCATTGAGGGATCCTTACGGATAAAGATTCGCCAAGAGCTGATCGAGATCAGCTGTACTGTAATGATCGTCCAGAGATTCAAAGATTCCAAGCTCGTTTCCAGGAGCAGCGGTCGTACCATTGACAACGCCGTACTGAACTACGCTGTATATTAGCACAGTCAAGCATTCCGGATGATATTACGGGGCCACTCACCTCTTATGCAATCTGCAGTAATGAAATCGCTGCAAGTGGTAGAATTCACACCTGGGATGTCGTTTGCAGCACTTATATAAGCAATGTTATTCTCAGCAATTGGGCCGTCCCTAAGTCCAGGGACCTTTTCTCTGCGCTTCTTTAGCTTTCGCTTCAAGGCCCCATTTTCTCGCATTCTAATGCCTGGAGTAGCATAGTCAATGTGTTCCTGGATATGAGTGGGAACGTGGTACTCATCACAGGCAATATCTCTATGCGAGCCTGTGCTGTCTTCCCAGAAGTAGAAGTCAGTGATGAGGAGGTCCTCAGCCTCTTCGGCTGCAGCATCAAATTGGATCCACTGTAATACCGAATGTTAGAGAAATCGCACAAAGATACTATTAAGATGTCGCTTATGTGCACCAGCCTTGGGCATAAAGGCCTCGGTAGTAGCCGGGCTTATAAGATATAGTACTTACCTGTTTATTAGCCGATTGGCTAATGCGCTGTCTTTCAATGCCGGAAGACACAAGCCAATCAATGACAGCATCCACACTGGACTGCGCAGGAGCAAAGAAGTCGATAATCTCCTCCGAGGTCATGTGTTTGCCGTAATGGGTGGAACCTGGGGTAGAGCTATACTCTAAATGTTAGCGTCACTCCTATGCTCTTATCTAGATGGATCACCAACATTTCCATAAGTCTAGTATGCCCTGCATCCAAGTTACGCTGCTTCAGGCCGATACGCATCGGCAGAACAATTTTGGGAGACAGCCTTTCCCTCTTATTCCAGTGCCGGGTTATGCGAGGCTTGTGCCGTTCATGGAGCGTGTGCGTGTTGGGAACATCACGCTTGCCTGGGGCCTTGTCGCGCAAAAGAGGACTTGCAACAACTTCAAGGGCCAGCCCAAGGCCAAAAGCGGCGACGAGAGAACGAAACAACATTGCCGTCTTCTATCGAGTAAACTCAGTCTACTAAAAAAGATAGAGATACTACAATCTACAGCAATAAAAGCATTGTAAAAGAGGCAGAATAGAACATTATTTAAATCTATAGCTCTATCTTGGTAAAAGAAGCAATTGTTGCATTGACATGAACAGGGTATTACTAGATGTGGAAGGTACATTAAACAAGGTGTGTCAAGTGATATCAAGTAGAGATAATGGATCCCTGTACTTTAGCCGGATATAGGAGCGATTGCTACCATTCATACTCACTCATATTAAGCTCTCTGTTAAAGTATGTCTATAACGCTTCAGAGATACGACATGCCGATCAATCTTTTAAAATCTTCCATCTAGTTATAGTCACAATATCTTCCAAGTATAAAGGAAGAAAGAGGCAAAGAGAGGCGACTAGCTTTTGCAAATCAGCAGTTGTCTTGACAATGTTGTAGGTAGGGTTAATATAGAGTGATTCTAACCATCCAATTATTATAAATTGCAGGCTTCCTCCGAATATCCCAACGAAACAGTTGACATACATGCATATATGGCGCTATTGAATCATAGGTAATGTTGATAGTAGAGAGTGACTTGTAATCAGTTCAATTTTAGCGGAGAATGTCCAATACTTCGAATGTCGCCTTTCCAAAAACAGATGCCAAGTCTTCATTATGCGCTATGCGCGTGCTCTTGCCCCTCTATTCCGTCAACAGCGTTATCTCCAGACTTTACAGTATTTAGTCACGCATAGAACAAAGCTGTAAACTTTCGTAGCTAACCCCTCATCATTCAAATCATACAATCCCTTCCCACTTCAATAGGATAGTTTGCTACAACTCTTGCTTTGGTTCAACGTAGATAACAATACTGAATACGAGACTGCTCATGGAAACTAGTAATCATTCATTTTGGTAATCTCTTTATAATCATCATACGTGCAAGAACTCCATCTTCTTATCTGCAGAGAACCTGCAGCTTGCATCCAACTTCTTCTAGCACTACTACCCTCCTTCGATATCACGACCTTGAATTAACGCTACAATCATCAATCACACTGAAAGAGCTCTTGGCAAGACTGTTTGCGTTAGCTAGTTGTGTGTTCATCACACCATCTCCATTGATGCACGTCTTTCATGTTATCACGAGTGCAAATAATACTAGCAGCTTCCATATGAAGCTGCGGCCTTCTCGGGATGATTTCTCATTAAGGCCTCGTGCTACCAACTCCCGCAATATCGGCATATATATCACCGACTATATGCGGGCTGCCGAATTGAAAGGGGGGGTCAATGGCGGCCATGCGGCAAATTATTCACGATGCGGAGACAAGGACGTTTGATGAAGAACACATACAGTATCTAAGAGTAAGGTCTTCGCAACACAACACGTTTAATGAAGACTCAACGCATGACCAGTTGCAAACATCTTGGAACCATCAGTAATGAAAAACGAGAGCCCCCATTAACACGTCCCATTCACCTCGTTCTTTAAATATAGGGGCCTTCTCCTTCGATATCCTAGGACTCCACTATCTCGAACTTCGTATTTAATGACAATGAACTACCAACACTTGAATCATAGTATTCATCTTAGTTCAAGAAATGCTTTCCAATGGTGAAGTATTCTCTTAGTTTAGCAGTCTACTAAATGCTAGCCCAGCCTCGTGGTTGGTTTTGACTTCTTCTCTAGTGTCGGTAGTTTTGAGTCTTACGCACTCTAATTGCTAAGTAATAATGTTATATTTAGTATATAACAAACTTAGCGTTGGATACTGCGTATAGTACTATGTACTTTTCTTAACGGAGGTCTTTCATCACCCCACCCTTATCCCCGCCCCTTTGCGAATGATCTTGATCTATATGGCAATGCCGGCCGATGAACAGCGTATGAATTCGTGCCCAGACCTCCAACTTTCCTCATTCGATTGTCAAAAGGAATTTGAGTAAGAAATTGGCCTTGCTACTATAATCTCCAAAGAGTAGGCGGCCCAAAGTACAATCGTATATATGCCCAAGTACTAATAATCTTTGGTGTCCACGGCAGTACAGTCATGCTCTTTATGTATGATCCATTATTCTTCTATTTGCTACTTCATCATGATCGTGTTACCCTAATATCTCTCTTAATTCGCTTGGACACTGATGAGGGGAATTTTGCGAGCTTCAGCCCAAACAACCAATAGCTCATGCAGTCGGAAATCTGTAGTGTTCAATTTTCCATGCAATAGGTCTAGGCATCAAAGGGGCCTGATCGTCTATTATCTCGAATTTGAGATCTCTCAAACCTGGAAGATGTTTTATTCTTACGAGAGATTACAGCATAGACAAATCTCCTTTTTAGAGTATCTGATACAAGACCGTCTACATGAAGTTTGTCTTTCTAGTGAAAGGACCAAGAGAATGTGTCTCAAAGTTGAGATGCCGTCTAGTATAGTCGTGTTTTAGTAAGCCAATCTATATGCTGCTGTAAGAGGCATGATCTACATAAGCTGCAGTATAAAGAGGAGGATATGACTGTCTTTGTCTTACTCTGCAAGGGATAATAGAAATGACGATACTTGGTGGAGAAGATGCGCACTAGCGAGCCCAATCAGTGTATTGCAGTTTCCTTCGAGTTCTCTTCATGTGTAACGTCTAAAAAGTAAAACAAGTGACACAGCTTCAGTATAGCAAGCCTTTTATGTGGTCCAGATCAATATGTACATCATAATTATGAAACGTATCAAAGCCAGAGCCCGTATTGCTTCTTGTGTGATACCATTGCTGCCCACTTGACTCCAAGTCGCACACCCAAATGATTGCGATTTCGGAGCCTGTCGTGAATTTAGCCAGGCCATATCTCATTTTATCTGCCAAGATGCACATGTGTAGCAAAGTAGCGTGCTCTTGTGGAACAAAGTAAACCTGCTTTATACCAACCTCTGGAGCTAAATATGCCATGTCTTGGATTTTGACCGTGGAAGAAATGCCGTTGATGACGTGTCGCTGTCTATCTCCCTTATAGTCCGTATAAGGAGTGTGAGACCGTCTCACCAGCAGCCTGGTCTAATAGAGATTCATTTTCCGTGATAGATCCTCGTATGTCTTAAGAAAGATGCTGAAATGTCTTTGAACGAGACATTACATGTCTCCCTACCAAATACTTCGGTATTATCCCAAGGTTGGACGCTAGTGAGTCTTATTTAAGCCCAAGGCCGCATGCCATCAAATTCATCTATTTCATCACATTTACTATATTTTACAAAATCTTGAACATGAGGCTATCCTCCATCTTAATCTTCCTTACTCTCGGGGTAATTCCCAGTCAAGGGCATTATGCGCCACCGATCGACCATGAGAATAGAGACAAACAGGACCTTGGGCGTCTTGTTGAAGACATACAGGCCAAAGTTTTCAAGTTTCTCGATAATAGGGAGGCTGAACTTGATGCAAGAAATGAGAGTACTCAATGTACAACAAAGAACATTGTTTTCCGCCGCGAATAGTATGTGGACAAAACACTGTGCAAATGGAATCCAGGCTAACCATCATTACAGCGGATCTCTTACTGAGGCCGAAAGATTAGACTACATCAATGCTGTGAAGTGTCTTCAGAAGTTATCGCCACGCTCTCCCGCGAGTGTGGTGCCTGGAGCGAGGTCTCGAGTCCGTAGCTTCTAGCCCCCAATTGACGCCGCCATCTGTGCATGTATTATGCTAACTCAGACATGACAGTATGATGACTTTGTTGCGGCGCATATCCAGCACACGCTGTCTATACACCTCACCGGCAATTTTCTACCATGGCATCGCTGGCTTATACACGAATATGAGCGTGCATTGCGTGAGGAATGTGGCTACAATGGCTACCAGCCTGTATGTATACTTTGTATGAAGTGCGGACACTTGATTCGATCATTTACTGATACCAGAAATAGTATTGGGACTGGCCCAAATATTCCTCGGCGCCAGAAAAATCTCCCATCTTCAACGGTGATCCCTACAGCTTGGGTGGGAATGGAGACTTTATTCCTCACGACGGACGTATCCGCCAGTCACCGAAAAATCTCCCTATCGCTGGACTCGGAATGTGGGTGCCTCCCGGCCTTGGGGGCGGTTTTGTTACCACAGGGCCATTCGCCAATATGACAGTCAATCTCGGTCCAGGCGACAGCGTGGTATATAATCCTCGACGTTTCAAGCGAGATATTGGCCCGTTCCATAACACTCGCTTCGCTAACTATACTACTATATTAAGTGAGACGAATTACATGTACAAGAGAGCATCACTACTAACCATATATCGGTAGACATACTACGACAGCCAAATATTGAAGAATTTCGGTATCAAGTAGAAGGTGTGCCCTACAGCAGCGAGATCGTTGGTCCTCATATCGCTGGACACACTACTATCGGGTAAGCCCTCTTTGCTGTCCGGTGGTGGAATGAGATGTTCTAAACTCTAGTGTATAGCGGCGATCCTGGGGCCGATATATATGCCTCCCCTGGCGATCCAGCATTTTATGTGCACCACACAATGGTAGACCGAATTTGGAGTCTATGGTAAGTGCTTGTAAACGGCCGCACTTATTCAAGATGCTCATAGATGTGTGCGCAGGCAAGCGATTGATCCTGAGATACGGCATAAAAAGCTAGGGGGCGAGGAATATGGGCACATCACCTGGGCAAACACGCCCCCTTCGAGGGAGACGAAGCTGAGTGACATTATCGACTTGGGGTATGCTAGCAAGTCTATACAGATTGAACATGTTATGAATACTCTGTCTGGGCCATTTTGCTACTTTTACCTGTAGTTAGCCGGTAGACGACGATGAAAATACAGGCAGAGCAGACATAAATAGCTATTCCTAAGGAATATCTTGCTCATAAAGGCGTAGACACAGTCATAACTGCCTACTTGAGAGACCAACTGCCAGAGCTGGGAGATAATAGCCAGTGCGATGACAATAGCCGATGCAGCATATTCTACATATCGTATACATCTAAATATCTCCGGTGCGCTCCATTCTCGGGAGATCTTCTCGGGGGAATCCAATAGCAAGCAGCACGCTCTCTTGCACATGACCCAGATCTATGAGATATCTTGCTATCTCGTGCCTGTCAAAGGGTGAATAGCTGTCAATATTAGGCGAACGTGGCGGACTTGAGGATAAGACGGCTGGGTCTGCTCCTGCCTCCTCAATCAAGTATTTGACCATCTTATCGTCTTCCCCAAATATCGCAGCAGCCAAAGCGCTGCCATAATCTCCGCTGAGATGCGCATTCACGTCGGCTCCATTCTCCACGAAAAGCTTGGCACACCCCAGCGAACCTTGGTATGCGGCTGTTCCTAGAGGGCTGCCGTAGTTGTTTCCTTCAGTCGCCAAATTCACATCCGCCCCATATTTTACCAAGACCTCTGCTGAGTTTATTCTATCCCAATAGGCAGCTGCTTCCAAGGCGCAACCATAGGAGCAGGCTGAACACGTGATGTTGGGATCCGCTCCTGCCTCAAGAAGAGGTTCAACCAAATCTTCTGCATTGCTGTGAACAGCCTGACAGAGCGGGCTTTTGCCGTTCCTCATCGCATTTGGGTCGACGCCCTTGTCTAGGAGCAGCCTTGCCGTTTTGATTCGTCCCCTTCCGATAGCTTCCATGAACGCGCTTCCATAGTCACTATCCAGCCCTCTGTGTATGTCGCTTCCCCGGTCAATGAGCTCAGAACAAAGGCCATCATGGCCCCACTTTGCAGCGATTGCGAGCAGATCCAGTCCCTCTTTATTAACTTGTGAGACATCAATGTCTTTATCCCACCAGCCCTTGAGCAACTTGTCAAGACCAAAAACGCAAATAACAAAAATGGACTTTTCTGGTGGCAGGAAATCCCATCGGTAACCGTAGACGTAAGCAAGGTCTCGGTTGATCCACATGTGCCTGCACCAAGCTTGATACTGTCGACTTGAGGGCTGTTGAGGACCTTGTGGTCCCAAAAAGCGTTTAAGAATCTCTGGTAGCCGCGTCGCCTCCTGGCACTCGTTTGGAGCGTTTTGCACATGTTGCAACCAATATTTTCTCGTATATTTTTGAAGAGGATGTCGCGCATCTAAATGGTTGTCAAGGTCCGGTGCCATCTTGAGATACTTTTCAACCTCGTCGTCCGAGTCAGGTAGTGTCCATGTCGAATAGCAATCTATCAAACAGGAAACCAGCAGAATTGCCACATCTTCGGGACCCTTGCTTACCCAGCTCTTATGCCGATCCTCGAAATACTCTGCAACTGATGCATGCGGAAATTTCCACACCCTCAGTTGAGAATCTAAAACAACCAAGTGTGAGCAGATATCCTCCAAAATCGACTCGTCGATGGGATCTGACAAGGTAAGGGACAGAAGGTTGCTCTCCAAACGAACGGCCATTAGCAGCACTTCGCTCGTCAATGGCTCTCTAGCGCATAAAACCCATTTGACTGCCCGTTTTAAGACGGCCTTTTCTTCATTTTTTGAATAGATCTCATCATACGCTTCTGTAAGGCTTTCGGGAAGCTTCCCAAGCCGCTCAATGATGTGTTCGTTGGTTCTCAGCTTTTTGAGCTGCGCCCATTGCAAGTATGCCCATCGAAACCTGCCAATTTATTAGCATGATTCAAAAGATTGTGAGATTATTCGAAGCAACAATATGGTGCCATGGGCAACTTACATTCCGTCGCTTTTCTCTCCAATCGTTTTCTTGACCTGCTCCTTGACTTCCGCAGAAACTGCACGCCATGCGCCACCAATCTTTGCTATCTCCATGTCGATATATTTCTCGATATCATCCTTGTTATCGGCGGTACTAATCTGAACCAGCCTCTGTGAACCAAGGTATTCTTCAATATCCGCCTCTTTGCGACTTGCAATGAAAACTTTGACAGTACCTTCACCCTTGTCGACAAGTTTGTGCAAAATGCGAGCAAGGGCCTCTCTAGTGTCCATCTCGCATTCATCTAGAGCGTCCAAGATCAAAGTAGTCCGAGGATAGAAGTTCATGAGCTCCATCAAGGCCATCTCACATTCGTCTGTGCTAAAGCCTCTTTTCTCGTTCTTCGCCTTGAGGTACAAGGCATAGACGTTTTTCTCCATCATGGTTGGATGGTTCGGCACCCTAGCAAGCTGAGATATATAGCTCCTAAGGATATGCTTCGTCTCTCGGCGCACTGGATCTGAACGGCTGCAGTAGAAGTACGCAAAGCCTTCATCATGCTCAGCGTTCCGCTTACGAGTGGCAAGAATATATTCAATGACTTTGGAGGTTAGAAAAGACTTCCCTGCGCCAACTAAAACAAAATCAAAGTGCAAAAGTCAGTTCAACATGTTCAGTCTCTGCTATCCCCCCAATAAGTCAACTGGGGTAGAATTACGTACCGTTGCCTTGAAGCCATAGTATTGAGGACCTTGAATCTTTCCATTCGAGAAATATAGAATGACTCAATAGCCATTCGCATGTCTCAGGGGTTCTCGCTTCCTGCTTTTCCAGCTGATGCTCGCCGATTGGTATGGTGCTAATATAGTCTAGCGCTTGTTGCAATGTTCCATCCTCAATCTTCTCAAGCAGCTTCTTTACGGTGTCTTCAACGTTCCTTAGCGGTTCGTCAAGAGCCTGTAGAAGCTTTTGATGCTCTTGTGACGCAACTGCACCACAACCTTGAGCTGCCATCGACACTTTGCCTTCTTGATCTGCCAGCGCCGATACTAACTTTGCGCCTTCTCCACCAGATATAAGGGCACGCAGAAACTGCTTCCCTTGTCCTTCATTTAAACGCGTAGAGGCGTGGGCTAGGAGCTCCATCAATGCTTTGTATAGGTCCACAAGTGCATCCTGTAGATTCTGTGCCGCGGTATTATAAGTGCCGCCACTGAGGTATACTTGCTCGTATACCTTGCCATGTCTAATAAGTCGCAGGACTTTTTCGGCACATCCAAAGATGGCCGCAAGGTCCTCACATTGGGAAACGTTGGCCTAATTGTAAGCTTAACTGTTAGAAAAAAGATAGATCTTCGTGATTTGACAGGAAGGAAAAAGCAACAGGGGCTTTAGAATAAAGATGTACACGCAAAACGAGAATACCGAGCAAAAGTCATGAAAAGCTGCTCTTAGTAAAGTAGTAACATAACAGAAGTAGTAGAGGCGATATTGGAGCAATGCTTGTATTTACAAGATCTTCTTTTTTTTTTCTGTTTCTTGCTTGAATGTATATGTAGACTTTCTTACCTTCAAGAGTACTTTAACAGCTGACCAGACAACCGGGGACGGTGCTGGAGCAAAGTTGATGGAGATATCCCCAATTGTCGTCACCCACGCCACCACCCTGCTGGCGTAATCTCTCCATAGGATCTCCTGATCACCGATTTTGAGCTTCGGGGTTGCATCTTTGTACACTTCTTCCCTTTCTCGAATGATTTTGATGAGATCTTGGGCCTTCTCTTCGCCGCTGTCTTTTTTGGAGGCATCTGCGATCCAATTCTTGGTCTTTCGATCTAGTTTCTGATAAGCTCGAGACCATAAATCAGATCCGACACTCTCGTCAATTATTTCAGTGCGAGATTCGGCGGGCGTCTCAGTAGTAAAACTAGCAGTAGCAAAAACAGCACCAGTAGCAGTAGCAAAAAATGCTCCAGTGGCAGTAGTAGAAGTAGCGCCGGCCTTTATAGCAGCATATGTTTCCTGAACTGTAGCAGGTGGGTTTGATGAGGTTGTAATTCTCGCTGGCGATGCCTCTGCCTTGGACGACGGGCGGGAGGGGTCCTGCCTATCATGCCTCTTAGTCTTTCGTTTGAAGAGAGCGGTTAAACGGCTACTTCTATCGACTCGCTCACCCTGAGCGGAGTCAGGCATGCTTATAAGGAAGGGTCAACTTTTCCGAGCAATTAGTTCTTGTCAAATAATATCTGTCGCAATGGCTGGCCACAATATGAAAACCACAGTACTATCAGATGGCAAGTACGTGTAGTTGGAATATTTGATGCATGACCTGCTGTATCGCCAGGCTGAGACCCAAGTCGGGCACCAATGCGGAGTTGATTGCCAGGTATTACCCGCAACCCCTCATCCATCTGAGATCAATACGTACAACAAGGCTTACTGGAAAAGCCAGTAACAACAATATTATCCCACTTCCTAGAGGAAGATCAAACGCGGGTGGCTGTCTGTTACTCCCATAGATTGTGCAGGAGGATGAATCATGCCTAGGGCACTCACATAAATTGAGCTCGCAGAAATTACGAATATGGTATATTATCGTCCATAAATAATCCATACAAGATGATTCTTGTGACAAGACCTAATAACGAGGCTGGGCTCCTAGAATGGAGGAGCCTGCATGTACCTACATGTACTCAGCCTGTCGGTAAGCGGGGCTGCAGTTGATGCTCGCTCTACCAAATTCCACACGCCGTGGCTTTACGAACTTGAACAAAAAATCCACAGTTCGGAAAAAGAGTTGGCGTCCGATAGAGTTGCGTATAGAACCATGATAGTATTCCAACGCAGTGCTGTGGCCCTGTGCTAGCTAAACTTGTTCGCGGCGCCGGTTAATGAGAAAGTAGGCTCTAGATGTAATTATGGCAACTTTTCCATGAGAGTGGCAAGTTTTTTGCGCTTAAATTATTAGAAAAGAACCCAAACCTTAGTTAAGAAGATCGAATCGGACCATAGATACACAGATTTAGCATTATACAGCTTAGATGTAACAGTTTCTTCACCGTCCTTGCTTATCTGAAGATATCTTTTGTGATAAAGATGTGCATTACTATTCTCTATCAAATTATATACAAAAATGTAATAGTAGCTACGGAAATCATCGCTCAATTAAACCCCATCTGCACATAGGAAACGACGGCGTCTTTTCGGACTTGCACAAGACGATTCCCGTAGACTCAGAAAAGCCTCTTCTTAGGTTGCTGGCCCAGAGTGGTGGCAGACGCCGCTGACACAAGTATAATCGGCGTTGCAAGGCTGAGAAGCGCTGCAGTTCCAACCACCACATCCCCAGGTGCAGTTCTTGCAGTATCCGCCGACACAAGAGTAGGCCGACTGGCATGGAGAAGAGCTGCTACAGTCCCAGCCCTCGCAGCTAAAACGGAGGAATTGATTGTCAGCTCAACTTCTAAGCAAACAAAAAAGAAGCATTTAAAAGAGAAAGGACCATGTGAAAGATGAAAAAGGAACTAAACGTACCCCCAGGTGCAGGTATCAGCGGGATATCCACTGCCGCTGCCGCCGCCGCCGCCAGTAGGAGGGCTAGATCCTCCAGAGCCTCCTCCATTCGGAGGAGCACCGACGAAGCTCCAATCCTGCTTGGTGGTCTTGGTGTTTGCTTGCGAGATGGCGTATTGCAGATTTCCCTTGCCACTGTTGAAGCCGACTTCGAAGCCGTCGTAGCCGGTGCAGCAGCCGCTGTTGCAGGACTCGGTGCCGTCGTCACCTGGGATCATTTGCCAGTAGATCTGTATTTACAAGAGCTTGTTAGTAAACAATCTAGAGATTGAAGTTTTCATTATTGTAACATACCCATGGGTAGGCGATGTTATTGATGGCAGCGGATTGGTCGTTGAAGTCGGAGGGGTAACTTGTCGCCACTCCCCATTCCTCAATGTAGACCAGCTTGTTGTTGGCTGCAGCACTGGCTTCAAAGCCGGGCATGATGGCACCCCAGGTCGACGCCGAGCCGACGTAGGCATGGACGCTCATGAGATCGATGCTCGGGCAGGACAAAGCCTTGGCGAGCATGGTGTGGCCGTGGCTCTGGTCTCCGCCAATGCCTCCGGTTGCAACCTTGATGTTGGAGTCGGTGATGTACTTCTTGAAGTTTGCGGCTCTGTTGCAGAGCCAGTTGGAGGGGTCATTGTTGGCGCCGTCAGAGGTAAACTGGAAGGGCTCGTTCTCGAGATCAAAGGCGAGAATGGCGTCGGACCAGTTTCCCCATGCGAGGCCGCTGCTCGGGGACTTGTAAGTCAAGATGGCCTTGATACGAGCATCGTACTGAGCCTGAGCCTGGGAGTTGCTGTAGAACGAAGTCCCGTAGGTGTGGCAGTAGATGTCGCAGCCGTTGCCTGAGACACTGCCGTCGTGGATGTCATTGCCATCATGAGGAGAGATGATGGCCTTCATTCCCTTAGCAGCCAACTGGGCGAGAACCTTGTCGACTGCTGCCAGGGAGTTCCAGTTGTAGGTTCCGATGGTTGTCTCAAACTCGGAAATGCTGGTGACCACGTTGCTGCCTTTAACACAGCCGGTACCAAGTCCGTTGATCCAGACGCGAACAACTTTGGCTCCATAGCTGGCAAGAGTGTTGATGTAGTTGGCTTGGTCCGAAGCTGAGAGGCCAGGAAGGAAGTACAAGCTGGATCCTGCAAAGGAGTTTGAAGCAGCGGCAAGGCCGGAGCTGGCGAGGGCGTACGCCGCCAAGTTGAGCTTCATGATGAATCAGAAGCAGACGATGGTAGTGAGTGTATAAGACAGGAAGTTGAGGGTGTGTCTTGGGATATCTTCAATTTACAACAGCGGGATCATCCTGCCCTTTAATAGTTCTAGAGTTTGCTAGTCAATTGTGAGGCTAACTACCGTTGCATGGCTTCATTCCGAGAACAACACACGAGTTACCAGACTCAGCCAATGCAAGCCTCAACTCATCACACAGCTAGGACCGTCTACTCATCGTGATGCTCTGATACAAACTGCCCCCACCTAAATCTGTCAAGGCCGATTCAGGAAAACGCGGAAGGAGGGCTCCGCGTCCAAACTGGTACATATTTCGGCACATCGCCAAGCTCAATGGGTCCGGCTGTCGGTTCGTGGAGCTGGAGAATATCCCGAGTCTAAGCTTATTGGCTGCGGCTCGCAGTTATCGTCCTGTTTTGGAAAGAAACATATCATGATGCCCCTTGGGTAATTCGGCCCGACCGCGCCTTGGAGGGATCGGCCGTGTAGTCGTATAACGTCGCGCGTATAGTAGACGTGATTGGATGATTCAAGTCTTATGCGTGAGCTGGAAGGATTGGAATTCTGGGTGAATTGTGATTTGAGTTGATGGTGGCTGACAAGAGCTGAACGGATTGTTGAGTTGAATTGACCAGGACAGACTTCAATTGTTGCGTACGTCTTGCCGAATTGGGGCATTACAGTCCGTGGTGAGAACGCTCAAGAGGGCAGATTTAGAGGCTTAGACACAAATCTTTTTACAGTCACGGGCATACTAGACTAGCACATCGGTGATAGAGTGCCCTACCTGGCCCCTTACTCCAATTGTAAGCTTCTACTTACAGCAAGGCGCGGCGGTCTTTGCCGAGCCTATTCGCCAGAGTCGTGCGGCTCCCCCACGTAGTGTATAAGCGATAGGCTGGAAAGTCATGAATACGCTGCAGAGCTTGGATCATATTACATACAAGCACATGCTAGTTTCCAGGGCTGTTGCAAAGGCCCCCAAAAGCCCCAAGAAGGAACAGTCTGGTTCGTGCATTATACGAGATTGTTGCCTAGAGCTGCCACCCCGCAATCCGACGGTTGACAGAAAACACCATGTCCTACAATTACAATGAAATTTGGTGATTATAGATAGTCTCTATAGGTTAGATGTTTGTTTTCACTTTACAACTTTGAGATTGTTTAATTGATCTGTTAGTTATAATTGAGAGGAGGCAGCTAAAACAAGTGGCGTTTGTAGTGGTGTTCTACCTACCTATAGTAGTTACACAGCATGGGTATAAGCTCCGCGGGATTGGCTGGGTTCAGCAGATGGTTTAGTGTCAATTGAAAATGCGTTCTTTTCGCTCCCTTATGTATATTTGCAGCAAATATTCAATCTTATGTTGACTAAGACCACATGCCATTGTAGAGCCGAGGTACGACTTGCTCCGCGGAATATTGTTCGCGCACTGCGTTGTGTACCTACCTATGTGCATGTAATAAGCTTGACCAGCCGTATGCAGTGGTAAACAGCACTACAAAGTCTAGAACATCGATTAATAAAGCTGAGACGGCAATTGATTTGTGTCACTGGTCAGCTAGTTCTTCTACATCCTCAAGGTCTTCAACGCCTCTCTCTATCCAACGAATTGCCCCAGTCCCTGGATCCATGATACATCCAAAATGGGTGCATTCATTCATAATGGGAAACGCCCTCACCCACTTTTGCAACGTGCGTTCGTAAATAGCAAGACTTTCTCTCCCTCTTCCTTTCTTTAATTCCCGCTCCTGCCTCTTGGCCAGCGCGGTCCATCTGCTCAAGATGCAATCCTTCCGCTCTTCACTTTCCTCGACCAATGACTCCATACCCAAGATTAAACTGCTCTCCTTTTGGGTATACGCCTGGTCTGACTGGTCCGTGGGCGTGAAGTCGTGATTTGTGTGCACAATAAAGTCTACGGCTGACCTGGTCTGCGCGTTTTCAAGGTCTTTTTGTACCACGGTAGTTTCTGCGCCAGAGCAGAGTATTATGTAGCAGGGGGCAGCACGTGTTCTTTCGATAGATGTAACAGCGTTGTTGATGGATAGTTTACGGCGCTCTGGATGGAGAAAATGTTGGCGGAGGACTGATGATATAGATGGTCGGATACCGAAAAGCACGAGGGCCTGGTGGAGACGAAGCGAAAATGTAGAGCAGTTGTGATGAGGCCGGAAGTTGAGTGATACAGAAAGGTCCTGCCTAGGGGATCGTAAGCTTCATGTTATTACTGTACCACAATCTCAATGCAGCCTACCTCACTCCGGTCAGCACGCCAACAAACCCAGCATAGGTGACGGTCCTCGCAATCACCGTCTGAGGGTCTTCGGATTTCGACCTCACAAACTCCAGCACAACAAGAACGCTCCTCAGTTCAGGCATCCCCCAGTCTAGAGTTCGAAAATGCATCATCCTCGTCCTCCGTTCCGTTTTGTTTTCCCCCTCAGCCGGATCTATTTCCCCCTTCTTGAGTCGGGTCAGCACACCACCACTTGTGCACCCTAACAACGAATCAAGTAGCACGTTAAATGCAACCAGGAAATACATGTCTACTCCACTGCCCTTTGCAATGCCTGCCAATTCTTGTGTTTCCTCGGATGAATATACCCGCCGAAGAACAAGAAAGGCCATAAATTTGATGATGGAGCGTAGCCATGCCCACGGCACTACTGATCCGAGGACGGTGTCAAATAGCGGCGTGATTTCTCTCATTCGCGGCGCAAACTCCGTGGCCAGCTTGACATAGCGCTCGGCGGGAGGAAGGTCAAGGTCGATGCGATGAGTAGGTATATCTTCTTCCAGAGAATCAACCGCCAGCGCTGAGCGTTGCGATGCCATTCTTGTGCTTATTGTTGACGTGTCTCGGTTTGCTCAGTGAACAGAAAGAGAGAAAGTCTCTCTCACAGGTTCTTCTTCATTGCCAGCCATAGACGCAGCGGCAGGGGACCGGATGACTCAGATAGATGTCAAGGTCCAATGAAGAGATTCCTCCTCGGCTGTTGATGATAAAATTCCCTATCAGTGGTAAATCTTTATATGAGCAAACAAATTAACTACGGCCGCCAAAGTGATATGAGACGCCTTGGACGCATCTTCCGGCAAAACATCGCGAATCTTGAGTTTCCCAAACGGGGCTGCTGCCTGAGCTAAAGGAACCATTATCGAGTTATTGTGGCGCTCCCCACCACGCTTGACCTCTTATTCGCACAGAGGCCGGGAAGCGGGATGCCTGGATCATCCTTGGCAATTCCTCTGCGTCCGAATCCCGCGCTCTTTAGCAGCCATGTTTAGATTGAAGTTGTACTATACAAGTACGTTCGATATAGTCTTTTGCGTTTGTAGCTTTGAGAATTGTTTGCTTCTAGCTCCAGTCCTGCCTAAAGATTGACCCACATGCTTTCGACTATCTGAAGCGCTTAGACGCGATCTGGTGGAACGTGAAGCATAAAAATGGCATCTTCCGCATCTCTCCTTACAAGCCGTCGTCTATCTTTAATGTCTCAATCTCAATCAACTTCCAGCTGGCTCTCAAGGGCATTTTCAATCCTTTTTCCGTGCAAACAAAAAGAAAGAATGGCCGGCTTCCAGTACCCCGGAGTCAACCTCCCAATACCGCCAGACTACATCCGCCATGATGAGCGGGTGCCCATCTATCCAATCGGTCTGCCGAATGCTCGCGCGGCCGATTCGTATATATTGCCCATCAGAGAAGTCGCCATGATGATGCTCATGGATACTTTGACGGACAAGCCGAATTGGCACGAGAAGGTGTTTGATGAGGCCATTGTCGCGAAATGGCGGCACGAGGCCATGACGCAGCCTCAGCATAGCCTCTTTTTGAGAATCATGGAGGGCAAGTGGGATTCAGATAAACATCCTTTTCCCCAATGCCGAATCCTCTCGGAAGAAGCCTTTGAGTTTGTTCGTCGAATGACACCATTTCTCTCCCTTGTGGCAAGATGATAGACTAACAAAGAGATATTGTACCAACTTTACAGTGCATTGCGGAATTACGCAACAAGGCCAAGTACTTTGTCGAAACCGGTCTAATCCCTACTCTTGATTCGGCGGGTAACGCCATCATCAAGTCGGATAACTTGATCAGTGACAGTCTTCGAGATGAACTGGTCACGGCATTTGACACGCTCCGAGCAGACCAGGCTGAGAATGTGGACTGGCATCCTCGAAGCAACGACATGGTGCAGAACCTAGTGCACCCGTCCATGTATCCCTTTGTATTTGGTATGTATTTATCATCATGATCGTTACGGCCGTGATTCCTAATGGGGTGAAAATAATAAAGGCCGGTCCAGGTTCCTTGATGAGGAGCAAGTTGGCATAAAAACTGCCCTCGCGTTCATCGGCGAGGGCAGAGTCGTACCAGAAATCGAGTCCATGCCAGATTATGGTGAAAGATTTCTCGACTCATATTGGATAGGGATAAGAAATGTGGTTCCTAAAGAGTATCGTTCAAGCGTGTACCAGTGGCTACCCGCCAATGTGGCATTCCGCGACGATGGAACAACAGAGTTTACTAGCTACATCAACAACCTGCATCCAGAAGAGTATCCGAGCATTTACGAAGCAATTGAGCATGCCATTGACACCGCTCTGCCCGCGTGGGACCAATGTCTACGGAAGAACATTACCTATAAGCACGATATCGTGGCTGGGAGATGTGACTCTCGTTTCGAGCTGATAACTGAGGCAAGGTGTGTTTCCCTTTTACTTTTGCCACAGAAGAAGGTTTGTGTGTGTGTGCTGATGGCTGTTTATCTGGTAGTGACGGAGACGAAGATTTATGGACGAAATCAGCGACGTATGGTGTACCGGATGATGACGAACCAGATGAGACGGGTTATGTTCGCACCTCAGCCTTTAGGGCGCTCAGATATCGGTGGCGCCACGTTCACACCAGCGTCGGTCCATTACTCTATCCCGGCGAGTGGGTTCAGGGCCGAGAAGCCATTCTCCCAGAGCCGAAGGAATTTGCAGAGATCGACTACACGCCCAAGAGAAGACTCGGCAAGATGTTCAAGAAGCACGGACTGCAGGTGATTGTGAAGATGGCGAGCATTGAGTTGACTCCCGAGAAGCCTCATTTCCCATCGGGGTCATGGCATGTAAGTTTATGTTGTCTCTGTCTCTTTCTCCTGACAATTGCGTGTGTGCTTGATACTGAAACGTAGATTTATAGGTTGAGGGCCAGATGAACGAGAGAATATGCGCCACAGCGCTATTCTATCTTGATAGCGAAAACGTGACGGACAGCCATTTGTCGTTCCGCATGCAGACAGACTCGTATCTGCAAGACCATATCTCAACCGGACAAGACCAGTACAACTACGTGGAGCGCGTCTATGGCACCGGCCTGGGACACTCTGATGCCGCCTGCTTGCAGACCTTTGGAGACGTCAAGACGCCTCAAGGCCGGCTGCTTGCTTTTCCCAACGTATTGTAAGTCGAATCACTGCTGTTACTCATATCATGCCTATACTTGCCTCATTCTAACCGTCTTTAGCCAACATCGAGTTTCGTCGTTTGGACTCAAAGACGCGACCAAGCCGGGCCACAGGCGTTTCCTGGCCCTGTGGCTTGTTGATCCTCATGAGCGCATCGTTTCTACCGCCAATGTGCCGCCTCAGCAGCGAGACTGGTATGCTGATAGCGAGAACTACCCGCCTGAGAGCCTCATGACGGTGGGAGAGGCGCAGGAGCATCGGCTGAAGCTGATGGACGAGCGATCGAGACACGACGTCAAAGTGGAGGGTGAACTACAGAGTGCTTCGTATAATTTTTGCGAGCATTAGCGATGGACAGTTGTAGCGTAGATTTGTGTTGTAATATATTTGTTCTCGTCTCATAAGAATGATGTGTCCATCCACGTTTTCTGCTGGTTGGCGGGGTATTCTCGACGCGGGGCAGCTGTGGCTCAGGCCCTGGAGCCGCCGTGGCGCACGCAGCGTCTCATTCGCCACTTTTCCAGATTTTTTTCAATCTCGGCGGGGTGACTCAATTTTTTTCTTCGTGCCTCAGGCCTCCGCCGGTCCCTCCCCCTCTGCTAGGGCTCCCGTAGTGGGGTTGCATCAATACTGCGCATTTCTGCTGGCTCTTTTTTTTTTCTTGCGCCTCCTCGTTGATACCCAAAACTCGAACCTCCCTCAAACCACAACAAACCGCCCTTCTTCGTCCCTTTTTCTCTTCATTTCCAGATACCACCTCACAACCGCAGCCATGGGTTTCACCGATCTCCTCACCGATGCTGGCCTTGCCGGTAAGAACCTCGAAGTCGCAGACAAACCACAAAGTGGCTGACAGAGTGTCCATAGTCCTGAACAGCTGGGTTTCCACCCGCTCCTACATCGTTGGGTATGCCAAATTCCTTTGCACAGCGACAGCGACGACGATTTGACTCTCGATCCTATTATCGCATACTCTTGTTCTATCTTGTTTCCTCGTCTTTCTTTTGGGCTTGTTGAGTCACAACCACCTGTTGGATCATTTGCATGCAGCCTAGCCCCTCTTTCATATTTTTTCCACCCCTCACTTCAGTGTCTGCATGAACTTCAAGAAAAAAAAATCCAAAAATGCCCCTCACTAACGTGTGCCCCGCCAACCTCCAGCTACTCTGCCACCCAGGCCGACGTCACCGTCTTCAAGGCTCTCAAGGAGGCTCCCAACGCCGCCAAGTACCCCGCTGCCGCCCGCTGGTACAAGCACGTTGCTACATTCGAGGATGAGTTCGCCACCCTCGAGGGCGATGCCGGCAAGCCCTACACCGTCTACGGCCCTGAGGTCGCCGAGGTCACCCTGAACCCCGCCAAGGCCCCCGCCGCCGAGGACGACGACGATGTTGACCTGTTCGGCTCCGACGACGAGGAGGAGGATGCCGAGGCTGTCCGTATCCGTGAGGAGCGTCTGGCCGAGTACCGCAAGAAGAAGGAGAACAAGCCCAAGGTCGCTGCCAAGTCTGTTGTCACCCTGGATGTTAAGCCTTGGGGTACGTTTAATCACCATGCAATTTTTTGCGTTTGTTGATGCTGGAGTTCTCTTTGGCATTGTAGACCGTAATTCTTTGCTCCTGAACTACTTGATGCTAATTTGAGATTACAGATGACGAGACTGATCTGGCTGCTATGGAGGCTGAGGTCCGTGGCATTGAGAAGGACGGTCTGGTCTGGGGTGCTTCCAAGCTGGTCGCTGTCGGCTTCGGTATCAAGAAGCTGCAGATCAACTTGGTCGTTGAGGACGAGAAGGTCTCCCTGGACGAGCTCCAGGAGCAGATCCAGGAGTTCGAGGATTACGTCCAGTCCACCGATGTCGTCGCCATGCAGAAGCTGTAAAGCAATTTTGAACGAAAGAAAAATACGGGTGTTGCACTGTTGAAACGAAATTTATCATGGGTAATGAATGATTGGGGACAAGAATCTATCAGTGTCTTACATAGTTTGTTATGCGCTGGGTGAGGGACAATCAAAAAGATGCCCTCTCGCATAGTCACGGATTCCAAAAAGTAAAAAAATACAAAGCCATAGACAAATATTTTTACTGGGTACAAGCTCTTCTTCTCGTGACGCATTTTCTTTCTTCTTTAGCCTAGTTCAGAGAGGCAAGGCTGCGTTTCGGCTGACTGGCTTAGGTAACCCAAATATGTCCTACAAGACGCGATAGTCACAACGTCGACTTGAGCAACTACAAGCAAAGTTTTCAAATTTCCTCTAAAATCTATGGGATTTTTAGAACATCTTTCTTTTTCGGCACGTCATTGGGTCTTCTCTCTACACGCTGTGAATATTTTCTACATCCATTTCTGAGTCCCATTATGGCTAAGAAATGAACCCCCATACCCCCTTTTTTAATGATGAGCGAGCGATCGCTGACAAACAGCTCTCCGCAGCGGTAATCGGGTCAGCCGCTTTGAAGCCCGGCGCATACTCTTCAAATTTGGCATTCATTATCTGTAAGCGAGACAAGTCATCGCTCGATACTATTATCAGTCAGCAGGCCATCGTACAATGAGGCTGTCCAAGATTGAATCATACAAGTGGTATTACCCTCAGCGGTGTCGACGAGACCGGGGCATATGGTGAAGAACAAAAGCTCTTCATCTTGATACGCAGCGTTGAATTTTGCAAACATGGTGCTCAAGGCCGCTTTGCTTACGGCGTAAGGAGCTGCATTCGCAAGATTGACACCGTTTATTAGATCTAGCATAAAGTCAACGTTTAATCATATTTCTGTCGCAGGATACAAGTCTCATATCGAACGCCGGAAGTCCTTCGCGATTACACAAAAATCAGCAGACTTACCAATATCGCCCATACCACTCGATATTCCCACAATTTTCTTCATTTTTCCTTCTCGGAGCAGTGGAAGGAAAGCGAAGACGGTTTGGGCAACGCCTGAAACATTGATATCGAAGCTCTTCTGCGCCTCTTCCAAGACGGTTTGCGTATTATGCTCGCTGTTTTACAGGCGATTAGCCACTCAATCAGAAAGACTGTATCATTCATTGCATGCACTTACAAGTCTTTCAAACTAGTCAATGCCGTAGTTACGCTCACGTACGCGGCATTGTTTATCAAGACATCTAATCCCGCGCCTCCAAGAAAGCGTTTCGTTTCCTCTGCAGCATTTCTCACGGCTGTGCCATCGCTAATGTCTGCGGCTACAACGTGCACGTTGAATATGCCGTCGGCGTCTAGGCGAGCTCGAGTAACGGTTGGGTCTCGAACAAGTCCAATGACTGTGTTGAGGGGATTTGACGCCAGGACCTTGACCAAGGCATACTGTCACGTTGGAGTTAGCATTGCGATCGATGCGAGTATCCATGGAACATACACCAAGTCCTCTGCTTGACCCAGTCACAACGTAGCTTGGCATGTTGAGTAAAGTATATGGTTACTATTCGACGTATTGCGCTGGTGTATCGTACTATCAGGACGCTCTTAATAGTGAACGTAGAATATGATGGGTCCATCCATCAGACGCATCTTTTCCTACATATATAGTTATCATTGTTATTGTGAAATCACTTGGTCGCATTCAATGCTGCTTAGAGAATCAGTGAGTTGCAGCTCAATTAATAATTCGTTTAAATGACAAACGAGATACTTTGTCAACTGCGACAGGGTTCTCGAAACGCCTATACTTTAGTTTGCTCGGAACTCCGAGTGCAGACAAATCGCCCCGTGCTATCACTTATTGGTGCTCATGAATTGGTAACGTTTAGATTACAACCAACATCTCCTTACAATTTTACATATCTTCCAGGGTAGATCCTAGAATAGTCGTTACAAATTCACTGCCAAACATAATGGCGCGCGTCTGAAATCCTCCTTTAGCCTCCTCATTCAAGACCTTTTCGCAGCCTTTATACAGGCCACAAGTGTAAAATCGTATTCATTAGCTGTTTAAAGCACATTCCTCTTGATGGTTCCATTGTCTGCCTTTACCACCACAGTAGCATGATAAGGGCTTTCTTTCCTTTACTCCATCGTTGGACCATCTGGTCGATCTATTAACACTCCTATAGCAAAAGCATCGCTTGACACAACCGTGTCTTGGACATTCTGCTTGATCAATTGACTTTCGCCGCTATAAACACTCAGCCTTTACGCTTTGTGCTGCGCTAACTGCTGAACCGCGCGACATTTCCCAGCCACGAAGAGAGCAATATCAATAGTAACTTTTTTGACACTGTTGACAGCATGTCCAGCTAAGCAGCCAAGCATTTCTACGCTGCCACCATATCCTAGTGGGAGCATAAAATTTGCGGCTTCTGCCTCATTGTCCTACTAGTCCGCCAATTGTTAGTTGATAAGTTCAGCAGATATGTCAAGAAAATGCACTCCGCATCTTATACAGGCATTCATTAGAGGCTCGGCGGTACGTGCAAAAGGCCCGGCACAATTTAGTAACACACGAATACTCGTAAACAAGAGCCTACAGCCTGGCGATCATCGACGACAAATGTGCGTATAAAACCCCAAGCAAAAATGTCAATTGCTTAACGCTGCCATCGCTTCTTCCAGCTACCACAGGATTGATATCAATGCTTTTCGAGTATTGACTTGCTGGCCATTATAAACCGTGGCCCCATAGATTATGAAAGTGCTTATTGTTTGAAGGCGTCTGACGGTAATATGTTATATGTGAGTTGAGGAAATTGCGGGTAGATGACAGTGAAGCAGAGATACTTGGATTAGAAATGTCCCAAATATATACTCTCACATTTCCACTACTGGGTTTTAAAAAGGCCAAACTTTTCATTCATCATATTTGATTCAAAATTACTCATCTTTTGCAGAAAATATTGACTATATGGCCCACCCTTAAGCGTAGATGGCTTATATACTCGGAACTCCGGGTGCGAGATTGATTCAAGCACCATCATTGCCGACGACCGATATTGCGACTAAACGACATTTGTCAGGACACGGGTTTGTCAAGAAATGAGTTTGTGAGAAAAAGAGTTTGTCAGAAATGAGTTTGTCAGATTCTAGATGATATGAACTGGGACTGAACTCTGAGAGATTGTATGTTGAGCTAGATTTATATATGGCACAGAACATATCTTCATCCTTACCAGAATGACTCTTGAGAAAGCTTAGAACTTTGTCACACTACTTGTTCACCATCGCAATGAAGATCCAAAATCCAGCGGTTCCTTTTGGCTCCACAGTAGTCATAATCGGAGCCAATGGCTACATTGGCGCTGAGACCTGTGACAAGTTTCTTGAAGCAGGGTACCGGGTGCGCGGCACAGTTCGCAATGTTGAGGAACATCGGGCTTGGATGTATGAGCTTTTTGACAAGAAATATGCCGGAAAATTTGAGCTGATGCAAGTTGTTGACTTCGAAGCTGAAGGGGCATTTGATGAGGCATTCAAAGGTATGAAAGTCACTCTCGTATTCATTTAAGTGGTAATGTGCTAAATCAGCTTTTTATGTGAACATTTAGGTGCCGCGGTGGTAGTGTATGTCTCGACTCCCACCATATTTGATCCAGAGCCGACCAAGGTGGTGGACCCCGTGGTCAATGGGACTATTAACACGCTCAAAGCCGCGGCTCAAGCCGAGATAATACGTTATGTATATCTGTCGAGCTCCAAAGCGGTAAAATGGTCGTCTACAACGTGCCTCACAAAATATCAGTGGACACGTACAATCACGAAGATATCCGCAAGGCACGCCAAGAACCTACACTCCCTACGGCAGAGAGAGCCTTGACTGTGTATGGAGCAAGCCGGGCTGCTGGAGAACTGGCCTTCTGGGCCTGGGTGAAGAATAATCATCCTCCCTTTGTCGCCAACTGTGTCGTCCCTGATGGAAACTTTGGGCGCGTCCTGAATGCAGAAAAGACCAACAGGACTTCCGTAGGAATGTTGAAGCGCGTCCTAGCCGGTAACTGGAGCGAAACAATGAATCTCGGTTCGTAGTCATTCTATTATACAATCATCTTCCACTGAACCATCAATATATTTTGCATCAATATGCTAACAGTAGGGAATAGCTTGGATCATTAATGTCGAGGATACTGCGCTCCTGATGGTCGCTGCGGCCACTCTACCTTCAATTGCAAATGAACGTATATTTGCCTACTACAAGCAAGCTACTTGGAACGAATTACGCCTGAGAGTACGTCTGCTCTATCCTGATCGCTCGGATCTTGTAGTTGGACCAGATTCCGACATCGTGGGCAGAGACTTGTCGAACGCGAATGAACTTGTACAACGGGCCGAAGAGGTGCTCAAAGAGCTCGGCCGGCCTGGTTTCACCAGTGTCGATGATACTTTACGCGATTTCGTAGATACCTGTTGTACTTAGAACGCCATTAGTCTCGTCAAATGTCTCCTCCTCAAACACTTATGCTCTTTGAGGCAATCTTGACGCAATAGAATGTGCGTCCCTCATGTTGAGTTACGTTGCACCTGTGCTTCTAGGGACATTCAAATTAGAAATAGGTAACGCGGTATACATAGTCCGTACATCGTTCGCTATGATCATTGCAGCTCGCATACCTTGTCCTCCTAGCAGTACTAGAAGGTCTCTAAGAGCCCTTTGCGCACATTTGTATGATGAATTTGATAGGGCATCGTAATAAGAATGATCCATGTCCGTTCTAGTTTCGCTGATCAATAAAATTAAGTGTTGTAATTCCGCTCTGCGCTAGAAAGCTAGATCAAGACCTGAATCTACTGTAACATCTATATGATACCCGGAAGTCCGGGAGAGCCCACTCAGCTACAAGATGGCTAGCTCAGAGAGCATTCTCCTCCGTCAGCGTTGAACGCCAAAAGATCCATTTTATTAAGTAATCCACGCTGTTCACCTCCCGCTCAGCATTCGGAAGTCCGAACTCATACGCTCTCTTTCATGTTGAATCAACAGAATACTCAAACCTTCTATCTACTACATGTCTTCCCCACGAACTCGACCGACGTGTCCACGCTGTTCTCGTTGTTTTACGAAAAGTGGGTTTCAATGTGTAATGATGCCACACAGACACTGAGAGCAAGGCTAATCGTGCTGGTTGTTTGTAGCATCGTCACTAACAAGACACGCCAAGCTCTGCCTCCAGAATATCAAGGGACCACCAAGGCAGAAGTCGTGCGGTGCTTGTGCAGCCTCCAAGCTGCGCTGTGACTTGCAGCGACCAAGTTGTAGTCGATGTCGAGAGCGTACTTTGGTCTGCGAATATGTGACAAGAGATGGCACGGCGATAGCGCCATCATTGGCGACAGTAACGGCCGGAGGGTCTATTATTCACGATCAGTTGCAGGACGACCAGTCTCTCACGTATAATGAAGCTGTAAATGCATCAACTGTTTCCTCAGTACAGAAAAATACATCATCCACAGAATCAATTGGCAGCAGTAGACTGCCAGAAAGCGACGATGCCCTCTCTCTGGTTGATTGCGGAACAGAATCTATGCCTCACTCCCAGACAGACACCTCACCGGAAAACATATCACGAGGCAGCGTATCAGATCGGGATGGCACGCTTGATTCCATGACTACAGCGCCTGAAATCGGTCGCGAGGTGTTTGAGAACAGTGGGATTTACAATCCGGAAATGATTGCGCCTGAATTAATAATATCTAGCTACAGGCGCCAGGTACTACTTGGCGCAGCACGAGACACTCCGAATACCGATCACGTCGCCAGACATACGATGCATTTCGTGATCCGCGTCCTTAAATCCTGGCCACGAATGATGGCTACACATCACACAAGCCATCTTCCACCCATGGTCCACAGGCTCCAGTTGGCAGATGGCATACCAATTCCTCTGGCTAATTGTTACACATTGGCCAAGATGTGGATCACACACTCGGAGGGGAGTCGTGATTTGGTGCAAAATACGATACACGACGAAGTTCGAAGGCTGCTTCGAGACGTGAGCCGTTACCTAAAGCTTCCTACTCGTTGCTTGGTATAACTGACACGACATATTAGTATAATACTTACAATGTAATGGACCTTCTTGCAGCCGCACAGTCCATGCTCATTCTCCTCATCATCCTCTTTTTCGGCATCGGACACTCGCCGGCACTGGCCCATCCGATTGACGCGCAACTGCTGATAGACATGTGGAACGTCAAACGCAGCTTGGCCAGCACGGGTTTGTTCCTAGAACAAGAATCAAATCATACCCTGCCATCCTGGAAAGAATGGGCAGTCGTCTCCGCCAAGCGCCGCACGATCCTCGGCCTCCATCATCTCGAGTGGGCGTGGTCACTTCGGTACGGATATCCAATCCTCACGTGCTTTGAGCTGGGACCATTTCCTGCTCCTGCTGCCAGACATCTCTGGCAGAATGGCCATGAGAAGGAGTGGGAGTGTCTTTATAAAGACTGGCTCAGGCAGTGGGCTGATGGGAGTTACAAAATGGCGGAACTGTTTCGAGTTAATGCTAGTAAGGAAAGTGACGCTCTAGATCCTAGAAGCGAGCTGTGGCTGGCAGAAGCAGACGAGTTCGGCATGATGCTGATGGCGGAAGGTACGTTTTCTTGTTCAATTCCATTCGGGGTCCGGCCTATCACTAACGCATACAAGCGAATGGCATTGGCGTTCAGTACTAGACAGCCAGGCTGGGCTCATACTCAGAGCCGCTATAAAGACATCACTCAAACAGATCCCGCTGATTATCCTATAGACATGTTCCTCTACGCTGAATTTAGCAGCTTAAAGCTCACGATGATGTAGATGGATAGATTTGATTCGCATATCAAATAAACTAGCAGAAAATTAAGGACTCAGACGATTAACCATACGAGCGCCCTGCTATGCTGGAGGATGTTCACGGCCTGCTACTAAATAAATCCGCCCCGAGCTGATTCACACTTCAAACCCATGGATGAAGACAAAATATCTACTTGACTTGACTCTTACTTTGAGGTATTCCCAACAAGATATCTTGTGCCTCCAAGCGTATATACTCGCGTAAGCGGTGGCGATCGTCTTAGCACGGTGGTTGGTTGACCACCAGAAAACGGAATCATTTGGCTCCAAATTTAGCGCCTTAGAATGCAAAAATGGAAGACAAGAAACTCAAGAAAAGAGCTTGATGGGGTTCGGTGTATTTCGTTGGATATGGTCGTGTGTGGTGATGTTCACTGCCGGAAGCACCCATATCACAACCACCACAACTTTTTGAGGAAAAAAAGACAAAAAGACAAAACATACAACAGCCGGTGTTCGCTGATGGTCACCCACTCAACTACTAATCTGCCTCTCATTGGCTTGACTCTGGGAGAGCGGACGGGATCCCGTATATTCCAATGGATATGGTCGTATGTGATGGTGTTGGCCACCAGAAGCCCTCATATCACAACAACCACAACCACTTCATAAAAAGTCAAAAAATAAAAACATACAACAGCCGGTGTTCGCCAATGGTCACCCACTTGACTACTAATCTGCCGGTTAGTGGCTTGTCTATGGGGGAGCAGACGGGACCCCGAATTCTCCACTACCTATGGTCGTATGTGCTTGGTGGTTGCTTTAATCGACTTATAAGCCACCTTCTGATAGCTGTAGTTTTCAGCACAACGCTTGAACATGATCTTTTTGCACGTCAAAATGACTCGCGCAAGCTTCAACTCTTCGCACTCGGAAATTCCAATTCCATCAACAGCGCTCGCTTGTCTTTATTGACCCTTGCCACACATCTCAAAATGCCAGGCATCGCCAAAGCCGCAGCAACATTCGCCGTCACAGCGGGACACAATTCTCTTTGAGACGTTTGTTTGTACAGTTATCGAGACGTTAACAATAAGCCATTGACAAGTTGCATACGCTCATTCCAAGTATTGGATTGGCCAGGAAAGCCATCTGCGACATGCCTCCGAGATGTGAAGGATTTCTTGTATGGTGTGCCGCGCCCATCCTTGAATGAACCAATACCGTTCAATGGTGCTGAACAAGACGCAGAAGTGACCCAAGATAATCAAGGCAATGGGGTCTTTATTTTCCAACTGCTCAATGAATACATCATTCAGCTGGTAGACCCAGGCCATGACAGCCTGCATCGTGCCTTTGACGGTTCGCCGGGAATCTCGGCCCTTACCAAAGGTTGACTCAAAACAGCTTAACAATACCTCCATCTCGCGTTCGTAAGCATTCCTAACTTGCTGCACTCCAACGACGGCTATCAGGTCTGAAATGTCGTTCAAGGACAAGCGCCAGTCTTCAACGCCAGTCACCAAGGGTTCTGACAGGGGCGACTCCTCCTGTTGTTTCTCCTTCTCCGGCTGAGGCTCATAGTCGGCCAGCGCACCGGAGAAGATGGATGGCCACCCCGACGTGGAAACGACGAATTTCACGCCACCGAGCAATGACAGCCACGAGACTTGTCCATGCTCGGCAACCAGAAGCAAATGGCCCGGAGTAGGTCCTTTAGCCAAGGCTGTGAAGCATATGAGAACGGCAATGACGTAAAGTGGTGCTGAAGTCTCGCTATCTAGGCGTTTGAGGAACTCGGTTGCTCCTTGTAGAGCAAAGGTCGAGTGCTTCTCAGCAAGCTCCAGATATCTTGGCTCGTTGTGCGGCTTCAGTCTAGCAAGCTGGTAAGATGACAAGGCCAGCATAAGATCAAGGATGCAAGGATGCTGAAAGCCAAGCTGAGGCACCCCTTCGGACCAGAGCTTGGTATTGTCGCCCAATGTTTGCGCAGTAGTAGTCATGAAGTTATGGAATAGCTCCAAGCTGTCAACATCAAGCCGCTTCGCTGAACATGTACATGTTCCTGGGGCGGAAGCAGCAGAGCTCAGACGAAGCTGCTCGGCCCAACTCGCCCAGTCGGATCGAGGCCGGCCTCGACGAGCTGACTTGGGAGCCGAACTGGTTGCCTGCGCAGGAATTGCAGAAAAGTCACAAGGGACGCTGAATCGAGAGCAGTTCCCGCATTGAGGTTTGACCTCGTCACACTAGTAATTTGGACAAGTTAGAACATTACGCATCCCGCGCAAATCTTGATGCGATGCCGAGGGTTGCCATGGCTCACCTTGATTTTTCGCCTTTTGCACGTTTGGCAACCAAGACGAGACTTGGTATGCTGTCTCCGCGCGTTGCCCATATTACAAGAAATGATGATGTGCCTGTCGGTCTTTGCTTGCGTAATGGTGAGTCGCGTCAAGTTGTTCCTTTTACGTTCCCTTTCCGCAAAATCACAAAAGGCTTACATGAACGGGAGGCGCTACGCTATGCTATGAATAGACTGGCTCCTCTGCACTCGACGCCACCTTGCTATGGGGACTTGTCTCTCATGTGCAGGGGTCAAAATGCGTATCAAATGCGTAAAATATTTAAGAGGCTACTAAAGGGCTTTACGGCAGATCCAAGTTAGCCTGCCCGCCCATCCTACATGGGTGATGAACAGGGGCTCGATACTGGGTTCAGGAGGATCGCAGTGGTAGATTTTACCAAATTACTTATAAACGAAGCAACCTTTGCTGAATGCGATAACGCAAAATGTTCAAGCCTTTCTGTGTCAACTTTCCTCCTCCTGCAATTATTTTCCTTTACTGTTCTTTGTCTTTCATTTTCACCCCGATTTCATTTGGAATATCATAAACCTGAGTTTGGTTGCTCGCAACTCCTTGTGCGCAGTACAACATGGCGAACAACAGCACAGAAGCCAAGGGATACGCTCCGTTCGACTTGTACCCCTACAACCCATCTCAAGGCCCGGCATTCGCCTTCTTAGGCTTTTTTGGAGTCGTTTGTCTTCTTCACTTGGTGGCCATGATTCCATATCGCTCGTTTTTCCCCTTGCCCCTCGTTATCGGCTGTGGTAGTATGTGATGTTGGGAATTACAGTCTGAATGACTTATACTAATCCAATCGTGTCTGACAGTGGAAGCCGGCGCCTACTGGTTTCGATCACAATCCCACAACGACGTACGAAAGACTTTACCCTTCCTACTCCAGAATTTACTACTCTTGTCGACGCCGCCATTCCTGGCGGCCAGCATTTACATGTCCCCTCGCCGCATTGCACGAGTCCTGGAAGCAGAGCACCTAACACTACATCCTCGTGTATTGACGAAGATGTTCGTTCTCGTCGACATCATCTGCTTCGTGACACAGTTTGCCGGATCCATTATATCCGGCAGCGAAAATGCCGATGAGGCAAGTCACGGGAGGATCATCATCTTGGCAGGCTTGGCCCTTCAGATCGCCGCTTTTGGCTTCTTTGCGGTTTGGACCTATTGCTTCCAAAAGCGTCTGGCATCTGCGTCATTTCCGTACCCGCTGGTTAGTGAACTCCCGTGGCAGCGCTACCTCTATGGTCTCTATGCCATCAGTGTTCTTTTCATCGTTCGCAATATCACTCGCATGATTGAGTTTCAACAGGGTTCCAACGGCGAGATTCTCGCGCACGAGGCGTATCTCTACGTGCTCGATAGCTCCGTCATGCTGTCCATTGTCACAATCTTCTTGATCTTGCATCCTGGTAGATTGAGGTGGATGGCCCGACGCTTGGGGAAATCGTTGGACCTAGGACGAGAACATATACCGCTAGCATGATTCATTACGCGCTTGGATGCTGTATAACTCGGGAGTTGCTTGCTACAGGCAATTATATGTTCGTGGTGCAGCATTGCTCGCTTTTTACGTCGACTTCGGCGAACCATCGATGGAAGATGTATATATACTGAGAATCGAAGGGTTGTTTTTACATGTTAGTCATTTGTTCCGTCTTCAGGAGAGGTTCGCAGGAGATCAACATATTGGGAAGGAGAGCTGGTGGGTGATAGCCAGGCGCTTACCACCGGCTTCTCTGTACATCAATGGAAGCCTCTATTAGCTGCCATGAATACGGATATCCTGCAATGTAATAATGTACGATGCCTTTTGCTGTAATATTATATAATGTTTTCCCCTCTCATGTTGTAGCCTTGCATGTGTTTTATTTTGTGACGAGTAAAGCCAAATAGCTACTAAACAGGCGTGAATAGCAAGTCAAGAGAAGATAACGTAGGATTTCTATTTAAAAAAAAAATTCTTTTCTTACCCTTAACCATTTATCAAAGGTTGTTTATTGCTGACATTACCCTGCCACTTCATACTTATATCTCCAAAGGTCCTACGCTTCACGCTAAGTCCTGAGAGCGAAGTACTCAGCATCAGTAAGTAAGTAAAATAAAATAAAAAAATAAAAAAAAGTAAAATCCAGAGAGCCGACCTCGAATAATTTACGGGCAACTGGCAAGGCAACCTGAGCCTTAGAATTGAGAGGCACCTTAGCTTTTAGAGAAAAACCGTTTCTATGAGATAATACCGTTAAGATACATTTAGTCATGTGATGTGTGATACAACGCGCGGTCACGGGCACCCGAGCGTTGGAAGGATCATACAAAATGCCTTGTATTAGTATAAAGGAAATGCTATGCTCGTTGCTATTTATGTGACAAGGCTCCACTAGAGTTAGTCATCTATATAGGAAAAGGCCGCCAGAAGCTACTATTTTGGGCTATCTATCGTCACATGATGCTATACCAGGCACGTAATGCGAAGTTGATTCAGTTGGTTCAGTTGGCTCTGAAAGCAGAACCAGTTATTGGCCTTTCTTACTCTATCCTTGTAAGGACGTTCGGCCTTATTACCACTGGGAAGTAATTCTCTATGTGCTGGAATTAGAATAGGTGAGTCTTAACTATTATTACATAATTTTTTGATATAGTTTTAAACCAATGATCGTGTTGTATTATACTAACTATTTAGTAAATACAGTTCCTTATACATGAATTGATATCATACCCCTACCAAAAGGCAATGTAATCATCGCACATCTAGCAGTGAAGATTCTCAGCCTTTTATGTGCTGATTTTGCTGGAGCTTCTCGGAAATTGGTATTTCCTCCTTCCTAGTTTCATATGCCCATCTGGTTAACATGTATGTTGATGGTAAAGAGGTAAGCCGGCCGTCCGGAATGTGTTTTCTTGCTTGGCAGTGGCGATTGTCTGCTGAAAGTCCACAGGGCCCGTCAATGGTAGCTGTTGGGTATGCGGTGGACCTATACAAGTGTCAAAGTAAGGTTCTAATAAATAATAGAGGCGGGAGCAAAATACCCTCTCTTTTCTGTCACTGCTGATCGGACGGAACTCTCCACCAAATTCGAGGGGACCGACTGAGGCATTGTATCAATTGCCTAATTAGGTATCGAAGAATCAGGTAACTTTGAGTAGTAGTTCTCTTATTACTTTGTTGAATTTCTCATGTGCCATATGTGAGAGTATGCTGGGAACATGATACCTTTTATATTCCTTTCCATGCTTGTAGAATCTTATGGTGAATTTCTATAAAGGTTTGTATGCAGTGGACTTTTGGACATTTGCAGCGTGATTGGCCTTTTGAAGAGGGTTTCAGTTCTGAGGGCAGGATATGTAGACTCAATGCAGGATGTAATGTTGGCAATCGCCATGGAGTACATAATGACATACAGCCTCCCTTGTTAGGGAATTGTACTTTTGCGATTGTGAGGCTAGTCCAGTGGGCGGATCCCAAACCCAAAAATTTGCTTGTGCCTCCAATGAGAAGAGGCCGCGAGACAATTTCGGCTTAAGTATCCATCTGACGAGCCGAGCTATTTCAATTCAGTACGCCAGTTATCCATTTATAGCTCAAAGGTGGTGCGCGCCCAGCCGTCCACGCCTGCTATTGGATTTAACCAAAAAGACCACGGCATATTGCGGGTCTGGACGCGGTGGCCTTTTGAGAAGGGTACGGTCATTGGCCAAGGACTCCAAGGCGCCTATAAGTCACTCCCCTAACTGGTTGCCTTGCGTGCCTTCAGTCTGCCTTAAAAGCTTGGCAGCTTTCTATTTTAACACCCGCAGGCCCTCAATAATTCTGCGACAAACATACTGCCAATCCATCAAATTTGCATCAAAAATGTCAAACAATTCTGGGCCCAACATCAATTGGGATCCGTATATTCAGGATATTACCTCTTTTTATATCATACAGAACAAGACCGCTGAGGAAACAATTCAGTATTTGCGCGAAAACCACGGTTTACAAGTCACGTTAGTTGAATATGCTCCCCACAGCTTCATCTCATTGGCACTAAAGTAGATCGTAGCCCAAGGCAGTTCAAGTACAAATTCGGTGGGAAAAAGAACATTGCGGAGAAAGAGTGGACGACCGGTATCATTCCAGCAATTAGAAAGCGCGCCCTGGAGAACAAGGAAAGCGATGTCTATTTTCATGGAGATAAGCTTGACTCTAAACGTCTCAAGAGAGGTATCGGCCGATACGATGCGGCGGTGAGCCGAGATTTTTTGGATCTCGACACCTCAACAGGTATTTCACTCGATATATTTTCATGTACGCTGGGACGTCGACTGACTGTGTTTTCAAGTGATCGGACAAAATCTCAGCGATCGGCTCTGCATTGCAACTCCTCCAAGCCATTCAGCATCGCCACTTACCAACCCTAATCCCGAAGTACATCAACATGTCACGGAAGTCACCTTACTAGAGGCTCCAGCACAGATTCTGCGCCGCATCTCTCCCAGTTCTGTAGAGAGGGCATTGCCTTCTAGTAGGAGTTTTCTTTTTCTGCATGCTTTGCCTTGCCACTTTCCTTGAAGCATCTCAACGTCTACTGATCAAACCTTTGGAACTTTCATAGACAGCGGCCGTTCGCTCCTTCCCAACCGTGACGATGCTCAACTTCTTGGTACACTTATGCAGGAGTCTATAGACCTTTCATTTACACGGATGAGCAGCGACGGACTATTCGAGTCATTCGGAGTGGACACCCTGTTGGGCGTGCCACAATTCCTCCTCAAATCAAATCTGCCCTACTTCCACTTGAAGTACTCTATCCCGCAAAGCAGTAAGTGACGCGTTGATACGTCTTAGTGTGGCCTGGCAAGGAGCTGAATATATGACAGCCAGCAGCCCTGGGGTTCCGTCAACCAATGAATCATTCGATATACCAACGATTACTGACCAATCTTCAATTGACCTTCCATCCATGCTTGCAAAGGTCATTGGCTTCCCCTACAATGGCCAGATTGCGGATGCCATTCCTTCTTTTGTTACTAAGCTCCAGGCTCTGGTACCAGAACAAGGGCCCGGAGAGCTTAACACCCAAATCCAAGCATTCTCTGATCCCTCCCAAAAGCCGTCCATTTTTCAACTATTCGAAATTGCCGCTTACTTCTGCTCCAATAATATGCTGCAAAAATCCCAAGCGGCGACATTCGTCGAATGGGTAATCAAGCACGATCATGCGAAGTCTCTTATACTCTTCTTACGACTGCGCCGGGACATGCTTACTGTGAAAGCATTCATTCCTAGCCTTGTAGAAGGTGGTGCCTCTATAAAAAACCAAGAATTTCTAAAGCAACTCCACGCCCTTGGTGCTAAATTTGATCATGTTGCGGTAGAGCTCTTGGAGATCAATGACCCGGAGTTCCAGGCATTCGTTTTGTCCGCCGTTGATCCAGAATTGCTCAAAGGAGAGTCCGGCGGTCGTGTTCTCCGATCCGTGGCGCGTACACAAAATGTCGAAGTGGCAGAAGTATTAATTCAAGCTGGGGCCAAAGTCAACGTTAGTCTATCAGAGGAGGTGCCGACACCTGCTCTCTGGGAAGCAATTGCATGCGACAACTTCGAAATGGTCAAATGTCTAGTCAGAGCTGCAGCAGACGTGAACAAAAGTTCTTTCGCAGCAACTTACTTCGGTGCGGACAGGCCGCTGTCTCTCGCGGTGAAAAATAATAATAAAAGACTCGTTGAGTATTTGCTAGATCAGAATGCGGCGATAGACGGTTTCGTGTACAGAAAGCCACTTCTTCGGTACGCGGCCGAAGAGGTTCCAGATATTTACAAACTTCTGCTGAAGAAATCGGGAAGCGTGCCTGAAGTTACTATTGATCATACTATTGTTCAGTTAGTAAAAGCCGCAAATTCAGACGCTCAATCTTTGTTGGAATTTCTTTCCCAACATCCTCAAGTCTCTGAAAGAATGCTCGAAGAAGCCATGGTTGAGGCATTGAGGAAGAGTGAAACCCAGGCAGTCGTCAATTTCCTACAGCACGGGGTCGACCCCAATGGTTCTCATATACCAGACTCTGATTTACGCCCTTTGAAAGTCGCGGCCACTTTGAGGTCTCGTTCATCTAGTCTGACATATACGGGCCTCTTGATTCACGCTAAAGTAGATGTCAATATCGATGGACTTGTGAAGAGTCTTGTATGGAATGAGGATTACAATCCTGTTGTTGAAAAATGGGTCGACGCAGGACTTGATCTCAAAAAGTATGGCCCTATTGCAATTGAAACGGCCTCGGAAGAGAGTAATATAGATGCTTTGGTCCTCTTAATTGATAGGGGCTCGTCTGTTAATAGCTACGGAGACAGATTTACCCCCTTTCAAGCAGTCGCCCTGGATGAAAGTCTTGAGTTACTGCAATATCTTTTCAAGAAAGGGGCCGAAGTAAACAAGCCAGCTTTTCCAGTCCGAGGGTATACGGCCTTACAAGCTGCAGCCAAGGCTTGTTCGATAGAGAAGATACAATATCTCCTTGGTGTGGGCGCTGAAATTAATGCTCCTCCAGCCGTAACGGGTGGGGCAACTGCTCTTGAGGCTACAGTCCGACCAGAGGGTTGGATCGATGACGACTACCCTGAGGAATGGTATAGCGAGGAGAGTGGGCTTGTAGAGACTTTCATTTTTCTCCTTAGAGAAGGCGCAGCAGCGAATCGTCCAGACGGGTCAAATAGCCCCCTGCTACACGATATCATTGAACGTAAGAACACTCATCTCCTTAAGCTAGCCCTTGAAGCGGGAGCAAATACAACCCATCGATGGCGAACGCTATCCGCATCGTTGTGCGAGAGGACGCCGCTGCAACTTGCCGCAGAAAAGGGTCAGGTGGACGCTGTGAAGCTTCTTCTTGATCACCATGCAGATTTGAATGCCTTACCAGCACGTCACCATGGGAAAACAGCTCTCCAAGCTGCAGCATCGTCGGAAACAGCTTGCATAGAGACGGTAGAATTGCTTCTCAATGCAGGTGCTGCAATCAACGCAGACCCCGCTCCTCTTGGAGGCATTAGCGCCCTTCAGGGCGCCGCAATCAAGGGATATTTTCAAATAGCAATGTTGCTGATCGAAAAAGGGGCAAATGTAAATGCCCTTCCTGCGATAAATAATGGACGTACGGCAATTGAAGGGGCTGCAGAGCATGGGCGATTGGATATGGTACAGATGCTGCTCAACGCAGGCGCAGTTGGAGATGTCATCCGAAAGACTGGCTTCAAGAAGGCTATTTGTTTGGCCAGGAAGAATCGCCATTTTGCTGTCGTCGATTTACTCGAGTCCCATTGAAGAGGGATAAGCTCCATCCTTCAACTCGATCGTTTCTTACATTCTTTTTTTTATCCATTTAATAAATCAAGTAGTGCCCTAGTCTTGCTCAACATACTATAAGAATTAGCAAATTAACCCAATTCTTGATGATCATTACGATTCACCTAGGTCTGAGCTAGATTTGGGAACAAATGTTGCTCTTGCCTAGCATTAACCTTCGTCTGGACAATATACCAAGGTAAATCCCCTCCATCGCCCCCATTTACTCAGCACCGGACGACGTTTCTCTCGGCCCGGATGGGCCCCATTTAGTTGGCCGGTGAACAACCCGCTTCCCCCTAACGGCGAATCCAGTTCGTCTCAGGTCCAGCACGTCGACTTGGATCAACTAATAATTGGATTGCGAATCTCGACTTGGAAATTTCCTACTGTCCTTCTTTATGCTAGGTTTCATGGTCGTCTGCAGAATTATTGGTGCTGTCGTTACCCGGGTGCATGGCATTCACATGCGAAGAGTTTAGAGAGACTTCTTTGACCGAAAAGCGATGGATTGGATATTGTCAAGGCAGTCTACGCAAGAATCCCACACTGTAGCTCCAAACCCGTGCACGATGCCACATGAGCTCGGCTTCTCTAGTGGATATCCTGATGCCAAGGCTTGGCAAATGCTGTTGAATGCTCCATAGAAGATGGGCTTCCTTGTCTTGCTTGGGATTAGTTTGTTTTGGCTAATCCACGAATCCCAATTCGACAGTTGTAGATAGGTTTGAACTTGAGACTGGACGGCAAACCAGAACCGGTGTCGGCAAACCGCGGCTCAGGTCAACGAGTGTCACAGTAGAGTTGATTGCCCTGTTGCCTCAAGCATCCTCGCGGCTGTGACTGTAACAGCCTCTGTGAATGGGCCTTGGGGTGTTATTAGCTCGAAGAACATCTTTATTGCTCCCGATAGTGCTTGATAAACTACATGTCTTGCGACGTGCAGAACTCTGCTATTTCCGGCCCGAAGTCTGACAGGCTAAAAGAAAGGATCCCATTCGAGCGGCTCCGGCGACTAGCTTCCAGATAACGTTTTCAGTATTACAAAGTCCAGCCACGTGGTTATCAATGATGTATCAAGGTTTGATGACCATAAAGCTTTGACAAAGTTTGTTCTCGTTCATAGAAGAAGAGCGGCGATGTCGTTGCATAGGCGGCCCGCAGCCAGTGTTGCTTTCTCCAACGGACTTGGTTTAGCTTCATCCTTCAGACTCGTTGAGATTTTAATTGATACTCTGCGTCTCGGTGATCTAGGTCCTATTTTATGCCACCAGAGGTAGGAACAAAGCCTCGGAGGCGCTGGCACTGGAGAGTAGCCTCTAGTAAGCGATCAGTTAAGATGACATGGCATTTGCTCTCTCAAAGACGTCGTAGTCGGCGCTATAATTGGCATCAGCGCTATTATGGATGACAATTTAATCTTGGACACCTCTAACCATTATTCTTCTATTAGTCCCAACCGTGGCTTGGCCAAGTTCCCTACTCAGACTTGAATGCGATAGAAAGTACTCTTCTGTCACCCCGCTGCAGTAATTGTGACTTCGCCGACTCATTCTTTGACATCATCAATGTCTGCTGCCCGTAATATGATAATTATGTTGCTCACTGGATGGCTACAAAACAGTTCCCCGGGATATGTGTCATCAGATACCCAATCATACCCGTAGCAATACTCAGGGGCCTTGACTACCCAAAGATTTATGGATCACTTCCAAATTTCGCTATTCAAGGCTCTATAGCAGGAGTTATACCTATCTGCTGCTCATCGATTATCTAGCCACTTTCGGGCTACCGACTCACTCATCCATTATAATTTTTTCACTTGGACTAGCGGTTCCAGTGACCGAGGGCAGTTCCAGATATGAAGCTCGACTGCATGCAGATTGACCCGCTGGCCACGGAATTTAGCCATCGCGCATAATACTATTGTATCAATGGACTAATCCTAAGGACGTAGGTGCACCTAGTATTTTACTTTATCTGCTAATACTACAAGCTTTGTGGCAACATTTAAATTTATGCGCCATGGATGGAACCCACAAGAGAGGTAGGGTGAAGTCTCTGCCCCATGTCCAAGCCTCACAGGTAATAAGATTCCACCAATTTTCTCAAAGTACGCGTAACCTATGTACACGCGTATAAAGTTTGGTGGACAAATCTATTTACGAACCCCAATAACTATAAGAATGGAGGAATCGCCTCTTTATCCCGCGTTAATACCCCTTCTTTTTCCTTCTCGCCATCTCAGACTAGACTTTTTGACCCTGGCAATTTATTACAAAATGTCAGAATTTCACCGATTTGGCAATTTACCGACCGAGTTAAGGCTCCAAATTTGGAGACATGCCTTACAGCCAATCAATCCAACCCGCCGCAGGGCTCATTTCTTCTCGGTGACCAACTATCTAGAAGATGGTGATGCGCTAAAAAAGCTCAGGGTGCAGTGCTTTCTGGGCTCTGATTGCGAATTCGAACATGGCTCTCAATTTTGCCTTGCAGCACCAAAATTTGGCAGCAGCCATTCGTGGACCAACAACAACCCATCTGCATATCTCTGGGATTTCGGCATGTGGAGCGCATGCTGCGAATCCAACGCCGTAATTGAAAAGCATTATAATCTCGATTACTGGAAAGCGAAGCTCCGTCAAGGCCGTACCGACTTTCGTGATGATCAGTTTGATGATGCCTGCGTGCCATTCATTCACCCACGCCCTGATGGAGATTGGTGCTTCCCCATTCATACAAACCGAGATCTCGTTTGCCTACAGCCCTCTAATATAGACGCAGTTGGCTTTTACTGGGAACATGAATACTTTATGCAAGATTTCTGCATGATAGAGTGGAATAAAGGGCTGCGCGGCATTGTCAATTTGGCGCTCGAATACGACCCTAGCTGGTTTGATGGTTTTATAGAGAACTTCTCTGTGCTACATTTCTTTCAAGAGAAGAGCCCGAGGGGCCTTCTCATCCGCACCCTGGTCGCCATGGACGACGATGATTCGGTATATCTCCCTGAAACGGTTTGGCTCATCGACCACAGCCTGAAGCGAGACAAGGATAAGGGCGATCGTGTGACGTCAAGAGAAGGCAAGGTGTTCCACGGAAGCAATGAGAAATTTGTTCAGGTTCTGGATGGTCACGACTATTCGGGCACTTACGACCATTCAGCGCTCGAGTTCCTGGATCACCTCGGAATATTACTTGATGGCCTCGAGCCGCCCCGGCACTCTTGTCTACGCCATAATGGAATGTATATTGGATGCAATGGGTGTGATGCCGGTGGATCGGACTATTACTGCGTTGAGCACCACCTTCAGGTTCTAGCATGCGAGGACGCCGAATAGCCCGCGCGGATGGAGAAAGCATGCTTTCGAATGAGGAGCTGGCTAGACGTTGACAAAAAAAGCATAGATTGTCGTCGGGTGAGGATCAAGTCAACTGCTATTTGTACATGGAATCTGGCGTTTAGAGAAATAGAATCAATTGCAATTCCCAATTAAGTACATACATTGCTACGCGCTCTGCTCTAGATGGAATATGAGATACTTCTGATGGGCAGTTGATACGCAACACGCTAGTACATATATCGTATCAATGATATTCCATTGAATCTCTTTCACTTTCGCGATGCCTTATTGCCAAAAGATAAATATTCATCTGGCCAATCTACGAGCCCTAATTCATTTGTTTAAGAGATATGGAGCTGGCAAATACCAGAGTGATGCGATCATGTATTGATATTAATGTAGAAAAAAAAATAAGAAAAAAAAACTACTTCTCTCCCTCTCCTCCCTCTCCCTCATCCTTCTCCTCTCGCCCCCCCCTTCACTATTTTATCAAACAAGGCCTATACATTATTTAGTCATATTTCTTCCCTGATACATTATGTGATTTGTGCTTACGTCGGCGAGGGCGTCGGCATCCTGTGATGTTTTTGACGCACTGAGTTAGTATTGACCAGTCACAGAAAGAAGCAAAGTATATTCGAACCTTGTCCTCGGGGCGGGCCTATCGACTGTCAGTACGAATTGTGAAATCAGGTCTAGTCATTACTTACATCGAGCTCGTTCTTCCAATGCTTCACTGTGTGTCAAATTATCATATTCTGGAGCATTGGATATCTATACCAAAAGACATACCTCGATTCGATCAAGTACGAACTAGAAAGTAGTATGACGTAAGCATGGCTCGACAAAAACGATTCCTGTTCTACTTACTTGCTTTTGCTTTGCTACGTCCTATAATAAAAAGATATTTGTTAGATCGTCTGATGGCGCACTGAAAATAAGAATGCCAAACTTACGAGCTCCTTTTTGATTATATCCTTGAATGCATTTGTCTTATTAGCTTTGTTTCTATACCAAAAGGCCGACAAAAATTGTTTCAAACCCACCCGCAAATCCAGGCGCAGGTGCTAGATAGAGTGTCAACAACTGTTACATATTCCATCGTAAAACAAAAAGAAAAGAAAAGAAAAAGGAACGTACCTCCAGCTTCTGCTAGCATTCCTATACTCATAATAAATTGGTCATTAGTGAACGCATCCCTACTCTCCCACAGGACTCAACTCACTTCCCGGGTTCCTTTCTACAATATGTTAGTGAGGCTAATTTGAATACACACTCTCGATATCTAGGAAGCTTACCGGCGGCATCTTGACTTTCTACCAGATCATACACTAGTCAATACACGAAACTTTTTTTTTTTTTTTTTTTTTGCGGAATAGTACATACCTTTGCCGGTGGCTGGGCCGGCGCGGGCTGATTCAATAGTTAGTAGATCATTCTCATTTCTGGAAAGGTTCAGCTCGTACGTTTTCATTGCCCCTCTGGAACACATAGTTAGCATTGCATTTTAGGACAGAATGGATGTGAGGGCGGAGAAGGATATGTGACTCGCCTTTTGGCCCCGGGGGGCTTGCGACATTTTGCCGACCTAAGGCATAGTATTAGCTCTCACCACGCATTCCGATACAGGACAGAAACTCGATCGATCGTCAGTAAACGTACGTTCTTCTTGCTCGCCTGGAGGTCAACTGATGTTAGCTGGATCTTTTGAAAGGACGGATCGAAGAGCAGTCTCCAGCCCGTTTCTCCATCCGACTACCATGATTGACTTACGTTCTTCTTGGTGGGCTAGAGGAGTCGTTTGATGTTAGTTGAGGATGGCGAGCGCGACATGTTGGAAGTAATTGGTGTGGCGAGCTCTTTGTAAATGCGGCGAGGGGCGTGAGGGGCGTGGTAGGTAGGTATGTACGTACGGGCATGTTGGAGATTGAGTACTAGAATCCAATTAGCAATTGAACTGCCCTTTAAGTTTTTTGATGGAGACAAACTCGCGCGTTTGGTTCTATAGATGGAACGGACGATTAGACAGCCAGCGCAAAGGCCCGGAGATTCGGTTTCAGCGTACTTACGAGGAAAATGGTGCTGCACACTGGACGTCAATATCAGTCCAAGCCGGAGAAAAAAGAAGATAAGTTCAATATACTTACAGCAGACAGTGGGCGTGGGACTTGAAGAAGAAAGAAAGAAAGAAAGAAAAAGAACAGAAAGACAACACAAATTTCTGCCAGAGTACATGTTAGGTATGCCAAAATTTGCATCAATGTCAAAAGGGAAGGAAGGAGTGAGGGTAGGTACCAGGCGTCGATGCCAGTTGCCGATATCAGTAGTTGCCTCTCGTACCAGGTAACGAAAGTCAACAATTCGGACGTCCATCTCAACAAAACATCAGTTCATCACATGACGATATTCTCTAAACATTCAACTGAGTTGCACACATGTAAGTGCAGAGCTCCCGCGGTCAGCATCGCAACCATACTGACTTTTGCAGATTCGATTTCTCCCGATAATACGCACGGAAGCTCTCGAATCATTAGCAAAATGACACCGCCGGCGAAAATTACAGTACCCTTGAGACTGGAAATCCCTGAGCGGAGCCGAACAAGCCGGGCAGCTCATATTATTGAGTCTGTCTTGAAACTTCAAGAAGAAGAGGACTTGAGCCCTACTACAAAGGGTTTAGGCGATGAAGTACGCCGTCTTGCCTTGGACAGCCTCGAAGAAGCCGATGGAAACATTGGACAGGAGGACTTTGATGTTTCCTGGAGAATCTTTGAGCACCTGGTCAACAGCAAAAAAGACGTTGCCGAAGCCAAAAAGAAGGCTGCAGCTGCCGAAGCAGCACTGAGCACTGACAAGGCTCGCCTCCAAAGACTGGAGTTGCTGCTGTCAGAAGGCGACTGGGCTGGTTGTATCGTCAACTGGGTCCGCTCATACGAAAAGCCTCAGGCTGAAGATGACAAAAAGGATTATGTCATGCCTAAAATTAGAGCAAGGGGATTACACCTCAGCTCAAGGGACATCAATGACAAAGTCGGGTGGCGCGTCTCGATTCACGACGTACGAATAGGGCTTCAAATGATCAAGGACGACGAACTCAAGGTCAGAAAATGGCGCGAGGATGGATCAGATGAGACCAAGACTCCCCTCACACCTGCCCTGGATCGTCTGAACAATTTATGCGCCAAAACAAGCATTCAGAGGCAAGATTATATCAATGTCATGAAGATCTACGCCGCACGAAATGAAGAGGCGCATAAAAAGCCTCCATTGATGGAAAACTTTGTCGTCAAGAAAGGTGATGATTACTCTATTGACTAGAAATCGATGGAGCTGTCATTGCGAAAAAACAAGCAGACATTCGCGAATCCCATGCGATGGGTGAATTAGGGGATGATGTCGAATCGTTCCTCACCTTATCTTAACTATGGTGGTCAGCCCTTGTTATTGTTTCTCCTGATGGGACACTTACCCCTACTAAGCATGGACAAAATGTCGCCGCCATTGCCATCAAGGTCGTCAAGAATCCGCCGGCAATCCTCCCTCCTGACGATGACTGCGCACATCCATACAAAAGGGGCAAGTGGGACGACATTTAATCCCGACAGTTGGCGCAAGGAACCTACCTGGCAAAGGTAGACCATTATTCTACTTTGACCATGGCAGAGAATTCCAGCCTTCCTCAATCGGAGACATTTGAGCCGCGGTACTTACCATACCGGCGTTTGCGGAGCCAAAACTCTGCGGACGTAAGGCCAAAATCCAACGTTTGGAGCCGTGGTACTCATAATACCGGCGTCTGTGGAGCCACAAGCTCTGCTGCGCAAGGCCGAACATCAAAAGTCGAGACTCTAGTCTCGCTCAGTGGGAAACCCTCCACGGGATAGCAGGCTCTTATGCTATGTTACCTAGGTGCGCTCTTGTTCTGTAGTATTCTGCAGGGCTCGATGCCGCGGACAACGAAATCGGCCTCTGCAACCTCCACGTGGTGTTGTCTGGGAACCTGATCAAAACTACCGAGTTTGATCAGGCCAATGCAGAGACGTGTAAGTAATAGGTAGGCGGATATCGTTTAGATAGCATTGTCCAATATAGTCAAACTTTTAGTCTCTGTTATTTCGTACCAGAATCCCAGTTCGATAACAGCTTGAGAGCGCAGAAGTTGGGATAATTCTGCCTCATTCCAGGTGAGGGGTCTATTGATGACTTAACCAAGCGCGTGGGAATCATTTCTCAACCTTGGGGGTTATAATGCGCCAGAGGACATACTCCATCGGTGGCTAGGTTGTTAATAGGTCACAAGGATCATACAAAGAAAAAGAAAATTGCACTCAATGCCGCGAAAAAAAAATTAATTCCAACGGAACTATGACTCGACGGAGACAGGATTCGAACCTGCGAGGCCGAAACCATATGATTTCTAGTCATACCCATTAACCACTCTGGCACTCCGCCTTCTGAGCTGATGATAAGAAACTTGCAGTAAACAGACTTCTAAGCCTCGATCGCCGAGCGAATATTCTGAAAACTATCAGATGCGCTCTTGCTGATATGAGCACACATCTATGATGTTGGGAAGATGATGCGCATCGATGGAAAAGTGCGCGTAATTTATGAAGAAGTCAAAGAGTACAAGGTTCTCGAAACGCCTACCAGCAATTGTCACTGCACCTTAAACATGCATTGCTCCTCTTTACAATACGTCGACAACATTACCCAAAAACAATCTCCTCACAAGTTTTTGTTACAATGAATCGAGAGAAGTAGTTCAATTCATCTGATTACTATTCATTGCGTATTGATAGTAAAAGAGAGCTCGAGTGAAACATTTAGACTATCTAGTAGCGCGCCTTGTCATCTTACAGAATGTTTATAAGACTATTATCACTCGGCATGGTATTAATGGATGAAGGAATTGATCTTCCTAAAATAATCGCTGCAGGCGTTTTCCGAGACATGTTACATACTGCTCTATGATCTTTCACTCATCATTTTTCACTCATACAATCCTCAACGTTGACTTTAGCCTAACCGTTATTTCTACTCATCACCAAGTACTCCTCGCTTATCCAATCCAAGAGGCACAAGTGAACTTGACACCAGTAACTCAAATCATACTTTAGATGATGGTAGCTCATACATGGACAAAATTAAGCGTCAATTGGTTAAAGCATCGCAACTACATACATGTGTTCTATACAAAATATACAGACCAAGCTCCCAGCACTCAGACAAAGCCCTAGTCATTACCGGAAACCCTCTATTCCCTCTCGCTCAGCTCTTAGTTGGTGCCAGAGCAAGGAACGAATTTGTTCCCCTTGGCTCCATTATGGGTAATAAGGCCAGCAACCTGGCAGGAGCTGGTGATTACAACGCGGTCAGCGCCAGGAGCGCCTGCATATCACATCTCGTTAGTCTCACAAAACTAATCATGCCATAGGTATATGAAAGAAAGAATGGCAGAAATGTATAGGTGTTATGTATACACACGTACCTCCGCTGTAGAGAGCGCCCGTGTTAATGATGGGAAACTCCTGGTAAGGCCCCTTAACTCCGTTGAACTTGAACTTCTCGCCATTCTTGAACGTGTGGGGATACTTGTTCGATCCGACAGTTTGCTTGGCTTTAAATAACGTGCACGCCTTTTGGGCGGCCGCGGCGACTTGAGCATCGCCATAGAAGGAAGCCTGCTTGACGCCACAGCCCCCGGAGAATCTCTCTACAAGATCGTTGGCGGGCTCGGAAGCGGGAGCGGCGCTAGCAAAGGCAACGAGAGCGAGAAGGCTGAAAAACTTCATTCTGAATGCTGAAAAGGGTGGAACTAAGTGTTAGGAATGAGTGAGGACTTTGTAGGATGGAGAATGGGCGTTCAAGTGAGTGACTGATAATGATACGAAAGAAAGACGACCAAAATTGGGGATACACCTAGCATTTATACAAACCTGTCGTGATACAAATTCCCCTGTATGCAGCGTCTCACAAATGAATCCCAGCAATACCAACAGCATATTCCGGCGCCCGTACTTTTGCCGCAATGACCTTACGACGTTTCATTTCAAATCAACTAAATGCTCACGAGGACATGACTTGCCCTATTCTCTCCTCAATCTCCACCACAAATTGGAATGCATAAGACTTCTCCGAACCAACACCTTGACATTCACCAGGATGCCAAGGCGATGATCTCTCACGACAGTCTCACAATCCACAAATCCCATCCGAGGAAAATACACCGGCGCCTGCATGCAGCAATAGAAAGGCGTTGACATTCCATGGTTCAAACGCCCTTCAAAATAGTAAGATCCTGCGCAACTAGGAAGGTCGAAAGAAATACACAAGCATTCAAAGGGGCTGAGGACCAACCTTCCTCAAAGTGCAGCACAAATCAGCAGTCTCGGAGTTCTCCTAAACTAAAATCGATTGCGCCCGCAATAACGGTATTTTGTAAAAGAATACGGGGCTATAGCCAAGCCCAAACGTCAGATTATGAAGCTTCCCGATTCGGGACATTGTGCTGCGCCTCGGAATGAAGATCATTTATATTTTAAGCAAGTCTTGGCTCTGTGCTTAGTGCCGATCCAAATGACAGGACAATCTCCGAATCAGGTCAGCATAACGGTTTTTCCCATTGTGTTTATGTTGGAATTGATGAATTGGATAGAGGATATTCTCTGCCATGTTGAGTTTTCGATGCTAAATATAAAATTGAAACCGCTCTCATACAGAAAAGGCCCCTGGATACCAACACACTGTCAAAGCTGCCAAACAAATAAGCTTATCCGGATGCTCCCGCCCCGACCTACTCACGCACCTGATACAGCGCATTAAATAACTAAAACACACACCTACCGAATTCGAGACGACGCTTATTCCATGGGTAAAGCTGACGATGCCGATTGGGGAAACGCACGTTGTAATCATGAACAGATGCTGCATTGATGATGATCGGAAGTCGCCCGACGAGCAGCAACAAGGGCATATGGACACCAGATCAGATGGCTTTCTTATTAATAGCGCAACGCAAGCAACGTTACCGGTTGCGAATTGAAAAGAATACAATTCATAAAAGATAACGAATGAATAATACCATCATACAATGCCACTAATAAAAACAAAAGATCACGGGTACCAGACTTGTATAAAAAAGCAAAAAGAAGGGGCCAAACCGTGGATTGAACACGGGACCTCTTGCAGTTGAGTTGGAAGCCCAAAGCAAGAATCATACCACTAGACCATTTGGCCGCTAGCTGTTATGACTAATGATATCTTAGGCAGCTTTATAAATACATTCCTCCAGTCCCACATAAAAAACTACATGTCCACCAACATTCCAACCCCATAATAACGCCGCGGCACTAAAAAAGCAGACTCCATCCACTAAGATGATTTTTCAGAAATAAAGATGTAGAAAAAAAAGCAAAAAAGAAAGAACACGTGGAGACAGAGGGATTTGAACCCCCGACCTTTTACAGGCTTGTATTGAATGAACAATGCAAAGCAAACGTGATACCCCTACACCATATCCCCTATGTTGAAAATTCGGCTTTGTAAACTGATTTATACAGCCCAACATCATAACGGATGCAATCGCATGATGCTCATCTTTCTTCTTCTACGAGATCGAATTCGAGCGTCATGCTGCATCACCTCTTATTTCATTTTGACAATTAGCCAACATGTCCTGGTGCTGCGCTAAACCAATTGCCAAGAATCACAGTCCGCCAATCCTATTATATGAACATGGAAGTTCTCCAGAAAAAAAAGGCAAGACAGAAGGGAGGCTTTAGACTTTCCGCCAGCGCCAACACGTGGAAATGACGTGCATCCATCAAGATTCCCCGGATTTATTCCCCAGATTCAAGTCAATGGAATTGTTATTCCTCTATGCGCTAAAGCCCGCTACTTATTAAGTATCAAATATCCATTCCTCCTCAACTGTATTACAAAAGACAGGCTCTCTAAGTTGTATGTATGTACTCATATACTATATATATATAACATCTCTCTTCAAATCATGCCATTAAATATTCAAAATCAAATCATCAAAACGCCACCATCATGTAGCCAAAAGCAGCTCCTGTCAGTAGCAAGCTGCCGCTCAAGGCTTTAGCCCCGGATGGGGCCGCTGACTTTCCATCCTTGTTTCCGTCCTTGGAGGAATTGTTGGTATCGCTGGATGGGTCGTTGACGGGATTGGCCTTTGGAGAGGACGAAGGCGTTTGCTTGTCAGCGCTGGGCGTTGTTGATGATGGCGAGTTACCGCTGGTGCTAGATGGGTCCGGGGTAGGCGTTGAAGTGCCTGTCTCTGTGGCCGTTGAGATTGAAGTGGGTGTTGGTGCGTATTTGGAGTCCATGGTGAACTGGTCGAGGATGCACTGCTCCATCAGCTTGTTGTCGGTGTAGTTGCCGGGCTCGCCAAGGGGCGTGAGCGTCAGGATGTAAGAGGTGTCAAAGCTTCCGGCGCCCCATCCGACGAAGCCGATGTAGACGTCGCTGTTGGCACTGATGGCCTTGTTCTGGGCACAGAAATCGGTCATGCACTGTTCACAATGTTAGCTCCAAATTCAACGTCTCTTACTCAATACATGAACACTAAAATGAAGAGTCGCTTACCGAAGGATCCATGGATGCACCGGTTTCCGAGATGATGGCCTGGCGCTTGTTGTCCCTCAGCCAGGTCGCGAAATCCTCAAAGGCCTGGACATTGTCGGTAGTGCACTCCACGTGGGATCCCGAGTTGTTGATGTCGAGATACTTGTGCACATCAAAGTACAGCAGATCGGTGCTGTTGTCAGGGTTTGTAATGGCACCGAGGGCAGCGGCGCTTCCGCTGTCGACGTACGTCCCGACACTGGCAAAGTTGGTAGCGGGCAGCAGAATCATCTGCGAGGTGGCGCCGGCCTCACGGATGGCGGTGACGACCTTTTGGCAGGTCTGGGCCCAAATGTTGACGTCCAGATCGTGAGGCTCGTTCATCAGACCAAAGATGATCTTGTCGTTCTTCTCGTAGTACTTGGCAATCTGGACCCACAGGTTGACAAAGACTTCGTCCTCGACGCCTCCCTGGCCAATGATTCCGCCATTGTATCGGGCAAAGTTGTGCATGTCAATCATGCACCAGGCGCCGGTGACGAGACAGGCGTCAATGACCTTGTTGTAGGATCCCCAGTTGAGCTCGTCCAGCTTGCCGTCCACGGTGTTGTTGGTGACGAACTGCCATGTGGCGGCTAGCAGCGATCCAGATTAGTATGAGACATGATAAGACATGATGTTGTCGATTGATGATTGTATATGAGACATCGGGCACTCACAAATGCGAAAGACGTTTAGGCCGTCATCCTCGGCAAAGTGCTTCATCTGACCGGCGCCATCACCGCCCTTGTAGCTCAGCAGCGGAACGGACGAAGTATCGGTCGGACAGCTGCCGTCAATGTCGCACCCAAAGTCGATTCCCGGGATGGCGACGCCCAGATACCGGATCTTGCCGGCGAGGGCGCCAGATGCAAGGGCCAAAGCGGCCGCAAGGGCGGATGTTGGGCGCATATTGATGTCGTATATAGTGTGATTAGAGGAGTATGCCTTTTAAAATACTGACGACCCTTTCTTTTATATTTCCTTGCTCCTTCTTCTTTTTCTCTATTCTTGCAACGGGTGTATGTCGCACAAGCCCCAGCTGAGGCTTGATTTAACGAGATGGCGTATGCGTATTAGCGAAGGGAATTGGCGATGCCAAACGAGATCGTGAAAGCAACGTAACAGACAGCAAATTGCTATTGCTATGCAGAAAAAAAAACGGCAGAGCAAGCAGAACCGACGACAGCCAGAATAACAAAAAATAACGAATGAGTTACAGCTGCGTCATGGTTTTGCCGGGGGCGAGCGAGTGAGCGATGGGAAAAAGCGACTGTTTCCACAAACGAAGAAGAGGTGAGAAGAGAGAAAAAGACAGGAGAGCGAGATGCGCCAGAAGTCCATCCACACGACTGACAGCCGCCTTTCTGGGGCTGTGAAGAGCAAAAACGCCGACTTAGCGCCTCCCGGCCACTGAAGGATGCCACTCTAGCGAAGCCCAATTGCCTGTCACGGCTCGTATGGGGCCAGTTCGGGCATAGCGGGCTGCGATGTTCGTATTTGGGACCGTCAGACTATCAATCAATGCGCTGTGCTCGTATTCAATCTTCATTCGTCGCCGTCGTTGTTTACCGTCACGCCATGCCATCAGAAATTTACACTTTTATCGCTGCAGCATGCAGGGCGCAGAGCAGCTTTCCCACTGACACACGCCACCGCCGAGTCAACGTCAAAAGAGAGAAAAAGAAAAAAATTCGCAGTGACATTCAATGATTGGAAATTCACCTTCTAGCGCTGCAACGCCGCTACAAAAAGAGAAGAAACCGACGCAGGGTCTGATTGCGGGCCTTGGAGCGGAGCCGCTACGGGTACCTGTTGAAGACCCAAATGGGTTCTGGACGGTGCTCCTTACTCGTACAGGCACCAAGGAGGAACCAGAATCTGCTTAGGCGGGCGTTCTTTTTTTACCGGCCAATGCGTATTATGAGATACGAGAGGGACAAAGAGCCCAAGGTGCTGACGCGTGCCTGGGCTCGGATTACGGCTTGCCGTGGATAAGACGGCAAAATGCGGTGCACGTATTACTCGGTACGTACTTGGATCGTTGCATGCTCACCGAACACGATGGCGAGACTATGGCAGTGGATTGTATCGACAGCCTGAATCGAGTTGCTACTTGTAGATGGATGATGCAGAGGGGAAATGAGCAGATCGCAAGCAAAAGGCGGAGGATCCGCGCACTAACAGCCGGGGTCTCGTTACGGAGCACGCGACAGGGTTCACCCCGTATCAAGGTGTGCTCCAATGTCTATTTATAATGAGAAAATGAGTATCCAGCACCCCAATTCTATTATCCAGCACTCCAGCTATATATCGCTGCTACTGTTGCTACTGCTGCTATCTTTGCTATTTTTAAACGTATTTGACAGTTGTGTACTTGGATCTTGACATGTGAACTGATTGCCTTGTTGCGCAGCTGGGGTGTCGGAAACTGAAATTGAGGTGCTGAATACATGTAACTTCTCCCCTCATAATTCCTCATCCAACAAAGATGCAGTGAATGCTATCGTTTCGTAAAGCATTTTACGTGACAAGCTCGCTATAAACAGCCCGCTGCAAATCCGTATACAGCCGCGACGACACCGCATCGCCAAACGGAAACATGCCCACCATCAGCACCGCCGCGATGCCCGACTCCGGATCGATCCACTAAACACGATGTCAGAAAACAAACGATGCCTCAATATCACAAGAGTAACGGTAAAAGATAAGACTCACCCATCGCGAACTGCACGCTCCGCTCCACGACAGACTGCCCCTCCTCCTCAGCCCAGCAACATCCTCCATCGTCACCATCCCGCCATATCCATACTGCAGCGCCACACCATCCGGCATCTCGGGGATATATGCCTCTCTCCTCCCCTCGCCATAGATAACATGCCCCATCATCGCCCTCTGTCGCTCGTCCAGCTGCGGCGCAAACATCATCCGCGCCGTCTCGGCCGAAACCACGCCCGGCTCAACCTGCAGCAGCGCGCGCAGCAGCCGCACGTAGTCGTTGGCCGTGGTGTGGATGCCCGCGCCGGCACTATCCATCTCGGGCTCCTCCGGGACAATGTCAAAGGCCGATAGAGAGCCGCTGATGGCGTCACGGATGGCCACTTGGGCTCGTCGGCCTGCGGTGTGAGGCAGCTGCTTGACGCGGAATCCCGTATCGCGCATCTGCAGAGGGTCCAGGACGTGCTCCTTCATATACGAGCCGAGGCTCTGCTTCTCCAGCGTCTCCAGGCCTACGCCGGCCCAGTCCAGAGCAGAGCCGTAGGCCCAGCCGTCGCCGGGAGGAAACACGAGCGGCGTGTTGTAGCCGTCTCTGGAGAGGCGAATAACAGGCCCAATAGGACGGCCGACGGCTTCGGACCATCTTCGCAGGTTGGGGTCTGCCACGTCATAATGGAGGCCAACGGTGTGAACCATCAACTGCCTGTACCAATATCAATACCTGAGCTGTGCCATGTTATGGGTGATATCGACCAATGTCTCAGGACTGCTGTGCAAGAACTCACTTGAGTGTAATCGGCCTCCCATTGTCCTCCAGCACAGGCTGCCCCTCGGCAGTGAATCCCCTTAAGATCTGCATCTTATCCAGCTCGGGAACAAACGACCGCATATTGTGGTCCAGCGAGATCCTGCCCTGCTCAACCAGCCGCATGAGACAGGTCGCAGAGAGGAGCTTGGTGATGGAAGCGCCGTAGGTGAGGGTGTCGCCATCAAAGTTGGGCGAGCTGACGTCGATGCCCGTTCGCCCAGCAGAGCCAGAGTATATGATGCCTGTAGATTCTCATTCAGTAAAACAGTGACTATGAGACTTGATCCAACAAAATGAAAGTTGCGGCTCACCATTTCGATCCGTCACTATAAATGCAGCTCCAAGCAGCTTGTCCTTGGTATCCTCGCCATCAGCGACAGCCCGCTTCAAAATAGCATCCAACCTGTCCATTGCTGCGAATAGACACCACTTTTATACCGCGAATGTCGACCAACAACTTGTTGAATATCACTGACAATCAAGAAATTTACGACGCTGTGACATGCTAGTGTGGCTTGTTCCTCACTAGGTAACTGTTAAGATCAATGGTGGCTGCATGTGCCGTGAGATGGAAGAGCTAAAGCAATCGAGATGCAGATCTAGCCCTCCTCGTGATGTCAAAGGCTGGCGAGGTGACGACCAATAAAGATGAAACAAAATTAAAGCCCAAAAAAATCATTAGCTATTGCACTCGTTTTATATCATAGCACAACATAGAATCTCACTTATAGAATTGATTCGCCAATTGCATCATCTTCAAGAAATGGCCCGATCGAGAGATCCATCCACCCATGCTAAGAGCGGGACCCATATCCCGCACCAGTCAAAGATGCCTGTTGCGGCTCTTTCATCTCACCACTTCATGTACTCTGCTCCATCTCAACTCAATCCGCCACAATCTCAATTCCTTCTCAATTCTCTAAAGACTACACATCACACACCAACTCATCTACACTCAATTATCCAATCTCGACGCCATGCCTGCCCGTACCTCATCCGGGCTGCTCGACCTCATCACCGTCTTTGACAAGTAAGCCCACCACCACCTCAACTCTACATTAATACTCACCCACACTCCAGCGTACCTCTCGACTTCGACCTCAACCATGACCCCTACTACACCCTCATCCTCGCCCCAGACAGCCGAGTCCACGGCTACATCCACCCAACCACAATCTCCCGCATGCCCTGGCCAGCATCCTTCTCCATCAGCCACACCACCCGCCAAGTCACCCTCTCCCCTCCTCCCTCCACCACTTCCGCCTCCAATCACGCCAACACCGCCTTCCAGCAAGCCGTAGACGCCGCCATCGACGGCAACATCTTCCCCACGCTCAACGGCCTCCACAGCGAATACTTCCTCGTCCCCGGCGCCCGGCACTTTGTCCAGATCGAGCGCTTCGCCGCCTCCCTCTTCGGCATCGCCACCCGCGGCGCCCATCTCACAGCCTACACAACCACCGCCGACGGCGAGCTCCGCATCTGGGTCGCCAGGAGAAGCAAGACGCTTCACACCTACCCGGGCATGCTGGACAGCACCGTCGCCGGCGGCGTCAAGGCCAGCGACTCCCCGCTCGACTGCATCCTCGCCGAGTCCATGGAAGAAGCTTCACTGCCACCATCCCTCGTTGCGCCTCGCGTGCGCGCCACGGGAGTGATTACGATGATGAACCGCAATCCACGCACAGAACTGGTCCACTCGGAGATTCTGTATACCTACGACTTGGAATTATCCGGCCAGGGAGATCAAGTGCCGCGCCTAGGCGACGACGGCGAGGTCGAGGACTTTGTGCTAATGAGCTGCGAGGAAGTCACAAAGCGAATGCTGGCGGGCGAGTTCAAGACGAATGTCTGCGCAGTCATGATCGATTTTCTGATTCGCCATGGCAAGATCACGCCTGAGAATGAATCGGATTACGTGGAGATTTGCACGAGGCTGCAGAGGAGGCTGCCGGTGCCTACGAGGGCCGATGTATAAAAAACAAGCTGTTTGATAGAGCATCATGTACACGTGGAATAAAGAGCAATAGATCAAGTACACAGACACCATATCAAATAAAATCTCATCATAAACATATCCACGCATTCAAACCCCTTAATTTCCCAAATTTCTTTCCACCATCATATATTGCACAATTGTTTGCCCGGTTTCTGCAACTTGCCGTGACGTACACAAGCACTAACACGCCCGAAACACCGATAGCCGCCACGGCTTAACCCGCACCACCAACTTTCTCTCTATCTTATCCTTATCGCTACTACACATTAACTTTTTTTTTACCCATCAACCTCTCTGTCCGTTACTACTGCATCGATACTACATCCCTTCTTCTTCTTCCTTAATTTCTTCTCCAATTATACATTCTTCTAATATCCTTTCCTTCAGCTCTTTTCCTATTCTCCACCCTCCTCCCTCTCAAACCCACCCCAAAAACGAAAACTCCTCACTCACACTCGCCTCGTCATCTACCTTATACAATCACCACCAGACATCCACCACCCGCAGAACACAAAAAAGCCCTCATCAGCCAAAACACCACACCACTTCTCCTTCCAAACATGTCAACATAGCTACAAGCTTCAAACATCACTTTTTTCAGCTTCATCCTCGCTTCGTATCTGCGCAAAACGCACACCCGCAAACAAACTCGAGCCACCACAAAACTAACAACTCAAAACAAGGTGTGCATATTTCCCTTAGACAACATCTTGCCTCAATCTCCTCCTTTCCTTCCTCCAAACATTCTTCCCTTTCAGACCTTCTTCTCTCCTCCAATTTTTCCTTAAAATCAAGAAAAAAAATGCGAAACCAAACCATCCACCCGCCATCCTCCTCTGTTCTTCTTCCCCATCTACAAAAACTTCACGTCGTATACGAACCAACTAACATACCATTTCAACAGTTATATAACCGCAACCCCCTCCGTCTACGCCGTTACATCGCCACAATGCCGAAACGAATACCCCCATCCTCAATCGTCAACACCACAATCCGATCCTCTCGCAGCAACGCACATTCAAGACCCAGCTAACAAACACCAAACGGCACCTTGTCATCACCCAAGGCCTTCAGCAACAGCCATTCGTGCACAACTACACACAGCGCACAGCACACCACGCAAACAAAATCTCGTCTCAAGCGTCATCGTCATATTATACAATTCATCCTACACTACATACAATTCGTCGCGCCCTCTACCACGGGCCATGCCTTTCCATCCCTAAAGACCTCCGTTCTCTCGCATTCTCAAGGAGTATCAAGCAGCAAAAAGAAGCAAATAAAGAAATTGCAATGGCGCAGCGCAATTCCAGCGAGAAAAAAAAATCCCTTAGTCGTTCGTTACCAGCCAAACTCCCCGACGCCTCTTTTAGTCCTCCCAATACTTTTTTTTTCAACGGCCTTTTGGACCCTTCATCCATGTCCCTACTTGTCTTCCCCTGAATACCATTTCAGTACGGCCACCAGACCAGGCCTGACCACGTCAATCACCCGCCGCTATGAAAGCAGGCGAGTCTGAAAATTACTTGGCCGAAAAGCACATATATATCCCTTCTAGCTTGCAACCATCATTGCAGGTTGCGACCTTGAGTACCCAAACGAGCATATAACCAGCGCAGCTCTTTTATCTTCTCACAAACAGAGACAAAGTACGCCTCCACAGCGAATCTATTTCAAGAGCGAGCAAAAGAAGACTCTTCTTTTACTCTTCTTCCGAGTCAGAGTCATCGCTCGAATCGTTATGGTCATGCGCCATCGCAGCAGGTCCATCATCAACAGGCTCTTGGCCGTTTTTGTACATTTGCGAAATAGCGGTCAACTGTGCGATGCGCGCCTCCTGCTCCTGCGCGCTCATGGGTTTGTTCTTCTTGGGCTTGGAAGCCGATTTAGGAGCCTGCTTTGCGGGGACCGCCCTATTAACTTCGGGCGACTTTGCTGTGGCGTTTGAACTTTTACCGAATCCTGGGAGCGCCTTCTTGCAAAGCTCCCATAGCTTGATCAGCGCTTCGTTACTGAGCTGGTCAATGTCTAGCTCGAGTTCGCCGTCGTTGTTTTCCTATCAAGACCAAACATTAGCACATTCTTCTTTGTACCGGCTCCAGCCCCGAACAGAAAGGGGGCACTTACGTTTTGACCCGTGTCACGCTTAATTATGTCAATAGCTTGGTCGAGGTTGGAGAACTCAAGATCGTTGATGGCGCTCGCGATCTGGTCCTTGTCCGCTGCCGACAGGCTCTTCTTGGGAGCCGGTTTCTTCGCAACACCCGCCTTCTTAGGAGGGGGCGCGTGGCTGGACGACTTGCGCGCAGGGGCGCTGCCCGCCGCCTTGCTCTTGCTTGGCTTACTAGACTTCTTGACCGCCTTGTCCTGGTGCTTAGCCTTGCCTTCGCCGCCCTGGTTCTGCGCCGCCTTGTAAAGGGCCTGCTGCACGGTTTCAACAATGACCTTTTGGCATTCAATCATGGCCTGCGCTTCCCCGGAAGCAAACATGCGGTTGAGTTTACTGCTCTCTTCTTCCAACTTGGCTTTGAGTTGCTGGATCTCCTTGGAGTTGTCTACGGCGGGGGCTCCGGCCTCGTCTTCCTCACTATCGTCCTCCTCCTCATCGTCACTAGCGTTGGAGGCAGACGCAGCGGGTGCGTTGGCCTTTGCGTATCTGGCCAGCCATGCATCCTTGCCCTTCATCTGCTGGTTGTAGAGATCCTCAAGCTGCTTGGCCACCATGGATACGGGGTTGCCCTGATCGGGAGGTCCGTTGAACTGGTAGCAGTTGGTAAAGACAAGGCGCACATTCTTATCAAACTCCTTGGCGTTGGCAATCTCGCCCCCGTTCAACATGCGCGACACCTTGCCCAGGTCCATGGGCTTCTTGATGATGGCGTAGTAGTCGGGAATGTTGAGGCCTTCAGCGTCGACGGCATCGAGGAACCACATGTTGAGCGTCGAATTCTTGGGGTGCATGAGCTCCGCCAGTGCCTCGTCGCAGAATTGCAATTCGGGCTTGAGTTTCTTGCGAGAAGGCTTAGTGGTATAATCGATATCCTTGGGCTTCGGTGCCCTTACCGTCCGTTTTGGTCTATCTCCGTCTGTGGCTGTTGAGCCGCGACGATCCGCAATGGGCTCTGCGGCCTGCGGCTTGGGTTTCGATGCAGCCACGGGGGGTGGCGGGCTGGATGCAGGCCCCGAGGATTGCCTTCGCGCGGCATTGTCGGGTCCGCTTGGCAGGACGCGAGGCTCGCGGGGAGGTTTGGGCTTGGCTACAGATTTGGGTCGCGCAGGCTCGTCGTCGGGGATGATGACGGCCTCTTGCCACACATTTCGTACTGCGTAGAATGCTGCATCTGTGACATCGTGTAAGGCGCCGTTGAAGGTCAGAGTGTTTTCAAAGATGAGCTGCAGGTCCTTTTGCATGTCACCAAACGTAGTGTAAGTGCTACTGGCGTCGCGGAGGCCTCGGTCAATCTGAGCCAGATCCATGGGATTCTCAATCCTTGCCAAGTAGGACTCTCCCAATGCCGGCCACAGCTTCGGGACGGAATCCCGGAAGTGGCCACCATGCTTGGTCTTCTTGACCCTGCCGATGATCCTTCTGATTTCACGGCGCTGGAAGAGTGAAAGTTTCTTGTCGCGAATCCCTGAGTCATTCCACTTTTGCAGAGAAGCAAGACGTCCCAGGCCACGATCGTTGCCAGGTACGGGAGTACCGGCTTGCTCGCTTTTGGGCGTCGCCGTGATGGCTGCACCTTCATCCTTTGGCTCCGTCTTTGCTCGCTTGGCAAGCGGCTCGTCATCCTCCTCCTCCTCTCGTTCCCGAGAAACCTTTGAGCTGAGAGCGTCGGTCATGGACACTTCGAAGGAGGTGTTAATAGGGGATTTGGAGTCAATAGCCAATTGAGAGATACCTGATGAGCCGACATCAACATCTGATGAAGGCGGTGCCTCTTGCGCCTCTTCAACTTTGGGCTCGACGGGCTCTTCGGCGGGCTTGTCAACGGGTTTATCGGCAGGCTTATCGTCGGTCATGATGGTGTCGGCATCAGCGTCTACGTCAGCATCAGCATCGGCATCGGCATCGATGTCTGCACCAGAATCGGCAGCAGGAGGTTTAGACTCATCAGAAGCCTTCTTCTCGGTGGTTTCCTCGGGCGCAGATTCCTTGGGGATCGTAGGCGCAGCAGTCTCTTCATTGGCATCTGTCATTTGCACATCAGAATTTTCTTGCGTTGACTCAGCCTTTGGCTCTTCTTTTTGCGCCGCTGGTTCTTCAGAGGCCTTCTTTTCGGAGGCCTTTTCTGGTGCCTTTTCGGGGGCCTTTTCTTCCTCATTGGCACTGTCAGCTGGTTTATCTTGGCTAGCTTCGGGCTTTGCAGCCGCCGCGGGCGTTTCGTCGCGTGGCGCGTCCTTGTTCTCTAGCTTGTCGCCTTCTCCATTGACAGCAGCCACGCCATTGGGAGTGGCGGCATCAGCGGGTGACGATTTGCCATTGACAAGAGCCTCGTCAGGCTTATCCGATGAGGGCTTGTTCTCAAGTTCGGGTTTCGTCTCAGTTTTAGATTCGGTCTGGGCGTCCTTGGCTGGCTCCGAGGCAGGTGGTGCATGGCTAGACAAAAACAAACAGCACCCCAGTCAGCACTACAAGCGCATCTTGATGCGAGAGGTAATGATCAAAAATCATCCAGAGAGCACTGCGACAATAAGCTCCCAGCGCGAAACTGCACTCACCCGTTGACATCAGCAGTCTTTTCCTTGTCGGGCACGGACGGCGAGTCGCGCGCCGCAGGGTCCGCGGTCGGTGTATCCGTTGTCGGCGACGCCATGGTTGCGGTTGGCGATACAGGGGGCTGTAGAAAAAAGCGTGCGCCGAAGAGTCTGGTGAATGATCCGAGAGGTGGTATTTAGCAGTGGCGCGACATCAAACTCGGCAAGGGCGAGCGCCCTGCGAAATCTAGCAGTATTGAGAGCGACAATGGAAGCGCAAGGCTTCGAGGTTGCGACAGGCGCGGCGGGTTGAGTCGAGCGCTGTTTCTAGTGATGATTAAAGAGTATGTAGGGAGAAGAGAGTTGAAAGAAGAAGAATGAGGCGCGGAGATGGTGGAGAGGGAAGCGTGGAGTTGATGCGCCCACAAAGACAGCAAAAGCTATTCAAAAGTGGGAGGCGCGGCTGCAGCACAGACTCGGGCGACGTTCAATGGAGGTGCGGGATGCGCGCGCAAGGCGGAAGCTTCAGTGCAGCGCAAGCAGCTTCCCCAAGTGACGGGATTGTGACTGTGCAGTGCAATGCAGATCAGCAGCGCTCGATGCGATGCGGTGCGATGCGATGCGACGCGATGCGGCGGAAGATGCAGCTGGAGACGGCGCTGGAGACGGCGGCTAGTGACGAAAGCGGGCGGAATGCCTTTCGTCACGATGGCAAGGAAGAAGCTCCCCCAAAAAAAAGGTGGGCGGAATATTTTTTGGAGAGAGAGAATGCGAAAGGACGATGGTTGGTCGGAAACCGGAACAAGTACCGTGGGCAGCTTGCGACGGGCTAAAGGTCGGCAAAGGCTGAGGCGCGGGCTGTGGTTGGCTGGAGGAGGCGGGATGCGAGGCGGGCGATGCGGCAGGTACTTGCAGGAGCGGGATTATCGATTTTCCAGGCGACGAGGGGGAGGGGAGGGCCTTTGCGAGGAAAAGCGCGTGCACGTCAGTGAGATTTGGCCGGTCGGAGGCGCGGTGGTATTTATGAGAGACGAAGGCCGGCGGCGCGACGGGCTTGATTTGCAGCTACCGGGGCGGCGGGTGGGTTATTGCGTTAGCGCGGCGATTGCTGTAGGCCACGCTGTGGCTGGTGGCTGGGCATGCCGCGGCGGTGATTGGCTGCGGCCCGGCCAAGTGAAGTGCGCCACGCCGAGTCTGGCTGGGGCCACATTGCGGCGCTCGCAGCTCTTCTCGTGAACAAAGAAACAGGCAACGAGAGCTACCGTTTATTATCGCGACTGCGGGACGGACGAGCCAGACTGCATTGGAGCTGACCGCGTTTTTGCTCTGCGCAGGACCCTGCTTTCAGCTTCCCTTCTCTTGCTGTGATTTACTTGTAGGCCCACTCGTTGCACACATACGCGTGCTTGTGCTGCATGCCCAACTGACTAATACCTACAGCCGGCGGTAAGAAGGGATTGGTGGCTGCCTGCATCTTGGAAAGACCCGGTGGTGGCACATCGTATAACTCGACTGTAGTAGGAAAACCGCGATCGGTTCACAGACGCAGCGATGGAGACGATCCATTGGGTCTCGCCGGTGGGTTCGCCTGAAATAGGAGGCTTGTCGTGTCTCTGAGATCCCCCACTCCCTTCCACCCAGCCCGTGTTTTTGTCTACCCGGTAATAAACAGAGCGTTGATTGTATTTTGAGAGATGCGAGATGAAAGGGCGAGAAAAAAAATATCAGTATGAATCCATTGCAATACTCAGCATCCCAGGGACATCATCAGCGTAGATTTGACGACATGGAAACGGAAAGTTCAATTGCAAAAACATGTCAGCTGCATCCGCCTACAATCAAGATCTGTAGCCAGTTTGGATGACATCGGATCCACGCGTCGCCGATAACAATCAGCGCAAGACAAAAAAGCTGGAGACGCGCCAGAAAAAATTCCTCTATCGAGTCTGCGCCCCGTCCACATGCAATAAGCATGACTTCCGCGCCCAAAAAAGAGAAAAAAACCTACCGCTGTGGCGGGTGCAGAGCTGCGGCGCCACTTGTAAGCCTAACCAGGCGATCCACCAACCGAAAGCAAAGAGCGCAATTTGGGCGTCTTGGCCTTGTCCATTGGTGAAAAACAATAGCCAGCCAATGAACAGCCGCAGGTGGAGGCACAAATTTCAGAGTCTGGTTAGGCACAAGCAACGCAACAACCTTAGTTTCTGTTGCAGGGATCGCGCCGCCAGCCGCCTTTTGCTGCGCCGTGCCTGAACAAGGCCGGCAAAAGCTCGGTAACGTGGCAGCAGCGTTGCTCCAGGAGCACGTGCGCAGCACAAGGTTAAACTCTTATCTCTATCTAATATGTCACGTGCCTATCGATAAGAGAAATGTCTTATGTCATCAGTATCTTTTCTTGGAGCCAATGCAAGCTGTGGGGAAAATCGACACAATCACGCTAGACTCGGCCAGTCCAAAAAAAAAAAAAAAAGTTCACTTTGGACTACGACTTAGCAGCGACCCGTGAAATTTTCCCATCTGCTCAAGAAAGATAAGATAACCACATCTTTTCTTCACATCCCCCTTCTTCACCTCTTTTCTTCCCCAGGACAACAAATAACCCGTAGTCGGGCTCTCTTTCTGTCACGATTCAGCGGACAGAAGAGAGGATCACCAAAATCACAGCCTATGGTGCAAGGCTTCTCACTTCCCAATCTCTACGACGTCGCCAGTCAGAACCTTTCGTTTCTTCTCCCGATGTCGACCCCAAAGAGAAAGGCGGCGGCCAAGCTGGCGACCCCGGTCGTCAAGCCCGATGCCAGGAGAGCAACCAAGAACACAATTGACGAGTCCAGAACGACAGTCGCTGGAACCGACGCCCTGCAGAGCTCGCCGGCCGATCCCATCGAGATCTCGGATGATGCTGACAGCGACGAGGATCTCTCCGACATGGACGAGGACGTCAACGACGAGGCCGAGGCTGGCAAGGGCGCAGAGTCACAATCGTTGGCCAATGGCCAGCAGAACCAGAACCAGAACCCTAAAAAAGACGACGCAGAGGATGGCGAGTCTGACGCCGAAGGCACATCCCCCTCCTTTGGCGAGCTGCTGCGCGGCAACGAAATCATCGACGTCAATGCCCTGCTCCAGCAGTCTGCCGCAGACAGCATTGCCGCCGTCGAGTCGTCGCGAAGCGCCATCGCCCCTCCCAACCACCAGTCCCTCACCACCGTCCTCACCCAGGCCCTGAAAAGCGACGACACAGACCTCCTCGAGTCATGCCTGCACACGACGGACATCCCCACCATCCAAAACACAATCGAGCGCATCGACAGCTCCCTGGCTGGCGTCCTGCTCAACAAGCTCGCCGCCCGGCTGCACAGACGGCCTGGCCGCGCCGGAACCCTCATGACCTGGGTGCAGTGGACGCTGGTTGCCCATGGCGGAGCCCTGGCCGCGCAGCCCAAGCTCCTCCACGACCTCAACAGCCTGCAAAAGGTGCTTGCCGAGAGAGCAAAGGGCCTCAACAGCCTGCTCGCCCTCAAGGGCAAGCTGGACATTCTCGAGGGCCAGATGGAGCTGCGGAAGAAGATGCAGCGAAGCGCCGGCCTGCTCCAGGACGGCGAGGACGATGCCGACGACGAAGACGTCATCTACGTAGAGGGCGAGGAGAAGGATGAACAGGATGCTGCCGCCGCCACCAATGGCACTCGCTCCCGGAGAAGAGGCGGTGCCTCCAAGGCTGCCCGCGATGAGGACGAGGATGAGGACGACGACGACCGCGTGCTCAACGGCTTCATTGGCGACTCTGAAGACGAGGAGGAAGGTTCCGAGCAGGGCGAGGATGAGAGCGGTGCCGACGAGGAGCCCCTGGATGAGGACGAAGTAGACTTTGACGATGTTGATGAGTCCATGGGCGAGGATGACGAGAGCGACGTGGAGGTTGCACCGCCGACAAAGGTTCAAAAGGTGACACGGTCATTTGGCAAGAAGAAATGAGAGAGAAACGAATGAAGAAATCAAGGCATCTGTGTGTGTATGTATGTATGTATGTATGTGGCTGCATGTAAAAGAGAAAAATTGGAGAAGGGCAAAGGGGAGAAAAAGAGAAGTGCTGCAAAAGGGAGGCATATAAGCATGATTAGGTCTTCACAGTATTGGGCGTTTGGATCTTTTTTTACTTTTTTAATATGTTTGTCAAAAAGAGTAGACATGATTAATGGTCATCTTATTCTTTTCTCTCTTGATATCGGGGTTCTAAATCATGTAGAGATCATTTAGTGGTGAATATAGTGCTGTGTCTGCAGAGACGAGGGGATAGACATGGTCAAGTGTACATGACCAATAAATAAGAGATTGTACGAAACAGGCACGTCAATTCATCCCAAGGTTAGTATGTAACAGTGAATCAGCTCCTCATTTGCTATCAGATATGAAATCTACCCTTGCGAGGAAAAGGAAAAAAGTGTAACCATACTTCTTTTACAAGTTAATCTCATAACAATTCATCATCTCTCCTTTCTGTATTTCATCAAAGAAAAGAAAAAAAAAAGAGAGAAAATCAGTCCCATCGCTCAAAAACTCAATTCATTTGCTCGCTCGCTCGCTCTCTTTCTCTACACAAATCTTTTGTTCGCCATACGTAAAATACTATAGTAGTGTAAAAAAAAGAAAAAGAGACATAAATTTGCTGATATTCCTCCTTATTCTCTCAGGAGCAGCTACAGATAAAAAAAAAAAAAAAAAAAGGATGCCTGTTTACGCCAATCCACCCATTGCCATGCAAAAAAATAAATAAGGAACGTAGACAATAGCGAGCTAAAAGAGGAAGAATAAAAAAAAACCAGCAAAGAATCTCGTGTATCCATGGCCATAGAAATAAAAAGGGGGGGTAAGCCATTAAAAATGTCGTATGATGGTGGCGCAAATGAAAAGTGGCAGCTTGCTCTGCAGCGTACAATGTCAAAAAGCACGCCCAAAAAAAAAAAAAAAAAATAGAAAATTGCTTCTTTCGCTCGCTCGTCTTGGGAAATGCCACATTGCAGAAGCGCTCATGATGAATCAAAACTGGCAATGAGACGAAAAGGCAGAATCATGCGCAGAGAAGCCACGGCAGCGCAATAAAGCCGCTTAGATGGCCCAACTGCCTCTCCTCTCGCGCACGCCCCAGGCCAATGGGTCGAGGTTGTCCAGATCTGGGTGCTGTCTCACCCACTCCGTAATGTAGGACCGTAGCGCCACCCATCGCGGGCATCTCTCCTCCTCAGGGGCGGACTCGTCCACCGTCACCTCCACCATGTGGCCCTTGGCCATTTGCTTCGCGTCGTCCCTTCGCAGCTGCTCGATGCCAATGTGGCTGATTCGAGAGAGCTCTTCGTCAAAGCCACGCGCCATGGCGGGATAGCCGAGCGACAGGTAGTTGTATACTTGGGTAACAAAGCCCCCGTCAAAGTCTTGCAAGATCTTGTCGTCGCGCTCGGCATTGGCCTTTTCCCTCTGCAGTCGCTCCTTGAGACCACTCAGCTCTTCGGCAGCACCGTTGGGGTGTTGGTGAGCTGCGCCGCCCCAGAGAGCGCCGCTATGGCTCGAGGTGAGTCCAGACGACGCATAGCCAGAAGGCGAGAAGATGGACACGGGCTCTTCGCTGAGAACACCGGTGTCGACAGCATCATGGTCGGGAAAGGTTGCGGTAATGGGTGTCTCAATCATCTTGGGGTTGTGCAGCTCGGGGGGCACAATGAAGCCTCCGGTTGATTCCGACCTGCAGCAGTACCCCCTCCAGAGCCCGGCCTGGCCCGGCAGATCCCGCGCTTGGTCCTCAATCATGTGCGCCTCAAGGGGGTCTTCGGGCTCGAGCGTGGTGAACTTGGGAGAGGGGCATCGTCGAAAGACGAGGTCCTTGCCGAGCATGGGAGGGGAGGGGCCCTGGCGCAACTTAAGGAGCTTCGGGTCATGATCGGGCGGAAGTCGGAAAGCGCCAAACGGCCTGCCGAAGGGACTGGCACTGGGTTCCTGGCGGCCGGCGACCTGCTGAGACACGGGCGGGTGGGGCTCGCCCGGCGCGCCTTGGCCATGGGCTGGAGGAACCGCCTGCGCGGACGAGGTTTGCGCTTGGGCTTGGGCTGCATGGCGATTGGCCTCTGCCAGCGCCATGTGCATCTCAGCCGCCGAGTCTCGCCGGTCGTCGGTAGGCGAGAGTGGCTTGGTGGTTGTCCACATGAGATCGGGAGGGGACGGCAGCTCCATCTTGTCCAGATCAGAGTCAGACCGGATGATGGGGCTGTCTGCAGCAGTGGCAGCCTCAGGAGCAGCCTCAGGAGCAGCAGCAGCAGCATCCTTGTCCTTATCCTTCTCCTCGTCCTCCATAACCACAGCCTCTTCATTGTCCACATCCATCCGATCTCCGCCTCTCTCCTGCTCCAGGCGCAGCGCATGCTCCTGCATATGCTTGTGCCACCAGTTCAGCCCCAGGTTCGACGATTTACGCCTAAGCCTGTACTGGCCGGCCTCTTCATCCGGAGGAGAGGCTTCGGGAGACGTCTCGCTGTCAGATGAGCCCTCCCGAAAGTAGAAATGGGCCACGCCACCCTCGCGGGGGCGGCTGTTGGGGAAAGCTGCCAGGGCAACCTCTTCGATCTGCCGCGCGACTTCTTTTGCTGCCAGCTCCAAGAGATATTCCTGGACTCCCTCCTCCTCAGTCTCCCGCCGAGTGGGCGGCGATGGGCGCTTTTGGACATGGCGGGGGGCTTCTTCCTCGCCACCGGCGTGCCCATGTTGTCTTCGATTTGACTTTGCTTTCGCAGAGTAAATGTGGTTTGTGTAGGGTGTAATGTCTGTCTTGTCCGCCGGCTTGGTGGCGGGCCCCTGCTCGCCAACTCTTCTTGAGCGCCTGGAGGTCTCAATGAGCTGAGGAGCAAAGCGTCGCCTCTCATGCGACTCGTCATTGTCCTGCGCCGCCCCGAGAGAGAATTGCGCCTCGGGAGATCGCGGCGATGGTTCCGGGGTCAGCTCTGGATTGGGACCTATCCTGTGCTGCGACGTGTAGTCGTAGACGTTCTTACGATACGACTGGAACGACGTCTCGATCGGAACAGGGACAAAGCGCCGCCGCGGCGGATCCGGGTTGGACATGTTGACGTCCATGGCTGCTGCAGGTGGGCGGGCGATCTGCGCTGGCGGGGGAGGATTTGAGTGAATAACCGGTTGACAGATGACCGGCTATGAAGGGTATAAGGCCGCGTTGGGATGGGTGGGATCGGATTTCAGGAGCCTTGCTGGAAAGGTCCAAGAGAAGAGAAGAGCGACGTTAGCAGGAGGACATGCCCTCGGGGTCGCTTTTGTCGGTCGAGGCGGTATAGAACGTGGTCGCACAGGTCGCCGCCGTGGCTTCGTGGCTTCGTATGCGGGATGCGGTATCGTACAAGTGCGTACCAGGTATAAGCAGCACGAGCAAGCATGCACAAGGTTGGTATGGTGCAGTATGTGTATGTATGCTCTGTTGGCGGGGCAGAGAGCGGCTCTCTCGTGCTGGCGCTCTCTATATGGCTTCGTGTATGTAGGTTTTGGTTGTAGGTACTCGTACCGTACGAAAGGAGTATGAGCACTCCGGTACTTGTATGTTCTTCGCGATTCTAGACGTTCCGCGCGAGCAGGGATGGCGATGCAGATGCAGATGCTCGGCCCAGGGCCTTTTGCTTTCTTGGGGACGTGTCCGGGACGAGTTCGTGCCTTGCTGAGCGGCAAGGACAGACGGCCGAATGGAGCGCTGTGTGCCTGTTCGCCGCCCTCTAACCTGTCGAACCCGAGCAAGTCAGAGGAGGCGATGCGGGGACGCTGCGGATAGCATGGAGTTGGTGGTGCGGCGCCGGCGCTCACGATTTGTGATTTGACGGCTGGAGAGTTGGAGATGGAGATGGTCGGGGCGGTGGACGGGCCAAGTGCCCGCACAGTGGGCTGTTAGGTAATGGGCGGGCAGCGCACGGTCTCAGGTGACAGGCGCCGTAGGGGAGAGGGCGTTGGGGGATGCGTTAGGGATGCGTTAGGGATGCGTTAGGGACCCGTCGGGGGGTTGGAGGCCGGTTAGGGGGGCTAGCATCGGTAGTTTAGGCGCTGTGCTCCCCCTGAGCCGGCGGGAACGTGGGCGGGCACCATTGGACAATGTGCGCCAACTTGACAGATTGATGCTGTGTTGCCATTGTTCAATCCTGGCCACCACAACAAGCGAGCAATCGGTGATATTGGACGTGTAATGAATGTAATGAATCAATTATAGAAACTCGCAAAGGCTAATTGGCAATTCCCACGTAAGAAAACTCTAAACCGTCCAGAATGTGCGCACGTGCAGCGAGCCACTCATCCGCCTTCCGCGTAAGATTCTACCATCTCAGTAAAGTCCCCCAGGGCCACAGTCTGTGCCCTATCATTCCGGCACGGTGCCTGTACCTGAACGGAGCATCGAGTCGAGGAAAATCTCCAATCCAATGCCCCTCTTTCTCTTTGCGTGCTCGTGCCTCGTCCTCACCGGTTTTTACGCCCCTCGCATCCTTGCGCCATGGGTGATCATGAGGAGGCTAGTCCGTTGGAAAATCTCTTCCCCCGCATGGCTACAGACGGGCCACCACGTTGTTTGCTGCAGCTGTTAGGTAATGCCGGGCGTGAGCTGACAGCGACGGAGCATCGTGGTGTAAGCTTCAGTATAAGCCGAGGCTTTGGATGCATCATCACTTTGTGTATTGGCATTGTATTGCTAATAGCTCGTCGATGGTGGTATTGGATGTTGGATGTCGTGCTCGTACATTCAACCAAGACTACTAATGATACCGCAATCAGCCGCCAGTACCGCCTCCCTTGCCTCCGCAGACAGAACGCAGATACAGCAGATAAGAATGTCGTTATCAAAACCAACATGGCCTCCTCGCCGTTCGCGTTCTAGAAGGGCTCAAGCAACCCTCCCTCGCCAGGCCCCTTGTTTGCGCCGCTCAAAAAATTGCTGGGGCTCACGGACTCTATCCGGCCTTCACGCCCGCCCTTTTTTCACGATACTTCACCGACACTTTGCCTTCTTTCTTTGTCTTTGCGACAACACTCTTTCCTTTACTTGTGCTGTTCTCTCTTGTTTAACCCTTTTCGGCAATCTAATGCCGACGGGCATCGGGTAGAGGGAACGCAAGAAGCATAAAAGTGCGCATGTGTTCCCGTGCCTGCAGCTTGCATGTACCTACACAAACCATAAAACAGCAGACCACCACCTTGGCTTGATTTCGTGATAAGCGCGACATTAACTTGATGCATCGCGGGCACGTTATTGGAGCCAACGGCCAGTCATGCATCCGATGACGGAGTATCGGTTATCAAATAGCACAGCTGTCTGTGTGAATACCACGTAGATACTGTACAACTGGTAGATGCTTGATACCGGATAGACAACGTTAGCACAGCATCTAAAGATGGCCACGAGGTGTGCTAAAAGCTGCTAAATCCAGGGGGGAAAACGTTCAAGGGAGCTGCGCCACGAGGGGGGCTGGAGCCGGGTCCAAAATCGCCACAGTCAACCAGTCAACAAAGTGGCTTTTTTTGTACGAGAAATTTTGCAGATCCGAGATTTCGCCCTCCGTATATTGTGGAGTTGCAGAACTGGACTAGGTACTGTTTTCGTCTTGAACCGAGTCCACGATTTCGCTTCGACAGACCAATTTTGGCCTACCAAGTGCCGAGCGCGCTGTTTTGAGATACGGCATGTTGCTCCGTGTAGATTGAGACTTGGCTGTCAATGTTGCTCCATCAATGACATTCCAGGCTTGATAGTGGTATATTTCCGTACAGTTCCTGTTTCTTATTTTAACTCGTGCTACTTACTACCTCTTGATTATATCCGATATTTTGTGGACAACGTTTCTATTTTCTGCTTCATCCTATTTTAATTAAATTGTATCCCGCCGTCAGACAGCTTGTTTAATTTCTGCCCTGAGGCGCTTTTCTCTCTTTAGTACCGAGCCGGATCCGGCTCGCGTAGCTGTCTGGGTCCCAAGGGAGAAAAGACCTGACATGTGCAAGCACAGAGTGCCGGGCTCAATCAGCGTTGTTGGGGGCATTCCATAGACAAGCCTGTAGCTGCTGGGCAATGGAAATTCCACGTGCTGCAAGGCGAGATAAACGGGTAGCTCTCGCTTGGAGACGCTGCAGCCACTCAGGCGAGGTGTTTGGAGTGTTTGGAGCTTGGGGCACATTGAGATGAATTACCTACGTGTACATGTAGTGGTAGAAGATTCTTTGATCTGTACTCGGTAGTATTACTTGCTATGCCTTGAAACCTGAATTGTTGTACTTGATTGACTCATTGTGGCATTTCACACTCACTCGATTAAACAGATTGCCTCCAAAACGCCAAGCAGTGCCTGTTTCTCCGCAAAATCTCTATAAGGCGAATACATCCAACATGTACCCTGTCCGATTCGATGAGAGCTGCTACCTGGCTCACCGCCACTGGGGAACGGAATGTTCGTGAGGAGCTTGGCCACGTCTTGGCAACTGGAAGTAATGCAGGCACGGCATGCAGAGCCCACTGAGATGCAGCGATGGGTGGAGCTGGGAGGAGAAGCATCATGATGAGTGAGGCCTTGTTTCAGATGTTGATGCACGAGGTTGTCTACCCTAAAGTTGATGAATCTTGAAGTTGAAAACAGCCCTATACTTTGTGCGAGGTTGCCAATGGATTCACGACAAAAAAAAACCCCCCATCAAATTCCTGTTTTTGTGTCTCTTGAGATGAAGCCTATGGTACAAACTGCTGTCGGATCCAATTGCTGAATTTGACTCTTGTGAAAGCTCCTTCATATACACCACAGCATCTACCTAGTCTACTAAGACAGGAACAAAAATGCGACATCACACAAGGCGGAATTTCCTTGCCGCTCATCATCCCCTGGCAAGATGATGCCGAGACAGTTAAAGTTTAAGGGGCCCATGGTAACGTGGCACAGGAATTTCTGGCAGCTGGGCTGTATCAACGCGATGGCCTCGTTACGCAGAGGGGAGGCGGATGAAAGAGTACCTATCTGCAATTGAGCTATTTTTTTTTATTAGGGTAGTCTTTTTTATAATGCTAAAAATGAACATGTCAAGTATATGAAGCAAAGTGCCTGTATAGCGATTATTTCTACCATGGTGTAAGTTGCGTGCAGATAGCACATGGTAGATGGTATAGATGGCTTGCATCGTGTTGAGCCCAGAACTTTGTGACGAAGAGAATCAACCGGCCCAGCGAAGCTGACTCCCTGTAAGTCGATATGAAGTGATTGATTGATGCCTTACTGTACAAAAAGCCACAATGTAAAAAAATTACAGCAAGTAAAAGAGAGGGCTGTTACGCTTTTGTGGAGATGAAAGGCTGTCAGGAGGCATTCCTCAGTTTCACCCATGCCGATGCTTACTTGTACATCAAATACACGTATCCGGCAGCTTCTTGCTTCCCTTGCAGCAGAGGAGGGACAAAAAAAAAAGTTGGTGGCGTGCCCGGCTGCCTCTTCTGTCTGCGTCTTGCATCCTTATCTTGTCCATCTCGCGGCATGGCTTGCAGGAGCATGACCCGAAATGGATACGCGCGATCGAGTGTCTCTCCAAGATACGTGTATACGTGAACCTCTCACACTTACCGAGCTTTCCCCGGTGCCCTCTTCTTGTTTTATTATTGTGGCCTCTGTCTATTTTTTGGTAGGTTTTTCTTGACGTTTCGTGCTTTGCTATTTTTATTACATTCACCTTTCTTACCGTTTTACCGTAGCATCCGTAGTCTGCTCGTAGTGCGTCGGACATAGCGGTGGCATACTTGTACACACCAGCCAATCGGGCTGCTGCCCCCCCTATGAGAGCCGGTCCCTCTTTTTTTTTCTTTTCTCCTGGGAACCCCTGCAGCGTGCGTCCCGGACAAAAAAAAAAAAAAAAAAACTTGGAAGTAGTACTAGAATGAGACAAAAAATTGGGATTGAAAAGAAAAAAAAAAAAAACGGTCCTGAATGGCTTGAGTGGCTGCAGGGGTAGTCCCGGTGTGGCTTTGCTGCGAGGGACCTGCAATTTGTATACAGAAATGGCGATTGAGTTTTCAGAGTGGATTGGCGCGCGGAATGCTGGTGGGAACAGAAGAAAGCTGGGCTGACGCTAAAACAGAGACAGACGTCCATGCCATTGATTTATTTTGAGTGATGTGATCAAAGAGAGGACAGGACAAAAGACGAGAACGGAGATTGCGAATCACACTGCATCGCACTGGTTTGCGTCGCGCAACCATCTCGGCTGCTGGGAAATTTGTGCCATGCATCTTATATGCCGTCGTGGCACGCACGAACCCGGCTCATGCATCCGGTGAAGCTGCGCGTCTGCAAAGTGAGACACACACACACACAGTCAGCTGGGTTGGGATAAACAGGGAACAGGGACAGGCACAATCGCAGCAGCAGATTGGTGGCAGCATTGTGCTGCCAGGATTCCTTTTCAGCAGCTCCTGTATCAGCTGCGGTATAAGCACCCATCACGACTGGAGCGGCTTCGATGCTACCGGCACACCAAAGGCAGCTAGCTAGATGCTAGCGGTAGGCCACCACTGTAGCAAGGCTGCTAAGCCTGCGGGACTGCAGCGCCGGCCCTATCAGACGCCGCTGAAAGCTGCAAAGTTGGGCTGTGCACCGCTTTGATAGGCGGCACAAAAGCCCCGGGTCCTTGCATGGGACATGCCGAGCAAAGGGAAACATTGGCTGGCAAACAGGAAGCAGGGCAAGGATCGGCATGGTCCAGGGGAGTGGGAAGAAGGACGAGGCAGAGAGGCCAGAGGAAATCGGGAATCTCGATCGCATCAGTATGACATGGAGAGCCAAGAGGCTTGGGAGAGGAAAGGAAAAAAAGCGGCATTAACGGGGAGGATGGAATTAAATATGGAATCAGGAGGAGTGAGGGACAAAAAAAAAGAGAAAAGAAAACAAAGAATCCATTCTCGTCAACTCCATCCGGCTGAAACGAGCCTTTTCCCACGCAAAAGCTTCATGTAATGGAGGGCAACAAATAAGCCACCACCCCAATTGCGAGCAACTAGGCACAACAAGGTTTCCAGCTGATTGTGTCCCGCGCCATCGCCCTCTCAGCCGGCAACCAGCCTGTGACAATTGCTACAAGCACAAAGCTCGGCCGCAGGGATCCAGAGGGAAAGAAACAAAGATTGGGCGCCTCCTGGGCCTCAGTTCCGGTCGCAGGTCCTGTCAGGTGGAGGTGCTGCGCTGTTCTCGACGTGGTGCGACGGGGGGGTGTTTGTTTAACAACGTACCTACAGATGGAGAGTCTCGAAAAGAAGAATTGGATGAAAAGGATAGAGAGAAGAGACAAGTGAAGAAAAATCTACTCCTATTTCTTTTTTCCCTCCCTCGCAAACTCAGCGTGTGTGCCTTGGGCTGCGATACACGTCCATTTACACTGGAATCTTGTCGAACCCGGGCCGTTTTCTTTGATGCCACCACGGCAAGCATCCATCACTCCCTGGATAGAGACAGAGATAACCAACGTCTCTATCTCTATCATCGCCATCACCACTAGCATCGTCAGCATCCAGATCCTCCTCGCCATTAGCGCCGTTGGCTGGTCTTGATCCGCTGCAAGTACTGCTACTAATACCGCGACTACGCAAAAAAACCAAAATCAAGGCACACGAGTCCACATACCACTCGCTTTCAGTAACAGAAAAAAAACAACGTTGGAACGGGCCACGCCGCTTCGGCCGCTAAAACCCAAACTCTCCAAACTCTCTTTTTTTTCCCTCCCTTTCGAAGTCGGCAGTTTTTCTCTTTCTTTATTCATTCATTTCCATTTTTCGTTGGGTCTTTTGAGCCACCAGCCCAGTAAACTAACTGCCGAGGGTGGAAGTGGTGTGCCTAGTCTTGCTGGCTTAGAGAGAGAGCAAGGCTATTTCCAGTATATGCATTTCTTGCTTTGCCTTGGAATTCCAACTCGCCTTCTCTTCCACTCTGCCCTTGTTGAATGAATTCGGCTCGCCCCAGCAACAACACACGCTACAGCCGTTTGTTTTCATCAAAGATAACCGAAGCGAGGCTTTGGCGTCGACACCCATCCAATACTGCCAGATACTGCGACTACCGGCTCAATTCATCTACACTGTCACGAGCCTCCGCTTATCCGCCTCTGGACCCTGGCCGCGCAGCTGCGGCTTCGTTCATGTCTCGCCCATCACGCGCGCACCCAATTGAGCGCCTAGCAAGGAGTTTTACTGTATACAGTAGACGACGGTCCAGCTCGCCCACCTGACCTGACCATCCCGAATAGAGAGGGCAAGACGGGGAAAAGATAAAAACAGGCAGATAACCGTATTGGGAGAGACGGGCATTTGGCGGCGGGTTGATATTGATTGAGGCTAGCTAATACGAGGTCGCATTTCCTCTGGAGGCTTTTCCCTCCTCTCTTTTGCTCGCCATGCCAGGAGATGCAGACGCTGCAGACGCTGGCGCCGAGGCTGAAGCTGCACCAGCACCAGCACCAGCACCAGCACCAGCACAAGCACTGGCTCACGGCAGAGGCATTGCAGATAGCAGCAGTAAGACGAGTAACAGTAATGACGACGGCAGCAGCAGCAGCAGCACCGGCACCATAAGAGAGGCGCCGGAATCAGAATCAGAATCAGTACCAGTACCAGTATCAGTACAAGCAGCGCCATCAGCAGCAGCATCAGTGACAGCTCCAGCACCGCTCTCGCCACTCTCGACGTCGTCAACGGCTACCAGTCCCGTGTCGCCGACATTCCTTTCCGTGGCCGGCCGAGTCAGCACGCCTCTGAGCCTGTTTGTGGACTCTGCGCCCAGCAGCGGCGGCAAGCAGAAGAAGCTGCCCGCGACATCATCGCCGACGTCTCCCGGCTCCGAGTCTGCAGCAGCCATCCGCCAGCGCTATCTGGCCATGTCGTCGCCCACAGCCGCCGCTGGCCACGGGCAGGAGTCGACGCTGTCGCTGGGAGGAATCGCAGCGGCAGCAGCAACAGCGAGGATGCGACGGGAGCTGCGCGTGGACGAGGCAGTAAACGAGGCAGAGCTGGAAGAGGAACAAGTGGACGAGGCGGGCTGGAAGGAGAAAAGCACGGGCATGGGCACAGGCTCAGGCTCAGGGCCGCCGCTGCCGTGGTCGCCCAGCGCAAATCACGACGGCGGCAGCAGCATTTCCAATTTCAACTCCAAAAACCCGTCTGCTCCTGTTTCTCTCAACAGAAGCGCCAGCAATCAGCAGCATGACACCTCCAGAGGCATCATTTCCGCGCCCCTGCCCCAGAGCCCCGACGCACGCGCCAGACCCAGTCGACACGAGCGCCCCTCAAATTATGGCCGGGACTCGGATATTGCCAGCGCTGCAATTAGCACCGCGGCCTGGTCCCCTGCCCCATCAGCGCCAGCATCAGGTCCAGCATCAGCGTCTGCCTCGTCGCTGCGCCGCCCGCCGCCCGAGGACCCCCCATTGCACACGGGCAGCGTGCAGCCGGGCACCAAGCTGGCCCATCCAAAGCCCATCCTGCACATCGCCACCGACGAGGCGCGCCATCACCACCACTCGGACCTGCTCACGCGCTCGGCCTCGTCCATCAGCAACGTCGCCCACCTCGAGGCCACCGCCGAGCGCCTGTCCATGACCAGCTCCATCGACGATGCCATCCGCGACCTGCACGGCGAACTGAAACGCAGCGACAGCAGACGCTCCTCCATCCTCGCCGCCCGCGCCGCCTCTGCCGACGAGCACTCGACGTCGGCCTCGTCACGCCTGCGCCGCTACCCGTCCAACGGCTCGTCGTCGGCCGCCGCCGCCGCCCGCCAAAAGGGCTACTCTCCCGCTGCGTATGTCATGTCGCCCACAAACTCCCTCTCCGGCCGCATGCGCTCCGGCTCCAACGCCTCCACGGGCCCAGGCCGCCCGGAGCACGACGCCATCAACTCCATCCTGTCCCGCCACGGGCCGGGCAAGAGCTCCGTCAGGAGCGTGCGCTCCGCCAAGCCCTCGCTGGCTGAGATCTCCGAGTCGGAGCCCATCTCCCTGACCCAGCAGGTCCTGGACGAGGCCGAGCACGCCGCTGATGTCCTGTCCGATGCCGATACTGATGCTGAAGCTAGCGCGAGGAAAATGATTCAACAAGACGCAAACTTTGGGGGCGACGACTTCCACGAGATGATGGAGGGAGGCTTCCGGAGCCACAGGGCTTCCAACCTCATCTTGGTCAACCCAGACCTGCCCTCCGACCACGACAGCGAAGCCGAGAGGCCCATGACGGCAAACTCCACAAATACCTTTCAGGTGGCCCAGGAGGCCTTTGACGACTTTGACGGCGCTCACTGCGAGACGGATACGGAAGATGAGCGTTTCGCTACGGCCGACATGGGGGCACGCTTGCAGAAGCGAGAGAGGCTGCCGGAAGCGCACCACCAGCTCCAGCAGCACCAGGAGCAATACCAGCTCCAGCACCCGCTCCAGCAGCACCAGGAGCAGCACCAGGAGCCGTATCAGGAGCCGTATCAGGAGCCGTATCAGGAGCCTCCCCATCCTCCTCCCGCCCACGAAGACACCTCCCAACTACGCACCCCTCAACAACGGTCCTCTGGAGAGTTTGTGAGGCCGCAATCCTACTTTGATGCCCAGTCTGGCCAGCACATGCTGTACTACCCAGCCCGTGTTCCGGCCATGCTCAACCTACCCCCCAAGCTATCCCACAAGCCCAAGGCTGCTGATCGTAACCAGCGACGCTCGGAGCTCCTGAGCGCCATGATGCAGCCCAAGGAGAAGAGAAAGTCCATCGTCCCCGACCTGGAGCAGATTGCCCTGCCTGACCCCCTGAGCGGGCACCGCAATTCGTTTGCGGCCCTCTCAGTGGCAGACAAGCTCGACGACGTCGACGACGGCATTGCCACCACGCCTACACCATATTTCATAGAGGGGCCCGTTCCTCACTCCAGGGAAGTGACTGCACCCCCCTCTCTGGAGGACCTTCGCCGTCCTCAGAAGCTGTCCAAGCACGATGCCGACAAACGCAAGTCAAACATGGACAAACTAAGCACCCTCCCCCCCCACCTCCGGGCCAGCGTATTTTTCGAGCAGCCGTCTGAGAGCCCCGAGATTGAGGTCAGGGACGGATCGGCCATGGCTACCCTCGACAGCATCCTCGACGCCTCAGCGACCGCTCCCGTCAGTGCCTTTACCGACCATTTGTACGCCGGCAAGCTGGGCAACGAGGTATATGGACAGGAGAAGAAGAAGGATGGCAAAAAGAAGGCGGCCAAGCACAAGTCACAACAGCCTTCTACAAACACTCTTACCGCCGATTTGCCGTCCAAGGGATCGACTGTCAGGCTGCTCACTAAGCGAAGCAAGAGCAGTTTGCTAGGTATAGAGGCCAACGAGCCTGAAGCTGGCCCTAGTGGAGCCCATGATGACGGCCACGACGGAGCCCATGATGAAGAAGAGGGAACAAGAGAAGAGGAGCAGCTCGAGGAAGGTATCCTTGATGGCATGCCCACGACCCTTCTTGGCGAGATTCATCTTCGCAAGCAGCGACAAAAGGAGCGTCTGCTCAACCAGGGCAACATGGTGCCCCAGCGAATGCGAGCCACTCTCCTGGAGATGGATGCCGTTGCCGAGATGCAGCGCAAACAGCGCTTAAAGAGCCGCGTGAACCTTGCCTGGGAGGATCAAAACATTCCTGTAGAGCAACACTTGTCAGACGACGAAGACGTGCCTCTGGCTGTCATTGCCGCGATGCACGACGGCGCCAAGAATATGCTTGATCTCGAGCGTCCCATTGGCCTGATGGAGGCTCGCGAGATGGAGGAGAACGAACCCCTGAGCCAGCGCGCCGCCCGTCTGCAGGGCCGCGCCTCTGCCGCCTTTACTACTGCCAAGCGCCAGAGCAATCTGAGCCTGGGTCCTACACGCATGGCAGAGGTGCAGCCTGCAGCTGGCTCGCCACGCATCATTACGCCTGACGGAGCTGTAGACGACGATGCGCGCACCACCATTACCGCAACGGCTACATCTGCGGAGCCATTTTCGGCAGAGATTGAGGAAGAGACGCTTGGCGCCAGAAAGCGACGTCTGGCGGAATCGACACTGCCCAGGGTCCGCCCTGTTAGCAACGCGTTTTCCGCCGAGTTTTTGAGCCAGTTTGGCGACCTCGACGAAGACAAAGACAAGCAAGGCAAATCGCCCAACCCAGAGGACGAGACCCTGGGCCAGCGCCGCCGCCGTCTGCAGGCTGAACGCGAGGCCCGCGCACGAGAGATGAGCTACGGCAACCTGACGGGCGAGAGACTGACGGCTTATGGTAACCTGACGGGCGAACAGGCCAATAGGCTGTCTCGCCGAGTGAGCATGGCCGATATGCTTTCTGTGCACCAACTAGCCGAAGATCCTCGCATTGCGGAAGAACGACGCCGACAGGAGGAACACATGAGGATCACCGAACAGGACGCCAGGATGGCTGCCGTGAGGGCTCAGATGCCCACTGCCCTGGTGCTGCCGGGCAATGCTCGCTCGGGAGGCTTCAAGGGCGGCCAGTACAATGACGGAACAGGCGGTTTTGGCCTCGAGGCGTCCAGGTCGACGGCCGCTCTCAACACGCTGCATAGCCGGAGCTTCACCAACACTGGTCCCAGAAACCACCGGGCTACCATGATGATGCCCCCTCAGACTGCCTATGGCAGGCAGCAGTCGTATAGCGGAATGACTGGCATGAACCAGATGGCTGGTAATCCAATGTACAGCACCGCGCGCAACCTGTATAACTCTAATGGGGTTATTCAGCTGGGCACGGGGATGACGTTGCCGAATGGCAGCTTGGATCGAGTTGAGAGGTGGCGACAGGGTGTTGCTCCTTAGACGCTGACACTGTTGTTGGAGCATTACTTGGCATATTTTAAACCTTTTCTTTGTCTTGTTTCTTTTTGACTGTCAAGAGTCATATATATAGCCTATATAACTGCCCCTTTTTTTAGAGGCAGCGTCCGATCTGATTTCGATCCATACACGTCTGTTTCTTTTTTGTTGTTTGTTGTTTGTTTGCTTTGTTGTTGTTGGGAGAGGAAGAGGATTGTGTATTTTAATAATACGGTTAAGCATTGCGTGGCGCTTTGGGAAGAAAATTGGATTTTTACATATTACTATTTTTATAAGGTGTGGAAAGAATGGGGGGAAGAAGAAGAAGAAGAAGAAGAATTGAGAGCAGACTTTTGTGTGTGTTTTCACTTTTAATTATTTTCTTTAATGTAGACTGGGGGGAGATGAGATTCCTTTTTAGGGGAGGGTGAGTGGAGATGTGTATCAATGCATTTGTATGTTTTCTTTTGAATTGCTGGTGTGCGTGCTGTCTTTGACGAAGTGTGATTTGAACCGTTTCCATGTTGAATGTGTGGATAACTGGATAGTTGTAAAGCTTGTTGAGTGCGAAGTGAGGTGTGAAACGGTACTGAAGAGGGATGAAGACGAGAGTGATGCGTAAAGGGATGATGGGCTAATTGGACTACTTGTTGGAATGAGCTGGTCTGGGAATTGAATATGGATTGCCGGTTTCTCGCTAGTAGCGTTGAGATTGGCCTGTTAGTTATTATATCTAGGTTTGAAGGTGCTTGTGTTTGGTTGCCAATAGAGCTGGGCATCTATAACTTCTATGGATAGATGATGGCTAGAGAGACTTTCTTAGACATGTCTATGCTGCTCAGTAAGTGTGATTATTGTTTTGAGGGCTAAAGACTGTATTGAGATGTTGATGAGAGAAGCTAATAAGTTGTATTGGCTGTGATTGCACTTGCTGATTTATATGCACATGTAAATCTCCAATGGCTCTGAAGCCGTTCTCGGCACCATGGCGCCATTCTTAAGCCACTAGCTTTGGCTGTACGAGATGTTGTCGGTTTAGTTCCCCATTGAGCAAGCCTTGTGGGCTGAAAAAGTCCTTTTATAGCGCGTGGAACTATTTAGTGCTACTCTCTCCGCGTTATTTCAGATGGATGTGAGCATGGAGTTTCCAGAAAATGCAAAAATGTGAGTATGTTGCTGTTTTTATTCTCTTTGTCTCTAGAGCATAACCATAATATCGTCACCATGTAATAATACAGACAGTTGAGTGCTGAATAAATCGCAGATTCACCCTCGTGTATAGATTGCCCGTTTAGGCAACCCAAAATGCAAAACCACCCGCTGTGGAGAGCTCAGCCGCTACAACTCAAAATTGGGTGAGCCAGGGGCCCGATTGCGATATCAGTGCTAAAGAGCCACTCCACTATTAGACCGCGTATGGTGAGGGGGGCAGATAACGAGCTTTGCCTTTTCTTCTTAACCACCACCGTGTACCTTGTTAGTGCCGAGGTGCTTACACCTTTTTTTTTTCTTACTCTTTCTAGGATGCTGAGATGAACTTTGTTCTCTTCTTCATGAGTTGGATGCTGTAAAGATTGTCTCTGTGTGAGACATATAGACGAGAGGAGGCACGTGTGTAACTGACTTACACAAAGCAGAGCTGAGGAGAGTGTTTCCGCTCCAACTTTTCGCAAAGTTCAGGATAAGAAGCTTGGAGTAGCTGGAGATATACCACGAAGAATCAACAGAGCCATCAACCTGCAGGGCATGACGAGTGCAAACCGAGCATCTGCTTCCAAAGCCTCGACGCCAACCGCAATGTCGCCGCTCATCGACCGCTCTGAAGGAGGAGGAGGAGGAGGATACAACACAAACCACGGCAAAGACAACTCAGATGTCAAGATTACCGACGGCATCGACATTGAGCGGCAAGTCTCGGGCCTCATGGACCCCGTTAAGACGCTCGGCGACCTCGACGGCGACCTCGTCACCGCCACCGAAGAGCGCGACCTCAAGCGCGGCCTCAAGGAGCGCCACCTGACCATGCTGGGCATCGCCGGCGCCATCGGCACGGGTCTGTTTCTCGGATTAGGCAGCGCCGTCCAGACGGGAGGGCCCCTCGGAGCGTTGCTAGGTTACGGCACCGTCGGGCTGGTCGTGAGCGCCGTGCAGTTTGCCCTGGGCGAGGTGTCGGCGCTGCTGCCCGTGACGGGCTCGTTTGTGCGGCACGCCGAGGTGCTGGTCGATCCGGCGCTGGGCTTTGCCGTGGGCTGGAACCTGGTGTACGGCAACCTGCTGTCGATTCCGAGCGAGATTACGGCCATTTGCGTGCTGTTTGCCTACTGGCTGCCGGACCTCAACCCGAGCGTGTGGATCATTGTATTCATCATCCTGACGGCCGCGGTGGGCTTCTCGGGCATCCGCTGGTTCGGCGAGGTCGAGGCCTTTTTCGCAACGCTCAAGATCCTCATGGTGGTGTTTCTGATTATTTTCGGGCTGGTGATTGACCTCGGCGGCATCCCCGGCGTGCGGCCAACGTACTTTCGCTTCTGGAAGAACCCGGGCCCCTTTGTGGAATACATTGCCACGGGCAACTGGGGCAAGTTCCTGGGCTACTGGAGCGTCATGACGGGCGCCGTCTTTTCCTTTGCGGGCGTCGAGTCGCTGGCCATGGCGGGAGCTGAGACGGCAAACCCCCGTAAAGCGATCCCGCGGGCGTGCCGCAACGTCTTCATCCGCATCATCCTCTTCTACATGCTGGCCATCCTCATCGTCGGCATGATTGTCAGCTCCGACGACGACCGGCTCAGCGCCGAGTCGGGCACGGCCGCGCAGAGCCCGTTTGTCATTGCCGTGTCGGCCGCGGGCTATCCCGCCGTGCCGTCCGTCATCAACGCCATCGTCATCACGTCGGCGTGGTCGTCGTCGAACCAGGCGCTGCTGTCGGGCACGCGCGTGCTGTACGGCCTGGCGCTCAAGAGACAGGCCCCGGCGGTGTTTCTGCGCACCACGTCGTGGGGCGTGCCGTGGGTGGCCACGGCGCTGTACATATTCTTTTCGTTCCTGGCGTTTATGAGCCTGAGCAGCGGCGCGCTGACGGCGTTTTACTGGCTGATGGACCTGGTGGGCGCGGGCGTGCTGGTGAGCTGGATTTGTATTGTGCTGAACCATGTGCGGCTGCGGATGGCGTTGAAGGTGCAGGGCATTCCGGCCACGCGGCTGCCGTGGCATAACAGCTGGACGTGTAAGTGCTCGACTTGAAAGTTGTATATATAAAACGATGAGACTAACTTGATGACAGTGTACAGCTCGGCGGCCGCGCTCGTCATGTGCAGCATCATCCTGCTCACCAACGGCTTCTACGTCTTTACAAAGGGCAACTGGAGCGCCAGCGGCTTCGTGTCTGCGTATCTGTAAGTTCTTCTCGACTTTTTTGTACTTCTTCACTAGCTAACATGAAAAAAGGGACATTCCGCTTGTGCTTGCGGCGTATCTGATATGGAAGTTTTACAAAAAGACGAGGATTGTCTCGCTCAAGGAGATTCCCCTCGAGGAGGCGCTGATGCAGGCTGAGTTGAAGGATGCGCTGGATGGCTCGTCATGATTGCTTTCTTCTATTTGTTTTTGTCTAGATATCCTTTTGTACATAACTAGATGGTTCAACACAAAGCGAGCGTCCCTCGGATATAATTGCTTTCCAACGAAATAACATTACTATATATATATGTCTATATTTTTATGACCACTTTTTGGTATCATCCATCATCCAGTCATTCATTCGTCATATTGCAGCATCTCATCCTCCCCCATCGTCCCCAGCGTCTTCTCCAGCACCCGCCTGCACCGCTCGCGATACTCGAGCGCCAGCCGCTGATTCGGCGACAGCAGGTCCACGTCGTCGCCCACCACCTCCATGTCCGTCTCGTTGAGCCGCTCCAGCTCCTGCAGCACCTTGTGCTGGATAATGGCCACCGTCTGCTCCAGGTACTCGTGGCACTCGTCGTTGACGTGCCCGGAGAAGAAGCGCTCCTGGCGCTGCCGCACCGCCTCTTCCTCCGACGGGAACGTGTTTGAGTTTAGCGGGATGAGCTTGATGAGCGGGATGGACGAGTGCTGCAGCAGCGTCATGAAAATGTCCCACACCATGTCGTGCTGCACGTGCTTGAATGCGCCGAGGAGGCCCAGCGCGGGCGGGTTGACGACGAGAGCCTGCTTGGACGCGGCGAGCAGCGAGGATGGATCGGTCACGGGCCGCAGGGAGATGAGGTACTCCTCGGGCATGCTGCTGCCGGACTGAGGGTTGGACGGCAGAGGAGCCGAAGGGGCGGTGCGTTTCCGCACGTGGATGTAGTCGTTGTGCAGCTCGTCCGTGACGGGCAGCATGAAGCCGTAGCCCAGCAGCAGCTCGGCGTTCGTCTTGGGGCTGTAGTTGTTGAAGATTTGCTGCCCGGGCTGGTGCTCCCTCCCGACCCTGAGCTGGCACGCAGCCCCTGAGTTTGCAGCGTCAAGCTCCCACCGGACGTCCACCGCCATGTCGTGGTTGCCAATGTCAAACAGCGGCAGCAGCACCGAAAAGTCGTCGACCGACACGTCCTCGGGCAGGGCCTGCTGCTGCGCCTCCGTCATGACCAGCGATGCCCTGAAGGAGCGGCTCGAGAAGATGCAGTACGCCCAGTTGTACAGCTCCCGCGTCAGCAGCTCGCTGAAATCGTCCTCGGCGTCCTTTTGCGACGCCAGCAGCATCGCCTTGGCCTCGCGAAACTCGCGCTTCAGGTCGTCGCGGATCTTGTCCAGCCCAACCTCGACATTCGTGCCCTCGAGCAGCTCGGCCTCCTCCTCGGGCCAAAACGGCGGCAGCGCCCAGTCGTCGACGTCCTCGGGCTGCGGCAGCGCCTGGATATAGGGCCACCAGAAGGACTCCTCGCCCCTGAGCAGCTCCTTGATGAGCAACAGGCGGCCAATCACATGGGGCCGCGCCCGGGAGAGGAATTCGCGGGGAAAAGCCGGCGTTGGCTGCAGGGCGTTTGCGTACGAGAGGCTCAGCGTCGTCGGCAGGCTGACAATGGGCTCGTAGGGCGCAATGGGCGCTGCCGACGGCCGGACGCGGAACGAGAGGCCAGTGTCCGGGTCGTCGTAGATCTCGGCGGACGGGTGCAGCGTTGCGTGGTGCGAGGCGGCCCAGTCCAGCAGCAGGGCGATGCGGTCCTGGATGGCGTCCATGGCGGTGATGAAAGGAGGCGAGTGAGGGTGAGATGAGGTGAGATGAGATGAGTCGAAGTGAGTAGAGGGCCCTGTCTGAGCAAGAGATTCGCCCCTCGCGCTATCGCCAGCCAGCGATGGGCCTCATCAAATTCAAACCGCTCTCCTCGGACTCGCAAACAAACAAGACTGAAATCAATCTCTATGTTGCGCAGAATCGCCAAGCGCTCGTCTCCTTCTCATCAATTTTTAGTTTCGGGGAAAAGTTGTCTTGAAAAAATCCCCCGCACTAAGAAAACTGTCCTGCCGTGTTAGTGCATCGCGTCCTTTTGGCAGCGCCGAGGTTTAGCAGCCACTAATGGCGCATCTGTTTATTTCGGTCAAGCTTTCATTGTAAAACGAGCATCGATTCTCAATTGATTGGAGCATTTGTATATAACTGTCTTGGGGTCTCGTTGTTATTTATGTAAGCCTATATCCATGTGTGCTGTTAGCCGTAATGTAACATGCTGAGATGAAACCTGCCTTTGGGATGCATGCCAATCACATGTAATATATCTCATCTCATCTCAGCTTCACGATTAAAAAAAAAAAAAAAAAAAAAAAAAAAAAAAAAGGGCCAGACAAGAGTATTTCGTACAACAGCATCCACCATCAACCCCCCCTGTTGGTTCAGCCTTCGCCTCGTATCACAGACGCAAACGCAACAATAGGGAGACCAGGCCGTAATTCCTACATTTTATTTCCGCCCTATGCCCCGCGACAAACAACTGGCTCAGCTCCGACTAAACCTGCTCACCGCCAAGCCCAATCTGGAGGCCCACGCAGTTGTGTACATGTACTATGCAGTAATATGGACGACTAATCCTCCCGCATTCGATAAAAGCAGGGAGTCTGAGTCAAGGATAGGATGTAGGTGCCTATTAGGTAAATTGACTAGAGCGTCGGCTCATCTGCTTAGGAAAGGTTGCTGTTACGAGCATTGTCTGATGACATCTGTGGCCAAACATGCTATTTCCTGTTGACACTCGTAAGAAAAAGTTGCGCTCATCAGTTGCGTTATAGCATCTATCCCCTGTGGCCTTTTTACACGTTCTTCTTCTTCACCATTCCTGCGTTTGCGAATAGATGGCAATATATCGAAATTTGGAATCCTGTCTTACACCGTCATCTTGTTTGCCAATCTCGCAATCCCGCCCTCGCTCGCCCCCATCCGATCCCATTCCATCCGATCCATGTACCAGCCGTACTTTCAATTCATAGAGACGAGGCTAAATCGAATCACAGATAGAGAAACCTTCTCATGCCTCGCATTCGGCAATTGGCAGCTTAGCCGGCCGTGCTGCCATGTGCACATGCTTAATCTGGCTTTATCTGGTGCCGCGATCTGAGCACTTTTGACATTTGCCTATCGGGCAACAGTTGGGCTGGGTAGTAAGAGGCTGGGCCCAACGCCACTTGATCTACTAATACAAGTACATTTATAATCAGACGGTGGGTTTGCAATGTAGATCGGATACTCGCAGAGTATTTCTATAAACCATGTTTTATATACCAATTGCTAATTGTATAAGATCAATTATATCTTGATGTACATTTTATATCACATCGCCTTATCCCTTTGCAAAGTCTTCTTCCCATCGTGATTAATCTAGACATCACCCGTAGCCTATTTCTTTTGGAGCTGCATCTACTAATAGGCTACTGACTGTGCCAGAGTTGTATTGCATTTGCCAAGTCAGTGTGGGCCTTGTGAGCAAGATAGTCTAAACAAGGCTAGTTGTTTTAGCGTCTACTATCTTATTTACATATTGCTAGCGCCGATTATACCATTGACCTAGAACAGCAATAGTCAATTACTATTATAGTATAATCTTGCATGTTGCTTTACAAGATGTATAACTTATTACCCTAAAGACAATCCTAACTTTGATAGTCTTAGTCTGCAATTTAGACTTGAAAATCTAACCTCTTTGGGTTTATGATGAAGAATTATTATGCTAATATAGATCTAGTGTACAAGAAGAAAGTAGGCTAAATAATATATTTATACTAAAACTCTGGCAAAAGGTCCAATTATAACGATTTATGGCGGTACATAGTTTATCCTATATCTGCACCCTACTGAATCAAAGTATATTAAAATAGAAAGTCTTATAAACATGAGAATCTTGCTTGGTAAAGGCGGGGTCTGTTTTCTAACCAACAGTTTGTATCGGCGTTTAGATGAAGGGCACAACTCGATCAGATAACTAGACAGATCATAAAACGTATTGCTTGTGTGTCATCTCAGCACGTTGGGCCATATGCGCTGCTCGTTTATAGTCTCATTTCATGCAAACCATCTTTCTAGCCGCTTGACCGATCATGGTAAAAAGCAAAGGCATCTCCGACAGCTTTTAGCGATTAAGTGACCAAAACGACTCAATTAAATAAATCAACAAGTCAAAGAGCGAATTACCTCACGAAATTGAACTACAGGTCGTTGTTATTAGCATCATGGATAATCTCTTTACTAACCACTTGACAGGTTAGTCAATCGTCAAGCCATCTCCGTCGACAACCCGCAATCCAATTTGACAAGGCAATCCAACCGTTCGGTGGGCCATCTTTCCCCAGCCGTATTCTTATTCCCAGCTGACCAATTGACCAATTGACCAGCATTATGAATCAAGTCCGACGAGTTGGGACGTCCAACCTACAACAGCTTGATCCTCACGTTTTGTATCCCTGCCACGTCTGTGGAATAAGCTACTGCTAAGAAACGCACTAGCACAAGTTATTTGTTGATCCTCGCTCCACAAATCAAGCGTACTCTAGTTTTTTCATCTACTGCCGGAGTTTGTACTAGACTGGTGCCATGGAGGAAAGCCAATTGGTCCAAACGGTCTTTTAGCTTGGAGGACCAACTACATGTTGCTTTTGGGTGAGTCAAAACAGCAGAAACACGAGCAAAACAACAGAGAGAGCGAGAGATTAAAACACATGGATAATCGAAAGATGAAACGGATATCACGCAAAATCTCGCAATGCAACCTCGCCATGTACGGGCACCTCAGATCGCACAGATTCGACACTTGAGCCCTTTGGCTCGTTATTTTCATGCTGCCTAGTGCCGACGAACGGATCAAGATGCCTGCAAAAAGCGGCCACTACTAAGACAACGTGCAGCCCATGCACATGCAATCCTGTCTGTGCCTTGATGTAAAAAAGAATAGCGCCCAACAGCCAACAGCAAGTCTTATCCCGCTACCAACGACGGAAAAAAAAAAAAAACAAGAAAAAGAATTAAAAGAATTAAAATGTCAGAAATGCTACGTATTTCCGTCAATCGCACTCACGCATGCAAAGACCCATCAAACCCACCTTCTTTCCCTCCCTTGTCCAAAAACTTCCCTTGGCAGCTTAGACAACAAAACGGCTGCAACCGGTCAGCTCAAAGAATGCAACCTTCTCCTCCCCTGCTTGCATCCCCCTGGTTCGGAAATACAGCTTTCTTGGCTATATTTGAGCAAAGGGCTTACTAATTCCGAGATCTCTCTCTCTGTTAGAGATGCCGAGAAGATTAAAAAAAAAGGTGTATGCGTGTTCGGAGCTGAGAGTTTGTGTAGCATTCCGATTTTTTTTTGTGGTTAATAAAAGGTCCTGCCGCTGCGAAGGATTTCGAGGACAGGCTAGGCTTGTTTGTTTCACGCTTCAGCGTTGGAGCGAGTGTCGATTGTCGTCTGTCTACATATTGGATGCAGACATATATGATCAACAGCTGCCGTTGATTGTCTTTTTCACTGATTCACTCTAGAGCGGCTGCTCATTCACATATACACTCTATACCTATACAACCATCGAACCAGAGTGTATAGTGTATAAGTGGTGTATACAACCACAACTCTCCTCCATCCACCACCGCCATAATGGACGAAAAAGAAGCCATCGCCGCCCCCATGGGCATCGAAACGCCCTCGTCCGAAAAGGAAACGGCCGTCAACACGTCCGACTCGGAATCGGCCCAGCCATCCACGCCCACGCCCGCGTCGTCAGACCCCGTCCGCTCCATCACCGGCCTGCGCTGGCTGCTCGTCTGCTTCGCCCTCTACGTCGGCACCTTCGTCTACGGCCTCGACACCACCATTGCCGCCGACGTGCAGGGCGCCGTCGTCGAGCGCTTCGGCCACGTCGAGCAGCTGGCCTGGATCGGCGCGGGCTTCCCGCTGGGGTCCGTCGTCGTCATCACGCTCTGGGGCAAGCTGTACGGCACCTTCAACATGAAGTGGAACTTTGCCGTGGCCATGGTGCTGTTCCAGGTGGGCTCTGCGCTGTGCGGCGCTGCACCGACGATGACGGCGCTGATAGTTGGGCGAGTTATCGCTGGAGCGGGCGGCGCGGGCATCTTCATGGGCACGCTGCAGTACTTCACGGCGCTGTCGCTGCCCAAGGAGCGCGGCACGTATCTCTCGGGCACGGCCTTCTGGTGGGGAATCGGCGCCGTGCTGGGCCCGCTGGTGGGCGGCGGCTTCACGCAGAGCAGCGCGACGTGGCGCTGGGCCTTTTACATCAACCTGGTGCTGGGCGGCGTCTTTGCGCCCGTCTACGTCTTCTGCCTGCCCGACGTGCACCCCGTCACGGACCGCACCATCCTGCAGCGCGTCAAGACGTTCGACTACCTGGGCCTGCTGCTGGGCGCCGCGGCGTGGGTGACGTACACGATGGGCTTCACCATGGCCGGCGGCCAGTGGCCCTGGAACGACGGGCGCACCATTGCCACGATTGTCGTCTTCGGCGTGCTGACGGTGCTGTACCTGTCGCAGCAGACCTTTTGCTGGTTCACGACGCTGGAGAACCGCTCGCTGCCGGTGCACCTGTTCCGGTCGCGCACGCAGATCCTGCTGGCCATCTCGACGCTCAGCAACATCGCCTCGCTCTTCGTCATGACCTACTTCATCCCCATCTACTTCCAGTTCGTCCACGGCGACTCGGCCGTCGACGCCGCCGTGCGCCTGCTGCCGCTGGTCATTGTCACCGTCAGCTTCAACCTGGCGTCGGGCCACTTCCTGTCGCGCATCCAGTACTACATGCCCATGTACGTCGTCTCGGGCGTGCTCGTGTCGCTGGGCTCGGCCCTGCTGACGGCGTACCTCGACCCGGACACGCCCAAGAGCTACATCTACGGCTTCACCGTCCTCACCGGCGTCGGCACCGGCCTGACGATCCAGATTGGCTTCACCGTCGCCACGCTCGTGTGCGACCCCAAGGACCAGGGCAACGCCCTCTCCATCCAGAACATTGCCCAGGTCGGCGGCCAGGCCGTGTGGCTCGTCATTGCCGGCCAGGTCTTCCACAGCACCGCCGTCAAGAACCTGACCGAAGTGCTCGCCGGCACCAGCTTTACCCAGGCCGACATCCAGGCTGCCATTGCCGGCGCCCAGAGCGTCATCTTTGAGGAAATTACCGGCGACCTCAGGACCCAGGCCATCTTGGCAATCACAAAGGCCATGCAGCGCGTCTTTATTTGTATCTGTGCCGGAGGCGGTGGCATCATTGTCACCGGCCTGTTGATGAAGCGCGAGAAGCTGTTTGGCGAGATTATCGTGCATGGCGGCTAAGAAAAGGGGGGCGAGTAATGAAGCAGAAAGAAGAAGAAAAGGCTTATAAAGGATATAATTGTATGAATGAGATTCAAGGCATAAATGATGTATAGACAAGATGGCAGTCTGTTGATTTCCCCCTCATTATTAAAATAGGCATAATAGACGGCAATTCTTTGTTTAGAACTGGAATAAACATGTTAGATTCTTTCCATCATCATTTGCCGGTTGTAATTAGACTGAAAGCATTAGCATGGCATATGCCTTACCCATAGACAAGTCACTGTCAAGACTTGCATCAACAAATCATCACGCAACCTCACGTAAAGCACGGCGTCACCCGGTTCCGCCCAATAATCACATCGTAAAGCGCAAACGGCTCCATCGGCGCCTCCCTCAGATCCTGCTGCGTCCACGCATCCGGCACCATGCGCTTCACCAGCGTCATCGATCCCAGCGGCCTCCGCTTCACCGAGCTCTCCAGCACCTGCATCATGCGCGAGCGCTGCTCCTCCGTCCGCGACTCCAGCCCAATGATGAACAGCGGCCACGGCCGGTCGCAGTACTCAATCTCGTTGAGAATCCGAAACGCCTGGTCCATGGCGCTGGCGAGGCATTTGGACGTTTCGGGCTCGCCCTTTGCCATGCGCACGAGGTAGATTGTGGCGGCGAGGCGGAAGAGCTCGGCGATTTGCGTTTCCTGCGTGGCTTGCATGGTGTCGCTTGGGAGGACGGCGGCTTGGCGCTGCTCGAGGTATTTCAGGCGGATTTCCAGCGATCGGACTGTTTTGAGGTGCGACTCAGAGAGCCGGCTGGGGTGGCCGGGTTCGTAGACGTGGTCGACGACCTGGCATAAGAGGTCCAAGAGTTCCAGGGAGCAGCCAAGGATGGGCACAATCTTGATCACTCAGATCAGTAAGCATCTCTCACAGCTTTGTTATCACTTACAGTCTGTCTCTCGGGCGAAAACACGGCCTTGGAAAGCACCTTTTTCTGTCCCGCCAGGTGAACCTGGTCCTGATTCCTCTTCCGCCAGTGCCGGATACTAAACTTGTACATTGCATCATGATAAAAGATCCAGTCGATAATCATTGCCTCGTCCCCAAAGTACGTGTCGTGCTGCTTGGTAATCATGTTGGCGAGCCTCTTTGTGCCGCAGAAGAAGATGGCCCAGTTGAGATCCGACGTGTCAAAGTTCATTGTCTACCAGTCATGAGAATGCTTGTTTGAATTAGACGCAACTCCGCAGACGGGACAAACCTCGTATATATTCAGCAGCATGCTCGCCGCCATCATCTGCATGCACTCGGCCGCCTTGGCCGTCTCAATCGCCGCCTGGAGCGCGCGAATCGCCGCCATCTGGTGCATCACGGCCGCCTTTTCCATGGCCAGGTGCTGGTACGACAGCGCGCTGATGGCATATCGCGACGCCAGCGACGGCAGGCTGTCGTCCTGAAAGGCCATCCGGACCAGCAGGCCGTAGAGCTCGTCGTTGCGGTTGCTGGACGACAATATCCGCGCAACGGGGCTCCAGGCTGTCGACCTCATAAGCATTGCACTTGTCACATGCTTCATAATGTCTGCGACTTACAATTGGTAGATAAAAAGGGATCCAGCTTGGCCATGTTCACGTCCGGCTGCCTTACACACCACCGCTCGCACGCTTCATACCTCGACAGGGCTTTTGACAAATCCATTCGTCAGCCAAGACTATAATCATGGAAACTTGAAAACTTCTCACCATTGTCCTGCGACCCCTTGACATCCTCGCTCGTCGCATGCACAAAAACCGCCTCCTTGGCCCGCACCGGAATGATGAAATGCTTCTTGTGCAGCGACGCAGACCGGCGCTCATCGCCCTTTCGCGGCCACGACAGCTTCAAGCCGTAGCCCAGACATTGGCGGCCCTTTTTCACGCAGTTGTTGCAGTGCGGCCGAGTCTTGTCACACGCAATCTTTTGTTCTGTGAGGGTCAAGTGTGTGAAGTTAGCGGCTGAGTCGGAGATGGCTGATGGATGGGAGCTTTTTAGACGTACGACGACAGTTCCAGCAGCGCTTCTGCGTTTGCGTCATGGAGAAATCTGTATATATATATATATATTTATGTAAACGAATGAATTAATATGGGCGTGTGATGGGAGTTGCAAAGAGAGTTGCCAGGCAAGTTGTTGCGAACAAACCCTGTACCCAAGTAAATAGCTGCAGAAGCAATCTTGATGACAAATGCCCGTTGATACGCAGCACTGAGGACGTGGTCCGGCGCTGTTTATTAACGATGACATACCAAAAAAAAAAAAAAACTCTGGGGATAACTTATGTCAGCGCCGAAAAGCAAATTACGCCAGACTTGACTTGGCAAAAGCTGGATAACCCGTAATGGCAGTATCTTCCATGTATGTCTTGACGTGGCGATTACTACTGGGCTTTTGCTTCTTGAGTTATATACTCGTCGCCTATTCGCGGCTTCAACTGCAAGTCTCGCAGCTGAATTGATGCCTTTACTTGTTGATGTCAAGTATCTATCTGTACAGTTTACAAAAGGGGGGGGGGGGGGTTCATTATTTAGCACCCCCTTTCCCGTTTCCCAATACCTCAACCAACAATGCAGTCAGTCCAATGCATGAAAATATAAATGTTTTATACATACACGTGGTAGCAGTAAGATGATGAATTAAAAAATCGCTGAAAATTCCCACGGCTGGGATGCTGCACAATAGTCCCCTCAAAACAGATCCCACATCCTGTCCATAGGCGCTTCAACAACACCAACCAAGCATACATGTACAACCCCCTTTCCTCAATCAATGAAACTCAGCCTCCACCCGGCCATACCTCACCCCATCCACCTTGAGCTCAAATCCCAACCCCGCACTGTCCACAATCATCTCCAGCGTGAAATCGAGATTGTCAAACTCCACGCCCCGCGTCGTCGTCAGCCTCGTAAACAGGCTCCTCGGCACCGCGTTCAGATCCGTCGTCAACGTGCACACATTGACCAGATCCCGCGTGTACGCCGCGGGCGGGTCGTCGGCGTCGCACGCAATCAGGTCGTCCGTCACGATGAGCGACTGGCCGGGACGGAAGTTGCGCGTGTAGTGGAAGGCAATGGGGGATAGAGGAGAGAGCGATTCACCCTGCATCGAATTGTTAGATCTGTAACAGAGAAAAAAAAAAACCTTTTTTTAAAAGACATACCTTGGCAATGTGCCACTGCATCCGATCCGATACCATCCACCGCTCCCACAGCGGCGACCAGTATCGCTCGCTCACAGAGTGCTTCTCCTCATCATACACCGTCGCAAACGACGTTCCATAGTGCATCCTCGACTTTCTCGAAATCACCATGTTGCCCTCCAGGCCCCTCAGCACCGCTCCGCGCACCACAGCCGTCCACGCATACACCGGCTGCATCACCTCGATCGACCCGCTGTCCTGCGATGAATTTGCATTCGCGTGCGTTGGCCGCTCGCTGTACGGCGGCGGCGCGGCGCTTGAAAAGTGTGACTTGAGCCGTCGGTAGAGATAGTCGCTCTGGCCGAAACCACCGACTAACACGATGCCGGAGACGATGCCCCCCTTGGCACGGAGGCCTTCGACTTGGCCTTGCACCAGATCGCAGACCTCTTTGACGACGGGCTCAAAGATGTCCTTGATCTGCTCGGCGCTCATGACCATGAATCCCGAGTCAAGTCCTGCTTCTTCGTCATCGGGAAGACCAGGGAAACTGCAAAAGGCAGGTTAGCTCTGTAAACAAGTATGGCGTGCATGTGAGAAACATACGGAACATTAATCTCCTGGTGCTCATCCTCGTTAAAGTTGCGCTTGACAAACTCTTCAAAGTACCGCAGACCCATCTGCCACGTCTTGCCCTTTTTCGTCTTCATCTCATCGAACCGAGCCTGGCCCAGCCTGGTCCGGACATGCTCCTCGAACCTGTAGTTCAAGAACGCGCTTCCACACAGTCCTCCCGTTCCCACTGCAGATTCCTCGACTCTCAGTGGCTTCAGGGATATAATTTTATACGCAATCAAGCTGGAATCTGTTTAGCTCTCGTTTTCATAACAGGGGAAAAAAAAAACATGGCATACTCTACCGTTCCACCGCCCGCGTCACAAACGATAAAGTTATCGCCAATGTTCAAATGATTCGGCTGAATGGCCTTGAGCGTATAAACCGCCGCCGCCTCCGGCTCGCTAATCATCTGAATCTCCGACCGACTGCCCATGCCCGCCCGCTCCGCCGCCTGCAACGTCGTGTTCTTGGCCGCATCGCTCCACACCGCCGGGCACGTCAGCACAAACTCGACCTTTGTCGACGCCATAAACGACTCGCCGTAGCGCCGCGTCAGGGTGTCCATGGTGTGCCGGTAAATCTGCGTCAGGTAGTCGCTGACGGCGTCCACGACGTTCTTGTTGAACTTTTTCAGCTGCGCCGCCGTGTCCAGCGGGCTGACGTAAAAGGGGAGCTTTTGGGAGCGGTCGAGAAACAGCTTGATGCATCGTAGCCGCGACTCGTCTGGCTTGAACTGGAACCCCCATTTCACAGTGGGCTCGGCGCCGGTTGAGTCGTTGGCTGGGAAGCTGTATGAAATCTCCGTAGGGACCTTGTCTGAGGTGATGCCATTGCCGCCTGGCCACGTCTTGATGATTTCGACGTCATCCGGCGTTGATGTGTATACCGCAGCGACACTGAAGCCATGTTAGCAAAAAAAAGTCTTTGTTCTTCCTCTCAAACCAGCCCAACAAAGGACGCCGCCCACTCACCCTGAAAATGTCGTCCCAAAGTCCACTCCCACAATCAACCGATCCGTCATCGGCGGCTGCTCCCTCACCGGCTCCCTGACCGGGCCATTGATCGCCTCCGTAGAGCTCGGCGGCGTGTAACTGGTGAAGTAGCTTCTGCTCTCCTGATTCCGCCGACTCGGCGTCGTACGCACCGGCAAACTGAGATTCTGCATCCTTCTCTCAACGACGCCAGCAAGAATTCACTTCCAATGTTTTCAATCCTCAGTGAACACAACCAACGCTCATGTCCGAGAGTCTGGCCCCCTCTCCTCTCTCACTCTCCAACCCTTCCTCCGTTGCCGTTTAGAACAGAGACTACGCTCAAACAGCAGCCCAGGTGCGAAATAAAAAAACCAGCAATGCAATCCGCTGATGAGAAGACGTCCAAGAGTCGCCAAGAAGAAATGGTCCCAAGGAGCGAGTCGAAGCGCCAGTCCCTGAATTCACACAAACTTTGGTCTATCCCCCCTATCTTACCGCCAATTCACCAACAGCTCCAGCCAGAAATATCGCTGCCGCTATCGTCGTCGCCGTCCACATCAACTGTTCCCTCTCCTAATCTCTCGATATCCCCCTCGAATTCAACAAAGGTCAAGATTCGAGACCTCGGAAAAAGCCTCTCAAAAACTCCGGCCCCTTTCGCAGAGACAATCGCATACAATCTCTTTCTTTATCAACAGTGAGGACCGAGAGAAACTATCGTCTTGAAGAGAGAGAGGGAGAGAATCCGAGCATATAAAAAGGCCAAAAGTCCCCTGGTCGTTTCTTCTCAAGATTATCCTGTTGCCTGGTGTCCTTTTTTTTTTATAAAACGTTCCAAGGCTGCCTTCAGCTTCTCCCTCTAGTGGGTGGTTTCCCCAATCTATAGCGCTGGGGCTGCCCCCCAGTTTGCCTTGGAGGGGCTTAGCGCACTCACGTGACCATTGGTCGTATGCTTCTTTTGCCTTCTCTTTTGACATTAGTGATGTACTTTTTGTATGTTGCCGTGGTATTCTCTGTACTTTGCTGCATTGCAGTTTTTAAGCGTATTGCACATGTAGAATTGGCAACATCGATAATTTAAATCTCTCACTTTCATGTCAAATTCAACTTTACAAATGAAATCACGAATCGATGCTCCAAAACAAGAAAAAGGGTTGACGTGGCAGTGCATCCAAACCAGGTTCCCACAAGGCTCCCAGATTTCGCAGTGGATCTTCCCTCTCATCGGCCACGCCTCAAACTCATCTCATCTCATATGAACCGTTCATTCCATCACATAAACTAGGCATCAGTAAAACAAAAAACAGCCGAGTTACCCATCCATTATCCGCCCTCATCCGCTACCTACTGCTGTCGCATCTACCGAGGCATTGGATAGACGAAATACAAAAGGGAGCGAGGGCGCAACTCCGCCGAATACGCTTACATGGTGTCCTGTCCTGTCCCACTTGCAACCCTTACAACCAAGTACGGGCGCACACAGTACCGTTTAGGCATCAAAATACAGCCGCAGCGGGTGTTAATAAGCGGTAGACGGAGATTTCTTCATATACGATACGATGTATCCCCTTTGGTTCGCTCCTCGTCATTACACTTCAAAAAGATTTCCAACTCGAGAATCAATCACTAGACATTTAACAAGTTGATAAAATGGAACAAAATGAGACTGATAAATTATGCTTCGTTGCTTTGAACAAATTGTGTGAGGGGTGTAGAGTAAATACGCAATATAAAGAACCAGTGTTCACATCAGATAAAAACTCCAGTCTCCAATGAAAATAGCAATTAACAAAAATTGCGCCTATATTGCCTCAGCCACAAAATCTGGGGGATCTTTTGATTGCAAAAAATAGTTGGCAAAAACGACCGTAAAGAAGAGATATACTATAGATATATATATGTGAGTATTCCCACCACAGCAGAAACAAGAGAAATAACGCCGCAGACTCCGGTCCCTAATCTTCAGTCTTTCTTTCTTCTTCTCATTCTTCCTCTTCTCGTCTTCTCCCCTCTTTGGTATAAAAAAAAGATAGAAAAAAAGAAAAAAGAAACGATTTTGACAAAGGAAATAATATAATATGGTGTACTATGTGAGGTATGTGGGTTCAAGCAAGGCGAGGGCCATGCTCGCCCTTCTTTTTTTTCAGTCTATCATGGGGGTATTTCGGGTGCTTTGAAAGCGCGCTCAAATTGTTTCAAATATCGAAAGAAGCGAAATAAAATCCAAAAGGTATAATAAATAATTCGAAGGCTGCCTCGAGCTGCGGCTCCGATTCGTCTTTGTCGAAAACCTTCCCGAGGGCGATATATCGTGTGTAGATGGATGTATGTAGGAGTAGGTGTTTGTGCCAGCCGAAATACGCAGAATAAACCAAAAGAATTTAATACCCCAATCGAAAATGTCGGAAAATAAAAAAAAGCCCATGATATGATGGTCGACCCGGCGACTCAAGATCCAAGGAGTGAGAGAAAATGTGTCGCACACCAACACCAAAACACCATTTATCATGCGAAGAAAAAAAAATAGCACACGCCATATTAATAATAAAAAAACCCAACTTTTTTTTTGTTGCCTCACCACTGAACATGAACATGTCCAAGAGAAGAAAAAACAAAAGAGACTCCCTCCATCGCGCGATAAACAAATTATTAATGGAATCTCTTAGATGCGGTTTCCAGCAGCCCAAATGCTTGCGGAAGCCGAAGCGCTCCACTCACCACCCTCGTACGGGGGAGTGGGCCACTTGTACTGGTTCGAGGTTTTCTTGCTGAGATCGAGAGGCTTCGGTGCCATGGCCTCAGCGCCATCTGCGTAGAGCAGTTGGTTGCTGTTGGCAGACGGTGATGGACTGGGGTATGGTTGAGAGCTGGACAGGCCCAAGTTGCTCGCAGACTGTCGCAGCGGCTTCGTGTTGTTTTCCAAGCGCTTCATCGCCCGCTGAGTCGCGGTAAGAGCCTCATCGAGGAGCTCGTCTTCCTCAGCCGGTGTCTCGTACTGCTGAACATCGTGAACCGCTTGGGCACGTCGAGTTCGGCTTGAGATGGGGCCGTTTCGGGCGGCGCCAATCAGGTTGTCGACAGATCTGGGCTGTTGATACGGCAGCGAGTGGTGGCGCTTAAGCTTTCCGGCGGCGGCAAGCTGATGTGACGGGGGAACGGGAGCTCTGGGCTCAGAGCCCTGGACATCGTGCAGGGCCTTGTCCAAGGACTCATATCCTCCCTCCACCTTTGGGACGACGCTCACTTGCTGGTCAACAAGCATAGACGATCGATTGCTGTTCCAAGGGCTGCATCCCACTTGCGCTTCCATGTCGTCGTATGCTGGCGAAACAGGAGTTTGGTGGCGGCCAGAGAAGCGTCTAGCTCGCTTGCGAAGGTGCGAGAAGAAGCTCTCCTTGTGAGCGCTAGGAGGTGACGCAAGGCCTGTCTGCCCATTCAGAGCGCGCTCGGCCTGAGCGCGGTGCAGCTCGGTATAGTTGTTGTTGCTCGAGTTCACAGAGAGCTGTCGGCCAAGCTTCTTGCTCTTGTCCAGGCTGTCGGTGTTGCTGTTGGCACGCGCCGTCACGGCATCGGACAATGGCGAAATAGGCTTGATGGAAGGCAGAATTGGCATTGGCGCCGCGCTGGAGAGACCGTTGGCCCAAGTGGTCCGCTTGGACTTGGCAACCTGCTTAGTATTGGCGGTATCGACAGTGCTGGAGGTTTGCACAGGCGACGGCTGGATGGGGGCAACAACTACGGTTTCGGGAATGTCGCTGCGGCCGATGAGCGACTTGCGGAACCAAGAAGGCTTTGAGACGGAGTTTGAAGGGGCCAGACCCTCTTTGGAGGCGCGGCTCAGATCGGACTGCTTGCGACCCAGAATCTTGGAAGCAGATGACTTGGGTCTTGACGGATCCGTAGCATCGGCAAAGTATTCGTGGTTCAAAGACTGCGTAGACGTAGGACGGTTCTTGGGATCCCACATCAGACACCAGGTGACAAAGTGGCTCAGCGCAGGCGGCCACTGAGGAGTCTGCAGGATGGTGTCCATGGCGTGAGGCGCCATCTTGGGAAAAGAGAAGCCCAGCTTGGAGGCCAGTCTAGTACCTTCGCGCCATTCGCCTCCTCCAACGCGGGCACCGGCCTTGTTGTACCAGTTTCCGGGGCTGCCCATGATTTCGCAAACTCTCCACACCTGGTCAACCTCGTTTCCACCAGGGAACAGCGGCTTCAGCGTAGCAATCTCCACGGCCATGGCGCCGACGGCCCAGATGTCGACGGGCGCCGAATACTCGCCGGCGCGCAGCAGAACCTCGGGCGCTCGGTACCATCTTGTGGAGACGTAGGTGGTGTATGGAAGCTTGGAGTGAGTCTCACGGGCGAGACCGAAATCAGCCAGCTTGACGGTGTAAGTAGGAGGAGTCGAGGGTGGGGTGACCAGGGCAGAGTATCTTCGGAATGAGTTTGAGGTGTCCTGGTGGGCAGACGTCGAAACGAGAATGTTCTCGGGCTTGATGTCGCGGTGGAAGAAGTTGTGGGAGTGGATGTGCTCGAGACCCTGCATAATCTGGAACAAGATGCTCTTGACACTTGAGTTGTCGAGATATTTGTGGTCTCTGGCCTTCATCAGCTGGTACAGATTGCCCTCCATGTACTCCATGGCAATGTGTAGCTTTTTCGTAAAGGGATCTAGGAAGATGTCGAGAGCGGGAACGAGATGGGGATGAGGAGGGAGGGTTCGGAGAAAGACGACCTCTCGAAGCTCAAGGCATGGCGACAGAGACTCAAACGTCTTCTTCATGGACTTGATTGCGACCTGCAGTGAACGTGTTAACAGCGGTTGAGGTTCGAGACGGGCATACGTGATTTTCGGTGTCTTACAAGAGTGCCTCGGCGGGCAACAGCTGCGCCCGCCGTCCGGGTTCGAGCCAGGACGACGCTGCCGAAACTTCCATCGCCAATCTCCTTGACGACCTCGAAGCGGTCTTCGAGCGCCATGGTGCCGTGAGGCTGTTGCCGCAGCGTCATTTCCACGGTGGCCATGTTGCTGTGTGGTTGGATCTGACTAAGACAGGCTCGTCTCTAAGAAGTTGCAGAGCAGCTTCAAGCAAGACGCCGTGAGAGAGATGGGAGAGGGGCGGTCTGCAATAAAAGGGAATAGAATTCGACCGATGACAGACAACACCTATTGGCCCGCAAGAGATGAGCTCTATCGTAGAGCTGCAGATCGTTTATCGTAGCATTCAGGTTAAGCAAACGGGGGGAAGAGGCAGACGGAATCTCAGATAGCTAGGTAGCTTGGTCGCAGGAGAAAAGGGAAAAAAAAGGGTGATTGTGAAAGACGCAGTCGAATAGAGCGGTCGGGTTGATGTGGTGAGGTTGGCGGGTCGCTTACACAGACAAACAAGAGAGGTGAGAAAGGAAATCGAAATTGTGAAAATTCCAAAAAAGACGGATGAGAAAAGAGGCCGAAAGGAGGTCGAGTGTAAGGAGTGACTGAGGTGAGGATTGATTTCAAAGTGGATAAGGCTTGGAGGTTATGAAAAAGGGGAGCTCAAATGTCAACGGCCCAGCCCAGGGGTGGTTGGCGGTACTTTGCGGCACCACCACAGGCCCCTACAATAGAGGCTAGACCCAGCTGATCGCGGACCGCTAATTAGTGGTAGGCAGTTGGGCCTGCTGGTAGCCCACTGTACTTTTTCTGGGTGGTTTTAAGCTTGGCGGCGAGCAGGGGCGGGCAAGATGAGCAGCAGTAGTGCGAGTCGCAGTACTTGTCGAGATGAGCGATGAGATGAGATGACAGGAAAACTGAGATGTGTTGGGGCCGGCCGCGGATTGCAGGGGCTCGTGATTCCGGGCAGAGCGAGCGAGCGAGCGAGAGAGGTGAGCAGCAAGTGAGCAGCAAGTGAGTGCCGAACAAAGAGCAGCAAAAGCGAGAGTGAGAGCGACAGAATAGAATGTAGGGGAGCGGGAGGGTCCCTTTTCGCGGGGGTGATGGCCTTGGGTCGGTCGATATGTCAAGTATCAAGTGTGTGTGGCCAGCAGCGCAGAGCCAGCGCTCTCCAGGCCTTGCGAAAACAGCCAGTCGCAGCAAATCTGCGGGTACCGGCGAACGAGCGAGCAGAGGCAAAGAGGCCTGCAGCGAGTGGTATCTCGGCTTGGTCAGCCACGGCGCATTTCGATCCAGGACTGGCTGGTGGTGAGCCGGGGGTGGTTCTCGCTGCTGGAGCGTGTCGCAGAGGCGAGCCAAAGAATGAGCAGCGGCACAAACACGCCAACAGGGGGTCGGTCATTCACGGCCCGTGCTTTTGCGCCGTGGAAATGCTGGTGTTGCATGCCATTCAGTGTGATTCTGGTTCACGAGATGTACTGGTACGGGCACGGTGCCTATTCAAGCGCATTGGAATACGAGTAAGCGGCGCAGAGGCGAGGACGCCATGTATCTGTACCAGCCGATAAGCTGAAGCGCAGCGGCACGGCGACGATGCTGCAAAAAGGAAAAAAACGAGTGGTCCAGAAGCCTCGTCTGCCCCCAGCTCGACTTTGCTACTGCGCTGGATGGGGTGACAAAGGACTGCTGCGCTGTGTGTATACTGTAGTGGTTAGCGAGCGAGTTGGTCATGCCATGGGGGCTTGGACAAGGTCAGGGAAAAAAATGAGAGAGACCAGGCAGGGGTTTGGCTCCGCCGTCGCCGCCGTTCGCATGAATGGGTTGAGATTTTGGTGAGGAGGAGAAGAAAAATTGCGTCGTGATTGATGGATTGGGGGGGAACCCGCGACGGTACATGCAGGCGTTTGCCGGTCGCAGTACCTGGCGTTTCCCTCGGGCGCTGTGCAAAGAGCCGCGCGCAAACAGCAGGTACATGCAGCTGCCAGCTCCCGCAAGTCACGGCGTGATTGACCGCACTTTTGGCTGGGCTGCAGTAGCTTCAGGTAGCAACAGGCCACTGGTTGTGCTGTGTTGTACTCCCAACCTCGCAAGGTGCTTGTACCCTTTCCGAGCTGCTGGTGCTGAGCTACCGCCCGCCACTCCGCCCTCCGCAGCCACCTTCAGGTAGCTTGATATCTGGGCGTAGTCTCTGTACCCGTGGCCGGTAGCCGCTGCTGTGGCTGGGCCTGGCCTAGCGCCGGCCATGCACTAAGCCGCTCTCGACTGGGCTGCAATAGGGACCTCCGTCTCCTAATTTATCAAGTGGGCCGTGGAATCTGCCATAGAACTTCTTTTTGTCGCGCTCAAATTGGGCAATTTGCGTAGCGGGCAAGGGATCCCAGGTGGAAGGGGAAGTGCTGTGCTGTAGCGTAGTCATGGAGCTGGAGAGCATTCATCGGAGATACACATGGGCCGTTGCAATGACAGCAGCTCGCAGCGTGCACGCAAACGATTGATGGCGACTCGAATGGTACCAACACGGCTTGATCGGGCATAAAGGCCCCATGCCCGGAGAGACGAGAAAACTCTTCATCTACTGTGTACTGTATGATGCAAGTCCTCTTCACCGCAAGAATGCAAAATGTCACTGCTAGTATTGCATACTACTGCTCCTCCAGTACTAGCATAGCACTATCAGACGGTAGTATCGTGAGCGAGCATCGGAGAATCCAGACAGATACAGCATGTAGACCACCTGCTTGTACATGGCATGCAACAGGTGCCATCAGACTCGAGGGCCGAGCCACACGTCGCGCTGCCAGCACAGCAGCACCAGCTGGCCGCCCACCCAAATGTCCCGGGGCACTTTGCGGCGCTCCTATTCGAGGATAATGAGTCCGCTCCCAGCCTTTTACTGGATCTACAATGGGCCAGTCAGAAAGTGCCGGGGCCCGCGGCGTGTTGATACTGGAGCGTGTCGGCTGGAATACGGAGTACTGATACACGGCGGAATGAGAAGGGATACTTTAGCCGCTGACACAAAACATGCCTCGGAATGAGGTATAATAGCCTGTTCTGTGCGTACGGGGTACTCGTCCAGCATCAATCTCTCTTCATCTCGGCTGCTTCACAATTTGCTTTTTTCCCTCTTCTTATTCGGCTTCTTGTTTTGTTTTCATCGTGCTCCAGCTGCTGCATAAGCGAAGGCGCTCACACGCGACGTCGGCTGCAACGCCAAAAGGGTCCCCTCTCCACTGCGGCTAGGCTGCTCTGAGCTGCGAATATCAGATTTCTAGCTTGCTTGGGATTAGGACGCATGGATTGGGGGCATCTGCCATTTGATGTTTCAATCAGTTCCGGTCACAAAAAGTACCCCGAAGCTACCGAGTATGCGCTGTAAATTTTGAATTTTGAATTCTGATTGTTGAGTGTTCGAGGAGCGAGATTTGGTGATTTCGATCTGCCCCGGCGGTCCTTGATCTTGTACTATTCAACTCTGTCTATTCTTAGGAAATAGAATTTGGTGACATGCTATGGAGTGCGACTAATATCATTGCTATATTAGCTCTGAAATAACAAATTCTACTTTATCTACAGAGCAAAATACACACAGCGCGTGCTCTTGAAGCTTCAATCTCGCCTAGGCTCAATCTTATAGCGCGATTGGGCTCCCTCAGACACCAGCATGACCTGACACCCATCAAATTCTATCAGACCCTACAGCAGGCCTAGTCCGTTTGCGAGTCCCAGTTGTGGCAGGGATCAGTGCAGGAACAAGCTGTCCAGGCTTCCAGCCATCCGGATCGCGACGGCTCGCTGCCGTGGCGCGGAACTTTGACAGCCATCGCTTTACTCCAGGCAGCGTCGTTTGTTTTCGTGTTTTTCTTTTCAAACTTCTCTACTTGTAGATATACATTGGCCGCGTGAAACGCCACTCACATACAAGTACTACTTGTAGGCACGGAGACATGAGCGGTTTTTTTCTTCTTCTCTCGTTTGCATGAAATATGCTAGGCAGAAAGCCTTTGAGCATAGCTTTGCAAACAAGTGCTGCCACGAGTCGCATTACGCGGCAGATCCAGCGTGATAAACAGCCATCGTGACGGGTTTTTGCCTCCGCAAACGAATATCACTGCTGCCTCCAGCCGCAGCCTGCCTACTAGGGGAAACTATCGGAAAGGGGACGTTCTTGGAACTGGGCCAAGCGTTGTAGCCTCAGTCAATGGTACCTGTATCCAGTAAAACTCGGTCAAGAGAAATGCAGGGAGGCTCACCCACAATACCAATAGAACCGACAGAGGGTGGCGGCTATCAGAAACAAACAGGCGACTCATGCGACGTCAAGTGTTGTGGCGTCACCCGTCCCAGCCTGTTGGCCGCTGCGCCGAGACGAAATACTGCATGCACGGTACCTGTCAAGCTACATGAGTGTCTCAAGCATGTGAAGGCAGAGAGAGGGAGTGATGCGACGCTACGGAGTCAGAAGCGGTCGTTTTACGGCCTGTTACAAAAGGTTTTGTTTACGGGCTCACGTTGCCTTCTTCATCACCTCTTCCCGATGAGCTCCACTCGCATGGACTGGATTCCAGTCGCATAGCCTTCGGTCAGAGCCGGACTGCCTATTCAATGAGTTTTGCTATGAGCTCGTAATGGAGTGCAGCACGCTTTGGGTCGCGAGTTGTCGCTAGCAGGTAATATTTGATGGCGTTTCGTAGGTAGGAGGCATGAGCGACATGATATATGACCGATCTATACAACATCCAGTAGCACTCGAAATCGTTGACACCAGAATATTGACTTGACACCAAAGTATTGGTAGCTGAAAACTCCAGCCCTGGCAGCATATGCAAGGGGAAGAGAAACCACACCAGGCCAGGCCAGGCCAGACCCATGCTTGTGATACCGTCCATGCGGAACTGCTAGCAGTGCATCCGGGCTGCAGGCAGGCGGCTGCTGCAACTCCAGCAAACGTTTGTCTCATTTGGCCGCCGTCTGCTATCATCCCCTGGCAGTCAAATCTTTTCTTTTTGCTTCCCCCGCAGCGAGCAGAAAGGAAAGCAATGACCAAAGAGCCCCTCGTGTTTCTGCCAGCACTTGGGAAAATGCAAGAAAGAAAGGGAGCATGTGTGGCTGAAAAGGAGCTGTCAGTGCGAGGGGAACGATCCCGCTGCATGTCTCAGCTGCATGTCAGGCTTGGTGAGCATCCAGGCTAACAAGGCATGAATATCACAGTGGCATAATAGAGTGCTACAAGTACATGTACCTAGCAATGGCATTCATGCTCGCACGTACTGGCGGCTGCTTTGCTTTTCTGGATGAAAACACCATTGCATCTAATAGCGTTGATCCATGGCAGCAAGGGATATGCGCAAGGACACACACTGCCGTCTTTTGTGTACCTGAATGGTGGCGACTTCATAGAGATGGTGGAGTGGAGCTGAATGGCTTGGGAGCCTCACCGGCCAGAGGAGAGACAGGAGCAGCATTTCTTGGTAGCACTGCCGGCAAGGCTAAATTTAACCCTCCCTTCCATCGTTTGCTGGTTGGATCGAGGCTCTCGTTGATGGTACATGCTCATCTGGAGCAACCAGTAACAGCAAGACCCAGAAGCACCGGCGTCTTCACCACATGCCCGTATCGGTGGCACAAGCGCGCGTAACAGCAGCACCTTGACTTCCATAACCCATCCAAGAGCAGCACCGTCACGTAACCCGCTGGACAGCCGTCGGGCGCCGCTTTGCGTTTGGCTCTGCCATGCCGACTGCCAATTCGCCGTTTTTTTGCCTCCAGCCAGTCGCGGCCTGTCCCAGGTCAGCGTGGCAATATTGAACCTGGCCCGGTCTCTCCCATACAAGATTCATGGCGATGGGGGCGGCGGGAATCCGGAACGGCCAGCCGACCTGGAACACGGGATTTGCTCCCCTAGCAGTCATTCTAGCCAGCTTCCACTTGATGGCAGCCCAGCCCCTATCCGATTCTGGGCTCCGTCGCAGATCTGGTGCCTTGTGGCCTGAGCATTGGACGGCGCGACGAGGAAGTGACCATTTGGTAGGCCCATCTGTTTCTTCCTGTTTCAAGGTCTTTTCTCAGCGGGAAGGGATTGGCTTGTCGCACAATAAACGGAACACGGTCTGGCCGCTCGCATGGGTGCTTTTTGTAATGATGCATCTTCTGCGTGCCTATCCAGCAAAAGGTCCCTTCTCGGCGAGCCGGGGAGCAAAAGGCCCTGTATATACGAGTTATATCGCACGATGCACGTGTGAATCAATCTCGGTATCGGGGATATAACCACGTTCGCCTGCCTGCAAACTTGTTCACGAGACCAGTCGACGGGTTTTTAGCTGAACCTTGTCTTGAGCAGCCCTGGCTCTTCTGCGGATACATCTGTACGACATATGTACGTGCATCCCGGGCGAAACAGGCCCATGGCGCTTTGTAAAATTAGTTGAACCACCCGTTGCAGCGGCACTGGAGACGGGCATTGAAGCTTGAGCATAATGGTGAAGAGCCGTGCATAAATAAAGTCGCGGAGGCGCGGAGGCTGCGTGTGATGCAAGTTGAGATCAGCGTAAAGGTCCGGAATGGACTGTGCCGATCACCGAGGACATTCCATCTGCAGGGTAAAATGTGAATACTCGGATCTAGATCTTGAAGCTGCGCAGTGGAACTGTGTACTCAAGCTGCTACGCAGTGATATATCTGCTTTAGAAGATACTGGTAATATTTAAATTGTTGAGCATTTGTCCCATGTGCTCTTCATCATATACCTGTAGAGGTTTATCACTTGTAGCCCTTTTCCCCCCACTGACTGGTATTACATGGTTTGTTAATAGAAGTTTTGCAATAGTAGATGAACCCCAACAATCAGTAGGCTAGACAGATCTGATAAAGTAGAAAGCCCCAGAACCAACCCGAGGGCCGATTTGTAAAGAGATCAATTATTTAGATCAATGTTTAATGCTTAATCACTGGTTTCTATGTGCTTGGTAAACTACGAAAGATTCAAGTGTACCTTCCATATTATCAGAATTCGTCTAAAGCTAAGGCTAGGTATTAGATAAAAATAAATGTAATAATACTAGAGATATAAATAAGGAGAAGTCATCCAGCACCCTAATCTTATTACCCAACGCCTTAGCTATAGCTTAATACAAGAGCTAGTCTATATATTTAATTATATAACTGCTAGGAATATTTAAAAAATAGCAGCAGTACCACATAACCTACATGTATGGATTGATGCTATAGTAGAGTGCTGGATGATAGAATTGGGGTGATGAATGAAGTTTCTTTATAAATATATGTAATAATCCGCTTTCTACAATTATATTCCTACTATTCCCTAAGTTGCCAGCTCTGTCCAACATTTACACCAGGCTACACAACTAACCTATCTGATAAATTAGGAGCTCCCGCTGTGAAATCACAACCAGTATTTCCTGTGCCTGATTGGCCATTTGAAGATGTGTAGCTTCGACAGATATCGATTTTCATATATGCAATAAAGAATATCAGAACCTAAATCCAGACTTTGAATTCCCGGTATCTTCTAAATTGACAATTAAAGTTCAACTTGAAATTAGTAGTGCTGTGTCTGCGTACATCAGTGGAACGTTACACAACTCATTTCTCGCACAAGGGAAAGAAATGCTGGTGAATATGTCTACTGACGCACACCTGTAGTAGGTATGTAGAACGTATTTGATTGTCAAATTCGACCAATATGTCGCCGTTGTGTGTAGTTCAGAAAGAAATATACTCAAATGCACTCCTCCCCTACTTCAGATGTCTCTTGCGCCAATACCATGCAGCAGTATGGCCTCCCGCTCTTCACTGGCCCAATTCTCCTCTATCCACTTAGGCTTCTGCAAATAGAGGTGAGCACGGAACAATAGTACTGAGGCTTGCTCGGCTGCAGCTTTGCGAAATGGATGCCTGAATTTGCTGGCCCTACTGTCAAACAAAGAAGGAGAGAAGAGCGGTCTTGCCAGACGTTGGCAACTGCCGTGGATTGGAGCAGGTGACGTGCATATATAAAGTCTTTCTCATTCTTCACCCCCCCTCTTCTTTCTCTTCCCTTTCTACACTCTTTACTCTCATCATCCGCCATCTTCCCATTTGGCGCCTTCACCCAGCGACACACGCAGCTCCAGGACATTGTTTGCATTCTTGAGCCATGGCGAGCATGAGGGCAAACTCCAACTTCAACTTGTAAGTCTCTTTGCCCGTGACCTGCTATCACCAGGCTCACAGCAGCTGATGAAGTCTACTCGCTTTCACTTGGCTAACTAACATTATCTAGGGCAACGCAGCCAGTCATCCCAGCCAAGTATGAACGAATATCTCCCCAAACTGTGTTCCATCACAAACTGACACTGGCGGCTAGGTACCGGTGCAAAGTTGGCGGGGAGTGGAAACCTCTCAACGCATTTTCCAAGAACCAACAGAGATTCGTTCAGTTCCAGATGGACCGTCGACAGCGCATCGACGCGGCAAACTCTGGAATGACTTGTAAGGAGCACACATCTAGCCAGCGTACAGAGATGACTTGCGAACTGTGCGGGCTCACTAAGCCCTTGAACGAGTTCAGTGGCAATAGCAAGAGGCATGAGAGTGCTGTACGTCTTCTTCCCTATGCTGCTTTCAATCCACTCTACTGATAATTCCAAAGCACTGCAAAAGATGCACTGCCTGGATGGAGACCCAGGAACCAGAGGTTGTGCCTGCGCCACTGGAGACTGGCCACATCTCCGTCGAGGAGGAACGCGGAGAAATGTGGCCGGCCACTTTTGTCGACGATACCGATTTCTTTTCCGACGATCTCGTGCCTCAAGCACCAATCACTGGTCTGTCATCCTTAGGTTTAGGAGATATTGATCCGTCTCGCCTCGATATGTCTTCCATTCTCAGTGGCCGTTTGGCTTCGACCACTTCTACACCGGCTGCCAGACCAGGACCGAGCAACGTACTGCCGCCGCATCTTCGCGGCCTCATCGCGCAGCAACCGACACCCTCTCACGATGGTAATGACGCTTCAGAGTACGCACCCAGTGAGAGTGGTTTCACTCCGAGCAGCATTTCGACGGCTACGACGGTCAGAGAGATGCGGGATTCCAACAAACCACGCCGAGTATCTTTCAACGCTTGGGATCCGACGGGATTGCAGCACCGAAATGTCAAGTCATTCACAGCAAGCTCTGTTGCCGGCAGTTCGACCAGGGCTTCTTCTAGCGATGCGGGAGAAGGACAAAGCTTGAATACTGGAGTCCCAGGCAGGAACAACTGGGCCAAAGACGCAAGTATCTCTGCCTTTATTCTATAACTAGATGCTAAGACTATCTCTAGGTCCGGATGACCGCAACGGAGTTACGCCAGGTTGGAACGAACCATCACCTCGCAGCTCGGCAGGTTGCTCCGGTCAAGCATCGCCCCCAGAAGCATAATTTCGAGGCCTTTTGTGAGCCGGACGATGACGACGAGGACTACTAGATAGCACCCAGCATGGAAATGGGATACGGGGGAGATTTGCAGATTGAGATGATGGTTTTTAGTCATTTGCTTTTTATTCGTCATAGGTAGTTGATAGTTGGTACTTGGCCTTGACGTGGGATACTAGGGAAATTTACAGATATGAGATGATGGTTATAACTTTGATGCGAGATTAATAAAAAGTAAACATGATAACATTGGTTTCTTTTAGATTGTCCTGTCCTGCCCTATTCTTTCCTTTCCTATCCTATCCTATTCAAGTATATATTCAAGTAGTAGTATTTCGTTACATGGTTGCTTTCCCTCCTTTTGTTTTTTGGGGGAAAAGATGGATGGTATGATATGATTTCGATACAACTTTGACAGATGCCTTTTTGCAATGGGCGAGTAAGTACTAGTTATACATGTGTGTGTACACGTGCGTTGTGTTGCTCGTGGGACTGCTCCTAGTTGGATGAGATGAAATATCGTTGTGCTCGGTCTACAATGCTTGTGAAAATGCAATGCAGGCTTTGGGATAAGCTTCCCAGATATTGAAGCGTTTCGCATTGTGTGCGCGTTAGTATTCGTGTGTACATGTGTGTACATGTGTGTATGTGTGTGTTTGTGTGTGTGTGAGAGAGAGAGGGAGAGAAGGATATAATGATGCCTGGTATCATCATCGCCCTTTGCTTTTTATGAATTTATTCCAACTCTTACAGCTGCTTGTCGTCCTTGTTGAGAAAGCTGCTTGGAGGCGCATTCACCACCGCCTCGGCGTCCCCCACCTGCCGACGCTCAGTCACTTCGCGCGAGCTGCTCTTGAGCCTGCTGCGAATACTGAGCGCCGAGGAGGTTCTAGCGTGGGCGGTGCTTAATTGCTATTGGAGAGGTTCTGACGATGAGGACAGGCGGTTGAGGTGGAGGTAGACGTCGGTGCCGTAGCTAGGGAACAGGGGGATGCGGGTCAGTATGCGCATTTCGACTTCTCAAAACTAGCGGTGAGGAAGACGTGCATGCCATGCAGGTCATAGGACTAGCGGAACTTACCCTTCCATGCTGATGAGTTTTAGATCGCCGCCAAAGTACCGGGCATACAGCCGTGAGATGGGCAACCCGTATCCGAAGCCCGCCATGGGGGCCTTGAAGTCACTCTTGTCGAAATCGGGGTCGAGATTGGGTGTGCGATCAACGGTGGTGTACATGTAGGTCCATACCAGGGGAATGGCGCTTCTTGCGATACCGCCGCCTTCGTCGGAGATTTTGATGGTGATGTCTTCCTTGCCCTCGGCGACAATGACCTTTGTGACGGGGAACTCTTGCTTGTCCATGCCGTGGGTCTCGACGACGGCGCGCAGGGAGTTTTTGAGCGTCTCGAAGAGCATGTGCGACAGATGGCCGGGGACGTACATGAAGTCCAAGTTGGGGTTGCAGACTAGCTGGATGCGCGGGGCTTCAAACAGGCCGTAGTGGTCCTCGCAGACGAAGCGGGCATTCTCAATGGCCTCCTGCGCGAGCTCCTTGACATTGGTCTTGGTGCAGATGACGCCGACGTAGGTGGGGTCGCGGTGATGGCTCTGGTCGGTCAGGGCAATGTGCTGGCCGATGAGCATGCGGATGCCGATGCGCGACATGTAGAAGCGGTCGAGGAAGGACTGGATGTTGGAGTCGATTTGCATGCGCTGGCGGCGGCGCTTGTACTCCAGGATGCCCTGGGCCATGGTGGTGACGACGCTGTCGTGCCGCCTCTTGATCTTGTGCAGGCACTGGGCAAACTTTTGGTTGTAGAGCTGCAGCTCGGGCGGCCAGTCGCCGTTGTCGTCGACGGTCGCAAAGTATCTCCGCGCGACGGACCGGGCCTTTCCATGGCCGTTGCCATTGCCATTGGAGTGGCCGTTGCTGTTGAGGTGGAGGTTTCCCCAGCCCGAGGCCTCGCCCTCGTCAATGGATGGATTCGGCGTTGATTCGGACAGCTGTAGGAAGCCGCGCGAGCCATATTTGGCCGGCTTCATGAGTCGTTCCTTTGTGTCCTTGGCGAGTTTCGGTCGGGGCAGCTGGGTGATTTCCTGCAATCGGACTGGGGTTAGCCTCGGCATAGCCAAAGCAGGACAGATGCGCTGCGCAGACGTACCTCGAAGGATTGGGCATACCAGTCCTTGACCTTTTGCACCGACGGCATGTCGTTGAGCCCGTCGGGCAGGGTTTCCAGCTCCTCGACGCGATGCGCCAGGCGGATGGGCAGCTCCTCGGCCAGAAACTGCGAGGCGCGGAAGAGGGTTCCTGCGGCGATGATGTCAGCACGGCTCAAGGTTCAAGCGGCGCAACGACTCAATCAGGGCAATGGATCGAGTATCGCGAAGCACGAAGAGGACAACGCACCTGTGGACGGCTTATCGCCAAACTGCACCATCTGGCGCAGACTCACGCCGGTTGCTGGGAACCGGGCATAGTGGCGGATGGTGTCCATCAGGCTCTCGGACGCCCGCCATGACATGATGGGCGCTGGCGGGGGAGCAGCGGCGCGCGCGCGTTCCCCCAGAGATGTGAGAGAGAATTGGAGATTTTAGAGGAGAGAGACACGCCGTGGACCGGTGGTGTCGAGAGAAGCAATCAATGGAGCCGAGCGTGAAGAGGGAGAGTGGCAGTAGTAGCAGCAGAAGCACGAGAGGGCTCCAAGGGCTCGACAAGATGAGGGGCAGCGTTCAAGGCAGGATTGCAGGACCGGCCGAGGTGAAGCTGCTGCTGCGGTGGCACTGCTGGAGAGACCGTAAGACGCGGCGCATAAGAAAATGGACAGTCTCAGCAAACGCGCAGATGGCAGCGAGTCTGTGTCTCTGGCCTGAAAGCCTCGTCTGACTCTTAAGTTGTGGCGACGAGCGATTGCGGCCCCGCGGAAGCTACTAAGGTTAAAAGCAGTAGCTGGCGGTAGCCGAGGATGTGCGGGACAAGGCCGGGGGATTGCTTTGGCAGCTGGCTTTGGGCGGGGAGGTGCCGGGGACTCGGTATAAAGAGGATATTTACAGTATATATAAATATGTGCCTGAAAAAGACGAAGAAGAAGCTATTCAAAAACAAAGCAGCAACAGGGCAAGCAGAGCATGAGAGGACGCGGTTGAAAAGGAAAAGGGAAAAGAGACTTCTGCAGACAGACGAGGCTACAGGTGCTGCAACGAGTGACGTCGCGGTTGGCGGGCGTCGGTCATGCGAGCTTGAGCCGTTGCGTGCCCCCATTCGCCCATTCGCAGGCACTGGGAGCTGACACTGGCGGTCCCAGCGGCTAATGCAGGGAGCCCCGGCCGGCACAGTGGCCCAGGAGCCCAAGGACCGTGCTGCAATATTCAGTCTTGTCCAGTCTGATGTCCATCACTTGATCCCATCAGCCTATGCCCTTCTTCTTGACCGCCAACTCAAGCTGAATCGTATCGCCATCGCATCTCGGCTCGTCTGATCCAGATCCCCTTCTCGGCCCCCTTTTCGACTTGCTGCTCTGGTCCTAGCATTGTCTGGTCCCCAGCACCTGCATAGGATAAAGTGTTGATGCTATACTGTAGACAATGGACCCTTGTGAATGCCTACAGGCGGTTGCCGATGCTTGCGTGCATCTCTCTGCATAGCCCTGCACCACACCAGCTCCTTCATTCGTCCATCTGCCTACCGCCTCATCTCTCCGTCGGTCTGAAGGAATCTGCACAGTCTTCTAGACGACAAACACCAAAACAATGGAAACACAGTGCGACCACAGCGACTAGACAAGGTCGCACCACGGACAAACGGGAATATTTGACAAGAGACATGACATGCACCATCTCATGCTCCGCCAGTACTCCTATCTCCCGGTGTTACTCAACCTGCGATGAAAATTAATTTGACGCGCCCCTTTTGCTCGTTTCCTGGCTGTTGGGAATCCCAACCATTGGCCGCAGCCAGATATAATAATAGAATAGAGAAAATAAGAGGGCCAAAAACGCATGACGTGAGAGATAAAAAACTTACCACGGATCTGGTCAGCCCACCACATGCATGCAGTCTTTCGGCGTCGAATCTAGGCAAAATCTATCCATCTGAGTGGCCTTACCTCAGCTTCCGCCACCGCCAGGGGGGCAACTTTTAAGCATTGTCCTCGGAGATTTTCTAGTAGCAGTAATACGACCCAACACTCTGATTACCTCTTGTTGGTATTTCAGGGCAAATTGGCCATCTGTCGTACTTGTACATGAATCTAGAATATCGGTAGAGACTCGGCAGTCGGCGTCGTCTAAAAGGGTCTCCCCTGCAGACACATGATTATCACATGGAAAGTGGCACGGAAGACAAAACAAAATCTGCTTTAGATACCCAGAATTGCTGATTTTGAGATTTGTCTTGCCGTTTCATATTCGCACTTTTATTATGCTCGATTGCCTCAAGGGTATAAAATAAATAGGAAATATGCAAACGATCGATAAATCATTCTCACCTTCGCGCGCATCGCTGGCCGATTTTGATGAATTTGAATGACCTCGATCAATCTAGGGTAACCGTGACTATGTAATCTTCCTCTATCCCCCCTCGTCTTCTCCATCTTCTTTTTTCTCTCACTTGTGGACCTTCGCATGCCATTTCTTCCTCTTCAACAATATGGCACCGTTGGGGCTTGTGAGAGAGTTCACAGCTATGGCGCCTCAGATATTGAATACTCCCTTCCCTCATGAGTTGAGCAAACTTTCAAACTACATAGTCTAAGCCAATCGACACCATTCACCGCGCAACCACCGCTTTGACAAAAGAGATTGCTCTAAAGCAATGGGTTATCACAAATCACAAACCGCAGCCTTCTTCATCATTCGCAAATTTATTTTGGATTCTTTTTCCAAGATGGAGAGCGAATTTCAAGCTTACTGTAGCACACCCGCTTTCCGAGCCACTGAAACTAATCGCTCAATTGGCTTGAAGCTGGGCTTTGCCTACTAAGATGGTCAATTAACAAAGGGTTCAGTGTTTTTTCTTCATGTCAGGGGATGATGGGGTACAGGTTTCCAAAATACTGCAATGAAAAGCAGCAGAAAAGTTATGTTTTCCGGTTCATATTGGGAGAAGGCGGAAAAGGTGCCCATTCGTGTGCTGAAAGAGAAGCGTGACGATGAAGCTCGGATTAAGTAGGGAAGGGCATGAAGATTTTGTGATTGATGTATTTATTGACAACCTTTGCTCCCTCATAGCACAGCGCAACTTTCTGCTGCCACTTCTGCTACTTCTGCTACTTCTGCTACTTCTGCTACTTCTGCTACTTCTGCTACTTCTGCTACTTCTGCTACTTCTGCTACTTCTGCTACTGCTGCTACTGCTAAAGCTGGGGCGCTGGATATAAGTTGAGATGTTGGATAATGGAATCAAGGTGCTGAATAATATTTCCAAAATTACAGAAAGCATTTGATCTCCTTTTATTTTCTCATAATACTGCATGTTGTACCTCTTAGAAAAGCAAGAATATGGCAATGAGGTGCTAGATTATCTCAAGGCTGCAGAACTTTATCAGCACAACCACAAATCTCTTGAATCGCTGTATACGCATATTTCCGTAATAATAGAGGTTGCTATTCAAGAGTCAAGATAATTCCCAAACTGGCCGGGGAATGGCTCCACCTAGAGGTGTCGTTGCAAAGATCCATAGCAGCGCTGGGGCTGAATCAAGATGATACGTTCAAAGACTACATGTATATGACAACACCAAGATAGTGTATACATGCAGGAAAATTGGGTGTCTGCGGACATCCTCAATGTTTGCCTGGGCAAGGCTACCGACTGGCACGAGGTCTGTCTGCATTGATGTTGACACGCATCGAAAAGAAAGAGGACACTTCATCCCAAACGAAATAAAATCTGCAACGCTGAAGCAGCCAAGGCCTCCAAATCCTTCAAATTCTCCAAGGCCTGAATCTGCTGCAATCTAAGCATCAAAAAGCTGTTTATCTCTTGGGCAACTCAACGGTATCAACGGGCTTCTTAGACGCACGCCGACCTAATCCCAAGAGCTCTACGTATCCACGATTTGAGAGAGGGACCTACTACCAAACAATGAGTGAAATACCACCCAATGTTTCTGCGTGGCTTTCGGGCTAAAGTATCATCTACGGCAACAAAGCGGCAAACCAGCTACATCAGGTAGGCACCTACATACCGTCAGGTGGCCCAAACCGGGTCTCAAATTGTCGGTCGCATCAACCATCTCCTGCGCAGCTATATGTATGCCGACCTGCTTGAGTAACTTTCCACAGCAGCAGCCACTCGATTATCTGTGCCGTGGTGAGTCACAGCCAGACGTTTCACTTTTTACTTAGCAAAAGCTAATTTAACGCTATGTAGCGCTCTGGTACTTTTTAATAATGAAATAAGTTGCTCCTCTTCTCTCATCTTGCCATTGTCTCTTTCTCTGACTGATAGAGCTTTGCATCCCATCTACTATCTCGCTGTTTAATTCTTGCGCTTTGGCTGATAGAGCTTTGCCATCCTCTTCTTTCCGATATAGCCTCGTCATCTTGGTGGACTTTCGGTGTTTAACTTTAGAAAAGGTTGGTTACGTGGCCTGGCATAAACGTTGTCGCCAAAAGGTAAGTAAAGGTGTATCACAAATGCCAGTACCTAGTAGAGGTAGTAGAGGTAGTAGAAGTAGAAGAAGTAGAAGAAGTAGAATCATTATAGACTACCTAGACTTTCTAGATTTTCATTTCGTGGAAGAGGCTCTACTCTATTCCGCTCACACTTTACGATGTAGACCACATCTACGAATGGGTCCTGTAGTTACTGTCCACCGTTATGCGCATTGCACTCCCCGTTGACGATCTCACCACCCACACTAATTCGACTGGATGCTGAATTTGCTCATTCCAAGTCAGCCTCTTCTGAAACCCAAAGTCTCGTAGAGCTCTGCCAATCTTTGCGCATGAAAATTGCACTTCGGGTGAGCTGGGCGGGATACCCCATTCGCTGTCTGTAACTTGCCTCCGCAAGCCACTGTGTTCGTCGCAGGGGTTCATGTTGTAGATGACATAGATTCCGTCCATACGGCCAAAATTGCCAAGCCGAGCCACAACAGAAAAGCCGGTCGGTTCCCAGGTTCCTCTGTAGTTGTCGCCCTCCTCCAATGTTGTCGGCATCTCAGCAAAGGTGTCGCATTCCAAACACTGCAGCTCGCCAAGCTCGTGGAAAACAAATCCCGGGGCATCTGCGTCATCTGACTCTGCTGATTGGGTTGACTGCTCTGATAGATTAAGCGCGCGGCGGTTAAGCGGCTGAGATGGCTCACGGGGCTGCACTGTGGTGTTCACGCCAAGAAATGCAGTGTCTAGGACTTCATAATTTGTCTTGGGAAAGTCCTGTTTCTGCGGCGTTAAGTTGTGAATGGATGGGAGCAGGCGGTAGAATGTCGTATCCTCATAGCCAAGGGGAATCCACGGCCGAAAAGCCCATGTGAGTCCGGGCAGTAGCTCTTTGCGTTCCGTCGAATTGAGGAAGTTGATTCTATCTGCGATTTCAATGAACCGGGCCGGCGTCAAAATACCAGCAGGGTTGGCCAAATGCGGCTGACTCTGTTTGAGGCACCATTGGCTGTATGCGTGACGCTCCTCTGGATCCGGGAGTAACTCGCGAAAGGCTTTTGCGAACTCTTCGGTGTTGAGGCAGCGGCGACGTAACTGACCAAATATCTCGTCAAAACGAGCATTGCGGTGTGTGGGTTCCATGATAGGCCAAAATGACACCTGCAGCAAGAGATGGGAAAAAGATGAGAGATGAAGAGGGAAAAAAGAAATAGACGGGGACGGGGGACTGCTTTTAGTGTTAAATAATGAGAAGATACATGTACCTAGTAACAAAGGCAGCTATTCACTTTAACTTTTTCACGGACAAGTGAAAAATAGGAGCCACGTGCTGATCGACAGAAGCAGTGATTCACTTGAACACAAAAGCTTGAGCTATTATTGTGGAAAAGTAAATGAGAAATGCCCAATTTCGGGAAATACTATTATCGGGCACTCCAGGCAGCTTAACAAGGCGGTGTATCTACACATATAAGTACATATCTAGTACTATATTTCAATACTATATAGGCACATGTATATATGTACTATTATGTAGAAGTAGCAGCAGCAGAAGCAGAAATAGTAACTAAAGCTGGATAATAGAACTGGGTTATTGGATGTGTTAATTTTCCTTGGAAATATTATTGCTGTGGAGAATTATTGTACACAAAGGGCCACGTAATTCAAGTACATACCCGTTTTCAAGGCGGAAAGTGCTTCACAAAAGGGCCACATGATACATGTACATACCCGTTCAAAAGCAAAAGCGGTGATTTATAGAAGGGCCACATGATACATGTATATATCCGCGTTTAAGGCGAAGGTAGCGGTAAAGATCTATTGAAAGACTACGTCATCCATGTATATACCCGTCTCTAAAGCAAAAGGTAGTAGTAATTTATAGATGGGCCGCATGATATATAGTACATGCACATACCTAGGTATTCAAGATAAGGGCAGTGATTCACAGCAGCGCTACGTCATTCATGTACATACCCGTGTTTAAAAAAAAAAAGGCAGTGATTCACCGCTTGAATTTCAAATTCTCGATTGTGAATGATAAGTGAAACGGGCCACGTGGTACGTGCTTCACGCTCGAGTGACTGCACGCCCCCAATGAATACATATACTTAGCATGGTACCTACCTTTCAAATATTCACAATGCTTGGGCATATGACACTAGACTTCGCAACCTGCCTTCTTCAAACTTCGCACCAAAAGCCTACAGGCTCGTTTTCATCCTTTTTCGACACAATGGCCCCCTTGACGCTTGTGAGAGAATTCCCGGCTATGGAGCCTCAAATGATATTCCGCCCTATGAGTTACGAAGAGTTTCATAATACATGGTCCGAGCCTGTCGACACCATTCATCGCGCAATCATCGGCCTAACAGAAGATATCGCCATGTTTCAGGCAATGAGTCTTCACAAAAGGCAGACTGCAGCCGGCGAAGAGTTCCTTCAAAGTCTTTTGTATTATTCGCAGGTTCTTATTTTGGATTCTCTGGTCAAAATCAGGGGTAGACTCCGAGCCTACGCTACTACATCTGCCTTGCCAGGGAACGAGACTGTTCAGTCAATTGGCTCAAAGCTGACTGACGCACAAGATGCTTTCGACCGTTTCTCAGCTATCACGTCGCAGGTGTTGGACGAAGCAAGCTGGACATTTAGATGGAAGACTCCATCAGTAGGAGACAAGGTCCCAACGACGAGTCCCTACCAAGCATTGTACCAGTCGATATGTATAAATAAGTTGTCATCCGCACCGACTGTTCCTGTAACGGATGTCCTCGGTAAGTCTTATCATTCGTCTACCGCGTCTATTGCTTCTACAGCTACTGTTGCTACTGTTGCTACTGTTGCTACTGCTGCTACTGCTGCTACTGCTGCTACTCTTCCTGGGTTCATTTGATGAGATTACGCGCACCTACATGCAATGTGCTAACACTCTTAAGCATCTCTCGCGAAAAAACAAAAGCTATCGCTGCCTAACCTGCCACCGGGTATAGAGAGGGTCAATTTTGAAAAGTGTGGACGACCTACTATGCTCTTCGTCGCAGCAACCCCTGATCGGTCCCGTATCGTCTTCGGCGCAAACGAAACTTCATGGGGCACGTTGACGGCCTTGTCTGCCATAACCAGGATGGCAAGGGACATCCGAGTTCAACAATATATACCGCGGGCAATGAAAGCCTTCCGGGCACTCCGCCGAAAGGAGGAGGAAGCGCTGGTTGAGCTTCGGCGCAACCCAAGTGCTCGTACTCTTAGCGACAAAGAACTGAAATATAGGTCTCGTTTAGCAGCGATAGAGAAAATGAGGTTGGATGAAAGCTTCTTGGGTGGGGGCAACGAGATAGGTATCGCCCTTAAACCACCGAGCTGGAAGTTTAACCAGGGTTGCTACCTCTGCCAGGGGATGATGGGGTATCAGTCCCCAAACCTGCAGGTCTCTGAAAAGGAGCGGAAGAGCTATATTCTCCAATTCAAATAGGAATTGCGTGGAGAATATGCGCATTCGTGTGCCGAGGGAGAGGCGAGACTGCAAAGCCTAGGATTGGAGTGAGAAAAGGGCATGAAGATTGCGTGTGCATGTACATATCTTGACTTTTCATTACACATACCTACTATCTTATTATGGAGGCAAGATAAAATTAAAAGCTATTTCTGCTATTTCTGCTATTTCTGCTATTTCTGCTATTTCTGCTATTTCTGCTATTTCTGCTATTTCTGCTATTTCTGCTATTTCTGCTATTTCTGCTATTTCTGCTATTTCTGCTATTTCTGCTATTTCTGCTATTTCTGCTATTTCAGCTATTGCACAGTTGCCATTACAGCCAAAAGTTGGAAGGAGAGAATCCCTAATAGGGCATGACCACAGTAATCATTAATGGCATTACGTACTACCTACCTAGGTACCTATTCATTGGACACTACCTAGTACGTACTAGTTGCCTGCCTCTCAACGTGCCTGCCTCTCAACGTGCCTGCTTTTAGTTACTTAGAGTTGCATCACTCCGCCAACAACAGACAATTCTTTTTCTTGTTTTCCTTTCTATTTTCTCGCAGCTCTTTCAACAGATTACGAGCTCGGGCGTCTGTCCGTGATCCGAGTTCATCAAGGCATCAACACTGCCAGCCTCCACTGTTGTACATTCTTGGTTGATCCCATCATTTCAACATCCAAGGGGCTATTCTTGTAGCCTGGTCAGTGGCTTTCCGGTCCTTGATTTAATATCCGGGGTATTAGCCTCGCTGCGACCATGGATTTTTGTGACGATATCCCTTTGCAGAGCTTTGTCGCCCAAATGTGCGTATGCAGCGTTTAAGCATTATGTGGTTGTTCTGACGATATTCTGCAGCCTCAAGACAATCTGCACTTGACTCATTCCCATCTTCCTATAGTACTTTTCTATGGCGACTCTGAAAGCGCCGGCTCTCGATATGTCGGACATTATTCGGTCCTGCTGGAGGAATTATCCCATACAAAGATACCGGGTTCAATAGGTTGAGATTCCCTAGCTGCCCCTTTCCCATGTAATTGCACTGCAGGAGCGTTTACAATATCCAGAGCTCAATGCTAGGTACTTAGTTTCAAATCAGGTCTAACTGGTTGAACGTCATCACATCAATGCAAAATCATTTGTTTCTTTAGCGTGCTTGATGCTTTACATGGTTATTGGCTGCTTCAAAGATTCCAAGATATTTACGTGTATATATTCCAGCTAAAAGAAGCAATAGCGAATACCTAGGCAAAAAAGCGAGCCTCGAAGCCTTTGGACCAGAGCAGCTTTTCAATCTCATCGACATGTACTGCCTCTACTGCCTCTAGCAGCTGATGGACAGCTCGACATCAATCCGGCCTAGCTCGTCCTCATGACGGATCATCCATTACCCGGGCGAGTCGCAACCCCAAGGGGCAGCATTGGCGTCAACATCACCAGCATCCGCCTCTGCCGCAGCAAAACAGCGGTGTTGCGTTTTTTGCTAGGCTGCTGTGCTGGAAGCTAGATATGTGAGCTTGTATGCACCACCGCTACTCCTGCATCGTCATTCCCCACGGCTGGCTAGGGCGGGCAGCACTAACATTGCTGCTACGGTATTAGCCGTCTGCAAAAGCTTCGCTTCTATCTGAAGTGCATAGGGGCTTGTGCCTTATGCGGCGGCCCCTTGCTGCAGAAATCTCTGGACATCTCATTCGATGGAGGGGTACTCGGCATAAAGCAGGGCATTTGCTGATGCGTACTTGAGAATACGGTGTGCCGGTGTCGGATATATGGCACTTGCAGGTTGAAGCGCCATTGCGGAGGCATACGAGTATCCAGTCGTCACTTGTAACATGAAGTCAAGGCACATGTACTGGGAGCCATTTCGATGCCGTAAATCCTGCACGTCAACACTCCATTTAATTGGAAAAACAGGGCACAGCGCAAGCCCCACCGCAGCAGCTGGCAATTCCAGCTCCGTTTCTTGTTGGAGATTGCTGATGAAATGGCTGTGTGCTGTGCAGTAGAGTGCATGTGGCTTAGGTGAGGGCGTGTCGCCCCGTCCAGTTACAGATACGGTGCAGCATGATGTGATGCCAGCAAGACGCGGCTGGGCCGCTGCGTGCTCTGGCTGCGACCTCATCTCACCCACGGCAGCTGCGTCCAATTCAGAGCATCGCGGCTGGACGTCTCTGCGCCGCAACGGGGGCAAATATACTTGTACATGTGCTGTACAGAGAGGCTGGGACGCCTCCTGGAGGATCCCGGCATTAACGAAATTGGGTGGTTGGCAAGGCGTGAATAGCTAGCAATGTATAGCGCGAATAGCATTAACGCGTGCATCTGCCTGGGCACAGTTTTCTGCGCTCTCTATTCTTTCTTCTCCTTTCATCCGTTTTCTATCGCGTCTTCTTTTGCGCGGAAAATGCCAATTCTTCTTGTCGACTCTTTTCTCTCGCCCCTCGACTCATCCTCTTTTACGTCACATCACGATATATCGAACGAGCCACGCCACGCAGCTTGAATGCATACAGACATGCGCCTACATACGCATCATACACATGTGTGGCAGCGGCCAAAGCCATCACATGGCTACCACTTCTGCATCGAGTTGCCCGTCCAACCGCATACGTTTTGATGGGACAGAGCCCGTCTGCCAATGACAGCCTCTTGTCTGCCCAGACCGTCTGGCTGACGCAGGATTTGACTCTCGTTGCTGGTGCCAGCTAATGCGCGATAACAGGCGCCGGCCTCTCATCGTCGGCCGTGTGGCGCGCTTCTCATGCACGCAGCGAGAGGGTGTGGCGGTGCGAACCGGTTGCGAACCAGTCTGAGTGGCAGGCAAGACGGTCAGGTAATCTAATTGATTTTGGTGGTGTCTGCCGGCGCTCTGCTCAGACGCTTAGACATGCCATCCCTGCATCCGATTCTGTGATGACTTGTCACATCCCTGTTTGCGAGCACGGAGCTCCGGGGCCCCATTGATCCGCCGCCAGGCCTGGCTGTTCCCGTGCCTTGGACGGTTGTACCTGAGCCAGACTCGTCCCCCAAAATCCTGCCAACCCGCCAAAAGGCCTGAATTAGGGAGAGGCGGCTAAGAGTGTCACTTTTGGTCCCAGAACCTCCCCGAGGCCAATGGGCTTTTCTCTCTCCCATCGCCATCCTCGACACTGCCCGCGACTTTCGAATTCCGACGACAAGCCTCCGCAGCTGCGCCCGTCTGGCGTCCCGGCGACGCGTGCTGAGGGGAGCCGACAATTGACCACCACAAGGAGACACAAGAGGGGGGCTTCGACACGCAATACGAGAGGCTGGCTGGACAGCGACGCCCAACCACATCGCGGCAGCTGATTGAGCCTTGATTGCCGGGGCGCTGCTGCGACACCGCAGATTTCCGAGTCGGTGAGGCAGTCTCTCTCTCTCTCGAGTCCTCGCCCGCCAGCCATCGCAATGGGACGACGGGATCACGACGATGAGCGGCCAAAGGTGCTCGAGTCGCTGAAGCGCCGCACCAGCTCGGGCACCAGCACTGGCAGCCGCACCAGCCCTAGCGCATTCCACCGCCGGGTCAGCAACCAGAGCCAGAGCACTCGCAGCACCAGCACCAGCACCACCAGGCGAGACAGCCTCGCCGGGTCCGAGACGCCGCCGCCGCTGATGCGGTCCAGCCCCAGCGTCGGGTCCTCCAGCTACGCATTTTCGGGGAGCAGCGTCCTGAGCCCCCTGCGCAGAGAGCTGGACGCCTCCCACAGCCGCGATGGCGGCGACGTGCGGGCCGGCAAGCTGGAGCTGGCGAGACGCCTCAGCAAGCTGGCATCGCGCCTGACGTACGGCGACAGCATGGAGGAGCTCATGGCCCTCGGCAGCCAGGTCAACCAGATCGAGCAGGCCCTTGGCGGCGGCATCAACACCGGCAGCGTCTACGGGAGCCCGCCGCTGTCGCGAAGGCCTCGCCCGCTCAACATCGAGACGCCTGTCCGCAAGAACAGGGGCAGCGACCTGGACGGCAGCGCCATCTTCAGCTCACCGTCATCTCTGTTCCGCAGTCGCTTTCCCGACCAAATGTCGCCCACGCCCTCGTCATCCATGATGTATCATGGTCGCCATGACGAGTTCGAGGAAGAGGAGGCCCCGCCACCAAAGAACGGAATGACCGCGGCGCAGTCCAACAAAATCATTGGAGAGTTGGTGAAACTGAATGAAGAGCTCGACACCGTAGTGAGCAATCTCACAGCCCGCCAAGAAGAGTCCGATGTGAGTATTTTCTCTTCGTCCTCTCTTTCGCCTCACTCTATTATTTTTCATCTCATTTTTTCTCATTCGTCTCCGTCATCACTCTCAATTCCGCCCACACACGTATATACACATATGCTGACTGACCTGTCGCAGCACATTCATAGGTTGTTGGTTGAACGGGCTGAGCGTGCTGCCCAACGCATCATTTTCCTCCAGAACCGTATTACTTATTTGTAAGCCAACCCTTTTATTCCCACTTTTCACTTGTCGCTATGCATTTTCATATTTTTCATTTCAATGCTCTTCATATCATCTTATTTATGAGCTTACACATTTTTTAGGGAAGAGGAACTGCAGGAAAACGATAATGAATTAACAAATCTCCGCGTCTGTCTCAAAGCTGTCGAGATTCAGTTGCCAGAACATCCAGACAAGGAATTGCAGCGATCCTTTTCCGTCTTCAAGGAAGGCTATAGAGCCTATAAGAGGAAGCGCGCCCTTCGCTCCAAGATGGTTAGCAACCTGGGCTACGATTCGTCAATTGCCTCTTCATCAGCGAGGTGACCAATGCCATCATTCCGCGAGTATGACTTTTGAAATAAGATTGTCGCTGCCACCACCAATCAGCGGCACTCTGCGATATTCGAAGCCGTCAACCATTGAAGAATTGAGAAGCGATCTCGACCAGGGCTGACTTACGATGATGACGCAAAGCAACGGCGTTTCTTTTGTTTGGATGGGGCAAAATGATAAAACGGGCGACGACGACTACGCTTTTCTTTTTCCACGATATGATTCATGAGACATCGATTTCACCAACCCTCCCCAGCCCTTGCTACGGCCTATTTCATTCTCGGTTGACGCATCATGACAATTTGAGTGCATCCCCTGTCTCTTTTTTTTTTTTTTCGGGCTGGGGCAAGTTTTGGAACACGACAGACTGATATGATTTGTCCCCCTTCTCTTTTCTGCACCTGCATCACCACATTTGGTCCCATGACCGAAGCAAAAGCAAAGCAAAACACACAACAAAAAAAAGCAAAGCAAGCGAGCATAACAGATTGAATTGCGACTTTCGTTCTTTGATCCATTTTGTCCTTTTCCTTTCTTTTTTTGCCAGCATATTTTCCATTCTTCTCCATGAAAACATGCAAAACCCGATGGAGTCTGTAATGGGCGAACAAAAGCTACCATGATGTGGCCAACCTTTGTTTTCCACACTTTTTTTTTCTCATCACTGAAGTTCAATACCTCTCTGTGACACACTCTTTATTCCCCCCAATTTCCTTATTTTGGGTCACCCTTTAGAGTGATTATTGTGTAAATCCTTTTATTACCATTTTTACAATCCTTTTCCGGCTGAGATTCGAAGAAGAAACATTGTCATGATCTTCGTGAGAGGAAGCACATGATGATTGATCCTCTTCACCACTCAGCCCCAACGAAAAGTAAAACAAATCGGGCAGGCATAGTGATGGGCGCAAGGCTGTTTTTATTCCCACGGATCGTTTTTTTACTATCTATATTTCTTTTTGCTTCTTTTTGTATTTAGTGTGTGCGTTGTCGTTTCTTATATCTGGTTTTGTTGTTTTACAGCTGCAATTTGGGCATCGCATTAACAAAGTGTTTGTGTCTTGCGAGCGGAATATGACATTAGTACTTTGATTTTTTTGTTTTGTTATTTTTGTGGTGGCAGATTGATCGACATACACCCAAACCCTCTTACATGTTTATACCTTTTTACGTATAAATGTTACTGGAAATTATCTCAGCTTTACATTAGTGGAAGGCAAGAAATTTGTCGAGAGCAAGAAAGATGGAGATTTTAATGAAGTAGCCTTGAGAGTATTGGAAATATCAGAAAAGAGAATGTTATTGTGAGAAGGAAGAGACGAAGAGAAATGGGAGTCCAAGTGGGAAAAAAAGAAGAAAGGAGAAAAAAAATAAAACATGTACACAAAGCTTCCCAAATCACGGACATCTTTTTTCTTTTCTTCATTTCCATTTTTTTTATTCAGTTCATATTAATTATCCTAGGTATAAAATAAAAAGCTATCGCTATTTGATTATGCTATTCCAATCTCTTTGGCCCATTGCAACGCCCCAATATCCTTTCTTGCCTGTAACCCGATCCAATCTCCTTCAGGCAAAACACACATAATACATGACTTCCCATCTGGGATGTAAACAAATGAAAAATAATCAAGGCAAACTTCACCTCTCAGCTACACTGCCTCTCCTCTCCCTCTCCCTCCGTCGCTCATCACTTCTCCCCGAACTATATCTCTGCTCTACCGACTCGCTGGGGCTAGTTCCCCTGTATCGCCTGCTTCTGTGGCTGCGCCGTCCAGTAGGCGATCTCTCGCGCGGGCGGGACGATCGATCTGAAGCAGTGCGATGGCGGGAGTCGCGTTCTTTGGAGCGGGATGTGCGGTGGTGATGCTTGGAGGAGGAGCTTGAAGAGGGCTGTTGCTCGGAATGGGACTTTACGTCTGCGGGGATGGACGAGGTGGAAAAGGAAGATGAGGATGGCGAGGAGGGAGATGCGGAGGATGGGTAGATTATGGAAGATGGCCGCAGACGGGTCTGGTCGATGTAGCAGGCGTCTTTGTGGCGGCGCGTATCTTCCATGAGGGCCTTGCTTGCGGCGGGAGGGAGTTTCTGCAGCGAGGCCGGGATGTTGGAAGTCAGAGAATAAGCAAGCGGATGGGCGGGCACTACTTCAGGCGGTGGGACAGGCACAGTCGTGATTCTATTCCACTCCGAAAAGGACGACTCCAACAGGTCAAAAGCCCTGGCATGGCCCCTTTCGGGGAACAGCTGCCTCGGGAGCTGTCTGGGCAGAAGCCTCTCGCTGGAGCTGCTCCTTACGGGGCTCCTGCTGCTGTGTCTGTCGTCCGCCAGGAGGGGGACATCGGCGAGGACAATGTCGAGCCTCTTGGCCTCGCGGTCGGGAAAGGCGCGGATGAGCAGCGTCATCCAGTCCTCGAAGCCGGCGGGCGTGAGGGCGGGGATGACGGGCTTGCGGGTGATGGACTCCTGGACGAGGTGGTGCTCGCAGCGGAGGTCGGTGTAGAGGAAGGAGAGGCCGCGGATGGATTTGTGGTAGCGGGTGTCGAAGACGCCTGTGACGAGGGTGAGTATGAGTATAAGACTGTGAGTGAGTGAGAAAAGGGGGGGCAACGTACGTTGGAAGGGGAAGAATTCGTTGTCGAGCTTGTAGCGGGTGTAGAATTTGAAGAGCTTGTCGGGGGTGATGACGAGGGAGTCTGTGGGGGAGTATTCTGCGATCTGGATGTTCTTTGTATTAGCTTATATGTCAAATCAAGTGGTTTGAGTGAGAGAAGGGAGGCTTATTTACAATGTAGTTTGCCAAACCGCGGAGAAGTCTGCCCAAGGCCGGAGTGGGCTCATCCCTATCGTTGAACAGCGCTCCCCACGCAGGAGTCGGCCTCTCGGCCACAGCAGGAGCCTGTCTCTCAGACACAATAGGCGGCCTCGGCTGAGAAGGCAGCGACTGAGTGCGGTATAACTCGGCTTGATCGCGCTCTAGCTCGGGCGTGGGCTCAGGTGGGAGGAAGTGGATGGTGGGAGGGGAGAAGTGGACGGTCGGGCGAGGAGACAGGCGAGGGTCCTTTGGGTCCTTTGACGGCTCCGAGTCAGCGGGAGGAGGAGATGAGGCGGCGGTGGAGACGGAGGACTGGCTGCTGGGAGAGGACATGGCCGAGTCGTTGGAGGAGGCTGATGAGAGGGAAGAAGAGCGGCTGAGGGGCTGGGGCTCGTCTTGGGCGGCGTGGGAGTCGGGCTCTGATGCCGAGTCGGAGTCGGAGTCGTAGTCCTCTACGGTGGGCTGGTAGCGCTTCATGTCCTTGAGGGAGGCGTCATCATCGTCGTCGCTGGACTGGGATGATGGCGTGTGGCGGCCGTCTGAGACGCTGTGGTCTGAGGCGGCGTCGCTGACTGTTTCGAGTGTTAGTTACAATGCATCAAAAGAAGATGTTGATTTTGGGGATGAGACTCACGCTCTCCTTTGACCTTGGCTACGAGTTCATCCAGCCATCGTGCGTTCCACTCCTCCATGGCAAGGCCCCTGACGACGTCTTCGACTTTCTTGTCCTTCATGTCGGGCTTGTCCTTGCCTTGTGAAGACGAGGGCCGAGAAGAGGGGGGAGACGACGTGGGTTCCTCGTTCTTGGTCATGATGTTTGATAAAACAGACTTGATGATGTCTCTGTACGGGAAAGACGACCGTCTTGGGGCTGGTCTTCTGCGGCTGGACCTGACTGTGGCGTCGTCGGAGGAATACGCCTCTTTATCTTGCTCTGCCTCGTCCCTCATCCGCTCTCGCCTTTCTCTCTGTCTTGAAACGGCGGCATGGCTCAAGGGCCGGTCGTCCAGCTTCCCGTCACCGCCGCGCGGCGTTGGCGAGGTTGTGCTGCCATCTGCCGTCGACGGCAGAGGGCCGTGTAAGACCGTCGCCTCGGTAGCCATTTTGATGGATGGGGAGCACGACAGGGGAAAAAAGAGTTGTTTGACACCTCCACGAGGGGAAAAAAAATGATGGGTTTCCCGCAGATGTTGAAGCCCAGGGGGAGGAATGACAAGGAAGTTGTTTTTGTTATCGGGAGTTGCTGGTTGGTCTTTTTACTGTTTGATACTGCTTTGTGCTCTATGAGAAGAGGTGGAGAGGGTGGCAATATAGGTAGGAGGACACGACGTTGGAAGGGTCCAAAGAGAGGGTTGTTTTGTGTAAAGAAGAAGTGAGAAGATGTATATGATATGAGATGTGAAGATGGTTTTTTGTTGAGAGTACTGCTCGGAGGTTTGATTGCAGCTTGTTCGGGATTCACAAGGAAGACGGGAAGCACAAAGAAATAAGGGAGGGCGATGGGGAAGCACAACGGGAAATTATAAGAAAAAAATTTGATTGATGAAGTGTCAAATAGAAATTGTCAGGCCAGATCAGGTACCCAAGTGGAAAAAAAAAAAGAAGGGGCAGTGAAACTGGGCGGCTATGAGGATGTGAAGATAAAAAAAAGTTTTATAGACAGAGAGAGGCACAGAGCGTGCAGTGTGTGGAAACACCACATGATGACATCGCGGCCACTCGTTTTGGATCAGGAAAAAAAAAACTACACTAGTTCTAACATGTACACTTTTCTTTTTGGTCCGCTTCGGCACGCTGCGGCGCCTATCTTGGGAAGAAGAAACAAGTGGACGAACAACCTGGTTTGCCTTGGGTCCCAGGCCAGGGGTGAAGGGTGGTACCTATTCGGTACTGCGAGCGACATACGTGGTCTGGAGCAGGGGGAAAACAAAGGACGTGCTCTTTTTGCTTTGCTTGGAGGGGACGCCCTTTGAGGCGAAACAGTCACCAGAGAAAGACAGGCAGCCAAAAAAAAGATGGTTACGGCACGGCCCCCCCTTCGTGGAGAAGGTCGGTTTTACGAATGTACTGGAAGCGGTACACAGAGAGAGAGAGAGGCATTACAGGGGACTGGAGCTACTATTTTGACAAGCTCAGGCAGGGCAGGGGGACCAGGGGGGCGAGGTTTGGGAGACGACGGCAAAAGGACGAATTGCGCTGCTTTGGCTGCCTTTGGCTGGCCTTTTGGGTGAGACAGAGAGCAGGGGAGGGGGGGCCAGAGAGGAAGAGAAAGGAAGCGATTTGCATCATGATGGGTCCCCCTGGAGGAGATGGGGCCGTGCTGTGATATGTGGAAGAGTTGGGTTGGTTGGGCTGCTGTGGCGGGAGTTGGGCTGGATCCATCCGCTGATGATGTAAGTGGGCGATGAGGTTGAAGCCCGTGTCTGTCTGCAAGGGAGGATTGCTGGTACGTAGCAGTTGCTGGTGGCAGTATAGCCAGTTGCTGGATTTCACGTCGACGTGTACCCTTGCTGTAGCTGGATGTAGAACCGTCGTGATAGTCCGTGCTTTGGATATTTGCCTCGACTTACACGAACCGCCATCACGGCCCAACTGAATCCTCATTCAGTTCCCCTCTTCTACCCAAGCCCAAGAAACCAAAAACAACACAAGAAAAATAGAGCATCACGAGACGGGCCCAAACCAGGATCATCCCTCTTTCTCTTCTCCTCTCTCGTCTCGTCTCCAAGCCAAAGCAGCAGCCAAGCAAAGCAGCACTCACGGGCCTCGCCACAGCCCGCAAGCCTCACTTTGTCCAATGGCCCCTTGTTCCCCGTCTCTTGATTCGCTGCATAGCAAAAGTTCTAGTCTAAATCAGTACTAATTACAAGCAGCAAAGGCCCTGTTTTTTTCTTTCTAGCTGCTGTACTTGTATGTACTGTAGGGGGTGAGGAGAGCCTATTGCAGTGTAACGATGAGGTAAGTTCAAGGATTGGCCTGGAGCTGCTGCTGTGACCATGTCCACGCTGCAAGAATCTCACGATTTACTGCTGGCTGCGTATTACTGCGGCAGGTCGTATTCCGTTTTTTTTTTTCAGCTGTGGACTTCTGTCGTCATACCCTCACGGGCTTTATTTGCTCGTTTTGTGCATCATGCTTAACGCGTGTATTATTCCGCATTTCTCCTATGCACATCTTTTTTCATACATTGTCTGTATGTATGTCATTCATTGATTTCCTAGTCATGGGGCATATATTGATATACACTCTTGCAGCGACTTTGCCCTCATCGCATCATGCTCTACATGCCGCGCAGGCAATGGCTTACACCACGCACATCATTACACGCTGCATGCTCCCATTTCACAGAGATCATCGCCATCTCTTCATCCTGCACTCATTCCCACCGGAACGAGCTGAAAATCTTGCCCTCTCTCAGCCGGCCACCAGTGTATGCAGTAATCAGTAATAGTCCCCTTCGACATGCCGTAAACCACCACCCCCATCGCCAACTTCACTCAAAAACCCCTGTCCCTTGCCCCCAGTGCCGATCGCCTCGCCCAAAAAGCAACAACCACAGACGACCACGTATGTCCCCCCCCCCTTTGATCCCGTTATCTCTCAAGACTAGACACATTCATATACCAAAAAAGTAAGGCGAATGGGAAATGGGCCAGAGCGATGCGTGCAGCCACCCGTTCTACCCATCGTTCGCCCGGCCCGATGCAGCTAAAAACCAAGATGCAGGCAAAAACAAGAAAACTTGGATAAAACAGAACTAGCAGAGCTCCCTTGCATGTGCGAGGTAATATGTACCTGGCGGTAATCTATATGGAAAATGGGGTAGAACCGCCATACCGAAGGTGAAAAAAAAGTACTCCGCAGGATATACCGACATTGTGCTTCCGCCTAAATGAAGATGATACCAAAAAGCTCTTCCCCTCTCTTGTGAGAGAGAGAGGCGAGAATGAGGAATAAGCCGCATTTTTCTGTCCAAGCCAAGTCGGACATTGTCCGCATGATGCCAGTTCATGCATCGCGTCCAAGTAGCTTCACTCTTTTTGCCACTAGTACAAAGCGCTGCAAACGCAGGTGCCAGCCCGGTGCTCGGATAATATCCAAAACGAGGCCAAAAACAGTATCATTGCCAAGTCTCGTAGCTGGCATGATAGATACAGGCTTACTACGGCCAACGGGCTTAGACGGACTCAAAGAAACAGAGACCGAGAGACCGAGCGAGAGTGGAGATGGTGCCAACAAACCACAAAGAGGAGTAAAAAACAAAGCGAGGCTGTCTAATCCCCCCTCATCTCAATTGCGTCCAACTGCATTGTAATTCGTGTTTTGCCTCCCATTCCCTTTGCATGCACGGAGATAAAGAAACAAAGTATGTAAGCAAAAAAAGAACAACAGTCAAAAAGGAGAAAGACGTGCATATATGCATGTGTTAGCATGTGCCAGTCGATACGTTACAAACAAGGCATACAGAATGGATCCATGCCATCTGGCCATCTCCTTTTCCCCATGCAAGACCGCACCTGAAACAAAATGATTAATCGTTCGATCAAAAAAAGAGACCCGGTTTTACCAAGGCCTCGTAACATAGCCAGCACAGCTGTCGCCTTGCTCAACCGGTTTCCTGCAGGGTTCAGAGAGGCACCACCGGCATCCGGGATGGATATGGAGACGGAGGCAGCAGAAAATGGAGACGAGACAGCAAGAGATGGAGACAAAGCTTGCGTATCGATCGAATCATCGGCATGGATACAGCGCATGCATATATATGTACGTGTTCCTGTATGTATGTCATGTACGTGATCGAGCAGTCTGTCTGCAAGACATGAATCAATCGCCGGCAGCAGTCGTGCAACTCGATAGGACTTTATCGTGAAGCGTGAGAGATGAGGTTACATGAGACTTGTCGTGTGTGGTTGCAGCTTGTATGATTCAGTTTTTTTTAGTTCCATCTGCCCATCTATGGCATGATGCCTAACTAGATATCCAAGAATAAACCCATGAGATAAAAATAAAAAGAGGACACAAGAAAGGAGACGAAATAATGCTACAAGTTTGCACTCCCAGAGTAGTAGTACCCCCCTCGTCACTTCACGTGTCTAAACAGACACAGACACAGACACAGACAGACAGACACATCACAAGCAGACAGACAGACGCAGACAGAAACTCCAGACTCACACACGTGCACTCTCGCTCACGCTCGCTCGTCGTCTCGCCCTCATACCTTGTACAGCAAGTCGAGGAACCCTGTCGCCAGATCAACAACCACGCCCTTGTTCGGCAGCGATCCCGCCACGCCGTACAGCGCCGCCGAGTCGCCCATTGCCTTGCCCTTGGCCCCCTTGCCCTCCACCAGCCGCACCCTCTCCTTCTCGCGCTCCTCCTCCACCACCGTCTCCAGGTCGCCAACCAGCCGCTCCCACACCTTGACAATGGGCATGGTCACTGCGACGTGGATGGCGGGGGGGCTCTGCAGCGCGTTGAGGTGCCAGCCCTTGGACGACATGCCGTCGGCGATGTCGTACACGTTGAGCGTCTTGGCGTTGAAGGCCACCACCGACACCAGCGGCTTGCCGATGAGGTCCAGCTCGCCGCCCAGCACGGGGCCGTTCTGAATCGCCTCGGCAATCTTCTTGGTCGTCCCCACAATCTTGACGCAGGCGTCCACGTAGCCCGCCTCGCCCAACCGCATCATGCTGGCCCAGCAGCCCGCAATCAGCGCTCCAGGCCGCGATCCCGCCATGCCGGGCGACGCGTAGACGCCACCTGCCCAGTCGGGAGACACAAAGTACTGGTAGGATCGCAGCTCGGCGTTGCGGTACAGCACCGTGGAGCTGCCCTTGGGCGCGAAGCCGTACTTGTGCGTGTCGCAGCTGATGCTGGTGACGCCCTTGAGGCGGAAGTCGAAGAGCGTCGACTCGAAGCCGGCCTTTTCGAGGTTGGCAATGACAAACGAGCCGAGGCAGCAGTCCACGTGCAGGCAGAGCTTCTTGCGCTGCGCGAGCTTGCTCAGGGCTGCAATGTCGTCGATGATGCCGTGGGGGAAGTTGGGCGCAGAGCCGACAAGCAGAATAGTGTTGCGGTTAATGAGGCGTGAGACGCGACGAACATCTACTTGATATGAGGGAGCAGGGCAGTCTACGTAGTGAATCTTGATCTTGAAGTACTCGCCGGCCTTGCGGAAAGCCGTGTGTGCGGTCGCAGGCAGGATCCTGTAAGTCATTAGTATACCATGCACATCATGCCACCCTTGTAGATGGATGGCACTTACATCTCGGGCTCCGTAACTCCACGCTCGTTGTAGGCCTTTTGGCGCGCAGACAGCACAGCCATCAGGATGCTCTCGGTGCCACCAGAAGTCGTCACTCCAGCAGCTCCGGGAGGGGCTTGGAACATGTTGAGCACCATGCTCACAATCTCGGCCTCCATCTTGCGCACGCCGGGGAAGACGTCCGGGTGGATGGGGTTCGCCACGGTGAACTTGCCAAAGGCCTCGGCCTGCAGCTTCAGCAGCTCGTCCTCGCCGTGGTACACTGCACCAGACACAAAGCCGTCTTCCCAGCGCGTGTGGTCCATGTTTGCAAGGGCATCGAGCTCTGCGCGCACCGCCTCGTCCGTCATGCCCTCCTTTGGCAGCGTCAAGTATTTCGTCTGGCCCGGTGGCACCAGCTTGTTGGACATTTTCTCGAGCGATTCCTTGACCTTCTTCTGCACCTGGCCGCGCACGCCCGGCGCTCGCAGAAAGTAGCCATAGAGGGTTCGCTCAATGTCGCGGTACAGCTCGAGGATGGCGCCGATGATGCCTCGGCCCTTGAGCTTCCACCACAGCCGCCGGGTATACCGGAGCACGAAGAAGAAGAAGAGGATGTTCTTGAGGCTGCGGCAGAGGAAAAAGAAGACGAGCAAGACGTCAGCAAGGAACAGCTCCATCTCACGTTCAATTGCGCCGCTCGGCACCTCGCAAAACTCACAGGTCCAGGTTGATGACGCTGAGGGAGAGCGCCTGTCTGCGGCGCTTGACGCTCTCCAGACTGCCGCGGAGGCTCTGAGGAATGCGCGAGCTCCCTGGCATCGCGGCGGCTTTGTGTTTTGTTTCCGTCTATGCTCGTCTAACAGTGCTGGAGCAGCAGAGAGATCAATTCAAACAGGCCGGCATAGCAAAGGGCAGATGAAGCCACGGCTCGGGGAGATGCTGCAACGAGAAGAGTGCGGAGGATAAGCTTTGCTGGGCAGACAAACACCTGTTGAAGCAACTTGCCACTAACACGAGCTGCTCGACGTAGTGGATGTATATTCTGCCGCGGCACAGGTACCCCGCCGCCAGGTTTCTGCTGCAGAGTACATGCCCTCCCGCAATCAATTCGTTGCAGCCCGTCCATGATGCGCGTGTTCCGTGTTCCGGGAAAGAGCAAGTGTCTTCGTCTCGAATCTGCCCAATCCCGCGCCTCGGCTGGCATGCACTGGCCCCGGAAAATACCGAAGGCAGACTAGCGCGGTGATATGACGCCCGCCTTCACATGTTCCAGCGGGACGACCGCTAAGCCGAGACGGGACTTGAAGCGAGAGACGGGAAACCCGCGGACGCCGTGAGATGCTTGAACGATGAACACATTGTTAATTGGATTTGTCTTTTTATTTTTTCCTCCAATAGAACTCAAAACTTTGTAGAGTCAAGATCGATTGATGGCTGCATACTATCAATAAAATACCGCAATGTTGAGAGCTTCTACAGAGCTGCATGTGAATATTCTGTGGCTGGACGGAATCGTGTAAGTAGCCCGGGCTGGGGATTGAGTTTGCCGTTTTACGCACTTGGCATCAAAACGTGCCATATCAATATGATTGATTCCTCTGGCCGAATGCGGTCGACTATTTACAAGTCACCAGGTATTCGATCATAAGAGATAAAGTAACATTGATTGTTGTATTCTCAAATACTGGACAATGCCCTGCTAGTAAACCCTCTATGCATCGTGTGTTCAGTCATTGTGTTGTATTGTCCAAGGGAAACATTCTCGTACACTGTGGCAAGTCTAGCTATTATACATCTGGGTTACCGCTGTTATTGTTGCTCCTGCTGTTATTATTACTCCTACTGGTACTGCTACTGCTGCCTCTTCCTTGGTGTCATACTTGAGGCATCCCTATCATCACATGCTCATGAAGATAACATGCCACTTCATCTCAAAGCACAACCACTACACGACAAATACACTAATGTCCAGTAGTATTCAAATATCGTATTATCAAAAGTAGCCAAGCAGCTCTAAATAAAATAGGTACCCGCCCTTCCCCATATGTCAACTCATCCTCAGCAGGACGAGTCCATTCAAAAAGTAAATAAAAAGACATAATTCATCAGCATAATACCGTTTTGCTTTATATATTTTGCTTCTCCTTCCAATCCCCCATTCTTCATCTCCACCATGAGTAGTTTCAGAGAACCCAATCGTTGTTCTCCGAATATCTACTCTAACTCGGGGTTTCCCACCCCACCGCCCTGTGTATCTTCCCTTTTTTTATGCCCAAAATTTCTCTCTTCTTCCAACTGTCAACAACACAAACACACGTTTAGTCAACCAAAGATAAAACGCCGTGGATGTACAGATTCCAAAAAGGATATATGCTCCGAACGAACGCCGGGGTTATTACGCAAGTGGATCGTTTTTTGTGTTTTTGTCTTGTGTTTTCCTTGCCGCCGCCGTAGCCGCTCGCTTTCCATATTTTCCCAGTAGATTTGTTCAATATCTCTTTTTATACCCATAATTTGCCTCCCAAATCTCTTCTCTGTCTGTGGTCTTTTCTCTCTCTTTCGCTCACGGTAGATGATTGGAATGCTTGCTTCCCCTTCTAGTTGCCAAAAGCCGCGGTCCATTTCTTGTAGTAACTTGACGACACGGTTTCGCAGCTTCCCTCGCCTGACTTGGCGCAGCCCCAGAAATAGACCACAAAGTCGCCGTCTTGGTATGAGTCGCCTTGGTCGGTGCGCGTGTATGGGCCGAGTGTGCGCTGCGGCACGAGAGCCAGCTTCGAGAGAATGGTGGGGTGCCATTGAACAATGTGTTCCTGCATTTCCTACGTTAGTCCTGTCTTCTCTTGTCTCCCAATTCACTTGTGTCTCAGCTTCACTTACCAGAGCGTGTCTCTCTGCCTTTTGGAAGTTGTAGCTTCGGTACAGAGGGTCCATCCAAGTCTCGATGAAGAACTTGCTCCATTCGCTGTTTCTCACAATGATGCTGCCAGCCACCAGCCCCGAAATGTCCTGGCTGACAATGAAATCGATATTATCAGCTCTCAAGTGCGAAAACGTTCTAATGATGCTGTCCGGAGGAACAACGGGGTAGTTCTTGATCATCAGGCTCTCAAGCCTCCTCTGGCCCAGAATCTGTTCCTCCAATGACTTGTTCACATCCATAATGTAAGCGTCCTGGTCAAGATACCAGACGAACTTGGCCTCGGGGAATTTGGTCAATGCGTGTCGTATGGCCATGAGCTTCGACCAGCTCTGTGGCGCTCCTTGGGTATCGTAGTCGTAGGCCTTGACGATAAATGCCTCGTATCCTGTGTTTTTTCTGCGTGTCAGTCATTTCTGCGCACATTGGAACAATGGTCGAGTATGTGTTAAGATATGAAGAAAGATGAGGGGCTACCCACCATGCTTGGCCGCATACTGCTCTCGGTTCTCTCTAATTGTTTTGAGATAGGCGTTATTGTATGAAGTCGGGTCAATGACTGTCACTATCACAACAGGCGGCTGGCCTGACGGCACACGCTCGCGGTCGGGGCGAGGCACGCTTGGATTTGAAAACAGCCACAGCAGCGCAAATATCGCAAACGCAACAATGCCAACGGTCCTGAGCCGACTCCTCCGCAAGCTGGGCAGTCTCGTAGATCTGGGTCGGAAGGGAGGCGGGTTGGAGCTCTTGCGAGCAGGATAGGCGTAATGCATCTTGTCGGTTCGAAGAGGGTGTCTCGTATCTCGTATCCCCAACGCAGTAGCCTGTTTTGCCCAGTGTATGTATCGATTAAAGCGGCTTCTTTCAAGTCTCTCTTATTTCGATTCGTCGCAGCGCATTCAATCAAACAATGCAGTCGAATCGCCAACTTGCAGAGGTGGCGGGATGCGAGAGTCGCGGCAAGGCGTCTTCAATCGTCCTGAGGCCAGCTGTGCGACGGCCGATAAGGAGAGCAAGCAGAGGCAGGTCCGCGAAAGCCACAGTCTGCAGCGCCCGGCGACACAAGCTCGTGCGGAAAAAAGAAATCAATTAAATCAAGAGCCCCAATCGAATCGAAGTAAACGAGTGGCGTTGGAAGTGACGGGCCGCTGCGACAAAAGGCGATTCGCGCGCGGTGAGGCGATGGCGAGCGACGATCCCTTATGACATTGGATTTGTACCGCGCCGCTATTCTTAGGGGTCTGCTGGTGGTCTCTTTTTTCCGGCCAGCGCTGAACACGAGGCCGGCGCCGGGAGTACGAATCGCCGGCCCAGTAGGTGCTTGCAAACGGCGCCTTATCCTTGCGACTTGGCCTCGTATTTTTTGCTAGCAGCACTGCATACGGACTCAAGCGCCGAAGCTGACGGGCTAGTACCAAGGAGGAGATGTGATTCAGGCGTTATCGCAGAGATGGATGAGGCTGATAAGGGCGAGGCTTTTGTTTGCCCGTAGGAGGTGGCATAGTAGATGTACGAGCCGAGTTAGCGGTTGCTATCTACATGATTGCTTACAAACATGGCCAAGAGAACAAGAGGTGCCGAATTGACTTGGTAGTTGAATTGCACAACAGTTGTCATGAGTTAGAAAGTATACAGTCAAGCCGATGTCAAATGTGCCAGAGCGGCAACAAGGGGCCACTCCATGGTGTTGGCTCTCGATAAAAACCCCATCTCATAGAATATACAATAATTGACACTATTTCTCGACAAACTCTACTGGGAGGATTAAGTATAGATGCTAATGGGAATTTTATAAGGGCTTCCCAGGTTGAGAATATTAAGTACTACTCAAAATTCTTGGCTAGGAACATAGCCTTTTGACAAGCTCTTTGGATTATTTTTTACAGAGAAAGATGCTGTATCTCTTGTATCATTTGTGTTCAATCGCATTCGAATCATCTAAAATTACTATTTCGAAGATGACATGAATCTTTTTTACCATTTAGCAAGAAGAGTTGAAACATGTGACAGGGCGATCGACCTGGTAGGTCCTACTTAAGGTAGTCTATTCCTCATACTATCGACTTAGAGTACTCCAAGCATAGAATTTGTACAACAACTGAGATGCATGTGCTTCATGGAGGTTGGAATAAAGACTGAAAACTTTATATCTAGTTTGATAAGTAGAATAAAGGGGCTAGAAATACACTTGGCAATGATTAGTAGATTCTGCACGGCAGGGTTGGCTCGGTCCCAGCCGCAAGCCTTTGTTTTACAGTCAACCTTCCTATAAAACTTAGTCAAGGCAGGGTTTTTTAATAATCGTTAAAATGTTTAATATCTCACCCGAGACAAATTCTGATCATAAAACCGGCTCAAAGTCCTCCATCTTGAACTACTTCTTTCAACATGTCAAAGAAACATATTATTCCAATACGTCAGAATGTGGGAGCTAGTCCCTTTCGTAATCAGGGTGTCAGCAGTCTTGCTACTTTTCGGAATACTTCGATTGCTTTTGAATAGATACAATCGGCTGAGCAGAATCCCTGGCCCGTGGCTTGCATCCTGCACCAATCTCTGGAGGTTTGCTTTGACATGGACTGAGAAGGCCGAAGCTACTCATATCAAGCTCCATGCTCAGCATGGAGACGTCGTTCGCCTGGGGCCGAATCTTGTATCTGTTACAGATATGGATGCTGTCAAAAAGATATATGGAGCTGGGACCTCTTACGAAAAGGTGTGCAATTTTCTCTCCCCCCCTTTTTTTTCCTTTCAAGATGAAGCCTCATTTCTAATAGTGATTAGTCCGAGTTCTATGCGACTTTTCGTGATGTGGCGCGAGGGCACATTCTTGAAAACATGTTTAGTCTAAGGAACAATGGCTTCCATAGAGTTCTCCGGCGAAGCGTTGCTTCAGCATTCTCCATGAGTACATTGGTCCAGCTGGAGCCATTTGTAAACTCAACACTGAGCTCATTCATGAGAGAGCTCGACAAGAGATTTGTCAATACAGAAACTGGCCAAAAAGTCTTTGACTTGTCAAGGTGGCTCAACTTATATGCCTTTGACGCCATTGGCGAGCTGAGTTTCTCGGAGAGAATCGGCTTCCTCGAGAGCGGTGGAGATATGGAAGGAATCATGCATCAGGTTGAGATGCAGCTTGGCCATCAGAACACTGTAAGCTAGCCTACCGTTTGGCATTCTACAAATTGAAGCAATGTTGAAACTCACCCGCCGCTTTTCTAGGTCGGTCAAATGCCATGGCTCGATCGTTTCTGGGCAAAAAACCCAATTGGACTGTGGCTGGGCAGAATGGGCATTTTACAGGAGCGAGACTCTATTGTGGTGAGATTTGCTGCGCGGAAAATAAAGGAACGGTATGAGGCCCTAGGGGCTGGGACCGCTCCGTCCGCAACAGACTTTCTCGATCGGTTCATCCAGGCGGGGATAAAAGATCCTGAGCTGATGACTGAGCAAGAGATCTTGAGTCTCACTCTTGTCAACATCTTTGCTGGTGGCGACACCACTGCCATTGCCCTCTCCGCCATATTCTACTTCTTGCTCAAGAATCCCTCCACGTTGGAAAAGCTTATGGCTGAGCTTCACGAATCTCCGCCCAACAGGGATGATGGCATCATGAGCTACGGCGAGGCAAGAAAGCTTCCGTATCTCAAAGCTGTCATCCAAGAAGGCCTACGGATGTTTCCAGGAATTGGCAACCCCCTTGAGCGAGTTGTGCCTCCCCAAGGCCTAGAGGTCTGCGGACACTTCCTCCCTGGAGGTACAATTGTCGGGACTTCGGCTTGGCCACTACACTCAAAGGAGTCCATATTTGGCGCAAATCCCAGGGAATTCCGGCCAGAACGGTGGATTGAGGCCTCTGAGTCTCAAATCGGCCTTATGAACAGTGCCATGTTCGCCTTTGGAATGGGTGGTCGCTCATGCGTGGGACAGAATATCAGCCTGCTAGAGATATATAAAGTCGTCCCTACAATTCTTTGGAAATACAAGGTATGTAACCAAGTTGCTCACCAGATCCTTTTAAGCAGCCTACTAAACTGGAATCTAGCTTGCTTTTGCAAATCCTACAGCTGAGTGGACTACATCGAACCGGTGGTTTATATATCAGAAAAACTTCTTTATTACACTTGAGCATCGAGTTTAGACTGTATCATTGCTTACAAATATTAACAAGAGGACAGGAGAAGGTGGCTAAATACACTTGATAATTGAATTGAACAATAATTACAATGAATTATAAACGATACATTCAAGTGTCTATGTAAAATGTGCCAGGCTGTCCAATGATGCTGCTTAAAGGTAGGTGTACTAGGGCGTACGGAGCAGATACTTGCTGGAATTGCAGTCTCTTGAATCCCCAAGGGGCTTCTCAAGCACGCAAAAACGCACCGGCAAATCTCATACCATGCCAGCGGACAAAGAACCAAGACGGCCTTTGCCCAAAGCAATAGTAGAGCGTCGCTATTTGCACGCAGACTAGTTGGCTTGACACGGAAGAGCGAGTTCGAGACAACTTAAGAGTGTGCAAAACGTTGGGATATCGTCAAAAGAAGAGGGAAAAGCATCGGTAGATTCGCAAGGAGAGGCAGAAAAATTCATTATTGGTCCTTCCTTTCGTCTTCATCAAGGTCACCGTCATCGTCATCAGTCCCGACATCCAAGACTCTCTCACTCACATTCTTCAACACTCGTTCACTGAGTTTCTTCACTCCTTTCCAGATTCCCATCAGAGCGGTAAAGGCTCCAATAATGACAAACAGCAGGCTGATATTCTCAACTCTTGCTCTTCCGCCTTCCTGGCGTCGTCCCGTCATGTTGCGCAGGTTCCACCAATGCCACGGCGAAACGGCGAGCATGGACTTGAAGATGCCCACGAGGCCAAGGGAGAAGAAACCCTTGATGAAATGCTCCGACCAAGTCGTTGGCGGCTCCCAGTCTGGCTCTTGAAGCGCTTCGATATCCGTCACAACGCTCGTCACGGTTTCGCTGATTGTACCAACGGGATCGACCCAAAGATTGAGGAGCGGGTCTGCCATGAATCCTAGCAAGAATATGCTCACAATAAGAATCGCCACCGTCAGCCCGGCTTGAGCCCATTTGCTGCTTAGCATCGAGGCCCAATGAAGGCGCACCAGTCGATAGGAGAACTTGCACGTTGGGCATTGCCAGTAGTTTCTTGGGGCCGTGGGGTTTGATAGCCGCCAAGAGTTGAGACATCCCTCATGCACGTATTTTTGCGATCCCTTGCACTTGCACGGGGACAAGAGTCTTCCTAACTCGGCGTCATCGGACACGTATACCGGCTTGCTCGAATTTGAAGGGTATTTTGGTTCCACGACATCCAGGCAGATACGACACGTTCGTGGTTTGTATCGCCTCTGATTATGCGCAGCATTTGGTGGTGGCTGACTTTGAGTTTGTGCAGATGCGTGCTCCCCATCGTTGTCTGATGCTGTCCACTCATCTGGATACGTGGTGAAAGTCTTGTCTTGAACCGACGACTGATACGGCGCTCGGGCTCGCTCGCCAAACCACTCCATCGCGGCTGTAGCTCCTCAGCCAGCTGGTAACGCAATAAGTAGTATCGAGAAGAAAAAGGATAACAGAGGGAGAGCAGTTGGTAGCTTCACATGGTACGAAGTGACAGTACCTGGCAGGTTGTCTGGTCAGGCAGCAATGCGGCAAAGGAAGAAGAGCGACGCGTCAGGTCTTTACATCGACAGTAACGGAAGAGGCCACTTCATCGATTTCCGCGTCACGTTCCATGTAGCTCAGCGAGCCGAATTCTCCGGCTGCGTGACTGCGGACAATGATTTTTTTCTCTGGCGGAGTTTGGTCGAACGAGAAAAGCTGCCGTACCAAACGTGGTAGTGCTGGAAATTCCCAAGCTCCCCCCACCGGAACTCGGCAAAATAAAAGCTCCGCGGCCAGCCCACTGCCTGGGCCAAGCTTGACGCGCAGCTCAGTGTGCCTGCTGCCGCAAGTGGGATTCCACAGTGTTGTAGCAGAGCAGCTGGCCAGGATAGCTTCATCAACACTCGAAGAAGCATTTGGCGCTCCGCATATCGACGCAATTGACCGCATAGACCCTCGACCAGCATCCAGACATGGCTGACCGATACTCCTTCTCTCTGACCACATTCTCGCCCAGGTACGCTGGCTGATGTCATTCCATCTCCATCTCCATGTGCCAAAGACCCCTCTACTGACCTTGTTCCCTCGATAGCGGCAAGCTGGTACAAATCGGTACGCATAGCTCTTCGCACCCAGACCCATCGCTCGAGCCATTTGGATGGGTTTACAGTTGGAATGACACAGAATGAGGCTGACATGTTGATTCCTGCTCGCAGAGTATGCGCTGAATGCGGTCAACCAGGGCATCACTGCTCTGGGTATCAAAGGTATGGCTCACTTCAAGAGGGCAGCAGATGGCTGGCGAGCTAACCAAATGAACTCACAGCCACGAATGGCATCGTCCTTGCTACCGAAAAGAAGTCGTCCTCCCCCCTCGCCGACCAGAGCAGTCTGTCCAAGATTAGCCACATCACGCCCAACATCGGTACCGTTTACTCCGGCATGGGACCCGACTACAGAGTACTGGTCGACAGAGCGCGCAAGGTTGCGCACACAGGCTACAAGCGCATCTACAACGAATACCCTCCCACCAGAATACTCGTGCAGGATGTGGCCAGAGTCATGCAAGAGGCCACCCAGTCAGCTGGTGTTCGACCATATGGCGTCAGCATGCTGGTTGCCGGCTGGGACGAGGGCATCGAACCCGAAGAGGAGGAGACCGAGATCAAGGAGGGCGAGGAGGTGAAGAAGACAACAAAGACGGGAGGAGTTCACAAGGGAGGCCCCATGCTGTACCAGGTTGACCCCACGGGCAGCTATTTCCCCTGGAAGGCCACGGCCATTGGCAAGAGCGCGACCAAGGCCAAGACCTTTTTGGAGAAGAGATATTCCGAGGAGCTGGAGCTGGAAGATGCCATTCACATTGCTCTGTTGACGCTCAAGGACAACATTGAGGGTGAAATGAATGGTGATTCTATTGAAATCGGTAAGCTCTCCTTTCCTGATGTCATAATACATGCGAGCGGGACATGTTTGTTGTTTTTAACACTTGATTACTTTCTAGGTATTGTTGGAGCTCCTGCTCACCATCTGCTTGGCGTGGAGGGTGTTGAGGGTGCCACTGGCCCCCGGTTTAGAAAGCTGACTCCCCAGGAGATTGAAGATTACTTGTCAAGTCTATGATAGACACACCCATGCTCGGAATAATGATAAAGCAGGCTTTGATGTATACCAATGAGGCATAAAGCTTAATAAACAAAAAGAATTTGGCACGATAGACGGCTACTTGATATCAGCTGCATCTTGTGAAAGCTAAGCCAGTGAAGCAAAGAAGAGTAAAGCGTCAATGCTCCTTGCAGTATGAAGTAAAACAAACCAGAATGCTACCGAGTAGAGCAATCCAAATATCCATATTAAATTCTCTTCTGCCCCTGTTAGTAGGCTCTACTGACAAGCCCATCTATGCTTTGGCAGTTAGGATGAAGGATGCTCGTGGACCAGCCGCCACACCCACAATCTTATAACCATCTGCAACTAGGAATGGAACATTTGTCCATGTTTCTGCTCTACCAACTTCTCTCCCAAATCCAAGCTGGCCATTTCTGTTCTCGCCACTGACATAGATGAGCCCGTCCGTAGTCAGTGCAATGGCATGAGCCTCTCCCAGAGCGACATCCACAACGTCTTTCCCGCCGTCGACCTCTGTATAGTTGGGCACGCCCGAGAGCTCTTGAAAAGCATGTCCTCGACGATGAGTCTGAGAGTTATCTGATGATGCTGATGCTGATGCTCTTGAAGCTGCTGATGGCGGATAGCAGCCCCAGACGTAGACGCTACAGCTGTTGCTGGTCAGCGCCGCCACAGCAGTTCCGCCGGCGGTGACGAGTTTGATTGGATCATCTGCCGACGCGATGTCATTGAGGTCGGGTACCGGGCCCGGCTTACCAGACGGTCTGTAGGATTTTGGTTGAACCCGGGTCAGTGGGACTTCAAGTCCGATATTCATCATCCGCTTTCTTCAACTTGGCTTACCGATCTAGCGGATCAGTGTCTCTCCCGAGACAGGCTTCGAAGCGGGAGTCCCCAAACGTAGAGACGGAGCCGTCAGAGTGGAGGATGACGAAGCCGGTGTTGAACGCAGCGACTTGCGTGGCTCGAGGGCGGCAGTCGAAGATGGACTCTGGCTCGGCGCCAGCCCTTTGAGATGCCAAGGACGAGTACTTTACCAGCTTGTTGTTGTTGGCGTCATTGTCGTCGCCATCTTTGTCGTGGACAATGGCTAGAAGCTCTCCGGTGGCGGCTTCGGCTGACGTGTAGAGAAACTCGGCTTCGGTTTCCACGGTCTTGGGGGGGACTAGGCCGGCGACGATGAGACTTCCATCGCGGTGAACTGCCAAAAGGAGCGTTTGTTAGTATGAAGCGAAATCGGAGTGTTTCTTTAGAATGACAATAGGTAGTATTGAAGGCGAGCTATACCGATGGTGTAAGTGAGTCGAGCGACTGGTCGTTTGATGGTGGCGGCAGAAAGAACTTTTGTAAAGCGGTAAAGGTCATGAGGCTCCTCCTCCTCGTTTGAGCTTTGGCGATTGAGGGAGAGCTGGTGCCAGGCGTTGAAGCCTGTTGCGAAAAGGTCCATGGATGGAGACTTTTGCGTTTACATGGTTAAAGTGGTGGCTGGTGGGTCGGATGTGAAGGCAATTGGCCTGTTGTGATAAAACGAGGCTGCCTAGTGACTACATGTAGCTTCGATGCTACGACGGCATTTTGGCAACTCGACTTGGCTTATGGTATGCGAAGGGAAAGAGTAGATTTCTATTTTCATCATAGTATAGAAATTCAACTGTGTATTTACAATTCCGAGTATTGATACGTGCCTGATGGCATTAAGAGCGGCTCCATGTACTCGTCTAGATGCGATGAATTCCTGCAGTGAATGGATTAAGCCGCTGCCTATTGACTAGCTTCGATGCTACGACACCATGTTGGCAATTCTTATCTAGGATATGGTATGCGGTAGAAAAGAAAAGGTTTCTGTTTTTGTTTTAGTATAGAGAGTCAGCTATTGTTATGATCCTGGGTGTTGATGTAAGCCTGATGGGATCATGAGAGTAGATTCGGAGATTGAACTGTGCAAATGTACATGTACTACGTCACCCATGACTGATGGCCCTTTTAGCAGATGCAGCGACCTATTCTCTTTACCCTTTCTGAAACCTTGATGCTACATTGAAAATTTTATCTTCGCCTCAATAGATGCACGCCTATTGCGTGTAAGTTGCATACATTGTAGGCGGCAGTCGTATTACGCCGTTACCTGGGCGTATTATCCACTAGAGCGGATTATTTATAGCGAATGGTACTGCGCTAGCCTCTGTAGCTTCACGGTCGGTGAGCCATATCCGACTTGTGACTCTTATGACTCCCCTACGTTGCATAAGAGCACGGAACACCGCAGCGGCAGGTCGGCCGTAAGAGATTTTTGTTTTGGCGAGTTCCTAAGACTATAAGCAAGATCCGTGACGGCGGGTCAATATTCCCCGAGAGTGGAGGAAGTGCCGGGCCAAGGGTGGCTTGTTGCATCAAGATTGATGGTTGGTCATATTAAGCGAGGTGAATTTTGAATTACACGTACCCATATTCACAGTCACAGGCCCTTGTAGTTACAGATAGACTACTATTGCACTTACACTGCTGTGACGGATGGATTTTCAAGTCCAATTCAGACCCTGCTTAGACTCTAGCTCAAACTCTTATGATTCTCCACCATGGCAATACGGCGCCGTGAAAGCTCAGCTTAGCAATATACGTTATAAAAGCACGCATTGAGTTCTCATTAGCCGAATCCTTCTAGAACCGCGTGGCCTATAATTATTAAGCTCTCCCCAAAGGTATGGAGAAGATGAAATCTGTCGCCGTGCCCAAACAAGCCTTGTGACCACCTCCCAATTGGCTGCCTGCAGGGTAAATCGTCTTTGAAACGAAATAATACCGCTCGCCTGGCCTCCGACATATCAGCCTAACTGCCTTGGTATAGGTAATATGTACTATTTGTGACCAAGTCGGGAAGTATTCAGCGTTCGTGGGGTGAAGTCAACGAAAGGAACTTGCAACTTTGCTATAGGCATTATTATCTGGCATTACTAAATCGTCATGGTGAGGCCATCATGATTGGCTGCTACGGCACACACATGTAGATGTTGGATGTCTTAGGCAGCACGTTTACGTTTCTCAGCTACATGTACTTGGGTGAGACGAGACAACAGGGCTAACAATGCCAGCCTGATTTGTGGTCTACGCCAACAAAGGCGCGCAGATGGCAAAGAGGAATTACTTGAGAGTACATCTTTAAATGATGGTTGCCAGTGTAACACCCAGTTGGGTTTGTAGCCTATAGAATGAGCCGCCCAAGAAGAAGAAAAGAATTGAGAAAACGCCCAAGCTCCATACGGATTCCATCTGGTGAATTGGGCGCTGGTGGCTCCAAGGCATGTTCGGCGTTGGCCTCCCACTGATCTGAGTAACATGAAGTTTCCTGCGCATAATACAGGCCTCGTCCCCCGCTCGTCATCGGCTTGCGTCTTCGCCTTCTACATCTTTACCAACATTTCAAGACGCTCTGTCGACTTGTCCGAAAAAATAGCCAAAACGAGAGCTTGTAGCTTGTCCCATTTCGGAGACGCCTCAGCTGTTGACGCCTCGGGCTGTCTTTATGCGCCTTTGAGCTGGGATCGAGCCCACCCACCGCGCGTACGAACCGACACAGAATCCGACTTGGTTGCCCAGTAATTACCTACCTGGGACTACTACGAGGAGGTAGTATTCTCTAGCTTTACGCATTCCAGAGCAACCTAGACTATCCATTTTCCCTGGTTCACACGAGTCGATCCGTCTGATAGGCCACATGCGCTTTCACGCCCTACCCCGCAACAAGCTCCAAGTACGGCGTGTGAAGCATAATTGATATCAATCTCGAGCTAGGGACCGGATCCAGCAACGGCCCTTTTTTCTCTTTTGGGCAGCCTTTTAACAAACAGGCCAATACCGCCTTTTCCCTTTCCCCGTTGCGCGTTGATTGCGTCTGGAACACACGTCAGGCTGCCATCCTGGAGCCTGTGGCTTCGTAGAGGTGGTTGTTGCCTGAGTCACACCCGATCCGCAGCTGCGGGAGCGCCAAAGCACCGCCGGCTCATGTGGCGCGCTCCGGCAGGCAAGTTAGCGGCAGATGGCCTGGCATCTGGCAAGGGCAACGGCCTCTGGCCTGGCCCGGCCTCGGGACCTGCTCCGGGCGCGGTTCCCAGGGCCCTGTCGACGCTGCGTGGTTCGTCTGCGGGTGACGTGACTGGCTCCGGCTCGAGCTCAGACTTAGACCTTGCAGGGCGTGGCCCGGGAGACACACCCCTGGGCCACAGCATCGAGAAGTGGGCGGGCGTTGCTGATGATGCCGGCGAGGCTCATGTGCCTGGGGCTGATATTAGAGACGCCTCACCCGCCCAGCAGCTTCTGGATGGAGGCCAGGCAGAAACCCCAGGCGGCAATGGAGAGCAAGCAATAATGGCGTCGAGGGCTTACCAGCTTGAGATGCTCGAGCAGAGCCTGAGGCAGAATGTGATTGTTGCTGTAAGTGGGAGTTTCTTTGTTACTTGCATCAACTGTCACATGTTGGTGTTGTAGTGTTTACCAAAAGTAACGTGTTCTGACTGATGGATGTAGATGGACACGGGGAGTGGCAAGACCCAAGTGTAAGTCGAGATAGACCTGTCGATTACTCCATGTATATGCTGACCTTGTCTTGTGTCAGGGCTGTACTTCGTATCAAGGCGGAATTGGAGAGATGCGACCCAAAAAAGGTGGGCTGCCAATGGCTTTATGCTGGTATCAAGCAATATACATGTAATCGCTAACAAGACAACCGCTAGATTGTTTGGTTCATCACGCCAACTGTCCATTTGAGTGCCCAGCAGCATACAGTTCTGAAGCTGCAGATCCCCTCGGTGCCCATGCAGATGCTCGCTGGCAATCGCCATCTACCTACTTGGACGCAGGAGATGTGGACTCCTCTTCTGGCAAAGACTCGAGTTGTCATTACAACGCCCCAGATTCTCCTGGATGCTCTCGACCATGCTTACCTTAAGATGGAACACCTGGCGCTGATAGTATTTGATGAAGGTATGCTTTTCAACATCGCCAAGAAGCGGTCAAGAAACAAGGTAGCTTTACCTCTACATGTTTCGAATTGCTGACACGTCTTGGCTCTTATATAGTCCATAATTGTGTTGGAAAATACCCTGGCGGCAAGATCATGCAGCATCATTATCATCCATGCCTGTCGGCTGGTAAGAGCGTGCCCGCAATCTTGGGCTTGACAGCAACCCCCAGCATCCAATCCGAGGCTACAGATCTCGTAGCCTTGGAGCAGCTGATGGATGCAAGATGCATCTCCCCCACGCTGCACCGAGACGAGCTCCTCAAATGCGTCAAACGACCCAGCATCCAGCATAAAGCCTACATACCTGCCGAGGAATATTCCACCCCTACCATGAAGTCTCTAAGTAGGGTCTATAGTGATCTGGATATTAACAAAGACCCTTTTGTGCAGTCGCTAAGGGAAAACCTTACGGAGAGGAACGGACGCTTGTTAGAGAAAACTATACTCAAAGAAGACACTTATACGCAGATTCAAATGAAGACGTTCAAGTCTCAGTCGCAGAGCATATGCAAACAGCTTGGGCCTTGGGCTGCTGACCTTTTCATCTGGAAGAGCATATCGTCGTATCTTGACAAGGCTGAATACGGCGACGAGTTTTTCGACCAGTGGTATCAGTGTCGGGACCGTGAAAAGAAGTACCTGGCCGGCATCTTTCGCCGAGTCGAGGTCGAACCCCCTCCCAAGGCCCCCCAAGGTTTGAACGACATTTCAGACAAAGTCCTCGTGCTTTTGGAAGAACTCTTGTCAATCGATGAACAAAGCACAATGGGAATCATCTTTGTCGAGGAGCGGGTCATGGTGAAAATGCTGGCCGAGATCCTCTCCATCAACCCGGCCATTAAGAAAAAATACAGAGTTGGCACCATGGTTGGATCTTCCAGCTACTCATCAAAGCGAAGAGTCGTGTATGATTTTGGAGACAAGGGCGACCTCAAGGCTCTGCAGAATTTCCGCTCTGGCAAGATTAACCTGCTCATTGCAACCGCGGTCTTGGAAGAGGGAATTGACGTCCCTGCCTGCAATCTTGTCATCTGCTTTGACGTCCCAAAGACTTCAAAATCATTTATACAAAGGCGCGGACGGGCGCGGATGAAGGACTCGAGGCTGGTCCTTTTCTTTGACGAGGGTGACGCTTCCTCGAAGAAATGGGAGGAGAAGGAAGATGAGATGGCGAGGCTCTTTGAAGACGAACAGAGAGAGATTCAGCAACTGGAGATGATTGAAGAATCTGAGAGCCTAGGCACCATATGTTATACTCACCCAGTGACCGGGGCGAGGCTCGACTTTGACAATGCCAAACCGCACTTGGAGCACTTTTGCAGGACCTTGTCGCCGACGGAGTTTGTTGACAGCCGACCAGATTACATCATTCACAAAGAGGACGGTGTGGGTTCCAATGCTTTGACTGCCACTGTTTTGCTTCCGCCATTCATACCTGTGAACCCGAGGCAGTACAACAGTGCGTCTGTGTGGCGATCAGAAAAGAATGCCACCAAAGATGCCGCCTTCCAAGCCTACATGGCCCTCAACGATGCCGGGCTCCTAAACGACAATCTATTGCCATTCAAAGCGGATGAGATTCCCGGAATCGATAGCCGAGTGCCTGAGGTGGCTGTTGAGCCCATGATGAAGCCATGGCATCATGTTGCCCCTGCGTGGCGAGAGACCGGCGATAAATGGCTCTACTCTCTCACTTTCTATGAAGAAAACGGCCAGGTGATTGGCGAGTATGAGATTTTGCTGCCCGTAAAGCTTAATCAGCCTCCGTCTCTAGACTTGTTCCTCGACAGAGGCCATAAGCTGGAACTGCGATTCTCTGAAGGGAGGTCAGTGCCGCATGGCCAGGTTGCGTCTTTGCCAGACCATACGTCAGCTCTTCTCGCGCTGCATTTCTGCCACAGGTGGCCCAAAGATGAGCTTCACAACGAAGGACGAGAACACGTGGTGCGGATTTGGGCAAAGAGTGACTCGCTCTCGATGGACCAAATTGGTGCAGTTGGATTTGATCCGTTCGATGAGGACGTTAGAAGCGGACGATATCTTATACGAGACAACACCAACTCTCCCTACACCTACAAGGACATAATCGAATGCAAGCCCTCCATCACTCTGGTGCAGAATGCCTTTTATGGGTTTGAAAAGGCTCCCGAAAAGGGGCCTTATCTCGTGCTCAAGAAGTGGACGCGGAGAACCGATTTCCTGCACCGCTTGCAAGGCAACCCCGAGAAAGAACAAGCTAGCAGCAGGCCTTACTCGCGGGTGTATCCCATGGAATGGGCCATAGTTGATACCGTACCGGCGACACATGCCATGTTTGGCATGATAATACCCACCATCATACATGAACTGGGCGTGATGCTCATGGCTAAGGAGCTGGCCACGACTGTTCTTGAGCCGGTCGGGATATCGGACTGGGGCTTGGTGAGAGAGGCTATATGTGCGCGGAGTGCGAATGAGCCGATGAATTATGAGAGACTGGAATTTTTGGGCGATTCCATTCTCAAGCTTTGCACTTGCATACAAGCTGCGGTTACTAGTGAGAAACACCCTCCCAATAACTATAGATTCCTTTTTTTCTTCTTGCTAACATTATGTTGCTCAGAACCCGATTGGCCTGAGGGCTACCTTTCCTACTGGAGAGATCGACTCATTTCCAACGTACGGCTATACCAGGCAGCAGTTGACTTTCGACTGCCCAGATTCCTAGTCACAAAGCCTTTCACAGGTCACAAGTGGCGTCCATTGTACTTGGAGGACGTCCTACAGGAAGATGTCAATGCGCCTACGACCGAGAGGAGGCTTTCGACCAAAACACTCGCGGATGTGGTTGAAGCGTTGATTGGTGCTTCATACTGCGAGGGAGGCATCGCCATGGCAGAGAAATGCATTGCCATGTTTCTCTCGGAAATCGACTGGGATGGCATAGACAAGGGCAGAGAGATTCTTTTCAACAGAGTGCCGCCAAATGAGCGTCTTCCGCCGATCTTGGAGCCCCTGGAGAGGTTGCTTGGATATACCTTTCAACGCAAGGCTCTTTTGACAGAGGCCCTGACGCACGCCTCGTTCATGGCGGACGGTGTGATGGACCATGGCAAGCGATCTCTCGAAAGGATGGAGTTTCTGGGCGATGCTGTCCTTGACCACGTTATCGTGACCAGGATTTTTGAAGTGAGGCCGGAGCTGCCTCATTATACGATGCATACGCTGAAGACGGGCTTGGTGAATGGCGACTTCCTCGCCTTCATGACGATGGAACACGGTCTGAAATCCATGGAGACTGTCGTGACGGAGGAAGGCAGCGTGGAGAACCAAGAAACGCATACCTATCTGTGGCAGTTTATGCGGCACGCGGCGAATTCCATTGGCATCGAGCAATTGGCGACGGCGACGAGACATGCTGCCCTGAGGGCAGAGATCCTCGACGTCATGGAGAACGGCGCGCACTATCCATGGGCTCTGCTGGCGGCGCTGAACCCGAAGAAGTTTTACTCTGATTTGTTTGAAGCTGTGCTTGGCGCCGTATGGGTGGATTCGGGGTCGATTGAGGCGTGCAGGGCTGTATGCGCGCAGTTTGGGCTGATGAAGTACCTGGAGCGGCTGCTGCGTGACAAGGTACATGTGCAGCATCCAAAGGAGCAGCTGGGCAAGTGGGCCAATTCGGAGACGGTGGTGTATGACTTCCATACGGAGGATGTGGTTGAGTCGCCGGGGGATAAGGAGTTCTTTTGCAAGGTCGTGATTGGGGAGAGGGTGGTTGTGGAGGTGAGGGGGGGTATTAACAAGGAGGAGATTAAGACCAAGGCCGCGACGGAGGCGTTGAGAATTTTGCAGGAGGAGAAGAGGAGGAGGGATGCGGAGGGGGATGTGGTGATGGGGGAGGGGGATTGAATGATGTTTGTGGATGAGCGTTTTGTGGTTGTGTGGGAATGTTGTTGTTGAAGGTACTTTGTTTTAGGATGTATAAAAGGGGGCTATATGAGAGTTGTCGTCTTATATGCTAGATTGGTTGATTAGATAGACACCATACTTCATTTCGAGAGCGATGCTCACATCTTTTATTCGATTATATAGAAGGGTAAGCAATAGGGGGCCTCTTAATCATCTATTGTTCAAGTCTGGTCTATAAGAGAAAAGTTGTCCAGCATCCCAACTATACCAGTCCATATAAGCACAAAAATTGAACTGCCATATACACTTAGAAGTAGAGGCTGTAGAGGCAGTAGCCAAGATGTTGGATAGTAGATTAGGGTGCTGGGTAACTTGTCTAAAAGCATCAAGCATGCTGCTTCAGCTCTTCTAATATCAAATCCACCATCCATTCCAGAATCTTGTCCATGTCACCATCCACGCCCTTGTCACTCGGCACCCGAATCGCCTCTCGCTCCAGCACATCAGCCTTATACTCACCCTCCACATCCCCGTCCTGGAACATGTGCGAATGCTCTGCCACGTAGTTTGGCCAGACAATCTTGTCGACGTATCCCGGCGGGTCGGCCCAGAAGCCCTCCAGCGTGACGTATCCGTCGCGGGCCTCACGGCGGGCCTTGGCTTTGGCGTATGAGGCGCGCAGAAAGATTTTGATGTCGAGATGGGGCTGGATGGCGGCCATGGAGGGCGGGTAGAGGAGAAAGCCGTCCAGGATGCAGAGATGCAGGGTGGAAGTGCTCAGGGGGTGGGTTGAGGGGAGGAGGGAGGAGACTTTGGCTTTGAGGGCGGAGATGGTGGAAGGGGGCACGGGGCATTCGCCGACGGAGTTCTTGTCTTGGTAAGAGTCTAGAGTCGGCTGAGAGAGGGCTATTAGCAGGAGGAACCTTTGAGGAAGAGATGAGTAGCGACATACTGGAAAAGCGGCGTGTTGGCGGATGTAAGAGAGAGCCTCGGCCATGGCGGGAATGTCTATAGACTCTGCGCAGTCCCAGTCGAGGAGATCATGCTTCTTCGGGAGCCTGAAGTTGCCTGTTAGTATATATATATATATATACAAGTTATGAGGAGATATGGGATTGAAAAGTGAGTGAAGGAAACTTAAAAGTCACATTCACTCAATATACAATGGAGGGGCGAGTCTCACTCAGTCTCGGGCTTGTAAAAGTCATCTTCGTGCAAGATAAACGTGCTGGGGAAGATGTCGCGCAGCAGCCGGGCGAGTGTTGTCTTGCCGCTGGAAGAGCAGCCTGAGAGGGCCACGATGAGGGCCTTTTTGTCTGCCATGGTGGTGGTGAGAGAAGGAATGGCGTTGCGGATTCAAGGCGATTTATAACAGGCTCTTAAGACTGGGAGGATTCGCGGATTCACATGAATGCAGAGCACGCGGCCTTTAGCGCTGGATTAGCGGCCGAAGGTGGGGTTGGAGGGGTCTTTCAGGGCGGGCAGGTCGCCGTGTTCCGGTGGAAGAGCGCTGTGGCTGCAGCTAGTGGCGCTCTTTTTTCTTTTCTCGACTTTGAAACTTGCATGTCCCGTATCGCTTGCAACTCCTAAGCATCACCGCCTTGAGACTCTGCCTCTCATCTTGTCCCGCCCATCTTCCATACCAAAACTACCCACCAGATCATACAACAAACCTGCTCTCGTCGTATCCAACAGTCAATTCTTCGCCCACGCTCCCACCCCCGCCATGGCTTCTCCCGACCAGCCCACCCAGACGGGCATGATCCTCACCACCGCCCTCGCCAGTGTCGTCACAGGCTACGTGTTTGGCATCTATACCGCCAGAGGATATCTCATCTCCCCAGCTCTAGCGGAAGAACGTCGAAAGTACCACAACGATCCTGTCGAGAGCGAGGAAAGCGACGTGGACGAGGACGATGCCACACTGGACCATGCACCGAACTGGGCCAACGGGCTGGATGCGGATATGAGACAGGGGCTCAAGTTTAGAGACTCGGGAGTGGCGGAGAAGAGGAGCTTGATGGAAGACACTAGCGAGGAGTGTAAGCTGGTGTTGGTTGTGAGGACGGATCTGGGCATGACCAAAGGTACGATTCTCTTGTTCTGCGTCTCTTCTTTGCTTGTGAGCTCCTAACTAACAAGACTCGTTTCATCATAGGCAAAATCGCTGCTCAGTGCTCTCACGCCACGCTCGCCTGCTACAAGGCCCTCGCCCGCGCCGACCCGTCCTCCCCCGAACGCAAGCTGCTCGCCCGCTGGGAGCGCTTCGGCCAGGCCAAGATCGCCGTCCAAGTCAAGAGCCAAGCCGAGATGCTGGAGCTGCGAGGCAAAGCCCGCGCAATGGGGCTCACGGCTGAGGTGATTCAGGACGCGGGCCGGACGCAGATTGAGGCGGGCAGCATGACGGTGCTGGGCGTCGGACCGGCACCGAAGAGCTTGGTGGACAAGGTTACGGGAGGGCTGAAGCTGTTGTAAGAGGACGTACAGTTATATATACATACATACGGGATATTATTGCATGGTTTTTTGATTTACATGGGCTGAAAGAGAAGACTTGCGGGCATTGCTGCATCAACGGCGTCCAGGCGACAAGACAGGCTGCTAAGCATTTTTAAGCCACGGTAGGATGCTATGAGCTTCTATGTATGGGTTTAGCAAGATCAAAAATGGCATTCTGGGAACAGAAGGGAAGAAAAAGAATAAAGTGTTTGACGATTCTATGACAAGACATCTCTTGCCGCCAGCGTACATGGCTGCCATCTCATCCATTTCACTGCACATCCATTCCTTTTGTCTATCATGCCATGGGTATTAGTATATACTACGTTTTGATATGTACCAACTGCTATTACTCCTTCTTCGCAAACCGTGACAGCGCCGGCCCCAGATCTTCTTCTACCTCCTGTCGCTTCTTGTCGTTCTTCTTCTGCTGCTCCTTCCACAGCTCGTCCACCCGCATCCTCTTCTCGTCGATGATGTTCCTCTTGCGCTGCTTGCGCAGGTACTTCTTCAACGCGCCATTCTTTCCTCTCGCGCGGTTGCGAATCTCCTCGGCAATGTCCGCGGGTTTGGCGTCCAGGTCCTTCTCGGCCTTGCGCTGCGCGTCGGACCGCAGATCGATGTTGCCGACAAAGTTGGGGTCCAGGGCAATCATCTCGGGCGACAGCTTGTTGAGCAGGCCGCGGACCTCAGTCTCCTGTCGCTGCTTGTTCGTCTCAAAGGGGTTGGCCTCGAAGGCGTCGAAGTTGGCCTCTCCGGCGCCGGGGACGATGACGGAGGAGAAGCCCTTGTCGTGGCTTATGCCGAGGACATCTTCAAAGGGGCACCAGCGGACGCGCTCGACGGTCTTGCCTTCGCGGCCCCATTTCATGTAGGGATGTGTTACTCGCTCCTGGGTGGCGGCGTTCTTGTTGAAGAGGCCCTTCCAGATGGTCATGGAGGTGCCCCAGCCGACGGCTGTGAGGCCGGTATCTGAGATGGCGACGGAAGAGGCCGGGGTGTATGTCGAGTAGGTGTTGACTTCCTTGAACATTCGAATGTCCCAGACGGCCATTTTGGCGTCCTGTCCTGCTGAGACCATGTATCGGCCCTCTCGATCGACGGCAACGGATCGCACAGGGCCTCGATGTGCTAATAGTTTGACGACTGGCTCGGCGGAGTTTGGCGACCAGAGAGTTACTGTGCCGTTTTGATGTCCGGCGTGGATGATGGCGTTGTAGGGGTTGTGAGTTAATGAGCAAGGGGGGCCAAGTCTTGATGGGATTTCGGCGACGACCTGGCCGGTCGAGGTGTCTTGGTACTTGAGAACGCCTCCGGTGTTCTAGATATCGTGGTTAGTTGGATATCCCATTTCTCGTTTGAAAGACAAAAAAAAAAAAGAAAAAATTCGTACCATTGTAGCCAAGAGGAAGTGGTATGGGAGAAACTCCATGTGTGTGACTTCGGAGTGCTTCCGCAGGCAATGTAATTCGACGCCATTTCGGTCGTATATGTAGACATATTTCTTCTGCGCCACCGCGAAGAATTGGTTGTTATGCAGCCACTTGACATCTCGAATTGTCTCTCCCAGCTGAATCTCGCATCCGAGCTTGCCCTCTCGCCAGTCCATGGTCGCGATGTGGCCCTTTCGCCCACCGAGCAGCAGTTCTCGTCCGTTCTTCGAGTAGTCGCATAGGTACGGACCCAGTTGATCCAAGTTGAGCTCGAATCGCTTCTTCGCCGTCTCGACTGCAACATTGGCCACAATCTCGTCTTGTCGGACCTTGTATGTTCGTTCCAGCTCTCCTTCGGCCTCGAGGAATCCGGATTCGTTTTCTAGCAGGATCTCGGCATCTTTAGCTTTCAGGGCCGCATTCTGATATTTGTTCTCCAGCTCTTTCAAATTCCTTCGGAGTTTCTTGTCTTTAATCTGCTTGGTGTTGATCTGCTTTCCTCGACCATAGGCCTGGTTGGCTTCCCTTATCCGTCGGGCCTTTTCTCTCTCTGCGCGAGTGGCTATGTCTGTTCGTCGCTCTTTGGTGACAATTGCATCGCTCTTGCGGGCCGTGGGAGGCCGCGCGACGGCTGTTTCAGCACCCATTGTGCTGATGAGACTTTTGGACGATTTTCGCGATCAAACTCGAGAAATCAAGACGCCCGGGTTCTAGGCTATGAAAGGTTGCAGACAAAATTTCCAGCGCCCAGACTTTGTCGCGGCCTATCGCAGTGCTGCTATTGGCAGAGCAAGAATGCGCTAGCCCACCGCGGTTATCGATAACGAGCCACAACAAAAAATTCTCGATAACCAAGAAAACCCCACCATCTAGATAATCGATTCTGCATTTTGTCTTGCGCTTCTGTATAGGCTAATCTTGCGAAACCTTGGAGGATTCGCATTGGAGTGAAAAATTGCCGAAAAATACCTGCTGTTGAGCATTTCACAACATAACAAACTGGCATCGCTACCGTTTCGGTTCAAGGCTGGGGGCGACGCAAACATGTCCGCCGTGGCGCATCATCATCGGCCCACGACAAAAGTCACCAACAAGCCATTCAAGTCCAGGGCTGCTTCCAAGCATGAGCTGAGGGATCGCGCAAAAGGTGTGGAAACCCAACTGTGTGGAATTAAACTTTGCTTCTTTGTTTTCTTATAACTTTCTCCCATATGTTGCGCACAACTCTAACATTGCATTCCACAGGCCGAGTCCCAGACGAAAAAGGATCGCGCAAAACTCCCCACCAACAAGTCATGTCTAAATTCGACCGACGGAACCAGGCGAAGCAGACTCGCCTCACAAAGCACAGAGAGCACCTGAAGGAGACGTCGGTTTTCTCCGGGAAAGATGCAGCCCCGAGGATCGCTGCCGTCATTCCTCTTTGCGCTGATGGCGACGCCAAGGCGGCCATTCAGTCGCTGAATAGCAGCGTCGATATCGAGGCCGATCTTAGCAGCAACAACCTCCAAGTGACGGTCGACCGTTTCAAGCAGAAGCTGCAGTATGTTGCTCTCGAAAGGGATCTTGGCGCTTGCTTGAACGCCGCCAGCGCTGCCGATTTCGTCATTATTGTTCTATCTGCCTCTGTCGAGGTTGACGCATTGGGAGAGCTGATTCTTCGAAGCGTCGAGAGCCAGGGCTTGTCGACATTGTTCACGATGGTACAAGGGCTTGATAAAATTGAACCAGCAAAGCAGAGGCCTGGTGTAATGAGCTCGCTCAAGTCCTTCATTATGCATTTCCACCCCGAGCAAGAGAAGCTCTATAGCATCGATAATAGGCAGGACTGTGCCAACCTCATGCGATCCCTCTGCAGCACAACCCCCAAGGGCATCAGGTGGAGGGATGAGAGGAGCTGGATGCTGGCGGAAAGCGTCAAGTTTGCATCCAACGACTCGGAATCTACAATCATCACCGGTGTAGTTAGGGGTAAAGGGTTGAAGGCGGATCGACTGATACAGGTCGGCGACTGGGGCACATATCAGATTGAAAAGATTGTTGCCGCCCCTCTACCAAAGCAAATTAAGAAGAAAGGAGAGACGACGGTTGAGACTGAGGAAGAAAAGGTTCTGGAAGAGCCCTCTGAGGATCGAGATGACCTGGATCAACTCGCGCCTGAGGATGTTATGATGGACGCAGAAGATGACGCCGCCATGTCTGTGGCGCCATCAGAGAAGAAGGGTGTATTGTTAGACGAGCATCATTACTTTTCGGACGAGGAGGATGAGGCAACGGCTGGAACGAAAAAAGTACCCAAGGGAACTTCAAAATACCAGTCCGCTTGGTATCTGGATGACGTGTCGGATTCCGGCTCTGACATGGAAGATATGGAGATGGATGACGAAAACGCTGAAGAGGAGGAAATTGGTCCCGAGGATGGTGTGGAAGGCTTTGCCCAGCCTGAGCCCACAGAAGCTGCTGCTTCGGAATACCCCCAATCTGAGATGATGGAGCCTAATGAAGATGAGGATGCTGTTCAGCTGGAGCAGTATCGAGCACGGAAGCGTGATGAGGCTGAAGACGACAGAGAGTTCCCCGATGAAGTTGAGCTTCACCCTAATGTTCTGGCCAGAGAGAGATTGGCTCGATACCGTGGTTTGAAGAGTCTCCGAACTTCTCCTTGGCAGGAAGATGAGGATCGAGCTTACGAACCAGAAGAATGGCGCCGATTGCTGCAGATTCCTGACTACAACTCTTCGCGCTCAAGAGCGACTCGTGAGGCTTTGGTTGGTGGTGTGCAGCCTGGAACTCGCGTTCATGTCTATATCAAGGGCATCCCAACTGCCACAGCGCAGTCCTACAACCCCAACTCCCCAGTCACATTAGTTTCTCTGCTCCGACATGAGAACAAGAAGACTGTGGTTAACTATCTGATTAACCTCAGCTCTGATTATACTGCTTCGATCAAGGCCAAGGAGGAGCTGATTGCTCAATGCGGCCCTCGAAGAATGGTTATCAAGCCTCTTTTCTCACAGTCTGGCTCGACGCCAAACGACGTACACAAGTACTGCCGATACCTACACCCTGGCCAATCGGCCATTGCCACATTCATGGGACCTGTTACGTGGGGCGCTGTTCCTGTCTTATTCTTCAAGCGGACAGTTGCGGGCACAGATGTTGAGGGTGAGGGTGAGGGCACATCAAACGCTGGCCTGACGTTGATTGCGACAGGCACGGCTCTGCCTCCTTCAACATCCCGCGTTGTTGCCAAGCGTGTCGTCCTCGCCGGCCACCCATACCACATTCACAAGAAGATTGTCACCATTCGATACATGTTCTTCAACCGTGAGGACGTGGAGTGGTTCAAGGCTATGCCCCTGTGGACCAAGCGCGGACGTAGCGGTTTTTTCAAGGAGCCTCTGGGCACTCACGGCTACTTCAAGGCGACGTTTGACGGACGTATCAACCCTCAGGACTCTGTGGCGATTAGCTTGTATAAGAGGGTTTGGCCGAGACATGCGGTCCCTGTTGCTGGGCCGTTGTTGGAAGCCGGTGCTGTTGCTGCTGGACAGGCGCAGGAGCTGGATGGAGATACCATGATGGAGTGATGAAACTTGTAGAAGACATGATGGCATATTCTAGAGCTTATGATTATTATGAATGTTTTCTCTCTCATTATACATTATTACTTGTGTATCCGTTTCTCTGGAAAGAGAATTCCATGATGTGTGTATTGTGAGGCTTCAGTTTACGGGGCTTTGACGTAGCCAACTGCTATTTCTGACGAGTCCAATTCATACTTGATAAGTGAAGACGCCAGTGTAATCAACGTCCCAAGCTGATCCAGCCCTTCGCACCACCTCAACACGTCTTTTATTATACATCCACAGTTATCGCCAGCGGTGGTGCTGCTGACAAACTCCTCAGCAGACAACTGCTGCGACAGCTTGTAATCAGAAAGGGTGAGGATCTTGTCAGCAGATCTGCCGCGGAGAAAGGCATTGTATCGCTTCTTCCATTCATACGTGGAAGGGACTTCCCAGAGATCGCGGATACAGGGGAGGGGTGCGTTGGCGAATTTTTGACAGCTGCGGAAGTCTTGCTGGCGGAATCTGATTTCGAGGAATATTTCTACGGTGTAGATGAGACATACTGTTCTAATTTGTGATTTGTTAGTAAAGGGAGACAGAGAAAGAGGCAAGAAATCCGATTACCTTCGTGTAGCTTCATACTGAGCCCACGTTTTGCGATCAAGAGGATTGTCGAGAGTGTCGACGAATGTATTGTACTCTAGGGTCTCGTGTACTTTTCCACAACAATGCTGTGTAGTATTTTTGTTGGCTTACTGACTTTGGAGAGGGCTGATGCAATGATGTGCTTACTGTTAATGCTGTGAGAAGAAACCTGACGTCGTTCTTCATTACTGTATCTGTGTCCTGTGCTTGGAGTAGCATGTATGTCATCATGGCCTGCATGGATTCGACTAATGTCTCCATGTCAAATGACTCATACTGGCATATTCAAAAAGGGACAGGTTAGTTTACGGATTTTTAATATGAATCAGGGCATAAGATATGCAATAATACCTCATGATCCAATCTGGCGATTTCTTTGTATATCGTCTCCCATATAAAAGGGCTGCTGGCCGGGGTTCTCTCCAGCCACATGCCTACCAGGGCCGCGCAGATACTTAACGTTTTCCCCAGACACTCGTGCTTTTGTGCCTTTGCACAATTATATGTTGTACTGTCATCCAGAGCACATTTGCTGTGGATATAGGGAGGAAGGGAGAGCCCGCTGACCATCAAGGCGGGATAGGCGCTCACCTGGCCAAAGATGGTCTTTGTTGTGAGGATTGCATTTGCAGTGAGGCCGCGACGGCTGGTGAGCATGCAAGACGAGGAGTCGTTGGCGAGAACGTCTGATTGGGTGCCTGGGACGTTGATGCGAAGGCGAGCGTCTTGGGTCTCTGCAACAGCCGTGTCATGACTAATGCCCATGTCGATGCTATTCATGAATCTCGTGATGTTATGACAGGGCTCTATCAACGACGCGATGGTAAAGGCCATATCAGGCCCGAGACCGAGATCAGCTGGCATTGTCGCCGGCCAAGTGGCAGAAGATTCCACAGACGGAGCCAGGACTGGCGCAGCGGCTTCAAGAGGAGGCGAGTCGGTGGCCATTGCTAGCGATTCGCTCAGAGGACCAACTTCTGGATCCGCATAAACGCCAAGCTGATGTCTTGCGTGCTTAGCGGAGACTCTCCGGAAGTCCGTAGCGCCGCCATGCAGGTTCCCGGATCGATCCTCGTTGGCAGTACTAGTATTGGCCATGATGGTAGAGTAAGGGGCCATGCGCGGCATCGTGACGGCGGCATATTCGCACGAGAGGCCCTTGTCGAGGCATCGAGAGCAGCGGGGGAGAGTCAGGCTGCAGCGCGCTTTTGCCTTTCTGCACTGGACGCACGTCTTTTTCCTGGATATGGGCATCTTTCTCTTTACTCTACAGGATATGAAGACGATGAGATCAAAATTTACAAACTCTACTTGGAGATGAAGGTTGAGATGTGAATGTCCGTAAAAGGAAAGACACGGCCATTAAGCGACTTGGTATTAGTCAAGGGCGGGCGGATAATATCTCCGTGGTATCGGAGTTCGCGTGGGTCTCATGCCGGAGTTCAAGTGGATCTCGGTCAGGGGGGCAGCGAAGGCACCATGGCTTGATTGATGAAATCTTGTGGCGCCAGATTCGTCGTCTTAATAGGTTAGACGTAGTCACGCAGTTGCAGTTTGGGGATGGGGCGTATCGAGACGGGGCGTATTAGATTACCGCCTACTACAGTACGCGAGTCTTAGTTAATCGACAAGAGACAAATTAATTCCCGACTGCAGGCGGCGGTTGATTTGATCCTTCTGGTACCAACTCTGGCGGAATTCCGATCTTGTATGGATGGCGTCATTAATAATGCGATGCTGGATGAAGACTCAATACGACACGAGTGAAACTATGATGGCGAGATATAGAATCAATGTCAATGAGGGGAAGGGGGGGACTGGAGCTCATATGTCTAGAGTACAAATACTGCCTCGAGTCCTTGAATAGATGAGTGAAGAAGAGCACACAATTCCATTACCATCGCCATCATATCTCTTACAAGTCAATCACTTGAATACAACAACTAACAAGCAGCTTCGTATTCATCCTAACACAATCATCGACATGGCCCCTATTCGAGTTGGTATCATTGGTCTCGGCGCCAAAGAAGCTGGACTCCTTTCCGTCGGATCTTGGGCTGCTTCTGCTCTCCTCCCATCCTTTCTCAACTCGCCTCACTACGAGGTCGTTGCCGTGAGCAACTCTTCCGTGGCATCTTCTCAGCGATCCATCGACTTCCACAAGCTGGGCCCCAACGTCAAGGCTTACGGCAGCCCGGAGGACATTGCCAACGACCCCAATGTTGACCTGGTGGCCGTGTCCATCAATGTTGGACACCACTACGTTGTGACCAAGCCTGCACTTTTAGCCAAGAAGCAAGTCTTTGTGGAATGGCCCCTTGGAGCAAACACGGTAGAGGCAGAGGAATTGACAAAGCTGGCGAGGGACGCCAACCTGAAGACGATTATTGGAACGCAGTTCATTTCTGATCCCGCCCTTGTCAAACTCAAGGAGCTCGTCGCCAGCGGTGCCATTGGCAAGGTCACGAGCTCAGAGGCTCAGTTGGCGCCCACCTTTGGACCTCCCGACGTCTGGGGAGCTGATGCAACTTACTACTTGGATCTCAAGACCGGTGGTAACGAATTCCATATTGCACTGGCCCACTGTAAGTGCAATCCAACACGTACATTTGCCATCTGGGCAACAACAGAAGCTAATGGTGACACACAAAATAGTCCTTGCAGGCTTTGTGGATGTGTTGGGCGACTTTGCTACCGTCAAGGCGTCGTTTGCCACACAATATCCCACAGTCAAGCTTCTCGACCACAGCACTGGCAAGATTGTCAACCCGTCATTTCCCAGAAAGGCCCCGGACCACATGTTCGTCCAAGGCGTCCTCAACAGCGGTGCCCTCGCCAGCGTCAACTATCGCCGGACGACGGACATTGTTGGCAAGACCACGCGCTGGATCATCACCGGTACAGAGGGCGAGATCGAGTTCACCATTGACGGGCCCATGCTGCAGATGGGTAGCCACCCGCGAGAAATCCGTATCAAGACTGCCAAGGATGAGGCTGGAGGTAGAGTCGTTGCGTGGGGAGAGGGCACGCCGGCTCATGTTGAGAGCGTAGCATTCCCGGGACAGAACACGGCGTATCTGTTTGATGCTTTTGCTACGCGCAAGGCTCCCGATTTTGAGGATGCGTTGAGGCTGCACAAGCTCTTGGACAGAATCCTTGAGGATGCGAAGCCCACGTACGATTAAGATGCGTGTAATGTCTGATATCGCTATTAGATAGCTCGTATTCAGGATTTTCTTTTGTAGCGCTGATAAGCTCTTCAATTTACTTGGAAGTTATGATTGAGTGCCATGAAGCTAACCAGAGAATAACGACATGGTCCATCTTACAGTGAAGTGTGTATCGTATCTATAGAGAGACATCTTGAGTTGTGAAAGCCATTATTATTGTTACAAGCATATATAAAACCCATATTTAAAATGGGATAGGAAGGGGCCGGCGAAGCTGCTTCGGGGCAGTAATAGCCGCGCGCTCGCAACCATCAAGTGCATGTACGTAACTTTGATAGCGGCAATAATATGCTGGCTACATACATGTAATAAGCGCCCGCCTGGCTGAACTTTTCATGTCTTTAAGCAGAGAGCTTCAACCATGTTGTCGTCGGCTTTTGGTGATGCAAAAGCACGAACTACATCCTAAGAGGGCGCCGTTGACGTCTTGTAGTAAAAGAAGTATGAGACGCGTAATTTGTAATCTCGTAGACAAACAGTCTAAGAGCACAAGGCCACAATGTAGTGCAAGCTAGCGTTGGTGGTTATATGGAATCGAATTATAGCGGCACGCGATGTTGTGGTTGCCGGCAGCTCGTATTGTGATTGCTAGCTACCTATAAACTCTGCAGTTGATACTTTCCAACCAACGAAAGCTATGAATTCCAGCCTCTTATTGACCTTTGAGACAAGTCATCTAGAGTGTCGTATGGCAAAGAAGAGATTGTAGCTGGCTAGACCATTTGAGGAAGTACGTCTCATCTAGCTACATGCACCATTGTGCGAGTCTCGGCCAGTAAGTAGAATGGTATGATATCTTGATAGAGTGGGACTCATACAAAAACGCCAACTTTATCCAATTTGCTAGTTGAACGTCCAATGAGTAAGGCTTGAGTAATGATTCCAGTTGAATCAAGCATTGTATATGCAGCAGCCTTATCAATCCGTCATATGACAACAAACTAATGGAATTTGCTCCACTACATTTCTCTGTTGGTGAAATTAATCCATCAATAGCATGTTATCGTGAGATTGTTCAAGGCAAAACATGTTCTCGGCTGCTCGCTAAGATATACCAGATTCAACCACGCGCAGATTTTTAGTAGCCAATTTACGTTACATTACCGTGCTAGTTCCAGAGAAGAAGCTGCAGAAGAATAGCAATCGGACAAGCAATTGCTAGTTGCGGGAAATCGCTAAAAAAGCGGACATTCGGGCGGTATTGGCATCGGCATTATTATCAAATGAGTCTCGAAGCGCATCGCAGGTATGACGATAGTTCTCTCTTGGCTCATCTCAAAATATACCCGTCGGATTGCCTTCCTTGAGGAGATGGAGCCTTCATCGCCCGAACGCTTGAACCAAAGATATAATAAGTGCTGTCGATCTATATTTCCCAAGCTACAGTCTTGCCGTCGTTAGTATATTTACCCGTCGGCCTCACCCCGCATTTCGGCTTGATCTCTACGATCTTCAAGATCAAGATGCAGTCGTAGTGCAGCAATTGGATTATAAAAGCTTGATACCAACCATTGACTGTTTAATGTTTGAATGAAGATGCGACATGCAGCATTGATATCACCCAAAGTCGTTGTCTTTCTAACATGAGAGCCCAAACTGGCTTTTAACAGCTTCATACTTGGGACATTGGATATTCTGGTCGGCTAATTCGCCTACCTCGCCTTACAATGAGACTCCTTCGGCTGGGCTTAGCCCGGCTCTCATTTCTCTTGATTGCCTTCTTCGTTGCCTCTTCTTATCAAACATGCACGTCCGATGACGATTGCAGCCTTAATGGCGTTTGCGGAAAAAATGGCGTCTGCAAGTGTGATCCGGCTTGGACTGGTGATGACTGTGGTGCCCTCGACATTCGTCCTGCTAAACGGCCAAGCGGCTACAATCTGACGGCAGAGGGCACATCATCATGGTGCTCCAAGATCGTCAAGGACCCGTGGGAGAAGAACTTGTATCATCTTTTTGCGTCCGAGTTTACACACGGCTGTGGTCTTGACTACTGGGCTCCGTATAGCCGCATCATCCGTGCTGAATCTCATACGGGCCCTGCTGGCCCTTATACCTTTGCCGCTGAGGTTATGGGAACATTCGCCCACAACCCAAACGTTGTGTATAGCCCGGCTGATCGAGAATGGCTCCTGTATTACATCGGATGCCCCACGAATGTAACAACAGACTCCTGCCAGTCACAGAGCTTCACCTGCGGACCAGGAAATGACAACAATGGAGAAAGTGGTATTTCCGTGCTCAGCAGCAAAGATCTCCGGAACTGGGACTTCAAGGGACAGGTGATGCAGGGCGACAATACTGGCGACTGGGATGCCGATGTGACCAACCCTGCCCCATTTCCACTGTACGCCAGCTCTTGCTCGAGGACAGGCGCATACGCAAATGGCCAACACTGTGCTGGCCACACCGATGCCATGCTATTGGTCTATCGAGGCTGTCCGTACAACTGCGGTGGCGCTGAGCAGATCAACGTAGCCATCTCAGAGACCGGCTTCGAAGGCCCTTACACAAAGATCGAGGCAGACCCCATCTTTAACGAAGGCAACGAAGATCCATTCGTCTGGCGCGATAAGCGAGGCAACTTCCACATGCTTCTGCATTCTCTTGAGGCAGATGGAGGCTTTGGTTCGGGACCCAAGGTCGGCCGACATGCCTGGGCCAAGAACTATACCGGGCCATGGACATTTGGCAGCCAAACGCTGGCATTTAGCACCGAGGTGGACTATGATGATGGGACAACCATCAACTTTTACCGCAGGGAGAGGCCAGAGCTATACTTTTCCGACGACGGGCTGATGACGCCGCTGTTGCTTACTACTGGCGTTCAGCCTCAGAATAGCCCTCAGAGCTACAGCATTGTTGTACCTCTGGGAGCTGCTGGAGTGAAGGCTCAGGGTAAATAATGGTTTAGCTTAGGAAAAAAAATTAAAATTTGATTTGGTTCCATTCAGTTGATTTGCATAAATTGCTTGACCTCTGTAAAACAAATGGTAGCCCAGGATGGTGACACAAAGTTTCTACAGCTCTTCTGAGGCTGTTGTCTATAATTTGGATTACTAGATAAAATTGTACTCATAATGTCATGATCAATCTAACTTTTGAGCTCCATAGGGCTATAATAAAAATTAAAAGCGGTTTACAGAGCATATCTGAATGAAGTGTTCTCTTTGTCAGACAAGTCTTCGAGGGCTTTGTCAAAGGTAGGCGGTCCATAGAGTTTTGTTCGATTCTTGTTCTCTCTATCCAGCATAACGCGAAGCACTGGAGCAAGGAAGAAGCAAACAGCAAAGCAAACCAGAATGCCTGTAAAGCTCTGACTAAAAGCGGGAGCGAATTTCCTGGAGGGAGATCAGAATTAGCATTTCAACAAGACTTCTAGTCAATATGAAGCAACATGAGCTGTAACTTACTGGTCGAAGAGCAGAGAACCGGTAACATTGCCCAATGAATAGCCGATGAAAGTTCCGGCAGCGTATACGGCCTTTTTAGTATAACCGCCTGCATTCGAGGTTCCCAGGCCAATGCATTGGACCCAAGCTGCCGAGAAAAAATTGAGAAGGTAGAAACCAAAGATCTTTGCGCCCTTATTGTCGACTTTCCAACTGCAATGTGTGTGAGTAACGCTTATAAAAAAGAAATATGGGATGGAATGAACATACAGCAATGCACACCCCAGAATCACCGGAAGACAAGAGAGTGAGATGATGTAGAATCGAGAGTTGTTCCAGTGTCTGCCAAGATATCCTGAGCCCAAGACGCAAATGAAAGCCATGGCGCCAGTTGGAAGATTGAGCAAGAGAGAATCATAAGCATTGAATCCCATGCCATTGAACACGATGGATGCAAATTGAGTAACCACGGCTGCGCCTGTGCAGCTCAGTAAAGAAAGGATTATAAGTCCCCAGAACTGATATTCCAAGAGTGCCTCCATGATCTGGGAGAGGTTCACAGTTGTGTTTGTGGTGCCTGCATTATTAAGACGCATGCGCTCAATCACGCGCTCTCTCTCGCTTTCTGTAAAGCCCTTGGCGAGTTCCGGAGTATCAGGGAAGATGAAAAGTAGTGCGATGCCCCAGAGGAAAGAAAGACCTCCTGCAAACAGATACATTATCTGCCATGGATGCAGACGGTTACTCTGGATATGAGCCAGTCCAAAGTTGATTACGGGAGAAATTAACAATGAGCCGCCGCTGAATGAGAACCAAATGCTAGATCGCAAGACTTGCTCTTGTTTGGTATACCACATGCCGACGACGAGCATGAATATTGGGTTGACGCCGGCTTCAACGACGCCGAGGAAGAATCGATTCGCCAGAATGCCAGAGTACGTCTTGCAGGCGGGGGTTGTGAGCATGACGATTGACCACAGGACTGACAGAACGGAGCAAGCTCGCTTTGGACGGAACCGTTGGGCCAGCAGCGAGGCAGGATACATGCCGACTATATGGCCAAAGTAGAATATCACAGACACCCAGGAGAATGATTTGCCTTGTGTCAAGCCCAGGTCTGTTCGCAGGCCAAAAACGGCTGCTTGGCCAAGCAAGCCTTTATCCCAGTACTAGTAGAGATTTTATCAGTGGTTTACTTTAAACGCAATTTGTGCATCTAATCCTGAATATTCGGACATGTTGACGAAGTGATCCAGGACTTCTTACCTGAAGGGCAAATGTGATGCATAACTAGAGACGAGTCAATATGTGAATTGAGTATTCAGACAAATTTTCAACAACTGAGACTTACCACTGGCATCAAGCGCCAGTCGATCTTTCGCAACAACGCCCGATCCGAATCCCTTATAATCTCAATAGATGGGTCGCTTTCGGTAGACCTGTCTACCACGCCCTCAACCAACGATTCGTCTTTTTTCTCCATTTTGACAGACCTGCAGAAACACTACAAAATAGAGAAAACGAGACAATCAGAGGAGAGAGAAAAAAGATTGCCAAGGGTAGGATTCAATGCTTATCATAAGTAGGCAGTAGGTAACATTGGCTTATACAAAGAGAGCGGCAGTTCGGGGTTGTCAAGTCCCACTCGGCTTCAGTTAGATCAGCACTAGTCTGCTTAAAGGCGAGACGGGTAAGCGGGTGAGCGGGTATCAAGGAACCAGGGACTGCAGAATCGAAATATACACGTGGAGGCAAAATATGAGCAGCTGGGTGGACTGTTTGTTGCAGTTTCTGTGTGTGCGAGACCCATTTCTGTATGCCGCCAATCCTCTCGGAGGTTGGCCTTTTTTTATATCCGCTTGGTTTGAGTCAACAGAATGGCGATCAGCAATTGATTCATCTTAAGACAACCCATCGAACATAGCGTGTGAGGGTTATTAACCCTAGGACATCTTATGATAATGCTCTACCGACATCCTAGTGTGTAAATCGTTAGGAAAGAAGCTTTTTGGGCCTACTTGAAGCCTATCGAGCCTACTCCGTACGGCAAATATGATTCTCAGCCTAATCGAGCGGCTATCCAATGCCGGATGTAGTGAGCTTTTAGTCAAAGACATGGTTCAACCTTGCCCCTTTGCCTCGCATTCGTGTTGGATAAGCAATCACGTCATGTTTGACTTATTATACCTACAAATATATGTTTTGTAGCCTTTCGCCTGAATCCTTGCGAATCGCAGAGCATGATGCTATATAGCAGCTAAACGAGGTCTTCTTGCGGTTGACACAGTTGAGGCAGGTATATCGTCTACCCCACGCTGGAGTTTCGCTACCGGGCAATATACAAACTAGAGGTACATCAGCTACGTCGGAAGCTCAAGTGATCAAGACAAAACGCAGCGTTGTGGGCACATAATTATGATTACATGTACTAAGCACCTAAGAGCCTTTCTGCTCGCTATGATCAGCTAGAGCATGCAGAGAGTTGTAAGCGGACGAGCCATGTAAGTCAACTGGGTTTTTAACACAATCAATCTTATACAGTGCTTTTGTTATACAAGTAAGTCGACAACAAGACTGAGCCGGGCTAAGTACTGGGTCCACGCCCCCTGAACATGATGCTTATCTTCCGGGGATGATCAACCTCGGTATGGCCCGCAGGTGCGGCGATACGCGGCGACTAAAACCGTAAGCAGCTTATAAACAAAGTCAACCTCGTTATTCTCCAATAAGATGTTGGCTACAAATGTGCGTATTTGAACTTAATTTTCCAATTTTTACCATGATTAATAGTAACGTCTAGCTAATGTATGCTTTTAATCCCCGAAGTCTCTCCTTGGCAGCCTCGAGCACAGAATCTGGCTTGCATACGGCAAACCGCATCCATTGCTCTCCAATATGTTGGTTCGCCGGTGAATAGAATTCGCTGGGCGGAATTGCCGCCACTCCAAGCTCCTGGATCAGGAACCACGCCAGCTTGAAGTCTCGTGGGCGTTCTTGCACATGTGGCGGGAAGGGATAGTTCTCCGGGAGCGTCACTTTGCTCATGTTGACCACTACAAAGTAGCCTCCTTCGGGTTCTGAGTATGGCATGTCAAGCTCACGCCAGATATCGTTGAAGAGATTCATCTTGCCCTTCATATCGGAGACGCACTCGTTCCAGAAGCCGTTCTCTTCAGCCTGTTCGAATCCTAAATGACTTGTTAGCGCATTATTGACCGGATTTGAGAAAAGCTCGAAGCTTCAAACTCACCAATCGCAAATGCTTCCTGGAGCGGTGATGGAGAGCAGTAGCAAATTCGTGCGTGTGCTTTTGTGACATATTGTACAAGCTCTGCGGGTCCCATAACCCAACCTATGCGCCCAGTTAGCTCGGAAGCAAACATTATTGGAATATTTTAAGACAATTGAAGACTTACCGACTCGCCAGCCGGTAGCGTAAAAGTTCTTGCCCGCGGAACTCAGGGTTAGAGTGATCTTCTCAACCTCCGGCGATAAAGTCGCAATACGAGTGAAGGGAACATAGAATAGCCGGTCGTAGACTTCATCTGATATGATAAGAATGTTGTTCTGAACGCAGACATCTGCAATCAGTTTGAGCTCCTTGGTGGTAAAGATCTTCCCCAGGGGGTTGTCTAAGAGTTGAATCAGTTAGAAGTCACGCTTTGCGGATACATCGGCTACTCACGAGGTGTATTTAACACGAGCATTCTCGTTCTAGGAGTGATGGCGTTTCGGAAAGCGGCTATATCAAGGGTCCAGTCGCCGGCGGAATGTGTTTTTGTCATGCCAGACTTTGGTGGTTGTAGTGGCACAGAGACAACTTTAGCACCAGCCATCTCAATATTGCTGATATATCTGCTATCTGTTAGAATACAAACCAAGGACCATTTTAATGCTTGAGGCTAAGACAGCGTAAAATGGTGCGCTTACTGGTCAAAAAATGGTTCTAGTAGTAGGACCTCATCACCCTCTTGGAGGAACGCCATGCAACAGCTCAAGAAGCCTTCATTGGCGCCAGTAGTGATTGTGATTTCCGTCTCAGGGCAGAGCTTGCGGCCCCAGAAAGGAGAGTATGCGTTGGAAATAGCCTCTCGCAAACGAGGCCGGCCCTTTGGAGGAGCATACTGGTTGCAGTCTAGGCGTTCTACCGCGCTCTTGGCTGCGTCTATGAGGAACTGCGGAGGATTGTAGCCAAAAAAGCCCTGTCCCATGTTTACCACGGGCTGATTAGGTGTCGTTGCGGCAGCAGCATTGATGATAGACCTAATGGCAGCTATTAGTGCATCGAGATAAGAACAAAACACTTGGTTGAGTCACTCACCACACGTCCATGGTAGAGCCCGCCACTCGCGAGGCCGGTTGGATCGGGGACTTTGTCCCGCTCTTTAATTGAGCCATTTGTGCTACGATTGATCGGCTTCACAGAATTCTAGATGTATTCTTCAGCAATTCAAGACCTAGAGTCAAGGGCGGCACGGTAGGCAGGCCTGGCTTGCTTTATATCTATTCCACATATACACAGCTAACGAAGAAATTGCTCCATAGACGTCCGAGAGTGAGCTCGCGTCTAAAATCTGACGAGAGTGGATTGATTTGCCATCACTAGATTCTCAGGGCCGCGCGCACTTGTGCCAGCTTACCAACTGTGTTAACTTGTTTGCCATCATGACTCAATGCTACTGGCTTGCATTCAAACGATATGGGGGCAATTTATATTGCTGCCATCTTTCTGAGGCAATCGAAAACTCCGGCCCCTCATTTGATTCCACTATACATGCTAGTTTCGCTCAAGATCCTAGCTTTTCGACTCTCTCTTTATAGTAGAAGTCAGCTACTATTTTACTAGCTTCATCGGGGCTCTCTCTTTTAGACAAATACTAAGAACAGTAGTTGCTCATCGGAGTCAATACGGAGGTTGAATCGGCCCATCAAAAAACCCATAGCACACAAACGCCAACTGTCACTTGCGCTAATACGATGCCAAAGTTTGATGAGATACGTTTCGCCTCTCGAAGACAATATGCTGACTAAACCCGCCACATTATCAATGTGTAGACGATGATTGGAGCTATGGCTTGCCGCGAGTGTCTCGACAATGCACGTAAAATATCCTTCTTTACGAATCTGTATTATTGTAGGAGGCTCAAGCCCAGGTACTCATAAGAGAATACCAATGAGCCAATGTAAAGGCCAAAGATAAATCAGGCGCAAACCTCCGATTTTCGGCGCCAAATGTAATCGTACCGTGAGCCGGACCCTCGGATCGGGTCTGACAAGTTTTAAGAGTTGTTTAGTTCGATTCAAGCGTGGCGGGGCGAACCATCTTCTCAGAGCTAACAGTAATACGTAGCATCCGTGCTATAGACTGTACACGTTGATCCGCCGTCTATCCCATCCAATCATGGACCGGCCATGAATCGTATCATTGTGTAAGGCTGAGCATCCGCGTGTCGTATTCTGTTGGCTCCTTCAAAGATATCGGATATACAGCTTCCAGCTGCAATATCTCGCCATCGTCCCACTCGTTCCGTTAGCTGCGCTTATAAGCATGTAGTCTGCGGGATGCTACTTTAGACGGCGGTCTCATTTCGGACTAAGCAAGCTTTGATAGGCTATTTTAGCAATCAAATTGCCATAATGGGAAGCTTGGTGTTGCGTTTTTGGAATGCCACCAAAACCACATGCAGTGAGCTATTAGGGACACCCATTTTATCATGACAATTCCGGGAGTGCCACTCTATGAGATGTATAGCAAGGGCTATCGATGGTATGCTATCTTTAAATTTACGTTATAGAGGCGCACGATTGTGTGCCCATATCTTAATTGACTCCTACGTTTATCCCTCATTCCTATCTTCAACCGTACTTTGAACTATCTGGCTTATGGCATAGAGCATCCTGCTTTGATGGTTAGGAGTGAATGGCCATGGTCACCCTTTTAATGAATGCGCTGTATGACTATGTCCTGATGAACTTATGAGTTGTTCTCTGTAAGTGAAATCTGTGCTAACACTTTCGTCTTAGCGGTCTTTGCTTCTATGCCTGTGTAGATCTTGACGGGTGATCATCAACGCAGATAAAAACGCTATTCCTTACAAACACGACACTTTTTATGATGCCCTATTGGTCAATGCCGCGATCAATGAACCAAGCTAATTATGTGAAAGAAAGACAGAAAGGGATCTGAGTGACTAGCAACCGACGGCCCTATAGAGCATCCCCAGTATAACGTGAAATCATCTCCGCCAGCCAATCAGCTTGCTGTTGGTGCAGATGTGTTCCAAAGCTATAAAGAATTTGTAGTTTAGGTAACACATAACCGGTCGCTTTCTAGTATGACGAAGTAAAATCGCCCAGCCGCTGTCTCATTCATCTATGGTCGCTTGATGCTTCTGGTTGGAATTGACATGCTGATTGTCTAAGCACTAACAGCGCCACGCAAGTACTAAATTCTCTCACGAAGCGCCATCAACCCTTCTACCTCATAATATTCTTCCCGTCTTTCTCATGTGAAAAGAAATGGATCCAATGACTTTGTTTCACTTTCATCAGCTTAGCGATTAAGTTTTTGTTTAATGCGGCACATATGGCTATGTACGAACACTAGAATGTTGACTCAATCTTTTTCATTACGAAATCCCAGATTCTGTTGAAAGATAACACATTCTTCATGAGGGATACTGCCTTTGTGACCATGTTGAGGCCCAATCCTCAAGCTCTCTTGTTGAATACACATTGCAGAGGGCCTGCTTTCAAAATTGCCTGGTTAATCATATCTCGGTGGATTGAGGTCCCATCTTCGCCAGGAGCAAACTTGAAGTCGTAATTCCAGACCGTGTACGCTATTGTGAATCTCAGTACGATAATAGCCAGTCTCCTCCCTACACAGCTGTATGGGCCGAGAAGGAAGGGGTGGTATGCCCGCTTGTCAATTACCAGATCAGGCCGCGTTGTCCACCTTTCCGGGATAAAGCTATTTGGCTGTTTAAAGTATTTTGCGCCTGTTAAGGTTGCAGTGGTTAGAAAAGAACTATACTAGGCGATTTGATGATAGCTTGAAGTCGGTAAAAATGAAAGGGACAGTTCTGGCGGATACTCACTTGTATGCATAGAATATATGGGCACAAATAGTAGTGTTTCGCCAGGAATGAAAACACCATCAATCTCCAATCCCTCGGGCGGTGTCATTCGAGGTCCATTAGCGCAAGTTGGGTTATCCACTCTCATTGTCTCGTTAATCACGGCGTTCAGGTATGGCGCCTCAGCCTCGCCCAAGTCAAGGTTGGTAAATTCACCAGATACTGTGCGACCAAAGAGTGGCTCTAGTTCTGAACGTAGCTTATCTCGAACGGTGGAGTCTCGTGCCATATAGTAAAATGCGAATGACAATACGGCTGCAATGGTATCAGTTCCACCAGTCATAACAGCTTGGGCGTCCGAGTATATGACGTCCATATGGTGCATAGCTTTGGGTTCCTTGGAGTTATAGTCTTGGAGGAAATATTTCATAATATCCTCATGTTCGTCAGTTGCTTGCTTCACTGGTGTCAGTATATCGCTTGTCAAATACATGGTACAGAATTGCGAATCGCAGTACCTACCTCTCTTCGTTTGTCCACCATCTGGCAAGCCAACTTTTGGAAGTTTATATGATCGTTGCTGCTGCCAAAGGCTTGCAACAAAGCAATTGGCCACCATATCATACCAAGCTTGGCAAGAGTACCAAGAGTTACTTCAAGGTAATGCAGCATGGGATTTTCTTTTCCAGCTTTGATTGATCCAAAATTGACAGAAAATCCCATCCGACCCATGTTATCAAACGGTATTAGAGCGGAATATAGTGAGGTATTGATGGGTTGGCCCTGAAGAGATTCCAATTTCTCTAACCATTCGTATACTACTTCGCGAGCGTAAAGCTCGTATGCCTCTAGAGCTAATGATGTATCAAGATCTTAGTACTGAGAAGAAGAAAAGATGAATCTGGTGTAACTGACATTTCGTACTAAAAGCTTTGTCCCAAATCTGCCGTCTCCAGCGATGATCCTTGTGATTCATGATAGTGTCAAGATTTGCATGGCCATTATAGTTCACCGCTTCATAGGCCGAGTTCCGCTTTGAACAAGCTGATCCTGCTACATGAACCTTATGCTGAGCGTCTAACGATAGAGCCATGAGCTCATTAGGGCCTATAATATTTGGTGAACACGTCACTCCCACTTCCATATGACTATTCAACTCAAGGCTTACCAATTCGTACGATATCTCCGTATTTTTCGAAAAGCTTAGACCAGTGAAGGTGTGACTTCCCGTCCAGAGCTTCATATGGCCCATACAGTTTTGTAATCTTTGCTGCAAACGGACCAGGAAAGCGACTTGTGCGATGGAAAAAGAGGCGATATACCAGGATACTTGTAAAGAGTCCCAGAAAATAAGACGCCGATATGATGCCAGCATTTGAGGCTCCATGAGCCACACCTTGTGCATGAATACAGCGCACCAATAGCAAACATTCTGCGATGAAGTAGAACCCAACAATTTTGGGAGCCTCCCAAGCCCTGTGTCCACGAATGAAATGAACAAGGTGGGATAAAATACCACCTGACGCCGAGGCAACGGCCAGTAGGACAGACCTCATCTTTAAATGTCGGTACAACTCGTAAGGTCGCCTTTAAAAGTTCAACAAGCCTTGGTGAGGTATTGCTGTTGACTGAGTAAAAACAGACAAATCATCCTGCGAATGAGATAGGGAGAACGGGGGCTTTTAAGAGGAAAGCGTGACATGCAAGGGAGAATATAAGCACGGTAGAAAGTGTATTTCACTAGGAGCCAAATCTGAATAATTATGAGCTAGGATAAGCTGAGAGTCTAGATTTAGGTATGAAACTGCTTGAAAGAGCCTAGAGATACAAAGAGGTAATAACAGGTCGAACTATTAATTAGCACACACTAAATTTGCTGCTTCTAATGCGAGTCCGCGGGTTTTTTATCCAACTTATAAGACAAGCTCTCCTCTGAGACGTCAAGTGCTAGGGCTTATTCAGAATGGCTAACAAGCCGTCCTGATTAAAGTTTGGGGTTTCTTACCTTGAGTCCAGCCTAAAGCTTCATCGACGGCATACATATAGTTTTTTCTCATTACTCCACATTCCTATTTCAGTCTTACTACATTTATAATCATCGCAATGCGTAGAGCTGAGTTTGACCTGAGACTACTTACACATTGCTATCTGCTGCTGGGTTGGCGTGATGACGTACAGCTATCAAATGTTAGCTCAGCTCAGCCACAAGCGGTTTCAACGGGTCAATTGATACATCTATAGAGTTAGGCTCAGTGGATTGATCATAATGCTCAATAACCCTAAGCTTGAGATTATACAGTATATTGTGGTAGAATCTTAGTTCAGAAAAGGCATGTGCTGATGCTCATTACGCGAATCGAATCCCGCCAAAGACATGGCTCCTGTGACGATATAACCCCAATTTTCCGGTAATTATTACAGCTCTTCATTAGAGACTGCATCACAGTGATATCATAACATTTTGGACTTAGAACACGAGTGATATTTCACGACACAAAGGTACTCGAGTTTCGAGCGGTCCATAACTGGACAGTATATTGAAGTTTGCACAAAGCTGTCGTAGGCCTGCCAATACGTGCTTACAAGATTTGGTGGCTCCGAATCCCGCGAATAATTCATGCTCTCGTTAGGATCTATATCTCAAACACAGCTCTATACCGTATCGCATTTGCTCCCAGGTCACTGATGGCTTTTTGGAGAGAGCCAAGATTTTCGAGTTTGGTGACTTGAATCAGAGGTTTAATGTCGTTTTTGGCTGCAAACTCGAGCGTCTCAGCATGCATTGCCCTAGAACCAACTAGACTTGCATGTACGCGATACCCATCGAAGAACATATTGCGCGTGCTTGAAACTATCGTTAGTGGACGTTCAGGTCTAAGTAATTATGCTTTCATAAACATCGGGTCTTACTTAAGATTCATAGCTCCCATTGGAGCAGTCAGCGGCACGATAATGCCGTTTCTTGACAAGAATTCTTTTGTCATGGCCCTGTTCAGATTTTAGCGACGCACATGAGAGAACAAATTAACGTGGGTGAGGCGTGAAGAACAAGAAATTAACCTACCTTTCAAAATCTGGATAATAGCTTCCAGTAATCACCAAAACATCTATTGGAGCTTTGATGGTGTCGTACATAGCACTGACAAGGTGAAATTCACTGGCTCCCCAAGCGCGTGCTTCCTGCTCTTTGTCTGCCGATGTGCTATAAACAACGACTTCAGTGCCCATCTTGGCGGCGAATTGGATTGCAAGGTGCCCAAGACCACCAATTCCGTAAATACCAACTCGCATGCCAGGCTCAACCGTCTCCCTGAGAGCAGTGTACACTGTAACACCAGCACACTGGAGAGGAGCAGCGTACTCGCTGGGAATGTTATCTGGAATCTTGTGCAAAAACGTCTCCTTGCCGATATAGAATTGGCCAAAGGTGCCATTGTCGTAGTCTCCTTCACCCAAGACAATACGATCATAGCAGTAGATATCTTTGCCTTTGAGACAGAACTTGCAGCTGCCACAGGCATCTCGATGGTATCCGCCACCAACCCGATCTCCAACCTTCAGCTGCTTCACGTCAGAGCCAATCAGTTCAACGATTCCTACTCCTTCGTGCCCTAGAGCAACAGGAGCACCAAGTTTGACCATTGCTACATCACTTGCGCAAAGACCACTGTGAGTGATGCGAACAACAACATCTTTGGGGCCCAATTCCGGAATTTTAGCGTCATACGCAATGATGCTTCCTCCATTAGATCGATAACCTCGATATTCTCTCCCTACGAGACTGGATTGAGTCATGTTGATGGTGTGAGTCTCTTGTTGCTTTTTTTGGCTGCTGTGAACTTGAGTCCAAGTGTTATAACAGGTGTTGAAAGTGTTTTGTTTATTATCAGTCAATTGAGTGGCTGCCTCTGAAATATATAGGCGTTGTATTCAGAAGCGCCATAACAATGCGAATGAACCATGTTTTTGGCCTTTCAACGAGATCAGCTTTCATATGGCAAGTAATCAAAAAATGTATAACCGATAAGAGTGGCTATACTAACCTTGGAATTTGGAATCAATCGGATGATCTATAAGTTAACATATGTGTTTGTAGACATACAACTTTCGAGTAAGTTGCTTTGTAATCCCTCCATCAAAATCACAACAAGGATTTACATATTTTCACGATTCATGGATTGAATCCCTTACCTCCGATTCGAATACTGTAGCCGGTGTCTCTTAATTTTGAGAGTTCGCACCAGCGAAAGAGATTATAGCTCTGTCAGACATCCTGCCATTATGTTTACATTCCATGTATTTTCTATAAGAAATGGAGCTTGTGAGAAGTAACACATGGCGAGACGGATCACGATAATATAGCAAGACAAATAAATGCAGTGGTGTTGCTCTAATCACGCCAATAGCATCACGTATTTAACTGATAACTCGAGTCCTCCTTGTACTGGCATCAAAATCAATCCAGTACTCAGCCCTTGACTCCAATGTATTCGCCAGTATCACGTAGACTACAACTTCGAGTTGAGGTTTTCTTGACAACGTCTTGCCTCGGATCAAGACATTTATTAATCATCTGCCAAGATTATTAATCGCTGCGCTTTCCAACCGATGTGCCGAGGGGGGACTTGAAAGACTGGTTATTTCCTTCTCTCATGTTGACAAACAGCCTCTTCTATATGTAATTCAATCCGTCTGAGAGCGGAAGTTTCCGTTAATTTTCGCAGGGAATACGCGATGAATTTGGATCGCAAATATTTTCGCTCTGCAGTTGTCGCGCTCATCGGCATGTATATATAACGCTGATACGGAGATTCTGCGGAATTTTGCTGAAAACATATTTTGTTATTTATTTCACCGATCATCGCCGCAAGCCATATCCTTGAAAGCAAGCAACTCTTATTTAGGAATGTTATGGCTATGTTGATCTAAGCCATGATGGGTCAATCAATAATCACAATTGATTTCACGTCCATTGCGTCATTGTAATGTATGCAGAATTATAATATCTGTACCAAGCTGCGAAAATCCTGCTGATTCAAAATACTATATCTCGCTCGCCTGCAATCCGCATATTGCCAACAACGCTGCCTCTAAAGCTCATCCACCAGCCCATTTCCACGAAAGGTAAATGTTAGCTATTTGGATATCCTTTTCCAGTACACCTAGACCGCTTTTGCCTCATTCCGGACGCCCACAAACTCTTTTCCGATTACCATGCGGCCATCATCTTCTGTTAAAATCTTCCCATCAGGATGCAGCTTAGTTACAAACTCAGGATCCGCAAAAGTTGCTTTCAAAGAATCCATGTCGGGGAAAATAGTAGTAACAACTGCATCACAGTCAATACTACCCACAGCGCCGCCGAACAGTGCTTGGACGTTTTCCTTGTTTTCGCCAGTAATAAATTGCTATGTTTCATGTTAAGAAAGCGATGGTTCTTCTTTGGCAATAAACTTACGACTCCGTAATACAAAACTCGGTGTCTGTTCAAAATATCCGCGGCTATAGGGATATGGACTTTGGTATAATGCTGTTCAAAGTCTTCGTCAGACATACCTTTCTTCTTGGTAACAAGAAGGGTAGCCTTTATGCCTGTCTGGAAGCCGGTGGTCATTTTCTCTGCTGTGATGAACTCTTGCTCTTCTCGTTTAGATATGGGCATTTCAATCTTAAATATATCTCAGATTCACTTGTATTATCTTCTTATAGCCCACACTAGCCCAAGCTGCAAGGGCCATGTCCGCACGAGTCCCTATTACCGGTCTTTTGGCGGAGTTTGCGTAGCAAGTGCAAACCAATAGATTAAACTCCCGAATAATTCTTGAACAGGTTGTCCCTTGTCAGCAGCTTATTTGAACGAACGCGGAGTCCGACAATGGTGATTGTACCGGGTACGCGGATTATAAATACCTACTTGCAATAGGCAGTTTACTCATCCTCAGCGTTAAATCCGCTATATTCTGTAGTGTAAAATTATTAGTTTGTCTCATATTATAAATCAGAGCTACATGCCAATCCCCCATATATATGTAATTTGAAGAGGCTTAAATTACTATTGAGCTTCTTACTGCGCGACCGCTACCCTTTTGTCATGACGCTCTTGTTGGTTGAACAATTTCAGCCTTTGCGATCATCTCAAACTCTCTAAAAGCTGGCTAGCCGTCTCATCTTAACGCTCCCATTATCCGCCCTCTTGCACTTCAATGCTCTCCAAATGATGTCCTTCGATATCCTTCACTTGAGTCTTTCATACGTCGCGCTGAAGCATGAGGGATCAGAGATCATCAACAGCAGAAGAAGAAAATCGCGAACCAACATAGAGCAAGTCTTAAGAGATGCCGCGTGTCGTAGAAGAGATTGGTAGCAACCAATTCACACGAATTTCAACATGCCATTCACGTTGACCCTCATCTCTTCGTGCTAACTGCGGGGTTAGAAGTTCAGCTGTCAAGTGTGCCCAATCCTAACCCGATCAGGTCCTTGAGTGTCATTCTAGCGCCAAGAACGCTGTGCTGGCCTTGATTGCATTATATAACTTAACCAAACATAGCCCCGAATTAAAGAATTTTTATTCTCATGTCTCTTTTGCACTTGAAAACAATCATCTATGCGCTATGAAGCGTTGGCACAAATCTTCTTGCAATAGCCCATCGATTGTTGTGAAAAATGAGCAGCCGTATTGTCACACGTGCAATAGCGAATGTAATCTGGAAGACTTGGCCGGCAACAAGAGTTCGGGAACTGCCCTTAGCTCTTCAATCCAAAATGAGCCGCCAGGTCAGCTCAATTTAAGCTGGCCACCATCTGTTCCCTACATCGGATTAAACACACCGGAATTATCGCCTCCGGCAAATGTACAAACCTTGGATCCTCAGCAGGATACCCACGAATCTCTTAACTATGGGAATACTCTTGGACTGGATGAGTTCAGGCTAGCCTGTCTCACAGCGCCAGAGCATGATGATTATCCAGTCCATTTGACGTTGGAAACCTACAAACACGCAGACTGCCCCGAGTTCGAGACAGTGTCATATACCTGGGGTGGAGAGGATGGCGACCACGTTCCATCTCAGCCAGTGTTTGTGGGCCCATACTGGGATGTCGTTTTCCAGACAAAAAACTGTTGGAATATGCTTCGCTCTATACGTCCTTGGAGAGGTGTAAGAATGGTGTGGGTGGACGCCCTATGTATCAACCAAAATAACACCAAAGAACGTGGAGATCAGGTTGCAAAAATGAGGCAGATTTATGAAGAGTGCGCTCGGGTTATTGTCTATCTGGGGCCTGATATTGCGCTTCCGGCTCAAGGGCAATTCCCGCATCGGCGCAGGCTGGAAGAATTAAATCAACATCTGCGTCACTTAGACAAATCATCTTTCGACGACGATAACTCAGGGCAGGTTGATGTCGCCATGAGGACCCTCTTACAGAGGAGATACTTCAGTCGCGTCTGGGTAATCCAAGAATTGGTCGCATCGCAAAGGGCTGTAATGCGAATTGGAGACACAGAATATGCTATCGATAATACAACTGCTTCCCGACTCAAGGACATCAATGCAAACTGGAACTGGGATGAAAGTGAAGCGCCGTGGCTTCAATATATGACGCAGAAATCGATCCAGTTAGAGGACCTATACGGAGTTTTGGCAGTCACCTCGAAATCGCACGCGACAGATCTGCGGGATCGACTCTTTGGCATCCTTGGCCTAATCCGAAGAGATGACAAAGAAATGGCATCATGGCAGCCAGACTATTCTCTATCAGCCCAGCATATTTTCGTCGGGCTCTTGGCTCATCTTATAGTCAATCTCAAGAAGACGCACCTTCTTCTACATGGCTCTACATTATATGCCACGACATCCTCGCCTTCGTGGACTCCATCGTGGGAGTCAAACGAAGCATGGCAATTCATGTTTACTGCCACAGAAGTCAATGGGAATGAAATGACTAGCCGTATGAGCCAATATCTCTCCGAGAAAGACAACTGCGATGAAGTTGCAAACTTGTTCACACTGGAAGACTCTGAAAGTTCTCAGCATTTTGGTAAAAGGGATGCGTGTAATGATTGGCTAGCCGATACTCTTCACTCAAGACCATGGGATCAGGATATTGCCATTCATTCAGCCACTGGTGCCTTATCTATTCAACTGACTCACTTATGCGCAATCCCTTCAACACCGGTTGTTGTTGGAGAGATTGGAGCCTATAAAGTCTTTCAAGTGTCTGGACCAAAGGCTGATATATTTCTAGCCTCAGGCAATCCCCTTGATTCAACAATCAAACCAGGACAAGACCACATATTTATGCTCATTTCTGACGAATCCAGTTTGCTATATTTGATCTTGAGGCAATCAGAAGACGCTTTTGAAGCCAACAATTATAGATTGGTAGGCGCCAGTCTATCCATGTTCGTTAAATCTTCCAACGGCTATGTTAGGAACAGATGGATTGAGAGTCTAGATTCTACGATTACATGGACTCGAGAGCTTCTGGATGAGGCATTTGAAAGTTATCACACTAGCCCAATAAGAGCTTTCTTTCCCCTCGCAAGTACCGGGTGGGATATGTTTCCAGCTTATCATGCCCTCTTCGGCCAAGAAGTTGATTCCAGTTCAGAATTTGAAAAGGTCTTTATTTCATGCTTTGAAGCTCGTTTCAAAGCAAGCGTCGTAGATGGCTTTTTCGAATGGGAAATTACGCACGGCAAAGATCGTTTGAAGGATTACTTGGGCCAGTTACTCCTGCAAAATACAAATGAGGGAAAATCTTGCAGCATAGAAGGCTTCGAAAAGCTCATGTGGAATGGAAATTGGCAGCCGGTCACGAGGTATATTCAGCAAACTGAGTTCGTAACAAAACACATCTCTTCACTTAAGACGAAGCCGTTGGGCTTGAATAGAACGTTTCGGCTACGAATACCAATTGACACAGTGGAAAAGGCGGTTCGATTTTTCTTCTCTTCGGTAGAGAGAATTAGGCGATGTATGAAGATGAACACCAAAGAGGTAGAGGCAGTTCTTCGGGGAGATTCGAGCGATCAGTATCGTCTTGTAGGTTGCCCAATGTTTCCTGAGATGGAAGAAGGATTTTGCCTTGATGGAAGCACGTATCAGGTGCACATTCATTAGTGGATGGCTATTCCTTACTATATACGAAATAATTATCGGAGCCTAGCTATGAATACAATCGCATCGAAATATGTACTTTTTATCACTAAGACAGTCGAAATTGGAGTGAAGGTGTGATTCAACATAAGCAAGCTTAGCAAGCAGGCAGCCAACGGAGTGATCATGACAAGCTCTTGGCTTCGGCTATTTCAAGGACTGTGGGATGACCGTAATTTTCATAATAAAGTGAAAGCAAGCCTGCGTCGAGAGAAAAGTCTTTAAATAGTTGTGTGAGTTTCACTAGGTATATAGACATTGTAATGGCTGGTGATATCAGGCCAAGTTCCTTTCAATCACGTACTTTCGTGAGACTCTGGAATAGAACCCTGGGTAGCGCAATCGCTTGATGGGCCTCCTTTATTCTCCTTGGCCCCAGACTCGTGGTTTATATGTTGATTTGAGCAAGTGGTGCATCTGATAGGCGTCCATGGGTCTTGACCACCTGGTTGTGATAACCATTGTCGAGTTTGATGACTCATTGAGGCTTGAGCCGACCCTGATTTTGAAGCTGATATTAATACATCTGAATCAGCATAAACGGAAGTGACGCAAACGCTTTAACGAAACCCACCGGTTTTCTTCTCGTGGTTATTTCCAGCCATTTTCTAGCTGTAGAGCATGTAAACTTGGATGAAACAAATGTCTTGAATAGGCCAACAACGCAGCTCAGGTAAATTCAGATGCAAGGTCATGGAAATAAGTCCTCATTCAGATAATTAGAACATGAGAAGCAGACTCTATCCATTAAAGGTAGATTGAGACTTTGGATCTGAATAAATACTCGCCATTGGCTTCGTGAGGACATTTTATAGCTTGGGCACCTCTCGTGATATTGCCATTGCAACATCGAATACCTATGTACCATGGTAAGTAGGGCCAGTTTTCTCATTGGAGAACCTGCGCAGAAGGCCATGGCGGTGTGCCGCTTTAAAGTTCCTCATTTATGAATACATGTAACAAATCGTCCTCACCAGCCAGTAAAAGAATTGGCCCTCGAATCCAGCATTGTCATGGCTCATGTGCGTTTATTGTCCCTTGGTGGGGAGGTTTTGGCCATTCAGCGAATTGGCCCTCATCCAAGGCTGCAGGAGCTAGAAATTGTTACTCCGTAGAGGACAGGAAATGAAAATAGTACTCGAGTCTTAACAGGTCTTATTAGCATTGTACCTCAGCGTGTTATATTCATGGGCTAATACAGTGGAAGGCAAGGCGAATTGTTCCCTATCAACTAAACAGAAGGCGGACCAGCCAGTGATACCACCATTGCCACCATTGTTACCAAAGAGTTAATATTGACATGTATTGATCTTGCCGTGACTTTAACAAGTTCTCTGCTATTCCACTGAAGTATAGCGGCTAAATCACGATACTACAGCAGGTTACTCACTATAATACAGGGCACATGCAGTCTTAAATAAAGCTGGCGGCATGGAAATAAAGTACTGCCTAGTCCAGCTGGGGGAGCGAATGGTAACTTCCAGCTGATATCGGACACAGGTTTTGCCACCAGGGGTCGACCAATGAGAAAACCGGCCCTCTTAATACCATGCACCCAGGCGGCAGCGAATCAGAAAACCGGCCCTCTTTGAAGGCACAGCCTGGGTCCGCGAACCAGATCTACATATCTACTGCTTATTTTCCGCCTGGTTTTCTGCAAGACAGGGCAGCTGTACGCCTTTGAGCCTCACCCTTTGTGGGAGCAACCTCGGTGAGTTGATGCGTTGAGTGTTTTGGCTTGTCTGAGCGCCGGTGTAGATGAGAAAGCGAGGACGCCGCGTTGCCTTGTCTTTCCTCGTTGACGATGCGCCCAATTATGGATAGGTTTGTGTGACTGACTCTAAAAATGAAAAGGCTCCTCTCATCATCGGTTCTCATTCGAACAGTAGCAGTACATGCAGCCGCCCATCACAATCCTTGATCTTTTCATTCTGTGTAGTTTCGCGCCGGGCTCCCCGGCGCGTCAACTATTCAGAGTCACCATGGCGATCACCGCATAGAGGGCGTAGATGCCGACGAACACGATATTGAATGGTACCTACATGTCATTCCTTTGGACTCAGCCAGAACTAGCGAGGAGGATGAGACCTCCAAACTGTGGAGTGATTTGCGCGAACCATCGCCTGCCGCTCCCGACCGCGACGTCTCTCTTGCTACTGGTGATGGCCTTGACTTGCCCTTTGAGCCATCAGCTCCTACAACTCATTCATTCACCTTGAGAGCTTCTTCCAGAGAAGTCACAAATTCGCCCGCGCCGGAGACTTTGCTATCAACCACCGCCACGAATACATCGATTCCGACTTCCGCTTCGCCTGCTTCATCAACGCAAGTGCCTTTGTCCTACCAGCCCAGCTTGCGCGGCTGCGATTTCTGCCCCGAAATCTTCCTCGGCGTGGACGACTTGGTGGATCACATCGAGTCTGCACACCATCGGGGTGGACGCTTCCACTGCAAGACTTGCAAAGTGCACTTCGGCCTGAAGAAGGATTTCCGGCGGCATCTTGAGAGCGCAAAATTGCATCCATTATCGCGCATCCGCTGTCGTTGTGAGATGCTGTTCCGCAAAGACAAGTTCCGCAACCATCTCAAGCGCAAGAAGCCGTGCGACCCCGTTGTGCCTTTTCTCTGCTCTTGTGGGCATAGTGTGGACAGCGGCGGCTCGAATGCCGTCGTCAGAATGTTGCAACATGTCGATAGCTGCGGGCGGCGCAGGCCAGGTTGGCCGAAGAAGTGAATGAGTGAGCGTAGGAATGGACGGTTATGAGGAGAAATTACAGGTGACGACTGGGATTGGCGTTTGCGTCGTCAAGATCAGCGCTTATTCCACATGCTATTCTCACCCAGTGAGCGGCTTCATCTATTGGGGGTTAAACTTGCTGGGCGACAAGGCTGCGTCGTCATGCCTGTGAGAAGTCTGTGTCTCTAAGGATACTCTTTGGTCGCATTTTGATATCATGCGTTTCGTCGGATCATACAAACCAGTTGTTGGATGATCTCTATCGTTGATCAGTCTGTGTCTTGAATTCACCCGCCTGGGGACAGCGCCGTCAAGGCCCGGGTAAGGCCTCGCCGACTATCAACGCGTCAAGATACCAGGCCGTCTTGTAATCTATATTCTGACTTGAGTAGTCTTGGATTGCAGGCGATTTTCATATGGCAACATGGCCTACGTTTAAAAAAAAATTAAGAAGGAAACAAGGATAGAAAGAAAGGATACTGGCGTTTATTTTGTTTTGTAGCGTTTTGTTTTGTAGCGTTTTGTTTTGTAGCGTTTTGTTTTGTTTCATTCTGTTTCATTTTCTTTCTTGTCCCTTTTTTCCTTCTCTATGAGTGCTACTATTTAGCGTTTCATATATAACAGTATAAGTTCTACTTGAAGTTTGAAAGCCCTATTTTATTGTTACGCGTGTCATAGAATGATTTTATACTTCACGCTGACTACTCCTGACTCAATCACCTAAATCACAGAGGTATTTACTCCCTCTCCTCTAGCTTGCTCATTTGTTTACGCACTGTTTCGCGCATGGTAGTGAGATGAAAAAATGTGTCCGAGGCCGGAGCTACACAACGCTGCCACAAGTCATAATTCTCTAGCTTGCTGCTTAATTCCTCAAGCTTCATCTCCAAATTTTGCTTTTTCTTCTCTTCCTGCATCTCTTGCCGTCGAAGGGCTAATTTCTGCGAGACTGACTGATGGCGCGCTTTAGCCGCGGCAATAAGATCTGGCAGGACTTTGATTGCGGTTCGGAGAATCCTGAAATTCTGTTTCTTGGGTTCGATATCGTTTCGTTGTATTTCTAACCATTCTTTTGATCCTTTTGGATGTAACAGCTGCTGACGTAGGAGTTCTCCCATACAATCATGGCATTGTTTCTTTGCAGCATTGACTTTGCTCAGTTGACGGGCTAAATATGCAAGTTCTTGCTCTTTGATCTGTGCAAACCCCACCATTTCCTCTTCCGTAGTCAACTTAATTTCACAATCTTTCATAGACAGATAATTGTTCACGATAAGCTGGCTGGAATCCGGCAGAAGCTTACGAAGTGGACGAGTGCTGTGGGCGATGTGAAGAAGAGTTAACATTGTCCACGCCTTATCGTCAAGCTTCATCTCCAAGCAATCATCTACATTCTCGATTTCGGCGGCAGTGCCATAACTTTCGGTTTCAGTAGTCATCTTCTTGCGCTGACGCTTGGCCTGCCGTCTATCGCGTTGTCGAAGCCTTTCGGATTCTTGCTTGTATCCCGTTTTCGCTGGTGGCTTCTTGACGATGTTCATTATGGATACATCACCATCGTGGGATGGCGCCGCAGCCTTCATTGCAGTATTTTCAGGAGATACGTTGACGTCGCCACACTTGTAAATGATGACATCCAAGTTGTTCCACTTCGTCTTACTTATACAGCGAGACGAGAGACGCTTCATCGCTCGCACTCGATACTTCAGATGGCGCTGCGAAAGGCCCATTAGATTAAAGGCACGAGCCTCAAGGCCAACCATCTCGCCTTCCGATGCATTTTCCATGTCATTGACAAGATATACATCAGCATGGTTTTCTCGTTTCAGCAACTGCTTAACTTTGAAACGGCCTGCAAGCCATTCGTCCGCAGGAATGATAGGGCCGCGGGAATCATCGGTATCATCCGCCGATGTAATTTCCTGTAGATCAGGGCCTGTATGCTTGATAGATGGTGCTGTTGAATGAAGTAACGTCATTAGGGAATATGCAACGCGCCAAAGAATACACGTAGATGTTTGCCGACAGCGTGGGTAAAGATCAGGGGAAACCATACATGCCATTTTCAAATGCTTCATTTTTGGTAAAATTCAGGGAAAAGCGTATTGGAATATTTTTCCTTGCGTTCAACACGTTGATTAGCTGTTGACTTCAATTGTCAATCTGGCCATCTGTCGCCGCCAAAGCGAAATGAAGATGCTCTGTAGCCTTGCGGATGCCATTGAGCCCAACCCCTCTATATAGGTATGCACCTATAACGTGCGAGGAGAAGAGTGTTACGGCCTAACAGCTGGAAGATACGTACCCACGAAATAATACAGACCGAACAACGTATCAAGTTACATTCTACGAACATGTGGATTTCACCTCCCCTTATACCGTTTCTAGGGACTGCATAGGTACCTTTGCCAAATTATGTAACAAATATTTGTTGGCAGATACCTAGGTTAGCTAGGCGGTGTCATAAACGAGTAGAAAGAGAGGCAGTCTATCTGCACGATCGAAATATGTACTTTTATCGCTACAGCGATATGGAGTGGAGTGAAGGTGTGATTTAATATAGGCAAGATTCAAAACAAAGTGCTCCCAACACCACTACTCTGCTCCGCGCAACGGCATCCCTGCCTTTTTATAGATGCCATCGATAATCTCCATGAGCTTCACACTTTCATCCATATCAACCCAAGGCCCATTATATGGTTCCTGGTTTTTATATGCCTTGACACGATCCACAAAGGCCTCAAGCTGATATCTGTACGTTGTCCACCAAGGCTCTCCCCTCTTGCCCCAAACGGGCCCATCCTTGTAGACAGTTTCAACGGTCTTCTTGCCGCTCTTCTCAGTGATGATGATCTTGTGCCCAATGTACGGCGCAATAAAGGCCGTCAGCTCGATTTTGGCTTGCTCTAGCTCCACCACTGTTGTCGGCGTCAGATCCCAAAACTGTGGGATAAATCCCAAGAACTTTGGCAGCACCAATTTACAAGTGGTGGTGCACATGACTGGCGGTCTCGCACTATCCGCATTACGAATAACGAAAGTTGCCTCCATGGCTTCATCGACTCGTTTGTCAAGCTTGCTGACTCGAGACTTCGCTTCCAACACTTCAAAAGTGGTTCCTTTCACATCATTGGGAGCGGATGCCCAGTACAAAGACCCCGAAACAACGTAGCAAAGATCCATGGAAGCTCCCCCTCCCAAGGCGTAGTTGAAACGGATATCATCTGCACCTATAGCACCAGGAGGTATGACCATTTTGGAAGAAGTAGCCGTGACGTGGCCATATTTGCCGCTTTCAATAATTTCCTTGACACGATGAGCGGCAGGGTGAAGTCGCCAGTGGTAAGCTTCAAGAGCAATCTTGCCAGTTTCTCGCGCGCAGTCCTGAATCTCTTTGGCTTCGGCAGCATTGGATCCAACAGGCTTCTCGATCAAGACGTGCTTGCCAGCCTTTAATGCGTTTATTGCCCATTTATGATGAAGGCCGTTGGGGAGAGGAATGTAGACGGCCTCGACATTGGGATCTTGGAGGACTTCTTCATACGAGTCGTAAACCTTGGCTGCGGTGAGCTTGTAATTAGCCACCTGAGCTTCTGCTTTTGCCCTCGATCTGGCGGCAATGGCAACAATCTCGGCGCCCTGATGGGTCTGGACCGGGTCGAAAAATGAAGTGAAATTGATCGCCGCGGCTGATATGACGCCGAATTTAATTGCGTCTGGATTCTTTTCTTTCAGGCCTTCTTTAATTTTGTTGATGCCGTTCCACCAATTATAGGCGTTGATTATGCGCTTCACATGAGATTAGTATAGATGGCATGGACTTGTTGACACAAGCGACTTACCTCAACCATAGACGGCATCTTGGAGTTGGAGCCGAAACAATCGAAATTATGAAGAATTAAAATGAGACTGAAGTCGAAATTCCAGGCGGATTAAGGCGAGGCGCGGGAGGGTATAAAGTCCGCTCAAGAGACGCGGACTTTGTGGCCAGAAACCCGAATTCCGCGCTATCACGAGACTTTGAGTGAAGGGCCGAGGAAGCCGTTCCTGGTTGATAGTATATAGAGAGTCGTAAAGCAGGGGGTATCAAATAACTCCGCGTCAAAAAGTTCTCAGACTGAGTGCTCCCCTCCAATAGCTTCAACTCGATGCCAGCAAAAGGCGTGTTCGGCCTGGCGATGTGTCCACGAAGACCACACTGAAGAATGACGATTTCCAGTCTCAGGAGCGTTCAAGCCTTGAAGCAGATACGATGAGATCATCCGTTTGGGATTTTAAAGCAGCAATCTCAATGCTCAATGGCGGAAACCGACTGGAAGAGGCAAACAGCTAAAAGCCACATCGCGGAGAAGGAGCTAAAATGAATGCGGGGACTGAAATGGACGCTTACAGATCATGCGAGGTAGCAGGGATAGGAGCGTATACCTGGCGTTTATCCACTGAGAGAAGTCTCATTAAAGCGTTGTTACTGAAAGCCAATAGATATTCTGGAGTCTGCAAATGCCTGACGTGATGGCAACCCGATGTCATTCTTAGCATCATTCATTTTAAGTCGTGGAATATAGCCTTTAAACGCACGAATCGGTACTAATTGCGGCAATCGGTATGTAAACTAAGATAAAGCCAATCGGTTGGAAAGATTCCCAGCTATTATGGCGTCAAGGGGCATCTTTTAATCTAAAAGCGCCTCAAAGTTATCAAGGATGAAGAAGTGGTCTGACGCGCACTAGGTTGACAGCTCGCAAGCAATCAAAGAGATGGCATTAGAACCTTAAATCAACTCCAGCATACAGCAAGATCCTTTATTGACCAAATGTACTCGTCAAGGTGATAGATTAGCCCTTGATAACTCCATGCCAAATGCTCGAAATTTCGCATACATTATAGATAGATATGGAGGTTGCGCAACCGTCGATAAGAGCTTGGTACTTGCACAAAGCTTGCCCAGCAGCACATCTCTATTGCTTTCTCACTCAAACTGTAAGTGACCCAAACTTTATACCTTTTTCGTGTCATCTCCAACTTAACTCTTTATTTATGCTTTTCCCAGTCAGATTTCTGCATACACCTTAATTGACACACACATTTCCCTTGCAGCTTGTAACTCGTCGCCCTCTGTTAGTCAGCGCCCAAACGCCACTTAACGCGTCCCAAAACCCAGCCCAGCATCTCAACCCCACCAAAGCTCCGGAAAAGCCCAACCTCAGAAACGCGAGGCTCTCTGCAAACGCGCCCGCGATGCAGACTCGACATGTCCTACTACGACGTTGACGCCATTCTCACCGACGGGGAGGTATGTACTGTTCTTTAATCTCAATCTTGCAGGGCAAAAGAGCCAAAATGGAAGCTTACTTTGAACAGAAAGTCCCCTGTCGCTTCGAGCTCGACGTGCCGTACCTCGGCCATCTCGACAACTCCAACGGCCTCAAGCCCGGCTCCCGCCTCGCGCTCCCCCTCTGGCTCGCCGAAATGTTCGCCCTCGCCTCCGCCGGCGAAGACTCCAAGCCGCCGCTGACCTTGACCCTGCCGCCCTGCCTGTCCGAGCAAGTCCAGGCCGCGCTCAAGGCCGACCCGCGAGCCGTGGCGCTGCGAGACCAGAGCGCGTACTTTTACGGCGTGGCGGTGCGCATGCTGGATCTGTTTGACGAGAGGGAGCTGAGCGCCATTCTGCGGAGGACGTTTGTGGAGAGGGCGGCGGATGTGGGATTGCATGCGCGAAAGGCGGAAGAGTCCGGGCTGGGAGGGCAGGGCGAGGAGTTCTTGCGAGGACTGGACGAGTGGGAGAGGCGGCTGTTTAGGAGAGGGCATGAGGGGGTCAAGGGGGCGAAGGAATGGACGGATAACGTGAAGAGGTCATGATGGTTGGCGAGGGATTGGGCGATTTAGGATGATACCCTGGCATTTGGGAACGAGATGCGGATGCCTTGAATAGAATGTATGAATGGTCAGAGACCTGCAATGAAAATAATGATCAGCTTCCAAACATGTATCTCTGGGGCTTCCGACTCAGATATAATGCAACTCAAGACCCGACATTTGGATAAAGCTTGTGGTGAATTAACACGATTCACAAAAGACTGTCTCTCTTACACATAAACCATAATCTCAATACCCTAGACATTCAGCATCATGCACTTCATAGCCTACCTAATACCTGCAGTCTTTTTTCATCATACAAGGCAAGGTCATCACATAACGCATCTCCGCAACTACCAAAACAAAAAAAAAGAAAATAGCCTTCGTTGTAAGCCATATCCATGCACATTTTGATTCCACAACTTCAATGACAGTGATAAACAGCGGTGGATGTGCATATGAAGACAAAGACTGCCGTACAGGGTACCTTTGTAGTGACCTGCCGCCCAAGCATACAACCTCCAACCAGAAATTGGCAGAACATTAAAAAGGCGGTAAAACAAACAAACAGGCGGTAAAGAGGCACAAATGTCAACTATACCAAGTACCGTATACCCGTGATCCTACGCCCCAATTGCTCCGCGCCCAAGTAACAATACACACATGACACATCTATCTGCAGCATCTAACAGTAGCACAGACATGCACTCAGCCTCACGCAATACAACACAAAACCCATACCACCGCAAGACGGTACGCATGCATCACATCTCCACCAAGCAAAATTTCTATCCCAGTTAAAAAAGCAAAGGCAGAAAAAAAAAGGCTGCCAGCTCATACCCTCCACCACGCTGCCCTCCCACACACACAAAAAAAGAAAAAACCCCAACCATTGCCCAATCATTCTTCTCAAGCTTCCCACAAACTTGTCTCACTTTTCCCAAAAAAAACATAAATCTCCATCAGACAGCCAGGGACCATCCCTGCTGCTCCTCTCTACACCGAATTCTCCACAAAAACGTATTTCCTCTTTTGGAGATCTTCGGTGACAACGTCAGCCAGCAGGATCCATGGCCCAAGTTTTTTTGGTGACGTCTCACATGCAAGGCATAACTTCCTCGTGACAGATAGAATAAAAGGCAAAAAACTCTGGTATTGAGAGAACAGTGTGAACTAAATAAAGCTAAGAAAACAAAAACTACTGCAAAGTCCAGTCGCAGCTACGCAGCATGGTATATCAATCCTGTATCCTGTTGTACTACACGTGCGCCTCCAGTGTATCAGTCTAGGTCTATCCTAGGCGCACTTTGAACTCAAACAATCCTGCTATCCAAAACCAACAGAGTCTCATCCAGCATAACATCATACAATTCCATTACCGAATCATGCCCATTTCCCACATATCAATAACACCTGATACAGAAGTAAGAAAGAGCCAGCTTTAATCAGCCTGCTGTAAGCGTCGCTCATCAAACACCGTCCGTCTAGCAATGTATCCGAAAAATAGAAATAAAATAAAAAATTATCGTACAACTCCGCCCGCATTGTAGATGCTGCAACATGCAGGTATGCATGCCAAAGTAGTAGAAAATTAATAAACAGCGAATAACAACAGTATGAGGGCCTCTTGCTTAAGAGGCAAAACGTGATAGTGGCCACTGCGAGCGCTGTGGCGGCTTGTTGAAGCGTGGAGCTGTTTAATCCTGCCATTGGTTAAACAGCCCAGAAACGTATCCAACCATGGTCCAGTAAAAAAAAAAAAAAATAAAAAAAAATAAACAAACAAACCAGAATAGGAAAAGAAAAAAAGAAAAGAAATAAGAAAAGAAAGAAAACGCAAAGCAAAGTTAGAACCACGTCGAAAACGAGTATACAACCGGTAAGGGGAACGACAGAAAGCTGTACAAATACTCAAAGCGTCCACAAGGATAGCTCAATAGCAGGGATTATTGAACTGCTCATTCCTGTCGATTTCTCTCCATCAAGATGATGGTTCTTGTTTTTTTATGCTTTTTTCTTTTTCTTTGTAAATCCGCCCAAAAGTATTCCTCAAATCCGAAAACAAGCGCTGCGTCAATTCATCAGATGAAATCAACTTTGGCATGCGGGGCATCAATAAGTCATTAGGTTTTCTTCATTGTCCATATGGTTCTTGCACAGGCCAATAAGCGTCTTGAAAAACTGAAGCCACCAACGAGTCTTGCGACGAAGAAGCCATCTCAATGTCATTGTCAAGTCCAGACACCATCATGTTGAGGCCCAGAGCAGCGTCAATAGATTGAGGCTCGTAGTCGATGAGACCGAAATCAATGTCAGGGCTAAAGATATCCCTAAATGCATCGGTGTCATCCAACTGGCCAACGGGCATAAATGGCACCTCTTCAATAGCGAGAGAAGGGGAGCGCTTGTCTGGGGACTCATAAGCTGCGGCAAGCGAACTGGTTTCGTCACCTTCGACGGTAACTTCGCGAAACCAGAGCTTAAGCTGCTTCATTGGAGGCCAATCGCCACCTCCTCTGCCCCCGTTCCTTCTGCCCGCAGATGCACCCCTTGCTCTGGTAGGCTTGGCTGTAAAGTGTGTGCGCCGAAGGTGGGCGGCCGCATTGTAGTATGCTCCGTATAGCTTCCCCGACGCGCAGGCTTTACACTTGGCAAGCGGATAAAGGGCCCTGAGTTCGGAGGGAATCCGAAGCTCGGCGGGATCGCGGCAAATCCACTTCTTGACGGTACGCCTATGCTTGGCTTTGATATGGCGCCGAAGTTCATGATCGCCTCGAAAACCATTAGGGTATTCGACGCAGTGTGGGCACAGCTTGGGAGGCTTCGGCTTCGGCTTATTCTTGTCGCCCTCTTGAAGAGCGCGCTCCTTTTTAGGGGCAATAGAGGTTGCCGCGTTTGGGGGCAGCTGCTGAGGCATAGGGGCAATAGCAGTAGCCTTGCTATTTTGGATGACGCGCTCCGTAGCCTCTTTGAGCCGACGCTCAACATTGGAGGCTGTTGACTTTGTGCTTTTGATGCTGATGTTTGAGTTCTCTCTTTCCATCGAAGCAGAAGAAGGGAATAGACTCTCCAACGACGCGTATTGGTTAAGAGAAGGGACAATGCCATTGCCGATAGCCAGGAGATCATTATTCAAGTCTGACGCCTTCCTTGGGCTGCTTGGCTGAGAATAATCGAATGCTCCTTGGCTCAAGTGTGGTTCTTCTTTGAAGGACGAGAACGAGGGCATTCGGTGCATGTTGGGGCTGGCTTGAACACGACTATTCTCGCGAGTCATGGGCATGTGCCACGAGTCCTCAGCAACTGAGGATGTCGAGACCATTGATGGGGGGGCTGAAGGCACGTTGTGGGAAGGCATGTCATCGCGAGACAGGCTTATTCCCGTTGTAGACAGGTATGTCCCTGGATGTATACCAATGTCGAGGGAGTTTAGAGAAACAGAGCGCTCGTTGACCCGTCTCAACGGAACGGATGAGAGCCTCTCATTGCTGTGAGGATGGTAGATGGATGCCAGAGGCAACTGCCCTTGAAGATCTTGCAAGGGCATGCTGAACTCTGAGTGGATGGATGCGTTGCGTTGCATAGGAAAAGCCAGCGCTGTCTGCAGTTGGGGAGGATAGCCGTTGCGGTTCTGTCAGAAAAGACGTGTTAGCATATATACCGTCTTGGCCATGGGCACGATACGGAGAGGGGAAGAAAGAATACAGCAGCATGGACAAGAGGAGAAGGGATATGGATGTAAACATTGGGTGGGTGTCAAAGTTTTCCAAACTTCATGATGGATGGCACCATGTGTGCAGCGATACAGGTTGAGGCACTCACATTGGCAGGCTCGAAAGGCGCAAAGGCGGCATTGGCGCCGAGGGCTCTGTTTAGGGTCGGAGTGCGATCCATATCGGCGGCGTTGCTCCCTGTAAGCTGATAGTTGGGGACCTGGACTCGCGGGGCCACTGGCTGCATCCGCATATTCTGGGCGGACAAGGTTGGCTGCGACTGCTGGCCTGCACTACGGGGAGATTGCTCCGTGGGAAAGTCCATGAGCTGCCAGTTGAAATTCAGTTCTGGCATCTTGTGGAATTAGATGCGGATTGCAAAGTCCTTTTGTCTTGAGAAAGACTATGATAATGTCCTTACGTCTCAAGAGAGACGACACAGGACAGGCGAGATGTTGGATGTCGACAGACACCTATGGGCAGATAGGTAGAGAGAAGAGTAAAGGGGAAGGGACGGGGGCTCGGCGAGTATTAAATAATGATGTGCAGTTGGCAGTATACTGCGTAGTAGGTGGGTGGGTATATAGCGGCAGCAGCAGCAAGTGGCAGCAATAGCAGGCCAAATGCGAAGCAAATGGCTTGGTATGTGGCGTTGCCAGTACGAGAGTGTGTAGATAACTAAGGCAGAGACTGGGAGCTCCGTGTCCGGGTATATATAGCAGGCCAGATAGGCAGCAGCAGCAAGTTTGTGCAGCCAGGTATGATAGCAGCAGCAGCAGCAGCAGTGCTATAAATAATCGAGATAGGGCGAGTAGATATGAAGGAGGGAAAGGGGAAAAAGGATCGTAGGACGGTGAGCGAATAGAGTATTATAATAAATGGCAAGTAGTGTGGAAAATGAGAGGCAGGAAGATGAAGAAGTAAAAACGAAAAATAAGAAAAGACAAGGAGAGTCGGTCAGAAAGACGAGCGATCAAGTCTTGTTGGGCCAGATAGACAGTACATGTATGTATGTAAATGCAGGCAAGCAAGACAGAACAAAATGGAAGAGAAAAGGAAGAGACGGCGGCCGGCCAGTTATATGGTGCACAGCAGCCTCCAAGGTCCAGCGAGCTACAGTCCGCCAAAGCGCAACATGAGTGAAATGGAGCACGCAGTATAAGCCGCCAGCCAGTTGAGCTGGCGCTGCAGACCGACCGCCTCGCTGGAGAGCAGCAAGAGCCGGGCGGTCGAGGCATCTGGAGCGGTGATGGGCTCTGCAGGTACTGGATACGGGCCAGGGTGCGCCTTGGGAGCGGCGAGCACGAGGTACAGCGCAGGTAGAGGAGAGAAGCAAACGGGTTGCATCTGGGGTGGCATCAGATGGAAGCCAAGCACCAAAAGTGCGCCAGACAGAGCGCCGGACGGAGCGCCGGACTGCGGGTGCAGGTGACTTGCGGCGTGCCCAAGAGGCTCAACTGGGCACGGGCTAATGACGGTCGCTGCCGCCACTACTCGCAGCCCAGGTCCCTCTACCGTGCCGGTACCTGCGCGCGCTGTATGTGCGCTGCGACCTGCGTCCACCCCACCGGTCGCCGCTACCAGAGCCCGCCAGCGCATGCAGCCCAGAAGACACGCTGGAGCACCATGGGAATTCTGCGTAGTGGGGGGTGACGTCTGGTCTCTCGTGCTGCTCGCCCAAGGCGCTCTCTGGGCGCTGATCGCTGTAAGCCTCTGGACAGTGCAGGCTTGGATGTGTACACTGTATATTCGATGGCAGCAGTTGAGCGCTTGACAAGAGCTGGAGCTAGACGGCGGTCGGCTCCGTCAGGATTTTGCCTACAGCGTTTGCCCACCCTTGTCTCTCGTGCTGTCTCTTTTTTTCGCTGAGCGTTTTTGAGACGTGCAGCTCGTGTTGCAACCTCGCCGGCCTCATCTCCTACAGCAGACGCCAATCTGCCGATTCGAGAGCTGCCGAGGCTTGCCCATGTCTATGGACAGTCGTTCGCCTGCCCTGCATCACCACTAATTGCTTCCTGGTCCCCCGGCGCAGTGCTACTCTTGGATCGGTGCTAACAAGGATCCGCGGGCTAGACTGGCGATATGGATGGGCCAGCAAATCGCTCTCCATCGCGGGCGTCGCCACCGGAGAGTGGATATCCAGTGGACGTCCACGATCAACGGCTGACAGGAAACGAGCGAACGCTGCCGTCACCGCGTGCTGCTAGCAATAGAGCAGACATACACATATGGTCGTGTCGTACTGCCGCTAGCACCACCCGTATCCATACAGTTGCTAGCAGTTGCTGGCTGGTGGCTGGAGACTGCTAGGATGGCGCGATTGGACGCCCAACCCTGTCCGCTGCTCATGAACCTGCCAGACATCCATCGCGGAAGCCAAACCCAGTGATCGGGATGCGGCTATGCGGCTTGCACCCGAAACATGCCAGGCCAAATCAGCAGAGTCGCACCGTTGCTGCTGCTAGCACATAGCATCAATTTGAAATCTGAGTTAGGGACCGTTAGTGTGCCATCCTTATCGCGGCGTCCATGGGAACCGAGGCCAATGACACAATGGCTGCCAGCTCTCAACCTTGTCTCTCCGGCTTCGCACCATGGCTAAGCCACCACCAATAGCTGCGACTGCAAGAGGAATAAGAAGAAGAAACAACTACTAGAACCAACTGATTGATGTAACTGTACGCGAGCGCAGGGAGTATATCCGTATTAGAGCCATGTTTGTGGCTGGGCGATTGATTGCCTACCACACCAAAACGCCGGGCAAGGCAACATGAAGGCCTTGGCGTCGATGGAGCTGTGTACCACGACTCCCAGGGGATCGGCAGCAAGACGGATGTAGACTTTACTGCAGTGCCAGTACCAAAACAACGTACAGCGTGCCTGTGCCCCTACGGCGGAGCAGACGATGTCGAAAGGGGAAAACCAATGCGGAGATACGGGGCATGGCCAAAGTCTGCCAGACACGTCGACGCTCTGTAGATGTGCGTGCGTGTATATGTGTATGTGTGCGCGCGGGCGATGCTTCAGCTCCTGCAACGGTGGCACGTTCTGGGACCGTGTCAACCTCTAGTGCCCAGATCCAGCACGACGTCAGCCATCTGGATGCCCAGCGGCGCGTCAAACAAAGGCCAAGGCCCCTTCGGTGTCTCGTTGGGGACGCATTGACTCACGGTGCTGTGCCCGTGGCAGCTGCTTTGCATCCTCACCTTTGCTGCAGGAGGCTGCCAAAGTACCAGACTAGTAGCTCCAAAAGGGGGCGATGCCTTTGTCCAGTGCCGCCAGTGTCAAGACTTTTGCCAAAACCATCACTGATCCCCCAAACTTCGGTTAGTCCCAAGCGTTTACCGAAGAGGAGGGGCCTGCAGCAGGCCAAAGCTAAAGCACCGCCCGATCGCCAATGCTTTCGTGGCCGGACACAAGGGTCGCAGCTTGATGAATTCAGGAGCCAAGGCAGCAACATTAGCGACAACAGCAGTTCCAGCAGCGACGATGCCGACGGCAGCAGCAGCAATCATGCCTCCCACACCTCTCGCGCAGCTCGCCAATTGGCTGGATCGGCTGGCAAAAGCAAGGCGAGAGAGCGCGCACGACAGCTCTGCCCCAGGCCAAGCCCAAGCAAGCCAAGTCCCTGGCGGTCGCTGGCATGGAGATGGCATGGGCTCTGCTGTGGCAGAAACATTGAACGGAGACTAGTCCAGGATGCCCGAGATCCCTGGTGCGCCGCCACCAAGCATGAGCCTATTTCTTATTTTCTGGCGCGCGTGTCGATACTGCACAGTGTCGACTGAGCGCGTACAGCGGTGGATGAAGTCCTTGCAAGTGCGTGTGGGTGCTGCTGCAATGCGAGCGGTGTCGAGAGCATGCGTATGCACGTCGCGGCTGTATATTTGCAGCGCAGACACACATGCTGCTGCTTGCTTGCAGGCTTACCTGACACCAGCTCATCCAGCGGCCTGCCTTGGGTACCTGCTTATCACCGCTGAGTGCCTACTTGGTACCTTATATTGCCACACGGCGTTCTTTTCTACGTGTTTGCCATGGGCCGGCGATTTGGCGGTGAGAGCCAGCATCCGGCATGCTCGTACGGATGCCAGGTACCACTCTGTATTCGTACTTTGTGCCTGTATCGCACGGCCCTGACTGGCCATGGAGATGCAGCGGCTGCAGTGGTCGGTGTCGAGTGAAACCGGGGAACGGCTGTCGATGCTGCTTGTTCCTGGATCGGCAGCCCACTAAGGCAACCTATCTGCACGCCTACGGTAGGCATGCACATTATTGTGTACCTACCTATACACGCCTGTGTACCTACTAGTACCTATGCCTATGCCAGTGTATGTACAGATATACAGCGGTATGCACATGCAAGCAGTTGCAGGCAGACCGGTCTTCTTGCCTCGCCGTCGTGGATGAGAGCTGCCAGGCCTGATTCGGGTTGGCCTGATCCGAGTTTGGGCTGTTTGCTGGCGCGCGACCTGAGAGGACCGACCCGATATCAAAAGCTGGCAAAGCAAAGGAAAGGGTGGCACAAAGCGGGTGCCCGGATCAGGTCAAGACCGCTGTCGCCAATCGCGGCTGGGCCTGTCTGATTCGACGATGACGATAACGATGAGGATGGGGATGGCGGGGATGGGGAAGCACTGCTAGCACTCGATTCGCATGCAAGGTCCATCTGGTTTCCGTTCGGTCTGGGCTCCATGGGACACGGCGGAACTGTTCCTGGCTGCTTTTGCTCCCTACCGCACAGCGTCTCAGATAGGATCACGCCGGACCTTGTAAGTGCCGATTGCCAGGCCTACGGCGTTGTTCTGGAGGCGCATCCAGGCCAGCAAGGGAGAGAGGCCAGACCCTGGGATTCAGCTGCCCATGCAGCCATTCACAGACCAGACGCTAGCCCAGCAATGCTATCGAGTGCTCCCAGCATGTCACTGGCAGGACTAACCAAGAAGCGTATCATGGTTTTGTCTCCTTACCGGCGCAGCGATACAGGTCTACAGACAGCACAGATTAGGAAACCCATGCTTGCCTGTATTAGTATGTTCGGTCGCAAGAAAAAGCAGCCCAGCGGTACTAGACTACTCCGAATAGAGGCATTGACGTGTTGCATTCTATATCATATCACGTACATACACAGACTTGATGGCTGGAACGCGCCAAAGTTTCAGGCCTGGCGGCGCATGCAAAGATGCGGCCTGTTCTATGGTATATTTGTCCTGGCAGCCCTATAATTCGACTGACAAATCCGCGCATGCGTTTTTGGCACCAGTGATCTGTACTTGCTGTCTGAGTGCCCGTATGATGGGCTCAAAAAACGCTCAAATTGCTCCAGTGCCTCTATTTACGGACCAGTGCCAAGTA